TCTACTCTCTCTCTCTCTCTCTCTCTCTCTCTCTCTCTCTCTCTCTCTCTCTCTCTCTCTCTCTCTCTCTCTCTCGCTCTCGCTCTTCAAGAATTCATCGCTACTACGAGCTCTCCATGGCTGTCAGATCTAAACCCGATGTTTACTTGTTCTTGAACTAGAACAATCAAACGATCGACAACGTAGTGAAACAGAGTTCAAGCATGATTTTGACGCCAAGAAGAAAATCCACGAGAGAGACTTCACCTAGAATAACATGCCAGAGAGCGTCACTTAATAAATAGAAAAGAAGCTGCACATGTGAAAAATTGATGGTACTTACAAGCAATCGTGAACAGCAAGCACAGCCAGTAAATCGAAAGCGTCAATTTCCAGTCAGTTACCGGTAAAGCAATGCAATTTGACCAATTGCACCGCTTTATGCTATGAATTACGTCGTTTTTATCAATCAGCCATATCTCAGCCAAAAATGCTCGCTTAGAACTCACAAAAACACGAAAAAATAGCCATAAATTTCAACATGAATTAATAACCCATCTTTCTACTCGATTCACTTGCAAGTCCTTTTATCTCCCCCATTTATAGTCTCGACATCATTTTAACGCTGACATTTCACTTGCTCGAGTTAAATTGATTGATATCTGTGAAAAACAAGTTAAAACCAGGTAGAATTAAAGATTACATCTTCTAACAATAAATCCATAACAAAAACGTTTCTACAAGCGTTTACAGGAAGTCTGAGTCTTTTTTGATCTTCTCCTAACTACACACTCCCGGTTTTTCCTTTTGTACTCTGTTTTCCAGCAGATTTTGGTCAAGTTTCACGCTTATAAAATATCGAGCTCATTCGCACGAAATCGCGGACTCGTGAGTGGAAAATCGTGAAGAAGACACGCCGTCTCTCTCTGGTTTTGGAGCGCAGATCTGCTGTGTTTCTAGAGTCAAAAGATCGGTGATCTTTTGCTCCCCCACAAGGCCCGTGGTTTTTGATCTTTGACGTATAGAAAATTGCGATGTCTACCAACCCGGGCGCGCAGTCTGACGCTGCAAGTAACGGCACTAGGCCCGCGAAAACGGTTTCGTCATTCGATCTCGAACCAAATCCCTTCGAGCAAAGCTTCGCATCCTCAAAAAAACCGCAGAGAGCCAAACTCCCACCACCAGAACACATCGGTCCTCACCAAGTACCAGCATCAGCCACTAGTAATTCGATGAACTCAACATCCGGGGCCGCCTTTCTCGGACCAAAAAGTTCAGTCGAATACACCAATTCCACGCAGCCCTCTGGTGCTCCTGCGGGCTCCAACACTACTTCAAACGCAGCTCAGGGAATCGCTTTTGATCCCACAGTTGCAAATCCTACGTCTGCCGCCCTTTCTAACGCAGTGGGACTAGCCGATCATACGAAGTCTAGCGAACTCTCGACGAGACTTCCACCTCTACTGCTAGCAAACCCTGCACACTCGTCGTCCTCCATGATCCCTCCACAGCATTCAAGATCGCCGGACTCTTCTGCTCTGCTTCCCAATCACCCGCCTTCGCACCATAATTTGCACCCACCGCAGCCTGCGCAGACTTCTCCACATCCACACAGTCTCATGGCTCCCGGAACCACTACACCGGGGTTTTTTCTGAACCTTTCGAAGACGGGACTCACACCAAACTCTAGTCTGCGCTCTTGTCTGACACCTGGAAGTCTGGCCTTGCCTCAATCCTCGCATTCGCAGCACCAAGTGCAGCCCAATACCCATTTGCATCCTCAAACCAATTTACCGGCACGCCCTTCGCCTTCTATACATCATCCAGGTAATTTGGTGCCACCTCTTTCTCTTTCATCAGGGCAATTTACTCCAGGTCTATCTTCAATCCTAGGCATACCTTTGCAGCAGCAGCAGCAGCAGCAACCACAGTCACAATCAAAACAACGACCACCACCACCACCACCACCATCACAATCACAATTACAATCACAGCAGCAGCAGCAGCAACTGCAACCGATACAACAACCGGTACAACAACCGGTACAACAACCGGTATCACAACCGCCGCAACCTCAATCACAAAGTCCACCCCAGGGCAATTCATCTACTCAAAACCCTATTCAGTGGGACCCACTTTCCATAAATCCCCCTGGTGCGTTAACGGCTGTAAACTCAAATTCGTCAACATCTTCGAACTCCCTCAGCATAGTTCCTTCAAACGACAACAAGAAGCTTTCCATATCTATTCCATCTTCCGGTGGATCTACGGGCTCCCGGTCTAGTACAGCCCTTACACTAGTTCCTTCTGCTGGGGACAATTTGGTGAGAATGGGGTCCAAGAATGCAGAATCCTCGAGCTTTCCTCAGGCAGCATTGAATAACAATGGCAATGAACCTCTCAAAAAGAAACAGAAGACTTCGCAAACCAGCAACAGGCGGCCCAAGGCCAGTAAAGAGACGTCGTATTCTAGATCGAGGGACGATCAGGACCGTAAGCGCAAAGAGTTCTTGGAAAGAAATAGAGTGGCAGCTTCGAAGTTTCGGAAGCGGAAGAAGGAGTACATTAAAAAGATTGAAGGCGATTTAAAGTTCTACGAGACAGAGTATGACGATCTGGGTCGATGTATGGACAAACTTTGTGGCCTTTCTAAAGAGATCGTCAACTCCTCTTTGGTAGGGATGCTCAAGCAAGCGCTTCTGCAGAACGATATCAATTCGTCGCTCACGCTGTGCAGTCACATAGAGCAAGTTCTTTTACAAACGCAATACGTGCAACGTGGGGGTGGCAACCCGTTGCGTGAAGAAGAGGAGAGAAGAAGACTCGAAAATCCAGATGGGGACAACTCCGACTATGGATATCCTAGACGTCCTTCAATGGCGGCGGGTTCGTCAGATGGTTACCACAATATTCAGTCTCAGGATCAACAGAACACTGAAGTTCCTGCAGTAAAGGGATCTGGGTCGGATCATGCCACGGGCACGATCAACAATTTACCCTTGGTTATAAATGGTAATACGCTGCTGAGCTTGGAAGATGTACAGGCATCTTCTCACCGGCAGAAGGATGGAAATCTTATAGATCCAGGTGTGAAGATTGAAGTGGGTCTGCCAAATGATCTACTTGATTGAGATTATTGCATCCCTTCCCTTTATAAGTAAAGTGCTGTAACAAGATGTTATACCGCGCAATGCCCATTTCAAGGAACCGTAAGGTGTACCACAAGGTAATTGCGCAAGTTAGATATTTGATGTTCAAGTTAGGTTATTAGAGTTTTAAGTTTAAGTTAAGTGAAAAACTATCGTTTTAGAATGACACAGGAGTCCTGATGAAGAATGATTTGTTCCAGCATTTATCGATTGGTTTGTGCCCTGACTCTTGCACGATCATAAGGGCTCGTTATGGTTTGCTACCGACGGTCTGAATCAATCTCGTAGAAGCTTTATATACAGCAGCAACAATCGAATTTAGACGACAAGGTTCGGGGATCAGCAACTTGCCCACTTTTTGTCAGTCCTTTCAGACTCCTCTCGGTTCTCAAGGCAACGTGTGTTGAAGAGATGTGGCGGTTTTCACAGAACGGCAATGTTGGTTAACCAAAAGAGACGACGGAGACAGACACATTTCGATTGTGTTGAAGGCGGCGCTGAAAGAACTGAACACAACTCCACTGGAAGATAGTGATAAGTGACAAGCCTGTAAAGCGCCTTTATTTCCTGTAAGAGGTTGTGGAGATACGGCGGTGGCGCGAGTATGAGATTGATAAGTCACTTGTGTGCGATCAAATGTCTTCAAGATCTCAGAGCGATCGTTGGAAAGCTCAGCAATCCAATGTTGCCTGCAACTGGGACCAAATGATTGCCCCACTTCTTTTGTCGTTCGTTTCTGGTAGCATGTTAACCTGGGACCTGATGTCTGAGGATTAGAAGCAAAAAGCTCTTGGCGAGTCAAGTACAGAAGGGACTGAATTCCGGCCACGGCGTAGTTGTCGACAGATTCATTGAGCTTTTATTTTACGAGACTCTGTTAGAGCGTAGGTTTCATGAATTCCTTGTGCGATTAAATGGTAGCTCAAATGATACGCTCTTCAAACTCGATTCTGAGACTCTTATGAACCTTACAACACGCTGTAGTGAGGATCCTCTTTGAAACTGAATTGACGCACCAGAACTCCGCCTTCTTGCAAAATCTTGAAACTGGCTTCGTCCATTCTGTAGCTCTGGGAGTACACGACTTCTCTAATACCTGTTTGCACAATTTTAACAGAACAGGTTAAACACGGGCAAGTGTCGCAATACAAGATGGCATTGGGTCCTATTCTATCGCGACCAGCCTCTAATAGCGCGTTTTCTTCCGCATGAAGACACAAACAACTGCTGAGCTGAGAGTGTTCTCCGCTGTTACAACGGGGACACCCACCACTGTGACAGTTTTTCAAATGACGGGGTGTCCCGTTATAACCTGTTGCGATGACTCTACAATCTCGAACAATAACACAGCCAACTCGTCTTTTCATGCAATTGGACCTGGAAGCCGCTAGCGTTGCTAGCTTCATGAAGTATGTATCCCAATCTGGTCTCAAAGGTGTAGTGTTGTTGAACGGGACCATGACGTCGCGCCCTTGGCAAGCGCTTCTAAGATGATGATCTAGCTCTCGGGCCAAAACATCGAGTTTCAGTTTTTCGTGAGTTCTGACGTAAATTCTCACATCTGCCCGACCACACACAATTGGCAAGTTCGGGTTGAGCTCTAGAGTGGTTTCGGAGTGTTGCAGGAATTTTTCAAGATCTGCTTGGCCATTATTATAGCTATCGCACCACTCTTGTAGCCTAACTCTCAAGGCGGCCTCTATGGTTATATGCATGAAAAAGGGCCTTTTCTCTAGCATTTGAAGCTGCTCGAGCCCAATTACACCTTGAAACACAAGGTTTTTGGTGTAATTGGTGGTGCCATACTCAAGTATGTAATTGATTTGTTCTTGATCAATTGTAGTAGCTGTAGGTATCCTCTCGAATTGGTATTTGGTTTCAAGAGCCCGGACTAGCAGCTCGGCTCCACTTCCGAGACTCTCACTGACATAAATAAGCATTTAAGTGGGCACAATGGAGCAGGGCTGGTGATTGTCGCGGCGATGGATACTGATCGATGAGCTCGAGCTCATTAACCTAATAAATTTAAAATTGAGTGTCAGTATGGGAAAGAGTGATAATTGAGACGTTCGATGACGACGCCAGCGAGTGAGCTGCCACGTAGTGACGTTGTGTACTGTGCTGTGAGAAGTTAAGTTTGTAGAGTGTAGACAAGAGGGATGAATGCTCTGCTTTCCGAGAATTTTTGACTTTCTGCTGAACATAATGTGTGTAGACAAACCGTTTGAATCTTTCAATCAGATGGTTTTCGAGAAAACCACATGGGATTGACGAGTAAGGCAGATCCAATGTGTTGGTATGTCTTTTAATGTCTGTGTTATTGAACTGTTGAATACTGCAATCAAAGCGAGTTTAATTGTCAACACTTAATGTCAAATTATATGATCCAAACATAAACAAAAAAATTTCACAACCTTGTTTGTTGAGCACGGCTTCCTCCATGTATTTTCACCTTCATTGCCAAAACATCTCGATACCCATGCTACCACCCCGAAACAGGTGGCCCCTCCTCTGATTTTCCCTGCTTATCATTTTATTGTCGCCATACAATGACAGAATAGTACAGAGTGATCAAAACCGATAAACCGATCTTTCTCGAGTGTACCAGCGATTCTCTACATTCTGAGCTATCAAAGTCATCCCAGAAGCCATCCCCATACCCATTCATACCTTCCCCACCTCTCTACTCCTTCGCAGCATTTTTATTTAATTCAATTTTTGATCTCATCAAAATATCATCAAACAACCATTTGCGCTTCTAAGATTCCCAATACACCATCTTCCTCCTTTATTTTGGCACAATTAGACTACAAATACCCCACAGTATCGGCACGATCTAAACCAAATCCCTCTGCAAACGCACTCTTCTCAAACTCTCAAATTTCAACTTTTCGTGGGCGCCAGATATTTATTTTTCACATGTAGTGCTAACTCAGTATACAATAGTGAAAAAAACCAATGCCGAGAGATGTACTTATTAACCTAACAAGTTGCCAAAGTTTAGGAGTCTTCTTGGACCTAAAGTTGATCAATTCTGTAGGTTTTAGTTGACGGTGGTACTGGATTCAACTCTGGCAATTATAAATCTCAGTTTTCCGGGATGTTAAAGCTAGGAATTTGGAAGAATAGTGCGGGGATGAAGAGCTTGCTTAGCGTGCATCGCTTTAGCGGAGCGACCGGGATGAGGATCAAAAGACGTACGGCTAACCTGTGGAATCACCGTCTTTACAGCTCTAGGTCCAGTTTGATGCATTTATCGGGTTATAACAAGCAAGTGGTAATGAAACTCGTGGTTATGACTGGTGTAACGTTGGTCTTGGGAAGTATTCTATTCAACTACGCTGAGGGCTCGAGTTCAGAAGAAGATGAGGATGTGGATGGCGAAAACAAGAGCAAGTCTGCAAATGGATCCCGTCAGCGTATCAAGATTTTCAACAACAACTGGCTATTTTTCTGGTACTCGACTCTCCCGCTCAACGCGATGTCCCGTCTGTGGGGCCAAGTCAACTCATTAACATTGCCCGTTTGGCTACGTCCTTGGAGTTTCAGGCTCTACGCTGCAGTTTTCGGTGCCAATCTGGACGAAATGCAGGACCCGGTGCTAGAACACTACCAAAACCTTTCGGAATTTTTCTACCGCCAAATCAAAGCCGGAACGCGGCCCATCGCTCCCGGTGACGATGTCGTTGTTTGTCCCAGTGATGGAAGAGTCCTGCAGCTAGGCGTCATCGATGCCCAGACAGGCGACATTCAACAAGTCAAAGGCATGACATACTCGGTACGCGAGTTTCTCGGCACCCACGCACATCCACAAATGAAGCGGAGCGAGTCTAAGGAATATCTAGACAGTCCTGACAACTCGTCCGACGACGAACACATTGAGTTTGCGCGCATTAATAATATTCCCTACACTTTCAACGACATGATTGGCGAAACGCCTGGCGACAACCACCCACACTTACAAAAGATCGAATATACAAGTGAAGGTGACAAATCTTTACCGGAAGCTACGCCCTCCAGACCTAAGACGATGAAGCTTTTAAGTCAGCTATCAACGCACTACATCGACAAGATAAAGAACTCTGATCCTAACAACACAAAATTGTGTTTTGCAGTCATATACTTGGCTCCTGGAGATTACCACCACTACCATTCCCCAGTGAACTGGGTTTGCAAGCTGCGTCGCCACTTCCCAGGTGAACTTTTCTCTGTTGCGCCTTACTTTCAACGCAATTTTCCCAACCTTTTTGTGTTGAACGAGCGTGTGGCTCTCTTAGGGCATTGGAAGCATGGATTCTTCAGTATGACCCCAGTGGGTGCCACCAACGTTGGCTCTATCAAGTTGAACTTCGATAAGGAACTGGTCACCAACAGCAGGCGTAAAGAGAAAATCAAACCTCATACTTGCTACGAGGCCACTTATGAAAGCACCAGCGCCATTTTAGGCGGTGTACCTTTGGTGAAGGGGGAAGAAATGGGCGGATTCATGTTGGGAAGCACCGTTGTTTTATGTTTCGAAGCACCCAAGGATTTTGAGTTCAATATCAAAGTTGGACAACGGGTCAAAATGGGTCAGCCACTTGGCGAATCCAAATAGATGGGCACAGGTCTCTTCAAGAAGACCGTTTTTGCAAATATTAAAAGCATGTTTAGGATATAGAAAACAAAGTTGCATTATGACTAAAACCCATAGTGGCGTCTCCACAACTCCAGTTGATAGTTTTGGCCTCTGTTTTGACACGCCAACAAGAGATTTTCGTCCTTAGATGGATCATGCGCTTCACTCACCTTAATAACCTCACTCCCAAATTCCAGCTTCTCTTCGTTCGTGACACCCAAGTTTTTGAACAGCAGAGGTACACTGCGGTAGTCACTGTCCCATGTACGTCCTTGCAAAGGTTGTGATGCTCGTTTTCTCATGATGTTCTTCGCTTCCAAGCTTCTGTCGGTACTGTACTCGCCAAGTTCCCAATCGTCTTCAGAATCATCTCGTGGAGGGGCGAAAAGGAGACAGCCGTTGTTGAAGAAGTTGATATAATCTTGCTCTTTTTTGAAATGCACAGAAATTGGGTAATAATCGGGCGAAGACACTTTAATCGTTCTGATTCTTCGCAGATCAGGCAAAAGACATGGTGAGATTAAATGCATTGTGGTCGAGCCAACGGAATTGTTTGAAGCCTTGAGAATCACCTCTACCGGCACTTTGCTCAAATTGACACCCGTTTTCGAGTTCTGGATTATCAGACTTCTGTATTCAACTGCCATACTCCAAAAATGCTTAGTCTCCTGCAAGTAATAAGGACTCATATAATTCGGAAGAACTGTTATTATGAGGTATGCCAAACTGTCTACGCTGGAAGTTCTAAGCGCGTACTGTCCCGAACCGAGGAAGAGAAACCCGAGACATAAACTTGTTGCCATATACTTTCCGAACTGATTTTCATCATCCTTCCAATGCTGCTTGCTCTCATCAGCGGTTCCCGCTTCCGTGTCATCCATAGTCGTGGAGTTGATGTGTTCACCATCGTCCTCTTCTCGGCCGCCATCATCAATGTCCACATTGCTCAGTTCCTCCCCTCCCGTGGCGCCACGCTCTTGAGTGGAATCGACAGACATCGCGTCATTCCCGCGAGATTTCTCAGGAGCACGGGATGTCGAGGTTGTTTGAAATAAGTCTGAATGCTTCCCACTAATAGTTTCGTGCAAATACTTGACTCTTCTCAGTACTGCGAGGTCACCTGTACCGCTCATAACCATACTGGCTGCCATTAAAAGTACATCAACCAGGATATTAATCGCTTTTATGCTCAATTGAAAGTCTAGTCTCGCGTCAACCGAACACTGATATAGCGGTAACAACTTGTCAATCACGAAAAGAAAATGGTCCCGCACTGACACGTCTCCTGTAGACGCAAACTTCAATCCCATGGCTAAGGCCCGCCCAGCTATGCAGTAATATTGGGGCAAAGAGTCCGTGTCTAGCTTGAGAGAGACGTCAAGGTTTAGACCCCTGAACAGCCAGCGAGAATTGCCCTCGATATGATCCCACAAAATCATATGACATGCCCATTCCCGGTACATGAATATCTCGGGGCGCATGTAAGGTCTCGATTTCATGTTGATGTCATCTAGATTAGGCGCAAGCCTCTCTGCAACAGTATTGTCGTTGGTTTTCAGGAAAATTAACATTAGTGCTAAAATGGCTCCCATCTGAGAGTTTGCGGGCATCCAACTTTCCTCAGTGTCATGAGATCCACCGACTATGTTGAGCAGTCCTGAACTAACCTTCGGATCTAATAAACCCTCATTAGGACTGAAGTTCAGATCTTCGTCCACATCCTCGTCGAAATCACTCTCTTCTCCTTGCCAAAGGCTTCTTGAACCAGACTTTGAAAATTTGGACGACTTGGAACCTGCGCTGAGATTAACAAGACCTAGAGCAATCCCTGCAGCCAGTCTATAACCCTCGTCTGGTACCGCCTCTTCATTGATAGTCACAAACGATGTAATTTGGGAAAATAGCATATCACTCATTCTTCTGTGCTGAGAAGCCTGATACAGCAGACCTATACCAATTAAACCTGCCGTTTGCACTCTATAATTGACATTGAGGTCGCTCGAGCCTTGTGGAAGTAAAGCTACAATGTGAACACTCAAAACTTTGGTCAGCTTGAGATCCATTGTTCCCTTAAGACTCGCGCTCATACCGAGCATCAGGCCTATGCTAGTGTGTATTTGCTTTGGACTGAGGTAGTTATAGACATGCCACTCTTCCAGATTCTTCAAATGACCATTTAACCCTAGCCCTAGCAGAAAGCCTCCATGTTGTGAATCAAGCTCTGAAGGTTTAGCAAATGTGATCCAACTTCCCGTGATACCTGTGGACTTCGGAGAAATTCGAAGACCGGAGCTGCAACCTGCATGAAACTCACCCCATGCCAGCAGATGTGGATCACAAGTCTCAGGGCCTACCGCAACAGTGGTTTTGTCGGAGAACACAAAGTTAAGATTTAGTTTTGCCCGGGGCCATTTCTGAGTAGCGAGAGGCCGCTCGGTTGAAAAGGCCACTGCTCCCCATCCAATAGCGGAAGCAAAAGTTCGCAGGGCAGATATCTGAGAATATGTCCTTTTCTTCTTCAAGTTTCTAGTGTAGCTTTTTTCCACGACATGCATGGTGATCTTGTGCGGGATGCTGTACAATATAAGCTCAACGATGTCAAAAAATCGTCTATCCTCGGAAAATATTAGAGACGCGTTTTGTTTCAAGGACCGACCATCGCCCATTTCTTCTGCGGTATCCAAAGTTGATATCCTTTCATCAAGATGTTGACTAGTCAAATTCAAAACATCTCTCACCAGTACTTTGATGGATGTGTTGAGGGACCCAGCGCCGCGCGCACGTTTATTGACTCGCGGCAAATTAGAGATCTGCCGTGGTTGAACGCTGCCAGTACCTAGAGATTCCAGCATCAATCCATTTTTTTGCAAATCCAAACGATTCACTAACGAAAAGTCGAACGAAGCGTTAGCGTTACTGATTAATTTCTCTAAAGATTTCAGGACGCGTTTCAGAGGGGCAAAGACTCCTAGTGGGTAAGTTTCCAGTTCATATTTGTCGATACCCAACGAGTTCATGACGTCTAGTATGTTAGAATGAGTGTAGTTTCCGCTCTCGAAACTCTCGAAAAGTTGCAGGATTTTATGAGTACGTGGTGTCATAATGTGGTCAACGGATGAACCATCGTCTAACAAACCTGAAAATGTTATAAAGGGCACGACGGGAAACTCACTTCCATCAACTGCACTGTAGAGGGATTTCAGTATCGAAGGAGGCTCATCTAAAGGGTGAACAAAAGTCTGGTCTGATGAATTTGACAAAAACTCCTCATCTCTGGGATCACAAAACCCATAAAACTGATGCCACACTGCGGGCCAGCCCATTAATTTGGTTAGCAAGTGTAATAGTTGCCCCAATCGCTCTACACTTGTTCTTTGCAATAAGTTTAACTTGTACTCCTCTCTGATCAAATGCAGTCCCATTACAATTCTTGGTAGAAATCTTCCGGCATCAATAGAAGAGCTATAAACAGGACAGTCTTTAATAGATTTGAGTGACACTTTGGCCGCATCAGGATAATGATTTATATTCAGTAAGCTGATCAAAGTGTACTTCAATGCCTCAAATTCTAGGTTTTTGGTGTGAGTGCTTTTAAGGTTATTTCGAGCTACTTGCCACAGAAGTGCCAGGTAGGAGTAATTGAAAGGATCACAGAGATACTTTAAAGCCTCGAAGTAGCGCTTAACATCGGCAGTTTCGGGTATCATTCTCAACCGCAAAACGGGTGAGTCGCGGTTGGTCAATACTGTATTTTCCTTGGAATAGTAAAGTGAGGTGTGACAGTGACATTTAGGCAGCTGAATCGGACTTGAAGTGATGTTCAGAAAAGGATTGTATAGAGTAATATCGCCTGCAAAGCTGCTCAAAAGCATCAAAAACCCATCAAGAAGGTGACTTTCGTAGAGACAAAAACTTCGCACCAATGTCCAGTTTATATCGATGATTTTTGTCAGTGATGTTGGCGTGTTGCTGAATTCCATAAACCTGGCATTACTTGTAGATGATATGTTGTGATCAAATATCCAAATTTTGCCCCATTGGTTCTTTGGATCATGCAATATTATAGCCTCTTTATTCTCATATCTAGAGCTTGAAACTGTAGTTGCAGCAGATAATGTGATCGGTACAGCTACTTGAGTTACCTTAGTCAGTGTGACATCTTTAGTCAAGATCGTATGATCGAATAAGTCCTCAGATATGTGAGAAGCGTGGGAAGGAGTTATATCAAGCGCATTTCCGGACCCCATGCGATCCACGGTAGCAGATGCGCTTCTTTTGTTAGGGTCGATGCTTAACTGGGTTGAGTTAATGTTCCCTGGCTGCGGCTGCTGCTGCTGTTGCTGTTGCTGTTGCTGTTGTTGCTGTTGTTGCTGGTGGTCTGGATCTGCTCCTAAATTCACCGAAACCGACCTTCTGTTGATTATAGATATCTTGCGAAGATTGTTTGTCAGCTCAGTGGATAGAGAATTGGCAGAATGCAAAGCATTGTTGAAGGGACCAGAAGAGGAAGATGACGAAGTTGGCACATCTTGGCGTTCGGCAGAAAACGTTCTCTTACTAGTTCCTGTTCTTGTTTTGCCATGAGACGCACTGGAACCGTTGATCAAGGAAGAGTACGTCTTATTGCGAGGTTCTTTAGAACCAAAAGCAGATTCATAGTCACGGCTTCTTTTCGTTGAAGGATTGTGCGCCGTCAGAATTTTGACGTTGTGAAAGGACAATGATTGAGAGCTTTCATCATACAAGACTGCAATGAGCTTGTCCCAGGCTGTTGGGAGATGCAAGATTGTAATGTTACTTTGCTGTTCTTGTGAGTAGCAAGAGAGCACCAGGGAGCCGAACGCATTCAAAGGGTTTGATAGCGTTATGAAACGGTGCTTGGTGGCAGACGTATTAGGTCTTGCGACGTTCGATACTTGGTCGTCTAAGATCTTACGTTCCAAGACCACGCCACTAGGGTGAATGAACGCCTTGGACACAGAAAATGGGAAGCTAATGGTGCTGGAATCGCCCTTTGAAATATAGTGGACCTGAGCGCGATCTTCGAGCACTATTACCAGACATTGCTGCACCGTTTCGAAGTCTACAAAACCGGCTTTTAAAACAACCTCGTTTTCAAACTCAAACCTCCTTTGAACTCTCTGTCCCCATCTCCATTCCACCACGGAGCTATCGTAGACCCAAACTTGCCCGTATGCAGAGTTTTGAAACTCAGCGGTCAAATCTCGAGACATCATAAGTCATCACTCTTTGTGCGCGAGGTTCAAACGGTAAGCTCAGGTGTTAACAGTGCCAGAGTTTGGCTTGAAATCCCAGAAGTATCGATGAGTTCGAGACTTTGACTGTAGTTCTTTATAGCTTGAAAGATGCGACGACACAGAAAGTGCGACTCGTTCGTCCAGAGTGATAATAAACAACAATAATAGTTAGTAAAAGCTTCAATCCAGAGCGAGTATCTTTTAGGTGGTCTTGGTGCTATTATATCAGTGTTTTTAGACAGGTTTGACTTTTAGGTCGAGAATGTGATTGTATGTACAACTTCCTCTTTTCTGTTTTTGAAAAAAAATATGAAATCGGGGCGAGCTGGGAATTGAACCCAGGGCCTCTCGCATGCTTGAGTGGTTAATTAGTACGAGTGAAGGCTCGAACTTCGCCCAAAGCGAGAATCATACCACTAGACCACACGCCCAGATGTTGAAAAGATGAGAGACTTGGGGCAATAATACCGATAGAAAAGAGGCCGTGAATAACACACAAAGAAGTATCGGGACGCCATGTAGCACTATGGCTCACATCAATCGAAAGCTCTCTACCTTGTTATGATAGTCGTGTCATCCGTATATATATTTATACATACAGCTTTCTCTCAATTCTGGTCGTCGAACATCACGTGACACATTGAATATTCAGCCAATATTTCGATTTAAAAGCACTATAGTAACTGTCTAAACCCTAAGCAAGAGAGCCACTTACCAACTATCAAATACTAGCTTTCTTCTAACCTTCCTTCCCGATCCAAATAACTTCATCTCGAGCTTCAAATGACCAATATCACCGCATACGAGGTGTGCTCTTTCCGTCTCTCATCCCACACACACACTATATTATACCCATATTTATTTATATATATATCTTATTTGAAGGGGTTGAAAAAAACCCTGGTAAAGCAACTAACAGTTTATCCTTCTACAAACTCCTTTGCTAGTAAACTGAACATAGGCTCAAACTGGTGGTTTGAACCTCAGCTTAGTGCAATGACAGAGTACACTTTTAGATGGCCACAAGGTCCCAATGATGTTTTAATAACAGGAGATTTCGACAACTGGAGTGGAAGTTTGCCTCTGGTGAAAAGCCCCAGAGGAGACTTCGCCATCACCATGCCTATCCCACAGACTTCGAGCGACAAGTTCCACTTCAAGTTCATCGTCGATGGCCAGTGGCAGACCAGCAACGAGTTCAAGACGGAAACGTCGCCCGAGGGCATCGAAAACAACTGTTTGATTGTTTCGTCGATTGCTGCAGCCAAAGCAGCGGCCTCGAGCCCCAGTGGTGGCGCGACAGGCAGCAAAATCCCTGAGATTGGTCTCAATCTGGTCGCACCGGAAGTGGCAGCGCCCGTGTTGGGCACCCAAGCTCCTCAGAAAGCACAGCCTGCTCCTGGCTCCAACAAAAAGAGCAAAAAAAAGAAGATTCAAATCAAGCGTAGAATTCGCAGAAACAAAAAAACCGGCGAAAGAACGGTCCTGTCCGAAGAGAGATCGGAGGTCAAGTCTGGCACGGACACGGACACGTACGAGACCGAAGAGACTGCCACCGCCACCGCCACCTCAAGAGAGCAGACTCCATTGTCGGCGGAAATCGTTCCTATTGTTGGCGAGACCAATCGCGAAAATGGCTTCCAAAGCACCGTGATGCCCTCACAGGAGAACCAGCAAACCACGTTGGGAGAGCCAGGCATCGTTATCTTGCCCAACGCCGCTGAAATCAAAGAATTCTCTGAAATCAGAGACGTGGACGGAGACGAGCTCAACGAAAGATTGAATCGCGAACTTGCCGCCAAAGACACTGTTGCTGAAGAAGTTGCCGAGCCTGAAGTCGCCGTTGTCGAAAGAGACACAGCACAACCAATCGGCCTGGACAAAGAAGCTGCTCACGCCGAACCCGAGTTTCCTGTTAAGGAGAAAGACTTGAGCGCACTTATTTTCCCAGTCGTGGCCAAAGACGAAACTGAACCAGAGGGTCCCATGCAGGAAAAAGATGCGAATGTTGCTGTCGTCCGGGTCATGGCTCCAACAGGTTTCGAGTCTAAAACTGCAGATGTCGGCACTGTTCCACCTGTCCCAACTCACGTAGACTCGAAACAAGAAGCCTCTGAGACTGAGCCAGCTCTCATTGCAGCTGAACCTGTAGATACTCAAAACGACGCTTTGCCTATTGTTGAAAAGGTAAGTCCTTTGAAAGAAGCCGGGCTGCCAGAGGCCGAGAAGGACGCGTCCATCAAGACTGTTCAAAACTTTGACATCATGGAGCAATCTCAACTTGAAACTGAACTACCTACGGAGAACACTGCCGTCGCACAAGAACATGTCATTTCAGAAAAAGTGATAAAAGACGAAATTAGCCAAGCTGTGGCAGAAAGTCCAGTCGACGGCTCTTATGCAGCCGAGGCTCCTACGGACGTCGACATTGTAGTGGTGGAGGGCGAGTTAGACGAGCTGCCATCAAGAAAAGCTGCTGTTGAGGAACCTCCAGCTTTTGCCGAGGCTCCAGCCTCGGAAGAAGAGCCAATCGGTGTTGTGAAAGGTGTACCAGAGCCTTCCGACCTCGTAGGCAAGGAAACCGAGGACAACTTCGAGGCGATTGGCCAGGGCTTAAAAAAAGAAGAAGAAGAGGGGGCCGTGATCAGCGAACAAATTGGTGTCATTACCTCTCCAGAACAAGAAGCTGAGCTTATCAAGAAAACACTCGATCCAAAACACGGCAAACCTGGTGAAACCACTGAGTTGCTGGTTGTGGATGGAGACATCCCACCTTCTCAAGTTGCAGAATATCAAAAAGCTAGTGAGGAAGCAGCTGCACACGCCATGTTGACCCAAACGCCAGAGGAAGTTGCCATCCAGCAAGAACCTGCTGTCGTTCAGCAAGAATCTGTTGCCAAAGAGCCCGTCAAGCCTACGAAGGCGCCCTCTCCTAAACAAAACCCTACTCCAGCCACGCCTGAGAAAAAGAAGAAGAAGAAGGGACTTTTCTCCAAAATAAAGAAAATCTTCCACTAGCTCAGGAAACAAAGAAAACGCTTTAATACCAAACAAACACTCCTCTATCTCCTCGTCTTATTTTCGATGCCATGCATGGCCGCATTAGCACAAACACTACTCCTTCTACGCGAGTTTGTAATTATTCTTAATTTTACTACTGTATAACTACATTCCACACCAAATGGAATTATTATCCCCATGCAATAGAAAGACCAGAAGATGACATTATCAAATAGGCTTGCTTGTCTCGACATCTATCTTAAGTTGTTGGTTCAGTAGGTTGCCGTTCGAAGCTGTCTAGATCATCTTCTCTTATACTGACACTTTGAGTAAAAATAAAAATTTGATAAGATGAGATGAGATGAGATGAGATGAGATGCGATGAGCTCGATGTTCAACATATTTAGAACCAACGTCAACCCCAGTCTCGAGCTTCAATCACAAGGATGACTTCAGAGAATACGCCAGCCGAGGTCCAAAATGCAGTCGAGAGGAAAAAAGTCGACCTCGAAGACCCAAAGATTGAAAACGCTTTGCAAGATCAAACTAAAAAGAGGAAGGCAGAGGATGAAATCGAAATTGACATGAACTTGTCAGTGCCACTTTCTAAGAAACAGAAGAGACTGCTGAGAAGAGGTAAAGTAACTCTAGAAGAACTGAACGAAAAGTTCAATTTGGACCCATCGTCCGTGAAGGAATACAAAAAAGAAATAGCCGGGGCATCGCCAGAGGGAGAAGAAGGATCTGTGAGCTCGGGTGCAGGGAAAAACGACACAAAACAGGACCCCAAGTCTGCTAAGGACAAGAAATTCGGCGTGTGGATCGGTAATCTGTCTTTCGATACCTCCAAAGAAGACCTGTCCCGGTTTTTCATTGCCAAGACCCGCGAGCTAGAGGATGAAAAGGCCAGAATTAAGGAAAAAGACATTATAAGAGTCAACCTCCCATTGGCACAGAACGACGGGAAACAGATCAAGAACAAGGGTTTTGCACACATGAACTTCAGGACCCAGGAACAGATGGAAGCCGTAATTTCGCTCAGCGAGTCGCATCTGAATGGTAGAAACATGCTTATAAAGAGCTCACAGTCGTTTGAGGGTCGTCCGGACAAGGACGATTTGATAGCGCGTTCCAAGAATCCTCCATCTCGTATTCTGTTTGTCGGCAACCTTTCGTTTGACACCACGGACGAACTTTTGAAGAAACACTTCCAACATTGCGGAGAGATTGTCAAGGTCAGAATGGCAACATTCCAAGACACTGGGAAATGTAAGGGTTTCGCATTTGTCGATTTCAGAAACGAAGAGGGCCCAACTGCTGCACTCAAAGACAAAAGCTGTCGCAAGATCGCCGGAAGACCACTAAGAATGGAGTTCGGTGAAGACAGAAGCAAGAGACAGGTCAAGAGAAGAGACCCTAGTGCTGGACCCGCATCGGAGCCCACACGTGCAACGGAGCCCTCGTTGCGCGAAACGGCGCCCGCAACTTCTGCCCCACCTATCAGGGAAAGAAAACCTACCCAAAGAAACAGAGACTTTTCTCATAAGGAGAAGAACAACCGACCAAAGAGTAGTATTGCGCTAGCTGGTGCCCAGAGGGCGTCAGCAGCAATTGTTCCTTCCCAGGGTAAAAAGACAACTTTTTAAAAAGCCTCTCCACCAAGCCATAGAGAAACACCAGATAGATAGTTCTGATATGTATAATAGCAAGCTAAGGGCGTAAGTGGTTGGATGTCCTGATATCTCGCCCTAGACCGTCTCATCTCTTGATTTACTATGATCAAAGTCTTGACGTCAGTTTTGACAAAAGTGATCGTTTTGGTCAAAATTAAAGTAAGCTGTCATTTTCTTGAGCCCATTTCCGTCCTCTTCACATCAGATCCAAGTCTCGAAGCTCCACTAAAGATTCTCGCTAGCCGTCTCTAATAAGCCGTCCCCGTAATTCCGCGAGACGGAGCCTTGATTCAAGCATTCGAGCAGGTCTGAAAGCACCCTACAAAACCCTCAATCTACACATACAACTGTGACCTATTTAAAGAAGTGTGTGAACAAGATCATGATGTTTAACGCTACGAGAGTAAGCTACTTGACTTCTTCGAAGATTTCAAAATCAGGGACTTGGTATTCTAGCTCCACTGGTGGTGATGGCAGTTTGTCTACTATTTTGGTGATCTTGCCGGAGAGCTCTTCGCCATTAAGCACAACAACGATATCCGGGAGCACTTCGTTTCGAGCTCGGAATTCAACAAAGGACTTTATAACACCTGCGACCACAAGCATTACTGCGATTTCCACATCAAGTACTTTCATCAGTGATACACCAAGTGCTGTGCCTAGCGATACGCCGAGTGCTGTGCCTAGCGATACACCGAGTGCATTGCCATCTGATACAACTAGCGCTTCACCGTCAACTAGCATGGTCAGCTCGACCAGCAGAACCGTGAAACGGGGCAAAACTGTGGTGAGCTACACCCGCAGTTATATCATAACAGAGTCGTCAACAACATTTACAACTCAACTATCTAGAGTTTCCGTTCTTGGCACGCAAGAAGCAGCCACGTTTTCAGCCCCCACGGCAGCCGCAACCACCGACTTGGCATTTTACAATCGTTGGCTTAGTGGAACGTTAGACTCGGGTCAATTTAGTGGGTCTGTCTCTAGCGGCCATCGAAATACAATAATTGCCAGCGTGGTTGGTAGTGTGGGCGGTTTTCTTTTGGCGGCCTTGATCATATGGGCGATGTTTTTCTGGCGACGGAAGCGGCGAGTAAACACTACGCGCGGTTTCAGCCATGAAATTGGATGTCGTCTCGATGATCCATCCGAAATGGCAGACAATTTGAACTCAGAACAAAACCACCATGCCACGAATCTGTCGTCCAACGAGGACGAAGAATTTTTGAAGGGCAAATACAGTTCTTTTGGTCGCAAACTACCATTGTGGCACAAGAATGACGATAAATTGAAAAAAGATACCCTCATGGCTCAGCCTAGAGTCCCAGAACGTTCACAAGCCAATCCCTTTCAAGACGAATTTGATTTTCAAAAGCGGCTTCCATTGCCGCCCCCCGTACCGACACAAGACCTCCCGTTGCACTCTAGTTTCTCTTACGCCAGTGCCGACACCTCTTCGGTTTCTGATGCCGGTTCGGACTCTTCGTCGTCTATCCAACTTTCGAGACCCAATGCGGTTGCGAGAAGCACCCAAAGCTTTTTGAGAGAGCTTCTGTAACGGAAAAAAAACATTTTACTATCGATCCTGAAGCATGAATTATCATAATGATTTTCTATTTGCAAAGCGCGTGTGCACTACGTGAACGCATTCGAAATTGCAGGCAATTCAATGTGCGTAAGTGCGGTTAGTACGAGCCCTGGTGGTGTTGTGATATAATCGAGAAGAAAATCGAATTCCAGGACATCCCCTTAAAGACGTTGCGAACGAAGAATGACGGCTTCTAGCAATCTGCTCAGATCTCAGTGTCAAGAAACATGGAAACTAATTCGAGAGACAGTATTATTTCAATAATTTTATTCGATCCGCTAACGTCGTTCGACGTCGCGCCGAGACTACAGAAATAAAAGCTGTTGTTGAAATTTACTGGCAAGATCACATCAGTTCAATGAGACGATGTTCCCATCTCAAGCGTTAGCTTTCCTTTGACCTTGTATTTGGATGTTGTAGTTTAGTCTTTTGTAAAGTTCCAATTCTGAAAATTTTTGAAATTTGACTACAGTTGATATGAACTTGAATATTCGCAGTCAAATTAAGACAAATAGAGGAATAAAGAGACCAGCCCGATGCTTTCAACATCCTTTTTACGGTGTGCGCGCACCTTTTGGTCTCCAGGTCTTAGAAGAGGCTTTCAAACGACGTGTTTAGCGGGCAAAGAGGAAAAGTCATCGTTGTTCGGATCAATAACTAAAGGTGCAGAAGACCAAGCAGATGACCCTCAAAAAATCTCTAATAGGCTGACAGCGGTTTCCAATGCCGCTGATGCAGAGGGTACAGATTCCAAGAAAACTGTTACAGTGGCTAACGACACTCTTTTGCATTCTTTCATTAAAAAGTCCCAACCTTGCGTGTCGGCGCCGGACCTACTTCTGACGCCTCTCAAGAAGCGTCTGTATGAGGAAAACTGCAGAATCAACGGTGGGTTTTACAAGAAGGACTCGGTTGTAACTTTGACGGAGGAAAACGGACAAAAACTGAAGTACAAGCTCAATTTGAGCCGCGAGGAAGTGGAAGCTTTGGAACCCAGTGTGTATGTCAAATCGTACCGTATCAAGTCTTCCATGAAAAAAGCTACACAACTGCTACGATTGCTAGGAGGGCTCGATGTCAAAGTCGCCCTTACTCAGTGTCATTTCTCCGACAAGAAAATCGCCCGTGACGTGGCCGAAGTGCTCACACGAGGAATCCAAGATGCCGAGAAACTGGGTCTTCAACCTGACAACCTGTACATTGCCCAATTGTGGACCGGTAGTGATGGGTACTGGCAAAAAAGAATCGACATCAAGGCTAGAGGAAGAAATGGTGTCATTTCACACCCTTACGTTCACGTTAGATGCATCTTGAAGACAAAGGATGTTACCAAGCGGCGGATCGCGTATGAACGACAAGTGAAACAGGAGAGAAGAAAGCCTTGGGTCCAGCTCAGAGATCAGCCCGTAAGAGGCTTCATGGGAGGTGTTTACAAATGGTAAATTACTGATACGTGTACATAGAACCGGTGTCCAAAGTGACATCTAAGAATACATATAACGTCTTTTTGGATAAGTGGTCGTCAAGGAATTTTGGCGAAAAACCATGATCCAAAGTCATTTATTTCTGCTTCTTGGGCTCCTTATCCTTAGGTTGAGTTTCCTCAGCCTTGTTGGCGGCCGCTTCTTCAGCTAGAAACTTGTCCAAACGCACTTGGTATTCCCAATTGGAGTACCACAAACCGGCCTGCAAGACCAGGACACCGATGAAGACAAGCAGTAGAATGATGTTGGAGGAGCCAATGACAGCCACACCTTGGTTCTGGGTGACCTCACCCCAGTTGCCAGAAACGGCCGATTCAACACCAGTTTTGATGTTTGTGATGAAAAGGCAGATTCCGATCACATACATTACAACGGATGCGTATTCAAATGTTTGCAAATCGGGATTTGGCTTATAGATGCGGATCAGACAGCCCACAAGACCCACGAAGGTAACGAAGGCCAGACCGCCAAGAACCGCACCTGGGGTGTCGGCTAGAGTCTGGTAATGACGCAAACTGTTGTCGAAGTGAGACTGAGCAACTTGAGGGTTGAATAGAACGTGGAAGTCGTACGCTTGATTAGCGTAAAAAACACCCATGATGAATGAGGTGGCGACGAGGATCAGGCCCGTGCCGATAGTGGAAATTTCCTTGTAGGCTAGCATGCTGAGGATCCTAAGGTAATCGAACGAAGGGGCCTAGGAGGGACGTCAGCTTCAATTGAAGTGGAACTGGTTTGTAGTTCATGATAACAAGATGTTTAAAATTGATGAGTTGGAAAATTGATAATGAAATGTCTACAAAAGAGATGTCAGCGTGGATATAAATACGAGTGTGAAAGTGAAAGAGAAGTTTGGAATTGGGATATGGACCGTGTATTCATGACGAGAATCTTAAAAATTGACGAGGGTTCCTGGAAATCGAACTTGGACGAAGATTAGCTTTCAGTGGGTTGCAATAACATAATATAACCATTAAATACGAATTAGGATGAATACTGCTCATTAAATAAGATTGTAAAGGTTATACGAAACGGTAATTGAATTTTGTTTTAAGACTTTAATGATGCAGGGATCGGGGCCTACGTGTCTGTCTCTCTGTGTGTCTGTCTTCCTATGTTGTTAATAACTTAGAGGACTATGGGTACATAGTGAAGTTCTACCAATTTTTCGATTAATTCTAAATAGATTGTGTAGCTTGTAATATTCTTACTGCTGTTTGAATATTCGTGCTGTCCAATGAGACGTTTTCAACAGCCCTGACCTCTCTTACAACAGCGGAATTTGCGAAAAGACGTTCATATTTGGGAAACCTAAATGTATGGTATTCACGTCCACCTAATTTCTGCCGGTGCCAGTATTTAACGTTCCAAACAAAACCATGCTCATGGCAAATACGAAACACTAGGGACAGGGTGCAGAAGCCGTGTCTTTATCGTGTTGAAGCGCGCCTCGCTGGCTTTCCGATGTCATTAGCAACGGGTGTGTCGCTGACGACAAGTGCTACACCAGGTATCGTCAGGCCGTCTCCCAAAACATCTCTCTAGACAATCAAACCTTACTTTATTCGATTGCACACTATTAGGTGCAACGGATTCAGTAACTACTACTTAATTTTAAAATATTTAAGCAGAAGCTTCGACTGGAGCAGCTTCCTGAGCCTCTGGAGCGGCCTCTGGAGCGGCTTCTGGGGCTGGTCTGTAGTCCTTGACGGAAGGCTGGGCAATACGCTCCTCGTCCTTAGGGTCAAGGATCTTGACAGCGTCAGGCAACGACTTTGGACCGACTCTGTTCTTGGATGGGTCTCTCATGATCTTGACCTTGATACCCAAAACACCCTGTCTCAATAGAACGTGTCTGGTGGCGGTGTCGATGAAGTCAGCAACTGGTTGACCGGAGTGGATCAAGAAACCGTCGGCGAACTTCATGGACTTGGCTCTGGCGGCTCTTAGCTTACCGGAGATGACGACTTCACAACCCTTGGCACCGGACTCCATGACGTAACGGACAACACCGTAGGCAGCTCTTCTGATGGCTAGACCGTTGAGCAACTTGAACTTCATGGATTCGGCTTGGGCCACCGCGGATAGACCACGGTCTTGGACACGCTCGGCGTACAAGACAATGGAACCGGGCTGGTACTTGAATCTCTTCTGGACCAACAAGGTTAGCTCGTTGATTCTGCGACCGTTCTCACCCAAAACATCCTGGGTTCTGGTGGCACGAACGATAACTTCGGTCTTGGTAGGAGTGACACGGACCTCGACACCGGAGTAACCTTCTTCGGCCAATTCACGGGTGAAGAATTCGTTCAATTCGGCGTAGAAAACACCGTCAGCGACAAGCTTTCTTTTCTTAGAGATAACAGCAACCATTGTGGAGTGAAGAGCGAAACTAAAACAGGAAAGATCTTACAAAGAAGGTTTCAAGAAGGAGGGATGAGTGTCAAATCGAGGTGTTCACTGAGCATGTTGAAAAATTGTCGATAGATCCTGAGGATGTGAAAAACTCCCATCATTTGATACGAGAGATAGAAGATGAGTCTGAAATTAATTTTGCGTGGGTCCTGAAAGTCATGTGATATTTAAATATCTGGAAATAGGCCGGGTTTTTTGAGAAAATGTATGGGTCTTGATAAAATGTATGGGTGTTTAAAGAAAGTTAGTCTTGACACTGACGGGAAAGCAGCGCATTAGTGTGTGGGTTATTTTGCCCTGGGATAGGCTCAATTTCGGAGTTTTCGGGAGCGTTTTTTAAAGTTCTCGTTTGCGTGTTTCCCATTTGTTTCCCATCTGTTTCCAGAATGGTTCGAGCTTTTCCGTTCACTATGACTAGATTATGAAGTCACTCGAGTAGTAAATTGCATAGATGACACAGGTATTCAGCACGTCTCGCTGCCTACAACAACGACAGTGAGAGTTATACCCAACCAAACGCTCGGTCTTGCCCCACTGCTTTGTTTGCCCGGTCATATACACATTTAAATCAAATAAAAACTACATTAGGCCCATTTTCTGTTGGTCGCATCAAAATAGCGCTCGTCTAGTGTATCTTAGAGCTCCCACCAGAAAATTGAGAGTAGTGGCACCTTCTGACGTCAAAACGCGAGAAGCGCCAGACTTGGAAGTTGTTGTCACTACGCTACTGCTAGAAGCAGATCGCGCCGCGGTGCTGCTCGTTGTACTTGTTACAGTCCCAGATTCAACATTGGGTTCTTGGCGGTCTGTGTCTTGAGTGTCGTTTTCGGTCACTTGAACTGTATTCAAAATTTCCTTCATCTGCGCAACGTAGCTCTTGCCCTCAACCTGATTTGCAAAACCTTGGGACGCATCCCACAGCATGATGCCGCCAAAATCAGCCCCTCTGCTAATATTATTGACAGTAGACCTGACTTTCTCTAAATCTGACACGTAGCCCGATGCAGCTGCAGAGGGAGACCCTGCCAGACCCAAAAAGAGTTTGGCCTTGGAATTAGGAGTTGAGGTAGCTTGTTTAACCCAGACGTCCCAGTTAAACTGCGCGCCTACATTACAGGCGTTGTTGTAAAACTGTATGAAGACAAAGTCCAGCTCTACGTTGTCCAATAGATCACCAACAGAGGCGTCAGGATAAAAGCATTGTGGAGCAGCGGAGAGATAATATTGTTTGTTAGCGGAGCTGAAATACTCTCTGAGTTTTTTGGCCAACGCAGTATAGCCCGTTGGGTTGCGATTCTCGATATCGAAGTCAAAACCGTCAATTACAGCGTCGTTGAAAGGCCGTTCCGAGCTGGATCCACCTGCAAACGTGTTCCACAAAGTGGTGGCGAACTCGGTGGCTTGCGAGTCGTCGCGGAACCCATACGAGCCGCTGGAGCCTCCCATGGAGAGCAAGACTTTTTTTCCCAGGCTTTGGCATTTTTTGATGTCGTTAGCGATTTGCTCGCAGCGTAAAAGTCCGCTGTCATAAGACGTGGAGCACGCGGGGGTGAAGTGAAGGTTTAAATTTTCTGGGAATGAGTGCAAAAAGGACAGAAGCACCACGTCCACATCGGGGGATTCACAGTAGGATCCCAAGGTCTGCTGATAACCCGCAGATGCTTGTCCCCAGTACGCGGCAACATTGGATTTGGAATTGGCGTCGAATCCGACGACGAGGGCCACTGAAAAAAATATGAAGAAAGCAACAGAGCAGTATTTCATCGGTACAGCGTAAGGAGAGGGTTCATAGCCGCCATTTGAGTGGAAGAGTAGCGGAACTCAATTTGACATAAACTCGTTTGTTTTATGGGACATTTGAAAAATGTCGTTGCCTGGGTTCTAGACCAAAGTTCTCAAGAGCACCACTTTTGAAATGTCCGAATTTCACCTGTACCATTGGCACACTCAAGAAAATGAGCTCTCGAGGACTGCATGAGTCCAGAGCTTGTGAGAGCAGGGCTGGTTATTTATAGTGAAAGCAGCAGCACAGGGGCGAAACGAACCAAAGCAAAAAAAACAACTCAAACCCACAATTTTTCACTTGGTCGAGACACCCTTTAACGAGTCCGCCATAAACCTGTGTCGCGCGGCACTGTCCTGGCTGTCCCATGTTGGTATTTCCTGTCATTACAATTATTTCACTTAATTTCGCCAACATATCACTTTGTACTAATGTGTCATCGCCACGCCAGGGTCTCTCTCACTCCCACACACACCGTCACCAAGGGCGTCCATGCCACTTGGTCATGGTACTAACGCTTCGCTGACACCGCTGTGACATCATAGTTACACACCCTGGGCCAAAGAATCTGCTCACTACTCAAAATACGAACTGGGTTGCGTGGCATCTACTGCATTACACTGGGGCCCCTCTATATTCTATTCTTTGCGAGCTACTGGCCCTCCCCATAGCCATCGTCTCGTCTCACACACACGTCACTAACATCACGAACTGTTCGCTGCATGCAATTTTTCTCTGGCCGTCTCTCAATACTCACTGTGAAATAGTCTAATTACAGAGTAATATTTGCTTGCAAAATTGTCCGACTCCGAAGAATTTCTTCTAAAGTTCCTGCTAACAGTATAACTATAGTCTTCAGCCATCAATAATTTCCCTCGAGCTCAGCCCAGCGCCGATCGTTTATTTCTTCCGCACTGGCCTGGCTCTAGGCCGCACCTCCACTGCACTACGACGACACTACGTAATATTGATCGTATTTTTCACGCACGGCATCTGCATCCAGAACCGAAGCGTTTTTGACAAAGATTTTCAGCATCTCGAGCGCCGCCCTGAACATTTCTCATTATATTTCCAAGTTCGTCGAGACTGTATTTTATCAGAATTTTATCAAGGCATCATCAGTCAAGAATTTCGAACAGTTTATTTTGGCCCTAGCACCGTCTTAAACGGTCCAAATAACTTCACAATTTGCTGGTCGCCATCGCCAACATAAGATCCATAAGATCCTTAGATTAGGCCAAGAAGTTGTGTTTCGACAGACATAGACAGACTCACTGACAGATTGAGACCTGAAATAAGATTGAGTGAAGCCGAATTTTTGTACCTAAGAAGAACAAGTCCAGTAGAAATTGAATACTCTGGAAAGCTGTTGTCAGAATTCTGTGAATTGGGAATAGGTTTATTATTGTCAATAGGTTCTCGAATATCCAAAGAATAGGATTTCTTGCAGTCCTAAAGGCCAGCACTCGAGCATAGAGCTTGCTAGGAAGGAAATTACAGGAAAGGAGACCAAAGGGCCTAACTGGCATTGTGCAGACGTTTGTGATGAGATCTGTGAAATGCGTGGTGGTGGGCGATGGTGCCGTAGGTAAGACATCGCTTCTCATCTCTTACACAACCAATACGTTCCCCCAGGACTACATCCCGACCGTCTTCGACAACTACACGACAACCATTGCGCTCAACGACGGCAAGTCGATGGAGCACCAGGTCTATCGGCTCAATCTGTGGGATACCGCGGGCCAGGAGGAATACGACCGGCTCAGACCGCTCTCGTATCCCCAGACAGACATCTTCCTGTTGTGCTTCAGCGTGAACGAGCCCAACTCGTTCGAAAACGTCCGGGACAAGTGGTTTCCCGAGATCAGACACAACACCAACTACGAGAACATGGAGCTGTTCCGCAGCTGCGGCAAATACCCGATCCTGCTGGTGGGCACCAAGGCAGATCTCCGCGACGACGAGCACGAGCAGGACCGGCTCACAGAAGTCAACTCCGACTTCGTATCTCGCTCCGAGATCGAGCAGTGCGTTGCGCAGTGTGGACTCATGGGCTACGTGGAGTGCTCTGCGGCCACCCAGGTCGGTGTCGCAGAGGTGTTCGAGCGTGCTGTCCAGTGCGTGGTCGTCGAGCCCGATAGGCTCATCAACCAGGCCAAGGCGGCCAGCGGTCCCAGCCACGATCGCCAGGTGGGTGGCCCAGCAGGCTCGCACGATTTTGCGGGCGCTGGCGTCGGCGATTTGGGCTCCAATTCCACTTGGAAGAACACAAGCTCAGGTCTACCCAAGAAGAGGAAGAAGAAGAACTCCAAGTGTAGTATACTGTAAGAAACTCGTCACAAGCGTTGATGCGCTGTCTGGAGAAATGTACTTTTAAATAGATCGTATTGAAAATTTAGCCAAGCCTGTGTGTGTGTGTGCCATGAACCTATACCTTATTTACCGGCAGCTGCCGCCTTCTTTTTACCCGTGTTTCGTTTGATCGCCATAGACCTCTCTAGTTCCAAGATCTTCTGCGACGTGGTATCGTAAAGCTTCTTTTGTAGCTCAGCATCACCAAACTCTTTGCGTGAGAAACCGCCCATCGAGCAGTTCACAACATACTTGACCTGATCGTCTTTCAAGTTCACCTCCTCAAGTTCCGGTGTCATGAGAGCGTAAAGCACAGATTGGCCCCCACGGTACCCGCTCTTGGTGAACAGCCACAGGAGTGGATACAATAGGAACGAGTACAGGAAAAGCAGCGCCAACACAGACCCGTTGCTGATCAACCGTCTCAAACTCGTAGAACGCATAATTCCCGGCTGCACCAGCGTGACAGTGACGTTCCTACCTGTTGTACCGTCGTCTTTTTTGGCATTGGAAAACAGCTGTCTCTGCAACTCCAGCATGCACAGACCCAATTGCAACTTTGAGCTCGCAAAGAACTTGAGCGGACGATCGTACTTGGCGTCTCTCCACAGCGGATCTTCGAGTCTTACGTCTCCAATGGCCTGCAGCATACACGTTGTGACAACAATCCTAACGTCCCGGTCTGGAGGCTGGGCCTTGAAAGCCGGTTTCAGCAAGTCTAACAAATGGAAATGGCCTGCAAAATTGACTGCCATTTGCAGCTCCAGTCCGTCTGTAGAGGCCTTACGAGTGCTGTTCCACACCGGCTCCAAATTGCCCGCCATTGCCACCACACCGTCGAGTCGTCTAGCAGGCTTGTTGTCCAGCCATTTCGTCGCAAATTTTCGCACCTGATACAGGTCGCTTAGATCGCATTGTTCCAAGTATATGAGCTCGTTCTTGGCTCTACTGCGCAAATCCTCCACCCATTCGGTTGTCCACTCATCCACCTTTTTTACCAAAATGATCAATTGTGCTCCCTGTTCCGCCATTTCCAACGCCACTGCTGTTCCCATACCCTGAGTGGTCGCCCCAGTCACTATATATACCTTACCATGAAGTTTCCTACCCCATTGGTTGATGCTACCTCTCGTCCAGAGTTTCACAGCTGTAATCCCAGCCACGTAAGGCGCAAGAGCCCGGATTTCGCGCCAAAATGGAATCTTGTCCGTACCCTCTACCACGGCAGTTGCTAGAATGTCTAATGGCATCTCTTGGTGTGTATATAGTTGATTTTTACCAGGTGTCCCTTGGGTGTTAAAGATCAAGAACTACAGTAGTAATAAAATTTTCCAATCTTAGCTCATCGCCTAGCTCATCGCTTGAACTTTGAAAAGTTTCAAACCACAAAACGAGTACATTTGCGAGAACATAAAGCCATGGAAGAACAACTATGCTTTAGTACTAGTTCGACTTGTACGGTAGCGATTTTAAACGGCGCAAAACAGACGGATTTGAAGCAATGTGGCACAGAATTTAGAAATGGAACAGTGCGAGTAGGTTACTCGCATTTGTTTGTCGCACAACGTCGCAAGGCAGTCATCAACGTGTATAAGATTAATGGCAACGGGTCCAGGGAATCTGTGGAACAGAGACTGGCTTTGCCCGAGCCTGTGAGCTGTCTGGAAGTGGTGGAAAACGCGGAAAAGCCGGACACGCCGTATCTACTTCTGGCATCAACTCCTACGGGAAAACTATTCGTTTGGGAGCTCATGTCGGGAAACCTTTTGGCAGTAAAGCCTTTGGCGCACTACCAGCCTATCACCAAGATCCAATCGGTGGTAAACGGGAAATATGTGATCACATCGGGCGCAGACGCTAGACTGATGATCTGGCAGACCGTGGATCTAGTGACACAGCAAGATCCAAAACCGATCTTTACGCTGCATGACCACACGCTCGGAATCACAGATTTTTGCGTTTCCAACGCCCACGCAAAGACACATTTGTCGGGCAAACTGTTCACGGTATCTCAAGACATGACGCTACGGTGCTACGATCTAAACCTGGACGTTTGGCCACAACCTCAGCTGCTCGCCACATTTACCTTCCCCAGCCCGTTGGAGTGCATTGCTCTAGACCCAGCGGACAGAGCGTGCTACGTGGGAGGTCCTCAAGGTGTTTACCAGGTGAACTTTTACTATTCCATAAGCTCGAATCAAATTCTCAACCTATTGAACGCCGACGGCAATAGAATCATATCCTGCGTGGAATGCCAACCAGAAAGAAACTTACGTGAACTATATGCGATGGGCCAAATCGAGTGCCCAAAAATTTTGGACGCCAGTGGCACTCAGTTGGCTATTTCAATGGACGGAAGTTCTCTGGTTGTGGGGGACACTTCGGGCAAGTGCAGTGTAATAGACGTGTACTCGAAGCAATCTATGAAGGAAATACAGTCGATTGTGGTGAACGAGTCGTGTGGCGAAGTGACTGGCCTGACCTTAAACCTCATTGACCAAGACACGTCCGAAAGCCTGGTCAGCACCGACAAGGCTCACACCGAATTCAAGTTCCCAAACCTGCAAAAAAGTGTTTTCACCCGCGAGGGCTTGCACGACGTCTACTACCAGGCCCCTGCTGAAAAGGAAGGCGCTGTTGCACCACTCGATGACTTCGAGGAATACCTTGACCAGGTGGCATCTGAAGAAAACGCATTTGTCCAATTGGGCAGCGTTGTGTCCACTGTCAAAATCGTGGATCAGATAAAGTCGACTGCAGAAGGTACGCAGGCCCAAGACGAGCCCTCAAGACAGGAAGAATCCAAAGAAATATTAGAAATGCAGGAAAACGTCCGTGACATCACCAATGCGTATAAGGATCTACGAGAGATGTACGACAAACTGCTGCGCGAACATCAAACGCTGTCGCTGAAGTCGGAGCAGTAAGAACTGCAAGGTTTTTGGTGATGACACTATTCCTTTCAGTCTGTGGGGTTTGCATACACGAATAAATATCCACGATAACGCAGAAGAATCACAACTTGTTGCTCATAGTGAGCACTGTACCATATCTAACCCATTTATTGAACAAGTTTCTTATTTTTCCTGTTGACGTACTGTCTGTACTTGGCATTTTTACCAACCTTCTTTTCCACTTGTTTCCCACCAGACTTTTTTGGCTGAACCTTTTTGTTTTTGGTCGATTTGAACCCTGAGAAGCCCATCAAAAGAGCCATGTCCTGAGGTGGCTCTTGTGCTGATGAGGCCTTTTGTTGAGTGTTTTGGAGGCCATCTGGCACCTTATCGTGTAACTTTTTGTCCAAATGCTCATTGGAGACCGGACCTTTTTCAGTCAAGCACTGAGGTTCTTGAGGCTCTGGAACGTTGGCACTCATTAAATCTCAACAGTAGATCTAGTAGCCATTGGCTATCACAGTACTTCAGTCAAACTTTAGGCTAGTTGTTGAAGGTATTATTTGTATTAGAGTGTTAACGCTTTTTCATAGTGGAAAATTTTAAAGCTCATCTCATCTCATCTCATCTCATCGCGCTCAAATAACAAAGCTTAAGATTTAATTCGTAGCAGGTACGACTGTCATAAGCTGATCAATAGTTTGCGATGGTAGACGACAAGAAGCTGACGAAAAAGCAGCTCAAGGCTCAGCAGTTCCGTAAAACTAAGGACGAGAAAGAAGGGGATAAAACCACCAAACGCACAGCCGAAGATGCTCTTGAAACAGAACAAAAAGTCGACGGCACCAAAGAAGAGGCCCCACGAAAGAAACGTAAGACGCGTAGAGGCAAAGGTGGCAAGGGCAAAAAGGGCAACAGGTTTTTGATATTTGTTGGAAATCTTCCGAAAGGTGTGACAAAAATAGACCTAGTAGCGCATTTCAAGTCGAGTTCGCCTGATGAGATCCGTGTGAGACCAGACAAGAACATTGCGTTTCTAGAGTTCGATGCTGAGAAGGACCAAAAAAATATTCAGTCGCGGATGGACGTTGCGCTGTTACAGCACAAGACTGAAATGCAGGGCAGAAAAATCAACGTCGAGCTAACTGTTGGTGGTGGTGGTAACAGTCAGGCTCGTTTGGAGAAATTAAAGCTCAAGAACTTGAAGATGGACGACGAAAGAAGAGTCAGAACTACAAAGATGATCCAAGAGAGCAAGAACAAAAGCGCCAAGAATGCAGATGCAAGCGCTCCTTCCTCGGGTGGTGTTCACCCGGACCGTTTGAAATTGATTCAATAGAGGTCGTCGTTTGCTGGTCAGCATGTACAATAGTAAGTTGCATAGAGAAAACCGAGTCTCAACTCCTGAAAATGTAGTCGTGTTTAAAAATTACGTTATTCTCGTTTTCTACCTGCTGTCATTGTATTTTATGTATTTGGCTTTTAACACAGCATTTGGAGCTTAATGTCACTGCTGACATAATTGAGAGTGCTCGAACGACTAACGAGTTAGAAAACTGAAATAATCTACACATGTGCAATTAAAGAACGCCAGGCCCCATTCGCAGTGCACGCACGAAAATGCTGGTCTGAAATAGGCCACGCCGTCTTTATTCTTCGTGTCAGAATTTTGACCCAGTGCCTTGGCAGTCCTGCCATTACCCCAGAATAATTACCAGACTCAGTTACGAGGGCGATGCCGATTGAACCATGTATCCACACCGTCAACTCACCGATACCTACTTTTTCACACACACATAAATTTCACATAAAACTAAATTATCGTCACCACCACAGCCCTCGCAACTCAAAATCTCTCCAAACAACCACACAGCTCCCACTCCCACACTTATTGTCAGCAACAACCCGAAGCGAACCCAAAGCCAAGAAAATTGCCCATGACGGAAAAATTTCTTGTTCCCCCAAACCTAAGCTCGTTTTTCCAAAAAACGTAATTACAGCCCGTAAACCAGTGTCATATCCTAGTCTCGCTCGTCGAGGCCCTAAAGCATCTTTCAATATATTTCAATTCTCACATTTCAACTCTTACATTTACCGAATATTTACCAGGGCTCTCCCTGACCGTTTCGCGAGCTGAAAACGTGCCCAGATACTACAAAATTCAAGCTGTCCAACCCAATTCCCCGTTAGCGCCATCTACTCGCCCATTACCCTCAAAATATCCCGCTTACAGTCTTATCTGTTCGGTGCGAAAATTCGGTCTACCTTATCACGAAGATCAAATTAACATTGATTTCCCTGTAGTCATAAAAACATATGTCTTGATCAAACGTTCAACACACATTTTAGCAAGCTAAAGAGACATAGAAGACGTCGATATCAGCATACAAGCACGCTGTAACGAATCGAGATGTCGTCTTTAACCAAACTTCTGCAAGAAAAGCGGAAAAATGAGGCGACGTCGGCCGCAGGACCCGCGCAACAACGTCTGCAAGAGTTGGCCAACACCACTGCTGGCGCGTCCCAGGACATCCCTGAAGAAGTGGGATTGAGTGAAAGTGATCTCACAAGACAGCCAGAGTTCTTGTCGAGCTTTATCGCGTCGAACTCAGCACACACCGCGACTTTCAGCGAAAGCTTAAAGGACCGCGAACGGCCCACTCCCCTTAGCGTGGAATCACGTGGCGGCACAGATGGGATTCCCGGCGCGGGAGGCGCTGCCAATGGCGGTGGGTTTTCGAGCTCGCCGGCTGCAGGTGGGTTTGCACCAGGGTCGCTGTCTTCGTCGTCGCAAGCGGGCTACCTGAGCCGTGGAAAGCCGATGCCGTCACTTTCGTCGACGATACCGTACTCAGTGCCCAATTCCAACGCCAGCACTGCTACCGTGACGGCTGGAAACGGGTACGGTTTCGCTCCCAACAGCGCTGGCGTCGCCCCCGGCAGCTCTGCGTCGTCGCTTTCGTCGTCTTACCTCGAAAACTCCGGGTTGATGCCCCACAACGTCTCGGCCATCGACAGCAACGTGATCTCATCACCCAAGGTGGACTCCGTTGAGCCCAGGTTCATCATCTCGAAGCAGAAATTCCAAAAGGCGTCTCAAAACAACGCCGCGAATCTTTACTCCAGCTCGCAAACTGGGTCGGTGCCCAGATCTAGCTCTATCTCCTCGCAGCTGGGAAACCTGTTTTTGAACAAAAACGGCAAAGACCTCACCATAACTACACCAACCCATGCATCCCAAAGTAGAGACATCCCCGGCATTTCCATGCCGGCTTCCTCTGCGTACGGGTCGTCCATTCCCAAACCTATGCGAGCAAGACGCAGCTCCCTTTACGGGAGCTCGAGACAACCGTCGGGGTCTTTCCAGGACTCTTTCATTGGCTCGCCCTCATCTTTGCATGAACAGCATCCCAATCAATACATACCCCGGTCTCGCCACTCCTCGTTTGCGGATCTTAAAAGGTTTTTTAAAAAGGGCCAAAGTCAACAAATGAGCGCTTCGCCAAATACACCCCCGGTATCGGCCGGTGGAAACATCAGCTCACATACCTCAAACACGTCGTCTTTCGAACCCGGCTCCTACAATAGTACTGGTGACACGATATATACAAATCAGCAGTCACCAGCTCTCCCTTTTTCCAAAAGATACGCCAAAACGGGTGAAAATCTAGGTGCTGGGGCAGGAGGTTCGGTAAGACTATTCAAAAGAATCCCAGACAATAAAGTCGTTGCAGTGAAAGAGTTCAGAAGTAAATTCGAACATGAAATCAAGAGAGATTATGTGAAAAAGATTACATCCGAATACTGTATCGGCACCACTTTGCGTCACCCTAACATCATCGAAACGGTTGAGATTGTTTATGATAATAATCGCATTTTGCAAGTCATGGAGTACTGCGACTACGATTTGTTTGCCATAGTAATGAGCAACAAAATGTCGCACGAGGAGATCTGTTGTTGCTTCAAGCAAATCCTGACCGGTATTCAGTATTTGCACTCTATGGGGCTGGCTCATCGTGACTTGAAGTTAGACAATTGCGTGATCAATAAGGATGGTATTGTCAAACTTATTGACTTTGGAGCAGCCGCTGTATTTTCGTATCCATTTTCGAAGAACTTGGTCGAGTCGTCCGGAATTGTAGGAAGCGATCCTTACTTGGCCCCCGAGGTGTGCATTTTTTCCAAGTATGACCCTAGACCTGTGGACATCTGGTCTGCTGCCATTATCTTCGCTTGTATGGTGCTTAAAAAATTCCCATGGAAAATTCCTAAGTTAAAGGACAACTCATTCAAGTTGTTCTGCTCAGGAAGAAATTGTGATTCCTTGAGCGCGCTGGTAGTGCGTACACCTGAATCTGCGCCCGAGCCTCCTTCTTACGATAACGTAATTAACGGCAACAGCGCGTCTCCTATACCACCTGCCTCTAGTAATAACCCATCTGATCCTGACAATCCAAATATAGGACCTCAAAGACTGCTTTCTTCTTTACCAGAAGAGTGTCAGCATATTATTGGACGCATGGTTGATTTGGCTCCTGCATGCAGGGCCAGTATTGAAGAGATCATGCAAGACCCTTGGGTCGAGTCCATTGATATGTGCGAAGTGGTGGATGATGGATTCTCTACCAAAATAATACCAGGAGTCGACCACAAGCACACTCAGGTCGACCAAAGTGAGGCCCATATCGCGGGACTAGAAAAGAAAAAGAAGAAACAAAATCGTTGAATCTGAGGAAATTACTTTATAGAACCAATTGCCATCCTCATGGTTTGTTCGAGTGTCAGTCCGTCCTTTCAATTCTACCAATTTTTCGCCACGAATCCTCAATTCTCGGCTTGTTACTTACATGCGCCTCAGGGCTGCGCAGCGCGTCGTCCTTAATATGAGTGCGTGCGGACGTTGTATGTTATTTTTTCAATTGATTTGTGAACTTTCGTATATTTAAGCTCTTTACGTTTCTATCATCGTTTGTAGCCTGACATTTAAAAATGCATTACTTGTTGTTAATGGCACTGTCGTCTACAGCTTGAAGACAATATATCATTTTGGATAAATCCTATTTACTGCATATCAAACAATATACGATCTAACCAATACAATAACAGAAGACTCTTGAACAAACCGTGAGGATAATTTCAAGCTTCTAGCCATCAAATCAAGTCTTCATCCTCTAGCTTTATATATGTCACTTGTTTATTAATGTGACGCTCTGAAAGCATATCTAAATTAGAAAATTTTAGACCTTTAAATCGTTTGACTATGATCAAATCGACCAGAAACTTGGCTTGAAACTGTGCTCTGAAGCATGTCGAAACCTCTGAGAAATGTCTTGGTCAAACTTATAGTTGGTGCGGGACAAGCCGCTCCTTCTCCTCCAGTTGGTCCAGCTTTGGGTTCCAAAGGTATAAAAGCCATTGACTTTTGTAAGGAGTTCAATGCGCGTACATCTACTTACCAACCTGGAACGCCAGTGCCAGTATACATAACTATCAAACCAGATCGCTCATTTAGTTTTGAAATGAAGTCTCCTCCAACTGGTTACCTGTTATTAAAAAGCTTGGGCAAAGAAAAGGGCATGAGTCAGCCCAATATTAAGAGCACAGCGGGAACTTTAGGAGAACTATCGCTCAAACACATCTACGAAATCGCAAAGATCAAAAAGAGCGATGGTAGACACGCCAGCATGGAGATGGAAAGTATAGTCAAGTCTGTGATTGGTGTCGCCAAGAGCATGGGTATCAGCGTGGTACCGTAAATGTAATATTAGCATGCCCGTCAAATAGAGATTGGGCAAACCGGGAAAGCTGATTAGCCTGCCTGTAAATAGTTTAAGCGTTTGTTTCAAAAAGGTTTTTTTATTTTTTGAGAGCTAGCTCGAGCTTTGTCTTTCAGTTCTATTGTACATTAAATGACTTTGTGATGTGCCTGTCTATCCTACAAGGAAATGCTAAAAAATCAGTTGTCGAGTCGCCGTTTCTTGGACTTGTTTTTGCCCTTATTCTTCTTCTTCTTCTTGGAACCGCTCGAACTGCTACTATTTGTGCTGTAACCTGAAGGACGAGCGGTCTCTGAGCCGGAGGTACCGGAGGGCGCCGATAAAGGAATGCTCTTGTGTGTTAAACGGGTGTATACTAGGTAGTAAGCACCCGGTTCCTTCAAGATCTGTCTCTCAGAGATCTTGTTGATGTATTCGTCATCGTAAGTGACCCAGGAGCCATCCGGTTGTTTACAATGTGCGATGTAATGACCTGAGGACAAGGAACGACCTTCATGAACAACAACACTTACCAATTGGTATTTGACTGGCGTTGATTTCTGTGCATCTTCGCAAAACTCGGTCAAATCCAAGAACATTGGGTATGATACCGCTTGCTTCATTTTTGAAGACGAGGTGCCGTTGAAACGGAACTTCTTTAAGTGAACCAGTAACGTCTCTGGTGCTCTAAGAATGAAATTGTGTTTGCTGGCGTTGGTCGTTTTCTGGCACTTTTCACAAAAGTAACCTTCCTTGGTGGCTTTGTCGGCTTTTATCAATTCTGGATTGAAAAAGTCTCTGATGGATTTTTCGATGGAAAAACGGCGTTGAGGTTCGTCTTCAGAGTCTGCGTTTATGCTCCCAGTGGTTTCGGGGTTTTTCTTACCCTTCAAATGCAACGAAAGATCATAAATTGGCTGTTCAGTCTTTGACACTTGTCCACAACTTTTGCAAGTCACTTCTTGTCGCAGTAGACCGCCGAAAATATCGTACATTATACTCTCTGTGAGTTTATGCCCGCGAGGAACGCCGTCTTCTTGAAGTCGCGACATCAAAGACATAAAATACTCGTGTGAATCCTCCTGCTGCCATTCACTCATCATGCAATTAATATCATCCAGTCTGCCGATCAATTTCTTTGGGTTTATGAACTGGGATTTTGATGACTCTTGCGACAGCATTTTCTTAGTGGTCTCTGCCAGGACGTGGGTCACCGACTGGGGCTTTATGGTCGACTTGTACTCACCGCGAAGAACATCAAATAGATAATGCTGAATGGCAGGAATGTGGATCATGGCTTGGACTGCAGCGTTTGTGTAGCAAGTAACGCCGTGGTTGAGGAGTCCTTTGGGCCTTAGTTTTGTTAGTTGCGGGCCCCAGTTTTTCAGAATGCGGGTAGACTTGTTAGAGCCTCGATCGTTGAAGTTTTCGTTAAACTGATAGAACTGGTCGATATCTGAAAGAACCGTAGGAGGCGTGGGCGAGGGCCGTTTGCTTTGGGGAAGTTTGTGTTTCAATTCGTCTTCAGCGGCACCTTCATCCTCTTCTTCTTCTTTTTCGACGGGCTCTGGTACTGCAGCTAGGTCAGATGCGTCCATCTGGGCGTATTCTTGGGCCTCACGTATAAGACCCAATTTTTCGCTGTCTGCGATGCTGCTGTCGGAGTCTTCCGACCCAGACAAAGCGTTTTCGTGTTCGTTTTGGTCTTCGTCGTCTCTGAAATCCTCGTCTTCTGTCTGATCCGAACCACTGGCCTTTAAGTCGTTTTCTTCATGGTCTTTGTTGTTTTCGTCGTCGTCGTTGTCGTCGTCGTCGTTGTCAACATCAGCAGAATGTTCATTGGGAAACTGTTCGTCCTCACCCAGGTCTTTACCAACGTCGTCACCGACATCCTCACCAATGTCCTCGCCCACATCCTCACCAATGCCCTCGCCCACATCCTCACCCACGTCTTCGCTCTCTCCGTCAGATCTCATCTCTGCATATTCCTGCGCTTCGTGGAACTCATCGTTGGCAGACTCGCTGGAAAGCTCACTTGACGAGTCGTTAGCTGACACCCCATCATCTTCGTCCTCGTCGTTACCTTGATAAGAGCTCCGGCTCGAGTTTGAACTAGCATACTTCCCGTCGCTGAGGTCTGCGTCGACATTTGCAACCGGTTTTTTGGCAGTGTACATCTCAAGAGCCTCGGAAAAGCTGCGGGGCATTGATTTCCAGGTTTTGCCCTTGCCATTGCCCAGTTTAGAACCAGTAAACGACGTTTGCTGGCTCTGAAGAGCTCCCCCATTGTTGACGTCCATCCCAGTCCCAGTGGTCCCAGTGGAGCCGTCGATGCTCGATTTTCCAATCACTATATACGAACCCAGATTCTCTTCCAAAATATCGGGTTTCGTAGCCACTTGAAATTGCAAAGGTTGTGCCAGGATTCTGTCCACCAGCGGTTTAGCCGTTTCCTGAGGTTGCATGCCTGTTTTATTTGCGTGCTATCCCAGTCGAAAAGCCTTCCTTTTTACCCAAATTGAAGGAAATCAGCAAAGGTGAAATTTCAGTAATATTTAAGATTTTCTAGTAGTGAAAGAAGAAAAACCGAACGACACAGCTGCGAAACACTTAAAAAGCCAAAACAAGCCGGTTTTATTTAGATCAAAGGCGGGTTAAAACTGGCCTCAAATAACACTCTATTTGGGATGGAGTGTCTCTACACTTTCGTGTAATTTCGAGACTTTATTGATGTGTTGGTGTGTTTTTTTTCTTTTGCCATGATGGCCCATGTACGCTGTGAAAAAAGTTTGAAGCGATGAGCTGAAAGTGGCGATCATCTTGGCATTTAGTGACACTGGGAGAGGGAGTCACTCTATACTTACTGTCACTCAAGAGAGGGAGTGGTAGTTAGGGTAGGGGTAGCGTTAGTATAGTCGGTTTTTGGCCACTGGTAGATTTATTCAAGGCCAGGGTTTTCAAAGATTACTCGAAGAAAGGATGTCACGTGAGACGGCGCGCTGTTTCTTAGGCCTCAGTGAACTGAACAGCTTACGAAAGCGACAAGTCTTGGGCTCAATTGACTATTTTCTGGGGAAAACTTGATATTTACGTGTATGAAGCCTTTCACGCTGACACCCTGTCGTACTTTTAATGAATATAGTAACCATTCACTCGTAACACTGGGCCTGGAGGTTGAGGGGTTTTTTTGAATTCGATGTTGAAAGACCTACAATACTGGAATATCCTTGGTAAGTGAAATTGAACTATGGACTAGGGCTCCCTTGTGTGCGTACTACCCGCAGTAAAGCTAAACTCGATACTCATCACGAAGCACGTCCTATTCGTGGAGTTACTCGTAATCGTATGTACTTCTCGAGTACACAAGCTGGACATTAGCATAGTTGAGAGCGTCAGTCATCAATAGATAGAGGACTTGTAGTAATTATTAGACAGTTGGAAGCGTCAGCGACGAACTGTTAAGTGGAAGTTATAATATGAATAATACTGAAAAATGGAAAGCACTAGCAATCGGGTGTGGGTTTGTGATAGACTGGTAATGAATAGAGCAATTGAGCGCCCGCGGAGAGCTAAAGGATCTATTCAGAGATTCGTCGGGATCTGTCGGGATTCGCGTTTAAGGCACTTTGTACGAATGGAAAAGTCCGAAGCCTTGAACCATGGATGCGTAGGTTGAACAACACAGAACAAAGCTCTGGGCTCAGCTCAATTGGGCTTCATTGGACATTACAAGCAGTCTGAAATTCTATCTTTCGATTGTGTATAATCTCTTCCTCCCAAACAGGACTCAAAGATCATGCATTGGCCTGGAAAAATACAAATGACTACTTTCTAAGAACACTTTACAATGAAATGGCTGAAAGGCCGACCAGAAAGTTCAAAATTGCCCATGCTTTGACATAACGCGTGCTTCGTGGAGTCGTATCGTATTCTTGCGAATATGATAACTACATGCGGTGTGAACAGTACTCGATGTCCGAGTACCAGTACACCTGAGAGCGTCAGCGAAGGAGGCTACTAGCACCACTGAACAATTGAGAGCTTCAGCGATCGCTCGAAGAGTATTAGTAAATTAAGATCAAGATATATAACCACTCTCAAATGTTGCTGAAGCTCAAATTCACTAGGCTATGATTCTTGAATTTAGTATACGATGTTATTGAACAGTTGAGAGCTGCACCAATTGATCGCAAACAGCTTCAAGAGAGCATCTGAGGACGTTCGTGAAGATATCGCAGCCTAACAACTGAGTGCCAGCGAGTAGAGCCCCTAAAAGCGAGCGCGCTAGCGTTTAATTTCACGAACCTGGCCTGGACACGAGTATCATTCCAAGTATCTCTGTGGGTAGCTGTTCGAAAGTTAGCGACTACCGTTGAAAGCATGTACACATACAAGGTAACGGCCGACCACAATGCAATTTGATCGCTCAAAACTGTCCCAATGATTCATCAATCACCAGGCCCTGTGCTGTGGGTGAAACTGTGCATTCGCATTTAAACTGCGAGACAGCTCATGGCAAACAAGAACAAGTCTTTGAGATAACCAGAAGGGCTTAAATTTTATTTCATTTTTGAAGAGAAGAGCTGGGCTCAAAACAAGAAGGAAAAATTCGCTTTTGCAATTAGCGGTCAAGGTCAAAGTAAAGGTGAAGGTGTTGAATAACCGATACATCTTGTATCAAGTAGCTCAAGATCTCTCTAGTCTCAGGAAACAACTCTCAAAATTACTCAATTTACTGACGCCAAGATTTCATGCAAGCACCCACGTGATCTTCCAGAGACTAGTCACTTCTCACGGGAGTGTCGTCTGGCGGTTCTTTTTTCCTCTCTACATTATCACTCTGTACCATACTGACACAGCGTCTTCATCCACCACCACGACCACTACACACACATAAGCCAGGAAAGCTCGTCAGCCAAAGCTGCCGCGTGTTTCTCACACTAGCGTTCTCTTCTCTCATTTTTAATCTACCACAACTTCCATTACAATTTCCATCACAATTTCCACCATGCCTTCCACCATGCCTTCCTGCCCACTCTGGCCCGCGTGCCGTGTCGGATAACTGCTCCCACACCCCGCACTCTTTCTACAGCGTCGGGCACCTTTTCAGCCCAGGCCTTATCCCTCTGGTCTTCCGTAATCTCGTAGCACCGGCGTATCTCGACGCTATCTATGTAAATAAAACAAGCAAAACATCAGTGAAAAATTCCTATCGCACTACTGCATCTCTCTAAGGTCCACACGCGCACACAACACACACGTCGTAGTAGTGAATTTTCTTTTCTGGCGCGTAGGAGTAGCCCTGCTAACGACTTTCTCCCGCGCAACTGGGGTTTCGCCTCTCTCTCTCTGTGTCTTTTTACAACGTCGTATAATCAAAATTCATCAATGTACCGGAGCGTTGTGCATCTCTGGCCCAGAAAGTTTTGGCCCGCTTGATCTCGCCACGGGCCCAAATGCCTCGTCCTCAGGTACCGATTGAGTTTCCAAATTTCACGGCTCTGTGCGTCCCAAGTGTTTGTTTTTATTTATGCCTGTCAGTTTAGTCTTCATCTGCTAATACATCAATCATCAACTTTCTTCTTTTAAGATCTGTTTGAACAAACACTGCGATAGCGAATTTCGACCCTAAGTGCTCGACTCAGCAGCATCCATATCTCATCAACACGCACGCCACACTAGAATTTATTGTATACACTTCTTGCATCTACTTTCGAAATGCTACATACAGTATAAAAGCTCGTTCAGCTAGGTGTCAGAACCCTGAGAACCAGTATTGTTCAGTTGTGGAATTTATTTTATTCCAGCAGCTGCCAAAGACCAAGTCTCTACGCAGTCCTAAATTATCGGTTTACCGATTTCTCATCAGAGAAAACTCAAGTCTGTCAGTGCGTTTTTTACCTGACGCTAGCCCCTGTCGAGACTCCTGTGTTGTTATACTTTTCTCAACAAGATCACAGAAAAGCTCCCAACTTTATACACACAACAACACACAACACACACAACTAAGATTTGTGACACTTCAGGCTCTCTACATCTGATCACCTAGTCTAGTTCCTCAACTTCATCATGCTTCCGGTCAAGAGCTCTCAAATGCCGGACATTTCTGCGCTCTCTATCTCCTCGATGTCGGATTACCACAATTTCGATTTCCCGGGCAAAGACGCGCAACGTGAAGCGGTGCTGGATCTCATCGACCAGCAGGGCTTCATCCCCGACGACGTGGTCGAACACGAAGTCCAATGGTTCTACGATGCGTTGGGAATCGACGACCTTTTCTTCTCGAAGGAATCCCCTGAAATGATCGCCAACATCATTCACACCTTGTACGCGTCCAAAATACAGTCCTTTGCCAAACTCAACATTGCAGGAAACACCAGCGGCGAACCTGCAACTCCCTTGGCCGTGGAGGCATCCCAAACCGGCGGGTTCTCCGTCAAGACCCAAGTGATCACCGACACGCACTCGGTTTTCATGGAAACGGGCCACCAGCTCGACGAAAAGATCGATTCCATGCTTCTCGATAGTCCCAAGAACCGCTACAGACTCATCTCCTACACCGCAGAAAACGATTTGAAACTCACGTTTGTGTATCGCACGATTTTTGCCCACGAACCCGCGGCGTGTCCCAAACTTTCTGCGGAACAGCTTTCCAACGGAGAGATCGATGCTATCAGCGATCTAACCATGTCCCAAGTCACCTCCAAGGAAAACAAGAAACTTTACGGTCTCATCATGCAGCAGATGCACCAACGCGAAGGTCCTATCATCAAGACGCTGCATTCCGTTGCAGACCAGGACGAGGTTCGTATTGTAGTCGGTTTCAAACGTGGCACTACTAAGAGCTACTACACCGCCCTGTCGTCTTTGCTGCACTACTACCACCTCAAGCCATCCAAGGTATATTTGGAAACGTTTGCGAACGACGTGATGATCTACTCGCTATACGTTAAACAATCACAACAATCCCAGGATGTTTTGAACAGTTTGTCGATGTCCATCCTTCAATTCGAAAGAGAGGCCTCTTTGTTGTACTCGATTCCAAGCAACCACTTCCAGGATCTGTACCAGCAGAGAAGTTTCTCTCCACAGGAAGCCATCTACGCACACATTGGTGCCATTTTCATCAACAACTTCATCAACAGACTGGGTGAAGAGTATCAGGACCTCGTAAGCCAAGTCAATCTTTCTTCCACCACAAACAACAGCTCCATGCTTGAAGTATTGAACGGGCTCAAGAAAAAGTTGAGAAACGAGACCTACACGCAGCAGGTGATTATTGATGTTTTGCACAAGTACAAGGACATTGTCTCCAAGCTTTACAAAAACTTCGCTCAAGTCCATTACGTATCTTCCAGTCGCAGCGGCTTTGGGAAGACATTGTCCTACCAGAGATTGTCGCAGCTTGAGCCCTTCGCAGACGACAACGAATTCGAGCAACACATAAACAAGTTCATTCCAAATGACTCGCCAGACATGTTGATTCTAGAGACTCTCGCTAAGTTCAACAAGGCCGTGTTGAAAACCAACTTCTTCATGACAAGAAAAGTGGCGATCTCTTTCAGACTAGATCCAAAATTGATTATGCCACAGACAGAGTTCCCAGAAACACCTTTCGGCGTTTTCTTCGTGGTGGGAAACACTTTCAAAGCTTTCCACATTCGGTTCAGGGACATCGCTAGAGGTGGTATTCGTATCGTTTGCTCCAAGACTCAGGACATTTACGAAGTCAACTCGAAGATGGCCATCGACGAGAACTACCAACTTGCCTCGACCCAGCAGCGTAAAAACAAGGACATTCCCGAGGGAGGTTCCAAGGGTGTAATTTTGTTGAACCCTACCTTGACTTCTCAGAAACAGACATTCGTGGCCTTTTCTCAATATGTGGATGCCATCATCGACATCTTGATTCAAGACCCTCTCAAGGAAAAGTACGTTGATAGGTTGAAACAACAGGAGATTTTGTTCTTCGGGCCAGATGAGGGAACTGCCACTTTTGTCGACTGGGCTACCTCTCACGCAAAGAGCAGAGGATGTCCTTGGTGGAAATCCTTCTTGACAGGTAAGTCACCATCCATGGGAGGTATTCCTCATGATGTTTATGGTATGACCTCATTGAGTGTCAGATCCTATGTGGACGCCATTTACGAAACTCTTGGTCTACAAACCACGACGATTAACAAGTTTCAAACTGGTGGGCCTGATGGTGATCTTGGATCCAACGAGATCCTCCTATCTTCGCCTAACGAACAATATGTTGCTATCGTTGACGGCTCGGGTGTTTTGTGTGATCCTCAAGGTCTTGACCAAGAATCGCTCAAAGTTCTTGCCGTGAAAAGAAGCACAGTTTCTGACTACGACAAGTCGAAATTGAGTTCTCAAGGTTTCTTTGTGTCTGTTGAAGAGATTGATGTTCGGCTACCAAACGGTGTTACAGTTGCCAATGGTACGACCTTCAGAAACAGATTCCACTTGGAGCTTTTCAAGTTTGTGGAAAAAGTTGACCTCTTTGTCCCTTGCGGTGGTAGACCAAACTCTGTTGACATAAACGTTTTGCAAAACTTTGTTGATCCAAAGACTAACAAGTGCAAGATACCTTTCATTGTCGAGGGAGCCAATCTCTTCATCACGCAACCTGCCAAGATTGCACTGGAAGCACACGGGTGCGTTTTGTTCAAGGACGCTTCTACCAACAAGGGCGGTGTGACCTCTTCCTCTCTAGAAGTGCTAGCCTCTTTAGCCTTGAACGAGCACGATTTTATTCACAAATTCATTGGTAGAGAACTAGGTAAAACCACGATGCTCTACAATGATTATGTGAAGATCATTCAGGAAAGAATTGAGAAAAATGCCCGTGCTGAATTTGACCAGCTATGGCAGCTAAACCAGTCCACTGGCACTTCTATTTCAGAGCTTTCAAACATGCTCTCTCAAACCATCAACAAGTTGAACGATGAGCTCATTATTTCAAACGAACTGTGGATCAATGATCTCGAACTCCGCAACTACTTATTGTTGCAGAAGATCATTCCAACATTGTTGATAGATGTTGCGGGTACTGATCAAGTGCTGAAAAACATCCCAGAATCATACTTGAAAGCCCTGTTGTCAAGTTACCTGTCCAGTTCTTACGTTTACAGCTACGGCGTGGATGTGAACATCGGAAAGTTCCTGGAGTACATCGGTGAGTTGAAAAGAGAGGCCAAAGGGTTTAAGTAGTCTACAGTTTGCAGGAACAAACGTATATAGTAAAATAAGAAAATGAAATAAATGTAAAAGGTATGTTTATATGTCATGATGGTTCTGCAAAGTTGGATTCAATCAGATACAAGTGTTAAAATATCGAACTCGAACAGAGAACGATAGCAGCATCACTTGCACTTATGCCTTACCAAGACGATACTTGTAGAACTCTTCGACATCAGATAGATCAATATGCAAGTCGAATAAGAAATATGAAGGGTTCGACTCAGAACGAAGTCTCAGCGCCAGGTTTCGGGCCATCAATACAAAACCACAAGACAATATCTGATCATCTTAAACATGCCGAAAACAACGATTCACCCAGCAGCGAGCCATGGAAGTCGGATGATCTCTTTCTCAAAAGAGTCTCACTCTCCAAGCAAGCTTCCTACAAGATCCTACAGCATGCCGTTAGGGGCGGAGACGTTGAGATAATGGGGATGCTAGTGGGAACAGTGCAAAAGAGAACTGTTGTCGTGTATGATTCATATTCCCTGCCGGTCGAGGGTACCGAGACTAGAGTGAATGCTCAGCTCGAATCTTACGAATATATGGTGCAGTATATGAGTGAAGTTTACGACTCTCGTCCAGAGAAATGCCATATAGTCGGCTGGTACCATTCACACCCCGGATACGGGTGCTGGCTGAGTGGCATAGACGTTCAAACGCAAGAATTGAATCAAACTTTCCAGGATCCTTATGTGGCTGTAGTGGTGGATCCTAAGAAGACGTTACAGGAGAACCGATTATCAATTGGTGCCTTTAGGACGGTACCAGTTAAAGAACTTGATAGTGAAATGGATCCCATTAGTACTAACACGGAAGGCGATGAACGATATGGCCATCATTCGGCTAGATATTACGAGCTCGAACTTGAAATTTGTGAGAGTAAGGATGACGTAGCTTTAAATCAATTACACCTGCGATGTGAAAAGCCCGTCAACGATTTCTTAAAGGGCGACGTCCTTCTAGAGCAGCTTCTGGAATGCGTCAAGAATTGGCACAACTACGAAAAACTATCTAGTTCCAGTCAGTTTATTCTCAACGCATCACCGATACAAACTACTTATGAGATGGAGGAGGCCAATGTTGATATAGAAGCTGGCTCGTCCTTCGTTTCGGTTCCTACCACCGAGAATAGCTCAGATTCAAGCCCGGCTGATGAAAATCAAAGAAGTGATGTCGACATGACAAGCTCTCACTTGAAGAGGCAACTTAGCACCCAAAGTAGTCTTGTGCTAGAGAATTCAGACGAGGTTATCCCTGTACCCGAACAAGCGCATCAGGAAAAGGCTTTAGCTCTGGAATTTGAGGTGCAAAAGATGAGACTCAATTTGTTGAAATTGCAGGAATACCAACGTCTGCGGCACTACAGAGATGCTTTCACGCTGTAAATTGAAGGTTACTATTGCAAACTAAACACCGATATTCCTGACTTGGCTTCCTGGTCCGTGTCAAACTTGTCCGGTGAATACGAAGATGCAATAATATGAGGATTCCACGGATTGGTTGCCACGATATTTATTCTGTACTCCAGATACTCAGTTTGGAAATCAATATTAGGTTTCAAGCAATCTTCTAATATTGGTGAGTTTTCCTTGGCAATCCCGCCAAACTCGATCAAATCGCTGGACCATTTTAGTATACGGCCGTCCGCAGTACCGATCAAAAGTCCATTAGTCGAGTCCACAGAGGCCTTGAACTTCTGAGCACCAATTCTGAACGGGAGTTTCAGTTCATTTATTTTAGACAGTCCCTGTCGAATGTCTAAAATGTCAATTGTGTCGCTATTTCTTTTCACCACATATAGGAAGTGTTGGTTAACGCTTGAAATGAGTTGAACAATGCCAGAAGTGTTGTTTATGCCAAGTGTGTTTTTATCTGCAAGTGACAATAGATGTTTGATTCTGGTGTCAACGCCAAATATGTCATTCCTGTACGTTGCTCCGTAGCTAACAGAGAATGGTTGTACCCCGTTGTTTTGATCGAAACAAGAGACAATACTTCGATGTGTGAATTGATTGTTGCCTTTGTCTTTCCTGCTACCACCTGAAATAGAGCTGCTCCAAAGTGGGCATTTACGATTCAGATCGTATGCCAGTACTTTATTGCGCGATGCACCTGCCAAGAACTGGGACTCTCGATAGAAACTCAGGGCGAATATTGTCTCGTACTTTTCATTCTCTTCATTCAGCACCGAATAGCTAAACAGCGGCGTATGTTCCGAAACCTGAGGAGACAGTGAGACAAGCTGGATAGGCAGTTCCTTCGAAGAAATCAGCATCACATTGATACCCTCATTTCCTCCAAACATTGAGTAAAGTGGATGCACGCAGCTCTCCACAATAGACTGCGATCTAAAAAACCGCTTGAAGGGCACCAACATCGTTCCTGGCTCCTCAGGTAACAAATATTGGCGAATACCGTAATCGTTAAAAACTGCCACGAGGGAAGTGCCGTCTAGCGACCAGGTCAACCCTAAACAAATAGTAGAGCTTTCAAAATCAATGTGGCTGTTCAGAGCTGCAATGTTCGCTTGATTTTCATACTTGGATCTTTCCAAAGGTGGGAACTCGTAGTCTTGATTAGAAGTGGTCCTATCCCACCAAAAATGCTCCTTTTTCCACGTTCCAAAAACGTTACGTCCATGAAACACATCTCTGGTGTCATAGACAACATTCAATGGGCTCATGACTTCATTTCAATGCTGATCTGGTGCGGGTCCATCGCGTATTTTCACAGCGATGAGCTTGAATATTCATATAATTTTTCAATATTCTCAACTACTCATCAGAAAAGGTCTAAAACCTCAGCTTCAGACGCTTTCAAGGGACTGCTGAACCTACAGAGGTCTTCAAATTCACTATCGATTTCAAGTGCTTAAGTAGGGCTTTCAAACGATGGTATTTCAAGGATTTGGCCTCGAACAGGTCTCTCCTCCGAACAATAAGCCTTTCAATGAGATGACACCTGAAGAACAAGGCGAAAAAGGTGCTCAAATGATGGTCAATTTCATGACTTCATGTCCTGGGAAATCAGCAATAAGTGGTGTTACTGGTTTTGCTCTTGGTGGTGTTTTTGGTCTTTTTATGGCCTCTATGGCATACGATACTCCACTGCACACGCCGACGGTGCCCGGGCAATCACAGCTGCCCCACAGCATACAACACATCTCTGATCTCCCTTTCAAGCAGCAAGTTAAATTGCAGTTTGCTGATATGGGGAAAAGAGCGTATTCCAGTGCTAAGAATTTTGGTTACATCGGTATGATCTACTCGGGTGTTGAGTGTGCTATAGAGTCTCTGCGTGCGAAAAACGACATATATAATGGGGTCGGAGCAGGTTGCCTCACTGGCGGTGGACTTGCTTATAAAAGTGGACCAACAGCAGCTTTGGTAGGCTGTGCAGGCTTTGCTGCGTTTTCGACCGCCATTGACTTGTACATGCGTCAAGAACACAGCGCTCCTCCCAAGAATGACTTTGACGAATGAACTTTCAGCAGAAGCTAAAATACCGCTTGCAGATAGAAATGCCCTCCCATCTTTGTATATTACAATTTTCCGTTCTAACCTTGTATACTACATATTGCTCAGGTATAGATTGAGCCCAATCAGAATTATGATACAAATGACCCAGGCCGTAGCCTCGCCTTTACTGCTGAATTGTTTCTTATCATTCAGGATGGCTAGAATCTGCTCCAGCTTCTCATTGTTTGTTTGGAGGCTTTCTTTTATTGTCTTCAATTGACCCTCACGCACGGGTTTGGAAGCGTCCCCTTCATCCTCAGCTCTATTATCATCGTCGCTCAGCAATTTAAGTAGCGAAGTTTCGGAATCTGATAGATGCAATTGAGTGCTATCTTGATTTGACGGCGAGCGTGCCCTATGCCACGATGTATTCCAACCTTTAGGTTTTTCACTTTCAGCACTGGACAAAATGCGCTTCCAACGAGACTCTAAAGCCTTTCTTTGTGAACTTGGGGCTGCTGTTTCATCATTTCTCTGACGACTCGAAGCCAAATAACCCAGTGGGAGCGGTTTTCCAAGTCTCGCTTTCAACTCTTTTAGACCTTCTCGAGTCTTTAAGGACGACGATTCAGTCCTTAGGTTGGAGAGGCGACGTTTTTTGGGATTGAGGAATTGGAAAGGCTCGTCCCGTATCGGAGTGTCGTGCCCTGGCGTTCTGGAAAAGATTATACTTCTTCTGGTTCGCAGCTTTGGTGTGAAGTGCAATTCTTGCTCCATTTCGTCTTTTGAGCGTGGTCTTGCCTCTGTAAATCTAGGTCGGAAAGGATTAAACTCACTTTCTGCTTTGACGGTTCTTGTAGCGGTCTGTTCAAACGGTAGTTCTGGCTTTTCTACAGCTGCTTGAGGTTTGTATTGTAAGTTCACAACTGGTTGACAATTATCCTCTGAATGAAGATCATTTTGAGTGTTCGAGAGAACTGATGTTGAATTGTCGGATATGATAGAGTCCCTATGTTTGTTCGTGATGCGTTTATGGTTTTTATTGTAGATTTCATTAATTCTAGCAACTCGAGATTCACTTGCCAAGCGATATTCATATGACGGGAGGTTTGACTGATTGATGCTTGAGGAATCCATTCATTCGTGAAGGAGCAAAATTAGTAGCTCAAGACTATATATACCGCCTTTCTTGATCTGTTGTGAATTTAAACGGTGAAGTTACAGAGGTTCGTGAACTTTAAGTTTTGACCATTATGATATGAACAAAATACAAACTATATCAACGAGAATGGCTATGCCAAAATTTTATCAAGATTAAACAGCGTCGGAGTCGGATAGTTAGTTCAGAACTACGGCTCCTGTGAACAAATCAGAAATTCCCAGAAATTGTTTGGTGCTTTGCCTGTCTTTATATAAAATTTGGATGGTGTATAGCAGCTTCGATATTAGAGTTAGCAGATGTATTAGTTGAAGTTGAACTGCTGGTTGACATTGGAACCGAATCCAAAAGTGTTGCCTGCGCTCTGTGGAACCATGCTCTCATCCAGTGCGTCGTCGTCCTCCCCGAAATATTGCTCGATGATGTTGAATGCCTTTTCGTAAATCTTTTCGTTTTCGTTTTGCTGACACTTGAAGATCTTTTCGACGCCGCCAGCACGCTCTATGTAGTCAGCATTTTCGTTGATATGCAAACCACGAGCTTCCTTGTCGGCTTCACCCATCTTCAATATGTTTTCCAAGGCGTCCAGCGTGACTTCGATGATTCTGTTATCGGCAATGTCTAGCAAGTCGCAGAGAGGCTTTATACAGCCCTGCGACACCAGGTATCTGATAATCTCGGGCTTCTGCAGGCCACCAGAAGATGCATTAGAAATGGCCCAGCAGGCCTCTTTCTTGGTCTTGTAGTCAGCAACGTCCAAAAGCTTGACTAGAGGGGGTATCAAATTGGCGTCGATAGCAGCTTGAATCTGGTCCGTGTTACCGGCAGTGATGTTCGAGATGGTCCAGCACGCTTCCTTACGGATGGATTCTTTGGTAGATGTGAGCAAGTTTCTCAATGCACCCAGAACACCGCTGTTGATGACTACCTGGGTTTGCAAGTCGTTTCCGGTTACAATGTTACCCACGGCTCTGAGAGCTGGAGTCTGAACCAGAGTAGACTGATGGTTCAAAAGCTCAACAAGCCTTTTAGGAATTCTGGCGTCGATGACGGCTTGGATGTTATTGGCAGGCCCATCAGACAAATACGAAATGGCCCAACTGGCGTCCACCAAAGTTTCTGTGTCCATAGAGTAGATGAGCTTCGCTAGAGTTGGCAGCGATTGAGATACTACCGACCAGTCGGGTTGTGGTTTCTTGCCCCTGCACAGGTTCGATAAAGTCCAAGTTGCGGTCCTGATAAGCGACGTTTTGCTCAAGTCGAAAAGTGCCAAAATGGGCTGCATGGCTCCGCAACTTAGCACGTAGTCTCTGTATCCCGTCGAGTCACCAGCAACGTTCCCCAGCGCCCAGATGGCCTGTTCTTTGACCTCGACTGAGGTAGAGTACAGCAGCTGGATGAAAAGAGGCACTGCGCCGGCCTCGACCACCACTTTTGTCTGGTCTGAGGAGCCCGATGCAATGTTTGTGAGGGCCCAGGCAGCCTCCAATTGAAGCATTTCTGGCTGGTTTTCGTTCATGAAATTGACCAAGCTGGGAACCACGCCTGACTGGATCACGGCATCGATTGGAGGGCGATGCTCACGGGACAAAATCTGACGGAATTTCACAGTGGCGTTCAGTTGTTCCTGTAGGTCTGCTGAGTTGATCTGCTGGATCATTTGTGGCAGCTCTTGCTGCAATTGGGCGTAAAACTGCTGGTCAGCAGAACTCGTGGCCTCATCTTCGTCTTCAGAGTCCGCACCGTCCGCTGGAGCATTAAAATTTCTCCTCTTGGCCAACGCCTCGTCTCTTTTCGCCTTTCTCAGCTCCACTTGCTGCGTATCTCTGCGACGACGCAACTCATCGGCAGAAAACCGACCTTTATTTTTGAAGTTGGTACGTCTGTACTCTGGCACAAATTTGTTGGAAGAAGTAGATTCACCGTCCATTGTTTGAAATAGTGAGGCAAAGAACTGGGAACTCGGTCTCAAATCCACTCAAGAGAGGGCGAAGATGTAGAAGTCTTGGATTTATGTCTTGATGGATTGTCAAATGTAGCAACTTCACAAAATTTTCGCCAGTTCATTGTTTTGTCATTATGTACGCAAACGTCGTCTTAACTATGGGAATTATGGATAACATAGTGGGCAAGAGGTAAAGAAAGTTGTCGCTACCAGAGCCAGGGTTGGCTAGTTTCATTTGATGAGTTAGGAATTGGTGTAGGGTTTTTATAGGATTTTTTGGCGATTTAAATGGTCCTTTTTTGATCATTTTTGGTCCATTTGTCGTTGAGATAATGTGAATATTGTGATATTTGGTATACCGAGAGTTTCTACAGTTTTGGCAGTTGAAAGAAACTTATGAAGCGTCATAAGTGGTTAACGAGGATTTTAAGATAATTTAAGGTAGTATTTGGTGGTGGTTTCAATTCTTTTTGGGCCTAAATCGCCAATTTGTAGTGGCGAGAAACTCAGGTCCACGAGGCCACACACGCCTCGTCTTCTCAGTGTTGATGGCACACACGTTAGTTACAAAGTATAGATATATAAAAGTCAGGACGGAAGGACAAGTACTGGCACACACACCGAGTGACACACACGTTTGAACACGCAGTCGAGTAAGTGCTAGCAAACGCGCAACACACACGCACGAAAGCTTGCACACACACGCACACACACAGTCACACACACACAGTCACACACACAGAGTCACACACAGACATACAAACGCACGCAAGCATGTATGGCTCACAAAAATTCACTCACACAACAGACTCGCTTCACGCAAGCGCACGAACAAAAAACACACACATTGGTACGCTTACGGTAACAAGTCCAAAGTAATTTGGATCTGCGTCAGAGGGTTCCTCACAACAACATGAGGGCACCCACAACAGCGGCAGAACCGAAAGTCATGCCCAATAGCTGGTGAGCGCCGTCAAACTGCACTGCCCGAGGAGCAGCGTTTGCTGCGACATCCCTCTCATACACGGTCGAGGTAGGGTTAATAGTCTTGTTGAACTTACCGTACTTGTGGGTTCCAGTGGCCTTTGGCTCGTGAGAAGCCTTGGTCTTGTTGAACTTACCGTACTTGTGGGTTCCAGTAGCCTTTGGCTCGTGAGAAGCCTTGGTCTTGTTGAACTTACCGTACTTGTGTGTTCCAGTGGCCTTTGGCTCGTGAGAAGCCTTGGTCTTGTTGAACTTACCGTATTTGTGGGTTCCAGTAGCCTTTGGCTCGTGAGAAGCCTTGGTCTTGTTGAACTTACCGTACTTATGAGTACCGGAAACCTTTGGCTCGTGAGAAGCCTTGGTCTTATTGAACTTACCGTACTTGTGAGTTCCAGTGGTGGTCGTCACAGTGGTGGTGTGATGGCCGTGGTCCTTAGATGCCGCAGCGATCGACGACAGCACGGCCAAAGCCCCAAGGGTCACTTGTGTAACCTTCATTTCGAAACTCTCCTTAAGTCAACGAGGCAAGCAAAAGGTGAAATACAGAAAAACACTCGAACTCAAATTTGAACAGATTAGATAAACAAAACAGAAGTTCGTTGTAACTGCTCAAAATTCAATGATCAAGTCTGCAAAAGTGTGTTTCTAGCTTAAAGCGTGTGTTATTCAGCTGTGTTGTACCGTTTTGTCCTCCCTGGCCTACTTTTCCTGTAAACTAGGTTAATCATAAATTCAAAACTGCACTTTCCATCAAAAAATATCCTGCTTTTAAAGAAGCGGTAATTTTTTTACGCAATCCTCCAGAAAAAAACCCGTTTATCACGGATAGTCTATCCGCTCACTAATGTGCACTCATGCTTTTGAAATTCCTGGACTTACCAGCTGCTTGCTGTGGAAGAGAAAAATTCCCTCTAGCCAAAGTAATCGCTCACGCCGCGTTCACGCTTTCTTCACGTTATGTTTAGCCAACCAGAGTAGTCGATTTTCTTCCGAGTTGACTTGGGTGTGGTGCCTGTGTTGACATTACAGCGGGTTGGGCACACCACGTTGGCCTATTCGGAAGGTTTCGTTTACGGACTGGGACGGCTCGTGGTATTTGCAAGTATGTGTTATGCTCAGAGGGAACGTGGATGGGGCCGGCAGACCGGGTGGTTGAGAAGATAGAATTTTTTGTTATCTTTGGTTGGTCGTAGCAGCAGTTGTCAGTAGTGAACGGTATGATAAAAATCTGTGTCGAAGTTGGGATAAACAACAACAAAACCAGAAAAGGTGGAAACAGGTGGGAGTTTGCCTTTGTTTTTTTGGATTCGTAGTTGGAACAGTAGTATGGGAGGCGGGGCGCCTAGTGTGTGTGACAGCACGCTGTCAGGGCGAATAGCGCGGAGCGTGTACCGAAAGAACTAGGAAGAAAACAGCAGAAGCGATTGGTAGGTCCACTGTTAGGGGCTTGCAGCGATGAGTTGATGGACTGTGGTTTTTTTGAGCAATTAGCAGACGTCAGTAGTGGGTAAGAACTTGCGTTCTTTTCATCTTGAAATTCAAATCTCGCGATTTTTGAGACAATGGACAATCAACACCGACACGGCAACGACGGCATCTTGTGAGTGCGGCATCTCCCCGTGCTTGACTTTCCTCCTCGTGTCACAAGCGCTGAAAGCACGGAATTAGAGCGTAATCCACCCTAAAACACCTCCTTGCATATGCAAACGTAGTGTTTTCGCTCTCACAACTGCAATGCTAACAGGCACTCTTACGCCACGACTTTCGGTTCTTTCTCGATTCTCTTTACGCAACCTCTTTCCGAAGTGTCTCAAACGCGTCTCAAACGTGTTCTGACGCCTGTGTAACGTGTCTCTCAGGTCTCTTTAACGTAGCTTCCAGGTCTCTTAAAGGTGTTACACCTCTCACACATCTCTCACGCGTCTCTCACACGTCTCTCACACCATTTTATCGTCCTTCAATTCTAGAAAGTCGGCGTCAATTGCACAAGTCGCTTAGCCGCCCAGGTTTTCTCTACTTATATGAGCTCTTTCATCACTATATACGTAGCCATCTCTACACTCTTTCATACCGTCATATAGCATTATTACGAACTTTAAAACATTCATTCACTTATCTCGACAACTACACCGCCGGTCGCTCGCTCTCCAGCGCGCTATTGTAGCTCGTCTCGCGGCCTGGGAAGTTAGTTGTCTTCCATTATAACCATAAAATTAAAGCGTCAAATCCCACTGGGAAACGACATGTGTCTTATTAAACGTCACCATCATTGTAGCAGTCTTGCAAGAATAGGCTTCTCTTCAAGACCATCAGCAGCAGCCCAAAAAAAAGCGATTGTTTTGAGATTAGATGCGGTTTCCTGCGGCCCTCGTAGTGTCTGCGTTAGGAGAAGGGTCCGTGACAATGGGCTCGTGGGTGGCATAGGTGGTATTACTCATTACGTGGGTGGTAGTCGTATTGGTGGCCGGACGAGCCGTATTGGCATTGGCATTGGCATTGGCATTGGCATTGGCATTGGTATTGGTATTTTGATGGGTAGCAGCAGGGTCCATCTCCGTGGTGCCCGAAACGTTACGCCTGTGGTCAGGTTCGCCCATTTTGTCGTGATGGACGCCATTGAAGGTGGAGTCGCCGGTGGAGAAGGTATGTTGGTCCTGACCGCCGCCGCCGCCAACGCCGGTGTTTCCGCCTCTGTTGTTCGCAAGAGCCTCCGCGTCGTTCTGCTCAGCGTCGCTAACACGCAAGCCGGTCCAAGGGTTGAGTTTCAAACCGGCATTGGAGTAGGGCGACCATGCAGCCTTGCTTCCACCGGCTCTGTGAGTCAAGGGCTTAATGACGAGAAGACCGATTAGAATACAACTGATCGCGAACAACACGAAAGCAATACCAGCAAACGCTATAGACGCCTGAGAGCTGTGACAGGCCCTAGTGTGGGCGTTGGTGGTGTAGCGGTTCGTGTAGGGGTCGTAGGATCCGCCGGAGTTGACATAGTTGCCAAACGACCCGTATTGGGGCTGGTAGGTGCTGGTGGTCTTCAAACCACAGGATCTGGAGCCGTGAGCCTTTGCCAGCACGATGAAAGCCACCAGCCACAGAATCGTCACAATCACTTCCATAATGAGATACAGACCTGGAAGCAAGAGTTTGGCCAAAAGAGGGCCCATAAGCGACAACATCAGCAAGTAGACCACCGAGATCACCGCCACGGCCAGCCCATAGTTCGTTTTCTTGCTGCCACGGTAGTTGTATCCCTTCAACACGTACGCCAAGAGCCCTAGCACAATCACGCTGAATACGAACTGCATCAACCGCAGCGAAATCAACATGAAATCCGTGACTGCAAGCCCAGCCATGGCTACCTTTTTCTTCTTTTGTCGTTTTTCGCCCTCCTCGTCTCTGTTTTCGTACTCAGTGTCCCCATGATCATATCCAGTGTTTCTGTTGTCGTATCCAGTCTCTCTGTTGTCATAAGCAGCGTCTCTGTTGTCGTAACCGACACCCCGACTGTTGTGTGCAGCGGTAGGCGTTGTGCCTGGGATCCCAGTTGTAGTCCCGGCCGTGGTGACACCAGCGTCGTTTCGAAACGCCGTGTTTTGAGTTGACATCTTTCAGTTAATGAAATGAAAATTGTCCAATGAAGATCAAAATTACTGAAATCTCCCCTGCTTTGCACTGACATCTGTTGTCCGACAACATCGGCTGAATCAAACGTCTATGTTATATACACGCCGCGAGAACCCCTACTTTTCCTTCCAACGGCGACTCCGCCGGCTAAGCGTGGTGGTCTCCCTTGGGCTGTGACAGCAATACTTGCATATCCGTTATTCTAGCCACGCTAATAGACCACACCAATAGATCACCACACAGCCAGGTTGCTGTTGCTTGCAGCCGTTCCCTTAAAGGCTGCTTGCTGCCTTAAAATTAAGAGAGCATTGTTTTACTTGTCTTACTCAACGGTTCCCACTGACAAAGCAAAACAGGGGAACAAGCTAGGAAAGAGAGGGACATGAATGCCAAGAAAAACTACCTTTTAGCCGCAGTCAAAAACACAGTAAAACACCTTAAAACAAGGCCATTGGCTCATGGTGTCCCGTCTTGTACGTAGTGTTGAACATTGCTAGTTTGATGTTGGCAACTATAAGATATTCCCAGTTCATGATGTTGTAGTACTTTATTTCGATATTATTTTGTTGCTAAAATGTCACTTTGTCATTTACTGACGCCCGGAGTTCCACCTTACATAATCCATTGTGTGTAGCGTTTCACACGGCGTCTCACGCAGCGACGACAGTAGAAGTGTGAGGTCTGGAACGACCCTCTCTCTCCAGCGGTGGCACGTTGCGCTCCAGTGGCTTCGACACTGGCACTGAGCCCATAAGACCCTTTCTTTCTGCCAGCGACGAGCTACGAGCGTAGAGTGGGTCGTCTTGAAAGTACTCATCGACGATGGGGTGCAGCAGAACAGTCTGGTTCTTGATGGTGAGCACGCTATTGGTAGGAACCGTGGTCCAGTCGCCACGTTCGAAGGTCAAGGGCTCCGAGGCGACCATGATGACGTCTTGGTTGCGGTCCAGACGCTCCATTCTGTATTCGCCCGGCGCAGTCTCGACAAAACGTGACCCGCAGCTGAAGTGCAAAGAAGCGGCCTCGTCGGTCTTGGACGTCACGTAGCGCGACACCACGACGCTGGCACCGTCTGTGACGGCGAAGTTTAGAATCGAGGGCTCTGCGTGTGGGTCCGACGCATTTGCCTCGCGGGTCCAGTCTTTGATGTACTCGATGGTTTGCAGCATGCACCGGCGCAGCACGGCATGGCCAAAATCACCGCGTTTGTCGGCCGTGTCGCAGCCCATTTTGTGAAGCGTGTCAAGGAACAACGCAAATGCACACTCGGAATCAGTGCTGCCCTGGATCAAATTGAAGTATTCGTCGTCCAGGTGCGCCAAAAACCGTCTCTTGATCTTGCGGAAGTTAGATATGCCACCGTTGTGCATGAACGTGATGCGGTGGTAGGTGAACGGGTGGCAGTTAGTCTCGGATAGCACACCATAAGTAGATGCACGAACGTGTGCGAATACCAGCGCAGATTTGGTTTTTTCCGCCAAAACGTCCAGGTTCTGGTTGTTCCACGCCGGTGTGATTGCCTTGAACAAACATGGTCCGTCTTCTTCCAGCTCTTCGTCTGCCGAATAGTACGCCAGTCCGAAGCCGTCCCCGTTGATGGGTCTTCTTGTGTCCAGCCGCAGACGACTGTCAAAGGACTGTTTGATGATGGAGTGAGCTGGTCTTGTCAAAAGATGCGACAAACGCACTGGTTCTTTGCCTGAAACCTCGATTTTGGTTAGTATGGCTTGGATAACTGTGGCATAAAGCTGAAATACGCTTGATACGTACCTTTGAAGATCAGAAAACGACACATGGTGCACAACGCTCGAACTTCTGAGATTTTCGTATACTTTAGAGGAACTTCAGAGCTTTTGTATGCCTATATACACCAGGTACACCTCGTTTTTTTGTAAGGCTGACTTTCGTATATTTTCTTATGTCGTCGGTCTTTAAGAGTCAATCGGTGAAAAGCTGCCAATTTTCAGATCTGCCCATACAAAAATAACGGCAGCTATGGAGTGTGGACAACAATCACGGGGTTTCGGACGCACAAGATCTGGCGATCGCTAGTTGTAGTCTCTTGTATCGAGAATCAGAGTCACTGGGCCCTCGTTGACCAGCTCGCAGCTCATCATGGCTCCGAATACACCGTCCTTGACGTTTTCGTCGCCCAGGTCTTGACGTAGCAGCGCCAGAAACTTGTCGTAGAGCTCCTTGGCCAGGTGTCCCTTTTGCGCCATGTGGAAATCAGGCTTGGTGCCCTTTTTAGTCTGTGCCATTAACGTAAACTGCGAAATTGACAAAATCTGGCCGTTCACTTCGCGAATGTTCTTCTTCCAGCCGTATCCGTCGTTATCGTCGAACGCACGCAACGTGGCTACCTTCTTCGACAACTTCTCGACGTCCTTCAGGGTGTCGTCGACGGAAATGCCCACCAGCAACATGAAGCCAGTGTTAATGCTGAATTTTAGCGGTTAGAAAGCGTATCGAAACGCCCACTGGGGAGTGGGCACGCAAAACGAAACACAATTGACATACGCAGACACAACTTGGGATTCAACCGTCACTGACGCGCGACTAACTTTCTGTAGTACTATCTTCATTGCCAAGTGCGTGTGTTTTCTGGATACCATGCGTCTCGAGCCATACCTAAGCTGATATAGCTCTTGGTGCTTTGATAACCGATGAGTTCGAGGTCAGGTGACTGTTTAAACAATGGACAGAGAGATCTTTGATATTAAAGGACAGTTGGAAGTATATAGTCAACCTGGCGCCGCAGCTTAAAAGCCTGCCTGGTGGGAAGCTTTACATTTTCAATTCACGAGCGTGATCTCAACCGCTGGAAAAATCTCTGTGTGAGATAGACACAGCACCCGATGAAGCGGAACGCGGCCATGAACGCCACGAGCCACAGAATGACGGAGAAATATACGGTGGACCTCTGCGGCAGAATAGAAACAGTAGTTTCCGTGGCCGTACTAGAGCTGTTAAGGGACTCATACTGTCCAATTCCTCCTGTTTCCAGCACCACTGCTACAATAACAAAATTTGAAATCACCCACAGGATGATCACGAGTGACCGTACCATTGCGTAGTAGCTGGTTTGCTTCTCGTCAAACGAGAGCTCGCCTTCCTCTTCCTCGGCCGCAGGGTTTTTCAAAATCTCACAATACTTTAAGTAATTGGCGTCTATCTCTTTAGCAGACACGGGGATCTCCAGCTTTACCGTGCCATCTTCCTTTGAGTGAATTTTGCCGAGCGGCTTTGCCACGAACCCCTTGGTACCCCAGGAAATGTCGTGAACGTTGCAAAACGCATATATGTTTAGCACGTTGATGTAGGACGGGCTGAGCAACAAATACTGCACAAAACTTGTGAACATGTGCATGGGATGCAGGTACACCAAGGAGCTTAGCAAATATAAGCAATATGTTGACCCCATCGATATTACCAAATCGCGGAAGGTTTCCTGCAGCAGCAAGCTCTTGAATGTAACGTTGCCAGCGTCGATGATGTTGCGAATTGAGTGCACACTCATGAAAATGGAACAGAATATCATGTAGACCATAAGAATGGCGAAAAAGATGAAGGTGGACAGATAGAATTTAGAAGTGCCCTTAGGTTTATTGCCTAGAGAAAGAATAAACGTTATCAACACAGACACCCCATACAGCCACAAAAATATGACAGACAAAACCCGAAATACCTTCTGATCATTGTACGTGACAGCAATCGACATGGTCAAAATTCTAAAAACCAGGAAAAATGAGCTGAGAGAAAACCACGACACCAGACTGCTGAGGGCGAGGTATATGAACTGCAGATTTAGCATGAACTTCCTACCCACTGAGTGCCCGCTGCTCCAGATCTTGTAAAAATGGATGAATGAATAAAGCGCCGCAAAGAAAGAACCATTCATCCATCTTCTTCTTTGCAAAATAAACTCCGGTATTTTTTCAGGGACATCGGTAGACCCATAAGAGGTTTTGGAGTATTTTAAGATCCAGTTGCTGTCTTTTTTGGTAACAATCTCGAAGCACAGAATACGATCTTCTGCCAGATACATGTTGGAGATGAAAACCCTTGCATTGAGATCATCGCCCATGAAATACTTTCGCAATGGCTCGCCTCGTATCGCTTCAAAACGGTAGGCCGAAAAAGCTCCGGGCAGTACTGTTATAAACCCAAAATTGGATTCTGTGGTCTTGTCCAAAATGTTTGAAAGCTTGTATTCAAAGTTTTGGGAGGCCACAAGGGGGTTAAGCAGCTTCCCAAAGCCCTTACCCAAGTCTGTTTTAATCTCTCCGCAAGCACCGCCAACTTGTGGATTCTTGAATTCCCGCCATAATTCGTAGATAGAGTCCTTGCCAGGCATGGTTCCAGCGTCCAGAAGATTGACCACAGTAGGCTGCAAAACTTCACCAAATGCCTCTAGTGCCCAGCGGTGTGAGTTAATCTTTTTTTGATTGTTTTCCTTCAAGCAAAACAACAATTGGATAGGCACCGTGTTGTCTCCGCAATCCAATTCCACCTTCCCCTCCTTTACGCTCCGAATATTGACTTTAGTGGTGTGCTCGTAAATATGTGCGATTACCTTTTTATCGTTGATTTCTCCCTTGGCAAAGCCGTCTTGGTAGCACCCCAATGCGCTTATGAGAGCTAACGAGCGCTCATGAATTTTGGACCTCCCGTCTGACACAATGCAAACAACAATTTTCTTCCATGCGTCTGATCCCCAGGTGGATGAATTCTTTTTCTTTGTGAAGTGACGTATATTGTCCATGACGCCCTTCAAAGTTCTTCCCAGCAGGACATCATCCTCGTTGTACATCGTTATTACGACCATCAACTCGGTTTGACGCGGTTGACCGTACTTGAGCTGACGAAGAGTGAAATTGTTTGATTGAAACATTAGAGGCTCACAAGTCACAGCCTGATATCTCATATATTTGAACTCATTTGAAAGCTTGTTTTGATCGTCCACAGCTCTAACATATTGAGCTATGAGATTTTCACTGATGGGACAGTCAAAAACAAAATTGCCCATACTCAGTTTGAACTTTCGTACAGTGGTGTGCTTCCTTAATGGGCCGCCACGCTCGTCAGAGCCAAACTGCTCTCCAAACTTCTCGCGTCCATTGTTGACAACTATATCATCATCTTCATCATCAATCAAGTCCGCAGAAGAACCCAGTTTTGCAAGTGTGGTCAGATCCGCATTGTTGTTGTTGTATGAATAATCGCCCAGATCTCTGCTTCTTCTCTCGTCGTAACCGAGCGAGCTTGGCCCAACTGAGTAGGCTTCCTGATCTGCATATTCATTCAAGTCAAAAGTGCTAGCGTAAGGGTTGGCCATTTGATTGTTGTTTCCATAAAAAGTATTAATCTGATAGTCATCACCATTTCGATCGATATAGTCCATAGGATCCTCTGGGTCGTATTTGTAGTAATCAGATGGTCGAGTGAAATCACCAGCGTGAGTTGTCGAGTTCGACGCCGGGGGTGGTCTCCGGTGGTTGAGAATTGGCAGTGTTTCTGCAGGGAAGTTTTCATCGTTGCTAATCTGTGCACTGGCATCTGAACCGCGAGGATCGTAGCCCAGAGCATACAGCTGGTCGTTGCTTGGAGCCGCGTTCACAGACGGTATAGGAGCCACGTTATTTTGAGTCAACGGTATGGGCTGAGCATCATGATAAACGTTGATGCTTGGAATATTATAAGGTTGCGCGTCGCTCGTGCTGTGCAGTTGAAAGTTGTCAAAAACGGCGCCAGAGTTGCCAGAGTAGGCTTGGTGCTCATTTTCGTAGACGGCTTGCTGCTCTTGACTGCGGTCTTGCGGATAATGATTGTAGAAGTCGCCATATTGTCTTCTATTCTGATGCTGTTCACCATTATCGTTGTAGAGGTCGTTAGAAGTAGGGTCCATCAGTGAGTTTTCACTGCTGTCAGCGTGAGTATAGCCTTGACCATGCTGGAACCGATAGTCCATGAGTTCGGTATTTAAGCAGCCGCTTCTAAAGCTGTGCCAGGAGACAGAGCGGTTTCGCATCTGTTTCGCGTTTTAAGATGTGGATCTCAAAATCAATAGCCGATCCCACGTCATAAGTGATTGGTCCAAATATACTTTTACTGTCATTCATTAGAGTTTACTACAGAAATAAAGGCTATAACTGACATCTCCACCAACAACTAAGGAGGATCAAATCTTGAAATGTTCAATGCTTTGGTCCTTTTACGTATTTCTGGCGCTTGAAATTGACGTGTAGAACGGATTACTTTGCGCCAGTTCCAGGATTGTTGGAGTAGCTTTTCCGGAATTCATAAATTCCAAGCGATCTTCTGCTTGCTTGAAAACGTAGTTGCGCTTGAGTTTGTCTGATATATATTCCCTAAATCCACATGGCTTTTCGGCTATCGCTTTGGCGTTTTTCAGCAGTACTTGGGCATTTTTCAGCAGCACAGCGGCGGTTTTCGCATTACTCGCGTCTGTCGTGGAGGGATCATTACTGTTTAGCTGCGAAGTCTTGAGCATGTGGCGGAAAAGTTCATTATCAGAGCGGCTTATCATCACGTCGCAAAGCTGGAAAACGGTGGGACTTAGCTCATTGTCTTTGTCTTTGAGACGGCCACTTATAATGTCTTGTCTCTTTTGGGCAACTTGAGATTCAGCGGCGCTCAAAATGCGCGCAATTTCAGTGTAAACAGCCCAAAGTTGTGTGTAGCTATTTTGTTGGAATGATTGGGCGGTGAGATGCAAAATATCCACTGCGATGAGCAGTTTTTCGAGTTCAGCGCTCTGGAGGTTGCTCATAAAAGACTTGACACCTTCATATCCATCTGTGACAGCGACTTTTAGACCTTCGATGGACCAGATCGCGAGATTCAACTCCTCCGTATCAGCAGAATTCGTTTCAACATACGTGGTGCTGTTCAGAAACAGGTTCAGCTGCGACTTCAATGCTTGGGCACTATCGTTTAAGTAGCCGACTTGAATGGGATTCATAGTATTGAGTGTTCCGTTATTGGTCTCTATTAGTATTTCCATGATCGTTGAAATACAACGGTAACACATGGAAAGTGTGTCGACCAAGGTCCAAGCCGTAATCTCGTCTTGCATCTCCACAGACTCGGGTTCCTGGACTCCTGCATCAGCATTCTGGCTAGAAGTCTCTGGGACGGCAGGGTTTCCATATTGCTGATCAGCAGTGGCGTCATCACCACTGGTCACATCCCATGATTCGAGCTCTTGTACGTGCAACTGAATGAGTTTGTTGCCCAGAATTTTAAACTTCTCAAAAACTTGCAGAACTTCTTCACCGGTAAGGGACTCGTAGTCTTCAAGCAGGCTGTAATAGCAAGTCAGAAGGTTGAAATGAAGATCCCAAGAACACTCATCTTTGAACTCTGCGATAGTGAGCTCAAATCGCTCGACAATTGACTTCAAAGGTCTGAACAATACAGTCAAGTCGCCTAGATCTGCCAAATTGACATACTGGAGTATATTGATGTGTCCGTCATTAGCAACAAAGTCCGTGTGCATCTTCAGTAACAGTCTTGTTTGATTATAGTAGATGTGACAGCTACCACTCAAGGTAGCTTCAGGAGCTCTCAGACCCTTCTCATACGACTCAAATGCTAATAGATAATGACGGATTGTTTTCTTAATATCGGATAAGGCCCATCTTTCGGCTTGTTCTTCCTTGGCAACTGCATCGTCATAAAAGTCATCCTGTGTAACCAGAATCTGCTTTTTAGAGCCACCGGCCCTTGAGGATGCTACCATTCGAGCCATTCGATCGTTTTAGGCCTCAATAAGTTTGATGACCAGTAGTTTCTATTGGAACTACTGTTTTCGCTTTCGCGCTAGGTTAAAAGATATCTCTCTATAGCACCACGAAAGTGAGAAACAGTCAAGTTCAATTATTGTAGCAGTGCACAACTGAGAAACCAATGGACAACAAGACCACCAGGGAATATATATTCATCAAAAGCCCTGATGAGCTCTTGGGCTTCTTTTCAGAGGACGAAGTAGTTAATAGCGATATAGAGTTCGTCTCAGTGTTGACTGACATCGATTTTGATACCAACTCGAGATGTCATCTGTACTTCAAAAATTTCCAGAATGGCGATACAGCGGAGCCAGACTACACCTGCAGGATAACATGTAATACGCCTGCAACGCTGAACCTCACTCAGATGACGCTGTCGCTATTTTCTCAGCATTTCGATCTCGAGCTACCAGATTTGGAGCAAGAGAACCATTTCCGCATGGAAGATGTACACCTGGACAAACTGTGCTTCGTGAAATGCAAGGGAAGTTTTGTAAGCCGCGGCAACAAGGGCGGGATTTTTCTTCAAGGGCTTCGTCCAGTCGACCTGGCAGCTACGCTGTTCGCTGCCAAAGAAAAAGACATGGGAAGTGCAGTATATGACAGTACACAAGCAATATTCGACAATTTGATCAAACTCAACTGCAATTCGAAAGCCCAGTTCAAATTTGTTAAACTATCCAACCTGACCAACGATATGCGTCAATACTTTCAGACCCGTCAGGAAAGCATGCAATTAATGAAGGCAAGAAATCCAATATATGGCGTTGCAAGAGCTCACTATGATCACGACTCTCTCAATGACTTTGATTCACAAGTTTCTGACACAGATCCTGATTTCAACTCAGTTTCATTCTTTCATAAATCTAGAACTGATAATGATAGAGAGTACCAATGCGACTCTTTCATCAATGACAGTGTTGGAAACTCTGAGATTTCTCAACGCGATGCCTCAGAGGTAATAGACATCGCAACAGCGGATAAGGAAAGACTTCCAGCTTCTAATAAATCAATACAACCTTCAATACGAACTTATCCACGAATGATACCCAAAGTTGAGGTATCTTCTCCCAAATTGAATGCAGCATCTTCTCACAACCCAAATACTGCATCTTATACGCGGGACCATCTTCATCGTCCATATCGGTCCGACGTCGTGACAAACTCGCAAGTTGTCGAGAACAATATGCATTCAAGCAACGGCACAACCCACAATCCTACGAAAAAGCGGCGCTTTTCTGCAATTACGAATAATGACATTAACAGCATGATATCTTTAGTATCAAATGCAGCCACAGACGAGATACTGACGCTCGAGATGAAAATTGTTGGTATGCGTATCGAGAGGAATTCGACAGGCCCTAGCGTCGCCATTTTCTGTCAGGCTGATAGTCAAGAGCTAGAGAGTGAATCAAAAATTTTGTACGCTGATGTTAACTGCCTTGAGATTAAGGCTCATTCTTCTGACAACATCCGGTGCGGTTCTGATATTATCGACGCCGAAAGCTCAGAAAAGTTGATGGAGATACTGTGGAATTATTGCAAGGAAGAAATAGCTGAAATTAAGGTCAAGAAAGTACCGCTACTGCTAGGAAACGGGCACTTCACTTTTACACTTACACTGAGATCGGTGTATCTTAAAGATTGGGATAACGATATTGTTTCTCCTCCACTGACGCCCGGGCCAAGCCAAGTTGTCGTATCCAGTTGTGAATCCTCACAGGAGCTTAGAGACCCGCTCAAAACTTTTTCCAGTATCTCGGTGAAGGAAAACCAAGTAGAATTTTTGAAAACTTTCGGGCTGCTTGTCAGTGCGAAAAGGTTTGGCCCTAAAGTTACAAAATTCGCGTTTACTGATTTTACCTCGCACCCTAGAAACACACTTTCTGCTTTCGACGCTTTCCTTGGCACATACGACAACCGTTTGGCACAAAGCCAGGCGTTCCCGTTTGTGATCTATAGCGATCACCTTGCCGAATTTGCTCGTCGTATTAGAGAGAAAATGGGTCTTGCGTATCAAGATCTTTTTGACGGCTACGATAATAATTTGACACATCGTGGTATTGTCTGCAGGCTGGAACTCAAAGTCAAACTCTACAATGGCGGGGTAGATGGAATTATAAGGACCTGCGATCCCGTTTTCGCTGATGACGCAAGTCTCAGGCCTGACGAAAGGGCATTTTTATCGGCATTCTACGCCAGGAGTATTACTCAAATTCCACAGTCGCTTCTAGTCAACAAATTCGACAGCTACAGGTTGTTTTTCCCGATAACCATGTTCAACGGCCTGGTCGTCATACGGCGTCAGAATGGCCAAGACGCGGGCACAACTGTACCAAGGCTCGAAATGTCCTCGTGGTCGAACCCAATTGCTCAGTGGGAGCCTCCCAATTTGAGCGCAGTTGCGGAAGGTCTTAAGATTATCAGTGGTATGGAGCTCCCCGTATTGGCGTCCGTTGGCCACCTCGAAAGTGCAGCGGTATTTGAGATGAAAGCTAAGATTGTGGATGCATTTCAGGCTCCCGAATGGCTAATATTTTACCTAACTAATGACTACATTACGCAAGACATGCTGGACCCGCACCGCTTGTTACGGGTGGAGATTCCCGGTGCGCGCAATGTCGCAAGATTCTACGGCGGTGGCACCTCTCGCCTTACTGGACAGGACATCATGCGCATAACCTGTGGACAAGAGTTGACATTCCGTCTGTCACCTTTCAAGGTTCCTGTTAGTTCGTCTAAACAGCTACGAGTGTGGTGTCCGATAGAATGCACAATCTACGAGATGAAGGCTGAGCTAAGTGCCCGTCAAGCTGCTTTAAATGTTCACGTCAAGCAGGAAGACCAAATTTCTGGTTAATTAATGGAATTCTGTCAAACATCAGAGAATACCCAAAATCAATGAAATATTAAAAACTCAGACAGAACCGGTCAGTCCAAGACAACCATTTATCGCACTGGAAAAGTCAATATTCTACTCTCCTTTGACTCGCACAGAACTTGGTGATGTTGGTGTGCCAGTTGAGTTGTTTTGTTTCCACACAACACCTAGATGTCGGTGGATGCCAAAGTGACCAGGCTGTAGGGGTAACCTGACGAGTCTAGATTTTGGCGTCAGACTTGTGTATATTGTTGAAAGGATGAAAGCCAGCCGCGAACACGTTTAAGGGTCTGGCTCTGATCAGGGGAGGCAGCAAATGCGAAATCATAAAGCAAATGTGGAGTGCAGAATGCACAGAGGTGGGGTTGAAAAGCGTTATTTCTCAACAGACGGGGAGTGTAAGACCGTCATTGGAGCAAAAGGCGAAGAACATATGAAATGCGTGTGAGCAACAATCGATGACAGCCTTGAAGGTATAAAATGGAGGGTAAAGTTGAGGTTTTGTCATTACTATTAGTGTTTCTTATAATTGGCATTAAATTTCCAGTGTGCTCAATACTTCACTTTTAGTGAAGAAACAAAGCAAAATTGTAGCTTACAATGCGTTTCAAACAGTCTGTTAACATTATATTATTTACGCTGCTGCTGGGCGCGGGACTACTGTCATTTTTTGTGATATTAGCGGGGGCACGGACCTCGACCGTTCTTAAAAAGTTCTACTGGCTAGAGGCAGATACTTCAGGGTTTAATAGTGCACCAAGCACGACAAGATGGTTCGCATACAACTGGTGTGGTGTTGAAGACGGAAATTTGCAGGGCTGCTCTTCGAACAAGCCTGCCTCTCCTTTTTCTCCCAGAGACAACTTTGGGGCTAGCGATAGCATTCCCAGTTCGTTTGTTAAGCATCGCGACACATATTACTATTTGTCGCGGGTGGCATGGGCGATGTTGCTCGTGGGACTGGTTTACATTGTTGCAGCTCTGATCCCTGTCGCAATAACGATTTTCTCCACGTCTGTGATAAACTCTTGGCTGGCGGTGATGGCGTTATGGCTGGCAGCTTTTTTCGTGACGCTGGCGGCGTGTCTATACACAGCCTGCTACGTGAAGGCGCGCGGGGTGTTTACAAGTAACAATCGGAACGCCAAACTGGGAGTCAAGAACTTTGCCTTTATCTGGACCAGCGTTGCTATTTTAATGGCTTGTGCCATTTGGTCGTCAGTCGTGGCTGTTTTCTTCACTACCAAGAGGATTTCGCGAAGCAAAGGTCAAGAGTCAGGAGTTTCTTCTGACACCTACGGAGGTGACAAGACGACTCTGGAGACTCGCGAACGTGGTACGCGCGAGAACGCTGGAAATCAGAACTACAGATTTTGGAGGATGCGGGTCAAGCGGAGACCTCGCGACGACGCTTTCGACATGCAACCGCAGGTTACGGCCTCAGAATATGACAGCGAGGGCTTTCCAGTAACCCGGTCGTGATTCTTGACGGCGTCTTGGCTGTCTCGGTGTTCTTATGTGCCGGTCTGTGAAGGATAATCTAATAATAATCTCACCTATGCGACGGCAAGTTTTACCAAAAGTACCTACGCAGTAATTCATGTCTATCATTACTAACTTTCAATGCTACAGGACGCTTAGAAATATGACCCACAAGGGCGATGAGGCAGATTCATACGGAGGTGATGAAGTGGATTCTAGTTACAAAACGGACACGAGCAGAGTCTCGCATACCAAGGAAGAGGAACTTCACTCCAACAATCCATTCAAGTCCGAAAATGAGACCCATGGGCAGGCCGGTGGGACCCCAGCAGTGGCTCCTGAAACTGCGACTAATCAGAGAGGAGAGTTTATCTCTGATGTTACGCCAAAGAGCAGGGGAACTGAGAAATTTGGCGAAGCGGAAAGTCTAAGGATGCATCAACATGGCGGATATACCGAGCGCCGTCCCACTCGAGAACTGGAAGGCGGAGGTCACGATCCTGGAAGTCAAAAGCAAGAACATGGGTCCAACGCCCATACTTTTAGTACCACGCTTCCTGTGAACTCACAATTGCCTTCCAAAGCTAGTAGCTCACCTGTTACCCCAGCTTCAACGGCGGAGCAGCACAAGAGGGGACTTTTTGGAATGAAAGGATCGAAAAATGCATCTGGCCCCATGTCGAGCGAATCAGCTGGGATAGGATCAAAGGATTCTGCTGAGACCAAGTCAAGTTCGGTTTTGGATCCTCTAAGATTGAGAAATAAGATCAACGAACAGAGAAAGCATTTTGGTCGTAAGAGTTCTGCCGATCACGGTGCTGGTATGGAGGGTACTAAAGATACGACCAAAGTCATCAAGACCACTCATGTTACGATGACGAATTCTGAAGGAGATTCAAGAGAGATCCATGCAACTTCAGTCACTCCTTCGCACCCTACTGGTGAGATGGACCGAGACAAGATGGACCGAGACAAGCATGCAGCCGGCGGTGCCCAGCATCGGGACTGGGGGATCCAAAAGCAAGGCGTTACGACACCTAAGAAACAACTCACTGAAATTGAGCATGGCAGTGGGTCTGGCGAACACCTAAAGAGCAAAAATGTTCATACTTCAGCAACTGAGCATAACACTGCTTCTCACGATCTTTCGGAGAAGAGCAATGTTCACATTCCAGGAGAGTTTCGGTATGAACCAGAAAAATCTGGTTTGAGTGCTCCTGCGTCCAGTGGCCGCGGCTTTGAAGGTGAGGGTTACAACAAGACTGGTGACCATGAACGCGAGATTGGCGGAGTCGAACATGGTAAAACGGCTGATCGGCCCAGAAATGAGGGAAGCCGTGACCTGGCCGCGGACAATCACTCCTCTGAAATTCTGAACAGGGGCGTCGAAAGCATGGGGATATCACACGAGAAACACACCACTGCGGGAGACTCTTCCATGAAAGCGAAGAACTTAGGTGGTTCGCGGCATATGCAGAGTGACACGCCTTCCTCTGCTTCAGGCAGAAAAGGTATTTGGGTTGCTGGTCACGAATTCATACCCAGGGAGCCATCGAGCAGAACTGTTGGTCACCATAATCTTGGCACTACAGACCTTGGATCTAAAGACCTTGGATCTAAAGACCTTGGAACAAAAGGCGAAAAGAACAGAACTAGCCATGATGCCGACCATGGAGGTGAGTTGAGCAGAGGTACCACTCGCGAACCTCCCTTGAGCAGTGAAAAGAGCAGGACCAGCGGTGCTCATGAAAAAGGGCTCTCCGCTACCAGCGGAACTGCGAATCTGGGGGCCTACATCCCACCCCATGAACTTATGGCACTATCGAAGGACGAAGAAGCCGGTTACGAAGAGTATTGTCCTTCAGGACTAGAGATGGATGAAGCCGCAATTGCGGGCGCTGACACTGAAAGACGGCGTTCGTCGCTTGCTGAGTCGAACGATGGGGCTGGAGAACGCTCGAAACCCAAGAGCAGAAGCATGAGTCTAGGCCACGGTCAGTTTGCCACTCTAGGCAGAACGCTTTCTGGTAAGTCTCATGCGAAGGCCGGAGATGAACAATCACACGCAAAGACCGGAGATCACCAGGAAATGGAAAGCTCCAACGAGACGAAAGAACCCTCTAAAATTTCGACTACTTTCAGCAATGCGTGGGGCGCAGTCACCGGAAGACGCCGCAGCAGTCACGGCGAGAGCGCAAAATCCACTGATCCTCACGACACTAGTCAAAGCAGCAAGTCGCCAACCGAGCAAAAGACCACTCCAGAGGTCCACCGCGATGTTGGCGTTCGTGAACATCGCGAACATCACGTTGGTAGTGCCAGCGCCGAAGGTCGCCATGACGAGCACTTCAATGATGTTCCAAAGCCCATGAGCAACGAGGAGCCGTCTCAGCAAGAGGGTAAATACGCACGTCATGTTGGCAACAGTTCCAGTCTTGTGGACCCTACGGAACTCACCTACGGTGCTGTTGGAAGACGGAAGTCGTCTAGTGCCGACGACCACCATCCTTCCTATAAGCCCCAAGGGTTCCGGGGAATGCGGAACGTTTCTGTGGGTTCGGGCGCCGACCATGGTGATATGACAGATCCGTCGGTGGTGCCAATTGAGCAAGAAGGTGTTTCTGCTCAAGACCGTACGCCACGGAATTCCGAATTTGTCGCTATGGAGGCCGAACAAATTGACGATCGCATCAAGAACAAGCCTCACGATCGAGTAGTCAATGCTGCTGCTAGCTATGCTAGAGGCCCTTGAGCAGTCGTTTAACAAAAAAATGCCAAGGTTAGCTTGGCTCTATTTTTAACTTTATGACCGGATTTGTTATAGTTTTTATTTCTAGTTTGAATTGAGGATATGACGAGATGAGAAAGCGCTTTAAAAGGAGCACTTTGGTGCTAAAATGGTGCTCCTGTGGGAGATTTTATTTCTGATGACAATTTTCAAAAATAGTGTTTAAAAAGACAGTTCTATGTATTTGAACTATATGAAATTTGTAACACTTCAAGAGAACAACACGGAACACAACACGGCAAATAGATTTCTCGTGGGCGAGTCGTGATGCTCAGGACAGTTTATCAAGCAATGGTAGCTATTTGAGACGTTTCTCAGGCATTTCTGAGCTTTTTCTCGCTTCCAAATGAGTGACAAGGTGAGATGAGCGGCTAATTGGACAAGTGATGGTGAAACCTTGATTAGGGCCCGTAAGGGCCAAAACGTTGTGCTAGCCGGGTGTAGTATGGGAACGGGGTGTTGGCGAGGAGAACCAGTGAACAGAAACAAGTCTATTAGTGGCGAAATGGAGTGAAAACATTGAAGGGGGTTCACAAAAAAAATGGGGAGACCGAATACGAAGCTGAGCGTGGTTCAATACCTGGAGTAACAGTAAAAGTGACGTGCTGAGGAATATAGATTAGGCCCTGATCGTGCTACAACCATCGATTATGAAGAGGTGTTTCAACAAACTACGAACCCAAAAAAAAATAGGAACGAGTTTAAGAGCTGCAATAGTCAAGTGTTCTGAAATTGACTCGTAAGACATCCGTGTTACGACGAGAACGGAGCTTATACTCACATACTATGGGACGCAGTGCGAGGAGTAAGGATCTGAAGCGTATGGAGATCACTCTTTACGGAAGAACTATTAGAGAAAGACTCCCACAATTCTATTCCAATAGTGTCGTCGACTCACAGCGCCAACCGTGTCGTCTCATAGCGGATCCCCATCGTTCTTCCCTTCTCCTCTTCCCATCTCACCTCTCCCATTCCAAAAAACCCGATGTTTCATGCTACTTTACCACTCTTCCCAAACTCGTCTCTCCACCTCACCGACAATATCACTGACACCGCTAAAACGCATCGCACACTTTCTCCCTCTACCTCCCTCCCACACGCTACTCACTCTCAACTCACCCGTGACTCTTCCAAAAATGACCGATGTTGATCCTACCGGGTCAGAATACACGAATGCGTCCGCCAGAGCCACGGCGTGCGCGTGCGCGCTCGCGTACGTACATCCATTCAACGCTGTCGCGTTTGCCAACCTATAAATTGAAAATTTTTACGTCCTCATAAACAAAAGGGTATCTACGGACGAAGCGATACCAGATATTTGGGAAGGAAAGGAGGTATTTCTCTGACGAGAAAAAACACAAAATAAAGGAAAATTCTACGAAAATAAGCTCCAAGACAGGTGAATAACACGCTTTGGTTAGGAATTAGTCTGTTTCTTAGTGGAACTTTGAACATTTCTGCAAACGTGCTGGTTTTTTTGCAGACCCGAAGGACAGCAGTAGCAGCAGTAACAGCAGCAATAGCAGCAACAACGAGGGCGTGCACGCATCAACGCTCCACCGCACTAACGCACTAACGCACTAACGCACTAACGCGCTAACGCGCTGCAAAACGACGAACGACGAACGCCACAAGCAGCAGCTAGTCTGTCGCATTCTGATTTAGCGCACGACGACCAGAACCTAGAGCGTGTTTTTTTTTTGCATCGCAATCCACCGCTGGCGACTGGCTCGAACAACAACACGCCGCTTTTTTCACATCCTTTGCGAGCACTTGACTTGATTTTTCTGGCTGTCTTCGATTCTCCACGGCTTGAACCACGGCCTGCCAATCTCCTTTTCAATTTTCTTTCCTTCATCGTCACGGTCGAGATTGGCACCACTCGCATACAAACTCTCCACTGCGAGCCAATCAAACAGCACAAACCCGCATTTATTGGCCCTGCATCGGCCTCATCGGCTTTTAGTAACTTCAAGCTTTCATTCCCCGAACTTTGCACCCCACAGCTAGCATATCATGTCCGTGGTCAACAGCACCTCTTCGCCGTTGGAAAACGGCGGATACGGCTTGCATCGTGGTTTCAGCACCAGCTCTGACAAATTGGGACCCATCACCACGCCTGGAAACTCCTCTCCGGTACATCAGGGCTCCCTGGGCTTGGCTGGATCGAGCTCCAGCAACAACAACTCGCCCCTCCATTTGGCCACCATGCTCAATAACTTGGCCATGAGCGGCTCAACTTCGCAAGGTAACCACACCCAAGGTCCATACATACTCAAAATGAAAAACGTTCCACACGACGCTACGCTGCGAGAATGCCATGCCGTTTTCGCATTGGCGGACGGTGTGAATAACATCAATCTTTGCACTCAGCCAGCTACCGAGGCGAATAACTATAATCAAACTAGCGAGATAGAGGCAACGTTTGACTCCTTGCATTTGGTTACCCATTATGCGTCGATACTGGACGGAAAGTCGCACATATTTGGCCCAGAATTTCCATATAGATCGCAAGTGGAAGTTTACGACGAACATTCTCATCAGCATATCCCTTTCAGTCAACATCTGCAACCGTCTCCTGATCGCCAGGCTCAAATATTGTCACAAACGACTTTACAGCATCCTCAATCCCTACCTCAAGGGGAGCAACATCAAGCACTGCAATCAAAACAACACGAGCAAAATGAACAAATGACGAATCAACAACAGCATCAACAACAACAAAATGCATTTAGACTTCCTGGTACTTCAAGTGTGGTTTCCCCTCCTCAATCTGCATCTTCTGCTAAAAGACCCGGCCTATACGGTCAAAGGTCTAGATTCTCATTTTCTGATCCTTTCACGACTGACGGTAACCAGCCATCTCAACCTCAATCTCAAGATGCAGCTACTACGCCGCTCAAGTCTCAAGACGCTGGAAAGTCTTTTTTGCTGATGGAGAACGACGAGATCAACGAAAGCATTTGGGGTTCGAATGGCGGCATGCCATCTAGTATGGGTGGTCTTGCGACTACTTCGCAACCTCCCACACCTTCGTTAGAATGGGGACCACCGCAAAGGAAGCAAAGCTCTTCTTTTTTCAATTCGGTTGGTACAAATTCTATTCCAAACAACGACATGTCAGCGATGAATCTGTCGGCAGGTATGCCTCATCAGATGGGATCTTCTTTGCAGCAGCACTCTAATTTGCCTTTTACTGTAGTGGGACCAACCTCTGCGACCGCTACGACATCTACAGTCGATATGCCCCTGCCTCCACAATCTCAGCCTAGACAGCAGCAGCAGCAATCTCAATCTCAGATGATGGTCACAGTCGGTAGCCAGCCACAAGAGCCTCAAGGCACCAACGGATCTCAGAAATCCGCAGGGCCAAGAACTAGCACTTCCAAAAGCTCTCAATCCAATCTTGCGGTGCCTCAAAAAACTGCCTCATCTTCATCGCTACCGTCGACGAGTGGGATCTCTCAGGTAGACTTGTCTTTGTTGGCACGGGTCCCACCTCCAGCAAATCCGGCTGATCAAAACCCTCCCTGTAATACATTGTATGTTGGAAATCTGCCACCAGATGCTACCGAACATGAGCTTCGCCAGCTTTTTTCCACACAAAAGGGATTCAGACGTTTGTCTTTCAGAAACAAAAACACGAATGGAAATGGACATGGCCCAATGTGTTTTGTCGAGTTCGAAGATGTCGCACATGCTACTCGTGCTCTTGCCGAGCTTTATGGCAGGCAACTCCCTCGCTCTAGTACCCAGCATAATAATAAGGGCGGAATTAGATTAAGTTTCTCCAAAAATCCTTTGGGGGTAAGAGGGCCTAATAGCAGAAGAAGTGGGAGCGGTGCAAGTGTCGGTAACGGAAATTACAGCTACACGACAGCCTTCGGCAAGTAAGTCAAGCTCTGCCCGGTTTGTTTTTCCTTTTGTCTTAAGTTTTGCTCGGATTTAATATCCTACACTGTTTTTTTATTTCGAGCATTAATTTCCTCACCTTCTTCGCTTCAACGCATTACAAATGGGCGAAGGAGCCAAAGTGAATTACTGTCTATTAATCTTCGAACAAGCACAATTGATTTCTGTTGTATTTTGTTCTTTACTTGGTATTGAGTGAAAAGTTCGACACTTCATCTGTTGATTCGATTCGCATTTACCGTACTTCATTTGAGATTGCCTTCAATATCTGTTTGGCCTCTTCTAGAAGTATAAAATTCAAGCTCATTTCCCCTTTTTGGCCTTCATAACTCTCTATTATCATTCTTCATGCTGCATTTTGAAACATACTTCACCAATCAAGGGACTCTTCTATATACATATACCTGTGCGTTGTAATATCTAATTGTCATCTCTGTTAGTCCCCTGTCTATCAGTGAGTTGACGACACTGACCGTTGCGTTTCTTACGCTCTGCCACTCACTATCGATGCCAGGTCTGTGACACTCTCTTCCTTTTTCAGTTTCGATTGTACTGGTGCGACTTGTGCTGTAGAGGAGTTTCTCGAGCTCAAGGATGTATTTGAGCCGTTCAAATGCTGCTGGCGCAGGAGTCTTTCCCTCAACTTCAGATCTGCAGCACGTTTTTCGAGATCGTGGATACGCTTCTGTAGTTCTCTTGCAGATTGTGCCTCTAACTCCTCTAACTTCTGTTGCTTTGCAATAATGCGTTCATGCTTTAAAACATATGGAACAGTTTCCGATATGTTTCTCAATTTGCTCTTGTCTGGGGAGCCCGGGGCAGAAGTTCTTGGCGAACTCTTGATATTGTGGATAATTTCTTCGTTTCCACGTCTTATGCTTTGGGAGACCTGTCTCAGGCCAGGAGAATCCATGTCCGTACCCTGACTTATTTCCCTCGAGTCTGGAGTGGTAGGTGTGTCAGAACGTGGGGGTATAGCCAGAGAGTTCGATGACTTGAACTGACCAGTCGTTATCAGAGAAGCAAAATTCGAAAGACTTGGTGCGGCAGAGTTCCTTTTGTCAGCAGTACTGTCTCCGGTCTTGTCCACATCCCAATCGGATACTGAGGACAGCTTTTCAGCTCTGTAGTTCTCATATAAGAAGTTATGAGTGGTGTCCTTAAATTCTTGGAAATGAGACCCAAATAAAACGTTTTTGAGTACCCTCAGATCAGAGAAACTGTCATCGTCGACTCTAACTTCACCCCATGGGTATTTCCTCACAAACTGACCATTGTCGTTTCTCTCGTCCGAGCACATCACCGCAAATGGTTGAAGCATCGCCAGAGCCTGATTTTCCTCAATGGTTTCAAAATCGTCTTCTTCTGGATCCACTTCAAACTTGTACACCGGGACGCTGAAACGCTCGATGTCATCCATGATCTGTTTTTTGAACTTGGCAAGTTCGTCCTTGGTGAACGAGTCTGCGCGAGCGATGATGGGCAGCACATTTGTGAACCGGGATAATCTTTTCATCATTTCCACGTCCATTTCTCTGAGACCGTGACCGGTGGGTGGGATGAAGTAAAGTGCCACATGGACCCTGGTGTCTTCGAAACGTGGGTTCCGCTTTATACGCGTTTCCTCTGCCAGCACCTGATCGAATTGTTGTTCCAGGAAAGCAGTGATCTCGTCGAAACACAAAGTGTTGTCGAGGTTTTCACCCAGACCGTGCGTTTTAACCAAGCTGAACGCTATTTTGTCCGCATTGACTCCGCCATTCTGCGTCATCGAAGAACTGTCACTGGAGACCGATGACCGCGATGATGGCTGTTCCTGACCGGTCAAAATTTCCATGGAAGTCGAAGTTATGGTCACACCGGGCTCAAAGTGCTCGCACGCAGCGTCGAAGCGTGCCATGTGCGATGGAATCCCGTTTTTGGAATTATAGGAAAGAACCATTGTGGGCTTCACGACCTTAACGCGGCTGTTTTCGGGCAACTTGGGCGCCTCTATTTTGTACTGGTGTGGGAAAATGCCCATTTCAAGCAGGTTATTGGCAAAAGTTGTCTTTCCGGTTCCTGCATCTCCCACGAGCATGAGAGAATATGTAATGCCACGTTTGTGGTCTTTCTTGCGACGGTACATTATTGAAGAGTGCGAATTCAATTTGAGCGACTATATCAGGTACCAATTACGGATTTCAGAGCCACGATTCGTCTTGTAGAGGTGATTTGATCTTGATCTTGAAATCCAATCTGTCTGAATTCGCATTTTTGTCAAATCGACAAATATGTTGATCATTGTATACGAAATGTACATTCTAATTAATCACGTGAATATTTAGAATATTATGAAGTTGACGCGTTTCAAGAGAGCTCAAAACTCGACATCATACTACCGTATTGAAGATCTGTGAATTTCTGACAACACCCAACAAGAATATCATTGTCTTTTCTTGTATGTTTGAAAGGTGCGTCGCCGCGGTCAATATATAACGATATAATTCGAGATCACTTTGTACTGCGCCGTCGCGCCAAGTGCGAGCGAGCGACGGTGCTGGACCATATTTCAACGACAGAGCGGAAGCGACGATGCCTGGGTTGAGTCTGGGTATGTGCTGAGCCATTACCATGCTTTTGTTTGAATTTTGAGTGTCTCTATGTTGAGTGAATAATTTTTGTCCCATAATGATGAATTATTCGCAACGATATCATACCGAAGACACTCGTTCTGACAAGACTTTCTCGCTCAAAAACATGTCCAAAAATACAAGCATCGCTTGCTATTACTCGTTTAATATACTGCTTCTTTCAACGTTTCGGCTTTCACTTTTCCCATTCTCTTTTAAAAATATTAGTATTACCTCTGGTAACAGGTTTTTATAAGTGCGCGAGAGCTCCGATTCGACACCTCACTACAGAACAATTCAATCCCAGCTATTCATTCCACAATGGCACTGTCAGTGTCATCAAATGTCACTTCCCAGCGTGTAAACCGGCAACTTCTACTTAAAATTGGTGATTTCCGGAACATGTGAGAATAGAACGACAATGTTGAATGATCTAGTAACCTGATATGACAAGACATGACAACTCTCAAAAAACGGAAAAAGCTAAAAACGCATCGTCTGGCGCGTGTGTTGCTCTAAACAGGATCTTGTCGGTACCAGGTGGGATCTCGTGGATAATATGAGCTACGTACGTCGAGATTCCAGCGGGTCTTTCACGACGTCTGGTGTTATGCACCATCAGAGTAAGCTAGATGTGTTCATCATAAAAGCTCATCGGTTGGTGTCGAACAACGCAGTGATCAATGGTGAGGACGTCAGCGTGCTCAACACTGCGTCGAGCTCGCCAAGATCAGGCGGGCCGGTCAATGGATCGTCGCCACACAACGATTTGACGCTTTTCCAACGTCTCTCTCAGCTATACAACGCAACAATCTCTACCAGCCTCCTGGACGACACCTCTACATCGCCCAAATCTGCCATTGAGCTGTACCAGCGGTTCCAGCAAATCATGAAGGAGCTGGAGCTCAGCTACGACGTAAGCCCTTACGGTAAGTACTTCCGAAAACTCGACAACGGCATGTGGCAGATCAAAGACGACTCCGAGCTCGTCAGCGACCAACTGTGGCAGCTGGTATCGGTGTCGATCAGTACCGTGTACGACTCCAAGACCGGCCAGATGCTGAACCAAAATAGACGCCGCGTCAACAGCATGGCCACGTCGACCAAAAACTCCCCATCTGAAGTAATCGACAACACGCTGCCGCAGCAATTACAAAAAAGACTCCAGAAACTGCAACAAGACAGCAGGCAAAACTTTTACTCGACGTCCCCGGCGAGCCCCTCCGTGGTATCGAATGGCAATGGAATTCGCTCAATACACAGCAATGCATCCAGCGGCAGAGAAGCCTCCATGAACTCTGCTACCGCTATGAATTCCGGCTCCGCCATAAACACCAACGGCATAAGTGGCGCCGCGGGCGTCAATAACAACATGAACAACAATATGAATACCAATATGAACGCCAACATCAATTCCGGCGTGAATCCCAGCATGAATTCAAATGTGAACTCTAGCATGGATCCTAGCATGAACTCCAACATCAACTCAAGCATGAATCCCAACATGAATTCCAATTTCAATGCCAACATGAATCCCAATTTCAACACCAACATGAACCCTAATATGAACTCCGCCATGGGTTCCAACATGAACACTAACATGAATCCCAACATGAACTCCAACATGACTCCCAACATGAACTCCAACATGACTCCCAACATGAATACCGACATGAACGCCGATATGAATGCCGATATTGGCACCAACCTCAATCCTAATCTGAACAACATGAATTTGGCTCTGAACATGGGTCTGGACGCTCTCTCCGGGAACCCACAGGGAAAACGCAAATATGTTGGCGTAGGTACGCCAGACCAAGATGCTGTGGATGAGCTGCTACAGCTGGCCACCAAAAAGGCCAAGACAGACCTACCCACCATCGAAGAAGATATACCGCAACCGACAGTGTCGATGCGCACCAGCAACAACGCCGCTGCTTCGGGAGTCTACGAACGTCTGATACAGGAAAAAGATCTTAGAATCAAGCAGCTAGAGTCAGATCTCGAAGCTCAGAGACAAGAAACGCATTGGCTGCGAAAAATGTTGCTCGAAGATTTGGCATGCGTACGCAGCATGCTACATAAGGAAAGTCGGAATCGGCCTTGATTCTCAAGAAAGGTCAGTCCGTGTCCAAGAGGACAGTGTATTATAGTGTATTATTCCAGTAGCACAAGTCATATTATTGCCCTGGTAGGAGTGTGCGTGTATATCACATTTTGTATAATTAAACGGTCGTTGTTACCTTAATCATCTAAACTGGACAAGAAGCCAAAAATTTACCACGAAAATAGCTACAAAGGATACTACAAGAGCTAACCAGGATGTCGTTCAAAACTTTAGTTTCGAAACAGGCCGCTTTACTGGACAAAGACCTTATGGGGCCCGAAATCGGGTTCACTTTGGAGCAACTCATGGAACTGGCAGGTCTCAGCGTCGCACAGGCGGTTTTGAAAGAGTTTCCACGTTCACAGAGGACCAAATCGCAGGTGTTGGTTCTGGCCGGTCCAGGAAACAACGGTGGTGACGGGCTAGTATGTGCACGCCTTCTTAAGCTATTTGGGTTCAAGCCTGTGGTGTACTACCCTAAGCACAACACTAAAGCCCCATTCTTCTCCAAACTGGTTAAACAGTTAAAGTTCTTTAAAGTGCCTGTGTTGAACACCGACGACGACTGGCTTCGCTACCTGAACCCAAATGATACGGTATGCGTGGTCGATGCACTTTTTGGGTTTTCATTCAAGCCACCGGTGCGGGAGCCCTTTGGAGGAGTCTTGAACCAGCTACGTCAAGCACAAGACCAAATACCCATTGTCTCCGTGGACGTTCCTACCGGCTGGGATGTTGACGAGGGACCTGTAGAGCCGAATTGCATCGTTCCCAAGGTTTTGGTGTCTCTCACGGTCCCCAAACCATGTGCCCTCAAGATTGACCCTTTGGAAACTCAGCACTACGTAGGAGGACGATTTATTCCTGCTGAGTTTGCAAACAAGTACGGTTTTGAGCCTTTTGCCTACGAAAACGCGGACCAGGTCGTCAAGTTGGTGCCTGAGTAGAGACGAGCAGAAGGCGTTTTACGAGTATACACGAAAAAACTGCTGGTTTCAAGTTAAGGCTAACTGTGGTTCCTTACAAAAGTCGATGGTCCGCGAACATGGGCGGATTCTCATTCCCTGGGCCCTGGAATAGTACGCGGTACATCCCAGCATTGAGAAAAGAGCCTTGAAGCACGATGTAAACGAGACCAGCGGAACTAACGTCTTTGTAGAGTTTTAAATATGACAGTTTCAAAGCGCACGTAGCTTTACGGCTGGTGTGATTCTATTTCCTCCGTACTTTCTCTGGATACTTATTGTGTGTTTACGTTTTCGCCAGCGCTCAGCGGCTAATTTGAGTATAAATACAGAGGCAGATTTGGAAAATAGGCATTCTTCAGTTTGAACACTCCTTAGAAGAAAAAAGACAAAACGAAGTGGATGGACTAGCGATACACTCGTCGGTTTGCTTCGGATAGCACACAGCATCGACACTACCTCAACGCTGAACACAACACTAGAAGATTTTTGTCCCACAACTTGACTTGCCTCTAGGAAAAGCTCTTGACCAGATATAACCATAGGAAAGCGCTCCAAAACTAGATTTATCTGCCAAGAAGGAGCAAAAAGTTGTGTTCTCAAGCTTCAAAACGCGTTTAGTCGCTTGGCCCAAGATGTTCGCTGCACATCCTGCACCTTCTGGCTAGGACGATCAGACCCAGGGATGGGACAAGTATGAGAGCCCTTATGGTAGCGCTACCAGGTGGATCAACAATTCGATCTCAAAACATCGTTCAACCCTTTTCTCAGAGTTGACCACGTCGTCTGCTTGACGTGTTCCTTCCACATTAAAAGATAGTCACGTGATCAACAAGTTTCCCGTGCTACGCCATCCTCTTCATTCCTACAGACATAAAATTTTGAGTTTGGCGTTAAATAGGCCATCGCTCAAGATAAACCAAAAACTCGGTGTGAAAACAGTGAGAAATCAAGATTCCTAGCGCACATCGGCGATATACACGACTTGTTCGGGTTCAAGAGACCGAACGGTTACGCAACAGAGAAGTTTTGTAGGATCTGGTAGCGGTTTTGAGGATGGTGAACATGACACAGGACGGAGTGCAAGAAACCGAGTCCAAGCGCGTAAAAGTTTATGTTTTGGAAGATAACGAGTGGAAAGATACAGGAACGGGTTTTTGCGTGGGCAAAATAAGTGATGTGGACGGCGACGGACCAGCGGCAAGCGTTTGCGAAGGCAAAGAGGGACATTTAGCCGCTTATTTGGTGGTCAACGACGAAGGAGTCCCGGATAAGACGTTACTATGGTCGAAACTAGAGGGCAACATCGAATATCAGCGACAAGAGGAGACGTTGATCGTGTGGAAAGACCTCTCGGGCCAGGATATCGCGTTGAGTTTCGAGGAAAGCACCGGGTGCGACGCCCTGTGCGATTTCATTATTCAAATCCAGAAAACCACGGAGTCGAACATTTCGCTGATCGCAGTGCGGTCCAATGACGACGGCCAGGGCTCTGTACACGAAATAATCACAGGACCTGTAAATTTACCCAGCAACGACCCAGAACAAGACGATAAGTCGTTAATGGATGCGCTCAAAATTCTCAACGAAAATACTGCGTTCGAGTACTTGAGAACCGAGACCATGGAGTTTGTACTCAAAAATGAATATCTTCTTACCCTCATCCATGTTTTCGAGAACGCAGAGTCCAAGCACGCACTTCGCGAGCTTCTGCTGTTAAGCAATATTGTCAAGACCCTGACGCTTTACAACCACCGGGACGTTTTGGAGCAAATGGTAGATGATGATCATATTATGGGTATTGTTGGTATCTTGGAATATGACACTGAGTTTCCATTTAGCAAAGCCAATCATCGAGACTATCTGCTGCAATCTGGTCCACACTTTAAAGAAGTAGTCCCACTGAAAAGTGATGACATCAAGAACATAATCAAGAAGACCTACCGACTGCAGTTTGTCAAGGACGTCGTGTTGGTGCGATTTTTGGATGATCATAGCTTCAATATGATCTCAGACGTGATCTTAGATTCACAAAACTGCATAATCGACTTCATACAAACAGAGCCGTTCCTCGAAAAAGTAATGGCCTTGTTTGAGGATGATACCGAACTGGATACCAAAAGAGATGGTATTCGTATGTTGCACCAATGTGTTCAGATTACCAAAAACTTGGAACACGCTGAAAAGTCAAGATTTTTCAAAGCTTTAGTAAGGGCAGGCCTCTTTAAGATTTTTGATTTTGCATTTGGTATGGAAACGGATAGTGGGATTAGGATTCTGGCGACAGATATGGTCATTAGCATTATCGAGCATGACATTCTATTGATCAATACGGTACAAAACGAGCATCTTCATCAGCCCAACATGTTGGACCAAAACCAACGACAGCTTTTGGGCCCCAGTTCAACCTTAACACAATCAGCAGCTTCATCGGATATATCACTACTGTCCATTTTGTCGCAGATTCTTGTAAAGGACAAAAATATGGGGTTGAAAGAACAAGTAGTACAAGCTTTGAACACCCTCCTTCATCCTGAGGGTTGCTTGGGAGCCGACTCGGATTACAATGAGTCGGGAAACATGGACATTGTGATGAGTCTGAATGACCACCGAGGTAACGGAAGTGACTCACTAATGGAAAACCTCGGTTTCCATATGAAGGAGTATTTCAACAATTTCTACACGCAAGTAGCACCTGTTCTTTTTGGTCCGCTGATAGACGACTCCTATGAAAACGCGGATGATGATGTGCTTCTGATTTACTTGGTGAAATTGATTAGCTTCATTGCTACTGAGCACAATCGTCGCATGTCGCGAGAGTTTATTTTAGAGAATAACATCCTGGCAAATATCAGCAAGCTTATCGCGTCGCCGCATATGCTGCAACTACAGCTAACAGCAGTGAGGTGCTTGAAGGGAATTGCTTGTCTCAACGACGAGTTTTACCACAGATACATGATTACTATGAACCTATACCAACCTATTTTCGATTTGCTGCGAAAAAACCTAAATGAGGACAACATGGTCAATTCGTGTCTGCTGGATTTTTTCAGAACAGTTTCATCACAGTGCTTGCAAGCACAGGAGCTTCATTCAGGGGAAAGCAAGAATTTCATCATTCTCAACAAACACCTCGTGGAGAATTTCAGAAACGATTTGATGGCTATCGACTACGTCCCTTTCACTCAAGAAATGATTAGAATGTACGAGGCAGATGAGGAACCATACGGCCTGCGCATTGTTGAGGATAAAAAGACAACCACAGAAAAGGATGCTAAGAGAACCTTCTCGGAGGTCTCAGAGTCACTAAGCACTTTGGCGGATTTGAAAGAGGGTGATGTTAATTTGACGTTCAAAAGAGCAATGGAAAAAATAACGGCTGCTCCTGCGCACACTTCCATGGAGAAAGATCTTCTTAGCAACGGAAGCTGAGGGTATTTTTTGCCGCTTGCATGTGTAGTCATAATTTAGCATTTTCCTCGGATAGTAAATTCTGAGGATACATTTCCCGCCCAAAATGAGTGCCCAAGTGCCACATACCACCATCAACAATGTGCACTGTGCCTGTCACGTACATGGCAGCGTCTGAAAACAAGAACACTGTTGTGTTTGCGACGTCTTTTGTGGAGCCTAGACGCTGCAACGGGATCTTAGAACACATCTGATCTTTAGACACGGTGCCAGAGAGCCTTGCGATACCTTCTGTTCCGTCGATTGCGCCAGGTGCGATGCAATTGCTGCGTATTCCAGAGACCCCTAGCTCTACTGCAAGTGCATTGGAAAGGGCGTCGATTCCTGCTTTGGCAGCGCCGACGTGGCTTTGGAACGGAACGCCGTAGTAGTGGAAAGTGGCCGAGACAAAAAGTATGGAGCCTTTGTTTTGCTTCAGTTGCGGGAGGCAGGCTTTTGCGGTGTTAAAGCTTCCCAAAAGATCAATTGACACCACTGATTTGAAGGCATTGGGAGATAGTCGTTCGAAGGGTGCTATGAAGTTACCAGCAGCCCCTGCAATGACAAAATCGATGCGTCCGAATTTTTCCACGGTAAGCGCTACTGCGCGTTCCAACTGGGCAAACTCGCGGACGTCAACTTCAGAAATGGGTAAAACAGAGTCGGGGTCCTGGATGAGTCCTGACATCTCTTTGGCTGCCAACTCCGTTTTTTCCTTGTTGCGACCCACGATAGCTGCCTTGCAACCTAGCAGAAGCAATGCCTCCGTTTGGACACGACAAATGGTTCCGGCACCGCCAGTGACGAAGGCGACTTTACCCTCAAAGATGCCGGTTTTCCAGGGCCCGTTAGTGATGAAGGAGTTGTCTAAAGTATTGGGCATCACGTCAGGAAAAGCCATGCAAAAGGGAAAGGATATAAACTATAAGGGAATTACGTATGATCACTGAGAAAGTAGTGATTTAAACAATGGATGCTCGACACTAACGGTGTGAAGTCGGTATAGAGTTTGATATCCAAGAGCTCATCATGGGCTATCGAGCGCTGACTAGCTCACTCCATATATATAGTAATTTAACGTGGGGTTTTATGGGTCATGGAATCACGTGATGTGATTTATGAAGTGTCATCCCAGCTTGAAGCGAGAGTGTCACCTAAACGGGTTGTAGTTTGAGTTTGGCTTTGGGTTTGGCTTTTGGTTTGAATTTTAGAGCGAGCTGAAGCGTCGGATGTCATCTTGCCTCGCGAGTTTTCATCACAGCATTATTGAGTGCACGGCACCTCAGCATTTTGGAACTGAACTGGATTGGATACTTATAATGGAATATCAAGATCCTCTTTTTCTGTCATTACGGCTTGCGAAAATTCTTTTGACGATTTCCATCTTATGGAGGGTGGATACTAAGGAGTCTTAAATTTATTTAATTTGACGTACAAGTTTTGCAAGTTACTTTGCTGTGAACAGTTGTTGAAGAACACCTTAAATTCTTGAAAATGTATTTTGGATTTGAAAAAAAGGCTCTTGCTAGACTGGGGTGTCGATTGTGAATTATTTACATTATTTGACAGTCCAAAGTAAATGATTTATTGAAGGAACCTACGTGAAAACGCTGCGACCGTCGCATGACAATAATTTCTATCGTAACCTGGGAATGACCATCAACTTTCCTCCTCCACAAATGCCACGTATTAATGAAGTTTATCGAGCTGTCTCGGAAAATACTAGGCGTCAAATATTGTGAACTGACAAGTAGTCATACCATTTATTATTCATGTACAGCGTCCCATTTCGACAGCAATGACAGCGAAGTACAAAGTGATCTGAGATGAAATCGAAAATCACCATCTTCCGTGATCAGAACATAAAGTCCGCTCAAAACCCCAAATTCGAGCTTTCAAGCTTCTCGAAACTGTTTGCTTTAACTCTGAAGTCAAGTTGGTCTTTGAAAACCGGAAAGCCTTCGAAACTGCGAATATTCGCTTCTGAGAACCTAAATAGTCAAAAAACCACCAATCTATCATGTAATACACGCATTAGGTAGCTCAATTTTCTAGTAGAGCCGGTGCGTGTGCTTCGAGCTATCTTCACAATGGCAAGCTTTCTCGGTGATCGCTCAAGATATCGAAATACTTAATTCCGTACATAGTGCGCTAGAAACATCCATTTGTATACCTTCATTTCAAGAACTTTGACGCAGCTCAAACTCGTCTCGATTTCAGCTAGCCAACGAGCCCTCCAGGAACCAGAAGATGTCTGAGCAATGGCAGGTGAACCCAGATAATCGGAGAAGGCTGTTACAACTTCAAAAGCTGGGTGGAAACAAGAAATGTGTGGATTGCGGGGCGCCAAACCCACAGTGGGCCTCGCCTAAATTTGGAATCTTTATATGCTTGGAATGTGCAGGAGTGCACAGAGGCCTCGGGGTGCATGTTTCTTTCGTAAGGTCGATTACAATGGACCAGTTCAAGCCAGAAGAGCTGGAACGCATGGAAAAAGGCGGTAATGAGCCGTTCAACTCGTATCTCGAATCGCACGGCGTGGATCCAAAACTGACTCACAAAGCCAAGTACAACAATCCAATTGCAGCCGACTACAGGGATAAACTCACGGCGGAAATTGAGGGCACAGAATGGGTAGAGCCCGAGCACCCAGGCTTCGATCCTAAGGCATTGGTCGCTTCTGGTGGGCCTCCAGCCTCAGACCACAGTTCACGGGCATCTACGCCCGCTGCGCCCATTTCTGGAGGCTCTGTACCTCTAGAATCGCGTAAGTCCACGCCCCAGATCCCTGACGCGCAGCGTGAGAAGAACGAAGCGTACTTCGCGGAATTGGGCAAGAAAAACATGCTCAAATCGGATGCTTTACCCCCCTCCCAGGGAGGTAAATACCAAGGCTTTGGTAACACGCCAGCAACCCCACAAAACCAAAGTGCTACTGGTCAAATGGCTACCCTTTCTCTTGATAATTTGCAGAAAGATCCACTTGGCACGTTTTCCAGGGGTTGGAGCATGTTTTCTAGCGCGATCACCAAACATGTCGAAGACGTGAACGACAACATGATCAAGCCAGGAATGCAGCAAATGCAAGGAAAAGACTTATCGGAGGAAACTCGCCGAGCGGCGGCGCAATTTGGTCAGAAATTCCAAGAAACCTCCGCTTTTGGGTACGAAGCGTTCTCGAAATTCACTAAAAACCTACAAGGACAGTACCAACAGGGCTTTAATCAGGCTCCAGCCACCGAAAGCCAGTTTTCTAAGCTTTTCGATGATATGGGGCAAGAACATTCATCTGTCGCAGGGACCAAATCGAAAAAATCCGAAGACGAGTGGGATGAATTTTAAAGCCATGCTAGTCTACGTAATATTTTACCTATTGCAATGAACATAAAAGGGCAATCCATTTGCGTGTAAAAGGCCAACTTGTAATTTTTGTCGCGGCAGACTGAATTTAATGTCTATGAGCCTATGTCAGGTATTCAAAAATCGTCTTTTGGTGAAATCTCCTGAAAACGGGTTTTAAGAGAGAACAAGAAAGCACTGTAAAGGATTAACACACTGTATATACTCAGTATAAACTCAAAACTCAAATAGATACCCGATTGATCTCCACACCGAGCAGTTGGTCTCTCGCTCTTTTTCAAAATATTATTCTTATTAGCCAGATCAAGTTCGTGCATAGTGTTATCAACACTTTTTGAGCCTTCTACCCTACATCACCAGAACATCGCTCATCTTCAAACGTGTCAACTGTGAGCGAGGTCGACCTTTGATTGCAACGCCATCAGCTTCAAATAAGCTGATGTCATTTCTAGATCAACTTCCGCCAGATTTGCGGGAAAAGATTGAAATTATAAGCACCTCGAATCCCTCAGCTATTGACGTTTTCCAAGAGCTTTACAACTATATAAACATAGATCCAGAGAACAGAAAGAAGCCAAAAAATTCCGGTTTGGCACCAGAGGTGACAGAAGATTCGATCATTTTCCAACTGAGAGATGTCTCGGTGCTCACGCCGTTTCGCAAAAAGCTAAATCTAGTGATTTCACTCTCACCAATTTCAGGAAAGCCTACTTTGTCGCTTTCCAAGGACATGGTCCCACAATTGACAATATCGGAGCTTAATAAGAGTGTCAAGTTTGCCACTTTTTTGCCATTCCCTGAAAAGAAGAACGCTGTTTATTTGTTCATGAGCTACACCTCAGCTTTGGACCCTAACGCGAACGAGTACCTCTTGGTGACACTAAATAAGGAGGCAACTTTGACTCAGTTGAGAAGTTCCGGGCTGATTCCTAACGACGCCAATGACATTTCACCCTGCATTGATTACATTCGGAAGCAAGCGATATTAGTTGGTTTCCGAGTTGCTGATCCCTTTTCCGCGTCGAATGTAGGCCCTGTCCCGTTCCATGTGGAGGCTCATCGGGGCACAAAAGAAGGTACGCTTTATTTTTTACCCGACCATGTCTTGTTCGGATTCAAGAAACCCATACTGCTCTTCTCATCTCAAGAAATTGAATCTATTACCTACTCATCAATCACACGGCTGACATTCAATGTTACTCTAATTACCAAAAACGGGGATAAATATGAGTTCTCAATGATCGATCAAAACGAGTATGCGTTGATCGACGATTACGTCAAGAGAAAGCAAGTTGTTGACAACTCAATGAGCGAGGAAAATAAAGCCAAAACGGCCCATAAGGACCAAAACGCTGCCGAGCATTCTTCTCTTCTTGCCGAAGCTGCACAGCAGCTTGAAAGTGGGGGCAAAATTAGTAATATTCCGCTAGAATCTGACGATGAGGAGGCCGACAACGACTTCGAAGGTGACAGTAACTTGTCTGACGGTAGCGACATAGGATCTTCCGAGGATGAAGAGGAGGAAGATGGGGACGAAGAGGAAGATGCGGCAGAAGAGGAGGCAGCAGAAGAAAATGTCGAAACTGCTCTTAATGAACAAGACCAAAACTTCTCGAACGAAGTGGACGAACAACAGTTTGAATTATTAGGAAAAGTCCACAACACTTTTGGTGCTGATGATTTTGACGACCTAACGCAAGGCATCTCGTTCCCGATGGAAACTGATGGTGTTGAAGATGAAGACGATTCGGGGGTTGAATATGATTGAGTCATCTAACTTCTGCTCTCGCTGTATACTATTAAATAACAATGCATTTATTCTTCGAGCACGTAATTACCCAGGCTGTCCATCTTCAAGTTAGTTACACCACTTGACAGAGCTTCGACTATGCGTTCGTTTTCACTCTCTAAATCTTCTTCTTCTGCGCCATCCTCATCTTCTGAAGAATCGTAGTCAGAATAGTCAGAGCTTTCGTCACTGTAACCAGCGTTCTCGGCATCCAGATCCTGATCATCAGTGTCCTCCTCGAGCTCTTTTCTCATTTGCTCGGCAGCTTCTTCCCATCTCCTGTCACCAGGGTGTTTTTTACTGAAACCCGAGGCCAAGACTAGTTCGTCCAGATTGTCGCATCGTTTCACATCTCGCTGGAAGTCAGGGTATGCGTACTTGTAACCTTCTCCAAAACCGTCAACGTCGATCATCGAGTCGTCGACCACGGGCTCGTACTTCAGCTTCTTTTTGAAGAATCTGCGTATGCAGTCAACGTCTCTTTTGAAGAAATACTCCGCATCTTGATGCTGAATAGATATACATTGTGGGAAATCAATGACGATAAACCCACAATCCTGAGCGTCCTCGACGGAGTTTTTGATCATGATGTTAAACTCGTTAAAATCACAGTGGATAAGACCGTGGTTGGCCAGATTGACGATGAACAACATGAGGCCACTGTAAAGCTTAGACAAGTTCTTGTGTGTGCGCATCCGCCTCATGGGGTAGCCATCGATGAGTTCCATTAGGACCATGTGACGAGAGTTGTCAAATGGTTCAGGAACCGAAAATCCCTTGGAGTAGAGAAGCGACATGAACTGGTGCTCCTTGTTGGCAGCTAGAAGTGACAGATACATCCAGCTTCCGGATTTGTTGTGTTTAAGATAGTCACGGTTGTTTTTCACAGTTGTGAACGAAGTGCGACCCAGACGGTGAATCTTCAGAACTCTGGCAGTGCCGTCTTTGGCACTTACTCGATACACATCTGATTCTTTACCCACACCTATTATATTTCCTACCGAGTAAATGGTATCTCTGTTCAACATGGATTTGAGGCCCAGGTAGTCAAATCCATTATAAGTAAGTCTGAACCCGTCATATTTTATATTTCTCATCCTCGAGACAAGCTTCAATTTAGCAAGGTCTCCAATCGATCTGTTTGTTCCTGAAGAAGATCTCATTCCTGAAAGTTGGTGAATCAACGTCGTGGGAACAACTTCATGGTTTCTGGTGCCTTGTTCTATGGCCTGAAGCACACGAAAGTCGTCAGGCGTCATATAACGCATATTGCTCGTATCAAGCTTCATTTTGGAGCGTATTTGGTATCCCAATCGGTGGTTAGTGAGTGTTGCTTTACCTAAGTTTTTATCTCATCGAGCTCATCTCTCATCGCGATGGCCTAAAATTTTCAAGATGTTATTACTTATTAGTTCCAGTTCTGAACGCTGACACCAAACATGTGATGGGAAGATGTATTCAATTAAGCGAGTTAAGTCCAGCCTGGGAGTATATTCGGTTTTGGAGTGAGATTTCTAGACCGCCCCGATTAATTTGGCCATCTCTGGAAGATGGCTTTCAAATTGTTGAGTATCACTCTGGTGTTCATAAGGTCTATTTCTACTTATGATAAAATGCATAAAATGCTTGGAAAAGATAACACTAAATCGAGTAGAAGATGGGTCAACTTTAGTAAACTAAAGAAAGAAAGAAAGTTAATAGATTCATGTTTTTGGGCTTTCTCCTGTGAGCTCACGCAACAGAATGAACTGGTTATACGAACCACATCAGTTTTTACGAAATGATAAGAACTTTGAATCTCTCCTACTATTTCAGAACAGTTGCAGTCTGCGAGATTGCTTATCATTTTGCCTGCCTGAGCTCCTGTTAAATTTATTGAGACATTACATTCGTGATTTTTATGGGCATCGCACCACTTTATGTGTTTGTAGTGGGTATTTGCAAATAACGACAGAATAGTAAAAAGTGATTTGAAGAGACGGCAAGGTCTTGAATGCGTCTAGTGTACACAACTGGTCTGACGACAGTGGTGAGCTTCACTGGTCTTTAAGCAAGTTTTCGTCATGATTAAGATTATATTTATGTAGTTTTTTGGTATATATGTCAGAAAAACTGGGAGGTCATAAGCGGCCCACACTAGGCCTAATGTATGCTGTATAAGCGAGCGTGAGCCATAAACTCTTGACTGCGGAAAAAGAGACCGGAGAGAATCCGCGATGTGGTAAATTTAGGCTCCCTCACCTCCATAGAAATGGGGAGTGATGATCTCTGGGGGGACCATGATGATATCTAAAGGGACCGTGATGATCTCTGGGTGGGCCATGGTGACCTCTGAAGGGACCGTGATCATCTCTGAAAGTGTCATAATGGTCTCCTAAAAAGTCATGATGATGCGTCCTGAAATTATTTTCCATCAAGAAAGGTGGTATATTATGCGATGGAAAACCATAACGGTCGCCAGGGCCAGCGTGGAAGTCACGATTTGGACCAAAATAACCAGGACCGCTAGCTAAATGCTCATGGTGGTGGAAATGGTATTCGACCTTGGGAGGAGGAGGAGGGGGTGGTGGATAAAATGAAGGTCTGCCTCTGCCGTGGTGTGGACCATGTCTACCGCCTCTTGGGGGAGCACCTCTGGGATGATCAAAAAAATCGCGGTGCTCTTCACGACTGAATTCGCGATCAAATGGTCGATCATCGTGGTATGGCCCTCTGCCAAAGTGCTCGTCTCTGTAATAATCGGGTCCTGGCGCGGGGCCTCTAAACCCAGTGCGGGGCCTGTGAGGATGGCTTGGAGCCTCTTCATCGGACCTCTCAACATTTTGAGGATTTTCAAGATTCATAGACTCTTTCATTTCTCTAGCTAAACTTTCTGTATTAGAGACGTATTCTGGACTATCCATTTTCGAAGTTACTGTCATCGAACAAAAATAGCGATTCAACAAAACAAGTTGCTTCAAAATGCACTGATACTGCTGGAAATCCCAAGTTGCTAATTCTAACCGGCTCAGATCGTTTCCTTTTATACCAAAGTTTCCGATCTTGCCATCCGTGGCTGCCAAGCCAAAATGGCCGATATCCATTAATCTACGCGCATATTCGGGTTTTGACCAGCCTGCGCCCTGCATTTCGTCAAATCCCGAAAGCCCGGGATCTAAAAAACGACCACGAGTGGCTTATCAAATGCAAAACTTCCCATCTACCACGCAAACTAAGTAAGCTGTCTGCGGCCGTGTGCGAAAAGCCTTCAATTGCGCATACATGCCGGGTGACTCAAATGCCTGTCGTCAAGAGGAACCTGGCGTCTTTGTAGAACCAGGATCTTCGTTTAACATTGTGAATCGGTCGAAGGTTTGAATAGCGTGTGTGGTGTGGTGAAAACCATTGGAGTATTCTTACTGCTGTTTTAAAAGTATATTGGACAAGTAAAGCTGCAAGAAAAACAATCCGGTTGGGAACGGTATCTGATATATATGATATATATATATATATATATATATATTTGAATACCCGCCTCGTGCGGGCAGTCCACGCTTTTCAACTGGGCAAACATCTTTCTGTACCATATTAGAGGTATCACTTCGTGGCGTCATTGGTGCTGGCACTTGAGCTTACTACGTTGATTGAATGAATGACAGACAAGCTGAGATGCAATTGACGAACATTGCAAAATGAGGTTTCTTGTTAGTCTCCAACAGAGAGACTCAACGAGAAGGGTTAGCTCGTCGAGCTACAAGACATACTAAAAAATGGTCCTGAAAGTTACACCAAGAATCTGATAGAACTTAACAAGGACAGCCCTCTCCTCGAGTTTGTTTATAGAAAAAACCGCTGTTCACCAGAGAGCTACACACACGGGTGCTGTTGATCGCAGTGCAATGTTTACACTCTGTGAGAAGCGACGTACGTAAAAATGCCATCAATAGTGTCTTTAGTATTTTCTTCTCTAGAAGACTGACTACCCGAGTAATATATTCATATCCAATATAGAAAATTCCAAAGTAAACTAGCTGGGATAGTTACACGGATTTGACACTAGAATTCAGCTCAAACTGCGTATTCAATAAAACGTCAATTGCCAAACAATGATATTCCAATCACTTCTGGCTTCTCTTCGGAAATTCGAGTCTTTCCAGGACTAAAAGTAAAACCTTGACAGAAACTCGTACTTTCTTGCCTCGTGCAGAGAAAGCAGCGATGCACCGAGTGTGTTGCTTGTTTCCACTCTGACACCGGGTTTTCTTCCCAAAAAGGCTTGTAATACGTCGTTTCTACTGACAAGACTAACATTTACTAACTATACATGCTACTAGCTTGGACGATGAAATGAGAACATTTGTAATACCCCTCGAACACCCATCTTTGTTGACGCTTGTTACATAACAAGTGCCTGAGTAGTAATGTGTGAATAACTCTCGGGCCTTATTGAAGAGTGCTCGTCTTTCGGTGTCTTAAACATGAAATTACCAATTTTGACAAATTCACCCGGGAATGTAGAACTTAATAATGTTTGTCCGTTTAAGAACCTTGGTCTTAAGAAGGACAACACGATAAATGACAAATACCAGACACGGTGACACATCTTGGGTTGAGTTATATAAAGGTTAGTAAATGTTGTTGATCAAATAGTCCGTAAATGAACGTAAATATACACCATATAAATATACTAGTACTTCTACAGTATTGGATTCTTATTTGATAGTCAAGCATTAGCGAAGCATAGTGGAGCATAATTAGCAAAATGAAGGTATTTGTTACAGGAGCATCTGGATTTGTGGGTAGCGCAGTGGTGCCAGAGTTGTTAAAATCAGGCCATAAAGTCTTGGGTCTAGCTCGTTCTGACGACGCAGAAAGGAAAATCAAGGCCCTAGGACCTAACGTCGAGGTTGTGAGAGGTGGACTCTTAGACGTGGATGTGCTTGCAAAAGCGGCTTCCGAGGCAGACGGTGTGGTGCATTTGGGATTCATTCACGATTTCAGCAAATACCAGGAGAGCTGCCTGATCGATCGGGCCGCTGTAGTTGCCATGCTCGACGCGCTGAAGGGCACGGATAAACCATTCGTGAACACCGCGGGAAGTCTTATGTTCGCTCCTGGAGTCTTGGGCACCGAGACCACCGCCAAACAAACTAGCGGCTTCGCCAAGCTACGCTCTGATACTGAGGACATTGTATCGAGCTACAAGGAAAAGGGCGTGAGAGCCTGTACAGTCAGACTACCCCCCACAGTTCACGGCAAAAACGATCCCAACTTCATTTCCTTCTTTATCAACGTCGCCAAGAAGTCTGGAAAATCAGCGTACATCGGGGACGGCCAAAACGTTTGGCCTGCCGTGGCTCGCTTGGACGCTGCCAGGTTGTTCAGGTTCGTCTTGGAGAAAGGGCGCGCCGGAGCAGCCTATCACGCCATTGCCCAACAAGGAATCAAGACCAAAGAGATTGCGGGCGTCATAGGGCAGCTGGTGGGAGTGCCTGTGGTTTCGGTGGAAATGCCAGAGGCGGCTGCCCACTTTGGCGTGTTGACCGGTGTCTTTTCCGCTGACGGCCCTGCTTCTAGCAAAATCACCCGCGAGGAACTAGGCTGGGAGCCCAAAGAACCTGAACTCTTGGATGATATCCTTGTCAACTATGCTATTTGATATTTATGTAGTCACGGTTGGCTAAGAAGAAGTTATGTGATTGATGAATTCAAGCTACGTCCGCCCGCTCTTTGAGGTATTATAAGCAGATATTCTAGAGTTGTGGTGTCAGTAGTGAATGAATGTCTTGAAGAACCAGTCAGTATTAGTGTGCAGTTCACCCAAGCTTTCAAGCAATTCTTTTGGTAGCCTCGAAACTACTCTTTACGACCAACTCAGTGAAGTTCTTGGATAGCACAATATTGGAAGTAACTTAGATTTTATATGACAGCTCTGGATCAATCTTATACCTTCCTACTTATCGATCACCAACATTACTTGGAAAAGTGAAGAATTAAATACTGGAAAAAACACAACTACTCTGCAATGACTCAATCACCAGATCTCTTTCAGATATTACCAAATTCTACTCCTTGTTCCTCCATTTCAAAGTTTACAGCTCAAATACGACACTGACACTGGAATAGGATGACTTTGGCAAGTTCGATTAAATGTTATTTCTTGTCAAGGACAGAAAACTATAAAGTGATAATATCTGGGTGACAGCTACAAGAGACTGCAAAGCTATCGATCCATCTCAATCTTTAGAGGTGAAGTAACGAGTTTCTCTGTCAAGCAGTGGCTTACCTCCTTCAGAGCTCGAATTGTTCAAGCTTGCAAAATAATGGTGCTTTTTGTACATTACTTATATGGGCCAAAAAGCTAAAAACCTATCCATATTTAAGACTAGATACACAGGAGGTAGACGATGAATGACATGGATGAATCATCAAATTGTGAAAATAAAGGTAGAAATGCATCTCAATTTTCAAAAACCTTAACGAGTGGCCATGGCCTTGGTGACAACTCTCTTCAAACCGACTTCAGCCTTTCTCAAGTCATCGGCAGAGGAGTCCTCGATCTCCAAAGCAGCCATGGCGTCGGACAAAGCGGCTTCGATCTTGGTCTTGTTACCTCTCTTCATCTTGGAGGACAAGATTGGGTCGGTGACGGTTTGCTCGATGGAGGCAACGTAAGATTCCAATCTTTGTCTGGCTTCGTGCTTCTTAGCGAAAGCTTCATCAGCGGCCTTGAATTCTTCGGCTTGGTTGACCATCTTCTCGATTTCGTCAGAGGACAATCTACCAACAGCGTTGGAGATGGTGATGTTGGCGGACTTACCAGTGGACTTCTCGACGGCGGTGACCTTCAAGATACCGTTGGCATCGACTTCGAAAATAGCCTCCAAGACTGGCTCACCAGCTGGCAAAGGTGGGATTCCCTTCAAGTCGAACTCACCCAACAAGGTGTTCTCGCTACAGTTGACACGTTCACCTTGGTACACTGGGAATTGCACAGTGGTTTGGTGGTCGGCAACGGTGGTGAAAGTTCTTCTCTTGATGGTTGGGACAGTGGTGTTTCTTGGCACAACAGGAGCGAAAACGTTACCTTGCATGGCAACACCCAAAGACAATGGGGCGACATCCAACAACAACAAGTCCTTGGTGTCTTCGGAGGTAGATTGACCGGTCAAGATAGCACCTTGAACGGCGGCACCGTAAGCAACGGCTTCATCAGGGTTGATGGATTTCTCCAATTGCTTACCCTCGAAGAAGTCAGATAGCAACTTCTGGACCTTTGGAATTCTGGTGGAACCACCGACCAAGACGACTTCGTCGATTTGGGACTTGGCGATCTTGGCGTCCTTCAACACTTGCTCTACTGGTTCCAAAGTGGACTTGAATAGAGCGGCGTTGATGTCTTCGAATCTGGCTCTGGTGATAGAGGTCTCGAAGTCCTCACCGTCGAACAAAGAGTCGACTTCGATGGTGGTCTGGGTGACAGAGGACAAAGTTCTCTTGGCTCTTTCGGCGGCAGTTCTCAATCTTCTCAAGGCTCTGGCGTCGTTGGAGATGTCCAAACCGGTCTTCTTCTTGAACTCGGCCTTGAAGTGGTCCAACATGTTGGTGTCGAAATCCTGACCACCCAAGTGGGTGTTACCGGAAGTAGACTTGACGGTGTAGACACCGCCGGCGATGTGTAGCAAAGAGACATCGAAAGTACCACCACCCAAGTCGAAAATCAACACATGTCTTTCCTTCTCAGACTTACCGGCACCTAGACCGTAGGCGATAGCGGCAGCGGTAGGCTCGTTGATGATACGCAAAACGTTCAAACCGGAGATGGCACCGGCGTCCTTGGTGGCCTGTCTCTGGGCGTCGTTAAAGTAGGCTGGCACGGTGATGACGGCCTTCTCGACCTTCTTGCCAATCTTGGCCTCGGCGGTCTCCTTCATCTTGGTCAACACCATCGACGAGATTTCCTGTGGGGAGAAAGTCTTGGTCTCGCCCAAGTACTCGACCTCGATCACTGGAGCGTCGTTGACGTCGATCACCTTGAAAGGCCAGGTCTTCATGTCGCTCTGCACGGACTCATCGTCGAATCTTCTACCGATCAAACGCTTGGCGTCGAACACAGTGTTCTTTGGGTTCAAAGCGGCCTGGTTCTTGGCAGCGTCACCGATCAATCTCTCTTCTGGGGTGAAAGCAACGAAAGATGGAGTAACTCTGTTACCTTGTTCGTTGGCGATAATTTCAACCGACGACTCGTAAGTCGCAACACATGAGTAGGTAGTACCCAAATCGATACCGACAGCACCTGCGAAAACACCTTCAGCCATTGTTGTGATGTGAGAGGATTGAGCTTGAATGAGCAATTGCGAAAACAAAAAGATTCAAAAACTCTTCACCAAATAGAATGGGTAAAGGTTTAAATCTTGACTATTGGAATGGAAAGTTTTATAACTCGACTTGACGAAAAAAAAATTTTTCAGAACTTTTCGTCAAAATTTTTTTTTCACCATAGAGAATGAGAATCACTCACGGCTCATCGCACGCGCACAGCGAAGCAGCGTAGCGACAGCGGCGCCGCCTTTTTCTTTTTGGCATCGGGATGAGCTGGTGTTGGGATTTGCTTGTGCGGACCGGGTTGTTCGCAGGACATGCTGGGTTGTTCGCAGGCCGGGGGCAGGTGACGAGGATGGGGACGGTGGGCGACAGCGGGCGACAGCAGAGGATGAGAGTGGGAAGTGGCCGAGTGATGGAGATGGCATACGGACTTGGTAGGGGTGGTCATTAGAATTATGCGATTTGGTCTGGGCAACAATGTTTGTATCAAAAGAAGGATTGAGATTTGGAGGAGATTGGTATGAATTTTGAGTTGTGGGGTGGGTGAAGTGACGAGAGGAGATTAATGTTGGGAACAGAGCTGTGGGATGATATTGTGGAGAATCTTGGTGGTGTGAATTTGGAATGTAGAGAGCCCTGATATGCAAATAATGAGAAAACCAGTGATTAGGAAATCAAGTGCTCATATTTTGGGTTTTGAGATGATAATGCAGAGAGCCTCGACGATGTGATGATCGAAACGATCGAAATGACAAGCTGTATACATGGTTGTAAACCTTGGATTGTGGGATGGGTATGACCAAAGGGACTTAGTGCTGTGAGTTTTGAGATGACCATGCGAAGGACCTCGATATTGGAAATACTCAGATTACCTAACTGAGCAGAGGAACTTGATTTAATGTTGTGAGCTTTGAGTATCGAGATGTCCAAGTTGAGCAGAGAAATCAAGTGCTCATATTTTGAGTGTCGAGATGTTCATGCGGAGAACCTCGATATTGCGAATCCTGTGTTTCTAGATGGTCAAAAATTACCATTGAAATTCTGTGCTGTGAGTTCTCAGTTTTGAATCTCGGTGACCAGGGGATTCAACAGTGTAAACACCACAGGACTGAGTTGCCACACCATTAAGAGAGTTTTGTCATTGCCAGACGATAATGCATGAAAGATCGATATTAGTTATACCACATTGCGAAATGCCCAAAATGATCAGAGGTGTTTAATGTTGTGCTTTTTGAGCTCTGTAGAGAACACCGGTGACTTAGGCCATGACCGAATCCCGCAGAAGAATGCAGTGTTGTAAACTATAATCTGAGAGATGGCCAAATTGACCAATGCCATCTATTCTTGTAAACTTTGAGTTTCGAGACGCTTGTTTCATAACCTCGATATGGCAAATATTGTGTTTCGAGATGACCGAAATGACCAAAGAAACTCTATGCTGAGCTTCAAGTTTCGAGATGACCAAAATGACCACTGAACCGAATGCTGTAATTGTTGGTTTGCGAGATAGGCAAAATGACCAGAGGGAGTTGGTGTCGTGAACTTGCAACCGAATGACCAGAGGAATTCATTCTTGTAGATGACCAAATTAAAGCAGAGGAATCCAGTGCTAGTATATATGCTTCGAGGTGATATTGTTGATATTGCAAGCGGTGAATTTCTTTGAGCACTGGACTCAATGTTTCAAATGCTGGATTGCGACATCAGTAAGACACCTTGAGTTTTGCGAAAAACCTCGGTATTGCATGAAGTGACCAGATGGATCCTTACCGCCAACTCCGTGCTGTTCATTAATCAGTAGAATAACACACATGCATACACCATGCTAAGCGCCTCGGAAAAGTCTAAAGAAAGCCAAAATTCTACACACCAAATTTTGGTCTTGTAGCAAAGCTCGAGTATCAACACCCCCGGTCTTGGACTTTGCGTTTCGTATCTTCCCTCCCCATTTTTCAACATAATGGACTCTTAGTTCACCCCCACCAACACCATCCTTGTCCCCACTACCCCTTTCAATCCCGATACAGCGCCAATCTAGCATCAATGAGGCACACGGCTTTTGTCACCGAAATTATATCGCCAGTGATACTCAAATGCTGCTCAACGCACTTCGGGCTATTTAGCTGCTCGACTGTCAGTCGTGCTGCAATAGGAATAACCTTGATTGTTGCACCGGACTCTTGTCTGATTTGTTGGATTGTGGTGCCCTGGTGTCCAATAAGAAAAGTAACCTCCGGCTTGTTCAAAGTCACATTATGTGTGATCACTTCCTTCTTTCGCATCCCCAACACCACAGGCGCCGCTCTATAGATATCCAGCATCTCTCGGGGAGCGACTGCTCGCCAGCGTCGAGGAGGGCACTGGTAAAAAGGACTCTCTGCAAGTCTACGCATATCTTCGATTACAAGCTCGAAACTCAAGCTTTTAATCGTCACGGACCTGGAATTGAGAGAAACAAGCGAAGCTTTCAAATCGATGTTTTTTGTGCGTATCGAGTGCACCAACTCGCGCGGCAAAAGCATGCACGCGCCCTCAGGGCATAAATTTTGCAGAAAATTCACCTCCAACGGGCATTCTACCATGACACTGTGGTACGTGTCACTGAAAATGAGAATAGCTTTCTCGGGCTCGTTAGAAAGCGCAGCGATAGTTGCCCCCCTTTCTAGTTCAAAAAACTCACGTATCCGAAATTTGGACACCACCAATTTAACTCGGACTGTAGTCTCTGACCGTAGGTGCGGCAATTGCACAGCCATGTCTTCGATCTTGCTCTGAAACAGCATTTGAAGACGCTGCAAAACAATCTCTTGTGCTTTTGGGGCCAAGTCGGCCTCCAGGTCCATTTTGTGCAAGTAATCTCTAACTTGATCCTGGGCATCAGAACTTCGTGGCGTGTCGAGCTCCAGAGTTGGAGTTTCTTGCCAGCGTTCAGTCTGGAGATTCAAAATGACTCCCAATGACCCATCGCTGTTGATAATCGCGTTCATTCTTGGTACGTGGGTGACGCGTTTAAGGGCTCGGCGGCTAATTGGCGCGCTGGGCAAATAATAGGAGGGAGTGGACGTAACAGTAGAAATCTAGACACTTGCCTGCTATATCTTGCTCGTGGAATCTGCTCAGCTAACCTGATTGTTAGAATACTTGCAGTGAAGCTTAGTGAGACTTAAATTTGATATTATGATGGTGTTTTCAACGTTCTCAGAGTAAGAGTAATGATTAAATATTCCTTAAACCTTCTAGAGGTATCTTTGTACGAAATCTTGTAGTGTAACGACAGCGTCGACATCCAACTTTCAAAGGCGTACTCATAGCTCCATTACTGATCCCACCAGCGGTATCGTAATTTTTGGAGGTATCTCTAAAGCTGTACTTAATTCTTGCATCGTTGTTTGGCTGGTTTTAGACCCAGTTTCACAGTTCTGATCTGCGTTGCGTGTGACAGTAGAAAAATGACCATCCAGCTCAGCACCGCTCACCAAGACTGGCGATTTAGAGTCGGGCTTTTTTGTTCGTGGTTTTTATTCTGTCGATCTCCAGTTTAAGGCTTGATTGATCAATACGCATTCTTACTTCTTAGTGAGATCTTGGGCAGAGGCAAGATTCTGGACAAGTTCTGCAGCGTGATAGATGAAAAGATACTGATCTGGGGTCTGAACCATTTTGAGCCGTTGCGACCGAAGCTGCGAGACGATTTGCTCCACCAGATCGTGCGGATAGTCTTCAACGGGCCCTGAGTCTGTGAAATCGCGCGTATCGTGAAACAAATGATCCAGCGTTATAAACGTTCCTGTTCTTCCCACGCCTGCGGAACAATGCACGATCATAGGGTTCTCGGGCGAGTTCAGTTTATGGGAGTGCTTGGAAAGTTTCAGAATCGGCAAGATCTCGTCAGGTTTCGACATATCGCGCCATTGGTCGAAGTAGAAATGATGAACGGTTTTCGGAGGCAACCGAGGGTCTGAGGGCATCAATTTCAGTGTTGTCAATACGTAGTCATTTTCGCGCTCTTCGGCCACATACTGCACCTCGAGCCCGGTCTCAAAAACCGCGTCTAAGCCTTGGTTTCGAGGTACTGCCACACAGAATTCTGGGGCGCGAGGCCAATACTCAAAGCATTTCCGTTTGCGATGCTCGGTTAGTGGTGTTACCATCACCACAACCGCGTGTTCGCCAGGACACTGCTGATAACACATTTGCCAAAAGTGTGGCCACGAGTTCTCGGTGGGTCCTTGTGTTGCAATATAGTAGCCTGCCCTCAACGATTCGCCAGGCACCTCAACTTTGACGTATGAAGCATTGATATAATCATTTCCAGACTTCACACGCAGTTTCACTCTATTCCGCTCATACGGCATGATGTTGATATACCTGTTGCGGTCGTAGTTCTCTTGACTCATAGAGACTCCTAAGCTCCATTTTGATGTCTCGGGATTTAACGTAGCTTCTCGAAGTCTCAAGTCTTCCTGCTGCTGAATGTACCGAAACTTCTCAAGAATATCCTGCGTGCTTTGGCGTAAATACCACGGCTTCACACCTTTAACCATAACTCCTACTAAGTATCAATATTTGACTGACTGTATTGCTCGCCTTCAAAGGTTGATTTCGAGGTCTTGGTTTCACTGATGATGAGATGTCAAAGCACCTGTAAAGTGATTAAAAGATATTGTTGATGTCGAATAAATCTGATGATTTCTGGATACATCGCTAAAATAGACAAAAACTGGCCTCATTGGTGGTGGCATTGAGACCATGGAGGACTCTGAAATCTCCAAGGGATCGTATAAACAAAAATCGTTTTTGTCTCTGCGAAATTTGGGCTCAGAGAAGTTGAATTCAAGCCCACGAGCCTCTCGGACTTCCCTGTCACAGTTGAAGCTAAACTTGCTAACTGATGGGAAGCAGTGGGAGTTTCTGGAAGATTATGGGCTCGAGGAGCTCAGAGACGGGTTTTTTGATCCCATTTTCACGAGATATGAGCCTGTAGGGACGGAATCGGATCAGGGTGATGCAACAGCGAAAACTGTGCAACACCAGGTCCTGCTCCATTCCTGGTTTTTGGAGCAGTATGTGAAATTGCAGAGCAACTGGAAAAGAATGCTTAAGTTTTGGATTGCCTTTTTTGGAGCATTTTGTATTTGTTTGGTGCGGCCTTCAGGTTCGTGGATCGGGCAAAGTTATCGTTATTTCTTGCCTCTTGCGGTGTTGATTCACCATCCAGTAAGGAACGTGGGAGTTCAGCTGGAGATCTGCACATGTTCCGTTTTTGGGGCAGCGCTAGGAATGGGTTGGTCGAGCCTCGCCTGGTACGTCTCGGTCGCTACGAAACCGGCCGCTAATCATCAAGGCGGTCTTCTATTTGCCAGTTTGTTCATTGCAGTCTACCTGTCATCATGGTTGATAGCGGCCAATCAGAGACTTTTGTATTTTGCGCTATCCTACGGGATTGCCGTCACTTATTTTCACACGGTTAGCTTGGTCGACAATAAAGCCTTACTAAACTGGAAGTTGTATTGGGATTTTGGTATATCGTATCTTTTCGGTCTCGTGCTATCGTTCTTGGTGTGCGTTTTGGTCTTCCCACACTTTGGTCAATCCGAAATGGTTGAAAAGCTCTCTTCATCTGTCACTGCAATCAAGCAATTGCTGGTTAACTTTTTAGAGCCCGAAGAGTGCTCCAATCTCGAGAATCTTCATACGCTGCAGAAGAGAATTGGCAAGACCATCGATTTTGACGTTTCTGAGGGTATTAGAGAATTTTTGAATCAGTTAACAGTGGCTAGAATCGATGAAAAGTCACTGCTTAAGTTCCGCAACGACATTACAAATGCCGCTGCACCTTTGAGGTCTATACCAACGGATCACAAATTGGTGACAAAGTTGGAACTAGAAGCATTCTACACCGAACTGAATGAAAGAGCGAAAGAAAGAAACCTTAACACGTCCGTTTGTGCAACACCTGTTCCTGAAACCGCAAAGGCAACCTTGAGCTCAGCAACCCGACCACTAATAGATGCGAAAACGTCGTTCAACAAAGAGGTCTTTTCCAGTCTGCTACGTTCAGCGTTTTCAAAAGACATAATAGCTTTAATGGTGGAAATGGTATCGCTTTTAGAAAGCCTGGAAGGCTCGTTCGAACTTTTTACTCAATTCACATGTTCTAGTAAGAACAGACAAGATACGGATAAGACTCTAGGAACTCACGTTAACAGGCTTGGGCGAAAGATCCATAAACTCGATCTTTCTTATCAAAGTTTTGTTAAATCGAACGTCTTTACCAAAGAAATGCTTTCAGACTCTCAATCCATCGATTCTTTTCTCTTCCTCAGGTACATGAGACAAAGTGCTAAGCATCTTATCTCTGTTGCCAACTGCGTTTTAGACATGAGCTCCAATCTACATTGGAGAATCGCGTTTCCTCATTACCCACTTGGGCGGGCGCTGAAGCGTTTACCGAACGAGTGCAGTATTGATCAGGGGGCGAAGACTATCTTACATTACTACCAGGCAAAGGCCGATGTGGATGATATTTTCGAACAGATTTACAACAATTACACTTCGAAGCATAAAACACTTGCCACAGTAGTAGGTCAAGAAGACAAATCGAGAGCTACAGTGAGGGCCGTGGATCACAAAGATTTCAGTCTACACACTACTATTTATCCTCTGCGTTACAAGATTTGGTCGTGGGGCTCACAGATCTCGTCTCCTGAAAGTAAGTGGGCCCTGAAAGTGGTATTCGTAATGACATTCTTGGCGCTACCGACATGGCTGCCACAATCTTTTTCATGGTATCAAAAGTACCACTGTTGGTGGGCACCATTATCATTCTTCATACTGGCAAACCGTAGAAATACAGGAAACTGGGCTTCTTTCGGTAGACGATTGACTTGTGCCGTGATTGGAATATTTTGGGGCTGGTGTGCGAACCAGGCTCGACACTTTGGAAGTCCATATGTGATTGCGACATTTGCCTCCATCTTCTGCGTGATTCTGTCTTTCAATTTCTTTGCGAATGGGAACAGAAAGTCGAGCTTTACTGGATTTATATGTTTCGTTGTGATAGCCCTTGAGCCGTATAGCAAGCATGCACCTCATTTGAGCCAGGGCTTCATTTGGAAAAATACATGGGTGACTGGTGTCGCTCTGCTATGTGGTATTCTACCCTCCATTCCCATCAACTGGATTCTCTGGTCATTTACTGCTCGCCACGAGCTCCGCCTCTCGGTGGCATCTTTACTTGCCCACATCAGCCAATCTTATCAAAGCGTAGCAGACAGGTATCTTTACAGAGATGCAGGTGACGCGCCAACTGAATTGACCTTGAAGTTTTCTAATATTCGCGAAGTGCGACTATCCCAAAGTCTTATTGCTGTTCGAGAAATGCTTCGTAAAGCGCGTACCGAGCCAACTTACATTTTCGTGTTCAAGGCAGATGTCTACCAACAATTGTTAGACGGGTGTGAGTTTCTTTTGGAGAAGATGATTGAAGCGAGGATATCTGGTCAGTATTTTGAAGTGTGGGAGATTGACAGCGACAGCAGCGTTTCGAGGGCATTGCTCTCACTTCGCCGTGACAGCGTGGCCTCCGTTATCTTTGTGCTCTACATGTTATCGAACTGTTTTGTGTCGAAGCACAAGGTTCCTGTTTACTTGCCAAACGCCATCATGTCCAGGAAGAAGTTATTCGATCTAGGCTCGCGGTTCGAGTCCTCGGTGGGCGAGTCGCGCTGTTCCACTGCCACTGAGAAAGTTGACGAGCTGGGCGAGGACTCTCAGACTGACGAAAGCTCAAACCAAGAAGACGTGTCCCACTGGGCCCATATTCATGGTATGGCTTTTGCTCGTGCCTTCACTGAAATTAGCGAAGTGGTGCAAAAAATTGTTCACTTAAGCAGGGAGATCCTTGGTGAAGGTACGAGTGGTCAAGACGTTTCGACAATTCATGATTATATGCAAAGATAGATACACTTAATTTTAATTTTCAAACAACACGGTTGAGCGTGCACCCATGCTGTCAGACATATGTAATCGATATGAGTAGCCACGTCAGACATATGGTTTTCTTTCAATTCAACTAGCTCAATGCATCCATACAGATTGGTGTTTAACAACAGCTTTTCACGAACGTTCGGGATACGTCGAGTGGATGTGGCCGATTAGGATTGAACCTGACTTGTCACTTATGCCTTTTTTATATCACTTCGTGTTGTGCTGGAAAGTATCGCATGGTATACAACAATCAATGTCACCATAATAACGCCAAAACTAATTGCTAGTGTATTAAGCTGTTCGTCGGTAATCATTCTTCCAGGCTGGCTTTCTGTTTCTTTCCCGAACTCTGTAGAAGTTGTAAAGTTTAAAGAAAGATATAGATTTGAAATTATCATTAAGGTGAAGACAATGAACTTTATCGAAACCAAGCAGATGAAGTTGGACTAGAGGCTACAGTACAGCTTTCAGGCATGAGAGGCGGCCCCAGAAGTATCGAGGAGCTCCTGTATCAGAAGTTGCTGGAAAGCGCGGGTTTCCACCGTTTTGTCCGGCGAATTTACTATAAGGTCAACGGGCTGCAAGAACCGATGAATAAGGAAACCAGATCGGTCTCAGCCGACCAAATTTTTAGACCTACCAAAACCCAAAAATTCAAAGCGTTCAGGACACTGTTTTGGGACGAGCTGAGATCAACTTTCGGCTTTCAAAGACGATTTAACAAGAAGTTTTAAAAGCTGCTTCAAATTTATTTAATTCATTAAATTGGTGCTACCTTGTATATAATTACATACTCACGTATATATGTGGAGAAATCGCTTTCTGTCATTCGACGTCAAAACCACAATCTCTATCTTGTGAATGTTCTCTTCACACGACTCACTTTTTAAGAGCTTGACCAGAAAGCTCTAGAAAATCGTTCCAATTATTTTGATGCTTCATCTCAGCCGTGGGGGACTTAAATTTGCTCTTCTTTGCCATTTTAACGTTATCCTTGAGAGCCAAAATAACATTGTTGTCCGAGCCGTATCTGAAATTATCCTCCATAATAAGCGAATTGTATTTCTTGATGAGATACGACATTTTGTCGCCCCGTAGTACTTTTTTCAAAGACCACGTAATGGCAAAAGGTCCAGTCGAAGTGACAATGGTTTGCTCCTTTTGGTTTAGACCGGTGTTGAAGTATGCTTTTGAAAATTGGATAGGTTGCTTTGTTGACGTCTTCATGTATGCTGCAGTCTTAGGGTGAACTTTCAAGATATGAATTTTAGGCATTTCATCTTTGGAGAAAGGCTTCAAAAACCCAACGCTGCCCGCATTTTTCCCTTCCTTGACCGTTAAGTCGACCAAAAGTAGAGAGGAGTCGCAAGTAGCCAGCAGCCACTTCCCATCTGCCGATATGCAAATATGTTTGACAGGCTCACCCAGTGCGGGGATCAGAGTCTTGGCCCTGATGCCCAGCTTATCAAACAGCCTAATCTCACCCTTTCCTGATCCAATGGCCACATAACCGTCTTGACTGGTGGCCAGCGAGCTGAAACCATAGTTTGTAGCGTAGTCCTTGTTTTGCTCAACTACCAACTTGTTCTGTCCACTTATTCGCGGATCAAGTCTAAATACACTTTTTCCCGAAATCCCCAAGAAGGTCTGTTCATTCGTAAGTTGATCAAACTTTTTAGAGTGCGAGTACTTCAGGATGTCTTTACCGCCCGCTGTGTATTCTTCAACGACTTTCCCACGCTCAAGATTCAGCTTGTAAACCCGAGAAGGGTCATTTTTATCTTGAATGATCATCGCTTGATCTTCGGTATAAAGCATAGGGTTTTCTGGTTCGAATTCTTTGCCCTTCGTATCGCTGACTTTACTGATGGCGGTGACAAAATTCAGTTCTTTGCCATCTTCTTCAGCTTTGAAAACACCGATCTTGTTGCCTCTAGTGACGTAGGAGCGATCGTTGTTGAATGAAACAGTCAACGACTTATTGCCAGAAAGAGCGGTAGACGCTCGGTATTGCTCTTCCGCAGCATCATCGTCAAAACTGTCATCATCTCCTCGCTGATCCTCCTTATTATCTTCGTCGTCCTCGTCACTATCTGATGATCCGTCCGTCGCGCTATCACTGTCTTCATCCTCCTGTAAAAACAAGTTCAATTCTCTAGTAACATCCTCGCTGGCATCAACAATGCAGTTCTTTTCGTTCGCACTGACGGCAACCCAGCTTTTCTGGTTGAGACCTTCCCAAAGAGCCCGAGTCCAGGCTTTTTGAAATTGCACGAAAAGGGCTTCGCTCTCGAACTCAAGCATATATGAGAGAGTAATGTTCTCCATATTGTAGTTGAAGATGAAGTTTCTGGCGCTCATGTCAAAAAACGGGTTGACTAATGGAGTTATGTCAACACCTAGATTGCCACCTTCGCTCTCTACTGCCAACCAGTACTCGAACTCGCCATAGTCCAAAATTGCAAACTTACAAGAATTGTCCTGTGGTATGAGTTTTTGCACACTTGGGTCGTAGATGTATAGAGCGGCATGGCCTTGAAGAACTGTTAAGGAAGCTTTGTTGATGTGAGGGGCTTTGAGAGCTTTGTGCACGTCTTTGCGCGTTCCTTTAGGACTGAAACCGTTCAAAGCATCCTCAAACAGTTCATCAATGGAGTCTTCGTCGCTTTCGCTCTCTGAATTGTCATGTACGGTAAGAACGTTCATCGATGCTTGTAACTGAGTTGTTTCTGCATCTTCTCGATCACCATCGTCATCCAAAGCGTTCTCGTTCGATTCTTGCGAAAAGTCGAACTGCTGCAGGTCTTCTCGTACAGCTTTGCTTGCTGACTTTTTATACTTGAATTCAAACTCGCACAGGTAGGCTGTGTGCAGGAAATGGCCCACGTCTGAAAATGGGACTTCGGCGTTGGCCACAAACTGAAACTTCTCGCCAACGTCGCCCTTGGTATTTTTCCACACGAAAGCCACATCGCCTTGTTCACTCCAAGTTTTGTGAAATAGCAGAGATTCGTCTAGATTGAAACTCCATTCCTCTTCCTTCTTGGACTGTCCAGAAAGAACACTTAAGCCATCGTCTTCGAAATCTTCGGTCCCGTCTCCAGAAGCAAGCTCGGAATCGTCCACTTCCTTCTTAACCACTAGTTCAAACCGGTGCGTACCGCTCTCTCTGATCACCAAAGTGGCATCGTTGTACAAGCATTCAAGGGTGGCTTTTGGCGATGATTTAGGTCTCAACAGAAAGAACTGGCCTGCTGGAATAGACACAAGTTCCGGTTTGGCTCCTGAATCCATAAATTTCTTGATAATATTCATCGTTAAGAGATCAAATGCACGGCTATTGTGCTTTCACTTGTCTATTGTAGACTGAAGTTAAATTTGACTATTTTGGATACTTATATAGAATTCAATTCTAAATTTCAAGCTCAGCTCATCGCTGATCTTCATAGTAAATAAATCCAAAGGATTTCTAAGTGCAAGCGCCTTTATTCTGTCTATAGAAGACCAGGCTTTGGTTCAAAGTGGTGAGACGTACAAACTGAACTTCCCGGGCCTTCAAAAAGTTGTTTTTTGGTCAGATTATTTGGGATATATACTTGAAGATTAGCGACAATGCTAAGTAGCATTAGTTGTTTGAAGCTTCAGACAAAAACGCGAATAATGTGGCAATGGGGCTTTAAAACAAAACACAGCTTGACAATCCCGTTCACAGTAGTACGAAGAGGCCTTCAGTTTGGACCCATTCTTAACAAAGCGAAAACAGCACGAGATCTGATAAAATTGATCAACTCGACCTCTTTGACTCGAGCAGAAAGCTCGGCCAATCCTGCCGAGCAGAACGATGCACGAATGCCAGACTGGAAACGTCAAAAGCTAGCATTAAACAGGAAGTTTGAGGGCCAGCAGTGGAGTCCCAAGAAAAAACTTTCGCGTGAACAGATGGAGAGCCTGAGGCTACTCAAACAGCAGTTCCCAAAGATGACGGCGAGCCAGCTGGGTGAGCATTTTCAGGTGTCGCCAGAAGTGGTACGGCGCATTTTGAAATCCAAATGGACCCCTGACGAGACGGAAACGTCCAAGATACAAGAACGATGGAAACGGAGGAGTGAACGCGTAAACAAGCTATACGAGTCTTATAGCATACAGGGCCCGCCGCCCAAAAAGTTGGTTTTGGGGTCTGGAAGGTCCAACCCAGATCTCGCGGTGAAAAGCATTCAGAGAAATTTCAAGCCTCTTAGTTCCCCGTCGAAACCTTCACAGAGCACTCGGAGCAAGCAGAAACTGCAACTGCTTTCTAGACTAGTTGGCTAGCCACTCATGTTGAAGATGTCAGGGGTCAGTGGTAAATGCTTGGTGTCAGCTATTCATCACGCTATTAACTAGCCTTACCATTTATGATCCAGCCTTTCATATCACGGATGTCCTTAATACCTTCTCTCGTCGCGGTTTCGGCATCATTATCGCGAGCATCGAGTCCCAACAGACACGAATTCAAGGACTGTGTTTGAAAGCGCAAGGGCAAGAACATACTCTGGTCGTCCTGATCAGAATGCTCATCTGAAAAGTTGTCTAGCATGCTACAAGTGTACCGCAACCTGGCTGCAATTCTGGTCCAGCCAGAAGCTTCCTGGCCGTCTGGCACGGAATGTTCGGACTCTTCGGTCTGCGTACAACGTTCAATAGTCGTTTTGGAGCTTAAAGCATCGATTTTCTCGTTGTGACCCAACACACTTGCAGAAGTCCCCATCAACCTCGATTCCAAGAAACTGACCATTTTACGAGCTTTCAGCAGACATGCTGCGCTTAGTTGAGTTCGTTGATCGGTCTGAGTTTGTAAAAGAGGCTGCAACACCATTGCAGCGATAACATAACAAAAGCTAGTTGCGATACCAGCATTGTAGAACAAATTTTGTACTAATATTAAAGCTCGATACTTGTTGGTACGCTGTGAAATTTGCGCCTCTTCAGGCCAAGTAATCGAAGAGACAAGATCAAACCTATTCATCAATTGTCAGCTCTAGCAAGCAGGGTCTCAAGCACAGAGCATTCCACCGGGTATGAGAGCTAGTCGATGTATAAACTATTGATACAGATATAGCCCTTATTAAGGTCATGTGATCTTCGGTTATTATAATGATGCTTCAAGAACGTCACTTCTGAACGCCATCATCCAAACGTCTTAGGGTCCCTCAATTTTGGCAGTGATTTGGTTGATCGGTAGTTTTGGATGTGATTCTGAAAAGCATTTAAATCGAACTTTCTGTACCGAACTCTGTCCGGCTACAAAACTTGCGTGTATATATTTCCATCCATTGTTGCGTCTGCTTTGGCTCCATTAACATATTTGTAAAAGGTTCTTGCAGCAGAATGGCATGAAAAACGCGCTACCAGATATTGTGGTTAAGCGAAATTAGTTGCTTGAGTAACTCAAACGCCTGTACATCTTGAATGTACGGTTTATGCGAGCTACTAATGTCTTTTTGAATTTGAAAATCAGTAACAAGGCTCAGTTGAGCCAAAATCCAAACAGTGAGGGTCGCAAAAAACATTCCCGACAACATGGCAGTCCTGCTGTAGCTAAAGTGGGCCCATTATCCCACTGTAGTTCCAAACTGTCTGTGAGGGTCACATGACACATGACTGGTGACGAAGTAGTATCGAATGATATCGAGACATATAGGAACCCAAAAGATACCAGAGGCAGAGCCAGGTCACTGGTGGAACGACCGCATCTTGTGATTGAACTGTTGTCTACCTTCCATAAAGGCCATTTTGGTACATTTTTCAGTTTTTCTCAAGATGGTAGGAGATTATTGTAGATGCTTTTGATGTAAGAGGCGAACTTCCAGAAGCACGACTTTAAAAATTCCCTTTGATGCAGAGAGGGTATTCAGTAGCAGAGACTGGTAAGTTTGAGGGTGAGCTCAAGAGCTTTTCAAATTTCACAATCTCACTCAAAATTCAGTTTTTCGTGTTGTCATCATGCGTAGGCCTTGAAGCGCCATTTTCTTGTATTCAGCTTCGGATACTGGGCTATCTGGATTAGCAGAGCCCTTACTATGCTTCGATGTCCACTTTGATGTTATTTCGCGAAAGAATGCAAAAAGAGCATTTTCCAGCAGTTTCCTCTGCTATTAGATTTGAGTGGAACGAAGCAGTGTCGGAGAGGGTGCCGGGTGAATTGAACATGGAACCTTTGTACAGAGGTCAATAGATTGAGTTCATTGAGATCTATCGCTATGCATAACTCGCACAATTCTTCAACGAGACCGCTGTTTTGAATGCTTGATTTCATTTAGTATTTGACCTTTTTAAGTGTCTCATCGGATGAGACATCTGGCAGGTCTTGTTTTGGCGTTGCATCTTCTTCTCCCGTGCTTAAAGGAGACACGTCGCTCTGCCTGCGCTTTTTGGGTACAGGGCGACTCGGTTGGGGTACCCTTGCCCTCATATTTGATGGCTGTGCTGCCGGAGACACGCCATTAGTGTGATATTTAGGTGGAGCGCTAGCCGGTACGCCTGCACTTTTCTCCGCATGTGACGAAGCCACCAAAGCCTCTAAACTGCTCAAAGGACTTTGCAGATTATGCACTTTTTGATAAACTTTTAGATTTTTCAGATATGATATTACATCATTTACCTGTAACGCACGCATGAAACTCTCTTGGACGCCAAAACTTGATATGTTATGGAATACCTTAAATTGAGACCGTAGCTTTGTAATCGCTGCAAAGTTAGTTGGCATTTGTGGCTCTTGGCCTCCGGACGTAGGCTGTTGATCAGGGTCTTGATCTGAGGTCTGTGGCTTTTCATGAGTCTTACTCAAATCCTTGAATATTTGGTGACATAGAATTTCAGAGCTAATTAGCCGCTCCAATGAGCTCCATTCTATCCCAGGAACAAAGCTGTAACTCGATATTTCAACCCAGATGATTTTCAGAGTCGAATCAAATATTCCCTTAACCTGAGAGAAGTTCGTCATATAGCTCCCATCAGGGTAGTAAAAAGTAATAGTACAGCGCGGGCAGTCGAAGAATATGGTCCCGTTGCTCAAAACTTGCGCTCTCAACTGTTGAGGAACAATTTCTAATCGAACCACACCTACAGACGCGAGTGACTGACATATCAGCGGGATGATAGGTGTTGTGAACTCGAATTGACGAGTCTCCTCGCCAGCCTTGGTAGAATATCGTAGAATGCCGTACAAAGTAAAAAGGTCGCTCGTGAAACGTTTCCAGTAATCGAAATCGTTAACGCTGCCAGTTGAGACGTTAATCAAATTTATAATCTCGTGTAAACGCAATATAGCCATGTTCGAGAGATATTTTCGAATTGGGTAGGGCATCGTACTGAATGGGACGTAGCGTCGTAATTGAGGTTGTGGGACTCCAGGAACGGAATGGAAATTTTGTGGAATTGAATTTTGACGGACTGGAGAGCCAGAAAGTGTACCAGGGCCCGTGGCTGACGTGGCTACTGGTACAGGCCCCAAGGGCACCGCATGCCAATTAGTATGTGCATCGTTGGCTGACAGAGGTACCGTGCCGGGAGGTACGCCCTGCATGGACATGGTGGGTGCCGAGGCCGAGCCCGTGGGGGTCGCAACATTTGTGTTGAACGGTGATGGAATGGCAGAGGCAGTATGCGAAAAGTCGTGCAAGGGCAAATTTGACGCCTGCGCTTGTCCCTGCTGTTTCTGTTGCGGCGTTTGTTGGCGGTGTGGGTGCTGGTGCTGGAGCTGAGGAGACGGCTGAACGTGTTTCGAACGCGGAGGTTGGCCTTGACTTCCAGACTGCTGTTGCGGGAGCTGTGTGATAGAAGTCATATTCACTTCAGAGACGCCCTGTCCCTGGTTAGGAGGTTGCTGGCCCATGTTAGGTTGGCCGTAAGAACTCGTCATATGAGGGCCAACCATGACTTCATTAGTGCCAGATCCTGGTCCAAAAGCAGGTGGTTTGTTTCGTGCCCCTCCCTGATATCCGTACAGCTGCTGGGGCATTTGGTGTGGCTGTTGGGGCAACATTAATTATGAGTTTTGCATGCAAGATTGGTGTTTGGTGTTTATCCTAAATTTCGAGCTAATGTCCCGCTGAAAAAGGTCAAAAGTGGTACCTAAACGGAAAGGAAAGTTTGACGAGGACTTGAATCCTAACCGGTGAGCTGTGAAGAGTTGTGAGGTACTGAAAACGGGTACTTTAAGCTAAGTTTAAGAATGATGGTTCTTTTATATTCACTGAGCACTTGAACTATGAAATTGTTATATCAAGTAAAATAGTATGGATATCGAAAAACACAGACTTGAAGCTGGACACCATCCAGATTTGTTAATAGCTAAAGCAAACTGTATGTTTTGATTTTCAGAGTTTCACAATCCCAAAATGCTCGCGATTTGGCCTTTTACTAAGGATTTGAACGTGGTCCCGGTATGGACCCTGAAGACTTGAATTGAATGTCGTTTCTAGTTCTGGTCGAGGATGAGTGGGATTTCGTGCGATTGATGCAAGTTGTTGTGGAAGTACAGCGACTGCAAATGCTGGCGTTTTTTTTTTTGGTGTTACAATAGCGTTCTCAATCGATTGATTTACCGAACGACGCTGTTTGAGTCAGAAAGTCGCATAAACGGTCCCGTCCTTGTTCTGCAGGACCCTAACCATACCCTTTGAGCTGTAGGCCCTCCTTGGCTTTGTAAAATCAGCGTTTTCGTCCATGGCACTTTCCGATTTCTCGCGATCTGCTGGGACAGGGCCCCGGGTCCGGCCGGCACGTCTTCGCAGCAGCTTGTTGATGGTGTCCTGTTTTTCCTCCTCGAGTTTTTTCTCGCTGAGGTTTTTACGCTTGCGTGCATTTTCCGCGCGACGCAGTTGAAGCTCTTTTTCTGACAGTTTTGAATTTCTGCGCGACGAGTTGTCCAGGAGTTCCATCATCATCTTGTTCCGGCTGTCGACTCGCAGCTCCTGACTGGGCACGCTGCCAGTCCGTTCACTTTGATCACCATTAGCTTCTTCTGTGTCTTCTTCATCGTCGTCAAGGTTTTGTAGATCGATCCCACCATTTCTGCGAGGTTTCTTCGCGGGACTCGACTCAGGCTCGTCGAATTCGTGTTCTACGACCCTTTTGCGTCCAGAACTGCGACCTTTTGTGTCTTCGCCATCCCCAATCTTTAGTGCACCTCTTCTGCCCCTGCTGTTGGCCTTCAGTCCCACAGTTTCGTCGTCTTCTTCGACGTCCGGAGTGTACTGATACTCATCGTCTTCTTCCGGTTCTGAACCCAATACGTCGTCATCTTCAGAAATTTCTGGGCTGTCTTCATAAATTTCGGCGTCTAGCTCGACTGATGATAGATCGCTATCCATCTTTGAGCCTTCGTGGTGGAAGTATGCGAGCAGATTGTAGCATCATCGTATGGTTGGGGAGATCATATCAGTATGTACTTCAGGGCAGGTCCAAAACGCTATTAGCGTCACGTGCGCGAAGTGGTTGAGAAAAGTTCCAAGATCTTGACCATTGATGACTTGGAAGAGCGATGTGGTGTGCTTGGATTCGTCTTCTAGGATCGGAATGATGATTGTGAAGCATTGGTGGCTTTCAAAACTCCGAAAACTGGCGAATTGTTATGTGACAGCGTGAAGAAATTAGGTATGACCTTGAGGTCTGGATCAAGCTGGTAGTCTCCGAAATAGCGTTCACAGGCATCGGAATATGTATCCGACAGTACTAGTGATCAGATCTCTCGCAATCATTAACCGTCTCTTTGCTTCGTATTGAGGAAATGGACCAAACAAACATGGAAATGTCTCTAAGAGTCGATAGTTGTCATGTAGCCATATTAGTGAACGCATTCGTTTCCTCTGTCGCTTCTTATTCCTAAAAGGCTCACTCATGACCCACAAAACGCTTTCTGTAGCGCGCTGATAGCTAGATATGCTTCAAATTTGCTTCAACATTGCTCCGATTCCTCAGACAAAAAGCAATTGGCAAGCAAAGACAATTGTCACCCTATTGACTTGATTTTCAGAGCTGAAAGTTGGAAAATTGGAAATCTATCAGCCTCAGAGGTCTCCATTTAGTTGTTGTATTTGAATCAATGGCCTGGCTGACACTGACGTGCTAAAAGCTCAAAAAGACCCGGAAATGAACAAGCCGACCCAGAGCTATTCAACAAACTTCATCTAGAGCAGGGAATCGCGTCTTAAGCCTTCAGTTTCTACAATTTGTTCGAATTTGATGTCTTTAAATAGATAGCATGGCTAAGCTAATTATTGAAATATAACTGAAGGGATATATATGAAGTTCACTCTGCACACTACAACTTACGCTAAAGACAGTAAAAACTGGTACTAGAGGCTAACTGTGTCCATTGAACTCTGAAAAAGATGTTCACAGAGTTGCTGTTCTGCAAATCAAAGGTTTTCGTTCATTGTAGCTCGAAAGCCGATGATAACATAGCTGGGTTTCTGCTCATTACGAGGGATGCGCAGCAGACGGCTCTGGAGGCTACTGTGACATGGATTCCAGAAAAAGAGTTAGAAAAGTCACAGATTAATGAGCTCATGAAAGCAGATTTGCAACGGGCTTCTGGCAGTAGCAAGTCCCGGGTCAAGAAGGATATCGTGTCGCAAGCCTTGTACGTTGCGTGGGCATTTTCAATCAAAGTGAGCACTATCTATTCTATCCAGTTCAGACCACCAAGTCCGAGTGGCTGGTGGTTTGGGTCCGTTGCTATTTACTCGAGAAATCCTCAGGAACAAAACTCCATTCCAATTCTGTTCTTTCACGACAACATCTGTCCATCGACTCAGGAAAAGCAGAAACAGCTTTCAAAATCGTTTGATCCGTTCAGTGGAAGTGACATTTATTGGGGTGCCAACGACTTTCGTGATGCGCTGTTGGATATTGCCGATCTCAAACAAACTTTCGTCGATCCTACTATGTGGCTCATCAATGCGACGCTGGACGACCTTAGAAACTTTTCAGCGTCGGACTTGAAAGAAAAGACGCAAAACGTAACTGGAAACAAGTCTTCTTTTCAAGGGTCCTCGCTTTGGAGCAAAATTGACGAGGCTAAATGGAACGTTTTGTCGAAATTTGCGGACCTTACCACCAAGTCCACCAATCGCATGGCGACCGTGTTCAGCCAACATCCGTTTGTCAAATTTGTTGACAAGCATAACAATAACCCTTATGTGAAGCAAATACTCACCAATCCTAAGGTCCAGGAAATTCAAGATGACTTCGATTCTGCTAAAATTTATCTCGCCAAGTGGGCATTGGGCGTGAAAGAACAAGCAGAAAAGTATCAAACGACGAATGGCTTGGATGAAACATATAGGCGTTTGCTTTTCAATGAGCTTGGCAATGACGGCGAGGACGTTCAGTTGACAGACGAAGAACTTAATGTGGCCATGCAGCGCTCACATCCTCTGTCGCGCGCTAAATGGGACTCTTTCTTCGATGCAGAGGGTCGACTTTCTATCACAGTTCATGAAGTTAAGGATTACATATTTCATGGTGGGGTGAAAGACAACGATTTGCGGCGGGAAATTTGGCTCTATTTGCTAGAAGTGTTTCCCTGGGATTCTTCCATCAAGGAACGACGAGTACTAGAAGAAACTATGCGCGATAGCTACCGCATAAATTATAAATGCAGATGGGAATATCGTGCACCTCATTCGGACGAAGAGGAGGAAGCGTATTGGCATGACCAGGTTTTGCGCGTGGAAAAAGATGTCAAACGAAACGACAGAGACATACCGCTCTACAAGTACAACACAGAAAATGGTAAAGCAGTCGTTGAGCCGGAAGAGTCCCCTTCAAGAGAACTTCAGGACCATGAAACCTGGACTGTAAAAAATCCACACCTTCAGAAACTCCGGAGTATCTTGCTGAGCTACAATGTTTACAATAATGACTTGGGATACGTGCAAGGAATGTGCGACTTACTGTCTCCGATTTACTATATTTTGGAAGATGAAGAGTTGTCTTTTTGGGCATTTGTGAGTTTCATGAATCGCATGGAGAGAAATTTCTTGCGCGATCAATCGGGTATTCGCGACCAAATGTTAACTTTAACGGATCTCTGCCAATTAATGCTACCAAAGATGAGCGATCATTTGGCTAAGTGCGATTCTTCGAATTTATTCTTTTGCTTTAGGATGTTGATTGTTTGGTTCAAGAGAGAATTTGAATTCGATGATGTATGCAGTATCTGGGAGGTATTTTTAACGGACTTCTACTCTTCTCAGTTCCAGCTTTTTTTCATGCTTGCAATTTTACAGAAGAATAGTGTTCCTGTAATGCAAAATCTAGATCAGTTCGATCAAGTTTTAAAGTTCTTTAATGAGCTCAAAGGATCGATGGACTGGAGCGACCTGATGATAAGAAGCGAGCTGCTCTATGTGAAGTTCAAGAAAATTATGGACGTCCTAGAAAGGAGTACAGAACTAAACGAGTACACGCTCTTATCGACCGAAGGGAATGTAATCAATGAGGCGCCTGCTTCAGATACGGAGGGCACATCGAACAATCGTACCTCCTTGGCCACTGATAACTTAAAGCAACTGCTGTCTAAGAAAATAGTAGTGAAAAGGGAGCCTGCAAGAAAAAAGAACTCCGTGAAATGAGCATTTGAATGAAGCCAGAGAGGAAAAGGTTACGGGAAAGTGGCGACTTGCATGGTGCAGGCGTCAAGGAAAAAAAATGACTATGGGTTTTAGGCTAGGAATATGTAAAATCTCAAGGTACACACATTTGCGCACAATGAATTCTATCGGGTATTGCTAGGTGACTCAAAGAAATGCATGGATGCTAAGCAGAGGTGGCAAGACTTCTTAGACAAGGTCGCTGGCGATGAACCTCCGGCGCATCTCAATTCTACCTATGCCATGCTTTTCGGTCAAAGCTTTTAGGCTATTATCATCTCCTTGTTTCAGCATCTCATCATCATCTCGAGTCCAAATCCCGGGAACAGTCAAAGGTGGATTGGCGTTCATGCTAAACATGCACAGGAAATATCGAGGAAATACCATAAGATCCCCAGAAAGTGCAGTTAGTATACCAGTGCTGAATGTTTTCCGTACCCCTGCTTCTTCACACAAATCTTGAACGAGCTTCTCAGCCTGGGAAGCTTCATAATCCCGCGAGATTATGTCATTGATCTTATCCAAAAATTCTCTAGTAGACTTGAAAGCAAAGAATTGAGGCATGAATAGATCGCTAGATGCAATTGGTGGAGGAAATGAGACTGTATCTGGATCTATGTTGTCAAACTGCGTTTCCTCGTTTGCAAAATCGTTTCGAATAGATTCTGCTATTTCTTGGGGATACTCAAAAGCAGTTCCTCCCGCAGATTCTATTTTAGACAAATCCCGTCTTAAACCAGAGATGAAATTCAAAGTCTCCTCGTCCAGAAGATCCATGTCTCCCATTCCTAGTGCACTCGAGTTGAGATCAACACCCCTCCCACTCGCCGCTACTAAAGCAGCAGCCTGTTGAGCGCGTGATGTGAGGTATTGTGGCAAGTTTTCGTCCTTAGAGGTTTTAGGTTTCTTGGGAAGTCCACTATAGTTGCCTGGTGTGGGTGCGCCCGATCTCTTGAGCCTATTTGTGAAATTCTTCATGGCTTCAGGGGTGCGATCTTGGGCTAGCTCATGTTCGTAGTAGTCGATGTATTTGTCGATTCCGTATGACAGAAGAAACTTCCTGAATCGATCTCTCCAAGCATTTTCCGTATGAGTAGGATGATTTTGTGCAAAAATTTTGAAAAACTCTCGTGGGACAGGTCCTCTTCTTTCGCCGACTCTAAAGTCTCCCAAACTTGGTTCTGCTCCAGGCTCGACATTTGCATCCATTGTCAACGCTCTTTTGGCGGCTTCGTTTGGAGCGTCGTCTTCGCTGATCAAGGATTTGCGAGTATCTGGATCAATTTGATACACGTCTTGGTAAAATTGACGTTTGATGCTGATTGCCAGGTCGTAGTCCTCTTCTGCAACGAATTTCTTTTTGAGAGCTTTTGGTAACACTGTTGTCTTTATAAGAGCGCCATTTTCGTCTCGAACCAGCCTACCTTGGCTGTCAACTTCGTAAACGTAATCGAGTCTTTTGGCAAGATACACGCGGTAACGATGTCTTATCGAATTCCCTGTGTGAGCGGGGACGAAGCGTGAAATTTCGTCGAACAGAGTGTGGGTAGTCCTTCTTGAAGGATTTTTACGAACAACATCTAAAATGAAGTTGTCTTCCTCGGCAGTGAAATTGGCTTTGTTGTGTGCTGGAACGTAACGTTCCTTTCCAGGCTCGTTTTTCGGTACTGTTTTCGATTTTTCAGCGGCAATTTCTGCCGCTGACTGTGCCGTGGACTGTTCACTTACCATAACTGAAGCCGCAGGATCTGGGCTAAGTGAGTTTGTAACCTGGCGGTTGCCTTCAGGGCGCTCCTTCTGCTCAGATGGCTGTTCTGTTGATGATGCTCCAACTGCGCGCGACGAGCTCGCAGGTGAAGTGCTGGTGCCTTGCTCGCGGCCAGTGTTCCCAAAATTAGTTTGCTCCGTCTCCTTTGTTGAATTTACTGAGGCACCACTATTGTTCCCGACTCTAGGGTCGATCCTGTCGTCCCCGCTGTCTCCGCCTTGCGTATCTGCGTGGAAGTCAGAAAAGGGAACGAGGTAGCCACTGAGTCTCATGAGCACATTGTTTGCACAGCAGTTCCGGATGTAGTCGGGGTGTACTGTGGACAAGTCTGCTGTATTTGAAGGCGAAACAACGTACTCTTTGCTGGAATTGCCCGAGGGAAGCTCTTTAAGCACTGATCCGCCGTGTGTTTCAATCAGATGCTCCAGCTCTTGACGAGCGTCATCCTGAGCCACGTAAAACCCGAGATCTTGAAAGATGCCATTCTGCTTCTTGTCTTCTTTACTGTCTTGTAGCTGACTGTCGCTTGTTGTCGAAATCTCGGCAGCTGCGTCTACAAAGTTGTTTGTCAAAGGGGAATCGAAGTCGTCGTGCTCAGACATTGTACTATAAACAATGACAACGACGCGTGTCTGGGTGATATTCTAAAATCGCTAAAAATACCTGGGTTTCGACAAGCTAGTCACTCTGTAACACCCAATACCCACAATACAATGAAATTAGGAAGTTCCTCAGGATGAACGAGATGTGCTGATGTTATGGGTTTGTTGATGTTTTAATTTTTTGTCGCCGGTACCAACAACACAACACGCACACACCACTTCTTCCGCACGCTAGTGAGAGATATGAGGGAGGAAAAGGGAAAATAAATTTTTGAACAAAAGGTCACATGTGGAGCACGTGATCCGGATTCGATCCTCGTGTATAGTGAGGGTAAATTGATTGTGGTCGGGTAATCGTTTTGAGGATCGGCGGCAAAATCCAAGGGAGAAAACACAAAAACGGGTTAGATGTCTGAACAGAGCTCACAGGGTGCTCTAATCGCCTTTGCCTTCGACTTGTAGTTAAGAGATATTCATAAGTGTTAGGACCATGCCAAAGTTCCTTCAATGGCGTGATTTATAGCCTGTTTGTTCCTGGTTCTGGTGATGAAAAGTGAGGAGAATAAGGAAGGAACGACAGACAATTTTAAAAACCGACATTTTGTGGGGAAGGGGGGGGGCACGTGAAATTTCGTGTATGGTGATTATAGTTAGAGACTTTGGTCATTTACAAACCTTAATTGATGGTTTGTTGCGGGAGTATCTACAACTGTACAGCTGGGTAGTGCGCTCGTACCTGGTAGATATTCTTTTCCAGGATATACCGTCTAAACGTTTTTTGGCTGAGAAAGTGTTTAATATCACTCTGTACTAATGCGTCGCCAGCGAAGATCGCCGGCATGCCAAGAGACAATGGCAAGACAGATATCATCATGGACAAACGATATAAAGAATAATTTTTAACGCTGGCACTCAACGTGCATGTCTCTCGTGCGACGCCCGCAGCTTCACTTCAATATGTATATCTCTCGTATTGATCCTAATATGTAACGCCCACAGCTTCCAGCTCACATAAATTGCCTGCATTTAACCTGGTGCAGGTATTCATGGTACTTCCCGTTCTTGTAAACGTACTCGAGGGCAGTCAATTTCCCCCCGCCCACACACCCGGAATCGAGACCCTTGGTCTGCTTGCGGAGGTTCAGGCCGCTATTTGCGTCATGCCCATACAGCACAGTGACGTTCTCCGGGGCAGTATCGGCATTCCACAGCTTGAACCACCGACGCGCCTTGTAAAACTTGTATTTCGAGGTTTTCGAGTGGTCTTTGGGCAGCATGTACTTCATGGTGGTAATGTCGCCGATTTTGGGCTGTTTTCCTTCGAAGTCTGGCGCCAGTCCTGCGTGGACTGCGATTAAAGTGTGATCTGAGGCATTTAGATGGATTTGAAGCTCTGCTGAGCACAACGTCGCCATCGACGTGAGCTTTGAGATGCCCAACTGCTGTGCCAATAGCTTATGTTTGTTGTTTACCTGGTCGTGACGAGGCACATAATTTTCCGTGTCGAAGACGACCGGGTCCCAGCGCGAGTTTTTGCGCGATAGCCGTTTTTTCAAGTCCCGTCGGTTCAAATACGCGAACATCACGTTGATCTCGTGGTTCCCCAGGATGCAGTGCGTGGAATTCCTGTTTTCCTCCAAATAGTGAACCACTTTGCCGGACTGCGGTCCTTTCGAGACAAAGTCGCCCAACAGCACCACATGCGTGTCGGGTTTTTCGGCATCCACAAGACTCAGCAGCTCTTGGAGCTCATCGTACATGCCATGGACATCGCCCACAAAGATCCAACGTTCGTTTTCCACAGCTGTGATGGCCCTCTGAGTTGCAATTGACGGGAGTCTCGGCGCGGGAACTGCCAGGATAACGTATGTGTAGACCAAAGACAGCAGAACAAAAATAAACGTACTTAACGCTAGCCAAAAGCTTTTTGGGTTATTTGCCATCGGTATCGGCTGGACAAGTCGATGGACTCGCTTGCTAGTAAGTTCATCGGCACTGGGCTCATCGAGAGCATCCTTTATATATCCACAGAGCCAATTTTATCCATATATGACGCTTTGTGAAAATAATTGACAGCAACGTGGTTCGTCGAGAGTGATGAGCGTCGAGTGAGTGTCAATTTGGGACAAAGTCATGTGGACACACAACACAACGTAAAACGTTTGGTGACAACAAGTGTCGAGTCTGAACATATCAGTGTGTGGGTGTGTGTGTGGGTGTGTGTGTGTGTGTGTGTGTGTGTGTGTGTGTGTATTTATGTGCGTAATTCAGCTGTATTTGAGAAGCCTGGAAATTCTCAGATATTTCTCGGGCCCATAGTTTTTGTCACTCGGTGTTTTCTCACATTAAAAAAGTGCTCTATTTCGTCCACTCATTTGCATTTCGTCCTTTACTTATACTGCTTTCAATCTCTCACAACTACGTATGAATATACCATACTCTCTCTGTATTAGTATATACGTTGTTGTCTATAAAAGCTCAATATATGTTATGTGCTTTCAAAAAAGTAAATACACTTATTAAACGTTTTTTAAAACAAACTGACTCATACAAAATATACATTGTAGGGACTGTATAAAGCGCCACCAGAACTTGATTGAGTGCTCAGTTTCAAGCGGTTTGAAGCTGCTCACATTTTGCGAGAAATTTCATACCTCCTTCGCCAATATCTCAAATATCTCAAATAGATTGTTGTGATATTTACGGGGCCCAAATTCTAACACACCAGCACGAACACAGCGTATATTATGGCCCCAATAGCAATCCCACAGCAAGTGATCAACTGGGACACACTCAATGAAATAGTTTCGATGGACGAGGACAGTCCCGATTTCTCTAAAAACTTGGTCATCCAGTATTTCGACCAGGCTGCAACCACTTTCCAGCAAATCCAGCAAGAACTCGACGGGAGATGCGAGCTCGAGCAACTAGCCTCTTTGGGCCATTTCCTACGTGGATCGTCGGCCGCTTTGGGGCTGCAGCGTATCGCCTGGGCCTGTGAACGCATACAAAATCTGGGACGCAGACGTGAGGGCTCGAACCAGGGCCAAGATCTCCCAGACTCCCACTACGCGGGCCTCATCAAAGAAAACCTGTTTTTCGCCAGAACCGAATTCAGCGCTGCCAAAGCTGAGCTCTCTGCATTCTATAAGAGCGAGCTCTGACCGAGCAAAAGGCTTGCTGCTCCCTCGGGCGTTTTGTTTGTTTTGTGACTTCCGTAAATAACCATCCTGGTATAATTGCATCGTTTCTCGTGAAACGTTAATAAAAATGCACTTCGATCTTCTACGCTGCTGTTCCCCAGTTTCCCAAGCGATTAGCTCGCTCGAAGATACTCAGGACTACAAGACTTTTTACCGTGTCAGTGTCATGCATACATGGAATTTCTCTTGTCTGAGAAAACTGCTACGAAAATTTCTCTCTATAAAGGTCAGAATCCTCCCTGTCACCCAGGTGTGCTCCATCCATAAAATACGTGCCCTGGTCCCCGCACTTTTCCAGTACCTCGTCAGGAAAATACTGTTGTGATACTTTTCCGTCTTTGAAATCCGGATTGTACTTGTAATCTTTGGCATATCCCAACTCTGCCATCAGTTTTGTTGGCGCGTTACGCAAATGCATCGGGATCCCGCAGCTGGCAAATAGATCTTGGTTTTCTCGCAGTTTAGTATTAATTGTTTTCCAGGCTCGATATAACTGTACTGATTTCGGTGCCCTAGCTAAAGCCACCGAACATTGCGCTAAAGCCAAATCTGCTTCGGGGAGCCCAACTTTCATAACTGCATCGTGCGCAGCAACTGCAAGTGGTAACAGAGAATGGTCCAAGACTCCAACATCTTCGGAAGCAATACGTATCATGCGTCGCGCAATGTATAAAGGATCCTCCCCACCTTGAAGCATGCGTGCTAAATAATAAAGCGCAGCATTCTCATCGCTACCGCGAATTGATTTATGGAAGGCGGATATTGTGTCGTAATGATTTTCGCCTTGCCGATCGTAGTAAGTCCGCAACTCGCTCGAGTTCCCTTGGATTATTTCACGCACAGCCTTTTCATTCAGTTCACGTTGGTTCTCTCGCGTCGAAACTTCTATCATCTCCAGCAGATTAAGCGCGCGCCGTGAATCACCCATCGAAATCTCAACAATGAAATTGAGTACTTCTTTGCCCAGCCTTAAAGGGTGTCCCACCTTCCAAATCAAATGACGGCATTTGTTCAACATGCTTATACCGCGAGACAACACCACGCACATCTCTGCGTTGTTTAGTTTGGTGAGAACAAAAATCTGACACCTGCTCATCAAAGCGTTATTCAGCTGAAAGCTAGGATTTTCTGTGGTGGCTCCTATCAGCACCACGTCTCCCGCTTCAACGTGTGGTAGCAAAATATCTTGCTGGCCCTTGTTGAATCTGTGAATTTCATCTATAAACAGCACTGTAAGCCTCTTGGTGAGTGTGAACTCCCGTTTGGAGTTTTCAAATATTTTGCGAAGCTCTTGAGCCGTAGCCTTTGTAGCACTTGTTTGTACCAGGATGTACGTGACTCCATGTGGAAACTTTGTGTTCACAGTCTTCGTAAGAAGCCTGGCTAAGGTTGTTTTTCCGACGCCAGGTGGGCCCCATAAGATCATTGAAGGTATAGCACCTTCTTTCACGTAATTGTACAAAACTCCATGTTCAGAGGAGATTATATGCTGTTGTCCAACGTATTCGCTGAGTTCTTTGGGCCGCAGCTTTTCGCTCAAAGGTTGATGGATGATTTTTTGTAGTTGCTTCACGTCTTGGTTACTATCCACCAGTGGTTTCTTTGGCTGTTCAGAATGCTGCGTTGGTGGCTGGCTATCATCTCTCGCGCGCTTCCTGCTATCCTCATGAGCTGGCTCGATGATTTCAACTTCTTCAGGCTCAGGCTGCTTCCGTTTGCCTTTTAACAGACTGTTCAATGTGTTCTCTTTCTTAGAGCCGGTCTTACGTGCAGTACATTTGTCAAGATGCTCATTGATTAAATGGTACTTGATTCTAACATTGCACACAGGACATGCGATCAACTGTTCACTGTTCGACTGGTTCATACTTTGGTGTGTTAGAAGATCATAAGGAAGGATTCATTTCGGTAGAATATGATGATTGATGACTTTAGCGAAGAAAAGAGCCAAAAATGTATACACCCTGTCTAGCAAGCAAGGTAATGCAGCATCAAGAACGTCATTTCAGCGACTATTTTTCTTTTCTTGTTTATAAAGTCATATATATTTGGCCCTGTTCGCCAGCAGTGTGTAAAGATCCTGTAACGTTAGTTTATCAATTCGTAAAGGTCACCAAGCTTTTCAGCGTAGTATTTGGGAAGAGGATGGTCGCCCGAGGCGTCTAGAGCGTTTTGCTCAGTCTCAATCCCGGTCAAAACCAGCAAAGTGCCGCCAAGTTTGCCCTCAACTCCAAACCGGATGTCAGTGTTCAACCTGTCGCCAACCATGCAGCACTTGGACCTGTTGAGCTGTTTGGCCGTCACGATCGCGTTTAGCATGTTAGGGTTTGGCTTACCACAAGCTGCAGGCTCCCTGCCAGCAGCGAAGGCAACACAGTTAATCATGGATCCAGCACCAGGCAGAATGTGGCCCTTGTTGGGATATGTCGAGTCGATGTTTGTGGCCACAAACTTGATATCCGGCTGTTGTAAATACTGTAGCGTGATGGCAAGGCGGTGGTAGTTGACCTTGGTGTCGAGTCCTGCGATCACAGCCTTGACGTCTGGGTCCAGGCCCTGCGCGATAAAAGGCGAAGTTGCAATGTCGAAGGGGTGGTCCAGACGTGGGTCGTTGCAACCTAGAGACTCGTAACCCATCAGTTTAAGCTCTTCCACAATTCCGGACTCTCCGAACACCCACACTTTGTCTTTTCCAGGTTGTAGTTTCAACGTGTCCCTGACGTAAAGCGCAGAGGCATATCCGGACGTAAAGATCTGATCCTCGCTGACAATGATGCCGAAGGATGCGAATTTTTTGGCGTACGCGGCCCGAGACTTGGTGGAATTGTTGGTGACGAAGTACAGTGTCTTTTGGTGCGCCACAAGCAGATCTAGCGTCTCTTTGATGTGAGGCAGTAGGTGAGAGCCCAGCCATAGAACGCCGTCACAGTCAAACAAAAAGGTGTCGTACTGTTCCACCAACTGTTTAGCGACATCTACGCTGTCAACCTTGACAGGTCCGATACTCTTAGTCATGATGATGCTTTGTGAAACGAGTCTGGATGGGCCAACTTTGGTTGTCAACCGTGGTGGATAGATGTAGACAATGGCAACGTTATAAATATTATATTCATAGATTTCGCACCAGTGAGTTTCACCGGTCACGTGATCGAGCTCGAGGTTGATTTTAGCCTATAGCAGATGGCTGTAGGAGTCGTATTGTGCACTACTCAAGCAGGATATACGTATTTGCGCTTGATGTTTTGTGCTGTGTCGTTGAGCGTAAGATTCTACCGCAATTCGAACGGAGAAGGTGGCATTAATTTTGAGTACATTATTGGTTGAATAGTAGTCGCTCCAAGTCAAGTGTTAATTTAGCCAAGACGAAACCAAACAGCTCGAATTTTTGCGAGGAGCCAATATAAATTGTTTTTACGATTGGAAAACCGGTTCCATTATCGCATTTTCTCAATTCTGTTTGTTTTATTAAACTTGACTGTCATTTTAATTAAATTGTCATATAACATATACTGAAAAATGCCCAGTTGAATCAGAACATCAGACAAAAAGACGTGGACAAACAGGCTTGGCCATTCTACAGGTCCTATATCTACTTTTCTATAGCGCAGTTCGGTGTGGAAGGGCTTTGGTCGATTTTTGAGCGTTCAAAATACGCACAATTCCTTCTTTTGGTCGTACTATAGTTATATACGTACGCATCGCCGTTGTAGGCACGTTTAGTTCGGACACTTCGAACACACACCTGGCTTTTCGACCTAGGCAATACTCGATCAAGCAAGCATGAGGTCGCTCTACACCCTTCTACTAGTAGCGCTACTGCTTGTCTCGCGTCTTTATGTACAGCCCTTTTACTCTCTCATCTCAGACTGCGATGAGACATTCAACTATTGGGAACCTTTGAACTTCCTGCTTCGTGGATTCGGAAAACAAACATGGGAGTACTCCCCAGACTACTCGATTCGCTCGTGGGCTTTTTTGATGCCACTTTACGCGGGTCTGGCCCCGCTAGGCAAGATCGTGACATCGCTAGGACTGCCGCCTTCCACACTGTTCTACCTTGCTCGTGCAGGTTTGGGCCTCTACAGTTTCTCCATGGAGTGGCTTCTGTTTCGTGAGCTGGAGTCCTCGCTGTCGGTCAAAACCGCCAATTTGTGGCTATTTGTCCAGCTTTTCAACCCCGGCTGGTTCCATGCCTCTGTGGAACTGCTACCGTCCTCATTCGCCATGGTCACAATAATAGGTTTTCTCAAGTACTTTCTTCGGTATCTTTCGAGTGGATCTCAGTCTGCGTTCGTGCAAGCTCTGGTCTTCAACTTTGTAAGCGGGATTCTGGGCTGGCCATTTGTTCTGATCTTGAGCACGCCATTGGTAGTGCATTTTGTTGTTACGCACAAAATTTGGGCCACCATTAACGCCGGCTTCGCGTCCCTTTCCAAACTCGTTATTGTTGCCGTGTGCGTTTTTGGTATCGACTCTGCTTTCTATGGCAAGTTCACACCAGTGGCCTGGAACATTGTGATGTATAACGTCATTGCTGCGGACGAAAAGAGCGGCCCAAATATCTTCGGGGTTGAGCCTTGGTATTACTACCCATTAAATCTATTGTTGAATTTCCCACTACCTACTTTGATGGCGTGCACAGTGGGCATGGTCACAAACATGAGGCTGGCATCCGTATGGGCATCTCTTTTGATATGGATGGCTGTGTTTCTGCTCCAACCACACAAGGAAGAGAGATTCCTCTATCCAATTTACGCAGTCATAACACTGGCAGCTAGCGTCGGGCTTACAAATGTATGGAAACGCTTACCAACTTGGAAGCATATCCGCAACCTGATTACCTTCGCCTTATATGTTTTCATCGCTGTGCAAGGCTCTATGCGAATTTTGGCTCTGGTTACAAATTATACGGCGCCTTTAGATGTTTACGCTAATCTTCCCGAGGTATCGGGTCCTCAAACTATATGCGTTGGGCGCGAATGGTATCATTTTCCCACATCCATGTTCTTGGCTAAGGATTCCAGACTTGGTTTCATTGAGTCTGGATTCGATGGTCTATTGCCCGGGGACTTTAAGGAAACGCACAGCATCCTCAACAGCATTAGAGAAATACCGTTTGGGATGAACAACCAGAATCAGTTTGATTCTTCCAAACTAGTTTCAGCAGATCAGTGTGACTATTACATCGATTTCATGTTGCGAAGCGAAGATCCAAGAGACGCTTTAGATCCAACTCGATTGAGCGAGGATTGGAAATGCATCTACAAAATTCCGTTCATTGACGTTTCACAGTCCAAGTTTTTGGGTCGTGCATTTGCGGTGCCGGAAAAGATCTTAGCAGTACTACCCTTGCAGAATTACTGGTCGCGTTTTTACCAGGCTAACTACCTCGACTATTGCATATTCGAAAAACAAACCGAAGAGGCATGAGGAAGTGAACCTCAATGTATCAAACTCAGTACCTTAATTTGATCTACACATTATGTATCTAGAAGAATTCAAAGCTTCTTGCAGCCCAATTATTAAACTTGCTTGTAAAGCATGCTTTCTCTGGCAGGACCGGTTCCCACCCACTCGATTGGAACACCCACAAAGTCCTCAATGAACTTCAAGTATTTCTTGGCGTTTTCTGGAAGGTCGTTGTATTCAGTGATCTTAGTGATGTCCTGTTCCCAGCCTGGTAGAGTAACGTATTCAACGTCAACCTTACCCAAGGTGATGAGGTCCTCGGGGAACAAAGCTAGCTTCTTACCTCTTAGGGAGTAAGACACACCCACTGGGATCTCTTTGAATGTGTCAAGAACGTCCAATTTGGTGATGTTCAAGCTTGTGTAACCGTTGATCAAGGTGGAGTACTTGAGGACCACCAAATCTAGCCAACCGCAACGACGCTTACGGCCAGTAGTGACACCGTACTCAGCACCGATCTCCTGCAGTTTTTCACCAAATTCGTTCAACTGCTCGGTTGGGAAAGGACCTTCTCCGACTCTGGTGGTGTAAGCCTTGACTACACCGTAGATTTCGTCGATGGCTCTTGGAGGTAGCCCCAGGCCGGTGCACACCCCTCCGATACCAGTGTTGGAGGATGTGACAAATGGGTAAGTACCGAAGTCGATGTCCAACATCAGCGCGTTGGCACCTTCGACCAAGATCTTTTTGTTTGCACGCATGGCGTCGTTCATGAACACCACGGAGTCCACGACAAAGGGTTTCAGTAGTTGACGGTACTCCTTGAAACGCTGGAGCTCGGCTTCAGTGTCGTACTCGAATGGACCGTAACGCTGCTGTCTGGTCTCCACGAGACGTCTGTATTTGGCAACGAACTCGTCCCAGGCCTCTGGTTCGTCGTTGACCAGATGGTGGACTCTGAGCCCAGATCTGGACGCCTTGGTGGCGTATGTGGGACCGATACCCTTTCCGGTGGTTCCGATGTTCTTGCCGTCTTTGGATTGGCCCGAAAGCTCTGCCTCTCTGAGTTTGTCGGTACGCTGGTGGAAGTCGAAGACCAAATGAGCTCTGGAAGAGACAAATAGTCTGGCACGAGCGTCGCTGAGACCCTTGGACTCGAGCTGCTCTAGTTCCTGGAAGAACGATGGAATGTGCATCACCACACCGTTACCGATCAAGTTCTGGCAGTTTGGGTTCACCAATCCCGAAGGCAACATGTGGAAGTCGTATTTGACACCTTTGACCACGATAGTGTGTCCGGCGTTGTTACCACCGGCACTACGGGCCACGATATCGTATTTACCAACTAGCAAATCCACTAGTTTACCTTTACCCTCGTCGCCCCATTGCGAGCCTAGCACAACGTTAACCATATTGAAGTAGAGTAGAAGGAACTATTTAAGACCGCGAAGCCAAGTTAAAGTACAATCAATCAATCAAGAGATCGAAGGTACAATCTAACAGAGTTGAAGTTGAAAACGTATAAACAGTATACGCCCTAACTTACCAGATTCCAAAGCATTAGAAATAAGAAAAATTACAACAAGTAAGAGAAGTGTAACTTCGAAAGTGTTCAAGAGAATAGGTATTAAGAGAGAAAAAGAAGACAGGATTGAAGCAAGAGATTTTGTAGAAAAATTGATTGAGAAATTAACATTTTTTTTTTGGCCCGAGCCTTTTGGCTTGGGCTGGCGCATTTTTTGGATAATGTGGCCGACACGTTGAGAATCAGTTCAACTGGAGAGATGTGGCGCCTTTACACGAGAGATTTTACCGGGTCTGATTTATCTGTATATTAGATTAATATTGTAGGTAATATTGTATATAGGTATTCAATTTAAAAATTTATTCAAGAGTCACAAGCCAGTGTTGATTTGGATTATCTCATGGTATGTACCCTGCGAGGACTGAGGATTTCAAGCCCATGAAGTAGTAGCTAGTATGTGAATATTACAGATCCTGTTTCCCTGTAGAACGTAGCTGAATTGTTGAAGGTGATTGATCGATGGCCGTGTCAGTTGAGTAGAAAGTGATCTAAGCGGGGTCTGGAGGAGACCGAGTCAGGACAGAGAAAAAAAAACGGCTTATGTAAGCACCAAAACCTCTTTTTGACTCGGAAAAAAGGAAAAAATGTAATATCACTCTGTACGAATTTTATGACCCACGTGACGTCAAACTCACTTTTGTATTTTAGTGTCACTTGGACTTGGCTTTCATGATAAAACCTCTACCAAGAAGGATCGATCGCTGGCATTTTTCGATTGTTCAGTAGTGCCCTGTGTGAGAGAATGGGAGCGTCAGTTTATAACGGATATGTGAACTTGGCTACGGGCATAGTCGTGGTCATTCTTTGGCACGATGATAATAGCTAATTGTAGTGTTGTAGAAACGGCCATAACATGAGATCGTGTTTCCTCGACCGCAGAACGCAGTGCTCAGCAGAAGTCAGTGTCAGGGAATTCAACCTCTACGCGCATGAAAAGAGAAAATTATCATTTGAAGACCTTAATGTGCTGATCTTGGTTTTGATCAATGGCATGCCCACTCAAATGTGGCCACCGTCTCTCCTGTCACACTCTCTACTGTCACTGTTAGGATCGACATCGCAAATTGATCGCTCTTCACGAAATGTCAAAAAAGTCAATACTTCTATAACACATCCTCATCGTCTTCCCGCCAAGTTCAAACAAACAGGCCTTCTAAGCCGTACAAGGAACGTTCTCGCGTCTCAATCACTCACGATCATGTCGGGGAAGAAGCTCAAAACCAAAAATCAGCTTTTCAAGCGCCAAAAAGTCATCGATGCCCGTACCATACGAACAGAAGCTTTGAATTCGACAACGTCTGCGGCAGCTACCGAGTTGTCAGAGAGCGGAAGCATGCTCAAAGTTCCAGAGTTCATGGCGTCACGCGAATTTGAAGTCAAACAGCTGCAAATGGCTATCCACAAATCCAAGAGTGCTTCATCCACACGGGTTTTCCAATCGTTGCCTAGAAAGCTGCGTCGTAGAACGGCCTCCCATAACATTAAAAGAATACCTAAACGCCTTAGAAATCGGGCTTTGCGAGAAATGCGCAAAAGCGATCAAGCAGTGACTAGAGGGACTGAGACTCTCTCCAAAAAACGAAAATATGGCCTCACCGCCAGGCAATTGTACAAAGCTCGTATGGCTGTCAAATTATTACGATTGGCAGCAAAATCCAAATCAATGAAGCTCGCATTTCCAGCAGATGCAACTGCAAGTAATCACAAGCTGCGAGATCGCATCAAGGCTCTCCAGAAAAATATTAAAGAGCATTCTAAAGGAAAGGCCCCCGTATCTAGAAACAATATTGTGGGTAGCTATGATTCCACTGGCGTCAACACCGCTGCCACTAAGCCCACTGGACGGATAAAATATATGAAAAGACAAAAAACGTTCACATGGCTGCCTAGTCATGTGTGGAACGCCAAACGATCCCATATGCTGAAAAGGTGGGGTTATCAAATACCTTGGTCTCCAACTCAAAAGTGCTTTAAGCTTACCCACAGACTTGGTAATACCGTCTCTGCATCTGATGGCGCTATGTGTTGCGATTCGAGCTATGTAGGAACTATGGTCCTGGTCGCTGAAAATGTAGACTACCTAAAGGACCTCGTTTCTCGACTGACACACGGAAGGGCATCGCTCGCAAAGTACCGAATTTATCAAAATTGGTTTGAGGGCCTGATTTACATTGACAATGAAGTTGTTTTAGGGCCGGGAGAGTTGCTTTGGGTAAGCTTGCAAAAGTGCATACTAAGAGCCCATCCCGCATTCTATAACAACGTTTTTGAGTGGCTTGCTGGCCTAGACAAAGACACTCTTACTGTCTTTGACTGTCGTTATTCCATCTCTAGTATCACGCTCACTGGGGCAAAGTCCCTAAATGCGCTCTCTCAAGTTTTGCGCAGCACAGAACCATCGCACTCCTACTCTCAGTTCAAAAAGTTCTCGTACGTTACTGATATTCATTTGCTGCCTCAGAAGACAATGTTTGCCTTTGACGCAATCGACCCTAGGCATCTTTCCAACCCTAGAAGGCTAGAGAAGGTGAATGTAAACTCGGACGATATTTTGGAACTTCAATTTACTTTTCCTCAAGCCGAAATAGCTTCAGTACTAGAGAAAATGTCGGATCCAAAAGAACGCGAGCAGTCATACTCAAACCAGCAAACTTTCAAGCAATTAGCAGCGCGGCGCAAAAAAATGCTGGACTCGATGAAGCGCGCCAACAGCATTCCCTTCGAAAAGGGCGCTGACCCTTCATTCCCGATCGTAATCTCAAAATTACCAAAACGTGAGGCATGGCTTGTACTCTTGCCTTGGTTCTGGCAACTTCCCTTGTGGTACCAATTGAACAGGGTGTCTCGCGTGCATCACATGGGACTGCGTCAAGTGCAGCAGTTGGATTACGAAAACAGCCGGCTGTATTTTCCAGACGATTTCCCTTTTACGCAAGCGGGGCATGATGAAAACTCAGTATCTAAAAAACGGGTTCAAGAAGCGCTTTGGAAACGTCAACCCGTGGGCAAGCGCGTAAATTACACCAAAATCCCAGATGTCCATTCAGAAGCTCCAGTCATGTTTCCCGGAGAAATCGGAGATCCCTTTTGCTGCGATTGGAGGTTTCTGCAGGTTTTGCAAAACGGCTTGGTGTACTTGCGGTCTTGTAACGAGGCAACTCCTAAAATGTTCGATTCCGCGCGAACAGCCCAATTTGACGAATCGAACCAGCGTAAACTGCAGTACATCAATGACGTTGTTGAACTCTATGGTGATGTTTGTGCCAGCAAATACAAGCCGGCTGGGCTTCCGATACGGCTTGTCAACCATTCAATCTCGAAAATCAGACTCAACGATTCAGATTTTACCTCTGAGCATCAATCACTGCAGCAGCAAATCACTTCTACTCCTCTTCCTGTCATAGCTGTGACATGCACTCTTCTAGAAAGAGGCCACCCCAAAGACTCTGCTCGGATCTATTCGATCCCGGAAAAGGACCTAGCTTACTGGCGTTCTATCGCGCAGTTGGTCACACGCGCGAATGGTAAAAGAGATCATGACCGCCCTCAGTGTATTCCTGAGGTGTCCAATCTGATTGGATATGCCACATGTGGAACGTTTCACTTGAGAGAAGGTTGTGGAGTGTGCACAGGTTTCATCGATGCACGAGAAGCCGTCAAACCTGCCAACGATCTTGTTTTGATTAGAAATGTGGGTACTAATGTTTACAGAGTCGCCAAATGGGCGCAGATTATGGTTTGAAATTATTGGAGCTTTTGACATGTGCAGTGAATTACCGAGAACTCGACTTAAACATCACTGACGCCGTTTTTTCACCGATGCTGTTTTCACTGACGCTTTCATCGAACCCGTCATTAACACCATAAATACTCGTACAATGTGATATTGATAAATTTTTCGCATTCAAATAATTTGTATAAATAGCGGCCGAAAAAACCAGAAAGATCCCTCTGGCTCACATCTTTTTTGATTTTGGATTTCTCTCCTCATACTTACCTTAAGATGTCAGAGGAGATCAAGAAGTCCTTCTGGCCAAATATGTCTTTCTAAAGCGATGCTTGTCTTTTACAGGAGACAGGTTTGCTTGCTGAGTCTCATTTGCAGACTGCACATACTTGCGAAAGGTGTATTTGCTGACGTTTCGTTTTCTCGTTCCGGTAGCGTGCCATGGTTTTCCGTATGGAGGATTGTGACGTGGTACTTGGGGCCCTTTGTTTCTTCTGCCTGGAGAAGTATGGTGCTGATTACAAGTCAGCGCTGGGAAAGTCGGGCGTGGATTTTGTTCGCTTTAAGTATAGAGGTTTCAGCTCGATGTGACAACAGTCGATTCCTGTGTATAGGCATAAGTTTTGTCGTTGTTTGTGGATCTTGTCTTCGGATGGAACCGCGGATGGCAGCAGAACGTGCCGCTGTTGCATGGAGAAGGTGGCTGTTGCGAAGCCTCTGTATAGGACAAGAATCATGCTTGGTAGAAACGGGTAGGTCTTATAATTTTTGATGTCAATCTTTTCCTTGACCTTTCTCATGGTGTGGCCCTGAGGCGTGCCACGAGGAAACAACGGGAAATATGAGGAGAGAGGGGACCTCAGAAACGGCTGGTTGTTGTTTGTTTCAAGCCAGAGTTATACGTACCTTCGCCAGTTTGTTCACATCAGTCGATGTGCCCTTATTGGCGAATGCAGCGCATGGCTGATGTTTTATTTCATTATCTTGACGTACTTGAACTTTTCTTATTCGGTATCTTCAAAAAAGACGCGAAGCCTCGTATAAATCGTCGATGTTCAGGAAGTCCACCTGAAGGTCATTCACTTGTTGCTTCCATAGCTCCCTCTTAAGGTCGTTTGGCCAGCCCGGTACTCCCCAAATCCTGGTTTTCAAATTCATTGAGTGCGCGGCATCCACGAATAGCCTGATACATTCGAGCTCGCCGCTCGATAGCGCTCTTCTTTGCCCCGTGGCCCTGGACGAGCAATTGGAAAGCAGTTGCGAAAGCGAGGCAGACGCTACAACGGAGAACTGCGCATGATGAGCTTCCAGATTTTGCAATGGGGCATCCAAAAACACAAATCTTCGGTTAGTGTGGAAAATGCCGTCTTCGTTATGGCCATCAAGGACGCTCAAGTCCTGTGGATAGTCTCCGGTAAGGACAACCGTCAGTGGATTCCACATGACCTCCTCAGACTCAAGATCAAAAAATGTCACATACCCCATGTCGATCAAAGGCTTCAGGTGGTTGTATATCAGACGATGGTAGGTTTCCGTGCTGTCCTCGGACTTGAAGTCAATGTAGAAATACAGCGACGTTTCTGGAGAATTGTAAAAGACACCATATTTGTGATCTTTTTCATCCTGATGACAATTCACTTCATTAAGCATTGAGAGTAGGGGACCCGTATACAAGGAGTCCAGAGTTCTATGGACAGGGTCTAAAAAAGCTATGTTATGACCAACCGCCAATTCAGAACTGCCGTCGATCAGCCACACGTCGGCTTCGATGCTGGCAATTCCGTGACACAAAGCTTCAAACATGGGCAAGTCGCGCCAGTAATCATTGTGTGAGTGCAAACAAGACACCGGGTTTACGTTTCTGTTGAGTTTGCTGACCATTGAGTTTTCAGGAAAACAAATTCCCTCATCGTTTTTTTGAGCAGCGTCTAGTGACAGGCTTTTTACAAAAGTGTCATAAAGTTTTGATACCTTCACTTTACCAGGCTTTTCAGAAGAAGCGCTTGTCAGAACCTGATGTTTGAAAAAATCAAGTAACTCAGGACCGGTGATGCCCAAATTTCTACTGAATTGTGGATCGCTCGTGCGTGAATCTTTCCTTAGTGTGGCAAGAATTGGTGTCCCTCGCACTTGCACTAACGTGCCGGCCCAAAATGCGGCGACCGCCAAAGCCAGTCCAGCGAAGAAAGTCCTGATCATATTTCCACGACACTGTTGGAATCAAACGACTTGCTATTTTCACAGGCGGCTTCTGTCAAAAGTTGCAAGCTGGATTAATCGAAATTGCATCAATTAATTGAGCACATTTATACCGGCATTGTGTCACGTGATACGAGGAGATGAAGAGACGCTATGAACTCTCATAATTGTTCCAGGCATCGATAGAAAGAAGTTCTCGGTGAATGGGACATGCGCATACTTTGCCCCCATCCGATATCATTTTCCATTATCATCTAGTTGATTAGTTGTCCCCTTACCTGGACGAAAAAAATCTCTGAATAAGGCGACGTCAACTTTGGATCCACACTTCTGAGCTCTGGCTACTTGTTAGAAAGCACTACGTACAAATCGAATGCTCTCTGCCATGCGAAGAAGTTTAATGAATACAACGTACTGTTTTATGCTGATCACTTTAAACGCATGTGTCGCAGCTTTGATAACTATATACGAAAGACGGAGAAATAAGAAAGTCGCGTAAATTAAAGACAGGACAATGCAAGAACCTCTGTAACCCATCCATATCCTGTGGACTCTTCCAAGATTGTTCCTTTATTTGTGGGTAATTTACCTTCATGACCACTTGAGTATGAATTTCCAAACAGCTCAGCGATGTCTGGAGCTGGCTGCAGGCGTCGCGGCTGAGAGTGAAAGCTGTTCGTTAGAACGTAATAAGCACTCTGGACTAGATGAGCAGAGCGACGTGCCCATGACGCAGGTTCCGGACGATTCGGGTTCAAATGTGCTTTTGAGCACTCAGATCCAGGGCAGGCTTGATGAGTTAGAGCTGAAAGATGGAATGCGTAGAGACCTCTCTCAATTTGCACTTGACACTCCTTTGCCTGCAGCTATAGAGAAGAAGAGCACCAGAAGAGCGAAAGTAAAACCAGGTACTCCTAAACCGCGTTCAAATAAGAGACGCAAGAGAAGCAGCACTACAGTGAAAAGTATCACGCAGTATAACATGGAGAAATTCGAGTCCATCAAGGGCCAGCAGCGCAGACGCCATGTCATGTCCCTTCTCTCTGGGAAGAAGGGGAAAATCAAGGATATCTTGGACTGTTTAGAGGCCGACCAGCCCTCCCTCATACCACCTAAAAAAAAGTGCTCTTTTTCCACTTATAGCGCGGAAGAATGGTCACACATTCTACAGCTGCTTAGCTCTCGGTTTCCACGCTGTCCCCCATCTCAAGTGGACAGGGTATTTGACTATCTTTACGGAGAAGAAGATGAAGCACATGTTTGGTACGCGTCACAAATACCGCCCGCCGGTGCCGAAGATCAGGTGGAAGGCTCTCGTGGCTCTTGCTTTCAGGCAGTGCCTCCCGTGGCGCTTACTCTCTCGCAGGCGATTGAGGATGACGGCAACCATAATGTGGGTAAGAGCAACGAAATTGGAGGGTGTAGTGGAAGTCAATCGGACACACAGGAAGCGTGGTCGTGCATTCCTAATACCACTGATGAATCAAGCTCGGAAATCCACATCGATGAAAGCTTTGCTCGAGACTTCAAAGACCAGATGCTACGCTCGGCTGCTGTTAGCCCCTCTAAGTTAAACGCACTTCCAGATACTTTTGAGGCCCCCAAAGCTTTGTCGCACAAAGTACCGTCACTCGAATTCTTGCACACAAAACAACCTCTCAGAAGTTCCAAACTAGAACGACAGAACACAGTCGGCTCCGCGTTCTCGTGCAAACCAGTTGTCACATCTCCATTGAAACTCGCGGGACGAGACCAATTGATAGACTTGACGCAGAATTCGTTTAATGTCGTCACTTCCCTGATGTCCGTAGTGAAAACGGATATACAAGTTCCATTGACCAGAACTGCAACGTGGAACGACAAGCCTGTCACCATAAACTCTGGAGCGACTCGCACCAAGCCCAACGGCCTAAACACAAAACTTAAGTTTCGATTGTACCGAAATGTCGACCGTGCGGCCGTGTATGCTTCCGCCAGCGAAAGCTGTGCCCATTTACAATGGGAAGCTCTTGGAAGCCTTTACAACGACAGTGAAGGGGATGGAGACGAAGAAGATGTCTACGAGCTTTTGCAGGTTACTTTTGGTCCCCATAATGACAGCACCAGTCCGGCTGCGAAAGTAGTATCTGCTAGGAATTCTCAAGAAAACACAGTTTTCAGTGAAGAGATGCAACCTTCGGAAACTCAAGTGGAAAAATCTCCCTCGCTGCCTCCCTCTCTGTCTTTTTGCTTTGCTAAGGACCTACGCCACAATCTCAAAGCTATTGGTCTCAAACCTAAACGAACGCGATCTGAGATGCTTCACCAAATGGAGTCTGCTTCCCAGCATCTTCTAGAAGGAACACACGAGCATCAACGACAACAGATTTTCGACCAACTTACCGCAATAGTTGAACATGACCCACCTTTATTGGAAAAGGTCTACACGTTCGAACCGCTGGTTTTCACCGAGCTGCTACAATACCTAATAAAACAGCACCCACTTGTGAGCGATCTCGACGAAAAAACGGTAAGAACCTGGGCAGACACCATGGGCATATGTCTCAGAAGCGCCGCGGAAGACTAGCTAACCTATCAGGCCTGTCAAGACTCTCACTATCCTCCCAAACGCCATTTCTCCAGAGTCTATGAACAAGTCACATGACTATACTCAACTATATTCGATAAATAACAAACAAGAACTTGATGAAGCGAATAGATCCAACTATGATGTACAGCTTTCACAACAACAGTTAAAGTAACAACTAAACATTAAAATCTGTTATTTTATCTGCCATGCCGCAATTGCGTGGTCAGGGCAAGAAGCCCGCAGAATTTGATCTGCGGTCGCAATTGGAAGACATGCAGAAACGAATTGATCATGAAACGGAGGAAGCCTTGTCCAAAAGAGACTCCAAGAAACATGCACCCTTCTCCAACATTCTGAGCAAAAGAGACAAGCGAACGTCAATGCCCGTATTTGCCGGTAGCTCTACTCACAATAACGTAGTTAACAGCAGTTCGTCCAAGGACGTCAATTTCATGGTAGGGTTGAGCGAAAACCTGCTGCTTGAATGTCGACGGCTTCAGGCAGATAATGAGAAAAAATCACTCAAACTGAAATCTTTGCAACAGGAGTACGGATCAATGCAGATCAAATTCGAAAGCTTGTCTGCTAAACTACAGGGAACGCAGTCGGAAAGCATCTCTCTAAAAGACACGAACTGGGAGCTGGAAACGAAACTTCAAGAAATATCACAACAGCTTAAAGAGCTGAGAAACGCATCAGACCGAACTCAGAAAGAGCTGCAACAGAAAACAGATGTTTTCAATGACCTTCAGAACCGCTTCGAGGAAATAAATTTCGAGAAACAGGGGCTCGAGAGTCAGCTTAAAGATATCCAGCAGCAGAACGCTGCAGACCTCGCTGAGCTCAAGAGAAATATAACTGATCTTAATGAAGAAAACGACGATCTCCAGCGAAAAGTGAACAAAATGTCTCTTGTTGTTCACCCGCCCATGGACCTGCATGCAACACCCAAGGAGCTAACCGAAGGCCACGACGCTAAGGCAAGAGCCAGCTCCTCCCCTGAGAATATTTGCTCAGTAAACAGTCCAACGCAGCTTTCTCCGGCTACCGAATCTTCGAGCGGGGCAAGGGCCCCACTTGATCAAACTTCTATTGAGGAACTCGATCATGCTAACACTGTCATTGACAAGTTGAAGAGACAAATTCTTCATCTGCAAAATACCCAAAACGCACATGCATGCTCTAAGCAACAGTCGTGGCATAATTCTAGTCCTCGTTCGGAGGCTGGAATGTCTACTAATGAAGCGAAGTCGAAGACTTCTACCCCGACCAAACGAATAAGGAAGAATCGAGAAAGTGTGGCCCTTTCAACACCATGGAGCTTTGAGGACTCAAATGATAGTTTCAACGCCGAACACTCTCGCAGCTATACCTCGGATATTGATGCAGAAAGTGATGTCACAGATACGATGGACGCCGTGCGTCACCCCATATTAGAAGACTTGAGTTACGACGATGGTGTGAATGAGGACTCGCCGTTGGACTTCAAAGACGTGCAGCGATTTGCAGATCTACATGATTTAATATTATTGTCCAGGAGCGAATTCGAATCGATGAAGTCCCACAATGTTGAAGTGGAGGAAGGACGAATAAACTCGGCACATGAAGTTTCTGGAGCAGTGAGCTTCGATGAGAAAGATGCAATCTCGCAACTGACACAAAACGGTTATGTGATACATAGTCGCAAAGATCAGGAGGAAATAGAAAAAACGCTTTCATGTTGGTTAAATCCGCCTTTTGATTATTTGAAGCGAAAGGCTACAGAAATGGGCAAGAAAATAATTGCTAAGGACGAATACGAGGCTCTCAAGTACCCGTCACTTGAGAATCTTACCAAACAGCTCGCAGAGCTCGAATATACTGCATTGCCAAGCGACGAACTTAAATCGTTAATGAAAACAATCCAAGAGCCTGCTGTAGATTTTTTGGAAGCTAAATTGAGTAATCACAACAAAGTGGCTGTCTCCGCTGAGCATTACAAAAAATTGTCAAAGCCTCCAATTGAGGATATGACTAGCTGGGCCAAGGGCGCTGGGTTCGAACTTGTTGAGAGCAATGACTGGCATTCTACTTTGAACTCTATTGCAAATCCAACTTTGGCGTATCTATCAGACGCTGCCCATAAAATGCATCATTCAGTAATAGCAACTGAACTGTATGAAAATCTACGTGAGCCCTCCCTGGCGGATTTAAACCGACACGCTGCAGACCTTGGTCAAATTATTCTTTCCAATGAAGATTACAAACATCTTACATCAGTTGATCAGCCATGGATAGTGAATAAAGCAGAATCATTGGGTCTCGTGGTTCTCGGTAAACAAGAGCACATGGAGCTTTTGAATCCCTCCTTGAACTGGCTCGAACAAAAGGCAAAGGCAGCAGGAAATCAAGTTATTTCTAGCGAGCAATATTCGCGGTTGGTAAATCCAAGTTTAGACCATGTAGCAGAAATGGCGGCAAAGTTCCAGTCCGCGTGCGTTCCAACGTCGGAGCTCGACGACCTCCGGAAAAGCGTTTCCACTCCTGAAAAGGCTTTCATTAAGGCAAAGGCGCTCGATCGGAATTTGAGAGTTCTTGAAGAAGAGGAGTATCAAAAGCTAGAGGCTGAGCTAAAGTTCCCTACGCTTGATACTGTGAAGCGCAGTGTTGAAGATCAATATCTGGAACCTGTGCTCGAATGGCTCGCCAAGGAAATGGGCTTGGTTCCGATGAAGAAAGCCGAATACAACAAGCTACAAAACATGTGCCAAAATCCTTCTCGCGAAGATCTGCAAAACATGGCCCATGTCAAAGGTCTGTCTGTGGTAGACTCAAAGCGACTTGAAGAATTGAATGAGTGCGTTCAGCAACCCAGCCTCAACTTTTTGCAAGAACACTGTGAGTCGTATCAGAGAGTGGTTATCGATCGAGAAACTTGGTCTGACCTCAGCAAAATGGCTGAGCATCCCACCATCGACTATCTTAAGAAACATGCAAAATCTCAAAGCTTACACTTATTAACTTTCAAGGCGTTATCAGAGTTGAAAGGTCAGATTGATGAACCCGATGTTGACTACCTCCGTGCCAAATGCAACGCTTTAGAACTTGAAGTTGTAAGCAAAAAGGATTACAGCGATCTTCTCAGCCACAAGGAGAGGCCAGACAAATCATTCTTGGAAGCCAAGCTAGAAGAGATGGGATGCGCGTCCATAGAGATGAAGGAGCTTTCACAGATGAAGAAACAATTAGAGCAGCCTGAAAGAGCATTCCTAGAAACGAAACTAGATGAGACTGGGTATGTTGCGGTGGAAAAGGGAGAGTTTTCGCAGATGAGGAGACAATTAGAGCAGCCAAGTAAGTCGTTTCTGGACATGAAGCTCAAAAGTCATGGTTTCTCATCAATAGATGACAGAGAACTATCTAAATTGAAAAGTCAGCTGGAGCAACCGGAAAAACCTTACTTGGAAGCGAAGCTTAAAAGGTTAGGATATGTGGTAGTCAACGAGAAGGACTTTGAAGATCTTTTATCCCGTGTCGAAAACCCTGAACTACCCTTATTAAAAGCAAATCTCAAAAAGTTCGGTATGATTCCTGTTAAGACTGACCTCGTTGAGCGCGATGCGTCTGAGCTCATCGCAGTGGAAATCCAGGAATTTGAGAGCCTGAAAAAGACGTTGGAACACCCTCCTTTGTCTTTTCTAGAAGCAAAGTTGAAACAACTTGGGTGTTCTTCCATTGACAATAATGAATACTCGGAGTTACGCCTCCTTCGGGATAGCCCTGCAAAACCCTTTTTGGAAGAGAAGCTGAAGATGCTGGGCTACTCTACAGTCAATACGGAAGATTTCTCAATGATCAACATACAAGGTAAAAAACCCGATGTGGCCTTACTGGAGAAAGAAATAAAGACACTCGGTTATGCCATGATTGATGGCTTTGAGCTTGAAGAGCTGAAAAATGCTACTCAGCGCCCTTGCATGTCGTTCTTAGAGAACAAGTTGAAAGAGAGAGGTTTCGTTACTGTCGAGGAAGGTAAATATAGCGAGATGCTTCGATGCACTGAAGCGCTAAATCCGGATCATATGGTGAGAAGTCTCGAGGAAAGTGGCATGAGCGTGATAGAAAAGTCAGAGTATTTGAAATTGAAAAGTCACTACGAAGCTCCCGACTTGACATTCCTGAAGGCAAGACTCGAAGCTAAGGGTTCGACCTCTCTCAGCACAGAAGAAATTGCCGCTCTTAAAGAAAGTGCGTTGAATCCATCAATCGTTTTGATGAAGGACAAACTGCAAGAGGCAGGATATGTCATTGTCACCCAGCAAGATTATAAAACACTGAACGAGCGTGCTGACGATCCTAGCTTGTGTCTGCTACAGGAAAAAGCAAGCGGGCACGGCTTCGTTTTCATTCCTAAGACAAAACATCAGGAAATGCTGGAAATGCTGGAGAATCCAACCCTGGATTATGTGCGCACCAAGTTCAAAGGGTATAAAATAATTACCAGTGATGAATATGAGTCGCTTGTCGCCTCAACAAACTCACCTAGTCTACAGTTTTTGACTGAGAAGAGCCAGTTGCTCGGCTACTCGTTGATAGATACGCAGTACCAGCGCGAACTTGTCGAAAAGGCAGAAACTCCCACATTATCTCACCTGAGATCTCATGCAGATAAGAATAGAAGCATTCTTCTGGCAAACGATGAATTTCAATTGATGCAAGACACGCTACGGAACCCTCCGCTAAGCTTCATTACTGAGAAATCGAATTCACTAGGGCTGGTTGTTCTTTCGGAGAATGAGCATAAGATGCTCCTAGCTGCTTCCAATTCAGAGAAAATTCTCGAAAAGGTCGAAGAAATGGGCTTGAAAGCAATTTCACAAGAAGAGTATTCAAGACTCCGCAGTGACGACCTTAACTGTGCAATTGTCGAAAAACTCGAATCTCGTTTGGCAAACCTAGGATATGCCGCCATCACGGTGGCAGACCTCGAGAGGTTCAATCAACCAATTGTCGAAAAACTTAATGACGATGTGGTGCTAGAATTTTCTAAGAAAAACGGCATGGAAGTTCTGTCACAAGAAGAGCTTTTATCATTGAAAGAGGCTGTTTCTAACCCTTCTATGCAAGTTCTCGAATCTTGCGCCGCAAGACACGATAGTAAGATTCTATCAACTTGCGAATACAACGAGCTATTTGAAAAGGCTCATTCACCCTCGTTCGACGCGCTGCGGCGTGGATCCGAAAAGCTCAATCTGACCATTGTAGATAAAGCGAAATATCAGGAATTGATAGAAAGATTTGACAGTCCGCCCGTGGCCTGGCTTGAAACGCAAGCAGGTAGCATGGGCAAGGTGTTGGCGGATAAAGAACAAATTGAACACCTCTCAGCAGCGATCGAAAAACCATCCGTTGAGTATCTGAAAGCGAAAGCAGCCGAAGAAAACCTCTGTGTTCTTTCCTTGCTCGAACGTGAAAACTTGAGAGACCATATACGTAACCCTAATGAGGACTTTATCAAAGAAAAAGCCAATAGTTTGGGATTGGCTGTAGTAAGTCAGACTGAACTTGCGGATCTTCGAAGGAAAGATTTATTCCCTGAGCCGAAAGAACTGGATATAAAAGCTGCGAAACTTGGGAAAATCATTATGTCTCAGTGTGAACTTGAAGATCTGAAATATCAACAAGAAAATCCTTCGAAGGAGTTTCTAGAATTGGCAGCGGAAAAGTTCAGTTCCGTGATGATTGAAAAGGACGAATATGATCTTTTGCATTCAGCCAAGGATCGAATGACGATTGAAGACCTTGTCGAGGTTGCATCTAAGCATGCGTGCGCAGTATTGCCTTGCACAGATCTGAACAAAATGCAGGATAATATCCAGAGACCGCCCTTAGACTACTTGACTGATAGAGCAGCCTCATATGGCATGGTTATCGCCGACGCCCAAACGTTCGAAACTTATGAAAAGAACTGCGAGCGCTTGGAAAGGCCCTCGCTAGAATTTGTTTCTTCTGTTGCATCTGCGATCGGTTGTACACTTGTTAACCACGAAGAGTATGACCGCATGAAGGATAGTCTTGCGAACCCCACAGAAAAGTACATTGAAATGAAAGCAGATGCTCTGGGTCTCACAACTGTAGACAAGAGCGTGCATGAAAAATTGCAATCGTCCTTTGAATCACCGAGCATCAAATTCTTGGAAGAAAAGGCAAATGAACTTGAGTTTAGAGTGATTCCTATTACTCTATATGAGCGGTTATCACACATGGTAGACAAACCCACATTCGAGTTCCTTGAGGAAGGAATCAGTCTTTATCCAGATTACAAAATCGTCAGGAAAGATTACAACAATGAGCGGACATTTATCTTAGACAGTACACCTGAAGCCCAAACTTTGTTACAAGATGTTGAACTCGTTGAAAGCGGAGCTTCTGGGCTCATGGCTCGGAATTCACAGCAAGGCAAAGAGCTTCTGGAAACTAAAAAAAAGAAAGCCATCACTATTGAGGAGGTTTACACCGCTGCAAAATCATTTGAGCTCACTGTTATACCAACGCTAGATTATATGTCCCTTTTGGAGGATCGAGACTCCTGTGGGCAATACAAAGCTTTATCTCAGAGCCCAGGCACTGTGGGACAACAAGAACCCTTAAACGACGATTCTCAGCGCAAGATTGGCGTGAACGCGATTTCCAACTTCACCTTAAGCCGCACAACAACCGATAGCAGTGAATATTTTGACGCCTTGCAATCAGAACCAAATGAGTCACTTCTCAGTGAAGCTTTCGACACAGAGTCTGCATACTACACCGATGCTTTGAGTAATGAACAGCTTTCTCGAGTTTCCACCATTAGCTTAAAATGTGACTCTAACTCGCTATCGAAGCTGCATGATCAGGCCAAACTACTGGGCTTTGTCTTGGTTAAACAAACATCCGAAACATTCAGAAATGCGTCCGGCGGTCAGGACGCAACGTTTTGCTGCGAAAATAGCTTTTCAGTATCGGGTGATCCCACAAACAAGCCGGGTATGGCCTCAGTATCAGACGACGCGAGTACGATTTCTAGCATGGAGAGCAAGTCTAGTGAGGAGGTTCTAAAAGAGCGGGCCGCCACTTTAGGACTATTTGTTATTACAGAAGATGAGCACGCTGACTTTGAATCTTTGAAGAGACTTCACAAGTCAGCTGTTGATCGAATGGACAGTAACGCTTTGTCTTCTCTTGAAGCACATACTGGCATGGGCAACATGCTGGAAAATGATTCATTGCAGTACGGCAAAAAACGCTTTTTTTCGAAGTTCGAAGAACGCGCAGAGTTATGGCTTGAAGAAGATTCCTCCAGAGCAGGACATTCTAAAACAGATGAGAGTCATGGTGTTATTTCGCAGGCAGGTGGAAGTAAGGGCGTAAACTCAGACTCTACTTCAAATGATTACATCTCAAAAACAGATGCTGATCCTGATCGTGAAGTACTCACTCTGGAAGGCAATTGTAAGAAGGACACTACAGAAGTTAGTTCTGGTGAAGATGCACACTTGCGCCAAACTTCTCGTGAGCCAAAGTCCCGGACATTAGCTAATGTTGACTATCGCTGCTGGACAAAGGACGAGCTGATAGAGAGAGCCCAGGAGTTCGGTCTTGTTTCACTCGAAGCAGACCAGTTTGCACAAATTAAGGAGGAATTGGCAGCAGGGACCAAAAATTTGACGTTAGACGACTTGATGATCAAAGCGGCAGAATTTGATATAGTTCCGATACAAAGAAAACAGTTTGAGCAGATTAAGGAAGAACTCTCGAATCCTTCTTTTACAAAAGACCAAGTGGTAAAGAATGCGGTGGAGTTTGGTCTGGTGGCAATTGAAAGAGACGAATATGACAGTCTGAAACAGCAGAAGCAAGGGGGCGTCGACGACGAATTCGCATCGTCTGGCGTCGAGGAAAGTGAACTTTCGGTAGACAATGAAGACAGAAATCAGCTTGATGCACTTGCTAAAAAGCTTGGCTTGATGTGCATTCCAGAAAGCGCATTTATTGCCACAACGACAGTTAGCGGAATCGACGTGCAGAACGTTGTGGTGCTGCCTTCCACTTATTATGATTACATTCTTGCGAAAGAGCAAGAAGGTCTAAAAATGGCCACGAATGAAGAGGTACAAGCCGAAGCAAAAAAGCGCGGTTTGGCCGTAGGAGCAAAGAGCAATGCTGGCCCAGGTATTGTCGACCTATCCCCACAGCGATTCAAAATCAGCAGGCAACCAACAATTCGCTCTAATGTTTCGTCAGAGTCTAATAACAGAAGGGGTCTGGCAGAAGCAGCCGCGTATGCTGCCTATAATGAATACGAGGCAGCGACGATACAGTCGCGGGGTAGGCGTACCTCGCTCTCATCGGGTCGTCACACGATCTTGAACATGGAACACGAAACGCCTCGTCACATTCGTCACACCTCTCTTGACGGGGGCATTTCTCTGGCGACGGTTGCATCGCTCAGCGAACCAAGCATAATTCCCGCTCTCACTCAAACGGTAATCGGTGAGTATCTGCACAAATACTACAGACGCCTTGGTCCGCTGTCCAACGTTAGGTCGCGCCACGAGAGATACTTTTGGGTGCATCCTTATACCATGACTCTTTACTGGTCAACGAATAACCCTGTACTAGGAAACCCTGCTACAAACAAGACCCGAGCTGCTGCAATTCTTGGCATAGAGAGTGTTGAGGACTCGAATCCATACCCTGTGGGACTCTACCACAAGAGCATCATCGTGAAAACCGAGACGCGACCTGTCAAGATAACTTGCGCTACCAGACAGCGGCACAACATCTGGTTCAACTCGCTCCGCTACTTAATTCAAAGAAACATGGATGGCATTAATTTGGATGACACTGCAATTGATTCTGCTGATGCGAACAAAATTTACCAGCTTCCGGGTGAGACACCCAAACTGACCAACCAAAGATTGTCTTCGACGAGACGTGGATTTTCTGCAGAAACTACGAAGCGTTCCACCTCCTCAAGAACACTCAGGTCGTGAACTATTTGCCTACATGAATCTGCCATTTACAGTTTTCCGCGAATATAAGAGTCCAAAGATTTGTATTCAAAAACGTATTCAAAACCGTTCAATAATTGACATGCGATCTTGTCGGCTAAGCTTTAACAGCTTGATGTGAAACTGTAGACATTGATTCAGGGCTACTGTCAGCTTGCCTTCGTAGTTGGCCGATCTGCTTATCTGATGACCTGCTTATCTGTCGATTGATTGTCGTAATCTATGATAGTTTGTAAGACTTTAAATATATGTTGCTAATCGAAAGAGCAGGACATCTCCCACAACTCCTCCATTCTCGAACACTCTCCAAAGACCAGTTTCAAGCTCTTTCACGTACCACTTTCAACATGAGGGACGAGGAGAAACTGAGCACGTTTGTGCAGTCCGAACGGGCCCGCTCGAACGGGTTCATAAGACGCATTTGCCAGCTAGTAATCGCGATAGTAGCGTTTTGTTGGCTAACACTGGGACTTGGAAGCTGTCCTGTGCCCATGCGTAGGTTTAATTATGGCAACGCAGGGCAATTGGGCGTAGCTTCATCTCTGGAAAACGCTTTTCTGGAGGCCCTGGACGAGAATTTGGCCGGTAATTGGTCTGAGAAATATACGTCTGTCCCACATTTAGCGGGCCAGGGCGTCGAGTTGGTGAACTGGACGGCCGCTAAGTATGAGGAATATGGTTTGTCTACCAGTGTTGAGACATTCGACATCTACTTGAATTACCCTGTGGAAAACGGCCTGTCCTTGCTGGAAAAGGGCAGAAATGGAACGTTTGTAGCTTACAGAGCTTCGCTGGAGGAAGACTCGCTGCCAGAGGACCCTACAACCTCCGGAGATGACTTGATTCCAGCATTCCATGGCTACAGTGCCACGGGGAATGTTACTGCTGGGTACGTGTTTGTAAACTATGGCACCAAGGAAGATTTTGAGCTTTTGAAAAGCCAAAAGGTTGATGTAACGGACAAAATCGCTATTGCAAGATACGGTAAGATCTTTAGAGGCTTAAAAGTGAAGTTTGCACAGGAAGCAGGATGTGTTGGCGTTTTGATTTACTCAGACCCCGGCGACGACTTCTACCAAGAAGCCAAGGGTGACAAACCATATCCTGAAGGACCTGCAAGAAATCCTTCTTCTTTGCAAAGAGGTTCAGTTCAGTTTTTGAGCGAAATGCCAGGAGACCCAACGACCCCCGGTTATCCTTCGCAAGGAGACGTCGAACGTGCGGATCCAAAGGGCCGTATTGCCGACATCCCCAGTTTGCCCATCTCCCACAAGGAAGTGTTGCCCATCTTGAAGAAACTGAATAACCACGGGCTCAGCGGCCCTAAAATTGGAGGAGATAAGTGGAAAGGAGGCTTGCAAGGTTTTGAATACTGGACTGGACCATCGCCCGATCACAGCTTGAATCTTTACAACAATCAGTCCTACGACATTCGTCCCATTCACAATGTGTATGGCAACATCACAGGTACCAACCCTAGCGAAGGGTACATTTTGATCGGTAACCATCGAGATGCTTGGATCAAGGGAGGCGCATCTGATCCCAACAGTGGATCGGCAGCTATGCTTGAAGTTATCCGTGCTTTCCACCAACTGCAATTGAGTGGGTGGAAACCTCGCAAAACTATTATGTTTGCGTCTTGGGATGGCGAGGAATACGCTTTGTTGGGATCCACAGAGTTTGGCGAGAAATTTGCTGATGATTTGAAAGCAAACTGTTTGGCGTATCTAAATGTTGACGTTGCTGCTTCCGGAAAGAAGCTCGATATTCAGGCGTCGCCATTTTTGAATAGAGTCTTGAATGAGTCGTTGCACTTGGTGGATTATCCTTTTGGTGGAAGTCTTCATGAGCATTTCTTCGAAAAGAGAGACAAGTTTGGAATCTTGGGTAGCGGCTCGGATTACACAGTGTTTTTGGAACATCTGGGCATTCCTTCCGTGGACATGGGTTTTGGTAATGGTCCGAACGACCCCGTTTATCATTATCATTCGAATTATGATTCTTACCATTGGATGTCTACAATGGCGGATCCTGGTTTCAAACTCCACAACACCTTGGCTAGATACTTGGGATTGGTCGCTCTCAGACTCACAGAACGCAAGGTTATACCTACCGAGATCGCGGCATATGCTTCGGAGATGGAACAATATTTCCAGGCATTGGTTGAAAGAGTACCAAACAAATGGCTGAGCGTCGCAGCCGGAGGATGTCACCGCACGATATCCGACATTATTACCTCGATGGAAAATCAGTTTGCAGCATTCGTGGAGAACGCGAAAGTTTTCGATACTCGCGCAGAAGCTCTGCAATCAAAATGGGATGCGTCCAAGAACTTACCATTTTGGAAGCGTTTTGCACTTAACTACAGAATCAAGGGTCTAAATTACAAATTGAGATACTTTGAAAGACACTTCTTGCATCAGAAAGGTCTTGACGGGAGATCCTGGTTCAAACATGTGGTGTACGCAGCTGGCAGAGACACTGGCTACCAAGGGTTCGCATTCCCTGGTTTAAAAGAAGCGCTGGACGACGACGACGTGTATGCGTTTGTTAGATGGTTGAAGATTATTCGAAGGAAGTTGAAAGGCTTGAATGACAGTTATGAAGAGTAAATAAACTGAGCAAGCGAAAAGAGCCAAGATTAATGGTCTCTGACTCGGACATATTATACATTTTGACCATACCAATAACCTAAAATAAAAACCTATTATGACCGACCTGGCGATATCTAGAGGCTCTACTTCTAAAAAACACATAAATAACCTTTGGAACGTAAAAGGGCTCCAGTTCCAGCTGGTGCGCGATTGCGATGATGCAAAAAGCTCTGTTCACCATGCCATTTTTTGCAATGCCCGGACATTGGCGTGATGGTTCCTGCGTCCTGTTCCAGCGCTCGCAAGATGATGTGAATTGGGAATGTGACCTGCCTGCAAGTACACTTCGATGTCCACGTCGTCGCCATGCTTAAAGCAACACCGCTGGCCGTAGGGGCAGGAGCCGGATTTGATCCAATTCAAGCAAGGCTTGGTTCTAAATTTGTTGTTACGCTCTTTGAACTTGAGCTCTTGTAGACCGTGTGCGAATTGGCAGTTTGAACCGTACCGACAATGGCCGGTGGTTGAGAACGATTCGCATAGCTCGGTCTTGTAAAGGGTCCGGTTGCACTTTTCATTCGCAGCGCTTTGGTGAGCACGAGACCCAGAGCCTTGTGCAGATGTGGGTTCCTCTGGTGGTGCAAGACACTCGGGTCTCTGTGGTGCCAATTTCGGATTTTGCAAGAGCTTAAGGTTTTCGCTGGTCAATGGCATCACACCAGTGGCGGGCATGTACTGAGGATTGATCTGCACTTCTAGCTGTGGTGCAGCGGGCATCTGCCCGCTGCGACGCACCACATGCTGCTGCTGCTGCTGCTGCTGCTTGGTGTGCAGTGGGAATCCCGTGATTCGTGGTTTCTGTTCAAAGCTGGGTTCCTCGTCCAACAGCGTGCGCACGTAGTAGTCTTCAATTTCCTTAATTCTGGCGTCGAGTCCGTCTTCCTCAGCGGAGAAAACCGACGACGTCTGTGTGGTGCGCGACGAAATACTGAGTTGCGAGTTCATGGTGTTGATTATTTTCCAGTTTGCAGGAAACACTATTCTACTGACACCAGTGTTGAAGATCGTTCAACGTCTACAGTCTACTCTCATATATATATATATATATTTATATATTCACTTATATACACTACTACACCTGCGCTGCACTACGTTACACCCTATTTCACATCTACATTACCTCTATACACCCAAATATTCACATTTTTTGTTGTGACGCCGTGACGGCAGAGCATATTCTGCACCCACCGAGACTCAACGCCACGAGGCAGAGCATTTTAAAAACGACAACTAGTCCTTCGTGTGGAGCTGGGTCAAAAGTTGACAGACTTTGGACATTCTAGGTGGGATGAAGTGCATAGTGCACCCATGGAAAATGGACTTCGGGAAAAAAAAACCCCGGAAAAACCCGGAAAAACCCGGAAAAAAGAAAATCCGGTTGCAATGGGAGATAAAAGACGGAGGGAGGTCACATGATGTTTGGCACGTGTTGTGTGTGGTGTGATTTTCGCGTGACATCTCAACACCCAGACATCGGGGAATCCGGAAACCCATGCACCCAGACGGAGGGAGGTCACATGATTCTTGGCTCGTGTTGCGTGTGGTGTGATTTTCGCGTGACACCTCAACACCCAGACATCCCACGGTCTATCATATTTCTGTCGTGGTATCATATCACGTGCTCGTATCGCAGATCATTTCATAAGCGATATTGTTCACTTATACTGATAATGATATTCAGTAAATTCCAACTTCAACTTTTTTGACAAAGCCTAACCTTAAGTCTCACCACAACCTCACCACACTCCTTCCAAACTCTCGCTTAACTCTGCTCTTCGTTTCCCCCCCTCTCACGGTTTGACGTCTCACACAACACTGGAATGATCTTTAAGCCGGGGAGCCGATACCAAAACTCACACGCACAGAGAACGCTGGCCTTTTAGAGCTTGCAAAAAATATGAGCAATCCCGATGATCTGCTGTTGGAGCTCATGTACGAATATAAACCCCATCTGCAGTCGTATCGGCACCGCATAAACACCTGGAACGAGCTTCTAAGGGCGTTCAATGAGGCCACAGGTGCTAGCTACCGCCAGAACCGGACTTTGAAGACGAGGTTTGAAAAACTGAAAGAACTGTTTTTGAACGGAGAAAAACTGCCGTTAAAGAACGTGGCATTGTTGCAAACACTGCTGGACGAGAGCAGCCGCGAGCCCCGACAGCTTGAACAGTCTGAGCAACTGCAGCGCCCGCAAGAGAGAATCTCAGCCGTTAATTGTCAACCGCTCCTTGACGGTCCCAACAGAGCCCACGACAAAATGCACGCAGACGCAGACGCAGATTATTCCTCCGATGGTGAAGAAAACGAGGAACCTGGGGCTCCCAGGCCGCCACCTCTGGACTCCATGACGATTTTCCCACACACCCAGATGCAACGGCTCCAGGAGCAACGTGGCGCGAAGAATAATGGGTTTGCGGCCAGTCCGGCACCCCACGACTTTCAGCGGTTTTCAGAAACTCCACAATTTCATGCACAAAATTTATCCGCGACGGATACCTCTGAAGCGCAATATATGGACACAAAGGACCACATTGCCTCTGTGTTAGACTCGCTAAAAAAGGACTCTCACAACAATAACCCAGAGAAAGCATTTGGCCATGCCTCCGATAATATAAACTCTCTCGCGGCACTTCGACAAGAGATCGACGTAATGAAACAAAATCAAGAAAATTTCCAGAGGAACGTGCTAGCAAAGCTGAACAAAATCGCAGAGCTCCTGAATCCGCCAACCGATTTCTTGAATATGCCATTTGGTTCACAACCTCATCAAAGTCAGGGCCCGTAAGTGGCCCCATGTCAAATATTTTTTTCAGTTCGACAAGCTTATTTGAAAAACCGGTTCTAGAGATCGCCTACCTCTAATGGCCTCCAATGCGGCCTTCAATCAAGGGGTCGTAACACCAAAAATCGAGTATCTCGTATATATTACAAAATCTATAGATTATTTCTTAATTCTACCAGTTTTTCCCAACCTTCAGAGTCTTGCCAGTTGTTTCTCCCCCTGCTCATTAGCGACTTTATGGTAGATCTTGCTTTGTATTTCCAGTCTTTGCACACCAGACTGCCCGGCCCGTGCTTGCCCTCCATCTCTCCCAAAGACTCATATGCCGCGATCAAGTCGTCACAGGCCTCCACGGTGTCATTCCAGACTCGCTCATCGAACTCAAGGTCAGGATTATGCGACATGGCGCGATATTCTTTTTCGTAGCACTCTAAGGATGCCCATGGTTTCTTTCTCCACATCTCAACCTTGGCGACTTGTTTCCAACATTTAGAATTTGTTGTTACGACGCTGGGCAAAGTATCGCATATAAACTCCATACAAGAAGACTGGAAATGTGTCAATCTTTGACTTTCATCAACCGGAAAGTCCGAGGTCACCAACAACTCTACCAACTTCTCGACAACGGGCATATCAATGGAAAACTCTCCCATCTTATCCTTTCGTACTTCGACGAGCTTACGACAAGCCATGAGAACGTCTGGCCACAAATTAAGCTTCATCGAAACTAACATATAGTTGTCCCAGATTCTCCAGTTGTTGGGTGAATCTGAACTTATCGCCTTGCTAAGACAACTGTGAGCTTCCTTAAGCTTGCCCTGTTCCATGAAAGCAGCACTCAGATTGGACCAGGATATTGAGTGAGTAGCGTCTAAAGATACACATCTTGTGAATGCTTCGGCTGCGATGTCCATTTGACCACATTCCAAAGCGACACATCCATAGAAATACCAAGTGTCGAAAGCAAGCGGATATAAACGCAAAGATTCGTTCAAATGCTTCAAACATGCAGCTGTGTCTTTTTTCAAACCAGATGACGTTGGTGGGTTGTAGTAGTATCTTGCCAAGGAGTTTTTAGCATTGACATGTTTACCAATTTCCCAACTCTTCAACCACAGATTAGGATCCTGTCTGATGTCTCCCAAGATAGATAGAGCTCTCGCATCATTTGGATTTTCCTCGATTCTCTCAATCAGAATTTTCTCTGCGGTCTTCTCATCACCGACAGCTGCATGACACAGAGCAGCTTCACATACCATTGACAGTCTCTCATAAATCTCCACGGCTGATTTGAGGACACCTAAAGACATGTACTTCTCTGCCAGTTTGGCATCCATTGCCCAACGAGGAACGAAAGGTAATTTATGCACATACTTCAGTCTCTCGATGTTATTTGTCTGATCATCACTGCTGTCTTGAGGGAGCATGCGAGATTTGATCTTGAGTCCCAGTTCTTCAACCAAGGATTGCATTTGTAATAGACCTCTCTCGATGGTTTTGGCCTTCGTGGTTTCAACAAGTGATCTCTCCCACAAGGCTCTGGAGAATACTGTCCAATTTTTTTGTCCCGATTGGTATAGAACGCGGTTTACAATCGCGCCCAGCTCCTGTTCCACCATAGAGTTCTGGGCCGGACTAGTCTGGCGGATTACTTGCATACGAAGAAGAAGCTGCACATTGTCATCATCAGATAAAGGAGGTTGATCATTGGGGTCTAGCTCGCGCAAAACGACTGGAATGTCTTCTTGTCTTACAGCTATTGGTAGAAGTCTTTCTTCGTCAAGTCCGTATTCCTGGTCTTTCTTCGGTCTTTTTACTATTTGTTCGTCCAAAGGTTCATTTCCAATGGATTCGAAAATCGGCCTTTCTAGTAAGTGATCAGACTCTAACGCAAGACTCTCGGGAGCCCCATTTGGGAGCTCATCAGAAAGATCCGAGGCGGTTTGCAGAGATTGGGCCATAATAATCAAGCCAGAACGAAATTCGTTTTGATATTTGGTTCTCTTAGCCCGAGCGCCGGTTAGCACAAATTGGAACTCTGTTAACTTCTGAGCCTTTGTCAAGGAAGGCAGACACAAATGTTCTGTATTCGCGGCCAAGGAGCATTTGACATTTTCAAGGTAAAAACTCAATCCCAATTCTTTTTCAAGGCCGGCTTTTAGATGCGGTGGGATTTCTTTGGTAATGGCATACACTAGATCTATGCTGTTGAAAACCGACGATGCCACAATTGGATGAGGCCCTGTGGGTTCCGGTAGGAGTGACATTTGCACCATGATTGCTCTTGCACGCCACCAGTGAGCACAGGCCACGATGGCAGGTGTCTCAGATGGGGAAATTTCCACAACAGCCGTTTCCTGGAAATCGGCCCCGAACAAAGACGGCTGCTGCGAGATTTGCTCGAGCAGTATTAGACTCATCACCAAGTAAATGGCGTCATCGCACAGCCCATAAGCAGATTGGCCCAAAACACTGAGCAGCGAGATGGAAAACCGGTGTAGATTGTCCTTCTGCTCGTCGATACAGGCAAGAACGTCGGACCCCGATTGCGCAGCGGCGGGACCCGTAAAGTTGCTCTGTATGAACGACTGTAGCAGTGCGATTGCGAGTAGAAGAGCGAGGTTTGGGCGGCCTTGTAATGAGCTCGACAGCTGGTTTTTTAGCCGCGTATGCAGATCCTGGGGGTCTTTGAAGCTGCAATTCCCGATTAGCCCGGTAGCTTTCAATAGCTCCTGAATTACCTCCTCATGACGTCCACCCAAAATGAGCCTAGCATTGATCAAACACGTAGCATCGATTTCGCCGCACAACTCTGTTGGCAGTGCACGATCAAAGCCCAGCAAAACCGCTGTTTGCAAAATCGTGTCCATCATATAACCCCGAATTCAGCTTGAAGGCTCAAGACCAAATCTAAAACAAATCGGCGTTGATTGGTATTGTTTTATATGCCTTTGAATCTTGTATTGGATAGCCGATGAGCAGTGAACTTGACCATTGATGGCCAAAATTTTAAATCCATTCGTGTGTGACGATATTTGTGAGTAAGCTTAGAACGACTCCAGTTTTAGAGTCAAATCTGACCTGATCCAGCGTTGAACTGCTTCAGTAATGTGTCTATCGTGTTCTTCAGCTTTGAATGTGTGCGCTTAACTCTCTTTTCGTGTTTAAACCATGAGATTTCAGTTGCACTGCATGTTTTGCAGAGTTCTCCCTCGCTCGATAGACTCAGGCCCGGAAAGTATTCGTGACACTCGAAGCACTTTGGATTTGATGAACTAAAGGTATTGGCTTTCATTTTTCAGGTTTTCTTTCAACAATCTCTCTTATAGCGAAAAATGCTTCTTTTCTCATTCTAAGACCAAGAGAAGATAATCAATAGCTTGCACGAGATAGCAGCATACTTTCATGCCGTGTCTTGAGCTCTCAAGATCCCTCATTGCGGCGATCTTTACTCTTTTTGCTTGATGAGTTGTCGCGACATCTTTCCATACGCGTAACGCGTGAAAGTTTAAATAATTAACAAATCATCACCATTTGAACATGAATCTCGCTCAGTGCAAGATTCAAGTGTAGAAAACTACAGCCGATTAGCTCGACAAACACTCTACAAACATGTCCGGTATGTGTGGCAATAAACAAGCTTCTTTTAGGGCCTTTTTTGAAGCGGCCTACTAACTTATACGTGAAATTAGGATACCAGCCTTATAATGAATTCTCGTCAGTCTCAGGCGGCGGTGGCGGTGGCTTCGAGAACTCTCAGGGCAATAGCAGACCAAACACGGGTTCCGGTGGTGGATCGCAGTCGACATTGATGCCCGTGACGATCAAACAGGTGCTGGAGTCGAAGCAAATGGTCCAGGACGGACCTTTCGTAATCCAGAATCTGGAATTGCACCATGTGGTGTTCGTCGGCGTCGTCAGGAACGTGGTAGATAAGACTTCGAACATAACACTGACTGTGGAAGACGGCACTGGTCAAATAGACGTTCGTCAGTGGACTGCAGACCCCACCGACATCGCCAACGCAAACGAGCAAAACGGCAAACAGGAGGGCTCATACAGCTCGCAGATCTCACAGATGTACCAAGTTGGCACGTACGTCAAGGTTTTTGGCGCGTTGCGCGAGTTTAGCGGTAAGAAAAACGTCCAGTACGCCGTCGTCAAGCCCATCGAGAGTTTCAACGACGTCATAGCACACCACCTGTCCGCCATGAAATGCCATGCGATTGCAAATGGAACGTTGCAAAGCCCGGCATACCCAAACACCGACTCTACAGGTATCAACAACAATAACAACCCGCAGCCGGGCCAAGACCAAAGTTTGTTCGTGCAGGACAACTCCGCCAACGATCCCAAACCGGCTCTTCATAAGATTTTAGAGTTTTGTGCAGGTCAATGTGAGGGCAAAGATGCGAGTAATTTCGCCGTCCACACGAAACTCATCGAGCAAAGTTTGGGAATTTCAGAAGCAGACGTTAAAATGTACTGCCAAACGCTGGTCGATCAAGGTTTTATATACCCTACTTTCGATGATAGCAGTTTTTTCGTTCTATAAAGAGAGTAGAGATGTGTCATTACATATATAGACTGTCCTGATGTATGTAGATCTCGTAAACTATGTGGTTTTTATGTTTGTTATTTTCCTGACGCTGGCTGATTTATTGTTTATGACGCCGAGGCTGGCATTTGTGTGATGGAACGTCACTGAAATATCCAAAAACACATTTTTATCTTGATACACAAACTCCTGTCCAAGCTACATCAGTACTGCAAACTCAATTTAAGACCCGACCAAGATGCCGTTAATCACTTTGAGAATTTACCTTGCGTTATTGGCTGTGTGTGGGGTCAGGCTCGCCAGAGCTTCCATAAATCCCGTTGAAATTCACGAACAGCATTTCTATGATTCAGTTACTCGTGAACCGTTTTTCATCAAGGGTGTTGATTATCAACCAGGCGGCTCTTCTGGAGTATCGGGCCAGAGGGATCCACTTTCGGACGCAAAAATTTGTGCGCGAGACATATTCCTGTTCCAAAAACTGGGCATCAACACAATAAGAGTGTACTCGATCACCCCGGACTTAAACCACGACGAATGTATGACTATGATGGCAGCAGCTGGAATATATCTTATTCTCGATGTTAACTCGCCGATGGAAAATCAACATTTGAACAGATATGAGCCTTGGACAACTTACAATGAGGACTATTTGGAGCACGTCTTCAGGGTGGTTGAGCAATTTGGTCACTACAACAACACGCTGGGATTTTTCGCAGGCAATGAGATTATCAACGATGGGCAATCTGCAAGGAGAACTCCGCCTTATATAAGGGCTGTCGTTGGTGACATCAAACAATATATCAAGGCCAACTCCCCAAGGACGATTCCTGTTGGCTACTCTGCCGCTGACGATCTTAGATATAGAATCCCACTGTCGCGGTACCTAGAGTGTCACGATGCGGACCATCCAGACTCTAGTATTGACTTTTATGGCGTTAATTCGTATCAATGGTGCGGCCAACAAACTTTCCAGACATCGGGTTACGATCAGCTCGTCGATGCCTACAAAGAATACACGAAGCCGGTATTCTTTTCTGAGTTTGGATGCAATATTCATCGACCCCGCTCTTTCGAAGAGGTCGAAGCGTTATACTCAGAGCAAATGATAAACACCTTTAGTGGAGGCCTTGTTTATGAATTTACCGAGGAGCCCAACGAGTATGGACTCGTGAAGATGAATGATGACGGAAGCGCTCGCGTTTTACAAGACTTTGTCAACTTACAAGGCCGCTTTTCTGCAATCGAGAGTAAGGAATTCAAGATGATACGCAAAAATGCGATGAGCTTGATGGCCACTGCCCCTCTACCGACCTGCAAAGATAGCTATGAAAATCTTCAAATCGATGCCACAGTGCCCAATGATGTGCTCACCAGTGGACTCAAAAATGGAGTGAGACAGGAGAGAGGAAAATATTTGAATATCAAGGATTCTGACATAACCTCAGAGTTCGAAGTATATGACGAAAATGGTAAACCCTTCAGCAGCCCTCGAAGATTCGCTATCGTCAACAAAATCGAAGGCACAGCTGAACCTAGCGGTAAACAGAATGACCAGCCTGAGAAGACAGAAACTAGTCCCGATGGCTCGAGTAAACCAAATGGTGATGAAAACGAGGATGTAAAAAAGAGTAACGCTGTCTCACTTACGTCCCCCAAATTTGCATCTGCGATTGGTTGGGCGTTTGCTAGATTTTGATCACTGGCGTACTTTCAATTGATTTAACTCAGTTATTGAGGCTTTAGCTAAGGTGCGTCAGTGAGAGCCACAAGGCGCCCACATTTTGAGCTTCTAGGAGCCGTACTTGTATAAGACGAAACCGTCATTGTCTCTTACTGTCACCATTTTTTCTGCGTTGAGTAAAGGCCTCAATAGAATTTCCCAATCATATCGAGTTCGCGGGGTACACCATTGCCACTTTTTCAGCATCCGAATATCAACAGATTTGAATTCAGACAACGATTTAAAAAACATCCACAAGTTCACATTGGGTATGTCTTTGAAGAGATGGATGTTTTGATAACTATTCCAAAATTGCTGCTGGTCCATCACCTCATAATCGCTGAAGCCTTCTACAGTGCTGGCATTGGTATTTTTTGAGCAAAGACAAACGGCGCTATCCCACCAGTGACTGCCCGGGTCTCCTTCATCCGCTTGATTAGAGCCACACAGAGTTTGCAGATCATCTTCCGTGTATATGTCCAATTGTCGCCAAAAATGCAGTGGCTGGAGAGGGAACACGTTGGTAAATGGAATATTAACAATGGATATTTTGATGCCTTTGGTAGGCAGACGATCCCAAAGGGTTTTATAATAATGGTAGAAATAATGGAAAGGATGTATCCTCATATTTTTAAAATATTGTTCTTGAGCTTCTGATAGAATGCCTGGTTTCTTGCCATCGCTGTCATTAACACGCTTGATATAACCATCGTTCATGGCAAGCACGATTGGCGTAGTGGCAGGCGGAACCGTGAGCTTGCGTATCACTGGTGCATCGACCAAGGTTTCCGCCAGGGAAACATTATCGGAACAGCTTTGTGAAATGTCTTTGTGATAATATACGGGATTGACGACTCGATGATGATGAAAACAGTCGCTGTTGCAATCGATCATCAAATGGCCTAGGCTCTGAAAGCAATTCGCCAAGATAAGGTCGTATCTGCTGTGAAGGTTGAGCAGCTTGAGGGTTTTGACCCGATGGAAATAAGACCGCATGAGTTTCATTAAGCCCTGGCCGGGAATGATTTCGCAGCCGTTCAACGACAGCGAGGAGATGGGTAAATGAAGATCCAGAAATCCGCCTTCACCAACCCGCATATACAGGGGCACATACTCAAAGGGCGCATCCAACGATTCTGCATCTATGACCATGTTCTGTAGTATCAGTTCGTCGAATATACCGAAGCAACTGAGCATGTTCGAGCGCAAGTGCACAGGAGCTTTGTCGCTCGCTGCCCGAAACTCGAGTTTTTTGAAGCGAGGTAGGTTATGATACTTTTCTTCATAGTTGGAAAGCCATTCGGCGGAGAATTCAAAGCTCATCAGGTCATCTCTATTCAAAGACTGTTGTCCCTTGATAATTCTCTTGTAGAAGTCTTTGGAGCCATCATTAAGAACTGAGTACCAAAGCGGTATCTTAAAGCCCTGCTGAATACCGCTCAGTACGATATGCGTGAGGTTGGGACAGAAATCGATGATGTCCAACATTAACTCGAGGTAAGTATGGTTTTCGTATTTTGCCATGGTTTTAGACCGAGAGTTTGACGACAGATCGAAAAACGACCTACGTGGTGGTGACTTGTGTCTGCTAAGAGACCGAGTCAGACTCCTATTTCTTAAACGTTTACCATTGACAGGAGAGCGCCCGCGTTCTATCGAGGGCGCAACCTCGGGCGATTTCTCTCGCACGAAGCTCTGCATTTTGTGCGGGTCGTTGAACAAGCGGTATGAGCTGCCGATGGTCTCGGAATGATCCTTGCTGCAATACTTGCCATACTTGAGGACGGAGTCCTGGTACACTGGGTTTACGAATTCGGCTGATCGAACCAAAAATCGCAGATTTTGAGACGATACTCCAGCCCGCGGCTCAGTCAGCGCATCTGATGTGTGAGTCTCGCAGTGGATGAGGGCCACAAATTGCAACAGTGCCAGTTTGTCCTGAAGAACGACGTTTTGGTATAGGAACTTGTTGCTGATGATGTTATAGAGTTTGGAATTGACCAAACACAGCGACAGCAGAGTAGACACGTCGAGCAGTCGCAGTACTTGGTCTAATATCCCAGGAGACAGAGATAACAGTCCCTTGGGGTCCGGATCGCTCTGGATCCGAGTGTTATGGTATGCTCTTGCCCGTACGTTTTGAAGCTCTGTTGTAGGAACTGGCTCGTCTCTGGCGCGGCCAAAAAGTTGAAGCCGCCGCATAGTGAATCTGAACCACGCCAAGCAGTAAAACCCGCTGTACAAATGACTTTGGACGTGGAAATCCGGTGACAAACGATGGTTCTTTGAATTTACAACATTTTAGTTTTGATCAGTATGGTATATTATATTCTAAACTATAACAATGAAAGAACGCTACTGTGGCTCGCCGACCACGAATAGGCCAATGAGCAGTATTTGACGTATATACAGTGTCCAAATCGATTGCGGATGAACGAGTGAAGGTTATCATACTCCAGAAGTGTTGCCCGGGAGTTCTGCAAGCTCACAAGCTCGCAGTGTGTAATTTGATGATAAATAGATTTCTCCTTTGACACCACGACAACTAGTGCTGGTGATTGTTGTTGGCAGGCAAGGCGTGTGCGGTGTGCGCGTCTGCGTTGTGCTTTTGCTGCGTCTTTTTCGGAGCGTCCTTGGCGTGGTGGCCGATCGTGTCGCGTAGTTTTTCTGGGATATCTTCAAACGCCAGATCGTCCGTGGTCAGCGCCACGGACTCGCCCTTCGCGCCCAAGATATCCTGCACAGTGATGCTCGAGTCCGAGAAAATTTTGAGATGGTCTGCAATCAGATGTCTGCTCTTACAGCCCGGACACTGGATTAGAACCGTGCCCTTCGTGTACGCCTGTTTCGACATGGTGTGCGATGAACGCGTGTTGCACTTTTTACAGGTGAATGCGATCATCATCGCAGGCTTGTCTGTCTTGATGGCAGCCGTCTTGGAGGCCACAGGTGGGCCTTTGGGCGCCTCGTTGTGTTGGAATCGGGAAACACTGAAAGGCCGTGTAAAAACGGCCAAAGTGGTCATTTTGAGAAGCGGAAAGCGGGCAGACGCCGGAGTCATGGCCCGTACAGACGCTCGCAGGCTTGTAGCGCGTAACATCGCAGTTACGAGAGCACTTGGAGCTGCTTTTTTGGATAAATTCAAAGTTTCTTGAGATTTTAAACGTCTAACTCAATCCTGTATATTTATATATATATCACACGTAGAAATCTGGAAAACTAAGATTTTAAGCATTTCATCACGAACCACCAAAAACCAACAAAACGCGCGCAGAAAACACACCTTATAGCGATGGAACCTGGCCAGCTGTCGCCGCAAAAGGAGCAGGAAATTGCGTTGAAGATTCTGGAGAGAGCAGAGCTCGCCCAGATGACGAGACAACTCAAAATGGGCCTCGGAAAAGTGGCGACGCCGAAGAAGAGTTCACGCGTGTCGCTGGACGGTGCGCGTGTTTCACCTCTGAAGCGGGCACGGACGCGTGAGAACAGTGGGTCTAGTGATTTGGGAGAGGTCGGGGAGCTCAGGGAGCTGGGAGAGCGCAGGGAGCGCAAAAAAAGCCCTGCGAAACGCGTTGCAACACCACCGGGAAGTCCCCTGAGAGGTGGGCGAGAAGGTACTGAGCTCCCAGTGCCACGAACGCCACGACCACGGACGTTTGGGTCTGCAACAAGCGCTGGAGCAACACACGAGAACCACGAATTAGGTGCAGACCTGCTCATGTATCTGGCGACCAGCCCCTACACGTCATCTGCGAAGCCTGGAGCGGGCTTGCAGGGCCCACAGACGCCCTCAGCGGCCACCAGCAATGGTGTCGGAAGAATTCCGATCACGCCGTCGGTGCCACATACGCAGCTGAAGAGCCAGGGCACCGCAGCGTCGCCTCATTCCACCTTCAAGGTCCCAGCCCTCGCTGTGGCACACCATACGCCATTGCATTCGGCCTCCACTTCGCAGTGTTCCGATATCATGGACTCGCCACACATATCGTTTTACATGCCGTCGTCGTCGCCACGCAAACGGAGCGAGTCTACGACCACGACCAAATTGGGCACAGCTACCGCGGCCGCTGCTTCGCAAAACCTGGCGGTTCCAAGAACGCCCAACTTCAACATGGGTGACTACGTGCACAATCTGTTCAGTCCTTCGCCACGCGTCACCAGCGGGTCTGTTCGAGACGCGAAAAAGGAGTGAAAAGGGAGCAAACCGAGGGGGATCGGGACATTGGGAGCATGGTGTAAGCATCGTGAGTACACACACTCAGACACAGACAAAGATTAAAACAGACATTAAAAGAGGGAGCCCTCAATCACGTCGAGCTGGCCCAGAAATTTTAGCCGCCGAGGTCTTCCACCAAATCGCTCGAGCTTCGCGATGACGTAAACAGTCCCGGATTATCCTCCTTTTTTTTTCGCCGACCGGATAAACGTTTTTCCGCTATTTGTCACGTGGGGTTGAAAAATTTAAATTTTCTGCCCATCATGTCTTAAATTATAGGGAATTATTAGGCCAAGAAAAATGAATTCATCTCTCTCATCGAAGGCCATCACTATCTCATCAAATTAAAAAACCACAATTTTGAAGCCTGGCATTCCATAGGTCTTTAAGAAGAGACAAGAGCTCACTTCAGTAAGTGTGGGATAAGCTATTGGCTGTGTTACGCAAAAAAAAGCGGTCATTAAGCTACATTTGCCGACTTTTTTTGTGCCAAAAACAAATCGCGTTTCAGTCCCATCTTTCGCGCATCATTTTGTCCTCTGTGGGTCGCAATTTCCTCCTGACAAACTGAGCTTTGTGGCCTTCAGAGTATTGAGCTCGGTCTGGACCTGCTCAAAACGCGCAGATCCGCCCTAGAAACAGTGGAGGTTTCGGCCGTGCGCTGGATTCATTTTTTTTACCGTTTGGTTACGATTGTAACTTTGCCAGCAGTATCCACGACTTAAACCGCTTTATTTACTCCCAGACATGAGCTCCGATTCCGACTCGGAAAGCTCTCTTGAGCACGTCTCGCCTGCGGCCTCCGTGGCCGTGTCGCTGGCGTCCATGGACACTGAAGAACACAACGAGCTATACGACCACAGACGCCTGCCGGACTCGCTGCCTGTGCGTCGAAACTCGGATGCTCCCAAAGCGCCAGACTCAAGATCCTCACTCACCGACGAGAAGCGCAATCTCTTTAAAGTCTCGCCTCGCGCTGCCCGTCCAGGTATTGAGTTCGACAACGACTCTGACGACGAAGACCCTCACATCGAGGGCTCCCATATAAAACTCTCGGCCACCAACACTAACAATGCCCGGCCCTCCCGCATCGCACACTCCATGCCACACCAAAAACAATTATACTTTAACTCAGGCCCCGCCCAGAATTTGAGCGCGCCTTCTCCCATGCTCCCCAGAAAATCGTCCAAGAATTCTGGTCCCCTCGAAGAAGCAGGAAACATGAAGAAAGGGAAGGCCAGAACCAGTTCGGAATCTTCCTCTACCAAACCCTTGCACTTCTTGTCCAAGACCATATCAGCAAGGTCCAACCAAAGCGATACTATCAGAGATCAAGCCATGAGACGCAGACTATCAAGAGTCTCCATCGAAACTGATAACTCACATGCGTCCCGGGAATCACAAGAAACAGAGGAAGATGTGTGTTTTCCAATGCAGCGCTTGGAGCACACCAGAATTAACGGCATTGATTTCGACGAGCTCGAAGAATTTGCAATTCAATCCAGAGAAGAGAGTTTGAGTAATGCAATGAACGTCGCAAATGTGGAGCCGATCGAAATCAATCAGCCAGGGATCACAAAAGAAGGCTCCTCTTCTTCTACCGCCACCACTACTTCGACAGCAGCTCTGAAATATACTCCCAAAGCGCCATCGCCCGAAGTGAAGAAACCGATGGCTCAAAACCAAGATTCAGTCGCTTCTGCTCCCAACGGTATCTATTTTGGGAACAACAAGGTCGAAAATGACGACTTGGAAGGCGTGCCTGCATCCTTCGCCTCTCAAAACGAAAACTACGTTGTGCCCGACAGATTCTCTTTCTTTTGTTCCGATTCGGATGAAACCGTCCATGCTCCAGATATCGCCTCGCTTGTGAAGCCAGGAGACACCTTCCGGGAGCTTTTTAGAGATGGTGCACCAACTTGGTGGCTAGATTGTGTCTGTCCCACAGATGAGGAGATGCGTTGTATTTCAAAAGCTTTTGGCTTGCATCCGTTGACAGCTGAGGATATTCGAATGCAGGAGACACGTGAAAAAGTAGAGCTGTTCAAGAGTTACTACTTTGTTTGTTTTCACACATTCGAAGGTGATCATGAATCTGAAGACTTTCTTGAACCTATCAATGTTTACATTGTAATTTTCAAGGAGGGTGTGCTGACTTTTCACTTCGGCCCCGTATATCACTGTTCGAATGTTAGAAGGCGTGTAAGACAATTACGGGACTATGTGGATGTAAGCTCTGACTGGTTATGCTACGCCCTGATCGATGATATTACTGATAGTTTTGCGCCAGTTATTCAAGCTATTGAATACGAAGCAGATGTTATTGAAGATTCGGTGTTCATGGCCCGTGATATGGACTTCTCGGCAATGCTACAGCGGATTGGGGAAAGCAGAAGAAAGACAATGACTTTAATGAGGCTCTTAAGCGGCAAGGCAGATGTCATCAAAATGTTTGCTAAAAGATGTCAAGACGAGTTGAATGGAATTGGCCCTGCATTAACGTCTCAACTTAACATCGCCAATCTTCAATTCACTCAGAAGGCTCAAACACAGGGGGTTCCACAAATGCAAAGTGTGCCTAATATTTACCCTCCCAGGGCCCAACCCAGAGCTGACATCGCCCTCTACCTGGGCGATATTCAGGATCACGTCGTGACCATGTTTCAGAACCTGCTCTCTTACGAGAAGATTTTCTCACGGTCTCATGCCAATTATCTGGCCCAGCTTCAAGTGGAGTCTTTCAATTCCAATAACAAAGTCACAGAAATGCTGAGTAAAGTCACGCTCATTGGTACGATTCTTGTGCCTCTCAACATTGTCACTGGTTTGTTTGGGATGAATGTTCCAGTTCCTGGTGGAGCAGATGGAAATAGGTTAGGATGGTTTTTTGGTATTATGGGAGTGATGGCATTTATTGCTTTGACCTTCGCTCTTATATCTCACTTGTGGCTCAGCAGGATTTCTGCACCCTCGACATTGAATGAAGCTGCTGAAAGTGGCACACGGTCAATTATGAACACGCTAAGGCCAAGGGGGTCACGGATTGCAAAGAATGATCCATATAGAAAAGGAGGCACCAACAGGTCTATGTCCAGCTTCCAAAGGTAAAGTACATTACATATCAACTAATTCGAACTTTTATTCTTTGATGTTCAAGTCGATTGACTCAGGATTATGAACAGATCTTGCCAAAATTCGGGAAGAAAAACGGTGAGTTATCCCTAAATGCTATAAACTTATTGATCAGAAGAGCTTTTTGTCTTCTTAGAATGCCTTTTTTTCTTTTCCGGAGCTTCTTGACTTTCGGCTTCGTCGAGCGGCTCTTCTTTACCGAAGGTCTTCTTTCTCCATTCTCTTATGCGTCGACTTTTCGTAACTTTACGACGGTCTTTCGCCCTCAGCTCTTTAGCTCTGTAAGGAGCAAACTTCTTAAGACCAATGAATTCATTAAGATCAGTATCATCTGCTGCAAAAATCTCCCTGTAGGAAAGTCCAAACGACTCGGGAGAAACCTCTCGGTAGCGAAATTTCATCTCACCATCGTCCTTTGTTCTTGAACGTGATTTTCTTTCTTTCTCAACCTCGTCGACAATTGCTAGCTTTTCATTTTCTACAGCGCTCTCTACCAACTCAGATATCTTTTTCTTCTCTTTTTTCTGGGAGGACTTCTCTTGCTTCTTTTCCTTTCTCGACTTTTTTGTGAGAGGTTCCTGCTCACCGTCACTGTCTTCATCTTCTTTCTCCTGGTCGCCTTTATAAAAGTCGCCCATTATTTCGTCGTTTTCGTCCCACGTAGGCTTTCCCTCTTGATTGTAGAATTCATCATTGAAAAGCTCGTTAACAACAGAATCCCACTGGTTATCTTCAAAGTCTCCGTTGAGTAGTGAGCTTGTGAGTTTCTTGACCATACTTTCGTCTATATCGGCACCATAGTCCTTCTTGACCTGTTCTAGCACGTCAGTGAGTTTGTTCACCTTTTCTATCTTTTTCTTTTGAACATGTGTCTCCTTCTCTTTCTTCTCAGCCTCCAGCTGCTTTTTCTCCTCCTCTCTCTTACGTCTGCGGGGGTTGTCGGCACCTCTTCTCAAGGTCGCTTGATTACGAGCATAGGATACAATTTCTGCCGCATTAGGATCCTCGTAACGGAAATTGTAGGCATTTTCAAATTGCTCTGCTGCGTCCTCGAATTCTTCATCGTCCTCTTGCATGCCAGGATCGTCAAGATTTATTTCTTTGTCCCCCTGTTTCGGGACCCAAGCATGTTTGCTCACGAAAGCTTGAAGAAAACCCTCATCATTCTCCTCTGGATTTGGTAGAGCGTTTTGGATGTGTCTTTCACGTTTGGCGGGCTCTTTTTTCACCAAAAAGTCGTCCTCGTCTCCATCTTCATCTGACCCAGAGTCTTGTTTAAACTGATCTTTGATTTCATTCAACAACTGAGTCTTCTCTTCTCTTTGCTGCGATGCAAAAGACTGCTTACCATCTACAGTTTCCATTTCCTTAATGTCAGCAAGGTCAGCGTTTTCGTCGTCATCTTTGAACGTTTCCCCAGAAAGAATGTTCATTCTGTGATAATCTTTCAAGTACACCGGCTTTTCCTTGCGCTGTTTAGCCAATTTTGCGGCTGCTTTTTCAGGATCTTCAAAGAAGCGAACTGAAGGGTCGAATAGTGATTTATCATTGTTTCTGATGGCTGTGAGCACTTGGTTGAACCCATCCTCCACTTCTTCCGTTACCAACTCACCGTAATCGTCTTCTTCCTCTGAACTAGACTCCTCGCTGTAACTGTCGTCTGCTTCCGCAATTGAAGCTTTCTCCTGCTTCAACGACTGGGGAGTCTGGCTCATCGATTCTGGAGTCGCATCTGTCTGAGCAGCCCTCAACTCAGCTTTCTTGGCATTCTCTTTGGCTTTTTTGGCGGCAGACTTCTTTCTAGGCATAATTTAATGTGAAACTGGTAATCAAGTCTCTTGCTCGAAGGAGATGAATGCTAGTAGCTCGTCTTGGCTTCGATTTTAAGCATGCGATGAGATGCAATGAGCTTAAAATTTTCGATATTACATTGAATAAAGAAAATGTGGTCATAAAATTATTTACTGACACCGAATGACACGAAGGTATCATCGAATTAAAAGCTGATTCATATGGATGATATTTGATCATTAGTGAGTTATTTCCGTAGCTATAAGATTAAATGCACACGGTCAATCCTAAAGAGAATTACCTTGATAAAATGGCGGTTTTCTGACACCATCTGGAATGTAAGAGAGAATTCTGATATTAATACAAAAAGGCCTTTAACGGAATGCGAGAGATGTTCGCTGCTAGTCTTTTTCAGTACTGTGCAGTAATTTGACCCTTTAATCGAACTCAGGGAGCTCTACGAACAGTTCCTGGCTCGGAAATTCACGATTCATGTTCTATGATGCTGCTCTACAAGCACTCCGACATTCTCCTGTTACTGGTGGTCAATTACCACTAGTAGATGTCAATGCGGAGTTAAAAAAGGAGCGACAGCAGAAAGTTCAGTGGTTTAATAATTCGAGAATATAAATAGGCACTCACCGCTTCGATTTGTTCTTATTCGAGACCTCTTCATCAAATAGCTGTCTCATTACGCAATAAAAAATAATACACTTCAGCGCAACGAGAGGCTAGAAGATTGGCGATACATTATGCGTTACGTCTGTCAAGCTTAATGTCAAAGGGTATTTTAACCCTGGCCTAAGTCCCTTAAAGCTCTGGCATCGATTTTTCAGCAAACCGTAAATTGAACAAATTGACCTCTAGTCTTTTGAATGCGACCCAAATAGGCACCACTAGCGTCATCACTGTCCTCAGACTTGTCATCGGTAGTGGACTTGATATGTTGCGCATATTCTCTGTCACTGTCATTATATCACGTGACACAGAGTCGCATATAGAGAATTCACAACTACCGCTGAACCCTTTGTACGGAGGCGGTACCATTTGTAACAGTACCCATCAGCAGACCGATCCACTCAACAGTGACGTTTGGGGAGACTATACCATCTCACATCAATCATTTCGTGATATGTTTTCTATCACTTTTGACGAGGTAGATGATCTATAATATCGATAAATCGATAGTTCTGACCAGCCCACCCTTTCAAGTTATCACGCAAGAAACATCTCTTCAAAACAGCTGTCTTCTACCATAATTTGACGCATTTTGGTTTCACTCTCTCCAAACAATGGAAGCCAACCATCAAAGACTTTTTAGACTGCCCTTCAAGCTGCCCAATTCTGCGCAATCCAGGTCCATAGGAGTGTATTTTTCAGGCGCGCTTTACGCTATCGGAGCGTGGTGTTTCTTGGACGCAGCAATTTACTCCAGAAAGGCCAACGGATCCTCTGTGCATGTTACTTTCATTGACTGGATACCATTTATTTGCAGCACTTTGGGGATGATCGTGGTGAATTCGATCGAAAAGAATAGACTCATACAAGACGCGATGGGATCAGGCTCATTCAGTGGCTCCTCTTCTATGGCCTGGCAAGCGCGTGTGATTCTGTTTCTCGGTTTTGCGTTGCTAGCTGGTGGTATTTCCGGATCTATCGTGGTGCTTATACTCAAATTTCTCGTTAAAGATTTCAAGTCTTATCCCACTCTCGGAATGGGTGTGAACAACGTTGTGGGGAATTTCTGCATAACTTTGAGCTGTGTGGTTCTGTGGATAGCCCAAAATGTGGAGGACGAATATTCCTATTCTTTGACCCTTTAAGATTACATATCGATACTTCTAAGATCTGGCCGCAGGACAAGCTTGAAAGGAATTGAGCTTGATTCTGGACACTGGCACACGGGGCTAGGTTTTATATGCCCTTCGGGGTTGAGTGACTTGGAGCTACATAAAAAATGAAGGATGTGAGAGGGTTTATTACAGCTCGGTCGTTATCGGACAAAATGCAAACAGGACCCTATCGACTAGACCAGAGCCACCACATTCTGGAATTAAAATTCAATAGTTTAAAGAGCCGGATTTTTGATTGAACTCGCTGGTAATTCAGCTGACGCCGCGTTGCGGGGTATTGGAATTTCTCTTAATAACACATTCCATTGCCAACGATTTCTGTCGTGATGGTTCAATTATGTGTTCAACAGAGGTTCAAGGATCGTGACTTAGTCAACATTCATTGAGAGAGTGAATTTTTCTCTCTTTTGAGTCAAAATGTTCAAGAGTGTCTTCACATAATTCATTCTCTTGGCAAAACTTCTGACGACAGCTCGCCTATCACCTGAAGCTCGAAAGGTGTAAAGTCGAACAGCTCAGGCAAGCATTTGGGTTGAGTATGTCCTCTGGGAAAGAAATAGCGTTCCTTTTTCAGGTCGTCGAAGAACGGATGCGCCAGGATACGGCGCGGCGACAGCCTGCGTTCTGGTTCATATGTAAGAATTTTCATCAGCAGATCTATGCCGTCGGCGCCAGCTTGACCAAAATGCTTTTCAAATCTTTCCCGGACACTTCCTGTGAACAGGGGCTTGGAGAAAAGCGGGCCGTCGTAGGACGGGTTGGAGAAGAACAAGAACTTCTTGTCTGGAGGACCCAGCAGTTTGGAAATCTCCCGCAATTGTAGAAGTGGCTCTTGGCCCTGGAAAACTGCTTTCCCTATCAGCATTTCACCCATCACACATCCGAGCCCCCAAATGTCTATCTGTGTAGTATATTGCGTGCATCCCACTATAAGTTCTGGAGCTCTATAGAAACGAGAGCAGATGTAGCTGATGGAGGGCTGATTTTGCTCGAGCTTTTTGGCAGACCCAAAATCACAGATCTTGAGAACTCCTGTATTTGGGTTGACCAACACATTAGAGGGCTTGACATCACGATGGCAAATGCCCAGGGCATGCAAATATAGCATACCACGAGCGACTTGATACGTGTAGAGTTTCGTGTGCTTCAAGGGCAGCTCCAGCTTGTTCGAGGCATACCGGTGAATTTCGAGCTGCAAAGTCTCTGGAAGACACTCCATGGCAAGATGTTGGTACACTTTGTTGTCCTGAGGTGATACGTGCGTAAAAAAGTATTCAAGTTTGACGACGTTAGGATGCTCTGCGATTCTCAAAATCTCCAATTCTCTAGACTTGTATTCAGTTTGTGCTGGCACTTTTTTGATGGCAAATGGACCGTACCATTTGTTGTTGTCTGGTGTCAAAAACGCCTGCACTACGGTTCCGAACGCTCCGTGACCAATCTTTTTGTATTCTTTCACAAGCATTGGCCGGGTGGTATTTGACGAGTTTGACGTCACGTCATTAGCTATGAACTGGTCTTGTCCCTGAGTCTGCGACATCGTTACTTGTGTATCGTGAATCGCGTGTTGTAAGAAGTAAAACGGGGCAAAACACCAAGGCTCCGAGTTAATTGGAAACGCCTAGTATTTGAAACAAGTAACACTCGCTATTCAAAGCACTTAGGGCTTCCAAGCGCTGTCACTTTGTTGAGACGGGTTTGACTTGTTTTCGGGTCCTTCGTCAACGTTAACTTATAACTTAATATTTGTTTTAGGATATGATATCTAAGGTTACCACTATAAAAATCTGAATACGGGTAAGAGCTTCGACCGACGGTTAAACAAGAATACTCGAGAAGAATATTTGGCACAAGCGTTAGAAAGGTCGAGATAATCGTGAAATGGTATGAATTGTGGTGAACAGTGCTTTGTGAGCTTAAAATTGGGGAAGTACCGGTTGGTGATATAATTTACGTTGATGATAATGTTTTGGTTTTACGCGGTACGTTAAAGGGTTTCCAGGGATAAGTTGGTACCAGGTATATGATTGAATAATTGGTAGGGGCTGAAACAAATGAGAGAAGGCTCAAAAGCCTCGATGAATGGGGAGTGAAAGCAGATTTTGGGTAGTTGTCGTGGATAGAGACATAGTTAGATTGGCGTAGTAGAGTGAGATATTCCTGTATCGATGATAAGTTGGAGGAGTTGTTCAGGATTTATTGTGATTCTGGGGGCTCAAATGTGAGTCCGATCTGCAGATCGAAGCTTTTCTGCTGAGTTTGGTGAGTTCACCGGGGAACGAAATAGTGAGTGCTGGATGTTGCGATCAGATCACTTTGAACTCAGCTGACGTGGTGTTGAGACTGGAAATAACATGTGTCTAATTCATCATGATCAAGAGTCAGACGCAATGTGAAATTAGGAGGCATGGCAACTCTCCCCTTTCTCAAGGCCTTTTATAGCATCATGGTGGTTTAAAATCGCTTTTTTGACGTTCATACCTGTGTTGGCGTATGTGCCAGATGAAAATCGAAACTCAAATTCGAATCGAACCCGCTCACTTTGTTAAAATCTTACCTCAAGTGCTGAGTAGCTATTCACTTATCAATTCTACAAGCCCATAGTGTCTCAATCAACTACGATACATCCGAGAAAACTCGGATCTCCTAGTTAAGAATCACACTATGCAATTAAAAAATGCAAGCAGTTCACTTTATTAGTTGATATCCAATAATATATATACATAACTATTCCAAAACAAAGCTCATTGCTTCACACCACACTATATTCAATGTCCGTTGTGTCATTATCGTTGGGTGCTCTCTCTGACGCTCGAATTTCCCTCTAAATTAACTCCCAATATAAGATTTGAAAAATTATGATGAGTTTGAAGTCAGGTCAAAAGTGGAACCTAGAGTAAAAACAGCCAACCCCCAGGGCAGATCACAACATGTTTAAGACTACACTTGGTCTGGTCAGACAATTCACTCTGGGCAGACCTCTTTTGAATGCCAAATCGCCGATATCATTCGCGTCAATAGCGAAATCCGTGGATCCTGCAACTAATCCAATGACGAACCCAATGTCGAATGTCATATCGCCTCAGGACGCCAACAAAGAGACCAGCTCGCGTCCTACCAAGAAACGGGGTGATCACACCGTGAAATACATACTAAACTGTCTGTTTACCAAGAACAACACTCATTTCACGTACTCTGCAGTCGTGGAGGATCTGAACTACCTGAAAAACAATGCAGAGGCCACCTATAACGAAAAATTTCTGTACTATCTGAAACTGCCACAAAAGGTGAAGTTCAGACTCTCAACGGGCAATTTAGGGTTCCGCAAGGCCGCCCGTGGAGAGTACGAGGCTACTTTCCAGACCAGCGCGCGTTTATTTCAAATGATCCATCAGAAAAACCTGCTGGACAGAAACATCGAAATCGTGATGAAGGACTTTGGGAAAGGCCGTGAGGCGTTTATTGCTGCGCTCAACGGTAAGGAAGGCACGTCGGTGCGTAGAAACGTTGTGCGGGTCAGTGACGCGACTCCTATCAAGTTTGGTGGTGTGAGATCGCCAAGAATGAGACGTTTGTGAGTTGCAAAAGAGGCCAGCGCGTTTGTATCGCGCGCTCCCAACTATGTAAATATTATTGCATGTGAATAAAGAAATTATAATGGCGACAAGGTGTCGAATTAGCAGATGAACCGTCTCATCGAGATTTTCCCGCGCCTCCTTCACGAGGTTCTCTTCTCCTCCGTATGTATCCGTTGGGCAAGACTAAGTGCATTTGCTACTCATCATTTTGTGAGACTGCTATTTTCAACACCCATACACCAGAACGATGTATTTTTCAACAACTCACACATTCACAAAATTCTGAAAATATACACCAATATTTGTGAGTGGGTCGTGGGAGCTCCACTTCCGATGCTCTTTCTAGCCCCTGCCTAGTCTCCGCCTAGCTTCTGCTTAGCAGTGGCCATTCTCAAGCCTGGCTTCAGCCTAGCCTCCGACTCATTCCGGGCCCGATCCCCACTAGCTCCCTGTCCGCTTCAGCCTAGCGAGCCTCTGTCCAACCTAGCCACCAGCTGGCAGGGAATCGACGCTAGCAGGGCCTCTCTCCTACCACCCAGGATCCAATTTACAGAAAACTTGGAAATTTCACAACACACCGCCCATCTTTCAGGCTTGAGGGAAGCGTATAACAGATCAATCAATAATGGCTCCATCTAGTATGTTAAAATGAGCGAATATGTCGAGTTAGGAGACTGAATGTAGCCCTGGGGTATGGCGGAGAAAGTGGTGGGTTTTTAGAGCTGATTTTTTGGACCATGTGGACCCTGCGGAACTTATGAGACCTGTGAGTGTTGAAGATGCCAAAAAATGTGGCAGCTCCTGGGAACGATGTTGAACAGCGTACCGGCCATTAGAAGTCCTTCAAAAACCTGCTCTGTGGGCCAAATTAGAGAGATTCATGCGAAATTATCCTTGAACAGCCACGACGCATGGTGTACTATACTGAACAAATGAGACCGTGAGAAAACTTCATCTTTGGAACTGAAACAACTCAAGAGCACCTCCCGCCCTCTTCAGGCTCCGCTGCAAAAACTCCCCAGCTGGGCTGACGTTGTCAAAATTTCAATTTACTAACTTTCCCCTGCAGCTAAGGCTACTGCTGCCAAGAAGGCTGTTGTGAAGGGTACCAATGGTAAGAAGGCCTTGAAGGTGAGAACCTCGGCTTCTTTCCGTCTACCTAAGACTTTGAAGTTGGCCAGACGTCCAGCTTACGCTTCCAAGTCTGTCCCACACTACAACAGATTGGACTCTTACAAAGTCATCGAGCAACCAATCACTTCCGAGACCGCCATGAAGAAGGTGGAAGACGGTAACACTTTGGTTTTCCAGGTTTCTTTGAAGGCCAACAAGCACCAGATCAAGAGTGCCGTCAAGGAATTGTACGAGGTCGACATCAGATCCGTCAACACTTTGGTTAGACCAAACGGTACCAAGAAGGCTTACGTTAGATTGACTGCCGACTACGATGCTTTGGACATTGCCAACAGAATCGGTTACATCTAAATCATTTAGCGTTCGATGTATATGTAGTAAAGATTTTAATACAACCAGCGTTTATTCATTATTGATCGTAAGCTTTTTGAGGGTCCGGAGCTAAGTATATATTATGTCGTATATATCTGCGGTGCGTCGTCTAGTCTTCCCGATTGCGACCCAAGATCCGCAGAATGTACAGGAACAGATTGATAATGTCCAAGTAAAGCATCATCGCGCAGCGTATTTCTTCATCGGGGTAAACTTTGCGGAAGATGAGCTGTGTATCGATGAACAGGTATACTGTGAACACCGCGGCTCCCAGCCAACTGTACAACAAGTCCACTTTCGCATTCATGCCAAAAAATATTGATGAGAATCCAATACCTATCAGCAGCCACATAGCGAGATTCAGCCAGTAGTAGATCGTGTTGGAGGCTGTCACGGTAGTCTCGAACCTGTCAGATAGAGCCATAGCGGTGATACCCACCACAACAGTGCCTGTGATGAAAAGTGCACTTAAGATAGTGCGCGGGTCGTACACCAGAGTGACCAGGGAAAGCGTATAGGCCTCACAAAGCGTGAAAAATGCCAGCAGTATCAACTGGCCGCGGTACGACAAGCAATACCATGGCTGTCTAGAAGCCGGGCGTGTTGCTGTACCCTGAGTTTCTTGGGTTTCCGAGGTCAAACCCGAGTACTCCTCGTCGTAATCACTTGCCCTGGGAGCCAGAGTGAGCCAGACACAGCTGACCAAGCCGGCCAAAGCGACAAGGACGTACAGTACTTGGTGACGATAAATAGCGTCTTGAATTTTGGGGGAGCGACTGACCCAGAAGCAGAACGCGAAAGACGAAACCAGCTGGCACGAAAGCAGCGTATACACTTTGCGCATGAACCAGCGACGGATTCGGGGCTCGCAGGACGTCACGGTCACGGAATATTTGAAATCATCTGGGATAAAGTCTCGAGTTTCCTCGCTTTGGTAATAAGAGGTTGGGTTTGGGTTCGCAGCGGCAGCGGCAGCAGCGGCCGAGGCCGGGGGAACTTGGGATTCGTTATAATCCGGAGGAGGCGGCAAAGACGAAGTTACTGTATCTTTCATGGAGGGGGAAGCAAATGTAGTTTTGGTTGAGGTGAAGGAAGGTTTGATTTAAACAGGGATGTGGCTTAAGTGTAATAACTTTGGGAGATGAGCTTCCGTATAAGGTGATGTTATATTTAAAGCTACGATCGTTATCACTTTGTCCCAAAGTGTCCTGAATGTTTCCAACTTGTTTCCAATCTGTTTCCAGTTGCCGTTGTTTCTCGAACGAGAAAATAAGCCAGAAATGTCTGCGGAGTCTTTCAGGTTGCTGCTTCCCTTCCCACTTGTTGTTTCCCATCTGTTTTTAATGTTTCCAGAATAGCGAATTCTGCCAGGAATGTCAACGGACCGCGGAGTCTTTGGTCTGGTAAGATCTGAATGCGTTTTTTCGCAGGTCTGACGCGGGCGATGAAAGTTGGTAGTTCCTGGGCGAACAGTCGTGGAGGCTAAGAAAGAGTGGATGGGAGAGGAGGTGATAAAGGATGGGATAAGGAAGGAGTAAAAATGGGTCTTAAGAGGAGGGGATTAATGGGGTCAGCAATGGAAGTATCGTGATTGTGAGGGAGGAAATGGATGATAGATTATTTGCAGCATATAGTGGTGTCTATAAGACGTATTTCTCTGGATACATTCCTGGGACAATTGATAAGTTGGAAGGGATGTTTTTGCAACATTAGGTTTGCGTTTGAGACGTATAACTATCTGATTAAGAATTTTGGTTTTTTAGATATAGTGTTGGTAGGGCTATTATTATTTTGGTTATCTTATTTTGAGCCTGAGAGTCCGTTATTCATATCAGCAAGCATGTTTAATAACAAGGAGGTGTATGAGAACCAACTCAAATAGGGCGTAGAAACTTGGGTATTTTTATAGATGTTTGGATGGTGTTAATGAGAGTGTTTTTGATCCGCCTTTGATAGAAGAGATAGATCCAGATTTTGATATTGGATTTGATCCTTCTACGAAGAGAATTTTTTTAGTTTGCGGTAGTTTAAGGAAGGTATTGCGGAAATAAAGCGGATAGAGCGTTTTGTTAATGATTTAGAGAAGATGTGAGTTATGTTCGAGTAATGTCTTTTAATTAATTTTTTCAGCTTTGACTGTGACTAGTTTTCTTCGTATGCCTTCGAAGTGGTAAGCTAGTTTGGAGTCAGTTTCCTGGGGTAGGATTTTGAATGGGTTCGAGAGGGTATGTATGCCTTTACAATGGAATTTTGTTGCAGTGGAGGAATCGGGGTCAGCACGGTCATAAAGTTGATAGATGTGGATTGCATTTTTTGTTTTATCTATTGTGCTATCTCATTCTCCTAAATTGTTTCCTGACGAATAAAGTGTCTGTATCGAGAGTCCTTTATTTTGTGAGCATAGGTTGTAAAGTCTGTGACGCGAACCGCTTAATGTAGAGACACCGCACTGAGCTATATATATATAGGATCACTATCTTTTTCTATTATTCATCACCATCTAAGCTGAAGAATTGGGGGTTTTTTACTATTCGTTTCCTCTAGAACCAGATGTCAGGACTAGAGAGACTGACTAGTAGTCTGTGAAGTAGAGAACTCGTGGGTGGCTTCCCTCGACGGTCACGTGACTGGACGACAGACGACAGATGACAGATGACAGATGACAGATGACAGATGACAGGTGCCACCTATTTTCTCAACCGCTGAGTCTAATTATGACAATAACATACCCACACGCATGCGCGCACATCCACCCTTCTTTACTTCTGTATGCAGCGCTACAAATAAAAATATATGGAAGACTACTAAAAAATCTCAACTATACCAAACAAAACCCACCTTCTGCCGTTTCCCGAGCCAGAATGCATGAATATTAACCCTAAACCCCCCCCCCCGCCCCCTCTCTCCTACGATTGCTGCTCCTGGTGCTGGGGCACTGCGGTCTGCAACTCCTGTATGCAAACAGCCCATAGTTTCCGCTCCTCGGGCGCCAATTTCTGCGCCCACTGCGTGTCTACCGCTTGCAGGCCGTCTCGCGAGATCGCCAGTGGCAGCGACACGTAGGGCAGTCCCTGTGTCAGTTGTGTAACCTGTTCGCCAAACGCAAACGCGCCCACGTTCACGTACAGCGTGTCCTGTAGCTCTTCTCGCACCCCCAGCAGCAGTTCTGCAAATCCACGGGTCACCTGCGCTGCGGCGTACGCCATCGACAGGGTCGCGCTACCGGCGCCGTTTTTGGCCTTCACCACCTCGTCGCCGCCAAACTGTACCCGGTTCACCAGTTGCGATAGCACATCCGGGCCAAGACTGCGGACGCGCTCCTGCAGCTTGTCGGTGCCGACCACGGCCTGCGAGAACAATGGCACAATGGTGTGGCCGGAGTGGCCGCCCACTACGGGCACGCGCACGCTTTGGCCCGGGAGGAGCCCTAGAGCTTCGTGCAGGAACGCGGACGCACGTACCGCGTCCAGCTGCGTGAGCCCAAACACGCGACGCGCCACCGTCTGCGGCGTCACACGCTGGTGGCCGCCGGCGACCACCAGCGTTTCCACGAGAACCGGCACGAGCGAGTTGACCGGGTTGGAGATCAGCAGCACAAAGGTGCGTGACAGGTCGCAGTGCGCGGCAATGCCCTGCGAGAGCGTCTTCACGATGCTCGCGTTAATGGCAAACAGATCGTCGCGCGTCATGCCGGGTTTCCGCGGAACACCCGCGGGGATGACCACGAGCTGCGCGCCCCGCAAACACGCGGCCAGCGGGTCCGGGCCGGAGCCGGCCTCCGGCGCGTGCCACGTGACGTAGACCGCCGTGTTGATGTGTGACAAGTCCGTCGCGGCTCCGGCCACGGCGTCGCGGTTCACGTCGTACATCGCGATGTGCACGCGCGCGTCGGCCGCGACGCACGTGGTGTGCAGTTCGGTTTTCAGCAACAGCGACAGCGACTGTCCAATCCCGCCTCCGGCGCCCAGGACTGCGATTTTCAGCGCATCGCGGCTATTGGTGTAAGTAGGGTGTGGCATGAGATGTTTGTGTGAGTGTGTGAGACGTTTAAAGAAGCTTGTAACGATATGTGGTTCGATCGTCTTTGTTCTTCTTAGTTCTCCTTTGTTCGACTTCCTTCGTTCTCGTTCGACTGATCTTTCTGGTCCTGGTTGTGCTGTCTTATATAGAGGCACGTTTGCTCGTTTCATTGCTCTCCATTAGCTAGGGTTCCAGGCATCAAGAAAAAAAAGGGACGATGGGGGGATGGGTTTCGTGCAGAGTGCGGGGTGGTTGCCTTTCGTGCGTGACTGAACAATCGAGAGCGTCAGCGATCGACTGTGAATAAGCTAGAGAACTCGTAGTACGGTTGAACAATTGAGAGCGGCGATCATTTGTGAAGAAACAAGAAAACTCGTAGCACAATTGAACAACTGAGAGCTTTAGCGATCAGTTGTGAATAAACTGGGCAACTCGTAGTACAACTGAACAATTGAGAGCTTTAGTGATCAATTGTGAATAAACTAGAGAACTCGTAGTACAACTGAACAATTGAGAGTCGGCGATCATTTGTGAAGAAACAAGAAAACTCGTAGCACAATTGAACAACTGAGAGCTTTAGCGATCAGTTGTGAATAAACTAGAGAACTCGTAGTACAACTGAACAATTGAGAGCGGCGATCATTTGTGAATAAACTAGGAGCATTAGCGATCAGTTGTGAAGAAACAAGAAAACTCGTAGTACGATTGAACAACTGAGAGCGTTAGCGATCAGTTGTAAATAAACGGGGCAACTCGTAGTACAACTGAACAATTGAGAGCTTCAGCGATCAATTGTGAATAAACTAGAGAACTCGAAGTACAGTTGAGCAAGTGAGAGCGTCAGCTAGCAACTGAGAGCGTCAGCTAGCAACTGAGAGCGTCAGCTAGCAACTGAGAGCGTCACTTATCAATCGTAAATGAAATGAGGGCTCGTAGTCTTATTGAACCGATCAACGCTCTCAACTGTGAATGAGCTAATCGTATTTTTGAACGTTCGAGACCGTTAGCAACAAGTAGCGCACTCTTAGTATTACTCAGTAATTGGGAGGATCGACAATTAGAAGAAGACAGGGCTACAGATATTACTGATCGCTGATGCTCTCAAATGTGAATTAATAGACGGTTTCTAATTCTAAAAGCGTCAGCGAGGCTAGAAGCGCTATACAACCAAGAGCGCGAAGCTCGAATGGCTACACGTAGTATGCAACAACAAGCAGCACAAGCGAAGCCTTAACTATAACAGTAGTACTATTTTTCAATTGAGAACGCTTGGAATAAGATGACAGGTGCCTTGATAAGCTTCTCAAGGTTACATCGATCGGCTGTCGGAGTTTTGAGCACGAGTACGAGTATTAAAAACGCTTCACGACGGGTGCCACTTTCACTTTAAAACAGGTGAGACCGTCAGCGATCAATGTGAATAGATAGAGAGCTCTTCTTCAGAGCTCAATTATCTCGTGATGTCATTTTGTACTAATCTGTCGTTCTCTCTTGATTATGTGATCAGAGAGAAAAACCGTAATTTGCCAACAATCAACAATCCCCTCTGTCTCTGGTCAGCCTGGCACGATATTTCGCAAGGCCAGCGAATAGGTGAGCATCGCTTGCTCCATGTGCGAGAGAAAACTTTGCCGTACTTTTAACGACCCATGTTATTCAGCTCAGCTGAAATTTGGGAAAATTGACCTAATCATCAATTAATATTCATCAAAAAAAGTTTAAAAAATACCTTCCAGAAAACTATTATTGATCGAATCAAAGGAGCGTAACACAATGAAAAATGCTCCAAAATACAGTATATCGATGCCCATTTGGCTCAACTCTCTAGAAACCCGCCCAATTAATTCACACTCGCTTCCCATCACCACACGGTCACGTGATGCTCATCGATCGTGAAATTATTCCATGGTTTTATTCACTGCGGTTAAAGCTCGAGCTGCACGTTATCATCTCTCTGCAAACTACACTCATCGAAGCACAATGCAGAGCTCCACCGTTGCCGTGATGAAGTTGGACTCACCCATCAACGTTCAAAAGGTGTCCCACACAGAGAATGCGACCTCCTCCGCTCCGAGATTACAATGCAAATTCTACTTGCAACAAAAAAACAGGCGATGTGGGATGACGCGAAGACCAGATCTTGAGTACTGCTCGGTGCATTCAAACCTTATAAACCAAGATTTCAGCACCAGCAAGGGCCGCCGGATCCCATGCCCCATTGATCCTCGACACTCCGTTTGGGAAAAAGACGTGGCTCGCCATGTTCGCAGATGCAATACTACCAAGAAAAACGCACCTCCGGTCGATTGTCCTTGGTTCAAGCTTAATTATAATTTAAAGTCACCCAGCCCTGACGTTTCCTGTGACGCTGCTAACGAAGCCACTATTTTACGTGCCATTCCCATCTTGATTCGCTGTCACGACAACCGCTTTGGCCAAACGCCTTTGCCACTAGTGGTCAAAAATAACAAGACCCTCGAGTCTCAGCGGTTCCCTCAGCTCCCGGGTTCCAAAAAACATGCTCTTCAACAGTCTTCTTTGATTCAGCACTTGGTCGAAAACTCCATGATCCCTACCAAAAATGACGAGAGCACTGCATACATCGAGTTCGGGTGTGGACGTGCTGAATTCTCACGCTACGTCAACCGCAGCGTTTTTGATCATCAACTGGAATCTACATCCGAGCCCGCTGCGCGTTCAAGATTCATACTAATCGACCGCGCCTCCAACAGAATGAAGTTCGATTCCAAATTCAAGGACGACCTCGACGAACTCTATCCGAAAGACACGCTTCCAGAATCGCGCACTTATCCAGTGCTAGACCGCAAGAAGATCGATATTAAGGATCTTTACATCGATAACCTTCTCCTGAACGGCGGCGACCATCCCTGTGTGACGATTTCAAAACATCTCTGTGGGGTGGCCACAGACCTAACAATTGCGTGTTGTCTCAATAGCGACGTTCTGCATCGACAATCCAAAAAACTGCGTGGTATGGTCATAGCCATGTGCTGCAGACACGTTTGTGATGCGCAACAGTATGTGAACCAGCCCTTTATCGAGGAGCTGATACAAGACACCGGCATTTCCTACTCGAATTTCTTCAATTCTTTGAAGAAGATCGCGTCTTGGGCTGTGTGTGGCCGGAAGGCCGGGGTCCAAGACAGCGACGTCAACAACCATTTCACAAACCTGCCTGTTCTTGAACGTGAAAAACTGGGAGAAAAGGCTAGACGAATTATAGACGAGGGACGTGCCGAGCACCTACGACGCCACGGTTACCGGGCAACTTTGATCAGATATATCGAGCCTGCCATCTCTCTCGAGAACGTGGCCATGATAGTGAACCGAGAGTAGTGGAGGGGAGCAGAGATCCGAGACATGAACAGAAACACTTATATGTTTTGTTAGCATTCGGTTTTGGAAGAAGACGCTCCTGTTCACCTGAACTAAAGACTCACGACCAGAATAAAGTTATACACACATATAAATACATCAAGATCAATGTACCCAAGCTTAAAGTCTATCTGCACTTGTCATAGCCCGTCCACGGCCTTATTGTTCACTGACATCAGTCGCTCGGCGGCTAATTCTTGATAAATATGGTAATATCAATTGTCTATTTTTCATCACCTCGAACGAAAATGTTCATCCTTTCTACTGTTTGATTATCTAGTTCTCAAATTCAGTTAACATTTGAACGGTAAGACCGTTGTCAAACCAGTCATTCATACAAGGCTATATGAATCATCAAGATCTGTGGTGAGATAAGCTATGTCACAATCTCGCCAGAAGCGGTATTCTATAAATTTTTCGGCCCCAGCATCCCCGATTTCGCCGACTGTGGCCCGGTTTCCGTCGGATGGATCAAGTGGATCGCACTGCATCAGACCGCTATCTTCGAGAACGCAATCGGCTCGGCCGTCATCAGCGTATGGATTGGGTGTGAGTCGGTCGGAATCGCATAGAAATGGATCGATCAAGTCGTTTTACCGCATCCCCACTGATCAGCAAAACGTGTCACTCGACTCTTTGACCGGTTCGTCCTCGATCAAGCTGCTTCTGATTGGAGATGCAGCGGTCGGAAAAACAGCCATGATTCTGAGCTACTGCAACGAGCTCCCCACGCGGTCTCAGGCCAGCATAATAGCCAAAGGCAGTCCCAGAGCTCCCTCGTTGGTGTCGCAGAGAAACAAACGGTTACAAAACCTGAAGACGATCGACAAACGCAAAAGGTACAGTCTCAACGACTACGAGGAATTGTTTAACAACCCGACTTTGAGTCACGGAACTCCATCTATCCTGGAAGAGGCGCAGTCAGATTCCAAACAGGACCGCGAAGATCCAAACGAAATTATTATAGATACAAGAAGCACAATCGGCGTGGATATCCGAACAAATTTGGTCAACATCGACAACCGCTATTTCAAAGTCACAATGTGGGATACTGCTGGTCAGGAGCGCTACAGAAATGCGATGATTCCGTCTCTTTACAAGGGCTCTAACGGCGTATTATTGAGTTACGATATTTGCAACAAGAAAAGCTTCGAAAACTGCCTCGATTACTGGCTGGAAGAAGTTCTCAATGGCTGCTCAAACGATCAGCTTTTGCGAGTCTACTTGGTTGGCAACAAAATTGATCTATACAAGGTCAGACAGGTAACGCACGAAGATGTGTTGCGACTCATCGATAAGGCCGAAAGAAAGTTCGGCTTGAAAATTGCAGGCAATTTTGAGGTGAGCTGTAAATGGCATCAAGTAGTGGAGCGTACCTTTAATATCATTATAAAAGATCTGGTAGAGCAAGGTTGTTATGAAAATGATTGCACTATTCAAGAGGACTCACCTGAACCTGCACAGGTCTCTTCCGATGAACCGACGTACCCAGGAACGATAGGCAACACTGCGCCGCTTGAAATTCAGAGAAGAGGGTCCACAGTCGTGCGGCGAAGAGCCAAAGAGAAGCCGAAGACGGTTGACATTTCGAAGCCTCAGGGGTCAGAGAACAGGACAAGCGGATCGACCTGTTGTGCTTAAGGACGACGAGATGCAGTATGGTGCATTTAGTCATGCTGACCACACATTTACGACCCCACCCTCTACCATACATAGAATGACTCGATCATTTCGACGTTTATGTTTTTATAAAGATAGAATGTGCATTAATTGAATCCATTGAAGTACCGGTCACGAAACCTTTCCTTCGACCGCTCCAGGCCAACGTTTTGTGGACCATTGAAATCGGAGCCTCTGTTGATATACACTAAGAGACGTCTGGACCACTTGTTGAACTCCTGTACGCAGTTGTATTTGAGCTCAAGATTCGCATGCAGCGGTATGATTGTTTCGATATTTTCATCATTGGCCACCGGCATCCAAAATGCAAGTCTTCCGTTAGAAGGCAGTCGTTCTGCGGCAAAATGCAACAGATCATCCAGAAGCGCATCGAGAGAGTATGGCTTTTTCGTAGGAATGTAATCGCGCATCAGGTACGCCTTCTGACCGTTTATTTCGACGTTTTCCTTGCCTACAAAACGCTCGGGGTCTTTAGCACCTAGCACTTTGATGCTCTCACGAATTCCGTATGGGGGATCGCACAATATGGTGTCTATCAACAGATCGCTTCTGAGGGCATTGTGGGTGAAGTCCATTGTGAGCACGTCCAAAAACTGCAAGGAATCGTTGTACTTTTTGAAATTGGCTTTGATCGTTTGGGTTCCTTTCCCTCTGATCATACGCCCGTCGATATCAGAGCCGATGACTATGGCTTGGTAATGGCCGCCTGCAGTGAGAAAAGAGCCGGTTCCCGCGAACGGATCGTACATCACAGTGCCCGGTTTTACCTGTGCAATATTGGCACTGACCAGCGACAGTTCGGCCTCGAAACTGGTGGTGCCTTTGTAAGGTCTCTTTTTCAAGTCGTATTTCTCTAGCGCACCTCGGAGTCGGTCACTGCGCTGGACTTCGCGGCCGAAAAATAGGCGCAACGGCGTTTCGCCAGCCTGGTTGTCGTTCAGGGGCTCGTACTCTTCGATGACTGTAAATATCTGTTCTGGATTTTTCATGCGGATAGGGCCTTGGAAGTCCAGATATTTGAACGACTCGATACACGCTACTCGGTTGACTTTCCCGGACGAGCTGCCACCGAAACTGTCGAATTCGAACTTAAAAGACGTGTTGCGATATTCCTGCAGAAACTGTGGGAATCGAGGGTTTTGCTGCACGCTTTCATGCAGCTGGTTGTAGTTTTCGCCCTGGCCCCAGTACTCATAGATGGCACGGGTTAAAATGGACCTGGAGATCCATTTTCTGGCTTGTTCGTCGTTTTCAAGCTCCACAATGAAGAAGGGCGAGTCTCGCTGGTACTGCGTGAAGTCCACTGTTTTTATGCCGTGCAAGTCGGCCAAAGAGTCCAGTTCTGCCAGTCTAAAGTTGAGATGCACCTGCACCATGAAAACAAGATATTTTTGCACCATTTTGAAGCGCGTTTCTGCCACAATAAGCTCCAATAAGATGCACGCGATATAAACTGAATCCAGCGGCTATTTAGCGACGTTGAATGTACCAAGATTTACACTATTTTTCAGTTTTAAACAATTATCTAGATAGCTCATCGCTTGGAAAATTTTCAGCTTGCCGCCGATCTTGTAACAGTTAAACACGCTAGAGGCCTCCAAAAGAAGCCAGCCAAAATACCGTCGCTCCACATCAGTTTAATACAGCTCCCACGACCAATATTGAAGCCTAAAAGTGCTCTACAGTGCTCACATTGCCCGCTTTTCTAGTCCTCATCACGGCTTATAGTCTATAAATTGATTAGATTGACTATATTAATTTAAGGGTTACCCTACTTTGATATTAGAGAAACGTGAAAATTACGAAATTTTTGAAAAAAATTACTATATAAGGAGGGAAAATCAGGGTTCGGAACTCTTTCTACCTGCGTACCTCGCCCAACCTTTTGGAAACAATTTGGAACAACGCCGTTAATAGCCGAGAAAACAAAATCCCTAACGCTGTTTTACGTGGGCATTTATAAGAGTAGTTTTCAGGGTTAAAAATATCGGCTTAGTTGGTTTTTTTTGACCTTCTGTTTTCAAACTTTGTGAAATTCGATTTACTAGTTTTACATCGATTAGTTTGTTTAGACAGAGTTATTTTGTGCAGGAGCCAAATATAAACGCGTCAATCAATAAAATTCGTTGTTCCGAAACGAAAAAACTGCAAACTCAGCCACATCGAAAAGTAGCGACGTTTTTTCTCTCCTTGTTCTCGACATTCGTCTGTGTTTTTTTTGTTTTTTGGTCTTGCTTTCCCGAGAGCATAGCCAGCGATTAAAATTTATACCTACTTTTTAGATTCTCCCCGTATCTATCCTGGCGGTTTTGGACGGTAACTTAAAACTTCATCGAGCACATCCCATTCCTCAAGAAATAGCATCCCAATCAGCCCAATGAGTTTCTCCGACGACGAAGACTTTAACGATATCTACGGCGACGACTCCAACGACGTGTCCAACACGACGTCCGCGACCGCTGCCAGCACTGGCCCCGAGTCTGCTAAAACTGAAGTGGTGAACGACTCTGCTGCGGCTCCCAATCCGCAGGAAGCGACCACCACGACTTCTACCACCGACAAGGGCGTAGCAGCCGGATCTGCAGCAGCCCCTTCTACCTCCGCAACGTCTTCTTTGGACCAACTGGCAGCACTTCAGGCGCTGTCATCCAATTTGAATCAACTCCAGCAAGCCGCTAACGGAACCAACTCGGGGGCTGACACCACATCACAGCACCAGCAACAACACTCAGCACAGGGCCAAGCTCCAGAACAGGCTCAAGACCGAAGTCAAGGTTCAACTGTGACCGGTCAAGCCACCTCTTCCACACCGGCCATGCCAAGCATGCCTAGCATGCCAGGAATGCCAGGAATGCAAGGAATGCCGGTAATGCCAGGAATGCCAAATATGCAACAGTGGCAACAGCTTCAACAACTGCAGCAGAACATGCCTCAATTCCAGCAGGCGGCCTCTCAAGCTGCCATTCAAGAGAAGACCAATAAAGCAGACCTGTCGCGCGACATATGCAAGATGTTTATCGGAGGTCTGAACTGGGAGACTACAGAAGACAACCTGAAGGATTATTTCTCCAAGTATGGTGTGGTTACTGACCTCAAGATTATGAGGGACAACGCGACCGGCAGATCGAGAGGGTTCGGGTTTTTGACCTTCGCAGAGGCCTCTAGTGTAGACGAAGTTGTAAAGACCCAGCACATTCTTGACGGTAAAGTCATCGACCCCAAGAGAGCCATTCCTCGGGAAGAGCAAGACAAGACCGGTAAGATCTTTGTCGGTGGTATTGGTCCGGATGTTAGACCTAAGGAATTTGAGGAATTTTTCTCTCAATGGGGAACTATCATAGATGCACAATTAATGTTGGATAAAGATACTGGTAGATCTAGAGGTTTCGGATTTATTACTTATGACACTCCAGACGCAGTCGACCGCGTTTGTGAGAATAAATTTATCGAGTTTAAAGGTAAGAGAATAGAAATTAAAAGAGCAGAACCAAGGCATTTACAGAAGCAGATGCAGCAGCAGAAAACACAGCCTTTCGGCGGCTCTTCTCAATTTAATATGTTTCAAAATCCAATGATGGGTAACTTCAATCCTATGTTCAATCCTCAAGCTATGGCAGAATATTATAATAAAATGCAAGAATATTACGCTCAAATGCAACAGCAAACGGGCGTCGATTATAGTCAAATGTATCAACAGCAAATGCAGCAAATGCAACAGATGATGGGCGGTATGATGCCTGGAATGGGTGCTATGCCCGGAATGCCATCAGCTCAATCAGAGACACCAACTCAGGAATCCTCTGATGTTCCAACAATTGGATCTGAAGACAAAGGTGATGAGGGTGATTATAACGGAGAAAGAGATGCAGACAGAAGGGCAGCTTCACCTCCGATCAATGCTCCAAGAGGTCCTAGAATGGGTGGTTCGCGTGGCGAAAATCGCGATGGTAATCGTGACTATGGTCGTGATAACAGCCGCGATAACAACCGTGACAGTAATCGCGACGGTAACCGCGATGGCAACCGTGATGGCAACCGCGATGGTAATCGTGGTAACTATCGCTCCGGATTCCGGAACCGTAATCGCAGTGGTTACCGCGGTGGCCGCAGTGGCTACTCAAGACGTAACAATAATGGCTATCATCCTTATTCTACTTAGTAATGGATCAACAGCGTATTTGCGATCACTACCGCTAAAATGCATAATATGATTTCGGCTTTTGTACATTTAAGCCCTCACAGAAAGGCTATGGGCACGGTCTTGCTGTCGGGGCACTCGAGCGAGCCACTTTTATATAAACTAAATATGTAATGCGGTTCTATCTACAACTATTTCACATGAAATCCCAGGTAAGGCATATGAGAGGTGGTTTCAATTGATGTCACCGTGAGAGAGACCCAGCTGAACAATAGCATAGACATTCAAAACAGAGATAAAAAGCCAGATAAGCACAGCAACAATAGACGTGATCCAGTTGTTCGACATATCAATATTAGTATCACCACTTTCGATGTCTGGCTGCGAGGATGGCCTCGCACCACTATTGCCTAGCTTTTCAACCTTCATAACAGACTTCTTGCAAGTGAAGTAGATCAAAGGCGCGGTCAGGAAAGGTAGCAACAAAGACAACACGACCTGTGAGGCATTCAAAGTTTGGGATAGGGCTGAGCGGCCGACACTCAAGGAAATGGCAAGGCAAGGTATGATTGAAATCATTCTCGTAGCTATGCGCCGCTTCCAAGGTTTCAATTTCCAATTGATGTGACCCTCACTGACAATCTGACCTGCAATTGTACAGACTATCCCCGCTGATTGACCGCTCAACAACAAGGCAAGCATGAAAATGGTTCCAACTACTGGGGCCAAATTATTAGACAAAAGGTGGTAAATCGTGTACAAATCAGCCCCGGCAGCTTCCGGAGAACCGTATAATGTTGCACCTGAAATGATCAGAATAGAACTGTTCACGAATAGCGCAAACGTAAACAAGGTAATGGCCAACTCCGAGATTGAGTATTTTAGCGCATAATTTATTGCGGACATGCTCGGTTTGTAGTTTTGGTAGGCTTTATCCAAATTCTCATCTTCACTCAGCTTTTCGCTCGACGATGACACAGAGGCAACCTCTACCGATGCCAATTTGGAGTAGTTACCATTTTGCTCGTCATATTCGAGCAGCCTAGGTTGAACCAAAGCAGATCCCAAAAACAAAGAATGTGGCATGACAGTGGCACCAAGAACGGAGGTCGCGATGTATATCCCGTTATTTCGAAACATTTCTTTGGAAGGTGCGAAGCCACGGAAAACCTCGCGTACAGGAATTCGTGGCAGAAAGGCGAGCTGAACGCAGAAACAAACGCAAACACCCACGACCAAAGCTGCGACGGCAAGCTCAAAAAGTCTAACAAATCTCATAGATGAACTTCCAGGCTTGTAAGCTATCATGACGAACAAAACGTCTATCACAGTGATTGCTACACCGGCTGGGAGTGGAACTTTGATCAAAATGTTTAAAGCCACGGCGGAACCAATGACCTCAGCAACATCGGTGGCGATGATCGCAGCTTCTGCACAGATGTAAAGTGTCCAATTCAACCAACGGGGCAAGTATTTACGACAAGCTCTTGACAGGTCTAAACCAGTGACAGTACCCAGTTTGATGCAAAGCGACTGAAGGAAAATGGCAATGAGATTTGAAAGCAAAATGACAAACAGGAGGGCAAACCTGTTAGTGGCACCTGCGTCGACAGCGGTAGAATAGTTACCTGGGTCCATGTACGCTACACTGACCATCAATCCCGGACCCACGAATTTCATATATTTTATTAGCACCGATTTGGTCGATTTCGCAACATTGCGAATCGTTGGAAAATGCTTTCCCAAGACTAACGGTAGCCTACAGCCATTGTTTGTCGACGGAGTCGATGTCATTCGCTTCTTAACACTGAGACTTTTTGATGTTTCTTTGACAAACAAAAATTCCTGTGAGCACACGGCTTTAAGGGAAAGGCGTCCTGAACAAGGAAAACGCTCGAAGCTGAATTTTGACAGAAATCTGTCAGCTGCTGAAAGAGAGAGAGAGAGACAGCGCCTTCGAAGCCGCTTGATTTCAATCGGTGAAAATCTTAAGTTCTGGTTCATGTTTAAAGAGATAGCATCAGTGAATCGTTATTCACCTTAATTGCGCGGAAAAATGCCTTGTACTAGCCGTTAAATAGTAGTATAGACTTTCAGTGACCATCAAAGAGGTCTCTTGGCCCAGTTGGTTAAGGCACCGTGCTAATAACGCGGGGATCAGCGGTTCGATCCCGCTAGAGACCATTTATTTTTAAATTTTTGACTATAATTTCTAGTGTTATGACAGTGGATCTACAAATTCAAGCGTATAGAAATAGTACATCCAAGTTCACAAATCAGTAAAAACAAGCTAATTTGGTGCTATTTGACTCTTTATATGTCTAACTACAATCCGGCGAATCTTTTAATACCATGTTCATGTTTCTGTAGATTACGAAGCTGCTTGGAAGTCAAAGGTTTCTGTTTAGTTTTTTGTTTCTTAGAGGCTTTCTTTGAGTCGTCACTGCCCTTGGCGTTTCTCTTTTTGGAGCTTGTGCTTTGTTCCTCATCGCTGCTTTCCACTAGATCTTTTTCAAGCTCTTTTAGTAGCTCTTCTTTACTGAGACCAACTAGCTCTTCTTCTTCCTCGCCAGAGCCGCTGTCTTCAACATTAGACCCTGAGTCAGAATCAGACCCTGAGTCAGAAGCGGAACCGTCAATCGAGTCCGAATGCGAGGACGGCTCGGAATCCGATTCGTTGGCACTGTCCTCCTCGTCGCTTGCGGAGACCTCGAGCTCTGATGCTGGTTCGTCGTCTGCTAGTTCCCAGAGCTTGATTTTGTCCATGCCACCGGAAATCAAACGGTACTCACAGTCGAGGTCCAAGAATACAACTTCGTCTAGCCCACTGTGTCTCCGTATCTCTGTCACTTTCCCGGTCTTTACGTTGACCTTGTAAACCTGGCCATCAGAACATCCAGTCCACACAGAGTCATCGTCCTGCAAAGTGGCCACTACACAGTCCAAACTCTCGTTTTTTTTCACTTTGATTCTACTAATTTGGTCGACTAGGTCGTTTTTCTTGGGTTTCCAAACCGTCAGTAGCCCTTCACCCATGCCACACACCAGCGTGTCACCTCCTTGAGGATCCACGAAGGTGCCACATAAAATTTCGTCTTCTTGATCATCACTCAATCGCACCTTGCGCTTAGCGTCCTGGTCGTCGTCCGGTATTTTGAAGTCCGACTCGTTGGACTCCCTGGAGTCCCAATAAGCCAAAGTCGTTTGCCCCACGGAAATAAACTTGTAAACGGACTGGCCCGTAAATTGGAAGATGTCATTAATTGCATCGCCCGAGTGAATTTTTTTGATTGTTGTTTGCAATTCCAGCGTATCGCTGTTCAGGACAAACACATTGCCGTTTTCATCGCCCAGCAAAAGAAAGCGATGAGTTGTTGACTTCACTAGCTTCGTGATCTTGACACTTGTGTCCTGAGTAACCTGTCTTTTTTTCACCACTTTTCCTGTCTCTGAGTTTGCTTTCTTTAGCACACAATCGACACCAATGGTGTAAAGGTGGGATCCATCCGCGTCCAAGCACATTGCACGCACACTACCCTTATGTCTTTTCGTCTTCCATTGGAGCTTGAATCCAGCACTGTCAGAGCTGCCATCTTCTTTGGCTTCAGCTACAACCCAAAACTTCTTGTTAGTGTTTTGTTCCTCGGTTTTAGCCTTCGTTTGTGCAGCATCTTCCTCATTTCGTTTCATACGTTCTTGTAAGACTTTTGCATCGTATCTATGGCACATAACATGACCTGAAGCCTGTCCAGAAAATATTAGAGGCTGTTCAGGATGACAACACAGAGCGAACAATGGCTCTGGAAAAGTGATCTCCAAAATGGGACTACTAGCAGAAGCCACGCTACTCAAATCTTGACTACTTTTGACCTTCTTCTTACTCATCCTGCGATATCCTTCAGTTCGATTGTTGATGCGATGCCCATATGCTTAGAGACGCTTCAAGGCAGGTATTTAAAAATTTCTGTTTGCCTGGCGCTCACACGTGAGAGATTTGAGCACAGGCAAAATCGACTCCAGATACCATAGGTGACGGTTGGTCACCCTTGTATTTCAAATTCGAGCTTATTGGCCTCTGCGAATTGTATCTTCATTGGGAGCACCAACCACGGACGAGGCAGAGGTGTGTCTGGTTTCACTTTTTTTCGAATCCCTCAAATCACAACTTACAGCATGCACAGGTTGCAATGTCGAGCGCAAATTATCCCTGCACACATGAGCCGGGAATAACTCGCCCACCTTTCATGATACCTCGCCTTTCTCCCCCCATTTTGTCTCATCTGTCTGTACGGTGCAAAATATCGGTGACACTATCTTGCATGTCCGGGAATTCTGCCACGATTTTTTCCGCCAGTCTGTCTCTCAATTGTTTCAGTCCGTTCATCTTGGCCCGCTGATACTGGTTTGATCGACGGATGGCTTCTACAAAGTCTCTGGTGTATACGTCCGGGTTTCTTCCGTCTTCGATGTACTGCACTACCTCCATTGGAACCTGAAAATTGTTAAGTTGCGACTCCGGATCATTGCCTTTCTTGTTGAGATTCCTTAGTCGCTCCACGTTTCGGTGCAGGTTGGTCATCATGCCCTGAGCAGCCTCCGATGTCCCTGGAAAGTCGTAGATCGAGACGCCTAGCTCGATAAAAGACTCGATAATCGAACCCACCTGTTGTTCCGTGGTGGCCAAATCTTCTTGCAACTTGTCCAAATCTAACGACGGCATCCTTAACGCGGTAAATTGGTGATGATTATGTGAATTGAGGTTGGTTTTAAAGCATTAAAGAAGAGATGGAAATATTATCGATTTTTACACTACTGACTGAAATCCAATTTTAATATCACTGACACACTGTAAGGAAGATGAGCTAGGAACAGTATATAGGGTAAAGAATAGATGTAGAAGTCCTTTATAATCAACTTTAAATGGTCAGGACGGTTTGGTGAGACAAATGGCGCTTTACTGGCGGCTAAAACAAAGTCTACGAACCTATTGTTTCTTGAGATTAATAGATACACAATATCACGCGATTACAGCTTTATGGAATGTAATTAACGTTCAACTATGGCTTATATGAGATGAGATTCCGAACACGTTCAACGCGCGCAATAAACAAGAGAGAGAGAGCTTAGTAAAACTTTGAATGAATTCCCAGATCTTGCACAATTGTAGATATACTTTCAGTCTCAAGTTTTGGTAAAGACCTTGCGCCTCTAACTTTTGAAAGCTCTCATTTATTACTGCCATCGACAGATTATGTCTTCATATAAGCTAAACAACGATATCGTGGTCTCCCAGGAGCAGATTGACCACTGGAACGCGGCTCTGGCGCAGATGGCGTCGCCACAAGAAATTCTGAAGTGGGCAATCGCCACTTTTCCACATCTGTTCCAAACCACTGCATTTGGTCTCACGGGACTTGCCACGATAGACATGCTGTCCAAGATCGAAAAAGACCACATTACGCCGCTCATCTTCATCGACACGCTGCACCATTTCCCACAAACGCTCGCGCTGCTCGAGAAAGTGGAAACTCGCTACTACAAGCCTCAAAACCAAAGCATAAATGTTTTCAGGCCACAGGGTCTCGAAACCGAAACCGAGTTTGCTGCGAAACACGGCGATTTCCTGTGGGAGCGCGACGACACCCAATACGACTACTTGGTCAAAGCCGAGCCCGCCCACAGAGCCTACAAAGAATTGCGCGTCACTGCGGTTTTCACGGGGCGTCGTAAATCCCAAGGAGGCAGCCGCTCAGAGCTTCGATTCGTGGAGCTAGACGAGCTCAACGGAATTCTCAAGATCAACCCATTGGCCAACTGGGACTTCCAAGAGGTCAAGGCGTACATCGATGCCAATCACGTGCCTTACAACGAACTTCTGGATCTGGGCTACAAGTCGGTAGGTGACTACCATTCTACAGTGCCTGTGGCGGACGGGGAGGACGAACGGGCCGGGAGATGGAAGGGCCAGACCAAAACGGAATGTGGGATTCATGAGACAAGTCGTTTTGCTCAATTTATACAGCAGGGAAACGAAACGAAGCCAAAAAATTAAAAGCGAAGAAAACAAAGACAAGCAAAGGGCATGAAATATGTTCAAAACTAGCTCTTAAACAACGACAATTTTCATCACAACCGACTCAATTCAGACTCATTATTGGTAAAAGTTCGAGGCAGTGACACCAAAATACTATTTATATGTATATGTGCGTGGCGTAAATAATGATCATTTTGCCAAAATTTCAAAAAGTTTCAGACCTCAGCTTTAAATCTTTAAAATGACTGTAGAAGGACCGTTTCGATCGACGTTCAAAAGAGATCCAGGAGGCTTCACCAGAACGTCTATAAAATGGGAAACTTTCGCTTCCCCGTCAAGGTCAAACTTCCTTCCACTTTTCTCAATGCCAGAGTTATCAGAGACAATTTCAAAAGACAGCAAGTGGCAGAACATGAAGTCACCACCAAAGCACTCAAATACATCGCTAGAAACACAACGCTACCGCCAAGAGCCAGACTCGAGGCGCAGTTGCGTCTGAGCACCATGCCAAATTACACCAGAATGACCCAGGTGAGGAATAGATGCGTGGAATCGGGCCATGCTAGAGCCGTTTTGAGCGACTTCAGACTGTGTAGAACGCAGTTCAGAGAACTAGCCAGAAATGGTGGTTTGCCAGGCGTTAAAAAGGGTGTATGGTGATTCATGTGTGAGATCTATCTCAAATGGCGTGGTACATCCAAGAATTTTGAGGATTACCACTTTCTTGTATATAGGCATTATTAGTACAATTTACTACCAAATACTATAGTTATAACGGTTAATCAAATACCAAGAGTAAAGACTTAGGGAGAAATGGTAGAAATACATGGATGAGGGAGATTACTTACAACAAACAAAACAAACAAGCGCACACACGCACTTACACACACGCAAGCCTCTCTTGCTCAATATCTCGTCACGAAACGCAGCAAGAAAGACTCCTCAGGCGTTTAATTAGCTTCTCCGATGTAAATTCAATTTTTGTAAAAAGGTGTTGATTGTGAATGTGAGATTCTCCAGTCAAGTCCCAACTCAAAATTTCGAGTCGAAATTTTGTTGAGCAACAGCAAATTGGCAGCCCAGCAAAGGCAGTTAGCGACGACTGGACCTTAGCAAAAAAGTGCGGTAGTTGAGCTAAATGAATGGGTGGCATTGAACAAAAAACACACCACGACGAGCAAAGATCTTTTTTGAGAGGGCTCACAACAACACACACTTCTTCTTCTTCTTGCCAGAGGACTTGGTCTTCTTGGTTTTGTTTTGCTTACCCATGAGCGAGGCTCTGGTGGCAGCTTCGAAAACCTCACGCACACCGTAACCGGTCTTGGCGGAACACTCGATGTATTCGACAGCACCGATCTGCTCGGCAACCTCCTGGGCGGAACCCTGGGACACAGGCTCCTGGCCGTTGGCCCTCAAGTTCTCGATCACCTGCGAATCGTTTCTGAGATCCACTTTGCAGCCAACAAGAATGATGGGCACGCCCTGACAGAAATGCAGCACTTCCGAGATCCATTTCTCCATCACGTTTTCAAGAGAGTCGGGCAGGTCGATCGAAAAGCAGATCAGCACCACGTTGGAGTCTGGGTACGACAACGGTCTCAAACGGTCGTAGTCTTCCTGGCCAGCAGTATCCCACAGCGCCAGCTCCACGCGGCGGCCATCCACTTCCACATCCGCAACGTAGTTGTCGAACACGGTGGGCACGTAAACCTGTGGGAACTTGCCCTTGGCGAAAACGATCAACAGACAAGTTTTACCGCATGCACCGTCTCCCACGATCACTAGTTTTCTTCTGATGCTGGCGTTATTCATAGCAGCCTGCGACATCCTGGATGGTTATACAAGTATTTTGTAGTTTGCTGAGCCTAAGTTTACCTCAAAGTTACTCAAAATGCTGATGCTCTAGCACGCACACCCACGGTTCGAGAGAATATGGTTTTTTTTCTGGAAAACTGCGAAAAGTGTCTAAATGATCCCACTTTTTTGCTCTTTTAACTCAAAAGTTCGCCTTAATTAGAACTGATATTTATAATAGAAAAATTGCAGGCTTTAAGCTGTGTTTTTCTGACCTTTTCTTGGTCTTGTGGTGGTCGAAGTTTGATGATCTTGGATGGCTTTTTTTTGTTATCACCGCCCCTCGACAACGAAATTTGTCGATTGTTTATATAGCGAAAAAATGTCGATAAAATTGACTGGGTTATATATAGGGAATGTAATGATGTACGAGGTGGTGTTAGAGAAGATCTTAAAGCCGGACAGAAAGAATATCCAATAAAGGTGATTTTTGGTGAGCTTTAGGCGTGTATTGTAACGTTGAATTTGTGCTTGCTTGCATGTGCGACTTACACAGGACTTACAGCTAGATGTTTCAGCGTAATTCTCTCGTAGTTGTTATTATTGATCACTTTGAACGACAGTGACACCGGCAATGATGACTAGCGACAATGACAATGACAATGACACTAGAGGAGCAGTTCTACGTCCTAGAGCGGGCTCCATCGCGCTACTATTTACCTTCTTCTAGTCTCCCACCGCTTGCTCAGCAATAATAAAAGAAAGAATCATCAGTTGGTATTAATACAGAATGGCGAAAATAAACAAATAAAAAAAAGACACCTGGGCAGCCGTTCGTGAACGTGCGAACCTTGAGTCGCGCACGTCCTGTCGTGGCAAGTGCATCTGTAATGAAAGCTTGAATTTGGAGTGCGGGGTCGTAGAAGGCTTCGCCATCTCATCTCTCGCGATAAACGAAACGAATAATGCATGTTAAAGGAGGGACTGTTTCGTTTGAGACGTTTGCGGATGTGGCCGTGGATGTGGATGTGCTCGCGGTTAACGAGAAAGAGGCCCACATTTCACAGCACCACGCATTTTTTCTTGCGCTTTGTAGCGCCAGTTTTGGTTTTACTGACACTTGTCTTGCCCGCAATCGCCGCTCGCGTGGCAGCCTCGAAAACTTCGGCCACGCCATAACCGGTCTTTGCAGAGCACTCGTAGTATGTACACGCGCCAATTGCGTCTGCCACGGCCTGGGCTTCGGCTACCGTGACTGGATGCTGTCCGGTGGCTCTCAGCGCCTCCAGCGTGGGCAGATCGTCTCTCAGATCTACCTTGCATCCGACCAGCACCACAGGAACGCCCTGGCAGAAATGTGACACCTCGGCAATCCACTTCTCCTGCACGTTGTCGAGAGAGTCGGGCAGGTCGATCGAGAAACATATCAAAACGACGCTGGAATCGGGGTACGACAGCGGTCTTAGCCGGTCGTAATCTTCCTGGCCAGCAGTATCCCACAGCGCCAGCTCCACCCGACGACCGTCCATTTTCACGTCTGCCACATAGTTCTCAAACACTGTGGGGACGTAAACTTCCGGGAATTGGCCCTTCGAAAACACTATTAGCAAACACGTTTTCCCACACGCACCGTCGCCCACAATCACCAGTTTTTTGCGGATACCCGCTCCAGAACCGGCTTGGTATGTCATGTTGGCCCTAAAAATCTATAATGCAGCTTCTTGGAAGAATTCTTTCCAAACCTCAAGCGGTTTCCGTTCTCTGTTCTGGGCTGAAAACACCACCTGTAAAATATCACCTAAAACCGCTAACGCAGTTTTTCGATCTTGCTGTGTGCAAGTTGCAAAGCCGCCTGAAAAGACTGTACTTCTTGGACAACCCTAATGGATCTCACGTTCGTTGTGTCTTGCGCTTGGCCGATACAGTTCCGGAACGCGAACTACTAAGTGTACTTGTTTATAGGTCATATTTTATATAGCAGAGTGTAGAGATCCGAAAGGAAAACGAACCCACGTGACTACTTTTTTTGAGTTTCGAGGTTTGAAAACCTGGTTGTTGACGCAATTGTGCGAAGATAGTTTGTTTGGTAGAGTTGGAATTTTGGGTTTGAGTGCGGTATTGTCTGTTTTTGGAGACTGTGGGAAGTTTGTTCGATGTTTTTCGAGCGTCAGATGATATTTTATAGAATTTTGAAGTTTCTTTGAGATCGGAGGGGATAAAAAGCTGATGAAACTTTAGATCTGTGGAGTTATGTTTTATGGTCTCGAGGACAAACTGTGGAGAGAAGAGTAATTGCGTGTATTCAAGTCCGTAGGTGAATCTTGTTTCTGTATTAGCAGCTAATTTATATTAAATCACTTTGTACCAATGTGTCGTCGAGATCTGGCGTTCGTCAGTTCGCGCCAAACAAAGTGTGAAGACTAATGTTGTTGTAACTTTGATTTGGTTAGTCTGTGACTGAATATAATGGTAATCATGAATGTACAAGCTTCAAACCTCAACGGGAGTAGTTTTGACCAGGAAAACGACATACAAACCAGGGTGGATTCTAACATAACTGACAATAGGAATTGTCAGCGATCAATGGCGAATAAATATGACGGCTTTAAAAAAAACAATCAGACAATGGAAAGCTTCAGCGTTAAAGACAGTTTGTTCTGCTTTTGCTTCTGCACATGGCACGTGATAATGTGACAGGTCACTCGTTGGCGTCATAAAAGTTCAAAGTGATACAATCGGTAACAAAGAAAGGACAAATCAAACATGTCAAACAACACAAGCGAACGCACAGATCTCTTTCCCATATTCAAGATCTTAGAAAAGTCTGACTGATTCACTAGGAACGCTCTCAGCACACTCCCAACACGCTCCTGGCCATTGAACACTGCCACCTCACATGGACTCCGTGACAACATTCTTAAAAAAAGAGAAATTTTGCGAAACTAGACCAACAACTTGTCATCTTACCGGCAAATGCAATAAACACGCCAAAACTCCCCTCTAAAGCCTCTAAGATCGCTCAGCTTAGTGCTTTAGAAGTTATTCCGTTTACAATGACACTTAATTTATTAAATCTTTACTCACGTGACACAATGTAGCGGCCAAAAAAATCGTTAGAATGAACCTTCGACTGTCCAGAAATTCGCTCCATTTACAGATCTTTCCACATTCGCAGCGTTCTCGTTTCGACAATCGTGATTTCTAATTGCCCCTGAGGTCAAATAGAGCTTTTGAAAATGTCGGCTCGTTTGGTTTTGGGCGGTCTTTTGAAGTCGCCAAATTTCTTCTCGAAAACTAGTCGCTATCCACTCAAATCCGGGTTCAATGGTGCTAAGTTTATTCTTTACAGTGCCGGTCTTGTTGGGGGCAGTTTTGCCGGATTTTACCTCATGAATTCGAGATCAGCAATTCACGAATATTTGTTTTGTCCTATCGTGAGGTTGCTCACGCCAGATGCAGAAGAGGGCCACAAGCTAGGCATCTTTCTCTTGAAATGGGGATTGGCTCCAAAACTGTTATTTGATCACGACGTTCCGGCTCTGGAGGTGCGAGTTTTCGATAAAGTCATGTCGAATCCAATTGGTTGCGCAGCTGGGCTCGACAAAAATGGTGAGGCAATCGATGGCATTTTGCAAAGCGGTTTTGCTTACCACGAAATCGGATCGATCACACCACTACCTCAACCTGGCAACTCTAAGCCAAGATTTTTCCGACTACCTCAAGATGATGCTGTCATCAATCGTTACGGCTTCAATTCCGCTGGCCACGACAACGTTTTCTCCAACGTCATTGAGCGCGTTAACAAGTACCTATATTCATATTTTTCCAAGGACAACAACATCAACAATTTGTCGCTGCACCAGGGCAAATTGCTAGCTATTAATCTGGGCAAAAACAAAACCGGTGACGAAGTAACGGACTATCTCAAAGGAGTGGAGAAGTTTCAATCTTTGGCAGATGTTCTGGTAATCAATGTGTCGTCGCCCAACACACCTGGTCTAAGAGATTTGCAAAGCGAATCAAAACTTACCGATTTGCTGAGCCAGGTTGTGGGCAAAAGAAACTCGCTCATTGATTCTGGAAGCTCTTTAGGTGCTACTGTGCATAGACCACCTATCTTGGTGAAAATCGCGCCTGATTTGACAGAGCCTGAGCTTTTATCTATTGCTGAAGCCGCGAAAAAGTCGAAAGTTGATGGCATAATTGTGTCGAATACCACAATACAAAGACCCAGTTCCCTTTTTACCAAAGACGAAGACTTGAAATCACAAGCTGGCGGTCTATCTGGCACGCCGCTAAAAGAGTTTTCGTTAAAAGCTTTGAGAACTATGTACAAGTACACCAAAGAATCCGATTTGGTCTTGGTGGGCTGTGGCGGTATCTCCTCTGCACAGGATGCTCTAGAATTTGGCAGAGCCGGAGCAACCTTCGTGCAGATTTACACTTCTTACGCTTACAAGGGTCCAGGTGTTGTTGCCAAGATCAAAGACGGCATTACAGAAGAGCTGAAGAAGGAAGGTAAAACCTGGATGCAAATTATCGGGGAGGACAGTAAGTAAAATAGTATCTTTAAAGTACAGAATCGGCTTTCAGCTAATTTAAATTCTCTTCGTATGGCGATTTGTCGACCTTAAGTTGACCAATAGTATTGAAAAAGGCCGATGAGCAAAATGGTAAAGGCCAGATCGGTAAGGTACATGGAAAGCACATCCCAGTATTGCAGCGCCTGAGAGGTTTTCCCTGGCAGATTCTTGATAGGAACCAAGCCGGGAGGAATCATTGAAACAAGGCTCAAAATCTTGCTGTTACTATTCAGCGTGTTGATGTGATGGGATTTCTCAGCAGAAAGCAAAAGCTGGTAGTATACGGAGAGTGTGACGATTTCAAACGTTGTGAAGATGGTGAAAAAGCTAAATTTGCTGGTCACAGCCTCCATGTCGCTAGATTCAAAAGTCTTGCGAGCAGCATGGGTTGTGTAGTAGATGTAGGGCAGAATGAAGAACACCCACTTGACTATGATGGTGTAGGCCTTAAGTTTGTTCACGGAAGCATTATGTGCTGCGAGAACTGCAGCGTCGATAGGTGGTTGGCAAGTCCCAAAAGGAAAATCAGGTTGTGCACCTTGTTGGGAATCAGCTTGCATCGATTTCATCAATTCAGCGAAAAGATCCGGTGTTTCAGGGGTCGCACCCTGAGTGGAAGCATCACCGCCTTGCATTTTGACGAGCTGTGCGAACAGGTCCAGTTCTGGGCTTTTAGCAGATGATTTGGGGCCCACATCCTTGACATGTTTGGACTCGTTTTGGGCCAAACGAGCGAGCAGCTCGTCCATCTCTTTAGTAGACTCTTGATTGTCCTTTTGTGCCACTGGACCTGGACTTGAGCTATTAGAGTCGAGAGGCGAGTCTGTGGACAAAAAGCTGTTATCCGTTTGACCTGTAATCTTCGCTAATCTTGACGACCCTCCACCATTGCCGAATTTTTGTTGTCTTCTTTCCCGTAAAATACGTCTTTTCTCGGCTTCTGAGGTTTCTGACATCGCTTAAAACCGTAAGTGAGCTGTCTGAATTGAGTTACGCTTCCCAACTGGCAAAATTGCTTGGTAATGAGTTATTTGGTAATAGGTTTTTCTATATCACTGGTGTGAACAACGAACGTCTAATTTACAATAATTGTTGTAAATGAATATATATACAGATATATATATATATTCGGGAAGAAGTTATGTATAAAAGGGTCCAGCAGGCTCAATTCTCTAAATTTAGACTTGTAACTATGTTTATGCGTATTTGGCAATGATCTCATCAAATTTGGCGTTGTTGGTTTTGTAATCCCGACACAATGGATGATTCGGAGTAGTCTGTAGCAGCTCGTCTCTGAGGGCATCGACGTGCTCGCCTTGCATGGCAGCCAAGGTGATCTTATTAGCGATAAATTCGGGCGTGTACAGCTTGGCAGACTCGGTCTGGTTTTGGTAAAATTCCGAGTCCAACAAGTCAACAATAGTCTGGGCCTCAGGAAGGTTACTCTGCTGCAAATGCGAGCTCAGCAGCGCCAGCTGCGTTTTCCAGCAGGGCAGCGTTTGGGACAACTCTTCGAAGAAATAGAAATTGGACCCCGAGACTTCGCGACCCAGCGCAAAGTTCACATATGACTCCGCAAAATTGACGATGATCTCGTCCTCATTGGCGTAGTTGTCTTCCTTGGCTGCCAAGAAGTTTTGGAGGATCTGGGCGCCCACAGAAGCTCTTCGAGGGTCCATAACCGAGACTTGCACGGCCAACAGCGCCAGTTCCGTGGCCCCGGGCCCCAAATCACCCGCGAGCGCTTCATTGCATGTTTCGAGCGCGGATTCCAGCTGGCCCTGCGTCGCCTGCGCCGTGGCGAGAAGATTTAGGGCAAACAGTGATTTATGGTTTGAAGCGGCTTTTTCCAAGTTTGCAAGGTCCCCGGTATCAATGGCAGCTGTGTATGCTTCGAAAACAGGCCCCAATGCACTTTGGCTTTGAAAAGAGCTCAATTGGTCCAGAGCCTGGAGACATTTGGCTTTGTAGAACTCTGCGATTTCAGAGCTGTTTTCTGGATGTTTTTCAAGGCTTGAAAGCGCTGCTTTGAAGTTCCCCGTGTAGTACTGTTGCTTGACACTGAAAAAGTTCATTGTGGTTGGTTTAGAGGCTTTTGATTGAGCCTTTTAGCGTTATTGGTGTTTCTAGTTTGTTCGACCTGCGTCCGGATACGTTCAATTCACTATTTAAAGACCCATGATGGGTCACGTGACCAATATGGCAGCTCACCATTTCGCGTCGCGAGACGAGTTTATGGTCCACTATGTATTTGGCGCATCGAATGGGCGGATAATTCGTCAATTGAGACTGTTTTTAAATTACTCTGCGTGCTGTGTTTTTCTGTTTTGTTTGCTTTCTAAGATATTTGGGTATTACGAAATTGGAAATTTGGAGTGAACTAGGGTGTTCTTTTTACATCGTCTCACGAAATCTCATCAAACATGACCTTTTCTGCCCATTTGAACGTGGGCGTGAGCTTGTGAATAGTTTTCTTGGTTTTACAGCTATTTGTTTTAAAATAGTGCTGTTACTGAACAATTTAATTCACTAAAATGAAGAATAGGCAATCGTTTCGATTCTTGATGGTTGTCAACCTTTGCAAGCTTCCATTGTGATCCTCGTCAATTTTGTCGGGAGCCCAAATGTTATGTGTTATATTGCATCAGACTGCACTTTCGCCATAACACAGAGACTGGGATCTTAAGAGCAGTTCAGCATGGAGTCGATTTTCTCGGAATTAAAATGCAACATGGAAAGGGCTTTGGTTGTCGTATAAAGCTTCAATTGAAGTCCGAGAAGCTGCTCCTGCGTTTATATCTTGGTTTGTTTTACTGACGGAGCCCATGACAGGAAAGTACACAGTGATATCATAGCCGGTCGAATGACGCTAAGGTATATGTGTCCAAGGATGTCTAACAACGTGGCATGTGCGGTTTTTTAAAAAATAAAAGGCACAGTGAGTAATATAGCCTGCCTCGCCAGCCACTCCCAGACGAGTTTTGTATCTGCAATTTGAGACTATTCTTATCACTTCATACTAATAAGTCGCCTCGCTGTCTATAATATATTCCAGATTTCCAAGTCTCCATCAGGAAAGCACAAGTTCTTAAGCCAAAGACGCTTTTTCTGACGTACCAAAAAGTCTTGTCCAAAACAACGTCGAAGACAACGCTCTTGATCAATTGGTTTTACAGCTTGCTAATATTTAGATCACTCTGTAACATTATGACACCATCATCGAATCCGTTCCCCTGATCGTTGTAATACCATTTACAAGCAGCTACAAATACCGTATACACCCACATCATACCAGCGGCAGTAATCTATGAAAGCCTCTACTTAGCATGCCCTGGTTTAATTAAAGCTAAGGTTTAATTAATCGGGCCAAGACATGATAGATATGAACTTCTAGCACACGAATATTTCAAACGCTTGTTGTCATAGACTCAGAATAAACCGAATTTCCCAAATGTATCTGTTTTTGCCTTGATCTACATGGCTTTTTCATTCTTTATCTTATACCTTCCTTCTGTCAAGATTCAATAAAATATGACCAGCACCGTCAAAGAAAAATCATAACTTTATACTTCACACTGGCAACAAACATTTTAGGCTCACTGGATCCCATCACTGAGTTTGAATATAAGGATAATATCAGACTTCAGAAATACTAAAAGCATATTCGATGTCGCAAACCGATTTTAACGGGGAAAGTCGGTCACAGGAAGCTAATCGGGCCTCGAAATTACCTCTGGACAAACCATGCTTCAAGGAAGCTTATGAAACTGCCCTCAAATTTTACGCTAAAGACGACGTCTTAGACACCAGAGACAGACTAGAGCTCTCTAAGGCATATGTATCGATCTCTAGGGCCCAACTTTGGAGTGGTTGGACCGCATTTGCGTTGGTTTTTGGAACTCCGTTTGGAATCCAGCTGTACAAGACTAGAGCTATCAAGGGTGTCAAAGTGCCAAGAAATTTTGTTTTGGGACTTCTAGCAATGGCACTCACCGCTCACACAAGTGGTAAAGCCATGTACAAGTCCCAGCTTTCCAGACTCGATCCCAACAGTGCGTTCGAATCGTCCTCTGAAGGAAATTGGGATACGCTGACCGACCACGATTCAGAGGAAATCTCATCACAGTCTGGCCTCTCGCGTGAAAGACGGCAATACGACATGCTCAAACTTTTGGGTTACGGCATGGCTCCAAAATGGGGCCAGTACTTCTACTCAACCTACACCAATCCCGAGCGAAGATTGCCCAATCCCAAAGTGAAATTGGATGAGATGAAAAACGGCAAAACTCCTAGTATTTCACCATTTCTCAACCAGCGTGACCCAATAGGTCTGTACTCAGGGCCACGCCATGACAAAAAGGATGGCATCCCTCAATTGGCACCTCGTCCTGATCAAAGCGCCACAATCTCCCACGATATTGATGATGATGATCCCTTGGGACAGGTGGATACCAATCCCAAAACCACTTACACCTCGTCCTGGGACAGAGTGCGCAACCAGCGCGGTGTTACCAATGACGCGACCGGTGGCAGGTGGTCTCAAATTAGAACATCACCTCTTGACTCGCAATCACAACAAGCACCTCCGCGTAACGATAAGGATGAAAACTCCGACGATTTCGAAGCTCTCCTAGAAAAAGAGAGACGTGGCGAGGACACAATATGAAAGGTGTGTTCGTGGTCTATGCATCTCTATATTAGAAGCTAATGATTTATGATACTACATATTACTCTTCGCCTAGGACATTTTCAAGACTCTTGCTCTGTTTCAGCTCCTTCAGCTGCTGAATGACAACGTCCAATTGAATAGTTGGGTTCTTACCTTGCAGATCCTTCACGTCTCTGTTTCTGATGTTGACAGACTTTTCGGTCATTTCTTGCTCACCAACAATAAAGATGAAGTTGTATTTCAACATTTGACCATTCCTGACCTTTTTCTGAAGAGTGTTCCCGGTCAAGTCAACGTCGGCGTAAATTTCTTGGGCAACCAATTTGTCACGAACTTCTTGGGCGTAATCTTGGTATTTAACACCAACTGGCACGACAAGAACTTGACGAGGCGATAGCCAGAAAGGCCACTTACCAGCGAAATGTTCAGTTAAAATGGCGGTCATTCTCTCCACAGATCCCAAAACAGCACGGTGGATCATCACTGGTCTCTCGTAACCATCACCCTCTTGTGACTTGAATTCCAGTTCAAATCTGTTTGGCAGTTGGAAATCAAGCTGGATAGTGGCACATTGATGCCATCTACGCAAAGCATCAGAAATCATGATGTCAATCTTAGGTCCGTAGAAAGCACCGTCACCTGGATTCAACTCCCAAGCACCACCCCATTTCTTCAAAGCAGCCTCTAGCTTGGACTCTGCATTGTTCCAGGTTTCGAGTTCACCCAAGTACTTCTCCGGACGGGTGGAGAGTTCCATCTTGAACTCAAAACCGAAAACCCCGTATGCGTATTTCAAGAAATCGAAAATATTTTCAATTTCTTGCTCTATTTGACTTTGAGCACAGAAGATGTGGGCATCATCTTGTTGGAATCTTCTGACACGAGTCAAACCAGACAACGCACCGGAGAATTCGTTTCTGTGAATTACACCGAAATCGGCGACTCTCCAAGGTAGTTCTCTGTAGGATCTTTCTCTAGACTTAAACATAATACAGTGACCTGGACAGTTCATTGGTTTTAGACCAAATTTCTCCTTTTCCACGTCGAAAGTGAACATGTTTTCTTGGTAGTTAGCCCAGTGGCCGGAGGTTTGCCACAACTTAGAGTTGTACATGTTGGGAGTGATGACTTCCTCGTACCCTCTCTTACGGTATTCAGACCTCAGCATGTCAACCAAACTGTTGTAGATTCTGGTACCATGAGGGAGCCAGAAACAAGAGCCTGGAGACATTTCGTTGAAGTAGAAAAGCTCTTGTTCTCTTCCGATTTTTCTGTGATCACGCAAGGAAGCCTCGGCCAAAAACTTCAAGTGAGCGTCCATCAGTTTCTTGTCTGGGAAAGAGATACCGTAAACTCTTTGCAAAGAGTCGTTGGTGGACTCACCCAAAAAGTAGCAAGACGAGTTCTTCAATAGTTTGAAGGCCTTGATACGACCAGTGTGTGGAATGTGGGGACCAGTACACAAGTCGATTAGCTTACCACAGCGATAAACAGTGGTGGAGGTGCCATCTGGGATCTTGGTGGAAATCAAGTATTTCTTGTACTTGGAGTAGTGGAACATCTTCAACAGGTCTTCTTTGGACATGACCAGTCTTTCGAACTTCTGTTTTTCCTTGATGACGTTCTTAGCCACGCCTTCCAAGTTAGGGAAGTCGGCTTGCGACACAGTTCTCTCTGGGGTGTCCTCGGGGGTGCCAGCGGGGTTCTTGACTGCAAACTCGTAGAAAAACCCATCGTCGGTTGGGGGTCCCAAACAGATGTGGGCACCGAGGTTACATTCACAGGCTTCACCTAAGACGTGGGCAGACGAGTGCCAGAACACTTTTCTACCTTCTTCCGTTTCAAAATCGAAGAATTCTAGCTTGATTTCCTCACCTTCTTGGCCTTCTAGAGGTCTCTCCAAGTCCCACAGAACACCGTTCACCTTAGAAATGACTTGTTTGTCTGGGAAAGACTTGGCAATTTGTTTGGCGATGTCCATAGGGCTGGTTTCCCACGCAATGGCCTCTTTCTCGGAGCCGTCCTTCAACACCACTTTCAAAGTGACACGAGGCAACTCTGCCACCTTTTTCAAGTGTTCTTCTAGCAATTTGTCGAAAAACGCATTTCTTTCGTCGATAAACTCAGGTTCTGGGTCGAGGTACAGAGATGCCTGTTTCCCGTTCGAATTGCCCTTTTTCTTGGGCTGTTCTTTCTTGTTCAAAGCGAGGTCTTTGACCTTTTCTTCCACCTTATTCAAAGCCTCCTTGACGCTCATCCCGCAAGTCTAGATAGGACTACAAGCAGTGAGTAAAGGCTTGAATTTAATGATTGGTGAGAGTGTTGTTCTCGGGCTATCCAGTTGTTTTAGACACTTGTTTTAATAGAAAATTTTCATGATCATAATGTACGTAGGAAATACTCATCAAGATGAGCAAGGTTATGAGAGAGAAGAACAGTGAGTAACAGTGCCACACACACATTGAAGTGAGCTGTTTAAATGACTCCTGGGGGACTGTAAAACGAGAAAATAATTTTTGTCAAATTTTGGTGAAGCGATGAGCAAGGGCTTGGGAGGTAGAAATAATGTTTGAAAAATGGGAAAATTATGGTATTTCGAGAAGTAGATGCTCGATCGGTGCTTACACAGACGATGCGTGAATTTGAATCTCAAATTGGAATTGGAGATTGAGATTGAAATTGGAGATTGAGATTGAAATTGGAGATTGAGATTGGTATTGAAAACGGAAACTATTCGAGGCCAATTATTTAGAGCTTGTGCTTGTAGTTTTTGTAAAGTTTTGAGATGGAGTATGCTTGTTCAAGACACTTGGCTGCTGGACAATTATTTGGTGAGCTAATTCTGGCTTTAGTTTGCAAAGCTAAATGGTTTCTGACAGGTTAGGTTATTTTTCTGAAAAAAACGACAGCACAATTGTACGAATATAAATTAGGTTTGGGGAGAGACAACATCACTCACTCTAATGCTACGGGGTCCTTCCACCAGCCTTGTTGGCGCTATTTGAACGTCGAGACTGGTCCTGAGATCACCATATCACTTTGTACTATTCTGTCATCTTACCAATATCAACACTAATGTCAATCGTTCACGGCCGTTCTTTCAATGTTTAAGCACCTTGTTTCGGGAACATGGAACTAACAGAGCTCAGGCCTTAATTAAGCTCTCATCTAGCCCAGAATTCTCTCTCGGTTTTCTTTCGTACATCCCATTATTACGCTTGGATATAGTAAAAAAAATAATACGCTCAATATCTCACGTCTTCTCAGCTCATCGCGATCATTAAAGCTGGGTAAACGCTTGGATATTTGCTGGTTTAATCTGTCCTGATGAGCTCCTTACTATTAGAAACAGAACCGCAAGACTCACTTCCCTTTGTGAAAGATGCAACGCCATCTTTCGAGACCAATGAGCGTATTTTAGCCCCATCCATCGAGGAAGTGGACTCGAATCCCGATGAATTGCGCACTTTGCGTGGTAAAGGTCGATATTTCGGGGATCCGGACCCATCAGAGTACATTTTAGAAGCAGAACCCAAATGTAATAATTGCTCGCAACGAGGCCATCTCAAGAGAAACTGTCCGCACGTCATTTGTTCGTATTGTGGATTGATGGACGACCATTATTCACAACACTGTCCAAAAGCCATTAGATGCGCCAACTGTAACAGAGAGGGCCACTACCGTAGTCAGTGTCCACACAAATGGAGACGTATCTATTGTACCCTGTGCAATAGTAAGAATCACGCCCGGGACCGCTGTCCGAGCATCTGGAGAAGTTATTACCTGCTTGACGGTCAGAAAAGGCGAAGCGTGGCAATGCACAAAATATATTGCTACAACTGCGGTGGTAAAGGTCACTTTGGAGATGACTGTTTTCTTGACAGATCTTCAAGAGTCCCCAATGACGACGGGAGTGCATTTTCTGGCAACAATCTACCCCAGAAGGTCCAGCAAGACTACTTCACACATCTAGACCGGTGCCAGGATGACTACTCGCTCGACTTGGCCCAAGAAGACGACTATAGAGGCAGAAAAAGAGGCATATATTCCAGTGAGGGTCTCGAAAGAGGCGGGTACAACGAGAGTTCGAATTCGCTCTCGAACTCCAAGAAATTCAAGAAAAGAAGCCGAAGAAATGAAGAACAGGGCCCTAAATCAAATTCGCGATTCAAATCGAGCACGGTAAACTCCAACTTTTATCCGCCTCCATATCAAAAAGGAAAGGCCGCCCCCAAACCATCGTCCAGAGGAATTGTTCTTCCACCTAAAGGAAACCGCAAAAATCCCCTCGACTTTCCGCGTTCTTCGAGACCCCAACACCAACGTTTTGACTACTAATTTATGAACTCTGACTTTTAGCGTCAGCCACATCGGAAGGTCGATAAAGTGTTTCTGTATAACCGGACAGGCGAATTCCTTGAAATTTTTGACAAGTAAAGATCTCATCTCTGGACATTTGCATGCCTTCGGCCATTGAACGATGCAAAAACCTATTGTGCGTGGACTTACTTACTTAGACTTATCTCGACCTTTACGGCGCGCCCGGTTGCTCACTCTTTCATCGCGCTAGTCCTAAGATGCAGGAGGAGCTATTGCACAGTTGAGTCCGCCGGCTGTTTTGGTCTTCTTAATGCTAGCCGAAGCATTCAAAGAATCGCAGGTTCTTTTCTTGGTATCGGGTTGCAAAACTCCCATAACTACCAATTTATCCAGCTCTCCAGTTGGATCCGTTAGTTTCATCAAATCTAAAATCTGCCACTTGCCAGTCTCGCTATGCGCTGCGAAATCAATTCCAAGAACCATTATTAGCTTATCGACGCACGTCACGACAATCTCTAGACTCAAGGAGATGTTCCCCTGACAATCATCACCCTGTCCACAGGCACGATATTCCTTCACCAATACAATGGCATCCAAAACGAGCGCCAACGAGAAGTTGACCTTTTTCAAAGGCAAAATGCTAGAACTCTGAACTTGGCATCTATCGCACATGTGAGATCTATTCCACAATGCTATTCCGTATGCATTTATGGAAAGGCAGTAATTTTCATTTATTACGAACAATCTTTGAAAGAGCCACTCGTTTGCATGGCCATTTAACGTCTTTCTCTGGTGTCTCGAAAGCTCACCTATTGAACTTTCATTCCGATATGAATCAAGAGTCAGGTAAGGTTGGCTGCCAAGGCTGGGGCGGAAAGCCCTGAGGTTTTGACACCCGTCTAGCGTCAAGATTTCTAAGCGGTTGAATTTTGGGTAAAGAGACAAAGAATAGTCATTCTCTTCCTTTTCTTCTTTCAATGCAGCAGTGATGGACGCATGTGCACTCTTAAGTGTATCTTTACTCAAATCTGAGAATGAAAAATCAAAGTAAGTTAATGCCACAATAGAACCTGAAGGTGAAATGGCACTATCGCCTATTCCACGAGTGCCACTTGAGTTTTTGACCACTTTTTTGGGCTTATTCCCGAGTCTCAGCCGCGGTCTACGCCCTAATTTTCTTTTCTGTTGCATCACAGGATTTTCTGGTATCAGACCGTCACTACCAGCAACTTGAGCCTTACCTTGTAACTTCGAGCAGCTGTCATATATTAGCTTTCCCGGTGTTTCACGCCAAAAGGTATGATATTGAAGCTCAGGCACACCTGACCTTGCTCTCAAGTTGGCTTTGCGCACTTTGTCCCGATCAAACTGGTTGGCACACTTTTTCAGTTGATCTGCTATAATGGCCCTCAGTGGATCGGTGGCTGGCTTACGTTCCTGGTGTGAATTTGTGTGACGATCGTTGTTTGCACTGTATACAGGCAAATCAGTCATGCCGCACAATTTCCAGGTATACCCTTTTCCTTCGTAGATGGCCAGCCCGATGAACGATTTCAGCTTCCGAAAATACGAGAGGTAGCTGGACGTTATTCTGATTTTATGCAAAGCGATGCGGCCGGATAAACTGCTAGTCATGAAGCTTAACTTGTTGAGCGGATTGATACGGAAATGACTTATTTTATCAATGAGCTTCAGCGTGAAAGATGGCTGGAAACATGGCGAGCGGGCATGTGGAAGGTCATATAAGATTTCTTGTTGGGCCCGAAATTTGCCGTGTGCTGGCGCTAAGTAAGAGAACGGGTGATTGGGATTGCTAGAACGAACAAGTTTGCACTCTTTAAAAAAATCCTCGTCTTCAGACGTGAGCCCGTCGATCTCGCAACCAATGAACGGTGCACCCGCACCGCGTAAGTCAACTGCGTCTTCAGCAAAAGCGATATACTCGCATTTTTCGTACGTTGCGGGCAAATTTAATATGAACACGCTGATCTGGCCGGTTTCTGTTAAGCAGTACAGCAGGCCGTCTCGATAATCGATAGAAGCGATCGGGAGCATAACGCTATAATTGTTAACTTCTACACGGCAACTGAGAACCCAGCGAGCTTGCAATGTCCTTCCTTCGAGCAACGAATTTTGGACGTCAGGAATTACTTGTATAAATCCATCAGTGTAACCCACAAGTAAGTAGTCATAGCTGGGAAAAGCTCGTCCCGACTTTGGCCAGTGACTATCCCGCAAATAGCACATTTCAGTAATATCAGAGCATGAGTCAAGCTTTTCGAATACGCTCATTTCTTTAATTGTCAGTTTTCCTTGGTGCCAGTCCAATATTCTATAAGAGCATGATGTCTCGACATCTTTCTTAGATCCAGGTTCGGGAGGAGCACCTTTTATTGAAACCGCGAAGCGCAGCATTTTTGCTCGAATAGATTTAGCGGTTATGTTCCTATTTGTTTAGTTTGTTCACTAATTTCAAGCAAACTTATAGATCACAGCTGGTTTGAAACGTACTGTGATTACCTTAACTCTGAAACACACTCTTTTTGTCAAAATGAGCGCTCTATGGCACTGTTCGAATCCTCAAGAACGTTGCTGCGCAGATTTTTGAGAACCATGAGGACGTGGAGTGAGTCCAGTATGATAGTTGACAAAAAGTCCAAGTTTCAAGGAAGATGTTGCGGTTTGAAGTGTCAAGATGAGATATCCAAAATTCTAGAAGATCTGGTCAATTCCACCAAAGCAGTGAGTAAAGCGACCCATCCGCACATGTACGCCTGGAGAACTGGTGATAGGACGGATGTAGAGGTTAAGGACTCTAAAAGAGGCCGGAAATCATCGAAAATGGAGTCCCAGATCCAAAATTTACAACAGGGATGTAACGACTGTGGAGAGGCAGGAGCTGGCCAAAGGCTGCTCACACTTCTTGAACATAGCGGTGCTACTAACGTTTTGGTTGTGGTCACCCGATGGTATGGTGGAACTCCTCTGGGAAGTGCACGATTTCGACATATAACAACTGCAGCAGTTGAGAGCTTGAAAAAGGCAGGCCATGCATCGTAGAAATTGGAATAGGTACATCTCTCAAATGCTAACCATTGATCATCGAATATTTATCATTTAAAAAGTTCATATCGAATATACATATGTCGACTGTACACGCGGGTACTGTGTGTTCTTGCACCGTGGTGTGCCATTCCTACTTCATACGTATTTGTAAGGATTCAAAATGGCATTCGGGTCGTAGAGATTCTTGAGCTGCTTGATCATAGCAACTTCCTGCTCGTTCTTGGAGTAACCAATGTAGTTCTTCTTCTGGAACCCCAGTCCGTGCTCGGCACTGATGGATCCGTTCTTAGAAGAAACGAATTCGTAGACGAAAGGCTCAAGAGCCTTTTCCACCTCCTTGGAGTACTCTCTCACAGCGACGTTCAAATGGAGATTTCCGTCTCCGACGTGTCCGTAGCCCACAGCACTTATAACTGGTTTAGTGGCATCGGAATCGCCCAAAAGACCCTTTTCAGCCAATCTTTCGTTAGCTGCTTCGACAAGGGAATATAGGTCTTTGAGTGGCAGAGAGACATCGTATTTGTAGACACCCCCGCCAGCTTGGCTCGATTCGGGAATCGACTCTCTCCACTCCCACAAGTTTCGCAGCTCAGTCTCGTCTTGCGCCACTACGCCATCAAGAACAGTTCCATCATCCATAGCTTTTTCAAGGAAAGCCTCGAGCTTGGCATCGTCGTGCTCTTTGTTGGAACCTGAGGTTTCAATCAAGACGTAAAATGGGTACTCATCCTCGAGTGGATGAGCCACGTCCTTTAAATGCTGTTTGGCTAGCTTCTGAGACTTGAGGTCCATGAATTCGAAGGCGGACAAAATCTCGGAAAGCTCCTGTTTGGCCTGCACAAACACCTTTTGAACACCTTCGTAGCTGCCCACACCGAGAAAGCTAACGTTGACGGCCTTTGGACGAGGAGGCGTCAAAATCGACACACCGGTGACCACACCGATGGTACCTTCGGACCCAATGAACATTTGTTTCAAATCATAACCGGTGTTATCCTTTCGCAGAGCGTTCATGGAGTTCAAGACTTTGCCGTTTGGTAGAACGACCTCAAGGCCCAGAACAGTGCCATGCAAAGAGCCGTAACGCAGCAATCTCAAACCTCCGGCGTTAGTGGCCACGATACCACCGACGTGGCAAGACCCCTTGGCCCCCAAGTCCATGGGGAATATGTAGCCATGTTCTGCCAGGTACGAGTCGGCATTTTCCAAGATCACACCGGCGTCGCACTTCAAGATTCCGCTCACGGGGTCGAAATCGCGGATTTTATTAAGCTGGGTGAGACTCAAGACGATTTCATCGAACACTGGCACCGATCCGCCAACCAGGCCTGTGTTACCACCTTGTGGAACAACGGCCAATTTTTGGTCGTTGCAGTACTTGAGGATTTGGGAAACCTGTTCGACACTTTTGGGTCTTAAAACTAGTTTGGACTGACCCTTATACTTGCGCATCCAGTCCTCGTTGAACAGCGCCAGATCTTCGTCTGCCGTGGCCTGCAAAATTTCGCTACCGGACAATATGGACTGGAAAAAAGTCATATCCTCTGGGGAAAGTTTCTTGAATTGTGTCAAACGCTGCACGCTTGGATACGACTCAGCAGTGAGTCTTGGTGGGATTTTCGTTGAGTAAGTGGCTACTTGAGCCATGCTCATTGGCTTGATGCGCAAGCCTGAACCGTTTTTGGACCAGAAAACGGCTCCCGGGCCAGTTTTGGCTCTGGAAAAATTCTTGAGATGTCTCTTGACTGTGTTCCTCAACATTGAAATGGTAAGAAAGACCCTGAAGGCTCTGGATTAATGGCCAGTTCGACTTTCAGCACGGTGAATGCTTTGAAGAATTGCCAAATTTTTCAGATAATGGTCAATTTATTATGGGGTTTTTAGCGTCGTCAGCTCACGTGACTGTTGATCTGTTATTATCATGACAGCGTGAGCGCCAAGCAAGATCCCACGAGCTATGGTTCATGGGAGTTTCAGTGTCAATGCGGTGTACCATTGAAATTCGATCGGAGTGCTGGTGCACAATTAAAAGAAACTTCTTTTTTTACAGCGACACATAATTGTAAATTAACATCCAAGCGAAATTTATCTACTGGCTTGAGAAACTGAATGGCTTGAGATGGCGAATAAAATCTACCTAGATTATTTTGCAAGGTTACAATCCCTGGGAAATTGTTTTTTGGTGATGTATTCCCAATATCAAGAGAATATATTGGCATGCAATTTGCCATTTCCGAATGTGAATAGGAAAGCTCGCTATGCGAATCTTGCCAAAGATTCAAATTAGTAGAGATTTAAGCCACTGCATTCTCAATGGCCTCGTTAATGCGCTCATTGGTAACGCACCACTGAATCTCTTGTCAAACTAGCCATGGGTTATTTTTCAATACCCTTGGTAATGTTTAAACATAAAAAATTAACTTTGTTGAGTGAACTGCCCTTTAACAGCTTTTGAACTTAAAAGAGCACCTACATTGACTGCAATCCCGCCCAAAATGTCTATTCCAGCTGCTTTCGACGCGGCATGCATTTTCTGCAAAATTATCAAAGGTGTGTAGACGGCCACTGTCCAAATAGCTAGGTTTGCACGAAGCTGCATACTAACCTAACTCTGCCGCAGGTGAAATTCCATCTTTCAAGCTGATCGAGACGAAATACACTTATTCGTTTTTAGATATCCAGCCCACTGCCGAAGCTCATGTTCTGGTGATCCCCAAGTACCATGGCGCCAAGTTGCACAATGTGCCTGACGAGTACTTGGCTGACATTTTGCCCGTTACCAAGAAACTTGCAATTGCGCTAGATTTGGCTGTGGACTCGCCCGAGGGCGTTGGATACAACGTGCTACAAAACAACGGCCGGATAGCTCACCAGGAGGTGGACCATGTGCATTTCCACTTGATTCCCAAGAGAAATGAGAAAACCGGCTTGATCGTTGGATGGCCCTCTATTAACACAGATTTCGAAAAACTCGGGAAACTGCACCAGGAGCTGCTCAAGAAACTGGAGGCCTACGAACAACCTAAATAGGATCTTTTAATTTTTTGAATTTTTTTTGGTCCATGCATTTGCAAACGAGTCGATTGCGAAGTGATTGCGAAGTGATTGCGAGGTAATTCGCGAGGTGTTGACAAGTTCTAGCGCTATTCGGTGCCGTCATCAACGCCAAATCGTGAATACACACACAGACACAATTAAGACGGCGAGAAATTCAAGCAAATCGATAAATACTCGGTTTTTCTAAACACCGCACAGTCTTCCCACAGCACTCAAACATCGTTACCGCACAAATAGCCCAGTTTTCTACCAAATTCGAGTCTGAGAATTCTCCTATATACAGCGAACTTCGCCAAACATTCTGAATAATACTCTACACCTCGGCCGATCCACCTTCTATCACCTTCCTGAATAAACCAAAGTTCACTTTTAGTTCAACTGGATAGCACTTTTAAGATGACTTGAATCAGAATCATCACCACTACGTACAAAGTGATGTATCTTATAAAGGAAAACACCCGGTGGCAAAAGGACACTTACCTTTGAACACTACCCTTCTTAACAAACATCAAGACTAAACCCAGCGATAGAACGGGTTTATATCTAGTTTGAACAGCTCTTCACATTCAATCGCACAATGGTTGACGAAAAAAAGCCACTTTTGGACGCTTCTGGCGGCGATAAACGCGAAGATGACGCGACTGCAACAGCGATTTTAAGACGCAAGAAGAAAGACAACATGTTGATGGTGGACGACGCTGTGAACGACGACAACTCGGTTATCGCGATCAACTCGAACACAATGGACCTGCTACAGCTTTTTCGCGGCGACACAGTGGTGGTGAAGGGTAAAAAACGCAAGGACACGGTGATGATCGTGTTGATCGACGATGAGCTGGAAAACGGGGTCTGCAGAGTGAACCGTGTGGTCAGAAACAACCTGCGCATCCGTTTGGGCGATCTCGTCACGATCCACGCCTGTCCCGATATCAAGTATGCTTCTCGTATCTCGGTTTTGCCTATCGCAGACACCGTGGAGGGCTTGACCGGCAGTCTGTTCGACGTTTACCTCAAACCATACTTCGTGGAGGCGTACCGTCCCGTACGCAAGGGCGACCATTTTGTCGTAAGAGGCGGTATGCGTCAAGTCGAGTTCAAGGTCGTGGACGTAGAACCAGAGGAATACGCCGTGGTGGCCCAGGACACCGTGATCCACTCTGATGGCGAGCCTATCAACCGTGAAGACGAAGAAAACAACATGAACGAAGTGGGCTACGACGACATCGGGGGCTGTCGCAAGCAAATGGCACAGATCCGTGAATTGGTCGAACTGCCGCTTAGACACCCTCAGCTATTCAAAGCCATCGGAATCAAGCCTCCCAGAGGTATCCTCATGTATGGTCCACCTGGTACCGGTAAGACCTTGATGGCTAGAGCCGTAGCCAACGAAACAGGTGCTTTCTTCTTCTTGATCAACGGTCCAGAAGTCATGTCCAAGATGGCTGGTGAATCCGAGTCCAACCTGAGGAAAGCCTTCGAGGAAGCCGAGAAGAACGCTCCTGCCATCATTTTCATCGATGAGATCGACTCTATCGCCCCCAAGCGTGACAAGACTAACGGTGAAGTCGAAAGAAGAGTCGTTTCTCAGCTACTGACTTTGATGGACGGTATGAAGGCTAGATCCAATGTTGTGGTCATCGCTGCCACCAACAGACCAAACTCCATCGATCCAGCACTAAGAAGATTCGGTAGATTCGATCGTGAAGTCGACATTGGTATCCCTGACGCCACCGGCAGACTTGAAGTGCTTCGTATCCACACCAAGAACATGAAGTTGGCTGAGGACGTGGACCTCGAATCTCTAGCTGCGGAAACCCACGGTTACGTTGGTGCTGATATCGCTTCCCTCTGCTCTGAGGCCGCTATGCAACAGATTCGTGAAAAGATGGATATGATTGATCTCGATGAAGATGAGATCGCTGCCGAGGTGCTGGACTCTTTGGGCGTTACAATGGACAACTTCAGATTTTCTCTGGGCAACTCCAACCCATCTGCATTGCGCGAGACTGTTGTTGAGAGCGTTAACGTTACTTGGGAGGATATTGGTGGTCTGGATGAAATTAAGCAAGAATTGAAAGAGACTGTCGAATACCCTGTTCTTCACCCAGACCAATACGCCAAGTTCGGTTTGGCTCCTTCTAAAGGTGTTTTGTTTTACGGTCCACCTGGTACCGGTAAGACTTTACTAGCCAAAGCTGTTGCCACAGAGGTCTCTGCTAACTTTATCTCTGTTAAAGGACCAGAACTCTTGAGTATGTGGTACGGTGAATCCGAGTCTAACATTCGTGACATTTTTGATAAAGCCAGAGCTGCTGCACCAACAGTGGTTTTCTTGGATGAGTTGGACTCTATTGCTAAAGCTAGAGGCGGTTCCGTCGGTGATGCCGGTGGCGCTTCCGATAGAGTTGTTAACCAACTGCTTACCGAAATGGACGGAATGAACGCCAAGAAGAATGTGTTTGTCATTGGTGCTACTAACAGACCAGACCAAATCGACCCTGCTATTTTGAGACCAGGTAGATTGGATCAACTAATATACGTTCCACTACCTGACGAAATGGCGAGACTATCGATCCTGAATGCACAACTCAGAAAGACTCCACTTGAACCAGGCTTGGAGTTGAGCACAATCGCCAAAGCCACTCAAGGATTCTCTGGTGCTGACTTGCAGTACATTGTGCAAAGAGCCGCTAAGTTTGCCATTAAAGATTCGATCGAGGCTCAGAGAAGCTTAGAGGCTGAACGCCAAAGCAAGGTCAAGACCGAAGACGTGGAAATGGGCGATGAGGCGACTGCTCCTGTCGTTGAGGAAGAAATCGAAGATACAGTACCATACATTACAAAAGACCATTTTGCTGAGGCTATGAAGACCGCGAAACGTTCAGTTTCTGATGCAGAACTACGTCGTTACGAGGCTTACTCCCAACAAATGAAATCCTCGAGAGGTCAGTATAGCAACTTCAATTTCGGCGATGCCCCAAGCGCAACCCAACCTGCCGGTAGCTCGGAAAATGCCGGTGCCGCTTTTGGGGAGGGCGCTGAAGAAGATGATCTGTACAGCTGAAGGGGGAGCTCCCAATACACGATTGATTGTTTGTAATGAAATAAATATCCAAGAAAGTACCATTTGTATGAAAACAAGTTAGGCTAAGATACACAGCTGTATATTATTCGTCTAATTCAGGCTACGGCCAGAAGCCAAGCACGGCACTAAGTTCGTAAAAGAACTTCTTTGATTATATATACTTCTCGAGTTCTCTACTTATATCCTTGCCCAAATTCGATTTTGCTCGTCCAGCGAGTTCGAAATGCTAAATTGTGGTAGAAGCGTTAAGCTACCTGAATACGGACGTCCATCTGGTGCTCATTCCAAGCTGTCTTGAATCTGATCCTAACTCAGGAGGTGTCGGTATACCGGTTTTTATGATAATGGGCCTAGCGAGACGGCCTTGTTCCTTTCTTGTAGTTGTATCCTTTGACTGGTAAGAAAAACTGGGACTGTTTTTGTCCAATGGACGAAGCTGCGAGGATCTTGATGCCGAAATCGAAGGGGTCTTGCTTGATTCTCTCGAGCCCGCAGTAGAAATGGTCGACATTGTGGCACTCGAAATCAGCGATGGAATTGACATGTTGCTTGACGAGCGCGAGTTAACGTCCCGACTGCTATGGCCCAGCTTAGATTGATGTACTGTGGGCAAATTGAAGTACAACAACTCTTGACGGTGGGCCATGATTTGAGCTTTTATTGGGGCCAAAAGCGGCGCGAGACAGGTTATCAGATCTTGTGTAGTGAATCTGAGGTTCCAATCAAAATACTCCAGTAGTTCGCGTTCTAAGGTGTTGACTTCTCGAGTGTCTAAAAGTCCATTGGTGTATGACGCCCAATGACGGTTGAGAGGGCTTGAGTCGTTCAAATTTTTGGCTGCCAAGATCAGACAGCCCAAAAAAATGCGGTGCCGGGTCGTCTCGATGCCATAAACGCTAGTCGGTATTATGGCTCTGAGCTTGGCCAGGTAAACTGTTGTTGACATCAAAGTTGGCACTTGAACATTTGATTGGGTCACCAGGCCACGAATAAAATCGGCCAATGGAATAACTGGCTTACCGGGCTTCGATTGATCCTGCGAGTTTACGGCAATGACAGAATCTGTGGTGGCCTTTAAAAATTCCACCATTTCGCCAGAGACTCTTTTCTTGTTAAACTGCAATAGTGCCTCTAGATCCGACATTATTCTTGGCCTTTCGAGTAACAATATTGGCAAGTCAGTCCGTACTTCTCTATTGATGTAAATATATATATCCACCCTTCGAGCAGAAAGACTCTTGAAAACTCTAGCAACCTGTAAGTCAACTTTTGGTTAGCGTTTACATTATTCGCTTTATCATCGATCTCTCCACTGCAAATAACCCACAAATGATCTAGATTTACCAGCGAACACCGAATTTTCGCGGGAGCCAGCTCAATGAGCAAGCGGTTAGCAGCTACAGTTCAACGACTTTCGCTCATTCTTTTCGCGATATGAAATCAGCTTGGTCTCTCTGCCAACACTTTCCACCAAAAAATGGGCGACCTGGGTTTTCCTATATTGATGGTAATTTCGCGATTATGGCGCCAGCCATTCCTAAAAGGTGAAAACACGAAGCGAAAAAAAGGCATGCTTGGACGTGGGTGAAAAGACGTTTGTGGACCAGCGGCATGGCATGGATTGAGCAAGCGCTGATGTGCGAAGAAGATGATGTTACCAAGGTAGTGGTAACGCAGAGGCCAACTTAAATTATTTGTTCGACCTGAGGATTTGGGTTTCCTGGGTAGAGAAACGACTAGATGACACGGAAAATATGTATACGAAATACATTTGGAACGTCTGAACGTTGACATTGGTACTTCAATCGTTGAAGAGTTACTTTCTACATTGTTATCAATTATGTATGCTGCGAGAAAACCTTTCGAGATTTTGATCTCACGATCCACATTAGACGTAAAAACTTCAGTTATTTAGCACTTGTGGGGAAACCCAGATTGTTGCTTTACATGGAGGTCGCTGCCATGGCGCGCTCGTCAGGGTAGTAGAAAAATGCAAGCGCAATCAAAACGTACATGGCAATCGACATGATACCCTCCAGATAATTGGATAGCCCATCCAAAATCAAATAGTTCGACAAAAACACTGCGATGAACAATGTGGCGGTCTCGAAGGTCGAGAAGTTGAGGGTCATGGGGACACCAATGGCCCATCCGACCAAAACCATAAATGGAGTCACGAACAAGGCGATCTGGAGAGAGGAGCCGATGGCCACGCTCAAGGCCAAATCCATCTTGTTTTTGGTAGCAACAATCACTGAGGTGACGTGCTCAGCGGCGTTACCAACAATAGGAATAACAATCAAACCAATAAAAGTCTTGGACAAGCCCGATGTTTCCACGACATGGTCGATGCTACCAACTAGAAAATCGGCACAGAGGGACACAAGCACGGTGGTGACAAGCAGGAAGATCACAGACGACTTGATAGATAGAGTATGCGACTTAGAGTGGTGTTCCAACACTTCTTCAGTCTCCTCTTCCTGCTGCTCGAAAAGCTCGTGGTGAGTCTTCAATTGGAAAACCAAGAAACAAACGTAGACGACCAGTAGGACAATGGAAGTCGATCTGGAAAGACTCAAGATCTTAGCGTTGATCAGAAGATCTTGATTCTTGTTGTCATCGGGCAAAGATGCGCGGAAAGCAGCTGGGATCAGCAGGGACGCGCACGAGATCGCCAATAACGAGGACATGGTCTGTGCAGCGGTTTTGTTAAAGTTCTGCTCTACCCTGTTGTACCCACCGGCCAGGAAGCAAAATCCAAGCACTAACAGCAAGTTGGAAAGGATGCTGCCTAGCATCGAGGCTTGAACGATGGTAATTTGGCCATTATATAGCGCGATGACAGACACGATTAGTTCAACAGCGTTTCCTAGAGTCGCATTCAGAAGACCACCCAAAGTGGAGCCCGCCTTCTCTGCGAGTTCTTCCGTGGCAAAAGCCAAAATAGCTGCCAGCGGGATAATCGCCACAAAATTCAGAATAAAGGTCCAAGTTACCGAGAGTTTGGCATACCCGTAAATCAGGGCCACTGGGACAAACACAGCCAAATAGTTAACTGGCGAAGATTGGAAAACAATCCGCGTATCGCGAGATACTGATTTCACCATTGAAAAGCCCTTTGATCTAGCGCTCTGTGGCAGCAACGGCGAATGAGAGTCCATAATGATGGTTTACCAGTTTTGACAAAAAGAAGCCTCTAAAGGTGCCAAAAACGCCCAAAATTGACTTTAAATTACCAGGTAGGTAGTAATCAAATATCGTTGGTGGATCCTTGTAAAGTTATAACAACTATATCGGACCAGTTAAACTGCCAAGAACATTAACAACTAACTGTTCCGAAGGTTGCGATGTTATATTACTGAAAATAGGCAATTTAGTGTCCACGTGACACAATGTAGAATAAGACGGCGAAATGATTCGACTTCGACGCTCCCGGGACTGATCGTCGAGCTAGACCATAATTTCTATGTATCGTTTGACCAGTTTTTTGAGTGTTCTATGAGGTCTATTTGAGAATGAAAGCCTCAAAGGCTTTCGAATTTATTATATTATCTTGCGTGACGCAACAGAACAGGCCGTGTGAGAATCAGTTACAGTGGTGAACTTAGCCGTAAACGTTTCTCCACGGGCCGTTTCCAGCAACCAAGTCGATTGGATCGATCCCCTCCCCCACCTTGTTAATTGAAGAACTGGATTTGTTGTGTGGTTTTTAGCATTATGCCGTCGAGAGTGAATTTAACAGCGCAATCACTGTTCGATGGTAGCGACACTACCCAGTGAAAACATCAAGATTGACCACAACGTGAGACCAATTACAGGAAAGCTCTTATGAATTGAAAGAGATCGCCACAGGGCCATGAGTCTGCGCAAAACTCGCAAAATCAATGGCTCGTTGTCCTCGTTTGCTGTCATCAGATCCTGCGTATAGATGGAATTCATCACAAAAAGCTGATCAGATGAAATGTACTGCAAACTTTCCGGCCTAGAAGTGTGAATATGCAGACTGGGAGAACTGTTGGATTTGTGCAAGTTATTCAATGGTTCGGCGCCAGCGTCTTTCCATACAAAAAGGAAAACACCAATCACAAAGCTCCAAGTCGACAGAGGCCACACAACGCTAAGCGTAAAAAAGCCAAAAGTACGGGACCCAAAGTATTTCACCGCCGGGGCAAAAAGTCGATCATGCCCCGGTACGTAGATGAAGTACATCGAAATGATGAAAGAGTGGCCCACTATTAGCAAAATGCTATCGATAACAAGTAAATTGATCAAAAACAGCTCCTTTAAAAATTGACGTTTAGAAACGATTTCCGGGAAATACGTGACTGCACCGGGGAAGAGCAGGGACCGTCTTTCCTGGGAACTCGATCGAGGACCAGGACCTTGCTCTGCATCTCGCAGCAGTGCCATCGAACTGTCGTTAAAATTCACGAAAAAGGTGTCTGATGACTTATCTGCTGCGTCATTTGAAATAGAGCTTTGGAGTTGGTGAGAGTAGACGTTGTCAGAAATAAGCGAGGATTTCCGTTTCAAGTCTATGCATTTCGACAAAGTGATGTTGTTTCGAGCCAGGTCCTGCTCCTCTTGCAATAATTGGTTTTCGAGCTGGCGTCTAGCGGAAGCCGGCGACGGTAATTCTTCGTACCTTTGCGAGTTTTGCATAAGACACAGCAGAAGTTCAGATAACGACCATGAGATTCCGAAAATCGCTGATTGTTTCGGTATGATATGCCAGATGGTATCGTCGAGCTTCTCGGTGATAGCCTCGTCTTGTACCTGGGGGTAAGCGAGACAGAAGATAATTAACAAGCCGAACCAGTCGTTAAACGGAAAGTCCACAAACAGGTTGACCAGGATGGCTCGAGGGTTGAGCCCCAGCAAAAAGTCCCGAAGAAAATAAAGCGCCAACGGTGAAAGAAACCCTAGCAATGAGGTCCTGAAATAGTCTTGCCCATTGGGTCCAAACATATTATTTTCGTCATATTGCGATACCAGCAATTGAGTAAGGCCAAAGGCCAGCGTGAACAGGCCCAGCAGATTGAAGAAAAGTATGATTCTGACCCAGAGCTTGCTCGAACATACCAATGGCATAAAGTAGGGTGCTACATAGCCCATGCGAGACATTGTACCGGAACGAAGCTAACGTTCTGGTGATGAGGGGCTCGATTCAAGAGCTATTAGTTTACGTATATTACTTGACACCTTCGTATATAATGACCTTGGACTTTTCTGTTACCTTTAAGTCAATGCGACAGAGGCATAGAGGCCGTCTTCACGTTGCTTGAACGTTCAAACGACCGCTGAAATCCTTTTTCGAGTTTCGGGTGCCGAAGCGATTTTTTCTTGATCGATTTAGCGACTCGAAATGAACCCAATTATTGGTATGCTAATGATGTTAATATTTAAACAGAGGTTTTATGGTCCAAGCCGAATGAGTTACGCTTAGACTTAATATGCTTGTTTCCGCCAGCATCGATTTGAAGCTGATTTGTGCTTGGATTCGACGACAGAGATGGTGAAAGATTGAAAATTGGCATTTTTTGAAAAACTATAGGAGTAGCTCTCACTCCCAATTTGAAAACCCGAGCTAACTCAATTTCTAAGCAGAAGAGCCACACTGCTACTTACCATACTCTGTGCAGTTGAATTGGACATTATTGTTTGTTGGTCGAAATATCACTCTGTAATTTTCTGGCGCCCAGACAGGCTTCTGACTGCATGCAAAAAGACAGGTTTATGGGATACAGACCATCGCAGAATTTATACATGCCAATCCATTGCTTGCTAGATTTGAGCAGATCCACTGTCTTGAGTATTTGTGAGTTTCTTGAAACTTCCATTTTCGATGACGGTGCTCCGATTCACTTACATAGTACGTCTTATATACATCGTTCAATCTTTACGGATGAGAAACAGCGGGTTATGTTCAGATCATAGCCATTACACTGCTTAAAGAAGGCTCTCCTAGATATGTCCTTTTTTCGCTCAACGAACGAACTTTGTTTGTAGGTATTGCCACAAGAATTAGAGGCAACGGAAATGGGCCTCAGAGAAAGCTCATCAGTTAACCTTGTCTATTCAATTCTAAAGGTCTTATTTTGCCTTGTCGCTGCCACTATATACATCACAAGAACAGCGAGGATGATTCACTACAATTAGAGAGACAGAATACCGCCTCGCTGAATTTTGAATAACTACATCAGAAAAGCCCCGTTTCGGCCAGTTTCGATATTAAAAGATGCTACAGCATGAAATCAACTTTATTGAATCATTTCCAAGCTTGCTCAAAACCCACACAAGGTTGTTTCTAGAGCTCTTTCGTTGCCCAACAATATTCCATTATTTATATAAAATACAAGCTAAGACCACATATGTGGTCGAGTAAAATGAAGTGTATCCTAAAAACCCGTAAATTCAAACTTTAAGGTGTTTATTCACCATGCTCATGTCCCTTCACTCCATAAAATGCTCTCACCTTTCCATCGACAGCAGTTACGACCTCTCTAGATGGAAGACCCTAACGAAGTTGCTGGCAGAAGGATTATCACTAGTTCTTCGCATCCTGGGGTGGGATTTGTGATTTTCCACAAGCCGTAGGAGTGGCAGATTTGTCCCCGGTTGCGTCTTTTGGTTTTTGGACGCCGAGGACTTGGTCGACTTCGACACTTTACCGGAAGAAGACGCCACGATTGGCGACGACGCAGCAGTCGGTACCAACACGTTTTCGCGCGCCTCGCTCAAGCACCGGTTGCGGAAAAACTCAACTTCCTTCTTTATGATGCTATTCTCCACTGCGAGCCTGGAATCCCACGCAGATCGGTTTTCCAGCTGCGACAGCTGTGCTTGCAACGACCAATGCGAGATCGCGGTGAGCGATTGATTCAGAACCGACACCAATTTCACCACATCTGCCGGAGAGTCGTTTTTTTGGTGCTGGAGTTCGTTCACGGTATTCACAATGGTTATTTCCAGATCCCGGGTCTGTTGGAGCGACGGTGCCGTATCCAAATGCAAAGTCGTTGCGACTTCTGGACGTTCGACAGCAGTTGTGGGCGAGATGGGCGAATCTAGCGGTCGTTTACCACTGCAAATCTCACCCGGTGTAACGTTTTGCACAGATGAATTCTTACCTGGCATTACTTGTTTTTTTTTACTCAGCTCTGGGGGCAGTCGTATCTCTTGGAGAGTAGTGACAAATGCTAGTGGAAACGAGCAAGATCCTCGATTGATATTCGACCGATCGATATATATCAATAGCAGACTTGGTGATTAGGAGAACCTTGATTGACAAAATCAGAGATTGGTGTCTAAGTGTTGCGATCAGGAATCGAAAAGGCGAGATCCAGAGTTTTTTTCGTTCACCTTTTGGTGTGCCAGTGAAGAATGGAAACTTAACTAAACTGCCATGCAAATGAAGCTAATGACCAGAGTTACTTGAAAATTGTACAGATCCAAACTTAAAAGTTGGGTAGCCATAGGTCGCAAGAGAAGATCCCGAGACAAGTACCTGTTGTTTTACTGGGATAGAGTTCATCATTTTTGCAACGAAAGCGATCTTTGCAAATAGGTGATAATGTCAGTTTATATTGATGAAAAAAATATACAGCAGTGTCAGTCGTAAGAACAGTTTGGAAATAAGGACGCCAGCAGAGCAGAAAGCTGTTTCTTGTTTTTCTCTTGACTTGGATGGCTGGTGAATACGGGGAAATTGCCAAGAAAATTTTGTTGATGCGTTTTGACCTTTCACGCTGGCTGTTGTATTAGGCTCTTGGTGGTGATGCATAAGACCGATTGAGATTTTTCGGCTCCCGGAGGCAAAGTAAGTACAATGAAGAAATGGCTACACTTTGTGCTTTACTGAATTGTGATTAGTCTAGATTGTTTAATGAAACGCCTCGCAAACGGCTTGGATGTATTAAAACAATTCAGTTTTTGAAATTGAAAGTTTCGCAGATGGTGTCGGTACTCTCTGCCCCCTGATTTGGGCACAGACGTAGCACAATCATAGGACTACTGGATTTCATAAAGCTAGCGGAACGACTACATTTATCGAGCTCTCTGGCTTCTTACGACTCACCAAAATTTTGACGGATAATAGGTCTTTATGATCTGCCCACAGATGACAGTCCTGTACAAAGTGACCTGAAACGTCACATTGAACACCAGGCTCAGCGAGCTTATTCAAAAAAGACCTACGGAGAGGCCTGTTACGACGTTGTGCTTTAGTGTGTGTCTACGTGCGTGTGGTTTTCCGTTGCTGCCATTTTGTTAAGCTACTGAATCGAATATTCGAATTTCGGGCAATTCGTACTCGGCACTCTGCCGTCGTTCTATGACGAGCGTCTCACGCTAGAGATACCGAGCCCAGGCAGTTATATACATTTTCAAGGCCATTGAGGTGTGTTTTGCCATAGTTCCTTCTGTTAACAAAGCGTGAAAAGCGAGTTCCCGCTGACGCTTCCCAGCGCTCATATACCAATGAAATGGAAATGCGTATTATACCTATATAGATTAAGTAGGTTACATTGTTTAGTCGAACAAACCGAAACCCATGTCGTCGTCGGATTCTTCGGCAGCTTCTTCTGGAGCATCTTCCTCAGCAGCGGCTTCACCACCGGCAGCAGCGGCAGAGGCATCACCAGCGGCAGCAGAACCGGCACCAGCAGCGTGGAAACCAGAAAGGATCTGCTTTAGGTCCTTGCCCTCCAAAGCCTTGGCGAAAGTTTCAGCCCAGACCTGAATGAATAGTTAGTATGACGAAATGTGAAGGCTGGGGAAAAATGGTAAACTGAGGGGATTGATCGGATTCAAAAATTGAGCTCCCACAGAGCGTAAACTCACTAGTCTTCTCCCATACAACCCAGTTCTGTTCTGCGTTTCTTCCCCTCTCAAAACTCAAGTGAGACATACGTTGTCGACGGAGGCACCGGCAGCCTTGGTCAAAGTGGTCAAGCTGTCAGCGGTGATGTCCAAACCGGCATCGGCCAAGATCAAAGTAGCGTAAGAGATAACAGCGTCAGACATTGTAAAAGTGTTGGTGATTGGGATCCAGGAAATCTGTATGTGAATAGGAACCAAAGCTGAAAGAGAACGATGAGTTTTGGTGAAGTGAAAAATTATCGAAGTTTGAGCACAATTCGTCGCTGGTGATATAGAAATTCGATACGTGAAGAGTGACTAGATCTCGTGAAAGGAAAAAATAAGGCCGGGTAACAAGAAGCTGAAATGTGCGGATATTTGGGTGCCAGCCGGGTAAGCAAGAGCGTGTCATAAAGCACTACTAGTGACTGACTACAGCTAGAGGTAATTAATAACGCATGCCAATTGAGTATCTTGCGTGGGAATTCGTAACATTTGAAGCTCTGTGGCTCCCGTATCTGGGTTTGGCTGAGGTTTTGCTAACATCACTATGTACGGAACATGAGAGTGGTATAGCAGTTTGTCTCTTTGGCACAGCTTTGAGAGCTACCAGAACCGTGTGTGAGCTCCAGAAAAATTGAAAGATCATCTTCTCCCATTATCTTGCCCGCATTGCGCTTGACACGCTAGCGACAGAAAATTTATGTCCTTAAATCCCATTTAAAATTATATCACTTTGTACTAGACTGACATGCCTTGCGTCTCTCAGCCAGACGACAACTTCGCCAATATACAGAACCACGCTCGTAAAACCAGTAAATACTCTCTCAAAACATCCCAGACTCTCTCAAACTCGCCCCTGTCTACTTTATGTGAAGACATCCTTTAATCCAACCATGTCACGTGATTCACAGATACGAGCATTTTACTTTACCATCCGAGCCGTACCACGGTGCCCCTCTATAATTATTCCCTCCGTTCATCAAATTCGTCTTTCCTTTCGACACCCTTCCCAAAATTTGTCGCTGTTCTTTCCAGGTCTCTCTCTTTTTCCAGCCTTTCACACATTCAAGCCTAAAATAATGAATAATCGAAAATCATAGTCTATAACAACGTCTATTTATCGAATTTCATCAAGATACAACTGATCCCTCCATAGGACGCCATGACCGACGAGATTCATGAGGAGGTCCCTAGAGATGTGAGGCTACTTCACCTGCTCTTGGCGTCTCAGGCAATACAGCAATACGAGGACCAGGTGCCGCTACAATTGATGGATTTTGCACATCGGTACACTCGCGGAGTTTTGAAGGACGCCATGGTATATGGGGACTACGCTTCAAACGACACCAACACAGAGCTCTCCGTGGAAGATGTACGGCTGGCCATTGCAGCCAGAACTCATTATCAGTTCAAACCTACTGCTCCCAAGGAACTGCTTCTGCAACTGGCCACAGAACGTAACAAGAAACCGCTTCCACAGGTCGTCAACATGTGGGGCACGCGTTTGCCACCAGAGAAGTACTGTTTGACCAATAAAGAGTGGCGTTTGGATGAAGAAGTCGATGAGAACGGGAACAAAATTGGCTCATGAAGAAACAGAAGTTTTTGTACAAAAAATTACTGATATGGTTCTTGCTACTATCAAAATCGGATTTCAGACCCTGATAATCAGCACTATAGCGCATCGGGTGTTCCATAAGGTCAATGTAGCGAACATCATGGGTTTTTGTATCTCAGATTGCTGATTCACTTTTTTGCCATGGAAGGCAGCTGGAAAGCAGCTGGAAAGCGCAAATTCGATTTTGAAGCCATTGGCCGAAGCACAATTCCTCTCAAAAGGCAATGGTAAGTTTCTGTCCGCTCAAACTCAACTGTCTCGAGGTAAATTCACTCGTCGTACATCAGCATAACTTTGTATGTAAATATATTTGTATGGCATCTCCTAAATAAGGTGAAAAGTAGGAAATGTTCATGGGCGTTTCGAAGTCTAACTGTCATTAAACATCAAGGCTTTTTCCACTCAATATGCTGTCCCAGGCTTCAATTCCAGAGTATGTACTTCCTGCAATGACATTAATCTTCAATGTATAAAATAAGCTCTTCGCGCTTGTGCTTTTTGATCTACTAACACGCTCTTTAAAGGGTTCAAGAAGACACCATCGGAAAGGCCAGCGAAGAGCGTAAGACAAAGTTTTTTCAGTTTCAAAACCTGGGACCCCCAGATTTGATATCCTTGTTGAAATATGCGCCTTCTTCCTCGAACTCCAACTCCCAAAATGCTAAAAATCGATCAATGCAATTGGAACCAAGCTCGTCTAACATCAATGCCCAGGATCTGCACTCTCATGATAAGCTCAAAGGCGAAATTGGCACCTTTCTACACAGCGTTGGTGTCGACACCTCTGATCCCACATCCATAGCAGTGTTCTTGAAAAACATGGCTGATTTGATCTCAGAAAAACCTCAAAACTGGTTTGGAAAACAGAAGCACTTCAAGGTGGCTCGAGTAACGTACGCGACTTGGAACGCTTTCAGAAAATGCGACGTTGAAGTAGTGGTGCATATACCTGGAGCAGTGCAATCTTATATTTTGGACTCCCGTGGAGAAGTTGTCCAGATCCCACAAAATGAGCGCGAGATTCTGTGGGCCGAAACGTTTGTTTGTGGTGTCGTACGTGCAATCACCGTCATGACTGACAACTCTGATGAAGGGGAGGTCAATAACGTTGTTGAGACTCGCATTTTGAACCCATTGACCTCTGGCGAGCTAGGCGAAGTCTCGGATCGTTTCATCGATGTATTCCCATTAGTGTATGCGCAAGGTCAATCTCTAGGCGGCCCTTGTGATGTTGCGACGCCATCGCGCACTAACAATTATCTATGTGAAACTCTACTACACGTCACTAGACTTACAAACAATTTTGATAGATGTCAAGCAATGCTTACAGGACTGATGGAACAACACCAAGAATGTGTGGTTGTACTCGTAAAGCTTCTACTCGACGCCGATTTAAAAATCGACGCCCTAAATCTGCTCCACAAAGAACTCCTGAAGCAAGAGTCGTCGGTAACAAGTTATCGTTCAGAGCTGCTCTGTATCCAGGCGAAATTCTTACTGGAGAACAAGAAGGACTTTGCAGCTGCCCAAAAACTTTCACAGGCTGCGGTCGACTGTGCCCCAAGTGAATTCAGACCTTGGCATCTTTTGGTCAGATCATATATTGGTCTGAGCGATGTCGAAAGCGCACTTCTAGCATTGAATGGGTGCCCGGTCACGCCCCACAGAGAAAAGTACAGTTTCAAGCGCGTTGTAAGCTTGGGCCAGGACTCCCCAAATTTGCATTTGCCTCTGCCAACAGATGTCATTTTAGAAGACGTCACCAGTCTCAGCTCGGTGGACGTAGCCAATGAACATAAGGCCTTGAGCTCTTCGTTGCTGAATCTGCCCGCTGCGACTTTGAAGGCCAATGCCAAGACCAGGTACAAGTATCTAACAGAAATTGCCTTGAAGACCGGTTGGGAGGCTCTTTTAAAGTACAGATCAAAGCTCTTTGTAATGGAGGAAGAGTATCAGGTGGCATCAACGCCATCCTCCGAGTCTGAAATCGGATCTAAAGAGATAATCCGCGGAAAAAGGCTGTGTGAGCGCTGGCTTGATAGCTTGTTCATGGTTCTTTATGAAGATCTCAAGACCTACACATTATGGCAAGCAGAACAGCTTCATTTCGAGGCACAGAATACTCGTTACCAAAAGTCAACTGCTGAGTGGGAGTTACTGGGTCTATGCGCTTGGCGTTTGGGCCATATTGAGGAGGCTGCTCACGCTTTCCAAAATGGTTTAACGCAGCGCTTTTCCGCTGAAGCTTCTCGCCGTATGCTGCAAATATACCTGTTGAAACGGGAGCAGGTAAAAGGAGACCGAGACTCTTCTTCGTCGCAGACCATGAGCGCCATTTTGGACATCGACAACAAATTGATTGATTTGTGCGTCCGATTGTGCTGCTGGAACCATCGCTGGTATTGTGAGTTCTCCGTGCTACAACTAGATGCTCTTGCACACGTTGTTCACGACATTGGCATAACGAAGCTGTCTAACGAGATTCGTGCTCGCTTCCCGGAAACGGTTGGTCAGCTGGTGGAGGATAACCTCCTTGATTATTTCACAAACTACACACATGATGGCTACGACAAGTAGGTTTGAAGACATAAGGGATGCTAACTGAAATGTAATGCAGATAAACTGGCTGCATAGCCCAGTGGTCCGAGCGAAGTGCACTAAGTTTCAAGCTGGGGTGTGAATTTTCGCTTCATTTGAAACTGCTAACAAAGGCAAGTTTTCTCGGTGGTTCAGATTCAATCGGAAACTCTTTTACCTCCTCCAGGTAAGCTCCTAAAAATGGGACTATCCTCACTACACAATGTGCAGTTAAGTAGTCAGAGAGCAGACTTACCGATGACATCTATGCGACCCTCTACCCAATCCTCATATCAAGATTCGTACCACATGATAAGACAAATTAGTATATATTAGTCTGAAAAGCCTACTTTAAATAGACATATACAAAGCTCGTCCATCCTTTCCTCGACACACCAGTTCTAGTAACTGCGAGCTTTTGACCTTGCTTATTTGTCACTAGTTTAAAATTATGGGGACCCAACTTTTCCCCGGCTGGGTTTCGAAGGCCTTTTTTTGGCTTTCGATAGCTATACCAGCGAGTGCGATTGATTTAGACGTGTCGTCAAAAAATTCGATTTGTTCAGCCACTGCTCTTATCCAAGATGGTATTATGGATTACTACGATGCTAATAACTATGGCGGTAGTGTGGGTATGTTTCAGGCCCCTTACTATTGGTGGGAAGCGGGCGAAGTTTTTGGAGGTATGTTGGAAAACTGGTATCTGTGCCAGAATACAAGCTACGAACAAGTTCTTTACGACTCCATGCTAGCTCAGGCTGGGCCTGACTATGACTATATGCCTTCCAACCAGTCGATGGTGGAAGGTAACGATGACCAAGGCGTTTGGGGGCTGACCGTCATGGGTGCAGTAGAAAGAAATTTCACAAATCCTACGGAGAAGGGTGTGCCTGGCTGGCTAGCCATGGTTCAAGGTGTGTTCAACACCATGTACTCGCGTTGGGACGATCAGCACTGTGGAGGCGGTGTCAGATGGCAGATTTTCACGTGGAACTCAGGCTACAATTATAAAAATACCATTTCCAACGCTTGCTTGTTCCAACTAGCGGCAAGATTGGGTCGGTATACCGGCAATGACACTTATATTGATGTTGCAGAAAAAATCTTTGACTGGATGGTCGACGTCGGATACATTGTTTTGAACGACACCGCCAACGTTTACGATGGAGCTAATATTGACGATAACTGCACGGATATTACGAAATTGGAGTGGAGTTATAACCAAGGTGTGGTATTGGGCGGTGCCGCATACATGTACAATGCTACAAATGGTTCATCCGAGTGGGAAACCAGATTGTCTCAAGTGGTAGGAGGGTCCACCTCACTCTTTTTCAGAAACAAGATCATGTATGAAATGACGTGCCAAGATGCTAAAAGCTGCAATAATGATCAAAGGTCTTTCAAAAGTATTTTCTCTCGAATGTTGTCGCTTACCAGCGTGCTCGCCCCTTACACTGCCGACACAATCAATCCGTTGATGGAAGCATCTGCTGAAGCTGCAGCGAAATCGTGTACAGGTGGTTCCGATGGTCACACTTGTGGCATGAACTGGGAAACGGGTTCTTGGGATGGATATTATGGACTGGGCGAGCAAGCCTGCGCATTGGAGGTCATACAGAGCTTGCTTTACGACCAAAGACCTGCGCCGTACACCGATAGTGATGGCGGAACTTCTGTTGGTGACGCAAATGCTGGTCTGAATAAAACAACGACGAACGTCTTGCATAGCGATTTGAAGATCACTCACAAGGATAAGGTGGGTGCAGCAATTCTTACCGCTGTAGTGATCGCAGTACTTGTAGGTGGGTCTGTTTGGATGATGTTCTAAATTGGAAGCTGTGCGGTCATACTCTCGATTTATAGTTTAAAAACAACAATCATATTCATTGGAAAAATATGCGTAATGTGGAATTACAAACTGTTTAATATCATGGCGTAGATCGTGAGGTGGGGATCGCAAAGCTCATATGTGAATGGCGCCTGATACTAACTCTGGCCACTCGCAATATTTCATATTGAAAGTTTTAAGTGCTCTAGGTACCAGAGTAAAGATTAAAGAAGATTAGAAGATGAAAGCTATGCCGTAAGAGCAGTTGAATTACCTCTGTGAATGTACAAAATTTCGGAGAAGGCACAAAATTATATTATCCCGATTACCAAAGCTCCTGGCGATTGAGCTTCATAACTTAAACTTTTGCCATTCTACCATGTCACTTTCCTGCATCTTTTATTCTGTTCTTCCTCGCTCAACAACGAGTTTTCTTAGAGCAAATATTTCAGTCAATCGATGAGAGCAATTAAGGATGTTGCGACAAATCGAATTAGAGATTCGGTGTCCTTGCTGAGAAGCACTATTACTGTTCGACTTATGGCTCACAACCAAAAAAAAATCAATGCTACGGCTCATCTTGAAATAGAATGAAAAACATGATTCTGTTCAAAAAATATAGGAAACATTCTCCATCTCCTTGATCCGTATCGTAAAGCCCTCGGCAACCTTTTACTCATTCCATAAATGTATTAAAATAATTCAAAGCCAGCATTTTCGAATGAATGCCAACACAAAAGTGCGAAACTTGACACAGAACTCAATCACAATAAACTCTTATTGGCAACTCAATTTCCAAGCCGATCATGAAAAAGTACATCGCTCTCGACTGCGATAAACTGACTCAATTGTTCAAGATTTGACATTCTGTCATTTGGTCACGTTTCTTGTGATGGTCAAAAAAGCTATAAATTTTTGTATAGGACGAAATCGACTAACAGAGCTCATCGACCAGAAGTTCATTCAATAAGAACCGAGCTTCTGTGACTCTTTTCAAGTACTCTAGATTGTACTCGACCTCTGAAATGCTGCGCAGATCTCTACATAGCTCTGTGGCTAAAAAAAATGGAGCCAAAATCTGGTCAGACTTCTCGAATAGACAGGCAGCACTTTCCATTCCAAGTGCGAAAGTGAAGTCGTATATTCTGGACGGTACAGTACAACAAGGGCCACCATCATTAAAAAGAAGATCCAATCGGATAAAATACCAGTCTCCGGAAAAAATTGAAGAAACATTCAAAATATGCTATGAGTTTTTGGAATCTCGGTCTGCCTCGAAGTACGCAGCTTTAGTAAAGGAAGAGGACGCCTCGAAACGCCTAGAGCTGGCCGTCGATGCCGAACGTTACAATCCAGAAGTGCTGTACAATTTTCAGTACAATGCAAAAGTAGAAAACGACCCTAGGATCATCGACTACAATGTGCCAGTATATAGACATCTGGGCCGTGAACATTGGAAATCATACAATCAGATGCTATTGATGCAGAGACTGGAAACACTTGCGGTTATTCCAGATACGTTGCCAACCCTGGTGCCCAAAGCCGAAATCAATCTGAAATTCCCATTTTCAACTGGACTGAACAAATGGGTCGAACCCGGCGAGATTTTGTCGTCTAACGTCACCAGTCTACCTCCACTGATCAAAATCCAGGAGTACGACGACATTGACCCCACAAGCCAGCTATACACTGTCCTTATAGTGAACCCGGATGAACCCGACTTGGAAAAGGACTCTTTCAAGACAACTCTACAATACGGTCTGGTTAACTTAAAACTGGGCTTTAACGATAATGCTGTAGATGCGAGAAAGTTCACTCAAGAGAACGTCATTGCGGAGTACATGCCACCTGTTCCCGAGAAAAACGCCGGTACCCAAAGATTTGCCGTGTGGGTGTTCAGACAACCAGAGTCGACCGAGTTGTCGCTTGAGAACAAAGTCAACAGGGATGATTTCGATCTGCGCCAGTTTGTGGGCAGCAACAGACTAAAAGCTGTTGGTGCGCATCTGTGGAGAAGCCAATGGGATAGCAACGTGAGCACCGTTAGGGCCAAGTACGGTATGCCAGAGGGCCGGGTGTTCCACCGGGTGAGAAGAGCGTAATGCACACTGCAGCGCAGGCGTGTGTGCGTCTTGTAAATAGATTCATAGGATTTTCACGCGTATACAGTTTTGCATGTACATGATGTTTATATGCTAAAGAAATCCCCCGACCGTGTAGGAATATAATAAAAGTGATAGGAAAGTGTCAGATAACTAACCGGTCTCTGTCCCTGGCTCCTTGTGTGGTTGTGAATATTTGTTGTTTTTTTTTTTCATTTTCATTTCCACTGTTTACTGCTTCAAGGACTCAACGGCACCTAGAATGGCCTTAGAATAGTCCAAGTTAGGGTCTTCAAGGTCCAATTTCACTGCAGAGCCCTTAGGCTCGCTCTTTGGAGCGTGCAACTTGGCATACTCGGCCTTCGCCTGGTCGATCAATTGCAGCTTGTCCGCGTAAGCTTTTTCTTCCGATTTTCTCGAAGCCTGCGATTTCAAACCCAAGTCTGTCTTGAAGCCAACGGCCACACCCAAAACAACTGCGGAGTATCTCAAAACGTTCAAAGTCGACATGATATCTAAATGGCAAATTGACTAGGCTAAAACAACGCTAGAAAAGAACTTAAAAAAATGATTGATTACACTGAGAACAGCTGCGTTCACGAACTTTAGTGTTGATCGATCTTAAAGGCTCTCAAGCGACTTGTTAACGTTAGAAGTGTCCAAAATACTGTCAAAAGGTGGTTAAACTTTGAAATTAAAGATCTTGAAAAATTTCATATAATAATATACTTGACATCTAGTTGGCTAATATATCAAGCCCACTCGGAACCCTGAACAAATAGACAAAGAGAGGTGTTTTTTTAGACTTTTAAAGTGTCAATTGAAGCTTAAAACCTGAATATTTATTTGTAGTTTGTTTACAGCTTTTTAGAACATGTTTTTAGGCAGTCGTAGCACCATTTTTCGTGGCTTGAGCCGCAGCAGAGGTATGTTGACATTAGTGGTGTTTTTGGTCGCTTTTACACTGGCACGGTTACTAACAAAGCCAGCAGTGTATAAATGGCAATCGTGGAGCTCGCGGGGGTTTTTTTCGGGTCCTGGAGGAGCTTCTCAACACAGCAACGATGGCGGGTCATCGGGGTTCAATTACCACTACGCAGTAGCGTACCAGGCCAAAGACCGTTCCGATGGCGTTTACGCAGGTCTCACACAGTTGGATTCGCCCACGGGTGAAGACAACTACTTTGTAGGAGTGAGAAACAGTCACGACATCTTTGCAGGTGTCGCAGACGGCGTTGGTGGGTGGGTCGAGCACGGTTTTGATTCTAGCGCGATCAGCCGAGAACTGTGCGCTTCAATGCTGGACATCTCGACACTTGATCAAAAATCGCTTTCACCAAAACAATTGCTCGATTTAGCCTATACAAAAATAAGAAATGACGGCAAGGTTCAGGTAGGTGGCACTACAGCTATTGTTGCGCATCTAACTCCGAACGGGATGTTAAAAGTGGCCAATTTGGGCGATTCCTGGTGCGGTGTATTCCGCAATACCAAGCTAGTATTTCAAACAAAATTCCAAACCGTGGGTTTCAACGCTCCATATCAGTTGGCGATCATCCCACCAGAAATAGCCAAAGAGGCTACCAAAAAAGGCGGTTCGTATATTCAGAATTATCCAAGAGATGCAGACGAGTACAATTTCAAGTTACAGAAAGATGACATTGTGGTTTTAGCCACGGACGGTGTCACCGACAACATCGCGACAGGAGATATGGAGCTGTTCTTGAGCAACAATGCCGAAAATGGGGATCTGCAAGATGTTACTCAGATGTTTGTCGACCAAGTCATTAAACTTAGCAAAGATGCCAATTTTCCAAGTGTTTTTGCCCAAGAAATGTCAAGATTGTACGGCCAACGCTACCTTGGTGGCAAAGAGGATGATATCACAGTTGTTGTTATAAAGGCGACATAGCTTAAAGCATCCATACTTAATGAATGAAAGAACATTGCATTGAATTTATATTCTACTTATTCGAATTTTTGACTCAAGACAATATGCTTGATCTTTTCTCTTTCGGCCTTTAGCTTACGCTCCTCTTCCAACACTCCGGAGACAAACGTAACATTTCTGGGCAGCCCGAGTGTCCGCGCCTGAGTTTTTTTGCCGGATTTGCTTAAAAATGTAAATGCCACTTTCTTGGATTTCGGACCCTGACTTTCGCTAGAAGGCAAAGAAACTGGTATCGTGCCTCGGTCAAGACCATACCCTGAAGATATCATCGGAATGCCATTTGAAGAAACCTTCTCGTTCTTACGGCTTTCCATTGACTCTTGAAATAATTGCTGGAACTGCCTTTCGAGGTCCTCCTCGGCCTTGATTTCTTCTTCAGACCGTAGCTTCGACATATGCGCCTCTTGCATGCGTCTACGTTCCAGTTCGTCATCAGAGTCGTCATCGTCCTCGGCTTCGTTGTCATCATCAGACTCGCTACCTGTGCCACTCTCTTCATCACTAGATTCGTCAGTTGCGCTAGCATCGCTCTGGAAGTTTTCGTCCTCGCTTTCAAACTCGGTGCCAGCATCCTTGCCAATTTCTTTCCCTGCTTCCTCTTCCTCGTCGTCATATATTTCGTCTTCATCGTCGTCATCGTCTTCGTCCAATTCCGCATCACCTGCCTTCTCGCCAACAGTGCTGCTCTGCGGTGTCGCAAAGCATTCAGACAACTCTTTGGCACTCTCGGCTGCATCTGTAAATCTCTCAAATTCATGTCCAGCTGTAAACCTGTCAAATGTAGTTGAGATCTTGACTTCAGCTTCCCTTGGTAGTGGCTGCTCTTTGTTAAGAGTATAAAACTCGAAAAGCCGCAAGAAAACTAGCAGTTTCTGTACTTTACCTGGACTAATATCGTTGACGCTCAGTAATGCCGTGGTTATCAAATGAACACGAAAGTAGTTATCTGGTAAATCAAACTCGTTGGCGGCAGCTGGAACTGAGATTCCTCCTGTACTTCCAAAGAGAAGGATTTTGAATAACACATCAATAATCACCTCAATCTTCAGAAGGTTGTTATTATACAACGAGGACAGATACCTCACTTGGGAGATTCTAACCATATTCAGACTAAAGTCATTAATCTCCAGCCCGCGCTCGACTTTTTCCACGACGCTGTCTATAACCTGAACAACAAAGTTGCGATAGTATGGAAATAAACCTTTCAAAACAGTTGCCAGGAGATCTAAAGACTGGTAGCTGATCTTCTCGGGTTTGGAAAACAAGGATACCATAGTTTTGTAAATGCTCTCATCTCGCCAATGAGCCCGTCTAATTAATTTTACAATTCTTTCGGGAGGGATTGAATGTAGCTCTTTCCGCAACAAGATACGGTAAAACTTCTGTTCTGCTGATATTTCTCTTGATACGGAATTAAGTTTCGTCAAAGAGGGCGGGTATATCAGAACAAGTAGGTTATCTAGGGCGCATTTGTTGCTGACTGTTAGATCATGCTCCTTCTTCTTTTGCTGAATCAAATCGACCATCTTTTCCATCTGAGATTTGTAATGAGGACTGTTAATGAGAAATTTCCCAAAGTTTTCAAAGAGAATGGTTAAAATCTCGATGTTATTCGGTATTTGAATATTCATTGTTAGAGTTCTTATCTTGTGAAAGATGAGATATGTCGGAACAAGTCTAAATTTGACCATTTCACTGAAGAATATAATGTTCTTGACATTTATTTTATTAGACCAAAGTTGGCTCCTAAAACCATTATCCAGGTATTGAATTAACTCGTCCTTTACGTCCGCCAAGGTGTCTGCATTGGATGCAACGAAACGTGCATAAATTCTCAGCTTGCTCCAGTCCAACGTTTCAATGAAAAACTTTAAAAGTCTTTTCCTTGTGGCCTTCTTATTTATTGAGTCAGTCCAAAATCTCAGTGTGAGTTCGTCAATCGCTTCTTTTGAATCTGCCAGCTCTAAACCGATAAAAAAGTCATGAAGTTTTTGAGAATCGGCAGGATTTTTTTCCTCAGAGTCCGTTATGACACTGGAAAGATCTGGTAGTACCTCATAAAACTTTCTCATCTCTTCATTTTCCCAAATTTTCTCAGAGCCTTGTTTTTGTTGATTTATTATAACTGGACTGGAGCTAACTGTGCCCTCCGCTGGCGACTTCTCTAGTGCAGGAGCTTCCATGTTGAAGACGTCTGCCAATACGCTTGTAGAGCCTTCGAATCTTTCAAAGATAGGAAGAGTTCTGTCGTGCTCTTCGATGTACTCGTCAGTGCTTTTTCCGGTTCTGATCTGAGCTTTTTGATGTTCCCTCATGAGCTTGCTCAGGGACTTGCTTAGCTCAACAAGCTGGGAGATGGCAGCCTCTGTAAATGCCTTAAACAATGACGAAAGCAGTTTTTTGACATCGGCGTCAATTGGTATTGAGCTTTGGTCGCTGTCATCAGTGAAAAACTGCGGAAATTTGACAACGAATGATGTGGCAACCGTGGTAGATAACCCTGTTTTGAAGCGATAGTTCAAGATTTCTTTCAAAAGTGTAACTAAAAGTGGTTCTTTTTTAGCCAGTCTTTTGACGATAAAAAGCGGCAGGTTTTCCTTCGGTATGGATTCCACAGAGCTGAAAAGACCAACCAGGTAAAAATCCGTGAAAATTCTAACGTGAGAGCGGAGTTTTGCCATTTTTGCTGCTTCTTCTTTCTCATTCTCGCTTTCAGTCTGAGAGACATTGAAATTTTGCAAGAACAATTCCATGAGGAGTGGTGTAAATTGATGGCTGAAGCGCTGGTGCAAAGCACTAATTACTTCGACACATGCTTCGATGTCATCCGATTTGTTAGATACCCTGCTTATACCTTCATTAGCTGTGACGACTAATTCTGAGAGGTATTTTTCCAACGATACTTCGGAGATGTCTTTCAGAAGGTTTGCCTTCGTATCCTTCGTGATGCCTTGTTTAAGTTTTCTTATGAATCCAGTGTTTCTCTTCATGCTGGAATCAAGCTTTTTCTCAGCACTGGGAAAGATCACTTCCCCATTCCAAGCCTTCTTATTTAGCTCTAGCAACTTCAAACTTCTGTCATCCTGTTCATGTAAACGTATCTTATTAGTACTACAAAGTCGACAAATATTGCCTCTCAAAGGAAAAAACAAGTCCGCATTTAACTTACATTCATGTTCTGAAGAAACTACAACCCCAATTAGCTATTCGAAGAAAGAGGCTCGAGCTGTTGTAGCTTTAGTGATGACTTGTGCGATGAAGCTCTTAAAATGAAATATCAAGAGGTTTAACTTCGGTGAAGTTTCGTCAAAAGTGCTTCAACAAGTGCAATGCGACAAGAAGATGCTCTATTTGAATCCCTCTCCACCAAGCAAACTGGCCAGTTTGTCCGATTGAGACTTCAGCTCTTCTAAGTTTTTACTGAGAACTGAAGCTTCATCGAATTTGCGTTGCTTTGTAGCCTGGGCGATCATATCTTCAACCAAAAATTTCTGCTCTTCGATAACCATCAATTGAGTTCTGTAGTCCTTAATCTCTTTGATAGTCAAGCTATTTTCGTAACTTGGTGAGCTTTGCGCCTGTGACACTTCTGGATCAGCAGATTTCGACGCCAAATCTGCAGTCAAATTTCTCAAAGGTAGCATATTTTCTAGGATGAAAGCAGACGCTTGAGCGATGATTGCAGATTGAATTCTTTTCTCGGATTCATTTCGAGGCACCTCTTTCAGTAGCTGTTTCGTAAGCTTATCGTACGCAGAAAAGGCACCAACCATTCTGCGCCTTGTTTTTGATAAATTTGACTCTTCCGAGGCGGTGACGTTCACAGTATTAGAATTGGCACTCTTTCGTGCTTCTTGTGATGTTGATTTGAGAGAGGCAACTGTGGACAGAATAAGTGAGGCATATGTGCGCATTCTTTCGTACAATTGGAAAATGTTGGTTAGTGGCATTCCCAGTTCTTTTTCAAACTTACGCTTTCTGAAAATGGACTGAACACACGATGAGCATACCCTGACCTGTGTCTCGATTTCGGGAAGATTCAAGGATGCTGTTGAAGAGATTGGGAGGTCTGAGGCAGCGTTCACCAAACTAGTCACAGGGATCTGATTTGAGCAGTTGGTATCTGTGTTATCGCATACAACTTTTCCGCAAAGTCTACAGTGATGTTTGCGCGAAGTTATCCCAAACTTCCTTGCACACAAGCAACATGCAAAGGCGAACGGGTCTGGGGTCCAGGGAACCACGCTCTTTTCAAACTGGGTCACTTCAACCGGCAGTTTCAGGGATGCGAGCAAACTTCCCTGATATTTCGCGTGAAGGCGCAAAATGCCATTCATGAGTCTGACAAACCGATTTTCGAGTTGCAACTGCTGGAGCTGTCGGTCCTCAGTTCTGGAGCTGCGAAGTTGGTTGAATTCGTGGGTTCTACTGTAACAAGTTCCAAAGTCATTGTAACCCGGTTTTTCCTGCGCACAACTTCGGCAGCACCAACACCACTCTCCGCCCTTAGGGTCGTATTCTGCATTTGTATTTAGTCTGATCGCATTTTTGCAATGCCTCATGCAAAACAGCCGTCCACACTTTCTGCAATTGATCATTCCCGTGGATCGAGTAAGTTTTACGTGGCACTTATGGCATCGACTGCGGTCAGAAATTATTGTAGCCCAGTGGTCTCTTTTAAGCTCAAATTTAGGTTTTGAGGGCTGAACTTTGTGCTTTCCAGGAGCGTTGTGAGCTTTTGAGCCGACTTTTTGAGACTTTTGGCCACGACTTGGTTCATCTCCGAGTCCATGAATCAAGTCTAGATGATTGTTCAGCTGCAAGAGATCAACCGTTTCTTCACCGCACACTGGGCAGGCCAGCAATTTGCTGCTGTTTTGAGTATTTTGGCTAGCATTCGGGTCGCCTAAAACTCGAGAGCCTTCTGCTACATCCATAGCAAGCCGGTGAGGGCTCTACGACGGGTCGGTAACGAGATTCAAGATCGTCGATGAGATAGGCTTCTGGATTAGATAGACTGACTGAATTTGAATTCCAATATTTGAAGCTTTTGAGATATCACATGACTGAGTGTCCGGGGCCAAGATTATGTAATTAAGGGATTAGGTAATCGAAAATCGAGACCTAATTAAATCAAGTGGCACTCTCACTAGCCACGAATATTTCAAATTTAGGCGATCTTCGACCTCTCTTCATCATCTTCTTCTCCAGCACTGATCTCCCGTCAAACTCCCCTGTGAACACCGTCCAATGAGTCGCTAATCATGCTTGTCAGTGACGTTTATCTACTGAACGTATTACTGGCGTCTTTTGTCGCTTGCTTCCACGCCAGTCGCGAGATTTTATGGTTCAAAGTGCAGTCTTTATTCGAACATGGATGCACAGCCTTGGGAGACAGATATGCGGCTTTAGACGAACCGAACGAGCACAGGAGAAATTTCTTGTCGAAATTTTATAGCCCCTTTTCGCTTTCATCGCGACGAGTCACGAAGTATGTGCAGGCGTTGTTTGCATCCACGTTCGCGCTCTGTCTGGTTGCCGTGGAACTCACATTATGGCAAATTGTGACGGCAGAAAGCGGCGAGCTCTCCGAAACAAATGATTTTGGCCCCCTCGTGTGGCTACTCGTGTCCACGGCCTTGGCATTCATTCTCGTGTTGGTACAACCTTTTCTTATCTTGTCGTCCGTTCTGGTCAAGTTCTACGGCGACAGGCTGAAATCGAGCTCTTTGACGCTGGTGTGTTGTGGGGCCATCCTAACCTGGGTTTTAGCGCTGAACGGACTCAATTGGGGGCCTTTTCGTTCCTCGACTAGTCTCCTTACTAAAATTTCGATAATGGGCGTCAGCGTCATGGCAATGTTGTCCGGAGTGGCCTGTCTCTCCACGCCATACTATAATTTTCGGTTTCTTTGGCGTAAACGCATGGGTGGTAAGGCCAACTCCACATCTCACCACATCCCAATGCTTTTTTTAAATGATGCGGCTCTAACAGCCAAAAAGCGTGAATATGAGACCCAGATTCGAGACAGTTTGATTGTTTTACAGAAGCTCGAAAAGGTGTCAGAACCAGCTCCTTCCACTTTGCGGCAGCAACTCTTTGACAGGATAAGAAAGTACCAGTTGGAGCTGGCGAAACTGCAAAAACTCTCCAACGACCCGAAGACAATGCGTATTTTGAAGTGTGGTCTTCAACTTGGATTTTTAATATATTGCATCTACAAATTGGGTTCCACATTTCTACACAGAATACCTGCGTTATGCATTCATGCCATCAATTATCCACATGATTACGACTATGAGAAGTTCGGGAAAAGCTACGCAGACGGTGCCAGATCCGGCGACCCACTTGCAGTAACTCTGGCCAAAATGTGCAATTTCCTGTTCTTAGGACTTAAAGAAAAGCAACAGCATGATTCTCTCGTCAAACAAATTTCGTTAGCCTTGTCGTTATCGCTATTCGGTTGCTCCGTATCTACCGTTACAACAACGATATCGTATCTCACCACACTGCTGCCCCTCAGGTTTCGAGTGCTGGCCAAAAAAACGATGAGTGAGAATTCGGCCGAAGAGCTTCTTCCAACAAGCAACAAACGCTCTTTCAAGGGCAATACAGACCCATCGATTATCAAAAATCTTTTGATATCTGAACTTACAGGCATTTACGTTCTCGCAACGATTCTTATGGTTCGCTCTAATTTGTCGAGGGGTGTTGCGGAACGGCTAAACCAGATGTTAGGAGAAAAGTTTGTTGTCTCCTACATAGTTCTCGATGCGTGGTTTGACAAAGTGTTTGCCACAACTGCAGTTTTATCATTCATCGGCATCAAACTCGCAGAAAAGAATGCGGTTTCTTGAAGAGTAAAAACTGTATAATATGCATCAAGTCTACTAGACTATTAATTTAGGAAGATCAAAAGCAGGCGTTGACGTTACTCTTGATGTGCCGGGATTTTCGATTACCACAAGTTCATGATCAGCCAACACGTCGACTAGCAACATCGATTTATACTTTTCGGTGAAGAAAAATGAATTGCTGTCCTTTGTGACACGCTTCGCAACTTGTTCAGGTGTGGGTCTTTCCTTCAACAACGGTTCTGTGCTCTCGAGCTCGTCATCGTCCTCATCTTCTTCTTCGCCTCCGTCAATGTAACTATTTCTATCCGTGACAGTGTTGCCATCAATCCTATGCTTTTTTGGTCTTTTCCGAGTGCTGATCGGAAGATCTTGTGACATATCAAAGCTTGCCAAGCAGTTGCTGCCCCACAGCCACACTCTGTCCTGTGAGCGCCCATCGCTGAAAATTCCAACATATTTGTTTTTAGAAGAACCAAAGTCCTTGGGCAAGAAATCTTTGTTCTTTTTGCACCATTCAGACATTGTACCTATGTGCGATTCATCGGTTTCCTTGAGAGAAAATTCCAACAGTTTATTGTCAGCGGTTGCGACCAGAGCGGTATCTCTTTGGCTTAGGTGGAGAGCAGTGATGAAATTAGTTACACGCGCGACAGAGACCGCCGTGTAGTTCTTTAGATTAATAAGATCCATTGTACCACATATACGCGTTATCACAGCGAGTGATCCCCTGCACTCGATATGATTGATCGAGGCAATGTGTGGAATCTTGGAAACTGAAATATCCTCCGGTTGGTCCGGGAGTTCAATTTCTGATGCTTTTTCATCTGCATCCTCATCTTCTAGATCGAGATAAAACACTTCGTTCTTTGACGACACCATAATTATTTTCGAGTTGTCAATGAACTTGACGTGCTTGGTTCCAGTTTTAAGCAGGAAATCGTTATCTAGCTTGGTAACTTTCAATTTTCCATTCGAAGGACGCAAGTGAAATAGTTTCGTAGTGCTGGGCCTACCGACGATAAGTACCTGACCGTCCTCCGACATTGCACACGTCGAAATGTTCTGTTCATCTTTCAATGACAGCTTACAGAGAAGTTTGTAGCCCTTTTCGTCACTGGAATCGGCACTTATGGCCCATATTCTGATACAAGATTGTTGCCATACTACGCACAAACGCTGTTGAGAGTTGAAAAGGGCATTCTTGTGAAATGGGGCCGAGTAGGGGATTTTCGTGTAAGTACTGTCTGTGAAAGCAGAGATCGAGCTGACGATTAGGTTTTTCTCTAGACCACCGGAGACAAGGAAGTCAGCACCTCTTGATTGGTACGAAGTCATCGTCCTGACGTCGTTAGAATGCAATAATCTGTTGGAAGCCACGATCCACTTGTAAGTTTTCTTGGCTGCGCTAACGGCAGAGAGGTTATACTGATAAATCTTACGGTCAACACCGGCACTGAAGACCTTCGTGTTCGTCTCGTCAGTGGACAAACACAGGACGTCTGCTTCGTGGCTCTTGAAGGTTTGCGTTAGCGTCGCATATTGAAGGTCCCAAAATTTCACCGACCCAGTGGAGTCACCAGACACAATCTGGTTTTTGTTTGGTAGATAAAGAACGCTCCACACCAATGTGGATTCCTTTTTGGACTTGTCGACCTTCATGGTGTGCACGATTCTGCCTCGCATTTCCTCGCTGTTCGAAGCGCGCCAGATTCGTATTCTGCCATCAGCGCAGCCTCCTATAACGTAGTCGCTTCCTTTCCATGTCACCGATAACACTCTGGAGTCTTGTCTTTGTAGTACGGCTTCATGCTCCATTACACCTGGCCCACCAGAGATATTGATGAGGACGACACATCCGTTGTCGCAACCCACTGCCAATTGTGTCTGTGCAGAGTTAAGGGCCAAAGACCAGATCACACCTGCGTTGCAATCGTAATTTTTCAATGCCAGTCCCGAGCTCAAATCCCACTCCGTCACCACTGTAGACGCACCAATCGAGAAAAGTCGTAATGGCTCACCAGGCAAATTGCTCCACACCAAACCTTCGACTGTGCGATCTTTACCTCCCTGGATCGTAAGTTCTTGACACCAACCGTTACGAGGGTTCCAAATCTCGATATCGCCATTGGATCTGCCCAAAGCCAATCTTAAGTCAGACGGCGTTCTTTTGTCCGATTTTGAAGCGTGTGAGAATGCAAGCGCTGTGATATTTGCACCTTTAAAATCAGCAAATCGAGCCCTATGTATTAGAACATTTCTGCTGTCTTGAGTCATTGTCGCTTGCTGTAGGATGCTACTTGTCTGGTAGGCGATGAGGTCGCTGGAGATGCGATGCTCTTATGTCTTTTTTCTATATTTGAAAATTTTTTAGAACATAGGGCGACCGTTTGGAAAAAAGTGATCTAAATAGTGTGGAGAGAGCTCCAGTTGGCAATGTTTGGTGGGTTTGCCTTTATGACGGAGGGATACGTCGCGATATTGGTTTTGTATTGATTTTTGTATAAACTCTCATAGCTAGTTAATCTAGTTTTGTGGATATTTTCGCTTTAATAGCTATGAGGAAGGGAAGGTAATCAAAAGTAACTTTGCGTAAATTTGGTGATAATGATTGAATTTTTGCTTATTGATAGAGCTTATCCTTACTGAAGATGATGCTGGTTTATTTTTCTGTTGTTGTTGTGTGTTTCTTTTAAACTTTGTTGAGCTTTCTTTAGTCAAGGTTATTTCGTCATTTTATTATTATTGATGAATCGCGACACTGACACACATTTTGACGAACCACCGAAAGAAAAAAGGTTACAGCGAGACCCTTGGGCTTCAAATATAATTTTAGGACACTCAACAAACTGTAGGGCCTTGAATGAGGAATGTTCTTTTTTTGAGATTCTAGTAGTGTCATTCATAATCATTCCTCGAAGCTCAATGACAATAATTTACGAGTGTCAGAGTATTTGCATGTACCGGATGCTTTACTTCAATATAGCGAAAAAATCGATAGCTGTTATCTGAGAGGAACGATGAAGTACAATTGGAAAAGTACAGACGAGCCACCACAAACGAGAAAATACAGAGCGTAAACGCATTAGAGAACTGGGATCCAACTCTGGCCAAGTAAAAAGATCGTAGAAATACCCTAAAGTTCCTGATGTTTCTTAAAACTCGTAAATGCTTGAATTTTATATGATTAATTACACTATCATGTCGACCCCTATGACTCGTTATGTGGTGAAGGTCAGGCTATATATCATACAACTTAATGGCAAGCCACCAATACCGAGGACGGGGCACAATGATTAATAAAAATTATCCAACGAGATGTTATAATTTGGCTCTTCAAGATACAAAGCCATTGAAGCTTTAGCTATCAAAACACGCTCAACCCTCTATGTTTTAGGCTAGACTACTGTCTTTAGGTGCTTATATATCACTTTGTACTAATTATCAACTATCACATATTGTTTACCTGAAGTGCATCGCACTGATCTCATCACTCGAACACCTAAAGCTCTCAAGAAAAGAGCCTTTCCAGTCCTGCTGATGTCTGCAAACATCTCCATTGATTCTGGTAGTCCAGACTCAACAAACCTCAAAATATTTCGAGCCATTGCCGATGTTTTTCAGAGCGCTCAGTCAACCTATGCAGGTCATCGCAGACACATTGGTGTCTTGAAAAGGATTCAGTCAAAAGCTGTAGAAACAGGATATGAGGAGGTTTTTGACTACTGGTTTAACAAGATGGTAACGTTGATTTTACCATTGAAAAGGACGGAAGTTGTTGGGGATAGAATCGTGAGGTTGGTCGCAGGATTCGTCGCAAGCATCGAACATGATATCGAGGCTCAAAGTGAGACCCAAAATGAGAGCCAAGAGCAATCAAGCGATGCAGAAAAGGTTTTTTCAAGGTTTGTGAACCAATTTATACGACACATTTTACGCGGAATAGAATCGCGCGATAGGAACGTGCGATACAGAGTCGCACAGCTCCTAGCCGTGATCATGGATAATATAGGCGAAATCGATGAGGATCTGTACAAACTAATAATGTGGTCTTTCCAGAAACGAGTGTACGACAAGGAACCTTTTGTGCGGATCCAGGCTATCTTCTGCCTTACAAAATTTCAAGACGAGGACAACTCATCGGATTCCATGGACGAAGCCTCTGTGAAACTTGTCCACGCCATTCAAAACGACCCCAGTGCCGAGGTTCGAAGAGCTGCCATGCTAAATCTTGTCAGCATCGATAAGACAAAGGGCATTATAATGGAAAGAGCTCGTGACGTCAATCCCGTGAATCGACGTATCATATATACGCGAGTGCTGAAAAATATGGGTGGAGCAGTGTTTCGCGAATTGGATGGATCGCTGATTGGTAAGCTAATTACCTGGGGTCTTGAAGATCGAGAGGAGGCGGTTCGAAATGCTTGTGCTCGTTTGGTAGCCTTCGATTGGCTGAATCTGATGGATGGCGATATCATCAAGCTTCTTTCAGAACTAAATGTTACTTCCAACAATGTATGCGAGAAAGTGATGGACGCCATTTTCAAATACAGAGCTGACACAGTCGCTAAAATCAAACTACCTGATGATGTGTGGGGTTCCCTCACCGCAGAAATATCTTTTCTCGTCAATTCATTCCATTTGCATTGTGCTCAGTGTAAGCTAGAGGACATCATTGATGCCAATTTTCCCGAAGCGTCGAGACTTTCGGAAATTTTGCAGAAATATCTGGACACTAGATTTCTGAAAGAGGAACTATCAAATACTGACGTGACATGTCTTGAGTTCATTATTGAGCAGCTATTGTCTCTTGCGCACAGATATGATTACAGCGACGAAATTGGCAGACGTGCCATGTTAATGGTCATCAGAAATGCTTTGGCAAAGTACAAGTTGCCTGCCTCTATTGTTCAAACTGCGCTTAAAGTGTTGAAGGTAATATCAATAAACGAGCGTGATTTCATAGCCATGGCTATAGAAATAATAACAGATATACGTGACGATGATATCGAGATGCAAGAAGCCGCAGAGGCAGATTTAAGTGCTGGGATCAATGGAAACGAAGATGACGAAGACGATGCCGCAATTGAATCATTTCATTCTGCGGTCGATGATCTGGTCAATGGCAATACCCGAACTGTATCAAACAATGCGGCGGCTCGCCAAGAAAAGGAGGCTCGCTGGGAGACTCTTCTTGCGTGTCTCACAATGTCACGATTCATGTTGGAGCTGGTAGCTTTGCCGATTGATGAGAACGTCATGATATCGTCTCTGATTGACACTTTGATCACGCCGGCTGTTCGGAACACCAAATCGGAGGTTAGAGAGCTTGGTGTTCGTAATTTAGGACTGTGTTGCATACTGGACGTCAATCTGGCCACTGAAAGCCTATACCTTTTCGGAATGTGTGTTTCTAAGGGCGACGCAAACTTGAAAACTATAGCACTCGAGGTCATAGCCGATATCTTTTCGGTACATGGAACCAAAGTAGTCGACGGAGAAGGAAAAGTTGACTCGATATCCCTACACAAAATTTTTTACAAGACTTTAAAAAACTGCGAACTGCCTGAATGTCAGGCAACAGTGGCAGAAGGTCTCTGTAAATTGTTTTTGGGTGATGTTTTTATTGATGATGATTTATTTGAGACGCTTGTTCTCTCGTACTTTTCACCAGCCAATTCTCAAAATGAAGCTTTAGTCCAGGCATTTGCATTTTGTCTCCCCGTGTACTGCTTTTCTCACATTCGGCATCAGAAAAGAATGGTTCGCGTTGCTGGCGACGTGTTACTGAGGCTCTCTGTTTTGTGGGATGAGCTTCAGACAAATGAAGACAAATCGATGCCGATTGGGTCGATGCTTAAGCCAAATATTATTTTGCAAGAGCTCATAGAGTGGACAGACCCTACCAAATTAGTAAATCAAAGTGAGGAGCAATCATATGATGAGGAAGATACTCAGCTAGATTTTCTGTTAAGCATCCTTAGGATGTACTACAAGTTTGAACGCAAAGAGGTCAAAAAAATGATATTGACCAATATTAACAAGTTCACATTGCAAGATCAAACAACTAGAAAACTGAAGGAGGTAAGAGAGATTCTGGAAGATATCCTGGATAATGATGATATCGACGCCTCCAGTCGAAGTTCAATTGTGAAGTGCCTGGCAACATTGAGAGAATTAATGCTGAACAAAGAAGATGCGGACGCAGAAACTACTAAGGATGAGTTTACTGAGGCTGAAGAGCAGATGTCGGTGAATTCAAGCACGGAGCAAGGCAGGATGTCAGAAGGCGATAAATCCGATGTTCCATCAGATCCATTGGAAGATAATAATTCGAATACACAAGTGAACAATGAACACTCCTCTTCTACTGACGCTGTGCCAGTTTGCTCCGAGACTCCTTCAAAGTCTGTGGAATTAGCCGGAAACCATGATTACAGTGGCTCGCGGTCGAAAAAGAGAAAGAGGGCAGATATTTTAGAATCTGAGAATAACTCAGAACAAAAAAAAAGCAGCAGGATGGTTAGTTTTGTTCTTCCTGAGTCTAAGGACGATCAATCAAGTGATTTGTCTTATGGCGGTCGGTCTGATAGTGAATTTGATGACGGTGGTGAGGAATTTTAAAATAGAAGTCTAAGATTTGAACGACAGGCGTCTCATAGTTTCTGTAATGTAATGCAATGTTGTATATGATGCTAATGCCTAATTAATGACCTGTTTGTGCCTAAGATTTTCTACAAGTAACTGCCCAGTATCTGGTCGTCCTTCAGATGCTTCCGCACAACGAAATATATTTCTATCAATAAACGAGGAAACCTTCGGGCGAAAAACAGGTAAAAGCCATCTGGGATTGGGCCCATAACCTCGGCGAGATCTGGAGGTAAATCCATGAAATGGTGATATTTGTTCCGAAAAGCTCGTAAAAGATCCATGAGCCTTTCGCCACTATACTTCCTGTACTTGCCAAGGTTTTCCATGAAGATAGCGTCAAACTTAACGGTCCAGTCACGATTGGGTATAACCCGTTCTGAGACCGCTTCAAGTTTGAGTAAGAGTTCGCTGGGAGGAACTCTTCGCTCTACTTCGAAACGATCGCTAACCTTGAGTAAAAACTCTAGTTTTTTGGGCAACGTCCAAAATAGCGGATGTTTTATTATTTGGTCTGCAGTCGGTCTCTTGCTTGGCTTGTGTGCTAACATCTGGGTTAATAAGTCGGTGGCCTCGACTACTGCGTAACTATCTCTGAGAGACTTTTTAATTCCTTCCAGGGAAAACTGTGCCTTTAGAATACTACCATCTCGAGTATACCTGTCTCCAAATGGGTGGCCGCCCTTAGAGAGCACGTAATAAAAAATGCATCCCATAGAAAAAATGTCAATAGCTCTGGTCAATCGCTTCTGATACATCAAATCAGAGGTAGAACATCCTGAGCTGTCGATAATAAAGTCACTTTCCCTAAAACCGTCAGCTTCTCCGCGCTCATGGTCGACTTCTAGGAGTTCTGGTGCTCTCCATCCGCTTGTGCCGGAAGCATTTCCTTGATGGGTGTGAAATGACGATTGGTCGGGTCCCAGCCTCTTGCACAGACCAAAGTCGGAAATGAGTACTCTCATTGGAGCAAGTTGATGATTTAGGTGCTGCATGTACTTTCGTGTAGGAGCCACCAATATGTTTTGCGGCTTCAAGTCACGGTGAACAATTTTGATGGAGTGTAGATGAGCTACTCCTTGAGCGATCTGAAGTAAGACGTTGATGGGGTCTAGTGAGCTTTGTGCCTCTAACACAGCTGAGCTCGATGCCTTACCGGCGACAACGTCTTCTAGAGTTGCAGTGCATAGTTCTAGGGCAATGTAAAGAAAGCGGCCTGATGTTTCTGAGCAGTAATATCTCACAACGTTGGGATGATGATCACTTTCTGTTAACAGCTTAATCTCTTGTGTCCCAACGTCATAGAAGTCTATAAGCATGCGCTTAATGGCTACAGGTCTGTGTTGAAAAGTTCCTTGAAAAACAACAGTTCCAGCAGAACCATAACCCAAGACTTTTTTCGAAACCACCAAATTTTGAAGGGCGTCTTCAGCCTCGACATCTTGACCTCCGGATTCGCGTTCTGACAAGGTGGGAGTTGATTCCTTCCTCGTTTTTTTACCTCCTCTCGAGCCTCTTTTACGCTTTTTGCGATCAGAGCTGTCATCTTGTAGTTGATCGGTATTATCGTCAGCTTCTACGATATTGACATGCTTCGTAGTTACCTTATTGCCCACTGAGTCCGGTAATGAGTCAGGATCGTTGCCTATCTCTATAGGTCCAGTGATTATGTCTCCTCTCGTGAACAGTCCACTGCGCTCCACCCATGAGTATATGGGTGCTAGAATTTTGAGTTTCGACAGTAAACCAAGGATGAAGAACGAAAATACCAGCATCAAACCCCCTTCTACTATTCGATAGACAAAGTTCGCAAACCTGAACGCGTAAGATTTTTGGTGGTTCGAGAGCAATTCTCTCGCGATCCGCTCTTGTGCTTCTAGTCGCAGCACTTGTAGTTCTCTGTCGGAAATGTACCTATCAAGCGCCTTTGAAGAGTCTTCTTCGAGAGCAACCGCGTTATTTTCACCCGAAGATCTTTTGGGACCGTCTAGAAGAAGCCTCGAACTGCCTGGCAAAGAGGTCTGATACGAATTGGATCTATCTGGTACAACTTGTTCGAATCGAAGGCTTTGTAACTTATGTACACCCAGGATTGCCTCATTCGTGGTATCGTCACCAATTATTGAGCAGTAATTGCCTTTTTTTAGCTCTGTGCCTCTTGAAGTCGCAGAGGAATCCACGAGCGAAGGATAATGAATATCCGACATGGCAAACAAGCTGTTTTCTGATGTTAAGCCAATAAGAACTTTATTCTCTTCGCGTTCTTGAGACTGGTATTCTAATGGGTGCGGTAAAATGATTCTCTCATTAGTGCCACTATCAACAAAAACGTCAAACACGCTGTTGATCGTGCTTTGGAAGTGGGGTGAAATCCATTTAGCGTACCGGAGCTCCGAATCAACTGCAAGCAGAGAATTTCCATCAAATGGTGCAATCGAAATGCCGTCAAAGGACTGCTTATACTTTGATGCAAGATGAGAATCCGCTGCATTTTGCTGCCAGGCTGCATATGTCACATTGTAAACAAGACCATTCTTATTATAGATTCCCAGCTGATAAGTTGTTTTCCCGAGCACAAAAATGTCATCGCAGTTGTGTTTGTCGAAGTCTGCACCACTACAATTGAAATCTGCGTTATAATTGGCAAGGTTTTCGGCTCCGGGTCCGTATGCAGACAAAATTTGGCCTGTCTTTATGTTAATGTTGTAAACAGTCGATTGCCGTGCACCTGCGTATATCTTTTCGTCGTCAACTGTAGTGCCGTCTTCATCGATAACGATTTTTGTCTTCAGATCCAGCGGGGATAAATTAACAAGATGCTTGATCGAAATAGGCAATTTCTGCAATCCCTGAAAGACATTGTAATAGTAAATATTGCCATCACCGTATGGTTCAACTATCAAAGTTTCGTTTTTGGGATCTGTGGGCTCAGATACCGAAACAAGTGGGGCACTGGCATGGTCAACGGACCATAAAATCTCACCTGTCGTTCGGCTTAAAGCATGTATGTTCCCCTCCAGGTCTGTTGCTATTATCACATCTAAAAGTGTAAACCTTTCAGGGTTTCTGTCGTTTGACGTCAGAGAAATTACGGTCTTAGGCGTGTCATCATCAAAAATCTGGCCTGGGGAAGGAAGGTAGCTAAGAGAGCTTTGAATATTTTCAGCGTTGTATTTGGGACTTCTGTAAATCAACCCTGTGGCTCTAGGGGTAAGACTGTAAGATTTTGGAGTTTTGGTTTTCCTAAAAACAGTGGGTTTTGCAGTGTATACTTCAGGATGTAATGTGTCTACCTTGAGCATTTTTGGTCGCCCCGCAACGGCGCTGTTACTCTGCATCCATTCTGGCCAACCACATCTCACCTCGGTCATGAAAAAGCATAGAATCCCCAGATAACATATCAGCAATCGGGAGCCTATCGGCTGCCTCATCCTCGAACAAACTAATGCCTAGCTTAGATGCAGTAAAATGCAAGTGGCTTACCACAATTTTATCGCTTGAACCTCTGCAAAATGATGATACGATAGCTAGCGACCGGTATGATGACAGGGTCCATCGACTTGGCCAAAACTAGACTTCAAAAAGTTCGAATTAGGTAGCAAGAAGCAAGCATAGTGGCATTTTTCAGATTAACACGGTATGGTTTCTTAAACAGTAACGGGAGTGTCGTTGATGGTGACTCCCACAGTAAGTATCAAAACTCACGATCCAGAGTCATGGATGGTGTAATGTGTAGCGACTTTCGGTCTTCATTTCAGACTTTGTCTTGCATGTCGTAGTTCATTTCCTCGAAAACTTCCTTCACCTTACACTGTTTTTCGTCTGCGATCATTTGGGCGAGAACTAGACCGGTATCTCGAAGTTCGTTGTATTTCTTAAGAAGGGAGATATGCTCCTTGATCACCCTGTCAGGAGAATCGTGGCTATTTTGGGCTTTAGTCAGTAGCGTTCAATGTTGTCAGTGGTATGCGTTGTTCATACACATTGTTCAAAGCACTAAGCCTGTGAAATTGTTCCAATAACGAAGCATTGCTGCGTTGCAATTGATCCCAAGCTGCTTTCTGTTTGGCTAAACGCGCTTCTTGGTTTTCCGGTGTCATTTTTATGGTCAAATTGTGGGACTGTGCTCTGTTTATGGGCTGTAAATGCTGTTTGAAGTAGATGAAAACTGACTATTATTTAGCCGCCGATATCAATTTATATAATTCTGAAATTTTCGTGATAAACGATCTTCTTTGAAGAAAAGCGCATCAAGGCAAATATAGTGACACACATATTATACGTAATGTCCATGAGATGAAATAACTCAAGTTTCGAAACGTCTCATTTGTTTTTAAGTAGTCGAAATCCATTCATTAACTTATGTTGTCCATGAGGGACTTCAGTTCGTTGAGCTTTACCTCGGCCAGCCGTATGGTCTCCTCCAAGTCCTGGCGCGTGTGAGTATTCAACCAATTTTTGTTGTACACTTGAGAGCGGTTTTCTTGTAAGATAGTGCTGCGATCTTTTACCCACTCCCATAATTCGCTCTCAGACTTTTTCACCACGTTCCACGTCTTGGGAGACTTGTGTGAAGCCCGAACTTCCCGTTCGTACGCACCGTATAGCGTGTTGAGAGTTGGTGCGTAGTTATAGGTATCACTACCTATGAGCATACGACCTGGCTCAACAATACTGAACCCGTTTGAACTGCTTGTTCCATACCTCGCTATAGCAATGATGATCACGACAAGAACGAAAATAACGGCTATAGCCTGGTACATCAAAGGCAAAGACATGACACCGTTGAATATTGTAACTAAAATCTGTGCTGCTGGTGAGCGTGGGGGACTCTCTGGCATGGAAGGGCCATTGAGTGTTTTAGATCTCTTTGATCTGGTCTTAACCGCCTTTTTCGCAGGCACCTTCTTGGTGATTCCGGCATCCGCGACAATATCTTTCAACTCCTGTTCTAATACGCCAATGGAAATCCTCTGTCCATCAAGCGAACCTTTCTCAACGGCGCCTTTGATCCAACTCTTTGCCGTCCATATCACGTTAGAAACTACCAGCATGCGAGTGCTATTGTTTGAGCCCCAGTACAAGTAGAACTTAGTATTGATAGAGAAGGATGAACCTGACGGTACGTCGGGCGTTTTCGTGATTTGCCGAACGATTATTTGATTTTCCAAGTCATTGCGCTCGATGCGTTCTTCAATAAAGCACTTAGTCTTTTTAGGGCCCACAGGGCCGCTTAAAGGTTTGGTGTATTGATACTCTCTTGTGCCGTTTTTGAATTTAGACAACGCTGAAATATCGTAGTTGCCTTGCTTTTCGATAATTCTTTGCAAGTAAGATGTGTCATCTCCAAATAGCAGCTGATAAACCGTGCCCAAGGGAGCCGCTACGGTTAAACTATCGGTAATAACGACGTCGCCATCTTCTTTTGTGTAATCAGGACTGGTGTTAGCATGTTGGCGAGGTCCCACCGTTGGAATATTCGATACTTCGTCACTACTTTGTGGCTCGCTTGATTCTTTGCTTCCTTTGCCATCCATCTTGTGAATAATTTTATTGATTTCTTCGATCATGGCCTTCGTTGTCGTCGTTACACCATCAAACGTGTGTTTCTCAACCGCGGCTTTGAGCCAGCTCTTGCCCGTCCACTTGATGTTTACAGCAACTATTAGCTTCGTGGAGTTCCGAGGTGCCCAAGAATAATAATAGGATGTGACGACTGCAAAAGAATTCCCAGACGGCACGTCTGGAGTCTTCGAGACCTGAACAGCTTTAACATAGTCTTCGAGGTCATAGTGCTCTAAAGTTTCTGTAATTTCACAGTTTGTTTTGCTCGGGCCGATAGAGCCGCTGAGTGGTTTCACGTAGCTGAAACTCCTTTCTTGAGTTGAGATTATGGGCGTAATTTTCGATATGTTGTAATTCTTTTGAGCTTCCAATATCCTTCTTGTGTATGAAACGTCATCTCCGTAGAGTAAGTTGACAATTTTGCCTAATGGAGCTTCAAAAACAGTCTCAGCAACCACTCTGTCCGTTGCCGTAGCAAGATGGTCACTAGAGGTGGGCTCGTGCTCTACAGGGCCCAATACCGGCAGTTTTTTCTTTCTGCTAAGTCTGAACTCGCCATTGGCTATCTCTGAAGGGTCTGGGTGGCTGCCCATACTATCATCGTCCTCAGAGTCACTGTCTGTTAGACTTTCTTCTGAGGTCTCGGCTCCACTGGAGTAGCCATCTGACGATGTATTGTCGGACACATGGCCATCAGGGCCTAAATGAGAATTTATGGTACTGCTACTGGACTTCGGAGGGGTACTTTCTAGCCCACTTCCAGGTACCTTTTCGTCGGACCCCTGTAAAGTCTTGTTCCAAATTCCGGTGATAAAGTCAAAGGCGGAATCCCGGCACAAAAGTGATGCGAAGGTGTACCTTGAGTGTAACGTTTGAAAAACGATCCCATTGGGAAATATACCTGCGGTAGATTTCTTCTCAATCTGTACAATCTCCTTGAAAGGAATGATGACATTCGTCACCCAGCCTAAAATGCTAGAGTTGAAGCACACATGTTCCCAAGAAATGTACATTCGCCCATGCAATAAAATGTCGCGAGACAAGGCACAGCTGTAGTCGGCCAATAGCTCCTCAGATGCTGAAACGCCTGAATCTTTGAACAAAACATGAAATTCGTTAAGTTTTCTCTCCGAGATATGAACAGACGCACGAGGACTTTTGCTACCGTGCTTACCATTTTCTTCTGTTACTGAGAAAGCGTTATCATTGGAATTCACGCTAGCGACACCAAAACGGCCATTTTCTCCGTGGCTTGAAGACCTGTTCCGTTGCAACGAGTTTCTTACCCCCTTTGAGGAGACTGTTCGCAGTGACAATTGATTTGGAGACCTAGGCCTCAAAGTGCTGGCCCGTTTGCGTGCCTTATTCTCACTTGAAAGCTTGTTAGCCGCGAAATGGTTGTGCTTAGAGGTGCCTTTATCCAGTGAAGAATCCCTATTGGCGACAGGATCGCTTCTAGCCGGGGATATAGAAATGGCATTATTCTCTCCTAAGCTCGTTTCAATATCGTATTTGTCGAGAGCCTTCTCCTTTTGTCGGGATGCATTTATGGACCTGCCGCGCCGAGGAAAAGAAGAGCGTTTTTCGTTCTCATTCAGTGAGGACTCTTCCTCCAGTGACGTGTCGCTTATGTTAGTGCTGGCCAGTGCGTCCAGCGTTAAGTTACCCCTGCCTAGAGTGGCAATAGGAGAACGACCCTTTCGTGAGCGAAAGTGAATCCTATCTGTAACAGATGCCAAGTCCGTATCAGCACCCGAAGTATTGTCATCAGCATCGTTGACGACAATACTAGGAGCGCCCGAAAACTCCGAATCTGGCCTTCCCACAGAACTCACGGACGATTTGTTTGACGGTCTTCGATTGTGGTGTGGTGAAAGTAGGTTATTGGAAGCTGGGTTTTGGACCATTGGCCCACTAGCAAGCAAAAAGTCCAAATGCTGTAAAAATGAAGAGTTTTGAGCATTTTCTTGAGCCTCTGACTGATGAGCTGCAGGAACAGCTGGTAAAAGCTCGACTGTGTGTTGAGAGGACGAAGAAGCCTTGTCATTGTTGGATTTTGGTAGAAGGTGGTTGGCAGCATTGTGAGCAGCCGAAAAAATAGACGAGAAAATGCCGCTCGATTCTTTCTGCTCGTCGTCTCCATTGTTGCTTTCGGAGTGAACTCGCAAGCTGCTCGTCTTCCTGTTCAATTTGGAAGCTCGAGGACTTACTTCGACATCTTTTGCAGATTTCGGAGATTCGCTTTGTAGCAAATTTCCCAATGATATGTTTTTCTGGCCTGTTGTATTCTTAACCGCTCTGTTACTGTCGTTGCGACTATTCAGAGGCCCGAGTTTCGATTTCACAACTTCAGAAGTCTTGAATTTCGGTTCACTGGGCGAACTTGAGTGTTTTCTTCTCTTTTTACCAAAGCCTCCTTCGTTTTCGCTATCATGGTCCGCAGAGACATGAGATGTTTTATTTTCAGACCCTGGTTCGACCTGGAGATTCGACAACGACCTATCTCTCACCGTTCTGCGGACTATCGTATGCCTTCCGGTGTTTTCAGAGATTCCGGCGCTCTTTACAGGGACTGATGATTCTTTTTTTTTATTAGTCTTGCCCTTCTTCCTATGAAGAAAACCCATTCCCGGGGTTTCAGTGATCGGGCGGTAGGTACTGCTGGCGACGAGCTTGGTTTCCGGGCTCATAAATTTAGGCCCTCAAGGACAATTCAGTGATATAATAGGGGACGTAGCTTCGGAGAACAACCCTGTTATTGAAGTAATCGTGAAAACCTTCGGCCGTCCACGAAATTGCGCTTATAGCAAGATTAGTTCCACAGTTAAAAACTAATTTTCCAATCGGAGACTAATCATTCAAAATCTCACCACTAACAGTCGACTTAAACCACTCCAAGGACGCCAGCGACCTTCACTTTGAGCAGGTTACTGATTGATTGATAGTGATGGTACCATTGACAATAGGGCCAGTATTTTTTGTACTTATTTCTCCTTGGATCGTTTTGAACGTCACCAAATGAGACCGCTAATTTTCTTCAACCGGCCTGGCGCCAGACCCAAGACATATATTGACAGTAGTTTTCTGACATCAAAGTATTAGCACAACTTGTCTCGTTTTAGCTGTAACGCGAGAGTTTTCTCTTGCCTTTTATATTTCGACGCATTCACCGCTTTGCGTTCAATGTTTGGTGGAACTTCTGAAAAGATCCTGTGTGAGCAGCTATTTCCTTAAAAACAATTCCTACTCTGTTCAAAAGGAAGACTGTATAATTGCAAATATAGACCTATTCTCCTCTGGGTGGTTTTTTCAGAATACTGGGAATTATTTAATTCTCATTATTAGCACTCTATTTCTAAATTTCTAGCACCTAGCTAAAGTGACTGGTCCTTAGGGCCACTAAGAGAAAGGTGTTTCGGAGTTTTTGAAAATCATCTGCAGACCATTCCACACATGATTGCAAAATCATGCTATTGGAAATCCTTCTGTCACCTATCCAGTGATAACAAAGTTTCTCGTGAACGGCTCATACTTTACAGCTGTTGGATGCTTAAGGTGCTCATTGTCTTGCTCGAGTCGAAAGAAAAAAAAAAAAGGTTACAATATCGCACGCCGAAATGCACGTAGTTTAAGGTGCTTCAAACATACTCTTTTTTGTGACATTAACAAATCTTGTCAGCAAAGTGCCAAATTCAACGATCTTCGGCCCATTCATTTTCACGTCTGATAGCGGCCTCCTCTTCAGGTGTAAAATCGTTCACAATGTTGAAGGTTCTTCTGATTTCTTCAGGGGTTCTGCCACGGATCATCTCCGCAACAACTTTGCAACCTGCATCCAAAAGAGGCTTAATATTTAGGTAGTTGGCGGCCTGCATGATCTCGTATAGCATTTCTTGGTCGACCTTCAAGAATTCACGGTCCCATGGGTCTGCTGGGGCTGTTTTGCGCGCGTCGTCATCATTTTCGTCCGGGAAGTTCGAGTCCTTGTGGTGTTCAGCCCACTCAATCACTTTCTGCAAAACAGACGATCTGACGTTTGGGACGGGCATCACAATCTCATCTTCTTCGTCTGCACCATCCTCGTCCTCTTCAGAGTCACTACCGTCGCTCTGAAGCCCATTGTCTTGCATATCATTCAGGTAGTTCTTAAGTAAAAGAGACCTCTCGGCAATTTTGCGCTCAACAGTGAACTTCTCTCCCTCCACAGAGACTAAGACCACGGTCTGTTTGTTATCCTTAGGCATTATATTGATTGTTGGTTATATCGAAGAGTAAACCGTTCGTTGAACGCTGATTGATGTGGTTTCGCTTCTAGTTTACTTTAGTTCGCCATGCTCGCTTGCGTACTGTAATGCCTTATTTCTGATTTTCGAAATTGGTGAATCTGGCACCATTATCACTTTGTACTAATACGTCGTCTTGATCCTCCCTGTCGTTAGCACTCTACATGATAACAAAGTCAGCGAAGACTGGTTTCAAAACTCTCTGATATTCACATTATTGACGTCTTATTCTATTTCGCCTTACGATGAGTTCGGTTTTCTGTTTTTTAGATTGAAACCTCGAGCTTTAATAAATGTAACAATTATTATGCAACTAACTAGATCATCATGTAAGCTAGCCTTAAGAGGATATAACATGGTTTTTGAAATTGGGGCTTGGCCGGTTTCGAAAATCCTGTTTTTCGTTTCTGAATCATTTAGACTGTTTTTAGTGCTATGCAAGGGCCATAGAACGCAAGGCGAATTTCAATAATAAACGGCCGAACTGGACTGTCGGCGGTCGTTCGTGTTTACGACGCATATTTGCAGAAAGAAACATGAGAGCTCTACGTACACTGCGTGGCTATAGAACTCGACCTTATCGAGATTTCTATTTTGTGTCGTGAGGGAATTTTTGAGCGAGCTATGACAATGATTAAACTAAATGAGACGCAGAAGCTATCTTCAGCGCGAACTAAAATCCAAAATTACTGTAAACGCTAGCACTGAGATCATCTAGTTCGGGTATGGAGTCTAACCTTTGTAAAAACATGTTGTTCATCGAAACCACTCCGCTCTTGAGCATTTCGTCGCAACATCCTTTACAACTGACAGAAAACAGAGCCATTTGAAACTTCACATCAGCTGCAGTCGATGCAGCCACTGAAGAGGCATCATCATCCACAGGCTTGCGCTTGTTCTTTTTGGCAACACTTTCCTCAACATGCAACATGGTGAACTGGAATGCATCGTTGACCAGACTCTCCAGCACAACTAAAGACGCAGTGGATTGAACACATTTGCTAGTCTCGTTCAAAAGTTGCCGCAAAACAGTGTTATCGTCATACAACTGTTTGAGTGCATCCGGGTCTAGCGTTTGCTGCAACACGAATTGCTCGAGATTTGAATCAGGCAGTAAAATCTGCTTTACTGGCTGTTTTTCGTCCTTTGATTGGTGTTGAGGTTGAACCAAAAGCTCCTTGTTGATGGAATGCAGGACGCGCGACAATCTTTCTCCGAAATCCTCAACCGAGAGCACGTCGCGTGGATTTAATTCTCCAAATTCACGCTCGACTAGCTTTTCAGCTAAGGATTTGAACTGCAGCCATCCACGATTTAATAGCCACCAGGAAAATGATAAAAATGCTTGCTCGTTGATATAACTAGATTTCCGAATTTGTTGCGCTTCCTCTGAAAGATCCGTGCTCACCGAATTTTCCTTTTGGAAGGCTTGGGACGTGTTGGGCGGCGTTTGCCATATGCTGTTTATCCAAGAGGTGAAGAATCCCGGGGTAGACGATTTTTTTTCGACTGCAACCTTCACGGCGCTCTCGAGGTACTCTCTTCTAGCTAGAATGTTTAGCTGCAGTCGTGTGAGCAACAAAAGTGAGGAAACACTGTATATCACAGTGCATAGCTTGACTAGTGATTTCAGCTTGAGGTCATTCCACAATTCTGCTTTAGTACGCGCATTATCTGGGGTGGCGTTGGCTGTGGCTTGTGCCTCTGTGACGCTCGTGCTCATTCCTGAAGAAAGACCGTCGCGTTCTGCATCTTTGAAGTCGCGTGAGAGCTTTCTAAGCAGCTTCTTGCCCTTGAGCGATCCCACGATTTCGTCCACGTTCAAGTCTTTCACCAATACGAGTGAGAGGACCGGAACAAGCTCGTACATGGTATAAAGGGCATCCTGCTGGGTCTGTGTAAACCTGCGCTTGATCTGCTCTTTCACGAATTGTTGCTCGGTTATTTTCAGTTGTTGTCGCCAGAGCCATTTCTTGATGAGGTAAAGAGAGACGGCGCCGGTACTGAAAATAAAGGCGACCGTCGCGGACGAAAACAAAACCTTGTTTCTATGCCTCTGCCAAAGTGATCTTCTGGCCATTTTGCAGTGTCTTTGTGTTAACGTAACCTTCTTTTTCTGTTTATAGTGCTATGTGTACCGTGGGGATCTCTTGACACAGCGAGCTGTTTTAAGTAACTAAAAGCGCTCAGAGGGAGGATAAGGACGGCAAGTTACCACGAAATTCGAATACACCTATCGGGTGGAGTTGATCGAATGCTTGGAGTCGTTGTAAATCGATCTCTTGTTCGAATGTGAGTCTCTCTTTCAACTTCGTTTCCTACAAGACAATGGATTTACTTGACGATTTCTAAAGGAGAGCTAATTTAGAGGTGTCTTGAATAGGAAATATTTCCTAAAAAGGCAGCTCATCGCTGGCACTTTGCCAGATCTCCTGAGTAAAGTTCTGGAAACCTAATGGTCTGTGAGACAATTTCTTGAATTTGCCTAGTATTTTAAACTGCGTTGGACTGCTACGCGCTGAGGCTTTGAATTTAGATCAGTGAAAGGCAACAAGTGATCAGAACTTTGCTGATTGAAGTGTCGATAATGTTCTTCAGTGCAAAGTTAACAAGACAGGACACACGTAGCGTCTCTGGTATGTAAAAGACGCTAGAATACTCTGTAGAACTGTTATGTTCTTTATTAAAAGTACTGCTTTAAGACCTTCTCTAGCTCATAATAAAAAATAAGAAAAAGTGACTAAATTATACACTTGAACAACTCTCGAGAGTACGAGGAATGATTGGGAAACTAGTTGAATAAGATACGAAAGGAATGTTCTTAGCAGGGAGATGTAATATAGTTGTTAGTTATATATCGAGACGTTTTCTACAGACATCTCATCTGCAAAATGTTTAATATGAAAATAAAAAAATGGAATCATGATTCGCAGTTTGAAAAGTTAACTGTTGGGAGAAGTTGACAAAGATTAGCCTTAGAGACGCGAACTATGGACGATAGCAGCAAGATCAAACCTTACATTGCCCACTTGAACTCTCAGCTAGCCAATTTGGGCCCTGAAATCAACAAGTTTACCCACAAATCGCTAGATGAACAGCTTCTGCTCCTGAACGATGAGAGATCAAAACTGGACCTCTCGAACCGGTATGCGTATGTGCTTTCATCGCTCATTTTTGCGTACATGAAGCTGCACAATGTCAAAGACCTGACCCCAATAAAACAAGAACTGGCCCGGGTCAAGCGGTATATGGACCTTGCTCGCCAGTTGGACAAGAATGACGAAAAGCAAGAGAAACTAGAAAAGGAGAGCCAGGAACAGGCCAAGCAGATCATAAATTCCGCTCTTGGCGGTAGGGCAAGCAGTCCCGCGATCAGCAAAGTAAATTTCCAGGGAAAGCACACCAAGTTTTCTGAAGAGCCTCAAACGGGTTCTGCAAGCGAGAAAGTGATACCGAAAAAGCCTCACAGCACGGGCAAAGTCTCAAAACGAGAAAAGCGCTAACCGTCTATGATGTGGCCAGAAACAAGGTCCCCAACGTCTAAGTGCGACAGGCGTACATTTCACGACACGTGACCTGGTGACACGCTGATAGTTTATTGATCTCGGCAGATACGCCGGCCTGAATATAGCCCATGGCACATAAGTATTTCTTGTGACACTCCTGGTGTATTCTATCATGTGAGCTAAGCTCACTTAGGTCATTTTGTTCACCGCGCCAGCCAAATGCAGCAAAACAATCATAAATTCACAAGGACTGTTTGCTGACGGTGAGGTAGAGCTCCAAAATTCAGCAAATAATTGGCTAGATGTAAATATCAAGCAAATTAAAGGATCAAGCGCTCCATCGACAGAGTAGTTGTCCACCAATGTAGTCTAAATTCGGGAGCGCAATACTATGTTCGTAGTATGTGACTCATACAAAGATTATATAACAATGCTAGTCTGAAATACACCGTTCATCCCAAACCTCTTGCCACCTACCTTCAAGTGTTTCCTGTCTTTCCCAAGTACTCCTCACTCTGTGGTGTTAATTGGTGAAGTTTGATAATACAGAAATTTAAACAGACAGCAAACAGGTCTCCTAATTCCCAAGCTAGAAATCATGTCTCAGGAAACTATAGATACCTTTATGGCCATCACCAGCGCAGAAAATAGCGAGTTGGCTCAACACTTTGTGGATATGGCTGGTGGGAATTTAGAAACTGCCATTGCACTTTTTTTCGAACATGGTGGCAATGCCCAACTGAGGGATCGAAACCCTGCATCCACTAATTTAGATCGATTAGAAGACCCTGAATTATCAGCACAGCCAGATCAAGAGATTTACAGAGCGCCTGATGAAGCACGGCATGAGACATTAGTCGATACTCATGTTTTCCCAACAACTTTTGGCGGTGTTGGAGGTCAATTTGGGCCTTTGCGTCAAGTAAGAGGTATGTTCGATGAATCCCGGTCACAGAGCGTCTTCAACCAGCAGATAGATACAGATGCGGAAGAAATGTCAGAATTTTCTGATGAGGAAAACTATAGATCTTCTTATGAGTACGCCGAAGAGACCTGCATGGAATTGGACGAAGATGGCAATGTGAGAGAGTTCACCAAGTTAGTGCGGAAACCTCGAGAGATGACGAAAGAACAGAAGCTAGCAATGCTGTTTAGGCCGCCTTTTGACATCATGGCAAAGACAGATTTGGACGGTGCCAAGCTTCGCGGTCGCGAAAAGCAAAAGTGGATAATGATCAATATTCAGACCGTTGATGTCTTTCAGTGTCAAGCCTTGAACCGTGACGTGTGGTCCCACAAAGACGTTAAGAAACTTGTCAAGGAGAATTTCATCTTTTTGCAATATCAGTATGATTCTCAAAACGCAAGACCCTATGTTCAGTTTTACGGACCTCACAGCAAAGACGACCTGCCACACATTGCTATATTGGATCCAATTACGGGGGAGCGCGTCAAGCAGTGGAACAGGGACGTGCCAAGCCCCCTGGAATTTGTCAAAGATGTGCAGGACTTTTTGTCGCAGTTCTCACTGCAACCAGGATCAATAAATCCTACTGTTCGGGAACCTACGCCTGAACTAGACCCAACTCTGCTGTCAGAGGAGCAGCAAATGGAACTGGCCATTCAAGAGTCGCTTAACCGTGGAAAGGCTGAGCAGGCACCTGCAGAAGCGATGCCTACCATGGGAGTAGAAGCGGAAGACGACAGCGAGCAAGTTCAGAATAACGACCCTCACAGAGCCCTCTTCGATTCTATAAGTGCTCAAAAAGACCACACAGAGCCACCCAATGATCCAGTTAAAACCACCAGAATCCAAATTCGGATAAAAGACGGTCGCAGAGTGATTAGGCGGTTCAGGCTCGTGGAGGATACGGTGCGCACAATATTCGAGGTCGTGAAAGGCACCATCGATGGGTTTCAGTCCGAATATTTCACATTGAGCGATCATGCCAGGGGAAACCTGCTTGATAAATTAGACAAAACCATCAGCGATGCAGATCTAAAAAATAGTTCGCTTCTGCTGGAGCTGGTCCAAGAATAAACTTCTAATTTGCTGACTCAAACTAGATTTTTTCCATTTCCCACGGAAGTGTATGAAATCTAAAAGTCAAGTATAACATGCCCAAAATTGATCTTAACTAGATACTTGGCAATGGCTTGAAAGGCCAAACAGAATCGCCATTTAGCAAAGTTGTTCATCTCTTTCATTCCTCTTGGCATGCTTGGCGACAGATACATATCTGTCATGTTACACGAAATTGTTATAAGCTGGAATCTTCATCGCTGTCAATTCAACAGTCTTACAAAGAACACACAAGATTTGCATAGCTTCGTTTGATCGGGTCACTCATGAGACTAATAACATATCTGACAACTATCGTGGTGCTCTGTGTACTTCAGGTAGTAAGGGCTGATCCTGCGCACACAAACAATTGGGCAGTTCTGGTATGCACATCTAGATTTTGGTTCAACTATAGGCATATGGCCAATACGCTAAGCATGTACAGAACGGTTAAACGATTGGGAATACCAGACTCTCGGATCATTTTGATGTTGAGCGACGACGTCGCATGCAATTCGAGGAATCTCTTCCCCGGAAGTGTTTTCAACAACCAGGATCGGGCTCTGGACCTGTATGGTGAATCCGTTGAAGTAGATTACAAGGGATACGAGGTGACTGTTGAGAACTTCATTAGATTGTTGACGGATCGCTGGGGTGAAGAGCAGCCCAAGTCCAAACGTCTGCTGACAGACGAGAACTCAAACATCTTCATCTACATGACGGGACACGGCGGAGCAGACTTTCTGAAGTTCCAAGACGCCGAGGAAATTGCATCGCATGATATCGCGGATGCATTCGCCCAGATGCACGAAAAAAAACGGTACAACGAGATATTTTTCATGATAGATACCTGCCAAGCCAACAGCATGTACTCGAAATTTTATTCGCCAAATGTTCTGGCAGTGGGATCCAGCAGACTGGACGAGAGTTCATACTCGCACCACTCTGATGTGGAAGTCGGCGTTGCTGTCATTGATCGATTTACCTATTACACTTTGGACTTTATGGAAAACATCGAGAAAAACTCTTCCTTAAGTCTGCAAGACCTCTTCGATTCATACACATTCGAAAAAGTGCACTCCCATGTCGGTGTGAGAACTGATTTGTATCATAGAGATCCATCAAAAGTGCTGGTCACTGATTTTTTTGGAAGCGTTAAGCACATTGTCAAGGATATGCATGATCAAGATAACGACTTTCAAGCCGTCCTCAAAGATCATGACGGAACAGATGGCTATACTGATCATATTGTCAATCTGGCTCTCAGCAAAAATGAGAGGAACCCAGTGGAATCCTCGAAAGCTGTATCTGTGGGGCTAGCAACCCTGAGGAGATCAGAGAGGAGTGTTGTGACGTTTGACAAATCTAAAGGCAAAGCCAAATGGTCAGCAGTTGTACCCATAAGTATTTTGCTGGGCCTTCTCGTTTTGACTTTGAGCACACAGAGTCAGAACAACCTAAGTAGTAGAACCGCCACGGCGCACAGTTTTTGATGTTCGGCATGATCGGAGGGATTAGTCTGCTGTAAATTAGATCTATTACGTACTTAAGATTTGACGTTTCGGTGTGTCAATAATGTGTTTCACTTCGGTAACTATCTAAAGCAGATTTTCGATATGACGAAGAATGCAATTACGTGAGTAACGAACTCAACCGAGGTGTTTGTTTAATATGCGTTAAAGAGTTAACGAGAGGTAATGGACTTAAATCAATTTCATGTCCTTGTTCAATGCAAGTATCTTGAAAAGATGATGTCAATCTTGTTGTTGTAACATTAACCAGTTGTTCTTATACTGTTCGAGAGATCCGATCAATTCATCCTGGATCGAGCTGGATTTTCTACCAGTCCGAGCACTTTTGAAGGAATTGTAACTGGTGGGTTGAAAATTATTGTGGGATGCAAATGGGGAAGAGGAGACCTCGTCATCCTCGAAAACCACAGCATTTGAGTCAGCAAAAATATCACTACTTTGGACTTCTGTTGTGGCCTGGCCGTGATTTCGAGCCATGAAGGACCTGCCATGCAAACTAGCTTTGTCACTATGCAAAGCTTGAGAGCTTCGGCGTCTCGTATTGAACCCACCGTAGCTAATGGAATTGCGACCAACGGACAGCGTGGTTTCCCCGCCCTGGGGAGTCAATTGTTGATTGCCACCCATTCCGCCGTTGAAACTTTTTCTATGATGAGGAGGAACGTAAACACCTGGTTTGTGTTTATATGAAGAACTGGGTACAGGCGCTTGTTGGCGAAGCTCTTCAAAAAAGGTGTTGGTCCCGCTTTCTTTCAAGCTTGCATCTTTCAACACTGGTGATTTCAGTAAATCGGGGAAGTCGCCTGCGCTCCCGCTCGCAGGAGCCTCGACAGTTACAATACCACTTAAAGGTTTCTTCAATGTTTCGTTGCTTATCAATAGCCCATCCAAGTCATTGGTGAAGCTATCGATGTCATTTTCTTCTAAAGTGAAAAGAACATCATCCAGGTCATTTTCGTTGTTATCGACGGTCATAGCGTGCTGCTCATGATACGTGTTCTTTGTCAGCACGTTTGTGCTATCTTTGTCACCACCTAACACAGAAGTAATTGTTGGAATATTTGGAGATCCGTTGTGCAAGGAGCTGGGCCGGGAGTGAGGCGGAATGTATTTGCCAGAGGGAGAGGTTTGAGAGATTGTGGACCCACGTCGACCATAAGATGCCGATAAATGGCTACCGTTGGCCTTTGGAGTGGACTTTTGATTGCTATTAGAGCTAGGCCTTCGATTCTTATGTCCTCGATTTTTGGTTCCAACAGTGCTGAATATTCCTTCCATGTACCTATTGTGTACGCTTGGTGGAGTGAAGAAGTCCCGCGTATTGAAGTCGTCATTCTCCTTTGCGTGATACTCCTGGAAAAAGTTGTTGATGTGAGTATTCGGGGTGGGTATGGCCAAAGGTTTACGACTGTTTTTGAGAACATCTGAGCCATCGATTTTGATTGGGTTGGCCCGTTTGTGACCGCTGTCGCGCTGAGGATGGCTACGTTTCGTAAAAGTAAATTTAGGAACGGGCTCTTTTTCCCTAGGTTTTTCATTGATGGAGGCAGCGGGTGTGATTTCTTCAACGGAAATCTGAGGAACGTTGACTTCCGTGCCACCAGTTACGGTGATTGGAGTAGTCGAGGTAGACATTGGTGTAGTACTGTCTTCTCTCAACTTTGTGGGTGAGTAACCATCGTCCGTTAGGGAATTGTAGTAGTCGTCATCTAGAGTGTATTCACCTAGTTGTAGGAGCTCCCTTTTCATGCTGGACAGATCCCTATTAGAGGGATCTATGGTCAAACTATGTCTCAGAACTTGGAAGAAGTCAAACGACATTGTGGAGAAAATATCGAACAGGGCTTCTCTGTTAGCTGCGAAATAGCAAAATGACTTGTCAGTTTGGTTGGCAACACTAAAGGGATTTTTATGAAATACGAGGTTGAGCATAACAATACCAATTGCCCATATGTCAACTTTGCTGCATACGTAGGGCTCGGACCCCTCGTCGCGATCTAGATTGTCTTCAAAAAGCTCCGGGGACATATACCTTTCGCTTCCCACACTCCTATCGGAAGAAGTCTCCTCAGTTGTGGCCAAACCCCAGTCGGTAAGTTTGATTGTCCAATCAGACCCTTCAATGAGAATGTTCTCAGGTTTGACGTCTCTGTGGTAAATTCCTTTTTGGTGGACAAAGTCGATAGCCTCCATAATTTGAGATGCAATATGAGTGATCATTTTGGTCTTCTTGGGAACCAAATCAGCTCGAATGGCTTCGTATAGATCGCCTCCGGAACAATATTCCATTATGATGAAAGAATCGAAGAAGTCGAATAGTTCGGTGATATTCTTGTGTTTGCCGACTTTGGTGTGAATATCTACCTCGTATAGGGCTTCAAAACAAACGTTTTTCGACAACCTTGAGCGCACTTTTTCTGAGATCATAGATTTCTGGTGCTTTTTAAGCTGATTGAGCTTTTCATCCTCTTCAGAATCTAGAGAGCCATTCTTTGAGCTGTGTGGGGAATCGTTGCTGTCGCTCTTGAAAATGTACTTAACTGCCACCAGTTTCTTGGTTTTGGTATCATTTGCCAACGATACGTAGCCGTAAGATCCTTCGCTAATGTCGTCTAGCTTCTTATACCGCCCACGAAGCAGCCCTCCTTCCTTGTAGATGTCGTAGTCCTCTGACATGCTCGAAAACAAAAAGTTATTGACCTTCCAAAGAAAATTTTCGAACGAAAAAACAGTTCCAGTAGCGATTACCGGGACACAAATGTATTTAACTTCTGGTGTATTTCCTCAAGAGTAAGGTAGCTAGCTCTGATTTCTTCAAAGACTACCGTTTTGTGCCTGTTGAGGCTCCCTTTTTCACAAGAACAACAGTGATCCAAGCACTGGTGTCAAGATGTACCAACTGATTGAGACTGCTTGGACACCACGGTTGTAGTTGAGCGCTTCCACGGAAGTCGTTGTAGGATGTCTTAACACAACAAAGTCCCGCCTATTTCGCCTAACTTGGACGTTTTTGTTCTCGCGGGTTTGCGAATTCGCTAGTAGCTTGAATATCGAGAATGACGTCCAAAGAGTTGTTCGTTGTGGGCTTCTTTCCTATGTACTTGCGTTCGACGTTGATCGAAATCTGTAGACTGGTATAACATTTGGGTCTAATCAAAATAATATGACTTCGTTCGTGTGATATGATTAGTTGTCTGACATCACGTGGACGCCACAACATGAAAGACAGGTGCTCTTGAGCACTTGATATTTGGACATGAATATCGAGACTCTGTCAGCTGAACTTGGGGGTAGTTTTGGGTCGAGTTTACCATTTTAAATGACGCCGAATGGTGTGTTTTGATGTGAATGAATGATATTTCATCAATAAGACACAGGTAAAAGGACACGCAGAGTATCTCATTTCTCGAATAAGAATGAATTGGACATGATGAGATGCTTTGAAAGTTCTCAAATATCGATATGGAGGGGGGTGGGGGGTCATTGTACAGGTGTTGTGGAAGAAGAGTTGTCGGGGATGTGTGGCGCCGTTCAAGCTTCAATAACGGTCTCGCATTTCATTGACGCTAGGATCCGCTGTGGGGCACAGTTTGACACCGCTATATTTAGGTGCATCATTCGATGGTACTCCTCATGATCTAAATCATCTTGCTCCAAGTTCGAGTCAAATAGCTTACGCCATAAACAGAGAAAGCCCGCTATAGCAGGTAGGTCTTATGAACAGTTGGTCTGCAGGCCAATTCCCATTTGCTTGGTGAAGGGGATTTTGATTTGTCTCTAAAGGTTTCATAGAGCAATAAATCAGTGGTAGAATATCGTGTTTGTGAGCATTGTGAAAAGGCTACTCTTTAGCGTTAGAGCCATAAAAGATCCGTTTTAGCTCCCTTTGTTGTGGGCTGCATTAGGTGCACTCTTTCATCCATTGTTATTGGATCAGTGTGATTGAGCCAGGCTTGTAGGGTAGTGATTTTAGAGAGAAGGTTTGAGTTCTATCCCGCACCTCTTCCTGCAGTGTGCTATGAACTTACGTTGGACATTTGCTGACACGGCCCTTATGCAGCAAGACATCTGCAGAAAGCCGTGGGTGTCAAAGCTAATAAGGTCTGAAGATTCCTGTTCAACTAAGTCCCCTGATCGGTTTCTTGTACAGGGTATTGTTGACGCGTCTTCGAGCGTTGATAATATTTTTACGCGTCAACCTAATTTCCAGTCGTTGGTCCGTCGTTCATGACAGACACATTCATGTGTTCCGATCTAAATTGACTAGCCAAGCTCTGGTGTGAAGGTTAGTTTAGGATCCTGTCATGTATCGGGAGGCACGTTGTGTTTCTTTCATGAATCGAAGCAGAACTGGTTGAGATACGACATATACGTCATTAATTAAAATGTTAATAATTCCAAGCATTAACGACAGTCCATTTGACAACTTATAATTCATGACTCGACCCTACCGTCAAGTCAAGTCGTGAAAGTTGGTGTCGCAATGTTCTACCAAATGCGTTCTATTCGAGACATTCTCGAACCAGATCATGGTTCTCTCTGTGATGCTTCTTACAGTGTTTCTCTATTTATCACAATTCATGATTCCAGGAACATTTTCTTCATTAGTTCACCGAGCGCGTATATGTCAATGCTGCAAGTTTCCCGTACACTATCAACAGGCCCAAGCTCTACAGATTAGATCTGCGGTACTGTGGGAATTGCAAGACTGTAATTCATCACCTCGAATCTATATCGCTTTGTACTATTCTGTCATCCCATTCGCACCATAAGCAAGGAATAGTGAATAGTTGGCGAACTAATGAATAGAAACAAAGCAACGCCCAACGCTACGCTTCCTGACTTATTTTAGATGATCAGGAACTATTTGACCTCTTTCACCTGAAATCTAGCTGGCATCTCGTGCGACTACGTACTTACACTTTGTTGGCACGCAGCTACCTGATGTTTTGCCGAAGAGCGCTAGCTCTTTATTCACCTGCTAGGCTTCGAGTATTTCAATTTCTTACCATTAGGAGCTATGCTGTTATATCTCTGCGACCATACCAACAGGAATGCATTGACAAATGCGTGGAATCGATAAATCGAGGCCAGAAGCGAATCGGCGTATCACTTGCCACTGGAAGCGGCAAAACTGTGATATTTTCCAGCTTAATCAACCAGCTGCGCAGTGCTTCTGGGCACGTCAAATACCGGGCTTTGGTTCTGGTGCACAGACGAGAATTGGCCTTACAAGCATGTAAAGTGCTGAAGACACTTTTCCCACATTTGGATGTACAAGTCGAAATGGGCCGTGCTCACTGCAATATCGAGTCGGCCGATGTGATTGTGGCATCCGTTCAGTCCTTGATACGAAGATTGGATCGCTACGATCTGAAAGACATCGATCTTATGATCATCGACGAAGCACACCATGCAGCTGCCAATTCGTATCAACAAATTCTAAAACACTTTGGCGCCGCTGACAAGACTAGTCCAATACCAGTGATTGGCTTTAGTGCCACGTTTGAGAGGGCCGACAATAAAGCACTTTCCTCTGTCATGGACGAGATTGTATATCACCGGGGCATTATAGAAATGATCGACGATAAGTGGCTATGTGAGGGCCGTTTTACTACCGTGGACGTAAGGTTGGATCTCAAAGACGTTTCAACCACGGCGGGCGATTTCAATTTAGATGGGCTGTCGCGGGTTGTGAATACTAGGGAAATAAACAAAGTAGTGCTTCACACTTACCTGCAAAAAAAACGGGACCACAAGCTCAAATCCACGCTGCTGTTTGGATGCGACATTAAACATATAGAGACTTTGCAAGAGCTGTTTCAAAACAATAATATCAATGCACAATTTGTGACAGCTCAAACCCGACAAACCGAACGAGACTCCATCGTCGAAGACTTTAAAAATGGTCGCATAGAGGTTCTCATGAACTGTGGGATCTTTACGGAAGGAACAGACTTGCCCAATGTGGACAGTGTGTTTCTTTGTAGGCCCACTCGATCAAGGTCTTTACTGGTGCAGATGATCGGCCGAGGACTGCGTCTTCACCATACAAAGGATTTCTGTCACATTGTTGACTTTGTTGGTGCTTCAAATGTTGGTGTGGTGTCGTTTCCAACTCTTGCTGGGATCGATGGTACTAACGTTGACCTCGACGAGGCTACGATGCTAGACTTGGAAAAGATCAAAGAGGAAATGATTCTAAAACAGCGAGAAGCCGAGCTTCAACAGCAGAAGGAACACGAGAACGAGTTGCTGATTCACCAAAAATTCCAAGAACTCCTGAAAAATTCCAGTGCCTTTGATCTGACGCTCACTACATTCGAGGATTTTCTGTCATTTCACAAACAAACAGCTATGATCGGTGACCAGCAAGCTCTTAATTATAACTCAGAGCTCGGAAGAGAAATGAAATATCTGCGAGAATCTACATACCCGTGGGTCCGTTTTGCCAACGATGGGTGGGCGATGCCACTCGACATGGGACACCATTTGCGCATCTATAAGGAAACTGGCAAAACTGAAGCCCATACAATGTACACCTTGAAACTGTACACGGAGTTTCCATACAAAGTTCGGCAAGAATTGGGGATGCGCTACAAGCCGCAGAATGTGAAGAAAGCTCACGATCTTGGCGTCGTTGCTGCGGCAGTTGACAAAATCGTGCAGGAACTGAAGATGAGTCCTGAAATGTCTGGTAAAAAGTACCGAAAATACGCCCCATGGAGACTCGCACCTGCAACGCCGAAGCAGCAAGCGTTAATCAAGACCAAGATTTTGAACGTGTTGTCCAAAGTTGGATCTAAGAAGGCGCCCGTCCTTTCAAAATCACAAATCGATATATACCTTGCAAATTTGACCAAGGGAGAAGCGTCCAACCTTTTATTTGCCACTAATTTGGCGCCGATTTATCCCATTAAGGCACTCTGCAGGACAGTGTCATACAAATTCACGTAAGGGAAAAACTTGCGTACGGTTAATGGTTGAAATTTAGGATGGCATATCATCTGTTGTGGCGTGATGAGTGCGAGATGAGTGCGAGGTATCAGTCTTAGAGTGCTGTTCTTAATGATGAAAAATGTTGAAGGTTAAAAGTCCCGAGAGAATTCGATCCCGGAAGGCATCAACTTTGCTACCGTGCGCATCACATTTGATCGAGGGCTCTAGAATGCTTTCGAGAACAGTTGAAGATGGTTAAAAGGACCCAGAGAGAAATGGGCGACTAATATGTAATCTCGACAAGAAGTCTGTGTCAGCGTTTTGGTTTAAGCTACGCCGTAGAGAGCCAGTTGAATCCCGACAACAAAATTCAAGAGAAGTGTGCATTTTTAATTCCCACGTCGAGGCTTCGAAAGTTCGATTTGAGGACACAAACTTGCGCTTTCCTCAGAGTTGATATTTGGACAAAACCAAAGTCATTTTCATGATGACAGTGTATTTAATGATTATCGTGGAAAAAGTTGATTTCTCCAAATTCAATGTTAACAGGGCATCGCACCGAAAGGCAAGATCAATTGTCCCGGTATTGAGTGATAAATAGCGTTCAAGTTAACAATGCAAAGATTTCTGCAAGTACCAGGTCCGATGAAGACACTATTCAACCAATTTCCGCTTCAAACGTATGGTCCCGTTGAAAAAAGGGACGACGCTTTGGCTAATGAATTCAATACTCTAAGTTATGCTTTCGAGGGCAGTGACGCGCGTCAGAAATCCGTGAATGATACCTTCAAATTAGGCGTGTACAAGGTGGTGCAAGATCCTTCTACCGGCCACTTTTTAGCGTCGGATCCGTGGTGTTTGTTCACGCAGCTTTCGCTGTGCAAGAAAAATAAGCTGAAATTGAGCTCCAATGAAAACTCAAAGACTGCCACGGGTTCCAAGACGGTTCACAGCCACTGCGTTCTTGAACTATCGCCGCTAGCTTCGAGCGATCGTTTTTTGCCTGTCTTGGTCGAGGGCTACGCAAAACGGCATGTGCGCTCTGCAGCGGGCATCTACGAGATTTTGAGCCAGCGTTTCAGTGGCGCAGAAGAACGCATGTACTCTTTGCTCCTGGATTCTGTGGTCTACGACTGCTATATGGCCAAGGTTTTGTATGAACTGACGACAGACCAGTTTTTGGAGTTGTACGGAGGCAAGACCTCCTCTACGGCCGTGAACCCTTGGATCTGCCACAACCATCGTAGCGATCTGAGCAGAAGAAACGATTTTGCTCTGCGTCACCGTGAATTGGTCTCTCGGCACAGTCTGCCCACTGTCCTCACTGGGCGCTCTGAAGGTATTCAGCAACTACTCAGTGGGATCGACGAGAACTGCCTGAGGACGCTCGTTCAATTTCAAGACCTATTGGAAAAGTCTGCAACCGAATTTTTCCTGGGAAATACAGAGCCCTCGTTTTTGGATCTGAAACTCACAAGCTATATCTATTGCTTGCTCCTTTTGCCTAAGCACCAAATGTCCGTTGCAGATTTTTTGCGTCAAGACTGCCCTGATTTAATCGAACATGCACAAAGAATCATCCAACACTATCACTAGAATTGTCAAAACAAATGCAAAACATTACTCTAAACATACCTAAGTTGCCCTTCCGTTTCTGGCAAGCTCCCAGTGTATGTTTGATGATGTATTTTTTTTGGGCCTTTCCAGGAACCGAACTGGAACCAAAACCATTGACAGAATCGACCAAACCGGCAGCTCTAATGCCCCCAGTGCCACCCTCGACACGACTCCAAAACATGTGTGTGTTATGGTCCAGTTTCAGGTCTGACACCTTCCTCATCGCTATCCTTCGTTGAACGTGCTCTGATGCTCTATTTACAGAATTCTAGTCTAACCTCAAACTTCAAAAGCCAGTGCAGCACAACATTTCGAGAGGTTTGTATCTTGACAGCCGTAACTATTCACTGTTTCAGGTTGAAACGAGTTGTGAGGGGGGTTTGAAGCAGCTTTTGAAGTTTTATAAAAGTCTAGAAGTGTCAAGAACTACTGGAAAAGTTGTTTGGTGAACACATTCCGTACAACTCTCTAGCTCTTCAACTAGTAAAGGGTAACGCGTGGGTCAACAGAGGGTCTCGAACTCAATTGTGAAGTATAAGCAAGACTTACATCATAAGGTTTTACGTCTTCTTGTCTTGCTCAACGAGAGGAAGTGATTCCGTTGCTTGAGTCTTTTGATACAGGTCATCAGAAAAAAGGCGTACCGAAACAATATTCAGCAGTCTGTGATATTGTCAAAGTGGCGCCTCTGGTGAATCTCTGGTAAATCTTTGAACGGCTTTACGTCCTCGTCGATGAGATGCCAGCAAGCGTCAAGCATGAAAAGGAAGAAGTGATCACGACCAGTAGAGACGGTCAAATCCGGCAATACGACTCCGAGGAAGTAGAGGAGTCGTTAAGGCTCATCGAAGACGTGAAGTTTTTCCTGGCAACAGCCCCAGCAAACTGGCAAGAAAATCAGATCATTCGCAGGTATTACCTGAACAACGACCAAGGTTTTGTCTCGTGCGTTTTTTGGAATAACCTGTACTACATTACGGGTACAGACATCGTCAAGTGCTGTGTGTACCGCATGCAAAAATTCGGAAGGGAGGTGCTGGATCGCAAGAAATTCGAAGAGGGTATATTTTCCGACCTGCGACATCTCAAATGTGGCGTTGACGCTACTCTTGAGACTCCCAAATCCGAGTTTCTGTCTTTCCTGTTCAAGAACATGTGTCTCAAGACCCAGAAGAAGCAGAAGGTTTTCTTCTGGTTCAGTGTGCCCCACGACAAGCTCTTTGCCGATGCTTTGGAAAGAGATATGAAGAGACAGAGTGCAAACCAAAGCTCTACCACGCGATCTGTAAGTGAGCCCGCTTTGTCTTTCACCTACGACGATCGATTGGGCATCTCCTTGTATGATCAATTGATACAGCATACGCAGCTGCAGCGCACAAAACGCCCAGATTCATCTACAGGAGTGGAATCTACCACTTCCACGCATTCGACTACCAATTACAATCAGGTAGAGACCAAAACCATCATATCTTCAGAATACAGCCCGACAAATGTAAAAGATGAAACCATTGGCTCCGACATGACGCTCGCTGCCGACGACATGACCTCGAAGTACACATCTCAGGAACTCGTACTGAATCCGCCACAAGGATCACCAGAGGAGCTTGAGTTGAACCCAATTTCGCAGCCTGTTCGTTTTACGAAGGAAAATGGAGAGGATGACGATTTTCCGTTGGACTATTTTCCTGTCGAAGTTGAATATCCGGATCAACCGCTCAACTCTAATATTTACTACGAAAACGATTTTGACGCCGGTTTCGTTCCGCTGTCTGCTGTCCCGCCTGTCTCTGCCGGATTTTATGAAAGCCCGCATTTTGCAAGTGAAGTACCTTTTGGCCCACCTCAAGTAACATCAGCTGCTAGACTTGTATTTCAAGTACCTCCACCACCAGTTTCTGCTACTCGTTCTCAATTTATAACCAATGGCGAGTACTATAGGTCATTCGTCAAGGAACAGGAGGACCGGGACAACGAAAAGCTTTCACCTGCGCTGAATCAGGACAAGGAGGAGCAAGAGATGGTTGGGTATCCCCGCGAGTTTGACCGCAGCTCGAAGCAGTATTCTTCGTATCATAAGCCAGCGATGGATGCCAGAAACTTCCATAACGGGTACCACTCGGGTTCAATTTATCAAAACAGGTACGGCTATCCCTCGATGGAATTACAACAACCAGGTGTTTTAGATCCTGTTATGACCAGAAGCTACGCCATGGAGGACTATCTGTCCGACAATGCAGCACTTTATGACGCATATCCCGGAGGCGCTTATTGCGCGCCCTCGAGTAAACCTTATACCCCAGGCTATCGATTGACGCCCGTGGCTCCTTCCACCCCTTATTTGGGAACAGCACAGTTTAGTAATAAACAATTACCTGTTGGCCAAGCGAAGAATCATCCCATGAATCCCTATTATCAATCGTCCCCTGGCTTTCGACGCTGGGGTAATGTACATGGGTATTTGAGAGGCTTTCCTTCTATCCAAGCCACTTCAGCTCCTCAGGTTCCATCTCACGCGATGCAGCATCCCCATTCTGCGTCCAAGATGTACTTCAATAAACCAAACATGGTTCACAAAACATCGTCAAGAACCCCTAAGCAAAGGTCTCGAGCTAAAAAGCTCCCCTCGGTCTCACGCTCTGCATTGATGAAGAATCGCAATCACAATAGAAGCGACTCAGGCCATGACACGACCAACATGTGCATGTCACCATCCGAGCCTAGCTTGAGGTCGCTGGACGAGACTAGCACTAAAGCAGGCTACCCCGCTAACAATTACAAAAACACTTTTTCCAAGAAAGATGAGGATCAAAAGGTTATTTACAAGTAACGTTGGATTCTACACATGGATTTTTCTGCACTTTGCGACTTCGTGTGCTTGAAATCACTACAGATCTTAGGAGTTGTGCATTAAGTAAAGCGTATGTATCATTAATTCTTTTTCGTTTCATTCATCAGGGCCTGCGTTAGGATTTTCCTGAAGGAACTGTTCAAGTGACATCTGTGTTATTTGATTCAACAAATTCTCATCTTGCATCATTTCCATTCTAGTCATTGTGAGATCATTTTCGCTTACAAAGCTTTTGACTGATTCTATCAGATCTTCGGTCTCACGCCCATGCGGTTGAGGGGGGAGGACATCGAACTCGTAAACATCCCTCTCCGACCAGATGTGTTCAGGGATGCAAGCCATTAGTGGAGATTCTTGCGATAGAACGGCAAAACGCAGCAAATTAACATGCATCCCGTCTATGAAAAATGGACTTTCAGCGCTGAAAGTGCTCGAAGGTTTAGTCGATAACCGGCCAGACTTTAACTCACTAAAAAGAGTGAACAGTTCGTCATACAAGAAATTAAGTTCTGGTCCTCTCCAAAGCACCTTCATTCTTATCAAGTATGCCTTTGTTTCGACGACCGAATCAGGCGATACCTCGGATGATTCAAGTCCAGCGACAACGGATTCATCTCCCAAGCCACCTTCGACAAAAATGGAGCGCAGGGCCTCTGAGTGGTGGTAGAATGCCTTTCTAAGTTCTGATCTGGCGCTATCTTTCAACCCAAGCTTCAGGTAGGAAAACACAATTCCGAGAGCCATTCCAAGCGTGTACCAATCAGCGTATGTATTGATCAATGGGGATTTTGCAAGCTGGATCATAAATTCGTACTCCTTATTCATCAGCAGGTAGTGTTCCATGAAGTATCTGCAACCGAGAGGATCTTCTAAAGGAGACAATGACCATAAAACCTTGCACCACTCACTTGCCGTTGCGACAGCTCCCCTTTGTGACAGAATTTGGATGTACCGGAAGATAGCAAAATAGAACTGTCGATTGAAAAAATGAATGTAGGGGAGCTGGCATGACGTGCCATTGAAAGCGATGTGAGATCTCAGAGCGCGGTCAAAGACGAATAATGCTCTTTCTACAAGCCCATTGCTGTTCGCCTTGTCACCTTGCCTTACCAAAATGAGCGCCACTTGAAGAAGGGCTGGAACTTGATATGGAAACTTGGAGGATATTAGACCAATGAGAGCTTCGTGATCGGGATGCAGAACGACGCTCATGTAAAATTCTGTCATCGACTTGCGGGTGAGTTCAGGGTTCGCAGGTTCGAACTTGAAAAAGTTTATTCCCGCTTTTTCCCACTTTTTAATCGAACGCTCAATTTCGTCGATCCAGTCCTGAGGTCGTTGCCAAGCATTCCAGTCCTTGAGTTCCTGGCGAGAAAGCTGTGTAATCACGAATTCCCCACGAGCCGTAGGAATCCAATCGTCTCTGATTTTAGTGAACGCAAGGCGTCTGGTAGTCGAGCCGTTCGGAACTGTTTTATGGTCTTTTCCACCCCAATTTCTTACCATGTGTTTTAGTCTGTCGATCTGCTTCATCACTTGCGGCGAGACATGAGTGGAAGTCATGGAGTCTACATCTGCTAGCGATTCGGCTGACAAGTCGTCAAACAGCAGCTTGTACTCGTTGTCCGGATTTAACTTTCTCATGTCTATGAGTCCAAAAATGCGTTCGTACTCCGAAAACGAATCAAATTTAGTAAAGCCAGGGTCTGTGGAAGAGCTAGCATCTGGGTCATTGTTTTGATCGTCTTCAACTTCGTTGGCAGTGTCAAAATCGCCCTCGGACTCGTCAGAGTTTTCCAGCTTTGATTCTAACGAATTTTTCTTACCCGCCAAGTCTCGTAGTCGAAATTGCTCGAGCATGCGATCTAGCTCTTCGTCGCTTTCCCCAGCAGAGTCTTCATTTAGTTTTCGACTTTTTCCAGTTACCTCACTTGCCTTTGTTTTAGCACTTTTATCTTTCTTGTTTTTACGGCTTTTCTTCTTCTTCTGAGAATTCGTTGCACTTTGGACCGGTTTTGGCTTTTCAACAGTCTTGAAAGGCTCCATTTCCTTCGAATCCTTATCAGATTGCGAATGGTCACTTTCTGAGTCTTTTTCGTCCTCATCATCGCCTGCCATCAGGGCAAATATGTTGACAGGTTTGGCTTTTTGCCGGTTATAATCATCGTTAGACTCGGTTTCAGCTTCATTTGAGCCTAGTTTGGCCAAGCTTTGTTCCAAACTATTCTCCTGAAGCCTTCTCAATGCCCTTGAACTCATTTGATGACTGTTCGCGTTGCTTAATGCTATGGAGATGACCTAGTTGAATATGAATGTAGAGTTCGATATTTCATAGAACGCTATTAGACAGACTTCGTTCATTACGATGAGATGTCGGATCATTATTATAATATACTGTCACTCTAACTGGCCATACATAAAAGCCATTTTCTGTTCTCACTTCTCTGATCATAGTGCAGTCAGTACAATTGGTGAGGCCCTGTTCACCATTTATTTGTCCTCTTTTTGTCCATTAATCCAGTGGTTGTCGGAATTCCATGATACTCGGTAAGATTTTACTCGCTGCAAACTAAGTTTATGTCAAAGGCCTTGTATTCTCGAGAGAAGAGAATTTTCAAGCTCACATGGATTGAAATTCATTGTATCTCTTACAGACTTCCAGGCTCTATTACGTCATATAAGAGAATTTTGGTGAGTTAAAAAATAAAGTGGTATACTTCTGAGCTTCTAAGATATTATAGAAACACCGGGAAATATCGAAGGCCCAATGTGACATTTTTTTTCTGTGCTTTATCGTCCAGGACTGTGATTAAGTACGCGACATATCCGAAACCTGAATATAATCAACCTTAAAGCTTCTTCAAGCAGTTCTATTCCAACGCGCATATTTATTACTTGAGGTCGCAGTGCATAACTCACTTGCAGTCCACTCTCAAAGTTTGAACTTGACGGTTTTCATTGTTTCGAGAACTTACAAAAGTTTGAACACAGCTAGATAGTCGTGAAATTCAAGTACATAGAGCTAATTCCCAGATTTTGACGAGCACCAACATTTTTGAAGATCTGGCTTCATCACAAATGATAGGCAGAATACAACATTTGAAGACCATTTAAGTGGAGATTGCCCATGTAGTGGCGGAAAGTTTCCAGAGCGTAAACACTCAGCTAATATTGACCAGCTTTTCTCGTGAGTCGAAATGAACTGAAGAAGATATCTGATAAACCATACATATCAATGTATGGCCATACGTTGCTACTATAAACCAAGCTTTCCTCTTTATATGCTACCTGCTCTTAATCAATCGAAGGTAAGCGACACATCACTAATGTGTCTCATTGTCACAGTCTCCATACATTTAAATGAAAAAATTCAGCTCATCGCGGCGATGAGCTTACAGAAATAAAAAACAACAACTGCTGAACTAACCATTCTTCTGAGCTCTACCTCTACTTTGGCGTCAAATAACTCCAGAGTATAAACTTTGTCTGACAGGAATTGAAGTTCAGTTCTCCTCGATCAATATGGCAAAGAAGAAGACCCTCAAACAACAAGATTTTCAGAAGAAGAAGCTAAAGGTCGGCAAGCCAAAGCAACCTGCTAGCAATGTTACAGACACATCGTTCTCGGCACGGATGATATCACTGCCGAACCAGGCGAAAATCAAATCTGCAGCGAATAATAACAATTATTGTGGTCCAGGGAATCCAGACAAACTCGAAAACGACGTTATCAAACGACTGTCGCTATGTAAGCACCATAGTGCCGTCACGAGGAAGGAAACGCTGATTCATTTCAAACAGTTGGTGCCAAAAATCATTCGCACCAAGTGTATCACTCCTATGCTGAATAGCTGCCTACCTATGATATGCGATGAGGACTCACAGGTTAGAGCTGTTTTACTAGAGCTGTTCGAGGAACTTGGGCAGTATGACCAGAATGTACTCCGTTTGCACAGCAGAGCGCTGGTGCTCTTCATCAACAGCAGTATGACCCACATAGTACCAGCTATTCAACGCGACTCAGGCAAATTTTTGAGATCCGCTTTGCGGTATTGTGGAGATGAACTCGTTCGCAACTCATGGACGAAACTCCTCAAAGGCTTGTTCGGTGTTCTTGGATGGTCTGTGGAAACTTCTAAAACTCCAAAGAGTGTCAGCATGGGTGTGAAGAGCTCTAGTGTGGTTAGCATGAATAGTGCCAAAGCCAAGAAAGCACAGCAGTCCAATATCGAGACATTGCTGGAATTTGTTAAACGCGGGTGCATAGAAGAATCCCCTGATACGCATCAACAGGCTCTCCTCGCCTCCTCTGCGTATAGCAAGTACCTTATTCCAGCGGCTCCACAACCTTACCAGCACTTAAAGCTGTTCGTTAAAGAGCTGAAGAATGATCAGGCAGGAATTGGCTCTAAACTTGAGGAGGTTTTGAATGTCACTCTCCAGGATTTTTCCGCAAGACGTGAAGTCTTACTTGCCCATTTTTACAGTTCAATGCTACAGAACGTATCCGGTCTGATCACCGGTGGTGGGGAATGTGGGAAGACTGCTAACGTTTTGAAGGACACACTGGAGAAAATAAAGCAGATGCAAGAAGCCTAGGAGAGCACAGGGCTGCTTTTACAAAAGTTAAGGACATATTTTTTAGAAGTTTTAGTTCTTCCTGAAACATCGAGAGACGATGAAGACTATAGGCAAGCGAGAAATTGCAAGTCGGCTCGCCTCATAATGACGAGGCTGCAGCTCCGAAGACCTGATGATCATAATTGCATAAGTTCTGGGCCGTTTGAAGACTGTTTATCTTTTGTGCTTCTCAGATGTCCAGCCCGGAAAAACTGGGACATTTTGGCGCGACTCAAGGCAGTTGAAAAGATATGTCTCGAACGTTGCAGGCTTCGGCGAGGCTGACGGTAGAAAATGGACATATGAGTCGTAATTACGTGTATTGCATTGTGACGGCTCTGTTTCGATTCCTTGTATATGAGAGGCCTGCGCCAGTATAGAACACCTAATGGTCTCGCGTCTGATCCTAGTCAAAATGAGACCTCAAAAATGAGGCACTCTCGTTGTCGACAGGCTAGCTTCGACAATAGCAGATGTTATATTTTTTAGCATGACTGGCAAAAGGATATACAATTATTCAAAAGTAGCGAAAGAAAAGGTGAGACAAAGATACTCAGGATACATTCAAGCATCCCAACCATTTAAGAATTATTATCTGGCACTGAATTCTAACACATAACACCCATTTTCGCACTGACACATTCTTCTAAAGCGGAATCTTCAGTTCACTTCAGAGCACTTCGTACTATTCTGTCGTCAAAAAAGTCTCGAGTGACTTACAGTCGGAGATTCTTCTGGCAGAAAACAATTCGGCAGACAATGATATCCGCTTCAAACCTTCTATATTCGTAGCTCGCTCATTCTCCTCATAACCATCGATCCGAAAATCTTACTTACCTATACCAAAAATGCGATTATCAAAACCTTCAAAGAGGATTCGCATCCGGTGAAGCCTGTTTAAATCACAATTTGAATTTGACAACCAACGGCTAATAGCCACAGTAAACTAAAGTCTCAAATGCTTGGCTCGTCGGAAGTCTCTCCTGTACTCGCCGAGAGTATAAATATGTACTCACAAGTCGCGTTATATGGGATAGCTACAAAACGTGTTCGTTCAAAGAGCTATCGCATAATAGCCCCTGATAAACAAATAAACACATCACACTTATTCCAATCCAAAGATTATCCAACTCCCTCTTTAGATCGAATCATATCCGATAAGAGTCCTGGATTTAACACTCCAAAGGCTTAACAAATAGCTAAGTCAGAACTGTTGAGCCTAATCAAGAGCGATCGATCCAAGGCGGGTTTTTGCTCAGTAAGAAAAACATCTCTGACCGTTAGTACTATCCTGTCGCCTAAACCTTCGTTCTAGGAAGCATCAATTGTTTCTGTTAGCTCTAAAAAGTCTCTGTAGTTTGTGTTTTCTACAAAACTTACAGTCGCTTAGCTCCGATTGGCGTGTCCCTGACGATATCCTCGAGAAGACGGGTTCTACTTCAGTTTCTTGTTGTGTTTTTGGTGATACATTCTCAATTTCCGAGCCGATCCTTTTAAAGCAGGCTTCTGAGGACTCGTGTTGCTGCAAAGCTTAAACTTGTGATTTATTTGACGTTGTGTTCAGTTAGATTTGATCTCTGGTGTTCCACTTGACATACTTCTGGTGCGATTCCGTCCTTCTCGTACCACTCATTCTCTTGACCCCGAATAATTAGCATTTGCAGGTTCAAATGTCTTTCAGTTCCTCCTCGGGCTCTCTAAGCTATAACAACAACTTCACAAGTGATTACACGCATCAACTCCCCGCGCAACAAATGCAGTACTCCTCCGAGCAAGCCTCTTCTAGGTCCAACTCTCTTTACATGGGCGACCTGGACCCCAGTTGGGACGAGAACGCAATTCGTAAAATTTGGGCAACTCTGGGAGAACCCAACGTTCAAATCAAATTGATCAGAACTGCTGGTTCTTTCGGAAGCAACTCAGGCTACTGCTTTGTAGAATTTCCATCTCATTCCAACGCCTCCAATGCACTTCTGAAAAACGGACTTCTGATTCCAAACACTAGAAATAAGCTTTTGAAATTGAACTGGGCCACTTTCGCTGCTACTCCTGGTAAGGAGCATTCGATATTTGTGGGAGACTTAGCCCCGAACGTAACTGAAGCACAACTCTTCGAGCTCTTCATTTCAAGATACGCCTCGACGCTGAATGCAAAGATCGTTTTCGATCAGATGACAGGTGTGTCCAAAGGCTACGGGTTTGTTAAATTCGGTCAAGAATCGGAGCAACAAAGGGCCCTCTCGGAGATGCAGGGCGTTTTTTTGAACGGAAGAGCTATTCGCGTGAGTACAACGTCCAAAAACAGGGGCAAGTTCTCATCGCAGCTGCAACCCCAACAGCTCAACTCGCCACAACAACTGCAACAAAACTACGGCCAACATTTTCAAGTTTCTCCCTCCACAAACAATCAATCCATGGCTGCTCAGTCTCAGTTCATATACCCGGTTCAGCAGCAGCCCCCTCTTACTCAATATACAGATCCCAACAACACAACTGTTTTCATTGGTGGGTTGTCGGCGCTTGTGACAGAGGAAGAACTTCGCGCTTATTTTCAGCCCTTTGGCTCAATCGTATACGTTAAGATTCCTATTGGTAAAGGCTGTGGGTTCGTTCAGTACGTGGATAGACTTTCTGCTGAGACCGCTATCTCAAAAATGCAAGGGTTTCCCATTGGGAATTCGAGAATAAGACTGTCATGGGGCAGGAGCGCCAAACAGGCTGTGATGATGCAACAGGCTCTAGCTTCTCAGCATTCTAATCAGCAACAACAGTCGCAACAGTCGCAACAGTCTCAGCAGTCTCAGTCACAGCAGTTTCCGTTACCTCAATCAAACTTCCCCTACGAGGGCCAACCAGCGATGCCAACAGCTTATGGTTACTTAAGTACATGGGACTCTTTGAGTGGTAGCTACATGCCTTTTTCTCAGACTTCAATGAATTTGACCACCGACTCTGGCACTAATTCCTCAACCTCGCTTCTCGGTGGTTTGAGTAATCTGAGGTATTATGGGGGACCAGTTGAATCGTCCGCGCTTAACAGCGCCTTCAGCTATTCTCCCATGAACCCTAACTCACACTCAGTCACTATGGACAATTCGCGTGGAGCTGAACAGTCACCCGACCCCTCAGCTTTTGACATTTCCTCACATCCTCAGTTTCTAGTGCAGGGTAATGACGTGTACGTTAAGGCCAAATCTGAGACCATTGACAGGTTAGAAAAGGGAAGCAATGGTTTCATCTTTGCCTAAAGCACCGTGGCGTATCTTATAGCTCTCGATGGGTTATGAGAGGATCACGTCTGCTGCTTCAAATGGTCATTGTTGGTTCTGTTTGTGCATTTTGATAGGTAAACCGATATCAAGGCTCAGGATTAACTCCGCTCGAACAATTACTGAATTTTTGCTAAAAACTTCAAAGAAATAGCGATTGGGTCGCTCGCTTTGAAATCGTTATGAATTTGTTTTGTCAATTTGACTTTAAACCATTGATTGGTATTGTACTCAAACATTTGTTTTTTTTTGAAAATCTGTTCTATGCTTCCTATAGGTAAATACTTTTAATTTAATATCTTCGTCCAGCGCATAAGCTCAGAAGCTATGGTGATTGTGAGCCCTTTTTGAAAGAGGACAGTAGTATTAGACTGTATGATAGAAAATCCAAAAGATCTGTCACGCTAAAAGACGAACCAAAAAATCCAAAAAATCTCCGCGACGGGGAATTGAACCCCGGTCCCGGGCGCGACAAGCCCGAATTCTAGCCACTAAACTATCGCGGACGAGATATGTCAAGTATAAAGACTTCAAATTATATATGTCAAGTCTTAAGCCTAGTGACTTCCTTGCGATGAAGATGAAAGATCTAGGTTCCTATGTAGTGGTTATGCAGTTTTGTTAAGATACACTTTCAAGCTACATAAACATTATCACACAGTTGTGGTTAAATAATCTCTATAGCGCCCAGATATGATGTCACTGTTAAGCTTCAAATAAAACTACCTAGATCTTGTTTGTAATGACATTCACTACCTGCTGGAATGATAATTGAGCATGTCGTTTTCTTACACCTCATCGCCTCTGAGTGGACTGCTCCGGTAGTGACTGCTGCTAAATTACAATACAAATACTTGGGACGGGACTTACGCATGTTATATGCTAACACTCTGGCCAAAAGAATGAGTGCAACCTCCTGCCCTTTACGAGTTAGGACCGACTCCATTTGCAATACATCTACTTTTAAAAGAATGCTTCCAAAAATCCAGAGACTTCGATTCAAACAATGGGATTTCAACTGACCAAAACTCGAAATTCTAGTCATAGGTAATTACTCACTTACAACCCCCTCGGCCTTTGTTTGGAAAATGGTCAACGTTTTATGCTACTTAGGTTTGATGTCAATCTAATGTGTCCTAATGTCAGATATATCTTCAAACTATTAAAAAAGATAAAACTGAAAAAACGTCTTGCAGAACATCCAAGGCGTGCTCCAGGTGAGTCCTGAATTCCCTAAATCAATTTCACAGATCAACAACGGTCTTTTGTTCATCACTACGACAACTCGGCATCATCTTATGTCTATCAATGATTAAAGATATACTAATTCACTCCAAAAGAACAGAGTGATGTTTTGAATAAACCCATGGAAAGAGAATTCAAGCATGGATTCCACATTGATAACAACGTCGAATAAACTGGCATTGAGTGGTCCTCTATGTCTTAGAGTTTACTATGGTGTTTTCTCCATAGTGCTCAAATATAATCTTACACGAGGAGACGGCGTGCCCGATTGGATAAAATTTTCTAAGCCCAAATAAGTCGCCACCTTTAAGTTTGATCCCTCATACGTGAAGGAACACAAGTGAATTGAGACAAAAGTGGCATTGATTTTGCTGATAACGGCGTGGAAACCTCGAGAATCAATTGGCCACACTTTGAGGACTACGGCAGTATAGCGTTCACGATCTTAGCGCAGTTCTAAATGCCCTAAAATCGCCGCTTTTCGTTTTGTTTACACTGAAATTAGTAGACCACTCATCATTCGAACCACAATGTCGGGAATTGAAGGACATGAAGAACAAGTTGCAGAGTTGAAGTTCAATTATGATCTCCTCATCAATGAGCTGTATCACCTCAAAGAATATACATCGCTAGTCGAGTTTGATCCATACTTCAGGAACTCGTCTGAGAGCTTTGACCATTTTGTCAAATCCAGCAGTTTGGCATTTCGAAGAGCAGAAGCCAACGGCTCAGCCGAAAACACAAATGACACACGCAGAATACGAAGAAGACAGACCAGGAGTGAGCCCTCGGTGGCTGTCGATCATAGTTGGGGCTCAAACGTGGACTTTCTAGTCGAAGAAAGATATAAAGAGCTGGAGTGCAAATTGGAAAACAAACCGTACAAACGTCAGCTGCCCGTCAAAAAAGAACTTATACCCGCTGTTAAGAAAGCGAAAGTAGAACCTAAACCAGCATTGACTAGCATAGTACCTGTGAAGCAGGAAGGAAATGTCGCTGCGACCAATATTCCCAAGCTATTTCAAGCTCAAGATTGGCACGCTCCTAGCGCAACAGAAGACCCTGCGTGTGACAGTACTTATTACACTAGCTCCTCTTCCGAAGAAGAGCGAGAACGAGACACTAGAAGGAAACAAAGAAAGTTTCCACATTTCCGCGTCACGGTGCATCCCCCACGGCAGACAGTAACGAACCCATTGCATGTATTAAAGCCCGAATATGCGTCCTTGAGTGAGTTTTTAAACTCTTACAGGGCGCTTGACGAAGATATGTCGGTGGCAGAATACGAAAAATATATTGACGGTCAAAAAGGCTTGTTCTCCAAAATTCGAAAGGGTTTGGAGAGCGGAGTACTCCGTTACGATTATGAGACGGATTCTTTGCAAGCGATCACGCTAAAAGATGCCACTGGTGTTCAGTCTCATAAGCCTGAACCTATAACATTCCTCTACAAGGAACAACAGCAGTACACTTTCCAAGACCATCTTATAAATCATGGAATCTTCATGACCAGACGTTTTCAAGAAATCAAGAAGGCTCGTGCCGCAAACGTAAGGAAAATTACGCTGATGGTAGAGCAGCACTTCAGGCATGTTGCGGGCGCCGAGGAACGTCAGCAAAGGGAAGAAGAAAAGCGTTTGAAATCCTTAGCGCGAACAGCAGTGCAGGCAGTCAAAAGAAGATGGATGGTTGCCGAAAAGGCTTACAGAGTATTAAAAAAGGACGAAGAAGATCAATTAAGAAAAATTCAAGGTAAAGAACATTTGAGCAAGATGCTTGAGCAGAGCACCCAGCTTTTGGGAGCACAGCTGAAGCGCTTGAATCAAGATGAAAACGAAAAAGAACTCAACACCTCAGCAAGTCATAGTGACATGGAACATAGTAACAGTGATAACGACACAGATTCATTCACCTCTTCCGATGAGGAAGGTTCTTCTGTTTCCAGCGAAGATGACGCGCGTCTTTCTGTTGAACAGCTCCAAAACAAGTACGCCGATTTAAAAGAACTGCATGAAAAGTCCGATGATGAACATGTGTCTGACCAAACAGTGGATAGCGGAAACACTTCAACATCGAGAACACCCGTAAAGCTTACGGAAGAAGAAGAGCTCAAACTCAAAGAAGTCGAGGAGGATAAAAATCTCGGTTTCCTGGATGAAAACACAAGTCACGACTCTGATTCCGGCTCCGAGTCCTTAAGCGATAGTGACAACAGCGAAATGAGTGACGTCGAGACTGATGGGAAGGCAGGTTCCGAAGGACTATCTTCACTTTTCCAAAATTTCGAAGAAGGTGCGTCGGAGGCCGAGTCTGACTTTGCGTCTCCGACGGTCAGCGAAAACGGATTATCAGACAGCGATGAAACATCTGACATAGGGTCACCAGATCAACCCAAGAGCGCACTTGAGCCACTTCAAAATCATGATTCTCAACCCGGGTCTGACAAGGAAATTCAAAAGGACCCGCTTGCTGTTGTTGATGTTCCGGTCCCATCCTTGCTTCGCGGTAACCTGAGAATCTATCAAAAGCAAGGCTTGAATTGGTTGGCTTCGCTTTACAACAATAATACGAACGGTATACTTGCTGATGAAATGGGTCTAGGTAAAACAATTCAGACCATTTCACTTCTGGCCTATTTGGCGTGCGAAAAACAAAATTGGGGGCCTCATTTGATTGTTGTACCTACGTCTGTTTTACTGAACTGGGAAATGGAGCTCAAGAGGTTTGCTCCGGGCTTTAAAGTCCTGACTTACTACGGCTCTCCCCAGCAGCGCAAGGAGAAAAGGAAAGGATGGAATAAACCAGATGCTTTTCACATCTGTATCACATCCTACCAACTTGTGGTTCACGATCAGCATTCTTTCAAAAGGAAAAAGTGGCAGTACATGATTTTAGATGAGGCCCACAATATCAAGAACTTTAGATCCACCCGTTGGCAAGCTCTATTGAATTTCAATACCGAAAGAAGGCTATTACTAACGGGTACGCCACTTCAAAACAACTTGGCAGAGCTATGGTCTTTACTATATTTTTTGATGCCGCAAACATCAGTGGGAAACAATGGTGGGATTCAAGGTTTTGCTGACCTCGAGGCCTTCCAACAATGGTTTGGTAGACCAGTCGACAAAATCATACAAACAGGTGAGGGATATCAGCAGGATTCTGAAACAAGAAAGACCGTTGACAAATTGCATCAAGTATTGCGTCCCTATCTTTTGAGAAGGCTGAAAGCCGATGTCGAGAAGCAAATGCCCGCAAAACACGAACATGTTGTATACTGTCGTCTGTCGAAGAGACAGAGATATTTGTACGACGACTTTATGTCAAGGGCTCAAACAAAAGAGACGTTGGCGAGCGGAAACTTCATGTCAATTATCAATTGTCTGATGCAACTTCGGAAGGTCTGCAATCATCCAGATTTGTTTGAAGTAAGGCCGATTTTGACGTCGTTTTGCGTAGACAAAAGTGTTGCTAATGACTACACCACACTGAATAGCTTCATGCTCAAGAGACTACAAGCTAAAAGCAGCGAGTTGGTAGACTTCACCACACTGAATTTGAATTTTTCATCAAATGATTCGTTTCTCTCGTCTCATCATGCCAAAAGCATCAATGAAAGCCAATGTGTCCGTCAATTTACAGACGAAGTTAATAAGCTGAGAAGTAAGTGGGAGGAAAAATCTAAGTCGGACATCGAGGGCTCTCCCTTCAACTTCCAAGACATCAACCAATATTATCAAAATTATGCTGCCAAAAAAAATGGTGACATGATCAGCAAATTGCAATACCTACGGTATATCAATAACCTGAGGTGTGCTAAACGACCTACTTACGGGAGTAACTTAGTGAAGTTGTTAAGCATAATAGAGCCCCAATGCGAAGAGTCCACAGAAGAATTGTTCATGCCTTTGCAGACAAGGATCAATCATAATAGAGCTACTATTGAAAAATTTGCTGTTATAACTCCTAATGTAGTGACCTTGGACACTCGGAATCTGACACTGGGGCTAAATGAAGAAAGTCTGGTACTTGCTAGTCAAAAGCAGAACTTGAAACAGGAACTCAGGTTCACAGAAAACCCATTACATCATCTGCAAACAAAATTGGCAATTGCTTTTCCAGACAAATCCCTATTGCAGTATGACTGCGGAAAACTACAAAAGTTGGCAACTCTATTACGAGACCTGAAAGACGGGGGACACCGGGCGCTTATTTTCACGCAAATGACAAAAGTTTTAGATATCCTCGAACAGTTTTTGAACTACCACGGCTATCTTTACATGCGGCTGGATGGTGCCACGAAAATCGAAGACCGTCAAATTTTGACAGAACGATTTAATAGTGATAATAGGATAACAGCCTTCATTTTATCGAGCAGATCTGGTGGTCTGGGCATCAACCTTACAGGAGCTGATACGGTTATATTTTACGATTCGGATTGGAATCCTGCAATGGACAAACAGTGTCAAGACAGATGTCATAGAATCGGGCAAACGCGAGATGTTCACATTTATCGCTTCGTGAGCGACCACACAATCGAAAGCAATATCCTGAAAAAGGCTAACCAGAAAAGGCAACTGGATAATGTTGTGATCCAGCGCGGAGATTTCACGACGGATTATTTCACCAAACTATCCGTAAAAGATCTGGTCGGTTCCGATATGAATGAAATTCCTGTCAGCGATAAGCCATTACTTGTCGACGAAGATGCTGCAACGAAAGATCCTCGTAAATTGGAAAAGCTGTTAGCGCAGGCCGAAGACGCTGACGATGTGAAAGCGGCCAACTCTGCGTTGAAGGAGGTTGAAATGGACAATGATGATTTTCAAGAGACGAATAATCGCTCAGAGGAAAATGGCGATGGTGCTTCATGGGAAGATGAATACGAAGGCACAAACCATGTCGAAGAGTATATGATCAGATTCATTGCAAATGGGAGCTATTACGATTGATGAGAGATATTTTTTTTGCATAGATGTTTGATGATCGACAATCGAAGAGCTGGTACTCTGGGTTTTAATAGTAAATGTTTAAATTAAAACATATTTTACCGTTTTCGACCTGCTGAGGTGAAGCATGATCGTGTAATCTTGCGCAATTAGCGGTACCTACGTGGATAGCGTCAAACGTTTCCTGGTCTTTGAAGAACCATGCGTGTAGAGAAAAGTCTCAATCGCTACTGATTTCGACGAATTTGAATATAGGATTGACAGTTCAAAATTGAAGAAAGGATTCGTGATATAACACCAGTATTTGAGGAGGGCGAAATCAAACTCTCGAAAAGATGGGTATTTGGTAATGGAAAGGTTCTGAGTTAATTTGGAACATTGGTGGGGGGGGGTTGGGGGACAGAGAGAGTTTGCTTACATAATATCTGCTGGAACCGAATGACAGAGGATAAAACAGTGATACTATTACTGCGGCGTCAACCACATCCATCGCTGCCCTTCCAAGACATTATTAGTTGATCAGAAATTTTGAATTATAAACCCAATATCGAGGCCTGGTGTTACGACTGAACAGAACAAGACAGATTTTGGAATAGAAGTTCCGATCTTACAAGTTATGTAAAAAGATCGACAAAATGTCTTCCTTTTTCACGAGGCAAACTGGATTCAAAATGGAGAGGTATATGACGTCAGCGTGTCATGATCAGTGTAGTCTCAGAAATCATTTCCTGGGACATCCGTAAGACGTCTCTACGTTGGTCAATATACTGACGCCCACGTGATCTCCATTCAACACCACGATTAAAAATCTACCTATACCCAGTTCTGGACCGATCCACATACGTCTTAACACTTTCAACAGTCGGCCCATGATCCGTTCGATTGTCTGGCGGTGCGTATGGCGATATATATACAGTGTTCTTTGAGATTGTAGCCAAGATGCACGAGTACACCGCCGACGCCTGAGAAAAACGCGAATGCAGTATATACATAATTATAACACTTTTGAGCGTCACGGATGTAATCATTTTACTGCTTGTAAACGCGAATGCAGTATATACATAATTATAACATTTTTGAGCGTCACGGATGTAATCGTTTTACTGCTTGTAAACGCGAATACGCCGCTATTAGCCAAGAATCCGACGCGAATCCAGGGAATCAGTTTTGAACCACATTCCGACAGAGAAGGAGCACCCAGAGACTTATTACAAGCTATCGGTCGTTTCAATGTCCAAAGGGAATTGTACTTACTCTTTATACTCTTGGAGCTCAATGTACAGGACTCGTGAGTCTCTGGACTAGACGGCTTTTTGGCATAGCGTCTGCACCACTTATCTCCACACCCAGTCACCAAAACACCCAGTCACCCATCCACCCAGTCATCCAAACACCCAGTCACCCAGTCACCCAAACACCCCAAACACCCGCTTTGCTCTGTCTTCTCTCCCAGCTCTTACGTATTTGCTCTTGAAAGGCGGCTATCCCCTGTCTCAGCAATAACAATAGTCTCTTAACCTATTTTTTCACGGAACTAATGGAAACTTGAACGAAACACACACACCAAGGCAAAAAACACGTAGTCCTGAGAAAGAGACAGAACGCGGCCAAAAAAAGTGTAGTAAAGGCATCTTAATGCAAACGCGCGTAGAGAGTAGTTTTGATTACCTTATTGCCTTCTACTGGTGCCACACCGGTACTGCATCTTCTGACACTCGTGTGTGTATTTGTGTGATCTTATGACAGCAACGTTTGTTTGCTCTTGAGTGCGGTGACGAGTTCGTAAAGCTGCGTTTGGGCCAAGGTGTGTTTGGCAATCCAAAAGTATATAAATGAGAGATATGATGTTCAAGTGTTACTCGTAGACCGCTTTCTTGTTTCCACTCAAACCAGTACTTTAAGCAACTCCGCCAAAACCGTATCCTATTTTACCGTCCTTTGGCTAATACAACTGTATATTGTACACTTTTACACCACATCCAACACCACTTCACCAAAAAAATATATCGCACACAATGGCTCCAGTCAAGTATTTTTACAAAGGCCAAGAAACCGATCTAGTCGTGTTTGCTGAATCCAGCGAAGCCGTCAACCAGTACTTGCAAGACCCTACAGTCGGCAAATTGACCGAGGCCGTCGGTGTGTTCAAGATCTTCACCAATTCACAAGGCGAGGGTGCTGAAGGTGAGCTAGGCGAGGCTTCCAAGGCTCAGATCGAAAACGAGTTTGGCGCCAAAATCAAGGTCGAAGAGGCTATCGCCAAGATCCTACAACAGGGCTCGCCAAACGCCAAGACCACTGACGTCAGAGCCAGCGACGAGCAGTAATAACCACGTACACCCACATCATAAGATATTTCAGGGCACTGGCATGTAGCATTTTCTAACGTATATTTGCATGAATCATAGTTAAATCAACAAACTATATGAGAATAACAATGACACACACAGGCCTCGACCGTCTACGGCCTCAACATGCGGCGGCTTCGTCGCCGCGAAAAAACCCGTTTGATTGACCACCGTGTGGATCGGAAGGTAGAGGCTCGCACAGGTGCAGTCTGAGGCTGTGTGGTAATCAAGTTGTCAGAAGCAGCCCTGATCAAGGCGGTCGTCTCTGTACGCATCGTGGCCGAGTTCGTGGAATTCCCCATCCCCTCCACGTCACCTGGATCCTGTTGCTCTGCTGCAACACTCACCTTCTCCAGTTGCGGGCTCCACACCTCGCACATGCCTCGTTCCACTTGCACACGTTTCCACCGAGTGAACACTGCGTTGAACGCCCAGGGATCGGAAGAAAACGCACCCGCGTCACCTCCACCACCACCATTACAAGTGAGTACACTCCTGCTGCTGCTGTCTGGTCTGAGATCCAATCGGCTCGACGATCCACGCATGAACCAAGTGGACGCGGGCGAATACTCCATCAGCGAGTCCCGAAACTCAACCTCGACCTTGGCTACTTCTCCGTTGTAACAATATCCGGCGCAATTGTTGGCCCGTCTTTTAAACGTTCGTGCTCTGTCAAATCGGCCCGACAGACTCTCATCATAGCTTATAAACGGGACCATCTGTTCAGGAAATGTTGTTGAGTCGCTAAAATGCAATGTGCTTTCAAGAGTCGACTGTGTCACACTCTCTTGTCTGGGCATTCTTCTCATTTCATCCACCCGTTCTCCCAACTTGCTGATGCACACGTCCAGTTCCTTGTACCAACTCTGGAACTCACTTTCGTCTCTTAGGAAGACAAGGATCTCCCAGAGTTTGAAGTCATAATCGAACTGGATCTTCAAGGTGTTGGAGTAGCTCGAAAACATACCCACGTCTTCCAATTCTGACCCCACCTGGCTCTTCACGTCCACCAAGCGGCAATTGGACAGTCGCAGCGCGAATTTGACCGGCCATTCGTATATCGGTGTTCTCTGCAAGTTGGGAATCTCAGCAAGCACCAAGTATGTCTCGAAAAGGAAAACTCCCAACTGGTCGCTCTCAATGCTCAGGGATCTTTTACTCTTGTAAAGGGTGTTGAGATAACGGCTGCGGTAAGAGCCAGTCGTGAAAGACGTTTCGTCCATCGTTGGCCATGCCACTGCAAAGCATCCTTTAATGCAGCAAGACCCCATGGCCTCAATGGGTAATCGCTCCTCTGGCAGGTCAAATGACAGCCGGTTCTGTATCAGCGTTAAAGGTAAATCTTGCGCCGTGTCAGATTTTGGTTCATTGATTTCCTTCATTGCAGCGTACATTTGCTCCATGTATACCTTGATCTTGTTGGCCAATTTCTCACACTGTGTGTCATCAAGACGCTTCAGATCCGTGATGGACGGATGCTCTGTCAAATATACCATTGACTCCAGAAAAAGCCTGTATTTCGTGATGCGATTTATGGGCATCTGAATCATGGCGCGGAAGGAAAAGTCTCGTTTGTAACCCTGTTGTGACGTTCGAGAATAGTACTTTGGAAGACAGAGCTCGATGCGAAATAAAATTGCAAACAAAAGCCGGTCTTGGCTTTCCTGACCCATTCGCGTCAGAAGGTGGCTGACCTGATTATAGTACTGAACGTAGTCTCGATAGAGATCCACGGCTATGGCCTCTGTTGCTAATAATCGCGAGACGTTCTCGCACAGCTCTAAGTGATCCCAAGATGTCAGAGACAGATCTGACCAATTTAATTCCGTCGACTCGTCAAATCGTTTTATACTCCCCTCGACTAGTTTGTCGAGTTGCGCGCACATATTTTCATGTTGCGGTAAAAGTCGACTGACGACTTTATTGAGCTCCTGCATGGGAATGTAATCATTAATTGTCAAAACGTCTAAAAAACAGCTTTGCAGTATTTTGAGCATCTGCACATACTCAACTTCTGACTCGAGAATTTCCTCAATCAGGCGTTGTCGCTTGTAGTGCTCCGCAGCGACGCTAACAGGGAATCCTGGCGGTGTATTTAATGATTTCTCAATATATTCTTTGATGAATTGAACTGGACTTGCCGCATTTGAACTGGGAGAGTCATGTTCATTACAAGGCAGCGGTAGAAGGATAGGAGACTCGAGCATTGGTAAACCGAGCCTATATTCACTCTCAGGTAGAAGTTTAGGTGCGTTTGTGCCAAGGTGACGGATAAATACAACTTGATCGAAGTTTGTCATTATGTACCTGAGTGACGCTCATAACGACAGCCGTCGTATAAAGATAGGAGATGTGCTTGTTTTGGTAGACAATTATGTGACACAACGAGTTATGGCAAACCGATTTGCCTCAGACATTGGGTAATGAGCACAACCGATTTAAAGTGGCTAAAGACATACACCTGGAAGGAAGTTCCTTTGTTTTCGTACTTTGTTGATCTGTTGTATGCGTCCCGGGCAGATGACAGATTAGTACATAGTGATGTATAATTCAAAGCTCTGAAGAACACCTGGAAACAGAAAGTGTGGGACCTCTATTGCGAATCCGAGAATAATGAGTTTGAAGCATTTAGGACACTGTGCAATTTAATTTGAGAGGTTCTGGCGTACATGTTTTGTGAGAAATATGATTTCGGGCTCCATTGATGAAACAAAGATACGAGAGCAACCTGAAGAAGACGAGAATCAAGTCAGCGAGCACGAGCAAGAGCGCATATGAGCTGACAACAGTCACCATATAAGGGAAGCTCGGCTTGAAGGGCCTGGTGCAGAGCGGAGCAATGATCTCGGCTTCAAAGTGCAGCAAACTTACAACGCCAGCTCCACTACAGATTCGATCTTTGTCATTAAGCAAACGGTACAAATTCCCTATTCTAAAAATGCCGGCGGGAATGTAATTCCGCAAAATGTGTTTATACCATCTCCACAAAGCGGTGAATCAGCTACTATCACCCGGAATATATTGTTACCTGTTCATAACGAGATCAACGCAAGTGACCTTACAAGAAAAGCTCAGAACCCTAATCTTGAGTGTAATCAGCTTTATGATCATAGTGGATCTAGCGACTCGAGTGAGCAACAAAAACTAATACTCAAAAATACTGCTGGTAACATCGATGATGATATTGTATTAAAATCCGTAAACCCTGCAACGGAAGAAAAATTCCCACGCGTTCGTGCCATCAGCTCAAAGCCGTTCCATCCTACAAAAAGATTCCTTGAGTTCGCGTCGCTCAACAGCTCAAAACTCAAACTACTTAGCGTGTTTCTCAATAATCTCATACCTTTTAGCATGGTGGAAAATCAAGGATTTAAAGCACTTCAAACAGGATCTGGTATCAGCACGCTTCCTTCCAAAAGGGGTCTGAATAGTTTTCTTGCGCAGTATAAAACTGAATTCATTTTGCATTTAAGGCAAAATCTCCAGGAGTCCTCAAAATTTAACCTTTTCATAGCCATGGGGACATCCTTTAATCAAAGTAGATTTATGACTGTGATGGTATCCTTCTGTTCTAACTTGAAGAGAAATTTACATTAGACCAAAGATTCTGTAACCACAGGGGGAGGCCCAATACGCATGTTCTCGATTTCATCGACTTGAGCGATGAAGAACGCACAAATGTTAGCATAAGAGAAAAGCTGATAAGCTGCCTTTCCAAGCATTCAATTGCTGACAAAATTGGCAGTATCACCTTCGAGAATGGCCGAGACAGCGTTGGTATGATTGAAGACTTGGTTGAAGGAATATTTAGCGGACTAGGAGCGGATAATATTGTAAGTATCGTCAAGGTAAGGAGCATGAGTGATGTTTTGAATCGAGTGTTCTTTGATATACTTGAAGATTTTGAGAGGCATCAAAAAGAATTGTTTCTAAGAATCGACAGGCTCACCTACCTTATGAGAAATAACGTCACGATCAGAAATAAGATGAGGTCTTATGTCCCTTGCGCTATTCCAATGCACGACATCGCAAATACCGTCTCGCGTTATTGTCAGCTAATTGCTTTCGTGAAGGTAGCAAGAGGTGCTCACCGATTTTTCTTAGAGAATGGCTACAAAAATGTGCCTCAGCTTTCGCCGGAGGATGTTGAAGCATTCTGCTATAAGCAAGAGGGAATTGAATTCATTTTATTTTTCCTGCGGCTCACGCGAACTTTTTATGAGTTCCACTTGATGCTACAGGATGACTCCATGAATTCTCTTCATCATGGCATTAAGTATTACACGCTGATGAGCTATTATTTCGACTCTTGTGAGAACGTCCAAAATGGTTCAACTGATATTAAGGATCTGCAAAATATAGGACTTGAGTTAGCAGATTTGAATCCAATTAAAGAAACAAAAAAAGAGGTTTTGAATTCAACCGTTAGAGCGCGGCAAAAATTCGAAACGTACCGTAAGATTGCCTATGAAGAACCTGGTTATTGGACTGCGCACATTTTGCAGCCGCACTGCAAGTCACAATTGATAACCAATGTCTTTGATGAGCTGTTTGAAATTCACGTTCCGGGGCTGGCTGATTATGTCGCCCAGTATGTTCGAAAGTTCGAAGAGGATCTCGACTATTGTTCGGATGATGAGCAGCCAATTCCAGGGAAATTCGAAAAAGGGCTGGGAAAGCAGTTCGAAGTTATCAGAAACTTGTTACGGTGGGATGAGCAAAAGCTAGCAAGCTCGGGCTCTGCAACGAAGGATGAATGGCAGGTCTATTTGAACGAACCCTTGGACACTGAAAATAGCTAGTTGGAGTACTGGCTGAAAAACCAAAACCGATTCCCGGCTCTTTGCTCTTTAGCGCTTTCTTTCTGTTACACCAAAATGTCGTCAGCCAACACTGAAAGATGTTTTTCTGTGAGAAAGGCAGTTTTCGAAACTAGGTTTTCGCTCGCTCGCGAGAATTTAAGACGAACTATGGTTTTGAGAAACCGCATTAATCGCTTTAATCGTCGTACAGAGATGGGTATTACTGAGGAAATTTCGTTGGGATTCTTGGATTGCGGATGAAGAGGATAACCGAGAAGCGGATTTGATGGCGTTATCCAGCGATGACAGGCTTGTACACAGTGAAGGGTGCTACAAACATGGTTGAACAATTGAGAGCGTGAGTTGTCAACTGTGAATAAGCTAGAGAATTCGTAGTAATCTTGAATTGGGAGCGTTGGCGACTAGTTGTGATTAGAGCATTTCAAGTCACACCACCGCTCTCAATTTCGAATGAAGAGAGGTCACTGAAAAAGCCGAGAGTAGTTTTATGGGCCTTTCAAGACGTGGTAGAGGTCACGGAATGAGGAAAAAAACACTGCTTATTGGGCTTCCCATTGGGATAAACGAGATCAACCATGAGTACGAGCACTAGCACAACCTGGAGTACTCAGATCTACTCAGATCTACTCAGATCTACTCAGATCTGACTTATCTGCTCAAGACATCACTTTGACTGCTGATGCTCCTAACACGCTCTTACATAAGCACCTCTGATCGTTATCGCTCGCTATCGCTCAAGAGGTCTCGGCTCACCCCGCTCAAATGTGCGATAATGCGAGTTCTCTTGCCACCATCGGGTACTCGGAGCACTACTGAACAATTGAGAGCATCAGCGATTAAATTAGAGTACTGGTAGAAATACCAAAGAATTGAGGGCGACAGCAATCAATTGTGAATAAGCAGAGAACTCTTATCGCTGACGCTCTAAATGGTGAATGAAGAGAGTATTTCGATAAACTAGAAAACTCGTAGTACAGTTGCAGTGCTTAGAACTCTCTCTCGCTCTCGATCTCTACTTATTCACAATCCTTCAATTTGTGCTTGTAGCCGTTCAACTGTACTACGATATCTCTACTCAATCACAATTCATCGCTGACGCTCTGAAGTGTTCAACAGTGTTTCGAATTGTCTAGTTTATCCACAACTGATCGCTTACGCTCTCAGCTGTATAGTGCTTCGAGCTGTTATCGCCCCTCGGCATTTCCTACCGGGATCATTCCCATTTGCCCTGCACCCCCCGCCCTTTCGCCCTCTGCCCGGCCTCTCCGCCCGGCTTTGCCGAAAACCGTTTTTTATCGCGCCCGCAAATCGTTTCTTTTTCTGCACCGAACTGCATCGATAGTAACATCACTGTGCACGACCACTTTAACTTTTTTTTTCTCTTCCTTTTCTGACTCTGTCAAGCCGTCGCCCAGAACCCGCCGCACCGCTCCCGCTGCGCAACGCTGCAGCTCGCAGCGCCGCAGCTTATCTGGCATTTCGCCCTCACCGTCGCCATCACCATACTTTTTTTCTGGTATTTTTCATCACCTCATCGCTTGACGGAGCCATTCAGTGGTATATATAAACCCTGGCTACGCGCGTCACCGCTGGAAAGGTGAGGAATAGCGGTTGTGAAAGTCACCTCTCCTCTCCTCTCCTCTCCTCACCCTATCCCCTCCCCTCCCCTCCCCTCCCCATGTCCAAGGAACAGTACGAGATTCGCGACCTCGAAAAACACAACGGGTCGCGGTCCGACGAGGACTACCTCGACTCTCACTCGCAGCCCGTTGTCGAGACTACAGAGGTCACCCAGCTCTCGTTCGTGGACCGTCTGGCCGCCAAACTGCGCGCCGAAACCAAGGGTATTGATCCGATCACTGACGACGAAAAGAACGATTCCTCCATCTGGAACGCGGCCTCCATGTGGTTTTCCGCCAACATGGTCATCGCCGCTTTTGCCTTGGGTGTGCTGGGCCCTGTGATCTTTGGCATCAACTTCTGGGGCTGTGTGCTTGCCATCGTGCTCTTTTCTGCGCTTGGCGTTTTGCCCGTCGCCTTCTACTCCGTGTTCGGAGCCGAGCTCGGCTTACGTCAGATGGTCCTGTCACGTTACCTGCTCGGCAACGTCACTGCACGTGTTTTTGCCCTCATCAACGTGGTCGCGTGTGTTGGCTGGGGTGCTGTCAACACCATCGCGTCCGCGCAGCTGCTTCACAAGGTCAACCCAGGCGGAGCTCAATGTCCGCCATGGGCCGGATGCCTTATTATTGTGCTGTCGACCATTGTGGTCACGTTTTTCGGGTACCGCGTCATTCACGCGTACGAAAAATGGTCCTGGATCCCCAACTTTGCAGTTTTCCTAGTCATCATCGCACGTCTCAAGATCAACGGCTCGTTTTCCGCGGGTCCGTGGATCCACGGCTCTACTACCGCGGGAGGCGTCCTATCGATGGGCAGTGTGGTGTTTGGGTTTGCCTCCGGATGGACCACCTACGCGGCCGACTACACCGTGTACATGCCACGCACCACTAACAAACCCAAGGTTTTCTTCGCGGTGATGGCCGGGCTGATGTTCCCATTGTGCTTCGCGATCATCTTAGGCGCCGCAGCCGGGTGCGCCGCGCTCAACAACGAGACGTACCGCACCTACTACGACGACGGGGGTGTGGGTGGACTCGTGTACGCGATCCTGGTGCCCAACTCCGTCGGCGGTTTCGGACAATTCTGCTGCGTGCTATTGGCCATGTCCACGGTGGCAAACAACATCCCCAACATGTACTCGATTGCGCTGGGCACACAGGCGATGTGGGAGCCCCTGGCCAAAATTCCGCGTGTATTTTGGACCATGGCGGGTAATTTGGTGACCCTGGCCATCGCGATCCCTGCGTACTACAAGTTTTCCGAGTTCATGACCAACTTCATGGACGCCATCGCGTACTACCTGGCCGTGTACATCGGAATCTCGCTCAGCGAGCATTTCATCTACCGCAAGGCCCGGTTCTCGAACTACAACGTGGCCGATTGGGACAACTGGAGCGCGCTTCCTTTGGGTGTGGCTGGGTGCTGTGCATTGTTCGTGGGCGCCGTCGGTGTGGCGCTCGGAATGGTGCAGACCTACTGGGCCGGTGAACTCGGCCGCAAGATCGGCGAATACGGTGGAGACATCGGGTTCGAACTGGGATTAGCGTTTTCCGTCATCACTTATAACATAATAAGACCATTTGAGTTGCGTTGGTTGGGCCGTTGAGGATGGCGAGACGCGAGAGTCGCTCGAATCTGCTTGTATTTTTGTATACTAATCGTTAATTTTTGAGTATTAAGGGAGGTGTGTTGTGTTTATCGCGAACAATGGCGTTTGTTGAGATCAATTTAAATTGACGCGACGGAGACTGGCGAGTACGAGTACAAGTACGAGTACAGTTGTAAGAGTGTCGCGTGACTATCTTGGTACGCGCAGCCCGGTCCAAACTCGGCTGTCAGTAGATATGAATCCAAAGCTATCGCCCTACGAGTTTCCAGGGTGAAGACATTTACGGAAAGAGTCTCAGTATCCACTGTGCAATTTTCTTACTTTGAATAAGCACATCTCATGCGAAAAACGCCGTACTTTGTTCCGTGTTGCTTTCGTCCCTTTTTCAACCAGCTTACTCGTGGCAAAGCTTGGCTACCTGTGGCTATTCACACTACAGCCCTCTCCAAATCACTTTCCCTTTTACTGACGTTTTTCAAATATCTTCGTGTCATCAGACTACAATTTTTCTATTTTCTCGTCCGAGATCCCAAAAACTATACTAACTTAGCCGCTACCATATATTCTTAAGCTCAAGCGAATGCGTGCTATGTACACCATTGCGTCCCAAATAAGCCTCTAGAAGTCTCTTGATTTCATCCTCATCCTAATACCAGAATACCACACCTAATTTTCCCATGCTTGACCTTCTTCTTGGGCTTTTAGATCCTGTATTCTATGCCACCTTTCTTCTGGGTTTGGTGTCACTTGTGGTGGCAAAACTTCAGGCCCCTATTCTGCTCAAATACGGGAAAACTTTACCTCAAAGCGCCGGTCGTCACTACTCTGAGAGTTTTTGGGGACAGTTTCAGCGCCTAACGGTGCCAAAAGCCTGGTTTAGTCATTTTTACGTTTACTCCGTATTTGTTTCAAGCGTAAATATGTTCCTGTTGCAATTCAACCTGCTTTCCATTCTGATAGCCGTGCACTCTGCCAGGCGGCTTTACGAGACCGTTTATGTCAACGTTTCCAAACCCAGCGCCAGGATCCATGTGTCGCATTATTTGGTTGGATTTTGGTTCTATTCCGCAGTCAATTACGCAGCTTCCACCAGCAGCCCCGAAACGTGGAGCTCGCTGCCAGTGAGATGCTTGGCGCTTCTCTTGTTTGCACTTGCATCTTGGGACCAGCACGAAAACCACCTACACCTCTCGAAACTGCGAAAATACACGTTACCCACGTACGGGTTGTTCCGAATCGTCGCCAGCGCTCACTATTTCGACGAATTTCTTTTGTATTTCGCACTGACGCTGTTCACGGGGGCGTCTGCGAAATTGCTAGTTTGCTTGCTGTGGGTGATTGCCAACCTTTCCTTCTCAGCCGTGGAAACACGAGCTTGGTACTTGCAAAAATTCACAGAGTCCACCCCAAGGTTCGCAATTTTGCCTTATATGCTTTAAAATTACGTATACGTCTGCTAAAACTGGTGCTTCCTTAATCCTCCCACTTTCTAAACAACAGTGACGAATTGATGCCGCCAAATCCAAAACTATTCGTCAGCGCGTACCGCATTTCTAGTGCAACCGGTTTTCCCTGCACCAAATCCAGCAGCTGCCATGCTTTTGGGTCGTCGCCAGCGGCTCCTCCAGCGGTTTCTAGATTCAGCGTATGCGGTACTACGCCATCTTGCAGCGACTTTATGGTGAAAATACTCTCCACTGCCCCTGCAGCGCCTAGCAGATGGCCCATGGATCCTTTGTTACTGGAAACCTTCAAAAGCTTGTCTCGTGGGTGTTCCGCAAATACTTGATTCATGGCTTGCATTTCTGCTCTGTCGCCAAGTATCGTTGAGGTGGCATGCGCGTTTACGTAGTCAACCTCTTTGGGATCGAGTCGGTTCAAGGCCATTTTCATGGCCCGTCTTGCACCGTCTCCATTTTCAGACGGCGAAGTTATGTGATAGGCATCGCTAGTCAAGCCATAACCTTCCACTTCGGCATAAATGCGAGCTCCTCGTTTTTGTGCGTGTTCCAAGGACTCCAGCACCAACAAGCCTGCACCTTCGCCAAGAACAAAGCCACTTCTACGAGCGTCAAAGGGTCTCGAAACACCATCAGCTGTGATGCTTTTCGCCCTCAAGAAACCGGAAAGTGCTAAAGGATGCACACAGGCTTCACTTGCGCCTGCAAGACAAAGGTCGTTGTACCCAAGTCTTATAAAGTTGTAAGCATCGCCGATTGCATTATTTCCTGTAGCACAAGCAGTGGAAGCGCAATGTGACACACCTTTTAATTGATACTTGATTGAAATGTTACCGCAAGCCATATTGGCCAAAATCTTAGGTACAAAGGTGGGAGATAATCTTTTCCCTCGATCGAATGCCAAGATTGAATCGTACATGTCCTGAATCGATGCGGTTCCTGAGCCAATCACGCACCCAAACCTTTCTGCATTGAGATCCTTGAGGTTGTTCAGCAAGCCAGCATCGATCAAAGCTTCTTGAGCAGCCACGATTGCAAATTGAGTGAAGGTACTCATTCTCCTGAGGTCTTGGGAAGTGAATAAGGTTCCATAATCGGAAGCGTTAAAGTCGGAGACGTTCGCTACACCGACACTAGCTGGACAGGGTGATTCATACTCTTTGAAACCAGGTAGCTCCGAAACGGGGCGAATCCCGGATTTTCCACGCAGCAAATTTGTCCATGACTCCTGAACCGTCTTACCTATTGGAGTGAGTGCTCCTAGGCCGGTTACAACAACTCTAGAGGTCATATTGATCCCATCGGTTCTCTTAAACAAAGCTCATCGTACCCGCATAACGAATCCATCTATGAGATTGTATTCGTGTATAGTGATGATGATGATGTCAGTTATATACAATTCACGTTCGAATCCTTCAGGTACACGCAATCGATTGCCCAAGAGTAAGCTGTGTCGCCACACACTGTCTTTATTTGAACTCTGCTTGTTTCTAACTACAAGAGTTATTGTCGTTCAGATGGGGTGAACAATGTTACTATGATGTTTCGCCATTTAGGATTTTCGAGTCGCGAAGAAGCCATGAAAGGTGGAATTGGGGATTGATATTACCGATAATCTGCCTCAAAACTTAGAGAGAGCTTCACTCATTCGTATAGCAGCAAAGCGCTTGAACATGTTGAGATTCCATATAGTGATATACACGTGACCTAATGACAGGTATAAAATAACGGTTTTGGATGAGCTTTATGTACTATCACTGAACTGCGATACCGATGATCATCGACGCTATTTTTGCTGCTTAGCCTAATCGAAAGGTAAATCGAGTATCTACGACTTTCAGATGTTCTGAGCATTACAATTGAATTTGAATCAAAAAAACATGGGAACAAGGTCGCGTTTCGCTACTCTTGATAAGACAAGGGCAAAGAACTTGCTTCAACAATTTGCAAAAGGATTGTGCTTATTCCGATTTGGAAAATCACCACCTCTGCATGCCATGAAGCACATCAAATAAAGATCTCAGGCACCTAGACCGTGCAAACGAATAGGCTCTTAAAACTCCAAAACCAAAGGATAAACAAACTCAGCTTGGCCAAATCGTGCTGTCGAAAATTCCTCGGATTGATATCGGGGCCAAGTCTGTTGGCAGACGATCACAGGGCGACACCAAGGCAACTTAACTCGTAATCAATGACACACCATTAAAATATCAATATCAGACAAGGTCTTCGATCTATCTATTACATTACAACCAACCAACCACCCAGAAGCACTATCACTATGGTTGATAGAGCGTAGTATTGTCCTCCTTTTTCGCTGGTCAGCAGCTGCCTTCAAGCACTCTTGAACATGCCTTTCAACACCACCCATCGATCAATCGTATTCGTCGATGTCGCGATGAATATACGACATCTATAGTGCGATAATTTCTCATCTGTTATTGAATGCTGGGGTGTGTGGTTTTAGTATGAGACTGAATACGTCTCGAATTCGTGCAGGTTGTATATATGCTATTGTACAATGTAGCTAAAGGAGTTTTAAGGAAAGAAAATGTTCATGGTGAGCTGCAAGGCCCAAACACGAAATGCCACATTTACCATTCCAACAAGTCGTCCTTGGCGTACAAGTAGTCGGTGAAAACAAAGTCGACCTCGTCAGTCTCTGGGTTGTAGCCGCCGATCTTGATGGACTCGTGGTTCTTGACGATGATGTCACAGCCCTTCTCCTTTAGGAAGTCCAAGTCGAAAGTGGTGGCGATACCGACGATCTTGCAGCCAGCGGCCTTACCGGCAGCGATACCGGCTGGGGCGTCCTCGAAGACGATGACCTTGGACTTGGAAGGCTCCTGCTCGTTGATAGGGAAGCCCAAGCCGTTTCTGCCCTTGATGTAAGGCTCTGGGAAAGGCTTACCTTGCTTGACGTCGTTGGCGGTGATGAAGTATTCAGGTCTCTTGATTCCCAAAAGCTCGAACCACTTGGTGGCCATTGGACGGGTACCGGAGGTGGCGACGGCCCATTTCTCCTTGGGCAAGGCGTTGAGGTCCTTGCAGAGGGCAACGGCACCTGGCACCTCGATGGAGTGTTCACCGTATTTTTCTGGGATCTCGGACTCGAGCTGCGTAGCGTAGTCCTCGTCGGCGAAGTCTGGGGCGAACTTGGCGATGGCGTCGTAGGTTCTCCAGCCGTGCGACTCGTGGATCACGTGCTCCGCGTCGAAGTAAGGCTTGTCCTTACCGAAGTCTCTCCAGAAGGCAGCGATGGCTGGCTGGGAGATGATGATGGTTCCGTCAACGTCGAAAAGGGCGGCGTTGACTTTCAAAGATAGTGGTTTTCCTAGAGACATGTTTGATTTTGATGTTGTGTGTGATGAGAAATTGGGATGATCTGGATTGTGAAAAACTTACAACGAATCAATCAATTAACCAGATTCCAATTTCTACCCATCCAGACCCTGTGTACTTATACTATTTGAGACCGATCTTACAGTGAGAGCTTTCATTTCCCGCTTGCTGCGACTCATGTGGTCTTCTGCACACAGAAAAGAAAACGCACCTCGTCAGTGGCCACTATTCTGTCGTTGTAGGGCAAACCTGTTAGAAAACCCTACACAACGGCCACCAGTCTACTGCGACATCTGATGATTTAATTTTGAGTACCTATTCATTTCTTTACTGGGCAAGCAAGCAAACAAGCAGGCAGGTAAGCAAGGTCTCGTTTCTTTACGCGCACGACTACGACGACTACGACTACGAATTATTATCGCCAGTTTCTTGCTTTCTGCGCGTATGGGCAGTGCACACACGTAGTGGTAAAATAGATGTTTGTTAGTGGCATCCACCATTGGCATCCACAGGCCACCCAGGCCACCACCAGGTGAGACGGTGTGGAAAGTGATTATGTCAGCTGGAGGGTCAGGTTTGGCTTCTTTTTTTTCTTTTGGGTGAGAGATAGACGGACAAATTTTGACCCATTTGACATGTTGGGTCAAAGAAGGGACTGGGTCAAATGGGTCAAGTGGGTCAAGTGGGTCAAAATGAGAGGTGGCGGACTGGAAGCTGGAAGCGGAGGAAGCAGAGAACTCGTAGCATGGTTGAACAATTGAGAGCGAAGGGTACTACAAGCACTATTGAACAAGTGAGAGCGAAGGGTACTACAAGCACTATTGAACAATTGAGAGCGTCAGCGATCAATTGTGAATTACATTAGTAGCCGCAAGCGCAAACAATCAAAAGCGTTAGCGATCAATTGTGAGTGAGTATAAAACACGAGTGAGTAGAAAACTCGACTGCTGATGCTCTCTATTGTTCAGTGATACTATGAGCTCTCGTAGTCGTAGTCGTGCTTCAAAAGCCAGCGCTCTCATTCACAATCGAGAGCGTAAGCTTTCAAGAAAACAGCCCGGGCGCTCTGAAATAATTAGGGTGACTTCAAGCAAGCAGAAAACTCTTGAAACCATTGATCCAATGGCATCATTGATCAATAATAGAATAAATATAACTCGTAGCATCAGTATACTATTGAACAGTCGAGAGCGCTAGCGAGAGGGCTACAAGCATTCTTGAACAATCGAGAGTATAAATGATCAACTGTGAGTAAGCAGAGCTCTCTTTACACTATTGTTCAATCGAGAGTGTGAGAATTTTTAGAACAGAAAACTCTTTGTATTGCTGACGCTCTCAAATGTGAATGAAGCAGAGCTCTCCCAGTACTAGTGAACAATCGATAGCATTGTCGATCAATAGTAATGTAAGTGAAATTAGTCTACTAACTACTATACAGTCAAGAGCCTTAGCTACAAGCACTATTGGATATTTGAGAGCGCAAGCTATCGACTGTGAATAAAAAGAGAACTCTCACTATCACGGACCAGTCGAGAATATCCGAAGAGCGGGCTACAAGCTCCATTGAACAATTGTGCCATCTTCGTACTCTTGAACAGTCGATCGTTGACGCTTTCTTAATATTATTCATTCATAAACAGCGTCAGTGGGCCAATGTGATTACGTAAGGGCAAAGTTTAGAGACACACTGAGATATTGGGAACGTCAGAACGTCAGTATTTCAAGCATTACTGAACAATTGAGAGCGAAAGCGGTCAATTGTGAATAAGCAGGAGAGCTTTAAGCATGGTTGAACAGTTGGGCCTTATCGATCGATTGTAAGTAAGTAAAGGACTCTTAATACTGCTGAACAATTGAGCTTCGGCAATCAATTGTGAATACGCACAGAGCTTGTAGTGGCATGGACAAATTTTAATAAGTAGAATGACTTTAAGCTAGCGGTCAGTTTTGAATAAAGATGGGCTACAAGCACTACTGAACAATCGAGAACGTTAGCGATCAATCGTGAATAAATAGTGGGCAGGTGTAGTAGTGTTGAACAGTCGAGAGCGATAATGATCAATTGCAAAGTATAGGGCTTGTAGTACAATTGAGAGCTTCAGAGATCAGCCCTTGAGAAAGATTGCTATTACTAGACTATCGGAAGCGTCAGCAATCAATTGTGAATACTTTTGGTAATCACAAGCACAATTGGATAATCGATCGCTTTCACTCGTGTTCCGTTCCTTTTCAAAGCTATCAAATAAGTTTCTTCCATATATGTTTAAACTGTTCAATAATGCTTGTAGCCACAATACGTTCACAATTGAGAAAGCTAGCCATCCATTGTGAATACGTAGAGAGCTTGTAGTATCACGGACAATTTTGAATACGTAGAATGACTATAAGCTAGCGATCAGATGTGAATGAAGATAGGCTACAAGCACTACTGAACAATTGAGCTTCGCCGATGAATTGTGAATAAGCAGAGGGTTACAAGCACTACCGGACAATTGAGCGAGCAATCGTTCAACTACATTACAGTTTCTCTGCCTATTCACAATTGATTACTGATGCTCTCAATTTGTTCAATTGTACTAAGAGCTCTCCGCTTATTCACAATTGATCGCGGACGCTCTCAATTTGAATAAAGAGATGGATCTTAGCTTTAAAAGCGTCAGCGATCGGCTGTAAGTAAAGAGAGAACTCTTACTTCTGCTGAACGAGTGAGAGTCAGCGATCGATTGTTTGAACGTAGGGGACTACGAATGGCTACAAGCACTTAGCCTCAAGCACTACACAACAAGCACTAGTGCTAGCTTGATGGAGGATTCGTTTGAACGATGAGGAGCGCGGGTCTCAATTGTGAAAATTTAGAGAGCTCGTAGTACTATTGAGCAGTAAAGAGCGTTAGCGATCAATTGTGAATAAGCAAAAACCTTAGTGGTACTGCTCGCAGTACTGTTGAACAATTGAGAGTGTTAGCGATCAATAGTGAATATGAGGAGAACTCGTAGTGTCACTGAACAATTGTGAAAATGTAGATAATTCGTAGCTTCGCAGAACAATTGAGGGCGTTCGTCATTAATTGTGAAAAAGTAAAAATCTTATTGTTACGGAATTATTGAGAGCGTTGAGAGAATCTGGTAATTTTGACTAATTGACAGGCCAGTGACAATTTTGAGTAAGCGAAGATCTTGGTGTTACCGAACCCTTGAGGGCGTGAGCGTTAGCGATCAGTTGTGAAAGTGTAGGGAATCCTAGGTTTTATGATTAATTGAGGGCCATCAATTGTGAATAAGTAAAGATCTTGGTGTCACGGAACCATTGAGAGCATTGGCCATTGAGAACGCCAGCGACAATTTTAATTAAGTAAATGTCTCAATTTTTCTGAACCACTGAGAGCGTTAATGATAGCTCTCGCTCTGCAATTTTCGTTCAAGATTGTCACAGCTTTTCAAGTGTAACGCTTTCAATTGCTCGAAGCCAGCATAATTATTATCAGTGAGTCTTTGACGCTCTCAAAGTGTGCTCGAAACCAGTAGAATAAATCACAATTAATCGCTGACGCTATCAATTGGATAGGATACTGAGAGTTCTCCACTCGTTCACAATCGATCGATATTCACACGACTGTTTAAACACTATTATCCACGAATCGCGAATCCAAATTGGGTAGTAAATAGGTTTGCAGGGATTCGGCACGAATCCACGAAGTCATGGGCTCTTTCGAACTCTCTGGAAAGCCCGTCAATCATTTTGATAAAACAACAATTTCATGGTCTTTAAGTTTCAATAGAGAAAGACAAACTGTACACACTGCTAAAATGGAATCTCACAACCGTTCATGCTTAACATAGCTTTGTTCCCCATTGTAAAAGCAAGGATTCGGACGGTATTATCGTTCTCCGACAAGGACGACCACGACCACGACCACGACGCATCGGTATAAAGTGATATGTCCACAATCGTTCGCTCCTCCAGGACTGGGGACGAATAGCTCCGGGGAGCCTCTGATAGCCAATTTTCAGCCAAGTGTAGATATGATTGGGATGTTTGAGAGCGACCTGCGACAAACGCTTTGATCGAGCTGGAGAGTGTGTGTCACGTGACTAATCGGCTTCAGCAAATAATCCAATTTTGATGCTAAACGACGTCAAGTTGCGAAGTAAAGCTTGACAGTGACAGTAAAAAGTGTAACGTTAGCTATGAGAGAGTAGTCACTGTCGAGTAATTGGCTCATTAATCAAAGCCAGAAGCAGCATGTTAATATTCCTTACGCACAGAATGTCGAGTAGCGATTGTGGCTCGTAACAAAATTTTGTTCTTCACTTGAAGCGCGATGGAGCAGAAAAAGCGTCAGTACAACTTTTGACCGCGTAGACTTACGCTGGACACATCTTTGGCCGTTTCCTAAACACTACGATTAGCCATAGTATCGTGAGTCAAGAGTGGAAATGGATTGCCACGAGTGTCCTTGTAGCTATTTTATAAATCCGTTTTAAACTGACGGTCCGCTCTCGTCTTTTGTCTGTCCCAAAGATTATTTCCCTAGACTGAAGAGAAGACTCACATACTCCTAGCTAATTAATAACACCCTCCACATTATTCCCAGCTTGTCTTGTCAAAAAAAAATGTGGGGTTTTTTAGCGAGTCCGAAAGACCAGAATTGATTCTCCAAACCTCTCTCATACCGAAATCTCACCCATACCCTTAAGTCCTTGAATTTTGGTCAATAAATCGGCTTAAAACGATACATTGACAACAATTTAAAATCATTGTGATTTCTCAAGCGCTTCATTTCACTTGACTGCTACATTGTATGTTAAATTTTCACAGTTCTTGGCTGGTAGTATCAAAACCTTTTCAACTAATTATCAACGTCAAAGACACCCTCCACGTTAAAATCATCCATCCCAGCATCCTGTAATATTAATATATTTTTACATGCTGACTCCTCACTCATAACACTGGGCTTTGAAATCGAGTTGGTGAAGTGGCATTGATAGTAATTAACTGCCGTTTGGGACAGCTGCCGTCAATCAAATTGCTTATGGTTTAACGGTACCTAGCATGTATCACCAATATCTAACGGCAATGGCTAATTTACTCGCGGTTATACTAGTCACTGTATACGTGTACGTCGCACTTGTACTCGTGCTCGTACTCGTGCTCGTACTCGTGCCCGTGCCCAGTCCTGCTCTCTTCCAAATCGCACATGCTTTGCCCGGTGTTTCTACATAAAGATCTCACGTAAAAGTAAATATAAGCATCCTCTCCTCTCCTCCGTTTCCCGCTCTCACGCCTCTCTTTATTCCTCACTTTCGCACCCTCATCTGTTTTTCCCAGTGCGCTCGTAGGCCCTCGTAGCCCAAAAAAATTGGCCAAAAATCTAATGACAACTTGTCCTAGTAAACACCACATCCATCAATGGCCGCTTACGCTCAGCAGACCGTGAAACTGCTCCAAAAGGAGCTTGAATCCAGAAAATTGAGTACAAATGGTATAAAAAAGGACCTGATAGCCCGATTGGAGGCCAACGACGCCGAAAAATTGCAGAAAACGCTCGTTCACGAGCAGGACGAGAAGAAGGAAGAGGAGCCAATCGAGGCTCCTAAGAACGTTCAAGATCCTTCGGAGGAACAAGTGGAAACCAACGCTTCCTCCACCACCCAAGTTCAAACATCTCAGAGGGGCGAAAAGCCCGCTGTCACGCCTAAAGATCACACCCCGATTGACGAAATTTCTCCCGCTGTGGAAATGGTGGCAGCATCTGAGTCTGAACCGGAACAAAAAACCAAAACTTTTACCCCAGAGGAAGCTAAAACCAAGGCTTTGGAACACTTGCAAGTAAAACTACGTCGTGCGCAAAAGTTTGCCGACGATCAATCCACGATCGACTCGTTGCAGCGTCAAATCGCCAGAATCCAAAAATTCGGACTTGACCAAACCACTCAATTGGCCCTCGAATTGGGACTGGGTAAAGGCCCACAAAACACTATAGCACGTCGTGGAAATAAAAAGTCACAGCGTAAGAGTCCCAAAAATAAGAGGTAGCTCCACCCGCGGTTCGAACCCGCGACCCGATTGTTTTTTGTCGTTTGTTCCACGTGACTCTTTTCCTTCTCTAAATGGCCCACAACCCACCACCCCTTTGAAAATCGTATGTGTGGTCTGGAATTTTGACATAATTTGAGCATCTCTTGAATAATTCGCAAACCTTTTCAAAAGTTGTCCACACCACACCATTTTTTGAGCTTGTTTGTGGGGGTCTCACGTTAAATATCAAGTTTATCGATCATTCGCACACATCTCTTTCGAATTTCTGGCTTATTTGGTGGCCAAGACTTGATACCCTAGAATTCGGCAAGTAGCTGTGAACATTTCAAAACTCTCGTCCAGAAAACGGGCTTTTCCAAAGCTCAACGTACACGGTTAAAGGAGCTTCTTTTTTTCCCGTTGGTTGGTTATTTTTTGACAACTCCATCGCGGACTACTGTCTGTTCCACAGTTCGTTAGACACTTGAGGATTTGCTATCAATAGATGGCATTTTATCAATAGATGGCATTTTAAACACACATCAAATGGACAATAGCAAGGTATCATACGTGAGAATAGACAATCTGCCTCCGGGCAAAAGTTGGCGTCAAGTTAAGTATATGGTAGGTGGAATGATCCACCATACTTCCATTTTGCAGGTGAAAATGCTTCCCCCGGTTCAGTCGATAGTCCCACCTTTCATGCCTTTCCAAAGCTGCATTGTTTCTTTGAAGCGATCGGATGGACAGCTGAACCGTCTCCTGATGGACCTGAATGGATATACCTGGGAGTATTATCAACTAATGGCATATGCTGTTCCACCTCTGCATGCACCGAACAACGCAGCATTCATGACAGTTCCCAACACGGGCTTGGATCATCTGAGCCCTCCTCCGTCTGCAGCCAGCTCTAGTCCGACTCCCGCACCACCACCAGCCCAGTTAATGATGCCATTTGCTCCTATGCCTCCAATGTACTATCCTGCAGCAGCTCGACCACAGCCACTGTCTCGAGGCACGTACCTGCGGCAACAAAACCAGCAGTACGGTAAAAAAATGCGCCAGGTGTTTAGTGAAGAGAGCTTTCGCCGACAAATGAGTGCTAGAGGCATGCATCAACTGTTACTAGGAGGGTTTCCACCCTGTTTGCATTGGGACGTAAATGGAAATTATGAACTGAACACACAAGAGTCAGATTTGTTTACGAGCCCACCAGCTATACATATCAAGACCGAGCATCCCGAGTATTTTGGCAAACTGAAATGGACAGTTTTAAAAGATTTCATAAAGCTTAAGTGCGAGAAACTGTTGGAGATGGAGACTTTGGGTGTAACAGCAAATACCAGAGAGTTTTATGTGGGTGTCTACGAGGACACAGAAGCCGCGGTGGACGTGAAAGTCTTGGGTTCGACAGCCACCAACTCTGGCTCGAGTGATTCGGAAGGAGCTGAAGGAGCTGAAGAAACTTCAAAGGCCAATGATGAGACCACGCAAATCGAAGGTAGCCCAGACGAAATAAATGATACGGCAGAAAGTTTAGGACATCTTTCGCTGAATTCCAGTCATCGCGTTGTTTCCGCGACTATCTACAAAGCAATCGTGGGATTTCATTCACGCGAGCTTTGTGACATGTGTCGGGACAGCCTTCAGGGTCAAGAGTATTCATTGGGCTACAAACTGACCGTGACTGAATTGTCTCCATTGATGTGGTAAACGTTCGGACATGCATTAGTGCAAAATTCGAAAGGTGGAGTTGGAAACGGAATGGGGATGCAGCAAGTCACCGGGGTATAAAAAATAAACGTGCAAAGGCGATAAAATAGAGCCTCTAAGTATGTAATGCCAAGCGCTTAAATGGAAATCTACAACTTGCTTCTCAGTTAGAATGAATAAATATCAAAAACCATCAAAATGTCCAGATTTTGTGGTAATTATAACAAAGGCTGGAACACTAACGGTGGTCTCGTCTTTGTGTCCTTTTTTGGCGCTACTTTTTCGTCGTCTTCCTTCGAATCTACCAAAGTAGCGGTTATGGTATCAAGGTCGGTAGTGTCGTGCTCTTTCGACAACTTGATTTTCTTGTGCAAATTCCCGTCATCTGAAATATCATGAGAAGTGGATGGGAGTAAAGATTTATCTGGGGGCCCCGTGGTGTCGTGGAATTCCGTGTGCTCGACGTGAGGAAATGCCGATGCAGATACGCGACTCAGCATTGCAAGCCCATTGAAGGACTCCGGTACTTCCTCGCGAATCTCTACTACTATTTCCTCGGATGTGAACTTATTGAAAATTCGGGCCAGCTCCGAGTCATCCCTAATCAGATCATTGTTATGAACTAAATGCAGGCTTTTGGCTTGAGACACAATTTGAAATAAGTGACGGGAATTTGCGAGGACCTCTGCAACCGATGGCGGACCATTGCTTAACAAGTGGAACGTAAATCTTTGTTCTTTATCTTTGAACTTCAATAAGACCCTCCGATAGACATCTTTGTTGGCTGATGCTGGGGCCATGGAAAGTGTCGACATAATTGCAGAACGTTTACACTCCCTATTCGGCTGGCTAGCTAATGGGTACTGTTTGAGAATGACCTCATGCATAATCTCACTGAGAGGATATACGCAGGGATCAAAACCGAAATCCTTGATGATACCGCCCATTGCGAGGTTGAAAAGTTTTAGTTGTGCATCTCGAGGCAGTTGCTCGAAGTGATGTTCGGTTGCTGGCTCAAAGATTTTGACAGCGACGTACGCCAAATCTGAGGCAGAGCTGAGTTTGGAAGTTAAGTATTCCATTGAGGGTCCGGACAAATTTGAAAAGAATCGTTCCATGACAAAAGCAACAGAGGCCTTGATAGAAGCATCGCCCAAAATCTCCAAGGTTGAGTACAGCTCCAATGAGCCCTGTGAAGAACTCAGCTCCAAACACGTTCTTGACCGTTGAATGTGCAATAGTATCTTTTCTCGCAGAAAAAAGGGAATTTTGCCGTTGTCAGCTTGAGTCTTCGGTTTGCGTGCGGCGGTTGTGTAAAGGGAGCCGGTAAGAGCTTGAGATTGGAATGCAAGGTTTAATAGTTCACCATCATTACTAGAAAGGGCGAAGTCGGTTAAATTGGGCGTATAGTCGTCCCGTTGTGATTGTTCATGCAGGGAAACTCGATTATGAACCGCGTCAGCAATGATGGTCTTAATGAGCTCGTCGTAATGATGGTTTTGTGTTGAAACTAGAGGCGGCAAAGGACTGGTCTTTAGTGCGTTTTGATGCTGCCGGCGAGGCTGTATCACGGGCAATGCAGGGGGCTGTACGGTACTGCTGTTGATGATACTAGGATCGTGCTGACGAACAGAATGGGTAAACAAAGATGAGGTTCTGACCTGCAAAGAGTCTTTGTGAGATGGCGAGCTGGTCCCGGAGGGCCCGGTGTGTTCGTGAGGGTCGAGAAGCAGATCACCAGTGCGAGGTGTGTCCATGAATCCCGGTGCAGGACTGAGGGACGTCGCAGAAAGCAAGTCCGCGCCCACACCTGACGGTCGCTGCTTGGTGGAGCGTTTGCGGTTGCGACGAACCGACTGTACGGCTGCTGTAACGAGTTTTTCAAATTCGGGTGTCGAGCTCAGTGGGTAACCAAACTCAGTTCGCAGGATCGTGGCGATCTGCGAGACATTTTTATCTTGTTCGCTGGCCTTGCGCTCACTCAGCTTAAACTTCTCGATGAGCTCCAGTCTGCGGCCTGAAAACTGTTTCCAGCGTCGCTCGTCAGTGAAGTTCAGCTGTTCCCGTATCTTGCGAGTGGTACCTGCTCCTGTAGGCTTCTGAATACCAGCGCTGCTGATCATAAAAGCTCTGTGAGGTTGAACAATGGTGCTTTAAAACGTCAATCTAACACTCGAGAGTGAGGAGAATGGGACAGCAGAGGATATAGTTCGTGCTTGAACTGCTTGTCTCGATGTTTCTCGGATGTGAATCAGATTCCTCTAAGATGTTGACAAAATGTTGATCATGTGATGAACCACCATATGATTGATTGCCTAATCAGTCATACCATGACTCATGAATATGATGCCGGACTTGTAAAACGGTTTAGTTGTTGGTAACGGTCAGACAAGGAATTGTTCGATCTCAAAAACCTAACCTAGTATCTCTTGCTCAGTAGTGCTTAGATATCTCTTCTTCCGACAACTTTTGATCTCATATGTTTCTTCGTTGGAGGACACCACTACATAGATATACACCTGTGTATACATATAATGCCGGCCTCTCAAAGCTTGCCCTTTTCGCGAAATTGTTCTTCGGTAACACCCACTCCCATTGCAGCAGTTGCGCTGACTCCGCCTTGAGCCAACTTGAGCAAACTGTCAATATACTCGGCTCCCGACCACTTTTGGTGTTTGACAATATCGACCTTTTGGTTGATTTCTTCTTGCTGCACGGTTGTCGCATACGATAACATGCCTCTCTGGGCGAAGTCCTTGGCAAAATTATTCACGGCTAGTGCACTGGTGTGTAGTCCAGCCAGGGTGATAAATTGCCAAATGTACCCGAGATGACCCAGACGCTCGATAAACGTGTTGAGCTCGTCGGGAGCCATGGCGGTGTTCCAGTTGAAAGAGGGCGATAGGTTGTAGGCGAGCCATTGGTCAGGGTATTTGGCTTTCACGCCTTCTGCAAAGGTCTTGGCTTGTTCGTAATCGGGGGAATTGCACTCCATCCATACCAAGTCGGCGTAAGGCGCAAACGCTCTTGCCCTCATGATACTGCTTTGAGTGCCGCCACGGTAACGGTAGAGACCCTCTCTTACGCGCGGTAGTTCCCAGTCGAAATAAATGGGTTTACCGAGCAATTTCCGCGCAATTGCTTGCATCTGTCTGATGGACATGCCGCTCAAGGGACCAGCCTGCGCATTGAATTCGGAAATAATCTGCTCGCATTTGAAAGGGTTTTGTTTACGCGCAGACTCTGCAAAGGCCTCGTGGAATAGTCTGAGACCTGCTTTCTCACACCAACGTGCCTCCAAGCTTTCAAGTTCTTTGCCGCCGTGTCCTTTCAAAATAGCCGCATCCATGCTCTCGGAAAGTGATTCGTGCACGTCTGGATTGGTTGCGCCCACGATGAAATAATGATCTCTGGGGTCGATGGTCGAGCTGAGGAGCGTGGCTTCTTCGGAGTCTGTTCTTGCCACGAGTACCAAATCCGAGTGCATGATGTCAGCGCACATTCTCACAGTGACAAGTCTGTTGATGTGTTCCTGCACTGGAATCACACATCTGCCGGCCATGTGGCCACATTTCTTGTTAGTGGAGGTTTGATCCTCCATGTGGATACCTGCAGCGCCACTTTCAACGAACATTTTGGTCAGTTTGAACACGGCCGTGATCCCACCGTGTCCAGCGTCTCCATCGGCAACAATGGGGCGGAGATAGTCAATTGGCGCTCCCATAGCGTCCCATTCACGCTGGGTCTGACACCGTGCGCGCTCCTCCCATTGTTTGCGGTCGTGAAATCGCTGCGCTTTGAAAAGATGGTCCACTTTGGTTGGGACGGTGTCCATGGGGTAATCTGCAAGGTCTGGACCGGGCTCGTTGCTGGTGGACGCCGTGGACGAGCACTGCCAGCCGGAAACGTACACGGTGTCGAGGTAGGGGGCCATTTGGGTGACGTGGACGGGGTCCAAGGCGCCGAACGTCTTGCTTACAGTTTTGCGATCGTGGTGTTCTGATAGCAGTGCGTAGAGTTTGCGTGCCATGAGTGACGAAGCGTTTTCGGTGTCTGTAGGCATCGATCCCCGCCGTGCTGCGATATCGCGAGCGGAGTAGATACGTTTAGTGTTTTTCCAGCGAGGTTGGGCCCACCATTGTTCTATTTCGCGCGTTTGGCGGTCCAATTGTGCCTGTGTTTCGGAGAATGAGTTGCTCATTGCCTTAAAAGTGGAGTGTTTTGGGAAGTAGTCTCGTTGGAAAGCCAGAATCCGACAGGTTAGGGTTGCTTTTTGGGTTGCTTCCTGGGTTTTTTCCTACTTGAGTGACACTAGAGAGCTTGCTGCTGCAATTGTTCTTGTAATACCTCTTGGTGGCCTCTTGGTGGCCTCTTAGTGACCTCTGAAACCTCTGGATATCCCCCTCCCCCACAACTGCTCCAAATCCACCTGTATTTATACCATTTTTCAGGGGAATCAGCCGCCCGCTCAAACGGTGATGACGATGACGTTCAAGAAACGGCGCACGGAGTCGAGTTGGACCGAAAGGACTTCTGGGCCGTAGAAAAAAGTTTAGGCGCCTAGCTGTAGGTGATTGATCTCCTTTGAACCTTGGGGTAAAAGCCCGGGCCTTGAAAAAAAAGGTGTCGGCCCAAAGGTGGAGGAGGAGGGAAAAAAGTCACGTGTGGTGAAGCTGGAAGGACCATTCATACACAAGAGAGCGAGAGAGACAGAGCGAGAGAGACAGAGCAAGAGAGACAGAGCGAGAAAGCGAAGAAAAATCAATTTGCAGTGTGGTTCGTCTGTGGGTGTGAACTAGTGTGATCAGGCCTGTGTCGCAGTGATGTTGGGTTTGTCACTTTGTAACAGGCAGTCATCTGTCACTTGGTCACGTGATTGCGGTGTTCCCGAGGAATACAGACATGAACCTTCACAAGAACCAAGCGCGTCTGTGAATATTTCAACACTGCATCGCCTCCAGATGGCATGAGTTTCACCCTCTCTGTCCCTGTGTTTTTTTTCTCGACTACGGTTTCCACTCACTGAGTGTTATCCAACACTACCAATATATGAATTTTCTCCCAGCACTCTAAACAAAGCGGGAAAAAAAATAAGCGGAATCGCCGTTGTGAGTACCAACATCAACACTCTCATCTTGGTCCAAAAAAATTACCGTCAGCTGCCGGATTTGAACCGACGCGGGCAGAGCCCAATAGATATCTTTAATCAGAAGATTCAAGTCTATCGCCTTAACCACTCGGCCAAACTGACTTTCGTACGTTGTAACCGTACACTGCACGCTCCCAGACTGTTTCGAACACAGGAACTGATGGCTAACTTGCTGTCGGACCATTGGAGGTCCTCAGCTGTTGAAAATGTAATTCGATGAAAGCGACATGTCATATTGAAGACGCTGCTACGAATGCTAGGGAAAACCATGCCCCAAAGCTATACTATTCCCTGTTGTACCAAAAAATGCCAAGTATGCGAGCTTCACGATCCCTTTGGGACAGATTAAGCTGTCTTATTATAGTTCTCGTACGGTAACACTTAAGCACACTTGAATCACGATACACCCAAAAAATGACTCCATTTTACCCTTAGTTCACACTTTGCGACCCATCCAGAGGATCCCCGTCATCTCGCAAAACTCACGGCCAATCATGTAAACAGCATTTGACGCCGGAACGCACAATACGGCACCCCCCCTTCCAACTCGTTCCCACGAAAAACAAGGGACCTGACCCATAAAGAGAGTAAAATAAAAATTTGAATGTGGGGTCAGTCAGGGGATAACTGCAACTACTTCGTTTCTTGCGGGGATGTGTATAAAAGCGGTCATGATGATCACTCGCAGCGCAGTTGTTACTTTCCAGCTCCCACCTCATCAGCTCATATAACTCACAATGACGAAAAAAGACAAGAAGAAACTTAAGGTAAGCACGGTGGTGACCAAGGAGGGCGAAAGTATAAAGGTTTTCGAAGATTTGGAGAGCTTTGAGCTTTACATCAAAAACGAGACAGAAGACGAGGAGTTCGACCATGTGCGTTGCCATTTAAAGTACTTCCCACCATTTGTGCTCCACGAGTCTCACGACGACCCAGAGAAAATCAAGGACTCGGCCAACTCGCACAGCAGGAAGTTCGTGCGGCACTTGCACCAACATGTGGAAAAACATCTACTCAAAGACATTACCGAGAGGTTGCAGATCCCCACGCTCAAATTCAAGGACAAATCAAAAGTCGAGACTCCAGACCACATCGTCTGGAAGTACAACGAGCGTACCGAATACCACAGTCGCGAATTCGACATCCACGTCACCGTAGAATGTCACCACGATAGCGCTTTGGTCGACGTAGACTATCTCACCGAGCCCATTCGCCAACCGGTCGCTGCGGCCTGAGTTTCACGCTCGACTCGCCATCCTAGCACGGGTTTTAGTTTTTGGGTCTCAATATGTATGCCGGTGCCAAGGGACTATTTAGTATGAAGTAATGAACACGAAGAAATGACTACACTTTTAGAAGTATGTGTTTTGAATGACCTTGAGAGAAAGAGAGAGAGAGAGTCTTGCCAAGTCCGGCGCAATCTTGTAGGTACGATATTGAAGGTACACATGTCATTTTGTACTAATGTGACGCGCAATCTTCAGACTCACTTTAGCACCTAAAGCCGTGTCAATAGCGTGCGTAAGTCCCAGAGGGCGAGACTAGAATGATGGAAAATGGGCTCGTCAATCGGAAACGTACTCTCTCCTGTGTTTTCGGACTGCTCAAAAAAGGAAAACTAGTGTTTTAGAAATTCAGACTGCGCGACAGAAAAATGGCCAGAGTATCAATTATCGGTCATCAATAGACATCAAATACTTTATCACGCGATACTCGGGGTAGTGCGACTTTTATATTGTCCTGACATTCGCCGTCGTCACCCCGACTAAACTCCATAAAAAAAAGCCTAATTCAAAAAAGGAAACCCAGTCTCCCATCAAAATGTCTCTCATCACAGCTATAACGCTACTGCAACTAAATTCAGACCTGTCATTGTGTGAACTCTCGGTAAAAAACTGCTTGACTTCAGGCCAGGGTCGTCTTTTTTCTCGCACGTGACCTAGATTGTACGTTGATTTTCTATAAAAATGCTTTATTGTTCGTCTTAAAGCTAAGCAACACCTCTACTTCTCTCTAGACCATGAACAAACAGCTGGAACCCGACCTAAATAACGTCATAAAGCACCTGAACATACGATGAATAAAACCACCACTACCGCCAATATGCATGCCATTCAAAATGCGCTCGCAAACTATGATACTTCCTTTCTTTCCGATGCGGAAGAGGACTACTGTCCATTGTGCATAGAGACGATGGACATTACGGACAAAAACTTCAAACCGTGTCCTTGTGGCTACCAGATATGTCAGTTCTGCTATAATAACATTCGACAGAACCCGGAACTGAATGGGAGATGTCCCGCTTGTCGGCGCAAGTACGACGATGAAAGCGTTGAGTACGTCGTTTTGACACCGGAGGAAATGAAGCTGGAGCAGGCCAAACAAGCACGCAAAGAGAAAGATCGCAAGCTGCGTGACAAGGAACGCAAAGAGCACGAGTTCGCAAACCGCAAGCACCTAGCTGGAATGCGGGTGATCCAGAAGAATCTGGTGTACGTGGTGGGCCTAAACCCACCGGTGGCCTACGAAGACGTGGCACCCTTGCTCAGAACGGACCGGTATTTCGGCCAGTACGGAAAAATCAACAAAATCGTTGTTAACAAGAAAACGTCGCACAACGAACACCATGGTCCGCCCCCTGGAAACCATCAAAGCCACCATCATACTGGGTACGGCATCTACGTCACTTTTGCCAGAAAAGATGACGCAGCGCGGTGCATAGCCGCTGTTGACGGCACCTACATGGACGGGAGAATCGTAAAAGCTGCGTACGGAACTACCAAATACTGTTCGTCCTATCTGAGGGGGCAGAGCTGTCCAAACCCTAACTGCATGTTCCTGCACGAGCCAGGCGAAGAAGCGGACTCGTTCAACAGACGTGAGCTCACCAACAAGCAGAACGACCATGTCGTACCATTCAAGCTAGCTGGTACCGGCAGCAATGCGTCGAGCCAGATTCCACTAAAATCTGGCTCTGCCATGGCCTCTGCATCACCCGTGCCTTCACCACTGCCCACAAGGGCTCATCTGCACAGCAATCAAGAAGACCTGTCATCTTCGTCGTCTACGTCCGCTGCTCAAACACCGGTGCTGACACCGGCTCCTATTCCTAGCGGATCCAATCCATGGGGCGTCAACCCAGCGGCCGCCCCACTGTTTTCGTCGACGGCAAGCAAATCCACCACTTCATCGGCATTTCCTACTTTGGGTGAGGCCACTTTGGCGCAGTCAATGGCCGCCTTGTCCACCAATCAACCCAGCGGCAGCAACAACAACAATAACAATACCAATCAAGGCGGTAAGAGCAGCAAGAAGAATTCCAACAACAACGACAGGAAGTATGTGGATCCTTACGATCCGCTAGAGAGTGCAGTAAGATTTATCGACGAAACTCTCAAGATGTTGTCGACTTACAGAAACTGCGATTTCAAGCTGAGATCCGACGTTATTGATGATGACACCTACCGTTCCTACCCTTCCCTGTTTTCGTTCGAAAATATCCCCGTTTCGGAAACCTCTGACAATGCTTTGGGGCGTAAATTGGTGGACATGCTAGCTATCAAGCCTGTTGATCATGCTGCGTCAGTAATGCCATATTTACAAGCAAACCCACAGACCAATTCCGCTGTGTTCCAATTACAGCAACAACAGCAGCAACAGCAACAACAACAACAACAACAACAACAACAACAACAACACATGCTACTTGTCAAGCAACAGCAACAACTACAACAATTGCAACAGCAACAGCAGCAACAGCAGCAAGCATCTCAGATGAAAGTCCAACATCACACTCCTCCAGGCATGACCCCACAACTTTTGCATACTCAATTACAGCATCAGAGAGCCGTCAATACTCCACCACCACCCGGAATCTTCTCTCCCACTAATCCTCCTGCTGGCCAGAACCAAGCTCCGGTTTCCGGCAGTAATTCCTCTGATCTGTTGAACCAGCTGATCAATGGTAAGCGTATTTCTACAAATTGAGATGGTCTCAGCGTGAAGATTCTTTCAATTAAGGACGGATGCTCTATACACTAATTTGTATATACTCCACTTAATCTAGCATAAAATGCTCATCGCTCACTTGTTTATAAGCACGGTGTAAATATCCAATAATAAAAAATACTAGTTCCTGAAATATGACAGTTCGATTTACTCCAGCCGCTATAACAAAAGAAGCAAAAAGCTGGTGCTTACAGCAGTGATATTCATAACTCGAACTGCCAAATTCTCTTCTGATTGCTTGATTTAACGTAAGGATGGCAACAAAGTATCCCCAGCACGTTGCTAGACTGTTTCAAGCGGGCCCACCAGTTCAATATAAGAAACCTGTCGATTATCCGATTGAAAGTCGGAAAACTGTCAGCAACATCTCTGGACTATCAGGGTTTTTGAGCCACTTGAAGAATTATGCTGAAGAGTTCACACAAGGCTCAGAGAATCGGCATTTACAAGCTTACGATGACGCAGACCAAAAGCGGCAAATTGAGAACAAAAAGCTGCGAACAGAGCTCAGCGAGTGGAAACCACACGAGGACGCCAATTTTGCTGATACAGATCCATACAGGACCATTTTTGTTGGCAGACTGCCGTACAGCGTCACGGAAGTGGAGTTACAAAAGCTTTTTGTTCGATTTGGCGATATTGAAAAGGTGCGTGTGGTGAGAAACAAAATGACCAACAAGAGTCGAGGCTACGGATTTGTAGCATTCAAGGAGGAGCACTCTGCGAGGTCGGCGTGCCGCGAAATCGGTGTTCACCGAGGCGAGGAGGTTGAGGGCCGCGCCATCATCGTTGATATCGAGCGAGGCAGAACGGTCAAATATTTCACGCCACGAAGGCTGGGCGGAGGGCTGGGAGGCCGTGGCTACATGAAACGAGACCGAATGGCAAAGCTGGCAATGGCCACGAAACCAACGTCGTCAGCGTCGGCTGTTTCCACAACTGCTGCCACGCGAGACTACTTGCGCGGAGACGAGGGCTCACGTGCCAGTCCTTTCCCTCGAAGCGCTGCTCCGCCACCACCACAGCGAAGCAGGTTTTCAGGCTACAATAACAATACATCTGTACGGGCTCAGGGCGAAAGTGGTACCGGCTACCGCTCCCGAAGCTCTAGGACCAGCAGATTTGGCCGTTAGGTCAAACCAAACCAAAGACCACATGATACCAGAAGAGTACATTCGATCACGTGACTATAGACACCTACACCCCGTGACTAAAACACACCATATGACTGTCACGTGTATTTCTCGCACACTCACATCGTTGAAAACGATTAGTCCAATCATCATCATTTTTTTTTTTTCCTCTTCAAAACTTTTGGGCTTTTTTTGGTGCCGATCGGTAAAAAATTATCATAGGCGTATTATTGGATATATTCTAAGATAACACGATGGCCACGACAGCCTGTGAGGCGACGGACGACATAATAATCCCTATGGTAAAAAAACTCGGCCTTAGATTGAGACGGCTGTCTCTCAGGAAAGGACGATGATTCATGATTCTTAACTGTGTTCACAATCATGACGCCGAATTAATTGAAAACAGGAATTTTGAATACTTAAATGCTAGCACTATTAAGGAATTCCTAAAGTTTAAGCGATCCGAGATCACTTAAAGCGCTGTTCGGAACATCCTTGTTCTTTTGAACAAATATAGCCTTTTACTCTAACTGTCCGGGAATGTCGTCCAAATTGTTAGTATCATTGAAGGGCGTGAAGCCTGCGCGACTGCAGGGAATTGCTTCGATTTTGGGTGCCAAGAGTTCGTCTGCCCAGAGAGTTATTCAGACTGGAACGAAAACAGTGGGCTACTCAAAGAGATGTGTGTCCAGTGTCAGCGGAGTGGGCACGGAAGGTACGAGATCAACCGTGGTGCAGTTGCTAAACAACATCGGGTCCAAACGTGAGGTCGAGCAGTACCTCAAATATTTCACCTCGGTCTCGCAACAGCAGTTTGCCGTCATCAAGGTCGGCGGGGCCATCATCAGCGACAACTTACAAGAACTGGCGTCCTGTCTTGCGTTCTTGTATCACGTGGGTCTGTACCCGATCATCCTACACGGCACGGGTCCACAGGTCAACGGTAGACTGGAGGCCCTGGGCGTGGAGCCCGACTACATTGACGGGATCAGGATCACCGATGAGCGCACTATGGCCGTGGTCAGACAATGTTTTCTGGAACAAAACCTGAAACTTGTCACAGCGCTGGAACAGCTGGGCGTGCGTGCCAGACCCATCACTTCTGGTGTCTTCACCGCTGACTATCTTGACAAGGACAAATACAAGCTTGTGGGAAACATCAGCAGTGTTTGCAAGGACCCAATTGAGGCGTCTATCAAGGCTGGTGCCTTGCCAATTTTGACTTCTTTTGCCGAGACCGCGTCGGGCCAAACTTTGAACGTCAATGCTGACATCGCCGCTGGCGAACTCGCACGCATTTTCGAGCCTCTCAAGATCGTGTATTTGAACGAAAAGGGTGGCATTATCAATGGCAACACCAAGGAGAAAGTTTCCGTGATCAACTTGGATGAAGAATACGAAGATCTCATGCAGCAAAGCTGGGTCAAGTATGGCACCAAGCTGAAAATCAGAGAAATCAAGGAACTTCTAGACTTTCTTCCTCGTTCATCTTCCGTCGCCATCATCAACGTCCAAGACTTGCAAAAAGAGCTGTTTACTGACTCCGGTGCCGGTACAATGATCAGACGTGGGTACAAGCTGGTTAGAAGATCGGATCTTGGTGAATTCAGCTCGCCAGACGCTCTCAGAACCGCTCTTCATAGAGACCTGGACATCGCCTCTGGCGCCGAATCAGCCGCTGCATACTTGCGTGATCTTTCCTCTTCCAAGTTTGTCTCGTACGCCGATGAGCCAATGGAGGTATTGGCAATTGTGAAGGAGGACAAGGTTGTGTCGCATCTGGACAAATTTTTATCCTCCAAGGTTGGCTGGCTAAACAATGTAACCGACAATGTTTTCGCGTCTTTAAGACGTGACTTCCCTTCATTACAATGGGTTGTTAGAGAGGACGACGAGAACATTTCGTGGCATTTCAGCAAGTGCGAAGGTTCGTACTTGAAAAATGGTAAAGTTCTATTTTGGTATGGTGTCCAGGACATCAACACGGTATCTCAGCTGGTCAAGGACTTTTCTGGATCTGTTGCTCCTACTACCGTACCAGCTGGCCAAAAATCTAATGTGTTCGCGTCAGGTCAATCTACTAGACAGTATTCGACAAGAAGTGCCCCTAAAACTCAAGGCGTCAACACAGAGAAGGCTCGGGTTGCCCTTATTGGTGCTAGAGGCTACACCGGAAGAAACTTGATCTCCCTACTAGACAAGCATCCTCATTTGGAGCTTGCCCATGTTTCTTCTCGTGAGTTGAAGGGCAAGAAGCTAGAGGGATACAGTAAGAGTGAGATTATCTACGAAAACTTGGAAGTCGATGATGTGAAAAGACTCGAGGCTGAAGGTGGAATCGATATGTGGGTTATGGCTTTGCCAAATGGCGTTTGCAAGCCGTTTGTTGAGGCTATCGAGAGCGTGAACGGAAAATCCAAGATCATCGACCTAGGTGCTGATTACAGATTTGTTCCTGAAACAGAATGGGCATACGGTTTGCCAGAGCTGAACGATAGGGGAAAGATAGCTGCCGCTAAGAAGATCGCCAACCCCGGATGTTATGCGACCGGCGCTCAGGTAGCTATTGCTCCGTTGCTCGATTTCATCACAGGCTTGCCAACTGTTTTCGGTGTTTCTGGGTACTCGGGTGCAGGTACGAAACCATCCCCAAAGAATGACCCAGCCTTTCTCAGTGACAATCTGATTCCGTACAGCCTAACTAATCATATTCACGAGCGCGAAATTTCCGCAAGAATGGGTCGCGAGGTAGCCTTTATTCCGCATGTTGCGCAATGGTTCCAAGGTATTTCGCACACAATTTCGATTCCTATCAAAAAGAACTCTCTATCCTCCCAACAAATCCACAAAATGTACCAAAAGTTCTACCAGGACGAATGCTTGGTGAATGTTACGCAAGACGTACCACTAGTTAAGTCCATTTCTGGCACACACGGTGTATTGGTGGGTGGTTTTAAAGTCAACGATGCCCAAGACCGCGTAGTCGTTTGTGCTGCTATTGACAACTTGCTCAAGGGTGCCGCCACACAGTGTCTGCAAAACATCAATTTGGCTCTGGGTTATGGTGAGTATGAGGGAATCCCTCAGAACAAAATTGCTCAGGAGTAACTCCGTTGAATCTAACAGGCGATTTTGCTTATCACACGAATATAGACTTGTAAACGGATTAATAGCCTCAGTAAGTGCTTTAGCCACTACACTATTTAACATCACTTATTTCGATACTTGATGCGTCGCTAGTTTGCCTTTAGTTCGTTCTCGAGAATCACTAGAATTGTACAACGAAACTAACAAAAAATAACTGAAAACAGGATGTAAGTGGCTTGCTTTAAGTCTTAGAAGCGCTGAGTGATGATCCCATAACGAGAGGATCAAGCCTGGCGACCAAGAGAATGTTATTCGAGCTACTTTTTACCGGAAATCTCATGTCAGCATTTGGGTGAGTAGTCAATAATATTGACAGCGACGGGGTATTGACGTCGCGAAACAAAATCATGAATTTGTACATAAAGTACTAAACACAGTTCCTCTACTGTTTTCAAAGGTCAAAACTTATCACAATAATTGACCTACCTTCACAGTCTAACATGTCCGCGTCTAATACTACTACACCAAAACGATCTTACACTTTCCAGGCCACCATCGATCAAATTGGTCCTCAGGTCGTTGCTGGACATGGTGTCTATATCAGTGTTGAAAAGGATGGCCAAGTTTATGACGGTATTCTCGATGGGATCACAGGGGCAGCCGTGGGCGCATTAGGCTGGGGAGACGAAGAAGCTTTCGAGATAATCGTCAAGGCTGCACGTAATTCGACTTACTCGTTTCCTAGCTTAGTTTCGAACAAATCTTCAGAGGAATTGGCTAAGTTTTACATTGAAAACTCCCCCAAGGGGGCTTTCTCAGCAGCCTTGTGGTGCGGCTCAGGTTCGGAAAGTAACGAAAACGCATTGAGGATCATCAGACAGTATTGGTTGGAGCGCCAGCTGCCCAATAAGATAAAACTCATCAGCAGGGAAAACTCCTACCATGGATTTACGTTGGGTGCACAATCAATTTCGTGGAATCCGAGAGTACAGCCCTTTGAGCCTTATCTAATGAACCGTGCCGTAACTAATATCAAAATCCCATGTGCTTACAGCTACCGCTTCAAGAAGAACACTGAAACTGAAGAAGATTACGCCAAACGTCTGATTGCAGAAACTGAGAAAATCATTTTGGATAATGACCCTGACACTATCGCGGCTCTCACGGTGGAGACATTGCCTGGTTCGTCCCTGGGTACCTGCCCCCCTCCCAAAGGTTACCTGAAAGGCCTGAGAGATTTGTGCAATAAGTACGATTTACTATTTCACTTGGACGAGGTTATGTGTGGCACCGGCAGGTGCAATCCGTACGGTAAACTTAATTGCTGGGAAGGCTTCCTGGAACCGTGCGACGCGCCAGACATTCAGACTGTTGGGAAAACGTTGGGGTCTGGATATATCACAATAGCTGGTGTTTTGATCGGACCAAAAATCAGAGATGCCTTTGTACACGGCTCGAACTCAGTTGTGGGTGGACACACTTATGCATCTCATGCTTTCAATTGTGCTGCTGCCCTAGGAATCCAAGAGAAAATCAAGAGAGACCATCTGGCCTTGAATATTTTCAATATGGGAAGCCGCATGGGACAGATGCTCAGAGAAACTGTGATGGCCACAAATAACATCGCGGGCGATGTCAGAGGAATTGGTGGTTTTTGGTCAATTGAGTTTGTGCAAGATCGAATCACCAAAAAGCCCTTTGATTATTCCTTGAACGTAGGAGTTCAGTTCAAGGCGATCTGTTTTGAAAACAAATTGGCTGTCATGGGAATGCCTGGAAATCCTGATGGAAGCTGTGGCGATCGTGCTCTACTTGCTCCGTCTTTCACAATCACAGAAAATAATATCGAAGAAATAGTCAAAAGAGTGGTTAAATCCGTGAACGAACTTACCCAAAAGCTCAGGAACGAAGGTCGTTTTTAGTCATTATGATATGTAGTTCTATGTTTCGTTCTAGACATGGTCAAGGTGCGACCTGGTGAAGTGTTGAATGCAATTTTTTATTGTCAAGTATTACCTGAAGGCCAGTATTAGAATTGAGGCAAATTTTAAAACACCGCAGCTGATCATAGTGATCATTCATCGTAAGCAGAGCAACATGATGTGATGCTTGGCCCCAGAAGGGAACACATTACGAATTGCATGCCTGTATGTATAATCTTCAGAGATCACTTTGTACTATACTGTCAGAACAATGGGTGTTCAAAACATATTAGCCAGGAAGCAGTTCCAAAGCACTGAAACAGACAATCGATAACCTTGGACTGCAGCAGACTCAGAAGGTGCATGACTTGTACAACTATCAGCTGTAGAAGTGCTCGTTACCAAACGTAAGCATGTGGTCACGTGACTCTTGAAGACGTATCTATTCAAAGCTGAAAGTAACAACCCTTAAATAGTGATGCCATACCGTTTCGAAGTCGTCAGGGTTTATCATTTGAGGTGAAGTATCGTTCTACCATATCAATCTCGCACGCGGTTCGAGGCTCCCGCCTGTTACGCTTTTTTACCGACATCGTAAAGAAAACATAACCACGTGACAAGATGAATCTTTAAATTACCCATATTTTAACGAATCCATAAAACAAGCAGATCCAGGAAAGGGGTCGAAACCTGGACAGCAAGCATTGCCCATCAATTATTGACCATGGAGGACTGGAGAAGGATAGACATTGATGCTTTTGATCCGGACAGTGGCCGGCTCAATGCCGAAGATTTGACGCCTCCAAACCTAAAGGTGGTTAGTGCTTCAGAAATCGAACCGAGAATCTCACAGCTGCGTTCTGCCGCAACTAGCGGCGACTTTGCTTCAGCTTTGCAACTGGTGACAAACGATCCGCCTTACGGTGCAGACGAGACGACGAAAACACGGTATTTCGAGGCAGTTTTGAGCGTTCTCACGCAGGTGCGTCAAGCGGAAATTGCAAACTTAGTCAAACAGCTGTCACTTAAACAAGTAGATGTGCTGATAAAATATCTGTACAAAGGAATGAGTGTACCTGAGGGCCAAAAACAAGGTGGAATACTACTTTCGTGGTTCGAAAAAGTGACCCAAAATTCAGGAGTCGCGCCAGTGGTGAGATATTTGTCTGATAGAAGGACGGTTTGAAGCGCTTGTGTCGCGCTGGAAAAAACATTGCGATCACCACCCCACCTTAAGTATCATAAATACGCACATACCATCAGCCCTCGAGCATTTTGGTACAAACAGGCACTCACGTGGAAAACACGCGAAAAACACGCTATCATTGTAACATGCTTAGCTATGACTTGTTTACGTATACAGCGACCACCAGATTTATTAAATTTGGTATAGGTAAGGTATAATCTGGATTAACCTCTACATTGGTCAAGTCTAAACGTCAGTGTCGACAATTGATATGAGCGAAGCTCTTGAGGAACTTGAATATACTACCAAGGACGTCAAGGACGTGAAGTCTCATTTGGGGTCTGAAGGCGAGAAATCGGCTCCCGCCAAGCGTTCTAGGAGCCTGGATGATGTGAAAAACGTTGATGAAGCTAGTACGGCCAAAAAGGTCAAAAATGAAGACAAGAAGATCGAAGTTAGTGGCTCCGGCGATTTTGAAACAGCTCAGAATGACGAGGTACCGGTGCGAGAAGAAAAGGACGAAAAATTGAAGAAAAATGAAGCAAGCAAAACGAATGAAACGCGCAAGCAATCGCTGTCCCCAGAAAATGAAGAGACAGACAAGAAAGGACCTTCCAACGTAATCAAAGAAAGGGAATCTGTCACCGAAAGTAAGTCGAAACAGGAAGAAAAGCAGACTCCAGAAGCTCCAAAGTCAGAGGTAAAGCCCAAATTTACCTTTGGCGCATCGTCCAGTTTTAGCAGTGGCTTTGGGGTTGCGAAAAAAGCTTACCAAGACAAGAACGTCCAGAAAGTTCAGGATGAGAAGCACAATTCTGAAACTTCAACTTGCGAGGCTCCACAAAGTGCGCCAAAGCCCGCTGTATTTGGATCTGGTTTTGCCTTTGGAGCTGGTTTTTGCGCTCTAAATAAGGGAAACACCACTTCAAGCCCCAAGGTTTTCGAAAATGAGGCCGAAAAGGCAGAGAAAGCCAAGAGTTCCAACTCTACTCCGACAGTATCCAGGAGCGACGAGAAGAGTAGCAGCGCAGAAAGTGACGGTGTGGTAAAACTGACGAAACAAGAGGTGAAATCCGGCGAGGAATCCGAAGAGTCTATTTTTCAGGCTAACGCCAAGCTGTACCAGCTGAGCGATCTGAAGGATGGGTGGAAAGAAAGAGGCGTAGGGGCCATACACGTGAACACAGACCGTCGCACCGGCAAAGGGCGTATTGTAATGCGCTCTCGCGGGATTTTGAAGGTGATTCTCAACGTCTCACTGGTCAAGGGTGTTATTGTTCACAAAGGGTTCCCTGCCTCTCTACATGGCGAGAAATTCATTCGCATTGTCACGATTGACCACGAAAAAACGCCTGTTCAGTACGCTTTAAGAACCGGGAAAGAAGAAACAGCTACCGAAATGTATGACCACATTTCGAAACTTATTCCCTCCTCTTAGTGTCACTTACTCTTACGCTTTAAATACCTGCATCTGTAATATAAAAGATCCTTTTCCAATGAAATATAGAGCGGCCTTCAAAAGGGTATTCAGAAGCCCTACTTTTTCACAAACGCTAAACTACAGATGGTGGATCCTTCCTGTCCTCCAAACCTGAAGGCGGGGTACTTGATGGATTGCCATAACTGCAGGGACTCGCTTTCTATTATCTGCTTGAGCTCGGCTTCTGTGAAATTGCAAGACGTTATCAAAAAGACACTATCCTTTTTCGTCAATTTCTCAATAACCTCAGGATATGCTTGTACTATGGATTCTCCGTTGGCCATTTTCAGGCCGCTAAGTGCGATGGCATCCAATGTGCCCTTATCCAGGACAACATCGAATTTGGGAGGCTGCCAATTAGGATCGAAAATATCAGCAGCAGAGAACTCAAAGTTATCCGAGTCTTGGTACTGTGTTTTCAAAATCTCTTGGGCAAATTCTACGGACTTGAAAGAATAGTCCACGCCGACCATTTTTCCACCAAAACCTTCCTCATGCAGCTGGAACAGTAAATGTCCGTTTCCCGTTCCCAAATCGATCATAGACGAGTTTTTGTCAATGCAAAACTGGCCCAAATGGTCCAACATAAAATCGACCATTTTCTCCTCTGCATTACTGTCGTCGAACCAACATTCACCAGTGTCTTGTGGGTTTTCTTCAAAATTCGACTTTTCGACCGCATAAAAGTCGTCCCAGTATTGTTGTGTACCCAGTTTTGATGTGTTGAGCTTTGTGGTGTCCTCCATCGCGCTCCAGCTAGGCTTATATGGTCGTTTTGAGCCTTCGACTAAGCAATTTCGACAAAGCCGATATTCAATTTTCTAATATAGCACTCTATATGACATACATCATCATCTTCGCCATTACCAACTACAACTTATATCAAGGTATAAAAGTTACAGGCCATCACCAAGACTGCCAAAAAGCCAACTCTATCATAAGATGGCCAAGATAAGTTTTCTGCCCACGCTAGAAGACGCTTACGGCGCGCTCTCAGCCGAACAACTGGAGATTTTGAGACAACAAGTTCTATCAGAAGGAGGAGAAGCAGCCTCGATACAATCGAGATTCAACTATGCATGGGGACTGATTAAGTCGACAGAACAAGACGACCAGCGACTGGGCGTAAAACTGCTCACCGACATATACAAAGAGTCCTCGATGAGAAGACGCGAATGTCTATACTACCTAACAATTGGGTGCTACAAACTGGGCGAGTTTTCGACAGCCAAACGGTATGCAGATGCTTTGCGTTCGCATGAACCGGACAACAAGCAGGCGCTGGCGTTGCAGTCAATGGTGGAAAACAAGATCCAGCGTGAGAGTTTGAAAGGCATCGCTATAGCCAGTGGGTGTGTGGCGGTGGCGGCCACGCTCGCAGGCATGCTCTCCAGGAAGAAACGCTAGTTTGCAGCTAATATTTGCAAATGTCGAACAAAACCAAGAATACGGGACTTCGAAGTGGGACTATGCATCACTTAATGAGGCCCAATTACGTCGCACAAAAATACACTCGACCCTGGAAACCCAAAACTTTTCCGATTCAGTGGTTGCTTCTAAGCTTGCAAATGGATACTAGTTTGTCTACATCGCTCTATCAATCACTAGAGATGGGTCTGATCGGACCCTCTTTGTCTATCTACAGTTTTCATGAAGGTGATAGTCCCGAAGACCGTGAACAAGGCCGTGAATAGTCAACTTTGATGAACACACGCACACGCTCACGCACACACTCACGTACACACCCTCTCTTCCTCTCTATATGTCAGAGCTCTTATGACTACGTACACAACGACCAACTCATCAATCAACTCAACATGTATATTGTGAGCAGCCTACGACGTCCAGCTCAAGACGATTGTTCAGCCAAACTGCCTTACAAGCTCTCACCATGGCTACTCGCTGTATCTACTATTTTGACACACTCAATTGTGTACCTTAGGCCTTCTTCGGCCTGGTGCAGACGCTTCTACGCTCACCACACTGACACCTACAACAAACAATACACGCGGCCTAGGTACGCGATAAACACCCAGTTATTCAGTTGTTTGTAGACTTTAATCCGTGGTTTCTACCAAAATCAAGGCAGCAATGCCGTCGAGTGATCCGAGCGACGCGTAAAACCTCATTTAATTGGTGCGTATCGCGGAAATTCGTAAATTTTCACGCGTTTCGCGTCTTTTTTGGCGATGCGCGATGACAAACGCGTAAAATGCAAATATTTTTTCACATATAAGTAGAAGACGTAACAGCGTTCTCTTGACGTATCCTATTCTCCTTTCCATCCCACACAGCATTGGTAGACTGAAGATCTTCAAGACGAACAAGTATTCACTCGTGTTTCTAGTCTAAGAAACTCACACTCACAGTCGCGCTCATACCAAGCTTTCGCTTAAATTCTTTGCCATGTTCGTGTATAAGAGAGACGGACGTCAAGAACCAGTCAAATTTGACAAAATCACAGCTCGTATCTCACGTTTATGCTATGGATTGGACCCCAATCACATCGACGCCGTGAAGATCACGCAGCGGATCATCTCTGGTGTGTACGAGGGTGTCACAACCGTTGAGTTGGACAACCTCGCCGCAGAAACTTGCGCGTACATGACCACAATCCACCCTGATTACGCCACTTTGGCGGCCAGAATTGCCATCTCGAACTTGCACAAACAGACAACGAAGCAGTTCTCACAGGTAATAAGCGATTTGTTCCACTACGTGAACCCCAAGAACGGGGTTCACTCGCCCATGATCTCGCAGGAAGTTTTCGACATCGTCCAGGAAAACAAAGACGAGCTTAACTCAGCAATCGTCTACGACCGCGATTTCCAGTACAACTACTTTGGGTTCAAGACTTTGGAACGTTCGTACCTTCTCAGAATTAACGGCCAAGTCGCCGAAAGACCACAGCATCTGATCATGCGTGTGTCTGTGGGTATTCACGGCAGCAATATTGCTAAGGTGCTGGAAACTTACAACTTGATGTCGTTGAAATACTTCACTCACGCATCTCCAACGTTGTTCAATGCCGGTACTCCCCACCCACAGATGTCTTCATGCTTCTTGGTGGCTATGAAGGATGACTCCATCGACGGAATTTACGACACCTTGAAGGAATGTGCTATGATCTCCAAGACTGCTGGCGGTATCGGATTGCACATCCACAACATTCGTTCGACTGGGTCCTACATTGCCGGCACCAACGGTACCTCGAACGGTCTAATTCCTATGATCCGTGTCTTCAACAACACTGCTCGTTACGTCGACCAGGGTGGTAACAAGAGACCCGGTGCTTTTGCATTGTACCTTGAGCCATGGCATTCCGACATCTTCGACTTTGTCGACATTCGGAAAAATCACGGTAAGGAAGAAATCCGCGCCAGAGATCTGTTCCCAGCTCTGTGGATCCCAGATTTGTTCATGCAAAGGGTTCAGGAGAATGGTGACTGGACACTTTTCTCCCCCAGTGAGGCTCCCGGGCTTGCTGATGTTTACGGTGATGAATTTGAGGCTCTGTACGAGCGCTACGTTCAAGAAGGCCGTGGAAGGAAAACAATCAAGGCCCAAAAGCTTTGGTATGCTATTTTGGAGGCCCAAACTGAGACAGGAACTCCTTTCATGCTTTACAAGGATGCTTGCAACCGTAAATCCAACCAGAAAAATTTGGGTGTCATCAAGTCTTCCAACTTGTGTTGCGAAATTGTCGAGTACTCTGCTCCCGATGAAACTGCTGTCTGTAACTTGGCCTCAGTATCACTACCCGCTTTCGTCGAAACTTCGGAGGATGGTAAGACTCAATGGTACAACTTCGAAAAGCTACATGATATCACCAAAGTGGTCACATACAATTTAAATCAGATCATCGACCGCAACTACTACCCAGTGGAAACAGCCAGAAACTCGAACATGAGACACAGACCCATTGCTCTTGGCGTACAAGGTTTGGCTGATGCCTTTATGGTTTTGCGTATTCCATTTGACTCTCAAAAGGCTAAGGAGCTCAACGTCCAAATCTTCGAGACCATTTATCACGCCGCTTTGGAAGCCTCTCACGAGCTGGCTGTGAAAGAAGGTGCATATCAATCCTTTGCAGGATCTCCAGCTTCCCAAGGTATTCTGCAATTTGACATGTGGGACAAAGTGCCTACCGACTTGTGGAACTGGGATACTCTCAAGAAAAACATCCAAAAGGATGGTTTGAGAAACTCTCTGCTTGTCGCTCCTATGCCAACCGCCTCCACATCTCAAATTTTGGGTAATAACGAGTGTTTCGAACCTTACACCTCTAACATGTACTCGCGTCGTGTCTTGTCGGGCGAATTTCAAATTGTAAACCCATACTTGCTACGTGACTTGGTGGACCTTGGTATCTGGGATGATGCTATGAAGTCTCATATCATTTCTGACAATGGTTCCATTCAGAATCTACCAAACATTCCACAGGAGTTGAAAGATCTGTACAAGACCGTTTGGGAACTTTCTCAGAAGAACATCATCGAGATGGCAGCTGACCGTGCTTGCTACATCGATCAATCCCAATCGCTGAATATCCACATTCGTGCTCCAACCATGGGCAAGCTGACAAGCATGCATTTCTACGGCTGGAAGAGAGGTTTGAAAACTGGTATGTACTACCTGAGGACCCAAGCCGCGTCTGCTGCTATTCAGTTTACCATTGACAAATCCGTGGCTTCTAAAGCTGGTAACTCGACCGCCGACTTGAGCAACTTGAAGAGACCATTGTACGTTCCACGCAAAACCAATTTCAGCGAAGGTGCTGCTGAAATTCAGACTCTTGGGGCTACCAGAGAAACGACGGAGTCTTCTCCCACGCCCTCTAGAGAGTCTTCTCTCGCCAACAGTGTAGCGTCTCTCAAAATTGATGACAGCAAGTCCGTGACACCTGTCACCGCGAACACCAAGGTTTCCAATGTCGAGGAGAATTCCAAGCCAGAAGAGTCGAATTCAGAGCAATTTGACATCTACAACTCAAAGGTTATAGCTTGCGCCATCGACAACCCTGGTGCTTGCGAAATGTGTTCCGGTTAGTTCGACCTCTACACACAATGGGAGTTTGCTTAGTTCAATGTTGGGAGGTTTTAATGTTTGGGTAATTATTAGTACGGGAAGAGTACAATCATCTCCCACTCTTTCTAGATACACAGTTTTAGATATCAAATGTACACTTTTACAATTCTATGGAGTTCTTGCATCAACGACAACTAACGATTATTATTCGCGTTAGAAAACATTTCAACTAATCATTTACTCTAAGAACGCTAGTGAATGTAGCATTAAGAACAAACGCTAGGGATATCTCCTTAATAATTACAATATACCGGTGAGGTGATAAATCAGTAAGTCGAGCTGCCTTCAATTGTCAATTCTAGGAATTTTAGGCTGAATTTGGGAACTGCGTTTCGCCGCGTAGACGACTACAAATCATGAGTCAGGAAACCAATTCAAGTCCTCCAGATAGTAAACTAAACGCTTTTCATAATGTGGAGGAGAGGCTACAGAGTGCTGGAACTGCATTGCAACAATCATCAAATGACGAGTTCGAAATGCTGTCAATGGAACCAATAGACGCAGAAACTAATTATGATGAGTTAACGAGTGGAACAACAAGACAGCAATGGCTGTATCTCCAGGATTCTAACATAGTAATGAGACTTCTGCGGAAGATTTGGTATGGACCCCAAGTTCCTGAAGATCTCCCACCGTCATTTCCTGGAAAATGGACGTTCTCCAGAAGGATTGATGAGTTTCCCATTGCACGCTTTCGCAGACGATTTCCACGCAGTAGCATAAGAATAACCTTCCTTTTGGTGTATGTTGGCATATGGAGTGCACTTATCAACTCTTGCATTCAGTACTATTATATCATGCCGCCTACTTTTTACCAAGACGATGGGACGCGGGTCCCCGTACGGACTATGACATGCCAGTCCACGTTGTTCTGGAAAGGCAAAAACAATGAGTGCGGGACCGGTGCATCACAGTGCTTGCCGTTTGACGACGAAGAAGTGTACATACGGTGCCCAGCGCTGTGCGACCGCGGCGCCTGGACGTATTCGGCAATCAACGTCGGAGATGAAAGAGTTAAGTACACAGGATTTGAGATAGGAGGAGGCGAGTCTCGAGAAGGCGACAAGCTTTCATATCCTTACAGGGGGGATTCTTTCGCCTGTGGGGCAGCGGTCCATGCTGGTGTCACTTCTCCGTTTGTGGGCGGCTGTATCCGTGTGGGAATGACGGGGGAGCAGGAACATTTCGAATCCAAAAAAGGACGCTACGGCACTGGCATGTCGGTCGGTTTTGACTCATTTTTCCCATCTTCCTTCGAGTTTAGAAAACTGCTGAATGGATACAGTTCAAGGTGCTATGATCCTCGCATTCCGGTTTTAGTCATGAACATTTTTATGAGTCTACCAGTATTTTACCTTTACGAGAGCATATATGGTTACTGGATCCTAACCATTGCTGGCTACCTGACGCTGGTCTTCTTTCTTGATCCACCATTGATAGTGGATCCGCACGAAAGTGATGGTTTCTCCTCGTTGCTGAGCCTGGCGTTCCAACGCTTTTTGCCACTTGCCTTTGTGCTCTATGTTCTTTGGAAATGCTCGGTACGAAGAACGCTAAAGGACGGGTCGCCGTTGGCGAAGGTCTTGTGCTGGTTCCCGACATTTTGGCTTGGTGTCATGAATAATGTCACATTTGATAGACTACCAGTGGACAGGCTCACAATTTCAGACTTGAAAGAGCAAGCAGGTGCCTTCGCAGCAGTTGGATCAATAATAGTGACAATCTTGTCCTGCGCGGTGGTTCAGGCATACTCGCTTTGGAAGTCTGGAAGGTTCAGAAAATATCTATGCATTTACCTTACGTTCATTGCAGGGCTTTTCATACTGGCACAACTGCCCGGGCTGTCTCTGAGAATACACCACTATATTTTGGGCATCCTGCTTGTCCCCGGTTGCGCAACGAGAGGCACATCCGCCTATCTCTTCCAAGGAATTCTTGTTGGACTTGTCCTTTCGGGCGTGAGCAGATGGGATTTTGCCAGCATTGTTGAGACCAGAGCTGCACTACTGAGAGGTGAGGCTGGGAACTCATGGGACCCGCCCACCTTCAATTACACTCAAGAATATCCGAATCTAATCTCGTGGTATTTTCCAAATGGCACACACGAGCTAACCGACAGCTTAGATGCTTACTCACTACTCATAAATGATGTGGAGCGCTACGTGGGTAAGAATACGTCCGTGAATTTGGGATTACTGATACAAGAAGATGCTGGGCTCGCCAGCTGGGCCAATGCTTCGATTTCCTCGAACGGATTCGCTAAATTGTACCTCAGAGTCGCCAGAGCCTCGCAGGACTCAGCACAAGATATTCATGGCGACTATACAAATGCAGCACAACTGGAGTGGCCTCAGGGACAATATCAAGAACCAAAACCTGGTGTATCGTGAAGAGCAGGCCGATGGCTCGTCTTCGATGATAGACATCTGCATTTACCATGAAATGACACTCTAAGAACATGTAAGTAAAGACCATATATACCCTTACCACACGAACCGACCAGAATGTCCACGTACGCTCTCCAAAGGGTGTCCGAACTTCTGAAGGACGACTCGACATTTGAAAGAACCAGAGAGATCAAAAGTCAGCTACAAAAGGAGAAGTCCACGGTCGAATATCAATTGAATAAGGAATCGAAAAAGAGCCTGGACAGTGTCGTTGACAACCTGAAAAAAGTCCAACTCGCGCGTAAGAATGTCCACAATTTGAGGGACAAACTAGGAGAAATCAACCGTCTGAGTCAGGATAACAAAACTTCAATTGAGCGCTATGAAGTCATAGACGAGGCCACTACTATCCATGAACTAATTAAAAAAACCGACCTAATCTACGACAAGATCGTGGAATTCAACGATATGCTCAAACGTGTCGACGAATTGATTGATGTAGAGCTTTCTCGCGATGCGCTGGAGAGTGGGGTACCCTCTTTGCTACAAATACACTTTCTACTGACAATGGCTCTAGATTTCCGAGATCAAACTACTGTTTTGGCACAGACGTTGACCGACGACGTTCAAAGAACCATGCAACGTGTTTTCTTGGGAATTTCTGAAGTGGTCAACAAATTCAATCAGCTTTTGGTGTCTTTAATTTACGATATAGTGGAAGCAGTGAGGACTGGAAACCAATCGCTTTTGATTCGTCTTTTCAAGATAATTGATCTGGAGGACCGAGAAGATATCAAGATCGTTGCTACTCGAAAGATTATCGAATCCAAAGAGCGGGAGTCAGAAGCCCGGAAAATAAAGAAATTGCCTAGCTCCTATGGTAAATTAGGCGGTCTGGAAGATTCCGCTCAGCACGAATATCCCACTCCGGCCGCTTTAACGCGAGAAATTAAGAGCGGTATGATCAGCTCCAGACTGCTTCCTCGTGAGTACAAAAAGTTCATGTTTGACACTATAAAGAAGTCCATTGTTGAAATGTTTGTTGAAGTCAGAAAGGAATATCAAGGTGAAAAGAGATTTGATGTATTGCAGAACCTGGATTGGGTGTTCAACGAATTGATGGTGGTGAAAGAACACATCACGAAACTATGTCCAGCTCACTGGCAAATTTTCACGAGGTATTATGAGATTTACTACGCTGAGCTCAACGCATTGGTCACCGAGTTAGTGAACGCGGAGCCTGAGACTCTCATAATTCTTGATATTTTAGACTACGACAAGACTTTCCAAAACACATTGAAAAAGGACTTTGGGTTCACAAAGGATAATGTCCAAAGCGTTATCGGGGAGAAGGAAAAGGAAACGTTACTAAACGACTACTTACAGCTCATTGTTAGCAAATCTGAAGAATGGTTCAAGAACTTAGGGGAGGCAGAGACCAAAATCTTCATTGAAAGAAAAACCCCTCCTCATACCGACTCTGAAGGACTCTTGTTCTTAGACGGTACCAAGACATGCTTTCAGATGTTTTCTCAACAGGTGGAAGTTGCGGCAGGCTCGGGCCAGGCCAAAATTCTCGTAGGCGTTGTGGAGAAACTGTGTCAGCTTTTAGGAGCACGACAAAGAACATGGATGACTATAGTATCCGCAGAGGTCAACAAATGTATCGAATACAACCACAAACTCGAAAGTGCTGAAGATGGCGTCTTACCTGAAGACGAGAGTATTGGTGGTCTTGTGGAATATCTGATTTCCCTAGCTAACGATCAGATGCGGGCTGCAGATTACGCCGTGGCAATTTCGCAAAAATACGGTGCCATGGTCACTAAGGTCCACGAAAAGGCGATTTCTAACAATATTGAACATACTCTGGACGGCTTTGCGGAGGTGGCAAAATGTAGCAGCACGGGCCTCATAAAGCTGATCTTTGACGATTTACGGAAACCGTACACTCAAATTTTCGGGAAGCATTGGTATACCGGCAGTCAAGCACAGCAAATTGCAGACACAATATATGAATATTTGAGCGACATACGAGGACAAATGAACCCCTTTGTTTATTCGACTTTGGTTGAAAGTGTGGTCGAGGAGACAATACTGAAATTCGTAGAGTGCCTCAAGTATGAGCATTCTTTCAAAAACAAGAACAACAAGTTTTTGGAGTGTATGAAACGCGATTTCGAAGTTTTCTACAAACTGTTCGTGCAATTCATGCCCGAGGAAGAAAAGGAAATTATAGACGACAAATTCAAGCTGATGGAGTTTTTCATGGATTTTGCGTGTGGACCCGTCGGTGGGATCATCGAGGTATGGACGCAATGCATCGAGGTGTACTGGGACTGTCCCGTGTCGTTGCTGTCGGCCATCTTACGCTGCAGGAAGGATGTAGACTCGTCGACGCTCAAGCATACATCGGCCTCGGCACAGCGTCTTGCTTCCAGCCCACAAAGAATGAACCAGCTCAGGACACAAGACCTGCAGGCGACGTTTATCAGTCGTTTCGGAGTATCGTGATAAAAGCACGTCCAGCTCTTTGGCTAGGGCTTCTTAGATAGCCATACAATTGTCATGAGGTATTGCAATCCTGGAATTGGCTCAAATGCGTGCGTGAATGCACCGTCTGTTGCTTTGTTCCAGGCTCCTCCAACGTAGGAGTCGATTCCAAGATCGAAATTGTAACCCTTAGCAGCGTCGATTTTTGTTACAGAAATGACAAATTTATGCACCGAGGAGGCCTTATCGAGTTCTGCAAGTACCAATTTCGTGTAGGCCGCAACATCACAGTATGGACTCGTATCGGGGAGACATTTTTCGATGATGGAAATGAGCTTTTCTGGGCTCACCGGATATTCATTAGACGAGGGCAAAGAGTTAACTTGTGTCTTCGTCATGTTGCGCTACAAAATAAAAGACAACTATAAGTAATTGAGCCAAGAGTATCGACCTCTTAGCTGATCGACGAAGGCTTGGTCAATAAGCGATATTGTAGAGGTGCTAGTCTTCAATGGCTGAGTAGTCCAGTCCAGTGCAGCCTTAAAGCCTAGTCTGTTTTCCAGATTTGTAGTTATCCAGAAAAAAAGGGCACGTGATTTACATCAATCACGTGGATTATTCATTTTTGATTACACAAGCACCAATCACGTGTACTCTAATCTTATTGCTTACCTCATCGTATTACATAAGCGCATGCTATTATTTTCTTGGGTAATTGGCGCACGTGTGGTCCAAGGTACGAATGGCAAGATTAGCTTTTATATATTTAATAGAAATTGAAGATGAGAGATGACCAGAGTAAAAGCGCATCTCAAACACTGTCAGAACTCCTCTCTCTAACTCTTCGGAAGTCCCAGGTGCAAGCTTAAGCGGGAACTTCAACACCAGGATAAAACAAGTGCTCTTACAACAATGTCTTCCGCTCCTTTGCTCCAAAAGGCTCCCGGCAAAAAAATCGCTCTGCCCACGAGAGTGGAGCCCAAAGTGTTCTTCGCCAACGAGCGTACATTTTTGTCGTGGTTGAACTTCACCGTGATGCTTGGCGGTTTGGGAATCGGTCTGCTAAATTTTGGCGACAAAGTCGGCCAGATTAGCGCTGGTCTGTTCACGCTGGTGGCTATGGCTACAATGGTTTATGCGCTGGTCACGTACCATTGGAGGGCGTCTGCCATTAGACGCAGAGGATCTGGGCCATACGACGACCGGTTGGGACCCACCGTTCTGTGCTTTTTCCTGCTCATCTCTGTGGTGGTGAACTTTTTGTTGAGGCTGAAATACGCGTGATGAGGTAGATGGTGAAAAGCCGGTGCTCGACAGGAAGCGCGCATCGCGACCTCTAGTCTCACGCACAAGAGTAAATAATAGTAATTAAGAGTACATAAAATAAGACTGTCTGACGTTCAAAACACACAGGTAGGGCGTGTTTCAGAGAGCTCCGGCTCTGCTAATACCGTATTCTACCGTTGACAGACAGGGTATCTAGCTCCCCGTTGCTTCCTTACGCATGTCACATGATCTCTATTTACACATATATAATTAATTGTTTCTATCAACTATAACGAAAATCCGATATAGTGTAGGGGCTATCACATCACGCTCTCACCGTGGAGACCCGGGTTCGATTCCCGGTATCGGAGATTTGATATCATTGAAAATAATCATCTTATAATTTTTTGATTCTTCCTGTGTAGTGCAGAAGAAGAACACACATACCAGTTGGACATGCTTCACTTGGTTAGTACTCCTTCTCTACATTTTAAAGACCTGGCCGGCCAATTCCTCTTAACTCACCGTCTCATCCCGGAAACGAAACACGCGTTTAATCGTCGTCACCGCTACAGACCGATCCCCGTTAGGATCAAAATTGTCGCGTATCACATTACCACCAAACAGCTTTTCGCCGCCCAGCCCCCCACTTTTCCACCCGCTCTCCCACCCGCTTTCCCACCCGCTCCTTTACTCGTTTCCGTCCTCTGCACTACTACAAACGCGGAATTAAGCGGCACACAAAACAACGGCATGGCCCAGCTGCGACCTCTACGTGTATACTACGATCGTTCCCGCACTGATTACCATTGACTACTCATTCTCTCAAGCTATAGCTCTAGCTCTAGCTCTAGCTTTCGCTCTCGCTCTTTTGGGACAAACAGATGCTCGGGACAGATTTACGTTTGAGCTGGCGAAAGGCTTAGCAAGAAAAAGAAGCATCCAAGCTGTTAGGTGCAAGTTCCTACAGTTCCTTCCTACAAACTTACTAATGGGGCCAATCAGCTGGCAGAGGTCGTCGACGTTGTCGTCGTTGTCGTTGAATTTCCGGATTTTTTTCATGTTATATTTTTCTTCAGAGTCTGCCGTTCAGAAGATAGCCAAGGACAGAGAAATCTAGTTATCTCAACCAGCAACGATTTTCGACCAAGATCAACGAGTAGAAGCGTGAATACGTAGCCCCAAATATTTGGCTCCACACTTCATTTCGCAATAAAATTCGGGTTTTCGCCACGGTGGTAACTGAAAAGTTAAAGAGGGGAAATAGGCAGGAGGAAAAAGAATGCACCACGACTCGGCTCGAGAATGGAAATGCTTCTATCTGCTCTAGGATCACGGCCATTACCAAGAGCAATTGCGCATTACGGCACCTTGCGGCGCTACTGAGAGATGCAGGCAGTGGGTTCGGCTTTTAGGAAAAAAATTGCGTAACTACAATACGATTACGATTTTCCAGGACCTTGTTGAATGGCTCGTTTGTTTCCTCGAGGGGGGAGGGGAGGTTAGTGGGTGAATATCAAAATTCAACGGGGCCCTGAGGGGTTACTAAGAAGGGGCCTCGAGGCTACTCCCAGAATGCTACAGATTTTGGGATATAAGAAAGGAGTTTTTCGAAAGTCGTTCCACAACTTTTCAGGGTGAAGGGTTTGAAAACTCCGTAGAGATTGCTTGAATTTTAGGCTATATTCAAGGGCCTGGTAATCGTTTGTTCCTGCTCTCACTATAGCTCTTCATCTGTCCGTTCGTTTATCTTAACGGGACTGAATCTCCGAGAACTACAATTATCATTTTATCATTATGCTGACGTCAAGAACACTGGCGATATTTTCCGTGGGTTCGAAACTCGCGCTGCGCACATATGCCACTACACCACTAAAAGTGCCCGTCACTCTCCCATCGGGAGTCACATACGAACAACCCACGGGTCTGTTCATCAACGGCGAGTTCGTGCACTCACGCCAACACAAGACTTTCGAGGTTGTGGACCCATCCACCGAGCAAGAAATCACACATGTCTACGAGGCCCGTGAAGAGGACGTCGACGTCGCTGTCGCAGCGGCCAAACGTGCCTTCGATAGCTCCTGGAGCACTGCAGACCCTGAATTTCGTGCCAGATGTCTATACAAGCTCGCAGACCTGGTGGAAGAACACTCCGAAATCCTAGCAGGCATCGAGTCGCTCGACAACGGTAAATCGCTACTATGTTCTCGTGGTGACGTCGATCTAGTCTCCAAATACCTAAGGTCGTGTGCCGGCTGGGCCGACAAAATGTTCGGCCGCACCATCGAAACCGGATCTTCCAGTTTTTCATACACCCGTCGTGAGCCTCTTGGTGTGTGCGCTCAAATTATCCCATGGAATTTCCCACTATTGATGTGGTCGTGGAAACTAGGCCCTGCGTTGGCCACCGGTAACACCGTGGTCCTCAAACCTGCTGAGGCTACCCCACTTTCTGCGCTTTACGCTTCGCAATTGGTCCAGCAGGCTGGTATCCCAGCCGGTGTCGTAAATATCCTTCCTGGCTTCGGTAAACTGATTGGCGAAAGGATGTGCACTCACAAAGATATCAAGAAAGTTGCGTTTACCGGTTCCACAGCTACTGGCCGTCATATTATGCGTACTGCCGCCGGCACCATCAAGAAAGTCACTTTGGAATTAGGCGGAAAATCCCCTAACATCGTTTTCGCGGACGCTGATCTAGACAAAGCCGTTCGCACCATTGCGTTCGGTATTTTCTACAACTCTGGTGAAGTGTGCTGTGCTGGTTCTCGTGTCTATGTTCAGGACACCGTTTACGAAGAGGTTTTGGAGAAGTTTAAGGACTACGCTGAGTCCTTGAAAGTCGGCAACCCATTCGAAGAGGGCGTTTTCCAGGGTGCACAAACCTCGCAAATGCAAATCGACAAGATCTTGGACTATGTTCAAATCGGCCGTGGCGAGGGTGCCCGTGTTGTGACTGGTGGTGAGCGTATGGGGGACAAGGGTTACTTTGTCAAGCCAACAATTTTCGCCGATGTTACTGAGGATATGCGCGTTGTGAAAGAAGAGATCTTTGGTCCAGTGGTCACTGTATCCAAATTCTCCACTGTGGATGAAGTTATCGAAATGGCTAATGACAGTGAATATGGTTTGGCTGCTGGTATTCACACTAAGGACGTCAACAAGGCCATCGACGTTTCCAACCGTGTCAAGGCTGGTACCATCTGGATCAACACTTACAACGACTTCCACCAGAACGTGCCATTCGGAGGGTTTGGACAGAGCGGTATCGGTCGTGAAATGGGTGCCGAGGCTTTCGACAACTACACGCAAGTGAAGGCTGTGAGAATGTCCATCGACCGTGCCGAACGTTGATCGCGAGGCATTAAGAAGACTACATATAACAGATATAGATATTCCTAGCATGTATAACATACCTTTGAGAAGTTAAGAGTCTAAGTGCCTCAAGCTGGTGTGTGAATTCAATTATTGGTCCCTAACGCTGACATTGCGTGTCTACCTCGTGGTATATGATTGAGAGAGGATAGAGATCCTGAATGCTGGTGCAACAATTACGTTGAGATTGTTTAGGATGCGTAAACTCCATCTGCTACTGATTTCATTCTTGCGTCACAGTAATTGTCTTGGTGGACCAATACTCAAATCAAATAGCTGAATTGTAGCACTGCAACAAAAAATTGGCATATCAAAACCAGCATGACCAGAGTCGTCCTCTAGTTTCATCAAACACGACACTATAGTTCCCTAATCATCCCATTCCAACACTGGCTCTTGGCATACCTACAAACTTCGTGTGCTCACCTTAGAGCCAATTCATCGCAACTGTCGCTGTCATTCACCGTCACTCGCTGTCATTCACCGTCACTCGCTGTCACTCGCTGTCACGTGTAATGCTCTCCCTTGACTGCTGAAAATATCCACCCAGACACCCATTCAAATCACAATTTACTTTTTCACGTTAGAAAAATCCGTGCATCTGTATTTTTGACATTTGAAAAATTACGAAAAAGTTGCGTCGCTTGGGTCCAACATTGCCACTCTAACCAGCGGACGCCCTCCTGTCCTACCTCCTAGGCAGAGCGCCCTGCCTAGCTCCAGTCTGTCCCGAGAGAGTCCTGTGGTGCCAGCTTGCTTAGCTCGTCCGTCCTACCGCCTGGTTCTCTGCCTAGACTCCACAGGTCTCTGCCAAGCCGCCTGCCTGGACGGTGAGACTCTCAGCCCAGTCCAGCGTACTCGCGTCCCGCTGGAACTTTCCAAAGGCTCTCACTTGACCGATCAACAGGTGTGTGAAATTCTTTGAAATTGGTGGATTCTGAACCTACACGAAGCTTTCAAGCAACCAAAGAGGGTATACAGAATGGTATGTGTGCTAATGAGCATGAAGTTGATTTGAGCTGGCATACATCAACGAGCTGGCTGGATACAAGTCGCCTTTGAAACTGGACTTTTCCGCGATGATGTGAGACATGGGACATATATTGAGTCTCATGGGATAGAGAACTTGAAATTGGCCGAATGCAAATGATCTGTATATACAGACGGTACCCGAAATCCAGCGTAGCCGAGGTTTGTTTCAGTGCAACGCCGAGGTCCGGGCTTGCTCCTAGATTTTAGGTTTTGTGGTCTTTTTTTTTTGGGAATGTGTGTCTCGAAATGAGGCCTGTGAAGGAGCTGGCCATTACCACTACGCTTGTAACACCGTCAAACTGTCCTCCGTCCCATACGCTCACAATCTGTTTCGACTTTTTTTGGATTTTATCTTACTAACTTCGTCCCGTTCAGTCTGACGCTATCACTATCCGCACCAGAAAGGTCATCACCAACCCATTGCTGGCTAGAAAGCAGTTCGTCGTCGACGTCTTGCACCCAAACAGAGCCAACGTCTCCAAGGACGAGATGCGCGAGAGATTGGCCGAGGCCTACAAGACCGACAAGGACGCCGTCTCTGTCTTTGGCTTCAGAACCCAATTCGGTGGTGGTAAGTCCATCGGTTTCGGTCTAATCTACAACTCCGTTGCCGACGCCAAGAGATTCGAGCCAACCTACAGATTGGTGAGATACGGTTTGGCCGAAAAGGTCGAAAAGGCTTCCAGACAACAGAGAAAGCAGAAGAAGAACAGAGACAAGAAGGTCTTCGGTACTGGTAAGAGCTTGGCCAAGAAGGTCGCTCGTCGTAACGCCGATTAAGGTAATTGCTGTTGAAATTTTTCAAACTCAGCATTACTTTCAAGAGAAAACTTCCAAATACTTTCTTATATTGTGTTTTAATATAACAAAAATCATCTACATTGTTCAACAATGCTCTAGTGGAACCTTAGTATATAGAAGTTGCTGCTGCTCGGCCCATCAGCCTGTGTCTGTTCTAGTTGGTGATTAACACCTCGTACAGAATGCGGCTTTGATGATTATTTGAATATCAGAAATCTGTATGTACACATCGAGTAAAGGTATAGTTTAGACAGATCCATCAAACTAGTTGCCGATCAGCATCCAACCAATTGAGCCGGTAGACTACCATGATATTTGGACTGGGCAGACTGTTCTACGTTGTTCTGCTACTTATAAATGCCGTTGCAGTTTTGAGCGAAGAAAGATTTCTAAGAAGAAGTATGAAACGTGTGGTGGGAACTCTTTATTGAATAGAACGGAACAAATACTAACATGCAACTTGAAATAGTTGGTTTGGGATCAAATTCTAGCCAGAGCCACGCATTTGGTCAGCAAGAAAACTCGGCCAAGTCGAAAGTTATACAGCTGATAAGCGCCATTCAAACATTACTTAGAAGTAAGTTGAGAAACAGGGTAATAATAAAGCATACTTGCCATGTTACTAACTTTTGGAATTAAAACTAGTCCCCTTAATAGGAATCAATATCTTGGTCATCGTTTATGAGCTTCTTCTAGGATGATGTCGCAAGATCGTTTGCAAATATTTAACTCGGTCGTTGTCGGTTAGCGAAGAACCTTCAAGTAACATTTACAGCATTAACTCATCATTAGCACACACTCACTACAAGAAAACAAAAAATCTATTACTTTACAATAAACATCAAATTACTTAACATCAACCGGATGACAAAATTCCTTCTAAAAAACACCTTTTGAGCTAAGGTTTTTTAAACACACAGCTCATATTACCCCATTTTGCTCTTCGACCTTAGACTTGAGAAAGCTTTGTACAATTCCCAGGTCGACGGTACTTCCCCAAAATGCTGGAGGCGAACTTGCTGGACATTTCTTCGCTTGCAAGCACATATCAAAATAAGACAATAGGCAGTCATAAATGAACAGATATTGATTCACGTTTTGAACCATGGAAATCCTTTGCTTCCGAAATTTATTAATGGTGATGATAACTGGATCGAAAAGCTTGCCACCCAGACAAGTAGTCGAGTGTGGCGACCACGGATTTGATTCATTGGATAGTTTTCTGTCTGCCCATTCTTCTCTAAGACCGTCGAGCTTCGACGCGTTACTGAGCACAGTGTCTAGGGCGCAAAGTGTACCCGTGCGCCCACAGCCAGCAGAGCAGTGTACTAAAATGGTTGGGAGATACCCAGCCGAGTACACCTGTTTTCTGAAGAGCTCTGTAATGACAACGTTTTTCAAGCAGATGATCTCCAAAACTTGACGTGGATTGACCATTATTCCCATATCAGGCCAATTTTTTATTTGGGCTTGTAGGGTCTCGTGCACTTCTCCTTCCCCATGACGTATTTGTATTCTTCTCAATATGACCGGACCTGCATTAAGCCCTAGCTCACTAGCCGCTTCAATACTGTGCTCCTCTAACAGCGTGATCTGTATACCATCGTAATCACCTTCAGCCCAGAATTTGTAACATTTCTCTACCCCATTTTCAAACTCATCCGTTAAAGTCAGAATGAGGGGGACATTGTTGTTCAAAATGCAAGTGTAGAAGTCATGCATCGTTGCTGCTAGTGGTGCTTGCGTCGCAATATATCGCACATTCACGCAATGTGCCGCAGGAGGATCCTGAAGACTGACAAAAGGATTTACCAGATAGTTGGCATTAATGTAAGTATCCCAAATATCGGTAGAAATAGGGTTCTGAAAAGCAGTTCTTTTTTTTTTCAAAACGACTCTAGTATGTTCGAAAGGGAATATGTCCTTGTATCTGTTCTTGGACCCCAATTCAACACCAGAGGATATGCAAACGTTTTGGTCTTCCTCATCAGAGTTGTACTCGTCAAACCACGATGCAGCACATTGGCTCCTGCGGTGGGTGTTGAATGAATTAAAGCCTTGTTTAGAGCTATCAAGTGATGGCTGCCCAGCGTTAGACAAGCAGGAATGCAGTCTCTTTTTTTCCAACAGGTCGAGTTTTTGGAATTGAGCTACCATCTCAAGTTTTGACACACTTGCTAAGTCTTGAAACCATCTGGGAATCACCAAATCGACCGCGTCACGACCGTAAACGTCATGCATGTGCAACAGAGACTTCTGAAAATTGAGTTTGTTGTTGAGTGTTGCAAGATTGTTGCAATTATTATGTTGACCACTTGAACGTGGTTCGATTGGAAACTTGTAGAGAGTGTCGGGCGACGGATATGTCAAAGGCAAATGCGCAGAAGACGAGTGTTTCGATCCTCCTATGCTGCGCTGTTTTTCGCCCAATTCAACGGCGCTCAAATAAGATTCTAAATTAGAGACTTCTTCGTTTCTAGGTATTTTGAAGGGAGGTGGAATTCCTGTTGACATAGGTAGCTGGAACTTCGAAAGCGTCGAGACTGGAGATGAAGATGACGCAGGTGAGGTAGCAATTGGAGAAGGCGACGCCATAGAAGGGCATTGGTTGGAAATATTGAGACTTGAGCCTGGTTGAGGTGTAGAGGCCATGTCTTGAGGCGACGGCGGTAGCCCTGGAGAGATAGAAGATGATGTAACACTTGGATTTATGATTAAGGATGGTTCAAGGTTTTCAAAAGCAGGAAAACCGGGGCTCAGAATGTAAATAGAGGGTCTCAACTGCTCCGAGCTCCACTTGTCAGCGTTGGCAAACTTGGAAGCCATACCATGACAGCCCACGCCAACGGAATCTTGAGACGTGCTTTGAACTGTGTTATCGAAAATGATGACTTTCAACTTGGAACAATCAGTGCGATCCAAAATTCTTCTTTTCACAATGACGTGCACTTCCCTGGGCAGATTTTCTATTAGACGGTCAAGTGTGAATGTCTTTCTTCGAAGCAAAGTGGACGGGAGACACACATGCAAGGCATTGATAATTGTTGAGCGGGAATAGTCCACAAACGGTCGTACATCTAGAATGATCAAATTTTCAGCAGGCTCCTCGACAATGAGTGTCCGGAGCTGTGCTGGAGACAGCGATTGAGTACCTTCGGGGCGAGGCAGCTGCATTTCTTTAGGTTTGAACGACGGCAGCGAGGGATTGCTCATCGATCGATTCAAAAACGGCATTGCTGGGCCTGACGTCGTGGTTGGAATACCGTTGGCAGCGTTTGTGGAATGAAAGCTTTGAGCAGAAGTCAGATTTGGGGCGTTGCGTCCCAGAGCGAGTGCTGAGATGGCTCTACGATGCGGTCTTGCGGGAAAGGAGCCTGATTTGGCCGTCAAAAGTGGGTCACTGCCAACCAAAGTTGACGACGACGAAACGACGGAACCGGTGTCTGACACCGTATCTGACATTTCCGCCACGCACTCTGGCCATCTGGATACCATTTCAGCGCAGAAACTAGTGGCTCTTTCACACAGAACTCAGTTAACCAAACAACTTACCAAGATGACTGAAAAAAAGAAGTCCAAGTATCACCAATGACCAATCAACGACCTTTTCAGCTAATATTTAGGCCAAAACCCCAAGTTGACGAAAGAGGTAAAACGATGTAACACCACGGAAAGCTTTGGCCGTGCGAATTTCCGAGTGCTTGTTTTGCTTATCGACTCGTTTTCTTCTCGAGATTTCAGCTTTTCTCTGAGTGGGTGGGAAAATGTGTCTTTTCAAAAACTCAATAACCAGTTTTGATCTTGGCCTTTCAAGAAGGTCCTCTCGAGGGTCACGTGAATGGATTTTTAGCGAGTAACTCAAACTCCAGGAAGAGCTGTTATTCCCTTTGGACGACCTTCTCGGGCGCGAGAGCGGATAGAGCGGTACTCGAGCGGGTGACTTGTTGTGCAGAAGAAAATTGAGTCCCAAGTTGCCATGGAATGTTGCCACTTAAAAGAGTTTTCCTAGATTTCATGCGGTTTCGGCATCATCCTACTCTTTGATGAGCTGTTGAAGCAGTAGGTTGGGTTCAAAGAGTGTGTTCACAGACAGGGGTCTTCACAGAGAGCTGCACATGAAACGTGTATGTGTGTGTGTGGCAAGGGCCCAGAACTCAAGGGAAAACCACTGGAGGAAGCGGTGAGTTGCGAGATGGCCAGCCGAACTGACCCGCGGCTGTGTTATGTGTGTCTGTGTGTCTGTATGTCTCTCTCTCTCTCTGGCATTGCCTTTTTTTCTTTTTTTCAAGTTTCCCAGTTCCTTAAAGAAACCCAAGTGAGTCCGTTTCCTTGTGAGGCGCCACGCGATGAGAGGAGCAAAAAAAAACCAACCACCATGAGCTACGGACTTTGCTCAAAATCTAGGCATTGCTGGTGTCCTTGGAGATCGAATACTCGCATATCAGCTCCGTCTGAAAAGCTCGAATTCTAAAAAAAAATGCGCCCTTGTAGACTATCCTGAAAAGCTAGTTGCACTGGGTTCTTTGGTCAAAAAAAAGTCTGATGAAAGAGTGACGCGAGCGTGCCGTACGCATGGTCGAACACGCTAAAACGAAGTCGGTATTCATCTTGATATTATTTTTTTTCCCTTCTTCTTTACCATACTGAATCGGGCTTTTCGGGTGCGTCCTGTTACGAACGGTTCAAACCGTGGCGACGTGCACCGTCAGAATCCGTTTCCCGTCGTTTGGTCTGGGCATAAGCCAGCACACGTCATTCTCAAACCATGTCTTGATACGGTACAAAACGTCAAAGTGAACTCCTGCTGGCCATACCGGCTGCGAAAGGAAAGGGGGAAACGCGCGAACAAAGGCGCTAAACCGGTGCCATTACAAAACATAACGAAACACTGAGTTACACCGAGTTATCGCGGTAATTCTAGGCTCCTGCGGGATCCTTCAAGGACACCCCACACACACAGAGGGCACAATGGCTTGCCAACAGCTTATGGTGGAAACGTCTGTCTGTGCGTGTTTGTTGGTTCTGTTGTTGTAGCTTGGGCGGGTCCCGTACCGTTTCATTTCGGATCTTAGAAGTAGTCACTATGGACGAGACAGGTCACGAGATTTTAGTGGTTTAAAGCCAGGCTCTAAAGTAGGTGATTCAAAGTTCTTCTTGTTCCAACAATCCTGTAATAATCTGAGAGGCTCTTTAGACCATGCGCTGACGTTTGATTCTGCTTGTTAATTGTGAAATTTTAGCCGGCTCCTGTAAGTAGATATCACTTTCGACGGATTCTCAATCAAAAGCATGTCTCCTCCAAGAATTGATCTCACAAGAATACAGATCTCTGACCGCAGCACCACTGGGTGACTAGGATTTTTTGAGGTGCATACAGATTGTAATATACCACACATTCAAGCACCTGATCAAGATCTCAGCTCACTTTCTCCATTATTATTGATTGCTCTCTCTTCTCTTTCATTCTTCATCCATCAGCTCATCTCACCAAGTTTCGCAGATACATAGCTCTACCAGCACACTCTAACTATGCTCTCCCGTCTATTGACTCGCTCCAGCTCTATTGCTGCCCGCACTGCTCGTCAAGCGCGCGCCGCGAGTCCTCTTCTAAGACAACCTATGTCTAACACTTGTCTAAGACCACTACACGTTTCTGCTGTCCCATTTAACAAACAGTGTGAAAAAATCACTCAAGTTCTCGACAGCGAGATCGCTTTGGAGCTCGAGGAAGACAGTCACGTCTTGCCAGAGTCCTTGCAGACTTTCTTCGACAAGACCGGTTTCTCCGTTGTTGAGTCCAACGGCAAGAACATGTCAGAAATTGTCAGCAAAACGAGTAAAGGTGAAGCTGTCCACGTTTTCTTCGACGTTTCTCAAGTTTCGAACTTGCCACTAGAAAGTGCTGGCTTGGACAACGAAATATCAGCTCCATCCGAGGAAGAGGACTTCGATGGGATGTCCGACAATTTCGCTAACGTGAACGTGGTTATTGTCAAAGACACCGACAACTCTGCTGCGTCGTTCGAATTGCTCATGAATTTGCAAGAGGGAACTTTTTTTGTCGACAGCGTCACCCCCTACGCCGACGCCAAGTCCGCTCTAGACGAGTCTGCAGATGCGGAAGTCAAGCGTGAGCTTGTATACCACGGTCCCCCATTCTCGAATCTCGACGAAGAACTCCAAGAATCTTTGGAGGTCTACCTAGAGAGCAGAGGTATCAATGAGGAACTGGCCTCCTTCATTGGCACATTCTCCGAGTTCAAAGAGAACAAAGAGTACATCAGTTGGTTGAAAAATATGAAATCGTTCTTTAAGTAAATAGTTCCCTAGTTTCCCGCTTGCTTGTAAATAATCCTTTTGTTCGTCAATTCATTCTTTTTTAAATGCGTTTCCTGATCAATCGTTGTTGTGATTCATGTAGTTTTTGTGATGTGTGCAGGCATGCTAGTAACTCGAAGCTTTTCTGCCGTTTGTTTTAAAGATTCTTCGACGCTTTCAACATTCTCCGCCTTTTTCTCGAGAATAGCCACGTACGCCAATAATCTATCTTTCAGCCTCAAGAGAAGTCTGCGATACAAGAAGTTGTCACGCTCGGGTCCCTCCGAGGGCTCACTTATTTGAGTTGAGCTCTTGAACAGATCAGCAAAGAACGCTAGAAAACGAACACTCTCAATGCTGACATGTCGTAGCCCTGAATAGTCCTCTTGGTGAATTCTATTAAATTTCGTTTGCCCGGAAAGTATAGTGTCAATGTACTGATTCAAAATCCATTTTGCTCTTGCCTTATCGATTGCACGCCTCTCGTTGGCTTTTCCTATGATATTCCAGCAAAACATCCACGCTTTCCAATCCAAGACCTCGGTGGCACCATTCAAGCCGGACTTTTTACCTTCCAGCCCTTGTGCAAACTTGAATAGATCCTCAATTAAAATGTCGATTTTGGAAGAGCTTTCATTGGTAAACTTTCTTCCTGCTTGCCTTTCAAATGCTTTGTACACCAGAATCATTCTATTTTTCTTGGTTTTATGGTGTTTGTTCAGCTCGTCGAATATCTGAACTGCCAGTGGACCGCATTTGTTCGGGAAGCCAGAGGTGACAGTTTTTATCATCTTCTCGTAGGACGAGGGCGGTAGAAGTTGCGATTGTTTATCGATCAGCTGTCTATAAGTTTTCAACGCAAGCTCGAATTTGCCATTCTTGGCATAATTTTCGAGCAGAAGGTCGATTACGAAGCTGTTTGCGTCGTATTTTCTCCGAACGTCCCAGTACTGTAGATCTGGTAAGTTTACACCACTCGGTATTTGAAGAGTGGGTAAATCATCTCCGACATTGAAATATTTCAGAAGTGCTGCGGAAGCAATGGATGACAGATCCTTGTCGCTGCGGTGGTGCCAAACGCGACAGTAGTCATGCATGAGTCTCGCATCCAAAAATCTTTTGGGCACGCCTGCCATTATTGTATCAACTCTTTTTAAGCACAGCTGGTCATTCTGCATTTTAGTCGCACCTCGAAGCAAAAGCGTATATGTAATTGCATCGCCTATCAAACTTTTTGGTTTCGCGTCATACAGTTCGAAAACCAATTCTTCGTCCTTGCAATTAACCAAAGCGCTTAGAGCAGCATTGAACTCTGTTAGATTTATGGTCTCGTTATTAATCAACTGCATTGCAATTTTCAGCACTCGACTCGCCAGTTTTTGGCCTAGTGGTTGCCGTAGCTTTGCTAGCCCATCGAATAGTATCGTAGCGGTAAACTCGTTTGGTGGAATGCCCCATTTTTTTCTCCAAGTGTACAGGTCTATCGCAGATTTGCCATCCTGCTGCTCTCGGCAGAAATGTTCTATGATTTTGTTCATTCCCACAATTCCACGACTCTTCGCTAAGCGCGCTAAAAACACGGCTTTATCCAACTGGCCTCGAGCCAGAAATTTAGCCACATCATTTGCCACCAGCTTAGAGTCTCTTAGTTGTTCTCCGGTAACCCCCAGAATCGTAAATATGAGTCTTCTATCGTGAGCCAGTTTTAAAAACTTCACATCAGATCCGCTTGTTGGTCCCAAGGTTGCAGACCGAAGGGTATCTTCGGAGACCTCGTACTTGCTCTTCAAAATGTGCTCTGCATGCTGCTTGGAATAGGCCTTTTTGTTAAGCTTTTTGAGACTCAATCGCCGTTTTTCAGCCAATCTCTCTAGTTCTGCCGGTGATCGTCTGGTCACTTTATTGTACCTCTCAAAATGCCTCAATTTACCCTTCACTTGCGACCCATTAAAACAAGACTGTACGTGAAATGCTCTGGTGAAGTTCACGATGCTATTACGAATCATTTCACGTCGTTTTTGTATCAAAATCTATCAAAGTGTCAAGACTAAATCTATGTGATGAGCTTGCAAATGTCATTTTAACAAATTGAAATATTTCATAAGTACACCTCGGACACCTTTGGGAGAACTAAAGAGACCATTTTGCTCATGGATTAGAGAAAGTTAGACGTTCAGCCAAGACATCAAACTTGATTCTTAATGGGGTGTGCACTAACATGAACTCGTCACCTTTTTATGGAGCTGTTCTAGTGGAAAGAGCAGCATTAAACCGTCACGATGAAAACCTGGTCAAAAAAGCGGTCGACTATCTTGCGTCGATAAAGAGCTGCAATAGTCCCACTCTGCACTTGCTTTTGCAATCGGGCTACAAACCTTCACGGGCAGCTGTGCAAGGTCTGCTTTCCAAGTCAGTCCCAACATCAATTAAAGATATCGTGGTAGCCAAGGTTGTTGCCCACGAATATTCCGAAGCCATTGCGCTTCTTGAAAACGACGAGCACTTAGGAATCCTGAAAAAGCTCGAATATATGGTTCAGGTGCTTATACTGTGCCGGAAGTGGAAAGCGGTAGATGAAATCAACCACAGGTTTACCTCGTATGCCAAATCCAAGCATAGCCAATATGATGTCACTGATCAGAACAGTCACACAGCTATAAGGCTGCTTTTATGTGCTGCCTACAACCTCCAGGGCAGATTTCTTGATTGTCTGCAATGCTTTTTGACTGTGTTGGAGGAATATCCAGCTGTTGTTTCTCAATTGGCCGGCGAGTGTGAAGAGCCTTTCTGCACACATGATGAGCTTATTACAATGATATCCGTTTCCATGATAGTCGCAATACCTTTAGACAACTACGAAAATTTCGTGCAGCTGGCAGATCTTGAGCCCTTTTATCAGGTTGCCAAGCCCTTGACAAAGTGGTTGAAGCTACTTATCGGTACGAGCTATCGCGACTTTTTGCATGAATGGGAGCTGCTCAATGAAAAATGCTCCGAAAGCATTTTCCTCTCTCAAAAATGGAGCGCCGCTAAGAGGTCTGTGCGGGACAAAATCTACTTCTTTTATCTCAGGATTTCGAACACTCTTGAAATTCCTTACCTATCCGAGACGTTATGTCTTGATCAAAGTATGGTGCACGACGAAATCCAAATGCTTATCGAGGAATTGAGGCTGAACTTTGTCATTGATGGCATTGTGATAAGTTACAAAGAGAGATACAATAAAAGAAGGCTTGCGAGGGGCTTATTATTATCAGAAAATTTGTTACAGAACAAGCTTGAGTCACTTGAAGACGAAAATAATGTTCTTAGGTCAAAAGTTCAAAGCTCTATGAACGGGCAAATTGTACAACAGGGGAGTCAGCTATGTGGTAATAGCCCACAGACAAATTACTTGGAAGAAAACATTGACGATTGCGGGTTTGCTGGCGAGAACGACCGCGAGCCTTATTAAAAAATGAAATACAAGTATATGAAATAAGTTTTTGAAGACTCGCTTCCGCAAGAGGGCGGAGGTCCAAACCTGGTGCGATCGATCATCAATCGACATATTTCAGCGGCGAAACTTCGTCCTCTTCAGCGATAGTGCTGACCCCATTTTGTGCTATACTTTCGATGTCAACTATCTCTTTGGCAGCTTCCACCGTCAAATTCGTGTAGCCATTAGAGCCAACCGCGATGTCATCTTCGATTCTGATTCCAATGTTTCTGAAGTAAGCCGGGTATCTCTCATCATCTGGTATGTAAAGGCCTGGTTCTATGGTAACAACTTGGCCAGCGCGAAGAGGTGCATAGCGAGAAATTTGAGGCACGTCGTGGACGTCAAGTCCCAAATTGTGACCAATGTAATGGGGATACAACTTCGAGACGTCAGAATTCTGATATGCGGGAAGACCGACATTCTTTAGCTCTTCTCGCAAGAAGGAGATGCTCTTTTCATGAATATCGTTCAGGGAGTACATCTGAGACGCCTGACAAAGCTTGATGCACTTTCTTTGCACGTTTAAAACCGCTTCATACAGATCTCTTTGAGCCGCAGAGAACTTTCCACTCACGGGCCACGTTCTGGAAATATCCGAGCAGTATCCTCCCAGAAAGCCTGAAGCATCTACTAGTACCATTTCGTCATCATACATGACGTCGTCATTTCGAGTGTAGTGAATACAAAGAGAGTTTGCACCACCAGCTACAACCGGTATATATGCCGATTTATCACATCCACCTGCCACAAACTTGTAGTCCAAAAAAGCTTGCAGCGTTCTTTCGTTCCGAATTCTCTTGGCGTAGGCTTGGTTATATGCTCTCCCCGATATTTGGCCTGCTCGTCTCATGACTCGTATTTCGGCTGGTGATTTGATAGATCTTAGATCAGCGACCATCGACGTCAGCTTGCGTACGTGTTTCTTGCCTGACTTTCTGATGACTTCTGTGATTGTATCTGCTGAAGCGGGCGAATGAGACAGCGAGAAAAATGATCCGAAGAAAGCCTCAGCGCTAGAGTTTATCTTGTCTTGGGGCCTATCGAAGTATATGTATTCGTTTCGGTTTATGATCTTAGTGATATACAACGAGCATTGTCGAGTATCAGTGGATTCATCTGCGTTAAAAATCTCGCATGCTCCCTCTGTCCCTGTCCGCTCCCCTTCCCACTGCTCTGAAAATGTGTCCTTTGGAGGAACAATGAGATGGAACACTACATCTTCCAGATTGCTCGTCGGTTTCTCCAGAATCATCACAGAGTCTGGTTCGTTCCAACCCGTCAAATAAAAAAGGTCGTTATTCTGTTGAAAAGGGTAAAATACAGGACCAGATGCATACTTCACTTGGGCTCCAGCTATAATAGCGCAACTTCTTGCCGGAAGGCGGGCCGCCAACTTGGTTCTCCTTTCAAAGTATTCGAGAGCGGTTATTCCTGGAGTGAGTTCACCGGGCTTTAGAAGTCCTGGTCTAGTTTCAAACAAAGGCTGACCAGCGCTGAACTCTGATCGTGGACGATTAACAAACCTAGAATTTAATCTTAGTTGTGTTCTCGTTGAAAAAACCCGTCTTGAAATTGAGAAGCTCATAACCCGGAGGCCTGGTATTAGGTCATTGGCCTTAAGCATGATCTTGAAACTGACCGGGTTGCTTGGTCGAACAGTTTACACGTAATTTTATCTTAAATTTGCAAGTAGCTATGTAAAGAGAAGGCAGGCAAGGCCTTATATTTATTAATGCGGAAATGGCACTTATTTTTTTCCAGAGTAACAAATTCTGCCAGGATTTTTAGCAAGCTGGGCGGCTGAGGAGGAGCTAGCTGCCTGTAAGTTATTCAAGAATTGACCAATGTAAAAGGGCAATCTCAAGATTTACCATATACTTCTAAGCGTTTTCTTTGAAGCACTTATTTTTCTGATTTTGTTGGAATTGAAATTATGCGCATCCAATGTGTCATCCAGATTTGTTCTATCGGTTTCAAGGTATGATGTCAGGCCTGGATGCTTTCTCTTCCCCGTCTCTAAAGTATTTTGAGTATCGTCGTCAATTCTCAAGGAATAGAAATCCAAGGACGAACCTGGCGAATCATCGACAATAAAAGCTTCGGCGCTAAGGTTTTTAATATCAGGGATGGTGGCTAGAGAGTTTCCCACACTCTGCAAGGCGCTTTCCAATGACTCGAAGTTTTCAAACACAACACTAGTATAAGCGACCTGAGCATTGACAGAGTTGGCGACAAAAGTCCATACCACCTTTGTATTGATGGGAATTTCACCGACGCCCTTGACGACAATCCCGTTGTGATCAATATCGATGTAATCCGAAGAACTCAGGAACGAAGAACTCCTTGCCTGCTTCCTTCTCTCTTTCTCAAGGACAAACACCTCATCAGAGAACATTATTGAAAGTGCCAAGTTTATGTTGTCGATGGATGCTGAGTCTGCTTTAGGGCCCGCCAATGCTGCGTAAAACTCTGAGACCTTGGTCGGCAACCTCCGCTTTTTGACCATGAATCTGTAGATTTTTCTAAGCATCATCAATACCTTAAAAGTGACTGTCGTAAGATCCAGTCTACCGCTTCTGTTCAGACAAGAAATACATTCGTGAACAAAATTTTGAGATAGATTACCATAGCATATCTTGTGGAGTTTCCTTTTGCATGTACTACAAGTAAGTGTTTTTGTAGTCGCCTGGGGACAAGATGTTCCGCACTGACAATCGAATTCTGTGTCCTCCGATAGATGTTGGGTTTGAGTAACACCAATCGATGGTGACGATAGTAAATTCTGTAGGTAGCGGCTGGTCTGGCTTGGACCATGCAAAGTGTCGGACGTGTTCTGACTGGCCCTCGAATAGGTGTCTTGTGGGCTGTCTGTTGTATCAATTAGACTAAACGGATCAACCTTTCGTGTTGCTCCCTCCTTAACTTCTTCGGATTCAACGATAGAAAGAACCTTTAGCGCAACCCTTTCCGAAAGTTTAAGTTAGTATGAGCTCTGACACTGCAAAAACAGGGTACTGCAGTATTGCATGAAACTTACTTGTGAAATTTTGTGTCCAAAGATCCCACGGAATATGTGTCTAGATCTGTAGAGATCGGAACTTGGACTGTGGCAGGTCTTTCGCGACTGACGTCCTTGAAAAGCTGTGGTTGATAGTCAAGCGGTGCATTTTCGTTGAACAATAGCCGCATGGACAGGAAACGTTTCTCTGGAAGCGGCTCCAGCGATTGTGTGATTATGATAAAGCGGCGCATAAGCTGCTGGACCACTTTTCTGGACTCCAACAAAGAGACGGCACCTTCGTCCCCGTTAACGGTAAGCAGCACTTGTCCATCGTTGTCGTAGCTAAATCCGAAAACATAGTCTTCAATTAAATCAGTTGGAGCATTTTCGTCTGCGAAAACACCCAAGCTCAAGCCCTTTAAATACTTTAGCTTGATAGACTTAAAGACTCCCTTTTCAAGCCAATCCAAGAAGAGGTCTACCTCGAGAGACTTGCCACGAACCAGTGTTTTGATTTTGATCGAATTGGCTTGTGCTCCGTTACGGTCCTTGTTATAGTCTTTGCTCACCTTTTCCGGGACAAATCTTTGATCTGCGAAGTTGTCGTCTGGAAAAAATCCTCTGAGAAACGCAAGGCATCCGAACGACATCGTAAGCATCGTTTGAACAAGTTTTTGAGACTGTTCGCATGTGACGCTCGTTGTTGTCGTCGTTTTAGTGACAGTTTTGGGTTTGGTTTGCTGAAAAGTGGACATAACGCGCCTCTGATTATCTCTGGAAACTCGACGTTGACTAGTGGAATAGTTCAGCAGCTGTTTGAATACTTGAAAAAGTATTGCAAGCTTCTCTTGTGGCTTCTGCTTCAATGTGGTATGATAGTAGAAGGGAAAGCGTGTTAGCCGCCGAGCCCATTTATATTAGGTCCGCAAGTCTCTTTCGTACATGGTGATTGATATCAAGGTTTCTATAAGCGTGCAGAGCAGTTCATATTTAGATCGAAATGTACTTGTGATTGCGATGGTGGTAGTAGTTTGAGTTCGCCAGACTCATGTCTGATGTATATCACTACTCGGTTTTTACTAATTTTTTTGACAGGGCTTCATAGTTGATCAGTGACAGACGCAGCATTTTAGAAAAATGACACAATGGTATAAAGTGATATTGAGCAGTAATTCACTCCAGGTAAAGTTTGACGCTATTTTGATCGAGCACGATCCACACAAAGACCCCCTCAAGGTTTTCAGCACTGTATTTTATAGCTATAATTAGCGTGCCTTTGTATACTCTCACGTCTTTCTTTTGAATTCAGGACTGATGCTAGCCAAGCTAAGAAGCGATGTACCACGACAACATTGTGTGACTTCAACTTCAACTTTTTCTGATACTGCGAATATGAAGCACACAAATCATAGGCCCTTTCTTTACAGAGTCACTCATGTCAGTGATGATACATTTTGTAATATAAAAAGACAACTAATTTGCGATAGATCGAATGTTTATTGTCAATCCGTCAAAATCTGACAAGAGACATGTATAGGACGGCTATGATTGAATTTCTAGGCGCTGATATATGTATGGATCAAGAATGCCCTAACATCTCATCCTTTCAAATAGTATGTTTTGCGACAGATCATACAGCCGTTCATAAGGACCAGAATGGACGGACACCCGACCTTGATTTGATAATAAATTACCAGCTTCATGGAATCGATTTACCCCAGATTTAATAGATCTCATCAAGTGTGCTCCTGAGGAATCAGTAGTGTCACTTGCTAGCGTTGTTACTTCGAAGACAATATCATGGAGGACTCTTCTGTGTTTTCCCGCAGTACACAGGACGTTTCTTCCACCATATCACCATATAACATGTCCACTGGAGAAGATGCCTCGATGAGAGCGATGCTCGATTACGATCCAAACGAAGACACTGGGGGTTCTGCTATTTCACGGCCTCTTTCCAGATCCTCAGTAACATCGTCTCTTTCGATGGTGGCCACCAAAGATGGCATAGAGGGCAGGAAAGTTCACCGTCACGGCATACCACAGTACTCTTTAAATATCCTAAACTCAATGACACCTTCAAACCCTATGGGGAAAGTCCATTCTAAGCAGCAACAGGGCTTTACAGGACATGTTCTCAACCTGAAGCCCTCGTCTTTAAACTCAGGAGAACAATTGGATGCCATTTCACATTCAAATCTGTCAGTGGGCGCACCAATGACTCTTAAGGAAAAAATGAAGTTGCTGAGCTACCAAGCAGGTCCGTTGCAATACACTTCTTCGATTGAATCGCTTCCAGACGCCAATGATCGCTGCCAAAGCGAGGGCCAACGAAGCGTCACTGATGCTAAGCGGAGCTCTAAGCCTATTGTAGACGTGATGACCAGCGAAACAGACAGTAACAAGAGCACAAATGGCGAAGACTTCTCGTACTTGAGCGATGCGAAAAATCTCCCTCCCGCCTTTGTATCTGTGGCCAATCAGCAGGATTGAAGTGAAAGGCGCAAGAGGAGGCAGGGCTTCTTCGAAGAATTTCTATTGGTTTTAGAGCTTTAAATTGACATTTGACAAAGGTAACAAGACTATTGTGCCTTGAGCGGCCAAAGTAGTCGCCAGCAAGATGAGGATAAACCTTAAATGAGTTTTTTTATTTGTTAAATACAGTTTTGTTCATTTACAGTAGCTCGTTTGATGTCCTGGGATTAAATTGAATTATAAGGTGTGTGCAGATCTCTTGCTCGACTTAAATTCGTATTTTTTCTTTCAACTTCACATCACACGCTAGCCATTTAACCCCTCCGAGGTGATATTAAGAAATATTAAAAACTTGAACTTAATTTGACCTTTTAACCTTACAGGCAAAACTTAGGCAAACCAGTCTGTAGCGATGATTCAAAGGAGGTCAGGACTACTGATTCAGGCCCATAGATCGGCTCTAGCGCCGTCTATGGCTCGTTCTCGCCAATTCTCCCGGGTTCGCCAAATTTCTAGTAAACCAACTGAAGCATACACCAGGCTTTCTGACGACAACGACCCTCAGAGAGACGCCTTTTTCAAATATTCTTGGGGCACATGGCTCAAGAACGACCGTGCCGAAAAGGAGAAGAGAATAACGACGTTTTCGATTGAAGGTCTAACGGATGTTATTTCAGAGCTGCACATCCAGTCGAAAGATAATCAGAAAACCAGCGCTTCTGCTCCTGGAGAGGGAGGGATTTCTGCGCCTTCTTACAACCCAAACCTTACAGTTTCATTGCCTCATAACCTGACTGCCAGTCAGATAGGTTCCTTGAAACCCAACGAGTCCTTGAAGGTTACCGCTATGGCCAGTATCCATGAGGGAAAGCATCACAGAGTCTACAAAGTCGACACAAATGCTGAAAAATCGTTTGTGCTGAGAATTCCTTATCCCATGGACAGTGAATTGTCTATATCTCAAAGGCTAAAAAGTGAAGTTGCAACTATGGATTTTGCCCAACTCAAACTTGGACTCAAGGTACCCAAGATTTACTGCTATGGTGCTAACGCTCTAAACCCAGTCAGGCAACCTTTTATCTTGCAGGAATACATCGAAGGCAGACTTCTAATGCGCGATTGGACTCCTTTGGAAGATGATGCCAAGGACGGAAAAGCTCATCTAGCCAAGTTAAACAAAGTCATCGAGCCCTTGTCGCAATTCCAGGCCAAGCTTTTGAGTGTTACATTCAACAAGTTTGGTAGTTTGTACTTCGCTAAAGACGTGTCTGAAAGCCAAGATCCAGCCTATAGTGGCGAAAAGGACGCGTCTCTAGCAAACAGATGGAGAATTGGATATTCGGTGGAAAGATGCCTCTGGAGACAAAAAAGTGCCTTGCTTTTAGACGAGCTTAAGAAGTTTGTTGGGCCTTGGTCTAGCGAGAAACCAATGGATCTGGTGAAAGATTTAGGTCAGTTGGAATCAGAAAATGCGAGGGCCAGATTGGCTCTTCAACAGGCTGATGCATCGCCTTCTCCAGTTGATGAATCATTTTTGAATGGACAGATACGTGCTTTTGAGAGTCTTGCTAAGGTGTCGGACTCGCTTTTCAACACCAAGTCCAGCGTTATTCCCAATATGGAAGAACTTTTGAAACCACGTCTATACCATCCCGACTTGGACCCTATGAACGTTATTCTCAACGAAAATGACGGTGGAGAACCTTATTTGCTCGACTTCGAAAGCACCACGATCAAGCCATTCATCTTACAGAACTCACCACAATTTGTTGCCTACGATGGACCCAAGCTTTACAACCTGAGGCAAGACGTTGAGAACTACAAGGATTTGCCGGATGCTGAGAAAGTCCAGTATCAATTCATGTACAAGCGCACTCGCAACCAGCACTTGTGGGAGTCGGCATTGAACAAAAACTTCAAGACTTTAATCTCAGCGGTGGCTCCCCCTGTGAAACTTTTAAGAACTCCATACGTGACATGCGTGGAGCGCAAAAAAGATGCTGAGTATCTACTGGTGGACGAAAGCTTGATCCAATTGCGCGAAGTTTGGGAGGTTTTTGCCAAAAATAAATTAGTCGCCAGCGCCGCGTTTCCCTTGGACTTTTCCGAGGACCACGTTAAACAGCATGCTACCGACTTGAACGCATTTCACGAGAAATTGATCAAGAGCCCGTTTGCCGCTACACAAGGCTGGATCCCACAGGATATGTTTGATAACTTGGTGAAGGCTGGTGTGCTAGTGAAGGACGCCAATGGAGATCACGTGATCAAAAACTAAAGAGAGACAGTGACAGAGACAGATGTAGAGGAAAAGACAAAATTGGCTAATAGTACAAGCTACGTGGAGAAAAAAGAGAAAAGTGCGAGCTATTGACGTTGTATGCCCTCTTCTTCCTCCTTGTCCTCCTCCTCTTCACTTGACACCATCATCAATTATCTCTGTACCACGTGATACTCGGGCACACTCAACAATTATCTTCTGATACACCCACCCACCACATCAAAACCCAACTTTTAAAAAAGGTGACTCCTCCCCCCTTCCATGCCCTGGAGTCACAGTCTAAGTAAATTTTCACGTGACACCAGATTTTACACCATTTTTTTTCGCCATGGACCTCACGCCAGACGTCCTGGTGGAGAAACATCTCCGCTCGGCAGTATTAATTCTAGGACTTACGTCACCACGTGCGAAGCGGAGAAGCATCTCCACCTGCAAAATTGAGATATCTGAAATACCTGCAAGGCAACGGGGAACAACGGCTTAAACTACGGAGAAAATGGAGGCCAAATCAGCACCTGCAGAAGATGCCAAAAAAACTTGGCGACGCTATTTAAGCCCATTGCTCCGATACTCTTTCGACGTTACACCAAAGGGAATTTCGATTTCGATTTTTGTTTCGTCAACTAACCGATCTTGAACCAGCTCAATTGTCAATACAGAGTGAACGGAAGACTCGTTCTAAACCATATCACATGTGCTTAAAATTTTTCTGGCGTTTTGGCATTTCAACCACGACCACCACAGCGCATGACTAGCTGAATATGACTATTATTACTGTAAGGAAATTGCATAGCTGAAAAATTAATTGAATTTGGAAATTTGTCCACAGTTAATCAACAGTTTAAATATAAGAAGTAAAGGCCCAAATCTCAGCATTTTCGTAGCTGTGTTATTCAATTTCGCTGCCTTGACTGATTGCACAACAGTAGCATCAACTTCTACACTTCATCGCACGGTATGGCGACTCCTCAACAAATCAACAACCTGCAAAACTCGTTTCAGAGAGCCGTGAACATGGGCGGATCACCTGGCGAGGTTTCGACTTCTCCCACTCAATCGTTCATGAGCTCGATCCCCCGTCGTGTGAGTCTCTCCAAACAAACAAAAGCACTCAAACCATTTTCCACCGGTGACATCAAAATCTTACTGCTGGAAAACGTCAACCAGACCGCTGTTGAGATCTTCAACGGACAAGGCTACCAGGTGGAGTACCACAAGGCTTCGCTCCCCGAGGAGGAGCTTATCGAAAAAATCAAAGACGTGCACGCTATCGGTATCAGATCCAAGACAAGACTGAGCGAAAAAATCCTAAAGCACGCGAAAAACTTGGTCGTGGTGGGCTGTTTCTGCATCGGAACCAACCAAGTCGACCTCGATTACGCCGCCAAAATGGGTGTGGCCGTCTTCAACTCGCCCTTCTCCAACTCCAGATCTGTTGCCGAACTTGTCATCGCAGAAATCATCACTCTGGCCAGACAACTCGGCGATAGATCGATCGAAATGCATACTGGAACCTGGAACAAGGTGTCCAAGAAGTGCTGGGAAGTTAGAGGTAAGACTCTCGGAATCATTGGGTACGGCCACATTGGTTCCCAGTTGTCCGTCTTGGCAGAAGCCTTTGGTATGCACGTTCTATACTACGACGTGATTACCATCATGGCTTTGGGTACCGCAAAGCAGGTTTCCACTTTGGACGAGCTATTAAACAAGTCCGACTTTGTCACCTGTCATGTTCCAGCCACCGCGGAAACCAAGAATTTGTTGTCCGCGCCTCAATTTGCTGCGATGAAAGACGGTTCTTACGTGATCAACGCCTCGAGAGGTACTGTCATCGATATCCCAGCATTGGTGCAAGCCATCAAAGCCGGTAAGATCGCTGGTACTGCGCTGGACGTTTACCCCAACGAACCTGCTAAGAATGGTGCCGGCGCCTTCAGCGACGAACTCAACAGCTGGAATTCCGAACTAGTCTCGTTGCCAAACGTAATCTTGACTCCTCACATTGGTGGCTCCACCGAAGAGGCTCAGAGTGCCATTGGTATCGAAGTGGCCACTGGTTTGACCAAGTATATTAACGAAGGTTGCTCGGTTGGATCTGTCAACTTCCCAGAAGTTGCCCTAAGAGGTCTGGACTTGGACCAAGAAAATGTCGTGCGTGTCTTGTACACCCATCACAACGTCCCTGGTGTTCTGAAGACCGTGAACAACATCTTGTCGAACCACAACATTGAGAAGCAGTTTTCGGATTCCCAGGGCGACATTGCGTACCTAATGGCCGATATCTCTTCGGTAAATCAAAGCGATATCAAAGACATTTACGACCAGCTAAATGCCACTGAGTACAAGATCTCCATTAGACTGCTATACTAAGTTAGCGGTACACAACTCGACCAACGATATCTAGTTTTAGAATAGCAGCGACCGCGCCGAAATACGTTTAAATGATATCTATTTGTTTTCAAATAAACACGAAATAAAGAGAAACTCCATATAGACATATATCCCATTTGGCACCCTCTAATCGTCAATTCCAGTTCTCGTCTCTACTTCGAACGACAGGTCAAAGGCTATGGATCTATCTATCTCATTATGACAGCGGTACACTGGCCACTAACCATATCACTTTTGTATTTACCGTCATCACTCGAATATATCCGCTCATACGAAACAAGTGGCTTTCAAAAAGACGGTGGCAAAATGGCAAGGGTATATCTTCACGACAACTTCACGTCAACTACAGAACCTTCCCACAAGTTCACCGACCCGAACTCTGTTTTCAAGGTTGGATAATTTAAAAATGTCAGTGGTGACAGCTGCTCCGCTTTTGGCGCTGTTGAAGGAAAAGGACCAAGTTGCCCAAACTTATGCCTTAGAGTCGATAAACGGTGTCGTGGACCAGCTTTGGTCTGAAGTGTCGAACGAGATCTCTCAGATTGAGGCTTTGTACGATGATAACTCTTTTGAAAACCGCAAATTGGCCGCACTAGTGGCCGCTAAGGTCTATTTTAACCTCGGAGAGTATCAGTCAGCCGTGAAATTCGCACTTGCCGCTGAAGAACACTTTGACGTCAACGAAAAGTCGCAATTCGTAGAAACCATAGTATCGCAGAGCATTGAGATGTACATGCGTGCTTCTTCTTACAATTTTGAACACCCTGAGGATCAGGAGCCCATCGGACCTCAGCTCACTTCTGTCTTCGAAAAAATGCTGCAAAAATGCATGGATTGCGGAGATTACAAACTAGCGCTTGGAATTGCTGTGGAAAGCTACAGAGCTGATGTTGTCGAGAAAGTTTTGGAAGCCCGTGTCGCCGAGGACTCGGAACAAAACGCTTTGAAGCTTATCACGTATGTGTTGAGTGCGGCGTCCACCACCGTGACCAGCACACCCTTCAGAACAGACGTTTTGCAAAAGTTGTTCAAGATTCTGGTGTCGATGAAGTCCCCAGATTACTTCACTGTCTCCAAAATCATTGTCACTCTAAATGATTTGGAGTTGGGCAAGGTGCTTTTTGCCAAGCTCGCTCAAGAAGAAGCACCCGAGATTTCTTATCAAATCGCTTTCGACCTTGTTTCTTCGGCCTCCCAAGGTCTATTGAACGGTCTGGTATCCTCTATGAAGGCAGAAAAATATGACCCCAAGCTGTTGGAGATTTTGTCTGGTATACCGACGTGCGATTATTACAACACATTCTTATTCAGGAACAAGAATATCGATCTGGGCTTGTTAAACAAGACCAAATCATCAATGGACGGTAAATTTTCTCTATTCCATACAGCGGTCAGTGTGGCTAACGGCTTCATGCACGCAGGCACAACTGACGACTCCTTCATCAGATCCAATCTTCCATGGTTGGGCAAGGCTCAAAACTGGGCCAAATTTACAGCGACTGCGTCCTTGGGAGTTATTCACAAAGGAAATTTGTCGGATGGTAAAAAAATTATGGAACCTTACCTGCCAGGTAGCAGAGCAGCTTCCCGCTATATCAAAGGAGGGTCCTTATATGGTCTGGGCCTGATATATGCAGGCTATGGTACAGAAATTATTGACTATCTCAAATCCCATGTCCTCGAGAACAGTTCATCAGTTGGAGATGAAGACGTTGACGTCTTACTGCATGGTGCGTCGCTGGGCATAGGTCTCGCTGGAATGGGTTCTTCAAACAATGAGCTATACGAGGCTCTTAGAGAGGTTTTGTACAACGATTCGGCCAACTCAGGAGAAGCTGCCGCCTTGGGGATGGGACTTGTCATGTTGGGAAGTGGTAACGCCAACGCCGTCCAAGACATGTTCACCTACGCCCAAGAAACACAGCATGGAAACATTTCTAGGGGTTTGGCTGTTGGTTTGGCCGCCATCAACTACGGAAGAAAGGAAATGGCTGACGATTTGATCAGAGACATGCTTGAACACCAGAACAGTTTATTACGCTACGGTGGTGCTTACACAATTGCCCTTGCATACGCAGGAACTGGTGATAACAAAGCAATCAAAAAGCTGCTACACATTGCCGTTTCGGACTCCAACGATGACGTTAGGAGAGCGGCTGTTATTGCGTTGGGTTTCGTTCTAATTCGCGATTACACTACAGTTCCAAGGCTTGTAGAGCTTTTGGCCGAATCTCACAACGCACATGTTCGTTGTGGTACAGCATTTGCTCTAGGTGTCTCATGCGCCGGAAGAGGTTTACAAGCTGCGGTCGACTTGCTTCTACCTTTGGCCAGGGATTCGGTCGATTTTGTGAGACAGGCCGCCATGATATCTCTATCATTGATTTTGGTCCAACAAACCGAAAAAACGAATCCAAAAGTCAAAGAAATCAACGAGCTGTTCCTCAACGTAGTTTCAAATAAGCATCAAGAAGGTCTTGCAAAGTTTGGTGCTTGTGTGGCGCAGGGCATCATGAACGCAGGAGGTCGCAACGCTACAATCCAATTAGAAAATGTTGAGATGGGCACATTAGATGCGAAAGCCGTCATTGGGCTGGCCATGTTCTCACAATTGTGGTACTGGTTCCCAATGGCTCACTTCTTGTCTCTTTCATTCAGTCCTACCAGCATTATCGGCGTTCGTGGTCAAGATCTAAGCATTCCGCGTTTTCAGGTTCTCTGTCATACGAAAGCCGATATCTTCGACTACCCTCCTATGTTTGAGGAAAACACTGATAAGAATGTTGAAAAGGTAGCAACCGCCGTTCTTTCCACCACTGCAAAAGCTAAGGCAAGAGCCAAAAAGACCAAGAAAGACAGTAAGGATGGTGCTGAAGAGAAGCTAAAGAAAGAAACTCTACCAGAGATAAAGACAGAATCAACGGAGGAACCAAAAAAATCAGAGGCAGACGCGAAGGAAGAGACTTCCTACAAGATAAAGTATGTCAACAAAGCCTACAAACTTGAGAACACATCCCGCGTGGTTCCTCAACAGCTGAAGTACATTTCTTTCTCGAAAGACGACAGGTTTGTGCCCGTAAGGAAATTCAGAGGTAGCAATGGTGTTGTCGTTGTGATTGACAAGACGCCTAAGGAGCTAGTTGAAATAATAAAAACTACAAAGCAAAAGAAGGACGTTGACGCGCCGCTACCTACACCATTCAAAGTAGAAGAGGAGCTAGAGTTTTCGAGGGTTTGACGACATTCACTCATCAGCATATAAAGCATTGTATCAACGTAAATAATACACGAATTATCACTTACACAGGCTTGTATGAATCAAGCAGGCTTATCACGTCACCTGGCTTAAACCGGCGGAACACACTTTTAGTAGCACAAATCGTTCGTGATCTACCCGAATCTACTCAACGCTTCACTGACCATATCCGTGTGCCCCTCGTCGATTTCGCCTTTTCTGATCTTTTCATTACGTTGACGGCCCTCTTTTTCTTTATTCAAGAGGGCGTTAACTCTCAATTTCCTCTCATCGATGACATTTTGAGTCTTTTTGCGCAAGAATGATCGCAGTCCCGAGTTTTTACCCTTGACACCTGGCATAGCTTGGGGAATATCTTGATTGTTTTTCGCTTCGTTCGCCTTTTCATTGGTTATCTCAGCCAACTCTTTTGCGTTGAGTCTCGTAGCGGAAGCCCGTTTGTCAACGGTACCAATAATGTCTGGGTTCAAAGCGATTGAGTCCGCAGGCAGCTTATTCAGCAAGGACCTCACTTCTTGTTCTTGTCTCTGTTTGGCAGTCTCGAATGGATTTATCTCCAGGGCATCGTAGTTGGCTTCACCAGCGCCTGGTATTATGAGATTGCGCACACCGTTTTGATGTCCAACTCCGAGAAGATCTTCAAACGGCACAAACTGCATATTGGTGACTCTGTTTCCAGGGAAAATGCTAGTCATGTATGGAGTGTTGCGATCTGCTAAGCCGCTAGAGCCGAAATATGGTCTTGCAGATTTGCTGGACTTGAATGCATCCTTCCAGAGTGTGACGTGAGGACCTCTGGAGAGCGCCAATAGGCCCGTATCAGAAATAGCGACATTGGAGCCCGGTGTAGGTAAGTTTTCTATGGTATGCAATTCACGGAAGGTTCTGATATCCCAGATCTTCATGGATTTGTCGGCCCCTGTTGTTGCCATATAATGACCTTGGCGATCAACGGAAATACCAGTAACGGGCCCGCGTGCGCATAAAAGTCTTGCCAAGGGAGTTGGCATGTTGGGAGCCCAAAGCGTTGTGGTACCGTTGCTGTGACCCAAATTAATTACTGCGTTCCAAGGGTTCTGAGCCATAGCAGACGTGGGGCCTAGTTTGGTCTTGATCTCGGCCTGTATCTGGCCCGTACTGACGTCCTGGTATTTGAGCCATCCTGTCTGGCCCGCTGTGGCCAACAGGTAGTGATACGGTAAAAATTCCATGTGTTTGACCTCGATGTGCTGTTTAAGCCTATGCAGTTCGATACCTTCGTGATCGTAGATAAAAGTGTATTTTTTCTGAGCCACCGCAAAATACTGTTCGTTTTGCAGATAGGTGGCTGCCTGACAAGTCTCGTTGAGATTCAACTCTGCCCGCAGCTCGCCCTTACGCCAGTCCATGGAGGCCACATGGCCCTTGCGTCCACAGATCAGGAGATGTGTTCCGTTGCGGGAGTAATTGACGGAGTAAGGTCCGAATTCTTTAAGTTTCAAATCTAGAGCCTTATTAGCTGTGCTGGAGTCCACAGCACTGCGAATTTCGTCCTGCTTAACTCTGAAAGTTTTCTCCATTTCGTCCTCTGCCTCTAGAAAACCGCTTGTTTCCGGCAACAGGTACTCAGTTGCCGCTGCCTCGGACACAGCATCCTTGTATTGCTGGTCGATTCTTTTCAGACCTGCCTTCAGTTTTTTGTCCTTGGTCTTACTGTTATATCCATTTTGTTTCTTTGGTTTTAAAGAGGTACGGTCGTACTTCCCGCTACTACCTCTAAAGCGATCCGGGCGAGACACCTCATTTGTAATTCCAGCCATAATTCACACAGTTTTCGAGGCTAAGAAGTAATGGAAACTACCGCTTGGCTCGAGCGTTGTAAACCTTTGATGTTGAGCTCATCGCAGCTCATCGCGTCCCATCTCATCGCATTTCGAAAATTTTCCAGGATGTGGTGAGCACGTGATCTCAATTTTGAAATAAAAGAGCGACCAACGGGATTCGAAACGAGGCGAGTTTCCACTATATGAGGTTCTCGAGATGAGGATCGTTAGACAGTAGACCGCACGCTGAGTGTGGGTGTTTTGATGCCAATTTTAGAACTTTTGAGAGTGATCTTCGACAAAATTCTGTATTTTGGGGCGCGGAAGTATTCGATTTTTATGTCTGAGTCTGCAAGCTCTGAGGTAACGGAGTGTGAGTTTTGTTGACGAGTAAATAGGCTGTCGGATAGCGACAGAATGGTACAGAGTGATATCAAAAAGAGACAGATGTGCATCACGTGAATTTGTTTCAAAGCTCTCAATCACAGACACTCCCGATGAGTCCCTAGTGTCACCTTGCGACCACTTTTTGGCGAAACTATCATTATCAAAAGAAGAAAGTGCGTCAGAAAACGCTGTCTCAAGATCAAGACTACATTATTTTGTGATTGAGGTGGGGGAAAAAGCAGATTCAATTAGTGAGATAACTACTACGAATACAGCTACGAATACTATTACTCTCCGCATATAAACGCTGCTTCAATTATACCCGTTCAATTCTTCTCGACTCAAACTCGTCGTGATGGCCCTGCCAGCTCCAAAGTATTGCTCGTGTATAATGATAGATCATCTCTTATTGGATCATTTTATACGGAGGTCTGTTATATTAAAATAAACAAATAAACACATTTAGGCGCCGTAACTTGATAAACTCTTCCACTCAGCATAGCATTTTGGCCGCAACAACGCGACGTCTAACGCCTTGCAAATGCTTATTATGGTTTCCAGTGAGCCACATTTACCCATAGTGTGAGGTTTTGAGAACTGGTACTTTGCCAAGACCAGCAATCGTAGACGAGGTATATGACTGAGGGCGAGAACTAAAGTCCGAAGTATTCCACTGCAGAGGGCAGTTGTGGCAAGAGTAACACAGTACCAAATCAATCAGTTACAACGATTCTACGAATGATGTTCTTTTCATTCATTCACAACTGATCGCCCTCGTCGCAGAAACACTCGAAGAAGAACACAAAACACACGTTAAGGACCCGAATTCCAAGTCTAGCGGCTAATCGATTGAATAACCAGCAAACAGTCGAGTAATTCACCATTGTTGTGGACCAAGCCTTCGAAGCGGTTTGAAAAACCCCCCCCCCCTACTTTCACGTGACACTTTTTGCCTCACCGCTAATCGCCCTCGAAATTCCCGTGCGAATATCAAGCTGGATTTATCTATCATTAACAGGCGGGAAACTGAAAAATGAAAGTCAAATAATGGAAGAAAAAAACGGCAATAGACAGATATAAAACGATGCGACTGTGGATTTTAAGAGATCTTAGTATTCAAGCTTCTTTTTACGAAGAAATTGTGGGAATTTCGGCACTGCAAGGCAATCGATTTAGAAAGTCTCTTTTCAGAAAAGCCGTTTTCATTTTCTAGCAGTTCTCTCTGTCTCTCTCTCTCTCTCTCTCTCTCTCTCTCTCTCTCTCTCTCTCTTGAGCGTGTGAAAAGCCTATTTGATTTCCTTGCCCTTTCAACCCAAAAAATACTGTTAAGAAATAATGTCTGACGCACTTCCTTTGCCCTTCAGATACCAATTCGCCGCCGGTGCGGTGGCTGGGATCTCAGAAATCCTGGTGATGTACCCATTGGACGTGGTGAAAACCAGAATGCAGCTGCAGGTGAAAGGCGGCTCTGGACCCGTCTACAACGGGGTGGTGGACTGTCTGAAGCAGATCGTGGCCCGCGAGGGTGCCTCCCGTCTGTACAAAGGTATCTCATCGCCTGTGCTTATGGAGGCTCCCAAAAGAGCCACCAAGTTTGCCTGTAACGACGAGTTTCAAAAGCTTTACAAGCGCGAGTTTGGCGTCGAGAAACTCACACAGGGACTCAGTGTGTTGAGTGGTGCATCTGCCGGGTGCTGCGAGGCCTTCGTCGTCGTTCCCTTCGAGCTGGTCAAAATTAGACTCCAGGACGTCAGCTCCAGTTACAGTGGACCCATCGATGTCGTGCGTAAGATCATCGCTCAAGAAGGTGTGCTTGCCATGTACAACGGGCTCGAGTCCACACTGTGGCGTCACGGTGTCTGGAACGCGGGTTACTTCGGTGTCATTTTCCAAGTGCGTTCGCTCTTGCCCAAGGCGCAGACGAAATCGCACCAGATCGGAAACGATTTGATCGCAGGTAGCATTGGTGGTACATTCGGATCGCTATTGAGCACTCCCTTCGACGTGGTTAAGTCACGGGTGCAAAACACCGCCGTTGTTGCTGGTCAAGCCCGTAAGTACAACTGGTCCTGGCCCTCAACGTTGACCATTTACAAAGAAGAAGGATTCGCCGCCCTCTACAAGGGTTTCGTGCCCAAGGTCTTGAGATTGGGACCTGGAGGTGGTATTCTGCTGGTGGTGTTCACCGGAGTTATGGACTTTTTCAGAGACTATCACTACAACCGTTGAAAGCACGATTCCCGTAACATTTGCTGAGCCGAGTCAAGTCAAGCTGAGCAGAGCACGCGCAGAGCAGAGCAGAGCAGCTGGATTGTCTGAAGAGATCACTGGTGGAAAATGATCAATCCGTTAGCTACTGAGATACACACTGCATGGCGGAGAAGCCGCCGTGATTTTCTGTGCGTGCGTGCTTGCAAAGACGAGACTCATATAACTATCCAATTTTTAAGTAAAAGTAGCTAGGAAAAGCCGTTTTGGAGCGAAAAATAATTCTAGACATTTCCTGTGAGTGTTAATCAACTGTTCAGCTACTGATACGTCGATAATCATTCCTTCTATTGCCAAGAAAATGCAACTCACTAACTACAAACTACTCATTAAAAACTACGCACTACCTTTGTAGCTCCAAATCTGTACGTTCTACCGGCCCTTGCAGATCGTTTTTTGCGCATCCCGAAGGACTTGCATCCGACCCACAAAAGAGCGCTGAGATGAACGAGATGATCTCTCCGATGGACTTGACGCTATAATTACACCATAACTCCGAAGAGGGTATACTAGCAACACGGTTTTATAGTCCTGGTTTGTATAATCCGCACGATTATTGGTTTTTTAAAAAGTACTCAAAAAGATGAGAGCTATGGTTCAAAATTCTTAGCGGTTTTATACTTTTCATGATCAAAGTTACCCGGATAATCTAATAATTAAATACTTCAAAATTCTAGAGAAGGGCAGCTCTGAATAAGAGGTTAGTTCAAGATCAAGACTCAAACAACAAGAAGCTGACGTTCTTTATAAGTACAGCATGGCATCATCAGGCGTGCTGGCAAGCCATGCGGTACAAGATCGTACCGTTGTGGTACGGTTTGCGGTGGAAGGAATGAATGACCTGCCCTTGAACGTGAGTAATGTTGATTTAGAAACGGTGACTGTCCCATGGTTAAGACGCATGTGTAGACAGCTACGAGGTCAACATACGGAAAACAAAAGGCTCAGGTTCATCAAAAACGGTCGTTTCTTAACGGCGCACACAGATCTGCAGCTTAGACGGTATTTCGAAACGTCTGAAGAGCCCGTATTTTATGTGCAATGTATTGTGGGACAAGAAATGACGGCCCAGGAGGCCGCAAATGAGGATTCGCTGGACGAAGCCCAGCCAATCGCAGAGGGTACCACTACACAGGCCATAGGGTTCGATCGACTGCGGTCAGTCGGCTTCAGTGACGAGGAGATTGAGCTTCTGCGACAACGGTTCCAAAGCACGTACGGAGACCTCGAAAATCTGACGCAAACTGCAGATGGGGTACAAGATATTCGTCAGCTCGAAGAACAGTGGATGGAGACTGGTGCTAACGATGACACTTCGCAAATGGGTGCGGTGGGCATTGCTAACTACAAACACAATACAGACTTGCTGATAGGACTTGTTGTTGGGTTTGTGCTTGGGGTCGCCAGTTTTTTGTTGATGACCCAGGAAGGTTTGTTCAACAAGCGCCAGAGGATGGCTATTGTGGGAGGATTGATGATCAACGTTTGTTTTGGTTTGACGCTCGGGTTCTCAAGGGGCTAGCAACTTGCAAAGTTTCACAGCTGATAGAGATTAGACGAAGTAATGCGGCTCTATCGAGATATTTCAAAAATATATATACAAGGTAATTAAGGAACACTTACGGTTTTTGGAATTTTAGCTCAGTTTATTGTTGCTGGGGTCGTCGTGAATTTTATTTTGGAAAACCTGGTCTAGCAAGTGCTCCATGGGCTTATCGAATAGAAAAGGCAAAGCAGGCACAACGCTCAGACCCAGGCCAATAGGACCCCAGGTTCTCAACATGGCGTTTTTGGGAAATTGTTTGTTGAACCACACGCCCGAGTATTTTACAGCGCTGTGGATTGTGAACGCTGGCAGACCCATGGACGCCACGCTTTGAAATATCATTCTCTCGAGCCCGACCATTTTCCAATCTGGGAGTTTAGCCAACTCTCCACTTTCCAGTAGTTTAGGGTCTACTGGAGGCACTTCGTCCCATGGTTTGAGCCCAGTTGTGTATCTTCCCTCTTTCTTCAATTTGGCGACCCATGCCGTGTAGGAAACGTCTCCCAAAATGTAGGCCCAAGAGATTCCGTAACCGAACTTTACTAGCGCTGGTGAAAAGACAGGCCGAAAAGACTCGCCGATGTCAGACGTGTAGGCCACGTATCTGTGTGATGCCATTGCAATAGTTCTCAAACGGCTGGCGTAAGCCACATAACGGACGTTGGAGTCTGTGCTATCTGGTGTACGGGCTTCTGCGTACTCTGTGGCAGTTGATGTACTGGTATTTGAGCTCATTGGAATGGTTGAGGGTGCGGGCTGGTCGCTGAGGTTGTCGGGTTTGGTGATGTTTTACATTCGACCTTGAAATCTCGATATATATATATATGAGTAATTAGCTGCCACTCTTTATAGATATGTCGTGCAATGTGACATATGTCGAGGTACAACTTGAACAACAGAAAGTGACCGAATGGACTGTGTTTTAATCTGTTTGTGATTTAAAGTGAGAGGTCTTATGTGGAGCTGTGGTCAGGCTATTTTTTGGTGGTGATGGCATTTTTTTGTCTTTCCTAGAAAAGCCAAAAAAAATCAACAGCAAACAAATAAAAACGAATGGTGTATTTGGTGTCTGATTCCTGGATGTACGCTTCACCGAGGACAGAGGAGTTCGTAGGTTTGAATTTGTCTTTGACCGGTGAAGTCTGCTTTTCTTCGATTTTAAACATTAATATTTGAGCGTAAGTGGAACTGGGCGAGGAAAAAGAACAATAGGGTATCTCTCAGGTATGCGACCGCAGCGATAAGTAGACTTAATTCACCGGAATTACCATTTTTCTAATGGTAAAAGCAACATGCTAAAGCAATGGCAAACTATTCGATCTTTGCCAGATATTGTCATCATACAACAGTCAGTCATTTGCACACGTGACTTTTGATTGGTTCAACGTGTCCTACCAGTAACTGTCATTGTTGGTTTAGTTTCTAATGTGACACATTTCTGTCATTTGTTCGCATTTATATCTAGTTCTACGGGAAGTGAATTTGCTTCTCGGTTGATTCCTCAATCTCTCGCCCTACACTGGATCCACTGATGTGTTTGTTTTGAACATTATTCGTTAGTATACAGTTTATTTAATAATGAAAGGAGTACCCCATCCAGTTAAGTGAAGACCTTTTTAGGCGACATGGGCCGTACACGGCCTTGAAACCACAGTGCGCGACAGCACTAGAACACCGGCTCCACGGCAATGCGGGAAACATCGTTTTATTGGATATTTTCCTAAACCTCGCGCGGCAGATTCCCGTTTGGTCTCGCGAAGTATAGAAATACCCAACCCTTTTATCTTTTTTTATTCTCGGCCCCGAGAGAGATGCCTCAACGACGGATCAAAAGGTAAGCATTTTCTTGCTTCAAGTTGCTCAGACCACGGTAGTTGCCCTCCAAACGCATCAATAGACCGCCGAAAGAGTAGTGCACGGCAATCAAGTCCTTTTTGCCGGCTACTTCCTCGAATCTGTACGCAGTTCCGTACATGACATAGTCGTAGTCGTCTGCCAACGATCTTTCGCCAGGCTGTGGTGCCCTCCAAGAGCCTGTTTGGACGTTTTCGGCACCGTCGAGCGACAAACTCGAAGAAATCATCACGGTGAGAGAGTCGTTGACACGCACAGGGAAAAGCTCGGTGTTGATGTCCAGAGTGAGCTGGAACTCTTGCGAGGTGGAATGGGACTCAATTCGCGAGACTTTGTTATACCGGCCCTGATCCACCTCGGTGACCTGAAAGATATCGTCAAATAGTGTCGTAGACATTATAGTGAGGCACTCGACCGCTGAAAATGAAGTCACGAACTGTGTTTGAACGTCGGTGTGTCGAAGCTCATCTCAGTCGAAGCTAGCTCATCTCAACTTGCCCGGGCAATATAGTCTATATTTTTTTGAAAATTTTCAGGAATATACTTTTGTACGGCGAGAGTGTACCTTCGGTCACTTTTCCTCTAGCCGATTCTGCTCAACTGAGTGAGTCCATCAGTAGCCTTCCTCTCTCTTTGTCGCGGGCCCCGTTCACACGCTACGCCCGCTCTTGCCAGATCTGCCAGAATTTCCTCTTTTTTTTTCTTTGGAATAGAATAGATTATATACGTACTAAATACACCATGCCCATCTCATCGACCGTCCACCATGCTGCAGTGGATGCGCCCTGTGCGGTCTCATTTGAGCACCGTGGTCTTTCTCTTGGATCTGTAGTCCTTGATGGCCGCCTTGATGGCGTCCTCGGCCAACATGCTGCAATGCAGCTTGACCGGGGGCAGACTGAGCTCTTTGGCGATCTCCGTGTTTTTGATCTGCGAGGCCACATCGAGGGTCTTGCCACGCACCAGTTCGGTCATGTACGAGCTGGACGCGATCGCGGAGCCGCATCCAAAAGTCTTGAACTTGACGTTTTCGATCACGCCGGTCTCGTCGTTGACCTGAATCTGCAATTTCATCACGTCACCGCACGCGGGGGCTCCCACAAGCCCGGTCCCCACGTTTGACAGTTTTTTGTCAAGAGAACCGATGTTTCTGGGGTTTGTGTAGTGGTCGATGACTCTTGGATGGTATGCTCTTTTTGTCAGCGCTGGGGCGGCCCACGAAGCCGTCCTGAGACTCGATTTTTGTGCTAGGGGCCCGCTGGGTACTAGAAATCTTAACATGCTATTGGTTTGGTGCTTGGAATGCGTTGAAATAGCCTCTTTCACACTGGTTTTGCGATATTTCAGAGTGGTTTATGAGAAAACAGGGTTTTTATAATACTGAATTGATAATTTTTTTGTATAGCCCAGCCAATACTTATAAATCTAGTATTGAGAAAAATGTGACAATGGGGAAAACGGTGACGACACAGGCTGATAGCCAAAAATTGTGGGTGCAGAAAGTCGTTGAGGGGAAAACTGGGCAAATGAGACAAATGACGGATTTGAACAGTGAATTTTGGAGCTTTGAGATTTCTCAAAAGAATCAAATAAGCTTTTTTTTGGGTGAAGATGTTCGTGATCTGGCGAATTGGCGAATTGGCGTATTGGCGTATTGGCGTATTTAAGCGTAAACTATATGTGAATTCAACGCACTAAAAAAGCTATAGTGGGCTTTTGTAGTGGATCTTTTGCTGCTGGGAATTGTGAGTTTTTTGCATTTCTCGGAGTGCATTTTTCTGCTCGGCGTAAATCGGATATAACCGGAGACTGTGGCGGGTTAAGAAAATTCAATCGATTTTGTCGCGAGTACAGCGAGGCGAGTACAGCGATGTTCGGCTGATAACACTGGGTGTGTGCACTTACTTATATATGTATGTGTATACTCGAGAGTAGACATTTGTGGAGCCATTTGCTGATAAACCATGCCGGTGTAAAAGTCAGTGGTTTATAGTGGTAGTTTCGCTGCTGGCGACCCCTGGGGTGTGTCATTAGAGGTTTTGTCATTATGTACTATTCTGTCACCGGGCTGAATGGAAGGTGTGTGAGAGCGTGTGGAATGGACCCACAGCGTGTGGAATGGAGCACAGCATCCAGGGCGATGCTCTTTGGAAGCGATAAACTGGAACTGCAGGACAAAGGTGTCTCCGGATGGTCACGTGACTCGCGCTTAGTGGGTACCGTCTGAACAGCGTACTCTAACGCGCGACTATCGATGGAGCCCCGTTCAGTGCTCAGCTTGTGTTTCTTGTAACGGGGTCGCTGGCATTATTCATGCATTTTAACTACAATACAGTGGACAAGTCCCAAACGGGTAGTAGTATAGTACGAACCAGATGTTTTTCGGGTTGCTTGTGGGTTCTCCAGCAGGTATTTGTTACCCGCACGTAAAACACCGGCGAGTACACCTTTGACTGTCCCCAGAAAAGTACTCGCGCTAGTAGCCACACACGTAAGATTTGTATTCAACCTCAGCGGTAAATAAAACCTACACAACTGTTCAACAACAACAACAACAACAACAGCAACTCTTCACCTCACATAGCAGGTGGACAATCAAACAGTGGAGCTTTTCAATGGGTAGATCTCGTTGATTCTCGTCAAGCTCTGAAAGTGCAGTCAAATTCCATGCATTTTACCTGAATTAGAGGCTGTTTGATTAAAACATCCTGTGCTGGAGCTCAGTCGGCGTTTGTTTTGGTTTTCGTGACGTGAGAGAGATCCACGAAAGTTACGATCGCGTTGTGCTAGGATGGGACAATACAATCACTGCACTGGCACACTGGTACGCTGGCACGCTGGCACCTCCAAGCGCATTTCGAGACCATGACAGGCCTCCTCGAAACAGATTTGGTGCGCGTGTTCGCTAGCCCCGGAACCAATCTGAACACTTCGATACATTTGCTGACGTGCACGAGCAACCACACGCTGTCTGGACGACTCACGTTCACATGCTAGTGAACAGCGCACACACCTCGTACACGGTGACGATCACCTCCCGCACAGCGGGATCATCGCGAGTTTAGCGCGTGTATGCTCCAATATGAGTTGCTACAAGGGACCACGACACGGTTCCACCAGCGGAAACATATTGATAGTGGCTCACTCAAGTTCACTTACGCTAGAATCATCGGGGTTCGATCGATAAAAAAATTGGAAACACGGCCCAAAATCCTCCATGCGTCACACGAATGGTGCATGATGGCCGCTAAATCTGTGGGTACGGAGCCAGCGATTGTGCCACCAATTCGGACCCCTGTGTCTGAACTCATTCTCGAAAGTTGCCCATCAGCCCAGTGCAAGCCAATTTTGTCAATGGCAATGGTTCTCCATCTCTGAATGCATTTAAAGGATGCCATCGAAGTACTCACTTCCCCTACCGACTGAAGACTTTCCATAAAGTTTCTCAACTCTTTTTTGAAAGCCTTCGACCTCTTCCACACATACCCATTACGATTTTCCAAGTTACCAAGCTTACAACACTCCAGAATGCTACAAGTGCACTAGCAAGCCCGCGAAAGTCTCGGAAAAAAGCCTATTTTCTACAATTAAATGGCCAACGCTATCCATACTCACCGTGTTCTCAATCCGTTGCGCAAGTAACTTCGCTTATATCCGAAACCCGCTGTTTTCTCCTTTTGGCTTACTTACAGTGATGAAATTTAGTGCGCCGAAATCTTCTATATGGTTCACATTCTAATTTCGAAAAGTCACTCGGTTCAAAAAGGTAGGCTAACCCACGAACCTTGGCGCGGGAACCCGCAACTGATCGATCGACTAAGCATGGGCAATTCTCTGGATGTGGATGTAGAGGTAGACTGGTTGTACAAGGGCAAGAGAAGGCCAAAAACGCAGATGCAGACTGTGCGCAGAGAAAGGTCGTCGTCGGTGTCTAACGGCTCCCTGGGTCACTTGGCATCAAAAGCAGAGCCAGAGGTGGCTGTAGCGAATAAACAGGCTCAACAGCAGACTCAACAGCAGGCCCAAAAGCAGGCCCAACAGGCTCAGCAGGCTCAGCAAACATCCGTCGCAAAACAAACGACGTCCGCGCGTGAAAAGCAGCATACTGGTACTCCGGCCGCGAGTTTTCTGCAGAGATCTAGTTCGGTCCATGAAACCGGTACCAAGTCGAAGAAATCGCTTTTCAGCTCGCTGTTCAGTCGCAACACTCAAAGCTCAAGCGACCGGCCCGCCATTGCCATCCCGCTCCCGAAAATTCGGCCCAACTCTGGCCCTGTCCCTATCAACACCAATGCTCATGCTACCAGCCACGAGGCCATGCCGTCAATGAAAGCAGCTGTCTCTCAGTTTTTAAAAGAACCCTCGTCGCCAGAAGTACGAGACACGGCGCCCATTCACGAAGAGCGTGTGGTGTTGAACCGCAACCCACATCGGAAGTCAATCCCAATCGAAAGTCTCTCCAACCTTCCGCTCAGAAGGGTCACTTTCGCAGTCGACCGCTTCGGCATGGATCCTCCTCAACAAATTCCGAGCCGCAAACCCAAAAAAGGCGACGTTTTGGTACCCCAGGACATGATCTGTCCCACACCGTCTATATCCGTGGGAATCACCAACACCCAGGGTAGCGTAGAACAGGCGGCCTCCCCGTTGAATGAACATTCTAAAGAATACAAACTGGCCATGGAATATCACCGAAGGGCGCTCAAGGAATCCGACAAGCACCAACAAGAAGCACATTATGCCGCAAGGCGTATTGCCCACGAAGTACAAAACTTTAAAGCTAAAAACACAGCCACACCTTCAGGTGCGCATAATTCTGGAAGTTCGAGTATAGGTGGTGGCACGACTAATGATGTTTCTGGTGCAGCCGCCGTCACGGCCACCTCAATTGATGACAGGATTAAAAACCTAGAAATTGATAAACCCATTCACAAGCATGAGAACTTCTTCGATTCGGGGTCACAGAATTCATCTTCAGGCCCTGAAAAGTTGACCCTTGACAAAACGTACACCCGTTGCTGTCATCTTCGAGAAATTCTCCCCATTCCTTCCACCTTGAAGCAGGTCAAGGACAAAAGTGCACCTCTGCAGACCTTAAAGTTTCTGAATCCCAGGCCCACACTCATCGATATTTTGTCCTTCTGTGATTTCATTGCCATTACACCCGTGCATAACGTCATCTTTGACAACGTTAACCTCACCCAGGAGATGCTAAAAATTGTCATTAGCTCTTTGGTTAATAGCACCGCCGTTGAGAAATTGGGCTTAAGAAATGTCACTTTCAACCATGACAGCTGGAAGCTACTATGCAAATTCCTGCTCAAAAATAAATCTTTGCTCAAATTGGATATCTCACACACTAAAGTCAAACCAGATCTTCCTAAGGGACTTTACCGAGCAAACATGGATTGGAACCTGTTTATTGACGTACTCCAACGCCGAAAGGAAAAGCCACTCGATGAACTACTAGTAAACGGTGTTAAGTTCGATAACATAGAGACCTTTACCAACCTACTGAATACATTTGCGTCACTTGGATCGCCAGGAAGGAAGCGATTAGGTATTGCACAATCTGACATCACTGGAGAGCAAATTAAATTTCTAATGTCGTGGATAAGCGATAACAGTATTGATGGTGTCGACTTGGGCTTCAATGATTTAAGCGAACTTGTCAAACCCCTGGTAGGTAAGTTGACTACCCTTTCACTTGGAAACATGCATTATTTCACACTCAACGGCACCAACATAGCAACTGCTTATGATGCAGCATTGATTTTGCGCGCATTGTCAAAACTACCTAACCTTTATTTTCTGGATCTCAGCAACTTACCTCAGATTTTCCCGGATATTTTCCCCTATCTGAACAAGTACCTACCTCGCATGGCCAACCTGAAACGCTTGCATCTTGATTCTAACGAATTTAGCTCTAGAGATGTTGTTATGGTGACAACTGTTCTTTCAAAGTGTAAAGAGCTTCTTCATTTATCGCTATTGAACCTTTCTCCAGACGCTTTTACGACTGGTATGAGTGCTAACGTTTACGATTGCGTCCGCCAGTGCGCAAAACTAACCAACTTGGACATAGCTTATGGCAATATGCCTGAGGAAATTTCATCGCGTATAGCCCTCTGTCTCATGCGCAGAATGCATAGGGACTTTGAGCTTGACGATTTGACCAGTCAGGACGATCTGCTATTCGATGGTACTTTACTCTCTGAGACAGCTGAAAACATCTTCGAGAAACTAAACAACTTTGAAGATGTTGAGACCGATACCACAAGGAGGTATCTTCTCAAGAAATATTGGGAAAGATTCAATCGCGTTCACGACAACGTCCAGAGAACAATTGATGAAATGTTCGAGAAGAGAGCTGCTGGGGAGCTGAATTTTCAAAGCAAAGAAAATTTACTGCGATTACTGTTCCTGGAGAACAATTTATCGCATATATTAAGCATTCTCAAGACCTATCCACAGGTGGCTAACATCGCGGGTCTGGAGTCGAGTACCAAGCAAGCAACATCTGAAAATGACGTCACCCACCTGCCGGATGTTGAAGCTCCAACTCACGTACGGCCTCATCTCATGGCGACTGATTCAGGCACAACAATTGACTTAACAACTGGCAAAGCAGTACTGGTGAAACAGCCTTCTCACGTTGCACTCGTGAGCAAAAAGCAAGAGGAGGAGGAAGGTGAATTCCACAAATGGGGATTTTTCGTTCAGCAACAAAACTCGATCTATCCAGATCATCAAGCCAGACCTACATTTGACGAGCTGGTCGAAAAAAGGCCAGAAAGCGCATCTTCAACCGAGTCACCTAGGTCTTCACAACCCTCGACAGCAACGCAGACATCGCATAGCCTAATTGCCAAGATCCCATCCGGTATGGAACTTCGGGACGCTGTAATGCGTGCCAAAGGTATCGATTCGATTGAGGAGCTGATTGACAATGTCAGCGGAAACCGTGTAACATTGGACAAAATTTACGGGGTTCCACTCCATCCGATGGCACATCTAGGATCTGAAACGAGCGCGAACCGGAGAACAGCACCACTCTCACAGCTGTTAAGGTCGACGTCCAATGCATCGGTCACATCATCGGAGTCAGGGAATGAAGAGAAGGTGGATGAGACGTATGATAAGCTACTCAACAGTTTGAGTAAAGTGCGATCGAATAAATAGTATATGTGAGATGTACTGCTTCGTATTAAGTCGATGTGCTCGCCGTTTCAAATTGGCAAAGGCTTTATCAAAAACATAATTGCAAGCTTATAACTAGTCCGGGCGTTCATTGAGCCTGCTCCTTTAGCCAAGTACTGTTTTCAGTAGATTCCGGTAGTCAGCATTCTGGAAAACTGGGCTAGCTTTGAAAAGTCGCCATAAACTGAGGAAGCCCATCGTTGTGAGGCTGAAAATTAAAGTTGACATGCCCTTTCTCAGGCTCAAACGCCTAACTCGAGCGTATTGGCATAAACCAGCACCAAAGTGATATGTTGCAGTTCCGATGAGCACTGACAGCGGCAGCAAACCGACCCCCCACTTAATAAATGTGCTATCGTTTTGCAGAATCCACTTGACAAAGTCGATGTCTATGTCGATTCCTTGCGCGAAAGGAACTGATTTCAATAACTGTGTATGGAAAAAGAGCGCGGGAGCTAGAATATAGCCTGAAAGTACCTGGGGCTCATAAGAGAGTTGTTTAGTGACGCCAATGAAATAACCGGAAAGACCGCCTACAAGTCCTATCTCACGCTGCGACTCTCGTTCTCGAGAGTCCTGTGGTATCGTTTTCGCTCTCTTGGGTTTTTTCCAGCTCGCCACAAGGTGCCACAGCCTCAGAGCCAAACCACTGGCCAGGTGTGCTGTCACAGATACCTTTAGCAGTGTACTAGTGAAGCCTGGCAAAATTTCTCTCATCATTGTCAAAACATCATTTGGAGCGTTTTCGGGAGATATGACTGGGACTATGAGCGTATTGATGGCATGGAGTGGGAAATACACGGCCAAGGGCCAAATTGAATATTTCTGAATTTTTCGCAGCGAGATTCGCAAAATTCTGGGATTTATCCAGTTCAAAAGCCCACTGGGTTTTTCAATTCCCTCTACGGGCCTGTAGTGAGCTACTGGCTCTGGATTAAGCTCTTTTAACTCCATCATAGGAGCAGGGGAAACGGTGGTATCGACTTTAAAGGATTGATATGTCTAAATACCAATGTTAGCTGTAAATAAGTTACTAAGTGTGTAGTGATTTGTGTCAGCTATGGGAACTATGAAGAGCCAACAGACAGTACAACGAATAGAGATCACGGAGACTGAGCAGTCCAGTCGATTTTGAACGTTAACATGTTCACTGAATGACTGCCTGATGAGGGTTCATTGCGATACTGTAGTATTAAAAGTTTTGTTGAAATTATATTTGTATCACGTGATCAGATGACAGTTAACGCATCGGGACAAGATGACAATCCTGTATTCATTGGTTTTGGCGGTCATGGAGTCACTGAAAAAGGCCCTCGCCAGAGCTTTGACCAGATATGAAGCCTGGCGATGATGTTCCATCTGATTAGCAAGACATTTTACGAAGAAGAGCCCTCTGTTCATCGCGCCTAAAAGGTCATCATTTTTGTCGATCTCAACGACATGAACAAGAATTCTAGCAGAATGCAGTATCAAGTCAGAGACATTTGAAGTGCGCGGCGTTTCTTGGCTGAGTCATGGCTATGACGTTCCTAAAGAATGAAACCTCGCATCGTGACATAAAGGTACAAAGTGATAATTGAATTTTGTCACGTGACTAGGCGCTACGAACAACGACCTTAAAACACGATTTCAACAGCCCTCAATTCGAATCCAAAACCTCCCACTGTGAAAGCCTAGTACCATTGCTCTTTTCATCTCCCAGAAACTCTCTTTTACATGCCACTTCAGCATACATCTTTTTTCGATACTCAACTCTTTAGTTCACGTGACGGTGAATGATGCCTTGAATCAATAAATCTGACATCATATTCCTACACACCCAAGCGCCAAACCATCCATCGCGTCAACAATAGGCCAAAAACTACCAGAATCAAACGTTTTACTATCCATGGTGTCGTTGCCAGATTGGTGTCCGGCCTATAATCCGCAAAAGAAGGATGCAGAGACTGGCGAAGAGGTGTTTTGCATCTGTAAGAAACCAGACTCTGGGGAACTTATGGTGGGATGCGACGGGTGCGACGACTGGTTTCATTTTTCGTGTTTAAAAATGCCTACGAAATACAACGAGCTGGTTTTCTCATTCTACTGCCCTTATTGCCAGGCCGGTGTGACAGGGCCGGGAGCCACGGATGGGAATCTGCCCAAAACGCTGTGGAGACGAAAATGTCGGGTTTCAGACTGTTTCAAGCCTGTGGCTGAGAACAGCAAGTATTGCAGTGAAGGGCATGCTATATCTTATCTGCGAGGACTGGTGGATCGCGTGGAAGTCCCGGGCCATGAAGCAACGCCGGTGCTGCGAGAAATGCTGCGGGAGCCTGATTTCGACCATTTCAAGGGCGTTGGACAAAATGGCCTTCCCACGCCTTCCGAGCAGCTGGCGCCAGGCCTTTTCTCAAACGACGCACAACTTCAGGAGCTGGAATCCCAGCTGCAAAAAGTGCGCGGCGGAGCCAAACGGCGGGTCGAGACGCAGTTGGAACAGCTGGCACAGTATTCAAAATGGGTACACGCGGTAAACGAACTCTTATTTGGCGATGGCAACCAAGAACATGCGGAAAGTACTTCTGGGTCGCGAAGCAAGGCTTCGCGGGCTCAGAAACGCAAAAAAGCAGTCAAAAAGAAAGCTATCTGCGGCTACAGCGCCAGTCTAGTTGTGCCCTGTCCCGCTGAGCAGTTTGTGTCAGAATTCAAGGAATTGGAAGACGAGCCTACAGAATTGAGGGGCGTATGTTGCAAGCTGCGGTGCACCAGACACTTGGACTGGGCTGGAACTCAAGAGAATGGCCTGCAGTTCCAATTGGAGTCCTTGGAGTCATCCGAAGAACGCTTACAGCTGTTGGTGAAAATTCGCGAAGACCAACTCAAATTACAATTTTACAAGAAGTTGACCCAGATTGACACTACTTCCATCAAAATACCGTTGAAGAACGAGTCGTGAAGACAGCTATGGAGCCGTTACCCATTGACCGTTGTCAACGCTGGTGCTTCGTTTGTACTTGAGTACAAACGCGAGTACTAACGCGAGCACTAAACGGACGAGTACGTACTCGAGTACGTACTCGAGTACCCGTTTGGTACTGTACGGGCAACAAAGCTTCCGATCTGAATGATATCAACTGATTATTCGTTTACCAACGATACGATCTATAAAGAGAGCCACGAGATCCTACCTCTAACGTCTTTGGTCAATATACTACAGGTCAATTGACATTTCTAGAAAATGGGTGGTATGTGTTATTATCAATTGGAAGCTTTTCTAGCTGACCTGTCGAAGTTTACTAACAGGCAATAATCATGATTGATGTGCAGGCGAGAAGATCAATAAAATTCGGAACGAAGAGTTCAAAATATGGAAGAAGGCGGTGCCCTCTCTGTATCACCACATATCGACCTTCAAACCTCCATACACAACTTATTTCGAAAGTGTTGAGAAAATCCCAAAAGCCGTTGCCTTCACTCACAAGATAGCTCCACACAAGGAGAGCGGTACGATGGCAGCGTCCATGCTGTGTTCGCAGGGTAGTGACATCTACGAAATTGAATTTCAATTGCCATTGGGGTTGCATGCCCCGAACGAGAACTTGAAGGACCCACAATATGGGGCTTCTTTTGCAAAAGTAGTGAACAATGGCAAATTGGAGCCCAAATGGACATACCAGGGCGAAACCGTGACCAAAATTGAGTACGTCGGTGGCTCTCTAGCGGATGCCGTGGTGATGACTGCAAGCGGGTCTCTAGCGTGGTTCAAAGAGGATTGCAAGGTGCCCGTGTTTGTCATGGAAGAGCTGAGGGGACCATCAACCAGTTTTTCGAGAATCCATGATCAAGGCCAGTCCCTTGCCGTAAATGTAGATTTTGCCGTTTCTGAAAACGTGGAGACGTTGGTGAAGTCGCAACAGAGCATGGCGTCAGGTCAACAAGACGAGCACAGTCTCCTGAAGGTAGTCGACAACGCGCAAACCCCTGGTCGCCCTATCAGGACCATTCCCGTTCCCAGAACCTCGGTCACTCAGGCCATACGGTTTCTTGACAACCACATGTTCTGTACCCTTTCAGATGACAGCACAATAAGATTTTACGACCTTAGAGGAGACGGCAAGCCACTTTGGTCGATGGCCGATCCTCATGACGGTAAATTACTGTGCTTGGACGTCTCGCCAATGATAGAGAGCATGTTTATTACTGGTTCTGACACCGGCACTCTGAAATTGTGGGATTTAAGAACTATAATTGCCTGCATTGAGAATAAAGAGGAGCCTATAGAGATTGCCAAAGTTTTTCACTCAGCGGCAGACCCCGTGGTGGACGTGAAATTTGGCATTTCGTCGCCAGCAGAAATACTTTCCGTTGGTGTCTCTGGAAATGTGTACCATTGGGACTTGGAGCCGATCTTTTTGCAAGAGAATGCGGAAGGCGACGAGATAATGGACGCGGAAGAGCTACAGCAGCAATGCCTGAGGTTTATCCACACCGGAGGTGGAAGAAGACAGGCAGAATTCTACAGCCAACGTGAAACGGTTGCCTGGCACCCACTTATCAGTGGTGTGGTAGGCTGTGTTGATCCCGATGGCCTTTTGACAGTATACAAAGGATTTTTGGGCAAAGAGGCTGATTCTGGTTCCGTTAGCGAGAACGAGGGAGATGCGCAGGTTTGAGGTTGGATCGGGTTCCGATTCTGCTAGCCTGGCGGCTTAATAGAATGATGTAATTTCAGTTTTCGGGCACTGGACCCAGGACTGAAACCAGAAATACAATACAAAACGCAAGACGTATAAATTAAGTATGGTTTCATAAATAAAGCAAACAGGATGGCTGTGATTTTGATCGTACTTTTCACTGAATTGTGTCGAGAGAGTGATACTGATAAGCAAGTAAGATCAATTACAATTCGATGAGGAGAGCCTCTCTCTACAACCACGGCAGCTGAGAACCCGTAACCCTAATGGCTATGGTGTACTTGTTAATGAGAACTGGAAAACAAGTAGTTCATGGAATTAGGAGCTTGTTGGGGAAGCATGCCAGTCGCCCATTCATGATTTGTTCATAATGAAAATAAATGTTACTGTTAAAGAGCACATCATGAAATTAATTCGTAAACCATGGTAGCACAGTGATCAATTGAGAAAGATTAGATCAAAACACACATTAGAAACTTTGATTGTTTTCCTGAACGATTTAGACATTCAGTGTCGCGTTAGCAACCATCACGTACTCAAATTCAATTCAAACCCAGGGATACCAGTGCTCAAATTGCGAGCACACCCATAAAAAACCCATTAGTGCTGTTGCGTTCGAATCAGATGGTAACATATCCAAGTAAAATTTGAAAAACGTCGTGACCTGACTTACCGAACATGAACTGCACAAACAGTGGCTACTTCTGCTTTGCCGCAGTAAAGCTGAAAAATATCAAAATGTCAAGTTTTTTTACTGCCATCTAAAAAATCCGGCCCCACTCATCAGTTCAAGACCTTTTTAAAATTTATACATATAAAGCGCCTTTAACAGTACCTTCCAAGGGCCTTGTGATCTCGCTCTATCCTCCTCTTTCCATTGATCTTCGCACACTTCTGTTTAATATCTGTCATACTTCACCTAATAAATGTCACCCTGTACTTTTTCGTTCTGAAATTTATCCAACTTTCTGAGATGTCTGTTTAACTCATTACTTCCCCACTGAGAAGCAAACAATCAGGTTTGAAGCAGCCTGTCATTGACTATTTATGGCATCACCCAGAAGCTCAGTTTTGTGTGATTGAGTTAATGATCGATCGAGTGCGGAAAGCTACATAGTTATACTGAAAATCGTCCCCTTTGACATAAAATAAGATAGATATTCTAAGCACTAAAAGCGCACACTGCATCTCGCACAGGCTCGAAACGGGACAAGGAAGGCAACAAATCAGATAATTGGAAATGGCGTCAATGTTTAGGCCACCGGAGTCGGCCAGAGGCAGCTCGAAATCTCCCAAGTTGACCTTGCCGTCGTCTTTGAAGAGCTCTTCGGGCGAGATGCCCACTCCAGCACTGGGGCCGGTTTCCAACCTGGCATCTCCTAAATCGTCGTCTTCTTCACAGACGCTCACATTCCCGAGACCAGAGAATTCGTCATCGTCATCCTCGATCAACACCTTGAAGAAAAGACCAATACCGCCGCCTATCCCACCTCTGGCGATTCCAATGAGCGCTGGCGCAGGAACGCCAGACCGCACCAGCTTCACCGAGTCGCTGGCAAAAATGAGGATTGACGAACCAGAAACGCACCACGCGAGAACGCCGTCTCGCGAAAGACTGCTCGAAAAACATTCCGACGGTGGTGCTGCATCCGTCTCGGCGTCTCCCTTGAAGAATGCTTTGGCGGACGTGGATACATTAGACGAGGAGACGTGGCAATCAGGAATTGTCAAGGACCAAATTGTGACCATGGGGGTACTGGGAGAAGGCGCTGGTGGCTCCGTGACTAAATGCAGGCTCAAGTCGGGATCGAAGGTTTTCGCCTTGAAAACCATCACAACGGTTAATTCTGATCCTGAAACCCAGAAACAGGTCTTTCGCGAACTGCAATTCAACCGCAGCTGCAACTCTGAGTACATTGTGCAATACTATGGGATGTTCACAGCCCCCACAAGCTCTTCGATATACATTGCGATGGAGTATATGGGCGGCCGGTCGCTGGACGCCATTTACAAGCATCTGCTGCAAAGAGGCGGCAGGATTGGAGAAAAAATCATTGGAAAGATCGCGGAGAGCGTTTTGAAGGGTCTTTCTTATTTACAGGAGCGCAAGATAATACACCGAGATATCAAGCCCCAAAATATCTTACTCAACGACGTGGGCCAGGTAAAACTCTGCGACTTTGGCGTGAGTGGCGAGGCGGTCAATTCCCTAGCCACGACCTTCACAGGCACGTCTTTCTACATGGCTCCCGAGCGGATTCAGGGACAGCCCTACAGTGTGACCAGCGATGTTTGGTCTCTGGGACTGACGCTGCTCGAAGTTGCCCAGGCAAAATTTCCATTTGATTCTGGCAAGGTGGCTGCGAACATGCCGCCAATCGAGCTGCTAATGCTGATATTGACATTTACTCCAGAGCTCCGAGACGCACCGGAGCTCAAAATTGTGTGGAGCAAGTCTTTCAAATCATTTATCCAGTACTGTCTCAACAAGGAGCCTCGCGATAGACCATCGCCGCGTCAGATGCTGCAGCATCCTTGGATAGTGGGGCAGATGAAAAAGTCTTGCAACATGCATAAGTTCGTGCTCCGGTGCTGGGAGGAGTAATTTGGACAAAATCGACGCGAGAGTCGAAAAAGGCAAGGATAAACAGGATTTACACGAGGTATGCTCAATCAAAACATGCAAATACGTACAATAGAGACTCAACTATAGGCTAAATGACATCTATCAGAAAAGACCGAAAGGAAGCGGACAAAAATTATATAAATATGCAAAACAAAAGGCGTTGATGAAGGAATCCTGTAGGTGAGCTGAACTCAATCCACGAGTCTAAACAGCACAGCTTCTTGTTTTGGCATCTCTACAGACTAGCTAACTGTCCATTGTGTGTTAAACTGACACTTTGCCAGAAGAGCCCATCAAGACCACGTGACAAACTTGTGACAGAGTCTAAAATCATTCGATTACATAATCACCCAAAAATATTTCGATATTTCATCATCACATTCCACGAAGAAATTCAAAATTTTCGAGTTTGAAAAAATGGAAACGCTATACGCAGAACTCCAGTAACTTACTCACTGTTAGTCACCTCACTAATATCACCACCATTCCAACGTTAACGCAATGATATTCAGACCTGCTGTGAGGTACGGCTCCTCGCGTTATATCGCTACCGCTTCTTTGAGAAATTTGGGCTTGGCCAGCTTTTCCAGGCCCACAATTGGTGCCAGATTTTATTCAGAGGCTGCCAAGGACGCCAGCAATGAAACGGGCACGAGTTCGGAGCCAGCTCAAAAAGCTGCTGGCGAGGAGCAGCAGAAGATCCAAGCGCTTGAGGAGAAACTTGCAGCCAAGGACAAAGAGGCCGCAGAATACAAGGACAGATTGCTGAGGTCGGTTGCTGACTTCAGAAACCTGCAAGAAGTTACCAAAAAAGACGTGCAGAAAGCCAAGGATTTCGCACTCCAGAAGTTTGCAAAGGACCTGTTGGACTCTGTGGACAACTTTGGCCATGCCCTGAACGCGTTCAAGCCCGAAACCTTGGAAGAGTCGACCGAGGTCGCCGACCTGTACACTGGTGTCAAGATGACCCGTGACGTTTTTGAAAAGACGCTCAAGAAGCACGGTATCGAGAAACTCGACCCAATGGGCGAGGCTTTCGACCCCAACAAGCACGAGGCCACTTTCGAGCTTCCTGACCCAAAGAAGGAGCCTGGCACTGTGTTCCACGTGCAGCAAGTGGGCTTCACATTGAACGACAGAGTCATCAGACCTGCCAAGGTGGGGATTGTGAAGGATCCCTCGAACTAAGTGGGCCGACACACTCGCGCGTGAGAAAATGGACCCGTTTAACTACTGGCATATTTTTTTTTCTTCACTCGCACGCACAACAATAGAGAAAATCAGAGCGTTCTCGCCCTCTCCGAACCCTTTAATGACCAAGCGCTAACCGAATATTTCCCGATTTTTACCGCCAAAAAATCCTGTTAACGACCCCAGACCTCATGTCTAGTACGAATATCTTGTACATATATATCTAAAACTACCATGTATTTTCTGCGAGTCATACTTGTCGGACTGCGCTGTACTAGTCAGCGTCAGTGTCAGCGCCAGCTAACTCAAACAGATATTTTTTGAGCTAAGACAATGCAATAAAAAAGGTCAAATTACCATGAAAAAAAGGTTGCAAATCGTTGTAAATCGTTGTCAAACGTCATCAAACGATTCCAGCTTCCAAACGGCTTTCGGATGAGTATCTCTTCCCATTCAGACGGTTCAAACATACAGCAGTTCATTTTACGCAACGTACAAAGCGATATTTGGGTTTCGAGATTCTGAAACTAGGAAATGTAAACAGAAGTTGAATCTTTCGCATACGATGAGAATGAGTTTAAAGCAGCATCAAGCAGACGCGATTCGACCTATAAAGCCACCTCAGAGAGTGTATAGTCTTTGTTGTACTGGTGTAGCATAGACTGCGTGGTCTTTCAGCTTCGAAGTCTTAAAAACAGGCCATTTGGTGGCTTGCAACGGGCAGTTTACGTTCTCGGGCTTTGTTCGCGAATTAAAGGCAAATCAAAGGTTCATCTTTGGGTTCTCCACAGACTTTTTGAGCCCCTTATTTGCATCCAGCATACGCATACGTACTCGACTTCTAAGGTCCTGGTCTTCAGAAATTCGATCCCAAACCAACTCAATAAACGGGGCTTTCTGAACAAAGTGAAATGACGACTGTCCCACAGAGACACACTTACTATGGTGCGCCATCTTCGGCATACACGCAGTCGCGCCATTTGTCGTCATTTGGATCCACTACAAAACGCAAACACGTCACTTTCGGCCCGTACATCGTGGGATCGACGCTTGGAGAGGGCGAGTTTGGGAAAGTGAAAATGGGGTGGTCCAAAAACCCTGCTTCTTCTTTGGACGTGCCCAAACAGGTGGCCATCAAACTTGTGAGAAGAGATACGATACCCAAAAACTCAGAGAAAGAGGTCAAGATCTACCGTGAAATCAATGCGCTGAAGCATTTGACCCATCCCAACATCGTGAAGCTCGAGGAAGTCCTCCAAAACTCGAAATATATCGGCATCGTGCTCGAGTACGCGTCCGGTGGGGAATTCTACAAGTATATCCAGCGGAAAAGAAGGCTCAAGGAAAGTGTAGCGTGCCGGTTGTTTGCACAGCTCATTAGCGGCGTGTGCTACATGCACTCGAAGGGACTGGTGCATCGCGATTTGAAGCTCGAAAACTTGCTTCTGGACAAACAAGAAAACCTTCTAATCACGGACTTTGGATTTGTGAATGAGTTCAGTCCCGAAGACGAGCTCATGAAGACCTCGTGCGGTTCTCCCTGTTACGCCGCGCCTGAACTCGTAGTCACAACACGGCCCTACGAAGCTCGAAAGGCAGATATTTGGTCCTGCGGTGTGATTCTGTATGCGATGCTAGCGGGCTATCTTCCTTGGGATGACGATTTCGAGAATCCTGACGGCGATGACATCGGGAAGCTTTATCGTTACATCACTAGAACCCCGCTTAAATTTCCGGATTATATCGCCCCAGTACCGAGAGATCTTTTGAGAGAGACCTTGCAACCAGACCCAAAACGAAGGATCAATACTAGCCAGATTTTGCAGCATAGGTGGTTGCGACCCCATCACGCCTTCTTGAGTGTTCTTCCCGCCGAGTGGGACCAGGTGAGTAAGAGCCAGGATATCTTAAGAAGACCTCCGTCGAAAAAAGATGGAACGGATCCCACGCGACCACGCTCCAACTGCTCGGTGTCATCCTCGAATTCCAAGGGTGAGAAGCGAAACTCATTAATCATGGACTCAACACTGTACTCACAACCGGTACCGCCTCAACAATCTCAGTCGCATGCCGTGGCAACGCCGTCTTCGCCCCCACCAAGAATGCGACAATCTCCCGTCAAAAAGAATCGTCATAGCCGCAGTAACTCCGCGGCGTCAGTCGCGCTACAGGCCGTCGTTGACGCTGAGAAAGAATACAATGCTTTACATCCATCTTTTCCCACATCTGCATCACTTTCTGCACTTCAAGCGGAAAGCCCACCTTTATCGTCGCAGAATACCTCACCTCGTCTTTACTCCCATGCCCCAAAGAAGCCCAGCCACGCTACGGTTTCCTCTTTGAAAGATAGCATTATAATCGAAACCAGCCCTCAGAAAGGATCGGCGGCATATGTGCTCTCGCCCCTTCAAATCGATTCAAACACCGGACTCATACTTTCTGCAAAATCAGAGGGATCAGCAGTTTCTCTTCCGCATGGCGCTCACAAGTTACCACATTCTGCCGCCAGTCATATCGCTCATAACCTGCCAGCGCATAGAAGGCCAAGACCAACATCATATCATCCCACGTCTTACACTGCATTAAGCGACACTTCTCACCAAATTCAAGGTTCGACACTACCAGAATCTCACGATCATGGGTTGGAAGAAACATCAGAAAATCAGCCACCAATGGAGAAGGGCCCCCAGCAAATGGTACAGAAAGACTCACACACATTGAGCCAACCGTTCTTGGATATGCAAATAGTTTCTGGCGACTTAATAAAGACTGGAGATGATGGCGGCACAGTTGCAAAGAAAATACACGACCAGGTAGAAGATGCTGATCACAGACTAGATCTCTTGCGACAGAGGAGGCAAAGTCAGAGATACAGTGTTGTATACGATAAATTGTTTGGCACTGTTACTGAGCAGTCAGAACTGGTGGTTGACGATAAAGCTGTTATAACGGAGCCCACTACGCCCATAGTGCAAGAGCTGAAGGCGACGCAAGAACCGGCCAAGAAGAGCAAAAAAAGATTTAGCATAATGTCGGCTTATTCCTCATACAATGCATCGAAAAGCAGCATAGAAGCGGATCAAGGGAAGGATAAAACTAAGGACAAGGATAGAATTGGTGTTGAGGATGATAAGCGGTCAAGAAAGTCGAGCTCGAGACACAGTTCTGCGGCTAAGGACACAAATGAACAGACGCAGAGGAACAAAGGACCAGCTGTGGACAAGCAAATTTCAAGAGACAAGCAGAGCACTGATAGCACAGAAACGCAAAGGGTGATGAGCTCGAAGACAGATCAAACGGACTCTCAATCACAACGAGCTATCACTCCGCCAGCAGCGAAGAGAAAATCTTCGTTGCGCAAACCCAGCAAAAATTCTCAAAACAAGACGAGAGTCAACCGGGCTTCGGTGATGATAGCATCGGCGACTAAGACAGACGGAGACGCTCTGAACAAAAGTGGGAGCGGAGTGTCGGAAGCCAGGCCCCGCGAGCAGTCCACTGCCAAAAAAGTGATCGACTTTTTCAAACGCAGAAGCATGCGACTTTAATTGATACGTAGATTATCTAGTACAAGGATTGGAATTAAAAACACTGAGCGACATGATAGCCGCCTGGGGGCCACCATGCAAGATCAAAAACTGCGGGGCCAGTCCCCTAGGCGCTCAATTAATTACAGACATGCAGACGTGCCCAAAACTTACAGATTCCTTCTAAGGTTTGCGTTATAAAAGCGTATGGGTACTTATACAGAGTGGCTTGGTGTCGATTGGTGATGTTGCGCTCATCATTTAGATATTCGATGGGTACAAGAAGATTCTGACGGAAGCACCGAAAGTCTTGGCTGGCAAGTTGGACTTGAAAGTGGCTCTAACAACACCGGAGTTACCGTGAGTTCTGTTGACCTTACCCCAGATGACTCTGATCTTGGAGCCTCTGATCTCCTTGGAAGCTCTGTAGACGTAAGCGACACGCTTACCCAAGTAGAACTTAGCGTCTTCTGGGTTGGCAACGCCCTCGATCTTGACCAACGACACGTTAGGGTTGTTGGTTTTCTTAGATCTTTGGTAGGACAAGTGCTTACCTTTGACGTACACTGCAGAGAAACATGTTAGTAGCTGTAGCTGTAGCTGGGCTGGGATCGAAAAAAGCCTGCGGAAAACGAGGAAAACTCAATTTGAAGGACAGAATGGAAACATGTCGAGCTGGAAACAAACGGGAAACAAACGGGAAACAGGTAAGAGATAAAGTGCTAGATTCACGGAAAGTGCTGCTTCAGCACTGCTTCGACACCACCACTACCTAGAGTATTGTGCAAGAAGTGACGTTCTTTCATTCCCTGATTGTGCTCCACTGGATGGTTTCATATATTGTCTTTTCACTCTCTTCACTCTCGCCCCACAATCCGCGTCCTCATGCTTTAGATCTCGCTTTATGCTGTGTTGGCGGTGCTGGTTGGTTCACATACATCTATGGGATTCGGCCATTGTGTTTGATAGTCTATGTTGAGTCCTTCTGAACAAGCAGTGAGAAAAGCCCTATTAAGCACTAGACCGTGGTCAATGTAGTAGTTTTGTCAAAGTTTCACGAAGTTTCACGAAGTTGAGAACCCGCTGCCAGTTCGCGATGCTGGTGCTGAACCCGATGCTAGGCGGGACGTTGCGTGCCCAACACGAACGGGCCCTGCCCAGAGCCAGGCGGAACTCCAGAGGGAGTCCTGCTGGGAGATCGCTGGTGCTAGGCAGAGCTCTGTGTGGCCTCTCGGCAGGTGGCGGTTTCGCAGAGAACGGAGAGTCGTATAAACGTACAGACGCAGTTTTTTTGTAGAAAATTCCACTTTGGAAAAGTTCGGACCGTGGAGAATGGTGTATGGGTGTTGAAATAAAGGCAGGAATAGTCCAGGACAGGACAATACACAGTGCTATTGACTACAAGACATGCAATACAAAGGAACTAACATTAGGTGAATCTGTGACAACGTTTATCAAGCGAGAAATAACAGGATCAAGATGGTTGGACACACAATTGTGCGAGAACCGTTGCAAGTATTTTAGAGAGCATGGAATTTTTATTTTGGACAACGAATTCGCTGTAGTGGAGCGGATATGAGGGTTGTTTCTACGAGGAATGTAGTCACTACTGATAGGTCTTGAGCTTGTTAGATATGGCAAGATGTCTTAGATCTTGGTCCAGTTCGCCGCCATTGTTGTTGTAGTAATTGATTCTTCAATTTACAGTAGCCCCAGAGCGCAGACCTTCAAGCCCTAACGACAACACGTCGAGTTTCCCGTGTCAGTAAATTGTAGCCCTAAAGTTACCCGGCTGTTTCCAACTATGAGAGTCTCGCTTAAAACTTCCGAAAAATACCGTACTTAGCCCTGCTCGCTCGCGATTGCTGTCTACATACCCTAATTTTTAGCGTGGCGGTTACCCGCCCACGAGCCAAAGATCAAGGAAAAAAACTATAAAAGGAGACCATCTGGATCTCGATTCTTAGAACTTCTCCTCTTGTTTTTTCTTAAAAAGTTGTCGACGTACTTCAGTATGCATTTTACCCTATACATTGGAGCCTCCCTCCCCTTTTTGGCTCCTCTCATTTTCCAAGGCTCCCCCAACCACTAACACCTTCAACAGTAGGATCATTTCTATAGGAATCGTCACTCTTTGACTCTTCAAAAGAGCCACTGAATCCAACTTGGTTGATGAGCCTCAGAGCCTTTGCACCCCAGAGTGAGACCAAAGATGTTTCTCTAGCTTGGTCCACAACCCTCAGCGGTTTGGCCATCTACTCGCACTCTTTGTTTTGCCTTTTGCATCGCAGTTGTATACCCCACTTTTGTGGGCGTTCTTCTGTGTCTAAATAGGCGCGATGATCTTTGCCCAGGTCGTGCACTTCTTCGTGAAGGGACGGCCGTACTGGGTGGGCGCGAACGGCAGTCTGACAAGTTTTATTCTTTTTTTTCCCCTAGTTGGCTACCCAAAGGTTTGGGTGGTGGATTAGAATTTTAAAAAGAATCACAACTATCTACAAGTAATTACTAAATAGTCTTAACGTACCCTGGCTAAACTAATTATTGGCAAATATTTGTCCACAACCTATGTAACAAATATAACTCACTCACGCATTCATATCATTCTCGATTAAACTTACACATTCCTTGCATAGCAGAAGCTGGTCCACGTCCATCTGCATCGAGCCTGCGTCGCCCGCCATGGTCAGATAGAAAGGACGTTGGCTTTTCTTGGCACACAGTTTGGAAATTCGCACCGCCGTTTCTCGTATTCTATCGTCAATGGTGTCTGTCAGAACCGTAGACAAAACGTCTCTTGAAGTAGGCACAGCGTAGACGTAACAGATCAAGCTGTTGGACGCCGGGTTTGTAGCTGTAGAAATTACCATCGAAATAGGCGAGTTTGGAGAATTGACATCGTTTTCAGGCTTTGACACCAGGACCTGGACGGCTGAACCTAATGGATTATTTATTGTGTGCTGTACAGTCTTCACCATCAGAATTGGGCGATTGCTGAAGGTCGCTAAGCGTGGATATCTCGATGCTTCCCAGAAACATGCCCTGTCTGTCCAGTAAGCATTTTTTAAGTAAATGTAGATCTTACGTTTTGAGGATGCACGTGATCCGATGCCTGAACAAGATGGAGGATGTTCAACTCCAAGCGATCCGGTTTGAGCTGATAATTACAGGTGTACTATTGATCAGACTGCTCTAGGCTGTTTCATCCATGACCCTGTCCTTTTTTTTGTAATTGAATGTGCTTTCAGAAGTGGTACTTGAATGTTTCTGAAGATAATCCCATCTTTCGAGATCTCTGCCTTTAAAGTTTAATCGCTTCAGAAACGCGCTGGAAGTTACCTCACAGCCCACCAACGAAGTGATCAAGATTGGGAAGACGTTTCGACTTGAACCTGTTGTCTAAACAAAGTGACTGACAGTAATTAACAAGATATTAACATCAAGCAATAGCAGGCGCGCTCACTTTTTTCACGAAAACACCACACAAAGATTCTCGTAATTATGACCCTTTGCATAGACTCTAATTGAAGCTCGGTCGAGGGCAAAAGAGGAAGTCTCGTCAAGATTTCGATTCAATGGCTGTGAGGAAGCTCTACGAGTCATCCGATACGACGTAGTTTATGGGCTTTTCTATGCTACTAAAAGTACACCCATCTCATCGCCTCTACAAGAGAGCACCAACTTGGCAGAAATAACCACTTTTAAGTCACCACAACTCTCGAAAAATGGCCTCAAAACCCTCTATAATATCAATTGTGGCATGTCTTATGCCGGAAATGGGAATTGGTTACAATGGAAAACTGCCTTGGAGATTGAAGCAGGAAATGGCATACTTCAGACAGGTAACTACAGGTACATTTTCCAGCGGGGCACAAAATGCTGTGGTAATGGGTCGCAAAACGTGGGAATCCATCCCGCCAAAGTTTAGACCGCTTCCAGGTCGCGTCAATATCGTGGTTTCTCGACAACACGGCGAAGAACTTGCCCCGACTACTTTTGCCAATTCCACCGTGTGGCTCAGTGACTCGCTTACACGGTGTCTGGAGCTGCTTCCAGAGCGGGTTTCCAACTTAGAACGCATCTACGTTATTGGAGGTGGAGAGATTTACGCGCAGACAAGCATTTTGAGTGATTACATGCTCATCACCGAGGTCCGACCAGAGGACGAGGCCAACCGCCCTCCCATGGACACTTTTCTTGATCCCGGTATCGTGCATAGTCGATTTGAACGCGACTTCGATAACGTGAAGGACTTTTTCCCATCGCAAGTAGTGCTGCCGGAGGAACCACAGATACACGAAAATGGTTACTGCTACGAGTTTGCCCTGTACAAACGTCGCAACACAGAGAAGACGTGAAAAAAGGAACACGGAGCCAGAATCTGTGCCAGCTCGCGCGTCTTTCATCCATGCCGGGTCTAAAACGTGTGCAAGCTTGAACATCAATAATCGAGTTTGTTAACCTATCAGGAGGTTTCTTCCACTCGAAAACCAAAGTTGCTTGAGGGTCTAAATATCGATTGATATGGCATCGGGCTGCAACAACGACGGAATCGAAATGAGCGTGAATCGTCTCTATTCTCGCAAAACTTTGTCGAAAAGCTTCCAAAGCACAATAAAGCGTCATTTAAACCGCGATTTTTTGGAAACCCTGATTGCACGATAAAAACAACTCTTATTTTCCTCAAAAATAGCGGCGGCAATGTTATTTCAACTCATCTCCACCACAATCTGGGTTGAAACTATCGTTTTGCCATATTTGTTTGGCGCGGCATCGATAAGACCGCAAATCCTACAAAATAAAGACAATCTTCCAAACAAAGCTCCAGCAACCGAACAGTGCATCTTCTCGAGACCCACTCGGTGTGCGACGATGGTGTCCGAGCCTGCTCAGTCGCTTTAGCGACACACACACTTCTCACTCACACTCTCTGGTCACGTGAAAACATCGCTATTAGTGCGACGGTTCGATTATATAAGCACTCTCGTACAAAGAGACATGAGTCGGTTAATAATCCCGCTATCGAATGAAACTAAGCTTTTTCAGCAAGTAAGGTGGTGATTGTTATACGCTAACAAACACATCGTGAAAAGCGGGTTCATCGAGCTTGTTGGTGGTTTATATAGGCTGTGAACTGCAGATCAGAACTGCTTGGCCTATTACAGTGAAATCTGCACGTTTTTTCCGACCCTTTTGACGATTTAGGGGACTTTTTCCGTGGCCAGTTGTGTCAATCTTATCTTCATGTCAGGATACGCTAAATCTTCGTCTTGGACGTCTTTTTTGAAGTCAATCACGTCTTTCAACGGCGATTTATCGACTTTGACGGCTCCTCCGTTCATTTTGTCACCCACTTCGCTGTCAGAATACTCCCAATACTGGGGGGAACATCCTGACTTATTCTTGGGCCCCAATTTTATCACGAAACCTGGGGAGGATGGCACAAGCGTGGAGCACTTGCGAATGTTGGCAGTGGTCAAGTGGTTTATTTCGACACTCAAGTCGCAGTACTGTTCGCGTAACGAGTCAATGGGCACGGAGAAAAAACCTTTGAATCCGTTCTTGGGGGAGCTTTTCGTGGGCAAATGGGAGAACAAAGAACATCCAAATTTTGGTGAAACCGTGTTGCTGAGCGAGCAGGTGTCGCACCACCCCCCAGTAACTGCGTACAGCATTTTCAACAATAAGAACAAGACTTCTTTGCAAGGCTACAACCAAGTTAAGGCATCCATCTCCACAGCGTCTCTCAGCGTCAAGCAATTTGGACACGCGCTCTTGGAGTACGAAAACCTTGGCGAACAGTACCTGGTCACCCTGCCACCTTTGCACATCGAAGGGATGCTAGTGGCGTCGCCTTTTGTCGAGTTGGAAGGCAATTCATACATCCAGAGCTCCTCGGGACTTTTATGCGTAGTAGAATTCTCTGGTAGAGGCTACTTTTCGGGCAAGAAAAATACGTTCAAAGCCCGTATTTTCCAAAAAGCGTCCGATGCAGCTGACAAGGAGAAAGCTCTGTACACGATCACGGGCCAGTGGTCCGGTACATCGACTATAAGCAAGGGCAAATCCAAAAAGGGCGAGGAATTGTTTTATGATGCTTCGAAATTGAAGGCTGAACACCTGAAAGTCAAGCCTATCGAGAACCAGCACGAACTTGAAAGCAGAAGGGCCTGGAAAGATGTGGCAGATGCCATCAAGAACGGTGACTTCAATCAAATTCACGAGGAAAAGACTTTTCTGGAAAACGAACAGCGCAAAATGCGTAAGGAAGAAGAGGCCCAGGGCACCAAGTGGCAAAGACGCTGGTTTTCGGACGAAGACTACTCCACCGGTATTGATGATGCGTTTGTGAGACTTGCGGCAAGTCTCAATTTGTCTACCAAAAATGTTCCAAGTGGTACATTAGTTGGCGACAAGGAAGACAAGAAGACAACTTCAGCAATGCACTGGCGGTTCCAGAGAAAAAACTGGGATGCTGAAAAGGTGATCACAGCGTAGTCAGACATGCCATGCATTCCTCACTCTCCCGATGAATGACGAACAATCGACCCAGCCTTCAGATATTACCAAATATTTTTTTTCCCCTCTCATTCTAAAGAGCCAAACGCCAGTCTTTCTCCCGGTACTCTAGGCTCTTATTCTGGAGCATCCCAAAGATCTTTAAGTAAGACATATCATGACTGAACATTGACAATATTGTCTTATAGAGTGTGTGTCTGTGTGTTCAGTCACTGAAATGTCAGCGTTAAGTATAGTGATCTTGGACCATATGCTCGTCCATGGCGATAATCTGAAAAATTTGAAAGGCGATGAGATGCGATGAGCTGAGCTGCCGATGAGCTACAATTCTTTACCACTCAAGCATTCACCAGTAAGCTCAAAGTTGTGGTGTTCAGTAGATATCAGCAATGGCCACTCAAACCGAAAGACCAGCACAATATAAACAGTCCTCTCGTAAGGGCAAGAAGGCCTGGAGAAAAAATATTGATATCTCGGATATCGAGAAATCCATTCAGAAGCGTAACGATGAGGAGATTACACACGGCTCGAAAGACCTAACGAGCTTGGCAAACAAAGATCTGTTTCAGGTAGATACTGAGGGTGACGAGCAATTGAAACGCAAACTTATCAAGCGCAAGCAGATCAAGAAAAATCTGAAGTCAGCGGAAATCCTCGAGTCTATACAATCCAGATCCAAGGTTCCAGCTCTGTCGCATCCCAAGCGTGGCTTGAAGGAGCAGCAGAAGAAAGAAAAAATCCAAGGTGTGTCTAAAAAAGAAGTCAGACGTTTGATGGCCCTAGCGGGAAGAATTGACGGCGAGAGTAAGCTAAAAAATGCTGTATCCAAAAGAGGTCTCGTAAGAGCAGGTGCAAACACTGACTTGTGGGGTGCGGAGGAAGAGGTGAAAACTCCTTCTGGAATCAAAATGTCGGTAAAGACAGGCCAGGAAATACCGGAAGAATTGAAAAAGCTCTCCACCACGGGGTGGTCTAAGGCGACGGTGGCTCCAAACACCATTACCAGATCGCCTGTTATGGTCAAGTCCATTGATCAATCTCCTCATGCCGGTAAATCTTACAATCCTAGTAATTCGAGCTGGTCTCAGCTGATAGATACCGAGTACGAGGGCGAGAAAGCCAGAGAAGAAACTCGGCTACAAATGGAAGCCTACAAAGCCAGAATTAGTGATCTCATGCAGAGTTTGGACGATGAGGAGGAGGAAGAGGATTCAGATGACGATGAAAAGTCTGATAAAGACGAGGAGCTGGATGCTCAAGAAAATGCTGAAATAAAACTCTCCCTCAACAAACCAGTCGTCAACAAGAAAAAAACGAAATACCAAAGAAACAAGCAAAAGAGACATAACGATAAATTGGAACTACATTCTGAGCTCAAACAGCTGAAGAGTCAACTACGCCAGTTGGAGCAGTTCGCAGAGCTTCAAAAGAGCGTCGAGGAAGCCGAGGCTGCCCGTACTGAAAGGACAAGTCAAAAAGTCACAAAGCCCGCAAAAGGCAGTAAGAAGCACAAGCTAGGTACCAAACACTCGGTGATTGACGATGGTTTGGAAGTCAAGTTTTCCGACGAGTTGTCCGACTCATTGCGCAAGCTAAGACCCGAGGGCAACCTTCTTTACGACACTGTGCGGAAGCTACAAGGATCTGGTAAAATTGAGGCCCGTGTGCCGGTCAGAAAGGGCAGAAGATACACACCTAAGATCACCGAAAAATGGACTTATAAAGATCTCAAATAAAGTGAAAAAAATTTCTTCATGGGCATCTTTTATTTTGTATATTAACAATAAGTAGGATTTGCAATTCTTGCGTAGCGGTTCTCTACCCACAGTCGCCTTTCAGCGACAATTGTCGAAAACAATCTCCGGTTATGGCTCACAGTTTGAACAATGCTCGTTTGACGTTCATATTGAAGATTGGTCTCTCGGTCCAACCACACCGTAAGGTCACATGCCAGTCCTATCAGCCATATTATTAGCATTTAACGAAGGTTAAGTGAACTCAGGGCCGAGCAGACAAGAAGGCGTTGAGGCAGAAGGTCAAGCAAGTCTCTCATGGTAAAGTCCCATCTAATAATTGTGCCCTGTCACTCACTTTGGAAAATCGACAATGGTTTGGAGCCTGGGAACTACGGGCAATCGTTCAAACATTGGTTTCTGGCTCCATTCCAACATGAAGGCCGTGACCACCTTTCTTTCGTGATGCACTCGCTCTTGGCGATCAACGAGCTGCTTGACGATACCGAGCATTCGCTTTTGCTTTTTAGCGGCTCTTGTACAAAAAAAGAGGCTGGTACTGTTTCCGAGGCCCAATCGTACTTCCTGCATGCACGCAAGCTTCTCAACGCAGTGTCTTATGGATTTGACCTTCCCCTGGCCTTTACAAGTCATGAAGACATTTGGAAATACTGCGTTCTCATCAACAAAAAGATGAAAAGCCAGAGCCTGACTGTGGATGAGCTGTTTGCGTCGCACATCTCCGTCGAAGAATTTGCCTTGGATTCGCTGGACAACTTGCTTTATTCGCTGGTGAAGTTCAGAAGCTTGACTTCGAATGATGCATCGAGAGTTACTATCTCCGGCTTTGGTTTCAAGAAAACACGCTTTCTTGAACTACACGCGGTGGCAATTGATTACCGACCAAGCCAGATCAATTACATCTCATACGAGCCTCAGCCTATTTCAATCGATCCCAAAGAATTGGAAGCGTACAAGCAGAACCTTGAGCATCAGGAGATGAATAGCGCACTCATTCCATTCAGAGCAGACTGGTATGCCACCAAGAGCCCTCTATTGGACAAAAAATGTCAGCGCAACCCTTTCAATTTGACACCCGACTATTCTCTACCTTTCACAAGAAAGGAAAACATTGAAAATGACGAGGCCTTCTTCAAAAGTACTATCGAACACAAAATGCCTTGGTCCTTAGGTGCTCAAACATGAGCAAGTTTTCGAGTAAGCGCGGCACGCTCGTCTTCCCAGACGTTGACATTTTCGAGTTTTTCTTGTAACGTCTCGATCTCTTTTTCAATAGATGTAATAGCCTCGTCTGTACCCAGATCCTGCAATCGCCATGTCTCATCTCCCGCAATTTCAAGCGCAAGGTCGTGATATTTTATCAAAGATGGTCTCTGTGAGATTGTGATGAAATTGAAGCGGTACCTTTTCAGCAAATTGAACAGGTAATCTTCCATTTCAGCGCTGATCGCATTTGTTGACTCGTCAAGAACAACAAATCTGGGTTTATGAAACATGATTCGAGCAAAGTTCATGCGCTGCCTCTCACCGCCGCTCAGAACATCTTTCCACTCGGCAACTGCGTCTAGGTATTGCCAACCTTTACCTCTCTTGAGAAGATAATCAAGTTTCACCTCACCAAGAATGTGAACTAGCTCTTTATCTCTATGGCCCATGTCAAAAAATGTGTCTGCAGACATTGGATATATGAGTTGATCGCGAAATGTTCCTCCTTGAATGAAGTAAGCTTTTTGAGGTAAACAAAACAAGTCGGATCCGCCGGGAACGGACAATAGGCCATTTTTGTTGTATATTGGCCAAATTTCCGCAATAATCCGCTGGATAGATGTTTTCCCACTTCCATTTGGTCCCAAGATCAGCATGCTGCTGCCAGGACCCTGAGAAACCAGCTTTTGACTGATGTTCACCTGGGAGTCAGAATTGGCATTGTCGAGGGTAAGAACAGGTGGAATCTGAAACTTGAGCTTATTGATAAGTTTCGTACCTTCCTTGCCATATTTCGAGGGAATGATAACATCAATGTTTTCAAAACGTATGCCGTTGAAGCTTTTTTGCACAGTTCCTCGAACAATTTCATTGTTTTGCGAAGAATCACCGCCTACTTTCAACTCCGTCTCATCTACCGTGGATCCGTAATTGAATTCTGTTGAATGTACCCTATGCAGGACGGCGAGCAACGTAAAGATTCTGTTTGTGTAACCTGTAAGTTGCGCAATATCCTTGATAGAATGCATCAACCTACTCCCGGCGTCCGCCAATGACAGCATGAGCCGTTTATTGACAATGAATTCGCGCATGTTGATCTCCTTATTATTGACGCCGGTAGTGTACGTTGTTATGACGATTGGAATGGAGGCAAAGACGTAACCTAGAGCCGACCAAGTGTACTTCAAAACATAATCTTCCAGGATGTTATAGTTTACTTTGACTCGGTCAACCAGCAGCATTTGATCCATTAGGTAATCGTACAGGGCATTCACTTTGGTGCGTTCAACTTTGGTACCGTGGTAAAACGCAATCTCTTCGGTATTGTTGATAAGGTTCAAGTGGTAATTGTAATAGTCTCCCTCAGCGGCGGAACGTTTGCTCACCAGTTTCCCCAGAGGTGGCGTCCAGCGCTTCAAGATGAAACCGGTAATGAAGTAATTGACAAAAATACCGACAATACCGAATGTGCCCAAATTATCTCTCAAGTAGACGGAGAAGAAGACCAAGTCAATCACAGGTTTGGCGATGTTTGCAAAGACTGAACAGATCGCGTCACAGAACTTTGTCACATCATTGGTGATGGAATTGTCGATGTTTGCGATAACCGAGCTGGAAGCCTGATTGTCAAACGTCAGTTTGTAAAAAGCCAATCTTTTGTCCAAATACATGTCATGAATGTAACGAGTCAGATTGATTCTGAAGTTTAAGCTCAACTTACGCTGCAAAAACTTGATGGCACTGTTGGTGTAGGACGCTGGAAATGCTATCAGGAACCAGCACAACAGATCAACCAAAAACTTCCTGCCTTTCCCAGATATTATATCTTTGACAATTTGACCATCGAGACGAGCCACGAACAGCGACAGCCATGTTCTCATGACGAGAAAGAAAATTTGAATGGCGATCAAAAACGAGTTTCGATCTGTGAATTTTGGCACCAAAATGCGGTATATGATGCTCAACTGGCTAAGAAACTTCGAGTAGAAAAGTTGCGAGGTATTGTTTTTCCCGAAGTACTTGAAGAGGAATTTGTCGTGTTCATACCGGTCGTCGTTTCTGGGTCTTATCAATACCCGCTTTTTGTTGTCTGCGTTCTCCTCGTACGGTACGTACATCACCCTGGCACCATTGTCGAGCATTATCTGTGATCGTGTGCGTCGCATGGCTGGTTTCTGAGTAAAAGCGGTCGTTCTGAGATTCGACACGACCTTGTATAGCCCGTAAATGACCCCCGAGCTCGCCGTGGCCACTGAAAACGCCAAAGTGATCAAAATGATCTGAGCTCTTTTTCGGTGGTTGACAGCGGAATTAGGGTTTCGAATGAGCTGCCACAGGTGTTTCAGCACAGTCTTCACAAATTTTGACCGGCCCACCCCGCTCAAATCCAGTCCCAAACACTCATAGGGGAGTCTTAACAGGAGCCGTCTCAACTTTTCAGTTGAAATCGACGTTTGAGCCATTATTTCCCTTCGCAAATGAATGCCCGTCCTGTGCTGGACGCTTTATTTAAGTATTTAATTCTAGATTTATATCTCTCAGAGCTCAATGATCTGTAAAGCTCCTCAGAGAGCAGTTGCTGAGATTTGAGCGTTCGAACAAAGAATAGATTTTTGGAATCAGTTCGATGCTACCATGGCCTTTATATAGTCTGGTACTTCCAGGTTTATAATTCAAGGGACGATGACCTGTTATTGAAATTTCGTGACATCTCCATTTTAAAGACGGGGAGACATACATGTGACCAAAGTGACGACGGTAAAGTCAAAAGATGATAATATTTTGGCAGAATTGTTAGGATAACCGTGTTCTGATCGTTGATGGGACGAGACAGGGTGGACTGCCATATTTTGGAGCGTTTCGTTTGAGATTTACAGTCGATGTTCAAAGTCTTGAGACTTATGTTTCTCGAGCTGGGGTGCCAGAACAGTACAGAGTGACCTGTGGCGACGCAAACGTTACCGCTGCCAAACTAGGCTTGCAAGGGTGTGTTCGTTGAAACTAGTTCACTCTTAGGCTGTGGTTGGTTGAGCATTTGCATGTTGTAGGTAGTTCCAAGATCATAGTATGATTTGGTTTTCTTTTTGCGATTATCACGGTTACGGGTAATAGGATATTTGGCGCATTGTTGGGATGTAGAAACGGCACGGTGGTTGGCACTTTACCTGGTGTATAACCATGTGTTTTGACGTGCTTTATTTTGATGTGCTTTATTTTGATGTGCCTTTTTCCTCATACAGTGATTATAAAGTTGACCATACAGGTCAACTAATGGAATTTCATTTGAATTCGAATTAGCCAGTCAAAAGCACTTGATTTTGACACCACAATTACCACTCGTTACAAGGCATGCTATTAACCATGATATTACGTTGTCAGTTGGAAACTCTGCTCGTAGCCCTGCAATTTGTAAATTCTGTATCCCATATATGACACTATTCTCTGTCGTTGTGCAAAGATACGCAAACAACGGAGTTACCGAATTCCGGCCTCCCTTTCAAGCAATTCCCTCGTCAACTCGCTATGTAGAAACCAGCAATGGCCCTTTAACAGTCTCAATTGCAAAATTGGTAGCAAACCGGCAAGAACCACAGCCCTCTGAAGTCCATGAAAGATCACTAATTCCAAGCTATGAGGGCCCATGACACACGACACACGACTGGGTACGAAGGTCAGCTTCCAGGGCATACAGCGCATGATAGTTATACTCAAGCTCTTTAAACGAGAATCGTCACGCTTTGCTCGCTTTCACCATATCTTTTGAAGAAGAGACGTCTTATCAACTTTCAAAGGACCTATCCATAAAGTTGTAAAAACACCTGTATGAGTAGCAACGTCAAGTATAGCACAAACACCATAAGTGACACGTTCTTACAACTCTAAATGTCTTACCCTGGTATTTTACACACTTATAAAGAAGGAAAAGTCGCTTTTGAGCTCGCTCCTACGTCGTTGAGCAAGGTTGTCGTACTCATAGGAGGACTGGGTGATGGACTTTTGACTTTATCGTATATACACAAGGTAGCCAAGGAATTGGAGCCCTTGGGATGGTCCCTACTTCAGATTCAAATGACAAGCAGTTTCAAGGGCTGGGGTTTGTCGTCCCTTAATAATGATATCGAAGAGATTAAAGCTCTTGTGGAGTATTTGAGGGCTCCCGCTGGTGGATCCAGAGACAAAATCGTTCTTTTTGGGCATTCTACAGGATCTCAAGATACCATGCACTATCTATTGCATTACGGGGAAAGTGTTGACGGCGGTATCATGCAAGGGTCGGCCTCCGATAGAGAAGGGTTTGCTCAGTTTGTAGACAAAGCGCAATGGGACCAACTCAACGTCCGAGCCAAGGAATTGGTGGAAACGGGAAAGCAAAACGACATTTTGCCCACCGAGTATTCAAAAGTGATGAGCAACACCCCTATTACTGTCTACAGATGGTGCTCTTTGGCCCTGCCAGGAGGAGACGACGATTATTTCTCTTCTGATCTTTCCGAAGAACAGCTAAAATCCACATTCGGTAAAATCCGGAGACCATTCTTGATGGCTTACTCAGAGTTTGACCAATTCGTTCCAGAGTCCGTGGACAAGCCAAAACTTCTACGAAAATGGGAATCTTGCAGTAATCCCATGTATTACTCCAAGTACTCGGGCCTCATTAAGGGTGCTGATCATCAAGTTGTGCAAGAAGACGCAAGATCCTACATGTGTGACATGGTTAAAAATTTCTTGAATGAATTTGACCTCTAAGCGATATTCTTCGGACTGAGATTTCCCTTCCTTTTTCTATGAATATTCACCAAAATTGCAATTAGAGAGCAGCGATTGTGTTCAAGAAGCAACAGCGTGTGTGTTGTGGATGAAGAGGTCAAGGCACATATCACACAACAGCCATTATAAAAGCTGAAACGTGATCGACGCTATTTAGTAGACTGAAGTGACGACTTGCAAGTCTATGAAATCATAATCCTTTCAAAGGAACGACAGATATTCAATTGGTAACGCCTGAGTTCAAGACCAAGTATCATATAAATACTACCTAGTACAATCTACATTGCGCCAAAAAATTAAGAGATCAGAAAGGAGCAGCATATTGGTAGCGATAAAACTAGAGACCCTGTTCGCTGCGTACTTTGTCTACACGAGCTCTCTGTTTAACAAGCTAGAATCAGGGCCTCAATGTATATATCATAATCGTATGTCAGAATAGTACAAGATGATATCAGAGATCATTCATATCTTGATTGCGTTATCTCGAAGCCATATTGTCAAACGGTTTGAATTTAACATGCAACCAGCGACGCGTTCAAGCTCGAGACATACTACTCAGCACTTCGCTCAAAATTCAGACATTACGCTGGTATATCAGTAATGTCCACGACTCTTATCAATGGACCAGACTTTTTTGAACCGTTAACGACGATTGAGCCGCTGCAGTTTAAACTATTGAACTCCGGAGCGACTGCCACTGCGTTCCCTGTATACTCGCCAGAAAATGTCCCGGATTCTCTGATTGACTTTATGCATTCAGAGTTTAACAGAGTAATCGAAGATGGACGTACATATCCCCAGTTAAAGGAGCTGACCAGAGACGAGTTCATCAAGCAATGGTTTTCATCTTTCTGCGCTATAGTATTGAAAACCGACAAGACCAAAATTGATCCCAATTGGACCAACTGGGAGGATCTGCTTCTGGGCACCTTTTACATTAAACCCAACTATACCGGAAGATGTTCTCACAACTGCAACGCAGGCTTTCTCGTCAATACCGCGCAGCGGGGCCAAAAAATTGGCTTTCGTCTCGGACAATTATACCTAAAATGGGCACCTCTGCTGGGCTACAAATACTCCGTTTTTAACCTCGTTTTTGTCACGAACCCAGCCAGTTGGAAGATCTGGGATAAATTGAAATTTGATAGAATTGGATACATCCCAAAAGTGGCCATTTTGAAGGGCTACGACGAGCCTATAGATGCAATCATGTTTGGAAAAGACCTAACAAGCGTTGACAGCAGCCTTTACGAAGACCTCCAGTGCTAAAAGGATATTTCATTGTACCACTAAAAGAGACATAGCGAGACTCAGACGTTTATGAAATCAGTATTATAAATCGAAATTAGTCCAATTCACTAACTGTTAATGAATGAGACGAAATACTCCCAGAAGAACAACAAGTTTATGGGGTCCTAAACTGTTCTTCTGATATTAAATCGTGTTAGACGTTTATGGGCTGTTGAAATATCAACTTTAGAAGATACCATAAAGTCGGCAGAGAACCCGTCAACTATCTTTAGCAAACCAACTTTGGATCACATTAGCAAGCGCGTTAAGCAACGTTGACGAAATCTGCTTTGCGAGGTCTCTTGTGTAACAGAATAATAGACGACCTTTTTCTTAAAATGACGACGGTGTGAAAATACTCATGGTTCTAATAACAAAACAGAATCAAAAAGGAAGAACTTTAGACCGAGCTGAATACCTTATGGATGTCGCTACGTAGATTAGTTTCCTTCAAGTGTCCGGGATCTACTACTGCAAACGTACTGGGGATAGGCACGGATATCGTGTACTTGCCACGATTTGCCAAGTTGGTCAGTGATGATGCATCTGCACGAAAAGCGCGAACAAACAATCGCATCTTGGGCAAATTCATGCACGCAACTGAGCTTTCAAAACTGCAGTGCATGCGTCAGAACAACAGACCAGACACAGCACTAGTGCAGTACGTGGCTGGTGTTTGGGCTACCAAAGAAGCTGTCTACAAATGTTTCGCGTCCAGCTCGAATACCAGCATTATAGAGCTGCCACCTGCAAAAACCATTTACACACGGTTTTGCTACAAGACTAACGACAGTAAGGGTATTCCGAAATTAGTGTTCGATCAAGAACTGGCTGGTGTCTACCCAGAATTCGTGAAAGCTTACATCGACAACACCAAATTTCTGCTTAGTATATCCCACGATGCGGACTATCTGGTGAGTTACGTTTGCCATGTCAGGCATTAAATGTTGAAATACTAAAATGCTGAGATTGAATTTTGGCATTTGTCTGCGGCTTTCGTAGCTTCCTGACAGGCAATCGAAAAGGCCAAAAAAACTACTAAAAAACGGGCTATATCCGCACTGACTAAGACAAATCAGTGAGCTCGAATACAAATGAGCTGGGCGCTCACGTACCGATGGAAGACTGCGGTTTCGACGATAGATCAAAGTTCTCAGTCGTCAAGGTCATGTGATCGGTAAAGAAAATTTTGAGTATCAACATCGATGCAGTCTATCCATCGACAAAACATACGTCGACACCGACACGGTAAAGAACTTGGTCGGGCTTCAGTCATCGGTTCGAGATAATGGGTGTCGCCGATTTGATCAAAAAGTTTGAAACTTTTGCTACCGACAAGCCTAGCTCAGCTAGAACTGCGACCGAAAAACACGTTGCAAGCCAACGTGAACAGAATGATTCTGGTGCCAAGAGCCAAGAAGTTACGGGCAAAACAGACGATGTGACGCTGGAAGAAGATTCGGAGGTTCCAGAGAAGGCAGCAGTCGACAATTCTCAAGATGAAGATGTTACAAACGAAATTCCCGTCAAAAAAGAGGTGAAGATGGAAGAAGACGAATTGGAAGCCACTTCAAGCGAGAAGGCTGTTGAAGAAAGTGCTGAGTCTAATATGAAAGACCAATTAGAAGAAGAGGACAAGTCTAATGAGAAGGTAGAAGCAGACAAACCAAAAACTCAAAAAGAATTGGACACTCCAGAACAATCTGAAGATGAGAAAGGAAATTCAAAGGAAGGTGAAGAGGATTATGTAGTTGAAGAAGAAGGAGAACAATTTGAATCTGTCACTGAAGAAAGCAAGGGCGAGAGTGCGGCCAGTAAGAAAAATAAGAAAAAGAAGAACAAGAAAAAGAAGAAAGCCGCTACTGCTGCTGCCGCCGCCGCTGCCACTCCAAACGACACTGCTGCTGACGTAGCCACTAAGTCGGAATCCACTGACACTGAGCTAGTCGCTCAGGTGGCCTCGGATTCGCTTAGGCATCCCTAAATTCCCAAATGAACAACAAATCGAAATTTTGAAAGCAGAAGTTCAAGAAGAAGCGAAACAATTGGCAACACATGAGATTGAAGACTCAAAAGAATGCACATCAGATACGCGTATTGGACGTGACGATCCCTTTCAATTCGGACAACGGCAGCTCACAGAAGAGGCCGATGTTTGGAACCACAACGCTTGGGACAACGTTGAATGGGGCGAAGAGCAGATCATTCAAGCTGAGGAAAAAATCTCCGAACAGCATAAGAATCCGGTCTCTGACTTTGATAAAAACCTCTACAACTCTAATCCTGCCAGGTACTGGGATATCTTCTATAAAAACAACAAAGAGAACTTCTTCAAAGATAGAAAATGGTTGCAAATTGAATTTCCTTCCCTTTATGAGGCCACCAAAGCAGATGCAGGGCCCAAAACTATTTTCGAAATCGGATGCGGTGCCGGCAATACCATGTTTCCTATTCTTAGCGAAAACGAGAATGAGCACTTAAGGATTATTGGTGCTGATTTTGCCCCCAAAGCGGTGGAACTTGTAAAGACTAGCGAGCATTTTGATCCAAAGTACGCACACGCAGCTGTATGGGATCTGGCTAACCCGGAGAACAAGTTGCCAGAAGGTGTCGAGCCTCATTCGGTCGACATCGCAGTCATGGTGTTCGTCTTCAGCGCGCTAGCTCCCACACAATGGGCCGATGCGATGGAAAATCTGAATAAGCTTCTAAAACCTGGCGGTAAGATCCTTTTCAGGGATTATGGAAGATACGATTTGGCTCAAGTCAGATTCAAGAAAAACAGACTATTGGACGAGAATTTCTATATCAGAGGTGATGGTACGCGTGTCTACTTCTTTACCGAGGAGGAACTTAGAGACATCTTCACACAAAAATATTTCACAGAGAAGCAGATCGGCACCGACCGCAGGTTGCTCGTGAATAGGAAGAGACAAATCAAAATGTACCGTGTTTGGCTCCAAGCGATCTTCGAAGTTCCATCTTAACAAGCAATAAAAAGCTTTTGTAATTGCATTTTGTACACTGTTTAGAGCTCAATTTAGCATCTGAAATTTGATCAGTGGCCACTGTCATTCGGTATCGTTTTCTGCAATGAGACATAGCGAAATGTGCAGAAAGCCGTCAAAGCTAGATAGCTGTTGATGCAAAGTCCAAAGGGGGATATTTATGGGCACTTTGATACCCTGAACTACAGGCATGGCGAGATTTAGAGAATTCTCGCGGATCGCGAACCATTCAGGAAATTCTCGAGCCAGCAAGTCCTGAAGCTCCAATTCTCTTTGATTATCGTGTGCGTTGCAAACAGGCTCTACCAGCCTTACGTCTGGAAGTGCGAGGTGGATTCGCACCGGGATAGACTTGGCCGCGTTTTTTGCTGGGAGTATTTTTTGCCTTATGGACGTGAAGCTGTCCAGGTCTCTGTGTAGTACACTGTTCCAAAAAGACAACGTATCTGGTTTTGAAAATGACATCACAACTTTTGAGTTCCCGTTCAGGACAAAACAAGCCTGTTTCCATTGGTGCATCCACAATTCTCGAATCTGCTCTAACCCATTGTGTATAGGTAGGAAACCGCTAGGAGGTTGCTTTCCGTGTCGAAGATTCAATTTCCAAACGTTGAGCCTGTCTCGCTCGAAATTAGAGGCGCGAGTCTGTGGGTTTAATCCAGTCAATGAGTCGTAAACTGCACCGATAGGGAAGTTCCACGGAATACACACGTTTTCCATTTCGAACCACCAACCTTGATAGTAGTCGTTAAGGTTCATTCTCAGCTGTCTTTCCAGCTTTTGAACAATATGGGGAAGAAACAAGACCAAATAAGAATCTCTCGGTACTTGAATGTTAACGGTTAACAAATGCATAGGACCCTCATCACTTCCCTTGAAATCACTTAAAACCAGGTGTGGGTCCAGCTGTATCTGCAAATTGAGCTTTCCAGCCCAAACTAACCGTTGTAATTCACTCATAACACATAAGAATACCGTTTCATATATTAGAATAAAAGCTGCTTGTTCATTAGATGAAACAACAGTGTTCATGTTAAATTTATGAGCAAGCTCATCGCTTATTCAAATTAATTTATATTCTGCATCAAGTTCCATGTTTTTGAGAAAACAATGAACAACAGCGCGGATCTTGTCGATGAGAGTCCCTCAGCACTGCTTTGGGTGAATGAATCGGATGCCTACATAGATTTGGTCAAAAAACCCGATGAAACGACGATATATTTTGGGATATTTTGCCTTGACAAGTGGCACCAACAATCTGTTGAGAAGCTGGGGGAAGTGAAAGCTAAGTTGCAGGATATCATCAATGTTTGGAACAGGTGTTATCCATGGGGCAATTATGCGGGCATTGAAATAAAGGTCGTTGCTGAACTCAATGAAGCACCTTTCATTTTTGGCTCTTTATGCGTCGAGCATCATCAGGAGAAAGAGGAGCCTTTGGTGGTGTTTTTTCTACAAGACCTCTCTAAAGGTCTAGATACTGATATTTTTATCAAGGTGTGCTCCTCAGAAGGAGAAGTATTACTAATGGAGTGTTACGACGTCCTGCCGTCAGAATACGAATATCCTAAGGGCAACAATCGACTTTGGATTCACCAAGGAAAATTTAAGTTTATACCTAAAGATTTGGCACCACACAGAGGTCTGCGAAGACACGAAGCTTTGCAATTTTTGACAACCTCTTATTATAAGCTGTCGGAAATACCTGAAGTTAGCAGTAGACTTGCTGAAAGAATTGGTCTCGGCAAGTCTCCAGAATATCACCTTGAAAGTTTAGTATTGCTTCCATTATTGCTGAGAAATGAAACGTTCTACAGACTCGTGAACGAGAATCCCAGGGTTATAAGTTTGGCTTTAAAGAACATTTATATGAACGGGCAGGACCCTCAAGAAGCCGCGACTGTCAATAAATTTGCAGTTACTAAAAAGTGTTGCAGTATCAAACTTCTGATATCCAAGTCGCAAGAAAAGTTTCTTGCCGGTTTTTTGCTGGATTCTGGACTCGACTTAGAAAGCAAGAACTTGCCTTTAGTCATTGGTGATATTATCTCGACATCATTGCAAGAACTGGTGAGTAACAATGAGCTGGACATATGTCAACCTTCGGGGGAAACGTTAGACCTCTTGTCGGGATTAAAAACAAACGGTTTTTTAAAAGATGGATATGAGCTCCCAGAAGCTAATTTTGCGAGTGCTGTGAAGTCAGACGATAAAATTACCGACAGAGAAACTATATCACGGATGCAGCGTTTGTTTTCCGATATTGGTACGGATCTCGACTCAAAAAAAGACGCTGAGGGCGTCAAAGGCGACGATTCAAGCGAGGACGACAGTGAAAACTATGCGGACCGAGAAGCATTGAACTACTTTAAAAAGGAGGACATTGATATTGACGAAGACGATTTCTTTGAGTATTTTCTAACTGAGGCTCTAAAACTAAAGAAAGACGATCTTGACGACTTGCGTCAGGAGAAAAGCGTTTTTTCAGCCTCCTCACCACCAGATGAGGAAGAAGCTGAAATGCTTGCCGAACTTGAGCAGCTTTTTGGTCAAAAAAATGGCGATAGTGGAGAAGCAATCCACCAGCTTTTGGGATCCCTAAAGCTGGATCCTTCGACGGGGGTTGATCTTGGATCATTCATAGATCATATTGACTCTGACTAGCGAGACGATAATTCATCTGCTGAGAGCCTCACAATGTAAATACGTGCTTAATATTCATTCTTCCTAAGAGTTGTCCTCGTCGTCAGCAATGCCTAATATCGAATGCTCGTCATGGATCTCGCCAGGTTGAAGGGCACCCTCTGAGTTTCTGTCTTCAAGAAAATTATGAGACCAACGCCCACTGCTACCGCTCAAAGATCGCGTCATGTCGAATAGTGCAGGACGGCGGTCCATAAGCGGATTGTCCTGACTCAAAACAGAAAAGACTGGTAGAGCAGGCGCATCCAGAGCAGTATTTTCTTTCATCCCGCTTGGCCTCTCTAAATCGGAGGCCGTGGCGTGCACAACTGGAATTCCGGCATTATCTTCGTCATCATCGAATGAGCTCTCCTCTTGAATAACAGACTGAGCTGCGGTTGAGCTTTTGTTGAGCAGTTTTCGGCTAATGTTTCTCTTTGGCAACCGACCCCGCCTCCCCACGGGTGACCTGCCTCTTTTAGCGAGCCATTGCGAGCCCACAGCGGCCCTGGGCACGGTAGTATCAGCGTTGGCGTATGTACTCATCGCTCTCAAATCCATCGTTTTGGGAGAAGACGCGGTTGAAATTTCGTAAAAGGAGTCAGTTCGAGAGCTTTTTTCTGAAGCACTAGAGGCACTCGAGATGATGCTCATAGACCCGCGCCCGTTGACGCGAGACTGCAGTGAGGAATTATCGATGCTATCCATGTTCGGAGATAACACCACACTGCTTGTGTTTCTATTGTTGTGAGAGCTCATGCTACTGTTTGGCTTGGAATTGGAGGCATTACCATCAGTTGAGTACTCTGAGTTATAGGTGTCATTCGAAATCTCAGACTGTTGAGACAGAATAGATATAGGTCCCACCTTCGAGTTGTCGTTCCTGCTCTCATCGTACATTGACTGGTCACTAATTGCTGCTGGCTTGTTTTCTAACTCGCTGTCATAGTTGCCCAATGAAGTTTGCCGCGACATTTCACTTGACGTATTAGATTTAAATTTCTTGAGTCGAGGTTCTTCTGCCTTCAGATTTGTGTTGCCGTTCGATGCAATCATAGTTGGTTTTTGACACTTTAAACCGCTTTTTTCGCTGACGTCCTTGTTTCCGGAGCGCGTAGGAGATCTCTTTGGGCTGTTTTTCCGCGATTCAAAAGAAATAGCATTGCGTTTTCTTTTGTCTAGTGAATCGCTTCTCGGGCTCACTGGCTCTTCATTGGCAGCATTTTCGGCTTGTTTCTTACTCTTGAAAAAGCTGGTCATCTTGTGAAAGAAGTTTGGCCTCTTTATGGACCTTCCACTACTTGTCTGGGAGGAGACTCCATCCAGTGGATCCGCCTTCTTTGTTTCTTTAGAATTGGCTAAATTTGGAGGAGGTCGTATGGACGCTGTGTCACTCTTTAAGCTCATAATTCGCCTAAGAGTTGTTGTTTTACCGACATTGTCATCTTTTTTGGGGTTATCTGTGGATTTTCGGCTAGGAGCCGAGGAGTCAAAGACCTTTTTGACTGATAAAACCGACCGACTTCTTCTTGGGTGTCGCAGAATTTCCGATCGTTTTTCCTTCTCCAAAAGCAGATACCAAAATCCGGATAGGGTATCACATTTTTTCTTGTTAACGGAGTGCTTGATCGCTTGTGTATCGAAACCGGTTTGCTTCAACCTCTTCAGAAGTTTGCGTTCCAGTTTAGAATGGAAGTTCTTACTGCCATGCCTTTGACGTTTCATCACCTTTTCAGTTTTTTCCAAAATTGAGATGCCATAAGGTTGAAGAAACGGGTGCTGCAGTACCTGTGGTAGTGATGGTCTCTGTTGGGGGTCTTTCTGCAAAAGTTTTGAGACCAAGTCTTCGCCGTCAGCGTCAATCAGATCACGGTTGTAGCCTGGATTTTCATTGACAATCTTTAATTTCGTCTTCATCTCGTCGTCCTCGTCAAACGGCATGGTGCCGTGAATAAGAGTATAGAGGATGATCCCCAAAGACCATATGTCAGTTTTGTAGCCTTCGTAAGGTTTACGTTCTATCAGTTCCGGCGCCATGTACACCGTAGTGCCGCAAACGGTCTCCAGAGTACCCTTTGTGGCACATTCGCGAGTGAAACCAAAATCTGTTAGCTTTGCCTGTCCCTTCTTGTCCAGCAAGATGTTTTCTAACTTTAAATCTCGATGAACGCATTTCATGGAATGTGCGTAGTACACTCCGCCCAAAATTTGTGAAAAAAGCTTGGCGCATTCTACTAGCGGTATGTGTTTTTTGAACAGAAGATACTCGTAAAGCTCTCTGCCCGGGCAGTATTCGAGCGCCATCCACACGTAGTTTTCCGTTACAATGACTTCGTACAGCTTTGTGATGTAAATATAGTCGAACTGACGGTGGTAGAAGACCTCTCGCACAACGTTAGGGTCGCTTTTGGATCCCATCTTCAGAACAACTTTTTGATGCGTAAGCCGATGACTTGCCAAATAGACCTTGCCATAACTTCCCTCGCCAACCACCTTCAGCAGCTTGTAATTGCCCACCTCTTGCAACTCGTTAGCCGAGAACTGACTATACAGCTTGTTGTAAGAAGCAGCGATGCTAGCCTTGAGCTGGTTCTGCTCAAGTCTCGAGGGGAACATTTTCCGTTAAAGCTTCCAGCCGGCTTACTTGAAATCGCTAAAAACACGATTAAGGAAGAGTGCGAGTCAGAGTCAAGTGAAATCTGATCGAAGCGGTCTCAAGTAATCAGCTGCGTCGAGAAGCAGAGAGTTCTTGAGTAAGTATCCCTGGAATGGTCTTCAATTGAAGCTCGTGTGCATTTTAATTGAATTTGATCCACACCTGTCAGATAGAATTAGAAACATCAAGTTGAAGTACTCGTGACGATAGGAAGTACTCGTGGGCGTTTAAAGCCCTCACAGCACGTTAGGTCGTCGATGATACCGGAGTCAAGCAAGGGTAGCATTTATTGGAGCCAAGATGAGTAAAAGAAGTTTCTAGGATGTCTAATTTACCGTCTGTGTGGTTTTTGTTTTAAATCGAGGTTGAAGTGTTATGAAGATTTGTTAGCTCTACGATTGAAATATAGTGTGTTCCACTTTACGAAAATACTACGAGACCAGACTAAGAAGCTTTGCATTGGTGGTGTGCTGAATGCTGAAGATTTGGAAGCCTCTTGGAGCGCATGACTTGGAAACCGAATTTGAAACATCCTGTGATATATCGCGAAGAGCTTTCCTTGTAACCACTCTCGAGTTGGATAACCAAGCTTTCGGCACACTTTGAGCACCTGTTGATCCCCTGGGTAGAGCTGTGGGCCGACTGGACTCTGATGGCATACTGTTGATATCATTTACTACGAATGTGTCACCACACTCTTGGTGAACCCTTCAAATGCGCCTTTTATTCCTCTCAGATCAGCACCTCGAACCCAAGCGACTTTTGGGCGTGTCAAACTACGCTATTTTAGTGTGTCACGGCTAAAGCACGGATTACTCGAACCTTCGATAGAACGGCAAGTGGCAGCGTGGTAAATTGAAAACAACTTAAGTGGACTGTGAGTTGGGATAGTCTAAAAACTTTTGGTTTCACCCCGCCCTTGTAAACTCTAATGTAAGATTCTTAAAAGAGTGAAGTTTAGTTGACTGACCATTGAATACATGTTTGAGCATGGATCACGTGACCCAAAAGACTGATGACAGATTAGTTCAGAATGATATATTATAATAAAAGTGGCACTGGCACTGGCACTGGCACTGGCCATAGCCTAAAGCCTCGCGATGATGTATTGAAACACACTACGAGTTATACTAAGGGTTCCGATGAACACTGGTACTGGTACATCTAATACTCCCTCATGGAGATAATGGTGTTGTGAGTTCGCAGATGAAAAAATCTCAAACCTAAATGAAGCGAGGAACCTCATAAAAAATGGTCTTCTTGTTAGTGATATTGATAACTCAACCGACCCATGCCAATATATATTCTCAGGTTCGCATTTCCATCTACCCATGATCCTTGATATACTCTTTTTCCAGCACAGTAAATTTCCAAACTTGATGACGGCAAAACTTCGAAATATTCCAACTATGAAACAAGCGAGACTGATACAAAACACGATGACACCTTCCACAATCATCGAGGGCTCAAAACAGTGCTCTTTTATACAAAACATACACTTGTCACGTGCCATATATTGCTGGTCTAAATCACATGTAAGTCCGTAAAACTGTGGGAATTGACGAACTCGACAGAGATTGAATACACCGATTATCTATCCATATATGATATCCAGTAGGACCATAACTGTCTCTTAAGTCGTTATTTGTGTTAAGAGCTGATTTAGACTATCATATGAGACTCAATTGGCCACTCAGAATGTCAGCTAACGCCTCGAGAACTTACAATGACGCCGTTTCTGCTTTGAATTCGTTGCAATCCAACTATGCCAACATCATGGCTATCAGGGCCTCTGGTGACCGGAAAAATCAAATGAACATCTGGGAAATGCAAGAATGGTCTCGTAGAATTGGCTACGAAACCAAGGATTTCAACAAGCTCAATATCATCCACATCACGGGGACCAAGGGTAAGGGATCAACAGCAGCATTTACGCTGTCCCTGTTGCAACAATATGACGATAGAATTCACAGAATTGGACTGTACACTTCGCCGCACTTAAAGTCTGTACGCGAAAGAATCCAGATCAACGGGAAGCCCATCTGCGAGGAGAAGTTTTCCCGCTACTTTTTCGACGTCTGGGACAAGCTCGACAACACTAGCTCTTCGCTCGAAAAGTTCCCGCACATGACCCCCGGCAGTAAACCCGGATACTTCAAATATCTGACGCTCCTTTCCTTCCATGTTTTCGTGCAAGAGGGCTGCGATTCGTGCATCTACGAGGTGGGTGTTGGAGGAGAATACGACAGTACCAATATCATCGAGGCACCAACCGCGTGTGGTGTCTCTCTGCTTGGAATTGACCACACATTTATGTTGGGTGACACGATCGAAGAAATTGCTTGGAACAAAGGTGGCATTTTCAAGAACAACGTCCCAGCTTTCTCCATCGCTTCGCAACCCGCAGCAGGTCTCAAGGTGCTGCAAGAAAGGGCTCGTGAACGTCACGTCGAGCTCCAACAGGTGCCTGTATTCAATGAGGTCAAAAACCTGAAATTGGGCCTGGCAGGGGACTTCCAGGTAACTAATGCATCCCTCGCTGTCGCTCTGGCCTCGCAGTATCTCGCCAAACTAGGTATATTGCCTTCTCCACTGACGTTAGAACAGAATTTGTCGCTACCTCAAAAATTCAAAGATGGTTTGACAACTGCCGAATGGAAAGGACGATGTCAGACAATTCAAGAAGGCGATATAAAGTGGTTGATTGATGGCGCTCACACAAAGGACAGTATCGTCGCTGCCTCGGGATGGTTCAAATCACTAGTTCAAAAGACTCAAAATAAAAAGATCCTTCTTTTTAATCAGCAGACCAGAGATGCGGATGCGTTGATCACCACTTTACGCACTTGTCTTTCCCCAAGCGTAAACTTCGACCGTGTGATCTTTACTACCAACGTCACTTGGAGATCCGGCGAATACAGTGCTGACTTGGTCTCGATGAATACCTCAAAAGAGCAGGTAGACAAACTGGAGGTACAAAATGCTCTTCGGGAGACGTGGCTCCAGTTACAGCCAGATGCACAGGTAGATGTTGTCGCAAACATCGAAACAGCCTGCGACATTGTCAAGGCATATGAAGAGCCTATCGAAGTTTTTGTGACCGGCTCTTTACACCTCGTGGGAGGACTTCTTGTCGTATTCGATGGCAAGAAATGATTATAGAAATATCTTTTATTAGGCGTCTTGTATTTAAAGCTAGGAATCGTTCGAGCGCTGATGTTAAACGGGATGTATTATTTTGTCGTCAAACCATCATGTAGCAAGGCCGCTCAGTAGTATCGCGTCCATAATTAATTGACCACTCTCTGGAGTATTTCTTGTTCATATAGGTGTTGGGATTTTCATAGCTTGCCATGACGTCAATAGCTGATCGAATGTCAAAATAACTGATTGAAACGCAGAGCTTTCGCGAGATCATCGGTGTGACTTCGGCAATTTCTCCAAAATCTGCGAAGTCTCGTTTCAGTTCGGCAACATCAAAGTGACACAGTTTCCTTGAAACCATTTGACGAGACCGCAGGTGTTCCTTATGACCAGTTTTTTTAATAATAATGCATCGACGAGGTGTTGATCCGTCGCATTTCTTATTCAAAACCTTGTCATGCATTTGCTCTTCTCCGGTGACGACACTCATATTCAAATGGTCGCTTCTCAATCTCGGTGCCCATTCCGGTTTCAGAACATGTCCGTTTATTTGCAAGTTTCTAGCTTGGCCATGACGCATGAAGCTTTGTGCGCACTGTGCCGAAATGAATTCGAGCCGCACAGCTGTAATGGCAGACAGATCGTAGGGATCAATAATGACGTCGACTCTTTCAAGCGGCCCTCCAGCGACCTGGGATAGCACACTTTGCAGTCCACAATTTTTGGGCAAATTACAAAGTTGCAAAACCTTGTTGCTTTCAGCACTCAAAACGCTAGGATTCACTGTGCCCATTTCAAAGTCGTTGTTATTCGAGAAACTCCAATCGTTGATATTTGCACCTCGGCTTGATTTACTATCGAGAGCATTTAAAGGAGCCAAGCCAGTGCCATCTGTCTCGAAGTATCGCGCCTTTCTGATAGTCACATTCTTTGGCCCATGGTCAGCGAATGATTCCATCGACACAGAATATTTCTGCCTTTTCTGTGGCAAACGATTACCAACCTTGATCATTGTTCCACTTAACGGGTGAGCTCCGTGCAAATTAGAATTCGCTGGTTTCACGCGGTAATGAATCGTATGATCACCGGAAATATCCTCTTTTGTGTAAGACTGTCCACTTTTAAAGTACGCTTTTGCGAGCCTTTTCAAGCCAAATAAGTCGTGAGCTTCTTGCCTCCATTTTGACCCAGACATCGAACCCGGAGGAACAGATCCCAGCATTGAAGAAACCGAAACAAGTTTTGCCGGTCTTGTTCTAACATTTCCCTCATCGCTACATGGTTTCTGCACATTAATTGTCCAGTCGTTCAGCATCGATTCCCGTGGCGCCATTGAAAATTCGATGTGAATTAATTTATAGTTATTTGAGTAATTATCGCCTTCTCTTAACAGCGAAGTTATTCTTTATGTCTCAGTATCTTGGTGATCACCGAAGTATGTTTGTGGAGCACATCTTTTAACATTTGTCCTTAGTATTTATATACTGACGTCAATATCGTCAGTGCGCCACTTGGTGACAAAGTGATCTAGGTGACACTTCAACCAAGCGACAGGAAATGCTGTGGAACAGTTTGACTTGTGGAGAGCCAGAGGCCATGAGCTGGGTATTCATGATCTCACGCCACACATATCACCTCGACGAGAGGATTCGACTTTCATCAATTCACGCAAAAGCATTGTCGCATATGCAGAGACACCAAGTTTAAAAGTAAGTATAACGGCTGTGGATTCACCACCTTTGTCGTCAGGGAAGCGGTTTAGTTTATCTTTCATAAATCTTTGGCCGTTTTCTTTGCCCTTTCGATTGTTTAGGATCTCCAGGTCAGTGTTCACAAGTTGTTGGGTTGGCGACGAGTAATGCAATATTTTGTATTCTATGTTAGCAGGCTTGTGAATGACGTTTCTGTAAGAACCAGCCAGAGAAAAATCACGGGCTTTCCGTCTCATATCGAAAGGATCTAGACCATCCTTCGACATCACTTCCACGTATAGCTGACGCAATGTCTCATTACCAGGGTAGACAACATCAAAGCCCGGCGAGGGAAGTACAACATCGTTGATACTGTATTTGCCTGAGTCCACTTCTTCCTGTGTCACTGGTCTAGCCCTCTCAAAGTGAGCCTCACGCAAATCTTCTGCAAAGTCTTCGTCGTCTTCTTTTACAGTCGCAGCATCTTCGCCTCCATTGCAGGGCTCAGACGCTTGATTGAGGCCGTCGTCCAAAATCAAGTCACCGGCTACAATTTCCAAGCCAAAAAGCTCGATACGCTTACTAGCGACAGCATTCCAGACGTAACTTTGGTAAGCGTGCCCGTACATGGTTCTCAAATTTCTGGGAATCTTGTTGATAGCCTGGAAGTAATCGAGGGTGGAAGAGCCAGATGTCTGTTGTTCAACAAAACAGTTCAAAAGAGCGCTTTCTGCAACACATTGGCGTGGCATCTTGTTAAGAGCGGCCTCTGCGTCCTGGGTCTCAGACCAGACTTTTCTCGCCTCCTTTGAAATGGGTAGAACATTCTCTTGCTCCGCAAGAATCAAGTCTGAGACCTTTTTCCAGTCACCAAGCAAGATCCACTTACCGATCTCATGAGTGGAAACACTGAATGTGCCGAATCGCTGCATTCCAAAGTAGTTGATGAAACCATTCTTTTGAATAGACGAACAACCCTCCTCTAAAATCTTCTCGAAAGTCAAAGTGGAATTTTCCGCTACTTTTACATCTCGGATGGCAATAGTAAATTCGTTTCCTTGTAAATCTCCTAAGCTTAGCGACTCATTTTCGAACTTGAAACCGCCCAGCACCACACCTTTCAAGACCCTGTTGAGAGCGTTCAGTCTCTCGACACCAATTTTCGAAACCGACATGCGCTGACACGTTATAGCTCTGCGATCCTTTGTTCCAGCGTATCTTATGACCCTAGTAGGAACTCTCAGGTATCTAGCGAGAATATTAGCCACATCCATGGTGTCTTTGTTTTCCTTGTAAGCAGTGAAGTGAACAAACTCCTTGGATGGGCCATATCCCCAGTTTTCGACTCCATTGGCATCCTTGGTGCGGTCGATAAGATCCTTACGGCTGACACGCGACTTACGAGTAGCCAAGGCGATGTGGAAGGTATTTTCAGGAGAAGTCACTGATTCCAGCTGGTTGTTGAAAGCAGCACGAAGAAGCTGGTGAAGCTGAGTACGCTCTCCTTTGTCTTCGAACTTCTTTGAAGTCTCCATTTTGGTAACATTCTTGTAAACGTCTTCGATCTTAGCCACGTCGCTTTCTCCCAGCACTTCTACGAGCTTGGCTCTAAGTTCGGGGTCAACGGTGAAGGCTTTCCGCTTCTCCAACTCAGCTTTCTCCTCCTCAGCTTCTTCAGATTTGGATTTCTTGGGTGCCTTTGGCATCTTAAAGCCTTTGTCAGTCAAATGTACAACCGAGCCTTGCTTGTCGATCTCATTGACCAAGAAATCGGTGTATCTTTGCTTAATCTGGCCCGAAAAGCCTGGAAGTTGCGGTGTTAGAAACCAAGTAATACCCACGTCACTCTCGCTTATTCCATCAGAGATTCCATTGGTGTTTTGGGCTACCGTCTCTAGTTTCGACTTTTTATTCTGATGCTCATCTCTCGAGGGCTCAACTTGCTCAATTTCTGAGCTTTTTTCACCCGAAAGGTCTCTTTCGCGTTTCCTGTCTTCTGATTCAGACATGATGTATCCACTGGTCGTCCCTGAAACGTTTTCAGCTATTTAATTTGGAGTTTTGTCTTTTCTAAAGTTTGAGATGAGATGCGATGAGCTTAAAATTTTCCAAGTCAAGGGCCTTCAGCTATAAAATATCGATCCAACGAGTTCAGGAGTCGAACAGAAGTCCCATGCTGCTATGTCCAAAGAGCTATTGGGTACTTTAGAAGATGCACGAAATACCTATGTAAAGCTTCTGTGGGAAAAGCGGTTCAAAAATCTTGCTTTGGTGCCGAGAAATGTGCAAGATCAAATCGACGAACGTAAGACAGCGCTTGTACGGCACCAGGAGCTCCAGGAGGGAATAAATCGAAAGGAGGACCAGGAAAACGGTGCGCTAATCAAGTACAATGCTCCTGGAGACGAAAACGATGCAGTTCAAACAATGGTAGGGGGAGTATATGGCGAGAATGACATATTTTCCAGCTCGTTAGCAGAACGCCATAATCGGCGTATGGCGCTCCAGCCGGACTGGCATGCGCCATGGAAGCTAATGAGAGTTTTAAATGGTCACAACGGATGGGTTCGGTGCGTTTGTGTGGATCCTGTGGACAACGAGTGGTTTGCCACAGGCAGCAACGACACAACAGTGAAAATCTGGGACTTGGCAACTGGGAAGCTCAAGCTTACGCTTGCAGGACACGTCATGACGGTGAGGTCGATAGCGGTGTCTCAAAATCATCCTTTCATGTTCTCTGCCAGCGAAGACAAGCTTGTGAAATGCTGGGATCTGGAAACAAATAAGGCCGTCAAGGACTTCCACGGCCACTTTTCGGGTGTCAGCTCCGTTGATGTCCATCCAACATTGGACCTTATAGCAAGTGCCGGTCGAGATGCAGTGGTTCGTCTGTGGGATATCAGGACTCGACTACCTGTCATGACACTCGCCGGCCACAAGGGCCCCATAAACCAAGTCAAGTGCTTTCCGGTTGATCCACAGATAGTAAGCTGCTCGACAGATGCAACAGTAAGGATGTGGGATATTCGTGTGGGCAAAGCCGCCAAAATCCTGACCCACCATAGCAAGAACGTTCGAGCCATCGCCGCGAGCCCGGCAGAGTTCTCGCTTGCCTCCGCATCCACAGGAGACGTTCGGTCGTGGAGATGCGAAGATGGCCATCTTCTGACCAATTTCGGTTCAGAGGGTCTTGGTATCGTCAATTGTTTGTCGGTAAATCCCGACGGCGTGCTATTTGCCGGCACAGACGACGGCAAGCTGGCTTTTTTCGATTACGAAACGGGACATAAGTACCAAGAGCAGCCTACAATCAAGATCCCGGGCTCTTTGGACAGCGAGCGCGGTGTTTTGGCCGCTTCCTTTGACCAAACAGGATTGAGATTAATAACTGGTGAGAGCGACAAGAGTATCAAAGTGTGGAAACAAGACGAGACTGCAACTGCTGAAACGCACCCAGGAATGCCTTGGAACCCAAGTATGAACTCCCAGAGATTTTGAACGATAGTTTGTGTAGTACAATATCGAGCTGCGTGAAAAAGGACAAGAAGAACAGAGAAGCTAGTGTGCTTTCGGTTTTTCGGACACCCAGATATGCCTTAGTTGGTTTGCATGGAGCGTGTCATGGTGTTGAAAAGTTGATCGGCGGCTACGTCGTGTCGAGACCCTTTCTCGTAACACATTCATGTTTGGTATTAGATTGATCCTCAGACTACGCCGAAACTGACTTTTTCGTCAGTTCAAGGTTCAAAATCTAGCCTGTCGCTTTATTTTCACTCTTTTCAAACCCATGGTTTTGCAATATGTTTGTCAATTTCAAATGATGCGGGGCGCGTTGCTCATAGAAAGGCGCTTGTTTACTTTTCAAGGGAGGGATGTCATGAAAAATGTATAAAAGGAGGGAATATATGAACTTCTTGTCCTGTCATTTACCGACTACTTTCAACGCTTATAGAGATTTATGTAAAGGAAAGGTCAATAACAGAAGAGTTTGTTTAGAGCCGTGATGCTTGCCATCAGTACATACATTATAATAGACTTAGATAGCCAGATAAGAGAGAGCCCACCAAAGAGCGATGTGCTTTTTTCGAACCGTTCCCCGGTTTTGCGAGAAGCGGATCAGGTCGGCGGCAACGCTCAACTTGACGAGAATACAGTGAGGTTAGAGATGAAAAAAAGAAGGGCCTGAAACTGGAGTTTTTCGGGAGAAGTAAAAACAGCTCAGGTATAGCATTGGGCTATCTGGGCCAGCACGAACCAATGGCTGATTCAGACCCATGTATGGCCATCATCAAGTGGGCTTTATTCATTGTCACAGTTTCGCAAGAGTGTAGTCACGTGCTGGTGGTAGCAGTGCCAAAATATGATTTTAAGCGCGACCGATTCTCAACTACATCTATGTAAAACCGGAGCAGAGAAAATAGATCAAACCCAGCACATAGAGATCAAGGCATGAGCCCTGATGAGGACAAGAAGCCAGTAGCGCCCAGGAAAGTTACAGATGTGGGAGAAATTCACATAGGGTGCAAATGCTGGGTTGAAAAGGACGGCACAGAGCGGTTGGCGGAGATTTTAAGCATAAACAACCGCAAGAGTCCTCCCAAATTTTACGTGCACTACGAGGACTTCAATAAGCGTCTAGACGAGTGGATCTTGACTCCGCGAATCAATTTGGAGAAAGATGTGTTTTTCCCGGTTTCAGAGCTTGAGAAGAAGAAGGACAGCTCCGAAACTGATAAATCAAGTAAAAAGAAGCAGAAGCAAAAAAGAGCCTCTGAAACCCCGGCACAAGACGGCAGCACTCCATCCACAGCAGCGAATGACACTCAAGATGGTGGGGATATCATGGATTTGGATTCTTTGAACGTGCAAGGAATAAAAGATGAGGAAATATCAAGGGACGACGAGATTAAAAAGCTGCGAACTTCGGGATCCATGGTGCAGAATTCGCACGAAGTGGCCCGGGTGCGGAACCTGTCCAAAATTATTATGGGGAAATACGAAATTGAGCCTTGGTATTTCTCTCCCTACCCAATCGAGCTGACAGACGAGGACGTGGTCTTTATTGATGCCTTCACGTTGCAATATTTTGGCTCAAAAAAACAATATGAACGATACAGATCCAAGTGCACCCTGCGACATCCGCCAGGCAATGAAATTTACAGGGACGATTACGTGTCTTTTTTCGAAATAGACGGGAGGAAACAGAGGACATGGTGTCGGAACCTTTGTCTTTTCTCGAAGCTGTTTTTGGATCACAAAACCCTCTATTACGATGTGGATCCGTTTTTGTTTTATTGTATGACACGAAGAGATGAATTGGGTCACCATTTGGTTGGATATTTCTCCAAGGAAAAAGAATCGAGCGAGAACTACAACGTCGCTTGTATTCTTACGCTTCCGCAATATCAGAGAATGGGATACGGCCGACTTCTAATAGAGTTTTCATATGAGCTGTCCAAGAAAGAGAACAAACCTGGATCTCCGGAAAAGCCCTTGTCGGATTTGGGACTTCTGTCGTACAGAGCGTATTGGGCCGATACCCTGATTAAGTTGTTAATGAATCATGGATCTGAGATCACAATAGATGAGATAAGCTCTCTAACCTCCATGACAACTACAGACATTTTGCATACGGCCAAGGCTCTCAATATCCTACAATATTATAAGGGCCAGCATATTATCTACATGAATGAGGATGTGGCACAACGGTACGAAAAGATAAAGGAAAAGAAGGGCAGGCGAAATATCGATCCGGCAAAACTAATTTGGAAGCCTCCGGTGTTCACCGCTTCCCAGCTACGGTTTGCATGGTGATTCAAAGTATATCTACGTGTGTTAAACATTAATCAAATGGTAATCTTTTGGGACCGCCTTTCTGGCTTCCAGTGGCAGCCACAGCGCTCGGTACTCTTATACCACAGCAGTCGCCCCAGGTGTTTTGTAAAGGATTGTGCTTGCAATGATGATGGTCGTGATCAGCGTGTGTGCCTGGTGGGGATACGCCATCAGGACAGGGGAGAAAAGAGCCAAAGAAGAAGTGTTGCATGATTGGCAACTTACCCAAGACTTCTACTTTGTACATTTTAACCATTCCCTCGGCCACTTTAGACCAAGTTTTGACGCCGCTGATATCGTCCAACATGGGGGAATGCCATCTTAACGTAGCAGTTGTTTTAACCTCGTTAATAAAAGCGATGCACCCAAAGTACAAATACTGGTTTGCAAACATCTCTACCATGTCAGAATTGTGAATGGATTTCGGTTTCAAATGTTTGTGAGTCGATAGCTGGAAAGCTCCAAACAAAAACGGTAGGAAATGGTAATCGTCCAAACCCCATACTCCGTGAGAACCAGCGGGTTCGAGCCAATATCTAGTCTCTAGTAGACGCATAAGCGACAGGTACTGGCTGAATATTTTTAAAACGACATTTCTGTTGTGGGAGCTGTCAAAAACTCCAAAGTCTCGCAGTCCATATAGAAAACAGATAAAATTCAGCTCGTGCCCTGAACCGTAATCAATTCTCTCACGATCTCCCCACGCTTCCGTGAGATAAACTGCTAATTCTTCTGCTTGGGACTGGCTAAGGCTTTTAAATTCCTGGGATAGCATGGCGCGCGACGTTGATTTAAGCTCATCGTAAAAATCGCGGAACTCGACTTTGCCAAATCTAGAGGTTTCCGCGTCTTGCTTAACTGGAAATTTCTCTATAATGCTTCTGACCTGCTCCAAAAGGTGCATGCAGCCTTCGACAGACTCGTGGATAGGTTCCTCAAATTGGTCATTCTTAAGCCCTTTAATGGAAATTGCCAATTCGCAGATATATTCTACCAAGTTTTCGCACACCGAGGAGCCTTTCCAGATTTCTATATCCTCCTGAGTGAGTAGCCTTTTTTGAGGAATCATGGAGCACAGATCTGGACCTTAAGTGTTCACTAGACTACGTCTTGAGTTGTAAATGTGTCGTAACCTTCAAAGTTTCAGTAATTTGTTCAATTGACAAAATAAAATAGTCGGACTCGAAAAGCTAAAGTCGCCGAAAATCCATAGATAATTCGTCGTATGTCTCTGTGGATTTAGATGCCTTGTATTTATTCTACATACTTTAGTTCCTGGTTCTCATACCCAAACTTTTTCCTGTTAGAGAAGAAGATCCTTTCCAATTCCTCAATGTATAGCTTGTGATAGTGGTCGATTTCCTCAACAGTAGGGTTTTCATGCTTCTCTTTGACGTGAATGGGAGCGCCTGTAACCACGTTGATAGGTCTACGGAAGGGAATTAGGCCGAAATCGTAGTTAAATAGCCCGCGGGCGAAAAAAAATGGAATTGTGAACCCGTAAGACCTCTTGACCCATAGCTGCAGCCTACGCAAATACGACTTTTCATCAGTCTGCAGAATGTTGTAGCAGTCAGTCTCGCCAAATGCAAAACATGGCACCAGGCTCACGTTACCGGTCTCCAAAGCCAGTTTGATGAAACCTTTTCTCTTTTTTAGCACCAAGTCTGCGGAACCGATTTTGCTCATTAAAGCCTCTTGAGCACCTCCTACAACTATGCAGATCGAGTGATCACACTGCAGAACTCGTAGGGCATTTTTCTTGGACACTGCAGTGATCCCAAGCGCCAACAAGTAGTCTCTGTAGAAGGGAATTTGAAATTGGTTGATTAGTGTCATCAAACACATTCTTATCCCAGGATACATCTGTGAAAAGTTGGCGCCTTCGGTTGCAAACGCTCCGAATGCACCCAGGGCTCCTACACCATGCGGGTGATAGCCAAAAATGTAGCGCGGGCCCGTAGCCTCCATTTCCAGCTCTGGTGAGGTGTTTGTGCGCTTCAAAATATTGAATTTCAAAGAGTATTTGAATGGCCAAATGCGCACTTTGAAGCTGATACGGTAAGGACTCTTCGGGGAAACGGAAAGTGGTGTCTTGGCCGTATACGTGGGAGGCAGGTCTGCAGTTTTGTGAAGGGTGATTGGGTAGTAATCGCAGTAATAACGCCAGAACCCCAGGCTCCTGACCCAGGGTGAGTATCGCTTTGTCACGTTGCCGTTAGCGGGCGACCTGTCGATTGCGTAATAGACCATGTACGGAATCATGATAACCCACATTATAGGGTTTGCGAGTGCCAATATGGCGAAAGCCAAGATGTACACAAATGAGCCCACATGCCACGCGACAGCCAGCGTCTGTAGCCTGCGTCTCCAAGGTGTTTTCACCGAGCAAAAATTGGGCTTTTTCAGGTTTGTGCTATTAGCCAGGACTTGATCAAGTGGCTTTCCGTCCTTATGTTTTGAACTGTGGAGTTTCACATGTTTCAGTTCCTGTTCTACCACTTCACCCGGTGTCGTTATAGCCAGCCTTGGAATATTATTCGTACGCCCAGTTGCAATTCCGATACCCTTCGCCGTGCTCTTTCCTCCTCTGTATTTCACTTTATTAGAAGACTCCATAGTTGTACGATGTCTCACCAAAACTTAAAACGGCCTGAAATCTTACCCGACGAATTCCTTCTGAGCAATGTACTTTTTGTCCTGGGGAAACTCTACCGATAAAACCTTGAACTAAACTCGAGTTGATTAAACGATGTAAGTGAGTAAAAAGACTGCCTGATTAAGTTAGGAAACCAATGGGCCCTAGATTTTTTCAGACTTAATTCAAACGAATGGACAACAGCTGGCCCAGGAGGTAAAACAGACGCTGAGACGGGTGCTACTGAGTCCGAAAGAGTGAAAACTTGTCTAATGTCTAGTGGAAATACTTGAGTCTCCTTTTGTCTGACGGATTATATTTAGTTAAATTATGTCTTTCTCACATTTCGTGACGCCGGCCAAATTAGACGGATAAACACGCTTTGTTGAACACTGTCGCTGGCTGAGTTTCGGTTCCTATCAAGAAAATTCCACTATCAAAGCTATCATTCATAATGTGAGTGCGACGTCAGGACCTCTTTGATAATTGAATTGGTTTTTTTGAAGAGCAGAATTGCAAGTTGTGTCACACCATGACCAGGTATTTCAATTCCTCCTGATTGTATTTTTACGGACGCTAATACGGTGTGAGACTTTTTGTTCGCATACGGGTATAAGAGTTTTGGGGTTTTCGCCGGGCGCATAGATACTACAACGTCGTTCATTGAACAGAGCGTTCGTAAAATTATGTTAGTGATGATATTAAGAAAATGGCAAGCTATATGTATTAACAGGCTTGGAGACTCTTTTAGATTAACTGAAATATCCGGAAGCTCTCGTAACGGTTCGGCTTGAACCGGTGTCATCACTTCTGGTCTGGGCTGGTACCAAAATTATACTCCGCATTATCACTTTTTACCTAGCCCGTCGCTAGTTAACTGTCATGCGAAATCTTGAACACACGACTTTCGCTCATAAGCTGGTACTCGTCGAGATATGGGTCTCAAAAAAGTCAGCCCCATTTAGCTGTTGGCACAGTACTCATAGTGACTCGTTACCGTGACAGTTTGAGACTGCTTTGTAAAAGAATGCTGTTTTAATCTGTCATGTACGTGTGCAGGTCAATTGTGAGGGTTTAGGAATAATTGGATTAAAACATGAACAGCATCGGCAGTTTAAGCTGTTCTTATTCTCCAGAGCTTGTGGTTTGAGATGGATTCTCCGATTGTGGGTTTAAGGTCTGTCAGACTCAAGTGACTGTCAATTGTGTATTTTAATGTAACTGTTGAGAAATTAGACATTCAATGTAAAATAAATCGAATAACACACTACCCAAACTACCAACAGCACTGTAATCCACCGCTTTAGCTGTTGCGTAAGCCCATTCACATCTGAGAATCCTATTTTACATTGACGCTTTCGAAACAATTGTCCTCTCATTTTGTGACTTCTAATAACGCATAAAAGAAAGCTGCATAACATAGGGTGGGAATAACTCTGCGTAACTGCTCACATTTGAAACTTTGATTAAGCTTTTCACCTAGTGATACTCTTGGTGAAAGGCTTCCGAGAAAATTTGTCTACTAACTGCGCATCGTCTCTGAATCAGAGCGTCGACTAAAATGTTTTGGTCCGGCATGTGTTTCACACAATTGCACTCCATTGAGGAAGGTGTCAACAATTTGTATACACTTAGACCGGTAAACTACAGTCTGAACTCACTATTTTGACACTCAATTTTCATAAAGAACTCGCAGCGGTAGCTCACGATTTAATTCCACGATTTGAGGCTCTTTTACTGAAGTCATATTTTTAATTTATTAACAACGACCCTGAATGCTAGGAATAATGGGATTCAAGACCTGAACATATATGTGATCCGAAGTTTGTATCGAGCCGGACCCTTTCCCTGCCATTGCACTTTGTTGACATACAGAGCAATTTACGGCTCAAATTAGAGCTAGAAATTCCCCACCAAAATTTTCGCTCGCAGCCATCGCATGGATAAAGGTATAGATTCAGATTCACACGTTTATCCTACGACCTTGCTTCATCTCATGGGCTTAAAGGTCCCCCCCAAAATGACACTTCAATCGCTTCACTATATCTTCACTATCGACGATGGGTGACGCGTAAATTTGTATATTATCATCCCCTTCGCGTCGCAAGCCATCGTATGAACTTCAAGAATCACAAACATCAAGCATACACCGTCCACCACGGAGGACTATAGGTTGGAACTTCGTGCCGATGGACTACGTCACACAGCCGACACAACAAGCCACTCAAGCGACCCAGAAATACATTATAGAGAAATTCTCACAAGAACAAATCGACGATGACATCGTGTGTCGAATGATCTGTACCAGCGGTCATATACCGATTCGTGATCTCAAAGCTGAACTTCGCGATGTTCTTCGCAAGCATGAAGGGATAAAGAAAGCTTGGTCATTTGGCAGAAACCCTCAATGCGATTACCATCTTGGAAACACGTCGCGCTTTTCTAATAGACACTTCCAGATATTACTGGGTGAGGACGGGAACCTTTTACTCAAAGATACCTCGACCAATGGAACCTGGCTGAATGGCGAACGAATCGAGAAAGAGAGAAATCAGCTGTTATCTCAAGGCGACGAGATCACCGTTGGGAAAGGTGTGCCGGAGGATGTGGTGAGCTTAGTGGTATTCATCAACGATAAATTCAAACAGAGACTAGAACTGGCCAAACTCCAAGGACTGAAACCTCCAAAAGGCAAAAATTCCAAGACTGCATCTCCCAATGCTAATTTGACCGGAATACACAAGGACTACTCAATCAAGGACGAGGTTGTCGGTCAAGGTGCTTTTGCAACGGTTAAAAAGGCGGTAGAAAGAAGAACAGGCAAAACGTACGCGGTTAAGATAATCAATAAGCGAAAAGTAGTGGGAAATATGGACGGTGTTACTCGAGAGTTGGAAATTCTGCGACGTTTAGATCACCCACGAATAGTGCGTTTAAAGGGTTTTTATGAGGACAGGGACAATTATTATTTGGTTATGGAGTTTGTCTCTGGTGGAGATCTTATGGACTTCGTGGCCGCCCACGGGTCTGTCGGAGAAGATGCAGGCCGTGAAATTACTCGACAGGTTCTCGAGGCCGTCAAGTATATTCATGCGATGGGTATCAGTCATAGAGATTTGAAACCTGACAACATCCTTATAGAGCAGGACGACCCAGTGCTTGTGAAGATCACAGATTTTGGACTGGCTAAGATACAGGGCAACGGCACTTTTATGAAAACTTTTTGTGGGACCTTGGCGTACGTTGCGCCAGAGGTGATTAGTGGAAAGAACTCCGAGGAGAAAGAGGGCAACAAATACTCGTCCATGGTCGACATGTGGTCCATTGGATGTCTTGTATACGTAATATTAACGGGACATCTGCCGTTTAGTGGTAGCACGCAAAATGAGCTCTACAAACAGATTAGCGCTGGATCGTATCACGAAGGACCGCTCAAAGACTACAGGATCTCGGACAAGGCCAGGGAATTTATAGAGGCTTTTCTACAGGTCAATCCCAGCGAACGGATGACAGCCGAACAAGCGCTTCAGCATCCGTGGATTAAATCAATGGAAACGTTCAGCGTACTCGACTCACAGATTAGCTTATCGCAATCAATGGGTCAACCAAGAGCAGGAGAGAGCGTTAGTGACGCTCAGCAGCAGTTCTTGAACATAAGAGCTTTAGAAGAACAGAAAAGACTACTGGAGCAAGAGGAGTTTGCAAGCCAAGCTCCCGAAAGGGAGGACAAAATGGCTGCACCCTCGCAGAAACCTGTTTTCAAGATACCTGTGCGAGCGCCAGTGAGACTAACGCAATCGTGCGTGCCAGATAATTCACAGCCTGACAGTCTTAAACAAGTGCGAACCGCGAACTTTGATGCGAATTACTCAATTTCGTCGAGTTACGAGGAATCGCAGCCAGGGCGAATCCCACACACAAAGTTCGACCCGAGCCAAATACAAGAAGACGCGGCACACGAGGTGTGCATCAATGCCGACGCTGCGCCTTTTGCTGGCGGCAAGTTCATCACACTGCGATCGACAGCGAACAGCTCCATCAAAGGCGTGATCGACATCAAACAGGGTGTGAACCCGTTTTTCATTGGTAGGTCTCAAGATTGCAACTGCAAGATAGATGATAATCGGCTGTCGCGCGTGCACTGTTTCATTCTGAAAAAACGGCATCCGATCGGTGACAGCATATACGAGTCTCCAGCGCAGGGCCTAGAGGATTTGTGGTACTGCCACGCCGGTACCAACCTAAGTTACCTGAACGACGTGCGACTCACACAGGGTACCAAGGCTCTGCTGCACGAAGGCGACGAGATCAAGGTTATATCTGACCGCGCGAACAATTTTGTCATTTCTTTCGTCGTCGAGATCAACGACGCGACAGGGCTGTTCAACCACGGCAAGCCTTTTGCAGGTGAGCAGCGGAAAGTCGAAGCACAATCTGCCGACGAGGTGCACTTATCCAAGAGGCTGGGATCACTGAAAGACAGTCAGCTCGGTCCCAAACGCGCACTATCCATTGTCTCTGGGAGCCAGGACTCCGCCAAGAGAGCCAAGCGAGCCAAACTCGACAAGGCTGACAAGAATACCAATCATCTACAGTTTTCGTGACCGTTTGAAACACCTACGCACACAATTGACATAACATTTACACTCGCTCAAACCCGTTACCTGCCTCGATTTGCTCGCAAGAAATACAAGACACAGATAAATCATAAAAATTCGAGAAAGGCATTAGAAACAGGCAACGAGTGAGCCACGAACAGCATGAGTGCACCTACAAAATCTACACACTACACACCCATCCAATTCCTGACAATCCAGTAGGTTGAGGAATTCGAACAACCTGAACAAGTTTGATATGGTCTTGACAGTTTTCTCGCACTTTATATACTCGGGTCCCAAAAAGATTACCCGTCCTGAATATTTCAAGGGGTTCAAAAATGACTTACACAAAAGCGAAACTTTAGAAATCCTTGTTTCGCCATCTTCACTATAAAAGGGCAAAGAATAGGGAACGGGTTTGATACCTCGGATTACACTGAAAAACTTAGCGAATTTCAAGACACCAACGCGAGAGCTGAATTCCCTTGCGATCGGAAGGTTTTGAAGATCTTATTGACAAAGAAAACCGCGTCTACAGCGCACACCTGCAGGCGGACAGAGATATATCAACATAAAAATGCATTTGCCCTCGCTTCTTTCACTAGCCACGCTGCTTGTGGCAAGCTTGAACCCTGCACAGGCCAAAAAACACACGGCTAAGGTTTACAAGAACAAGATAGAGTCGGAAAACGCGGACTTTTTGGTGTCCAAAAGCGCATCGCTTCTGGGAGACAAGTATCTGAAGCAATTTCTGAGCGCGTATCCCGACGCGAATTTTGGCTCAAACAAAGTTCAGTCGGCTTTCGAATCCTTAGACGCTGACGAAGAAGAGCTGTGGGTTCTTGGCAGCCACGACGTGCCTCTATCGAACTACCTGAACGCGCAGTATTTCACCGACATAACTTTGGGAACGCCCCCACAGAGCTTTAAAGTCATTCTGGACACCGGCTCTTCAAACCTGTGGGTTCCTGGCTCCGAGTGCGGCTCCTTGGCGTGCTTTTTGCACTCCAAGTACGACCACGAGTCTTCGTCGTCGTACAAGGCCAACGGCACGGAATTTGCCATCCAGTACGGAACTGGGTCTTTGGAGGGCTACATCTCCCAGGACACCCTGAGCATCGGTGACTTGACCATCCCCAAACAGGACTTTGCCGAGGCCACCTCTGAACCGGGACTAACGTTTGCATTTGGTAAGTTCGACGGTATCCTGGGCTTGGGCTACGACACAATTTCCGTGAAGAAAGTGGTTCCTCCCATCTACAAGGCTATCGAGCAGAAGCTACTGGATGAACCCAGATTTGCCTTCTACCTCAACGACGCCGACAGCGCCGAAGAATCCGTTGGTGAAGTGTCGTTTGGCGGTATCGACAAGTCCAAGTACAAGGGCGATATCACTTGGTTGCCCGTTCGCCGTAAGGCCTACTGGGAAGTCAAGTTTGACGGTATCGGACTAGGCGATGAGTACGCCGAGCTCGAGAATACTGGTGCTGCTATTGACACCGGAACCTCCTTGATTGCTTTGCCCTCTGGACTTGCCGAGGTGCTAAACTCGGAGATTGGCGCCAAGAAGGGCTGGACTGGTCAGTACACTGTCGACTGTGAGACCAGAGATCAGTTGCCAGACTTGACCTTCACCTTCAACGGCCACAACTTCACTATTTCCGCTTATGACTACACTCTGGAAGTGTCAGGTTCGTGCATTTCTGCATTCACGCCAATGGATTTCCCAGAACCCGTGGGTCCTCTGGCGATCATTGGTGATGCGTTTTTGCGTAAGTTTTACTCTGTCTACGACTTGGGCAACAATGCGGTTGGTTTGGCCCAAGCCGTTTAGGCTCCACTCTGGAAAGTATTTGAACTAAGCATCCTCGCTCTCCTCTCGATGTAGAGAACCCAAAAATATAAAAAAAGACGACTGACGTATATGAAGAGAAATAATAAGGAGAGAGCGTTCCGAGGCACTGCACTAAAAGTTTTGGCCGCCGATTTCACAAGCTAAGCTACAAAAATACTGGGCAACTATTGTATACCTACTTCACATTGAACTTATAATAAACTCTGGAATACTTAAATACTGGTTTTCGACCCGATATCGTGGATATCGCATCCATCATCATTCTTAACCCAGCGCTATAGTACGGTTCGTATTTTTAAATTACCTATTAGAACCTTCGAAAACATCAAATCAAAGACAATCAACGGTACACTCAACAATAGCGCGTTAAGATCAATTGAGCCATAAAAAGCGGTCGACTAGGTGTTTGACAGAAATCAAGTGAGTACCCTCGGTCAGGACGCGGTTTCCTTACCTATCTATAAAATATTCTAGGCCCACGATTTTTGAAGATGATTCACAAGAGCCCTTCCCGAAGAACCATGTCAAGACCTTACAATCAGCACATCACACCAAGTACGGCCATACGCAGCGGGAAACCTGGATCGTCTGTGAAACGTAAAAACTCTGTAACTCCTTTATCAACACCGGTATCAATTTCGACCCCATCGCTGCGAACTCGAGAGAGTTCACCTACTCGCTTTTCCACAGTTTCATCTCCGACTAGAACGAGCTCTAGTTGTAGCAGCCGTGGGAAAACGTCTGATGGTATGATCAATTTGGACACAATATTGCAGAGTGGGAGCACGCAACAGTATCGCGGGACGATCTCAGTATCGATACGTGTGAAACCATCCGAGTGTTTCGCCAGAAATCCGTGGAAAATAGGTCAGAACCATACGATTGCCCATGATGACGTTGGTGAGTTCAAGTTCGACAATGTTTTCCACCCAAGCTCCAACAATTTGCAGGTCTACGAAGAAATTGGCAAACCTCTTATCGACAAACTGTTCGAGGGCTACAACGCCATAGTTTTCGCCTATGGTATGACAGGCTCTGGCAAAACCTTTACCATGAGCGGTACCTCAGACGAGGCGGGCCTTATACCGCTTTCGGTGGAGCGGATATATGCCCAAATTATGACTGCAAGACAAGATGACGAGGAGCTGTCTGTTAAAGTTTCCTACCTCGAGATATACAACGAAAAGATCTACGATCTTCTAAACTATCAAGATAGCAAAATCTGCTCTTCCACGCACGGATCATTCATCCCGAAACCAACTCAAGCAACATGTGCAGCCGAATTGCAAATCAGAGACGATTCCAAGCATGGGGTGCGAGTTGTGGGACTCACAGAACGAGACGCCAACTCGACCGAAGAACTAATGAAATGGATTTCGATTGGAAACAGCAACCGCAGAACCGGCGAAACTGATTACAACGCAAGAAGCTCACGTTCTCACACTATTGTGTCGATCACCTTAACGCGTACCAACGTGGCCAGTGGGATAGAGACATGCAGTACACTGTCTTTATGTGATTTGGCTGGGTCCGAGAAAGCTGCAGGGCAGCAGGAAAGACGCAAAGAGGGCGCTTTCATCAATAAATCTCTATTGGCTTTGGGCACGGTCATTTCCAAGCTAAGCGCTGGCAGCACACATCCTAATTCGCATTTTGGAACGAGCCATATTCCCTACCGAGATTCCAAATTAACTCGCATTTTGCAACCGGCTTTATCTGGTGACAGTATTGTCACGACTATCTGCACCATAGACACAAGACTAGAATCGGTATCGGAAACGGTGAATACGATTCGATTTGCGTCTCGCGCCAAAAATGTGTCTATGACCGTCAAGAGAAATGAGGCCGAATTGCCTCACTACCGCGAGAACATGGTCAACAGTCTTAAACGCCAAATAGATGAGCAGCAAGAGATCATATGGGAAATGAGGCGACAGTTAGGCGTCACTAATAATGCTGGAACGGACAAAGCCAGTGACACCGTTCTTTCACTTCGACAAGAAAACGAGGCATTGAAGCAGAAACTGCAGCATTGCGAGAGATTGCTGGATAAAGATGACACCCCAGTGCAAGACGAGCGGTTTTTAGAAATCGTGGAAATGCTGCCGTCTGCGATCGGTACGGTGCTGGAAAACAAGATACAGGGCCTGGAGTCAAAATTGCGTGAGTATCAGACGTACAATACTCTACTGGAGCGGAAGCTCAAGGAGGCCGAGGAACGGGTGACCGCGAAGGAGGCCATTTCGGACCATGAAAGCGAATCAAACCGAATTATAAAGGAGCAAGAGGAGGAGCTTTTGGAGCTACGTCGCGCGCTGACACGCAAGAATAAGATGCTGGAGGCACTGCAAAGTGCCAAACGGCTGCGAGAGGGAGCACTACGGCCGCTTAACCATGAAAACAGGGCGTTCGATATAACAAGTGTGAGAAAGTAGTTTGGACGACGTATTGGAGTGTACTCTCCTATGCCAAGAACCTATAGATAGTCCGTATGCGATGCTGTAACTACGTATCACTTTTTACTATTCTGACGCGAATTTGTGATATATTTCTACCAAGCCTGGCGCGGCACCAAGAGACGCACCCGATCGTCTCGAAATTTACATTGGTGGCATTGTAGCTCGTTCTCCCATCCAGATCCATGGTCGTTGTCGGGGCCGTTGCTTCGAAACTCGACTTTTCTGCATGAATTTTCTGCACAAATTTTAAAACAGATATTGAAAGGCTAACAACGAGCGTTCCGCGGTGAAAACCAAATGCTAAAAAAAGGCCCGTACTTGAGCCTCCTTCGTGCATCGTTTTCGCTTTCGCTGCCCCGGCAGTTCTGCCTTGCAAAATCTCTTTTTTTCCGAACCGTGCGAATTTTCGTGGTTTTTGAAAAGGCTTGGTTTTGACGTAATTACAATATACCTGAAACGGGAGAGGCTACTACAAGTGAAAGTCGAAACTGAATTAATTTTAGACAATCCGGGACGATTCAAGACGACTAAGAGTGCTCATTGCAAAGCTACGGACCTGCTCAAATTTTGGCATTAGCGTTTTGCCAGCCTTTTCGATCCTCAAAAGCTGTACGCGCTGGTTTATAATTGTAGATTGTAACATAATGTATAGAAACTTCCTAATTTGGCCCGCTTTTCGCAGGTTCGGCTGGCTTTTTGAAACCTAAACGTTCATCGATCCCCGAAAAGAGTAGTAATGGGGACACCATTGATGCCAGAAAGCCTGCTGTGCAGCCTAATAATACATGGGGTAGACGTTTCGAGATTTCCAAGACCGACAAGCACCAATTATCGCGGTGGTGCGTCAGTGAGTGACATTATTGGCGAAATCCGGCCTCGCACTCCGTTTGAGGATGGAACGTTTCGTGTCATCTTGAGAAATGCCATTTACGGAAAGCAGGACGGTGCATTTTGGGAAAACTCGGCCCGGATGAAGCATTTGAGGAGATTTGTACTGGAGGCGGAGTGGTCTGTCGATGAGCATAAGCCCAGTTGCGGAAAACTATCTTGCAAGAAACTGATATTATATAAAGTGAATAGTTTCACCTGCAAAACAGGAGCTGAGACCCCCCTAAAAACGTTGAAGAAGTGCGCTGTAGTCGATAAATTACGGCGCATCAAGACACATCTTTCACACACTAGTCGATCTTAAGTCGAAAAGAGCATCTTGCAATGAGTGTTAAGGGAACTCATCCGAAGAAAATATCGTCAAAGTCCTGCAGGGCAATTTCTTCAGCCGTGGGGCTATTGATGCTCCTGGCATTTGTGGCATACACCAGTCGCGATGCGGTGCACAGGTATGGTTCGTGGCCCCATAGGGACAACGAGATATTCGAAGGCGTCGGAGAAGGCGAGGAAACGTCGACTGCGTCTCGGATTGCAACAGCACAAGCAGTAAAGACCTCGGGCGCAGCTGCCAGCTTGGACGACTCCAAAGAGGTGGAGCAGATTTTCTCAGAGATCAAGCTCGAAATCGGCGAGTCCGGTAGCCATACGAGTCTGAGAAGAGCATCGGCAACCCGTGTGGCCACCCCAGCAGAGATTGTCACAACCGAGGTCGTCCACGGACCCCATAACTACAATCCACTTGGCCCGAATTTTGACCTGGTGCTGAGTTTCCACGAAATCCTCAATGCATCGCCCGTGGTGGTCTTCGTGAACTCCAACGAGGAATCACAGCAGTTGCGAGCGCTTCTGCAGAACCACTACGAGATCTCGCCTCCACCAGCGATGGTGGACCTCGAAAAACACTCCAAGGGCGCACAGCTGGAGTCCTTCATCGAAAATAACAAATTGGAGCGTCCTGCGGACGATGAAAGCCCAAAAGAAGACCACAAAGGGGCACACGATGCTCCTTACCTGTTTATCAACGGCCATTCCGTGATAAACACGGATTTCCAGTCCGATATTCACAATTTGCATGTCCACAACACACTTCTGGATAAGTTGAGGTCTGTGGCCGACGGAAACGTAATGATCCACCGCAACAACGTCCCATCAAACTCATAGAATCCACATCCACATTTAAAGCGATGTGTAAGATGAAGTAAGCTGGTCTACCATTTCTTACATGTCTCTGCATTCCAAGCTTTATCACATATTTGTATAGATACAATAAAACGGTACCGTGAAGTCTTGGCATACGCTTCATTAGCCATCGATCGCATAGTCCACAGACGGCGACACATTTTCGGTGGCAGGACCTTCTGTGGTCGTCGGGCTAGAGTAGTTGTAGAACTTTTCGCCCCAGAAGCACATAATCCCTTTCAGATATCCGTTGTCCTTGACGTAGATGACTTTGCAAAGGGCTTCGTTTCCCAGAAGCTCTCGAGTCACTTGTGACACTTGTCCCAAGTCCGAGTTGCGCGGCAGGAACATGACGACGTTTTCACTGACTCGCAAAAGCCCTTGCAGCGTCTCTCGGAGGCCTCGAGGTTGCAATGCGTTTTCCAGATCGTACAACTCGCTATTCAGATACTGCGGTCCACCCCAGGGTGGAGACGAGAATACACAGTCGATTTGCAGTTTTTCAAAGCGTCCTTTCCGGCTCATCGTGGGCCAGTCCCCGTACTTCAACCAAATTCGATCTTCCACGTTATACGCCTGAGCGTTGCGGTATGTGCAGTACAGATGCTCTAGAGAGCTATCCACGCCGTAAACTTTCTGGAAATATTGTGCAAACTGGATGGTATTGCCTCCACCGCCGCAGTAAACGTCCAGAACAACCTGTGCGTCTGGTAGACAACTTTTGATGAACCTTGCAGCAAACTTGGCCAGGCTTTCGGGAGTAACGCTAAACCATAGCTCTCTTGTCATATACAGGTCCTTGGTTTGCATGCGTGAGAATAGTCGATGCCTGGTTTTCCAGTACTTGAATATGGATCTATCTGTCACCTTGACATCTGGTTCGATTCGGTAGGCATCGTCTTTGAACAGGCTCTTCAAAGCACTCCGTTGTTTCCTGTATTTACGCTTGGATAAATGAACAAAGTGCTGGAGCTGTTGGCGGTCCAATTTGGTCTTTCTGGCCATTCCTGATGCGTTTTAGCTCTTCGAGATGAGCTTGACCATTTTTGACCAGCAGTTCTTCAATTTTCCACCTATAACTTATAGCAGGTGGGGAAAAGCACATAAAAGTTGTAAAAGCGTCTCAATTGTCGGGTGTGCCATTCGTTGGTGGTCGTAATTGAGCTTCGTACAGGCGAGAGGCATGTCCTCCTTTAAACGCGAAGATATTCCGACCAAATTTGGGTGATTTGGACATGTTAAGCGTTCAACATACAAAGAGACCTCTAGGACAGCACTTTTGACAACCTGGACCGCACTTGGTGATGTGATTGATGCATGGAATTATGGAAGTATTTAAGGTTAAGGTTTGATGTTGTTTTACCGGGTTCAAATGCTTCAAGATAATTCACAGATTGAAGAATGATGGTTTAGGTTTAGGTCTACTACATTCTTGCGACGACAGATAAAGTATCTGAGCACGCTGTGAAGTAATAGAACTCGAGGACTTTACGTAGGTTTTCGGAACTTGGCAAGTCGATGCCGCACCTTGCGTCTGTCCTGGTCTATCTAGTAGAAGTTTTGTAATGTCGAGTAATACAATGGAACAATGGAGAATGTCAGCGAGGAGCTAGGAAAACTACACGCACTATTCAACAATGGAGAGCGTCGACGAACAATTGTGAATAATTTAGAGAGCCACAAGCACAATGGAAATATAGAGCGTCAGCGACCAATTGTTAATAATTAAATTCTCTACAGGCACTCAAGGCACGTAAGTGACAAAACGGTGGCTCCCCGAGCGTGCTGAAAGGACTAAAAGCAATTGTGTGTCCCCTTAGAATGCTACTTTACTATTCCTTTCTTCGACGGCATCAAGCTAGAGTTTGAAGGGTTAAAATGCATGCATTTACACGATTTGTAACCCGTAAGGCGCCTGGACAAGCAAATTTGGGAGCTTATACTATTGTTGGCAAGAGATTGCTCCGCACCTGAATATTTGGAGTCTCCTTCTTCAACTTCTCTATACTAGATCTTCTGCATTTTTGACTAAAAACTCGACAACATCATAAAACGCTCAAAACGTGGAGAATCGGATCTCTGGAAAAAAGACAGACATCACAAAAATGCGTAAACTTTAACCGCATCATCCAAATCTAGCTTGGCTATGTAATTACTCTGTTCTCACGAGATTTTTGTCTGTCGTCATCTTTATATGAATGGCTAGTCCTCCGAAATTAATACTAATTGACCAACCAGCCATCTCGACTAACAAATAACCCAAGCGCAGAGAAAAACAGGAGAGCCTCTCATGTGGCAGATCAATATTGCCATAGATAGTGATCCAAGAATGGGGTAAGAATCCTCTGATCTATAAAATCGCGGATGTCTCGCAGTTCAAACCGTTCTTTCAAGAACGGATTCTCAATTCGCTAAAAATCTTTGCTCTCTCTGACTCGACCATATTAAGAGCTTTGCCATGTTACGCACGCCCACGAGAACCAAGACTAGTTCATTTGGAGGCTCACAGGTCGATTTCCAGTTTCCACCTTCTGCAATGGCCATTCAAGACAAGTCGTCTGACAGCTTTTCAACGTCGAATCACCATTTATTGAACTCCGAGCTCTTGAAGCGAGACAATATGTCGAACATTTTCTCCGATAGCTCTGCAGACAATTCCAATGGGATAGATAGCGGCAGTTATTCTTTTGCTAATATTTCGGACAATACGACAACGCGTAACCGTGCTCACAATGGACCAAAATTGTCACAGGCATCATCGTGGGGCTCGAGTGCCTCGGTTTCTCACCAGAAGTATCCAACGACTTTGGCTCCAAGACCTAACAGTTGCGCACTCGACAATCTGGATCCTGGCTTTCCATCAATTCGAAAGTCCGATACTGCAGCCTTTCTTCACAGAAAACGGTCTCACGATATACAAGGCCACCAATCGATCTCTACCGTTGCTTGTACCATACCAACGGCAGAAAACATCTCTTTCCAAATAACGTTCGAGTCCAGTCCGAGCAAGGAATCGCTTTTAACCGTGGGCAAGCCAGCACGGGTCGAACAATCACAGTTATCAAATCGTAAAGAGAGTTTTAAGCCGGCCAGGGCGCCATCGCGTAAGAAAAGTATCACGTCCTACCGTTCACCTTCTAAACTGAAAAGGTCGGATGCTATCCGTTGCAAAGGTGGCTTGCTGCAGTTTTTCACACAATTAGGATGGCACGCCAAAACTAGAGTACGTCGCTGGAGGCTAGCCATCAGAAAGAAACTTTTCACTTACAAGGCAAAAAGATCGGCCAAAAAGAACCAAAAGCAGACTAGTTCCCACCTTAAAAGAGCCAAAAATGGGTATGTTTCCAATATCGAAAGATCCATTTCCAGCAACTCTATAAATATAAATTCCCGTGTCACAAGAAATGCTAGCAAGCGCAGTACAGAGAAGATCACTCGCGCCCAAACACCATCCCAAACCACATTGAGTCAAACTCAGAGTCCATCGAAAACTACTCGGAACTCCCTTCGGCGATCGCCTTCATCTATCAAAAGAGCAGCTTCGACTTTAACGCGCACAAGTACTTTTGCCAATGCTACGATAGGTGGTGACAAGCGCGACAGCAATGAGCCGAATTCCAAAACCAGGCTCGTTAGGTCTGACCGCTCCATGTCTTTGAACTCAATCGTTCGTCAACCCTCTATTGTTGTGAGCAACAAAGTGATACCTCTTTCCAAACTTAATGGTGAAATCAATGACTTTAGCATCAAAGAGGAGGATGAAGATGAATATGTCATAGATACCGACTACATGAAAAGAAGTGACGACAATCTCAGTTCAAGCTCGGATCAGTCTTCAGGTGTCAACGACGAGGACTATCAAGACACCTCTGAGCAGCCATACGATCAAGAAGCTCTTGAGCTTTCTCATGAAAAGGTAACAGTGGCATTGGATGCTTGGAACCACTATCTACGCGCGGTCGTGGCTCAGCGCATCTCGACCAGGCTTCAGATCCGTAAATTTCAGCATTCTGGCACCGAAGCTGAGTGCCAGAAACTCATTGACGCCCTCATTTCCGACTATGATGACAACTCTTCGAGTCGTTACGACAGCGATCTCGAGACTGAGCTCACACCCATGTCATCAATCAATACCACGAACGATGGGGTTGCCAGTCGCGTTGTTTCCGATGTAGCTTCAAAGACAAATGAAAGCATACTATCTTTCAAACCTTTGAGCACAGTTTTTCATGGCAATGTCAAAAGGTCTCTGACGCTACCAATTGGACTTCGGGTGTAATAGTAGCGGTTTATAGTTAATTTGAATATTTACAATACACAATCTTTGCAAGCGAGAGCTCGATTGCCCCTCAATAATCTCTGACTGTAGCATCTACGAGTCGATCACCCTTGAACTTGTTTTTGTGAGGTAGTGTTACGGAGTCTAGGTCTGGCTTCAGTCCCTTTGCAGCGATTTCCGTGTGGAAAGCGCTGAAGAATTTACAGAGTGGAACTTCATACCAACGTTCTCCGCTTGCATCAAACCAAGCAACATGGCCACCCTTACTAGACTCTATGAGCAAAGTGTATGGATTGCCCTCAATTTCGCGGGTTGGGAGCGACTCTTGTCCCACGATGGGATCGTCGGATGCACTAATCGCAAGTGTAGGGGTTCGTATTAGAGGAACTCTATTAGAGCTGGTTCCATAACGGTAGTATTCGTATGAGCCATTGAAACCAAACATGCGGGATGTAAACCAGTTGTCAAACTGCTCCACTGAGGTTACTTTGTCAAGCTTTTCGGCGTACAACTTGGCCATATATGGATCCTTCTTCAGGATTTCAAGGTTGTCAGTCAACATCTTGACCAAGCTTTTGGAAAAGTGATTGCCGTAGAGCTGACGCCCAATAAATGAACGATGCATGTGGTAAGAAGCATTGCACAGGTCCCACGGGCTTGCCAAAATCGCCGCGCATTCGATCTCACTGTTTTCACCTTCTTGACCCAGATAGTTGGTTGCGATGGAGGCACCTAACGAAAAACCGACCAGATAAAACTTACGGTGGGGGAAAAGGCCACGGAGTTTTTTGATAAAATCGCGGATATCATCGGTCCACACTCCGTTATACAACTGTGGTGTTGTAATGCAGGACTCACTACAGCCGCGAGAGTTTAGAACACAAGCCTCAAATCCAAATTTGCCCGTCATTTTGTTAACCAAACTGCGAACGTAAGACTCGTGAGAACCGCCTGTGAGCCCATGCAAGACTATGAGCATCGGTTTTGAGTCGTTGCTTGTCAAAGTCTGCAGTTCTGCTGGAGTAAAAAATTTGTATCTGGGCTGTAGCTTCTTGGTTTGATTTGGAGGGTGATATTCCACCTCTGTCGTGGAGTCCTTTTCCAAATCCCAAGGTTCTACTCTAAAATCAGCCGTAGCCTCTCCTCCATCGCTACAGTTCAAGACCAGACGTTTGTAGTATACATGATCAACATCCTCGAATGTCTTGACTGCGGCCGCAACAGTCTGCAAATGGCCGTTGAAATACAAAGGATGGAATAATGACAAAGCCCCAGGACTGAATTCAGGACTGAACTTGTCGACAAGTTGAATTAAATCCAGCTTTTTACCGAACGAAAGAGGCTCTAAAGGCCGTGTTTGCCGAACATGCGAGTAGAGGGGTAAGTTATGAAGTAGAGTATCCATCAAGAAGGTGAAGGAGTCTGAGACAAGGTCAATGTGAGTGGTGTGTTTTTGACTGGTGCTCGAGCATTTTTCAAGATCGTTATCCATCAATATATACAAATATATACATATATAAAATATCGATATTTCCGATGATAAGAAACTCCGCGAACAGCGTTAAAGAGACAAATTTGAGGTGATTATATGCTTTGGATATTAGAGTGCGCTACGAATTTTAGTGCAACGGATGGGGAACTCGAGTTTGTGATGAGAGGGCAAATCAACGAGCAAAATGGTACGAACTTCATTTTATAGAAAAATGCGTGGAGATATGTTGAATGTTACGCAAAAGACGTGGACTAAATAAGATGAGTTTGAAAAGCGGGAAGGGACACCTTTTAGAGCGTCTAGATGCTTGAAATTACGGATTTGCTTCATATAGTATCTCCCAGATCACTTTTTCCCTAACTGTCACCGGACCTTGAATAGTCTGGGTAGCTCGAAAAACGGAAGCTGAATGCTCAGAGACCAGGCACTGTTGAAAAACAGCACACTGAGCTAGTATGCGTGACTATATTGACGGTAGGACTCTAGCTTTGGTGCATAATAGAAGGTCCCTGGCGCCACTACTGTTTCCGAAACGCGCCAATTGCAGAATACATGAAAGCTTTCATTTCTCGTCTTAATACTGCCGGAACGGCACGAACACCCATTTTCAAAGACTTTTTCGAGCTTATGGGCGACATGAGATCTAACACTCACTGACACACCACGCCATCTAGTTAAAACACTAGTTGTTTCTCTACTCATTTAATGTAAATTATTTAAAATAGTCACTTGGAACGAAAAGACGAGCTCACTAGATCTATCTCACATGAATTTAGCGATGAGATTAGAAACCATTCGAACAATGACCAACTTCGACTATGCTGCCCACACAAGCCTCCCCATCCATGCTGAGATCAACGCTTTCAGCTCACATAAAACAGGCCAGTCGCGCTGGCTCGTTTTGGGTGCGAAGATGGCAGTCCTCGTTCACATTTTCGAGCAATAAGTCATTGCTACAAAAAGAGCAAGTCAAGGACGAGAAGCACAAGAAGAAACAGGGAAAAGAAGCATCTACTGTGTCTATAGACGCCTCCTCAGATAAAAAAGCTTCTAAACGCGAACTGCGTCCCAAGTTTCGTAATAATGCCGACTATTCCTGGTTGCCCAAGGCCCCCTCAACAGCACATCTAAAAGCACGCGATGTTAGCACAACAGTGCTATATTCGGGATACCGACCATTTTTCATGAAACCAGTGGAGCAAACGAAAAACGATAGCACTCTGTATGAGTTTGCCATGAAACTGGAAAATCTCAGCGAGCCGTTGCCTTGGATTTCGTCCGCCACGGGGACAGAGTTTTACGGAGAGTGGGACAGCGTTCCCACGGACGTGATCAAAAAGTTGAGACCTTTCCAACCGCCTTCTCACAATGTCACAGCGCAGGATCTCACCAGTCGCAAGCTTCTGCACGAGAAGCTAGTCGAACAGGAAAAACAAAAACTTATAAACAGATCCAAAGGCCGGAAGAAGCCCGTAATAAGGCTGATGCAACTGCGCAAGAAACTCAATGATCAAGAGGGCGATTAGGGTAACGAACGGTATGTACGGGTTATGACTTAAACTATAGATTCCTAAGTATTTTTTGATACATCATATCTTAAAGTGTGATTTATTCTATGCTGTCCTGCGACATTGTTTAAAATGCGGTACACTGTAGGCTACGAGCTGCTTTTGACCGCTTTACAAAACACCGCATACTCCCCTCTTTGTTGGGAATACATAAAAGTCCAGCGTGCCACTTTTTTCTTCCTAACGAGTTTTTACGTTCCGCAACTGGGTTCCGTTCAAGTCTGGCAATCCCAAAGTTGCATCTTTAAAATAGCTGTCTGCTTCTAACTGTAAGGTGGGCCAGAGGTTCATCGGTATAGAAGCTCTAAACGGCTTTCTAAGGTACTTACTCTATCATTATTTTCAGCGTTTTACATATCTTAGACCTATATAATTCTATTAAGCATATCAGTTTCTTTAGATATTAGAGATGATGATGCTGGGGGTTCCAGGAAGAGCGTTTTCCAAAGCCTTAGCAGAAAAATTCAATTCTACTTCTTCTCCTGTGAAAATGTCTTTACCAGTCTTAGCACCGCATGGGAACGAGATGAACTGGAATTTTTCACATTTGATAGCCTGGCAACATTTCTTCAAGCTGTTCATTGTGGATTTGACAACAGCAACTTCGTCGAATGATAATTCTCTGTTGAAAACAGTTTCCACAGGCTCAGTTGCAAGACGCTGCTTTAGCATGGATATGAAAGGCATGGCACGCTTCATATCTTTAGGGTTCACGGCTTCTTTGATCTTCTTGTTGTCGTTTAGCTCTTGAGCCTCAAATAGATTACGAACTAGCTCAATGTACTGGACTTGCCAGTCTGGGAAACTTTCCGAAAGGAGCATGACCATCTTAGCTGGCTTGGCAATGTCAACGTCAGCGCCCTTGCCCTTTTTCTTCTTCAAAGCTTGACCCTCAGATTCTCTAATTCTTCTTTGTAGGTCTCTTAAGTATTCTAAAGCCGACAAGGCGCCATGATCGACAGGTTTGGACGCACGAGGAAATTTCGCAAGCTGAACAGAAGTCTTGTTACCCAAAACTTCACGCCAAATGTATTCAGCAAAGTGAGGCGCAATAGGATTCAAGACTAAAGCTTGCAGCTCGATATAACGAAGCACTAGATCTTTGTGCATTGTCTCGCAAGATTCACGGTAATAATCCCTGGACGTTTGCAAGTCGAATAGACCGACCTTCAGCGCAGCCTTGTAATTGGTCAAGTCGTACTGCTTGAAAGTTTCCTCGATCAAGTAGTTCATTTCATTCTCGAACGAAACATCGAAGAACTCAGTAATTTCACCGGAGCGGAAAGACGAAAGGTTTTGAAGCACCTCATCAGCCCATTCTTTCAAGTTAAACAATCTCAAAATGGCCGCATTGGCGTTTGTCTCGTCCAAATTCGCGTCTTCCACAGTATCACCGGCATCAGCCAAAGCAATACGAGAAGCGTCAGCACCAAACTTCTCGACAATTTGTTGCATGGTCATAAAGTTACCAGTGGACTTGGACATCTTGGCGTTGTTCAACATCAAGTGTCCGTTCGCTCTCACACCTCTTGGCCAGAACTTCTTAGGGAACATGGCCACATGAGTGTAGATGAAGAAGGTCAAATGATTGGTGATCAAGTCCTTACCGGAAATGGAGACGTCCAAAGGATAAAAGTACTCAAACTCTCTTCTCAACTTTTGCAAGCTTTCAAGAGGAATGTCAGATTCAATCTCATCGGTATGTTGGAAAATGTAATCGTATACCGCAGGTGTCATTTGCTCGGGTTTAATACCCAATGGGCCAATTTCTTTACCGTAATAGTCCTTGAAGAGTAAGTGAGAGATGGTGTAGAAGGCTTGGTACATGGTGGAGTCAGACAAAGACTCTACCAGGTACTTTTCATCCCAAGGCAGTCTGGTACCCAGACCGTAAGTACGGGAAACAGCCCAGTTCTTTAGCCAGTCCAAACAGCCTTCGAAAGCGTTCCTTACCTCTGGAGAGAAAAGCTCCATGCTCTCTAGACAGTCGAGAGCTTGGTTTTTCCACGTCTCCTCACCATAGTCAACGTACCACTGATCTTCCAGAGAAACGATACAGTCGTCGCCGGAACGAGAAATGACCAGTCCCTCAGGCTCGTTGTAAACAAAGGCTTGTTTAGCCGCAATCAAATCGGCTTTCAATTTGTTCTTAGCATCTTCCACCTTTTCACCCTTGTACTTACCATAGATCATGGTACCGTTATAGTAGTCTTCCTTGTATGCAATTTTTTTGGCCTCAGCTAGTAGAACAGTGTCTTTTGGCGATTTGATCTTGAGTTCTTCACAGATAGCTTTCGCGGTCACATCACCATACTTCTCAGTGCGGATAATTGCCACCGGCTCGTGCTTAACCCACTCAGCATCTATTCCATAGTACTCAGCTTTGTTCTGCAGGTCTCTTGTTGTCATGAAGTCATCAGGAGAGTTGGACGGAACACAGGTGACGACTCCGGTACCCTTCGTGGCAATGACAGTTTCCATTGGCAAGATCCTAAGAACGTCGTACGCGGATAGAGGAGCGTGAATCGCAGATCCGATAAAATCTTTACCAACGATCGATGCCACAGATTTGTATTGGCCTCTGGTAGGTGTTAGCTTTTGGTATGACATGTTCTTGAAAGCCCTCTGTGTTGTGATGTAGTATGAATCGCCGGCGTCGAAGATACCGTACTCGATCTTTGGAGAAACGAAACAACAAGTTTGACCGTACATGGTCTCAGGTCTCAAAGTCGCCGCCACGAAGTAAAACTTTTTAGATTTGTCGATGCCGGCAGAGGAATCAATGATCTTTTGAGCGCCTTCCGCGAACTCCAGAACCTCGATTTTGATACCAACATATTCTTGAGGTGTTACACCCTCACCAGATTGTCTGTCGTGATCCATACAGGCCTGACCGTCTTTTTCGGAGTAAACCGTGTAACGCTCACCAAACTTAATTTTGCCAAGTTCTCTGAGCCTGGTGATTTGCCATCTAACGAAAGCATCAAAGTACGGGTTCAAATCAGTGGTAGTGAACGCACGCCTCCAATCAATACGAGCACCCATAGCTGTACAATCTTCCTGGCAGAGAGGTGGGAAATGCACTAGCCAGTGCTGTGGATCAGCAAATTTGATCACTTCTTCTTTGGGGATACCAAGTTGCAACATAATTTCGAACTGGAATTTACCGCGACCTTGTTTGGCAACAGCCTTGGACTTCTTGGCCTTGAACTTGGTGACGTCTTCGGATTCTGCCTTGGCTTGCTGTGGCGCATCTGCTTGTTCTTCGTCTTCAGCTGGTGCCTTGGAAAAGTCCGGGCCAAAAAGCTCAATTTCTCTTTTAAGCTTGTCAGCGCAGGCCAGAATAGGCATACCAGTGCAGTGGAAACCCAGTGGGAACAAGGCTCTTTTGCCTTTCATTCTCTCGAACCCCACAGAAAACTCCACTTTAGAAAGCGTGAACATATGTCCAGCGTGCAGAACACCATTTGTGTAAGGGAAAGCAAGCGAGGACATGAACTTTGGGTACTTTTGCTGTAGTTCCTCGCAGTCCACACTCACGCTTTCTTCTTCGATAGATGGCGCATCAATTTCGAACAAATGTTCTTCCGCCCATAGCTTTTGATACTTCTTTTCAATAGCGATCAACACATCTCTACGAGCGGTATTCTCAAGGACCAAACCTTTGGTCTCAGTCTCAGCAGACATCCTCAAAGTCTAGCTCGATGTTCGTTGTTGAGCGATGACTAGAGTAAAAGTAGTCAGTTAGCTGATTTGGAAAATTTTCTTATTAACTGTCGTGGAAAGGAAGAAAATAGAGACTCCAGTCATGTTACCAAGTTCGAAGAAGCGAACAGAGGAAGGTAGAGTATTGATCTGGTTGAATAGATGGCGTTTGAGATGATTATGATTGTGAGACCTCTATGGGGGTTTTTAGGGTGATTTTGAAATTGCAATTGTGACGCCAGGGAGGTTTTTGAATAAATTTTTGGCAAGGTCAGTTTTCTTTAAAACATGCATTTTAACATTCTCTAATGGGCAGTGAATTGCAATATGGTGGTGCCAAATTATTCGTTTTTAATTGTGCTAGTTCTTGAATTGGTAGAAACTCTTAGATTAATTTACATAACTGCGTGTTTACCGGATTTAATGCCATGATATTTTATTTGAGCTGTGTTACTGTGATAAAGTGCTGCCACGGTTTTAGAACTCTCACAGTTTAGTGGCAATGTTCCTGCTTCTAATGTCACAATGGGGTCGCCAAGCCTTCTGGAGTAGCTGAAATACTGTACGATCACTTTGTTCTTTTGCGTCGCCGGTGGTGACAGTTTAAAGTCCCATATGTAGATATACATACTATGTTGTCATCGAACATAGATAGGCTTCCCAATGTTCGAAGACTCGTCGATTAACGAAAAAGTCTTGACAGAATTGAGTACAGCAATTTGATGGGTATGTTGTAAATTTTGGTATGAAAAATGTCTCTAATAGTTCCTCAATTCTATCAAAAAAAATAAAAACTTCCCTTCTCGGTGTCCTCTTTCCCTTTCTCTCTCCCTCTCTCTCCCGATCTTGAGCTTTACTCCAAGACCCTAAATTTGTTCTCTGTGAAAATATCAAAAATCATAGCCACGATCCCGTAGCTCATGAATCGTCCACAACCAAGTAGAGGCAGCATTGTCGAGATTATTGGCCACATAGCTGGGTTTTGCCTCTCGCCCCCCAGTCGTGAGATACTTGCCATTATCCCACTCTCGTTCCAGTTCGGTTGAAAGTGCTGCTTTCAGTGTGGAAACCGAACCCTGCTCATTGGAGACTCCAAAGAAATAGCCTACCAACTGGAAATAAAACCAAAAGAAAATACCTACTATGGGAAGCCGCGTCCAATAGCTAAACAGGTTGGTCTTCATGACCAGACCAGGATGCACGGACATGCACAGGATGTCTGGATGCTTTATCGCCAGCATTTTGGCAAACTGAATGGAGGCCGTCTTTGCCATTGCGTAACGCATCCACGTAAATATAATGTTCGGCTTGTAATTGAAGCTCTGTGATAAGCTGAAGTAAGAAAGCTCCAGGTTATGGCCCACGGACGACACGGATATAATTCTGCCGCGACACCGCTTGATACTAGGTAACAGCTGCATCGTGAGTAAAAAGTGAGCCACGTAGTTTGTTTGTAGCTGAATTTCGAACCCGTCCTCGGTCACGCTGTATGGAAGGGCCATCACACCCGCGTTGTTGATGAGCACGTCCAAAGAGGCCTCCAGACTGCGAAACCTTTTTGCAGCTTTTTCAACCGACTTTAGCTGCGTCAAATCCAGCGACAAAAACAGCAATTCTCCTAGAGGACTTCTCTCTTCCGGTTCTAAGGCTTTAAGTCTAGCTTTGGCTTCCTTCTTGATGTCCTTCATGGCCCGAGAAACCCGGTTGGCATTTCTTCCCGCTACATAGACTGCGAATCCGTGCATGTACAGATGTAGAACGGTGTACCATCCGATGCCACTGTTTCCACCTGTAACTAAAGCTACCTTGCGGTTTTTACGCGGATTATAATGCGGCAGGGAATTAAAGTCAAAGTTCGTCATGAAAGGCAGACACTTATTAGGGAAGGCAAGAAGATAACGACCGACAACAACTATTGATTAAAAGCTTTATCTAACAATTCAGATTTCCAAGCATGCGCCCGCGCTTAAAAAGGGTATATAGAAGGTTGGTGTGTAGCGATTTCGTCTTTTCAGGACATTTCTTCATGATATGAACCGATGAAAGAAATTGGGTATTAATTTCACAATTAAAATTCAGGATGTTCAGTGTATGATTACTGGCCAAAACTGAACCGACTAAAAGTGTTGCAAAAGCTATCAAAATACGACGTAGCTTGGAATATTCAATGAATTGAGAGTAATCGTAATGGTTTATACTATTTTGCTGAAATTGATCTGCTCAATTGGATGAGCTAAGCCCAAGCTCTTAAATGAAAGGATGTCTAATTAATATAGTAATTTCGCAGAGTGGGCATTCCTTTTAGGGCTTATTGGGAAATACCTCTCAATACCTCATAGTTGTTCTTTCTAATTTTCGGTGTAGGTTCTATGAGAGCTGATGACAGTGGTCGCCAGGATTCTCAAATTGCTAATGACTGTCAAAAAACACAAAATGCCAGGTTGTTCTTGGCAAGAAAAAACACACCTTCTGTGTGATTCTAAAACCAAATTAAGCGAGGACAACGGAATAATGCGAGTAGACCACATATCCATCGCAATATGTGTAGCATACCATGATAAATTCGCTGATGGCCAAACACCCTAGAAGAATCAAATAGAGGAGAACCAAACGTAAAAAACAAGGACAAAGAAACAGTTAAAACACATTATGAACACACTCGGCTTTGAATGCCCTCACAATCGCTCTAACCAGCTCACTGCTACTCATTGATGCTCTCATCGATCACGTGGTTTCTGTGACGAGTGAATGGCGATTAAAGTAGCCCATCTAATGTGAAAGATCCAAAGTTAGCCTCGCCAAGAATTAACATCGAGTGTTATCCCACCCTTGCCTTAGCTTGTGATTATCTTTCCCGCTGAATGGATTTCAAACACATCTTACACCAGTTACAGCCGCTTTTGAATGATGGTACTCTTGCCAAAACCTGCGAAGATCAAGACGTCGCGAGACATTACGTCTCATCCTTGTCTGAATTAGCAGTAAGTCTTCGGGCACCTGCAAATAGAGATACTATAAGAGATTCGGGTGTTTTGGAGCGGTTTTTAGACCTTTTGAATACGACCTTAGATCAAAAAAGTATTGCCACAGGCGTCATCGCTGTGCTGTCAGAATTGGTTCGCTGTCTTGCCAATTGTTTAGCGGACAATGGCCCCAACCGATCCGTATTTATGTCTCAGTGCGTCTTGAAGACGGGTCTAGAAAACTGCCAGCTCCCTCGCTTATTAAACCCTGAGATTGCCGCTGACAATGACCTGGCTTCCAGTTTAAGGTTGAGGTCACTGGCGTTGATCAAAAATCTGTGTTTGGACAACGAAACATACGCTCAAGATTGTTCAAAAATATTGACAACTGCCTTGTTTCAAATGCTTCGCTCATCTCGTCTCGACAGCGCTCACGAGGACGAAATCGACTCCATAGCGATGGCATCAGACTTACTATTCGAATTTACCAAATTTTCCCATAACAAGGTCCGTGCTGTTGAGATTCAAATACTTGTACAATTGCTGCGGTGTGTCGCACCAAAAGCAGGGACAAATGCGCCCAGTAAAGACGAAAGTGACCAGGAGGATCCTTATGGCGAGATTTGCCAGCTGCTGGCTGGCACATTGGAAACAATCGTTTTGAGAAACGAAACTATTGATTTTTCAGATTCGGCAGCTACGCACAAGTTACAAAAGGCTCTACTAGAATCGTTAGCTACTCTGGAATTGAAGGCAAACCTTGAAAATAAGCTCATAATTATGCGCAGGCTTGTCTCTGTTGTGGGCTTGATATCAGCCAACAAGTCCAACTCGAACCTCCAGGACCAGGATATGTGCTACGAGGTCCTCCAAAGGACAGATGGCGGATATACCGCCGCAGCAGCCCTCATTGTGCTCTCTAACTCGGTCTCGTCACGCCAGGTGGCGGACAAAATCTGTGACAACATTTCTCTGGGCTCTCTCATCAAAGCTTGTCAAAACTTTCGGGATCCGGTGCAATTTCAAGGTTTTTTGGACTTGACGAAGAAGCTCTTAAACCTCTCTAATGTGCACGATTTGCAAGAACCAGATTTAGCGCTGTTGTTCTCAGAGCTAAAAATTTGCCACGACCAGTGTCAGTATTTTCAAGGCCTGTCACCCTTGGTGGATGCATTTTTGGACAAGTTAATCGCGCTACTCCCCGGTTCTGTGCTTCGAAAACTTTTAGCACATGAGAATTTCAAGAGCGTCATTATTGAGCGTGGCGGAATTGCATCTGCCTTGCTTCTAGACAAGCTGGTCTTGCAGAAAAATGGTCGCGACGATAAAATTCTGGCAGATCTGTGGACGTCGGTATTTCGGTTACACGATTCGTCTGTAACCCAGTCACAGGGAGTCTCGACTCCATTTTTATTCCAATTGATGAAATCACTGGGAATTTACCTACGTTCTTTAAACACTCAAGATCCCAATCTGGTGTTTGAGTCACATTCTCAACAGCTTTCAATGTTGTTGGACACCATAGCGCCGTTGGTCACCAAAACAGACTCCGCAAGTCGAAGTATCCATAATAATGGTCGCTTCGTAGCAGGCATGATCGTGAATCTACTCAAGGACAAGATTATGACTCCCGAAGAGGCTAAACTACTCGAATCTGCCACCAAGCTGCTCATGGACAGCTAGTTCTCGAGATGATGTCATGATACACGAAAGGTCAACTTCAGTTATAGAGACATATTGTCAATTCAAGGGCATCGCAAGAGCAGAACCAAAGACGTACTTCAGTTGGCAAGCGTGTATAGATATCTCTTTCAGTTATGAACATCGACGATGGCGATTCGTGCCAACTACTTGGACCGGTGTCGCTTCTCATCCAGTCCTCAATGGGCCTTTTGGCAATAGGGGGAGTACTGATCAAACGACGCTACGAGAGACCCAGAAGACGCTGGAAAGTGTGGTGCTTTGATGTGGGGAAACAGGTTCTGGGATCGCTCATACTGCACTTTTTAAATGTGGGGATCAGCATCTTAAAACAGCAGGGTGATACTCTCTTGGCTGCGATGAGCCTGAGAAGCTACAACGGGGAAGATGATTCGGGCGGAGATCAGTGCGATTGGTATTTTCTCAACCTGTTGATGGATACCACGGTGGGCACTCTGGTCTTGTGGCTGACACTGAGTCTACTAGAAAATTGGTTAACGAAGCTTGGAGTTCAGAACATCGAAAGTGGCAATTACTACTCCGAGCCCCTTACGGTTGCTCACCTGGAAGAAATCTCGACGGAAAACGCCGGGGATGCCCACGCCAAATATAAGAGCTACGAGCCGCTTTTTAGCGCCTTTGGCAAGCAGCTGATGGTGTTTGTGTGCGGGCTGGCAGTCACCAAGATGTGCATTTTTCTCGTTTTGGCGTACTTCGAGGTTTTGGCCGTGTGGTTTGCCAAACTCGCACTCGGGTGGTCCAACCCGTGGCCCAACTTCCAAGTGTTCCTGGTCATGTTTGTGTTTCCGGTTTTTTTGAACTGTTTCCAGTACTTCTGTGTCGATAGCATCATCAAATTACACCCCAAGACAATGTCTTCTAGTGAGCGTGAGAACTTTGAGGACATCTACAGCTCCACTGCGAGCAGTGCGGGAAGCAAGAACACATACGGTGCCATTCCATAGAGGCTTAACACGGCAAGATACCTAAAAATGACAACGATGCCTAAAGACGTAATGAAGCAGCTTCGCAACTCGTCAGGGGCAACAAGATCGACAGGAAATCTTATTTTTGACGCCTGCGCCGCATCAAAACTGATCCTGTGTGCCGCGTTTTTGAACTTCTGACAGCTTTTCTTTCGACCACGTCCACGACTACACTACAAAGAAGCCTTTTTTTGGCAAAGCACATAACAAGGAAGCTAAAAACTTGATTGAGTGGAATGCTTGCGTGGCAGTTCTGCTACGATATTGTTGACCGTTGAGGTTGATGCTAGTGACAGCAGAGCGTCACATGGGATGCCAGTTGCCCATATTTTGCCATATTTTTCGCGGTATGAGATGTGCATTTTTCGTGGAATTTGTGGGTGAAGTCAAACAATGCTCAAGAATGGAAAGATTAGGCATTTGAACTTCGAAAAGTTTAAACGCATACCGGTGATTTGAAGTTGCTGTTTCGCGTTTGGGCCAACATTGCGGTATTGTTCTGATCAGCGTCATGGCCTTTGCAAAAGTATAAAAGTGAGGCAAGAATCTGGAACATATGGTGGGAACATTTCGCGATGGACTACTCTTTGCAAGTTTCCTGTAACTCTAGACATTCAGTTTTGAACTTCGTAAGCCGCAAGCTATCCTGAGCCACTTCAATTGGTCTCGTCCACTCATTCGTTCAAGCTTTACTTGTCCAAACTCTTCGCTTCAACCCTAGTCGTTCATTCATTTATTCCCACGCATACATTCCAATGAAAATTTCCACTCTAATCCAGGCTGCGGTCGCTACATGTGGCCTAGCTTCCGCATCGGAATACTCCAACACTACGACCACTTTGGTGCCCAGCACCAAGGCTGTTTTGACCACGGAAACCACTGAATTCACCAGCCAGGGTGTCGACTACACCTCTACGATCACGCTTATGACCACCGTCACTTTGAGTGAAGCCGAGACGTCTGCCACTGCCAGTGTATCCGTCAACGGCAACGCCAAGGGTGCCAACGCTCTCTCTGCTGCTTCTGCTGCTTCTGCTGCTTCTGCTGCAACCACCACCTCCGAGCTCTGGTCCACCATCACGTCCACTTTGTACACTACACAGAGCATCACTCTGTCGAACAGCGAGGTGTCTCTTTCCACCAGTGCCTACGAGAAGCAGATCGTCGTGGGAACATCCAATGCTGCTTGCACTCCCCAGACCGTCACCGTCACCCACGACACCACCCACACCCAATATGTCACCGTGACAGCTTCGAACCCAGCTGCTTCATCATCGTCATCATCGTCGTCGGGATACACCTGGGCTCCAGCATCGGCTTCTATCTACAACGGTACTAGCACTTACCATTGATTTACCATGTCACCGGTTGTGCCAGGTCAACACTCATTTTTCAGCTATGTGCCTAGGTATGGTTTAACGTTTCGATTTATAAGAATAACAATACCCATTCTCATGATGGGTCTTGAGCGTAGATGGGTCTGAATCTGGACTGTAGAGTATGAGCCTGGTGGACACCGACTGTGATAGTTTCACAGCTAATGAACCGATGCTACGTCAGAATAGTAAAAAGTGATAACATCCCAAATCTTTAAATTCTTAAATTGCACAAGTTGCTTGTCATTGAAGGCTGGTTCACGTTGTGAAAACCACCTCTATGGGCTTGTGAAATAGCTCTGCAATTGCCTTTTACTCCCTCGACGTATGTGTTCAAGAAATAGCTTCGAATACGGTATTTACATGATTTATGCTATACTAAAGCCAAGCAAGCTCCAAATTAGCCGGTAGTCTCACACAAATGGTAAGACCAGCTCTACTAAACATGCCAAGTCTCTAAATCGCCTTTTACAGTTTGTCGTCGCTGTGATTTCATCAAATATTCCCCAAGTCACGTGACACATTATCACGTATATAAAATGAAGTAACATCACTGAGAAAGACCCACTCCAGTAAGTTCAACTGAGTCGTACTCTAGCCTCTCACCTCTGCAACTACCTAGACGATGACATAAATGACCGGTGGAATCCGCAAGTTGGACGAAAATGTCGCCAGGGTCGTGGCCGCTGGGCCCTCTGTAAAATGCATCACGACTGCAATAGACATGCTTTTGAAGAACAGCGTAGAGTCAGGCGCCTCTGAGGTAGAAGTGGTCTTGGATTTGGAAAATGATGCGTTTTCGGTGCGAGACAATGGCTGCGGAATGAGTGGTAGAGATTTGCTCCATTTCGGACAGCTTGGGTACTCTTCGAAATCTGCACGGACATCGGTGTTTCGGCACCATGGCCGCAGCGTTTACGATATTTCGTGCATGGCAAAAGTCACAACGCTCACTAGACTCTGTGGTGAAAGCTCAGCTTGGTTGAAAAAACCTACAGGAGAGATCGAAAAATGCGACTGTACGCTGTCTGTTGGCACGTCGATCATCGTTACCGACTTTTTTTACAACGTACCAGTTCGACGCAAGGCTTTCAAGGCAATGTCTCCTAATGCTATCTACGAGGAAATCAGGTTTCTGGTGTTTGACCAGCTTGTGCTACATTCAGATTTGCAAGTCCATGTCACTTCCGCGAGTCTGCTCGAAAACGGCTTTACGATACTCGAAACCCCAAGCGTGGATAAGGAGTCCCCAGAGACTGATAAGATTTCGCGTTGTTTATTCGGTGCTTTTGATCTGCCCAGCAGCGACTATTGTCTGAAGCCCGTTAGTGCTAAATTCAAGGAATTTACGATAGATGGGATGATTTCGACCAGACCGAGTCCCAGCAAGCAGTTTCAGCTCCTATACATCGACGGCGAAAGATGCCGAGATTCAGTCATACTCAAACCAATTCTCCACCTGTTGTCAAATGCGAGGTCTCAATTAACAGGAAATAAGCGGGATTCGTGCCGGCAAATATTCCCATTTGTGCTCAAATTTTCGACGTGTCTTGGGACAAACGACACGTACACCCAAACGCCAAAGCATAGTTTTGGTGCCGAGAGTGTTTTACATTCGTTGGTCGCTAAAATAGTCAATACATTATTCAAGTTAGAAGTGAGCTCACCACGGAAGCGTACGATTTCGCAACGAGATGTTGATACCAAAAGGCCTCATTCCTGTGGAATGTTACTGGATGCTCCACTGACGTTGCTTACGAATTTCAAAAGATCTGTGCTTCAAACATTTTCAGCTGTCAATCAAGTCGACAGAAAATTTATTTTGCTACGAACAACTAAAGAGGTCCCTCCCAGTCACCCAGCTTTGATCCTTATGGACCAGCACGCATGCGATGAGAGAATCAAATTTGAATCAATGCTCAAAGACTTTATATGCGGGCTGGCGCTGTCGCCGCATGCGTTATCTGTGAACTGTCAGGTTCATGTAACAGTGACACCTCGCGAGTACCAGAACATCGAGGAATACCACGATGAATTTGCCAAGTGGGGGCTGCGATACACTGTTAAAGCTTCAAGCAGAACATCTCAGCAAATTGGGATTGAGATAACCGGGGTACCAAAACTTCTGCGACAATGCTCAAAAAAAACCATAAAAGAAGTGCTGTTGAAGCACGCAGACGACTTGCGGATGTTCAGAAAGACTTGCGTGGGTACTGCATTTGGGACTAAAGATTTCACGTGGTGGGAATATATCAAGTGCATGCCTTCAGTTTTAATCGAGATCCTTCGCGGTCGAGCGTGCCGATCTGCCATTATGTTTGGCGAGGAGCTTTCGGTTTCAGAGTGCGAGTTGCTAGTGACCGATTTGCAAAAATGTCGAAATCCATTGTACTGCGCGCACGGGCGACCCTCATTGGTACCAATTACAGTTGGTTTTGGGACTGAAGACCGTGCGTTTAACTCCGATTATCTTATAGAGCCTGCTTAGATGCGAGATAGAGTTTGGCAGTGGCCAGCTGCAGATTGGCGTCTGCATATGCTAGGATTTTGTGCATGACACTGCTGAGGAGTTCAAAGCATTTTTGTCTTTTGTCCAACGCGAGAAGAACCTCGGATAAAAGCAGTACGCTGGGCCCCAGAAGGGAATTATTTTTTGTTGTCGAGGCGTGTTCGATCACCTTAGACAAGATTGGCAAAGTTCTTACGTGCAAATGGCACTGAACCAGGATTTGACATTTGGCCAACTGAAATCGATGCTCGTTTTCAACATCAGCAAGTTCGGACTGGCACTCGTGTATTCTGCAGTTGACGAACTGCATGGCCTGATCATATTCGGCCAGAGATATCCATTGGTCGATGATCTGTTTTTCGAACATCCGTTTCTCGAAGTAGGTCAAATCTGGAGCTTTGAGTTGCGTGAGCAGTTCAGGTATTGGCAAGTTTTGCTGAACCATTTCACGAACACCGACGTCTTCATAAACTTCCTGCAAAGCTTTGGACCCCAGATACTCCCAGATCTTTGAGTTGTGCGCCGCCATCATACGTGTTCCGTTTACCCTTTGCAACGCCAATAAACTGGACTTGAAGGTGGATTCCAAAATCTGCACGACGTCGCCTGTATTTTGCATCGTCCACAAGGTGTCGTAACGATAGCCCATTTCAAAAACGTACGAGCTATGATCTTGAGGACAAGTCTTCAAATACTGTAGAATTTGGGCCGTGGAAACATGGAATTTGGGAGCCAAATTCGGATACTTGCACATAAATTCGAAAACCCACATTAGAATCAAGTTCAGCGTGTGAGTGTCCTTGTTTTCGCGGGCCACAGCGATGGCTTCTTCAAAGGTCTTCACCGCTGCATCGCTGTTGTGGAAGTGCGCGTGGAACGATGCCAGTGACAGCAGCGATAGATAGAAGTTGGGTTCCGTATTTTGTCCGAGCATGTAGTCGAAATACCTGTATAGCAAGCTCAAAAAAGTGTCGTAACGGTTTTGACGTAAATCTTCCAGGCCCTTGAGCACATAAACAACTGGGAATCGCGCTGTGTCCTCTAGCGACATGCAGTCGATGAGCATGCGAGTGCGCTTTTGCAATGGAGAGTTGTTGTATAGCATCAAGTGTGTTTCGTGCGCGAGTAAAGCCTGCAGATGATCGTGGGAGATCATCATCCGCACATCGCGATCGTCACTAGTCAAGTCAGAGTACCGATCGCTTAGCCCTGCGTTTCGTAGTTCTTGTAATCCTTGCAGATCGGCGTCGGACTCGAGTATAAAGCGCATCAACGGGTCCAGCGGCGGCCTTTGGCAGTGGAAGCCCTTCCATTCCGCGCACTCGCGCTTAAACTGTTGCAGGTAACGCTGTAGATTTCTCCACAGCTTTTCAGAGTCCTCAAAGTCCTGCAATTTATGTTTCGAGACGCACTGGCACACGTAGCGGCCCAAAAGACTGGATCGAGTGAGCTGGCGGTCCAGTACGCGGCCAGCACGAGCCGCAGCTACGGCTCGGTAGTTATCTCGGATACAATGAGTGTGGAGGGTCGAAATCAGCTTATCGACGGCGCCCACGGTCGCTACACGCTCCAGCGTGGTCACCATTCTCAACGCGGCCGGTGCGCATCCGTGGTCCTCAAGCAGCTGAACCAAGTCCCCGAGAAGCGGTGGTACCACTTCTGCTGCCTCTATTACACTTTCCAGACGATTAAACGGCGCTAGCGCGCGTACAGGCCCGTTAGGCGATGGTATCAGCTTCAACAAAGTCTGGTGGCCGATGTGCTCGGTATTTGCACAGAAAAGCGTCACCAGTACCAGAAGGGCCACATCGTGCGGCGTCAGCGTATCTGTGATCACCACGGCGCGTTTGCAGTGCATTGAGGCTTGAAGTTGAGACGAGAAGGTAGATTTTGGAACTGGGATGTGAAGTTAGCATTTTGTAAAATGTCAGACACCTACGGATGATGGGTATAAGAAGTGAACTTTTGAGAGCGTCAACGATCAACGAGACTGTGTGATTCAGTGGCAGGACGTGTTCCAATGATTGGCTGAACGATTGAGAGCGTCTGCGATCAATTGCGAACAAGAGGGCTACAATGACAGAGGAATTGAAAGCGACAGCGATCGAAAGTGAATAGGTGAAAAACTCGAAGCCAAACTTGGAGATTCAAGAGTGCCAGTGCGTTCAATTGATTGAAGTTGTGAATGAACGAGAATAGTCTCACAATTGGTGGCTAAAGTTCCCAACTGTGAACAAATAAGCACGCTATGGTTAAAATCAGACAATGAAACGCCAACGATCGATTGGCATCACTGGAAAATCACCAGCACGGGGTGGAACACTTGATTTGCGGTTTACGAGCCAAAGTGCTGAAAAATAAAGGCCTATAAGTCTTTTTGGATGGTCAAACGAGACTCGATAGCGAGTGAGAAGCGAGTGTTAATATGTTTATTGTATGGAAGAGTTCGAAGAGTGCTACAAGTTTGGACTACATAAATAGCTTCTGCAATGGTCTTTAAATTCATGAATATTGTTCTCGACTGTGTATGAGGAGAGAGAGAGACAGTTTGGACGACTTGACGGTTTTGGTGGAAAGCACGACGATAGCTTTGAATTGTGAATTGTGAATTTAAAATACGCTTAAATTAGTACTCATGCATGTACTCGCACTTTTAATCTTTCAAGGACGGTCACTTTGTTCCAATATGTCATGTCTCGCTCTGTTATGGATGTGATCAATGTACCAAACTCAAAGCGGTGTCGAATACTTGTGACAACATTCCATCAGAATTTCAGCGACCGTCCTGTGCGTATGCGATTTTTATTAATTTTGCTTGTCGAGTTCGCAATTTCGAGAGACACGCTACTTATTTAATCAGCTGTTAGCATCGGTTTGTTCAATTGCCAGAAATTACTGCTTATGCCCTACACCCAGACTAAGCTCGGCTTACGAAATTGAATGCTTTAAAAAAACGACAACTGTGGTGACCATCCATGTGCAGAATTTGGTTTACCAATTTTAGGCGAGAGAGAAAGGGCTTCACAAACTAAGATTTGTATTTAGGTCAATGAACTCGCGGCGAATTAAGAACTCGAATCTATATCTTAAATATATGCTTTAAGTTTAACGAAGTTGGGTCTCGTGCGTGGAATATACTTGTCTTGAGTGCAAAGACAATAATCCACTTTAGAAAGCTCTATTTCATATGATATCTGAAAAATGACAAAGGAACAAAACCGTATTTACTCTAGCAGTTTATAATATTTGCTGCTTCACATAATCTTCTTACGATTAGACCTGACTATATGCTCACACTTCTTCAAACGTAAATTATATCCATTTCGCTTATGGCTACGATTACACCGCTAAGAGAACTAAGGATACACGACGGTGAAGCGTAATTTTTAGAGGAAGGTACATCAGTTATGATTTGTATGGTCACAAAGTATTCCACACGCAGGTACTTAGAATAGCACGATAACACGATGGCACTTATTTCTCTGACAAATCTTTTTCTCTCAGCTTCAAAGCTTTTCACAAGGTCATCCGTCCACTCCCAAACATGGGTAGCTGCCCATATCGAAACACCAATGCTTTGTATTACGGAAAACAGGAAAAGATAGCTGACCATCGTGTGGTATTTGAGCTTCTCGATGATGCCCACTACTCCGTAGAAGCTGTTAAATATGTATATCATTAAAGTCACATAGCCTGGAATTGCGTGTAGTGTGCAGCGCGCCTCTTTCAATTGACTAAATCTCTGCTTTAGTATGGGAGAATGTTGGGAACTTGCGTTGCGCTACGTTCTTCTCTAAAAGATAAATAATCATCTTTTGTGCTCATTGTGGTTACCGAGCAAGACAACCAAAAAAAGGCGACAGAGGCCAAGGAGAAGACAACCGCTACTACGGTCATAATGTGCTTTTCGCAGCTGGTAATACTTATTTTAGAGAGCTTATGAGACGAGAAGGTCGTCGACATATATATACATATCCGTTTCTGTCAAAGTGATACTCCAGCTTCATGTCGTAGAAAAGTCTGGCCATGGAGACAAACCAAGCATTTATTTGACCTAAAAAAGACAAACAAATGAATCAGAGCTGTTGCTGTCATTTGTGACAACTGGGATGTCGTGAGGCTACAACTCTTTTGTATAGAAGTGCAGACCGACTTCTGATATACAATGTCCATGATATTTGCCTTTGTGACAACAAATACCTTTTGAATGCCCGTTTTTGAAAGCACTTTATTTGCGGTTTGGTATCAACCAAGTGGTGAATCATCGTTGATCGACGGCTTTTCAAGGAGCTCTTGGACATTTTGAAAATACGTCTTAATCCTAAACAGGTTTATACGCACGTTCCGCGTACCGTTGATCATGGCGACGGTTAAAAAAAACCTGCCAATATTTGTGTCGTTATCAAGGGATTAAGCTTGGAGCTCACGCGGTCTATACGCATATCTGTTGCTTGATCACCGCTAGTTGGGATCGAATGACTAACGTGTTTTCTTATTTTCAAACAATTCTGACAGATGTCATCTGTCATTCTGCCACGTGATCATTTGCTGCTGTTATACCTGCTACACTTATAATAGAACATATTGATCATACCTATCGCGTCACACTCAACTGATTGGTGTTACCAAGTTGATTTCGAATATACAAAATTACGTTTTCAACGAATTAAGAGGCTACATGTTATTTCCTCTGTGGTCCCAGAAAGGTTATGCCGTTTGCCACGCACAATTTCAAGAACATACTCAAATGCTCCCACCAAATGGCTCTTAAGCAGCTTCGAAGGAGTCCAAAATGTTGTCTGTCAGCTTGTGAGCGTCACACATCACCCATATATTTATGAGAATGCATTGTGCTGCGGAGAACAGAAACAGGTACTTAGCTGCCGTTTTACGCGAGAGCTTCTTGATGCTAGCATCGTCACCGGCCTTCATAGTTATGTAAAGTCCAAGTGATATCAGGGCCAGTTTCACACAGCCAAGGGCGTCATCAGCTCGATCTTCCGCAAATTGGGTTGCAATTTTGGGATGTGTAAGTCAGGGTGTTCGTCGACCCTATAATTTTTTATTTACGACATGAGTTATCTTTCGTGAAAGCCCTCATCATGATCACACTGAGCCTAAGAAAAACGTATGACAAAATCGTAAATGTGATCGTCACTTCAATGTCTCCAAATCTTCTTACCATAATGTGTGTTTGTCGGTAGTTCTACAATTACGTATTTCCAAAATACCATGAAAACCGACCTTTATATAGACTTACTCTGTAAAGTGAAACTTTATGGTCAACAAGAACTAAAATGTCTGGCATAGAGGATCAGGAATGGCAAGTATCCTTTACGCGCGTTTACCCTTATATTAAAGATCGATTTGATGTGAGCAGCCGCTGGACGTGAGAAGCCTCATAGCTCAGCGGTATCTTTTCAACTCGCTCTTTGCGAACTTGCGAGTCAAGATTAAAACAATGTATGAAATTGGAAAGAATTTCCATGTATTTTCCGTGCAAAATCAAAGTGGGCGATGAGTTCCACGACTTATAACAAATTCCGATATTTGTGTGAGATACTTTACACTTACACGGCGCATTCGCCCTTGCGTTGCTTGATCAGCGCGAGTCGGCATTGAGGGCACAAGTGTTCAACACACGGACATGACTTACTGTCACTTTTGAGCTAATCTGACATCTGTCATTTCGTCACATGCTCAAAGTCTTGACAGAAAATGCGACAGAACTCATCAAATCATGTTGAACCGCTTCCTGAGGCAGACATAGTATCAATTGCGCACGGCCATGTCTCAACGAATTAAAACGCTGAATGCTATGTTCTTCGTGATCCCAAAATAGTTATGCCGTATGTCGCGCAAAATTTAGATAGCATAAGTTTGAACCTCATCACTAAATGGTGCTTCAGCAGCTTCAAAAGTGTTCAAGATGTCTATCGTCCATTTGTGAGCGTGACATATCACCCAGACACTTACCAGAATGCATCTCACTGTTGAAAACAGAAATAGGTAATTAGCACTTGTGTTATGTGAGCTTCCCAAAGCTACTATCTTCATTGCCTTCGATAGCAGTGTATAACATAAATGTCATTATGGCCATTAGTGCCGTGGTAAGGGCCTCACAAGCTCGCTTTTTCGCAAATTTGTATGCAAATTTGGGATCAGTATAATTAGGGTGTTCTACGACGTTAAAATCATCTATCACTGCAATGTAATGATTTTTCGTGAAACTCCTCACCAACAGCTTACTCGACAAAAGAGAAAGGTATGAAAGAATTGTAAATGTTATGGCCACTCCACTGTCTCCAGATGTTCTTACCATAATATGTGTTCGCCAGCAGTTTAACATTTACGTATTTCCAAAATATTACGAGAACTGATCTCCATAAATAAAAGACGAAACTTCACAATGTAGGCTTTAAAGTGCTTAATGGCCTTTTAGAAAAGATAGGAATAGAAAAGTCATTAATGCTATCTGAGTGACTATTTGCAAGGCATAAAATACTACTCAAGAAACGATTTCACTTTGAAATCAAGATTTAAGGATTTCAAATCTTCTTCGAAGACAAAAACCTTTTGTCGATTAACTGCTGCCGAGAGAATTACCAGTAAAAAGTATGACCCACTGGCGTCTGACAGCTGCCATGGACGTCTGAAGTGTTAAGCTAGTGATAAACGTCCATGTTTTCTACCCTATGAAGGTGAACCAGGAAGGGCGTCAAATCACGTAGAGGTTCACAACGACACGAAAAAAATTGATGTTTGTTCAAAAGTCAAAGTCGCATATCGCCTGGCAACTTCCATCACGCATTCTCTTTGTGAAGCTCTCTGATGTTTCATCTTTGAAAGATTGGCATTCTGGGTTCCTAAACGTTTACACGCCTAGGATGTCACGCTCAATCATTGACAGAGCATGGGGGGGGTATCTGTTTTGAAACTCTGGCTGTTTTATTATAGAAGGAGCTGGAAGAGAAACCTCAGGGCGTGGTGCTTTGAAGTAATGAAGAAGATTCGAGAACGAAAACTAATAGCCTGACAAATAACAATTTGCAGCACGACACCCACGGTCTCGAGTGACTGCTAGCGCAGCACTGAGATTTTGTTCATGGCTTTTTTCATTTGCAAAGGCGTAGACGCTGAGAATCTATACTAAAGTCTTTGTTTCTAGATCTTTTCACCTCTATGACTGGTGAGTTCATTAAATTCATTGGGAAACTGCATTGAAGAAAGGAAGGAAAGACTGCGTGTGCGGTGAAATTTGAGCTGCATTGCACTGCTGTCATTGACGCTAGTGCACAGTCTGAACTAATTCATAGATATGATAGCTAGCAGCTTTACGCGGGAGTTCGAAAATTGTGCAAAGATCGTGCTGAAATGTGTGAAACTAATCTGACACTGACCAGACAGAGAGCTCAAGACTCTTCTCGTTTTCCTTGTAGTCGGGTTTCCAAGCTTTTGCTCTCGCGCTATTATTGGCAGAATAAACAAGTGTGTCAGATAAAGTCATTTATATACAAATGGAGCACTAAGCACACAGAAGTCACCAAGAAGATAGGCTTCGAGCTCGACGACAACTTCAAACTTAATGCCGTGATGAAGCTTCTGTTAAACAATACATGGCGTAGTTTGCAGAGAAGCCTTTGAGGGGCGAACAAAAAAATTGGGGTTTTATACCCAATCAGCTAAATAAGACAAATGCTGTTATTGGTACTTGAGCATACTCGTATTGTCCTCTTTCAAGGCCCAAAGATGAGCTCTTCCGGCGGGTGTTCTCCAGGTTATTGTATTTTGTTTTATTTACTGACGCAGGACGAGCCGTTGAAAAGCTGATGGAGTCACGCGGTACGACTCGAGTGCACCCAAATGACGATTCGCAGCAGAAGATTCTAAATGATTCGGCTGCTAGGGAATTGGACGAAAATCCGACGCCATCTAAATGGCGATGTCGAGCTACCTCCGAGCAGCAATTAAGCACTGTTAGCTCAGCAAAACCTAGCACCCTGTCACGTCACATGATCTAATTTTTGCGCGTCACAGTAGTACAAAGTGATAAAAATACCACCATCACCCAAACCACCGCACTATAAGATCTTAAGTAACTCACAATTGATCGATGACGCTTTTCGAACTATGAGCATTTTTCAATTCCCAGTTGTTCAGTGGTGCTGAGAGTTTTCCACGCTCGCTGTCGCTCTCAATTGTTCAATAGTGCTTTGAGTACTCGTACTCGCCCATCCACAACCAATCAAGCTAATTAAACTACCTCCAATGATATTAGCAGTTATATCATTAGGATTATGCATGAAAGTATTAATGCTTTTTTAAATATGGTTTGAGCTTCCAACTCAAGAGTGAGCCGGCATTTCTAAGTTTTATATAGTACTCGTAGCCATCTTGATTTTTCACACTTTTTCGCTGAGACTCTAAATTGTTCAGTAGTACTACGAGCCCTTTGTTTATTCACGATTTATCGCTGACGCTCTAAATTGTTGATCGTTAACACTCTCGATTGTAAACGAAACCCTGATGGGCCATTAAAAGCGCCGGCGCTCTTTATTCCTGTATAGTGCTTACAGCCATTTTAATTTTTCACAATTTTTCGCTGACGCTCAAAATTGTGCAATAGTGCCACGAGCCCTACAATCATTCACAATTGATCGCTGACGCACCCAATTGTTCAGTAGTTCTTGTAGTTCTCTCTCTGTTGTTCAACTGTGCTTCGCGGTCTCTCCAGCCAATCACATCTCGCCCTGTCCACATGACCTCGAAAACCGTTACCCTCCCCAGCTCATCCATTTAGCACTCACTCCCAATTCTCGTCTCTGATTGGCCAAGCCCAAAAACCTGAAGAATTTTCGAATATCCATGAAAAATACCTTTAATCTTCAATTCTAACTCTTCCACTACACCTTTTCCGAGTTCTAAAAGAAGGCCAACTAGGTTCAATTCTTGCTCACGACACTGCTCACACGAACTCACCGGTTGTGCGTTTGTGCTGATTCTGTTTTTTTTGATTCTTATATATTCCGTTTGCCTTAATCGCGTTGGGACGTGTTTGTTGATCGCCGCTCCAGCCCAAGATACTCAAGAGTTTAAGAAGAACCCGTCCATCCACACACACAAACAATAGAATAAGATGTTGTCCCGTTACTCTGTTGTCCGCACAGCGGCCAGATCGCTGGCCAAGGCCGGCGTTGCCCGTGCCGTCGTTAGACCTGTGGCTGCCACCATGATCGCTGGCTCCAGACGTTGTGCGTCTGCCAAGGCCCAGCCCACCGAAGTGTCCTCGATCCTCGAGGAACGTATCCGTGGTGTTTCTGAGGAGACCAACCTAAACGAAACCGGTCGTGTCCTTTCCGTCGGTGACGGTATTGCCCGTGTTTTCGGTTTGAACAACGTCCAGGCCGAAGAATTGGTCGAATTCTCCTCTGGTGTCAAAGGTATGGCTTTGAACTTGGAACCCGGCCAAGTCGGTATTGTGTTGTTCGGTTCTGACCGTCTCGTCAAGGAAGGTGAGGTGGTCAAGCGTACTGGCCAGATTGTCGACGTCCCAGTCGGTCCAGCCATGTTGGGCCGTGTCGTTGACGCTCTAGGTGCTCCAATCGACGGTAAGGGTCCTATCAAGGCCGCCGGCCGTTCTCGTGCCCAGGTCAAGGCACCAGGTATCTTGCCAAGAAGATCCGTCCACGAGCCTGTCCAGACCGGTCTTAAGGCTGTCGACTCTTTGGTCCCTATCGGAAGAGGTCAAAGAGAACTTATCATCGGTGACCGTCAAACCGGTAAAACTGCTGTCGCCATCGACACCATCTTGAACCAAAAGAGATGGAACGACGGTACCGACGAGTCCAAGAAACTATACTGTGTCTACGTCGCTGTCGGTCAAAAGAGATCCACCGTTGCTCAGCTTGTCCAGACTTTGGAACAACACGACGCTTTGAAATACACCGTCATTGTCGCCGCCACCGCTTCCGAAGCCGCTCCTTTGCAATACATTGCTCCTTTCACCGCTGCCGCCATCGGTGAATGGTTCAGAGACAACGGTAGACACGCCGTTATTGTGTACGACGATTTGTCCAAGCAGGCCGTCGCCTACCGTCAACTTTCTTTATTGCTAAGACGTCCTCCTGGTCGTGAAGCTTACCCAGGTGATGTTTTCTACTTGCACTCCAGATTGTTGGAGAGAGCTGCCAAGATGTCCGAAAAGAACGGTGCCGGTTCTCTAACCGCTTTGCCAGTCATTGAGACCCAAGGTGGTGATGTGTCTGCTTATATTCCTACCAACGTTATTTCCATTACCGATGGCCAAATTTTCTTGGAAGCCGAATTGTTCTACAAGGGTATCAGACCAGCCATTAACGTCGGTTTGTCCGTGTCCCGTGTCGGTTCCGCTGCTCAAGTCAAGGCCATGAAGCAGGTTGCTGGTTCTTTGAAGCTTTTCTTGGCTCAATACAGAGAAGTCGCTGCTTTCGCGCAATTCGGTTCCGATTTGGACGCTTCCACCAAGCAGACTTTGGCTAGAGGTGAGAGATTGACTCAAATCTTGAAGCAAAGCCAATTTGCCCCAATGGCCGCTGAAGAGCAAGTGCCATTGATTTACGCCGGTGTTAACGGTTACTTGGACAACGTTGAGTTGACCAGAATCGCCGAGTTCGAGAGCACATTCTTGCCATACTTGAAGGCCAACCACGAAGACATCATCTCTGCCATCAGAGAGAAGGGTGAGTTGTCCAAGGACTTGTTGGCTGCTTTGAAGAAGGCCACCGAATCGTTTGTTGCCACCTTTTAAGCAAGCAACATGTCATTGACTGGCATTTAGCAACACACTAAAGGCTATGTAACGAAACGAATAAAAAGGAGACCAGTGAAATCAACTGTGGATTCATTCAAGCTGCTTTTACCTGACACATCCCCTCCCCCCGAACTACACAAAGCATATGACTTTTACGATTGGATGAGTGACCAACTTAAAAATCTAAGTATATACTGAAGAAATAGAGATAATTTCAATCCTGAGTATCAATTGCTGGAGGAGATCTGAACAATGATGTGGTAGTCGATGTTCTCGAGAAAGTTAGTCCGTAGTCTTCGCCATCTAGTTGATCCTCTACTTGATCCTGAACCTGGCTTCATCACGTCGAGTAGAAGGCGCCCATAAATTACGCTGCGTAGAGAGTGATACATAGAAATAATACAGAATTTATTTGTATAGTACTATCTTCTTTCTGAGATGAGCAAGCCAAATGTCTTCGATTGATTGAGAGAGTAGCTAAACCGTGTGTCCGCTGTCCGGGATCATTCGCTTTAATTTCTGCAACACTGGAGCACACTGATTTACCATCTTTATCAAATTCATTGGCTCGTCACATAATTCTGTCTCTCATCGCATCTACAACAGCGTTGGATCCTACCTAATGACAACTTCAATAAATGAAACCGCTGCTCAAAAGACGGCTGTGCCGTCAAGTATAAGAATTACAGACGACGACCTTTACCGTCATTCTACACAATACAGAATTTGGTCTTTTACTCCCGAAAGGCTCACTCAAATCCGAACCGAGATCAACGCTAGAGCAGGAGCAAAAGTAGAGGAAGAGCTCAAAAATTTCTTTGCATCTCATTTGGACTTGTCTCCTGAGGAGAAAGAGGCGGTGAAGTCCAAAGCCGTGCCGGTGACAACTCATGAAGAGCTCTTACTTGTGAACTATTTTGCGCGTATGATTCTCTCATTTGCAGGAAAAATGAATCTACCGACAGAAGTAGCGGCCACTGCTGTTGCATTCTTCCGCAGGTTTTTCCTCTCGAACTCAATACTAGACTTCCCACCTAAGGAGGTGTTTCACACATCCCTCTTCTTCGCATGCAAAACTGAAAACTATTTCATCGGCGTTGAGTCGTTTGCAAAAAAGGCCAAGACCACTACAGAGGCCATTCTCAAGCATGAATTCAAGCTCCTGGAGAGCTTAAATTTCACTCTAATGAATCACCACCCTTACAAAGCATTACACGGTTTTTTTCTAGATATACAAAACGTGTTATCGAGCAGGGTTGACATGAGTTATATGGGTCAAGTCTACACCAATTGCAAAAGGTCGATATCTGATGCCTTACTTACAGATGCCGTATATTTCTATACGCCTCCTCAGATAACTTTGGCGATTCTCTTGATGGAAGACGAAGCATTAATGATGCGCTACATGCAGCTCAAATTTGGTCTTCAAGTAGAGGATGAAGAGGCTAAAGTGCAGTCCACACAGGACGCCGACTCACAATCTCCAATTACCATAAACGCCGCGAAGCTCCTCGAAGTCATAAAATCGTGCAAATCGGTAATCGAAAATAAGATCATACCCGCCAAAGATGATGCCGTCAAGATAACAGCAAAAATGCATTACTGTCAAAAGCCCATGGCTGTAGTCCAGAGGATGAAGAGGCAACGGGAAGCCAGCAGCACAGCCGCAACGCCTCTACCCGGCGAAGCCGATGCCAAAAAACAAAAAACGTGAAAATGTGTATAATTTAATCGTATGCAGTCAAATGACCTTTTATTCGGGTCGTCATTGTTCTTTCGTTCAATTCTCTATTTACAATATGCTTTTGAACTACTAAAACGTCTTTTGTCCTCGTTAAGGGTTTAACAATATAGCGTAAACCAACAATATGCAGAGTTTCGGGACCTTCGACAACGAAAGGCCGGCCATAGATGGAAAAGGAAATGGAATGTGTGATTCAAGTGAAAGCTCGAGTTTTTCAAGCCTTGATCAAAACCGGGATTTTGGACTGGTCGCCCTTTCCTTTCCTGTCGTCACTGTCAGGTCCATCCACAACCGTGTTCGTTTTCATCTTAGCTTTTGAGATCGATTCTCCTTTGCATACTAATTGAATTTCCGATGAGTCTAACGTTTCGTACTCCATCAGTCCCTCAGCCAAACGCTCAAGTTCCCTGTGTTTTTCAGAGAGCATTTTCCTCGTTCTCTCCTCAGAATCTTTCAGCACTTCAATAACTGCGTTATCTGCTATGTCACGGATTTTACCCGACCAGCTCTCCCAATTGTCGGCAAGGTTTACAGGACCTACACTGTCGCTCATACCGTATTGTGTTATCATGGCTCTGGCGGTATTGGTAGCGCTTTGTAGATCAGATCCGCAACCACTGGTAGTATTTTCCTTTCCGTAGATGATCTCTTCTGCTATTTTACCACCCATGCAGACATCGAGCCTAGCCAAACACTCCTTTTTGGTAATGTCGACCTTGTCCATCTCGGGCAGTTGGAAAGTTATTCCTAGCGCTCTGCCCCTCGGTAAGATGGTAGCTTTGTAAAGAGGTGTGGAACCTGGTGTGTACATCGCCATGATGGCATGTCCAGCTTCATGGAAAGCTGTGGCCCTTCTCGATGCTTCGGTCAAAACCATGGTTTTTCTCTCAGCGCCCATCAGTATCTTATCCTTTGCCCATTCAAAGTGATTCATATCAACAGCGATCGCGTTTTGCTGGCATGCGTAAACGGCGGCCTGATTTACCAAATTCATGAGCTCTGCACCAGAGAGACCTGGTGTACCTCTAGCGATAATAGTGGGGTCAACATCCGAAGCTAGCGTTACTTTTTTCATATGATGCTTCAAGATATCGGCACGGCCACGAACATCGGGTAAGTCGACGTTGACAACTTTGTCGAAACGACCAGGTCTAGTTAAGGCTTTATCCAACGATTCCGGGAAATTGGTAGCACCAATAATGATTATCCCGCTACTTTGAGAAAAGCCGTCTAGTTCCACTAGTAGCTGATTCAGGGTTTGCTTTGCATATGCTTGGTCTTTTGGATTACGCTTTCCTCCAATGGCATCCAACTCATCGATGAAAATGATGGCCGGAGCACGGCTTCTAGCTTGAGAAAACAACTCACGAATTCGCTTGGCGCCAACACCCACATAAACCTCGTCAAATTCGGACCCTGACATGAAAAAGAAGTCTACACCTGCTTCCCCTGCTGTTGCTCTCGCTAGCAGAGTTTTACCAGTACCGGGAGGACCGGTCAAAAGAACGCCCTTGGGAAGCTTGCCGCCCAATGACTCGTACTTGGTGGGGTCCTTCAAAAAATCGACAATCTCCTCCAGCTCGGCACGGGCTTCTTCGCAGCCTCGGACATCATCGAACTTCACATTGGTTTTGGCAACATCGACGGATTTGTCTGCTACCTCGGATGACTTCAACAGTGTGGTGTTTTCAGTTATGTATTTGAAGCCCTCTGAAAGGCCGTATGTGACCAAGCCGAAAACTACCAGCCATTTGATCCATCTGGATACTATAGTGAAAGTAGATTCGGTGACAACGACATGCAAAGGCTCTTTTCTTGAGCCGATGAAGGGATTATAACCAACGGAACCGAGGGACCCGGAGGATGCTTGTTTGGCGTATTCAGCACCGGACGCTGCACCTGCTCCTTGAGCGGCACTTGCTCCAATGAGGGTCTGCCTGACACCTTCAGCGTCAGCGTGTCTTCCCGTTTTCTGCAGTGCTTCCATATACAGAGACATGCACTCTGGAGAAGAGGCAATGCCAGGTGTCTCGAATCTTGAAACAACGTACTGTGGGTAATTAGACTTCAGAAGCAGCTTATAGAATTCTGATTGTGCAGATGCGTTATTAAGCTCCTTGTTTGCAAGCTGCTCCTTCTGGGCCAGCAGCGCATGAGTAACTGGCTGGTTGTCAACAGAATTTTCGCTGCTATTTGTCCCAAAAGCTTCACTGGCTCCCAGCGTTGCATTTGAAGGCTTGCCAGCATTTGGGGTTGTAGAGTAGAGGTTTTTTTGATTCCACGTTTTTCTGGCCCTCAAAGCCAGCATAGGAAGCCGGCTCCCGAAGGGTCTTAATATCGTCCCATTCACAAATAATGAGCGCACTACGACCCTGGACAAGTTCATTTCTAATGCCGTAGAGCTCGAATTTTGAGTCTTTGAAAACTGTTGGTCAACTTCAATAAATTGTAGACAACTTGAGGTGGCAAATTTTCTAGAAAGAATCACTGTTGACGAAGGTCTGATCATCAAGAGTCATTCTGGCGTCGGAAGAGTATCGAGCACGGCGACACGAAATTCGGTTTGGAGACTGAAGGGACCGGGTATAATTGTGAATTGGTCTTGGAAATTGATGTGATTTTGGCTCTCACAGCTGGTGCGATTCATTCCGGTAGGAGATTGGAAAGATGAATTGTGGTTTTTTATACCCTGTCCCCAGGATGTGTCGATCGCTTTTGGGAGCGAAGCTTGTGACATTTGAGTATTCGTAATTAGGATGTTGCGAGGTCATTTAGGGCCAGAGTATTTTGGATTTTGATGGCAAGATCATCGAACTTGTCAGTGGGCTCCACAGCGAAACCATGCTCGTTGGCCAGATGGAGCAGACAAATGAAACAGAAACTGGTGGAGAGATCTTTTCTCCTGTCGTTCGTGTACATGGCACTGATGCGCTCGGTGATCTCTGAAAATTTAAGACTGGTGATCGCTGAGGATGAATCGGGGTCGCCGTTCTCGGATGGTGAGGGTTCGCATCTGGAACGGTCCGTCTCGTCTTGAGTTTCCTTGTCTTGCTGTTGGTCTTCTTTGTCCTGCTGCTCCTGTTGCTGCTGCTGCTGCTGTTGTTGTTGTTGTTGTTCCTTCTCGTGTCGTTCTAGAGCCCCGGTAATCGAGGTCCATATATTGTCCTTTAGCTTTTTGATGTCCACTTTTTTCGAAACCCTCGAGTATCTAACTTTCCCATCTGCTCTTCCCAAAGGTTGCGCCAAACCCGTCGACCCACTAGCCGGAGGATCGAGGGACCCGTTTTCAGCATCCTCTAAACTGTCGTTTCCAAAGGCCTGATTAAAATCGATTCCGCCGTCATTATCGTCGAACGGGTTCGGCAGGTTGTTCACAACGTCAACCAGTTCATATTGATTAGATTCACCGGCTTTTTCTTCCTCCTCCTGCATTTGATAGTTTTTTGCCCAGAAATTCTGATCAGCCAATTCAATAATTTCGCTATTCCCATTGATGTCCGTGTCATCGATTTTCAGCGTCCCACCGACATTTTGATGGCCTGTACCAGGTTTTCGGTGCGAAAAGAAGCTCATCTGTTGAGTCGGCTTCAAGAAAAGCCGTGTAATTTTTTGAGTCGAAAATTGATAATCGTTGGGAAGTAAGAAATGTCCCGGGTTTGTACGTGATTTTTGTGACATTTCGATGCTTCCCTTCTTCTTTTCGAATATTCTTTCCTCGACGGCGTCGTCGAAATTGAAAAAGTCAATACTCAATTTAGTCTTAGCCGCTTTCTTGGTTTTCGCAGCCTCTCCGTCTTTTTCCACAGTTTCGCTATCTTTCGCCCCTCGGCCTACCTCTTCACCTGTAGCGGCTCGTACCCTGTTTTTGAAGTTTCTCACCTTCCAGTGTTCACGGCCCCGCCAACTCTTTCTCAACGTTTCGTCAAAATAGGCCATTACGTCACGATCCATAACGCCGGTTGTGGCGTCTGCGACTGAAGCGTCTCTGTCTGCCGCCATCGATATGTCATTCGTGCGCTCACTGGCTTCGTTAATAACATTGTCGTCATCATCATAGAGTCCATCGTTCATTCCAAACTCACCATCAGGCGGCAGATCGAAGTCGTCGTTGTTGTTGTCATTGGGATCCGGCATAGCTTCCTGAAGATCTTGCTCAGTCAAAAAGTTGTCCGCTTTGTTGTTCACATCATCGATAAAAGATTTTGCTTTGTGCACATCAGTGACCACGTCCTTCAGTCTTTGCATGGATGGGCATATCTCTGCCTCATTTATAAGTTTGAAGTCGATGAAGTCCATGCCAAGAGCCAAAATCTCGTCTTCCACGTCGATGTTTTGATTCGCCAAAGATACGAAGGCACTCGGTGGCATTTCGTGCGGCTCGGGTGTGTTTTCCTGCGGTGTCGATCGACTATCTGTTTCACCCATTATCTCGTCACCGTCCTGGTCCACAGCAGGTGGCTTCTCCGCTTGGACATCCTCTTCCGGTACTTTTGCAGATTTCGTGGAGCTTATTTTAGAGTCTTGAGTCGTCGTAGCATCGAAAACTATCCGGCACGAGTTATCAACGTGAAGGGTATTGATGAGCAAGCTTTTGGCACCTCCTTCGTCGAAATCCGCCAGCGCTTTCTTGAAGAGAGGGTCAATTGTCAGCTCTTGATCCAGTTCACGCATTCGTAGCGTTTCAAAGTCCACTAGTGTCGTTTCCAAAACTCGGTTGTAATTGCGCTTTCGTGCAACGTTGTCAATCTCATTCGAAACAGGCAATCCGGTTGCTGGGTCGATCGTGACTGCTCCATCTGTGGCCGCATCATCACCTGTCTCTTGGTTATTGGCAGTGCCGTCATTGGCACCTTGTACTGCTTGCTGATTTTTTCTTTGAGCAAGTCCACTAAGTAAGATCCCTGTTTCATTGGCAACAGAATCTACCCTCGATGAGTAGATTTTTACGCAGCCATCCAGAGTGGCAGACGCTTTCTGGAAGTTAATGTTATCTTCTGCATCCTTAAGCACATTGAGATCGTGGAAATAGTCTATCAACGCGAAGTTCCAGCTGTTTCTTGAGTTGATCTTGTTGTCCGTGGCCATTTTGATCCACTGTTCAAAGTTGGCCAACATTGTCGATTTGCTGGTGAAGAGGCCGCCTTCATCGTCATCTGGAAGGTTGCTGGCCATGATAATGTAGTATCAGAAGATGTTATAGACCAGGTTTTTAAAGACTGGCGATGTTTTGGGTCTGTATTTACCTGTCATGAGAGTAGTATTACCGCTCTTATTATATTCATTTAAAGTTATCTATAACGCGATATCAACAAATATGGTCACGTGAGTACGTCAGTTTACTAACGCTGGATACATGAGTAATGGTAGAGTGGTACGCTCATGGGGCTATCACTTTCTGTAGTTCTTGAGTGTTTTCCTTATAATTTTGTAGAGACCAAGTCCTCCTATCGGTAGTGTGGCAAGAATAACTGCTTGAATATAGGCCAAAATTCTCTTCTGTCTCTGTTCTGTCAAAATGGCTTTATGGTAGGGAATGTCAGCTTTGAACGACACCATGGTGTAGAGTGGAAGCCATTTGTCTTTCAGCCATTTCCCCAGTAAGGTGTCCAGTTTCTTTCGTATCAAGTAGAGCCGCGAAGTGACGCCATGCGACATTTCCTTGTAGTTGTCCTTGGCCAGCTTGATAATGGATACAAGATCTTCGTGCCGATTGAGACTGTACTCGGCAAAAACAGCAGCACGGTCCTGTGGGTGTGCGTCTAACAAACGCATCAACACTTTGACGTCCTCGAAACCGCAGTTCATGCCTTGTCCATAGAAGGGAACCATAGAGTGTGCTGCGTCTCCTAATATAATGGCACGACCTTGGTCCACATGGTATGGCTTGCATTCAACGCACATCAAGGCACCGCGAGGATTGCGCTCAAAAGCATCAACTGCGTTTTTATGGCCCATCACGTCCAAAGCGTCCGAAAAATTGCACTTCAAGAATTCTTCGATCTTGGTTCTGGAGTCCAGAGACTCCACCAAAGACCAGGGGCCGAAGAAGGTCGAAGTGAACGAACCGTCGCCATTGGCGAGCGCAATGAGCATAAAATTGTGACGGGGCCAGATGTGTAAGTGGTTGGGGGACATGACGAAGGAACCGAAGGTTGCGTCTTGGGTTTCTGCAGGCGGAATATACAACTCGATGTAGCAGCAATCGATGTATTCTTGAGAATAGTCCATTCTCACTTCCCGCTGCATTTGGGAACGTGTTGTAGAGTAAGCGCCATCACAGCCCACAACAAAATCGGCATCGTACGACTTCTGTTCCTTTGCGTCCGTGGTAAACACGCAGGTCTGCTTCTCGCGAGAGAAATCGACCCGCGACAACTTGTGACCAAATTTCACATGAATATTGCTGAAACGGTCCACTTCGTCGAGCAAGTTGTTGTTGAGCACGGACCGATCGATGGAATTGATGCACTCACCGAAAAGGCCGTAATCTTGAGATTCTTGATTTCCGGCAAGATCGTGGATCATACGGCCACGCATGGGTATCATATTTTTGAGAACTCTTTGACTGATTTGTTCGTCGACGAACTCCAAAGAAGTGATTCCGCGGGCCGAAATGGCCAAGTTTATAGACCTAAGGTTTCTATCTTTGGTGGTTTCCAGCCTTGGGTCCTGACGATAATCGAAAAGGGTGACTTCAAAATCTCTTTTGGCTAGTGCGATGGCGGCAAGGCATCCTACGAGCCCAGCTCCAATGACATTGACAGACTCAGCCATATCGGTGAGGGTGACGATGAGTTTCTGTATATTTTGTTAAATCTGGGTTATGAATCTAAAAGATGTGTGATATCTAAAAGCTAATTAAATAATTTTACTGTGAGTGATGCCAACAATACTGGAACGAGAAGATTGTAAACCGTGCGAATCGAATTACGTTTTAAAGGTAAAATGATATTAGAAGGATATTTGGTTTAGTCAACTGAAATGTTAATTATGCTAGAATGGCTATTGTATGGAGAACAAAAAAAACTAGAGCTAAAATCTCTGTCCTGGTGACGATATGGCGTCGTTATCGCAGGAAAAGGTAGTTGCGTGCTCATGGGATATATTGGTGATTTATTGTAGTAGTATCGAGTATGGAGGGCAGGGCTAAGAGCTTCTAGAAACTCTCAGGCTAACTCATGAAACACAGTGAAAACATAAGGGAATGAGAAACAAGGCGAGATCCCAATTTTACTAAACTGGCTTCTGATCAAATGATCATTAATCATGGGAATTTTAAGAACTGATAGTACTTTTATGCGAGCTCCAAAATAGATAGTTTTCACTTGATAAATAGAATATATTCAAAAGTGCAACAGCAGTCCAGGCAGGTGTATTTAACCAAGTATGTTATCGTCTTGAAGAGCTCTGTAACGCTTCGTCAAGGGCTTGCACACGGTTCAAACATATCAGCTTATCAACCGTGATCGTTCGTTCAGTCTTGACGAGCACAACACAGGAAAATGAATTTCATGGTGTTTATTCCCCAGATAGCTCGAACCAATGGGTTTTGATCGATACTTCAAAAACAATGGAGAGTTCTCGATTCCGTTTGACATTCATTAGAACGGATAACCGATTAATTTCCGTGGTAATAGCTCAGGGTTGCAATGAGGCAGTCGCGCCAGTCCTGCCAGATACGACGACGGACGGGCCGAAAGCTATAATTGAATGTTCATCTGGTCCCGAGGAAGTGGAGACCAAAGAATGTCTTCGAATCATCGTTCCAGGTGTGTATACCCAAGCTGCTGTACAGTTGAATCGAGTGGCTACTAGTGGCACCGCCACTTTGAACTGGCCGTGTCGCTGTCGTTTTGTCACGTGACGCGAATCTTTCGAAAGTAAATTAAGTTAAATTAACCGTAGGCTATCGCTGACGCTCTCAATTGTGAATACGTTAAATGGCTTCAACCCACTACCACCGATACCCAAGTGAAAGTGCCAACTACAACGCGTCAGCAAAGCTGTACAACTCTTCAATTACGCAAATGCATATTTAAAATTCTTGTGTCCAGCTGTATAAGAAGAAAATCACTAGATATTCATGCTAGGTTCAGGTGTGTGGTGCGGGGGCAGGGAAAATTAAGAGTGAGAGGAGCAAAAGAGAGAGAGATAGAGAGATCAAGACCAAGACCAAGACCAGCGGAGTAGACATAATAATTAGTTGTGTTTTGCAGGTTCGCGCTCCCTGCTCGCTTGGGGCCACACCAGTTTCAAGCCTTTTCGATCTGCTCGACGCTTCCCTTCTCGTCCCATTCCATGGCCTTGACGGCCAGTCTGTGGTGGCGGTCCAAGGGTGGCACTCTGGCCACGTTTTTGCGACGCAACACGTACTCCTGCAGGTCTGGCCACAATTGGCCGAGCTGGTGCTTGATACGCGTGCGCAGGGGCACGTCGAACACCTCGTCCAGCTCTTCCAGCGTCAGCTGCTTAGTCTCGGGCATCAGAAAGTACACCAGGAACCACCCGACCACGTTCCAGCCCGCGTAGAACCCGAACGCGCCCTGTGGGTGCAGCGCGTTCAGCATGCGCGGCCACGTGAGCGACAGGATGAAGTTGAACCCCCACAAGATGATCGTGAAAAGTGATGCGCCGATTGCTCTCACGTACAATGGGAAAACCTCGCCTGCGATCACGAAGGGCACCACGCCGCAGCCAAACGAGTAGATGGCGGAAAACACGTAGATGCCCATCGACACCACTGCCACACGGGCCTGTTGGCCCGGGATCCAGAACGCGAACCCTGTCACGAACAGAAACACCGCCATCAACGGGAACGTGGTGAGCAAGAGGAACCGGCGTCCAAACCGGTCGATCATGAAAAACGCAGGGATGGCGAAAAAGAAGTTGACCAGCCCGAACCCGAGCGACGCGCTAAGCGCCGATATCTCCGTGAACCCGGACGCCAAGAAGATCGCCGACGAGTAATATGCAATGACGTTGATGGCGCAGAACTGCTGCATGAACGCACAGATGAACGCGCAGATGAACGCGTTGCGGTTGCGCCGCACCGCGAACACCTCGCGCAGCCGCTGCAGGTACGGCTTTTCTAGGGACTCTTCCTCGAGCAGCAGCACGTGCTGGTAGAAGAGGTCGCGGCACGCCAGAATGCGATGCGGGCGGATCTGCACGGTGCTTTCGTAAGCGTCCTTAAACCGGCCTTTGCCCATGAGCCACCGCGGCGATTCTGGGCACCACGGGATCTGCACGAGCACGGCGAGTGCAGGAATCATTGCCGACGCGAGCATGAGCCGCCAGTTGAGTCCTCCGTGCACGGCTCCGCTGCCGACGCGATAAAAGATCAACGAAAACACGTACCCCCACATAATGCCAAACGCGGTGAAGGTCTGCCAGTTCATGCAAATGATGCCACGCAGTTTTTTGGTCGAACACTCGGCCAAATACACGGAAACGGTGGCGGACTTGGGCCCGATCCCGAATCCAAGCAGAAACCGCATCGCAAATAGGTAGTGCCACCCGCGTTCGCCCGTGGGCGCAAACGCCTGCAGCAGACACGTGACCGCGGAGATCAGGCACGTGACGAAAATGACGCGTTTGCGGCCAAGCCAATTGTTGAGCCAGTCGGTCATCCAGCACGAGACGCCGGCACAGCACAGGTACGGAGCACCGTTGACCAGGCCTTGGAGCCAATCGTTGCGTTCGGTCTTGGCGCCCAGCCCCAGCGGGTCCGGGTAAAACAGCAGCGCACCGTTGATCACGGTTTCGTCCATACCTTGCACCGCTGCGCCCATGGCAGAGGCACACACGATGGCTATGAGTTTGCGTGGCATGTTGGCGAACGGACGGTGTTCCTCGTCGTAGCAGGCGAGTCGCTCGTCCTCGGTCAGAAACGACATGTGGTCGTAGCGGTCCGGCTGGCGCGCCAGCGCGGCCGCGCGTCCGAACATGTCGTCGTCGTTGGGGAGGTCGTATTTGCGGGCGAAAGCGCGGCCCATGTTCATGACCTGAGCCTCCGAGTACTCGGCGAGTACGTTATCGGGGGGCGCATCTGGGTTGTGTTTTTCCGAGTCAGCAAACGAGAGCGAGTCAGAGTTGTTTTTCTCGAGCAGCGCGGAGGCGGGGGCGGGGGGGGCCGCTGATGTTGACTCCGTCTTATCGCTGTGCACGACAGCTGGTTTCTCGTCGTCGAGCCACGACTGCGGGGAGTCGACGACAGGCATGAGAGGACGAGAAGAGATAGAAAGTATCAGATGAGCTTGAGTGTCAAATGAGCTTGATTATCCAATGCACTTGAGTGTCAAATGAGCTTGATTATCCAATGCACTTACTTGAGTGTCCAATAAGCTTGGGTATCCAATGTATCCAATGTGTCCGAATTTTTGAAGCACACTCGTACGTCCTCGAAACACATCTAAGCTGTATTTATACCTTTTCTTGGCTTGGCATGAAGTCTACTGCCTTGGCTTCGGCTTGTCATGTCATGTCTTGTCTTGTCTTGTCCTGTCCTCCCTAGTTGTCTTGTTTGCTGGTTTGCGGTGGTCGGAAATGCCGTGCGCTGAATAGCTTACCTGGGTTCTTCTCGAGGTCATCGCTGTGTCGTGAGAGAAGAAGGGCGACAGGCCTAGAACGGCTTACGTCAGCCGGCCCTCAAATATCCGGGGTTGAGCGCGTGTTTGCTTTCGGCCGGTGTTTTCCCCGCAATTACGGAGAAGCTCCCGACTACCGAGATCGGAATTCGAGACGCGTGTGGAATGGTGGAGTGCGCATTGTGTACGAACAGTGGTGAAAAGGTTAGCAATAGTAGACGACAGACAATCTGGTGAACGGGTCTTCTCTTGCCAAATTCATGAAGTTCTGGTGTTCTACTTGGAAGTCGGTTGGTCACTGTGTGTACGAACAGACTTTGCTCCCGGTGCAGAATGTTTATCATTGTATATGTAAAAACGCGGTAGTAGTTGGGACTTCGACTTGCGCGTCAGCCTTTTTCACAACCTACTCGAGTAGTTGTCTGCTCCTGGTAACTTCACGATATAGATTGCTCGTTATTCTCACGTATAGCGAGTCAAAAAGTCTTGAAGCATCTTCTTCTGTACCGCACCACTCGACGAGACTCGACGAGAAAATTTCCTTTTCTCAGCTCTTGGCTGTGACAACGATATCCACTATTTGTATTGAGCTTTTTGGCGTCGTGATCGAATTGTCCGCGCCTCAAAAAAAAGGTCCTCCTAATGCTTTTGTTTCTTACCGCCTAGTTCCAACTGTTGTCGTTTTGAGCTCGTTTACGATACTCATCAATTGACTGTGACGGCACGCTTTGCTCTTCTTTATACATAGTTCTTGATGCACAGGTAACCAGGCTCGAAAACTGCTCGAGTCTAGCTCAACTTGTGAAATATTCGAGCCACAAGTCGTTCCACGTTGTAATCCCAAAGTCGTTTACAAAAGTGATCTCACCCTCGCAGCTTATTGAATGAGGGACGTGTGCCATCTGGAGAGCCTTCTTGCAGTGAGTCAGGGAATTACTTGTTCCATATGGAGATTTTGTAGGCCATTTTTACCGTTCCGTAGGCGCTAAAGTCATGTGATCTAATGACAGATGACAGTGGCGTACAGAGTGAGATGGTTTAAAGTAGAGCATTGCTGGGTGTCTTGAAATCGAGCAACACCCTGCCCGCCCTGTGCCACACAGCCAGCTTTCTCGAGATACAGTGTCCGAAACTACCCAGGACTACCAATTGATCATGCAATCGTTTCCACCCAGCCCAAAGTATTTCATCCCATCGTAAAACTCAGTTTTTAGCTTTGTTCACAATTTATTCACGCTTTGTATAGTGTTGTACTGTCACTGCTAATCTCTTGGTTCAACGTTCACGACTACAACCACCCAGAACACTGCTCTGACCCTGTATTAAATGTGTCACTTTTATGACGTACATCACTCCGTACGCTTACCATGACACCTTCCAGCCCTACGTTCAAGCCCTAAAAATCAAATATCGCGATATTCAATTAAGACTAAATTCCACAACAGAACGAACAATTCCAACTCATAGCACACTCCAATGAGCAACGCCATGTCCGAACTCTTTTCAAAACCTACACGTATGGCAGATAGCTAGCTTTGCCGACAGGATGCGCTTGGCGTCGTCAAAAAGCACCTGTGACTCATCTTCTTAGGCTCACATCTATGATGACAATGCGTTGCCATCTTAATTTTAACTTTCGTTTTGAGGTACTCTGGCTGGTCTCATCGCTCCCCACTTTCCTCTTCTACTCCATGTTTACCTTTCAGACATCTCATCGTCTGCCAATCCATATCAAACGGCTTCGCGGTTCTGACTTTTCAGCAATAAGCTCGATACCGCCGATCGAATGACTCATAATCCATTGTACTACATCATCTTTCACCAAGTTTCTTCCAGGGTTTACAATACTGATTAGCATTGGCGACAGTAGCGTATAAAATTGGCTACTTTGATCGGAAAACTTTATCGATTGTTCGTTAAGGACAAATGACAGCGAGACCATTTCCCTTAGCTTGTACAAAAACCAAAACCAATACAGCAGGTTTTAAACTCACCCAGCTCTCGATTTCAAGATTCTTAACTCGAAAAATCATCAGCATGCGTCACTTAGTATCCATCAAGGACCTCTCCAACAAAGAGTTTTCTGCTCTGGTCGACAGAGCTCAGCACCACAAGAAAGTTTTCAAAGCCGGAAATTTAACCGACAGCCAAAAAAACCAGCCAAGTTGCTCGGAAAGACCATCGCGCTCGTGTTTTCCAAAAAATCCACCAGAACCAGGATTTCCACAGAAGCCGCAGCAGCATTTTTCGGGGCCCAGACCATGTTTCTTGGCAAAGAAGACATTCAGCTTGGCGTCAACGAGTCTCTATATGACACAACCAAGGTCATATCGTCAATGGTCTCCTATATTTCCGCGCGTGTTAACAAACATTTTGAAATTCAGCTACTGGTAAAGCACTCATTGGTACCTATCGTAAACTCCCTGTGTGACAAGTTTCATTCCTTACAGGCAATTTGTGACCTGCTGACTATCAAGGAGCATCTCGACTACACAAAAAACAAGCTAAAGGTAGCCTGGGTCGGTGATGCAAATAATGCCATTAACGACATGGCTATCGCATGTTTGAAAATGGGCATCGACGTGGCTATTTCAACACCACTCGGGATTGAGATGGATCAAGACATCACCGGCGCTGGTTTAGAGATCGCCAAGGGCAACTGCACAAAATTGAATTGTACACACGACTCGATAGAAGCCGCCACGAATGCAGACGTTCTCGTCACGGACACGTTCGTTTCCATGGGTGAATAATACGCCAAAGCTGCCAAATTAAGGCAGTTCAAAGATTTTCAAGTAGACTCAAAGCTTGCCTCGCACGCCAAGCCCGACTACAAATTTATGCACTGTCTCCCAAGACATAAGGAAGAAGTTAGCGATGATGTCTTTTTTGGTGACCTCTCTATTGTATTCGAGCTAGCAGAAAAGAGACTCTACGCTGCCATGGCGGTTATCGATAGTTTTGTCATCAACAAGGGCAATTTTGATGCTTGCCCTGATTCAATTTTCTATTAATTGGGTTGGAAACCGCCAGCTCTTTGAACAAATACTTTTCAGATATTAAAACACATAGCTATCAAAAATGCTCAAATCAATTATGACCAAAGGCATATCATAAACAATTCCCATGACAACCATAAGAATTATGGCATTAAGTTTTTGACACGATTGCTTTGATGCGACACAGAAAACCATAGAGTTAAATTAAATGGTTATTTGTATTTTCGTGACATTTATGATCTTTCGAACAAACTTTGAAAAATAAAGTCATTTGATCGAAGAAGCAGGATCGACACACTACTAGGGAAAACCTCTTTGTTTTGATGCTTTATTAAAATCATCAAACATTCCGCCTATATCATTTAGCCAGGATCTTTGACTATAACACCACTTGACGTTTTTTATCACCAAAAGCTGTCATCAAGAAAAGACGCCTGACACGACTCAAAATTATATCAGATTTATCCTCCATACAATGCATATGATATTCCTCTCTACTCCCATTTGATTGCCATTCTGACGTTCTCATGTATCCCTGTTATCTGTCTATTCCTGAAAAGAGTCATCGCTTTGATGCAAATTCTACCGACCTTTACCATCCATATCACGAAAGCTTCTCGTCACATAAATAAGTAAATCGGTTATTTTGACGTTGAATCCACCGATTCACTGGCACTGAGACTTCGAAACTGACCTCCGTCCCGTCCTTTTTACTGCCACTCTGTTTCCAAGTCTCATCACATGACAAAGTTGATTGCGTCCTGGATGCTTATTGTGAGAATATGCTCAGCTTAAAGGATCAACCTCGAAGCTGGTGAAAAGCCTACAGAATAAGCTGACACATCAAACTGCTAATGGCTTTCCGTACGTTTGGGAAGTTTATTTTGACTCCCATTGCGGGCTTCAGCCTGGGACTAGTTACCTTTATGGATGCTTTTCCCTCCGCTCACGACAATGGGCTGAGCACCATCACTCTTAAACGCTCCGTCGAACAGCAACGCCAAGACATACTCGAACAACTACAACAGCACAGCATCTATAGAAGTCTTATTAAGCGAGATAACGTCGAGCAATGGACGCAGAGCGAAAAAATCGTACAACCTCATCGCGATTACCACGTTGGCCAAGGACTGCTTTACGGGCCGGGGCGACTCGAAATTGATCCGTTGGTACTGCACGACCCTGAGTCACAGGAACTGGTAGTATTCTATCATTTGGGCGACAATCTTGGGAACGAGAAGGGAAACGTTCATAAGGGAGTAATTTCGCTTCTGCTGGACGAAGCTTTGTGCTACTGTGGGTTTCCAACTTTGCCCAGTAGGTCAGGTGTCACAGCCAGGCTAGACCTGCAATTTCACCAGGATATTCCAGCCAACTGCACCGTGGTTTTAAAAGCACATGTGGTGGAGTCCAAAGGCCGTAAATGTGTCATTGGAGGCTCTTTGGAAACCCTTCCTTCACGAATATGGTATAAACCTTGGAAAGAGAGCTCATCTGTGCTGGCCACAGCCACTTGCATTCTAGTAGAGCCAAAGTGGTTCAAGCACGTCCAATGGATGCGACTCTCTTGACACTTTCAACCATGGTGTCAGTTTGGGGGAAAGTGATTTGGAATTAATTATACCTTCAGTATAGATAGATCCAAAACAAAGTTAGCTAGCGAGTCTAAACACCTAAACCGTAACTTTTCTGTCAAGAACTCACGATTCGTGCGGGCTTTTTCTCTACTTCTGTCAACCTGAAAGGCGAGCTTATATCTTTCGCGATTTGAGATAGTCTTGATCTGGAATTGTTCCCTTCAGAGTGATCATTTTACTACAACTACAACTTCATGAGTGACGAGTCCGGAGAGGTTTACAGCACCAAAGAGGAAACTGCTGCAGTTTTCCGCAGACTGGCAACCAAACAAGAGAACCGGGTATGTTTTGATTGTGGTACGAAGAACCCGACCTGGACATCGGTGCCATTCGGTGTGATGTTGTGCATACAGTGCTCTGCTGTACACCGTAATCTGGGTGTTCATATCACATTCGTAAAGTCCTCGAACTTAGATAAGTGGACTGTCAACAATCTCAGGAGATTCAAGCACGGTGGAAACCACAAGGCTCGTGAGTATTTCATGAAGCACAATGGCAAGCAATTTTTGGGTACCAATGTTGACGCCCGCATGAAATACACTAGTTCCGTGGCCAAAAATTACAAGGCTCATCTCGACAAACTAGTGGCAAAAGACATGGAACAATACCCCGGACAGATAGTGCTGGCGGGCGACGATGAGACTGGAGAGCTATCGTCGGGATCTGGATCCAACTCGGTGGGCTCATCCAAAAACAACAGTGTGGACGACTTTTTCTCTAGCTGGGAGAAACCAGCTGCAACTGCCACCTCGTCGCCCAAGATTTTGACACCTTCAAGCACTGGAAACTCTAGAAATGCGTCGAAAACGTCCATTTTGAGTGGCAACAGCAGCAGGAGAAGAGCAACTACCACAGCACCCGTGGCCTCCAAGAAGCATTCCATCTTATCGTCTGGCAGGAAATCCACCAGGGTTTCTGCTCAAAAACTGGAAAAATCTGAAGCAGAGAGCATGTTTGATGACTTTGAAAAGGCGGCTTTGCTAGAGGCAGAGGAGTCGGCGCCAAAGTTGACGCGCTCGAGCACTACGGAGACCAAGACAGTTTACAAGCAGCCTGCTCCCGTGAAAATGAATGCTTCATTCGATGATGAGGATAGTCAGGAATACAATGATGGTATTACTTTCGATCAAGTCAAGCCCGGCTTCACATCATCCGACGCCGATGCAGCCAAGCCCAAGCTTGCCAAGTTGGGTTTCGGAATGACGATGAATAATGCCGACGTACTTGCTAACAAGGAAAAGGAAGCCAAGAGAGTAGCATCTGGCCCCAAATATACTGGTCAAGTTGCTAACAAGTACGGAAGCCAAAAGGCCATATCCTCAGACCAGTTTTTCGGTAGGGGCACATATGACGAAGAGGCTTCCAAAGAGGCTCAAGACAAGCTAAAGAATAACTTCAACAACGCAACGTCGATATCTTCGTCTAGTTACTTTGGGGAAGAAGAGGAACCAGTTGACGAATTTGGACGTCCAAGGCTGAATACCCAGAACAGCGGATTTGTCGATTTCAACAGCGGCGCAGACGACGACTTCCAGGTCATCAAAGATGTCGTTGAACAGGGCGCGCAAAAGTTAGGTAATTACTTGAGGGACTACTTGAGAAATTGAGTTGGGGATGCCCTCTTTCACTATGTATACAGTCAAAAATGTTTTTGTAAGGCCTAATGAGCAGAACCGGTGAAACCGAGTAAATAAAAAAAACTGCTAAACTATACTATTAAGAAATGACCTATACCTATGCAATCATTAAACCTGGCACTGTGCTATATTAGAATTGATGATGACTCAATTTATCTTTGTTTGACCTACTAAAGCTGACGTTAATACCTCAACTTGAAATGACGTTTTTTTCTTCACTCCAAACGTCTTCTCTTCATATCCTCTTGCAGATCACTGTTCGGCGTTGCCATAGAGCTGCCACTAGACCTATTCTTGCGCTTTCTGGCCTTAATTGTGTTGCCACTACCGTCTAGATCGAATGCCAAGTCTTCTGCCTGAAAACCGTGTGTCTGGAACTCAGCAGGATGACTTCTTTCGAACTGGGAAAGGACCGTTTGACACACTTCCCAGTCCATGCTTTGAGCATCGAAGAGCGACGCGTCACGCTCGCACATGAGCTGGCGCCATTGTTCTGAGCTCATATCTGGGGTCCGATGTACTTGGTTCATCATGTCTGGGTTATTTTGGAACAGCACGGGCGCGATGTCGCCGCCCTTGCCGTTTTCTCGGGTGGGTATGATGGAAAACTTGCCCGAAAGATCATTAATCTGGTTTTTGTACGATTTCCGCAGTTTTACTGCTTTTGTGCCGTCCGGGTTTGTGCGTGCCACCTGTTGGGATATGTCTTGAAGGCCATACACGGATATCAGGTCATCCAGCGGGTTCGGTTGTTGTGGTTGGTAAAGCGTTGATGGATCTACGTAATAGTAGTAAGCTGGCGAAATGTGGTCTTCCATGGTAGTCATTGGAGGCAGAAGATGCGATGTGGATACGTGGTATGTTATGGTGTGGTAAAACCAAAAAAAAGGGACTTTCGGAGTGCAAAATGAGCTTCAATAAGACTTGAACAAAATGCAACTTATACTCGCTCAGACGGGGGACTCTTATAAATGCTTGACGGGCAATGATTCCAACTTTCCAGCGTTCGAGTGAAACTTTTCAACCACAAAATGTGTGGAATACCTGGCCAAAAAACAAGCCTACACGAGTGAACTAAAAGTTGGGTGCTATTTTTCAAACAGCCGCAGTCAGTAAGCTCAGTATCTCTGGCGACAAATCACTGCGAAAATGGTTCTATTTGACTCTTTGTTGGACACTTCTTCGGAGCCAACAATCAAAGTTTTAGTAAGACGATGTACTCGCAGGCAATCATGATCGTTTAGGTTCAAGAAGGCCGTCGATAGGGACAACGAGAGAGGCGAGAGTCACGTGTAAGCATCGCCACCATTGTCAAGAAATATAGCTTTGTACGAGCAGAACCAAAATAGCCAAAATACGGTTATTGAAGTGTACGTGATCGATGAGCAATGACAGGCAGCCAGACAGAACTACTAGTGATGAGATCATTGCAAATGGTTTTAATACTACGTTTTTCCCACTGCGTTTGGCTTTCAAAAGTGAAACCCCGGGTCTGGTGTGACTGCTATATAATCTTTGGGTGTGGTGTATGGGTCTATATGAGAAATGTTTATTTTTTTAAGAATATGCTGAAAAATTAAAAAAATCATGGAAATTTAGGTGCGTGGGTTCACGATTTTGCGTGGGTCTCGCAGACGAAATCAGCACCATCGTTTTGGCGCCACTAGCGTCTGTCGCCTACGCTACGCAGGGAGGTCTCCTCCTGTCTCCCCACTGTGGTCTGCCTATGTTCCAGTCTCGCTAGGCGGGAGGCTCTCAGGGGCTCCTTCTGGAGCCTCCTGCCTAGTGCTCAGAGGCTCTGCCTGGAGCAAACCCGTTGGTGTCTCGCTCCCGTTCCACGACGGCTCTGCCCTCTGCCCATTCACTCTGGAAAACAATTTGACGACTGTCAAACCGGGATAGTAAACTGTTACTGCTCAGACACTAGAATCCACGGAAAGTAACTTTAAAGGTATGTGATGTGATGAGCTAGAGCGCTATTAGAGCAGCAAGAATGAACAGCGGGCTGAACGCGGCGTTTCAAGATGTCCAGGAACGTTGATTTGAGAAAAACGAGTGACGAGATATGAAAAATGAGACTCCAAGAGATTTACTGCGCGATGATGATGATGATGATGATGATGATGATGATGATGTTGTTGTTGTTGTTATGGTTGTTGAATCAGTCGAGAAGAGTTGTCGCATTTGAAGAGTTGAAGAATGTGAGGACTGCCCAGGCGAGGATAATCCATCTACGTCCAATATGGCTCCAGAATCGAGGTCTTTTACAAGCTGTTGTCCCAGTGCTCGAAACACGTGAAAAATACACTTTTAGAGTGGTATCGATTTCTCATGTTCATTAAATCTGGATCGTCGAAACTTGCCCTCCCGCTACGTTCCCTCCCGACACGTTTTACTAACAACACCGCCCCACAGATGGCTGCTTCTCTACCACACCCAAAGATTGTGAAGAAACACACCAAGAAGTTCAAGCGTCACCACTCTGACCGTTACCACAGAGTCGCTGAGAACTGGAGAAAGCAAAAGGGTATTGACTCCGTTGTCAGAAGAAGATTCAGAGGTAACATCTCTGAGCCAACCATCGGTTATGGTTCCAACAACAAGACCAAGTTCATGCGTCCTTCCGGCCACAAGACCTTCTTGGTCGCCAACGGCAAGGACTTGGAAATGTTGATGATGCACACCAGAACCTACGCCGCTGAAATCGCTCACAACGTTTCTTCCAAGAACAGAGTTACCCTTTTGGCCAGAGCTAAGGCTTTGGGCATCACCGTTACCAACCCTAACGGCCGTTTGGGTTTGTCTGCCTAAACGCTTACAAGTGTTGAGAAAAATTTAGGATCTTTGTTTCCATGTAGAAACACCGGATTTTTATTACATTGTATACTTTAAACCAAACCATTTATTGACATAGATGTTTACTGTCGTCGGTGTGCTGTGTGCCCATTGGATCTTCGTCAATTAACTACATGAACGACTCAAAGAAATTACAGTGTCTTGACTTCCTCTCTCTTTACATACCAAATCCTTCTAGGATAACAATAAGAACTTGCCAATTCGGTTTGTATTCGACTGCACGCTTTTCCAAACCTAGAATGCCTGTCTTTTTAGTAGTACATCCACCCTAAGACCAATGCGATAAGCGCCACTAATAAAATCATACCTGGGTTTAGAGCTGTTTCCTGCTTGGCGGGGGAGACCATGCCAGCAACTCCCGACGTAGAGTCGAGACCATCTTGTTTGCCCTCGTCTACTGGTGTTTCCTTCGAGCCACTGGTCATGTCCTTCTTGGTGGCCTCCGACAAAGTCTCTGTTGCTAGAGGTTGTTTTTCAGGTTTGACAACGTCGTCAATGTCTTTCTCACTAACTTGAGGCTTGGCAGGCGCATCCTCCACGGTCTCGGCAGTTGCCGCAGCAGCATTAGACTCCTGAGCTGGCGCTTCGTCGCCCAATAGGTATTTGACTTTGATTTTCTTGGAAACCGCATTCTCTTTGAACTCCGCTTCCAATTGGGGCCACGCCTCTGTGACGCTTAACGAACCTAGATCATATGGCGCTGGCAAAGTGATCACAAGAAACTTGTCACGGCACTTGAAGTCCGCAGCTGGCTCTTCAGCAAGCCCCAGCAAAATGACTTGCACTTGCACCTGTTCCCCTGGTTGGACCAAAGCGGCATTGGGCCTGACACAGTAGAACTTAGGGGCTGTGGTCTTCACTTTGAACGCGACAGCCTGGTCCGAGTTGTTTGTAACGGTAACGTACTCGGTAGCCTGTGCTGTCAAGGGAGCTGAAATGGGTAGTTAAAAGTTAGTATTATTGAAGGAATATAATAACAGCAACATCTACGGGATGCAGCCCTTAGAAGTACAAATTGGGCCCATTTTTACACCAAAGACCACAGCTCAGAAACCCGCACGTCGCGCATTCAAAACTGCGTAACTCGAGCTTTCTGCCATTGGCACCCATCCCGCAACTCCTGCCCGCTTTTTGAATGACACCTTGAAGAAGTGAATTGTAATTTTTGATGATCAAAAACCCTCCCAATGGTCGCTACAGGCCCAATTTTGGCGGTGAAAAAAGCCACATACGCTTATATTCCAGTACACTGGGCTTGATATCGATCATGACTGGTTAAGAAACACTATTTGGTCCTCTACTTGGGCTCAAAATGTATTTGTTTGTCAGTAATTGACATTTGTACTTAATTGAACTTTATTATATTGTATTTTTTTTCTGCGCGAGTACTTTTCTTGACAGCGCGCCCGCGCCCGCGAGTACTTGTCGCGTGACAGCAGGGCTATAGGCCAGATGATGGAGGGCCTGGAGGACCTGGAGGACGTCGATAGCGCGACTTGTGGACGTGGTGGGCTTGCCTGAATTTGGTTAGTGTTGTAATGCATTGCGTGGTTTGTGTTCGGTTGGCCAATCAGTAGTCGTCGCCTCTCGAAACAACTTCTTTCTTGTGCGGATGCAGTAAGATAGTGTGCTCGTATTGCGCCGTGTAAGAGCCTTGAATGTCACACAATGGAGGATATTCCTCGACAATGCCGTGCTTCACAAGACTGTTGAGTGCAAATAGATATTTTTCTTCGCCCAAACGGTCCAGGTAGCGGCGACAGAAGGGCAAAGTGCCGAAATTGTCGTCGATGGTCTTGAGTAGCGATTTCGCCTTTGAGAGAGAAGGCGTGGGCCACGAGCCCTCGTTCTTGGCGTAGTGCGAGACCTCGCCGCCCGAAATCACGTACCCGCGACCCGTGGTGCCGAAAGTCTCGATCGCAAAGTGCTCACCCTCTTCCATTTTAGTCTGGTCGCCGTTTTTCACCAGTGGAACGGACTTTCCGCCGTGGATCTTGTAGGGTGCAATGTTGTGGCCACACAGGTTCCGACAAGGCTTGACCTGGTACGTCTTGCCGTTAAGCTCCACCTCGTACGACTCCATCACCTCCTGGATGGCCTCGCCGATGTCCGTGAGCCTGACGTCGATACCGGACTCACGCACACCTGTGTTTGTGGCCTCCTTGACTGCAGTCAGCAAGTTATCGTACTTATCGTCGAATGTCACAGTAAAGGCGGAGTCCACGATATACCCGTTGACTTGAACTCCGATGTCCACCTTCATCACGTCTTCGTACCTGAGGATCGTCTGGTCTCCGGCATTTGGCGTAAAGTGCGCAGCACAGTGGTTTAGCGACACACCTGTGGGGAAACCAACACCCTGCGATTTGGGACGGTCCTTGTGGTCCCCGTTTTCGTCCACACCCGTGAATTTGCGAGTTGCGTTTTCGACCACGTTCACGACATCTGTAAGACTCATGTCGGGCTTCAACTTGTTTTGCAGATTTTTACGCACACGACGATGAATTTCAGATCCCTTACGCATGTCGTTCCATCTTTCAGCATGTTCTGCGTCCCGGGCCAAGTACCGTTTTTCCTCGTCTGTGGTTCTTTGCAAGTTGTGATCTTGGTGGTAATCCATCCATTCACCTTCCGGGTATTTCAAGTCGGGAAACATCAGTTCGATGTTCTTGATGTTGTTGGACTTCTTCTTCTTCTTCTTCTTGTTCTTCTTGGCTCCATTAGCGTCCGAACCTGTAGCATTTTCTACCGAATTTCCACCGTTTTCGACCGCAGGACTCGCTCTTTTTTCTTCTGCATGGTCAACCGCCATCGCGGTACTATCAGATACAGTCTCAGCCATTCTAAACTGCCTTTCGAAGACTCTTATGTGTCAAGAGTTATATTTTAGACCTATGGACAGTAGGGTGAAGTTTAAATTTCATAAACTCATCTCTGAAAAATTTCAGAACTAAGTTCTCTGACGAAAAGGGCAAATAAAACCTATCCTGGGACCTCGTTTAGCCTGTTTAAAGATCCAGAAATGCTAACTAGAGGCTTTGGTCTACTTTCAAGCCAAAAAAGAGCTTTTTCAGCCAGTTTCAAGGTGCTGAGTAGCACGAGTTCACCACTTTTCGATCCCACACAGCTGAACCCTTTGAGCAACGGTAAGAAGAACTCGGCTACCTCTGCAAGATTGCAGATCAACACACCTGCTCCGGGACAGCAGCGATACGCGGCTGTTTCGTTCGTGGCGTCGCCTAAAGAGGATGCGTTGACGTCAAGGCTAACTGGTATTCGTGCGGGCAGAACCGTAGATGTTTTCAACGGCGACACTGCCGGTGCGTTCAGACAGCTAAACTCGGTGGTGTTTGCCAACAGAATCGCTCACGATAAGCGGAATCAGCGGTTTCACATCAAGCGTGGTAAAGCCAAGGAAATGCGCTCCTCGCAACGTCACCGTCGCGAATTCATGAAGGGTTTCAAGCGACTGATCGAGGTGGTCAAGGACGCGAAGCGTAAGGGTTACTGAGAGCAGAGGGCGGACTACAACTAAAATACCTGTATATAAATCATGAATTATAAAGATGACGAGCATTGAGCGGAGAAGAAGGGAAGCGTTGAAATGTCAGAAACGAATTGATTAGGATTCATGGAATTCGGTGCAAGGTGAGTGGGTATGTGGCTGGTGCTGCGAGTACTTTCTCAAGTTTTGTATCTTTTCTCTACGTTTTTGTCAAAAAAGACCCTCCATTTCATACCCAATCATAACTAGAACGACAAAATGTTTAAATAGTGGGTCTTCATTTTTGAGACAAATAGTAGGATTGACGCGTTTGATGGGAATTGCAATCGTTTAAGTACTTATTCGAAGATATCGGAATTCGAGACGCGTTTAACAGAAATTCTTCTGGTACGTGTCCAAGAGGAATAATATTACTATCTGTGGGCGCTGCTGAGCGCTGACCTTGTGAAAACTCCCGTGCTTCTAAAACAATGGATTTCTCGACATAACGTGGAGTACAAATGCTACACAGAAACGTCCCCAACTCACACCTAATCGTCCACCTGCACAAAGAGGCCTCGTTGAATCCGTGTGTCGTCGTCATTTGATAGACAGCACATCACTTTGTACCAATGTGTCATTTCTCGAAATGACGGTGCAAAACAGCAGTGACAGTGCGTAAAAGCCGTACAAATATGAAGCTACAAACACTCTATTAAGCTAGAATAGGCTTTTTGAGTCTTCACGTTTTTCTACTCAGTTGCAAAAACTGGGTTCTTTCTTTATTATCGCGGAAACCACCACCATGAAATGTGTTACAATTATAAAACCAAAATCGAGTTCAAACACAACAGCGAATCACCAACAGCCCAGATCCCTGCCTTTAGAGAACCGTAGTGTATCAAACGCGCAAAATCGTTTATCGAAATTCCAAGATTAAAATTCTGCGAATTATCTCATCGCGAAAATGGAAACTTCTCTGTCGTTCTAAGCCAAAATTAATTTAGTGCCATACTCAGTCCTCCTAGAGACCTGAACTACCACTCGGGAACGCTTCAAATAGCCCGTTCTTCTGGGTTTTCGACGTCCGTCGTCCATATATTTCATCACCATTTTTATCACTCCACACGTAGTCAATATATCTTCACTTATCATATAGATGCAGAGATAACGGGTATTCTTGGCTTCTTCAACTGACGAACTTCGACAAGTTTCCCGCAGTCAAACCGCCACTCACTCACTTAGTTCCCCAATGGGCTCGTCGATCGCTTCTGGAGTCCTTACGCTGCTTCATACCGCCTGCGGGGCTGGCATTTTAGCTATGCCATACGCTTTTAAACCTTTTGGACTTCTGCCCGGGTTTCTCATGATCGTGTTCTGCGGACTATGCTCTTTGGCGGGCCTTGTTATTCAAGGAAGAGTGTCGAAATACGTGGAGTCGAGAAATGCATCGTTTTTTGCACTGTCGCAGGTCACATACCCACAATTGAGCGTGGTTTTTGACTTGGCAATTGCCGTTAAATGCTTCGGAGTTGGTGTCTCGTATTTGGTGGTCGTGGGAGATCTTCTGCCGCGGATCTTCGAGGTCTTCACAGCCCATAGTTTGTTTTCGAACCGAAACTTCCATATCACTATGGTCATGCTTTTCATTGTGTCCCCGTTGTGCTTCTTAAAGAAACTGAGCTCTCTGCGTTACGCCTCGATGGTCGCTATTTCGTCTGTGGCATATCTGTGTGTGTTGGTTCTGGTCCACTTTTGGTGGCCCTCTGAGGAAATTCACGATTTAAAGGGCGAGGTCAGCATTGGACTACCGTCTGGCCCCATCGCAGCCCTCTTTAGCTGTTTCCCAATCTTTGTCTTCGCCTACACCTGCCATCACAATGCTTTTTCGATCATCAATGAGCTCCAGGACAACGCGGTAAAAGCTATCTACAAAATGTGCTCCATTTCTGTCCTTCTGGCCATGACCTTGTATATGGCCATTGGCGGAAGCGGCTACGCGACTTTTGGAGACCACGTTGTGGGAAATATCATTACGTTATACCCACAATCTCCTGCTACCACTGTCGGGCGGATTGCCATTGTCCTCCTGGTGATGCTGGCCTTTCCCCTGCAATGCCACCCAGCCAGGGCTTCGATAGACCACATGTGGCACTTTTTCACGCTACATACCAAGAGAACTGCCGATGCGGATGTGAACGAAAGGGCTCAATTGATTGATTCAACCACAGACGATGAAAGAGACGTTTTGGTCGAAGAAGGCGCGTCTCAACAGCCAGTTGCTGTGCCTCTTGGAGGAACCCGTTTTACAGTCATCACTACTGGAATTCTCATTTTGTCCTATCTACTGGCCGTATCTGTTACCTCGCTGGCCCGTGTGCTGGCTGTAGTAGGCGCGACGGGCTCAACTTCCATCTCATTCATTCTTCCTGGCATTTTTGGCTACAAACTGATAGGTTCAGAGTACGACGCAGGCAAAGTCCCCGCATCCACAAAATGGTTGAGGTGTCTGTCGCTGGTGTTGACGTGCTGGGGATCCGTGGTGCTCGTTACATGTCTGTCAGCAACTCTTTTCCTCGGTGCCAGTCACTAAATCTACACATCCCTACACACTGGAGGCTGCACGGAAGCTCTTTGAAGCTACGGAGACTGCAAAATTGTCAGCGAAGAGTCCCCATGGCTTCTTATATCATTGGAATACCATCTATTCAACTTCAAGAATGCCGTCATGCATTATACGAAAACACGTCGCACAATTCTGGTTCCAGTGGCTCCGAAAGACGTTAGATTTACACCAAAGTGACACCAAAGCTGTTTCAACGCTTCAAAAACGTTTCGGCGATGTCAGATCGTCAAAAGCTCGTCATCTTGAATGTTTACACCAAATTTCGTGGTTTTTTGACTAAAACTCTAATATTTATGTACATAAGAATCATAATCTCATCTTACATACCGAAGTGAAATATCTCGAAGAAGTTAACGAAAGTTGAACGACGTATAGACATGGCCATGCCTGACAGGAGAGAGGCCGAAAAGATGCGGCAAAACCCTCACAGAGTGCACGAATTTAGGCTGGCGAATTTGCTGACAGATCCATTCGCTATATCGCTACTGTCGCTGGCACTGATATCGTGGATCATTGCATTCGCGGGGTCAATAGCAGCAGCGGCCAACAACCGAAATTATCCTCCATTTGCGTGGTGGGGGATTGTGTACGAGTTGCTGTTGTTGATTGCCGTTTTCCTGCTCTACTGCTACGATTTGGTGGACTACTACAAGGCATTTCTTTCCGGAGCTCTGGCCGTCGCTTTCATCTACACAACAAATAGCACGGCTGACTTGATCTACCGTGATGGTTCCAAGGTGGCTGCTGCGTCAGCAGGGCTGATTCTGTTGTCGATGATCAACGCCATCTGGCTATTCTACTTCGGTGCAGATAATGCTGCGCCGTCGAACAGATGGGTGGATTCGTATTCGCTCAAAGGCATCCGACACTCAGTTCTGGAGTCTTCAGTTGCGCTGAATAGCAAAAGTGCAATGGTGGGGCGTAATATGTCAAAATATTCAGCCAACCCACACGAGGACGCGCTTTACACTGAGCAAATTCCTCAGTCTACCAGCTTCTATCCAGATGCGCACTCTCAACACTACGTCTCATCTACTGCGCTAAATGGATTCGAAAACGCAGGCCCTCCTGCTGCCCCAGCGCTCCAAAACAACGCTCCAAACTCGCACAACTTAAACACGTATTTCACAGATACTACCAACGGAAATACAGAAACAACAATGGGTGACACTTTGGGACTATATAGCGATGCTGGAAACGAACTGGGTAGTTTCCCATACACAGCCAAGGCACTCTACACCTACTCTGCCGACTCAAACGACGCGTATGAGGTATCATTCGAGCAGGGTGAGATTTTGAGGGTCGGAGACATCGAAGGTAGATGGTGGAAGGCTAAGAGGGCAAATGGTGAAACAGGCATTATTCCAAGCAATTATGTAGAGTTGGTTGGTGACGGGACATTTTAGACAGCACCAAATTTATGTATGGTATCTACATTAAGACGTTTTTTGTTCTAATCAAGTAAGCACAGTGCATCATCTCGACTTCCTGAGTGTTTGACAGTTGCTAATAAAACGGCGACCATCCCATGTAAATAGTCGACAAGTTACCAACATCTGTTGCTTGCTGAATAAGATCTTGCACCGTAGCTTCAACGCTTAATCCATTCCCTTCAAGTTTACTTTGGACGTCTTTAAGAGCCCTCATAGACTCATTGTTATCTTCCTTTGAGCTAGTGCCGTTGGCGTTGACTTCGATTTCTTCACTGTCATCGGAAATATGTGCCTGTAGTTTTCTCTTGCGCAGAGGCGAAACCACCCACGAATACAAAGGATCCCACTTTAGCACATTTAAAACATTCATGACTCTGTCACGCTCACGGTGTAGTACTGAGAAAACCCGTTCGCAGTTGTTGCGAAATATTCCCTCGACGCCTGTTACACCAAAGCCGTCAACGATGTCTCTTGTCAGCCGGAAAGGCACAAGTTCAGGTATGGGCAAAAGCTTTCCCTGATCAAAAGCCACGCCTAAGTCTATGTGTACAGGCTCGCCATTTGACTTGTCCAATAGAATATTATTCAAGTGCCTGTCCCCCAGTCCTAAAATGTAGCCAACGATAGAGGTAGTGACCACAGCTTTAGTATAAGCGTATTTCGCATCCAACCAGGCCTGAGAGTCATCAAAGGACTGGAAGAAAAACTGCCGTAGCCGAGGCTTGATATAGTCGCAAATGCTAGAATAGGCTTCGATTCTCTCATCGAGCGGCTTGCTTTGGCTTTGTTTCATTATTTTTCTGGCTTTGTCGAAGGAGAGCTCGTCATTCTTATGCAGTTTGTTCAGCACTTCATGGAGCGACACGGAATCGGGGACAAACTCTATAAGACCGGCTTGTGGTCCAAGTGGCACAACTTCGTAAGTCCTTATTCGTAAATTGCGCTCTCTCGTCTGCTTGTTCTTGAGCAAAATCTGGTTTACCTGCTTAAAAACCTGCTCCATAATTGAATCCTGCCTCAAGTCGTCGTTGCTTCCCTTCATGAGAACCTTACGCCTAGATCCATCAGACAGATAAAATGTTGCAATTTTTGGCAGCGATAGCCCCGAGGAGGATATAAACACATTCGGATCAAGGTGTGTAATGGTTGAGCGCAACTTCCGTCCATCTGCGGAGCATGTTATAGGAAATGGATTGGTGGGTAGGGATAAGGCCTTCAATTTTATGTCCTCGAGCCAATATTTTCCAGCCTTCAAACTCGTCAAATCAATGGTGCGGCTACCTTTCGGTATTTTCAAACATGAGAGATCAACGGATCTCTCGCAGAATTCCTCAATGGGATATAGATACTCTCGCAAAAATTGGCCATTGTCATAACGCTCTAGCTCCTTGAAAAGCTTCTCCACGGCTTTCACTTTCAGTAATATAATTGGGTCGTTAACCGGTTGGACTCTCCTGTAGAGCTTGAGACTAACAAGCGGGTACAGTGTTTCGTTTGGGAGTTTGAACATCACTCTTTTCAACGTCAATTGCAAATTACGTTGAAATGGTGTACTATCGATACTGAGGCGGGAGGTGAGTTGATTAATCCAGGGAAGAAATTTGAAGCTTGGGATGGAGCTGATTTCGTGGTATAACTTCGAGTTGAGTTCCCCATCTTCAGCATGCTGGAACCACAGGCCACAAAACTTGTCCAGAACATCATCATCCATATGAGATCCATAAACTAAAGCACTGAGATAGAAATGTGCAGATTTCCATGCGAACAATTTTTGCTGCTTGGTTTGGTTCAGTAAAATGTCTTGATCCTGTTCAATCTGCAATTTTAGTCTATTGAAATGTTTTTTCGCTTCTTTTCTATCTCGTTCGTTAGAGTTCGAGTCTCTCACAATCTCTAACAAACCTGAAAGTTCCATGTTGCCACGTTTTGACCGCCGCTGCCGTTCGCTGACTGTTTTGTCGCTTTCTAGGCGCTTTAGCTGTTGAAAACAAAACTCACCAAATTTCAAAAAGATCTCCGCGCGATCACTGTATTCGCCAACCGTGGCTATCTCGTTGGCTGTCTCTGAAATGTACTTGGCATAAATGGTCTGTGCGTTCTCTTTTCGAAGTAGAGATGTCCACTCGACTAGCAAAGCCTTCACCTGGACCTGTGATATTTGTGCACAGGCCCCCAGGACGTCTAAGGTACCTGGATTATAGTTTTGAGAATCGCGGAAAAGCCTTTCAAGCATTGAAATGGCTATTTGATGGTCTTCTTGCAGCCAAAGGGCCTGTGCTCCTTGTAAGATTGCTAAGTTAGACCACTTTTGAGTTTTTGTTAAACAATTCAGACAATCAGCTTTCTTCCCAAGTAGTATTGCCGCTGTTAGAGATTCTTGCAAGTCAAAGTTCTCTCGAGACCGTGAGGCATAGTTCTCTATTTCGAGTAGCTCACATACCTTCAACCCCGCTACTTCGCTGACTGCCGAGTAATTGCTGCTGGAGAGCCCAAGCATCGCTTGACGACCTTTCATTTGCGTTTGGTGTTCGAAAAATGAGCCATTTTCAATGCATTTCTTATCGAACAGTTTTGTCTGATCTAGGAGGGACTTTAAACGCGGTAGATCAGTGGCGTGCTCGTTATACAATTCGGCGCATAAAGTGGTTGCTAGCGAGCCTGCCCATTCCTTCTTGCTGTGAAATTGAGCTGAGTGTGCTACAATCTCTCTCAAGTGTGATCTCGCGGTTCCAACAATGTTATACGGCGCGTTGTAGATCTTTTTAGACAGTGCATATATGGCATCGGAGTCGGAAGAGTAGTGTTCGGGCGTTGGGAGATCCCAATTATTTAATCGCAAGCTCCATTGGTATGCTTCTTGATTGTCGGTGGCGAAGAGATTTGTGTTCGCGTTGCCAAGTAAATCCGCCAAGCCATTGAAACCATTTAAACTGCTACTTTTGATAAGTTCATGCTCGGTGGGGCTGTTACCCATTGCTCTGTCCACATCAAATTGGCAATTGTTGAACATAAAGTTTTTGATACTTCTTGCGTTATGTTCGCTAACAGACGAGAAAGCATAATTTAGCGACGGCTCAATAGGAAGCGCTTGTATTAAGTCAGAGTCACCTAGAGCTTTAAAGACCGTCTGAATACCCAACACATTTGAAGAGTCAATGATATCTTCATATTCTTCGAAGATCATATAAGCCAACGTAACCATTTTCACAGCAGAAGCGAGACGGTAAAACTCTTTGAGCTCAAGTCCTTGATAGAGCTTCTTCAGCGACACGTTACCCTTTACAGCTTCCGATCTTACCATAGAAAACAGGCGCAGGGCAAGCAGAGACTTGGGTTTAAAGTCTGTAACATCGGCTTCAGACTTCCAAGCACATGAGCTTTTCAGGAAAATGGATAAAAGAGTCGAACCAATCTTTGAGTCAGTTCGCTCCAATACCAAAAACATGTCTAAAAAGAGCGCCTCGACAAATTCAGGTTTTTCCTCAGTCAAAGCTACAAAACCGCAGAATCCAGGCAAGAAGCTTTCGAGCTCGTGGCTCAACACATTAGTCAACTTTGATACCCATTTAGTGTAGGACAGGTTACTCATACTAACGACATGATCTAGTGAATATCGCGCTACAACAAAAGCATATTTCAGCTCAGGCAACAAACGAAACTCACAATCGCTTAGCGGAAAACGCTCTTGGTTTACGGCATCAAAACATCCGTTTTCACCAAGATATAAATCACGTCTTCTGCCAAATGTGTCTGAGACTAGCGAAAGAACACAAGAGATAGAGAAATAAGATCTAGGCTCAGTCACCCTGTCGCGGTAGTTGTAAACGTTCATCAATAGATTATCAAGCGGGGTGGGATCTTGGCGCGAGAAGATGGACACAGGACGTAGTTGTTTCGGCAGAGAAGCATTTTTAAGGTAATACCCTCCTACGTAATAACCTCTCCATTGATCGAAGTTGGAAGTTGTTTCGGTCTGCACTTCAGACAAGGCTAGTAAGTTATTGGTCACTTGAACAGAATAATTGAAGTCGATAGGAAGGGGCTTCGGCTCTGCATGAAAGTTAAATATTTGTGAGAGCAGCAAAAATCTCTCCTGTGATGGAGAATCTATTCTCAGCAGCGCATCGTCTAAGTAAACGGTTGCATCTAGAATTCCCCCTCTCAGGATATTCAAGCAGGTTTTCCATGTATTAGCATACTCTTTGATGGCACCGGAGTCCGTGACTTTTATGTGGTGCTCCAAAGACTCAATAAGTGCTGAATCAGAAGCTGCCTGGTCCGAGAGTAAACATGAGAAAACCGCAGAATACATTTCAACCACGTCCGCGCTCTGGCTCAAGCCGAGGCACACAATGCAGTTGATTAGGCCTTGCAACTCCGTGCGCAATTCCTTGAGGTTGAAGTTATGAGCTAAGACGCGAACTAACCTGGGCAAAAAGGTGCAATTCTTTAGCGAACTTTCAGCTAGCACCAGAAGACATTTCATTTGCCTCAGAACATTTATCTTCAAATGAGCAGCGGCAGTTGCCTCCAGATCTACCGTCAATCTCGACAGCAAAGTGCTCAGATCACGATGATCCCAGTGGTGCGCGTTCAAGTGCGTCTTGAGTAGACTCAGAGAGGCGGAAGCCACAATGTGCACACGGGAATGACCTTTGAGTTTCATGGAAGAGTCAGCGAGAAGTACTTTCGGCAGCATAGAATCAGGAAAGAGTAAATCAAAGGCGGACCGCAAGTCGTCGAGAATATCTAACTGTGTGAAATGAAGTACCCAGTACGCTATTTCGTGAGAGAGATCTCCTACGAGCTTGGTGTAGCGCTTGCCAAGATGATCTCTGAGGTATCTTCCAAGTTCATCCGGTCGTTTTGCTATGGCGTGGCAAAGCGGTAGAGCTAGCTGAAGACAGTTCTCAAGGAGACCCGTCTCCTTTTGCCCGTTCACCTCGCCTAAGCGTTTAATGAAAAAGTCTAACTTAGTTTTGTGAGAGAAGTAAATGGCGGACAGCTCCATCACAGATTCCTTCAAGAAGATGTCCAGTGACTCGAATTCAAAAGCATGAATTTGCCATGTATCAAATGCTGCTGACGGATTACCGAGACTTTTCTGGTACCAATACTCGATAACGTCGAAGCGACACAAATGAAACAGGTCTTGCTTGGAAGCCAATCCATTAGAGAGTGCAAGAGTGTCAAAGCAGCGTTTTCCATAAAAAAGAGTTAGCTGATCGTTTCTAAAGGACATCATTTCAAGGGCCGACAACACGGCCTGGCAAGTAGCTGCGGCATCTACCTTGGATAGAATCATTGCATGAAAGGCGGGAACTTCAATGGAGTTTGTCGATGGCTTGAAGATGTCTGCTATCTCGGCAAAAACTATGCTCTGGTTTTTGAAACTAATCTGCGCCAAGTAATGCTGGAATCCTTGGAGCGCCTTTACTATCACAAAAAGCGGCACTCGTCGGACGCAAGCAATCAGGTCTCCAAAAACCTTCTGTTTACCACCCATGATCACTCCAGCAGACAGGTCATGGAACCTTAGCATATTCAGAAGAAGTTTCGAAATGTTGGTGACGGCAGAAATACCACAGAATAAATTCTCATGCAACTTGGAGATAATCCATTGAAAGATATCCTTCAGGTCCGCTTTTAGGTCATCATCCTTATTCGTTATCCACACCCATCGAATGGAGTCCAAGTACATTGCCAGGCTGGAGATTGCTTCATTGGAAGTATTGTATTTTACACTTAACAGTGTAGAGGCCAAAACTTGCGTCAATTGCTCTAATAATTGTTTGTCCATCTCAGAAGCGTCAAGCTCCTTAAGGAATTGAGATATAAATGGAACGGAAATGATAATGTACTTTTCAGGAAGCCCATCCAAAAGCTTCACAACACTAGAAAGCTTTTGCTGGTTTGAAACTCCAAAGAGCGACGAGCCTTCGACAGGAAGTAGCTTCAAGACATTTTCAAAAATGGAGACTCCGCACTCCGCAAAGTTCCTTGGATTAGGCTTTGGTGTTGAGCTTTGAGATCTCAGCTCTCGCGAATTCTCAAAGTCATCAACGTTTTCAGTGTCATTCTCAGTAGCTTCTTCAAAGATCAATTTTCTAAGCTCTTCTAAGATGTTGGGAATTCCTAAATTTGACAACAAAATATGCGCCCGAGTGCTGACTGTTTTGAGGTGGTATATTTCAATGAGTATACCTTGGGAAAAAAAAGCGTATGGATCATCAATATTATTTGCAATAGCAACAATTTGATCACTCAGGTCTTCTAAACGGTCAGCAAGCCGCTGATCGCCAACCAAATCAAAGCTCAACTTAATAGCTTCACAACACCACCTTATCTTGAAAGTATTGTCTCGGGTTGACTTTCTCGGGAAAGCTGTGAATTTGGACCACAGTTGAAGAAGCTCGCTGGGCTCGGGCAAAGTCCGCGTTGATACTTTTAAAGCTTTTGACCGCCGTCTGCCACAGATAGCAGCGAGAAGATATCCGCGTTCTTTCGAAAGATTTTTCCAAGCCGAATAGTATTTGCTGGGTTTCAAAGAAAGGAGGCTCTCTTGCTCGTGAAGTTCGAAGTTTGTAACCTCCTTGCCAGCTAACCATGCAGCGAAATAATGAAAGTTCTGTTGACCTGGCTTCTCGAGGTCAAGTTGATCCCACTTAGACATCAGCCATGATTCAATTTTGGCCGAAAGTGGCATTTGCGATACAGGTTTGTAACAAAATTCGAGTCCACACAAGCTCTTCCAGAACGCGAAAGATTCGTCATTAACTAGAGCTGGGCCATTTACATCCGCCAGTTCAAATAAGTGGGTTACTTGTTGACCGATGGAATTTTCCGAAGCTAAATCGCGATCATGAAAGTGTATCAGATTCTTTAATAATGCACATGCAAGTCGACAAAAATCCTGCGATTTGATCAGCGAAAGGCATTGTACAAATACTTTTTGGATCAGGTTCGGCTCCAAGTGAGAGTTTTCATCCGACACCAAAGGTAGAAACGCGAAACAGACCCACCCTTCTAAACGCGGCGTTTCAAACTTTTGAAAGACGAGAGCAGCCAGGCGATCACATTCAGATGGCTGTAAATTTGAATTAGTTGCGTAGAAACCACACAATTGTAGACCAATAAGTTGCAGTCTTTCTTGTGTGCTTTCGATACAACGGGCTATGAAGTCAACAGCATCAATTGCATCTTTTAGAAGAGACTCAATGGACTCATCTCTTCTGGTTTTTTTAAAAAGTAAGCCTTGTTCTGTTTCTAACGGAACAATAATGGAAAAGAAGCAGTTTATCAGTTGCGCGGTGGCCAAAGTGTCAACACATGGCTCTACGTCAAGGCCGTTACGCATTTGAAAATCATGAAACTCTAGCCACTCTGATCTTGAAGATGTTTTTTTGAACTGAAAGCCCTTCAAGTCAAGCTTTGTGGGGTCAAAGTTAGCCAATGTGGCCGCCACGTAATCCTCGAAAATGTCAAGAAACCGACCGGTATCAAAACTGGTGGGTAAGTGACCTGCATGCATCTTCAGATAGAGAGGCGAGTTGACCAGCGTGCTGAGAAAAATATTAAAAGCGGCAAACTCATAAGCGAGGCCCGTTGTACTGAACTTCTTGATGCTCACAAAAAATCGAATTGTAGTTTCCATCAACTCGAGGCAGTTAGAGTAGTTGATTAAATGACTTTGGACAATGTAGGTGTTTATCAAATGCAGTGCTGCTTTCGCAGCGGCGTTCTCGGTCTTCGAGTTGCTCAAGTACTTGACTAGAGGCTCTATGAGGTGCGATTCAACTTCCGGGAGACAAGTGCAGTCCAACAGAAGAAGAGAGCTGAGTACATTCATCAAACAATGTATATTTTTGTTGCTCAAGGAGTGTTCTAAATGTGTTGACAAAAGTCTGGACAGTTTTTCAACCAGCGCAACCCACTGGTGAGGCTCGAACTTTAAACGGAAACACTCACTGTCTATCAAGCTCTCCAAAGAAGAAAGCAAGTGTAGAGAGACACTAGCTGCCAAATCTCCAGTCACTACATCGACCATCAAGCTAGGCAACGTTGCAACTAGGAATCTGACATGCTTTGATTTGAACTTCGAATTGGAGGTTTGCACCAGCAATCTTAAGACGTAAGCAGCTGACGAGAGTCTATTTTCTATAGCAGTGATCTTGCTCTCCGACGAATTGGACTGATCGAGCGCCAATCTCTCATATTTCGTTCTCTCCAGTTCAATGAGATCCACCAAAACTTGCAGGATGGGGTACAAGTACTTGGAGGGCAAATTTGCGGGTTCCTGTTTGAGAATTGTGGTCAATTCGTCTAGCCCATGATTCCTCTCTTTGAGTTTCCCAGATGATAGGAGGTCTATGATGATTGGAACATGAGATGAATCCATAGATTTGGCAAGTTCTCTTGCTACTGTTTGAATATATTAAAGCTGTCTGAGTATTTTAAGGCTTTAGGGCCTCATATATCAGGTCACGTGTGAGCAGAAATGAACTGGTCTTCGAGTAAAGGTTCTCGTTGGAGTAGCCAAATCTCGAGATATAGCGATCTTGGACAGGGCATTGTGAGGATGCTAAAGAGAATTATCAATAATTACAGAAAAAACTCGAATACTCGAGATCTTTGTACCAGGAATGGCCAGTCTCTGATTTGAATTTATGATGTAATGATTTATCTTAAATTTGTGCTATGTGTCAAATTTTAGAAAAACTGCACGTACAGGATTAAGAGAAGCGACCGACACCCAGTTTATTCGCATTCGAGTTTCGCTCTGATTTGCGCGTCAGGTCTTTATAAATACTGGAAAAATGACATATTAGTACAAAGTGATATACTTAAAAACTCTAAAACAAAGAATTAACGGGATACCCCGATTGTCACCGGCGCCTGCCCCGGGAAAATACTCCTGAAGTAGTTTATTCACACGCTGACCTTCCACCTCTGCCCCCGCGCTCTGCACAGCACGCTTCAATTGTATTTTTTTAAAATGCGATAGTTTATTTGAGTCAGAAACCTTATTACTTATACATTGCGCGGAACTTTTGCGTATTGACACTCAAGAGTTCTTCGATTTACACAACGACACCAGAGTTGGAGGCAATTCTTGGCCACAAGTCGGCACATTCCTTACCGACAGGACCGGTGATGGCGGAACCCTTCATTTCACCCTTGGGGTTGGCAATGACACCGGCGTTGTCCTCGAAGTACAAGTAGACACCGTCCTTTCTTCTCCATGGCTTGGATTGACGGATGACGATGGCTGGCATGACCTTCTTTCTCAATTCAGGCTTACCCTTCTTGACGGTGGCCATGACCATGTCACCCAAAGAGGCAGCTGGCAATCTGTTCAATCTGGAACCAGAACCCTTGACGGCCATGATGTAGAGGTTTCTGGCACCTGTGTTGTCAGCACAGTTTAGGATGGCACCAGTAGGCAAACCTAGCTGTTCCGAGGTTAGTATATGGGAAGGTGAGGGGAAACTGGAGATTTGGAGGAGCACAACGTGCAAAAGTCACAATCTTCGTGCGAGTGCGAGTGTCCTGGACGTGCCACCCGAGTTTCATAAGCGAATTCTACTCGCTGCGTCAAAGCTAACATACGGAAATTCTGAACTTTGTACCTTGAGCACCGTTACCAGACATTGTTAATGTTTGTGATCTGTTCTACAAAGCACTTCAACTAACTGACGCGATCCAAATCCAACTTTTGAACAGAGTTGTAGTCAAGTTCACTGTGGATGGGATGGGATGGGATAGTTCGTGCTGCTGGGATGTTGCGAGACGGTAGTCGGGCCAGGTCGCCGTACAAGATGCGCGACGAGCCAGAGTTTTTCAGTCCACGGGAACTTTTTTGCGTGGGTCGGTGAGAGAGAAAAATGGTAAAAATTCAAAACGGTTGGGATTTTGAGGGTGTGTGGGTGTGGGGAAGCAGTCACAGGAGGGAGCACAACTGAACAAGTGAGAGAGTAAGCGATCAACTGTGAATACAGGGAGTACTTGGAGCACTCGGAGCACTATTGAACAACCGAGAGCGTTAGCGATCGATTGTGAATAAGTGAGGGACTCATAGTATCATTGAACAATCGAGAGCGTCAGTGGTGAATTTTTTAATGACTTCTCTTGGTGGTACTAATACGTAGAATGGCTACAAGCTTTATGTACAGATATCGGTTTACCATTGAACAATTGGTAGCTTCAAGAACACTCGGCTTTACTAAACAGATGCCAGTTTAGATGTAGTCTTGAAATATTACGGATATTTATGAGTACGAGTACGAGTACGAGCACGGATTCCAGTCACGCGATTAGGCAATTGAGGGCGTCAGCGATCAATTGTGAATAACTTTGGAAATTACTAGCACAAATAAACAATTGAGAGCGAAACAGAGCGATGGTAAATAATTTTATTATCTACACGCACCGTTGAACATTGAGAGTGTCAGCTTAAATGACTACAAGCTTCATATGACCAGTAAGAGTGTGAAGCTACATCAACTACAAGCAGCTCGCTTAGCTGTGATTAATTACAAGCGTATAATTTATTCACAGATGCAGTAAAGCGCCAGTGTTTTACGAGTATGAGCACGAGTACGAAAGTACAACTGAACAATTGAGAGCGTTGGCGAAGGGTACCATAAGCACAACTGACCAGTTAGGAGCCTTTACGATTAAGTGTGAATGTATTGTCACTATCAGCACAACTGGACAATCAATCGTTAACGCTCCTAATTGTTAACGCTTCTAATTGTTAACGCTTCTAATTGTTAACGCTTCTAATTGTTAACGCTCCTAATTGTTAACGTACTGTGATTTGAGATTCTAGTGGTAGCTTAGGGATGGAACGTTGTGTATACATAAAAACCCTCTGGAGAAGCGCTCTCATTACGCTACAATCTGATTCTTGTCAGCACGTGACCTCGCGCCAGATGACAGACGGGTACAAAGTGATCACATTTTCAACACAACAACCATTAGTACTGGGCTCACCGCATGAACAATTCAAACACCTTGATAGCACGCAATTCAAGGACTCACTCCCGCGCCATCTACTCCTCTTTACCAACGAGCTTCAAATTCAAGCAACCAACCTCCTACAAAACTTACCAAACAGGGCAAGTGTTTCTGATGAAGCGAAAGAGTTACGTGCGAGGCTGTTAAAACTTGAATCGTGCAACACAAATAAAGCCGAGAGATGCACCCAGCACCCACTCAATCAACGAACGTCAGGGTTTTACTTTTGTCAATTTCACGGTCACTCTCATCACGTGACACAAATCGCCCTCATATTTTCCACATCTTGTAAACCCACCCCATATCTCATCCATACCATTCTATACCTGGAAGTAGCCCAAATACTACGTGACTTACGCTGTATTATTCACAACAACATTACACCGATTTTGGCATCGGGATCCGTAGATTTGAGCTCTGGCTCTCGTCGAAATTATCTTTTATGAGTGTCAAATAACCACTTCTTTCAAAGATATTTAAGGAGTGCCGCAGGGGCGGTATAAAGAGGTCAAAAGCTAGTAAACGATTGTTGCAAAGGGGTACCTTTGTACTTTGGACTGGCGTGGAGAAGAGAGCGTAAAATTTGAGCCAAGTGGGCCTTTTTACTTCGGCTCGAAAATCCATTAGACTACTTACAACGACTAAATGACAAGTGGTGAAAGTGATACGTTTGATGAGGACTATCACAACGCTTTTGAGTCCGATGTAGCAGTGGGCAGTGGTCGCAGACCGCACAAGAAACGCCGTATTGCCGCACGCAACCTAATTCGCCTTCAGGATGAGAGCGACGAAGAAGAAGATGAGGTCGACAACTCCGATGATCCAGACTTCCACAGTATTTACGAACAGGCACAACCGGACGCTCCGGCTGCTGAGGCAGCACCAAGTACCTCACACAATGCGTATGACGAAAATTCTACCCCTTTCGTCTCATCGAGCAGGCAGGTGGCTATCGACCCAGCTTTAGCACAATCGTACGCCGACGCGGAAGTGATCGATATTATCGGACACGGTGATGGGTCAGATGCGGAATCTGAAGATGAGACTGGACACAGCGCCGAGGCTTCGCCAGAGCTGGGCACTACCCCACAAACGGCCGTTGAGATCCTTGATGACGAAGTGCTCCCTCAAGAACGCCGCGAATACCGAAGAGCTCGCGATTACAAATGTCCCATCTGTTTCGAGCCCCCAGAAATCGCACTGTTTACTCCCTGTGGCCACATTTTTTGCATTGATTGTCTTTTTCAAATGATCAACAGTACGAAGGCAAATCGAAGGTCGGGCCAGTGCGCTTTGTGCAGAAGAGACGTTGGACTGGGGAAGGTAAAACTACTCAAACTTCGCAAGAAACGAATTCCGAAGGATGCTTAGCGTATAACGCGTATCTCGCTACACTGTTTTGTAATTTCCATTTACTGACGTTTTGCGTCGAAATCACAGCATATTCTGTGGATTAAAACACAGCTTGAAAAAACTCGACCATGTCCACTCCACTGTTCATCTACAGCACAGATCAGTCACCTCGCTTTGCTTATAGCTAATCATCTCTGATCAAACCAAAAAATATGTTGTGTGACGGTACAATTCACAGAAAGCCAATTCGACACTATAAGAAGACCCCAACCATACAGTTTTTGAGACGCGTCGAATGTCGAACTCACAAAGTCAGGCGTCATATACCTCCCGCGACCAGTGGTACAGTGGTTGTGCGTTACGGCACTCTTCATGGTCTTCAGGACCGACGAGCCATGCGATGCCGGTACAGAGGTATCAATCATGGTGACGAGGTTAAGTCGGGGGTTCGGTGCTTGTGTCAAACAATAGCTCTAAGCCCCAGCCCTTTGCACAGGGACATAACTCGCGGACTCAAAAGACGACTACACATAAAAATGCATTCATAATGATGACTAGAGATTTAATTAATACACAACTTCATAACACATAACGCAAGTTTGAATTCTAAGGCAGAATCTTGCTGATGGTCCAGCTTTTGAAATAAGAAGCCTCGTGATTATCCGAAGGATCTTCTGCCGTCGGGGTGTTTCCCCGACTTAGGTTCTTGCGATCGCCGACCCCTCTCTTCAGAGTGTTGCTGCGGCTTTCAGTACCCACCCGTCTCTCGACGAATGCGCGCCTGTCGAACTCGCCGTGATTCATTTCCATCGGTATTTGTCGGTGACGGTCTTCGTAGGTTTTTTCCAGTTCAGACAGATGCAACGCGTCGATGTCTATGAGATTTATGCCTTTTTCGTTCTTGGCCCAGCCATCACCGCCGTCAAGAATGTCCTCGACACACTCCTTGGGATTGAACTCGCCCGGGCGCGGATCCCACGGTACTTGGAATGTTTTTTGATAAAGTTTATCAACGAAAGGGTTGTTGATCGTGATGGAGAACGTACCTTGGACGTCGGTTTTCTTCGCTGCACTATTGTTGCTGGCTGTGTTGGGCGTGAATGTGGAGGACGTGGGCGAGCTGGCGTCGGAGGATGCATCAAACACCTCTGAGATACCGTTGCGGAGAGTATTGGGCAATTGGCCTGAATTGGAATACTGCGACGACTCAAAATCTTCGTAACTGCCGCGGGCAAGCTCCATCTGTATAGCGAGGCTCAGAATCGAATTGACCTTAGACTTTTGCAACAAAAATCGGCTGGGAATCTGACGTTGCTCACGATTGATATACTCGGCCAAATTGACCTCGACCACGCCCAGCAGTACTTTACGGGAGACCCTTTGGGTATAAACGCTGTTACTGGAACCAGAGCCCGACGATGGCGATGCGTCCGACTGCTGAGAGCCTTTACGATCGCCAGCACCCGGGCCTAGCCGTTCCAGAAACTCGAAAAATACCTCCAATACAAGCTCTTTGCGCTGCAAAACACGGGATTTATCAGTGGTGAGTTTCACGAGCACCGGTTTGGGCAATGTGTAGTTCCAATGGGCGCGATGATGCTTGACAAGAACGCGAGGCGTGGCACCGCGACTCTGGGAGCTGGACCGCACCGCGGCGGCGCCCGAGCCGCTGTCAGCGCTGTCCGAAGACGAGGGCACAATGGAGTGACTTGTGGTGCCCGTGCCGTCCTTGAGATGCCATTTAACAAAACAGTAGCCCGAGCTTTGCGGGATGTTGCTGAGCTCTGTGATCTTGAGTTGGAACAAAAACTTGGGGCGCTTGCTCTTGCCCTTGTGAGCAAAAGTGATCATAACCGAGACGGATTGCAATTGGTTTGCCGGGACTCACGGCATGGAGCGACGTGGAGTGGTTGGGAAGAGTTGATGTGAAGATCTGTAGAAATGTAGTATAGGGACAAATTGTGGATTTTAAAATGATAGTGATGTCGTGAATGGTGATGTGGTGAGCGTAGATTCGCGTGAATTTCGCATGACAAACAGCCTCTCAAGTTTGCGTGCTATTATATATTCGAGGCAGTTATTGTTGTGTTGTTATTTTAACTGTGATTGTTATCCTTGAGTGTCTTATAGAGTCCTTTTTATAGGCTCTTTATTTTGGTTTGTTTTCGACAGTGTCAGTGTATATGACTTTGACAAAAAGTATATCGTATTGTATGTTATAGAGGTAAGACGTGATGCGAATGCTCGTTGAACGGGGGCACTTTTGCTCAATGGCTTTGGTAGTCCTTGCAGTCTCTGTAACTCGCTGTCGATTTGCGAGTTTTTTTAAGCGTCAGGAAATAAATATGCTTAAAATTTAACATTATTCTGCAATAAAAGGGCCAGATAAATCTCCAAAACTCAACAGCGGGGAACAATGAGAGCGAGTAATGCGTTGGGAAAGCATACTGACACACAGAGAGTGCTTTTTTCAGTTTCCGAAAGTGTGTCACGTGATACAGTGACTGATGACGTGCCAGTTCAAAGTGATAAAAGTGAGTGTTGAGCGACAGAGCTGAATGGGACGAGTGAGAAAGCTCAGATTAAGCATTATGAGTTGTCAAGTGAATAAGTCGAGACTTTTAGCTTTACGGTAGCGAATGAGAGTGACTTGAGGTCAAGCAGTGTAGATAGTGAGTCGAGATTTAACAATTTTGAATTACGAAAAATTGTCGTTTTATTTTGGAAGTCAAAGATCACTCTAGCTCCGGACTGCTTAACGTCAAGGGACAGACAAGACGACGATCCCATATCAGCGTCCGAGGCATCTCAGAAGAAGTCGATGAGTCCTTGTTTTAGATGCTTTAAACCCTTCTGAAATCAACAATGGGCTACCCAGGATCCGTCACTCTTCGCCCTCTGGTTCATCGTTCATGGAATTGCGACCCGAGTGATGATTTTCATGAACATGTACGCCTTAACTCCAGTTTCAGTCGTCGTACAATTCAAACTACATCTATTTGCTCTTATTTTCACAGTCGCTTCTTGATGTTCTCAATGGGTTAGTGGTGATGCTGGTACTTCCGCTGGTGTAATGGCGCAAGCGGGCTAGGTGTGCTCCCAGTATGAGTTGTCTACTGATCTTTTACTGACGCTCTGTTCAGTGCGTAAGACCTGGTTCGGTAGTGTATTCGTACTCGAGGTAGTCTTTGTGTTCGAGATAGTACTCGTACTCGTCGGTATTACTACTCGACCTTCATGTATTCACAATGGATCGCTGAGGGCAATATTGTTCCGTAATGCTCATAGCCGCTCTACGTAACGAACAAGTGCGAGCTCCAGCGACCATTTATTCAATGATGCTGTAAATACCCTACGTGTTGTACAATTGATCTCTGGAGCTCTCAATATTCAGTGACTGAGGCCTAGCGCTCTTTATTGTTATAAAGTACTTGTAGTCCTCTACGTATTCACAATTGTTGTGAGCGTCAGCAATCAATTGTTCTGTGGTGCTTGTGGTTAATTTTGACCGCTGACACTCTCAATTGTTCAGTGGTACTTGTGGTTGATGTAGATAATTCACAATTGATCGCCGACGCTCTCAATTGTTCAGTGGTGTTTGTAGCGCCCAAGTCACTCACCACGAACAAACGAACGGACCGATCCATACAAATAATTAAATTCCATCTTCTCTGACAATCACACCAAACTCAACTCAATCCACACACGTTCCCGCTTCACATCCACCTTCTCTACCTCTTCTCTATTCTCCTTGTCCCAGCCACCAGGTTCCCATCCATCAGCGTGTGCCAGTCTCATACACACAGTTCCTCACCTATGGCTAGCTCGTTTCTGTCGATCTACTCCGACAGTTGGACTCTGTCTGAACGACCCGGGTCAAACCTGATCCAGCTGGACGCTTTGAACGCCACCGGCAGTGACTCGGGTTCTAGCAGCGCGCGTGCTAGCAGCACCCATGTGGGCGGGCCCACTATAACGCCGCTGTTGCGCCCGCTGACAACGGAGCCGGAGCCGGAGTTCACCGAGCCCCTTTTAACCGACGGCGACCTAGCCGCCATGTCCATCGCGCAGCGCAGCTCCGAGACCTTGCGACGCGTAAGCGAGAGTATGCGCCATGAAAACGTTCCTGTGTCTCCGCAGCTCGTAATGCATCGCCATGCATGGGACGTGCAGCCGCGCGTCTCTGCGCAGACGCGGTTCCCTCTAGACCACGTGCCTATAAAATGCAACATCCTGCAGACATTACGCGACCTGCTGCGGGAGTATCTGGCAGCTGCAGGCACGGAGTCGTCCACAACAACTGCGCTCGAGCATGTCGCCAAGGTGCTGCACTATCTAAGCAAGCTGATCCAGGCTGCACAGCTGGATGCGAGCGCCATGCTGCGGCATGGCTCCGCCGCTTCTGAGACGACACACCAGCGCGGCGGCTCTACGTCGTTTGAAGACGCGTCGTCGGTGGACGTGGAAGCGGCCTCAGGGTCGGTCTCCGGCGTCGGCTCCGGCCGGTCGCGGATCTTTAGCCGGTTCTTTGCTCCGTCCAAAAGCCGTCGGGCGTCAACACCGTATGGCCACGCACGTGCCGCGTCCGTGGCCACCAAGAGCACAATCACGGTAGTCCCGGTCGGCACAAGCGGCGCCAGCACCAGTGTCAGCGCCAGTGTCAGCGCCAGTGCGGGATCGGTCGTCCCGACCCAGCCCGTGTCTGGCTCGTCCCACAAGATTCAAGACTATACCAGCATGCACACATACCAGGAAAGCATCGCAGCGCTGGGCGTGGTGCTACAGACGCTGCCTCAGACAGACCAAAACAACATCATATTCCATTTTGTCGACCAAAAAATCAATGCGTTCATAATAAAGGACTGTCGGGCGCTACTGCGTTTTTACGTAGAGGAAGAGATCATCTCGCGGCTGTAAAGGAAGCAGCGGAGACATTGTGGTAGAATTGATGTTCGTGCACAATGATTTGAGGTAAATGGTGTACTTTTTGGCGTATTGATAAGGTAGTGAGTGTCAGGACATATAGAGGCGAGCACAGACCTGATACAGAAACGCTTTCTCTCGCTGAAAACCCCAAAAATCCATTTTTAAATGAGGTAGTATTCCATCATTCGTGTCACGTGATTTAGGGACCCGACAATTTTGGTGTGTCATACGCCTCCTCCCTCTCCCGTTTAAAGCTCTTTTCCCATGGTTTGAAAGGCGTGGTTGTTTTTGAGTTGAAAAGCAGTCTCACGTCCGACTTTCGTTACTGGTATTAGCTTGCTGACGACGACGACGACGACGACGACGACGACGACGACGACGGACTAGTACAAAGTGATATACTCATGATGACACCGGGGTCGTGAAAATCAATAATGATGTAAATGACAATGGCACACTAGAGCCACACACTGCAGACGACAGGCTTGAGAAATATGTGAGTATGACCGTCCCAATGCGAGATTGTGAGTTTGCCAGAGCTATTCTATCTCAGAACACAACCTTTGCCAACATAAAAATACGATCAAATTCTTTTAGTGCAAGCACAGATAATGCCGCGAGAAACAACTGGAAAACCACAGCGTCGCGTTGCTCTCCCGAAAAGACATTGCTCCTATCAAATCGAAAGTCATAGTGTTTCTAAAAACATTTCATCTGCTCTCTAGTGGACGCCCTTAGACTGCGAATCGAATTTGGGAATCCCGCAGGATCGTGCGATTTGGTCTCCTCCCAAGTAGCCTGGAATAGAACACTGGTTGAATTCAAATTGTTTTTTTTTTGTTTCCGTTACCCACCACACCAATAAAAGCCCTTCTGATGCTGCATTGATTGCAACAGCACTCTCTCCGACTTCCACATCTGGTATCGAAACAATTGTTCAGTTTTGTTTGTAGTCACCAGAGTGTTTGTTGAAAGAAGGTCCGTAGACCTATTTGAAGAGTAAGCTGGAACAATTCGACGCCTGTTAAAATGATACCTATCAGTACAGCTGGAATTAATACCTGGTTATTTTTCTGCAGATTTGTGCATGACTCGGAATTATGGTAAGCACTCCATTCTCATCATTTGTATCAAAATGTAGAAATATCCCAAGATCAAGGCCACAGAAAACTTTCACCGAAGCTATCTTTGATATCACAAATACACATCAGTAAAATCCACTAGACTTACCCCCTGGTATGGATCAAAATACGTTGCCGATTCAATCTGGTCTGTCGATCAGGTATGCTGTCTGACTCAGATATGCTATCATGAAATAAGTATATACATCACAGCCTAATGTTGACTGAAATGAGAGCGGAGAAAATTAAGCGTGCTCATTACGCAGGAAAAGCAGGTCTCGATGTCACCGTAAATGGCACCCATACTTTTATACCCCAAGATTGCTCAGAATAGAAGCATTTTAGCACAAACCCCATCAGTGGAACTCACAGACAGCAATACAAAACCTTAAAAGGGGCATTGAGTTCGGTGGGTAAACGGCAAATAGCCTTCTCAAGCTGCAAGAGAGTTTTTTAAGCTAACTTTTTTGTATTTCGTGCTTGTGAAACGGGGAAAAAGCGTTTTGTAGAAAATGGGTCTAACTTATCTTCACACACAATATTAAGTCTTACATTGCCCTGATAACTGTGACTTGTTGGCTTATTGTTTTTAGGTCAATTGAAACTAAACGCTTTGGCCGATTTTTGCCAAGACTTATTTTTACTGTCAGGTGCCCTCTATCTGTTATTTCTCGAGTACATGAAAATTACATAAATTAAACATCCCCGACAACACAACTCCGTAAAATATACTTTTAAGGCCCAGCAATCGTTTCATCTTCTTTCAAAGTCTCTAGTTCATCTGCTTACAACTGCTAATGGAAGGAAAAAGTTTTTTAGGTCTTGCCTCGGACGAAAAGACCCAGGTTCCTGCAAAGGTCTTTCGATGCCAAGCCCTGTGGGCAATACGAGATGTGTTTAAATGGAGAAAGTTTCAGATAGTGGCAGCGATTTTTGTAGGGCTAATTTGTGCTTCAGTGGTTGGTTTGGGAAGACTATTTCAAACTCATGGCGCAGGCAAAGTAGCGTACCTGTTGAGCGCTGAATTTGCTTTTCTCGGCATCGAGCTCTTCTTTGCTGCTACAGTGATCTTCATAGAGCAGAAAAAGAAAACTACTGTAAGACAGCAGAGAATGGAGCTATTTCGTCAGATTATGGCACAACAGCCAGGAACAGCTTTGGCCAAGTGGGACGTCATTGCCGTCGAAATGAACGACTATTTGAACAAGCAGGCAATCTGGCACTCTCCGTGGTGTTTCTACGATGGTGCCATGCTATTTGCTTTTTTTAGGACGCTGATCTATATCCCCTTACAGGATGGAAAATTTGACAGTGACGCAGAAATTGTGTTGCTTCGCGACGCTGCGCAGAATTATGAAGAGTCTTTATTTGCTTCCGAAAACGAGAACGAAAAGACTGGTCGTGTTAGCAATCTGTCAAGTGAGAAGAAGTTACCGGTAGAGCTACACCACTCTAAAGCTACGTGGGTTCTTACAAGGTCAAAGAAAATGATCGTCATAGGAAGCCTTTATGCACTAGTTTATGGGTGGTTTGGCCAATTGCTTGCGGTTGTCATCTTCGAGTGTTTTCACTTTGCAATCTCGTTCTATGTTTTTTGGAATAGAGCAAACTTTTTATCTCTTGCGGACTCGCTGGAGTTCATGAATAATGTTCACAAGTTTGAACCTTGGGAAGATGACTCAAAGTGGGATGAAATCGCCAGAGCAACGAACGCGGCTTTTTCTGGCAAACGTATGGACAATTTTGATAACGACTATTTCTTTGATGGAAATCACTGCCGTCAGTTATTCAAGCAAAGATTGTCATCGATCATTGCCGATCGTAAACTGAGATTGCCCGAACTGATTCCTTTCGCACATGAATTGAGAGCAGCCTGCGGATTCGATTCAAAAGACCAGGTTTGAGGCTTGAAACTCGTAGTTTCAAAGTGTTGAGATGCTTCGGACTTGCAGTTTTTTGGGCGTTACCAACAGCGAATCGCTTATATACACGAAAACACATTTTTATCGAGGATACATTCTACCAACAAATATGACTATCCAGCAGGCGCGGCACCCCTATCGGGATAGATAACTTAATTATGAAGAACAGAACACAGCTCAATTAACACTTGCTATACATTCATGGCTTGCAGACAATGTGATATAAAAACTCTCAGTATCAGACAGGTAGTCATTTTACTTATGATGAGTCCATCATCGCTCATAGCTGACGCTGTCATTATGTCACGTGTCACTGCGTATTTCATCTCTCTGTCTCTCCGGCCGCATCCACTGTGCCTACAGAATTCTCTGTCTTTCCAACAATTTGATGATCATGAAAAATACGATGATGTCGAGGAATGGGGGTTTAGTGTGCTGATTTTCGCTATTTCCTGTTTCTCCACCCTGGAATTTTAGACACTCTCGAGTTAATTAAGCTGGTATCGGAAACAGGCAATATGAAACCGTGTTTTCGACCAAACAAGCTACTACATAAATCCAGCGTTATACCAAATTCTGGGCCACGCAATTAAACGTTTGGTTTGTTTCGTTTGAAAAATTGCGAAGCGCTTTAACCGCTCGAAATTTAAGAATTCTCAAAAGAGCTTAATCTTAGGCCATTCACAACGTTCAATTCCTAACGTAAGCATTTTGGAGATATTTGGTTTTGATGTGTACTCAAGTCGACTTTTTTAAACCGCAGATAAATAGGTGCGCTATCGAGTAATAAGCATATATTAAGACTTAAGGCTCTAATGCGATGACGAAAAACGGCATATCTTGAAAACCAAATTAGAGACGTAAAACTATTATATCTAATACCTCCACTACTTCCACTGATAGTCTATACACATTACGCTTAATTATCAAACATGTCCCTATGTTGCGTCAAACTCACGCAATTCCGTTTGACAAGTAATACAGCTGATAAGTTGTGGCCATAGATACGCTAAGAAACGAAACAGAACCAAAGACATCGGATAAGATGATTGATTTCTCATTGCGTTTCGTAGGCAAAAATTAGCCTTTTTGAAGGCATGGTTATTTCAGTGTCGCTAGTAGGATTTCAACCAGTCTGGTTGCTTGTAGGGAAGTGGGTCAAAGAGGGGAAATCGGGACGTAGAGTACAGACTGTTTAAGCGTTTCGGTTACAGATGTTGAAAGTCGGGAGAGTTCAGTATTGAAAATGGAGAATGTGCACATATGGTGTGGCTCAGAAATGTGGTGGCGGCCAAGAGATTTTCTGGAAGTACCGTTAATGGCAATTGATTATGTTAAAACAATTGACTGACCTCACAACAATCATACTTCTACGAGTGGTTTAGCATTATTATCAGATTGTAAAGCTAAGAAGTGGGAAATTCAAGGATAAATAGTGATGAGCGTCCGGATAGCGCGACGGGATTTTTTGAAATATACACGGATGTTTCAAAGAGAGTTCGAGCATTGAGATGCAGTCAAGCCATCGAAAGGGAATAAAGCATAGAATAATTCAGGCGATATGTTCCGAAAATTTTTCAAGTCCCAAACAAATTTCACATCACATTACAAAAGATGGCATAGCGATGCCTAGGATGTTCCATTAACGCTAATAATATCACAATTTGTGTAGTTGTTATTTGTTATACCTACTGTAGTATCGTGGCATTCACGGCGTCAGTTTGAATACATACGTTGTCAGTCCTGTGCGACTACATTTTAGATGACGGACTGGTACGAAGTGACAAGATCGAAGACGTCAGGAAAACCCTCATGTGCAATGTTAGATGCTTCATATGCACCCTACAGCACCATATTTGTTACGATGTACTACATAATCGAGAAACAAGGACACTGACTCAAGAGCTGAGATCCATGAAAGGCGTGAATAATTCCAAGCCGGTTGTGGACGGCTCAAAATATTTAATTACTCTACGCAAAAGCGTAAAGACTTGAACTTCCAAATGTACCTTTAGTCCATTCATGCCTAAGAAGGACACACATACCATGGAAACAGTCCAGTGACACACGCGCGACTGAAGCCGTCTCCTGTTATGCACTTCAAGAATACTATACTGCTATCACGTGCTTGTTGAACCCCGAGTTGCCTGTTGAAACGGATCGGACTCTGGGGAACATAAAGTGTTCTTTACGTCTTCTTTTATGGTCGAAGAATATGATATACAAGTTACGCTCAACTGCGGCAATTACGGCAATTACGGCTTATTGATTATCTAGAAAAGATGGCTTTGACAGATTTCCTCAAATCTCAAAAATACGAGCACAATGAACATTTTGAGACATGTCTGTCCAAAGCGGTCCGAATACGGTACTAGTCTTATTCGTTGTAAGTTAGACGGTTTTTTTGCTTAAATCTTTCCTCTGTGTTTTACTGTGCTTCGTGCTAGGATTGATTTCAGTATAATATCCAACTCTTCCAGTTACAGCTATTAATGAAGCTCATGGGGCTAGAGAACAGCGTCAATGTTGGTATCTTCTAGATACAGCTGCAAGTGGAAACGATGAGCAGGCAATTATTGTTGAAAATGTGTCAGCATGCGACAAACGTCACTTTTTTTGGAAACCACGTTACAATCAACGTTTACCATGAATTGTCAATTTCCTAGACGACTGAAAAACATATATCTTAATCAAACGAGCGCACCATTATATCATGAAAGTTGTCTTGTATGCAAAACACGGTAGCTTCGATTATGTTGCGTATCGCATTTTGCGCTGAGTCTGATTGTCGAATGCTTGACCTTTTATATACGCCGTATTCAAAATCAATACTATCGGAAAGAATCGTAGCGACCAAATACTTGATATTGCTTATTCGATGGTTCCGTGTTATTCACATATTAATCACTGACAGGCTCATCGGTAACAGTAAAACAAGACCTTGTCACGTGACCAGACGACACTAATAAGAAGACGTGTTCATTCTCAAGATCCGTTTTGCAGTGAGACTATCCCAGTAAAAGGTGAGAACAAACTAATGCCCACTATCTTACTCCAAACTACAAATACTTACTGGCCGAGTGTCAATCTAAGTGTCCAGAAGTCTCAAGAATATAGCCAAAAAATGTTGATGTCATGTTGTACGTATTGTAAAGATACGAATAATTCAATCTTTATTCACATTCCGGCCTCATCTACTGTTTTAGAACAAAACATCCAGCTAACGCTTCGCTGTTTGACCTCCACAACGGCGTTTTTGACCCTAGTTGAACTGAACTGCAACGTGGCATCAAAATGAATGGTGCTAGTAATCGGGACACTCGGACACCGAAGTTGGCTCACCTACAAACCAGCCTTGAGAATGGACTCAAACCGTTGGAAAGTAACAATGGCAAGCCGCGTCCAGAGCTTGGTAAGCTCTTCATCACAATAACCGAGTATCACAAACGTATGGAGGATGAACTAGACATGAAACCTGGCGATAAAATCGAGGTGATCACCGACGATGAGGAGTACAACGACGGTTGGTACTACGGCCGTAATCTGAGAACAGAAGAAGAAGGGCTGTATCCAAAAGTATTCACACAAGAAATATCGACTCCGTCGTTGGTGAGGGCGAAATCAGCTCGCCGTGTAGCTAGTCCACTAGCGAACAGCAGCACAACAGATCTATCCACGATGTCCAACGAAGGGACGACCAGTGAACTTCCCACGCCACAGCCGCTGGAAACAGCAGCTCCCGTCAAACTCAGTCTCGACCGTACGGCCTCGGTGAAAGTGACCATGAACGACATTGACAAAGCCCTTGAAGCATTTCGCGGCGAGTCCCTGTCTTCAGGGACTTCGCAGCATGCTGCGAAAAATGAGGTGCGCACGACGGCAGACACAACAGCAAACTCTTTTGCTACAGATACCGACACAGACATATCACGACAGCAAATCCTTGAGCAATCAAACTCGGTGCATTCGCTAACCAACGACACGTCTTTCGGCTCCACGTCAATTAACGGATTCGACACTAAAGATCTAACGCCTGTAAACGCTCAAAACTGGTCTCCAGAACAAGTCACAGCATATTTCATAGGCTCGGGCTTTGACGTCGAGTCGTCAAGCAGGTTCCAACAACACAAAATCTCCGGCCCCATCTTACTGGAATTGGAACTGGCCCATCTGAAAGAGCTGGATATCAGCTCATTCGGTATACGTTTCGAAATCTTCAAGGAGATCGAGGCCATAAAAGACGTCATCAATACTCGTGGCCCAGCCAGACTGCCAAGTCAACTGATGCCCGCACCAGCGGTGAATCAAAGATCCTATATGAGTCACGCCCGCAAAACCTCTCGATCCCTGGATGATTTACCATCTAAAGTGCCCGCTGTGGTTTCTCCAGTAAGTCGAGGTCGCGTAAGCAGCAAACATCGGCCATATTCTTTGGTGCTCGGCGGTCGTGAATCCAACGCCGAAGCGCCGGATAATCTTATCGCCGCTTTGAACGCTCAGGAAAACGGCAGCAGTGTCCCACCAGCGAAACTGCAGTTAGACGACACGAATTTCCTTTCTCCTCGTAGAGCACCCAAGCCGCCCGCGTACCCTAGTCCAGTGCAGCCGGTAAGATCGCCTGCGGCCCAAAATTTCACACCCAGTCCTTCGAACGTTGACTTTCCACATAGTCTTCGCAACGGTCCTCCAACCATCTTTGAGCGAGCGCCTTATATGGAAAGTCGTTCGAACGATAGCACCGAACTGCAAACTCCAAAATTCCAATTTCCTAAAACGACTCCTCCTCAGTTGAGCTCAGAAACCCCAGACACAATCGATGATGAGGAAGGTGCTGGCAGAAATGCTGCTATTATACGACCTTCGGACAATTGCACTGGCAACAGAAGTTCTGTTATCTATTCAGGCCAGCAAGGCCACGGACCTACTAAGTCGGGTAGTTCATTCGTGGAGCTGTTCAACAGAATATCAATGATGTCCCCAGGTACTGCCAGAGCTTCACAGGGTGATGTAGAAGGGCTAAATGTGGACCAAAACCAATTTCAAAGACCCTCCTCAAGCATTTATGAGCATTCAAGGGTCGCTTCGCCAAGCCACATTAAGCAACCGTCGCAAACAGCCGCTGACATCAAAAAGCATAGACGAAATTCCTCTATCCTCTCTATTTTCTCCAACAAAGGCGATGACAATGGCCGAAGCTCTCCCGGAAAGAAAAGTAGGTCAAGACGGGCTTCGAATTCGCACAGCAGGAAAAACTCTGCAATGGGCTTCAATGCAGGTAGGCCTTACTCGCCTGAAAAGGGTTCACGGTCACCGACTAAGAGGCACTCTGTTATTGTCTCCCCCGTTGCAGCGCCAACTCCGCCTGTTGAAGATTCTGCTACCAAAGAAGAGAAACGCAGGTCTGTCAGCGCAAAAGAGCCTAATGGCACACCAGGTGCAACGGACTCTGACCTCTTTTTCGATGCCAAAGAGGATCTTCAGAGCGATCAAAAGAATAAAAGATCTGTCAGTGAAGCTGTAAAATCAAAATCGACTCGCGCGAAGACGGGGAAAGGTGGTTTGAGCAAAATGAAGACATCTGCTTTTGTTGAAGGAATTCGTACGATAAGTGTAATGGAAGCAATGACGGAGTCGGAGTGCTCGGGCTGGATGAGTAAAAAGGGCTCAGGCGCCATGGGAGTTTGGAGAAATCGATTCTTCACTCTTCATGGAACCAGGCTCTCTTATTTTGCCAGTACCACTGACACTAGAGAGAGAGGACTAATTGATATCACCGCTCACAGAGTTTTGCCAGCTAAAGAGGACGACAAACTTGTTGCTCTATATGCTGCAAGCACAGGAAAGGGCCGCTACTGTTTCAAGCTTTTGCCACCCCAGCCTGGCTCCAAAAAAGGCTTGACCTTTACACAACCGCGTGTGCATTACTTTGCAGTCGATACAAAAGAAGAGATGAGGGCATGGATGGCTGCACTAATAAAAGCTACAATTGATATCGATACAAGCGTTCCGATCATCAGCTCTTGTGCGACCCCAACAGTGTCTTTGAACAAAGCTCAAGAAATGTTATCTCAAGCTCGTGAAGAGACCCGGCAGCGCGAGGAGCAGCGTTTTTTGAACGAAGAAGATGAGGATCAAATGCTTTGGGAACAACAACAGCGTGCCGAGTTAAACGTTCAAGAGGGCACGAAAGGCAGCTCGACTCCCAATTCCTCGGTCCAGTTGAACTCTACAAATGGTTCAGGTTTTCACAGTCCCTTCCTATTAGCATCTGGAGTTTTGTCTCCAGGAACTCCCCAAAATAACGGTCGTTTTCAGGAGCAACCCAATAACGATTACTTCCTGCTTGGCTCAAATTATGCAAGCAACAAAATATAAAATTGCGAAATACGCTTTTCCTTCAAGTGTTGTCTTTCGCGAGTTGTAATAATATCACCTAAAATAATGCCTTCATTCTGCATGAAACCATCGCTTCTGGGCTCTGTATACTACTTATCTAGATGTAATTAGCTTTCTTTATTCCTTGATTTGCAATACTATCTTACTGTGAGCATGTTGAAGCTGAGACCCCTCTCCATGATACGACTCCGTAAGTGTCATTGACTTCGCATTTATGATGTCTAGAGAGACATATTCTTATTTTTGGTCTCGATGCTTCGGTCTTTTGTACTTAAAATGAAGGACATACTCATTTCTGGTCAAGTAGCCAACAAAGCGCATTCCAAGACATAAAACTCGTAAAATCCAATCATTGTAATCTTTGAGAAATTGGCGTGAAAAAATGCTTGAAACTGTGGGGTCCAGCTCGCTGACTCATGAACTAAAGCTGGGTATATTATCTCAGCTGAATGCGCTTCTAAATAGTCTCGAATCTTTAGTAGTGAAATCATAGTTCAGTCCATCAAGTGACATTTCTCCAAGGCTGTCTGGATGAGTTGACTACCCTTGGGATCCAGATTCATTGCAATTGTCAATTGTTTCACTGCATCTTGCTTTCTACCCATTATTTGATAGAGTTGACCCAGTAGAAAGTGAATTGTGGCCTCATCTGGCGCAATTACTACCAGCCGCTCAAAGTTATCAAGAGCAAGATTGTATTTGCCCATGGAGAGAAGTAGTTGCGCTCTTTTAAACAGAGCAAGCGACGACATAGGTTGTAATTCACAGGCTAGATCATAGTACTGAAGGGCCTTCTCACGATGAGACAGCTTCTCGAGAGCTACACCACAGCAACAAATCAAAATGACGTTAACGGGATTGATGCTTCTAGCTTTTTCGAAATGAAGGAAGCACTCTTCGTACTGTCCCAGCTTTAGACAACACATTCCCAGACCATAGAATGCATTGTAGTGTTGAGGGTTTGAGGCGAGCGCTTTACGATAACAAGTCATCGCCGTGTCAAAGGCATCGTTACTAGAAAATTCATGACCTTGTAAAGTGTATGCATACGTGAATTGTGGGTCGATTTGCGTAGTTCTCTGAAAAGCTTTCGTAGATTCTTCATGATCCTTCTGCAACGAGAAAAGATTTCCTATACAACACCACGTTTCTGGTGCCATGCGATTAACCTCCAAAAGTTCATGACATAAGTAGGATAACCCGGTTGAATCATTAAGATGCCACAATAGGGTCGAGTAAATTTCCATGTCTGAGACCCTAGACGGTTGAAGATCTCTTAAAGCCATAAAGTATTTCTTGGACATCTCATAATTCACCATCTCGAAATGCAGTTTACCCAAAAGAGCGAGAACCCATGGCATTCCTGTCAGGATATGACGTGGAAGCTCTTCGTTCAAGATCCGTATAGCCTTATAGCAGTCAAATCTTGAAGCTGCCTTGTACGATTTGGCAAGCGCATAAAACTGGGCGTCGAGCTCCGATGCAAAGGTCGATCCCGGCCCACTATTAAGTGGTGCTGGTTTGTTTGACTTAGCGGCACTGGCAGCACCCTCCGGAGTCACAGATTTTTCGTGAGCAGATGACTTGGAAGGTGGAGTTGCTATAAGTCTTGGTTTGGGGAATGTGGAATGCGGTTTTGCGGCGCCAGCGCCATTGATGGGTTTGAGAAGCGAGCTGGAGGGCGCGCCAATTCTTTGCTTCGGGTTCGACAGTGGGACATGCTGAGCTCTTTTTTTCGGGTCGAATCCAGGAATTCTGAAAGGCGTGAGGGGTTTGGTGGCAACGCCTCCTCTTTTTCTGGTGTGTAACTGAGCGTTTTTAGAAGAGTCGCAAGACTTTTTGTAAAGCTGGCCGACCTTGACGGAAGCTCTCATGTCACACAGGGCCTTAAAAGACTCCCACAGATAGGGATCGAGCTCTAGAGCGTGTGAATGTGCTGCACTGCTTTCCTTTAGCTTTCCCATTTTGCAGTATAGATGGCCCAGAACGCAGTGGACGGTGGCTTCGTCCGGTGCACCGTAGTGGGACTCTGTATTTTGGAACGCAGAGATGTCCAAAAGCAACTCCAAGCTGCGTGCAGCTTCATCCCAGGCCGGTCTGTCGAGTTTCAATGCGCAGCGAGCCAGCATATACGCACAGAGCATGTTTTCTGCCCGATACAGCCTGACCACTGCTTGTGCACTCTTATACTCACCTTTGAGATACAAAACCAGACCGTAGAGATACGCCGCACCGACAAATTCGCGTTCTGCGCCCTCCAATCTCTGCACTTCGCTGCACAGAAGCTCTGCCTGAAACTCTGCCGTTTCCAGGTTGTTTTGCTCCAGGGAACGCTCCACCATCATTTTCAGCCGTTCGCAGTTGCCATCCAGAGCCCTTACCAAACCTCCAGAGCCCACACGGAACATGATCAGGGGCCTATAAGTGTGTTTTTCAGCGATGTGTTCACGATTGGTGCCAGTGCATCTCATCTCATCTTATTTCCTGTCATAATTCACAAATAAGAATGTCACTATATACGACTCGCTATCAAGCTCCTAAAAACTTCAACATCTGTCATGTACACTAAAACAAAGTGTTAGATTCGAACAAAACATGGTCCTATTAAGCCTATAATTTCCTCTTTTTTTCAAGCCCAAAAACTCTAATTTTCTTCAATTTTCAAGCACATCTTCAAGCGTCAGACACTTCAGTCACCAAATTTGACCGGGTCATTTCAGAAATACATGGTATCTCAACACATAGCTCACCACTCGCTACCTCGGCCACTCCTAACGATCAACATCTATAAAATCTCAGCTCTCTATATATCTGGTTTGTTTTGGTAGGTGATGGCACTATGAACGAGGATCCTTCTTTTTACCGTATATATATTTATATACATACTTTCTCGAGGATTAAGAACTTGAACAGGTAACTCGAGCAGCTTCAGCAAAAACTCCGAAACAAATACAGACTGCTGAGCTGAAGCAGTGTGGGTATAAGAAGGCTTGTATTTGAACTTGTGTCTGTGCCATTTTTAAGTTGTCAGTCGACACACTTTCGCAGTGCGCTTTGCAGTCATATACAAGAGAAACTCTGTGCAAGATTGGGTATTGGCGCTTGCTGGCGTGGGAAGCGAGACTTCTCTAGATAAACCCGTTTGTTGAGGTCACATACGTGCGAATTTGAACGGCTCGCCTTGGGCACTGAGTGCCACTGTCATCTTACAGTCCTCACCCTTTGGTTGCTAAGTACTGCTTTGTGCAACGCTACTTATCGCAAGACTTGAACAAAAACCAAAGCTGACTTGAAAGGGCTCGAGAGGTCGTAATACGATTTTAGGAGAATTCTGGGGGGCACTCATTTTTGAAATACGTCTTTTTTTCGGTCTTTATCCACCGATACCCACTTTCATCCGTCCTTTATCCGTCCTTTTCCGCTGGTCATCAACATAACACCTACGCTTCCAAACAATGAGACCCAAGACAATGAGATTCAAGGCTAAAGGCTTATTTGCAGCAATCTTATCTCTTCTGGTGCTTTGGTCGCTTTGCAAAGTGTATCTTTCAGGTCCCAGTCGAAAAAAGTCCCGACACACCCGGCCCCCGAAACCTGGCTGGATGAAACCTAACTACTACAAAAAGGGAGACAATGTCGACATACTGGTCAATAAGGTCGAATCCGATCGTTTTAGTGTCCCCTACGGCTATTACGACCTGCCTTTCGTGTGTCCGCCGTCCGAGGGCAAGAAACCGCTTCATTTGTCGCTCAACGAGGTCATCAATGGTGACCGCAAGTGGGAAAGCGACTACAAACTGCGATTCGGCATCGATGTAGAATGTGAGAGACTATGCGATCGCAAAACGCAACCAGAAGCTTTGAAAAAAGCAGACGCCCTAATTCGCCAAGGCTATAATGCACATTGGCTCATAGATCGCGACATGCCAGCGGCCACCACCTTTATTAAGGCACGCAACGGGAAGAAATTCTATTCAGAGGGTTTCCCCATAGGCACTGTTGATACCAAATCAGGGAAAACGTACCTGCATAATCACGTCATGCTGGTGGTACGATACCACACGGCAGACATTAATAAGCATACAATCGTGGGATTCGAAGTCTACCCAAAATCCACGATTGACTACCATTGTCCAGGAGGGTCCAAAGACTACAAGCATTACGAGATAAATACCGATGAAAAGGACACTACATTCATACCGTTCACATATTCCGTTTATTGGCGTGAGGAGTTCCACAACGATTGGTCACATCGTTGGAGTTTCTTCATGACAGGCGACAAGCCTGATGCATCCAATTTCTCAAAATCATTTAACTGGTTCTACTTGATCAATAGCATGATTGTTCTAAGCCTGATGTCCTTAATCGTTGCCGTTATTGTCGCAAAAGTTCGTGACGACGGAACCACAAGGTCTTTGGCTTCATCATGGAAATCATACCCATCTCAGTTTCTGCTCATTCTAAATTTGGCGACAGCCATTGGTGTTCAGTTTCTGTTCGCCCTTTTGGGTGCACTAAGCATTTCCTGTTCATTGAGCAAGTTCCACGATATCATAAGCGGGGTGATTTCCATAGCTTTAGTGTGTTTTGTGCTGAGCGCGTACGCTTCTTCTGTTTTGGGCACTCTGTTGGCACCAGGACCACAAGCCACTCTAGGTGTTTCGGTAATTTCTGGCTGCACATTGCCTGGTGTCACTCTGGGTGCCGTGATGTTACTAAACAGTATTATTTGGGCTAAGGACTCTACCGACGCTTTGCCCTTCAGAACAGTCGTCATAATTGCGGCATGTTACTTTGTCGTGTGCGGTCCAATTTCAATTCTAGGTGGTCTGACCGCGAGAAAATTGAGGGCTACAGCACACAAAACCACTGCAGAAAAACAATTTCCTCTACAGTTCCTTACCGCCATGCATTATGAGAAACAAGAGGCAAATCAGACTCACAAGAACAAAGCCTTGCCGGAATTTTTGTCCAATCCGGTTATTCTTGCAATAATTTGCGGATTTCCGCCTTTCATATTAATTTGGTTCCAGGGTTTGACAGTTTACAGATCTTCGTGGCTAAAAACTGCCACTTTTCACTCCCTTTATGGATTTATTCTTTTCAACATCGTTTCACTATGCGTAGCAGTCATTGAAGTTTCGATGGTGGTTTGTTGCCTTCTGATTCTTTACGGTGAATCGGGGGATTCCGATGGATCCGACCAACTTCTACATGGCGATTTTGTGAGTTTTGATCAGAAACTCAGGGGTTTCTTTAAAGGACGTTCATCTGCTACAGACTTGAAAAGACTCCTCAGAAATCTTGTTCGTGACCTTGCTGCACGAATGACAATGGCCTCCTCTGGCTGGAGGTGGAAATGCTTCTTGGCCGGAAGCAGTGTAGCGTGGTATCTTGAGGCGTATGCACTGTACTATTCGATGTTTGTGCTCCGCTTAAGGGACTTTTCCTCCATATTACTCTTCACCTGTTACACTGCTCTCTTCAACTTCATGTGCTGGTGTGCATTTGGGTCACTGGGATACCTTTCATGCCTGTGGCTCCTCAGCTACGTTTCAAGAATATGTAAATCCCGATGAAGCTTCGTCGGTAGAATTCGCGTTTGGCCTCGATCTGATCGTTCGCACCAACTGGTGAGACTATATTACACAATTAATAAATAATTCCATACAAGAATTACTTCGCATCATTTACATAGTTTGTCCTCCCAAAGACAATGGCTGTTGAGAAGATGTCTGGTGGTGTCTTACAAAACCGCCCATGGCGCTTGTCTGACTGCCGCTGCTCGCACGGTCTTCACCAGCTCGATTATTGTAGTTGCTGTTATTGTTGAAACGACGGCCACCGTTGTAGTTGTTGTTGTTGTTGTTGTTGTTGTTGCTGTTGCTGTTACCATGATAGAAATCACGAGCTTCACCACGTCTCGAGTTGTTGCCAGAATTGAAGCGTTTTTCGCCGTCTTTCCTGCCGCCTTGTCTTCTTCTAAAATCTCTGCCTTGGTTGTGACCTTGAGCTTGCTGTTGGGCACTATTCTGCTTCACCTTTTCGATCAAATCATCCTGAAGCTTGATATATTTGATAAAGTTACCTCTCACGTAAATTTCCGGCAGCTTAACGGAGTCGGTGGCTGACGTGTGTGTAACTTTCGACAACGTCAAGTTCATCCAATTATCGACATTTACCAGCTGGCCAACAATTGTTTCACCATTTTTCAGTTCTATGACCATTTGCTGGCCTTTGGCATTTGTCAAAAGATAAAGTGGGAGCATGGGGCCAGTACCTTAACACCTTTTGTATTGGATGCTGTCGCGCGGTGAGTTCTTTCTAGTTACGAGTTTCAATTTATTTTAGTACATAAGTACCTTTGTACGGGTATCGCCAATAACGTGATCATGAGATTGACTCAAACTGAGTTTGCTGACAGAGCTTCAAGAGGAGCGTCTATATGGAGACGATGAAAGATCTTGAAGGAATTGGGAGCGGATATAGCTCACTTTTCGTGATTGACGCGGTTCCCCCGCCCCCCCCCCNCCCCCCTGACGTTTCAAATGTTGCATTCTTAATTCATGTATATCTACTTTTGTTCTTTTCTGTCACGGTCAGGAACGATAATCTCGCCGCTGCAGGCACAGTAGTGGGATTTCACATCCAGATGCCAACGTACAGTTTCAAATCTCGGAAATGGTCTCTTTCATTAGTTTATCGAAAGAAAGCTTATCAATTTTCCTGGTTAGCAATGTTGATGAATAACTTATATATTAGCTATTAATTATTACTACGGGAGGGTCCGAAGTTTAATGCCAAACACAGTATATCAGCTGCCCCAGTACACTGATCCCACGCTGTGGGACACCACACTATTTATTAAAGATCAAAAAATACAGACAGTCAAGTCACAAATGCAAAAACTACGACAATTCAGAAATGAGTTGTTACAGACGGAGGTGCAACAGTGATCATCACAGATCGGAGTGCGACGTGTGTGTCAGTATTTGATGTAGTTGAAATAAGACTTTTCGGTTTGGAAACAGTTATATTGTTACAAGAGCCTTTTACTCCATGTAGAGGCATCAAAACTCAGATCTCCCAGCTCTTCTAAGAATTTTTCAACACGATGAGCCATGGAAAACCGCAAACACACGCACACTCACTCATACTAACACTCACTCACACCGGCCTAGCACATTTCACTACTAAACAATTGTTTCGCCAAGTACTCTATCACGTGACAGAACGTCAGCTCTTGGCAAAATGATAATGAGCGACCATACAACCTCCTCTAATTCTACCGACATCGAGCACCAGATTCTCGTGCCCATTTCTCCCATCCTGGTCTCTTTTCAAAACGAAGTTTCTAAGCTCCCGTCAAGATCTTTACGAAAGAAACAAATATTTTTTGTCACTTCACACTTCCAAAGCAGTTCGCTGCTCCCACATTTCCACAAAATAACGCCCCCCACAAACGTTCATTTCGGCTTATCAGGAGCATCCCATTTTGAATGCCAAGCTCATCGTCTTATAGATCGTGTTCTTCTACCTATTCTTAATCACTGTGTACGCGCTTCTTGCCCGTAAAATCGAATCGCTTTACGCGTTTGGTAATCTTGCCATTTTCAGCATACTAGATTCTAAAAGCCAGAACAACGAACCACAACCTTTACCAGTCAACATACTATAACAGTGGGAACTGAGCTGCAAATAGTTCGTTGCTGACCATTAGTATTGTGAGTGTCGGTGATTCAGTTTCTTGAGCGGATTTGCTGATATCTCCGAGAATGCAAAATGAATCGATGCCGGCGGAGAGCGATCCTCTCATGAATATCGACGCAAGACTGACAAGGGCGCCAGCGAGGGCTGAAACCATCCCCAGAATCGAGATTGCGACTTATGCTGGCATAGACGTATACGAGTGCTACTGCAGAGGGTTTGAATCGCGAATTGTGATGCGAAGATGTCTCGACAACTGGGTGAACATCACCCAGGTGTTTAAAATCGCGTCATTTTCCAAGACACAGCGAACAAAAATTCTGGAGAAAGAATCGAACATGGTTAAACACGAGAAGATCCAGGGTGGCTACGGACGGTTCCAGGGCACTTGGATTCCGTTGGAAAACGCCCAGTATCTGGTTCAGAAATACAACGTCAACGACCTGGTAGTGTCCACGATTTTAAATTTCCAGCTCGACCCCTCAGACCCGCCTATTCGACGCTCCAAAAACTCTCTGATCAAAAAACAGTCGCCAGGAACCAAGATTCACTCGCCATCCAGTTATAATAAGACGCCAAAGAAAAACGGGGCTGCAACGATCAAGAAACAGGGCAAAAAACGACCCAACAGCTCGATCGGTAATGTGGGTCAAAACGCTGCGATTAAAAAATCATCCCAGATTCACCCCAGTCCCTTGCAGAACCTGGCGTTCCAAACTCCTCAACATCAACAACACATCTCCATGCCACACAATAACTCTACTGTGATAGCCCCAGATCAGCAAACTCCAATCCATCCTTCCTCCTACGAAACCACTCAAAAACCATTGCAGTTCTACCCGTACCCACAACAGCAACCGGCGTTTTTGACATTCGATTCTAATAACCCCCATCAACAGCATCCGGTCAAAAGAGGCAAAAAACTGAGCAAACTTCCGTCATCGAACCAGTTCCAGGCGCAGCACAGCTTTCGGGTCATAAAACAACAGTTCATGGAGCGAAATAACTTTCAGGCTGGAAAGTCGATCCCACACGCGATGGTCACAATCCATCCGCAGCCCGCAGTGCACAAAACCTCGCACTCTAATGGTTCCAATGGTTCAAATGGCTCGTCGATTGAGTTGTTTTCGGCCCGTGAAGAACCATCGCCAATTTCGTCTCGCTCAACTTCGCCTAAGCTAAGAAATCAGCCCGAGATAGAAATCAAAGGTGATATCGATGAAAAACATGTTTCTTCGGAAGAATACAAAGAAATTCTATTGCAAGTTTTATCATCAGATTACTCTACAAGCGATTCGGATTCTATAATGCTACCTGAAGAATTGTATCATTCACCTCCAGATCTGGATATAAACTTTACGATTGATGACCAAGGACACACAACGTTGCATTGGGCAGCAGCTATGGCCAATGTGCCTTTGCTAAAACTGATTTTGAGTCTTTCCGCTGATATCTCATTGTGTAACCACCGTGGGTTCAACACAATCACCAAGGCCTGTTTTTACAATAACTGTTACAAAGCCGGTGTATTTCCTAAAGTTCTAGAGCTCCTGAAGCCCTGTATTATCACGCCAGACATGAATGGTAGGCTTCCGCTTCACTATCTGGTAGAGTTGAGCGTGAACAAATCGAAGGATCCGTTGGTGATAAATTACTACTTGGACACTTTACTTGATGTTCTGGCACAAGAGGACATTTCTTTGCTCCGAATGTGTCTCAATCATCAGGACAGTGCAGGTAATACAGTGCTTCATCTTTCGGCTTTGAACCTAAACCTTGAGCTTTGCAACAAACTCTGCTATCTGGGCGGCTCGATGTCAATCTTAAATCTTGAACATGAAACTGGAACCTCGCTTTTAGCAAGATTCAATCTGGTTCCGCCATCCTCACAGGAATTAGAAGAATCCATATCCGAAATGGTTGAAGATGCTGAGGATAAACGGGCAAGGCAGATGAGGCTCAGCACCCCAGTGATGACCAGAAAGAGAAACGGTAGTTTCGGTCAAATCGACGATAACACCATTATGATGACTCAGGATTTGACCTCGTTTTCCAGCATTTCTAACTCAATTGCAAATACATCAAAGGTGAAAAGTCCACAGCGCAATGTTCTGGTTTCGGAGCCACTTTCGGTGTCTTCAACGCTCAACAAAGCTGTAAAGCCCTTACATGCACCACCTTCAGTGCGACCTGGGCGGGCCCGTTCTACACAAGCTTTAGCAAAACAGCTATCGAAGCTTACCGCCTCCTTCACAGACTCAGTGGACGACGAAATAAGTGGACTAGACCTGGAGAAGGAAAAGATTACAAGCAGAATTGAGAGTACTCAGAATTCTCTCAGTAACAACAGAGATCTGATGCAAGAATTACTTCAAGGCAGGTCGGACACGGATGTTTTACGTGGTGATGTACAGAAACAATCAGATCAAGTGCGCTCTCACATGTCGCAGCTGGCTAACTCGATCGAAAAATCGCAAGCGCTGGCCTTAGCTACATGGGTTCACGAAGAAGAATCGGCCGTGACTTCGAGCTCCAACTCCCCTCAAAAGGAAGGGCCAATCAGTTCACCCGTGCGTGTCATAGGACACCATTTGTTAAGTCTGGGCTTGAAACTCACTTTACAGCAGCTGAAGCGTAAGCACGTCGTTGAAAAGATATCCAGAGAAAAATCCGAGGTCTATTCCTCTTCCAAGATCAAAAAATACCGAAAATTGATTGGTACATCCATAGAAGACATTGACTCCAAACTGGACGACATTGAAAAAGATCTAAGTGCGACAGCTTAGCTATTTGCATAAAAAAACCTGCATCCGGTCCGAGAGTCATTTAGACCATTTTCCATCTACGAAGACTGTCGGCTGTTCATAAACAATTTGGAAACATACCCATCTACTTCTGACCTCTGGTCATCTCATCTCATCTCATCTCATCTCATCTCATCCCATCTCATCGCCTCTGAGATTTTCAAAATATCATTCTTCACGACAAATTGTCGCATCGGAGCGCTCAAAAAAATTTTTAGTCTGTGATGAGATGGTGACAGGCGATGAGCTTCCAGCATCTTAACAACAAGCTCATCAGTACACTGAAATTCACTGAAATTCACTACAATTCGTTGTTTAGAGGTGAGATTTTGACGCTTTGGAGGTTATCGCACGAGCAAGGATAAAGAACTTTAAAATTTTGGTGGAAACGCTGCTTCACGTCACCGAAACCTCGAACATCATCACTCTTCAAGTTTGAGCTTTTTTTTGCCATGGACCAGCAGTTTGTCTCCCAAATGGAGCAGTTGCTCAGCGCTGTTATCCAGCCCAACTCGGTCTCGCTCAAAGAGGCTACTAAAACGCTACAGACACAGTTTTACACGCAGCCCACGGCTCTTCCAGCGTTGCTGAGTATCCTGCAAAACGGATCCAACGATGGACTCAAACAGCTAGCCGGTGTTGAAGCTAGAAAACTGGTCGCTACTCAATGGAGTGCCCTGGACGCGTCCGTTCAGAGCGAGATCAAGAGCTCTTTGCTGAACAGCGCTTTCTCCGAGCCAAAAGAGATTGTGCGTCATGCAAACGCGCGTGTTATTGCTGCTATCGGAAATGAAGAGCTAGACGAGAAGAAATGGCCCGAGTTGGTCCCAAGTCTGATTCAAGCTGCATCCGGAAACGACAGTAAAATCGGTGAGACAGCCGTTTTCATCCTGTTGTCTTTGCTTGACAACATGAACCCAGAGCTAAACCTTTACATCGGGGACTTTTTGAACCTCTTTGCTCACACTATGAGCGAATCGTCCACTCTCGAGACCAGGTCTTTGTCGGCTCAAGCTTTGAACCAAGTTTCGAACTTGATCGAAGAAGAAGGTCAAATTAACCCTGACTATGCTACCAAGTTTTCGGCCTTGATCCCCGCCGTCGTCGGTGTTTTGGAGGCTTCCATCAAGGCTGAAGACACAGCCAACACCAAATTGATTTTCAACTGTTTGAACGACTTCTTACTGTTGGACTCTCAATTGACCGGTAGCAGTGTCACTGACCTGATTAAGCTTGCTTTGCAAATCGCAGTGAACAAAGACGTTGAAGAAGAAGTTCGTGTTTTCGCCGTTCAATTCGTTACCTCCGCCCTCTCTTTCAGGAAGTCTAAGATCATACAAGCCAAATTGGGTCATGAAATCACCATGGCGGCGCTCAGGGTGGCCTCTGAGGAGATTGACGTTGACGAAGAACTAAACAATGAAGACGAAGCCGGTGAGAACGAGGAAAACACGCCATCTTTGACAGCAGTCAGACTTTTGGCCTTTGCCTCTTCCGAGCTACCTCCATCTCAGGTTGCTGTTCCAATTGTGGAGCATTTGCCAGCGATGCTGCAATCTTCTAATCCTTTCGAGAGAAGAGCCATCTTGCTAGCTATCTCTGTGGCAGTTACAGGTTCGCCAGATTACATTTTGTCGCAGCTGGAGAAGATTATTCCTGCTTCCATCGCTGGTTTGAAGGATGATCATCCTGTTGTTCAACTGGCCGCTTTGAAATGTATCTCTCAATTGACCACAGATTTGCAAGATGAAGTGGCCAAGTTTCATGAGGATTATCTACCTCTTATTATGGGCACCATTGACTCTGCTAAAAACGTTGTCATTTACAAATATGCAACTGTTGCCTTGGATGGCTTGCTAGAATTCACTGCATACGAGGCCATTTCGAAATACCTAGAACCTTTGATGAACAAGCTTTTCCACATGCTCGACACCAACATTTCTTCCAAGTTGAGAGCCGCCATCGTGTCTGCTATTGGCTCAGCTGCTTTCGCTGCTGGTTCTGCTTTCTTGCCATACTTCAAGACATCTGTTCAATATTTGCAACAGTTTATTGAAAACTCCGGTCAGATCGAAGGTATGTCTGAGGATGACATTGAGCTAAGAGCTTTGACTTTCGAGAACATTTCTACCATGGGTAGAGCAGTGAGATCGGAAGCATTTCACGAATTTGCGGAACCTCTGCTAAACTCTTCTTACGAAGCCATCAAGACTGACTCTGCAAGACTTAGAGAGTCTGGCTACGCGTTCATCGCTAACATGGCCAAGGTGTACGGTAAAGACTTTGCTCCATTTTTGGCAACTATTCTGCCAGAGATTTTCAAAACCTTGGAGCAGCAAGAGTATCAATTCAACATTGATGAAGATGCCGATGATTTGGCAGAGCTGGAGGCAGATGACCTGCAGCAGAAGTTTACCGTGAACACCGGTATTTCTTACGAGAAGGAAGTTGCCGCTGCTGCCCTTTCGGAGCTTGCTGTCGCAACGAAGGAGAACTTTTTGGAGTACGTCGAACAATCTCTCAAAGTGTTGAACGAGCAAGTAGAGGAATCTTACGGTCTAAGAGAAACTGCTCTTCACACGATATGGAACATCGCTAAAGCTCTTCTGCAAACTGCCAACGTCAAGGAGAACGAATACCCTGTCGGTGTTCCTTCCGCTTCTTACGTCGACAGCAACATCCTGGCCGTTGTTCAAAGTATCAGAGCTACCTCCCTTGACAATTTGACTGAGGAATTCGAAACCTCCATGGTCATCACTATTTTGGAGGATTTCGCCGAGATGATCAGAAAGTTTGGTGCTATCGTGGTGATTGACAACGGCGACTCTTCTTCTTTGGAGAGATTGTGCGTTGAAGTCATGTCGGTGTTGAAAGGCAGTCATGCTTGCCAAACAATCGATTACGAGGAGGATGTGCCAAAAGACGAGGACATTGATGCCTCTGAAACGGAAGCCGCGCTTTTGGACTGCGCATTGGAAGTTTTGGTAAGCTTGTCGTACGCTTTGGGAGGTGACTTCCCTAAGGTTTTCGAAAGTTTTAAGCCAGTTGTTCTCAACTTGTTCCAATCCAAGTCTAAGAACAAGAGATCAGCTGCTGTCGGTGCAGTCTCTGAGATCGCTGAGGGTCTAAAGGATGCGAATCCTTTTGTTCAAGACATGCTTGAAGCTCTGATCGTGAGATTGACGACTGACAAGTACCTAGAAGTCAGAGGCAATGCCGCCTACGGTGTCGGCTTGCTCTGCAAGTACGCTTCTTTCGACGTGTCTGCTATCTACCCACCAGTTTTGAGAGCCATGTACGAATTGCTAAGCACTGCTGATCAAAAGGCGCTTGCTGCGGAGGACGATGAAGCTACCAGAGAAATCGTTGACAGGGCTTTCGCCAACGCTACTGGCTGCGTGGCCCGCATGACTCTGAAAAACGAGACATTGGTTCCACTAGAGCACACTCTCCCCGCGCTTCTGGGCCATCTACCCTTGAACACCGGTTACGAAGAATACGACCCCATCTTTGAGCTGATTGTGAATCTTTACCAGTCTAACAACAACCTGATTGTGAACGAAACTCCTAAGGTGCTGGACTTTTTCGAAGCTGTGTTCACCAAGGAAGCTGAAAGAGTCAGACTAGAGCAAGAGTCTACCCTAGGCAGAGAAGAAAACATGGACAGAATGAAGCAGTTTCAGTCTTCTGAAATGCAAACCAAGGTGATCGATCTGCTCAAGTACCTCAACACTACCTACAACGGTGCCGTTGCTCAAAAGCCTGTTTTGGCACAAGTGATCGCTTAATGAACATTAACATTACCATCGGACTTTTATTGTAAACTATCAAATTTGAACATTTTTCGCGTACTCGACGTGAACTGTATCTATCATATACAAATCAACCAATTCATTGACTACTACTCTCTATAGACTGTTTTTTGACTTGCCCGTTTCGTTCTCGAATATCGATTCGGTTTCTTTCGGAAAAAGTTCCCTTCAGCTCACCATTAGGTTCACTCGACAATAGAGAGAAGGCATTAGCGGTAGTTCACTTGAGAATTGCCGGTACTCGACGCTGATTCTCTAGCTAATCAGAGAACCGACTTTGAATAAAGATGGTTGAAGGCATGGGGTCTGAGAGATCGAGCAAAATTGCAGATGAAAGCGACTTTAGCGAAAAGAAGCAGAAACCAACTGAAGAGCCGTCAATTAACGTTTTCAAAGACTTAAAAGATGTCTTAAGGTATCTGATTTTCAATCCAGAGGCTAATCACATAGTCATGCCACTGCTTCTTGTCCTAGAGGCTGTTGCGTTGAAGTACATTTTGGCAAATGTTCAATACACTGAGATTGACTATGAAGCGTATATGGAGCAAATATGGACCATCAAGGACGGGGAGACGAATTACGAACTGATTGAAGGTGGGACAGGACCATTAGTTTATCCAGCGGGCCACGTCTGGATATACGAAATCATGGAGAAAGTCACCTCTGGTTTAGACAACCTTAAAAATGGACAGATTGCGTTCAGCGCCCTTTACATCGCGACTTTGGTGTTACAAATGGTGTGTTACGTTCTGTTGCAGTTGCCTCCTTGGTGTGTTGTTTTGGCCGTCTTGTCAAAACGTTTGCATTCGATTTACGTCTTAAGACTATTCAACGATTGTTTTACGACTTTTTTTATGGTTCTCACTGTTCTGAGCTTACTTCTTTCAGCTCGTTTGCAGCGGAAGATTTTTTGCGTTGTGGCTAGTGCAACCTACGCGGTCGCGATCAGCATCAAAATGAATGCTTTACTGTTTTTACCAGGAGTACTCCTAGCCCTCTTTCAGCTGAGCAGCGGCCACTTAGCATTCACTTTGGGCTGTCTTGGAACAACCGTCGCTTGGCAATTCTACGTTGCTCGCCAGTTTCTTCAAGATCACTCGCGCGAGTACTGGTCCACGGCATTCAATTTTGGACGTCAATTTATGTACAAATGGAGCGTGAACTGGCAGTTTGTGGAAGAAGAAGTGTTCAATAGCTCATGGTTTCATCGCACGTTACTGTTCAGTCATTTGACAGTCTTGGCGTTGCTTTTGGTGACCAAGTTTTGCTCAGGGTTTCCTGAAATTAGAGCTTCATTTAAGGCTGTAAGGCATCCGTTCACGCCTGTCTTGCAGTCATTTGAGAAAGTCACAACTTTGGATGTTAGCTATGTGCTTTTGGTGACCAACTTTGTTGGTGTATTATTTGCGCGTTCTCTGCATTACCAGTTCTTGTCATGGTACCATTGGACTTTGCCAGTCCTTTTGAACTGGTCACAAATGCCAATGATCGTGTCAGTTGTGTGGTATTTCGCACATGAACTGTGTTGGAATAGCTATCCTCCAAATTCAAATGCGAGCTCAACGTTGTTTGCCTTGAATAGCGTTCTCCTGATTTCGGTGTACGTCCGATTCGCAAAATCAAGTCAATCCACTAGAAAATCCCTAGATTCGTTCACAGAAAAGAAGAATGAGTAAATGTGGGTGTCCTGGGCCATAAGTCCGAAAATCAAGCTCTTCTGCTTGTTTATTAGAATGAAAGGTCAGTGCATGTCTACTCAGCAGTTAAGGGCCTTGATTTTCGAAAGAATAACATGAGGAAACCCTCCTTGTATTTCAGATGCTGAGTCAAGAGGATTGCACGAAATCAAGCTGGTCTGAGCTACCAAAATTCCAACGGAAGGTCTGGTATGGGCTCTTCTTTGATGAATTAAAAAGTCCTCCCCCTCCTGCTGCTGCTGCTGTTGGATGAAAATCAAGGCTCTGGTCAAACTGCGACCGTCAAGAGAACCTGGAACGCTATGGGGACAGAACTAGTTCGCTGCCGGTACCACAATGGAACAAAACGTCATCGAACTGAAAACTCGAAATGAAAGAAAACACACAAAAGTCACACCCCACAAAATCTCAAACAACCAAAAACATCAAACACATCAATTTGCAAGAGGTGGGAGTAAAAAATCTCGACACACAGGTTCCTGTTGTCAAAACAAAAAAAGCTCCAGTGACAGTAATATGTCACAATATTCTAATTTCAAAAAAGCCAATTATTGTTCGAAATTGCACAATCTACTCAATACTCAATACTAAAAACCCGATCGTATCTATAGTGCACATCGTCCAGCCCTGTCGTAGCTCTCTTGTTCTTGTTCTGATGCCTGTGTCGTCCGCTTACATGCACAATGTTCGTTTTTAGTGATTGGTAGATCTTGAAATTTTCTCGTGAGGGGCCAAAGGTGTCTCGACAACTCCGAACCCAGCAGTTGTAAGCATAAAAGAGTCTCAAACGCCCAATTGAAGCATTTAAAGATCAAGTCTGTGGCTTAGCTCAAGACACAGTAGCTTTTGATCGAGAAGAGAGACCTTTGGGGTCGAAAATAAGGAAATTGAGCGGAACTAGCAAGTTTGAGCACGAGACAGCTGGCCATCGATAAAAGCTTCAAGAGTACAGGCTACGTCCCGCGAAAAAGGCCACGCATTTTGCATTGATGATGTCGAACATAACGCCGGGACTGGGTGGACCGCGTGGTCACGAACAGTTCCAACAACCGCCAAGTTCAACCAGAAACGTGCGAAGTCAGCCTGGTAAACAAGGATCTTTGAGAAACATAAATGGTACGACTACAATTCCAGGAAGTACACGACAGCCACTGGTTGAGGGCGTGTTGGAACCTGGACTCGAGACAGATGGAGAGTCGAAAAAGCTGCTAAACACGTATATTTACGATTTCATGGCGAAATCTTCGCTTTCAGAAACAGCTAAAGCGTTTTCGCAAGAAGCGGTGATCGAAGAAAACGGGAAACGTTTCACTCCAAATGTGCCTTTTCAGCCGCAAAATGATGCTCCTCAGGGGTTTCTCTACGAATGGTGGCAGATTTTTTGGGACGTCTTCAACGCTCGAACCCACAGAGGCGGTTCCGAGATGGCCCAGCAATACTTCCAGCTACAGTTCGATTCCAGACGGCAAGAACACACGTATCGAAACGTGGCCATACATGCCGCACGTATGCAGCAGCAGGTCGAACAACGAGGCGAGTATCAAGGCGAGGTTTTCGACCCCATGATGCTAGCCATGATGTTTTCTGGTAACGCTTACACTCCACCTGTACCGACAAAGCCCGAAGGAAATGGCCGTAGTGGCTACGCAGGTCATCCCCACACTGCTCCTAATCACGTTGATCAAACTCACCTGCGGCAGCAACAAGCTCAGGCTCAGGCTCAGGCACAAGCTCAGGCTCAGGCTCAAGCTCAGGCTAAAGCTCAGGCTCAAGCTCAGGCTCAGGCTCAAGCTCAGGCTCAGGTTCAGGCACAAGCTCAGGCTCAGGCCCAAGCACAAGCTCAGGCTCAGGCACAGGCTCAACAAGCTCAAGCTCAACAAGCTCAAGCTCAACAAGCTCAAGCTCAACAAGCTCAAGCTCAACAAGCTCAAGCTCAACAAGCTCAAGCTCAACAAGCTCAAGCTCAACAAGCTCAAGCTCAACAAGCTCAAGCTCAACAGGCTCAGGCCCAGGCTCGGGCACAAGCTCAGGATCGGGGTCAAGTTCAAAATCCCCACTTCCAGGCCCGCTTACAAGGTCAGACACGTAATTCACCTCAGTCCCAAGTTCAAACCCAACCACCGACGCAAGGACGAAATTTAGCTCAAGCTCAAATCAACTCTCAACAAACACGGCAGCGCTCTGCCCCGTTGACTACAAATCAGATACATCAACAGCAGCAACAGCTACAGGCGCAATTCAAAGCACAAGCACCTCCCGAATTTTCATTACAGCAGCAGCAGCAGCAAGATCAATCACAGCATCCACAACATGTACAAGATTTCCAAAACTTAAAAGATTTTCATCAACAACATCTTCAACCTTCGCAACAGTTGGGGCCCTCACACATTCAACTAGCCCAACATCAACAGGGAGGCTATGCTCAACAGCATCAACAGTTTCAATCGCAGCATCAACAGTCCAAACAGCATGAACGGGCACAGCAAGCGCAAATGCAACCGCAGCCCTACAACCAGGACCTGATGATGAACGGCAATCACATGGTAATCAATGGTGCCAATGGACCAGTATACGTGAATCATGCTGGGCACATGAACCCAAATTATCCCCCAGCGTATATGCAACAAGCCATGCCACCTCAGGTGCAGCAACAGCATATTCAGTGCCAACAACCACATCAGCCCCAGCGCCAACAACATCAACATCAACATCAACATCAACATCAACATCAAATGCCATCGCGGCAACAACAACAACCAATGCAACCACAAACGTTGCATCAAAAGCACTCGCAGGTTGCTAAAAGCCCACGCGAACGGCAAATGAATCATTCTCCAAACCATCAAGTGGTGCCCAATGCAGCTGCCTTTTCCAAACCAACATCTGCAGCTACGAAGTCGAACGCAAACGCAGCCTCTCTTGGGCAATCCAGAGACGCAAACCAGGAAGCGCATTTCTCGAGTATGGAAGGTCTATACAACTACCAGAAACAATTGTTAATGTTAGAAAAGGAGAATGAAAAGGCGATTGCCAGTAGGTCTACTGCTTCTACTCCAGGATATATGATGAGCAAAGCTACTCCCGCAGCAGGTTTTGCGGGTGTTTCCCCATTGGCGGTCAATTCGATGAACAGCCCAGCAAGTCTCGGTCCCGCCACATCGAAGGCTAGGGACGAATCGAGACGTAAGTCTGCAACGATTCAAGCTACGAGTCCGTTTGTCAGCATGGCCAAGAAAAACATTTCTGAACCTGTCACTCCTATAGGGCCCATGACACCTGCTAGCAACAACCTTACCAAGCACGCAACGCACAGCGGACTATCTACCGTTAATGAAACACCTCTGGAGGGCTCTGGTGACCCCATAAACGGGGCTATGAGTAAGAAGAATGCACAGAAGAGAATCAAAAAACCGAAGAAATTACAGCAATTGTCGAGTGCGTCCCTGGGCCTCTCGAGCAATCCATCCTCGCCCTTAATGGAGAGCATGCTAGACGCTAAGAAGGGCAAGTCATCAGCCCGTGCCAAATCCAAAAAGGCTACTGCGGTGACAGCCGTGAAAAGCGGCTCCAAAATAGCGCGTTCTGCCGGTGCAACTCCTCTCACGGCTGACGACGCAAATCCTGAGAGTGCCGGCAGCAGCAATGACACTGCTGGAAGTGCAGGCCTGTTCCGGTCATCTATGGCCACAGATCCCGCGCCGCAAACCGACTTAGATGCTTTGGGACAAAACGATCCTACTCTTAGCGGCACGACTTACAATTTTGAAGAGGAAGACATTTTCAGCATAAGCAGTGACGTCTTGGACAAAACTGCGCCATCGAAGAACGCTTCTTCGAAACCGAGCTCCACTCAATCGCAGAGCCATGCTCCTATGGAGGAGCCTTTCAACCTCGATTTTTTGGATCCCAATTCAAACATGAACTATACCGATTTGAACCTGCTCAATTGGCAGTGAGAGTCGAACATAAGCAAGCAAGAGTAATTGAGGACTAATGGCGAATGGCGAATGGCCTCAGGACCTCACAATGACGAGGTCCTAATCTTGGCGACATAACGCTTTGGCATAAAATACACATCACGTGATTATCTATAACGACTTTCCACCTGGTATCTATTACGTAATCGATCAATCAAAATTAATTTTTGCCTATGAATCATGTGCATATCACGTGTTTTTTCTCACTACCAAAATTTTCAATTATCACTATTAACAGAGTGAAAGACTGAAAGCATCGCCAGGATTTCAATCTTTCCAAGCTTCACTGGACGTTCCAAAAGGCTTTCTTAGCGGTTGGAATAGCATCAATTGGCTTTTAAAATCATGTCTTTCTACGGGGGTAATCGGTCTGCTGGAAGTTTGAGCGGTTCGAAAGTGATGAATGCCGAGAAAGACCTGGCAAACGACATCGTTATCCAAAACCCTGCAGAGGACTCAATCTCAGACATTGCGTTCTCTCCGCAGCAAGATTTCATGTTCAGTGTGAGCTCTTGGGACAAAAAAGTGCGTGTATGGGACGTTAATGGCGGAGCACCACAGTGCAGGGCAGAATATCAGCACCAAGCTCCTGTTCTTACGACCAGATGGTCAGAAGACGGCACCAAGATTGCGTCTGGAGGGTGTGACAACGCTGTAACTGTGTTTGACGTTGCCACGGGGCAGTCGCAGCAAGTAGGAGCGCACGATTCGGCCGTAAAATGCCTTCGATTTGTCAAATGCGGACCTGCCAACACAGAGTGCTTGGTAACCGGCTCGTGGGACAAAACCGTCCGGTACTGGGATACGCGTCAGCCCCAGCCGATTTCTACGCTCACAATGCCCGAGAGAGTGTACTGCATGGACTCGAGCCAAAAACTGCTCGTTGTGGGCACAGCAGAACGTCACATCGCTATTGTTGATCTCAATAATCCAAGTGCCATTTTCAAGACCACCATGTCGCCGCTAAAATGGCAAACCAGGTCTGTTGCGTGCTACATAGAGGGCAATGGGTTTGCCGTGGGGTCTATCGAAGGCCGTTGTGCCATCCAGTACGTGGACGAGCAAGAACAGCGTAAATCTGGATTCTCGTTCAAATGCCACAGAGTCCAACAACAGGCTACGGGCACTGCTGGCGGCCGCTCCACAACAGAGTCACAAGTATACCCTGTTAACAGCATTGTCTTCCATCCGGTTTACGGCACTTTTGCTACGGCTGGCAGCGACGGAACATTCCACTTTTGGGACAAGAACCAGCGACACCGTCTCAAGGGCTTCCCGTCGTTACAGGCGTCCATCCCCGTATGCAATTTCAATCGCAACGGGTCAGTCTTCGCATATGCGCTCAGCTACGACTGGCATCAAGGCCACACGGGCAACCGACAGGACTACCCCAACGTCATTCGTCTGCATCCTACCACGGACGAGGAAGTTAAAGAGAAAAAAAAGTGAAATAAAGAGCAGGCCAGTCATTTACAGGAGCCACTTGAAAAAATGTCAGGTTGTCCGAGATCCTGAATTTCCAATATATTGAAATGTGTCATATTTTTTTGTCGAGCCTAATTATGCGTCAAACCCAATCGCACTGCAAAGATATTCAGCTACAAGTAAGGCTACATCACAAGCACTGCTAAGACGCAAACAGATCGCTCGTTTAGACAATTTTACTGCTAAAAGGTGAACTACAATTTCATTTCAAAACACGATTTTTAATGACAAGCTCGAATTTTCACAAGTCTAACGTTGCAACACCAGATATTTTTCAATTAAAGGCGATTGTATCCGTCAATATTCTTGACCGATTAACCTCTAGACTTGGCCATCTTCACTATAAAACTGATCACCTGCGTGGTAGAGTATCCTAGCTCTGGAAAATTTTTTACCAGCTATTATGAAGTCTTTGAAAAAAAGTTGAAATATTCAACTTTATTGTTCAAGAACTGAAAAATATCAAAAACTGAAATCGTCAAGAGGTTGAGCCTTAAGCGAGACTTGTGGATATTAGGTCTGGACTGATCGAGAGCTGGGACTATTGTGAAGTGTTCGAGAAAGTTTGATCGAATTTGGTCTGCTAGATCGTGAGATATTTGCATTTTTGTTAGGAAAGGCTGGATTATTGAAAACAGGCACATATATTAGGAAATCTCGAGCGAAACAGAAGCAATGCCGGGCCAGTTTATCAGCGTTCCGTTTCTGTCGCAGGCCGAAGACATGGATAAGTATTTGATGGAATACCGGAGTCTAAAATTGATGCCACAAAGTGCAGCGAGTTCCCAGCAGCAGCAGCAGCAGCAGCAACAGCAGCAGAACCGTTACTCAATGCAAAATAGAACGACCATTACGGGCAATCAGGCTGCTAACTTGGGCTACAACAATGCAAACAACGGTCGCAAAAAATTGGTGGGTAACAACAACTCCGCAACGCAGGGCTATCGTCTTGGAAACAAAAACGGATTCAACAAGGTAAGCCACCAGCAGCAGTTGCAGCTGCAAATGCAGCAGCAGCAGCAACAACAACAACAAGCCCAGCAACACGCCCAACCACAAGCTCAGCAGCCTCTGCAAGGTGCAGGCTTCAAACAAGCATTCCCCCAGATGTTTTACGGCTCTGCGAATGGTAGCAACTCATCACTTGCTCAGCAAGCTTTGACCTCTCAAGTTTACGCACCAAGCAATGCTGGTCAACAACAACTGATGACTGCAAGCTCTTCCTCGAGCTCCACTCCACCTCCCAGACTGCATGTCTCCGTCAGCGGGACCTCTTCCATTTCTTCTCTGGGTGGAGACTTCGACTACCTTCTACCTAACGAGCTAAATGGACACTTGATGCCTTCAGCCTCGACGCAAATTTCGTCAAATCTGAATGGCGCGGCAGGTTGCTCTACAAACAATATTGCAAACTCGGGGACTTCTCAGGGCTTAGCGGCGACAAATGCGGCGAGGTCTTCGACTACTGCGCTGAACATGATGCAGGTGGCACCTTTGAGCGGAGGTTTTTTGAATTCAGTGTCCACTGCTCTTCCATCGGGATTTAATAAGATGGAGAACGAACTTTCCAGTTCCAATGATTTTATAAGTGGATTACCATCTTCTTTACTTTCTGAAGGATCTACTGCACCTGAATTTTCGGGTTTAAGTGGGCGAGACGCAGTCTTCTCTAACCCTAGTGCTGAATCCTCCCGCAGTTTTATGCTGCCAAACTCGAAAAGCTGGGGCGCGGGGAACGTAAACTCGTCTTCCACAGCTGGGTCTTCTGGTATTTGGAGTAACGACATGAGTGTCTGGAGCTAACGATTTTATGAAATGACGAGATAGAGAAGATTTGGGGAAAACCCTTATTGGAAAAACTCTATTCTGATGTCGTCTCAACTGTTTCAATTTAAAGCCACCAAGGGAGCAGACTTGGTCGTCGATTTATTATTGTTATTACGAAAACTGATTTTATTAGATTTTCTCGGTGGATTTTTGACGGAGTTTTTAAGCAAATGCTTAGCTCTTTTGAAAAGCCTGATTATTGGTAGACGGATCTTTGGGTGCGTATTGGAAGTCGCCGCGGTGTTTCGGACTTCTTAGGTGTCATGACAAAATTGTCGGATTAATTCGGGGTGGAGCTATTATCAGGACGAATGCACTTGTGCTTCGCAAATCAAGCAAAACACGTAGATAGATTCTGTACTGTAAAAAAACCTTATATTTGCAAGTAAAAAAAGGTCATGTATGTATCATGAGGGTCATTACCAATTGGCATTCAGAAGTTTCTTGAATGTGTCTTCGAACAATTTCGGTTTCACACGCCCTTGAGATAAACGCATCCCTTGACCGACAAGGAACTTCAAAGAGTTCTTTTTTTTCCCAGACGTGATTCCGCTAAGCATCTTCGGATCGGTCACTGACGACAAAATTTCTGAGCACATTCTCATCAGTTCCTCATGATCTACTGATTTAACTGCACTGAGACCAAATTCCTCTATTATAGCTTCGAGATCGACCGGCTGGGTAATTTGAGAATCTTTGGTTTGCTCAAGAATATGGAATAACAAAAGCTTGCCACTGGCGTTTGAAATCTTTTCTTGTTGTATCAAGGCTATCAGCTCTGCAAATTTATGCGGTGGCAAAACTTTGATTGCTTGATGCAAGGGTAAATTGAGTCTGTTCAAGTTTCCGAGGAGTTCGTGAATTGTCCAGTTCGTTAGCAATTTCGAAGACTTTTGTCCGGCTTGCTTAACATAAAGTTTGAAAGACTCTAGATAAAAATCTAGCAGCTCTTTTTGGGTATATTGTTGTTCATGGCCACTTGCATTTATAGTGAGAATTTTTGCATCCTTCAGCGGCAGGTTGTAAGGCTCTGCCATCAGGTTCTTTATGGTTTTGTCGGGCAATTTCGGCAAAGACGCTCTAACACCAGCCACTGCTTCTTTTGACAAGTGTACGAGTGGCAACTCAGCATCTGGCATATATCTGTAATCGATTGTAGTTTCTTTGCTTCTTAATTTCACTGTAGCTGCACCGTTCCAGCCACGCGTCTCTGGCTCGGCCAATAAAGAAGATGTAAGTCCATGTCGTATTATGTCTACTTGTCTCTCGTATTCAAACTTAACGGCGCTCATAATGGAACTAGTATTGGGCAGATTTTTTAGCTCCACTCGACAATTGTCATTAACGGACATGTTTACGTCCACTCTCATCGCACCCGTTTCAAGATCCCCTGTAGAAATCCCCAAATGACGAACCAGATTTTGGTATTTTTTGATGAAAGATCGAATTTGCTTGAGGTCGTAGAAGTTCGGTAGCGTTACCATTTCAATTAGGGGAACGTTGGACCTGTTTAAGTCTATGAGTGACATTTGTTCAGCATCTCTGTAAACGGACTTGCCAGTGTCCTGCTCGATCTGCAATTGCAGAATGTCGATTTGCAAACGATCTTGGTCAATACTATCTATTATGTTTGTGAGTTCCATGGAGCCCCCTTTAGCAAATGGACTGTAATGCTGTGTAATCTGGAATCCTAGAGGTTGATCCCCGTAAAAATAGTGTTTTCGGTCGAACTGTGAGCTTAAATTGACCTCGCTGTCGAGTGCAACGGCCAATCGCGTTGCGAAAAGAATAGCCTCCAAATTTAATTTTGGTTGTGTTCCCGGAATTGAAACATCAAAAAATGATGTATGATGGTTTGGAACGTTTGCAGACGCAAAGGGGTCATTTGTTGAGTGCGAAAAGAGCTTATTCTTGGTGTTAAGTTGGGTATGGATCTCAAGACCACATTTCAGTTTGTACTCGGATAAAAGAGAAAATTCCTCTTGTACAGCTTTGAAACCATACTTTCGCGTAAATCGAAGCATTAAAGGCGTCGCCTAACTCGTCTTCCAACAATTATTCTAGTCATCATCGGCTATTCTCTCAGCTGGGTTTTACTTATTATTATTATGTATCTAGCACTCATTATAAGTGACACATAATGTTAAAGTGACATGGAAAATCGCCTTACGATCGGTCCTCGAACGCTGTCTGCTGTCCGTTACTGTTGAGAGTATTCAATTCGGGTAGAAGCTATGCTTGATTTAAAGGCATCTGTTTTCTGTCTGTTGTTTGTGCTAAAATCTGGCAATTTATTTAATATTATCCCAACTACAAAATTGCGCGAAATTACCGTAATCTGGGACTTCACAGAACGCGAGATGCCTACGGGCAAATAGTATGAGTGATCTGGGATCGAATTCGGGTTTTGGAGCTCCAGCTTCACTCGTGCTAGCTTTTTGTTATTTTTATTTCTCAATGTCGAATGCTGTAACAACAACATAAAATTATGGAAAGCATGTTATGGAAACTTGAGAGTAAATAGACTTAGATATGTGCTTGCAGCTTATGTTTTAGCCGATTAAGCATTTTCCTTTGACGATGATGGCTTCATTTCATGAGGTTTTCGTATCTCTCTACCCAAAATGCAATTTAATCTGTTGCGACGACGTGAGTCGTCAGGGTACTGATCGAATCGATGCCCGTATGTGGACAAGGAAATCGAAGAAGAATCTTTTAAGAGGTCTGTGGGGTTAAAAGGCTCATCAAAAACTGAGGTCTGGTTTCTTTGCGCTAAAAGAGAACGTGGCATAGCTTTTCTCCTACTGCGAACTCTGTCGCTGGTTTTTATGGGAAATATTGCCTGGAATTGTGACTGGGATATTGGTTCGCCAATGAATAGCTGTCCTATAGGGAAACCTTCGCAATTTGTGGGTTTGTTGTCTTCCGGGTTGCTCTTCGAAGGAGTTTTCCAGTCTGGCCACAATTGATTATAAACTTGTTTGCAATAACATCCGCCGCGAAGGCTAGTCATTTCTGCTCGAAATTGCTCGGGTATCATCTCGAGTTCGAAAAGAAGTAAATTTCTGAGCTCTGGTAGGGACAATTTAACAGTTCTCAGCTTTTGACAAAACGGGTGGCCACACGGTGCTGTTTCCATCTCTCGTTCACACAAAACAAATTGGATTTGATCCAAAGCATATTGCGTCAGCAATTCCGGGGTTGGAAGCCGCTCCAGCTCTTTATTTTCGACATCATTTGCTGCTTCGAGCAGTGACACAGGCAAAGGCTCGCGAATATTTTCCGGGGCCATGCCGCTCGACGAGTTAGTAACCACATGGGGTTTGATACCTTCATGCTTCAATTCTCGAACCAAATGTTTTCTGGCGGTCGCTGGCCTTTTTTTCCCAATCTTTAGCTGACTAGGAGTCTTTGAACGGTACACGTTTGTATCTTTGGGACCTAAGACCTTCATACTGCGTATAAAAACAAAGCTACAAATTTCCGCTAAAAATTCCTGACCAGATTAGAGTATGCAAAATTTTAAACAAGGTCTAAGTGCGTGCTCTCAATTCAACAGCTTGGTGTCTTGAAGTTTTGTCTATTTTATTTTATATATGTATATAATATCCCATCAAGATTATTTTACTGACACAAAGATCTGAGCTCCAAAATCGATCACGAAAGAGAAAGCCAGCTATCATGATATCAACAAATCGTGAAATAGTGCTTGTCACACGGTGAGTAGTTTGATCGACAAACTGCTATGATAGCTTGACAAAAACTGCCTTCTCCGAATCGTGGAGCACATTTAGAGACTTGATATCAACATTGAATTATCTAGACGCATATAGAGTCACTAGAGTGAGGATTGAGCTTTTCAGCATTTTGGTGTAGTTTCTACTCCATAAACATTAATACTTGTATCATTCGGGTCCAGTAAGGCATGTAGAAGTGCCGGCATAATTGGGCAGATATTTATCAACCAGTACTTATTGTCTCTAGATGGCAAGAGAAAACCGGAGATGAAGACGCTACAAGTGGTAACTGTGAGGATACACGAGAAGAGTTTATAGAAGCACCCTAAAACATCGATCAGTGGGCTCTATAATTGTTTGTTATCGAGCTACTGAGTATTCTGGCCAAGGAGAAATATTACATCGTAGAAATCTGCTAGTTCACATCAAATTAAAACCAATCGATCTGCTTCACTTTTGATTGAAATCGAAATGCTGAAAAAAGCTGTGATTCACGCAAAGTTTGGTCAACCACTCAAATTTAATATTCCTGACATGGATTCCAATTTGAATTCTTTCGCACGTCAAACAAACATCCTTGTATGGTTAAAAGTGCTTAGCTTACCGTTAAACTTCACGCTTTTCGATCGACTTAATGTCACCACGCTATTGAAATCTAACTTCTTCATTACACCGATATGCCCTGAATATGTGTCCACGAACACCACATACTATTCACACCAAAAACTCAACTCGGAATGAAACGTTAAGCTCCCATTTTTCTGCATCCTATCATCTGGTTCCACAGTCCACTCAGTCGGTGTACATCAATGTATATGTCTATTCACTATTCAAATCTTGATTTGACACATTCTGATGACACTAAATAACAAAAATGATCTCGAGCTCTAATTACCCGCAGTCTCTCTTGCTCACGTGCTTTCCTAAAATTTTATAAAATCTTGTTTACTGTCTTAACCAATGCGCTTACACCAAGAGTGCGATCGCAGCGCAAACATAGGCCAGCAACTAGCTCCTGATAGCCTTTAAGAACATGTCCATATATTCCACGCCGTTGAAGAGTGGGATTGACTATAGCAGGACAGTTTTGAACCCCGCAAACGCCTCAGTAGTGAGCGGAAACCTCGCAGAAAATGAATCGAAAAGACCCTTGACAAACGATCAGGGTCCGGTGATGCTTTCGAGTTACGGCGTAGTAGCTCCATCTACAGTATCTATGGGGTCCTCTACAAGTGGGGATCACTTAAAAGTGACAGGATTCGGCTCGAAACCGGCTCTGCAGCTGGCTAGTCAGTATATTGACCACATGCAAAACCGCGATTCGAGCACACCAGTTCTTGACGAACGTTCGTACTACAACAATGGGGTCAATTATAATTTCAGCAAAGAGGTGGGCGGTCTGGGAGCTTTCACGCCTCTGGAACGTACCCAGGTGATAAACATACCCGATGTTGTTCTTCGAGAGGCTGCAGAAGCGGAAATGAAAAGCGACATGGGAGTTTTCCCAGAGTTGAATAGGTGCTGGATCACAATCGATAACAAGCTGATTTTGTGGGATTTGGATCATCCTTCAGACCTCCAGTCCATCGACGACATAAAGCACACAATTCTGTCGGTAGCTCTCGTGAGACCCAAGCCCAATACATTCGTGGAGTCTGTCAGCCATCTATTGCTAATCGCTACTCCTTTCGACATCTATTTGCTTGCCATACAGTACAATCCCAATATAAATGAGGTAGCAGTATTCAACACTGGAATGTGCGTCTCGGTCCATGGGCTAGACGTCAGTGAGTTCACATCATGCGACAAAACGGGGCAAATTTTCTTTGTCGGGAAATCTAGCGGTACAAACATTTGGGAGCTTCAGTATTCTAGCAACGAGGACTGGTTTAACAGCAAATGCAACAAAGTTTGCCTCACCCAATCCATTTTCAGCAGTCTGCTTCCGACAAACCTAATGTCCAAAATTCCTGGCAGTAATTTGGTGCAGTCGTTTTTCGAAGAGACGTCAAAGTATGTTGCAGAACATCTCGTACAGATATGCGTTGACGAGTCAAGAGGAATTTTGTACTCATTATCAAACAAGTCAATTATCCGCGCCTACAAAATCAACGGGAAACATTTAGAAGGTCCGCTCACACTCGAAACTTCTTATATCAAAAGAATTTTGGGTACGACCTCTGCAAGAGGAGCAGCAATCTTGGGCAACAAGTTCTTAAAGCTCTCTAAATTAGTGGTTGTCTCTGGCAAAGAAAACAGTAACTTGTTTTTGGTGGCTATTACAGTAGGTGGTGTTCGCATTTACTTCAACGGATCATCCACACAGAGCCATCTAGAGGCTTTGAGATTGGAATCTGTTAAGTTTCCCCCAAGTTCCGTCACGCCAGAAGCCATTGAACAGGAATTGCAACAACAGCAGCAAAAAAAAAGTGTACCATTCTACTCCTCACTTGCAAGTTCCGAGTCCGTAATGCTTAAATTCCAGAAGAAATCCTCTGTTCTTCTAGAAACCACACGAGCAAGCACCATCATATCACCGGGCATTTTTTTCTCAGCTGTTGATAAAGCACCTCAACAGGAGAACACGACATCCACACAGGATCAAACTGTTGACAACCAACAGCAAGTCAAGCCAGCGGTACACTGGGCTTTCGGACAAGCACCTCCTCAAACACAGTCTTCCTCGCGTAACACCCAGACCCAGCATAAGTTATTTGTGTCTGTACCAGATTACGGAATCTTGAAGAAACATGGAAAATACATCGAGAACACCACGGTTCTGGACACAACAGGCATTGTCAGGCATATAGTTCCCATCACCCCCTTCTTCAATGCTACCGAAAAGCCGGAAGGCTACGCCAACGAATTTGCTACCCAGTATACCTCGTCTGAGTTTAAGGTGGCTGTTCTAACCAATTCGACATTTGAAATTTACAGATACAGAAATCCTGACGCGGTTTTCGAATCTTTGATCGAAAATCCGCTACCATTTGTTCTGAACTACGGTTTGAGCGAGGCATGCTCTACTGCGCTCTTCGTCACATGCAAATGTAACAAATCCGAGGCCTTGAGATCAAAAGCGTTAACTTTCTTTACTGTTGGGTTGCCTGGTGTCGCAGAAATCAAACCAAGATACAACACTTATCCTTCTTCGGCTATATCGACGTTTTTACCAAAAGCACCAATAATGTCGACCCCTAAGAGGTCTACTCCAGATGCAGACAACGTAGGGTATGGTTTTGTCTCAGCTGAAGATAATTATAGCTTGGATGATGTCATTCTATCGCCACGGTTTTATGGAACAGCTCTCTTCATCTCGAGATTGTTCCGGGATATATGGGATAGGCCTGTATTCGTCAAAAATCGATCTGCTAGATTTGACCTCCAATGCAAGCTAGTCGAAAGCTCCATAAGTGGTAAAAATCTGATCGATTCGATATCTGTATCAAAGGCGGACGTGGAGTATTATTTGTCATCTGTTATGATTCTGAATGACTTTTTTGATACTTACGGAAACACACTATCAAGCATTTGCATCCCATCATTCCAGACTGCCAAAAATGTCGACAGATATGAGGAGCTTGCTTACCAGGCTGAAAACATTGCCATCAATTCTCTTATCAAGCTCGTTCAGTCAATGAAGGAGGCCTTTTCGTTCTTGAACGTTTTGTTCGAAGAAAGCGATGTTGAAGGCTTCGAAGGCCAGTACGTGGCATTTAAAGACATCATGAAGTTTTTGAATTTGTCTACTCAAACTGAACTCGCCAATCTCAAATACAAAGAAATTTTTGCTCCCAACGAGACAACTCAGAACCTTTTGCGAGACATACTTTCCTCCATTATTAACAGAAGTATTTCCAGAGGCGGATCTATCGAATACATTGCCACTGCACTACAAGAAAGATGTGGGTCATTCTGTTCTAGTAGCGACATACTTGGCTTCCGTGCTGTGGAGCACTTGAGGAAAGCCAAGGAAGTTGGCCTCAGAGACTTTGAAACTACTAACTACCATTTGACGACGGCCATAAGGTTATTTGAAAAGATAGTGGATAGTCTATCAATTGAAAGACTGAAAGAGGCGGTTTCGACAATGGTAGAACTAAATTACTTTCCTGGCACTATTAAGTTCCTGTTAAACATCGCGAATTTGATGGACAAAGGAAAACTGGCATATCAGTATGTCGATAACGGCTATTTGGAACAAGACCCAAGAAAATCTTTCTACGAGAAACGAATTCTTGCCTACGAGCTTGTTTTCGAGACCCTGGTGAAAGTGGACGAAAAAGTGTCTTCTGCGATCGCGACCGGTGTCACAGCAATGAACAACATCGAAGAGCTCACAAAACTAAAAGATGAGAGTTACTCCACAGCCCTTAAATACAATGACAAATTGTTTCACTATCAGCTTTATGACTGGTTAGTGTCTCAAAAGTGCCAGGAAAAGCTTTTACAACTGGACACGGATTTCATTTTGATGTATCTGAAAGAGCACTCAAAGGGATCTCTAGAAATCTCGAATCTGCTTTGGGTTTACCAGTCGAAAAGATCTCATTTCTTCCCTGCTGCTCAAATACTGTATTCTTTGGCAATTTCTGATTTCGAAATTTCTCTAGGGCAGCGAATCGAGTACTTGTCGAGAGCAAATGGGTTCTGTAATGGCATGTGTGCCCCCAACGAGCGCCAACAGATGATTCAATTGGCCGGTATGATCCAAGAGATCTTTGACGTGGCGAGCGTGCAGGACGACATTCTTGCATTGGTTAGAAATGACGTCCGAATCATTGCGGCTACGAAGGAAGAGCTCATTCAGCACCTAGACGGAAAGGTTCTACCCGTTAGTGATCTTTTCAATGATTACGCCGACCCTCTGGAATACTATGAAGTCTGTCTTGCCATCTTCAGAATATCTGAGTTTAGAAACAACGAGGAAATCATTTCAAAGTGGACAGAGCTCTTTAATTCTTTGAAAAGTGAGTTAAACCCGGAGGGTGACGTAGAAGATTCGGCCAATTTCATCAACCTTTTGACGGCGGTCGTGGTGCGCGTTGGCAGAAATGTGAGAACCTCTGAATTCGTTTTTCCGGTCGCGGATTTGTTCCCCATATTATGTGACTTATTTCACGAAGAATTGCCACAGGATCACATCAAAGACGGATCCATAACGTCCATTTTCATTTCAGCGGGTGTTTCATTTGACAAAATGTATTATATGCTCAAGAACCTGATAGAAACTGCGGACTCCGTGAACAACATCTACAAGAAAGAAATGGCGTGGCTTATCAAGGAATGGTACAAATCGGATACTAAGCTGAGGGACTTGATTTCATTCGATGATGTTCGGAACTTGGATACTTACACCATTGAAACCGATCCAATCGAAAATCAAGTAAAAAAGACCGGTACAAGCATTTAAAGAATTAGTGTGATAAAACAGTCCTTCAAGGACTTTACGACCGGCCGATATTTACAAAACCAGCATGACAATAATTAATGAAGCATTTCGACATGCTCATGAAGAACAATCTGAATTTACATTGATGGCTAATTGAACGATTGCAAGTGAACGACAGCAAAATGTCACTTTTCAATCTTGTCTTCACAACGAAACCTCTGGAAGAACACAAGCTTTGCAGAAATGGGTACAATTTGAGGCCATGTACATTACTATTATATAAAGGAACCAGCCGTATATAACAAAAATGGGAAAACATAGAACAGCGCACGATCTGGAATTGTGGTAGAAGAAAAGCAAATATAAGGCCGCAGGTGAAGCATGAGTTGTGTTTTCAACACTAAGAGACCAGTGGAGTTAACAGATCCAACTTCGAATAAAATGACGCTGCTAGTTAGCTGTATGGGGTGTGAGGTGGGAAAAGACAAAATCGAAAGATAAAACGCCGAACCGCCCTTGTTCGAGCAGACTGGCCTTTTGCTTATCGCTCCTACGTCTTGGCCACTTCTGCCACTCACTTCTAGAGGTCACACGCTCTGCATTTGCGCTTGCGCAGAATACACCGCTTCCTGAGCTTCACTCGCTGAGCCCAAATGTGTTTTCCCCAGAGTAAGTGACGTACAAAAACCCGTCTTTGTCTTTGTGCTCCTGATAGATGGCTGACATCAACGCTGCGGTTGGAGGCAGCGTGTCATTGACGAAAATGAAAATGGCCTTTTCGGCTGGCAGCTTGATGCGTTTTCTTATCACGTATACAAACTGACCCACCGTGAGATCTGCTGGGACCAGATACTTGCGTTTGTCGATCTCTGGGATGTCTGATTTTTCGGCTTTTTCGCAAATCACTGGAATCCGATTTTCGAATTTCTGGCTGATGCGTTCGGACTCTGCCTTTCTCTTCTCGAAGGGGTACTCCGATTTGAAAGCCGATTTCATGCTGCTATCTCAATGTTCTTTCTCGCTGTGTGTATAATATAGCGTGTGAAGGCCTGTGATCTTTCCCGTTACACGTTCGAAACCCGTCACTTACTGCACGACGACAAATGCTATGAATAACCCGTTTTTTGGCCCCTACCAAAACAAGCTGCGCTGAATCTGTTGCTCGATCGATGAGCCTGCGAGTCTAAAAGAGTGTCCAAACTGTGTGTGAAGCTCCTTACCGCTAAACTGCTTTTTAACTCTTCGTTGATTTTTTAGGAGTGTGTACAAAGGTGTTGAGAATCTGATAAGTTTCCCTAAACTTCCTACCCTGTGTTTCGATTGTTTATATAGTCCTTGAGTTTGTCTCTCTGTCTCATCTGATTAATCTGATTAGCTAAAAAAAGGACCGGGATAATCAGCCCCCTAAAAACATAAGAGGGAAAAGTTCCGGGTAACGAGGAGAATATGTGATCATGTGAAATTCATGTGATCAAAGCACGTGGCATATAACACGTGAAAAATATATCACGAGACCTTGGATTGCGTCATTATAGACTAACATGACCAGCTTGGTCACGAGATCAGTGATTACATCAGCACACCAGTCACATGATATTTACGTGCTAAGCCGCGGATCACGGTCTTTGTCTTCTTCCAGGCTGAACTGGGCCATGGCGTATTCCAGCAACTCCTGTTCGAGCCGAAACTCCGCTTCGTAGTCTTCCTGCTCTTGCAGAAGAGCTATCAGTTCGTCCTCATCGTCCTCATCGTTGTCGTCGTTGTCCCCGTCATTCGCCCTTTCAGAATCGGAAAATTCGTATTTCTCAATGTAGTTGGGGTCTACCTGGTGCCACTGCGCCTGCGTGGCTAGTTGGCACTGCTCGGCATCCCGCTCAAGTGCCATGACATCGAGTTCCATACGCATAGACCCTCCTCGAGCCTGCAACACGCGTTTTTCCAAAGCTTGATGTCGGTGCAATTGCAAGCTTCGACGTCGGCGTCGGCTCGGGCTCTTGAAACGGCTGCCCGTGTCTTTCAGAGGCGACGAAAGCGGCTGTCTCGAGCTTTCGTACTGTCGTTGGCGGTCCCTTTGGAGTCGGTCCGCGACAGATGCATCGTTTTCTAAAAACGGCGAACTGTCAAGAGCACGTTTGGGAGGGCTCATTGCCGGCGCCAACGGGCTTGATGGCAATTGGTTGTGTGCATTATCCATCCACGCGCCCTGCACACCTTGTTAATGCACCAAAACCTTCGCTTTCTTCGTTGTCTCAGTTTTCGAATCGTGCGAGGAACTAACAAACCAAGACAATCTTATATACATATATATGAATGACAACATATACTAACTCGAAAACAACTAATGAACAAATAATGGATTCAAATCTACATGAATTCTATCTCGTTATATATGTAGTTTGCACGGCTTTCTGAAATCATAGTCTGAATAGCTTTAGCTTGAAAATAGCGTCGTTAATCGTTTGCTCCTCGTCTGCAATTTCGGCCTTCTGCGACCCGTCATATTCGGTGATTTGAGACCGGCAAGTCTTGGTCAACATCTCGGAGTGGGCCTCAATGACCTTCGAAAGCTCGATAGTGTCCTTGACCAGCTCATATTGGACTAGAACGTCATCGGTCGCTTCAAGACCACATTTCTTTCTGAGTTTTTGAATTCTGTTAACCAATTCTCTGGCCAAACCTTCAGTCTTCAACTCTGGGTAGATCTTCGTGTCTAGAATGATCAAAACATCTTGGTCGGTTCTGGTCTCTAGGCCGCTGTCGCCAAGGTCTTCCGATAGCACTCTCATCACGGTCAAGTCGCCTTGAACAAGCTCGATTCCGTCCACCACAATCTTGCCGCTCTCGACGTATCTTTGCACTTCTTCCGAAGTGACCTTTGGCAAAGCAGCCTTCACCTTCTTGGCGTCCTTCTTTAGCTTTTTACCTAGCACTGGCCAGTCGGCGGCGGCTTTGTACTCGATGTTGTATTTGGCGTCATCCGAAGTGATGATCAAGTCACGAACGTTGAGTTCTTCCACAATGTATGAAGCAAGAGCTTCCACATCCTTTAGGTACTGAGGATCACTGTGGAAAATAACTAGACTTTTTAGAGGAGTCTTCAAAGAAATGGTCTTCTTTTCACGAATGTTTCTACCCAAATCGATCACGGCTTGCATTCTTGCCATTGCTCTTTCGATGTCGTCGTTGAACAGCGACTCATCAACCTCAGGGTATGACAAAAAGTGCACGGATCTGCTGTCTTTGCAATATCTGCTCAAAACATCTTCTGGCATATATTCTCTCAATCTTTGATAAATGTTATCTGACAAAAATGGAGTGAATGGGGCCATAGCACAGACAAATGAGAACAAAGCATCGAAAAGTGAGTTTAGAGCCTGCAAACAGTCCTTCTCGCCACTTTCACCCTTCAAACGACGACGGTTCAAACGAATGTACCAGTTCGTTAGCTGATCGATGAAGTCTAGGAGCTTTGGAACAACAGAGTAGAGCTTATATGCTTTCATTTCAGCGTGAATGTTCTTGATCAATGTCTGCAAAGACGCCAAAATCCATTTGTCCATAACATTGTCACTTTTTAGATCAGGATTGTATTTGAAGTCAATGTTCGAAGTTTTCTTGAGCAAGGCGATCTGACCTTCCAAGAACTTGAAAGAGTTCCACCATGGTAGTAGTACTTTAGAGATAACTTCCTTAACACCATCCTCTCTAAATTTCAACGATTCAGCCTTCAAAACAGGCGAATTGATGAGGTATAGTCTGAGAGCGTCCGCACCGTACTTGTCCAAGACCAGATTGGGGTCTGGGTAGTTTTTCAAACTCTTCGACATTTTTCTGCCATCAGCGGCCAAAACGATACCACAAACAATAACGTTCTGGTAAGGCACTTGACCGAAAAGTTGCGAACCCAAGACACCAAGTGTGTAGAACCAACCTCTTGTTTGATCCAAACCTTCAGAGATAAAGTTCGCAGGCACTCTTTCTTTAAACTTGTCTTGGTTTTCGAAAGGATAGTGCTGGGAAGAGTACGGCATAGAACCGGATTCAAACCAACAATCAAAGACTTCTTCAATTCTTCTGAGAGTACCCTTACCTCTCTTTGATGGGATTGTGATTTGGTCCACAGTGTCACGATGAAGATCTTCGATGTTTTCGACACCAGATAGTTCTTTCAACTCTTGCACCGAACCGACACAGACAATTTCTTCGTAGTCATCAGAAACCCAGATTGGAATAGGTGTACCCCAATATCTGTTTCTAGACACGTTCCAATCACGAGCATTGGCGATCCAGTTAGCGAATCTCTTCTCCTTGATGACATTTGGCACCCAGTTAGATTTGTCAACAGATTCCAAGAAGGTAGGAATGATAGGCTTGACACGAACGAACCACGCAGGAACCGATCTGTAAAGCAATGGTGTGTCAGATCTCCAGCAGAATGGATAACTGTGTCTAACTTGAGTATTGTTGATCATTATTCCGCTTGCAGTTAGATCCTTGATGATCTGTTTATCAGCATCCTTAACGTACATGCCCAAATAGTCGGTAACGGGCGAAGTGTACTTACCTGCATCATCGACCGGATTTGGCAGCTCGTCATCTTCGGAAATAATACCGTTTGCGAGACAAATTCTGTAATCGTCCTCACCGAAGGCAGGTGCGTTGGAGACGATACCAGTACCCGAATCTGCGCTCACGTAGCTGTCGGCAATGACTCTGAAGGCCTTGTCTTGGTAAGCTTCCTTGAAGTAAGGATAAGTTGGTTCGTACTTGAGGCCCACCAAGTCTTTACCCATTATTTTTTCAACGACCTTGTACTTCTCCTTTTCAGGCTTCTTGTAAAGGGTCTTGATCAAAGATTCGAGCAAGACGAAGTACTTGTCTCTTGTTTCATCGTAGATCTTAACGTACTCAAATTCTAGGTTCACACAAAGGGCCAAGTTCGAGGGAATCGACCATGGGGTAGTGGTCCAAGCAACCAAGTAAGTTTTGTCCATGCCAATGACTTTGAAAGACCAAGTGACGGCAGGGTCGTTAACCTCTTTATAGTTTTGCTGAGCTTCGAAATTACTCAAAGGAGTGGTACAGCCTGTGGAGTAAGGCATGACTCTGTACCCCCGGTAGACCTGATCCTTTTCAAAAAGTTGCTTGAAAGCCCACCAGGTCGATTCCATGAAGGATGGATACATGGTTTTGTAATCGTTGTCGAAATCAATCCAACGTCCCACACGCCCGATGGTTTTACGCCATTCTTCAGCATATGTCATTACAATGGCTCTGCATTCGTCATTGTACTTGTCGATACCCATCTTGTACACATCTTCCTTGCAAGTGATTCCTAGCTTCTTGTCAATGATGTGCTCGATAGGAAGGCCGTGAGTGTCCCAGCCAAATCTTCTCTCAACGTGGTAACCGTTCATGGTAGCGTATCTTGGAACAACATCCTTGACAGTAGAAGTCAAAATATGGCCGTAGTGGGGTGTACCAGTAGCGAAAGGAGGTCCGTCAAAAAACGAGAACTCAGGTTTGTCTTCGGTCAATTTCAGAGACGTTTGGAAAGCGTCAATTTCATTCCAAAACGCAAGGATTTTCTCCTCCTCTTGTGGAAATGAAAAATGAGTGGCCTGTTCACTCATGTTAGTTGCGTCCAGCTTTGGATAAAGTCTTGAATCTCAGGCGAACAACTGCTGATCGTTGAGCTTAAATAATGTGATTGATGAGTACTGTAATTCATCACTCGATGATGATTCATACGTCCTAGTGGTGCTAATTAAAAATTTTCCCGCCAAACCTATATCGTATATAGCGATCTACATAGAATATGTATGGCTAACAATTATTAAAAGCCGAAAAATGGATGGTTTTGAGGGTTATTTGGCGTTTATTTTCAGCTGGAAACTGTCTTATTAGGTTGAGAAAGGTTTATTAATTACTGTGAATCTATTTCTGCCTGGCATATTTTTCGAAATATACTTTACTTGTTTATTCAACTTTGATGGGGGAATTTTGATTTACGTGACACTCCTGCGATTCTTGAGCTAGAACAGTAGTTGATTCGGATGTAAATCCCTATGGAGCAAATATGGGCTCCAAGAGTTGAAATGATGATATTTGTTGCATTGCACTATTTCATCACTTTGTACTAAACTGTCGCTGGTTTAACAATAACAACTATGCGGCTCTTATTGAAAGGATCGGCGAACCGCGCTACTATCTACTTCAACGACTTCACTGCGCTTATTTCACCTCGCTAAAGTTTCGTTTCATACATCTTGATATTCCAACTATTTAAAAAATATATTTACTCCATTATCAACAGTCGGGGGTGCAGGAGTAGTCCCAACCATTTTATGCCACCTAGACTCTGATATCAGGGCGGACAACCATTCTTTTCGAAACCTCTTCTCTCTCCCCAGCCTCCTCCACCATAAAACTTGACTTTCTTAGTCAACCTCTTCGACTGTTGGACCCGAATCTCCACCGGCGCCATGGCCAGCGGAACCGGCACCAGCACCAGGTGCACCACCGGGAACTCCGCCAGGAACTCCGCCAGGAACTCCGCCAGGAACTCCTCCACCTGAAGCACCTCCAGATTGGTAGAATTTGGTCATGATTGGATTCGCCACTTCTTCCACTTCCTTTTGTTTATCCTTGTACTCATCCGTGGAAGCCACTTGTGAAGCATCAAGCCATGAAATGGTTTCTTCCACAACAGACTTCAATTTGGTATAATCCGCCTCTCCTACTTTTTCTTTGAAGGAAGTTTCGTTCACAGTATTCTTCAAACTGAAAGCGTAAGCTTCTAAAGAGTTTTTGGTCTGTACTCTCTCAGCTTCGCTTTCGTCTTCAGCCTTAAACTTTTCAGCATCAGATACCATTCTTTCAATATCTTCCTTGGACAAGCGTCCTTTGTCGTTGGTAATCGTAATCTTGCTAGATTTACCTGTACCCTTCTCTAAAGCGTGAACGTTCAAAATACCATTGGCATCCAAGTCGAATGAAACCTCGATCTGAGGCACACCGCGAGGTGCAGGAGGAATACCACTGAGTTCGAATTTGCCCAGAAGATTGTTGTCTTTAGTCCTGGTTCTTTCACCTTCATAGACCTGGATCAAAACACCGGGCTGATTGTCGGCATATGTGGAGAAAGTCTCCGATTTTTTGGTTGGAATCGTGGAGTTTCTGGGGATCAATTTGGTCATAATACCGCCGGCGGTCTCAATACCTAGAGACAAAGGAGCCACGTCCAGTAGCAATAAGTCTTGGGTCTTGGAAGATTGATCACCTGTCAAAATGGCGGCTTGCACAGCTGCACCGTATGCAACAGCTTCATCTGGGTTGATGGAGCGATTGGGTTCTTTACCGTTGAAGAAATCGGTCACCAGCTTCTGAACTTTTGGTATACGCGTAGAGCCACCCACAAGAACGATCTCGTCGACTTGTGACTTGTCTAGCTTAGAGTCTCGTAGCACTTTTTCCACGGGGTCCAAAGTGGAGCGGAACAAATCGGCGCAAAGCTCCTCGAAACGGGCTCTGGTCAAGGACGTGTAGAAATCGCAACCTTCGAAAAGGGAATCGATTTCAATCGAGGTCTGTGCGGACGACGAAAGCGCGCGCTTGGCACGCTCGGCAGCTGTACGCAACCGGCGCATAGAACGTTGATTGCTGGTCAAATCCTTACGGTTTTTACGCTGAAATTCGGCAGCCAAATGGTTCACGAGTCTGTTGTCGAAATCCTCACCACCCAGATGGGTGTTACCGGCAGTGGCTTTGACTTCAAAGATCCCCTCGTCGATGGACAAGAGCGACACGTCGAAAGTACCACCGCCCAGATCGAAAATCAGCACGTTGTGCTCCTCGCGGCCCTTTTTGTCGAGCCCGTACGCGATGGCGGCCGCTGTGGGCTCGTTGATGATTCTCAGCACGTTGAGCCCTGCAATGGTCCCGGCGTCCTTGGTGGCCTGCCGCTGCGAGTCGTTGAAATACGCGGGCACCGTGACCACAGCGTCGTTGACGGAGCCGCCCAGATAGCCCTGCGCGGTCTCACGCATCTTGCCCAGGACCATGGCCGAGATCTCTTCGGGCGAGAACACCTTGGTCTCGCCCTTGTACTCCACCTCCACGTGCGGCTTGCCCTCACGTGACACAACCTTGAACGGGAAGTGTTTGGCGTCGGTCGTGACCTCTGGGTCGTCAAAACGGCGTCCGATCAGCCGTTTGGCGTCGAACACCGTGTTCTTGGGGTTAATTGCCGCCTGGTTCTTGGCTGCGTCACCAATGAGTCGTTCCGTGTCGGTGAAGGCCACATACGACGGTGTGGTCCGGTTACCCTGGTCGTTCGCAATGATCTCGACCCGATCATTGGTGAAATGTGCCACGCATGAGTACGTTGTACCCAAATCTATACCGATAGCTTTTGACATATGGTTCGAATGTGAACTTTCAAATTTCGTGTTTGTTTCCACTTCTTGTAGTTGTTTTACTGGCTCCAAAACTCAAGCTCGTACTCTCCCATACCGCGATTTTCCCCTCCTTTTTATACACTTTTTTAGGGGTTTTCCCACAAGATCCAGCGCTCCGGTCTGCTCTGCTCCCCTAAATGGAACTTGCTAGAACACACGGGAAAGCTCTATACGGGCCGAAACTGCAAAAACACCCGCGGACCTTACCGAGAGAGAGTGTGGGAAGAGTCCGGAAACGGGTAGATGTGTCTAGAAGAGCGTGGAATATTCCAGGAAAAACGACCGTTGGAGGCTCGGCGGCTAAGTTTGTGGGAACAACCAGAGTCTTTTGGGCCGTGTAGCAGACAAGACAATGACCTTGGTTCAGGAATTTTGGTAGCGGACGACACCGATAATGGTGGGTTAGACACAGATTGCTGGTATTTTTTTCAAGGTATCTTTTGAGCCACTGGCGAGCTGAAAGGGAAGGTTTTCAGTACACAAAGTTGACGTTCCTTACGAGAGGTCTGAACTGGACATAACTCGTGAGATTTTGGAGGATTTGGGAACAACGGGCAGCGGTGTTTTTTTTATTGTGTGCCGAGTGATTTTAGGTCTTATTCCTTATTCTCTCGTATGGGGCAAAACTCCGGGGTGGAGGATGAAAAACTTACCAGGAGGGAGGAATACAAGACTGGTGAAACGGGAGTTGAGAGTTGGGAGTAATGAGTTTTGGAGTGCATGTGGGAAAATGAGCTGGTCTGGATTATATTCTAAACGCGAGACAAGACTGACGCGCCAGATATTGTTTGTTTGGCGTGCTGACACGACATGGTGGGTGGTGAGTGGTGGGTGAAAAATTGGATTATTATGGATATTATCACTTTGTACTAGTGTGTCGCGCGGGGTCGGTAGATCACCTGCTCCACCACAACCGGGCCGTCGTCGTCGTCGTCGTCGTCGTTTTGTGCGTCGTCCACGTCGTGTATGTCGTCCACGTCGTATATGTCGTCCCCGACATTTGCGTCGTTTTCGTCTAAATGCGGCCATAGTTTGCACACTGCGCAACGCGTTCGACTCAACGCGCTGCCGTGGTGCGAGCTCCCCAAAATCCGCACCCAAGCTTCCTCATTCAGCAAAGTGTCGGCGTAGAACTCGGGAATCAGGCCAAACTGCTGCGCTAGAATGGAGTCCAGCTGCAAAATAGCCGGCTCGCTGACGGCGGAACTTGACGCGATCAGCTCCACGATGTTGTGCCACTGAAGGCTCGAGCCGTAGTTCCCAAACATCATTGCGTTCAGAAACGCGCACTGAAGCTCCCCGAACAGCGAAAATATCGAGTTGTGGTGGTACCGGGGCAAAATGACGTCGTTGAGGTAGTAGCTCTTGTCAAAAAAATCCTGCATCTTGAAGTCGTCGCGCAGGGCGTCCTTAGACTTGAAAACAATGCTCGTGTAGTTCAATGCCGGGGTTTGCCTCGTGGAACCAGTATCATGGGCTGTGCCGCGATTTTTGGCCAATGCTCGGCTCAAAATACCTTCCTCCTCTTCAGTCGTGATCACAGAGTCCATATACACACACTGCTCGCTGCTGCCAGCGATATATCTGACGTCCAGCATTTTTATGAAGTTCGTCAGCGCCTGCCACGAATCCCCCTCATCGATGGACGGATACGGAACCATGAGAGGGTTCAATTCCCGAAACTTATTGTACGCGTCTGTTTTATCCTGTGCGCTTTCAAGCGCCCTCGGTACGAACAATTCCTGGGCTGCGCTGTAGTCGAATTGCAGGTACTTGGTAGACTGGCTCTCGACGTAGTATCCATACCTCATGCCGTCTGCAGAGTGCTGGAAATGAACCACATGGACTTGAGGCTCTCGAGGAATATTCTTGAACCCGTGAAACACTTGGCCTGGCTGCACTTCGAAGGAATACAGATCGATGCCAAAAGTCACAGGCTTTTCAACTCTATCGATGAAGATCTCCATAGCTCATGCTTGCTATGAAGTAGAATAGACCCATGGTGTAGTGATGGCGATTGTTCTTGAGCATGAAAGCCCTAAGTCAGGAAATATTGTCTAGCTAACGTACGTAGTAAATGATCTCGAGTTTCCCAAGACTATAAATTCAGCAAATATTACCATGCAAATTCTCCATCTACCTATTATTACAATCAACAACACCTAGCGTATGGACCAACATGCCCATAGTCAAGCAACTCACGAACGAAAATACGACATCTGGGTCAGGCGATCAGGTCGGGATTTTCAAGTGGGTTACTTTCTTACCTCTGTAGCTCTCCACTGTTCTATTATGATGAGAACATATTTTACACAGACCTGTACTGATTATTACATGCAGATAAACGAATATTGCCTTTTATTTCTGATTTGAACAACTTGGAGAGACGTCTGACACAACTTGCGTAGTTATTTGTAGAATTTCATTACTTTCATGCAACCTTGTCTCTATGAGCGGAACCATTAGCGCTCGCTTCGGTAGGTTTCGAATTTTCACCCGAGTAACTCATTCAAGTCAAGTCATATGGCCCTCGCGTGCGCACAAGACTTACATGTTTCTTGAATCGCCACACCACAGGTACCACTAGCACCCCGGAACATGCTCCTCGTTCTGATAATAAGACTTGTATTTTGTGCTTTACAAAAATTATAGTAACAATTTACAAAATTGCGAGGTTAAAATGACGAGATCGGCGATCCGACTAGGAAAAATCAGGCCTGTTAAAACCCCAATTATTTCTTAGCGGTCAATCTTCTCAAGTAGAAGGCCAATTCCTCACCTTCCAAGATGTAACCATCACATCTACCGGATTGGCCCGGTCTGGAGGAAATGCAGGCGTACAATCTACCGGCACCGAACTGAGCTTCGACGGTGTGTTCGATCTTGGCGTCAGCGGCTCTGGCGGCCCACTTCTTTTGAGCGCTCTTGGAAGAGGCAATGACCTCTTCTTCGGCACCCTTGGCAGTCTTCTTCTTACCCAAAGTCTGACCGTAGTGACCTTCGAACCATTGCTTGAAAGGAGTGGCATCGATTTGGACGATAGCGGCCTTGGTCAAGGTGTTAGTTCTGACCAATTCGTTGTTGGAAGGATGGTACACCACACCAGCAATTCTGGTCTTTCTGGTGACACCCTCGGAACCCCAGGCGAAGTTACCGGTCTCGATTCTCAAGGCTCTGAACTTCTTGTTACCACCTCTGGTTCTGACGGTGTGGATTCTCTTACCACCGATCTTGGTGTTGGCTGGTTGACGACCCAACTCAAACTTTCTCTTCTTTCTGAACTGGGCACGCTTGGCACCAGTAGCAGCTCTCTTGTGGCGAGAATCACGAGAAATACCCATTTTGAATCTAAAAGTAAAAATTTGGTTAGTAACGAGACATCGCAGGTAAGTTTAGCCTGGAACAAGTCATTAGACGAGGGAAGCCACCCGTTGTTTGTCTATTTTCAAAGACAGAGACCTTTATTGATTCATTCACAACACAACATCTGGTATATGCCTCTTGGTACGAGGCAGTCTTGTTGAAATTCTAACGGATTATTTTCTACTCTTCACACATCCTGATGGCCTGGCCTGTGCAGCTTCCTGGTAGCCCTCAATGTACTTGTTTCACAGCTCTATTATGCCACTATTTCACATACTATTGTCCTAGTGTTCGGTAGTAACCTAATATCGAAACGTTACAGCTCTTGGATTTCTTAATCTTTTCTTCCACGAACTATGCTGCCAGGCGAGAGGATCTCGCTTGGGAGTCCGAGTCTAGCGGCCAGACAGAAGCCGCCCCACTGTCCAGGCTGGCTCCAGCCTACGCTAGGCAGGATAGGCTCATGGTGGGCAGACCTTGGGTTCAGGCTGGACAAAGGTCCTAGGCTGGGCTCCAGCCCAGACTGTTGCAGGTACGGCCTAGCGGGGGCTCCCCTCGGTGGCAGACTCGGGTTTTCTGATCGACCCACGCAAAAATAGTGTAAAGATGTTTTATTTTTCAAAACCTTTTTGCAAAAAGTCACAAAACGAATGTCTGGGTGTCTTTGTGAGTGTATGGGTGTAGCAGTCATAACAGATGGCATAATGAGAAATGGTATACAGACCAGAGACATAATTAGACTACATAGACTAAAGCCCAGAGTGATGCACAGCTTCATAGTGCTTGTGTTGTTGATGTATATATCACACAAGTTTTTTGAACGTAAATGATAAATCAACGCGACCTGGCGATGTCTGCGTCTGTGTTGTCACGGGACACATTTGCCTTCACAACAGAGCGCTAGCGACAGAAGTGTTCCCGGGCTGTCCTGGCATCAATTGTAACAATTTTGCCTTTCAATTATGTACATTTTCGGTTGTGGTGTGGTTATACTTCTCTATTTGAAATCTGGGGTATAGACAACGAAGGACGCTATGGTGATTCGTACTAACCGTATAGGTTAGCCACGTCGTTAAGTGTTCTGGTTGACGCTATAAATTAGAGGTGGTGAAAAAAAGGAAACCCAGAATAAAATAACCCACCAGAAACATGCCAACGAACGTCTTGCATGTAGTACTGGTGAGAGTAGAGGGGAGAGACTCTGGTTGAGAGTTGAGGGAGAGTTGAAGGCGACAGACTGAACCTGGGTCAAGAATTTATATGTCAAATGATGTGTCACGTGCCCAATGTTCAAAATTAGGTGTGAAATCCCACAGTGATGGGTGTGTTTGGCCTTCACAAACTCGTACAGGGAGGTTCCCCGAATTCAGTTTGCTTCCCCAAGCGTTATCGAGCAACTAAAACCTGCACCCTGCCTGCTGACTTCCCCGTAGTCTTTTCTGCTAACCAATTTAAACACATTCGAATCACGTGACCCATCAATTCGTTCAGACACTTTTTCACACGCCAAAAAGCTTCTCATCTCATCTCATCTCATCTCAGCGCATCTGCGTTTCTCTCACGTATATACACTGCGAGAACGATAATCGAGCGATACTCGAACGACCTTTGAACGGCATAGGGCCTGCAGTTTTGCTGAGTTACCAAGACTGAAACCTTTGTTGAGATGTCGACGTACGACCAAGTGGAAATCGAAGACATGACTTTTGATCCTGACACGCAAATGTTCACGTATCCGTGTCCGTGTGGTGACAAGTTCCAGATCTACATCGACGACCTATACGACGGTGAAGACATAGCTGTGTGTCCCAGCTGCTCGCTCATGATACAGGTCATCTTTGAGCAGGAGGATCTGCAAGAGTACTACGAGGAGGCTGGTTCCCAGCCTCCCGCGCCAATCTCTGTTGCTGCCTAGACAGATGGCAAAAGGAAATGAAGATTGTAGCGGAGTGGAATGAAGTGAAATAGAGTGAAATAGAGTGAAATGGGCGTCCTAATTCACATCACCTAGAAGACTTTTTATTCAACATCACTCAAAAACTGTAATTGAATAGCCGGGAAAAAGCCAGATAAAAGCCATTTCGCGCTTAAATCAAAATTCACACAGACTTGTCATATTTGACCAGCCAAGCCCGTCCAAATGTGACTAGAAGCGCTAAAATATAGCTGACAATGGATCACGGTACATCGCCGTACAAAAGCACCTCGAAATTAGAGCCAAAATTCGGATTGTCTCAAATCGTTATTCTCTCACAATGCGGAACAGAGACATACTGGCCTGATCGTCAAGATTACACAACCGTGTCCTTACCGTTCTCGTGCCAGATCTTCAAGATGGCCGACAGAATCCTAGCCAATCGAGACGAGTTTTTGAGAACGCAAACTATCGAACACGATGCGCCAGTGCCCAAGGAAATCCCTCAGGAAGAACTGATGCGCAGAATGCCAAGACCTCTAAGACACGTCAAATACATTCCGGTCAAGAATCTAGTGTATTTCTCCAAGAACAACCCTCCAGCATTCTCCTACGAGACCAAGATCAAAATCCCACTTGCAAAGGACAAATTGGTGGTCCAGGTCCGAAACGCAGGCCTCAACCCCGTGGATCTCAAGATCATGAATAGTTACACCCGTAACATGAATCGTGGTGTCGGCTTCGGCTGTGAGTTTAGTGGGGTCGTTACAGAGGTGGGCGAGAATCTTCACGGAAAATGGAAAGAGGGCGATGAGGTCTTTGGAGTTTATTATCACCCAAACCTCGGGCACGGAACAGCACAGAGTTCCATTGAAGTGACACCTTCTAAAGACGTTGTTCTCCACAAACCCTCCAACATCGGGTTCGCTGCGGCCTCGGGAACCCTGTTCTGTCTGGGTGCGGCGTATAACATCCTGGACAGCCTAGAGTCCAAGGGCCAGCTCTCAGAGAAAGCCAACGTACTCATTAATGGCGGGACAACAAGTGTAGCGATGTTTGCAATTCAATTATTGAAATATCATTATCGAATCCCCAACAAGCTGGTCCTACTGTGTTCGGAATATGGCGCGACCATTTTGAAATCTCACTTCCCCGACTTGTGCGATGAATTGATCTTTGTCAATTATGTCATGAGCGCGGGGCGCATACACAAGCCTTTGCAAGATATGATCAACAACCGGGAAACCATATCATACGATGCGGAAACAGGTCAACCTATTTCGACGCCTTATGACCAAGGTAAGTTCAGCATCATCCTCGACTTCATTGGAGGTTACCAATTGCTGGGTCACACAGATGTTCTACTGGCGAAAAATGGGGCGTATGTTACGACCGTGGGAGACTACCGTGCTGACTACACCAAAGATGTCTACAATGCTTGGGACAATCCCAGCGCCAATGCGAGGAAAGTTTTTGGCAGACTGCTATGGACTTTCGACTACACGCACTTCCATTTTGATCCCAACGCCAAGTACGTGAGCAAGAACGACTGGGCGGAGAAATGTGTGGAACTTTTGGAAAGCGAAGTGGTGAAATGCATTGTGGACAAAGTCTACGACTGGAAAAACTTTCAAGAGGCCTTAGATTACTTGAGAAAGGGTCACTCTCACGGAAAGGTGATTCTCGAAGTGGAGAGGTTCTGAACTTGCGGTGAAACCGAGTAGTTTTGTGTAATGAGTTTATGAATTTTGTACGTCAAACATTATAGTATTTTTGATTCCTCTATCTTGCCTTTAAAGCAATTTCTTTCTTAGGCCCCGAGTTCCCTTGCTTCTACTTCATGATAATACCTGCAAGTACGAGCACAATAGCGAAAAAGATGTAGAGCTTCGACCGATTTGCTTCTCCCTTGGATTTCCTGTTTTTCTGTGCTTTGAGCAGCTCTTCTTCCACTCTTATTCTGTCCTCCGGATCTGTGATGTCTGCAATATTGATGGCCTTTTCCTTCGCAGCCTCCTCTAGCACGTCCTTTTCTGGACCCCCAGTTCCTGGCTCGCCCTTCTTTCTCAGCTCTTCAAAATAGGCCAGGTTTTCCTTTACCAGGTCTGGAAACACTGCTTTGAAACGTGCATTTTCGAACGTATTGTATTCTTTGGACCGTTTGGCCATTTTCTTCTTGTGATCTGGGGTTGTCGTAATAGCGCCCGTTGTATTTTCGTTGCCGGTCATAAAACTCAAGAGACCCGTCAAGATGGTCGACACCGACCACGACGGGTTCCACGTATCAGGATGGTAGTCGCTCATCGAGAGACACAATCGAGTGTCTTCCTTAAATCGTCCGCTGGGTGTTACCATCCGTATCGCTGGAGGCTTGAAAGGGTAATCAGATGGAAACAAAAGCGTTCCGTGGTATTGTCCCCCAGCATACGGCGTATCTGGAGGTCCTGATATCACATAGTGCCATTCCAAAATGTTATCCTCGTTGGGCTGTGCTACGATGAATGGAGGTGGGTTTTCCACCATGGATTTATACTCTTTCGTTAGCCTTTTTTGAGCTTGTCTCGTAGCCATAATTGTTAGTGAAACGGTTGTGAGTTAGAACGTCAAATAAGAGTAGACTCAGTCCTGAAAGACCTGGTTCGAGAATTCGAATTAGATGAAGAGGATTTCTGTATCGTGTAGATTGCTTAACATACAACATATATATTAAAATATCAAGAACACGTGACTTATATGTTTAATATAAATATTTTGATTATTTAATCAATCAGGTTAGGTGCGTCTCGTTATTCTAAAGTGATATTACTTGAACGAATGCTAAGCAGACAGGGCATCACAGCTGTAGTTCGATCAGGAAGTTTCGCAGGGTGCGTACTTTGTGAGCTTGAGACGACAGAAACCTTGGATGTGAATGCATTCTTTCTTCAAGTTTAATTAGTTTTTTCTTTGGTTCGAAAAGGTGCTTATGTAGACAACTTTTTGGAGACCTTCGACGTGAGTTATTGATTTTGGGCATCTTACATCGATGGCAGCCGAGTATGTAGCTCTACGCCCAATGGTGCTCGTATAATTCATTGGATAAAGATTGATGGGAAAAACGCGTTTCTCAAATAGTGCATAACATAGTGTCACATTTGTGGTGTGTATATATAATCACGAGAAAATGTAAAGTCTGCGTCATGCAAAATGTATTATCATTGAAAGTTGTTACACGTCGGTGGTAACTACCTCTTTTTAGATGGCAGAATAACCGACAATTTTTTGATCTCAAAAAGCCTCGCTGAAAGATTGCTTCTTTCGCCACTGAGCCTTGTAGCAGGTGAATAATTGCTTCTTTGACTGTAGGAAATACGTGAATGCTTTATAGGCCCGCTTTCTCTGACATATTACCTTGATGTCAGCTTAAATACAGCAATTTATATAATAATATTTTCTGCTTCATTTTTGACCCGTTTTCAACCAAAGCGGCCTCATTAGAAAGCCAAAGCTCAGTTCCAGAGCCTAAATACCACACTTCCTCGTTATTACCCGTATCTCTTGTAGCTTTTGTATTGCCAAAACGCTGTCGCTGGCATCCAAGCTTGTCATGTGACACAAAATCGTTAATATAACTAAAAATTTGAGATTTGATATTTCCTACAGATAAGAAATGACTTCTTAACCACCTAGCTCAGCTCCTCACTAATCGCTCGTCGCACCCTATTCTCAACCTAACGGTGTTCTAAAAAACGCTAGAAATGGCGTCCAATAGTATCAAACTTTTGTCTGGAAATTCGCACCCAGAACTGGCCGAGACAATTGCCAAAACGCTAGGATTATCGCTATCCAAAATCGGTGTTTACCAGTACTCCAACAAAGAGACATCAGTTACCATCGGCGAGAGCATTCGCGATGAAGACGTATACATTATTCAAACGGGCAGTGGTCAGCAAGAAATTAACGATTTTCTGATGGAATTATTGATTTTGATCCATGCCTGCAAGACAGCTTCTGCCAGAAGAATTACAGCTGTCATTCCAAACTTCCCCTACGCACGTCAGGACAAGAAAGACAAAAGCCGGGCCCCAATAACTGCAAAGCTGATTGCGAATTTGCTGGAAACGGCCGGCTGTGACCACGTTATAACCATGGACCTTCACGCCTCGCAAATCCAAGGTTTTTTCCACATACCTGTCGACAATCTTTACGCCGAACCAAGCGTGCTCAACTACATTAGAACAAAAACTGACATCCAAAATGCCATTTTAGTCTCTCCCGACGCTGGTGGTGCCAAAAGAGTAGCTTCCATCGCCGACAAGTTGGATTTGAATTTCGCACTGATACACAAGGAAAGACAAAAGGCCAACGAAGTCTCTAGAATGGTTCTGGTAGGCGACGTGAGAGGCAAATCCTGCCTTTTGGTGGACGACATGGCCGACACGTGTGGTACTCTAGTGAAAGCCTGTGACACACTCTTCGAAAACGGAGCAAAAGAAGTTATTGCAGTTGTTACCCATGGCATTTTCTCGGGCTCTGCGAGGGAGAAACTACGGAACAGCAAAATTTCCAGGATGGTTTGCACCAATACACTTCCCGTGGATTTGCAATTGGACATTTTCGATCAAATCGATATTAGTCCCACCTTGGCTGAGGCCATCCGTAGGCTGCACAACGGTGAGAGTGTTTCCTATCTTTTCACGCATGCCCCCGCCTAGGCAAAAAATACTCCATTACACCATTTTAACTAAATCACAAAGATCACCATTCTATATATAATTGAAGTTCATATCTAATGCCTTTCACTAATGCCGGTCCTAAATCACTTTTATCCTCTAATCTTTCGATGATCGCCGGAAGCTGAACAGCCTGGATCGTCTTCTCGAACCCTTTGATTTGCTCGACGTGCGCTCTTCCGGAACTCCCTCTAAATCACCCACATGGTCGCATCTGTTATCCAAGTGTGATCTGGTGAATTCATCCAGTTTTATCAGTTGGTCAACACCTTCTGCGTACTCCTGCCGCTTGTCTGAACCTCTCGAATCTTTTCCGAAGTCCGAAACCTCTCTATAAAATAAAAGATACGCAGTGGTTAGGTCATCTGAATTTCCAATGAATTTCAAGACCGTTGATTCTTCGACGGTTTCAACCGTCTCGTCGTCGAACAACAACCATCCAAATTTATCAGTCCTGCACAACGACACATAGTGGCCGTGATGAGGCCCTCCACCCATGTGCACTACCAAACCTATCAGCTCGTATTGTTTGCAAACAGAAGAGTCAAAGGTGGAGCAAACTTTTAAGTTTAATGGATAGTGTATTTTGTTGAAAAGCTTGGTGTTGCAATTTTGCTTCTCTGAATACTTGAACCGCTTCATATGCAAAGCCAGATAGAACGGCAGTTGTTTGAGGCCGACAACTCTTTCAGCCTCTTGCAATCCACAGCATTCATCGCAGTAAAACTTGTTTGCACCATTTAGCATTTCTCGTTGGTGATAGTCAGACAAGGTAGTCTTAATATCTGTCTCTTCATCATCCTTCACCTCAATGGCAAAGTCCAAAAATGGTTCGTTGCGAAAAGTTTCGTTATCGCATGTAAGGCATTTCGTCCTGTTCGTCAGTGTTCCCTTGAACAGCTGATCCACGAAGTTACCAGTCTGGGGTTCGGACTCGTCTTCGTTTCCCTTTTTGTTACGAGCGTCGACGTAATCGCTAATTTCGTTGAGTAAGTAATTCAAAAATTCGTGAGCATCCTGATGCATCATGGTGCTGAACAATACATTCTCGCGTTTTAGGGTCTCGACAAATTGAATAGGTGACACAACTCCAGTAAAACAGCGATTCTCAGTTATGCTTTCGTAAACATCTTTTAATGCGGTGTATAGACCAGGCTTTTCGTTGGGTTGTAGATAGTCCTTCGAATTGTGATCTACATTCAGTACTGGCCCTCTTATGAGGGCTGCTTTCTTGCGTTCTTCGCTCGAGGTTTCAAGTGGTTTCGCAGATGAACCAGACGACGAATTAGATGACGAAGACGGTACTGACGACCCAGATTGTGGTGCTGAATTTAAGACAGAGCCGGCAACCTGTGTATGTCTCGTCTTTCCGTTTTTTCCCGCTACGCGTCCCACCACGATTCGAGTGTAGCCCTCATGCAGCTTTTCTGTGATGGCATCCGAGGCCATCACGGTACCATGAACAGTGGCGGAACTGTGAGATCTGAGACTTCTGGCACTCGTTGTAGACCTAAAGCTCTCTCTGTCCCTAGAATGGGGAGCTGAGTTTTTGCGCCCTCCAGTGTCTTTTCCTGAGCTCTGATTGCAACCACTGCCACCATTGGCTTTTTTCGAGGAATCATTACCGTTACATTGTGAAAAGAAACTCGTCTCATCAAAGATTCGAGGTTTCACGCCCGGCATCTGAAATTTTCGTCTCCTGGGAACGCCTGAATCGCGAGCTGGGAATTCCAATATGTGGTCGCGCAATTCTGGCAAATTGTAAATCACTTGTAGAACCGAATTGCAGTAGCAGGTGTTGCCGAAATTCTCGTACCCAAATACTTTGTTGGAGCCATCTCCAAAAGGCAAAAGAGACGTGATTTGAGGGCGTACCAAAGGGAAACGCTCGTATTCTGATAGCAGACTATCTGAGTCGCTCACAGCGTATTGGGAGCCCTCTGCACCTTCGAATGAGGTCCCATTGGCGCTCTTGTCGAGTTCTAAGTGCTTGTCTGCTGAAAAAAGTGCCAATTTGCCATCTGAGGAACCTGCCGTTTTCGAACCCTCGCTGTGGGCAATTGCCGGCAGGATCTTCTCCACAACTAAAATCGGTTTCTCAATTATGTTTTTATTTCCAACATCTTTGTCGGAGTCGGTTTGAGCATTGACCTGGCTCTTCTCGGCTCTCTCTGCCTTCGTTTTTCCGGACTTGTCATTCCTCGAGAGCCATTTTTTGAATGACGACATTTCTCAACGACAATTCCAGCTTTGAGGCCCGTTTTTTCGAGCCTTCGACGCTGAGACGGGTTTAAAACTCACAGCCTTAATTGACGGCGTAGTGGCTATTTGAAATGGTCAATTATAGCGCGCAATGGTCTTTACTTTCGTGTTTGAACGGTTGGTTCTGATAGATTTCACTTACTACTGGATTTCCCCGCGCCACTTTTCGACGCCATGATGTCCGTTCATACGAAATAAATAAATGAATTCCTGAGATCAAAGATCACGTTGTACGCAACTGCTTTGTCTCGAAAAAATGGTATAATGGACAAGTAAGTGTTTGAACAAAGTGTGATTGGAAGAGTTTAGTCCAAGAATTGTGATGTAATTTATGGCTGGTTTGTAGATTTTTTAGTATTTGTGAATTGATGTTTCTTAGTCTTTTTTTTTCAAGTTTTTTGGCCAATTTAAAAAAAATACTGACATTTTGGTTTAAAAAGCGAAATTCCGTGGTGTCTATGCTGAAAGCGAGGTTTAGATATTGAAATCTTGAAAGGATGAATTAGTGGCCTGGATGAATAGTTAGAGTGGTTGTTTTTTTTATCACTATTCCTTTTCAATCTGTCGGAATTCATTAGGTTTTATTTCCATTTACGACTGGTATTGTTTAGCTTGACAGTGTCAGCATGAATGCGACTTGCCGAGCACAGCGGTCACTTTTGGACAAGACCATTGCAATAAAATACATCAGATCTACCTTAGATCTCGTAATAAAAATTACAAAAATTAATGCCACTTCCTAGAATCGAACCAGGGTTTCATCGGCCACAACGATGTGTACTAACCACTATACTAAAATGGCTTTAATGAGAGAAACAAAATAGCGTTACATTAATACCCTCAGGACTAATACATACCACCTATTGCTCACTGTACCACTGCTCGTCGAAGCCATACAGACGACGCCAGGACTCAACTGCACGACAGCTAAACATTACTTCATGCTCAATGACATGTTAATAAATACTTTAATGAATATAGACAATTTTTATTTCGTGAATGGTAGCCATCTGTTCCGAGTTCCGATCTAGAATTCGGGTGCCATGTTTATGTCGAACCAACCGAGAATATCATCGTCATTGGCCGAGTTTTGCTCCATCCAGCCAGCGCTTTGCGTCTGGAAGAAGGTGTTCAGCTCCGATGAATGTTTAGGTAAAGCCTGCGCAAGAGTTCCCGCAGCATTATTGTTTTCAGCGGTCAAAAACATGTTCAAACTCGAGTAAGAGTTTGAAGTCAGTAACGGAGATGCAGGCGCAGCAAACTCGGAAGCCGCTGTCTTAGTAAGCGCCAGACTTTGTGTATTGGCACTGGGTACATTTGAATTGTTCACGGCAAAAAGCGAGTGGGTATTTTCCAAAACCATAGGCGGAGTTATATTACCAGCGCCCCGCCCACGGTTGAGAAATTCCCCTGCTACAGGAGTACTCGCAGATCGTTGCATGGACTGTGCAAAAAGTGATGGAGATTTAGGTATAATGTCCTCGGTTGTGGCACTTGCCTTGACCGTGCTGCCAGGAGTGGCAGATCTAGCAATTGTTGCCAAATCAAAACCAGCTTCGTCAGTTACCCCATTTGTGGCGTCGGGGTTCATGCTTCCTGTTTCTTCTAGAACGGAAATGGGGATTCCATTAATGTATCTTATTGGCCCCTTTTTACCGCCCTGGCTTTTCGCCAATCTCTTTGCTTCTTGTATCGCATTTTCAGTTGGGATCAAGGTGGTCACCGTGGTACCTCCTGGAGTTGTTTGCGTGATAGTCTCAAAGTCTTCTTTGGAAATCTGATTATAAAACGGCAATGGGCACAGCCTATTTTTCCGACCCTTGGCGTTTTCTTGCTTGGTAGTCTTTGAGATCTCCTTTTCCCCTTCATCTTCCTTGGCTGCTTCTTGCTTTCTCTTGAAAGTAGGATCTGTTTGACGTCGGCGGGCCTCGTGAATGCACCAAACTAAATCGTAAAACAGAGTTCCTGTTAAATGAGACCTCATGCGAGTAATTATACCCTCGCTCTCTATGAATATCTCGGGTTGTGTTATGAGCACAAAATTCAATTTCTCAAGCACACTAGCGGTTCGCGAGATGTCATTTTCCACACTAGCGGTCCACGCCGTAAGCTGGTTTCTGTACAAGCGATGCACTGTGACGACAGACTGGCGTGCCGAGTCCACGCATTTCTCTGTTAGCCATGGGCTTAATTGAAGTTTGAATAAAATAAGGGCAGAATACGTCACACTCTGTCTGGCGTATATTGGTAGTTGTATCAGTTTGGTGGTCTCTAAGAGTTTTGTAAGTAGAGTCACAATTTTCGTTGCGCACAGGTAAGCATCATCGACATACTTCTTTTGATCTTCCGTTGGCGTGCCCGGAAGAAACGCGAAGCAGCAAATCATAAGCTTGACGTATAGGTAATACATTTCAATAACCGTGTCTTGCTCAAAATTCAATTTGGCCTGTAGTGTTGCAAGCACTTTCCCCAAAGATTCGAGCGCGCTACCTCTCTGTGTTGCATCCAGTAAACCATCGGGTGTAGTTACACTTGAACCCATGGTTCCACAAAGTTTAGATTGGAAATCGGCAAGACAGATTAGTTGTCGGAATCTGCTAGGAACAACACTTTCGTCTTCTCGAAAACGGGCCAGTTCTATCAGGTAATCATTTTGAGAGGTGGGAGGTAAACCTAGAATACTTGCCCAGCATTGCTCTGCGAAGAAAATACCCAGCCATGTGCGGGTTCTCCATTTTTCTGCGTCCGGCATTGAAGTCTGAGTCCTGGTGAACTCCGACATAAATTTACCTCGATGCAAGCCCAGCTGAAATGAAAGTGATTTGGCAAGCCCGACAAATCGATAGGAACAGTCGTCTAATACCTTCTGATTTGGCAGTGGCCAAGTGCAAAGTATCAATAAGGCCTGTGATATGTGAGTTGAACGCGGGGTTCTAATCCAGCAAGTTTCGATCGCCAATTGTTTGATCAACGACGCTAGCTGGTTGTAAAGTGTAGGATCACGCTCTGACAAGCACGCAGTGAGCATCACCGTCCAAAAGAGAAGATGGGACTGTGAATACAGCTCTGTTGCCGAATTTGAGTACATGATAGGGAAGTATGGCAGAAACTCGTCAATGAACACCCGATGTAGCTCATCGGCCTTTGATATGGAGATTTTGACATCGCCAAGAATAAACTCGTCTATGCTAGCCTGAGGAGACGGTAAGAGCTGCATGGCATTCGTAGTGGCGACAACAATTTCCCTTCGGCTAAGTGCGTCCCCGTTACCAATATTATCCGGAGTCATACTAGGACTTCTATTCGCGATAGAATCACTGGGAGATGTTGCTTGTTTGGAGGCATGTCGCTTGAGAGCGATCCTCAGAACCGGTGGAAGTGTCTCGTCGTTTAGCACCGAGGGATCGACGCGAATTTTCGGGCTACGCAATCCTCCGCGTGTAGAAGACCCGCTTGAACTTGAGGCTCTTGGAGAAACAGCTTGTATGAGATTTGGTTCGCGAGCCAAGTATGTTTTGACTGTAACTTTGGGAGAACGTTTAAGTTCCTCTCCTTTGTCCACTGATGTTTTTCTGGCGAGTGATTTCTCTTTTGCGGACTGAGCTGCGCGTTTGACACTTTCTAATAAGTTTTGGCCCCACTCACTCTGGCCGAGTGCTCGCGCTATTAATCGTTCGTTGTGTGCAAGACACTCCACCTTCAGTTTCAGCTCTTCTACGTCGTTACGTAAACTCTGAAGTTGTGAGCCCTTTTTGGGTCTGAACTTGGGGTCTATTTCGCATTTAAGACCCATTCTTTCGCACCTCGAACATGGATTGGGAAATTTCTCGCTGGCGTTGCATTTGATCTTATGTTGCCGACAATGCGTGCAGGAGGTTACGGGTCGGTGGCCTGTGGGACCTGCCGCAGCCGCTTTTGTATCACCAGAATCGCTTTTCTCGGCATTACTGACGACGACTTGTGTGCCTTTCGAGTCTGGGGACACTGTAACGTCGGCAGAAGCCTTCACCGTCGCTGAAACTAGCGGCAAAATGTGTTCTTCGTCTTTAACAGCTTTGCGCTTGATTTGACGTATATTTTGCTGCTCTGGCCCGTTTCTGAGTGCGCGCTTCCGGCTCGATACTGGGTCCTGACTTTGGGTACCTACAGGTTCTGGTGAAGAGCTCATTCCATCTGAGATCGGGAGCAGATGTTCTACAGTTCAGTTCACCAAATCTAGCTCAAAAATCACCCAAATTCTTCCCAAAAAATTTTAATGCGCTGCTCAAGGCGAGCACTACCGAGTCGCCGCCTCTTATGGTACAGAGGGTGTCACAACGATTCTCCTGTCGCTGTTTATTTGATATTTTTGTCTAAGAACAAGATTGAAATTTTTCAGATATCCGCGTTCATTATTTATATGCATCGGGCATCGCTTAAACATGGGGAGCCAAGACTGACATTGGGATCTTTAAAACGCAACGCCAAGACCTTGTCTAGTCAAGAACTTAAGTATATAAAGCCAGATTTAAAGGATTGCTCCGAATTTATATGAATTTTCCCTTTAACTTTGCTGCATTCCACGCAACTTGAATCACGAAAGCGATCCCACTGATCACTTGGTCGAATGTTATTTCATCTCTACTATATAGTTCATAAATGGTGTTTTTTTATCTCTGTGATATTTTTTTCACAGACCAGAGGTGGGGGGAGCTTTAAGCCTTGGTGTAACGCAAGTATGGCTTAACAGTCTTGAACTCACCGAATTTTGACTTGGCGTCTGCGTCAGACACGGTGGGGGGAATAATGACATCTTCGCCCGGTTGCCAGTTGATGGGGGTCACGACACCTTTGGAGTCGCCCTTCTGTAGCGCGTCGATGACTCTGAGCACCTCACTCGAGTTTCTGCCCACAGAAGCTGGGTATGTGATGATCAAACGCACCTTCTTGGCAGGGTCAATCACGTACACGCTTCTGATGGTGGCTACAATGCCCTTGCTGAGGTTCTTGAAGCCCTCCTCGTCAACCATATCGTACAGAAAGGAGACCTCGCGGCTGGAGTCGCCGATGATGGGGAACGAAAACTTGTCTAGAGTGCTGATTTCTTCGATGTCTTTGATCCACGACTGGTGCTTGTCGACCTCTTCCGCAGACAGACCGATGAGCTTGACATTACGCTTGTCAAACTCGGGCTTCAACTTGGCAAAAGCTCCTAGTTCAGTGGTGCACACCGGTGTGAAATCGGCAGGGTGCGAAAACAAAACACCCCACGAGTCTCCTAAGTAATCGTACAGGTTCAATTGGCCCTGGGTCGATGCAGCAGTGAAATTGGGCGCAGCAGAGTTGATTCTCAGTCTAGGTTGTTCTTCCTGTTTGAAAGTTCTGATCATTCTGACTGCGGTTTTTAGCATAGGTTGTTGTTGGACAGGCTTTCTGACCGACAAGAAAGAGCGAAGCATCATTTTAGCGGCGATGTTGGTTGTGGGAAGTCTATACGGGGGACAGGCTTGATAAGTGCGTATGCCGAAGATCAAAGGGTATGTTTGACAACTTTTGAAGGTTTATATAGTTGAATGGGTGTGGCGAACAATATAAGGTTTAAGGTCAATGTGGCGTACGTATGTTATGACCATATCACGTGAGTGGTTGACTTTGACTTTTCCAGAGATTCATGTCACTTTGTATCATACTGTCGCGATGGGCCTGTCGTCAGTGTAGCTGGGCATCGATCAGATGGACATTGTAAGTGTCCAGAAAGAGGTAAGACGCGTCGCGTTTTGATTCGAGCATCCTTTGTTGAAGGTGTTTCAATTAATCGGCATTTGTCTGCCTTTTGTGGGCTTTCAAATGGGTTAGCTTCACATTTGATGTTTGTTCCGCAATATCACACTTTCAAGTCTGTAGTGAGCCTTTGGGCTCTCGAGTGTCAACACTTTCTCACACTACCGAACAATCTCTTGAAATCGAACTCCTCACAATACAGATGCATACAAACAGCCTCCCCAAGGATATGTCTATGGTTAGGTATTAGAACCCAGAAGGCACATACATCGTTTCTACATAATAACGCACTTCTTATCCTTTCTCTTGGAACGTGATTTTTTGTCCTTCTGAGCAGACGTGAGCTTACTGCTAGTGCCCTGAGGCTTCTTCTCGGCTTCACTGAAGCTCTGTGGGACCAAGTTATCGGTTAAGTCGAACGCAGCAGGTGTTTGGGTACCACTGGTAAACGCTTGTTTTGAAGGGCCGTTGCCACCACCAATTGCAGCTAGATCCTCACAAGCGCCGATGCTTGAGTTTCCATCACTTGGACCACTTGCAGCGCGAACCTCAGACCCGCCGACGCCCGTAATTCCTTCACTTGGGCCACTTGCATCCAAAGGCGCCAGCACCGAGGGTTGATTGAGCGTGTCAGCATGCGGAGCAATTGGCGAAGGCTCACGGCCGCCGTCCAAAAGATTGGATGAAGATATAGATGCAAATAGATTGAGGGCCGTGTTGCTCTTCTGTTTTTTGACGTGAGCAACGTTCTCTCCGCTGAGTTTATTGATGGCCCGTGGATCGTTATTCTTAGCAGCAAGCTCATACCAATGACGAGCATTGGACGCATCAATTCCACAGCCTTTACCCTTCTCATAGAAATAACCCACCGTAAACTGAGCTTTTGACAGCCCTAGTTTTGCAGCTTTCAAAGCCCATTGGAAAGCCTCGCGCTCATCTTTTTCCAGAACCGGCTCAGCCCCTATTAGATACCAAGCACACAATCCTAACATGGCATGCGGCTCACCTAAAAGCGCTGCTTGTGTATAATAATGAACGCTAAGGCTCGTGTCGGGAGGAACGACCTCGTTGCCGGATTCGTAAATTTTCCCCAACGCAGTAGATGATTGTGCGTGCTTGAGGGAAGCCGCCTGGATGTATAGCTCCATTGCGTATTTCACATCCGGTATTATAATATCCAAAAACCCATTTCTATAAATCTTGGCGAGCTCATATGGAGCAGCGTTGGTTAACTCGTTGGCACGAGCAGCAGCTCTGGATAGCCATTTGATACCGTTTTGTTTTGTGCTTATGTCATTGGATAGACCCATACGTCCGTGAAACGAGAACAGCCCGAGCTTGTACATGGCCGAAGGGTGATTTCTGCTCGCGGCAAATTTAAGAAATTCCACTGCTTTGCGAGAATCGCGGGTGGTTCCCAGTCCTTCCTCGAAACAATGCGCGGTTCTGAAAGCACTTTCGACGTGTCCATGCTTCGCTGCGGATTGGAACAGCACAAAAGCGTCCCTGTTGTTTACCTTGCCAAAAGCGCCTGACGAGTATGCGTCTCCCAAAAGGTATTGAGCGTCCGCGTATCCCTTCACACTGAGCTTTTTCAAATATGTCTGGGCCTCCTTCAAAAATTGGCGGCGCATATTTTCGTGAGCGGCGGTCCCGCCCTCTTTGTTTATTGAAATTGAAGACTCACTCATCCCAGTGGTGTCAATAGTAAGTGCCGTTTGAAGCATGTATTGAGCATATTGGAACAAAACATTGGGGTCTTTGGATTTCCGGACATTCTGCTTGTACATTTCGATTGTCTTCAAACGAGGCACGAGCGAAGAGTTGTGGGCTTCGCCCAGATACTCTGAGATCATCTGATGCGAAAGGTCAGCTACGCTTTCATTAGTGGCGGTAAATTGAGTATCTTTGTCACCTAAGAGGAACAAATGCGAAAGATCTAATGATTTTCTGTTCTTGCGATGTTGTCTGGACGTGTGGCCTTCTGAAGCAGTGCGCAAATCGAGGACACTGGTACTAGAGCCCTGAAAATTGGATTGAGAAGAGTTGGGAGTATCAGTAGTCGAAGTAACTGGCGACGACGCAGATTTCCGGTGCTGTTGAACAATTTGAGGCGGTTGCAGTGTTGCCTCTAGTTCGGAATTTCCGTAATCCTGCGCAATTTCGTGAGTTTCCAAGTCATTCTTCTCACGCTTTGCGTGCCTCAGATCATTATTTCCCACGTCATCCACGTTGTAGTTTACTAAAGTGCTAGTCGCCAAGTTTTGACGGTAGGGATGCGCTGTGGTAGCCATTTAAATTGCTGAATTGTATCAATCAAACCTCCTAGGCTTTGTTAATTCACCCAACAGCTACAACTCCCGTTTATTCCTTCAAATGGGTGAGAAGACTACCCAGTTCTGCTCAGGCTTTATGGCGCAGAAGCGAAATTTTCTCGTCGTCAGAAATGAAAATGAAACAACACCAAATTGGACGGTCGACTAAAAATATGAAATTGTCTAGTCGAAGGCTCGAAGAATGGTTGGAGGAGTGACCAGAGGTACGCCTAGAAGAACAGGGCAGGCAGCACATCGAACAATGTCTAGAGCTTCGATGGTGGAAAGTTGGTGCTTTACTCGTCCTCTTCCCTGGGGTCTCCAACACCGTCCTCGTAGATTGCAAAAACACATTCTGCCTCTGGCAAACACGGAGAGTCCACTACCTTGCATATTCTCTGACAACCACGGCCCTTTTTGAAGGCGAGCCGCGTGGTCGAGGAATGTGCCATGATGTTACCACCAATGGGTTTCTTGGGATCTGGGTTGAACGGCATGGCACCGTCAACCTGAGCAACGACCTGGTTGGTCACAACCACAGCTGCACCAAATTGGTCCGCAAGCCGCTGCAAAGCACGCATAAACTTGGCCAGATGCATCTGACGCGCACTCAGCTCGCCACGTCCAGCAAAATCCGTTCTGTAAAGTGCCATGATCGAGTCCACGATGATGAGGGAAAAACGCGACTCGCTCATCATTTGCGCTGCAGCGTCCAGCAGCCGTAGCTGGTGGTCCGCATTGTAGGCTCTGGCGTATGCCACGTTGTTTAAGGCGTCGTCGGGATCCAACCCAAACCGCTGGGCGATCGAGACGAGTCTGATCGGCCGGAACGTGCCCTCTGTGTCGATGTAAAGACATTTGCCCTCCCCACCGCCCATGTCGAGCGGGATCTGGCACGTCACCGCCAAGGTGTGACAAAGCTGCGATTTACCTGTTCTGAACTCCCCAAAAAGCTCTGTAATAGACCCCGTTTCGACTCCACCGCCCAGCAGCGTGTCCAGGTTTTTGGAACCCGTGGTCAAACAGATCATCTCTGAGCGGCGCATATGGAAGTCTGCTGCAGTCACGAAGCCCATGGGCACCAGCCGCGCGGCCTCGTTCAGCAAACGGTCCGCTTTGGCCTCGGATATGCCCTTTATTTCCAACAGCTGTTTTCGAGGCGCGTACGCCACTGCCTCTGCCGTGTGAAGGCCAAACTCCCGCAGTTTTTTCAGATCCAGAGCAGTGATACCGTTCACTTGGAGCCGGTCCAGCGGTACAAACGACACCAGCGCTGCGTCTTCATCGTCGCCCTCTTCTAATCCGTTTTCATGCTCGTGGCCGTCTGCTAGAGAATCAGAGACAAACATCCGTGCCTCACCTGTCTCAGAGCCCTGAACTCTGCCGTTTCTTTGGCTGAGCTCCGAGCCATCGGCCTGAGAGTTCTGGTACACAGTTCCTGCCTCCATAGATATCGCTTTTCTTGCCTCTGGCGGGTGTTTTAGAGTCGAGTAAATGCTTGAATCGATCTTCAGATGATGATGGACGAGGCACGGTAACACGTAAAGACTATTATTTTTTTTTGGGCGTCGGTTTTCGCGTCACACTCGTTTAGAGTGATGTATCAAAAGATAAATAAATGGAAAAGATGAGGTCAACTTTCTTCTTTGTTTGAGAGATTGGCAGGCTAGCTCTTGTGCTGATATCCTACCAAGTTTTACCATTACTGTCAGCCAGCAATGCAACATTTCGCTAGGGGAGTTCAAACATCCGTTTCTTTAGAAAATCGTTCAGATCACCATCAACGAACATATCAAGATGCCGATGCCTTGCGAGCTGTTCAAAGAAAACGTAGACCACAGGAGACCGCTCTACAGCATTGTCAAATCTGAATCAACTCTTTCTCAGTGGCGCCCGAAAAACAGCTGTGAAGACGCTTCTGTTCTTTACCAAAAAGCTATTAATCTGTCAAAAGCACGTGACCGTCGCTTTGCTCAACATGTACATAGTTAACGGTCCAAAACAATGCTATCCAAGAACCTCGTCCCGACCCACACGCCAGCAGGCCACTAGCAGCATACTGGAATGATCGACGACATTAAACTGGATTGCATTGCGGATAATTATGTGTCCACGGACCACGCCATTCTTATTGAGTCTCCTAGAATCACCAATATCCATGAAATCGTGAGCGAGTCAACATCGGACTCGCCAGGTGCCAAAGAAACAGCTCGCGAGATTCTGGACGGGCAACTCGAAAACGTCGAGTTCGAGCAATATGCTAATTATTTGGGCTCTGTGGAAAATGCGGCTGTGCTGCGAGAGTTTATTGGTCTACTACGTCCGCTGCCTTCATCTTTAACAAATACGCTCAGGAAGCTTTCAGGCAGCATTTATTTCATAGCAGAAGCGGCGAATATCGACGCGATACTCGAAGTGCTCGCAAAACAGTGGTTGGAGGAGCACAGTAGGCCACACTATCAAAATGATTATCGGTTGTGCCATATAGTGCTGTTTGCGCTTCTCATGCTGAATTCTGCCCTGCACAACCCTGTAGCCGATTGCAGATTCACGCTTCAAGACTTTAAGGACAACACCATAAACGCACTGAAAGCAGAATGCAGCGATATCGATGTCGCGTGTTTTGAAAAAGAACTCACAAAGTGCTTCGCGTCGTTGGAGAACGACGAGCTGCCGCTGTTGAGGCCGTCTACGCACTCAGGGCCCCGCATCAAAAATCACAATGTGGCGCACACTAACCGTCCCATTAACAGTAGTAATATGAAGAAGCTCTCGATGCTGTCGATACGAGCTAACTCTCTGGAGCGTACACAGTCCAACAGGTCCTCGGCCTCGAGCATACAGAGCAAGTCTACGTTTGCCTCCCGAGATACAACCGCGACCAGCAACTACCGCATGCGTAATAACCAGCCCCTACAAAAACTATATGTCGACGAGCCCTTCGACGATGATTTGCAAGATCTACCCAACACGCCTTGGTTTATGGATATCGTCGTACAATGTCAAGAAGCGACCAACTCCAATAGTGCCACACCACAGCTTCTAGCGTCCTCCCCTTTAGGTCCAAAACGAAAATTGTTTGGATGGCTCCGAAAACATTCGAAAGATACTCTTTTCCGAGAAAACGCCCATGCGGCCATGACACATACCGGCTATCGTGCACGCATCAGAGTCCACCAGGGCCGTCTGTTTGTCTACAGATTCAAACTTTCTGAGTTAGACTGGGCAAATTCCAGTCAGATAGAATCTTGGGATTTAGACACATGCAGGAGAAACTGTTCTCGCTTTCACGTTTACAATCTGTATGGCACAATGGCATCTGTAGTACAGGAAAATGTCGTGGCCAGCGAAAAATCCAACTTTAACTCCACCAGCCTCACTCTGGAGTTTCCTCACGGGATAGACTCCACAAGCGGCCTAGCATTCAGACTCCAAACCCGTAATTTGGATGAGGCCCGAAAGCTGGCTGCGTGTTTGAATTTCTGGACTGCTCGAATCACACCAATTCCCTCCGCGCAGGCAGAGATGATATCGAATGAAGAATATGGATGGAGTGCAAAGGTGTTGGATCAAAAAATTGATCTTGCACATGTAAAACTGAGGAAATGGGTACCACTTGTCAGCTTAGATGCTATTTTCCCGGACCTGGAAGACGGAATTGCCATGTGGGATTTCGGTTCCCAGTTGCGGAACTTGCAAAATTATACTGACACCTTGGGTTCGCAACTGGATATGCACAACGTCATTAAACCTCGAATGGTAAAAGTGTGGTCTGTAAGTGAAGCTTCATCACATCAGCGTTTGTTCGAGTCGGCTATGGATAACTGGAACAACAAATACCTTTATCTCAACCAGCAATACAGCAAGCATTTGATATACCTCAAAGCTCTCCAAAATGCCGTTCAGTTTCACCATGAATACGAAAAGAACAGCAAGATTGAAGACATGGCTAGCAACTCCAAGAAGTAGAAGATATAGAGTCCAATTTACATATCATACAAGAACAATACACGGCGTTCAGATCACTATAGAATGGACTACAAAATATGACAACAAGGAATGAGTCTCGACAATATTCCAGAATTGAGATTAAGGCACTCGACTCAGATGCCGTGAAATCACTGGCATCGTCAGATTACATTTGATTCTGCTGTCATGGGATGGGATGGTGCTTAACCTGTCATGTCGTACAACGGTATATTTTATATATTATTGTCGCACTAAGTAAACCACTGCTCACAGGTAAACCTTTAGACAGACTTGAGTGGCAAATCAACTTCAAGAAACTTCAACATCACCACCGTACCAAACATTCTCAATGTCTGATCCAAGCTCTATCAATGGTATGTACCAATGGATTCTTCAAACATTTTTTTAAGGTGTGAGAATGTAACTTGCGCTTCATTTCTTTGGGTCTAGTTCAATGGCTTTCGGTACCCAAAGAGCCCCCACGCTAAGTCTCTCTTTCGAACTTTTGGACGCGTTCAATATTCTAACTTCTGATTTTCTTTAACAGGTGGTATTGTCGTCGCTATGACCGGCAAAGACTGTGTGGCAATTGCATGCGATCTGCGACTAGGAAGCCAGTCGCTAGGTGTGGCCAATAACTTCGAAAAGATCTTCCATTATGGCCATGTATTTCTAGGCTTGACGGGACTCGCCACAGATGTAACAACTTTATCAGAAACGTTCCGGTACAAGACAAATCTTTACAAACTCAAGGAAGACCGTCTCATAGAGCCTGACACCTTCACACAATTGGTATCTAGCTCACTATACGAGAAAAGATTCGGACCATACTTTACTGGCCCTGTTGTGGCCGGCATCAACTCCAGAACAGGCAAACCGTACATCGCAGGGTTTGATCTAATCGGCTGCATTGACGAGGCGAAAGACTTCGTGGTTAGCGGAACTGCTTCAGATCAGCTATTTGGTATGTGCGAGTCGCTTTACGAGCCCAATCTCGAAGCTGAGGATCTTTTCGAGACTATAAGTCAAGCCTTGCTCAATGCTGCGGACCGTGACGCTCTATCTGGTTGGGGTGCTGCAGTCTACATAATAAAGAAAGACAAGGTAATCAAGCGGTATTTGAAAACCAGACAAGACTGATCCTGAGCATTCTAAGACCATAGCACACTGTAATGTTGCCGTTAATGTCCGCGTGCGGAATAAAATAAAGGACTCTCAAGCGTGTCCGTATGATTAGGCGCCCTTTTTAGTGTTCGTGTGTGCGTGTGTGTGCGCGTGATAAAACTAGATGGCGTGACAAAGCACTTGAGAAACTTGTGATTCAGGATCCCTTGGTGTTTATGTATAATTCCCTAAATATTTACAAGTCGGCGACATTCCTTTTCCCTGCCTGCTGGGACGGCTGCGATGGAAACGAAGTTTAGTTCTTCGACTTTTCAGCAGTCTCTTTCTGCTTTTTGGCCAGCTGCTCCCGAATAATGCGTTGTAGGATAGCATCTTCGCCATATTCTTCCTCTCTGATCTGCTTCCACTTGGCGTCCATTTTCTTCTGCTTCTCACGATTCTGTAAAATGGCAGCCTTACCAACCTCGTACCTGGCCTGATGTAGACATTTGGAAAGCGCCTCTTTCTCGTGGTTGCAAAGCCCCAGTGCTCTTTTGTAGTATTCTGCCTGGTGGCACTTGTCTAGGGCCTCTATAAGATCAATACAAGCTGAACAGTATTTTGATGTTAGTATTCGTGCACTTCAAGACATACTTGACCCAAATAAAATGCTAAAACGTACAATGAAACCTTTGTGCCTCTAGTTGCGGATGCATCGTCGGTTTCGGAGTTCTTGAAGCTATTAGTTGGCCTTCTTTAATCGTCGACGTTGTTATACCGAACATTCAAATGTTTCGCCAGGTCTTGTACAGAGGTCACGTGGAAGGTCAAAAAGTTCTAATTACCAGGCACATGCTGACGTCGCGTTTGGCAAACACACCCAGTTGGGCTACTTACGGATTATTAGACTGACAACTGCCTTAGAATTGTATCAGTATGTTGGGCAGCGAGAGAATTAGCGATATAAACGTTTGAGACAGTTTCCCATGCCAAATCGGTGTTCATGTAGTGATTAATTTTGGAAATTATAGGGCATTGTTGGCTGGGAAGTATGAACGCTGTCATACCTGATAAAATGTTCATATTTCTCATATCGAGGCGTGGTGATGGTGCATGTTGAGCGCCATTGCACACATCTTTCGCTGATTTATTACTGATTGATTAATTCCATAGTGTTAAATGACAATTGTGAAAATCCTATAATAAGTTTGGTTTCTCCAGATCCAAAACGTTGTCAAGCAAAGAGCGTAAAACGCAACGGAAAGCCTACCATTGTTTGCATTTTCGATCACACCATGTCTACCACGGTTCAGTTGTCTACTAGAGAAATTTCTGTGTTTTCTGAGGAGTATAAGAAGCGTCGGAAACAGCAGATGATACGATTCTTCGGCGCTACGGTCTTCACGCTGATTTCTGCTCGTTTGGCCTTCAGGGGAGTCCAGTCTCGCAAATGTATGTTATTTGCATAGTGTAAAGTGCAGTGGTTTCCGCAAAAAACGGTATTACTAACTTTTGTCTCAGATGTGCCCAATATGTTTCAACTAAACCATAAACCGCCATTGTACTCATTTCAGGGCGAAGCCATCAGCGCTCTTGCCTTTGGTACCGGCCTTGCTACCGGATCATTTGGAATGCTGGTTTTCGGGTCGTGCTGGCTGGCCGATATCTCATCGCTCGCAGAGTTCACGATCAAGGCAAGAAAACTCATTGGGGACCCTTCGGCTCAAGAAGCGGCCCAGCAACCGATGGATCAAGAAACACAGCAAGTCGCAAAAGCACTCCAGGATTTGATTGAGAGTGCGAAGCGCCAATGAACCTTCATTGTTACCTTCTGAACTCTGTATATAAGGCCAGTTCACAGTCGTGATCACGAACTACGGAAACCATCGACATGATATGATTGATCCACCCACCATCCATAATGACTGTAATCCAAAGGAACAGTAAGGAACGTTTCAACTAGTCTCCTTAGAATTAAAAGCGGGGCAATTGGGATCCGGGAAGGTCCAAATGACCAGTCAACGGTCTAGCCCACAGTTGTTGCGGTCGAACTCCAGCAACGATGATTTTCTCACGCGAAGTCGACATAACACAGTGCTTTCCACTTCTTTCGTCTCGACCCGCAAGCTCGAAGAACAGCCCTCGACCCCCATGACCCCACTGGGCACCAGAAGGACTAGAAGTGGTACGATTAAAAGCATCAGCAATCTAAAACACGACATTCATCACGTCCAACAAGATCTTATCCGTCTACGCAAGTCCAAAGAGGACGCCGAAAAACGTCGCGAATCTGCAACTGTCGACATATATCCGGGCAATTATTCCCAAGAGCACTTACAGCGGCACTCCATGGTACTTCAATCGAAAGATCAGCTGCGAAAACTCGATCAGCAGATCAAAAAGTCGGGTGACCTGCTCACTACACTTCGATACCGCTTAGACAGCACGAGCTCTGCTGCCACCGAAGATACAGCGAGATCTGCGGTGGCATCGCATCCGAGCTTCCTCAGAAAAGATCCTAAAAAATTATCCGAAAGCGCCTTGACCAACGACAGTGCAACAGAAGACGACGCAGACGAAGTGATGTCGCCACCGGTCTCGGAGAGCGAAAGTGCTTCTTTGGAGGGCTTTGGTGATATCCGAAATGTCCAAAGTGAGGCTCTAGTATCGAAACCGTCTAGTCGCGAGGCCAAAGCTAGTAAAGAACATGCGACCTGGCTGGTTGGTGACTATTTACAGAGCTTAGAAGATAGAAACTCGCCGAAAGAAGTGGTTGTCGCCAAAGCCAATGATTTGGTGTCTTTGCTGAAACAAAACCCCACAATCAAGTTTGACCTTGTCCTACCTGCCTTTTCAAATTCCATCCAGGAGCTAATGCTCAGCGAGGATGAAGTTACTGTTTCTGCAGCCTATAGGATTTGTAGGTACCTCATCACCGGGCCCGAATTTATTCAAAAGCTACGCAAATTGCATTTGGAACCGTTACTTGTCATCTCTTTGGCCAAAAGCAATGCGTCTCAGATAGAAAGGCTTCAAGCCATGAAGCTCATTCGGGCTTTCTTAGAATATGATGCTGGTCTCAGCATTGGCATTGCTCAGGCTGTCATCAGCTGTGTCGAGAAAAGTGACGACAAGCTTATGGAAGTCGCCATCCTGACGTTATTAGAGCTTTGTTACATCAAACCCGCGTTGGTGAAACGCTGTGGAGGAATGCGAGTCTTACAGTCCATCATCGCAGAAAATCCTTTGTCACCACTTTCGCCATTCATCTTAGATTCTATTCTAGACCTCATGACTTTTCAGGATACTAGACAGAATTTTATCGATTGCTTTAACGCGTCGTTCACTCTAGCGACTCTGGCGGACAGTCAGGTCAAATTAAATTTGAGCATCGATAAACTGCAAGCTAGTATAAACCTGATTTGCAAGTTCCTGAAGAACTATAACGGATTGATACTTTTTTCTCAGGATAATTTCAGGCCTTTTAAAGAGCTTTTTGCATTCTTTCAATTTCCCTCTTTGTCTGGGTACTTGGTTGATTTGTTTTTAGATGTTTTGCGAATCAAACCTCTGGCCTACCCAGAGAAAAAGAAAACCTCTCAAGTGCTCAAGATGACCCAGTCACACTTTCAATCAGAAGTTGCCCCCATTAATCAGTATATGGGTCTTTTGACTAATATTCTTTATAAACTGCACTTCATTGATAATTTGGTACCGCTCTTGAGCCGACGGCCAGCGACCAAAATGGACACAGGCCTAGCTGCGAAAACCAGGTACCTGATAACCGAATACTGCATTATATCAACAAACCTAGCTGGCCTGAGACCCAGCGCCTCGGCTGATCTGCTGTTTCCCGAGCACGGTGCTTTTCAAAATGTCTTTACGCAGGTATTCCAGTATGAAAAAGTCACGAACAAATTGAATAAAAATAGGAACACGATCGGTATGACAGAACTAGGCTCCATCAATAACATATTAGGCTTTTCAGAACGTTCGAAACGCGAGGCCTTGGTTAGTCAAGTTGATGAGGTTAGATTCAAAAAGATGGTGTTCGATACGAGAGTTTTGCAAACGAAAGATTTCTCACTTTGGAACTGGGGAATCCTTCTTGATCTAATAGAAGGACCTCTGTTAAGTCCAAAGAGGCTAGAGGATCTTGCTAAGACCACGAAATTCTTTCGTCGACTTTTGGTGTTTTACCGTCCGATGAGGTATCGCTTTTCAAAAATTAATCGAAATTCACGTTTAGCTGGAAGATGTGTTCACGTTGGATGCAATCTGATCAAAACGCTCACTTCAACAGCCGAAGGGATACGAATATTGAATGATGATACAAAACTCCTGCCACAAATAGCATCGCTGCTCTTCAAAGCAATGGAGGGTCAAACTTCAGGCAACGTCTTTTCAGAACAGCATTTGGCGAAATCTGTTTGTTCGGGCTATTTTAAAATCATTGGTGCATTTTCCGAAAACGCAAGAGGCTGCAAGACTTTGGAAAAATGGAACATATTCACTGTCATCTATAAAATGTTTCAAAATACGTCCACTCTCGCGACCTCTTATCTTCTTTGCATCTTGCCAGAACTAGACATTGTTTATTCATACCATACGAGAACTATACTGAGCAAAGCATTGGTTCATCCCTTGGAGAAAGTCCGAGTAGAATCCACCAACTTGCTTGGCGCGAGACTGCAAAAAACCGCTTTTGAAAGCAATAGCAGCCCGAGGTCGATTGAGTTAGAAAAGTTCTTGCTGGAATTAGTGATTCGACAGCTTTATGATCTTTCGCCAACAGTGGTAGCCGCAGCCGATAAGATATTGTATGGTTATTGCGCGCTTCAGGATTGGCCCCCAAACGTCGATACTCAACGCCATCATTTATTGAACCAGCTCATTTTCATCCGTTCACCAATCTTACTAGAGTTCCTAAAAACATCAGTTGGATTTAAGCAACTCAATGACATTGGCTTCGTCGCTACAGAGAGGGAAAAATGGCTAAATGGCAAAAACAGGGAATATGTAGGGAGAGTTGAGGAGTTCATTCAGAAAGAAATGCTGAATCCTCTAGGTCCAACCTCCCAGATGTCTACATCGAAAAGAAGGCTGCCAATGCATTTCTTTCACAGTTTGGCCAGCACGGAAGAGGGTGTCGCTCTTATCGCACAGAAGGGAGATTTTGTTGCCATCGTCAACACTATCAAACAATACAAGTACAACAGATGTCCAGACCTGACTGTAGAGGAACATTTAGAGTTGAAAGCTGCACTGTGGTGTTGTGGCTACATAGGTTCAACAATTGCTGGGATTCAGTTACTAGACACTTACTCGGTCAGCACCGATATTGCCCACATAAGTTTTGCGGCTTCCTCAACAACAATAAAATTCACTGCTTTTTATGCGTTAGGGCTCATCGCGAGTACCGATGAAGGGTGTGAAATTCTGGACGAGTTGGGATGGAGTTGTAGTCTTAACGTTCAAGGCGTCCCCTTGGCGTTAGCGTTTCCTAAAAACATTGGACAGTTCCTAAGTTTTCCGGAGATAAATGGAAGGCGGGTCATTTTCAAGAGCAACAGTGAGGGAGGGAGCCCAGGTGCCTCCCCGACACTCGAACCTGTGCTCATGGATCTGGATCTGCTTCTTCAAAGCAAGGCTGAGTTGGAAAACACAATGGGAGATGAGCAGGAGGAAGTTCAGGCCGAAGTCGACCGTCAGGCTCGTAATTTGGAGATGTTCAAATCGCAGCTCATACAAACGACTGGCGACGAGCTGGCAGACAAAGTCATGAGAGCTGTCAGTAAACTAAACAATCATATTTTGTCGAATGCAGCTGCCAAGGAAATTACCGAGTTGTTGTCGACATATGGGCCTGCCCGTTTCGAGTCCGGAGAGGTATTTTCGCGCGCACTGACGCTCATGGAACAGTTCCGCTTCAAGCCGCAGGCGCGAAGGTTCTTATGCGAAACTCTAGTGAGCAAGAAGACTCTGGTGGCTGTGATCAAACGGGAACGGAAGAAGGTCAGAAGAAAGGAAGCGGGCTAACTCTCCTGACCGCTGTACATAACATTACTAGCATTGAATCCAGCCAAATGAAATGATACACGAAACAGATGACGCTGTGACACATTTATACCTCAAAGAAAGAAAAAAGTGGCTCAGAGGTCTTTGTAAAGAAGTGGTGCACTTTTATAGAGCGCATATGACTCTTGGAGAAAGTCTGGGATTTCTATATCCTCAGGCGCCTTATTATCGAGTTCGTCTAGTAAACGCGAATATGGTTTCAGATCAGGCACCTTTAAAAGTGCCGCTTCAGAGATCACTCGTTCTGCGACTCGGGGATCGTCTTCCAGCTCCTGTAGAACGGCTGTGACGCTTGCGAGTTTTCGCAGCATGGTAGTGTATTCACGCTTCAGCGATGATTCCTGCTTGGTGAGCTCTTCGCCGCGCGACAAAAGTTTGGCTTGCTCCTTCGAAGAAATTTGTGGAGTCCGTGAGCTTGTCATAGTCTGAATATTGGACGACAGCGAATGAAAAGACACGACAAGACGAGAGCTAGTGCTTTGTTAAAAATTGTGTCTTGGACGTTTCGTTTCGTTTCGTTTCGTCTCTCTACAGCTAGGTATGTAATTTACATTGAAGATCTATCGTACAAAGCGATCAGAGTAAGCTGGTGAATCACAGCTCTTGAGGATAGTATGAACAGGTACCTAGCGATTTCTTCCAGTGTACGGCTCAGCCGTTTAGAGACTCTGGATACAATTTGAACGGCCTCTCAGCCTTTGGAACATGTGTCTTGGCGTTTTTTCAATAAAGTCCATTTTTATTACAAAAGGAAGCCAGTAATTGCACCAGAAAGTGCATTGCACAATGCCGGCAAACTACAAACTCCACCGTGGCTAACAATCTCTCATTCTCGATAAGAGACATTCTTTGGTGGTTTTCGGCTTCATGAGAGGGCTGTCTCATCACTATCGACGAAATAAAGCTACTATAAAAGCTGATTCGGCCTTCATTTAAGCGCCCAGCTTCTTATGTCTTACCCGTCAACAGCTCTCGCACTGAATGAGTCAGGGTGGTGACTGATGAAGCGGCTGCGGAGCCGAATTGAACAATACCAAGGTGCATTCCCAGCTGGCTGATCCACAAATAATAGAGTTCGAAACTGCTCCTTCTGGAAGGGGGGGGCACTTTCGGCGGCTCGTCAAGGGGCAAACGTAGGGTCAAGTAGTGGGTTCTGCTGTTGACAAAGAGCAAGGGGTTCCAAAGACAATGTAAGGGCTCCCTTTAAGCCATGGGAATGACGAGAAAGCAGCTCTACGAAAAGTCCCATGCTCCCCCGTTTTTTCGCCATTTTAAAATCAATTGTGCTTTCCAATTAGCCAACAGCACGGATCGCAGGACGGAATCGCATTCTGAGGATGATCACGAACCGATCACGAACAAATCACGGGGGTTTTCTCTGATCTTTAACCACCGAGGTCCACGCTCTCCAGCTTATTGCCATTTTTTCAAAGTGACCTTTCCAGTAAGTGTGTTAAAGCACTACAATGACGACAATTCACACACCAGCAGCTTCGAGGATTCGTTTAGTGCCAACCTAGAGTCGTATACCTTGTCGCTGGGGGCCCGCTGGTGCCGCTAATGCTCTGGAACCTTGGCTAACCCTCCGGTTTACCTCACGTGAATTTGTTGTGATGTGGTGGCTCTCTTCCCTCAGTCTCCAGAAAGCACGTTCATCGGCGTTTGCCTAAGAAGCCACAAATTTATCAATACCTTCCTCCAGCCTGTAGATGGAAAAATGCATGTGAATTGCTTGATCTGGGCAATTTGGGCAATCTGGGCAATCATAGGCGGGAGGGGACATCGCATACAATTATGCGTAGAGAAATTTGGGTCTGCTGGGGCTAACTGACTCGGCTTCCCGGCGCTAGAATTGGTAAACGGTCAAAATTTCTCCAAAATCCACACTTTCCATAATGGCGGACTCACAGTGAGAGAACTGACACCGATGGCAGTGCTGAACACACGAAAGAAGCGAGTTCGTCGGAGCCTCCAAAGGGTAATCATCAATTAGAAGTTGGGCGCATCTACCACACATAAAAATTTTTTTAACGAGCTCATCATCTGGGAAGGTAGCCAGAATGCGTTGGAAGAAGTATATAAGGGCCTGCAATTGGAGCATTGAAGGATAGTTGCTAAGATTTGAAAATACTAAACACTTGTTGTTAACTAAGAGTACACACCAAGTACTTCACACAAGATACACAATGGTTCAATCGTCCGTTTTAGGGTTCCCAAGAATTGGTGGCAACAGAGAGCTAAAGAAAACCACCGAGGCCTACTGGCAAGGTAAGGTCAGCGTCGAGGAGCTATTCAAGGTTGGTAAGGAGATCAGAGCCACCAACTGGAAGCTTCAAAAGGACGCTGGTGTCGACGTGATCGCCTCCAATGACTTTTCTTTCTACGACCAAGTCCTAGACTTGTCGTTGCTATTCAACGTCATCCCAGCGCGTTACGCAAAACACAACCTTGCCCCAATTGACACTTTCTTCGCCATGGGTAGAGGTTTGCAAAAGAAGGCCACCGAAACCGAGGCTGCTGTCGATGTGACCGCCTTGGAGATGGTGAAGTGGTTCGACTCCAACTACCACTACGTCAGACCAACCTTCTCCCACTCCACTCAATTCAAATTGAACGGCCAGAAGCCTGTTGACGAATACTTGGAAGCCAAGGCCTTGGGCGTCGAAACCAGACCTGTTCTTTTGGGTCCAGTCTCCTTCCTTGCTCTAGGTAAGTCTGACAAGGACTCTTTGGACTTGGAGCCATTGACTTTGCTAGAAAAGTTGCTACCTGTCTACGCCGAAATCTTGAAGAAGTTGACCGAAGCCGGTGCCACCAGCGTCCAATTGGACGAACCAGTCTTGGTTTTGGACTTGGACGAACAGACTAAGGCTGCTTTCAAGACTGCCTACGACTTCCTAGGTGCCCAATCCGGTCTCCCAGCCATCACCTTGGCCACTTACTTCGGTACTGTCGTTCCTAACTTGGCTGCCATCAAGGATTTGCCAGTTGCCGGTTTCCACTTCGACTTTGTCAGAAACCCTGAACAATTGGACGATGTTGTCTCCATCCTAAACGACAAGCAGACCTTGTCTGCCGGTGTTGTTGACGGTAGAAACATCTGGAAGAACGACTTCGCCAAGTCTTCCGAGATTGTCCAAAAGGCTATCGAGAAGCTTGGTGCTGACAGAGTCACTGTTGCCACTTCTTCTTCTTTGCTACACACTCCAGTTGACTTGGAACGTGAAAAGAAGCTAGACCCTGTCATCAAGGACTGGTTCGCATTCGCTGCCCAAAAGATCAAGGAAGTTGTCGTCATTGCCAAGAACGTTTCTGGTGAAGACGTTTCTGCTGAACTAAAGGCCAACGCTAAGTCCATTGCCGAAAGAGCCGCTTCCAGCATCACCAACAACAAGGCTGTCCAAGAGAGAGTCAGCAAAATCGACGACAAATTGTCTCAGCGTGCTGCTCCTTTCCCAGAAAGATTGGAAGCTCAAAAGGCTTTCAACTTGCCGTTGTTTCCAACCACCACCATTGGTTCTTTCCCTCAAACCAAAGAAATCAGAATCAACAGAAATAAGTTCGTCAAGGGTACTATCACCCCTGAAGAATACGAAGAGTTCATCAAGAAGGAAATCGAACTTGTTATCAGATTCCAAGAAGAAATTGGCCTAGACGTCTTGGTCCACGGTGAACCTGAAAGAAACGATATGGTTCAATACTTTGGTGAACAAATCGACGGTTACACCTTTACCGTCTACGGTTGGGTGCAATCTTACGGTTCCAGATACGTCAGACCACCTATCATTGTCGGTGACTTGTCTAGACCTAAGCCAATGTCCGTCAAGGAGTCTGTCTACGCTCAGTCCATCACCACTAAGCCATGCAAGGGTATGTTGACTGGTCCAGTCACCTGTTTGAGATGGTCTTTCCCAAGAAACGACGTTGACCAAAAGACCCAAGCTATGCAATTGGCTTTGGCCTTGAGAGACGAAGTCAACGACCTAGAGGCCGCTGGCGTCAAGATCATCCAGGTCGACGAGCCTGCTTTGAGAGAAGGTTTGCCATTGAGAGCCGGCGAGGAGCGTACTGACTACTTGAAGTGGGCTGCCGAATCTTTCAAGATCTCCACCTGCGGTGTTGCTAACGGTACCCAGATCCACTCGCACTTCTGCTACTCCGACTTGGACCCTAACCACATCAAGGCTCTAGACGCCGATGTCGTTTCCATCGAATACTCCAAGAAGGACGACCCTAACTACATTGCTGAGTTCCAGAACTACCCTAACCACGTTGGTCTAGGTCTCTTCGACATTCACTCCCCAAGAATCCCATCTTACGAGGAGTTCAACACCAAGATCGGCAAGATCGTCGCCTCTTACCCAGCTGAGAAGCTATGGGTCAACCCTGACTGTGGTCTAAAGACCAGAGGCTGGGACGAGACTAGACAGTCTTTGACCCACATGGTGGAATCTGCCAAGCATTTCCGTGAGCTTTACACGAAAAAATAAGTACTGCGTGCCGCCGGAACTCGCCACTAGTTGGCTCACCGTAAGCCTGCAAGTATTGACAGATTACTTTTTTATTCCATCCACTATGACAAAAAATTATATTGGGCTTATACCAGCAATCAACACTACTCATTGACTGAGATCACTGACAAACCAAAGGGGTTTGTCGAGTTGGCTGTTTGGGATTCAACATCGGTGCTTTAATGTTAATAGTTTTTTCATTTCTCTTGTATAATAACGTGTTCAACATCCGTTTCTTAAAATGTCGAAGAAGTTTTAAAAACGTTCGAAAGTGAAATCAATAAGAAGACACAGCAACACATAGCAAGCACACAAGTGGTTGACTCGTTGGTTTGTTCACTTTGCCTTGTAGTTTAGATCACTGTCGTTCTCTCTCGATCACAGCACGTGATTACGTGGACGTCGGTTTTATATCGTCGTCCAGAGTGATACAACCTTAACTACAATTCACGAATCTTGAACATCAAGGTGTTGAACCGGACAGTGTCAACTACACACAATTTCGTCTCTAGTAGAACCAGTTTTCGACGTTAGATCTCTACCAATAAGAAACTAACAACTCGAAAATGTCTGACGAGAAAATTCAGCAATTTCTGGCTCTGTCCAATGCGTCTTTAGACGTAGCTCAGACCTATTTAGCACAACATCCAGATTTGGGAGTATGTTTTCAATTCTAAGCCGTTTACCAACGTTCTGAGCCTTAAAGATCAAACCTTTTATACTGACCTTTTTCTGCATTCAAGGATGCTTTGGACGCTTTTTACGCAGCTCAAAACGGTGATTCAAGCGTTTCTGAAGAGCAAGGGTTCACTCAGGGCTCAAGGGAGACTGAACCACCGAGATATAAATCTCCGGGCCCCAGAGAATCTTCCTCTGCGATCAGAAAAGCTCCTTCTTCGGGTCCCAGAAGAAGTGGAGGCTCCACTTCCAAGTTCAAGAGCTTTTCTGACATTTTGAAGGAAAACAGCCAGGACGAAGAAGACGAACAAAGAAACACGTTTGCTGGTGGTGAGACTTCAGGTTTGGAGGTAGCTGATCCAAACGACTCTGACTCGTTGATCAGAGATCTGCTGGAAAAGGCCAGAAGAGGTGGTCAAAGGCCAGCAAGCCCAGACGGAGAAGACTCCTCAGCAGCATCACAAAAACAAGCCTCATTCGTGGGCAAAGGATTCAGACTTGGTTCGTCCCTCGACGTACCTACAGAGGTGGTCAATGATATTGCTGAAGAGCGTTTGCCCGCCAGACCATCAAAAGTTACTCGTGAGATTACATTCTGGAAAGAGGGATTTCAAATCAACGAGGGAGAGCTCTACCGGTATGACGATCCTGCCAACAGTTACTTTTTGAACGAATTGAACCAGGGAAGAGCTCCTTTGAAACTACTCAATGTGGAATTTGGACAAGAGGTTGAAGTAAACGTCAAGAAGAGGCTAGATGAAAGCTTTAAGCCGCCAAAACGCAAAATCGGCGGCTTCCACGGGAAAGGCCACAGACTGGGGTCTCCAATTTTGGGAGAATCGCTCTCTCCCGAGCCCGTTGAAGAGCAAACCACAGCAGAAGACGATGAGGGCAAAGAAGAAAGCGAGAAACCTGAGGGTGACACCAGCGTTCAGATCCGGTACGCCACTGGTAAGAGGGAGGTTTTACGCTGTAACTCAACAGACACTGTAAGATTCTTGTACGATCACGTAAAAAGTGAATCTGGCGCTAACAGGACTTTTACTTTGAATCATGCCTTCCCTGTGAAAGTCATCGATAGTTATGACTGTAGTCTAAAGGATGAGGGACTATGCAACGCTGTTGTAGTACAGAGATGGGTCTAACGAGCTATGCTGACCCCTTCAATGTCGAGTCAGAGTGTCTCCAAATGAGACCTTTCGACTCACAAAAGTTTTGGTAACGACAAGGTTTCTGGCAGTGATGATAACGCTTGGAAGCGAAATTATGAACCTATTTAACTATACAACTATAGCACGCAAAGAGATGCGGCTATTCAATACAACTTTAAGTCGCCCGTGATTTGGTCCAAAACCGCTTTAGGCGCTGGTCCTAGTCCCAACACTGTCGCGCTACCAGCTGCGATTTGAGTTCTCCCAGCATCATGCACAACATAAGAGTTCACACCAAGAGAAAGCGCCATGGCAAACAGTTCGTCTAAGTTCTCTTTATCGGGACACTTGAGCGTGATTTTGGCCTGTCCACCATAGAGCCATCTCTGGGTCATATCCATATTGTAAGACTCGCGACTTGGATCAGTACCAATTAATCTGTAACAAGCTAATGCTGCATGACAACATTGTGCAGCGATTTTACCCTTTTTCATGCCCAAATCTTGACGGATCACTAGTGCCATTCTCACTTCACCTGGAATGTCGTTCAGCGACAGAGAGTTTATTTCCATTTCGTCCTCCTCATCATCGTCTTCCTCCCCACAACTCTCTAGTCCGTCCTCGTAATCCTCGTCCTTGACGCCGCATTCCTCTTCGGCCTGAAGTTTGCACTTACGCAGAGTCTCTAGAGCCTGCTTCTTTTTACTAGTAGACTTGACCGTTGAAGCGTTGATCTGACCCAAGTAGTACCCAGTGGCTAGTGATACACCTGCCAAACTGAACAGAGCAGCCCAATTCGTAACGGAAGGCGCCATGAATACTAGTCTTCCGGTTTTGACGTCTCGATTTCGATAAAGTACGATCTTTTTCGACTACTTTTCTAAATGCGTTGTAATTCACTTTCTACAGCTGTAAAGAGACCATTTGTTAGCTTATATGTGCTCTTTCGCTAGCATTGATATCTATGTAATTCCTACGATGCTTGCTATTCAATGGTACCTACTCTTGATGCCCAAAATTCTTCTGCTTGCACAATGGTTCTGTTATTGGCCAGCATTTTATTCATTGTTTCTTCGTATTCGTCCTGCTCGTCAGAGTCGAAAACAATGCCTCCACCGGCTTGCAAGTACGCTACACCATCCTTGAACACCATGGTTCTCAATGCTATGCACGTATCCATTGATTTTCCATCGTAGGACCAATGTCCTACGGCACCAGCGTACACACCTCTCTTTTCACCTTCGAGCTCACCGATGAGCTCCATGGCTTTTACCTTTGGCGCACCACTCACAGTGCCTGCTGGGAAAATGGATCTCAAAGCGTCGAATCTGGTTTTGTCCTTACGCAACGTACCCGAGACTTGCGAGACCAAATGCTGGACGTGAGAGAACTTCTGCACAGTGAGCAACTTGTCAACGCTGGTGGTTAGCGGGTCACACACACGATTGGCGTCATTTCTCGCAAGGTCAACCAGCATGACGTGTTCTGCGCGATCTTTCATCGAGTTTCTCAACATGTCGGCCAAATTGTCATCTTCGGCAGGTGTGGAACCACGCTTGACCGTGCCCGCAATAGGGTGAGTAATGACTTTGTTCTGGGCATCGGTTTGACATAGTAGCTCAGGTGAAGCTCCAATCACTTGAAAGTCCAAAAGGTCGATGTAAAACAGATATGGCGAGGGGTTGATTGTTCTAAGTTGCTTGTAGATATTGAACGGGTGCAAAGAGGTAGGTCTGGCAACCCGCTGAGAAGGAACAGCCTGGATGATGTTACCAAGCTTAATGTTACGCTTCAGTTCCGTCACGTGAGCTTTGTAACCGTCTTCTCCGATGTTGGAAGTGAATGTTTGGTTCAACTTGATTTTTGGCTGAACGATGTTGTCAGAAGTGTTTGGATCTTCCAAGATAGCCACCAGTTCGTGAATGACTCTCTTGGCTTCTTCGTATCCTTTTTCAAGTGATTCCACGGAATGCAAGTTGATGTTGTGAATGATTTGAAACCTTTGGTATACGTGGTCAAACGCAATGATAGTGTCGTAGAGCATCAAACAGGACTCAGGCAGTTGTAGCACATCTTTTAGAGGACGCTTGGTCTTGGGTTCGAAGTATTTGACACAGTCGTAGGAAACATAACCAATGGCACCACCGCTGAGACTGGGGACACCTGGAACGTTTTCAGCGAGCTTGCAGCCACTTAGCTCTTTTTCCAGTATCGTAAGTGGGTCTACCTCTGAGTGTTCCGTTGGTCCTGTTTTGATAGTTTTGCGTGGGCCAGTTCCCAGAAACGAAAATCTTCCCAATGTGTTGTCAGAGGTGGCACTTTCCAGAAGAAAAGACTGTTTTCTGTCAGAGTTGTTGATCTGTGCCAGCTTTAGGTATGCCATGTGTGGTGTCAAATCCATGGCCGGCAGGTAGCAGAAAACTGGGTACATATTGACGGATTCATCGTTTTCTTGGACGTAAGTCTTTAGACTCTCCAGATCAGGCTGGATAACTCTCTGCACCATGGCTGCTTGAGGTTTTGGAAACTGGTGACCGGGTTCTATCACGGGCAACTATGTCTGGTTTTTGAGCTTGGATGTAGTGCTCATCGTTGACATTTTTTTTAACTAATATATAGCGTGGTGACTCATTATGGCAAGTTGACAAGAATCCGTAATATACAAATCTTTATAGGATAACGCCAATGAGAGTGTTTAGTGCGAGCAGTGGAGTACTTCTAGTAATTAAAGCGTGTTTAAGGGTTCTGCAGTTAAATTTTGGGCCCGTCAAATTGAGGTTAGGGTATAGATGTCAGGTTTCTGAATAAGCGAATGCTATCTGGACAAAGAATTGTTGGGCGGGAATGATGAGCTGGAAATACTTAGCGATGGTATGGTATACCACGAGAGATGACGCCTTTTTTTTACATATTAAAGGGCTCGTACTATTCGTTCAAAATAATTGATTTCGTGCTGTAACGGCTGTCTTGGATTTGAGTCATGGTAATTTAGCGGTTTTGATCAGGATGTTTTTGTGCGAAGGGTGATATCTGACACTTTGATTCAGAATATTACACCAGTTTCAAAGCTTCAACGGGCTCTCAATATCACAATATGACACATTTAAGCGAGGTTGTTTCTTGTTTTATTCTTCGACATAATGCTGCAACGCAGGTTGCTGCTGAGAAGCTCATGCTGGCTTTTAGTGACACGGAGAAACCACATGAAAAACACGCCACATGTTTTATGAGAACACACAATCAACAGGCCTGCTGATGAGATTGCAATTACTCAGTGCTATTTTCGAATATACGCTCAAGTGCCATATTCAATTTAGATGGCAAGTTAATTCACAGTCGTCCAGAGCAAAACACACCTGACTTTAAAATCAAAAACTCCTACATTAAAACTCACTGCTCATCTTAAGCTAGTGATTTTTCGTAAACTTGCAAGTCTCTTACTTCAGATTATTATCGTGACGTTGACGCTAGCCAGTCGTAATTTAAAAACTAGGTTTTGCCCAAACAAAAACCATAGAATCACCATTTAAACCAGCTTTTCAAATCAAACTAACTCAACCACGGTAATGCAGTATCCGTCGAACCCCTCAGGATTTCAGTACCATGTTCACATCCTCCATTGTCGATAGACATTGGAAAAAGCCAATCAAAGACTGTAGTATGTATCATTTACAACGACTGGGAAATTTTTCAAAATTAGCATCAATCAAGTTGTTAAGGAACGGGCTCGGACACGATCCAAGCTTGTGTTGATAAACAACTCGACGAGACCAGCCAGACAGGAGTTATAATGTTTGCCAAACGTTCTCTTTCTACTTTGATCCCCCCCAAGATTGTTTCTGCTAAGGTATGTGGGTTTTTGATCCTGTTTTAGGGCGAATACCGAATGGTAGCTGGCTGGCGAGAGGCAGACGTGCTCGAAGGTCAAGACGGGGAAAAGCCGGTGAAATGGTGAATTCCGCAGTGTTGAGCTTGATTCTTCTACATTGAGCTGTTTGTTGCGCTCGCAAGGCCCAAGGGGCCGAAATTATTGGTTTTTTTACTAACGTTGTTGTGTACAGAACTTGGGCTCTGCTCCTAATGCGCAGCGTATCTCACAGGTCGTGCAGTTCTACAGATCGCTACCTCAAGGTGCTGCTCCTGCCTACAAGCCTTCGGGACCTATTGGCAAATACAAGGCCAAGTACTTCGATGGCGACAACGCCAGTGGTAAGCCTTTGTTGCATCTAGCACTTGCCATTTTGGGTATGGGCTACTCCATGGAATACTACTTCCACTTGAGACACCACAAGGGCGGTGCTGAGCACTGAGCACTGAGAATCCAACTCTCGCTCTCTCTATGAAAAACATCACCTATATAAACCTGGACTCCATAGACTCGAGCCACATGAATATTCTATAGTTAAATGAAGAAAAGCAATATTGCCAACGACACAAGCGCTGCTCGTGCTGCTCGCTGTTTCCACCAAATGCTCGATTATATTTCATTATTATTACATACCAGTACTATACTTCTCATGCCTCGCTGATATACAGGACTTGAGTGCCTCTGACGAAAACATCCCCGTCGTATCTGTGTAGCAGCCCATTAGCGTCAGTTTCGTAGTGCTCTGTGGCTTGGTTAAGTGCAATGTTCATGAATCCGTCTATGGATTCCAGCACGCCCTGGTAAAGCATGCCGTTGTGCAATTTGACAACGACCGACTGGCCAATGATGTTCGACAAAAATTGCGCGGACGCAGTGGTCTTGGACTCGCTTGTCGACATTTATAATAAGATACAAACTGTTCGGAGTGCTTAATACCTGACTATCCGGATTCTACGCTGCGATTTCGACAAGTGTCTTAATGAGATGGTTTTTCAGAGACGAACTCAGTGCAATACGAATTTACGCTGTGCTATCCACGTGAGGGTCCATGAGCGAGTAAAGGAAGACAAAGATCCAGCACAGCTCGGGAAGAGCGGCAGGATCCCAAGACCATGATGATAATGTGGTGGTGGTGTCAAAGTTGCCACAAAACTAGTGTTTTATGTAAAGAGCGTGGACTGGGATCTCTGAAAATTTTGGAAATATATGATATCTTCATCGAGGCAAAGAATAAAGATTGTGGCAGTGTTTGGCATAGCGAATAATCAGTTCATCCGTGTTTAAAAACTACCTAAAATTTACTTGAACGTTTTGGAGCTTTCAGTGACCGTGTGGCACGTCTTCAAGACCTGTAATAAATATTCAAAGGCATATTAATTAACTTTTCGAGTACTTTGAACCAGACTTGAGTTTCAGCCCAAAATAATGCATTTTAAGAGCATGTACAAAGTTTTATGCTCTGAGTTCTATCCCGCACGGTATCACTCCTTTCTAGCACCACCCATTTCTCTCAAATAAAATCAACAAACATCTTGAATGAAAGGGCAGTAGTTAAGCGTAAAACTTGACAAAAGACGCGTTTTTTTGCCAAAATCAGAAATGAATCGACAAAATTAAGCATGCGAGTTTAATTTCTATCCTAAGCTCTCAATTTGTCTCGCGACCCAGCCTTTTATACCCAGTGTCAGCGTTTGTCTCTCGAGACCTCGTAGATCGAGATGTATATTGATAATTCTTGTATGTAAAACTTGAATCGCTGCAAACTGATAAAAGAGCATTTCAAGAAAAGTATCAGAATTAAGCCATCTTGAGCACCCAAAACACGTCTTTAAGCTTGAAAATCTTGGACTTTGACCCGCTGTTTTGATACCAACTCGAGACCTGTCACTTTTGCTCAAAAAATCGGTACACAGCTGCTTAATTTGGAGGTCTTGATCCAACCAAATGGGGAATTCAGTCGCGGAGCCCCTCAGCTGCGTGCGATGCAAGGAGCCCCTGGTGATGGGCCACGCCTACGAGCTTGGGGGAGACAGGTGGCACACACACTGTTTTTCCTGCTATAAGTGCGACAAACCACTGAGTTGTGACTCGAACTTTCTCGTTTTGGGCACAGGCGCGTTGATCTGTTACGCGTGCTCAGACTCTTGTAAGAGTTGTGGTAAAAAAATTGACGATTTAGCCATCATCCTGGCATCTTCAAACGAGGCGTATTGCTCGGACTGCTTCAAATGTTGCAAGTGCGACGCCAAAATCGAGGACCTCCGCTACGCGAAGACAAAGCGCGGGCTGTTTTGCATAGCATGCCACGAGCGTCTGCTCGAAAAAAGGAAAAACTATGAGGAGCGCAAGCGACGGCACAAGAAACAGCTTCCCTTGATACCACCTGGCGGCAGCATGCTGGATCTGAACGCAGAGGATGTGCCTCAGACGGAACCTCAGACAGAACCCGACATTGTTATACCTGCGAGGTCAAATCAGAGACCCATGTCCCCTATCAAAGACTTGGGACTGCGAACCCCCGCATTTTTGAAAGAAGATACGTCCGTCAATTCTTCGCCTAATGATCATCGCCATCTCATATCCAGTGTTTCGTCACTAGCCGTTCCTTTAGATTTCTCAGCTGCGACATCGCCTGCGGGGGAGGTACCCATAATCGGCGAAAAACACAATGCAAGTGACTTTGCTCTCAACAAGAGCATAATTCGTAGCAATTCTGAGAGTGTCATGGCTCAATTCTTAATCGATGGCGACTATGTGAGCACTGCAGAGGAAGAATCCGTGAAGCGAGAGCAGGGTGAGATGCTAGACGCCAGTAAGAGCAGTGAAGAGGGCACCGTGATGGTTAACACGCCGAAGAAGACTCACAGAAGTCAACTATCAATTGACGACATGCTGCAACATACCCTGGAGAGCGATGGATACACAGAGAATAAAAATGAAAACGAGGAACAGCACTTGCTGGGCCTGCCTAAAGAACAGAAAAAGATTCTTCTAAACCGGACGCCCTTGCGCAATTCAAAGGAAGAGAACGTTAATAAATCTCCTACCGCGTACCGGCAGGGTCTAATTTTGGATGACGAAGATGTTATGAATGCACTGAACTCGCCGGCTCGGGTTAAAGCTCAGGAAATGTCTCCAAGATCAGGTCTGGGAATCGTGAATAGTCTAGATTTTGCTGCGGGAAGTGCCGAAGACGAGGTAATTGGTCTTTCCTACGAAAAAATGGTGCCTAAGGAGAGAAGTTCAGAGTCAGCAACCTCGCAAGGATCGCGGTCACCTTCAATGCACAGTCACCAACGGAGGACTTCGGGCGGTAATGCCAAGAAGCTGGGCAGATCCCTCTCTTTGAGGTCAAAAAGCATAATGATGAATTTGAGACCAAAATCGAAAGATTCAGACTCGAATGGAACCGCACAAAAAGGTGGAGATCAAGATACACATTCTGGGTGGGGCGTCACAACTCAAACTTTCCCAGAAGCTCCTTCTCCAAAAGGGCGGATTGTGTCGAAACATCCAAGCGATAGCACAGTCTATCCGTCTGCTGGCCGTAGTAGTTTGGATTCCGGGCTGCACAAAAGGTCCACAAGTGGTGCTAACGGCGCAGTATCTGTCTTTCGTACTCCTCCGTTAGATACACAGGCATCGTTTTCTAAAAGTGTGTCGTCGCACAACAAAAACCCATCCATGGGTACTGTACAGATAGAAGAAGCCGATGAAGAGAGCGAAAGTACACCAACTAACGATCAGTTTTTAAAAAAGGACTTGTGGCACATGGAACTTGCTCTTCGCCGGTTGAAGCTTGAAATCAATCAACTTGAATCTACAAGAAATCAATTAATGCATGATGTCGATTCTCTCAAATCGACCAAATCAGCCTTGCAAGACGAAATGCATAGTTTGAGAGTTGAAAAGGACATGAACAGCAGCGCTCTCGAACCTGTCGACTCTTACGAGCGCGAAAACTTCGAAGAATCGTCAGATAGACAGGATGCAACAGCCAGTGTAGCTACGACAGCAAAGCCCAAGTTTTGGAAGCTGTTTTCTGGAAATAGGCCCAACGCTAGCTACTCTAACGGGTCTAATAAATTGGACATATCACCACCAGTCCTTCAAAACCCGAACGAGTTCAATGACGTCAAGTTTTTGCCGGTGCAAAATAAGTCTCGGACTTCATCATCATCGCCTCCAGCAGCTAAAGACGGAAGAACGTTATATGGATCAACACTGGTTGCACGCTGCACTTACGAAAAAAATGAGATGCCAATGATTGTCACCACATGTATTAAGCATATTGAATCTAGCGAAGATTACCTCAAGAGCGATGGGCTGTACCGGAAATCAGGTAGCCAGGTTCTGATTGAACAGATTGAAACGGATTTTGCGCAAAGCAATCCTAATGAGCTGATATCTGAAACTTTGAGAGCTGAGCTACGCCAGGATATCCACGCCGTGAGTGGTGTTCTGAAAAGGTACCTGAGGAAACTTCCAAACCCGATTTTTACTTTTCAAGTGTATGAGCCGCTGATGGCTCTTGTCCGAGATAGCAATTTGGTCAATGAACTGCCTCTAAAAGCCGCGAACAATGATGAATACCAGGGTGTGTTCCAGGCTACAATCAAGCAGTTAACAAAGATTCTATGCCAAATGCCACCGCAGCATTATACCCTATTGAAAGTCTTGGTTGAACACTTAGAGAAAGTTGCTCGCCATAGCGATGACAACCTCATGAATCTGCATAACCTTTCTCTGGTATTTACACCTGGCCTTATTCGCGACTTCAGCGGCGAAAAGGACATATCTGATATGAGGGAGCGCAATTACCTGGTGGCATTTGTACTGGCAAACCACCGGTCCCTTTTCGAATGACATTGAACATAGAGCCATATGAATGTATGCTTTGTTACTATATACAGAACTTGTGAATGTGTAAAGCGGTTTTTCGCCCTTTCGATGGTAGAGGTTTTTTTGTTAGTGAATGTCCTTAACCTCTGCAGCCGAAAAATTCTCCAGTCGACGATGTCCAACCCTCAGTAAGTGTTCTATCGTGCTAAAGTCCTTTCGCGGCAGGTTGCGATGCTTGCCAAACTCTGTTCTGATGTACCCTATGAAGTTTGGCCTATTGGCCTCGGGTTTCTTATGTGCTTGTCTAATGCACTGTCTGTACATCTGGAGAACGTCTCGCTGCAGACCACTGAGTCTCTTAACCATGTTGTCGTCTCGAATAATTTCGTCTTCAATGTATGCTTCTACAACTATGACAGTTCAGCTCGTTTTGTTAATTTAAGATGTCTTACTCAACCGTTTTAGATGCTAGAAAACCGATATTTACAAAGAAACATGAGCCCAAAAACGCTGATTATGAGGGCTGGGAGGCTCGCCACATGAATGTTTAATACGTTTACGGGATGTTGAGGATAGTTCAGTCTAACATGTACTTCAGCTTTGCAGATCAACTCAAGTTCTGAAGTAACGACAGGTCACGTGATTGTAGGACTGTTACGTTTGAATTTACTCTATGGTGAGAGATTGACTGGAAGCTGTCATGGTGTTTGATGACTGGATTTATACCAGTTGTTTTCATGTGGTTTCATGTTCAAGCTGTGACAACGTCCGCTCTCACGCAGTTGTCAATTTAATTCTGATTGCATTACATATGTTCTCGTAAGAGAATGTGCGTATTGCGGGAAGCAGAAAATCAATGCGAAGATACTTGCGACAGGTTAGACTAAGGTGAAAATTTAAGCTATCAAAATGTATCGGTAATGTTTACATTTGCAGTCTTTTAGGTTTCGAACGATTATTATGGTAGTCAGTTTATCGACTAGATTATCGACTAGAAGAATGACTAGAAGACGCTTTTTGGTTAGGATTTTGATTTCACTTTATATCTTGATAAACATAAATCGACAATGAGTAAGCTTGAATCAGTGTGTGAATCGCGATCTCTGCGGAACACCACTGATCATGAATTTGTAGCTTGATATTTATGATCAATTAGCAAAGTATTTTAATCAATCAGTCTCGAGTTCTAAGCTCCGTAGCACACACCCAATCGTTTCAGTTATTAACATGAATATTTGAATTCTAAGCGTAACGTAGACAAACAACAAAACATCCATTCGAATAAATCTAAATACGCTTCTTTTCGTCAAAACTGAGTTCCTATTACTTAGAGAAGTCCATCGCTGGATTCCGAGGTGTTTCTAGTCGTATGGAAGGGATTTCGCGCACATAAAAAGTCCTGAAAAAATTCATAAGCAACAAAGATCCATATCTTGTCTCATAACCGCCCAAAACAGCACTGAACCCATGATAAAACTTTATAGATGGCTTTTCTAGGGACTTTACAAAAACTTACAAGTGTTAATACTACCTACAAAATCATGTTGGGTTTCCGAAGTGTTGCAGCCAAAAATATCACAGCGAAAGAAGCGGTGCAGATCTCAGATGGCCATTCATCGATTTGTGCTCTGAGCGCTGTAGTGTGTCTTATATGGTACTTTACAGTGCTAGCACTAGCGTATTCCGGATGGATCGAGATTATGAGCAAGTTTCGAGGCAAAAAGCGTCTAGCACGTCCACAAGAAGCGCACGAGCCCGTTAGCATTATTAGACCATGTAAAGGTATCGAAACAGAGATGGTGGCTTGTCTTGAAAGTTGCATACTGCAAGAGTACCCAAGGGATAAGTTTGAGGTGCTTTTTTGCGTTGAAAGCAGCACCGATTCGTGCTTGCCCATCATTCAACAACTCATCGCCAAGTACCCTCAACACAATTTGAAACTTTTGGTGGGCAAAGAAGGATGTGAGGACTACTACGGGCCCAATCCGAAGATCAATAACCTCTCAAAGGGCTACCGCTACGCACAAAATGACATTATATGGGTTCTGGACGCCAATGTGTGGTGCCCTCCTGGCATTTTGGGCCGCAGTGTCGCCAGCTTGGTGAACTCTTTGGACAATGGCACCAAAACCACATCGCGGCCAGTAGTTTTGACTCACCATGTTCCTTTGGCTATCAGCATCAGCCAAAACACGCGTTCCGTGCCTTTGAGCGCCCGTCTTGACGAAATGTTCATGTTCAGCTCACACGCCAAGTTTTATGTGGGTTTCAACAAGGTCAGCATAGCGCCGTGTGTGAACGGTAAAAGCAACATGTATCGTCGATCTGATCTAGACGCCGCGGTGGAATTTATTGGGGAGGCTACAAAACACACAAATCTGTTCCAGGATCCGGAGATTCAACGCGAGGCACGTACAATTGCTGCCAAGTGCGAGAGATTGTCGAATGTTGATACGAGAAGAGCTTTTACAGAGTTTAAGGCCGATGCCAGAACAGGTCAAGTGATGGCTAAAGATGTATCGGCCCAGGAACAATTGCATCACCATGGTATCGAGTTTTTTAGCACGTACATCGGGGAAGATAACATGATCGGCACGGCCCTGTGGGATATGCTTGGCGGACGCACCGGTATGACAACTGACGTTGTAGTTCAGCCGTTGCAATTTGGAGTTCGTGACCAGGGGCTTCGCAATTTCATCGATCGTCGAGTGAGGTGGTTACGAGTTCGCAAGTATATGGTATTGGCAGCAACGCTTTTGGAACCCACGACAGAGTGTTTTTTAATTGGCCTCATGGGCTCATGGGGACTGGCCTGGCTTTTAGAGGTAAATTATGCCGTTATCTACCTGGTCCACTGCCTATTATGGTGTGCTACTGACAGACTACAATATCTAGTGCTGCTTCGAACAATTTATGCCGATGACCAGCTAGAACAAGAGACCATGCCGAAATTTTTGGAGTGTGCCGAGACGCCACGAGGCCTATGGAACTGGTGGCGGCTTTGGTTGCTCAGAGAGCTCTTGGCGCTCCCGATATGGATCAAGGCAATGTGTGGGTCTGTGATCGATTGGCGTAATAAACCATTTCGAATCAAACGAGACTTGACAGCAGAAGAATTGGTAAAATGAGCAGATTAAAAGGAGCAAACAAAAGCCATGATGGGTGAAAATAGACTGGTAAAATGACCGATGAGCTGGGTCTAAACTGTCGTCCCAAACGTCACGTGATGCTCTTATACTTTACCCATGCGATAGACCCCCAAACAGGCATGTTAAAGGCCTTGCTAATTTTCCAGTTTATTGAGAGTTCAGAGCTCCTCCAAGAGTCAAGTTTTACGCTTTCAAGCGTCTCTCGCGGCTCAGCTCTCTTTCCCTTAACAAAAGTGAATATTGAATATTGACCGTTCAGTATTATAGAAAAAGCCCAAAAAAATTAAAACCAGAGAATATCATACTACATCTAAATCATCGGTTGAAAAGAAGACTAGACCCATACGAGAGGACTACTTGCCTAAGAAGAGCCAATTGTGCGACTCTCAGAATTAGCGACAAATTCCAAAGGTTTATTCACAAACAAAGAAGCAAGCGAGCAAGCAACGCCAGTGTTTTCTTTCAAATTGCATTTTGCTGATGGCGATGTCTAACTTGATAAACCAAGAGGAGACTTTGACAGAGTCTTTAAACTGCTAGTGCACCTACTTATAAATCGTGCGACGCGCTGAGCGTCTGCATTTACGCTTAGGAGCGCGCGAAAAGAACGAGAATAATAGATTAAAGGAGGGAGCCAACTAGGTAAGCTAATTGTAAGCCTATTCTTTACATTTTGAGTGGAGTCGTACTAGCTGCTAGATGTCTTCCTCAAGTCAACGATATTTGGACAAGAAGCGAAAGGTGGCAAGAAGAGCTTGTTTGACATGCCGAGAGAAAAAAATAAAGTGCGACGGAGAGTTTTCGATCGCAGAACCAGGTTCGGCGTCAGACGGCTTGTCCAAGACGACTTGTACCAACTGCGCCAACGCCGGCATGGAATGCGTTTTCGTTGCCAGTCAGAGGGGTGGCCGTCGTGTCGCTGGCAAAACCGCTGCAAGCCAGTCGCACAGCGAGCCGAGAGACAGCGAACAACCTCACTCCTTCAAAATTTTCCCTCCCAATGCCCCCCCTGCTCATGATTTTCCTCACAATACTCCCCATCCTCCTCCCCCTCCTAATTTTCGTCTTCCTCCACCTTCCACGGGCTACGACTACAATTTCTTTCCACCTCCACCACCTCCACCTCCACACCACTCTCCCCATAATTTTGCTCACTATCACCATCCTCCCTCTCACCATCATTATCCCCACCATCCCTACCCTCCCCATCACCATAATAATTTTTACCGCCGTCATCAACAACATCAATTTCCTGGACCATTTTCACACCCTCAAGACCCGTATCTTTCAGACTCTCATTCTCCCGTGCCGCCAAAACCTCGTCGCGCTTCCCCGCCATCGTTTTTTCGACCTTTATCACCACCGGGATCGTTCCTTTGGCGTCGCGAATACCGTCATCCGGATCGTGATGGAGATTCGAGGGATTTCTCCACGTCGTATTCCAAAACGGGGAACGCTTCAGAGCAATACAGAAACTCCTCCTCTGATATTGATGGTAGCGAGACTTTTGGTCTAGGTTCCGTGGCTAATAAGACAATCTCCTCAGTTCTTGACCTCAGTGCCAGCCCTTCATCGACGAACGCTAGTTCTCTAACAGCAAAACCATCTATAGATAGTTCTGGGAAATCGAAGCTGTCCTTAGCAGCATTACTTGTGCCCGAAGTCTCCCCACGAGCTGCGGTTACGTCCTATTGTGCAGCAAAAAGTCCAGCTCAAAAATCTCCCGCTTTAAAAAAAGAGGTGTTGTCACTTGAAAGTGGATATTCAGACGAAGCTTTACAGGAATTTGGATTCTCATCTTGGAACGACTGCTTGCTGGGTATTGATGTTTTCTACAAGATCATCCATCCACAGTTTCCGATACTTCCTTCTAAAAGTCAGTTTCAGGAAGAGTTTAGTCCAATTCATAACGCAGCCTTGTTACACTCACTTTTCTTGTGCGCTTCTCCATACATGCAAAACGAAAGGCTTATGAAGAAAGCCTTTCATCACAAAATGATATCCGCTTTTTGGCACAGACTGGACCTTGTATCTTCATTGCAAACGTCGTTGTTACTGGCTTTTTACTACATCAGGAGCGCTGAAAATCGAGATCGTGCAGAAGAGTTCCTCCTCAAGGCTGCAAAAATAATACATTTTTCCCGTATTCCAAAAATGTTTGCCGAGAATGATCTGCAAGAGCTGATGAAAGTGACCCCGCACAAAGTGGGACAGCAGAGAAAACTTTTGTTGGCTGCGTTGTGGAGATTGTACTTTATCGCGTACATGGGTCGTCTCTACTATGATGACTCTGCTTTCTGCTCAGATATGACATGGTCTGGTTCCAAGGCTCAGACATTGCGCAAGCTTCTCAATGTTGACGAGCTTCCGTTCCCATCAAAAGAGGTTATGATAAGTCTCAAGTCCGAAATGGAGGCCGCTTCAATGCCCAACATTATTGACCGTAACACGAGAAGCTCAAACACAGCTTCACTACTTTGTGATGCTATCAGTCAGTGCATGCAGCTCATGTCGAACCCAAACTCTGAAAAGTCCCCAATCCCCACACCAGCTCTTGAATTGGCAGTTAATTCGGCACTTGTTCGTTCTCATGGAAGGAAAACTGTGATAGATTTTCAAACGCTAGAAGCAAAACTAGTCTTGCTAGCTATGCATATCAAAAGAATATTATCGAGTATGTTTGTCATGCCACGATTCTGTGAGCAAGGTATAGGCACCGAACAATTCTTTGAAGCATACTTGGCAGAGTACCAGGAGGTTTTACAAGGAAATTTTCTTCGTCACTTCGAGATTGATATGGCCCAGCTCATCGAACTGTTCTTAGTTGTCCAAGACTGTACCGTGTTATTGAAAATAGCAAGCTCCGCTTTTTTGACGTGGTCAGAAAATGGGTTTTTAGGATCAAAATCGATGCTTAGCACGTCAGAGCAGTTTGACACTAGCGTTAACGATTCTGATTCTGCTCAAAGTCCTACCATTCCCGACAAACTCTTTCCCGCTGAACATTTAACAAGACTGCGGTTGGAGGGACATCAAACAAAAAATGCTCACAGCAGCAAATTAGAAAACGTTTTCACACCAAGTCAGTTCAAGGAGTTATGGAAGCAATACCCGCCTCTTTTTCGAACAATCATGTGTCAAGTAATTCCTCTGCAGGGTCTTCTTCTGACGTTTAGCAAGATATCAACTTTCTCGAGCGATAATCAAGTTCCACAACTATTCTATGCTGGCCAAGAAAAATTATTTTTATCCGATGAGGTTTCGAATGCAGGCATTTTCAAGGACAGATCCATCAGCTCATTCAGGTTTGGTATAGAGGCTGGCGAGTTGAAACGTAAGGGTGACTTCGTTACTCTACTTGAGTGTTTATGTGATTCATCTTACATGCTGAATGATTTAAAACTCTGCTTAGAATACCTTCATTTAGATGCCTCGCTCTTCGAAGAAAACGGGAACATTCTCCCCAATATTCGGACTATGAGCATCTGGGCGAAAACGTTATTTCCTACTCCATGAGCAGGCGTCTACATTCTCTTCTTTGATTTTGCATTGACAACCTACCCCTACTGGCTTAACTCACCAACCCTAATCAGCATAATGTATTTTTAAGACCACGACGAAATCTGATCATCTTGGACCGGCTAAATTTTGTTCTTGATTGGTGAAATCGTCCTTGGCAAATGCTTTCACACTCTGCATTCAATGATTTACGCCAAGTCGAAGACAGACATTTCAAGTTCCCTTTGTAGGTCTTCGCAAATCCGAGCGTGCATAAGCTCATAGATTTCAGTAATCTCGATGCGCGATCGTCCTGCAGCGTCGGTCCATCTCTTTCGGAGTGGTGAAATCCAAAAACCCTGTCAAAAACTGCATGTTCGTCACACACTTGATTGTCTCTATTGATGATGAAGGCGAGTAAGTTGTGATAGAAATACCTTCAATTACATTCGAATCTGGGGCATGAATTAATACGTCTCCAGACTGCTAAAAAAAATAAGGGTCGCACATGAGATGACAATACCGCATTAAAGCACTCCATTTCTTTGCTCACTAGTTTTATACTCGCTAATTTTTTGTTCACATTGACACACACAACCCACGTCTGTCCTTTATACAGGGAAAATGTTCTGGCAAATACCACCACCTAAAAAAGCAGCACAGTCGTTAGGGTCTATTTGCGTCGTGCTGGGTCTGCACCCGTCGCAAGAAAAGGCTAGATACAGGCATACGTACGCCACTCATAAGTCTATATACAAACACATCAAAGAAACCATCACAAAGCACTACACCGCATCATTGAAATCATTTGAAATGACAAGTGGCTGAAGTTCAGAGACGCTCTACCCGTTGGAGATCGACAAAAGAGATACAATACTTGAAACAGGTCTAATTGAAAAAAATAGTATGTATTTGGTAAACGCACATAGTCTGGGACATGTTCAATTCATTTAGTTCCGTCAGCGACGGAAAATGTCTAAATACATATCTTAGGCCAGTTGGGAATAATGTCGGTCTTCTTGAAACTTCCGGCTTTCCAAAAAGCCGAGATAGCTTATTAGACCTCGGTGATGACTGACGTTAGATTCAAAATGTTCTTTCTTTCCACTTACAGGGCGACTCGATTGATTATATTGTATTGTACATCTCGGGCGTATGAACGAAGCTTATTCTTACCGCACTGACTCGAGCGTCCTCACAAATGCAATGGTATGGTCTTCAACACACATTCAATCAGCTACTCGAGCAGGTCCTTCTCTTTGTCCTTCTGACAGATTTAAAAAAAACTACTTGATTTGCCATCCAAGTAGCGCTCGTAGCCAACAGTTTCGAGCTTCGCCGCCTTAACCAGAACCTCTTCTTCCTGTTTCAACAAAAACTCTTGCATCTTTTCGTGGTACGCAGGGGTGAAGGCGCCCAAGATTCTGATTGCCAAAAGTGCCGCATTTGTACTGTTATTGATTGCTACAGTGGCAACCGGGATGCCTCTTGGCATTTGAACGATGGAATGCAGAGAGTCCACACCATCTAAAGTGGAGCCCTTGACTGGGACACCAATCACGGGTAGTGGAGTCATAGCTGCTATCATACCAGGCAAGTGTGCAGCACCACCAGCTCCGGCAATGATAGCTTTGAGGCCACGCTTCGAAGCCTCGATAGCGTATCTACTCATTCTGTGAGGGGTTCTGTGTGCCGAGACTATAGTTACCTCGTAAGGAACTTCAAAGTGGCTCAGTATGCTACAGGCAGCGCTCATAACTGGCAAATCCGAATCTGATCCCATAATGATGCCTACTTCGGGTTTCTTGGACAATCCTGGGATGTTAGATTCTAGGTTTTCTACGGCACTGACACCCGATCCTTTGTTCGTTTCGCCTGTAATATAGCGTAGTTTCTGTTCGCACTGCTGCATCGACGAGCCAATGACGTTGATGTGTCCCATTTTTCTCTGGGGTCTTGATTCTTTACCGTACAAGTACACGGAAGCGCCTGGAGTCTGAAGGGCACGTTCACAGGTTTCTAACTCTTTATCTTTGGCTGTTTTGTCGCCTAGGACGTTTAGCATTATGGCATTGGTGTTAGAGGTAGAAAGAGAGGAAAAGTTGGTAGGTAGCGGTAGGCCCAAGATAGCTCTAACGTGTGCCTCAAACTGGGATGTGACGCACGCGTCGATGGTAAAGTGACCTGAATTGTGAGGTCTGGGGGCAATTTCATTGATCAACAATTCGCCGTTCTCGAGGTAGAACATTTCTACGCCAAAGATACCACAGCCAGGGAAAGATTTGATAGCGTTTTCGGCCAGCAGCTTCGCTTTTAGCTGAACTGAGTCTGGAACTCTGGCAGGCGCGTAACATAGGTGGCAAATGTTTTCCTGATGGATTGTTTCTACCGTTGGGTATGAATAGACCCTGCCACTGGTCGAGCGAACAATCATAACAGCCAGCTCTTTTGCGAAAGGTGCCCATTTTTCGGCATACAAAGGTCTGTTTTTGAGGGTTTCTAGAGCCTCAGGAATAGCGTCTTTTGATTTGACGACGAAATTTCCACGACCGTCGTAGGCCAAGGTTCTCGACTTAAGCATGTAAGGGTATCCAAATTTTGACCCGACCTCGGTCAGGGACTCTTCGGATGGATTTGGGATAGCGACACTTTCGGCAACAGCGATTTCATTCTTAATCAAGTGCTCCTTTTGCAGGTACTTGTCCTGGATCAGAAGAATTGTCTCTGGAGCTGGATAGATTTCCAACTTGGGGTAGTTTTTTTGAAGCTTTTGTAGCGTTGGCACGTCGACATGTTCGATTTCCACAGTCAAAACGTCGCATTTAGCGGCGATTTTTTCGATATCCTCAGGGTTTGCAAAAGATCCATCAACATGTTCTGTTAAAGCGTTAATCTGCTTTGCAGGCGAGTTTGGAGCATCCAAAATCACTGTTTTCACATTTAGTCTACTAGCAGCTTCGACGATCATACGACCCAATTGGCCACCGCCCAAAATGCCCACAGTTCTCGAATCCATTGATGGCACTTGTGACTTATGAACGAATAATGACGGGAATATAAGAGCACTAGTCAAGCTGAAGAAATACCAGATTGAATTTGGTAAGGTAACTTTTAGTTTCCGATAAAATGTACTGTTAATAAAGACGAAACAAACGGCTAGAGAGCACCAAAGATCGTCTGAATCTTATTTCAATATTTTTATGCAGATGAGCTCTATTATATGTTCAGTTCTATGTAATTAAGATTGTAATTGCTTAGCCAGAGTCAGTGAGAGCACTGAATCTCGTTCAACATGATTAAATAGTGGATGTTTAAACCGGGAATATTGCAATGTTGACGTGGTTGTGTAATGTTAAAGATGGATTGTTTGTTGCTGAATGGATCTGAAGAGCCGATCGGAGGATGTGGCTTTTTTCTGCGTGTTTTCCGGCTAGTTTTGCGAGTTGTGGATTACTGAAAAAGTTTCAATTAAGTAACTGATATTTCCGGTGACAAGAGAAGCCTTGATTGCATTTAGACTGAGCCAGTGATATCGAATATGGCTTTTGACAAGTTTATTGATCCAAAATCTGGTTGTTAACGGTAGCTGTGAAATGGTGTGACAGAATAGTACACAGTGATATGGCATTTTAATGAATATTGTATATACCTGTATAGCGCAAGGGCGGCCTTGAATCTGAATAAATTTACGAGAATCACATTTAACATCGCGTGGCGCTTTTATTTGAAGACAAGCTTGATTTTCCTGCTTGCTACCATCGCAACTTGTTTTGCCTTCTGTTTACGGCTCGGCTGCAACAGCAATTCAGAGATAGTGACTGGGCGACATCACTTGGTACTAATGTGACACCTGCACTTCGAAAACCTCTAGAAGCTGTGAGATCTTATTAGCACGAAAAGACGCAGCGCAGCAGCCACGAGAAGCCATCACTGCATCCGCAACCTTTAAATACACTGTCCTCTAACACTTGCTTTTCGGTCACGTGCCTTATTCGATCAACCATCTTCCCAAATTCACACCACTCTGGCTTCGCCTCCAACAGTATACACCTAACCAGCTAGACCTGGCTCTGTCCTCCCATTTTTGATAACACACGACTTACCACTGTACCCCGTTCTTCAAACAATTACTCTCCCGAAGCGAAAAAGTGTTCTTCGAAAAAAAAAGCCACTTAAGTCCAACACGGCAAACCGTAAACAAGTTCTGTGAATCGAGCAGTATCTATCACTTACCAGACGGCAATGTTTTGCGATATCGCAGGGTTTTGTCAAGTGTGATCCACGAGTGAGATACGTAAGAATAACTTTTCGTATCTCACCCGTGGATCACTATTGCGTCAATAAGTCGTAAATCCACTTCAGCATAGCTCCCAACCCCATGGCAAGCACCGAATAAACCCGACCAGTGGTGAACTGCTCTGTTGACGGCATATGACACAGGGCCTCGATTAACATTTGGAATAAATGTGTATAAATGACATTGAAACCCTTGGTTTCGGACTTCTCGGGGTTCAATACCCTCTCGCAGTTGCACACTCATATCGCCAAGGCTTTATATTTGACAGCTAATATATCATCAACACTTCTGCAGAATCGCGATCTATATGTCACCAGTAGGTTTTCTCCAGATGCCAAGAACAATTCCATGCATACTGCCGATTCCATGCATTTTTCCCAATTAGGCCACGGAACAACAACTTACCTCGAAGATATGGATAGTGTCAGTGGTTGTGAGACCCCGTCTAAAATTCCACTGGGTCAGTACCTATTCTGGAGACTGCTGTCATGCGGAACAAAACTGTTTTTGGAGTTCCAGGCGACTTCAACCTGGGATTGTTGGAGCATATGTATTCGCCTGAGGTGACGGCTTCAAAACTCCAGTGGATTGGAACCTGTAACGAGCTCAACGCGGCGTACGCAGCCGACGGGTATTCTCGCTGCACCAATAAAATCGAGTGTCTCATCACCACATTTGGGGTCGGAGAGCTTCCTGCTCTGAACGGTGTGGCAGGAGCGTTTGCCGAAAATGTCAAATTATTGCACATTGTGGCTGTGACACCGTCAAAATTTTGGGCTCACGGTAACGAGCGCGCTTCATATAACGTTCACCATCTCGTTCCTGCTCTCTCAAACTCAAATTTCGAACCTCCTAATCATCGCGTATACTTCGATATGATACACGATCGAGTCTCGTGTTCCAGCGCCTTTCTAGACGACAAAAACACAGCCTGTGACCAGATCGATAAAGTCATCAAGGACATCTACCAATGCAGTCAACCAGGCTATATTTTCATTCCCGCCGATTTTTCTGACAAGTTGGTTTTTGGAACAGAATCTCTGCGAACGGCCCACGATTTCGCTGAGCAATGCTAGGATCAAATTGCGTGGCAGTGACGAAGATGCTGCAGTTTGCGCAAAACTCATTTTGCAATATCTGTATGAAAGCAAGGCACCAGCAGTGATCGCGAATGCTCTTTGTGACCGTTATGGTATGAATCACACGCTTAACAAACTCGTGAAGAAATCCAACGTTTGGACCTTTAGCTCTCCCATGGGGCGATCCATATTGGATGAATCTTGCAAGAACTTCAAAGGGTACTTCAACAGGCGTGAACTGACCCTAGAGTCATTAATAACATCATGCAGTGTGATTTTGTCTTACACGTTGGCGTGGTCAAAAACGAGATAAATGCTGGCAACTACTCTCTTAACTTTCAACCCCACGCACAAGTTATGGAGTTGCACCCAGAATATATCCAGATTTCAAGTATCAATGGCAAGAGCGAAAATCGTATGTTCAGCGGGTGTTTGATGGAGAAAGTTCTCCATCCAGTACTCAATGAGCTGGACGTTGCACGACTTGACATGAGCTACCCTTCATGTGAGACAAAAGATGTTGAGAATCAATTGGTTCAGATGCAGCAACAGACGATAACCCAAGACTTTCTTCACAAAAGCTTACCCAAGATAATCAACGCTGGTGATATTCTAATTGTGGGAACCGGTTCATTCCAGTTTGGAATTCGTGATCAAGTTTTCTCCTCCAATCTGAAATACATATGGCAGACTTTTTATCTTTCCATTGGAATGGCTTAACCGTGCGCTCTCGGCGTGAGACTCGGTATGAGAGACCACCCGCTGCACCACGTATGCACAATGGAATCAGAGGACATGAGCATGTAAATCCTAAACTAGTACTTTGTGAAGGGGACGGAGCTGCCCAAATGACGGTTCAAGAACTGACCACTTTCTTGCGCTACAAAGTTCCTCTGGAGATTTTCATCTGGATCAATAGTGGCTATACTGTCGAGAGAGCCATTCGAGGTCCAACGAGGCCATACAATGATCTCATGGCCTGATACTGGACGAAGCTGCTCAATGCGCTTGGAGACAAAGACGGTAGCATGTCTAGCAGCAAGTTGCTTCAAAACGCTGACGAATTTTTGGAATATAACGAAACGTTCCGCAAACCTCACGACAAGCTTGTTAGGTTGGCAGAAGTGATTTTAGATGTGATGGACTTCCCTGAACAACTGAAAACCATTGCAGTGGCCAATAAACATTAGTGAGATGGGGACACTGTCGTATGTCGCCTATTGTTGGGAATTGAAGAGGTTTAGTTCATGCCTGAGAGTCAATAGTCACTTCCTTTCGATCACGGTGCAATAACATGACGGGCTGTAACTGTCCACCTGATGCGCGGCACATCAACATTGCGGCCAAGCTGCCCTATCTCGTGATAATCTTATCAATTAATTTGTCGTTTTCAGAAGCACTTGCTCGAGCAAATATAAGCGTATAACTTTGTTACTGCAAACGGTCATTTTCGTTAACTGTAATTCGATTCAACATGTCCAAAATTGACGCTCTTGCAGGTCTATCTTCTAATACTGGTTTAGCTTTGATGCTTTCCTGCTGAGCAGAAATGGCCTGAAGATCTTTGAGGAGCTCCATTCTGTTTGGAGAGACGTTTATGGAGCTTTCCCCAATCGCAGTTTGACGTTCGGTTAAGCTCGTTCTGTTTCCGGGCGCTCGTCTTTTTCTCGCAGTAGAATCGTCTTCCAGCATATCATATATGGACTTAAAGGCTGGATTAAGCTTATACTTTATCAACAATTCACCAATAGGGTGCCTTTGAAGTTTTCGTACAATGGCCAAACTTACCCTTTTAATTTTGTTTATGATGTAGTCGCAATCAAGGATAGAGTCTGAACTCTGTGTAGTACCCGAAGATGAGACTCTGTTTTTTGCTTCGTCTGTGGTAACATCCTGAAAGAAGATCTCCTCGTTGTACCAACTAGATACGGGAGAGCTTTGGTGCTCTGAATGTGTGAGTTTCTTTGACTTACAGTCTCTATAGCCCGATGCCGGAGAATCAAAGTAACGCATCAACTCTGGAGAGCTCTCGATCGTGAAGTCCAGAAGAAGAGGCAAAAAAAGAAGTCTAAGAAACCGATTCATTGCGAAATAGTCCACCACTCCTAAGCGCTGATAAGTCAAAGATTCCATCGAGTTCGAATTTCTTAAATTGTCAAATAACTCTTTTAGGTCAACCTCAATAAAGTCCTTGGAGGATAAGTTTTCCTCATTCTGAAGGAAAGTCAAAGGAAAGCTGAGACCAATATTGATAAACTTTTCGACGTTTGCAGCATTTGACGCTATAAATTTGTAGATGAACTTCAAAGATGTGAATATCCTCTCGAATGGATTCAGTTCATGGTTCTCATAGGGATTCTTCCCGTCAAATATAATGCAATTTAGGTCTTCTTGTAGTTCCTTTAAGCACCTTATAAGTTTAAGAGAGCCATACTCGAAAAACTCAGGAAATATTATGAAGTCTCGGTAAGACACAACGTATTCGTCTTTCAAGCTGAGCTGTGAATCTGATTGTGACCTATTACGGAGACTTGTAAGCAAGCTTAGTATTTGCAGAACATTTATCCTTTTGAAGACATTCAGAATTGTTTCATTATCGTGTCTCTCGCTGATCAGGTATTCGATCATCTTAGATGTCAGGCTACATCTCGATATGGGTTTCTCTAGCATAACGGCAGAAGAAGCACGCTTCTGAAAAATGTTTCGGATTTTGGAGCTTTTCAAACTCTCCTGTGAAATGGTAGCATGCTTAGCAATGGCCGAATTCTCCAAATTTTGAGCCCTTAGTGACTCTGTATCCATATCGTAATAAAAATCCCAAGCATCTTTTTGCAATTCAAATATAGGATTGCTCACACCGACGATGGTAAAAGTCCGTGTGTTTCCACACAAGTTAAGGTGTTCCTTTAGCGCATCAATGAAGGAAATATCCATGTATGGAAATATAATGACCTGGGCGTTTGCAAAGTAATGAAAGTCGAAATGCCGAATCAAATTCGACAGCGATATGATAAATTGAGTTAGAGTATCTTTCGAAAGTTTTGTAGAGTTCACAACTAACTTCCACGCAAACTGAGGTCGCGGTAGCTTTTCTAGCTCTGATAAAAATTTTGAAAGAAACTTCAGTACGTGGTCGTTGTAGTTTATATTCACTTGTACTGGGTCATAGTTTATAACGTTGATTTGCAGTGAGATTCTGGTTAACGCGGTTGGAAGCAGCTTGGGTTTGAACTTGTTGAATTGGTATTCTAATAAGTGACGTTTGAAGCTTATAATGTTACCAAAAGAGTCAGTTCTCGGGAGATTGTTGAGATGTAGTAAACGTGAAAGATGGTGATTTTGAGATTTGAAAATATCTGTTAAAACCCTCTCATCAGTTAAAGAGTTCAGCAGAGTCTGGAGAGAAGTGTTTGACCTTATTCTTTTTGCAAGTGATAAATCCAAGCTGTTGATCATATTGAAACAGTCCATTAAAAGCTGAATGTTGCCATTATATCGCATGTACGCGTCTAAAGTCATTGCCAGGAGCGGTTTGAAAATCAGGAAATTTCTCAATTCAGTACCCAACGCAATTGCTTTTATTACAGCCCCACGGTCATTGGTGTCATCTTTTATAGTATTGACGACGCTAATAAAGAATAACGGGGGTTCCTTTGCGGTATTGAGATAATCCCCTGCCAAGGGCATTCCTCTGTTGGAGGTGTGCTCTTCCTCTTTTAAAACGCCGAGAGCTTCTCGGTCGTTAGACGGTGCTACTTTGTCGACTATTGGGAATATTTGGTAGTTTCTAGTATATTTATTCTTGTAAAGAATAAAGATTGTAAAATCAGCCCGCTCTGGAACGTTTTCTGCGTTGTTGGGTATCATTAAGCTCGCTATGTTTACCGTGGAAACTTTCGAGTTAGACCTTGTTTTAAACCCTGGTATTGAATTTGGGTACTGGTGTTTCAGCACTGGGCCGACTTTGTTGTTGAATTCTGCTGCGATGATGTATTGAGCATTGTGATGATTATTGATATGATCCTGTTGAGACTGTCGCAGACGCCCGCTCAGACCCGACCTTATTGCATGAGAGTGAGTAAACATCAGTTGTGAATGGCATCTATCAGGTCATTCGCTGCATACATTAGAGTTCTTGATCCCACTGCCCGACATCTGGTATTCTTCTGGATGTGACTAGCAGTATTTACTCTGATGTCCCGTAATGAGTGATTGGATTTCAACATTCGAAGGATATATCGCATTTCGAGGTCGGTGTGCACTTCCCATACAATATTCCGGATCCTTTGAAATCAGTGGCTATTTTTTGGCCCAAGTGAGCTTTACTTTTGGGCTCTTTCCTGGAATGTGAAAATATCTACGAGCTTTACGCTCAGTTTGCTCATAAGCAGACTTTGTAGATAATTGTCGGTCCGGAGCAGCTTCAAATTAGCAGCAAAATTTTCTATAGTTCCAAAGCTGTAAGAAGGCATATTCTTAACCTGGAATACTGATATTTTCTGTTTCGGCGCTAGGCATCTGAATTTCGCTGTCATCGCAGCGACACGTTAGTATACAATGATACAAAGGTGAAGATGACATTTGAACAACTTGAAGTGTTAGGAGCTAATTCAAAGCGGCGAACCCGGCCGTGGAGTGAATTTGAAAAGCTCAGTTTCCTCCTACCATTTTCATTCATCCAGATGAAATTATCGAATATGCCAGTGATGTTCAGAATTATCTCTTCGTATGATCTGTTTCACTTTCCGTGTCAATAACAGATACGCATGAAGCATAAGAGTGACTCTTAAGTACTAATGGCGCTCGTAGATCTGATTAAATTGGATAAGTAGCTACACCATTTCATATAATACTTCCATCACAAATCAACGGTCTGTCACATTTTTTTTTGGTTAAACCGACTGCTAACTTCCCTCATAATCTACATCCAGGTGTGCTAATTCCACACTCTTAAGTCACCAATAGCCATGGACAATACAACTGAGGTGCAGAGGGCCAAACTACACATTGCACATTACACCGTAACACGCGTCTCCAAAATCATGTTATACGTTAATCAGCATCTGTCCCCTTTTCACGTGATACAAAGTGGCCCGGATTATCAATAAATATTTGGCGAAAATTTTCAGGTATAAAAGAACAGGATATTTCGCAACCTTCCGGGCCCTCACTCACTTCTTTCCAAACCACTGACAAAATTGAGCTCAACGCAAGCATCAATTCAATCAGCTTAAAGACTCCTCTAAAACTCATATCTTAAAAAATGTCTGCCAACTTGGATAAATCTCTAGACGAAATCATTGGTACCAACAAAAAGCCTGTCAGAAAGATCAACAAGAAAGCTCCAAAGAAGGTCTCCAAGCAAATAGTAGGTGGAAACCGTCGTGGAGCTTCCGTGGCTGCCATCAGACAGAGACCCGCACCCGTGAAATCTGCAAACCTGCTGGAACAGGCGTACGGTACCAAAGTGAGCGTGGAAGGTTTGCCAAGAGACATTAAGCAAGATGCAGTAAGAGTATGTCTTCAGGACGCTTTTTTGTATTAGTGGAAGAGCAGCTCGAAGGTCTTGGCATAGATGGTACAAAAAATGGAGCAACTTCCAGGTGCAAGGGAAATAGTATATGCGCTGAAGCACAGCACTTTTCCCTGTAGACAACGCGGACCCCGTGGTACGCGATGACACTAGAAGTACAGATGTTTACATCTGGGATTTGGGAAAGCAAACAGAAGGGCTGGGACTTGAAATCTCGGTAAGGCCTCGAAGCGGGGCTTCGGGCCAAAGCAGCAATTTGGGTAAGAAATTTGAGCTAAAACTGGAAGTTCTAAGTGTACTATAAGAACTCTTGCCATTCAGGCATTGCCTCAATTAATATGCTTTGCAACTCGGGGAGCCATGAGGAGCAATTAAGTTTCAACTCTTCATGGTAGTATGACACGCATGAAAGCCGACCATATTTTTGTTGTCGCTCTTATGTATACGCGCACGCACTCACTTCACATAAACGAAATTTTTCAGAGGAGTCTTTTTTCGTTTTGTTTATTGTGTCCATCCCCCATTTTGCACATTTGCAAGTTTTTTTTATTTCAAGCGCCTACTGAAACCCGTCTAAATGCTTACCAATCCTTTGTTTTCGTGCTGAGAAACCAAAACGTAGCTCGTCTAGCGGGCTGTTTTTTTCGGGGATATGCTCTCAGCATTCTTCGGGGGAAATATTTGGAATAATTCATGCGGACGCAAAAGTCTTTTTCGAACGTGAACCATTCTACTCGAAGCCGGAGCTTTTTGAAACCTGTTCTTCCGCTAGGACATTTTATCCAAGGTTTTTTTTTAATTGAACCCACGACTAACTTATTATCTTAGGAATTTTTCTCCTCTCAGGTAGGTGGTGTTGCCAGAATCCTGTTGAGTTATAATGAAAGAGGTTTGTCCACTGGTATGGCGACCATCACATTCAAGAACGTGGAAAAGGCTAGAGAGGCTGTGAAAAAATTCAACGGTGCCCCCATCGATGGCGGCAGATCCAAGTTGAGACTAAGTTTGATCATTGACCCTAGCAAGAAGCCTCTAGCCTCTAGAATTCAATCTATCGTGGAACGCAAGCCTGTTCCAGTAAAGGGTCCCAACAAGAAGGTTGCTGCCGTCAAGAAACAGAAGAGGGATGACAAGAAGAAGAACGCCCCTAAGGCCAAGCCAGAAAAGAAGAGTCTAGAGCAGCTAGATCAGGAGATGGCCGACTACTTCGAAGAGAAGAAGAATTAAAGTGGCCGACTTCTGTTTTCAGGACAGTTATCGAGAAACTGTGGCCCCACTGTCTTCCGCAGCTGACGCTCAGGGTTTGCAATCAATAAGCATTGCGAAAAATTAGACAGACGCCACTGTGTCAGGTAACTATTCTCTCCGAAACGAGTCTCCGACTATTTGTGTTTGGTAATGCGAGGTACAGAAGGTTGAGTGCCTCTATGTAAAAACTAAGAATTTAAGATCATTTCATTTACTTACAATGCAATTTGTAGCTTGCAGATGTATTTAATTTTAAACAGCCCTAGTAAAACCTAAACTCCGGCTTCAATCGCTTCCACTTCTCCTATCGAGAAAACCAAGCCTATCACCTCCTTTTCTGCTTAGATAGCTGAGTCCTCTACCCTCAAACTCGCTCTTTCGAACGTCAGAAGAGTCCTCTGCTGGCAGTGGGAAACCTGGCTTGATGTTTGCAAGATTCTTGTAGTAATTTTCTTTGGTGATCTCCTCGGCTTGCATACGGTCGAACTGAATTTGTTTGTTCGAGTTTACAAGCTTTTTTGTCACAAAAACCGATACTATCAGCCCTCCGACCAAATATAGCGTATTCCTCCTACATTACAGGTTAGTATAAGATGGCTCCGAGGATGCCAAGAAAAAAAGATGCCCGATCTTCATAGTGACATACCCTATGTTCTTAAAAGGATTAACGGCACTTGACATTATCTTTCACCTCGCTTGACTTGTCTGACTCTCAAAGACTGACGACTTCCATCTCTGGTCTGCTCAGCTTTTCTATAACAGCTACCAGACGACTGTATAATATTTAATTCTCAGTTTCACGTGATTATCTTTTAGGCTTGAGAGTTTCAAAGGACTTCGCTAATGTGGCTTTGAGAGCCAGTTTCAAGTGTATTGAGCTCTTTTACCATTTCAATATCAAAGACTACTTGAATGGACTGTTGTTTCTGTCTCTCGCCGTGTGTCAGCGTCACTTGAGCAGTAAAATCATCAACAAATCGCTTTGTACGTATGTAATTATATGTTTTATTGCCTTGGACAAGCTTTTGGTAGCATCACCAACCTTAAAGTCATCTTAGGCGAGCCCTTTGGACTTTGTTTATAACCTGCCAAGCGCTGGAAGTCTACCACACTGTGCATAGAGTCAACAGGATTCAAGTGGTGTTAGGAATCCAGCAGCTGTTTGTTTGCTATCTAAGAACTACAGAGGTCAATTTGACATCCGAACCAACTACTGAATTTTCGGCATCTTTTTTGTATATAATGTCCACTCAGGCAGATGCATCTCAAGCAGATGCTTTTGCTCATGCACTCGCTGGGGCAGGCGGAGGTGCCATGTCAATGGCTCTTACGTATCCTTTGGTCGCAGTAACCACGAAAATGCAGACCCTGGGTTCGGACGAGACACCAGAAACGGTTGAAAAACAGGGTCTTGTCGCAACAATCAAAGATGTATATAAAAAACATGGCGTAGTGGGCTTTTTTGCCGGTCTCGAAAGCGCCGTTATCGGCATGGCGTTCTCCTCCTTCGTCTATTACTACTGTTACGAGGCATCGTCCAGGTGCATCATGAAATACACGGGCAAACAGAGACTGAACACTGCCGAATCAATGCTCGTGGGCACAATAGCTGGCTCCGTCAATGCTGCTGCGACCAACCCGCTATGGGTTGCGAACACCAGGATGACAGTGGATAAAACTGAACGTAACACTCTCAGAACGATCCTGGACATCGCACATAAAGACGGCCCTGCGACTTTGTTTAACGGTCTCAAGCCAGCGCTTGTCCTCGTCATCAACCCGATCATTCAATACACGGTTTTTGAACAATTGAAAAACACCATTCTAGAAAAAAGTCACAGTCGCACTCTGAGTCCGTCATGGGCGTTTCTTTCGGGAGCACTAGGAAAACTGATTGCCACAGGCTCCACTTACCCATACGTCACAATGAAAGCTAGGATGCACCTCAAGGGAAAGCAAAAGGCCCACAGTGATAAGCCAACGGCTCCGACATCTTTGGTGTCGTTGATGATGGAAACAGTGAAAAAGAACGGAGTTTCGGAGCTGTATCGAGGAATAGGCCTCAAGCTGGTACAAAGCGTTTTAACCGCCGCCTTTTTGTTTTTCTTTAAGGAAGGACTAGTTCTTTGGAGCATAAAGGCATTAAAAACGCTTTCTCAATTGAACAGGAGAAGGCGACTCTTGAACAAGGTCTGAAAGCTAGCAATAGCTAGCAGTACGCTTTCGAGGCCAGCTCATTGTTCTTGTTTTCTGTGAGTCCTTTCCAATCTCATTTTACCACGCCCAACAAAATGCAATTGAGCTAAACTTTGTCATTCTATCAAGGGTCTATAAATTAGACAAAGTCTCGTAAGTGTAGAAAACGATTGCGTTCGCGGGAGCAGCTCTCAAAAGTGTGATTCCAAGCCCACGGTACAGACCAGCAGGTCCACTTCTGACCAGGATACGCTTCGTGGCGTCGATGATTCCCAAGTGCTCTGTTTGTGCGGTAGATTTGATCGTGTCAGCAGGGAAAATACTGGCGTTGAATGCAACACCAGCGGAAGCTCCTGCAGTGAGCAGCTCCCAGGTATGGTTTTGAGTATTTTCTGGGCCTCTCCTCTGGGCCAAGTACCGTTTCACACTCTCGTATGAGGCGAACCACACAGCACCACCGGCAGTCTCACGAATAAAAGTGCTTGACTGGCCCTGCCACAGTCCAGAGATTCCACGGGTTTGAACGATATGCTTGATGGTGGGGCCTATTTTGGAGTGTCGAGTTTTGGAGGTCGAAAGATTCGACACCTGCAAAGTGCATTTCACTAGCTCTACGGGTGTCAAAACGTAGCTGGCACACGCACCAGCAAACGCACCAGCAAAAACGGTTTGAGAGAGCGGCGTGAGAGACTCTCCGTACTGCCTTTTGAGAAAGCCCTGGGCCCTGTTGAACGCTACGAATAAAACGGCATTTTCCAGAGCTGCTCCAGCTACAGGTGATCCCAGACCCTGGTAGAAACCTTTCCACAGACCTTCTTTGGCGTATGTGTATTTGATGCACGACCAACTTGTGGGGAATACGTGTGCCGGCTGCGTTTGCAGACGAACTTTGATGGTATCCAGAGGGTACTCTATAACTTTGCCAGCTGCTCCTGCTATTGAACCGTACATGATATCACGCAAAGCATCTTGGAACTCCATTTCAGCGTGGAAGGCCTATCGGGACGAGGTCGAAGAAATGCAAGAATGGGAAGAGAAAATTCGTTATCCTAAAAAATCAACTGGTAGAAGAAGATGAGAAGATTATCGTGAGCACTGGCGAAATCTTGCTTATTATAACTGTTGGCTTTGACGATTGATCAAATCATTAGCATGGAAGCGAGCCATCCTAAGATCCACTTGGCATCGTACCATGCAAAGCGGCTTTTACCACTGTAAATTTTTCACACGTATCACGTGATGACAGGTGGAAAATAAAAAAAGACAGTTGGCCATGTAATGCGCTTCACACCTCGGGTTTCGGGTCCCGAGAGTCTTGGTTCCAACGAACTGAGGAGACATTTTTGATGTGAAGCATAGATGTCCATAGGCTCTAGTAACGATGAGTATGTACTCTGTGTATCATGTTTATCCTGGGTATTTCATGTCTCCTATGCCTAATTGTTATAAAATAGCTTCTCACTCACCCGACTGTCACGTGCTACATGTCACATGACTAACTCGTGACAGATTACCACTTAGCTGTCTCGTGACCTAAAATTCACCGCCATCCACCCGGTCCTTTATCCAACAATCCAGTCACAAATAAAGTTTTTCCTCTCCTCGCATATCTCTCCTCACTTACCACGAAATCAGCTCTCATTTTTCTTCACCGACTCGATAGAAAAAAAACCCAAAAAATTATCATGAAAAATTTCTTAATGTTCAGCTCTTCCAACTCTTACTCTCACTTCTCTCTCTTACCTTTTACTTCTCCCCATAAGCCTAAGGAATAGTCTGCATTGACCCGCTTAATTTGATTATTCTATTTATCGTCTCTGGTTCAGCTATCCAATCAATTTAAAAATGAAGTATTTGGCCGCTTATTTGTTGCTTGTTCAAGGTGGTAACACCGCTCCTTCCGCTGCTGACATCAAGTCTGTGATCGAGGCTGTCGGTATCGAAGCCGAGGAAACCAAGATCAACGCTTTGTTGGCTTCTTTCGAGGGCAAGGGCTCCATCGAGGAGATCATTGCCGAAGGTCAAACCAAGTTGGCTTCCGTGCCAGCTGGTGGTGCCGGTGCTGCTGCCCCAGCTGGCGGTGCTGCCGCCGGTGGCGCCGCTGCCGAAGCCGCTGAGGAGGCCAAGGAAGAGGAGAAGGAGGAATCCGACGACGACATGGGTTTCGGTTTGTTCGACTAAACTGGCAGTGGGAAACTCTAAATTGTATATTTATACCGTATAGTTTTTCTAATCGACTTTCCTATTGTTTAAAAAGAGAGAGAGAGAAAGTGGGTCGGAAGGGTCAGGTGTGTGTAGATGGCCCCTACCTCATCAGCTCGAGTGTGGAAATGATGTCGTTCAACTGCTGCACAGCGTCCTTGGGCAGTTTCCCGTCCTTTTTCAAAACAGTCTCTACCAATTTGGCCGTTTCTTGCGCCTGCGCAATGACGTTCTGCTTAAAATGTGTGTAGTAATCAGAAGGTTCACTCCCTTCGCGCTGGATGGCGTGTTCCAGGTTTGTGAACAGATCAAGCTGTCGTTTGAGCTCTGGTGCGAGATTGGAGGCGTCACGAATTGCCCTGGCTTTGTTTTTCAAGCCGTCCCGAAGTTCATTGTACTCTTTCAGCAGCGACTCAGAATCAAGATCCTCAGAATCTACCACCGAAATGTGCGGAAGATTGTCAATGTCTTTCATCAATTGTTCCAGTGATACGAATTTCCCGTCTCGAGCCTCTTGTAATTCGATGAGATCTGCTCCAACTCTTTCTCTCGGCAGATCACCCACACAGGCCATAATTCGATTCAGATCTTGTCGAAGAAGGTCTCTTTCGTTTTCTTGAATTTCCAGAAGCACTTTGTCTCGATTGACCAGTCTAAAAGCGTCCTGCTGTTGTTGTGCCAGCTCTCGTGCAAGTGTCAGCTGTATCGATCTTGCAACGTCTGCGTCCAAACCCTCGAGCTGGGGCACTTGAAAGCTCTGATATCGATCAATTTCGTCTTGTAAAAACCCGGCATATTGAGAGTACGACATGTACAATTGATTGCTAGTGGAAGACCGGACCGCTTCTTACTGGATGGGTGTGAGCGTGTCAATCGTCCAGATGCTATGTCTGTTTACAGTATAGCTTGTAGTGCCAGCAATTGAATCTTCTGACAACTCCAATGCTATATAGTCAACAAAAAACATTCACCTCACATCGAAATCCGCGATAGTTTAGTGGCTAGAATTCGGGCTTGTCGCGCCCGGGACCGGGGTTCAATTCCCCGTCGCGGAGTTTTAATTTTTTGGAAATTTTCAATTATTTTTGAAAAAAATGCATTCATTGATTGACATATACGTTACAGCAGCACCATAATATAATGGAATAAGATGTCTATCCACACGTCCCAGAGATCTCCCAAACTCATACCCTTACCTATATTCCAAAATTTTTACATGATTATTATTGTTGTTTTTTTTTGACAGCAATTTCGTTTGTGCAATTGTGTGTTCTCGCCAGTAGGCCGTTAAAGTTAAACGGTTGGAGCATTGGGCATGAAATAGGCCCGCACGGGAAAGTAACTATTCGAGGTATCGGCCACACCACTGTAAAGTGAGTAAAATCCGCACATGCTGCTGAGTATACCGAAATATCCACCTGCCTTCTTCACGTTGTCGTTAGAGATAAAAGTTCCTATCGTGAGCATCAAAAATGTCAGTTCCAGAAAGAAAAATAGTAGGAAGAGTCCCCAGGTACTCTTGAGCGTGCACAGTAGCATGAGAAACGTGAACACGGCCCAGCCTGCGAGGAAAAAACCCAATGCGTTGGCCAGCATTTGCGGATCGTCCGCGTAGGACGACACGATGCCAAATTGGTCGAGCAAAATGCACCCGTAGCTGATCCAGAACCCGCCAAAGGATCCGAAAACGGTCATGGCGTATGTGTTGCCGATCGGGTAGCACAACAGGCCTGCAAAAAGCTCGATGCACCCGCCGAAAAACAGACTGGCGCTGATGATGACCTTGGCATTGGTGACGCCTCGGACCTGCGCGTTGAGCAGCGAAAGCACGAGACAGCAGTACGAGAACGAGGCGAGCCCCAGGGGCACGGGGTTGGCCAAGTTCGAGGGCCGACGCTGGTGGATACCCGGGTTCAGCTCGCCTGCAAAGGCGTTGGCGAGCTCGGAGCGACGGTACGTGTTGTCGCCCAGATGCACGTAGTCGCCGTCGACGGAGACGGCGTGGACGAGCCGCGACGCGAGCGGCGGCGAAAGCTGCCGCCGCTCGTGGCCGTGGTCTGTGGGCGCGATACGCACTTCTTCGTCGTAGCTGGCCTGGGTAGGGCCCTTTTCGAGGTCATGTGACTGCGACCTGTCGCTCGTCATTACGTAATATCCGTTTGTATGTGTGTGTTTCTTCACCAGCAGTACCACCAGCACTAGCACTAGCACTAGCAGATATTCTAATGTTTCAAAACTTGCAAGCGCACCGCACCCAACCCAACGACCCCCGACTCTCTTCCACATCTTCGCTCTTTATATCCACACCGTCGACCTCGCCTCCCAAACGCTCCCAGACGCTCCCAAACGCTGGCTTTTTCGCTAGCCCAACCCGACACACAATCCTAAGCCAAGGTCATCTCGCGTGCATCGGATTCTGCTGTCTGAAGCAGAATGGCGTGATGCTTTAGCTGTCAAAAACAAGCCAACCGTCTAGGCCGAAAGGGCTCTTTGGTGGGCCAACAGAAAAAAATTTGTATAGAGTATAGTGGTGCGATGAGCTAGCTGGGCGACGCAGGGAGAGAAGAGAAGAGAAGAGGAGAGGAGAGAAGAGGAGAAAGCGGCATAACGGGGGCGGGAGCCGCAGAACAGAAATACCGGAGGCCCAAAGCACAACTGAACAATTGAGAGCGAAGGGTACTACAAGCACTATTGAACAATTGAGAGCTTTAGCGATCAATTGTGAATAAGCAGGAGAGCTACAAGCACTATTGGGCAATTGAGAGCGTCAGCGATCAGTTGTGAATAAAGATAGGCCTTCAAGCACTACTGAACAATTGAGAGCTTTAGCGATCAGTTGTGAATAACTTAGAGTACTCGGAGCACATTTGAACGACCGAGAGCGTTAGCGATCAGTTGTGAATACTATAGAATGAGGGGGGTATATGAGGGAAGTGCATGAGTAGGGTTTATGAGTACATTCCGTGAGTACATTCCGTGAGTACACCCGTGAGTACACCCATGAGTACACTTTTTCGTTCTCTCCGGTACCCACTATGTGTCAACTATGGTTCCTCTGCATTGGCGACCAGTTGTATATAATCCATGGCATCTACAAGCACAGAGCCTAAGCGCGCTCAATTGTATAGCCACTATTATGAGGGCCTTTATGACTGCTTACTGACTGCTTTTGTGAGTGCTTTTATGACTGCTTTTGTGAGTGCTTTTATGACTGCTTACTGAGGACATTTTTGCGTGCGTTTATGACTGCTATCTCTGTCTCTCAATTCCTGTCCCGCTTCGAAAACCCGTTTTCGACCAGGTCTATGATCTCGGCCAAATCTTGCACTGCAGCGTCGATCAGGTGGCCCCACGTCTCGAACAGCGCGCCATTCGTCTCGTTGCGCACCAAAATAGTCGCACATCCAGCTGCCCTGCCACACGCCATGTCGTCGTAAGAATCGCCCACCATTATCATATTTTTGGGCTTTATATCCAGCTGTCCTGCAATGTGCAGCAATGGGTCCGGGCTGGGCTTTGTGGGTCGAAATTCCCGTGTCAAAATGTGGTCGAACCGATCACACTCCTCAGGCACAAACTTCAAGATCAGGTGTCGCACGGGCTTGATCAGATTCCGCGTGCAGATGCTCGTGCTCACGCCGTGAACCGTCAAATACTTCAAAAGTGCCACCAACCCCGGCTGCGGTTGCATTTCCGCCATCGCCCGTGCCTCTACGTTTTTAATCTGCATGTTCGCCTCGTCCCGTAATTTTTGCGAGGGCAACTCGTCTACAAACGTCAATATATCCATATGTGGGTCCCGCAGTCCTATCGCATCGCGCATAGCCTCTAAAAAAATGCTGTTAGTAAACCAATAACCGTGTTTTTTTAGCCTCCACAACAACGCCGAAAGCCCATTCACTTGTCATACTGAACATCCATGTCTGGGGCACGCTGAGAGTGCCGTCCATGTCAAAAACAATCGCCTTCACCGCATTGTGAACCGGTAAAGTCGGTTTCAGCTTCATAAAAGCGCTCATCGCTCTTCCTTGCCGGCTTTGTTCAACTCTTGATGAGACGTACTATGGGGGTTTTATACGTATTTTATGTATCATAATATTTATCAATTAGGATCTCAAAGTCATGGTTGAATCATCTACACACAACAAAAATATACATCGGTTTAAGACCATAAACGTCTCTACTGAACGTCAAAATGGCTTCTGCTGTACCCTACGATCCTTACGATGATATAGACAACAATCCATTTTCAGAACCGCAGGAATCGAATACAAATGCCACGGAAACACAGCGTTCAGAGACTCAGGGTCAAAACGAGCACATCACGGTCCCAAACCCTCAAAATGAAACTTCAAACAATGAACGACCCGCAGGTGCGGAATTACTCCCCGAAAGGTTATCGAAGAAGTATCAATTGGTGGTAAAAGTGACCGGGTTGGAAAGAATTGGAACGTATACTCATAAAAAGGAGAACCCTACGATTCAATTTGACGTTTCCACCAATGTGCCAACTTTCCGCAAACAGCAGCATCGAGGTGTGAAGAAAACCATGTGTGAATTTCAGAATCTTTTCGCCTTTCTGAACGGTGCCATCCCAGAAACTTTTGTGCCAGCGCTGCCCCTGCCCAGCACCAATTACGGTATCAGCAACTCCGAGGACTACAACAAGACCGTGAAAAACTTCCAGGAATGGTTTGATCGCATCGCAGCGGATCCCATTTTACTTCGAAGCGAGGAAATAGCTTTCTTTATCGAGAGCGATTTCAACACATACACGCCCGTGGGCAAAATGAAATCGACCCCGGCGTCGGGACTCAAGCGGAAAACCCTTAAGCAATTGGCTCCACCGTTCGACGAGTGTCTCGAACTCGCCGAATTCAGACCCTTGGTGAAATCAATACATCATCTGAGCAGAGAAATTCAAACCAAACTTTCAAAGCTGTGTAAAATTCGCAAGACGCTCTCGCAAGACGAAAGCGCTGTTGGACAAGGTTTCAAAGAGCTGGCCCAGGACTGTTCCCAGATGAAATCGCACGGCAAATTCTACATGAAGTTCGGTAAAACTCTTACCGCGGTCGGCGACATCGATAGCGTTATGGCGACGCTCGATGCCGCCACCTTACATGATGGTCTCGAATGGATCACCAACGAGACTTACACCGTGAAGGAGGTTTTGACTAACAGACACTTTCTGATGCGTGACTTGCTGCAGGCACAACAGAACTCCAAGATTAGACAAGAGCAAGCCCGCAAATTGCGCGCCAAGAGGGACGTAAGCCCATTGAAAGTGGACGACGCGATTCGCGCCCTCAAAGCAGCAACCACCATCGAGCACGAACTAACACTCAAACTGCGCCGCGTTACCGCGAATATGCTTCTTCAAAAAATCGAGTGGCTAGAGTGGTATGACAGATGTTTGATCAGCAGCATAAAGGAGTACACAATGCGCAAAATCGAGTACGAACGTAAGAAATTGTCGCTACTTGAAAGGATACGAAGTGATGTAAGAGCTGCTGATGAGTCCGGCGGTCTTTCGCGTCTGGGACGCGACGCGAACACCGGGAGAAGTGCTTCCGTGGTAACAAAACCATCCCAGACCGCACAAGGCGACAGCTGGACCAGCGACCGAAGATCACATGCATTTGAACCTTGTGTTTTGAAGACCGAGTTCGATGCCTCTTTAGACTCCGGTGGGGAAAAAATTCCTGCGGGCGAGGATCGATACGCGTTGGATGCGAGAAGTGCAGCTCATTTACTGGGAACTAGCACTTTTTGATATATTACAACTAACAAAATGTCTGTTACTCGGACTATACGGCACAGTCAAAAAAAAAGACAGCTCCCGGGACACAATAAAGGTCCTCGAACAATATGCAGCGAACAAGAGTTTGTGGGCAGCTACTGCTTAGGGTCAATTGATGAGCCAATATATCCATGTAACGATCTTCACTCAAAGAGTTCTTCATTGCGAGAAAAAATGTCTTTGATCGAGCTTAAAGATGAAGAACAACCGTATGACGAATGCGATTCTTGAAGACCGTATTCCGGTCTGTGTGAGCGCATGGGTTTTGGCCGAACATGAGGTTGAAGCCCATTTTTACGTTTAATCTGTCGTTGCATAAAGCAGCGCAGGGCGCGCTTCTACGCGACGGCCAAGTACAAAGTGACAACATTTATGAACAAAAGATGTCGTGAATAAGCGCCAGGAGCAGCGTCGTCAAGATATGAAGCTACATCGATTCACAGATATTATCCCCAATTAGAGGCAGGTATGTACCGTGAGAGGGCAAGACGAGCAGTGCCCTTGAATATACCAAAAACGCCAAGGCAAATAACTAAAACCAGAAAAAAAGAATAAATACAGGTTGACGTCAGAATAAAAACGGAACAGCGAAATTCTACCACCCGTCCAAATGCCAACTACTAGTAGTGCTCAATTGCAGACAACCGTGAACGCGCGTAGAGGACAAACTCTCGCTTTTGAACTCACGTATAAAATGAGACCAACCATTAACTCAAGTGAAACAAAGTGGATGTTTCGACCGATCAGCACGGCGCCAAATGGATCATATTTGCCCCTATTTTGACAGCGCGTGTTCACGCTATAATATGCCTCACTCAAATACAATAATCCTGTTCAACCCGTTAATTCGCGTCTTGCCCTGGCCGCGACCGTCAGACTACTCCTTTAATTAGCCACGGGCTCTCTCTGTCCCGAGCGTAGCTTCTGGTCCAGGGCCGGTCCACCTTATTCCCAGAAACCTACGTGGTGGACTTTCTCAAATAGGTATTTTTCACCTCCTAATTCACGCTCGTTTGTCCGCCCACGCACTGGAAAAAATTATTTCCACTAGGTCTACAATATAAGGCGAGACCTATTCACCCTGAAATTTAATTCTGTCCTTCCGGGAGACTTTTTGAATACTTCCTGTACACTTCTTGTTGGTTTCCGATCTTTTCCTCAGCAGTTAGACCACTCCCACAGCTCTTCAAGTACACTCCAACGCAATGGTCGCTTTCACTGTGGACCAAATGAGGTCCCTTATGGACAAGGTCACTAACGTGCGTAACATGTCGGTTATTGCGCACGTCGACCACGGTAAATCCACTTTGACCGATTCGTTGGTGCAAAGAGCCGGTATTATCTCGGCCGCCAAGGCCGGTGAAGCCCGTTTCACTGACACCAGAAAGGATGAGCAGGAACGTGGTATCACCATCAAGTCTACTGCCATCTCTTTGTACTCTGAGATGACCGAAGACGACGTCAAGGACATCAAGCAAAAGACCGTTGGCAACTCGTTTTTGATCAACTTGATCGACTCGCCAGGTCACGTTGATTTCTCTTCTGAAGTTACTGCCGCTTTGAGAGTCACTGACGGTGCTCTTGTTGTTGTCGACACCGTCGAAGGTGTGTGTGTGCAAACCGAGACTGTGCTAAGACAGGCCTTGGGTGAGCGTATCAAGCCTGTTGTTGTTATCAACAAGGTTGACCGTGCTTTGCTAGAATTGCAGGTCAGCAAGGAGGACTTGTACCAGTCTTTCGCCAGAACCGTTGAGTCCGTCAACGTTATCGTCTCAACCTACGCCGACGAGGCTTTGGGTGACATGCAAGTGTACCCATCTATGGGTACCGTGGCTTTCGGTTCCGGTCTACACGGCTGGGCCTTCACCATCCGTCAATTTGCCAACCGTTACTCCAAGAAGTTCGGTGTCGACAGATCCAAGATGATGGAACGTCTATGGGGTGACTCTTACTTCAACCCAAAGACCAAGAAATGGACCAACAAGGAAACCGACACTGACGGTAAGCCTCTAGAGCGTGCTTTCAACATGTTCGTGTTGGACCCTATCTTCAGACTTTTCGCTGCCATCATGAACTTCAAGAAGGAAGAAATTCCAGTTTTGTTGACTAAGTTGGAAATCAACCTGAAGAGTGAGGAGAAGGACTTGGAAGGTAAGGCTTTGTTGAAGATTGTCATGCGTAAGTTCTTGCCAGCCGCCGACGCTTTGCTAGAAATGATTGTCATGCACTTGCCTTCTCCAGTCACCGCTCAAAACTACAGAGCTGAACAATTGTACGAAGGTCCAAACGACGACCCAGCCTGCATTGCCATCAAGAACTGTGACCCTACTTCCGACCTAATGCTTTACGTCTCCAAGATGGTGCCAACCTCCGACAAGGGTAGATTCTACGCCTTCGGTAGAGTTTTCGCCGGTACTGTCAAGTCCGGTCAAAAGATCAGAATCCAAGGTCCAAACTACGTTCCAGGAAAGAAGGACGATCTTTTCCTCAAGGCTGTCCAGAGAGTCGTTTTGATGATGGGTAGATTCGTCGAACCTATCGATGACTGTCCAGCCGGTAACATTGTCGGTTTGGTCGGTATTGACCAGTTCTTGTTGAAGACTGGTACTTTGACCACCTACGAGTCCGCCCACAACATGAAGGTCATGAAGTTCTCTGTCTCTCCAGTTGTGCAAGTCGCTGTTGAAGTCAAGAACGCCAACGATTTGCCAAAGTTGGTCGAAGGTCTAAAGAGATTGTCCAAGTCTGACCCTTGCGTCTTGACCTACATGTCCGAGTCTGGTGAACACATTGTCGCCGGTACCGGTGAATTGCACTTGGAAATCTGTTTGTCCGACTTGGAAAACGACCACGCCGGTATTCCATTGAAGATCTCTCCTCCTGTGGTTGCTTACAGAGAAACCGTCGAGGCTGAATCTTCTCAAGTTGCCTTGTCCAAGTCTCCAAACAAGCACAACAGAATCTACTTGAAGGCTGAACCAATGGAAGAGGAATGTTCTTTGGCCATTGAAGCCGGTAAGATCAACCCAAGAGACGATTTTAAGGCCCGTGCCAGAATCATGGCTGACGAATACAACTGGGACGTCACTGACGCCAGAAAGATCTGGTGTTTCGGTCCAGACGGTAACGGTCCTAACGTTGTCGTTGACCAGACCAAGGCTGTTCAGTACCTAACTGAAATCAAGGACTCCGTTGTTGCTGCTTTCCAATGGGCTTCCAAGGAAGGTCCTATCTTCGGTGAGCCAATGCGTTCCGTCAGAATCAACATCTTAGATGTTACTCTGCACGCTGATGCTATTCACAGAGGTGGTGGTCAAATCATCCCAACCATGAGAAGAGCCACTTACGCTGGTTTCTTGTTGGCCGAGCCAAAGATCCAGGAGCCTGTCTTCTTGGTCGAAATTCAATGTCCAGAACAAGCCGTTGGTGGTATTTACTCCGTCTTGAACAAGAAGAGAGGTCAAGTCGTCTCCGAAGAACAAAGACCAGGTACCCCATTGTTCACCGTCAAGGCTTACTTGCCTGTCAACGAGTCTTTCGGTTTCACCGGTCAATTGAGACAAGCCACTGGTGGTCAAGCTTTCCCACAGATGGTGTTCGACCACTGGTCTACTTTGACTGCTGACCCATTGGACCCATCTTCCAAGGCTGGTGAAATTGTCGCCGCCGCTCGTAAGAGACACGGTATGAAGGAAGAAGTCCCAGGCTGGCAAGAATACTACGACAAGTTGTAAGCAATTACACTTTGCTCGTAGTCATATTACTTCGGAAACATACTCAGCGTTTTTATAACTTGTAGGCCCGATTTAATTATATTGTATATTTCTAACTTTTAAGGATCTCAGATTAATTGTCAGTTGCTGACACTTGTTTAACTCACATTTCATGTAAAGCAGCCCTAGGTCTGTGCTAAATACCCACCATACCTTACGGGATTCTTGTATAACGTCAATCGGCCGCTTGATGGGCCAAAAATCGTGAGATCGCCTATCATTTTCTTCGAAGAATCCATTGTCTGCGTGCTAGGATATCTTCGAATTTAGGAACCATATGTCGCTTCCAGAAGACCTAAAACCATGGTATATCGAATGGCTGGAGCTAGAAACCGTCAAGGCTGCTCAAAAGAACGAAAAGCTCGGTGCTGTGTATGCAAAGGCATTGGAAAACCTAAAAAGTCACGACTTGGCTCTCGTGCACCCTAACCAGCTACTTTCCGTCAAGGGTATCGGAAACAGGATTAAAAATGTATTACGGGATCGTCTTCACGCTCATTGTAAAGAGACTGGATTTGAGCTCCCGTCAGATCCCTCGTTGCAGGTAGCAAATGTCGAAAATCGTCAGAGAACAAAGATACGATCGCTACAAAACAACGATCCAGACGATGAACGTCCCAAAAAAAAGCGGAAATACGTCCCCAAACGAAGATCTGGAGCATATGCTATCTTACTGGCCCTACTGGAAAACAATTCGCCTCGCTCTGGATCGTCAAAAAATGAGGTCGTAGCACTCGCAAGCAAATACTGTGATCATAGTTTCACCTCCAATCCGACTTCCCGCGACTTTCACAGTGCCTGGTCAGCAATCAAGACGCTTTTGGCCCGAGAACTCGTGTATGAGGAAGGACGGCCGAAGCGCTACGTTTTGACTCAAGAAGGTGAAGAAATGGCCCATTCCTTGAAAAGAACCGACCAGGTAGAGTTTGAGGACGAAGCCGCTTACCAAACCCGTCTCAGTACCCAAAAAGAGGGCTCTCCGCGAGAGATAGCAAACGAAATCTCAGATGCTTCTGTAAATTACTCGGCATTGATGGAAGCCACTGCGTCTCCGGATCCAAATGTTCCTGTGATTCCACGTCAAGACAACTTTGAACATCAGTTCGGAAATGATCTAGCTTACATGACACATAGTCTAACTGGCAGCGTTAGTGCAGCGCATACAACTGGGCAATATTCAAAGTCTGGGTCTGCTAGTCCTTCCAGAGTCCGAGATAATATAGTTCGAGCGCGTTGGAATGGAATCAGCTACGAGCTTTGGGACCCTGGAACCTATGACATTGTGTTAATTATCGATCACCGTGAGGTCAAGTCGAGGAAAGATCGAGAATTTTTCTCCACTCAGTTGCAGGACAAAGGAGTATCAGTTGACACACGCCAGTTATCTTTAAGTGACATGCTATGGGTAGCTAGGAACAAATCGACCAAACGTGAGTGTGTCCTTAACTTCATTTTAGAGAGAAAGAGGCTCGATGATTTCGCCATGAGTATCATGGATAACAGGTTCTTGGAGCAAAAAAACCGGCTGAAGAAGACAGGATGCAAGAATATTTATTATTTGGTGGAAGATACGGTGAGTGATACGGCTATTCGTATGGCAGACGCTATAAAAACTGCTGTTTGGATGACCGTAATATATAATGGCTTTCATGTCAAAAGGACCAAAAACTCCAATAGCACTGTAGCGTGGCTAAAAGGTATGACGCAGGTCATAGAAAGCCATTATTTTAAAAAAGCCCTATTGGTTATGAGCCCTCGGGACCTGAAAAACCAGGAAGACTATTTCACTACGTTGCGCTCATTTCAACAACAGTTTGAGCGCACCGAGGCTTTAGAATGTTGCCAACGCTTTGATTGTTTCCAGGAAATTATGGACAAGCGATCGTTGATGACCGTAAAAGAGCTATACCTTCGAACGCTGTTAACGAACAAAGGTGTTTCGCTAGAAAAGGCTCTTTCAATACAAGCCAAATTCCCCACATTGAAGTCTCTTTTATTGGCGTATCGGGCGTGCGACTCAGAAGTAAGTGGGAAGTCTTTGATATCGAACGCGCTCAAAGACGAGCCAGGAACGCGCAAAATTGGAAAAGCCTTATCTGAAAGTTTGTGGTGCACTTTTGGAAAACGCTAAGATTAACTTCCCTGGACATCAATGGTATTTCCTATATACGTAGTGAACATCGATCCCATCCTCGAAGACTTGCCCTATCTCTTCCAGTGATAGTCCCTTGACTTCAGGGTACCAGAAGTAGATGAAAAACCAATCTAAAGCTGTCATCAAAGCGAAAAGAGTCATGGTAAACTCGTTACCAAACTCTTTCACGAGAGGTAAGAAGGAGAAAGATATAGCCGAGTTGGTCAGCCAATTAGTGCAAGTGATGCAAGACGCCCCAAACGAGCGGTGACTCAACGGCAAAAACTCAACACTCATCCATGGAACAGTGCCCATGCCAACTGCGTAAGCAGCCACATATACCAGAAGTGCTATCAAAAATATAGCTGATACCTTGTATTGAAATCCAACACTGCAGACGATAAGACCTAACGTCATTATCCAAACAGTAGTCAGAAGAACACTACGCCTCCCGGACCGATCGACTACGCGCATCGCAACACCAGTAAACACGAAATTGATGAAGGCGACGGCGACAGCGGGCAGGAGGGAATCGTCGACGCCAATCTCTGAGAAAATGAGTGGTGAGTAATAAACAAAAGCATTGAAACCCGTTGCTTGCTGAAAAAACATGAGGATGCAACCCACGAACAGTGCGCGACGTGTTCGTGAATCCATCTTAGTAGCGATTTCTGACTGCGGCCACTGTAAGTCGGTTGTTATATTAGCTCTTTGCATAACTTCGTTCTCTGCCTCAGCAGAATTGCCAAGAATTGTGTGAGCTGGTCTTTCTCGACTCAAAAGAGGACTGTTCTCGCCCTCCCTATGTATAATTGACATGTTGCGCATAATCTTTACCATTTTGTTTATAATTTGAACATCAGACGCTTTGGGATAAATGACACATAGTGATTCTCGAGCCTCTTGTGGGCTACCGGTGAGAAGAAGCCATCGTGGTGACTCTGGTAATGACTTGAGAAGGATGAGTAACATTACGGCGGGCAATCCACCTAATGCAAACAGCAATCTCCATGCATATGGTTGATTTATTATGAACCACGAGAGCGTGCATGCCAGTAGCTGACCACTAGTAATTGCCAAAGTATTGAGAGCCAGGATAGTGCCTCTTGCTGAGCTTGGAGATACCTCACTCAGATATATTGGTACGCACTGCGCTGCAATGCCCACTGCCGTGCCCAGAATGAGTCGGCCTGCGACCAGGACGGATAGAGACTTTGCCAAAGCCATGATTATGGCAGCCAAAGTGAACAAGACAGAGCACAGGCCGATTGTCCGCTTACGGCCTAGACGGTCTGCCAGAGGAAAAGCGCAGATCGACCCACAAAAAGCCCCAAAACCGGCTGTTCCAGTTATAAGGCCCTTCTGATAGTCTTTCAGATCTTCGAGCTGCAAATCTTGAGGCCTAATAGCCAGTAGTACTCCTGCAATGGCACCTCCATCGTATCCGAATAGCAGTCCCCCGATCGAGGCACTCATATATATTTTGACGGTTTTCCAGCTCAAGGGATACTTTCGAAGGTCAATGTCGTTAGCAGTAGTGTCAGTGGCCTGGGAATAGGTCCTGTATATATCTGTGTAATGGTCATTGCGCGTTTGAAGGCTCGGTGACTCTGTGGCCATTATTTGATGCCTAAATGGTTAAAATATGGGCTCTTTTGCCGTTAAAAGAAGCGATGGTAGACCAAACAATGTAGAAAATTTTAATAAACACGATCCCGAGTTTAAAACGACTGATTTGGGGTCTAAATCGGAGCTAAACCATGTTTCTCGACTTTTGATCAAGTTTATTGCGAGAAGATGCCTTAACTGTAGCCAATTTAGCTGGATGCGCTTACTACTACTTGTCAGGTGACCGAAAATATATTCTCTTGAAGTCAACGACAAGATCGACCACTTATACCAAATATGGTGATTCAGTGGCGTACAATGATGTCCACAATGCCCGATAATAGCGGTGGCTCAGGTTTCTGTCCTTTTCTGATTCTTTTTTCTTTTCGCTACGGAGATCAACCTATTTAATGAATTGTTGAAGTGAAAGGACAGTGGTGTAGACAAGCTACACAACAAGCTTGCATTGTGGTAGTTCATGACAAGCGTTTTTAGTTGTGAAAGTCTTTGAGAATCTTAATCGAGGTCAAAAATTGGAGCTCGACAAAAGCGCTTATGGTGCATTTTCAAAAATTTGAGGTTTCCTCTTCTATTTAAAAGGATTGCGGTGGAATATGTCTTGGAGGTGTATTTGCCCATGTGCTGGAATATCAATGTTCGGAGTTACTGAGTGTTCAGGTACATGTTTGGGTGATGATGAGTTCTGTCATTTGATGACAGAATAGTACGAAGTTACAATAAATAAGTGGATTCGATACTGTCCCAGGGTCCAACAAATCGTAGCTCCATTGCATTCTCAAGATGTGCTCCAGCTGGAACAGTTATTAAAATAGCTCAGCCAATCCAATTGCTCGAGATAAAACATCCTGCAAAACTGATATGAACCCTGTTTCATTAAAATTATATTACGCAGTTGATTCCAAGTCGAGACTTCAAGCCAATCTCGTTCGCGTATCCGGCACCAAATCCAATAAAGCTTGAACCTAAGTTCTGTACAGCTCACACGATGCTGGGAGGACCGTCAAAATCAGTTTTTGATTTAAAATCGCACGCACCGTCATCTCAACCAACAACATGGAAGTGAGGTTTTTAGCGCCTAGAATCAAGACCGTACTCATCCGACTGCAATAACTGCAACTGATCTTCTTTTCAAACCTAACAATTGTGATAAATAAAATCGATCTTTTCCATTAAAGAAAACCGTTACTTACACTCCCAGAGGACGCTACCAACACAGAAACAATTACCCCATAACTCTAATAGCACAACTCAATTTCATAAATGGTGTCCCTTTGAATGCTAGACCTATGGACAAATATCCTGGGCCAACTTAACTTATTCAATTAAGTCGCCCACATCGTACAAAGAGACCCACTGTATAAACCGCCAAACTGTTAAAAATGCTCTCTCATGGGCTATAAACTTCAACCTTCTTTAATTGATAGGGGTGTAAGCATCAACACAGCATAGCGACTTAAAAGTTATCAAAGAACGATCATCACAGCCCAAAATGAGTTTCAAAGGATTCACCAAAGCTGTCACCAGAGCTCCTCAAAATTTCCGGCAGAAATTCAACATGGGCCAGCAAACAGAGGATGCTGTTTATGAAGACGCGGAAAGACGGTTTAAAGAGCTGGAGACCGAGACGAAAAAGCTAAGCGACGAATCTAAACGGTATTTCACGGCCGTCAATGGCATGCTGAACCATCAGATAGGGTTTGCCAAGGCCATGGAGGAGATTTTCAAGCCCATCAGCGGGAAAGTGAGTGATCCCAATGCCACTATCCCGGAAGACAATCCCGAGGGTATCGAGGCCAGTGAACAGTACCGGGAACTAGTGGCTGAACTGCTAGTGACTTTAAAACCAGATTTGGAGCTCATTGACGAGAAAATCGTGAAACCCTCGCAGGAGCTTCTCAAGGTCATCGATTACATCCGGAAAATGGCCACCAAGAGAAACCATAAAAAATTGGATCTGGACCGCCATCTCAACACCTACAGCAAATACGAAGCCAAGAAGGAGCCCACGCCCAAGGACGAGGAGAAACTCTACAAATCGCAGGCGCAAATGGAAGTGGCTCAGCAGGAGTACGACTACTACAACGACATGTTGAAAAATGAACTGCCTGTGCTTTTCCAGCTAGAGGCAGAGTTTGTGAAGCCGCTCTTCGTGTCGTTCTACTACATGCAGCTCAACATTTTCTACAGCTTGTACAACCGCATGCAGGACATGAAGATTCCTTACTTCAACCTGGACACCGACATTTTGGAGGCCTACACGGCCAAACGTGGCAATATCGAGGAGCAGACCGACTCTTTGACCATCACCCGGTTCAAACTCGGCTATGGCAAAGCTAAGCTCGAAATGACCCGCAAAAAATACGGCGTTCAGTCGCCCACCAATCCCGGGTCCCCAGTGACGCCCCAGGCCTCGCAATTTGACAACAAGTCTGCCACTGCTGGTGGCTACGGTCCTCCTCCCTATGGTCAGGCGCCTGGGGCCCTGGACCAGCAGCAATACCCTGCCGAAAAGGCGACCTACGTGGCGTCGCCGGGCGGACTACCGTACCAACAATACCCTGGTGCGGCTCCTGTAGCTGCATCTGCTGCTGCTGCTCCGGCCCCATATGCTGCATACACACCTCCTGCGACCGCTCCCGTGGCGGAAACCGTCACCGCTTTGTACGATTACCAAGCTCAAGCTGAAGGCGACTTGACTTTTCCCGCTGGTGCCGTGATACAGGTTGTGGAACGCACGGAGGACACCAATGGGTGGTGGACCGGAATGTTCAATGGGTACCAGGGTGTTTTCCCTGCCAATTACGTGCAATTGAACAAATGAAGTGTGGGTTTCAATTCAGAGGCCTGAAGTATAAGTTTGTGATTCAAATTTGTTTCTTTCTCTCTCTGTGTCTCTCTCGCTAGGAGAACAGCATCACGTCGTCTTGGCCATCACATATCCTCTGTCAGTGTCTAGTCCGGTTTCTAGTCTAGTATCTTGTCCATTGTCTAGTCCAACTCATCGAACCTGGATACAAAAGTCACGTGCCATTCTCCAGCTCTAAATTGTTTCAACCACCTAACAACTTAAGCCAAACTCTCTTTAGCCTCTACATACACGTACACATCGCGTCATTGAGATCGGTTTTGGACCAGGAGAGCCTCGATACACGGTGTCAGCGAATTTCAAGGTCGCTTCGGGCATGGAGCCGCAAAAAACCGGGACTTCACCGTCCAAAAACCACCTAAGTCAATGGTGGAAACAGATTCGCAACAATCCGAAAAGCATGTCGTCTGATTCTTTGTCAGTGAGTGGAGAAACAATTCATTTGCGACCCTTGCTGATGGGTCACTCGAGGTCGTTCAACAACGGGCGGCGTACGGGGTCGCCGCCGCCCAGCAACCCGCAAAGCGACGAGTACCGGTCGTACCGGGATTCGTTTCTGACCAGTCGAAACCAGTTTATGGGCCATATATTCGGGGTTCCGCTGTCACAGTCGTTGAGTGTGGCTAGTGCAGAGGTGATTGTGCAAAGCGAACTCGAGAGTTTTGGCCGAATTCCAATTTTGGTGGCCAAATGCGGTGCATTCTTGAAGGCAAACGCGTTGCAAACGTCGGGCATCTTTCGTATTGCGGGCAATAACAAGCGCGTAAAGGAGCTGCAGTACATCTTTTCGACACCTCCAAGCTACGGCACCAAGCTCAGCGACTGGGACGGCTTCACCGTGCACGATGCGGCGTCCGTGCTACGCAGATTCCTCAACAACCTTGAAGAGCCCCTAGTGCCGCTCGAGATCTATGAGAGATTCCGAAAGCCACTGCAGGACAGACCACGGATTCCCAAGCATCTGGCACAGGGAACAGTACGGGACGACCAGCAGGAGGTGGCACCAACGCCGGTGCCAGTAGACTCACAAGGAGAGGAAAAACAAAAAATGAAGGCAGTTCGCCACAAGAAAAGGCTTACCCGTGATATAAGAGCAGCTTTGAAAGAGTACGAATCGCTTTTTGGCGCTTTGTCGTCCGATGCGCGACAACTATTAATTTACTTGCTAGATTTGCTCTCACTCTTCGCTCAGCAAGCTGACGAAAACCTGATGACCGCGCGCAATTTGGCAGCTGTCTTTCAACCCTCAATCATATCACACCCACAACATGATATGGACCCCAAGGAATACGAGCTGTCCCGAATTGTTGTCGAGTTTCTGATTGAATACTCGTATAAGCTACTGCCGCACTTGCTCAAGCACTGTAGTGCGACGCCAAAGCTCACTGCAAAACGCACTACAGATACAAGTGCACGAGAACTCCATCAGGCTCCAAATCTATCCGTGCCTCAAACTAATATATCACCAGAGCCCGAGAGCCGTACAGAGGAGCACGACGGTCTGATATCACCTACAACGCCTACTGAGCAACGTACTCAGAATCTGGATTGTCATCCTCCAGAGTTGAACCCTCCAAGCCCGTCATTTTTAGGTAAAGCGAAGGCAATCCCAAAGGGCAGACCGCATAGCAAATCACTGAGTTACACTCTCAATCCTTCAGACATCATCTCTGGAAGGCGAAACTCTCGACGTTCGTGGCTCAACAGGGTCCTTTCAAATGATACTGCAGAGTTCACAGGAACTGAAGAGGAATGCGAGGAGGAAGAGGATGATGACCTTCACTCGCCATTAAGCAATCAGTCAGGATCAGTTCCCAAGCAAAACTTTCTCACCCTTCCTCGGCCTCGAACCCCTAGGACCATGAGCGGGAACAGTAGCACGTCGGGTGGCATGCGGCCCCTGTCAGCAGTCATGAACATATCGATGGAAGAGATTGCTGCTTCGGTAGGAATACGAAGAAACAGTAACACACACACAGACAACTCAGCGTTATGCACTGATGAAGAAAGTGACTCGCGCGCTAGATCTAGATCAGTCAGACGAAACTCATGGTTTCAGAGACTGAGGAGCCGATCTAGGTCCGCGAAAAACGAAAGAGATGTTTGAAGAAGTAGCATGTTGGAAGTAAAATTGTAATTAAATAAAAAGTGACGGGATACCCTTTGCATCGAGGCCTTTCAGTCTAATATGACAGTGATGCCTTCGTCAGCCTCGGCAATTCTTTTTGAGGGAGGAAATGACGCATCTTCCAAAGGCCGTTTCTTGACGTTTTCATCGACGTCAACGGCGTCCAAAATTATATCCCCTGAAGTTGTCGTCTCTACCGCGTCATCGAGGTCCTCGTCTTCTTTTTTTGGTTCCGCGACTTTGACAAGCGGAACTTTTATATCTGGAAGCCGCAGGCCTATCTTTTCTTCGCAATCGTCGAGGTAAAACTCGGTGGTGCAGCGTAGTTCTTCTACGTCACAGCGTTCATCTGATATGGAAAGTATAACACCATGCTTGAGGTTGACTTCACTTAGCGACTTGTCGAGAAGGTCTTTGAAATCGTAATCCGCAAGAAGTCGCTGAGTAGATTTGTCTAGAACAGAGACTTCGTCTTCAAAACCATATTTGTCTCGAATCTTATCAACAAGATCTGAAAGTTTGGCCGTCTCAAAGGTTTTTGACGAAATGTGTATCACACCGCGCGCTATGGAACAAACTGGGCATTTAGGGTTTGGGGAAGCCAATTGAGGACTGGAAATGTATCGATTACTAGAAATGTTACTAGCTTTCGAAGTGAATGCCATGTTTAGCTCAGTTGGTTTTGCCTCAGGCTGGTTTCTGATGAGATTCAATACTCGAAGTGATGCAAGAGCAGAAAGGCCTGAAATAATAGCATTTGTTGTTGCAATAGCAGGGATTATATTCCCGGCAATCTGTTTGATATCGAAAAGGGATTTCTGTGGTAGTTTGAAAATGTGAGCACGGATGTTTGCCGCTGTACTAACAAATTCTAGTGTGTCAGCATCATCTTTGTCAAACTCTATACTTCCTTCTCCAGGCATTCTACGCATCAGGCGTTTTGATGCTAATACAAATGCGTTAACCTGTTCTTGAAGTGACCAGATGACACTCATGTCTGTATTGATAGTATCGTTTATCTCCACGTCGTAGAGTGGGACGGGCTTCTCGCGAGTTTTCCACAGCTCCTCGATAGCCAGGAGTTTTTCAATGTCTTGAACAAAAACCTTTCTGATAATGTCAGTGATCTTGGATTCATCGCCCGATTTCACGTACTCCTGCAATTCATGCAGCTCGTTGGTCTCTTGTTGTATTCGCTTTATTTCCTCTGGATTCTCGGTTCCAAGATCACTCTCACCAACGGTTGATGCGCTAGATGCAAAAAGCTGAGCGAAAAGGAAGTTTTTGGCCCAGACGATGCAATGAATTGGTTGCGAAGGAGTCGACCTGATGGTGCAAACCGGGAAAGTTTTTGGTGTCTCCTTAGTGGTGCAATCAAAACATTCAGTGGATCCTGGAATAATTGGCTGGATATATCCGTCAAAACCTGCGGTGCCACTTTCCAGCAAAGGTTTGTGCAAGAACTGGGCCATTTGATTAACGTAACGTCTGGCTTCTAAGTTATCCAGCGCGTTGAAAATGATAGAGAATCGATCAAACCAGCTCAAGGGGAAAGTTTCCACGTCCATAATGTTGCCTGTGTGCGCAGTAAGCTTGGAATTGCTAACGTGCTCGATGGCCTTGACGGCAGTGGTTGATTTCGACTGTTTGATGTCACGCTGTCTGAACAAAAATTGACGGTTTAAATTCGAAAGATCGATTGTATCAAGGTCCACAATATCAATTTCGCCGAATCCCATCAACACAAGGTTTTTCAGTAGTTCACACCCTATTCCTCCGGCCCCGATGAGCAAGATGCGTGAATTCCGCAGTTTTTGGTAGTTTTCGGCGCCTAAAATTCTACCATTGATGGAATTTGCTGAATTCATCGTTTTCAGAAGATCAGAAGGCCTTTACAGCGCTCAAAAAGCTACTTTTTGATGTAAATATGATGGTTGATTTTTTGACCGATGGATATCTAAACTTTCAGATGATCTTCTAAATAGACCTTTCGTGTAGAAAGATGAACTACAACTTAAACCACTATAAACCACATTGTCAGATTCGCGATGGCGGCTAAACGCGCTTTATATGCCACATTAGAGGCTAATTGAAGTGTTGGCTTCCGTTTAAGAATAAAAGCTAGGTTTAGAGACTTTTTTTGAACAAAAACGGAGCACTTTTGGGTCAAGAAACGAACATTCTAGGAGAAAGCGGTAACGGTAAGTGATTGTAGTTAAGATGTTGGTTGAAAGACACAATAAGATCCGTGCGGACGTCAAAGATCGCTTATAAAACCAATTACAATTTTTTGGCGAGAAGAACGGGGAAGAAAAACCGTGTGATGGCCACAAATTAGCTCGGCGGCAGTGTGATAGAAATGCTAATTGTGGGTAGCTGAATTTAACTAAAACTAACTGAGATTTACTTGGATGCGAGCTTTTACGGAATTTGCCGTGATATAAGGCTTGTAGCTCTGGGTCCTCATGAAACTACTTCGCCCGGTAGCTGCTTCTAACAAGTGAAAAGCTCAAGATTCAGGAAATGGATGCAACTTTCAGGAGAGCAAAAGATTACAATGGGTGATCCGCAACAGGTTGTTTTGATTTTTCAACACAGAAGAGTGTTCTTTTGGAGAGTCACATTTGCCTGCTTTCCAGGAATACTCAGATCCAGAAATGTGAACTCTGACGACCCCAGGACTTATGATACTAACATAGCACTGAACATCGCGCTTTTTCAAGGGTAGCCAACAAGCCAATGCCTTCTATCACCTACATTTCGCAGATCAATTCCGTTTCAAATGGCTCCTCCCATAGTTTAGCTGCTCAGGCCTAAAACCACCGTTTCGCCAAAACCTCCTACAAGAAAGCATGAAAACACCTACTATCTCGCATTAACAAGGTTTTAGCAACCCACAAAAGCTTCTGTCAACCAGAGATCGTACGGCAGTTTTCCAATTAAATGGCTCCTCCTACATTTCAGCTATACAGACCTAAACCACAATATGACTAAAACCTATTACAAGAGAGCATGAAAACACCAACTATCTCGCATTCAGAAGGTATACCAACATAAAAATGCCTTTATCGAAAACACATCACACGTCAATCAGGCTCCTTCTACATTGCAGCTACACTGATCAAAAACCAAGATTTGACCAAAATCAAGCCTGAAAACGCATGGATCCACTCTTCAAGACACGAACAAGTACCCTCACTAGCCCAAACCCGCGTTCGCACCTCAACTCTTCCCGCTCCAAGATCATCTTCCCATCATCTGTGCATCATGTGCTTCTCATGTGCTTATCATGTGCTCTCCGCGTGCCCTCCAATGGCCTACCTCGGATCCGAAAGAGCGTTTGAGATCACGACAGCCTTTTTGAGCCGGGACGGCATATATATATCGAATCCCGAGAGCGTGGAACCTGACGTAAAACGAACCTGTTTTGATCAAAGGTGCCTCTCGAGATAGAACCAAGGTTTATCGCATAGCTTCGAAGTCAGCCAAGGATATTTCCGATAAACATTAAATTCGGATTTCTAGGTCCTTTTAAGGTACAAGTGCAAGTGCCATAACTCTCTCTAAACTGAACTCAAACCCAGACCTTATAAACGCATTTTGACAGCCATGTTCAAGTCCCAATTCGCCAAAAAATCGGTGAGATTCTTCGCATCAAAAAAACAACCTTCGATTGGACGTTTCACTGGTAAACCAGACCCTGCTACCGGCAAGTACACAGTTTCGTTCATTGAAGGTGACGGTGTGGGTCCTGAGATTTCGAAGGCCGTCAAGGACATTTTCGTGGCAGCCAAGGCCCCTATCCAATGGGAAAGCTGTGATGTGAGCCCTCTTTTCATTAACGGCCTGACAACGATTCCTCAGCCAGCCCAGGATTCCATCAACAAGAACTTGATCGCCTTGAAGGGCCCACTGGCCACTCCTATCGGAAAGGGTCACAGATCTTTGAACTTGACCCTGCGTAAAACTTTTGGTCTATTCGCCAACGTGCGTCCTGCCAAGTCTGTGGAGGGCTACAAAACCGCATACGACAACGTCGACCTGGTGCTAATCAGAGAAAACACAGAGGGTGAGTACTCCGGTATCGAACACGTTGTTGCTCCAGGCGTCGTCCAGTCCATCAAGCTTATAACTCAGGATGCCTCTGAGCGTGTCATCAGATACGCCTTCGAGTACGCCAGAGCCGTTGAAAGACCAAAGGTCATGGTCGTTCACAAATCTACCATTCAAAGACTAGCAGACGGTCTTTTCGTCAACGTGGCCAACGAAGTAGCCAAGGAATACCCTGACATCGAACTACAGACAGAGATTCTAGACAAGACTGTGTTGAGCGTCGTCACTGACCCATCCAAGTACAAGGACGTCGTTGTTGTGTGCCCCAACTTGTATGGTGACATCTTGTCTGACTTGAACTCTGGTCTAAGTGCCGGCTCTTTAGGTTTAACTCCATCTGCCAACATTGGCCATCAAGTTTCTATCTTTGAAGCCGTTCACGGTTCTGCTCCTGACATTGCTGGCCAAAACAAGGCGAACCCAACTGCTTTGCTATTGTCCTCCGTTATGATGTTGAACCACATGGGCTTGACCGAAGTAGCTGCAAAAATTGAAAAGGCTGTTTTCACCGCCATCGCCTCCAGCCCAGAGAACAGAACTGCCGATTTGGGTGGTAGTGCTTCTACCTCTTCCTTCGCCGAGGCAGTCATCAGCAGATTGTAACAAAGTACACTTCAACTAAATAGTAAATGATATAAACCTCTCAAACGTCTCTATAAGTTTACCTAGTCTGCATTCTTAAACAAAAATTGATAGTCGTAAACTTCATCCGGCATGCCACTGCTGCGCTTCCATGTTGTAATCTCTCTGATGTTATGATCAATGCGGAACAATCGTACAATCGAATTCTCGCTTTCCGACAAGGAGTAGCCAGCTACCCCCGTTTGACCACCATAGCATAACCAAACACTTCTATCGTAAAGGCAGCAATCATTCCCGTGCTCTCTGCCGCAACTCAAAGCTTGAACCCCCAGCCGTCTCATCGCGCCACCAATGCCAAATTGAGCCACGTCCAAAAGTTCCTTCTCATTGAAAGAGCCTATAATCGGAAAGGCACCACTGGGACGATACTCCGGAATTGGGGAATGCTGGAAGATTAGAGAGTATAAAGGTTCACCGTAAAAATTTCCAGTGATTTGTTCATGTGCCGCTTCCATGAAGTCGACCGGGTTTTCAGCGCTAGTTGAGTCTAAAACATAGATCACGCCAACCAGTCCCTTTTCATTGTTCAGTGTGAGCGCGTTGGTGGTAGTATTTGCAGCGGCATATTGGGCGACTCTCTTATTCATCTTTACTAAGCCAAAGGGTAGCTCCTTCACGAAGTCCAAAATCTGACTCTTAGAGGCAAATCTGGAATAATCAGACTGCCCCCAGCTAAGTATCCACGGAACTCCTGCTAAAATCACTTCGCCGAGTGCCTTCATGATGGCTGCTTGATAATCTAGCGTGCTGGAACCCTCGATCAGGTCTCCAGTGAAGATCACCAAATCTGGTGCCTCTTTCTTCAGAACAAAGCGCACAAACTGAGCCGTCTTCAGGTCTTCCAAAGAAGATTTCACACCGCATTGGTAAGAGGAACCGACGAAATGCAGGTCCGACAACTGGAGAATTTTGAACTCGTTTTCACGGGTGAAAAGATTGCCATAATCCGCATATTTGAATGGCATTTTGTTGGGATTGATCTTCTGGTAACTTATAAACAGCGGCAGGCCTTCTTTTCGGAGCAACCCAGCGACAGCGCTTTTCCAGCTGGGTCTAGGGTCTACGAATTCATTCGCCACAAAAATCTGAATATTGGTGATTAGTTCACTGTCTTTGTCGCTACGAGCTGGTGAATATTTACACCAAACTCCGGATCCCTTATAATGCCAATCTTCGCCTCTTACTATCAGATTTTCTGAAGTGGCGCCGAACATCTTGGACCAACAATCCACTTGATGGTCGTGCTTGTGAAACATAGAACTATCGCTTGACCTCAGTCGATCGTTCACGTCTCGGAGAACCTGGACTGGAACGACTGATCTGTCGTTGGTGATCACCAGGTCTGAAACACAGCCATGCTCGAAGGCTGGTTTGGCTGGATGAACATAGAGAAACGTGTGATACAAAAAATGCCAATCAATGGCAAAGAGTTTGTCATTGTTGAGATCTTTTTTCACTCTCAGCCAAAGTTTTATAGGGCTGTGACGATCAGTCCTCTCAAATACGGTATCACATCCTATGTACCACCGGTAGCACCTGATGAGCTTAACATCATCAATGGCTCCGCCCTCGTATGCACCTACGTTCGCTGGTTGACGAAGCATATTTGCTAAATGTACCCTAATGGACGAACATGAAAAGATGCAAAGCAATAGAATCACTAGTAGAATGACCTTGCGGCTCAATTGGGTAAGCCTTCGCCTTTGTGAAAGGCTCAACATTTATTCTCCCGGCCGGCTCCCAACCAGTGATTTCAGTTTTTGGTAAATGGAAGCAGATCAGGTTTGAAGCAGATCAGGTTTGAAGCAAAAATTTCGAACTGAATACAGAAGATGTTTCTAAGGCAAAAAGTATGCTGAATTCAATGAACCACACCACTGGTCACAGTCGGATCTCAATTCTAGATGGAATCTGCTTCGTCATGAGCCCAAGAGCTCGAGTCTGCCGCATCATTTTTAGCTAGCAGGAAACTAACGATGTATTCAAGCCAAATATAGCGTAACACCGAGCACGTGAACGAAAACTTGAATTAGGTATTCTGGTCCTCTAGTTGAGATAGATCGCTCAAGAATCATAAATCCATCAATTGTTCTTTTTCGACCACAATGGCTGAATCTTCAAGAGCTTTTTGGTCTTTCCTGGCGAAATTGAAGCACCCGCCATTTTTTTGTATAGTCTCCTTTACCATCTCATCGCTATCAATGGCACTTTTCTTGAAGTAGGTGAACATGAGCGGTGTTTCCGATGCAGTCCTTGTGTGCAAGCGAATTGTGTATAAAACGTCTTTCGGTGTAGCCGGAATAACATCTATATCGCCTGTTGCACTTCTGGTCACAACATGGTGCCATTGTCCGTTTCTTTGACGTAGAAAATAATTGGCAGGTGATATAACTGCGGTGGTGAGTAAGTAAGGCTCGTCGATGATTCCTAGCCTTGTGGCTGCCTCTATAATACCAAGTTCTGGGTGTGACAAATTGAACTCGTTGTTGATTTTCTGCGTCAAAGCCTTGTACTCGGCCATTTTGGTTGTCTTTCGAGAACCCAGGTTTTCCTTAAGCAATTCCAACGAGCTGACTAGAGCAGCGACCTCTGGCTGTTGCGAGATTGATTTGGCGTCTTTTGCAATAAAGTCAAGTGTGCTATTGAGGAACGAATGGATGTGTTTTCCTTGGTAACTTTTCAAATCGCTTAAAGTGCGTAAGGCTTCGCGGGCCTCCGCTTGAGCCTCTCGAGATTTCATCAAAATATCATTTATGAGAAGTTTTTTGGCCTTTTCAGTATAAATTTGAGGGTAGAATTCGAGCGGCACCTCGACTCCATTAGCGAGGTTTGCACTTTCAGTGCTCTCATCCATCTCGTCAAAAACAATCGTTATCAAGGGCGCAAGATTACCTAGAGAATTTTGACTGTCCTCTAGGTCCGAAGTAGAGTCGTTGTCGTCTGGGAACAGTAGCGCATTGAACATCTTGTAGAGGTTGGATTCGTACTCTTCTGGCATGAAGTGCAAAAGCGACACAAGAGTCTCTACCATGTCCGGCTCCGAGGGAGGTTTATAGTAGGCAGTTGAAATGAAAAGCTCCTTTATCGAAGAAACGCCTGGACAGAGTTCTGCATCTGTGGCGAGGCTTTTGATGAAGGAAGGCAATACGTCGTGTAGATGATCACAGTTGTTCAATTTGTCCACAACCTGTGGCTCTAAGGCTTTAGTCAAAAATTTCGAGCTTACAAACTTTCTTTGACAACTGGGTACGTTTTGAATCGCTAGTAGTTTCTGGAACTGCCACAAAAGCTCGGGTTGCAGAACTAGGCTATCTTGCCCCGTGAGCTCTTCCTGTGGGACAATAGCGACCGTTTCATTCGACTCGAACTTGATCCTAAATTTTGGTTTAAGCGAATGGCCCTGGTACCAGTCTTTACAATAAACTAAGTCTTTGAAGTCCGGCTCCAAGAATTTATGAGGAAACCCGAAACCGACAGCTAAGCAGAAAAGAGCAAAATAGTTTTCCATTATGGAATTCTCAGATCCCATTTGAACCACAATCGGGTCATCTGGCTTGTTTTTTGTGTGTTGCACCAAACGGTCCTCGTAGCTTGGCACAGGGTTCGAATCTGGCCAATTGGTCGACTCGTTTTCAGATTGGCTCGAGTCCACCGCAGCCACTGCGTTTTCCACGAATTCTGCGTTTTCTTCAGGCTGTGGGTAGCTTCGAAGCTCTACGGTGTCCACTTGAGCATCCTGCTGCGGTAGCTCGCCTGAGAATATGTAGTTCACCGAAGCCTCGATGTTTCCATTGGTCTTGGCCAAGGCTTCAATGGCCACCTCTCGGGTGATACCCATTTCTAGTAGAGATCTGATCGAAGCTTCTGACATAGCGATTGATGCGATGCGGTAAGGTCTTGGACAGTCCCCTTCGTCGAGCTGTCTAGGAAATGCTGATGATTGTTGAACCGAACCCAAAGTTACCTCTTGCATTTCCAATCTCTTCAAACTTTAGATCACATGACCTTGATCGTCCTCTTTGAGAAGAGGCATCATAGCTAACGCGATGCTCGCCATTGGGTCGTGCTGTTGGTGCTGCTGGCGCTGTTCTGGATACTTTGGAACATAATTCGCTGGCTTTCGGACTGAATCTGTGAAGGTCAATTGTTTAAGCTATTGATAGGTGCTCGAAGTCGCTGGACAATTAGTGTTGTTCACGTATAATGCTTTAGCGACACGGCAAAACAATCAAGACTGTTTGACCACCCTGATTGTACTGCTCTTCGCGTTAAACTCGGCTCAGCAGTAATAAATTAGTTGATAACGAAAGTCAATAAAACACTGCCAGACAAATCTCCAACCTGCTTCGTAATGCCCAGACTGTGGGCGCTTGAGCCGAACTCGGTTAAGGTTCCAGCATGCTTCTGAGAAACTAAAAGCTCATTTTATTTGCTTTCTCGCGCCAGAACTGCCAATTCACCAAAGTGTACTCACCCATAAAGCTCATATGCTAGCATGCTAGCGAAATCTTTTATGCAATCCTTGCGACACGAGATTGAGGACTGGTGTCTATGTTTCCTCAACCATCTTGTGGGTTTACTCAGTAGAATGCTCGAGCAATGTGTCTTGACGTACGCACTGCAAGTGTCAGAAACCCACTTTGTTGACAAAGCTCGGCGGCTAATTTGTAAATGTTTAGCCTTTGAACATTCAGAAAGCCGTCCAGCACCGTTCAAGATTGTTGTGAGTCCTATGTTTGTCTCTTTCAGCAGAAGACGTTATATTGAATGATAGTTGCTGTTAAAACATGGTATTAAGAAGCCTCCCTTATTTTTTGCGGGAAAGGTATAAAAAGGCGATAGTCTCGGAGCAAACGTTCCTAATTTCTCTTACAGCAATACCACAAGTCTCGAAAAAAAAAGGCGGATATACGCTATGGAAAGCACCAGCAAACGGAATTACAACCAATGGCTATTGGACGGGTAGAAGGAGAACGGAAATTGAGCTTTAATTGTCTAGCCGCGAAGCCTGAATAGGATGAAAAGTGACAGCGTTACGTTTACAAGTACTGTACAGCGGTTAGGTGCTAAAAGTTTTTGACAGAATCAATGCCACGGCATGGGAGCTCATGGCAACAGCATTGGCATTAAGGTTACTGCGTCAGCAGATCATGCAGACGCCCCAAGGACTCTTCTCTGCAAATCACTACAGCGAACTTGAGCAAACAAGCTGAGACAAGTATTACTGGATGGGGAGAGGGGTCCTGAAATCTCCAGGGAAAGGTCTTTCTCCTCCTTTGGTCATTTTTGGACCCAAGTCACGTGTAACGCGAGTGAATCTCTACATCACATGCCATCTTATGTAATAGTGACCAAGGACCGCGTCCTAATCGGTCGACCTGAACGAGCGCGGCGTGTGAGAAGAAGATAGCAACACAATTACGATTTACGGGAAAAAAAAGCCACGTGAAATTGTTGTTTATCGACGTTCAAAATGGTCGTATCTCCCAACATTTCAATGGCGTGAGTGTGACCATGCCGTCGCACCATAAATTCTAACCTTTTAGTGGCGCGGGACTGCACTGCATCATGCAGCAGGGCGGAACTGTCCAAGACTGCACGGTACAGAATACTGTGACACTGGCCCTTGTTCACGAGCGTCTCAGCGCAGCAAGCCATAGTGCGCTCTCACACACGGCAAAATACCGCGTGCGGACGCCAGCTGCAAAGCTAACAATTGGAACTTAGCTCGACCTGCTCACCCCGACCAGAGAGCGGCCACTTGGGCTAGAAAACCTCGCGTTCAGCTCATGGCAACGGCGATCGAGCATTGTGGATCTGCAGGCATGTTCGACATCTGAGACGCAGTAGGCGCACGACTTACTTTCAATCAGTTCAAAGAAGGTTGGCCGACGTTCACTTGGCGGTGCCTTCAGTGAGTGCAGAAAAAATCATGTTTGACTAGCTTTATTTATGTGAAACGAGAAAAATACAGATTTTGATGTTTGTTAAATTAATAAAGGAAATTTCAGTGTGCCAGTGTTGATAGTAGATGCGATCTCGATCACAGCACCACCGAGAGCCTGGTAAAAAAGTTGACGGGGAACAACTCGAGCGAGCTGCGAGGGAGACGTGTATATCAGAACAAGCGCCACACATTAAGGCCCTTGTGCGTTTTGACACTTTTTTGAGGGATCAGAAGCCAAGTCTACACGAGAAGAGAGAGACGCAGAAACAACACAATAGAGTTGGTGGTATCGCAGCATCTTGTTCGCAATAAGAACACCGCTCTCCGTCTATCTGAAATGGCGGTTGATGAATCCTCTAGCCAGGGCGTACCGGAGCAACCTCGAAAAAATCGCACTGCTGGAATTCAAGGGTCGGCGGCCGAGCAAGAAGACGACAAGCCAGCGACTAACACCCAGAATACAGAGACTTCTGCAACGGCAACTAACAGCACAAGCATGGTCGCCAACACAGCGTTTGTTCAAAAATTGTACAATATGCTAGAAGACCCCGCAATGCGAGAGTTGATATGGTGGGCCCCGTCGGAAACGTCGTTTTTAATTCACCCCACTGAGCGATTCAGCAAAGCACTGGCAACATACTTTAAACACGCCAACATGGCGAGCTTTGTCCGTCAGCTAAACATGTACGGTTTTCACAAGGTAAACGATCACAACAAGGCCATTCAACAGAGTTTGCGGACAAAAACCGACATGACATCCACTGCCCCACGGTCTTCTTCAAACCAGACAAAAGCTATCAGCACGGAACCAGATCTCTACGAAAATACTCAAAGTATAGCTGCCAATGTTTGGGAGTTTAGGCATAGTTCATCTGCTTTCAGAAGAGGCGACATTGAGAGCCTCAAGTTCATTAAACGCAGATCATCGCGACATAACCCCTCAAACCGAAAAAATTCAAACAGCACAATATCAACACCACTAGAATATACGGCTCCCACGACCGACCACTTGGTGGAACAAGCTCCGGGCTTGTATCGATCAGGATCTCACATCGACGTGGCGCATGGCTGTTTGTTTGGCACCATGGGACAGTCTTCCTCAACTCCTAGTACTGCGGGTCTTATTCAAGCGCCCACCGATTATTTTGGAGCGACTTATCAGCAACATCCGCAGCAGCAACAGCATCAACAAAGCGGCAAGCTTCTGCCGCCTGCTTCTCACACGCAACAGCAACAACCTATTCACCAGACAATGGTTCAAGCACCCTCGCAGTCCTACTTTCATTGGCAAGAAAGACCATCATTGAGCAACAAGGTTAGCGACATAACGCAGGCTAGTCTATCCCAATTGGCAAGGCCTGAAAACTATGCGGCACAAACCAACTTCGAGTTTGCGGTTGAAGATCTCCGCAACACAAATATGGATATGATAAAACTTTTGGAGTTGGTTCACACACTTGTTTCGACGCCCCAACAAACACCTGGGAACTCTGAAAATGTGAAGCGAGTAAGCACGCCCGTCTCAAGTCAAACCAGTTCAAATGAAATTGGGATTTCGCCTGGTAGTGTATCAGCTCAACAACAACATTCTGAGAATTTGTTGAGTGAGATATCAAGACTCAAGAACTCTGCAATGAACAGGCTACAAAGGTCAGCGATTTCTCAGCAGAATTCAAGATCAGTTCATAGCTCGATAGACCACCACACCGCGAACCCCTATCATGCATACTACTCAAACCGTCCGGGCACTTTTCCTAAAAAAAACTCATTTTCGTCGGCAGCTGTATCGCAAGTGGCGAGTGCACAATTGACCCCGCCTCCTTTACAACAATATACACAGTCCAATGTTCACCAGGCACAACATCTACCAGCTGCCTATTTGAATCCAGTGGGAGCTCAAACGGACTACTTTGGTCCAGCAAACGCAAAAGTCAGTGGTGCGTCGGGGCCATATTTGATGCTCAATCCTTTCGAAAGAAAAGATTCAGCTTCGCTCAATAAAAGCAGACATTTGAGCGTCTTAATGGACCCCCTTGCGCCTGCGCCAATCAATCCTGCCGCGTCTATGACTACTACCAGTGCACCGCCGAACATGTCTCAACAACACAGCTATTATTCGGGACACCCGGTAGCTAGTTCGCATCCCTTGGGGCCTGGAGGAGGAACGTCAAAAAGTGATGTCAAAAACTTGCCAACGTCGAACCCTGACGCATATCAGGAAGGCAAGGTTTTGGAAAAAAGACCGTTATCTCCTTCTATCACAGAAATGCCTGTTCATCCTCTTCCAGTCAGAGGGAGTGTTAAGTCATCTCTAGGAAGCGCCAATAATGCAGTGACATACAGACCTTACTTTCCTTACGGGACAGTTCCAGGCGCCGGCCGCACCTCGCCCTCTGGTGCGCAGTCACTGCAACATCCACAGATGACAATGCATGGTGGCATGCCTCAGAACAAAACGCAACAACAAACGAGCACACGTCCTCTTCATGTTCAAAGAGGACCATCGCCTTTAAACCCTCATGCCGGCGAAATGTTAGAACAAGAATCATTAGAAAACCCTGCGCGCCACGCCCAGTCCGCTGCTGGCCAAGATTTGTCCGCAAATCGCAGAGATGAAACTACCGGTAGTCTGTCAGGACTGTATGCGTTGCTGAATTATGATGGAAAAGAGCCGCCTTCAAAGAAAGTGAAGCTTTGAAATTCAATTGTTAACAATAACAGTGCCAACGGGTTGTATTATAACTTTGTGAAGATTTTAAATTTGATATAAGACTGTATTAGTGGGACGAGTGAGCCTTTAGTAAACCACATAAAACTCTGCTCAGTTACTGGCTTCTTGAGTCGTTAAATTTATTGTGTATGTAGTACTAGTAGTCAAAAATGCATTTGTATTGCAGAATTCTGCTACCCAAAATGTCCCAGTCGCTGCTCGTGACGTAAAGTTCTTCAATCAGCTTTAATCGAGCAAATACGCTTCCGCCTTTCCACGTCAGCAGAGAAGGGTCCATCTCCCGAGGTGCTGGTAGCACGTTGATGGGAAATACGCTCTCACTACCACCAAGAGCGTCGACGCCTTCCCAATAAGACTGAAGTTCCATTTTGATGGTCTTCGCAAGCTTCTTCTTCTGTGCTGCTAATTCCTCCTTATCTTTTATCTCCACAAGCTTATTTGTTTGCTCGAACTCCTTTACTTGCTTGGCGATCTTGTCGTAGAATGTTGGCAGAGTGTTGACACTTAGCAAACGCGGTCTCCATATATTGATCCTGTCCGTGAGAATAAAATCCAGACTTGGAAATTTGGAGCTCCCACCAACGACGAGAATGTTGGAATAGAAATTTGTGGCTTTCGTATAGTTATTATCGAGACAAACACATGCATTTGTGATACTCTCAACAATAGCCTTCTCCAACGCCGTATAAGTTGGTGTTAGATCGCTCATACTTGCCTGTTGATAGTCCTCAATTTCAGATGGCAGGTTTAAAAGCTTTTGCAGTACGTCGAGATCGCGAGCGAGATCACAGTACGTTGTTTCTTTCTGACATGAGAGCTGACTTATAGATTTGAGGTTGTTGTCCTTGTAGCTGAATAAATCTCTGGAACGAGGCAGCTGTTTGGAAACATATTCATTTACTGGTTGTTCATGTGTCTTTATCAAAGCAAACATTTCTGGGAAGAATAAGCCCATGGGCGATGTCATAACTTCATCAAACACCTTGAACTCGAACTTCTCAGCGCCAGGCTTTCCCGGTATCCTCTTTATGAAGTTGTAAAGCTGGATGGTAACATCGGCGTCTTGAAAAGTAGCATATTTCTCTTTAAGAGACTCCATCAACGTCCAGCCTTGCGGGCTAGTCAGATCGATGTCAGGGTATGGGAACTTTGACTCCAATAGAAATTTGGCAAATAAGCGGGTCACGTCGTTTCCACCAAAGTCGAGTGATATGATGCTGTTATCTACAACCAGTCCTTCATCCACACATGCAATCTTGGTTGAAGTGGCACCAATGTCGACGACACAAGTAGAATCGCTAATACCTGCGCCATAACATGACGCAAGAGATTCTTGAATTATGGCCACTGCTTGAAACTTCAAGTCGATTAATAGAAGCTGTATAAAGGTTTCAACGTATGCCTTCTCGTGGACGTCAGCGACCACTAGAACTACTTTGTAGTTTGGAATTTGAGCTTGTTTGATGTTAAGCTTGGGGTGCGAAAGAGCAAACTTTAAAAGCTCACAAACGTCAGACAATAGTTCCTGTAAGGAACGATAATTCGGAGACTCCACATTGAACTTGCCTTTGAAAAAGGGATTTCTCACGTTAAAATGCGCGGGAAGACATCTAGTAGCTTCTTCCCCATAGTAAACTTTTGTGGGCTGTTGAATCCATTCTACGCGATGGAGGTCATTATGTTCTGGGATTTTCTCTGGCTGAACCCTAGTGTTGAAGTTTACAACGGCTTCATGGGAGTTAGGCATGATTTTGCGTTTGTAATATCTCATTCTTTCTTTGAAGTCATTTTGAATGTGTTCCTTTGTCTCATTGTACGCCTCTTGATCGAACTGCCTCGTAATTGCTGGAGTCTTTGCAATACCGGGAGTCTTTGGCACTGCGATGCAGCTAGGAATGGACTGTGGTAGCACATCGGTGGCAAAGCCAATTTTTAGAAACTGTGATCCGGGGTGGATAACGATGGTGTTTGTTTCGCCTTCCTCGTCCGCACTGTCCTGGTCTTCGTCATCTATGGGAATTTCTGGATTATTTTGAGATGAAGTGGCATTTCGAAGCGATTTACGTTCGCGCATAGCGAAGATCTGGTCGTCACGCTTGAGGTAATCGGACGAGTAATTTTTCTGGTTAATAAGCGACAGTGCTCGGAAAAGCCCATTTTGGTGAATGGTGGTGTTATCTCTACGCTCAATTCCCACCGTCTTCATTTTCTGGGCATACTGTTCTGCAGCTTTCAGACGGCCCAAACGACGCTTTTCGAGCAGATGCATGGGCACTTTGGTCAATTGCTGAGGTTGGTTTTTGGTAGGCGTATGGTCTGGTTTTTTTACTTTCGAAGCTGTCGGAGTGGCATTACCGGCGCTGGGTCCCGGGGTCATGGAGAGTGGAGTCTGGTCTGCGGTAGAATAGTCGCCATCGTGGTCCAGCTCTTCATCGTCTGCGTCGGCCATGCGCACGTCCTGGGGGTCTTCGGAACGCGGGTTTTTCGAGGGACTGGTCATTGGGGAAGGAGAAAGAGTTACACGTTGAGTGCTGAAGTTAACAACGAGTATTATGGTCTGGTTGGGTGCTGAATGGGTGTAGATCTAGGGCATCGCCAGCTGCTTTATTTCAAGATATCGAGACTTCTGTGTCATGTGAGACGGGTGGCTAATTACATTTTCGTACGCTACGATTTTAATTTATTGATTATGTAATGCAGACATATCTTCAATCGTTTTAAACGGGATTGTTGAAGCCCAGTTCGAGTAACCTTTAAGAGACTCTCGGGACGGTATTCTGGGCAGTGAGTGCTGGGGTGAGATACGTAATGGGAGTGGCCCTCGTAAGATAAGCACTAGCATGGCTATGTAAATCATTAAATTTTCGAAAACCGTGAGAGTCTGCCGAATGCAGTGAAATTGGCAAAAAAAACCTTGGTTAGTAGCCATACATAATGATTGCGACTTTGTAAGGGAAAAAAATGGACAAAAAATGAGCTGAGATGGCAGTTCAATTGGTCAACGAGGGTCTTGAACGCAGCCCGGAAACGTTGGAAAGGCGTCTTGGTGAATATAGTTGCAATGTCGTATTTTACCGAGTACCAAGATCCTCCTCGGACGTTGAGGTTTGTGAGTCCTGCAACATGTGACACGACGACAAATGACAATATGGTAGAAAGTGACATGGCAGACATGTTCATCACAAAACCGCGTCCAAAGTCTTGACGGCCAGAGCATTAGACGCTCTCAGCACTTGCAGTCGTTATTGGGCCACCTCCAGGCATCTTATCTCACATTTTACAGTATTCATACGAAAAAAGTAGGTCTGTGGCAAGCAAAAAAAGAAGAGAGGAGGACAGAGAGAGAGAGAGAGAGAGAGGGAAAGAAAGAAGGACAGAAATATACCTCACCAGTAAAAACCCTGGATGAAGTTACGTCTCGTCTGAATACTTTACCATCTTCATCACTCAGCATCGCCCTCGCCCTCGCCCTCACTTTCACTCCGCTGTCATCTGGCCACGTGACCTCATCCCCTCGTCCCATCCCGATATCCCCGAGCATAAACTCTAGGGGTGCGGCCGACCACACACCCAGGCAGCATTCTTTATAACAGCAGTATACCCATTTCGATAAGAACACACTCACGAACACACTCACCACATACAACACACAACCCTAGTGGAATATATCTTGGTTGAGAGCTATAGAAAGCTTAATCCCCCAGCTTCATTCTTCCAGTCAAGTCTTGTTCGAACCAGCAGGCTTTCGCCAGCAAGCTTTCATCGCGGTTTCTACACCTTTGTTTCTTCCCCACGCCCCCTAACGCTCTCGCTCTTTCGCTCTTTTCCCATGGCACAGAATCGCAAGTTCTCATTGGAAGCGTCTCGTATGCTTAAACGTAAGAGCTCTGAGCTGTTTAGAAGCTTGCCTAAGGTCCCAACTACCCAATACCTGGAACCTTCAGAACTCACTTGTGATATCCTATACAGCGGATACCGACCAGTTGGATATCCAGTGCGGGAAACTCCGCTGGGCCATCGGAAACTTCCGACACCGTCGCTGCGAGGAACGCCGTCGGAGTTGGCGGCGATATCGTCTGCACCGGCCAGCATGGCGGGTGTATCCGGGAACGGCGGAATCGGATCCGGTGGCGTGAATGGCACGTGGCGCTACAACCCGCGGATCCCGTCGAAACTGCTGCCGTTCAATCTGTGGACGAGCTCGAGCATGGCGATGGAATGCTATCCGGAATGGACGGCGGTTCCACGGAACGTGGTGCACCGGCTGCGGCCGTTCGAGCCGCTAAAGCCGCTAAAGCCGGTAGCGCCGGTGGCGTCGGCGTCAGCGCTCAAGAAAAGCCGATCGTTGCAGCAGCAGGCTGCTCAGCAGACGCGCTCGGTGGCTAACGCGAAAACCATGGCTGACAAGAAGCTCTCCCGACAAGTCGACCAGTTTATCAGCTATCTGCGTGAAAAGGACCGGAGATGAGAGGCGCTGGGGCTTACTCGAGCTGTTTTCTCGTCCATTCACTCGACTCACTCGCACATATATATCTGTATAGCAGGTCTTTATACAGATGAATACGCGCTACGCAAGCGTTTCGAAAGTGTCCTCTGGGCTCGGACTCCGGCCCCCAAACCTTATAGCTTGAACCACCTCTTGCGTGTGGCCGTGGGCTTCGCCGCCACGGCCACGCACTCCAACTCTACTTTCACACGCGTGTCGGGAAAACTCACCACGATGCACGAACGGGCTGGGCTGTTAGGGAAAAACTCGTGGTACACCTTGTTGACCACGGGCGCACACGACCCGTCAGCGACAAACAAAAGCACCTTCACCACGCCGTCCAACGACGACCCACTGGCCTCCAGCACGTTTTTCAGGTTCTGCAACGCGTTTCGCGTCTGCAACTCCAAGCTCTCTGGCATCTGTTCAGTTTTAGGATCTGTGCCCACGCATCCAGCGGTGAAAACCAGGTTTTCTGAGCTACATGTCACGAAGGCAGGCGACAAGATCGGGTACCCTTTGGCAGGACCCACTTCCTTCCAGGTGATTTTTCTAGCCATTGATGTTTGAGCTCTGTGTGTGTGTGTGTGTGTGTGAGTAACATTATGAATATCATGTAAATTTCCATAACTTATCTCGTACCTCGTATGGGCCCTGTAGAGCCTCGTGATCCTCCGTTCAAGTAGTATCTCACAAGCGAGTCGTGTGCACAGTAGTCTTTGGTGCGAAACAAACATGCCAGGTCGATGTCCAGCGGCGAGTCAGGCTCCGGGTTCGCCAATAGCTGCCAAATAGCGTTTATAGAGTGTAGCAAGTCCCAGGCGGGACTCCAGTGGTCTGCATCTAGTAAATTTAAGCAGATCCGGCCAGAATCGTAGTCTACGTTACAATGGGGCACCGTTTGGGGCTCGAAACAGATCCATGGCGGCTTGATCGGGTAGTTCTGGTCCACCTCAATCTGCAGTTTGAATTGGTAGCCATAGTACGCCGTTTGAGGAGGACCTTCTATTGTAGCTTCCCATTTGTTAAGGACATCGTCGGAAACAGGAGCTAGAGCGAGGACATGGGAGAACGCAGGGTCATTTCTGAGTGTTTTGGCTGTTTGGACGTATTCTTTGGCCAGTCGAGAGCCCATTTCAAGAATTAATCGATGCGGGCTGAGAGCTGCTGCGATGAGATTGTCACAAACCACTAAAGAGAGGCAACAAACGAGATTCGAGCGGTGTTAATTTGCTGTGTTTGAACAATGTGCAAGGACCGTGAAGACCTTTCTACGGTTGGCTGGTCCAGACAAGAATGTCTGGTTTTTCGATTTTTCAGCTGCCATGGCAGAAGCCAAGAGTAATTGCAGAAGCTTGAAGTAATTATATATGACATACAAATATTATATATATTTAGAGAATAGTATATGTGTACGTCTACGCATACAACATATATGGCTATATGCCAATGAAGTGCAAATGGAAAGGGGATTCCGAGGGCTTGGCGAGATATCGCTATGTTTACGAAAGTCGAGATTCTTGTGTTATAGTTAGAAATGCACTAGGCTTTTGAAACCCATGGGCTTTTGAAACCCATAGGCTTTTGAAACCCATAGGCTTTTGAAACCTATAGGCTTTCTGGCAACGAGGGCATATGAGAGTACTAGTGGAACAAGTGTGATACGTGTTGTTTCGCAGTGTTCAGTATTATGAGAACGCTTACGATTTCCACTTTAGCCAATCTTTTTCCTTTGGCGATCTAGGAATGGACGTTACATGCATCAAAAATGTTGAAAGTTGGGTCCTCTGTGAGTCTAATGTCTCATCTCGAGACGTCTTTCTAGCTAGATTCGAGGCTCACACTTTAGCCTCCATTAATGTCTCGGAGAGTTTTATAAAATGGTTTTTTTCAAAACAATCGAATCGCTTCGCATCCAGTGGCACTTGTGTAAGACTATGGACCTTGTAAGACAACCCGCCGTCAATATGTTACGTTTTCCAGATAGAGAATACTCTCTCTACACAAGTAGCAAGTGGCCAGATGACAGATGACAGATTAGTACAAAGTGATACAATCAAGGAGGAAGTCGCAATGGCATATCAGTAGCTGGACAAACCTGGAACATTTATCGAACAAGTCAAAACTTGCAGCCTCAAACCTGTCTAGAAACATGCCGTAGAGTCAAATAGAAAAGCAGCGTGTGGTTCAAAACAGTCGCGATGACATTTTAAAATTCAGTCTCGCTCAGCATCGAAATATATTGAGAAAATCACAATGGGCAGTGTATATATTTGCTTGCATAACAGCCTGGTAAATTACAGCTCTCGCGCTGGTCACTTTTAACCAGCAGGGAGTACAACTCTTCCTGTCTTTGACAATTCATCACCTCTCACGACCCTATTCTTATTAGGGAGACTGAATTTTAAACTCACATCTTACAACCTCTTGCCACCAACCAATTCAGACATCAGGATCACACGAGAACTACTACAACGATCAAGGTCAACAATGTCTAAAATCGCTGATTCGTTGGCAAGAATCGCCATCCCACTAGGTCTCGCCGCTTCGGGCCTACAGTACTCCATGTACGATGTGAAAGGTGGCTCAAGGGCAGTGATCTTTGACAGACTAAGTGGTGTTCAACAACAAGTCGTCGGCGAGGGTACCCACTTTCTGATCCCATGGCTCCAAAAAGCAGTTTTGTACGACGTCAGAACGAAGCCCAAGAACATTGCTACCAATACGGGGACTAAAGATTTGCAAATGGTGTCGCTAACGCTTCGTGTCCTGCACAGACCCGACGTAATGAAGCTGCCGCTCATCTATCAAAATCTGGGGTTGGACTACGATGAAAGAGTGCTGCCATCTATCGGAAATGAAGTCCTAAAGGCCATTGTTGCTCAGTTCGACGCAGCCGAACTCATCACCCAGAGAGAAACGGTGTCGCAACGTATCCGTCATGAGCTTTCTTTGAGAGCCAACGAATTCAACATCAAGCTGGAGGACGTGTCGATAACACACATGACTTTTGGTCGTGAATTTACCAAGGCCGTGGAACAGAAACAGATTGCGCAACAAGATGCAGAGAGGGCTCGTTTTGTGGTGGAACTGGCGGAACAGGAAAGACAAGCTTCTGTGATTCGTGCAGAGGGTGAAGCCGAATCTGCAGACTACATTTCTAAGGCTTTGGCCAAGGCTGGAGATGGGTTGCTTTTGATCAGAAGAATTGAAGCGTCCAAGGAAATTGCCAAAACTTTGGCCAACTCTTCGAACGTGACATATTTGCCAAGCAACCACAGCGGTAGTGGCGATTCTCAAAGTCCTAACTCTTTGCTCTTGAATTTGGGCCGTTAAGTAAGCACACCCGAGTAAGAGTGAACTAGTTTCAGGGCAAGTGGGCAATGCCACTAAGTCGCACTAGTTTCAACATGTATATATTATATTACTATGCTCAAGACATATTCCAAGCTAGACGAAAATTGGGTGCGGAGGAAGTAAGATATCGCATTAAGCATTATATTTAAATCCTTTGGTGAAAGGAGGGATGGATCAGTTTAAGTATAGAGATTCCAAATATGTGCGATTGAAAGAACGAAAGAGGGTATAACATAATGCTGCGGATGGCGAAAGGTAAAAGTCAAGGATATGAAAAAAAAAAAAGGGGGTGTGGATGTAGAGAGAAGAAACCGACCAGCTGCGTTTACTTGAAATTGAAAGAACGGAGGCAAACCGGTAAAAATTGGCATACTCGACTTAAAATAAAGCAAGGCAGGGGATAATAAAGGCCATTAAATCTCTCAGATGTTTTCCATTAGTGGTTTTTTTTTATTTTTGTGAGGGGTTTTTCCGGTCTGGTTTGGTTTGGTTTGGTTTGGTTTGTTGGTACAATTGATGTGCTTATTTTTTTTTTTTTGTTTTAGTATCTTTTTACCCAAAGAGTAAAGTAAGAGTAGAGCGCTTGTTTGAATCGTTTTCTTGTGGATATTCTCTCAATTAATGTTACAGTAATTTTCGGTTGATGTTCACGAAGTCGAGGTATTAAAAAAAGGGAGGTGAAAGAGAAAAGTGGGTTGTGGTAGTGGCGAACGAGAGCGCCGGTGCTCTCGCGATCGCAATCGCAATCGCAATCGCAATCGCAATTGCAGCCCTGCAGCCCTGCCTTTTTAGACCTGGGAAATGGTTGGAACGCCGACGTTGGCCCTGCGGGAGGACGAAGAGCCGAACATGCCGCCCGAAAGCACGTTGGTCAAGGACAAGCCGAGCTTGGCCAAAAACACAAAGAAGGCAAAGTACAAGAACGCGACGGAGGCCTGGGCCTTACGACAGCGGTCCGTGGAGCCCTGGGTCACGGTGTTGCTGTCCAGGTAGGACTGGTTGGTGCAGGAGTGGGTTCTGATGGCGACGGCGAGCGCGGTGGCGGCGGCGAAGGTGAACACGAAGTTCAAAAAGTCGAAGACGGCGATCAAAATGGGCCACGCGAGCGCGGAGATGAAGTTGGCCGGGATGGCGTAGAAGGTGTCGAACAAGAGCCCGAACACGGCGGCGAAAATGGCGAAGTTGACCTGTGGGTTGGTGTGGTCCCGTGTGGCGGCTAGGGACGCCGTGAGACCCAGCACGATGGTGAGGAAGACGAAGTTGGCAAGACGAAGCGAGTTGTCGAGGATGGAGAGCATCGGGTGGGGTGTGTGTGTGTGGAGGGTGTGTGTGTGTGTGTGTGTGTGTGTGTGTGTGTGTGTGTGTGTTTGTGTAGTGTTCAGTAAACGAATACCTTCTCCTGCGTGTTGCTGCTTATTTATATAGTGACAGAAACGAAGCGATGAGCAAAGGGGAGGGAGGAAATCGACCTGAAGCTTTTTTATTCCGCACACCACTAGGCCGCTCGTATTTATATACTTTTAAGGTCGCCGGTCGTCGGCCGCCGCCCCCCCTTCCATTGGCTAAATGGCCAAATAGCAAGAACTCCGTTTCGGGAAATATGAGGAAACGTAAACAAGAAGAAGCAAAAAAGAGAGAACAAGCAGAGGAGGAGAAGAAGAAGAAGAAGAAGAAGAAGAAGAAGAAGAAGTAGGAAAAGAGTGGCAGGCGAGTGGCGAGTGAGAGGGATGGGGTTAAAACGGTGAAATGGGGGCGAGTGTGGGTGGGTTCAGACTAGTTGTAAGATATAGACACTTTTTAAAAAAAGAGTTGAGTTTGCGTCGGGTGGGCGTTTTCGTACACAGTGACTCCTTTTCAAGGGGGTAAGACAGAGGAAAAAAGCAATAAACTTAAAAAGTACGTACAGAGTGACTACGTGAGCTTATGTAATATTTAGGGGTGCTTACGTGATAGTATTACCCGGGGGGACTCGACCATTCCGAGGACCTTGCGCGTCTCTCCTATTCCCCCTTTGGGCAATTCAAAAACACGTGTCTCCCCTTGCTTCTGCTGCGCTGTTCTTTGCAGTTTGGCTACGTCATAGAAGGCTTCCGCGGGCCGCTGCATGGGACGAACGAAAGTGCTCAGGCAAAGAAGCCGCGGGTGTGCGCAGCGTAATGCGCGTGTGTAGTGGCCAAGTATCGGCCAAGTATTGGCTCGGTTATTCGCAGTGGTGAATCGTTGCAGTGTTCGCTGACGCAGTGTTCTTTGCGTTGTATCGGGGGAGCCAGGGGAGAGGGGCCCGAGTGCTCTGCTCTCCCAGCACTACGTACAAAATGATCTCACTGCTGTGTCTGCATGCATCACTCTCAACGAACAATTTTTTTCTCTATCACTATCTCATGCTCTTCCCACCAGTTTCCCACTACGATTTCCCAGCAGTGGTTCGCCGTCTCTCACGCCACACAGTTTCCCTCTTCTCCTCGATCCTACTGGTCTTCCCTGGCCCTCCCCGTCTGCCTCACTTTTCACCGGGTAACCCCCTCTTCCAGCTCATTTTTCACACTAGCAATTTTAAAGATTGGACCCCTATATAAATACTAAAGGGAATCCCATCTGAGAAAACTCCCAATCCCGCTATCGCCCCTGTAACGAAACCGCTGAATCTGAAGACTCTCACACACACTCACAAACACAAACACAACACAACACAACACAACACAACACACACCCATGTTCAAGAAAAAGACCGAGCAGGATCCGTTCAACCACTTGCTCAACCCCGAACCCCAGCCCGTCCAGAAGGGGTTCCTCCAAAAAGTCGTCTCTACTGCAAAACCAGCTCAGGATGAAGGCGTCTCGGCCGCCAATGCCCAGTATAGCTCCCCATTCCGCAATTCGCAACAGCTGGCAGCGGCTCAAAAACGTAAATCCCAAAAGTTCCCAACGATCTCGGCGTCAGGTCCGGGGGTCACGGGACCTGACCTCGGGTACAAAGTGATCGATGCCGCTCGCAAACGCGCCAAAGACATAGCTGTGCCCAAATACTTGCAGGGCACCGACGAGCGCCAGCGTCGCAAGCTCGACAAGCTCGAGCGCAAGGAGGACTCTTTGCAGTACAAGAAGGACTCGCAAAAAATCGTGGACGTCCGTGACCAGAAGCAGCGCAATGACACCGATGTTGATGTTGAGGAGGCTGAGATCCCCGAGCCCGTGGTAGAGACCGTGGAGCCCGTGGAGCCCGTGGAGCTCGTGGAGCCCGTTGAGCCTGTGGATGACAACCTTCTCGACGAAACAGACGCCGTGGAGCCGCAGCCGGATGCTGAGTTTGACACTGCAGAACCCGTCTTGTCTCAAGAAAACGGAGTAATCGAGCCTGTCGTTAACGACTCCGAGCTCTTGGGTGCAGAAGTCCCCGAAAATCGTGAAACTATTACTACTGAAGAGATCACAACCACCGGTACCGTACCTCCTCCTCCTCCTCCAGAACCTCTGGAGATTTCAGAAACTGCTGACATCCCACCGCTAGCCAATGCAGATAACTTGGAGCATGCGTCGATTTCGGCCGCCTCTGCCTCTGCTGCTGCCCCAGCAGACTTGGAAAATTTGGCTAACGACGATGTCCTCCAGCCCGCTTCAGACGAACTCACCAAACCTAAAGACCCTAAAGAGGCTCCCAAAGTGCCTTTCGCGACCGGTATTTTTGCATTGTGGACTCGTTCCGACAAACGCGGGCAACCTGTGGCCTCCCCAGACGATCCTGAATTCATTGTGAGGTTCGACAAAGGCTACATGTCCAAAGCTCTTTATGACACTTTAGAGTACGAAGAAGCCATTCACAATCAAGAGATGGCCGACTACACCAGAGAAAACGAGGCGAAATACGACTCCAAGGCTCAAGAATACAAATCCAGTCTGACTTCGCTCAAGACTCAAATTTCAGAATTGGAAGCCGCCATGGAACAGCTCAGAAAGGACACTGCAGAGAAGATCCGTATCAGCGACTCTCAGCTAACCACCAAAATGATCGAATCTAACGCCAAGCACAGTGATGAGAAGAATGTGATTTTCAAAGCAACCGAGAACACCAAAGCTGCCAAGGTTGAAGAGAAAGAAACGGTCGTGGCCAATCAAGACGAAACTAAGGAAAAGATCGAAATCTTGGAAAAGGAAAAAGCTGAACTAGAGGCTAACTTCCAAGAACATCAAACGCGCGTTGACGGTTTAACCCTCGAGTTGGACGGCAAGTTGGCCGCTATTCAAGAATTAAACGCCAAGCAAACAGAAGTCCAGGAGTCGATCGCGGTTCTAACGGAACGCAAGACTGCTTTGATTTCCGAAGCGGAAGCGCATGACGCTCAGCACGAATCAAACCTTGCTGTTCTTGAAAGCATCGAAAACAAGGAGTATCTACCTCAAATTAATGCTATCGATACACAAATCTCCGGACTTTTGACTTCTCTAACGGTTATCAAGCAAGAGACAGTAAACCAAGAAGCGGAATTTGCGGCTGTTAGCAAGCGCTTGGAAGAGGAGAACGAAGCTCGCAAGGAGAAACTCAGACAAGAAGAAGAGGCTCGCAAGCGTGCGGAGGAAGAAAGGCTACAGAAGCAACGCGAAGAACACGACGAAAAAGTTCTCTTGCTCCAGCAAGAACATCAGCGCGAAATAGAAGAAGCAAACAAGCAAGCACTTGAAGCTCAGCGAGAGCATCAGCGCCAGCTTGATGAGGCCGGCAAAGACGCGGCTCTGCTGGAGCAAACGCTTCAACAACAGCGCGAACAGAGCGCATTGCACGAAAGAGAGCTCGTCAGGCTACGCGGTGAGCAAGCTCTCCAGGAGCAAGAAAACGCTCGACTTGCTGACAAGGCTTTAGAGGATGAGATGAAAGCCAAGTCTCACAGCAGAGCCGAAGCGTTAGACGCTGCCGAGGTGGCGCGAGAGAAAAACGCACAAGTTGCCAAATCCAAGGCACCAGAGGCTCCGGCTGCAAACGGAAAATCAGCATCAGCCGTCTTGAGCAACCCGGCTGAAAATGCTACCAGAGATAGTGCGTCGTTTGAATATTTTACTGAAAAAGAGATCGCCTACGTTACTCCCAGCCATAGTCGCGCTTGAATCAGGATATTCTCGAGGGAAGGAGCGAGGAAAAGTCAAAAACTCATCAAAATTCATCAAAGAAAGGATGTTCACTATTGGGCCTTTAAATAATTAATTGGAACCACACCGCTCACCAAAAAGAGAGGTAAGTAATTGTAAAACTTAACACTGCATGAACTTATATGATTTTAATAGTCCTTGATGTTGTTTTGAACGAAGGGTTTTCTTACAAGCTCTTAAAAACCATCTTTAACAGACAAGACCGACCTTAATTCACCCATCATTCACTAGTCATTCCTCATCTCGTTCAAATTGAAGATGTCGAGCTACTTCAGCAATTTCTCATTGAACAAGTTTACTGATACAATCAGTAATGCCGCTCACAAAACCCAGGATACTTTAAGCAATGCTATTTCCAACATTCAATTGGATGACCCACAAGCTATCTTGTCGCTAAAGGCCAGGAAACACCATCTTCAAGAGAGTTTGGGAACGATAGAGGACATCAGTAAGCTCCCACCTCAGTATCAACTCTTGGAGAAAAAATGCGACGCACTCGAAAAAACCTGTAGACGAATGCTGCTGGTGACCAAAACCTTTGAAGTCGAGGGCTACGACTATCCACCTAACCTGAGCGAAAGCATTTCAGATTTCTGGTCCTCCAACAAAGACGGCTTGTTCGCGTTTGTTAACTCTGGAAGTAAAAAGGGGTCAAAGTCGGAAACCGTTGACAAGGTTTCGGACGCGGATGCTGCGACGCCTGCATCTTTTTCCCAAGCCATCTCCAAGGCTGCTAAAGACTCGCGTAAAGTTTTGAAGGGTTTGAGAGACGAGGAGATTAAAGATTCGGTAGTAGAAGATGACGAGGGAGAAGAAGAAGAAGAAGATCTTTCTGCGTTGATTAAGATGTTCGAATTGTGGTCTCAGTGCGAGCACAAATTGGATCAGGGAAAAGCCGAAATGGATGCTTTGATGGCTAAAGAGTTCAACTACAAACTTTCAAACTTGGTGGACGACAAGTTTAAAAATGCTCAAACCCTACGTAAGAAGGTCGAGGGCTCGAGGCTCAAATTCGACACCATGCGCTACGAAGTCAAACTGAAAGAACAAAAAACTGTTAACGGGGCAGAAAAAGATTCAGAGAATAGTGCTGACAAGTTTTCAGCCGCTGCACGAGCTGGAGAATTGGACTCTGTGACTCAAACTGAGGCAACAGCCACGTCAGATGCTGAAGAGCCTCAGAAGCCAGAAACCGCCAAGACGGAGGAGCCAACTGCTGGTTTTGAAAGTGAAGAGCAGGAACTTTTGGAGAAACTGGAAGACGAGTTTGTTTCTAACACTACCGAGGCCGTAGAGGTCATGGGGGAAATTACCGATAGCGCCGAGCTGATCAACTTGGTCAAGTTGTTCCACAACTTCAAGCTCATTTACCACAAACAGTGCGTCAAGGACCTGGAAAATAGTCTGCACGAATTGAATGAGCTGGAAACGGAGGATGATTAGTAAAGCCAGCTTTCTAAGTGTTCAAGTGTTTTCTTATGCTTTTAGTGTTCCAGTGTTTCCTTATGCTTTTCTTGTTCTCTTGGCTTTAGGGCGCCCAATTTCTTGGCGTTGAACCCAGCTGTTCCAGCCTTTTTGCTTGTCGGTCCAGCTTTTCGTTGAACTGCTTATTTTTCTCGTTCACGAAGCCTGTGGACGTGGTTGTGGACGTGGACGTGGCCGGAGTCTCCGTTGCATTTCGACGTCCCAGTTTTTTCTGGGTCTTGGCGTACCGTTCCTTAGTGTTCCGTTCCAGTAATCCGGCTAGTTCACTCACCAATTCAGGATTGTCGTCCACCACTATCTTTCCCTTGGTGTTGAGAGTAGCGGTCCGCTTGTCCACTTTCTTCCCAGAGTCATTTAACCTGGATACGATTTGCTGCACTTCTTTATTATAGGTGGCCTTGGCCAGGTCTCGATACTGACCACTGTCAGTGCCCTTCTTTCTCTGCTCTCGATCTTCCCACTGCTCATATTCGCTAATGCTGTAAGCGAAAAGCTGGCCATTTGACCCACTTCCCAGTTCCGCGGCTTTTGTCGCTTCCACCGCTTCTCCCGCGTCAACGTCCTCTTCGTTCATGCTATACACAGCTGGCTTCTGGGTCCTCTGACGAAGCTTTTCCTCTCCGTTGACCTCTTTACGGTTTTTCACCGCCAAATTCACCCTCTGTCGCTTCAAATTCTTCAGTCTCGAGGCATATTTGTCGACATTCATCAGCTTCTTATACTAAGGTGAGTTAAACTACAAAAACACGGGCCAGACACTCGAATTGTTCGCGCTTTTATACACACATCGATCATCGCGATGAGCTTGGCTTTGACGTATATTTCAGTTAATTTAGCTAATTGATATCCAATTTTCCGTCCGTAGTGACCACTAACACATTTTGGAAAATTTTCGAGATTTCGTCAAAAGATGAGATGAGATGCGATGAGCATGCGATGAGTTCAGGCTTTAAAGAGCAACAAATAAGCCCTAGGATTGTTAGTTTTTGAATCAATGCCATCAATATCGCAGCCATTTAGGCTCGCAGTACTTCCCAAAATTGCATCGCTGAATAACTATGCTTCACAAGCTAATTTATTGCCAGTAGCAGACACTTTGACAGCGTCTACAAATTACATCACAGTGGGTATATCTGGGTCTGCCATTTCGCAGTTTGTGGTGAATCCGACCCCAAAACCTGTATACAATCTGCCCATTTCGTCGATAAGCACGGTCACCGCTTCTGATGTTGCAGAGTCCACCGCAGGAAACGAGCTATGGTGCTACGCTTTGCAAGCGAACAAGACGTTTTCCATCAACTGTGTGGAGAAACCTGCGTCATCGGCGCCAGCAACTGACTCGCACTTTGGGGAGACACACACTAGCAATAAGATTGCCGTGGCAGACCGTGCAGTGAGCATCAAGGTGCTGGGCCTCATGAAAACCATCGTGGTCGTACTTCGAAGCGGACTGGTCCAGTTCTACGATTTTTCTTTGAAGCTTCAATTTTCCTACGATTCATCTTACAAGGACGTCCAGTTCGTGCAGCATTTTTCCAACGAGGCCAACGAGCAGTTTGTCTTTCTTCTAAGTGACGTCGAAGGCAGCAAGGCGTCTTTCAAGCTTTTGAAAATCAGCGCCAACCTAGCTCTTCCAATAAAAGAGTTGAGCGCCATCATTCTCGAGAACTTCTCTTTGAAGGACTCCAGTGTTTTTTACCAATTCGGTAACGTCTACCGCTTGCACGGTACAAGCATAGACATCTACAGCTTGCCCTATTTCCAGCATATCCATAATATCGCCTTGCCCTTCTTGAAAGAAGGCAGCGAAACGTCATTCAAGCCTATTTCCAAAAACAGGGCTCTTCTAACATCCGATAATCATATCTACCTGCTCGACCTGTTGCATAATGCCATTTTGAGTCATCGGGAATTGACGCATCTCAAGACTTTTCAACTACTCAGCACCGCCATAATACCGGGCAATTTCAATGCCAACAACGAAACAATGGCTGTCGGTGTTTCGGTAAAGCATGGTGCCAACTCCACAAGCTCGCTGGATATCGTTAATATTGACGTTGGAACGGGAACTCTCAAAGATTCGGTAGGTAAAGGTTTTTCTCTGCGTAACTCTCGCGACAGACACTTGCAACCGCTTCTTGAAGACTCAAGTGACGTTGAAACCCACGAGTTCAACTACGATCAGATTCTGAAGGATCTGAAGAAAGCAAAGGGTAACATCGGGAAATTTGACTCACTGTTTTTCAAAAAGCTAGGGATAAAGAAGGACTATTACACGGAATCGGACCGTTTTGTCAATGGTCAAGAATTCCTACGTGACGTTGTTTCCATCATTTACGATAATTTCGATACCGAGTACCCCAAGGCTTTGCCCTACCTTCTAACACATCCGCTTTTCCCAAAATCACATACACCCGGCATTCTTCAAAAGTTGAAGGATCACCCAAGGCTATTCAAGCAGGCCATTGTCACTTGCCCTAACTTGTCCCTAGATGAGCTATTGCAAGAGCTGTTCACGGTAATCAACGAGGAAATTTGTTTGGACCTCTCGTTACGAATTCTACAGGACTTTAACAAAGAAGCTATCAAAGAAGCTATTAAGACTAAGAGTAAAGTCGACGTGAATAACTTTATCGATTTTGTCATTGGTGAGAATGTGGACGAGGACAGACTCAAAAACAAACCTCGTTTATTCCAGCTGCTAGGTTTGATCTTGGACACCGTCGGCCTGTTCGCATTGACTGAAGAAACGCTTGCAAAGCTTTCGGAATACATCGAGCGCCAATTGAGCGTGGTGAGGCAGAACGTTGAACTATTTCACTTACTGGAGGACAAAAATCTCAAGAGCACGATAAATCCCTTCCAAGGTGAAGCACTCGTCCCAACCGAAGGAAGCATTGCAGCATATAGCGTAGAACAGTTAGAACTATAGATATCAATACCGTAAAGCTAAAATGTGGGTTTAAAAGCCAAACTCATCATGGTCTTGCACAATTATATGATCACATCGAAACTAGCTCCGTAAAGATGGCAACTTTCTGCAACGATATGGTAACCAAACTTTCTCATAGGAAATATCTAAACGTGAAATTATCAATTCGTTTACTTAGATCATTGGTAACCAAAATATCGAGTTTTTAAACTCAATGCCAATACAAGAGAGTGGACCAGAGGTCTTTCCAAGCTCGATCCTTCACCTAAAGAATGCTAAAGCTGGCATTGATAAGAACAGCTCTTCCCTTTTCGTTTTCATTCCTGGGAATCCTGGTCTGATCGAGTTCTATGAACCATTCCTAGCTCAAATCCATGTAAACAATCCAGAATGGGAGGTCTTGGGGATATCGCACGCAGGTATGAATACTTGTAATGCAATTCAGTGTCCAGTTTACTCTTTGCAAGAACAAATTGACCATAAAATTGAGGTTATAAACAGGTATTCGTGGTCTGGCAGGCCGCTGATCATTATGGGCCATTCTGTGGGTGCATATATGGCTCAGAAGATAGCAGTCTCCAGTGAACTAACTGGAAACGTTGCGCGAATTGGTCTACTTACGCCTACTGTAATTGACATTCACAGAAGTGAAAAGGGAAGGAAGCTAACTACACTGAACAAATGGGTCCCCCAACTCCATAACATAGCTGCAGCATTCTCATGGCTTTTTTTCGAGAAGCTGCTACCAACGTATTTTGTTTCGCTCATCTTGTCCGTTATGATGAAAGGTGATCTTGAGTCAGCAATGGGATCAGCAACGAGGTATCTCGTAACGAATTCGAGGTTCGTCAAACAAGCATTGGGACTAGCGGCTGAAGAAATGCAAGTAATAAGGTCCGACTGGAAATTTCAAGAAACCTTCTTACAGCATTGTGAATCTCGAGAAGCCAAGATTTGGTTCCTTTTCAGCGCCAACGATCATTGGGTGAGCCCTGACACTCGCAACGACTTGATAGAGTTCTTTAAAACACGTGGAAATCCTGACTTATTGCAAATCGATGTATCACCCACATTGGAACATGCCTTTGTCAGAAGACATGCAAAAATTGTAGTCCGCGAGTATTTTGGTCGAATGTGAGTCGCCGAGTCTACCGATTGATTAAGGTTTCCTTCTTCGTTGGCTGGTGGTAAAAATAAACTTTTTTGAAATCCAAGCATTTCGAATCTGTTCCGTTACGGGAAGACTGTATTTACTTAACGACGTCGAAATTACAGCTTATTATCGGGTTCGATTGGCTAGCATCACCTAGCGATATTGCTTCTAAAGGTGCCTTGATGACTTTCTGGTTATTATTCGGGTCCAAGAGCATTATAATTGAATAAATACTCAGTTCGGCGATATTCGTGCGTCAGAGACCATAGAACGATTGAAAACTGGTTACGGACATTGACCGAACTGGTCAAAATTGAGACGAAATGATGTTCACAACCTGTTGCGACAGTCTACAATCTACAGAATAGATACAAACCCGTATTAGCTCATGTCAGTACGACAATAAATTGATCACAGTCTGTAAAACTTCTCTTTAGTATAATTTAATGCATGCCGATTGACAGAGTTACGGCGAGGAAAATACTTGCTCCTCTCATATGCTTCTTTATTCGCTTCCTAATTCTTTGATAAGTCTGCCAACTTATTTCTGCATTGCAAAGAGCTACTCTTCATCAAGCGATAGCCTCAGAACTTGCGCCAAGATAGACGACTGTAAAGCGTCTGACAACATACTCAGAAGCGGTTGACAATGGTCAAAATTCTATTAAGATGTGGTAGTATAAATAGTTTGTAGATGAAATGACCAGCTCAAAAGACAATAGGTGAGAAATGAAGAGAAATTTCTGAATGCTCTGCGGAGACCAGCCTCGTGCCTTGTTGAGTTTTTCAATGAAAGAATTTGACCAGAAAGCCCTTGAGTCCACCACTTTTCTTGCGCTCTTGATATTTTTCAATCTGTCTTTTATTCTTTTCGACCGCCTTGCGCAGCTTTTCGGCATCCAACCCACTGTCAGCAGTGCTTTTCACGCTTGTAGCATCCGGAAGTTCCATGGAGGCAATCAACGATCTTTTCTGCGACTGACTGCTACGAACCGATGTTCGGCTCTCAAGCCTGTTCAGTTGATGTAAAGTAGTGGCTTTCACAAGACCTGTGTCAGTCTCTAGGTTGTACTCCTCGGGAAATTCAGCATCCGCGGAAATCGCGACGGGATTGTTGATGTCGGGAATAGCCTTCTTGTGTAAATCAAGACCTTCTTTCTCAAGAGCTGCGACACTTTCAGAACGTCCCTCATTTAGGTTTCGAGTCACAGCTTTATCCACAGCTGACAACGATGACGACGAAGAAGTTTCTCTTTGTGCTGGTAGGCCTTCTCCTTTAAGCGTCACATTGCTCTTAACAGAGGCCAGGTCTCTGGACGTTGTCGAGTGCTCTTTGCCGACAGCTGGACGCTTCATTTCCACCGGTTTACCTTCAAATGCTTTAGGTTCAAACGAATCGGACGAGGATAGCGGCGAAAGCTCAAGTTCGGAGCTCTCTAGGTCCTCCTCTTCATGAGTGGCGGCTCGCATGAATTGTGGGATGCACTTTTCTCTATAAAAGCTGCCTTCAATTATGTGTCCAAAACCTGGTTTTCTCAGCCTTCATAGCACGGTGATTTATGTTATAACCCAAATTTCCTTCAAGGAGGGCTTTTGAGTCACCCGCGCCTTTTTAACCTGAAAGAAATCTAGCCCGGACCTTGTGAAAGCAAGCTTCAATGCAAACCACTATTGTAGCCAAACAAACAGAACCTAATTCGAAGCAAGCTCTCACAAACTGGAGTTAGCTTGAAAAGTATGATCGGTGTCTCCAGAAACCAAAGCTGAGTTTTCTCAAATCTGGTCAATATTGAATATCTGATTTGGACTTCGCGAAAGGCATTTTGAATAATTTTTCAATTAAGAGTTCACGTGCGAGACAACCAAACAGCGTTCACTTGGATAAACTGGCGCCAGGAAAAAGTGCTTCTGTGTCACCATCAGCTGCTAACTAGGCAGTATCCGAGAAGTTCTTTCAGACGATCTTGGTTTATGCACAAACAAATCAGCAAAAGTTCAGTGTATAGGTTTGGGTTTTCGGCCCTGAGTTTGGCGAGTCCTGCCTCGTCTATGACCCATATAACGCAGTCTGTCTCCATGGTCACCTCTACAGAAGAAATGGGAAAATCACCAGTGTTTTTGGCGCTCATTCTTCCATAACAAGTTTTGCCTGAAATAATTTCATAAAGCTGACCCTGACGAAGATTATACGTAACCTTGACCATTCCGCTTTCAATGACGGCAAATATGTTGTCTTTGTGCGGCAATGGAGTTTGGGCTGCTAGTTTCCTCTTGACAAAGTAACCACCGAGTGCAGACCACAGCTTCTCATCTGCCTCTTTCGATTGGGGATTGGAGGTCGAGATTTGTTTGCGATATTTTTGCAGAGAGGAGAACAATAAAGGCAGAACTGGATGCTTCTCGCGGTAGCTCTGTTTGTACGTCGGCATAGACCGTTCATCTGTGAGTATTTTCTGGGCTACCGAAACGAATTGGGTGTTCCGCGGGGTGTTCAGCGGCAATGGTGTTTTATTCGGGGTTCTGTCACGTTTCTTCTCAGCTTTAATTCGCGATTTGGAACGCAGCTCCTTAAATTGAAGCAGCAGCTTGTTCTCACACCATTCTAAGGCACTATTGAGATCGTCAAATAGCTCAACACCGTCAAGAAGACCAACCTTGTTGAAAGCGTTGTAGATTCTATCAGTCGTCTTGATAGAGGAAATAATCAGATTGATCTTCTTTGAGGACGTAAACCTTTTGATACGATTGAAGCCTTCCGCCGCAGAGTAGTCTATGTTGTCCGCGTTGATGTTTTTGAAATCAAGAATCAAAAACTTGATTCGCTGTCTGGAAGCATCATTATTGCTAATTTCTAAAAGCTTGTCAATTCTTTCCTCGATGGACAAAATAGTACCGAAAAACAACAAATTCTGTAGCTTTAAAACGTGGATTTGCTCCCCAATCTTGTTCAAAAACTGAGTTTGAATGAAATCTCGGCGAACGGTACTACGCGCCACTTGACCGTCAAACTCGCCATTCACCGTCTGCAATTTTGCGCTATCCACCAGAAATGAGAAGCACGCAATCAAAATCCCGACAATGATCCCGAGTACAAAATCAAACATACCCATTGTGAAAACGATCACGACTACGGTGGCATACTCAAATTTGTTCAGCTTTGACCATGTATCGTACAAGGCTTCTTTCATCAATTCGTAGCCTAGAAGGAAGATCAGGGAACCCACGATGCAGATTGGGATATACGAGATGATCACAGGCCCCACCAACATGACGCCGAAAGTGGCCCCTGCCAACATAAATCCCGCTATGGAGCTATCCGCACCTGCTCTGATGAAAAGGACACTGTTTGTATAGACCAAATAGTTTTGCACTGAGCCCATCAAGCCGGATATAAAATTCGAGTAGCCATGAGCAATAAGCTCTCTATCAACATCGATTTTATCCATCCCAACAGACATGGCAAGCGCTGGGACGTTAATCGGGACGTGTAAGATTCCGAAAAATGTAAGAGCCAGCATCGTTGGCACCTGTTGCACAATTAGGGACCATTTCACCAACTTCAAATTGTAAAGCTTGTAAAAGCCGTACCAATGCGTTGATGATTTTGTCGCAGGGAAAATCCAGCCATTTTCCCTTAGCATTTCCAAAGACAGATTTGGAACCAATGCGACCACGAAGTGAAAGAGGAATAATGAAGCAATGTAAAATGATGGCAAAACTAGAGAGTTTTCAAAAATGTGCTGGACAACAACAAGCAAAACAGCCATCGCTATTGGCAAGGCCCATTTGCCAAATGTCGAAAAGTCAGCAAAAAGACCGGCCAAAAATTCCCAGGCACTCTCAACCTTGGCGCTTCTTGTTGTGACTTCGAAGCCGGTGGCAACAAGAAAGTAGCCCACACCGCCAATACAGCCGATTAGGATATGGCGCGGGAAAAAGCCCACAATTTTACCTAGTCGCAATTTGCCGAGCAGGAAAAATACGAAACCAGTCATTATCGAACTCAAAGCATAGCATACTATCGTGGTTGAAAGGACTTGATCTTGTTGGTCCGGGAGCGCACTTGTAATGGAAGCGGCCATGGCGTGATAAAATGGAGTGATCTCAATCATTTCGCTACCAATTGAGTTCCCGAAGGCAGAAAGTCCTCCAGAATAAAGGACTTGGGAAATGACACAGGAAATGTAGAACATTGACATACCAGGAGGACCCATGTGGGCAAACAGTGGCTCTGTGATGGGGAATATGATCATACCATAGGATAAGGCATCCAGAATGTTCAGTAACAGTCCAAGAATCACGGACGGTACGTACCAAACCATTCGACGTAGTGTGAGATTTATTTTGCTCAATGTTGGAGCGTTGGGGTCCATCGCAACGCCCGATAGGTTCAGGTCTCGAGGCGATTGCAGTGATACGTACTGACTGTCCATCCTGTCGATAGAGCCGTAAACCATATCGTGGTCGGGGCGAGAGGGCAGTGTGAGCTCTGTGGTTTCTTGGCCCTCGGGTAACAAAGCTGTCTCGGACTGGCTATTTACCGGAGATATGACGGCCACGGCTGCTGGTGCTGGATCTTCAGCTAGCTTATTGATATCTTCAAAACCCTGGGACGGGTCTCTCTCATCTTCGAATTCGAAAGTGGCGTCGAAATCATGCGAAAGAGCAGCTGTTTGTCTATGCAGATTTGCGGACTTGTGTATCGACCGTAACTGCTCCGTCTTCGGTATTTCGTTGGTGGGAAGGCGATCCTTTGCAAAATGAGACGTTGGAGACAGAGTACCCACGAATGAGCGCCCGTAATATTGGTGTGGTGAGCTGGGGAAGTTTTGGATAAATGGATTGATTCGAGGTAGCGGCGAACTATCAGAATCGCCTGTCGCCTGTGAATTGAGTCCGAGAGACACAGTTAAGGCTTCGGAGAGTGAGCTTCCAGCCCTGGGTCGTCTGGAGACCATTTCAAGCTTGTTTGTTTCAGATGGAGGTGACAACTGTGATCGTAGTGTAAATTCAGCACCCTCAGTTTTTCTGATAAAGTAACGACTCGGAATCTACGTTTAGTCAACTTTAAAGGCGATATGATGTCCGCGTGCACGAACCACACTTTTAAACTTAAGAGAGAGCGAAAGACACAGAGGAGAGGCAGATTTTTGAGCAGGATGGCTTTCGTTGATCCAGCAGTGTTTGTAGTTTTATAGTGTGGTTGAGAGAGTCGTTTGCTGTTACGATCCGACGTTATCCTTTGGAAACGAGATCCACTTTGTAGGTTTCGGAGTCGCTGGTGATGGCCATGATGGGAACTCAGTGTAGAGATAGAGTCGGATTTGCGTAGAGATGTTAGTGCAGCAACAACGGGGCGGCATTTGGGACGGTTTTTCCTTGATGGATCTTGAAAGCTGGTAACGAAGGAATTCTAGCGCTTGAGACGGGAGCTTTGGTATATAGCGAGGTGAACAGTGGTGGGGAGAACGGTGTTCAAAAGGTGCTTGCTTTGAAAAGTGCGATTGACCGATCCCGTGGCTTCATAATAGCAGGTTCGTGGTTGAAATCTAGTAACAAAGCATGGGCTGCTGCTGCAGTCTCCGTAAACAGCATTGTAAATGATGTGCGTGACAGGGTTTAAATCATTTTTCGGGGTCTCTGAAGGGGTCGTTTTAGCCGACGTTTGAGAGGTGCAGTGGTCTCAAGTTTTTTTGTGGTAGTTGGTTTTGGAATCCTCAAAGTTTAACATTTTGTTTTTTGCCCCGGTGCGAAAAATTAGCCGCCGAGCTGCTCAAACGTACAAAGAAGCACACAAAAAGGATAAGTAAAACCCAGCATCAACTAGGGGAGCTTCTACTCTGTTGGTGTTTTTAAAGTGCTAAACCATGAGTCGCGACACTCTGACACGCACAGTGACACGTTAGTACAAAGTGATGTCGAAAGCAGTTATATATTGCATGCGACGCATCTCAAGAAGAAACTAAAAGACAAAAGCAGGGACTACGTGACTTAATTCTTCCGGTCCACTTCACTTGTGCACCGCGTTGTGCCACACAATCAGAACATGCCACGCCCGGTTGTCGGATGATCACTCTCCCAATATAACATTTTGCACGTGACCTAGTTCTCTTTCCATTGTCATCAGTAGACGCACTTATACACAACTGTGTTGCTCCCCCTCCCCCCCATCAAAGCGCCAGGTACCTAGATATCCCTTTTTCATGATCGCATCGCCGTCTAAACCCTTTCTCCCACAATTTGCACAATGCAACGCATTTTGCCTGTGTGAAGACTGCTTTTGACACGCTTACATTCGCTATTTTGTTACTACTAAAATTCTGATAGTAAGTGTTGACTGACTAACGACTAAGTGAACTCTGTAAGTATTATCAAGCTCTGTCAAGCTGCGTATTCTACGTTTTCTTCACTTAGCACATGCGATACCCGTCTACGTCCGTGCTAAAGCCAGGGTTTTTTGGTTCCACGGAAGCGGCATTTGTCATGTTGATGAGTTATAGCTATAGGAAACAAATAAAATGACCGTGATAGACCCTGGCTGACAGAATTATAAAAATGGCAGCGATGCAGTGAGCCAAGACAAACATAAAGAGCAGCTTTAATCGTTTGTGATCGGTAGTGCACTGAAACAATTATTTGAGGAAAATTAACAACGACCGTTGTCGATAGAAATTGTCGATTTATTGCACCAGAGACAGACAAGAATTAGTTGCCGTGTTTTTCGTTTCGTAGCTAGCGATCAACAAGTCAGTCTGTGTGTGCGTGTCAGTCTGTCTGTCAGTCTGTCTGTATCCAAGTGACAAGAGTTTGGACAGCAGAGCTAAGTCTCTGCCAATCGTAGCAGTCACCGCCATTCATTTTACTTTAGCCGCAACTCTTCGTTTTCTTCTCTTCCTCCCATAACGTCTGCGTCTGTGCCCACCAAAAAGGACCTGGTGATCCGCGAAAAGGACCCACAAATCAACAACCGCAAACGCCCAACGTCTCCAGCAATGGTGTCAAATCTAAGTTTCCACGTCGCAGTGGGCTCCAGAAACGCGCTCGACAAAACCTGGCACTACATGAACGGCGCCTTCAAAGTCGTGAGAGCGTCCCGGAAAATTGTCCATGTACATCCACGCCAGCTACTGACCCCGTTTGCCGATCACGACAACACGTCCTCCAGCAGGACGTTCGTCACTCGCCATGACATCAACGTACAGAGGCATAACTACGATACGTCACGTGAGATATTGATTCCATCGACACCACAACAACCTCTGTCGCGGTCGTTGGCGTCTGCAGTTTCCAACGAATATTCATCACTGAGTTTGCCAACTCAGAGCTCATCGCGAAAGTCTCGTCGTGGTGGTGGCCAAACCCGGTACCCGGGGGACGCCCTGCAGCCGCAGGATCCCTTCATTATCACAGTGTCCTTGAGCGATTAGCGCTGTCTGTATATAGAATCCATAATGCATAGAGTTTTCAACGATTTCATGAATAACAATAACGAGTAGATTCACTTTTCTGCGTAGTCTATATCTTCCTTAAAATACATCTGCCTTATTTCTCGACATGTTGGTCGTGAATCTTGGCAAATCTTCCAGATGGGTCTTCGGCACAACCCCAGTCGGCCTTTGGAATCCATCTCATCACGGTAGCGGCAGCAGCCTTGGGGAAAAGCGCGTCGAACTTGAGTCTGTACCAGTAGGCTTCCTTGGTGGTTGGGATATCGTCGCCCCATTCAGCCTTAGGTTGTTTGAATTGCTCATCTGAGATAGTCGCTTCCGCGGTGTCCTTCAAACCATCGATCCAGGAGTAGCCCACACCATCGGAGAATTGTTCTTTTTGTCTCCATAGAATCTCTTCCGGTAGGTATGGTTTCTCATCAGGCTGGGCAGAAGTGTCGAAAGCCTTTCTCAAAATGTGCTTCTCGATGCGGCCTTCGGATGGCTTGATCATTTTTTCTTCTGGATCCAAGTTCATGCACACGTCCAAGAATTCCTTGTCCAAGAATGGCACACGCGCTTCCAAACCCCAAGCCATAGTCGACTTGTTGGCTCTCAAACAGTCAGCAAAGTGCAGGTTCTTGACACGTTGTACACACTCGGAGTGGAACTCGGTGGCGGAAGGAGCCTGGGCGAAGTATAGGTAACCACCAAAAATTTCATCAGAACCTTCACCGGACAACACCATCTTGACACCCTGAGCCTTGATCTTTCTAGAAAGCAAGAACATAGGAGTCGAGGCTCTGATCGTGGTGACGTCGTAGGTTTCCAGATGGTAGATCACGTCGTCCAAAGCGTCCAGACCCTCTTGTAGAGTGAAAGTGTGTTCGTGGTGAATTGAGCCAATGTACTTGGCGACTTTACGGGCGGCTTTCAAATCTGGAGCGTTTGGCAAACCGATGGCGAAAGAGTGCAGACGCGACCATCCGGCACTGCGTAGGTTTCCGGCATCGTCGACACCAGCCAAATGCTTGTCCTCGGAGTCGTACTTGGCAGCGTCCAAGGCAGCGTTGGCCTTAGAAGTTTCTCTGGCAGCGATCGAAGCGATCAAAGAGGAGTCCAAACCACCAGACAACAGAACACCGTAAGGAACTTCGGCCATGAGTCTCTTTCTGACGGCAGTTTCCAAAGAGTGACGGATCTGGAGGTAGTCGACAGGCTTCGAAGGAACGTGGCCCTCCTGCAACCAGTCTGGGTTGTAGTATCTGGTAAACTTGTCGGTTAGCGAGTCGTACACGTGACCTGGTGGGAAAGCGGTGATCTTGTCGCAGTTGTCGGTGAGCGACTTAAGTTCAGAGGCGATGTAGACGGTTTTTGGGGACTCGGAACTGCGGCCCATGTAGAGAGTGGTGATACCAATTGGGTCTCTGGCAGCGACGATACGGTCCTTTTTGGCATCGTACAAAGCCCAGGCGTACATACCGTCCAGATGCTTTGGAGCGTCAATGTCGTACTTCTCGTACAAAGGAATGATAGGTTCGCAGTCCGAGAGGGTCTTGAATGGGTAAGAGGCGAACTCTTCTCTCAGTTTGATGTGGTTGTAGATCTCACCGTTGACAGTCAACGACAAGTCGCCGTCCTGGGAGGTGATAGGTTGGGCACCAGAGTCAAGACCCACAATGGCTAGTCTTTCGTGTACCAGAATTGTAGAGTTCTTCGTGTAGTTTCCGGACCAATCTGGACCACGGTGTCTGACTCTCTTAGCCAATTGTAGCGCATCGGCTTTGAAGTTGTCCACGGATTCGTGCTTGTGACATGCGAAAATACCACACATTGGGGTGTTATTAATTGGCAGTAAGATTAACAGCTAGCTAAAGGGGGCTCAAACGTCCTCTTGAAAGCTGTATAGGATCTAGTTTAAGCTATCCAAATAAATCTGAATATTCTCAATTGATTGGTGAACATTGATATATAATTTTTTTTTCCATACTCTTCCTGGCGAAAGCCAAAAAGTGACTGTTGATGCGTCTTGTATGAATAGAGTCGTATGATAAGAGTCAGATAAACTAGGCTTTTATCTCTTCATACGCACACGTCGCGGGAACAGAAGAGCGAGTTTTCGAAATGTAGGCGAGTTTTGAGAGTCAGTGGCGATTAGCATGGTTGGTTTGAAATTTTAGAGCTTCATTTAGATACAGATATTGTTGCGATGTTTGCTGTTGCTGTGGTGTTAAAATTACGGTTATGCACCGACGTCTTAGTTTAGATCGTCAATTACTTGGTCTGCCTAAGGTATAGTGACAGAAAAATTGTGCTTGAGAGGCGCTGTCGCTCGAGGAAGTCGTTTGATGTTGTTGACTACATCAGAGACGGTCGAAGGGTTGAAAATTTAAGGAAGGATTTTGAAATTAGATGAGTGGTGAAGACTAAGCGTTTTCTTGGAAAGTCAGGTTGCTGCAGTTTACTTCGGGCTCTGCCTTACTTCGGGGTTGTGACTTTCTTCGAACTCAGTGTTCTCTGTACATAATCGTAACCAGCGCAACCCGCGAAGAATCACTCTGTACTACGTTGACATGAAGGAGACATCCCTCAGAGGCCAAGATAATGGTAATGGCTTGGATGTGAGATACATTTCGAGCCGTGCGTCTTGTGGTGATTTGTGCAAGGCGCCAGAGTTCCGAGTATCTCAGAGTGCTGTAGCCCCAGCAGAGCACAACATACGTTGCGCTCCTGCAATACAGACCCAGCCAATGCTCTGAGCGGCCAGGTCCACCTTTCTGTAGGGCACAAAAAACGAGCATCACAAGAAAGCTTTCAAACACGGCTGTCGTCGCTGCAACCCTGCTCTCTCCCAAGCATCCTCGTCCAGCGCCTGCTGGAACAAGCTCGAAAGCCTATACGTATCGCAAGATAAAACTACCACTACACCAACTCTACGTGACCTCCAATTAAAAAGAATCAGAATTTCCTATTTCGTGTCCTTGGCATTCATAGAATGTAACAAGATAAAAGCTGCGCAGGAACCACTTTCTCCATCAAAACCTCGGCATACCAGGGTGTAAAACCTGATGCGCTGAGCAGAATTGTTCGAATTAAGACGCAAATGGCTTCATCGTCTTCTTAATAAACTTGGAAGGTCATAGGGATTTAAAACCAAGAGCGTCTAGAAGTGACATTAAGTCCAAATTAACGAAAATTTTGTTTCTTATATACCTTGTCCAAGTCGCTATGTACGACCAGACAGTTTAATTTATTTAGGGCCAAAGTCTTACGAACACAAATTTCGAAACTGGATCAAAGTAGCATGCTTCTTTTCCTTCCATGACCCTGGTATTATTAGATATAGGCTAAGGCCAGACATATCATTTGATTTTCAGGAAATAACTGACGCCGACATTGCTGTTCTGTAATGCATTTCCTGGAAATGAACTAAATAAAATAATTCAAAGCTCATAAACATTTCGTGCCAGAACAAAACACCAAATCAATACGTACTGGCGGCTATCACCGTGTGGTCAAGAGCTGAGAAGTCAAGAGCTCACTTGAACGATGCCATTTTCCATGATCATTTTCTACGCCTGTGACGCCAGCTTATGAAAAAAATTTTAGCCGGTGAGATGAGATGAGATGAGATGCGATGCAAGTTCACAGCTGCACGTTACGGTCTCTAAGTTTCAGCTTCTTGTGGTCTCGATCATTGATACAAATCCCAAGCTCAGTTTTGGAGTTGAACTGCATTTTCCCGACATGCTTCTCTCTAAAGATGAGATCGCCTCCTGCGCAAAACGCGTTGCCGCTTCCACCGATAGAAGACATTATAACAATATTGTAAAGCTGGTGTCTCAGTACCCAGATCTCTCGCAGGTCGAAGAGTCCGCATTTGAGAATGATGAGCCCACTCTCCGGTTCCTAACGATGGCCCTCCTGCCGGTTTTTCGTAAGCTCTTCTCCAGAGGTCAATTAAACCCAGCTAAAGCTGCATCGGCAAATGAAAAACAATTCTCACAATGGTGCCGTAAACTATACAACTCCTACAAGTCGAAACTTCTGCATTGCATATCATGCATACCGTTCGAGTCGTCGTTGGCCCTAGACTGTCTCGATGCATACATGCAGCTGTTGGAACAAGAAGCTATCCATTTTGCTTCTCACGACGACGCTCCTTTTTTCCCCAACAAGACACTCAAAGCACTTATTCTCGCCATCTTCAAGTCTAACGTCTCAAGCAGTGTTGATGCAGCAGATGGACAATCCAAGAACCCGGTAGTGCTCGAATTTACACAGAGCTATTACAAGAAACACGTGGATATTCAATATTACTTTCAAGCCGAGATGACCGCTTTAACGCAGGAAGATGAGTCGATCAAAACGCTTGATCATATGCAGCTTATGGCCAAATGGCTTTCCATTATGAACCACGACAATCACTACTCCAGCGAAGACGCCGACTTGGAAATCTTCGTGCCACAACCACCTCAAGCCATGGAAAATGAGAGCCAGTTCAAATCGAATTTGGAGAAAAACTGGCTATTCTTCCTCAACCTCAGCGGCCTTCCTACAACCCATTATAAGACCACTCTTCTGATTTTGCACAGGAGAATAATACCGCATTTCAACACCCCAACAAAGCTCATGGACTTTTTGACCGATTCCTACGATCTTGGCGATCATGTTGTGTCGTTATTAGCATTAAATGGTTTGTTCGAACTTATGAGGAGGTACAATCTAGAGTATGCCCACTTTTACTCAAAGCTGTACCAGCTGGTGACACCCAGTCTCATGCATGTGAAACACAGATCACGGTTTTTGAGATTGGCGGAACTCTTTTTGTCGTCCACACATGTTTCGGCCAACTTGGTAGCATCCTTCATCAAAAGGCTTGCACGATTGACTTTGGACTCCCCCCCTGCTGCCATTGTATCTGTGTTGCCATTCATTTACAACTTGCTAAAGAAGCACCCTACATGTATGATAATGCTTCACGACCCAGACTACATTTCTGATCCGTTCGCAGACGCAGATAAAATTGCCCTGGTGAAGGAGCGCAGAAGACAGTATACTGACCCATATAAGATGGAGGAGTCGAACCCGGAGATAACAAATGCGATTGAGAGTTCACTTTGGGAACTAGATTCGCTCACGAATCATTATCATCCAAATGTCGCTACTCTAGCCAAAATCTTCTCCCAGCCCTTCAGGAAGCACAATTACAACATGGAGGACTTTTTGGACTGGTCTTATGACTCGCTATTGCAGGCAGAAGTCACTCGTAAGCTCAAGGTCTCGCCAGCGCTAGAATTCGAAGAATACGGGGCAGCTTTTGGTGAATACATAAAATGTGTAGAGTGGTGAGACCAGTAAAATGGCTCTTGGCAATAAAAAATAAATGTTTAACGGAGTGAAGCCCTACTCGCACTGCTAGCACTGTTGGTTGCTGGCAAAATGTACTTCACAGTCAAGGGGTGACGAGTTTCAAAAATATGGTCTCTAGCGGGATCGAACCGCTGATCCCCGCGTTATTAGCACGGTGCCTTAACCAACTGGGCCAAGAGACCTTGTTCTTGAAAATTTGAAATTTTTGACGTTAGATAACTAGCAGAGTAGATCATCATTCTAAAGGTGTCAGCTCTTTCTGTATATTACGTCCTTTCTTCAAAAGGGACGTCAGCGAGCTCTGAAAGCGAACTCACAAGTAAGATCTTTCCACGCTAGATGCAACATCGATAAAGTCGTACTTCGGCCCGCTGTCGCCTTCCAGATTCTGTCTGCGCAGAGTTTCAGTAAATACCTGTAGACCCAATACGTGACAGAGCCCGGTGACTGGCGTAAATTGTATATTATAAACTTCCTAGTACAAGACAAAGTCCCAGCAGACATCAGCGCGTTCACGAGCCAGTCCAGCAACAATCATCTTGTGCTTGCGTGCTTAAAAACTATGCCCTTTTCGCTATCTAATTCATTTATTCTCTTCGAGTAAGGGACGCAAGCTGTCCTCCTGCCCGCAATCAAATATTTGGAAGATGCAAGAAGACTCTCCATAGAAGCCGGAACTCAGATTAGTACATAGTACTACTGATACTACATTACACACTTACCACTCTCGCCCTTTTTTCCTCCAATCGTGTTTTAATAAATCAATAATAATTGTTTACGTGCTGTCATTGAACATTGACGAGTACTTTATGCCGTTAAAACTAAAGTGTCAAAACTTAGTTCTCCTTCTAAAACAAGACCAAAAAATGCTCAATTCTTGCGTTGTTGGCGCGACTCTTATGGTAACAAACTGTGGCCAAAAGACTCACGACGAAGTTTTCACATCGTAGCTAAATAAATTACTTATATACACCTATTTGACGCCAATCGCTACGAGAAAAAGACTAAAGAGTAAGCCTGATTCGCTAATAATAATTTAGACATGGAGGAAGTACTGTGTTCCCATTTTTTTCCGGGCTTCGAATGGTTCTCCCTGTAAGGGTTCCATTGTATCTTAACATTTGAATTTCGATCTTAAACAAAACATCGAAAAATTTCAACAGCGTTACGATTCACATTCTAGAAAACAAAAGATTCAGGACTATAAAAACAATGATGGTCAGCGTAGAGGCGGCCCAAGAGGCTGCAAAATTCAAGGTCCAAGGCAATGTTTTCATCAAGGAGAAAGACTACAGTGCTGCAGTAGAATGCTACTCGAAAGCAATCGAACGTGACGATACACAGAGCATTTACTTTTCGAACAGAGCTTTCGCCAGACTAAAGCTGGACAACTTCCTCACGGCCGTAGAAGATTGTACTAAGGCCCTAGAGCTCGATGGAAAGAACATCAAGGCTCTGCACAGGAGAGGGCTGTCGCACGTTGGTCTTTTGCAGTTCAATCTTGCGCGTAAGGACTTCAGAAAGCTTCTGCAAATGAAGCCCAACGAGCCCACTGCCATAAAAGCCTTGGAAGCGTGTGAGAAATTCATTAGACAAGAAAAGTTCAAAAAAGCGATCGCTGGTGATGGCGATCAGATCAAAATTAATCTCTGCGCGCAAGTACAACTCTCCTCCTTCGACGGAAACTCGGACATCCTCAATTATGAAGGGCCCTCTTTGGAGATGACCCAGTTAGTGAATGAAAAAAATGAGCCTACCGGCGCTCAGATCACAAATATGTCCCAGGAATTCGTGTCATTTATGGTGAACGATCTTTTCTTGAAGGGAAAGAACCTACCCAAAAAATACGTGGCCGCAATCGTCTCTCATGCAGAGCGCTTGTTTCATCAAGAGCCCTCTGTCGTTGAGCTCAATAACGCTACCGAAACCGATGTCAAAATCTCGGTATGTGGTGACACACATGGTCAATTTTATGATGTTTTGAACATTTTCCGCAAATACGGCAAAGTGGGATCGAAGCATTCATACCTATTCAACGGTGACTTCGTTGACCGCGGCTCGTGGTCGTGCGAAGTGGCTATTCTGTTCTACTGTCTGAAGATTCTGTTTCCTAACAACATGTTCATTAATAGAGGAAACCACGAAACTGATAACATGAATAAGATATACGGATTCGAGGACGAATGCAAGTACAAATACTCCCCCCGAATCTTCGAAATGTTCTCTCAGAGTTTCGAAGCTCTACCTCTCGCAACAGTCATCAACGACAAGTATTTGGTCATGCATGGTGGTCTCAGCGCCGACAGCTCGGTGTCTCTAGATGATTATAAAAAGATCGACAGATTTTCTCAGCCACCAAGAGAAGGTCCTTTCATGGAGCTACTGTGGTCTGATCCACAAGCCGCTAAAGGCCTGGGTCCTTCTGAACGTGGACTAGGACATTCGTTCGGACCGGACGTTACAGCCAACTTTCTCGCGAGGAACAAACTTCACAAGATCTTTAGATCTCATGAGGTGAGAATGGGTGGTGTTCTTTTCGAGCACGACAAAAAGCTGGTGACTGTTTTCAGTGCTCCTAATTACTGCGACTCTCAAGGCAATTTGGGTGGTATTATCCATGTTGTACCTGGAACCGGTGTCATTGGTCAGAACGACAACGACGACGAGGATTTGCTAGTTGAGACTTTTGGCGCGGTGGAGCATCCAAACGTGAAGCCTATGGCTTATTCTAATGGAGGACTAGGGTTTTGACCGAGCCGTAGCATATATGAAGTCATTGTAATGTAATTTTATCATCTATTATATTCCCGGTATTGCACAAGCTTTACTACCAGCAGAGCCGTTTGCATCCCCTTTTCATACTGGAAGCTATGAGTTATTATTATACAAAATGCAGAGTTTGAATTTGGTGCGTATGCACATTCTAAGAGTCGCCAGCGGCTTTGACCAGATCCAAGAATTTTTCCTTAGACAGGTCGGTGAGCATGTCTTTCTTTTCGGTCCGGTTCTTGATGTCGCTTAGCTTTTCAGCGCCATCTCTCTCGGTCTTCACCTGTGTTGATAGAATTGCGTTGAATAGTTTGACCACACCTTTTTGCGCGATCTTCCTGAGACGTCTCTCTTTTTCAAGCACTTCTCTGATTTCAGCCCCAGAGTCCGTTTCAGCCGAGATCGTTGGGATAATGTCCTTTGTTCTAGATTTGTTCAGTAGTTTTTTCTTCTCTGCCAGCATGGCTCTTTTGGCCTTGGCCTCCAGTTTGTCACTTTCCAGCTTTTTGGAAGCGTTCTTCTTTCTTGCCATAATTGGATCCTTACGATCGTGAGCTTTAAGATGCGAGCCAAGGATAGCATTGATTGCTGTGGAAAATCCAGAAGATCCATCGTTATGTTTGCTGAGCTTTGCCTTTTTCTTTCTGGGGAAATCATCGTCTTCGTCGTCCTCGTAATTTGATTCTTCGTCTTCGCTGGAGTCTTCATCACCGGCTTCGTTTTGGCTTAGGTCTTCGTCAAACATATCTTCATCGTGTCCACTTTCATTTGTAGATTCCTGGACCTCAGTCTCCTCGATTTGGTCTTCTGGAGTAGTTTGAACTCCGCTCTCACTCGTCTCAACTTTATTTTCAGTTTGCTTACCAACGAGTGAGTTTTGAGCACCCTTCTTGCTACCCATTTTAGAACCACTCTTTGTGCTTGATTTGTGCTTTCTTATAGCCTTCAAATCCACCATCACGACTCGTTTTATATGTCTTCTGGTGCGATCAGTAGAGGCGATGAGCTCCGCCAATTCTAAAATTTTTCAGGCATTATTGATAGTGCGCCAACTTAAAAAATGACAGTGGGCTTTAAAGTCTCAGTGAAAGCTATATAACGAAGAGAAATGCTGAAATTGAGCTGAAAAGACAAGTAAGCACCAAAAACCTGCCACCAAACATCATAAAAATGTCATTTAGTAGATTCCTACTCAAAAAAGTCTATACTTGAATATAATGCTATTATTCATTGTCCACTCAGCTCACTTCTCACGAATATGTCGTCGTAACTTTAATCGTCTTTTATGTATATGCGCGCTCCGATAGTTAATAGCGCATTTGCCCACTCCGATGACCATCTTTGTCAAGGTGAGCCATGCTTTTGGGAACTGTAACCTTTTGTTTTTTTCGAAATAGATCTCAGTAATTTGATATCATTCGTTAATAACGGCTGCGATCTCTCAGAAAGGCCATTCATCAAAAGTTCAAATAACCAAAAATCTAGCCAAACAATTCACTGAAGTTTAAAGACACTCAAAAAAATGTTCAGGACACCTGAATCGCCGAATGGACTTTTTGAAACATGTTTGTTGTTCATAGTGCAAGTATTTACGTACATAATGATATCTAAAACACGCGTTTTGACGTCAAACCTGGAGGGATCAATAATCTTACAACAATCAAGATCCTAAGATCGGGGCCACCGCCAACACGAGTCGCGTTTTGTTTGAATCGGGAGTCAACTACTAGCATTACCAGTGTTATCGAGCTATTGGTAGTGACTTTTTTTGATAGGTGGAAATTGGCCAGGAGCTTTAATGACTCTTAAAGTTCTCAGGTCGTTTTAAAGATAGCTATGGACTTACAAGCTCCGAGAACCCCAAACAGGTCAACTTCGACCGATGCAGCAGATTCTGAATCGAAAATACCCTCTCCACATCCCCCAGAATCGCCCAAATATCGCAAACGAAGCTCATCACCAAAACAGCTTCCTGTTAGCGCGTCAGAACACAGGAGCATTATCTTGCACACCAAGAAACATAAAATTGATACTGTCATCTCAGCAAGTGACAACAATAGCAACTTGATGACTCGCAAAGATAATGGGAAGAGTGCCTCTGAAAGCTCTTCGCATATGACAGCGTTCTATCGAGAGAATATCCGAGTTTTGAATGAGTTGCAGAAAGTTATGTTCCAGAAGAAAGCGAGGCTAGACTCGCTCAAAGACGAACTTACAGAAGGTAGAAACGAAATGAAGGCTCTGCTGCTCAAACTCGAAACTTACAAGGAAGAGAAACACGTAAAGTCACAGCAACTCAAACTCAAGATCAACGACACAAAGAAACTTCGCGATGAGCAGAATACGCGTGCCAAATTCTTAGAAAAGGGTCATGAGCTGGAGATTCAACAATTGCGGGCAAAAAGTATTGCAGAGATGAACCAGCTGGAGAGCAGTTATAGACAGAAAATGGAAGAGCTACGATTTGCTAAGATTAGGAGAATACAGGAAACTCGGGATAGAGTGCAACGTGAGATTTCGGATCTTGATTTCCGGATCTCAAACAACCAGTCTGCACTTCTCGAAGCTCTCACTGAGTGCGAAACCGCGCACAAGCTGAACAAAGAAGGTGCCTTGCGACGCCATCAAGATGAGCTTGATGGCTTTTTAGAAAACAACAGAAAAATAGCCAAAGAAAACGATACCTTGCGGACCACGCTAAACACAAAGCTTAAACCCAAACTTGACGAAAAAGCCGCTTATATTGAGCGCTTGAACTCTCAGCTGCAGGAGCTACAGAACAGGCTGGAGGCAACTCGTTCAGAAAGCACCCAATTGAAGGATGATGCAGAAAGATTCGGCTCTTGCACAATACAGACCCTCGCAAAAAGAGATGAGCTGGAAAGGTACATTGCAATGTCAAAGTCAGAATTGGGCGAAATCGGGGAGATTTTGATGAAGGAAGAGACGATGAGACGCAAATTAAACAACGAACTTCAGGAATTGCGGGGCAATATACGTGTATTTTGCAGACTTCGACCACAACTGAAGGAGGAGCTTGGTGAACTCTCCAATATACAGATAGAAGATTTTGATGATGAAAGCGGAACGCAAGACATGAACATACGGCGAGACACGAAGTCCCACACTTTCACCTTCGACAGAATTTTCGGAGAGCACGAGTCCAACAAAGATGTTTTTGACGAGATCAGCCAACTGATACAAAGCTCTCTTGATGGCTATAACGTATGCATCTTTGCTTTTGGCCAGACAGGTTCTGGCAAAACATATACAATGCTCAACCCGAAAGATGGCATAATACCGGCTACTCTGAACCACATTTTTCTTTGGGTGGAAAAACTGAAAGGTCTTGGGTGGAGCTACGAGATTACCGGGCAGTTTGTTGAAATCTACAACGAAAACCTCAAAGACCTTCTCAAAGATCAAGAGGGAGAAAACGACGAAACTAATGATAGCGCCAAGCTGGAGGTTAGACACGATGCCGGGACTTGTACAACAACTCTCGTAAATGCTACCACATGTAGATTTACCAACCGAGAAATGGTGAACGAAATCCTGACGCGTGCCTTAAAAACGCGATCTACAGCGGCAACCAAAGTAAACTCACGGTCGTCGAGATCACACAGCGTATTTATCATCAAACTTCTCGGATACAACTCCAAATCGGGTGAGCATTCCATGGGAACCCTGAACTTAGTGGATTTAGCAGGGTCAGAGAGAATTGACTCCTCACAGCCTCAGGCTGTACGACTTAGAGAGACTCAAAACATCAATAGGTCTCTGAGCTGTTTAGGTGATGTTATACATGCTTTGGGTGCCAAAGACGCTGTTAAAAGGCACATCCCCTTTCGAAACTCTAAGCTGACCTACTTGTTACAGTACTCTCTGGTCGGAGACTCTAAAACTCTGATGTTTGTAAACGTCTCCCCAGCGCTAAAGAGTCTGTCCGAAACTTTGAACTCTCTACGTTTTGCAGCGAAGGTAAATTCCACCAAGATGATGAAATGATATACGTTGATGGCGAGGATCGACTTTGAGATAGACAACGACAGAAATCAACTCAAGAGGCTATGCATTTTAATATTACGTTGAGTGGAGTATATAAATATAGAATATATACATTATTTTTTGATGTCAGGTTCAGTGTTACTTTTGGTCGAGTCGTCGTTGTTCTCGTGCTCATTTAAGAACTTTTGCAGCCTTCTCACCGCCCAATTCTTGCCTATGAATTTGACAGCAGGGTCAGATTGTCCCTCAGACTCTGTGTATTGTTTCCACCATTGTGGGGATTGAAACCTTTCGTCCTCGACAGGAAGGTTTCGACTTTCATGGCGAACTCTGGCCACATGCGCCCTCAATTCCGACGCCAGCCTGCTACGCAAATCCTGTGCATCTTTGCCAACCTTCAGCTCCGTGGTGAGGTCAGTAGGGTTTTTTGGATCATGAAATTTCTCGACTAACAGCTTCCACTCCTCCCGATATGCTCGTATTATTTCCTCACTTATAGGGTCACCTACTGTCACATTGATCTCTGCTCCAAAATTTCGAGGCAGGTAGCGTTCTATTTTAGTTCCTGCTGCAGATTCCGGCGCAATCTTTTCGAACCCAGTACTAAAAATGGGTACGACAATGGGGGCCTTGGTGCTTTCTAGAATCATTCTTGTGATCCCCCACTTGAAGTATCTCATGGAGTTCGCGTATGGGGATTCCAGTTGTAAAACAAACCCCTCTGGATACACATGGACCCAAGAGGGTTTGGTTCTTTTCACAGGAGGAGTGTAATTTTTGGCAAGTTTCGAAACCGTGGCCATATGTGCCTGCTGCGGGGTATCTGTCGGGGTTGGGGTTTGAGCCCAACTTGGTGTCCATTCGAGATCCAAAGTATCGTCAGGAGATAAAAGTCTCACTGATGCGTCAATGGAGCCTTGAAAGGGTCCACCGCCAAATCTTTGGGTGGAAAGTACTTTGCCCAACGAGAAGAAAGTGGCCAAAAACTTACTCTGGAAACACACATTATGAGCCCCAAGACACCAACGAATATGGTCTAGATCACGATATATTCTCCAAGGGAACACACCCCATATAAACGGATCGTCTACCACTGACATATGATTCATGACTGTCATTAATCCACGATTTTCCGATACCGAGCGATCTAAAGCGTTCTCTAGTCTATCGAAGTGATTCAACTGGACATTATAGCAAGTTTTGAGGATGAACTTCGATATTCCCACTGTTAGCAGACATGTAGCGTGCGACCCCAACTGCCACAGCGCGTTGGTTCTAGGATACTGTGCCAAAAATTCATCTCCACGCTTTAAAACATCTGGAAGCGACATTCCAAGGCCCTGGAAACAAGTTCAAAATGGCTACGTAACTCTCGGAATAATGCTGTCGAGCACCCGAATGCTGCGTCAGTTTGGAAGTGCCTTTTAATCACACAAATGTGAGTTCAAATTGCCAGATTTGCATTATAATAAATCGTATAATTTTGATCATATGCAAATCGACACTTCGTTTAGCGTGATCCAATAATGTTCTGTCACATAATTCAAGTTGAAAGACAACAAGAGATTGGTAGCGACTGCAGTTTTCTGATTCGGTCGAGCATAACATTTGTACAATTGAAACGGTTTTTGACGCTTTGTTTTGTTCAACGTCTCATTTCTTTGGGCGAAGATTCGAACATTTCAGACCCAAAAAAAAACAGATTCAAACGTCGACAGATAGGGCTTGTATCGAGTGGAATTGAGAGCTGTATGATCATACACTTCGAGATATGATCAAGTGCTTGAATTGTTTTTATTTTTTTTGGCATGGCCCATCCCATGCCATGCGTATTTTAGTTTCTGTAAGCTTTTTCATTCGAAGCGATTGTCAAAAAACCTTGGAGACGTCATAAGTCTCATGGTTCGAAAGGCTAATCTTGCTGGCTTTCTCGGCAATTGACTGAAGGACAGGTTGTCGAACGTCCGATCTTTTCCACGATCGATGTGTCTCTTTATCGTTTTTTTCCAAAATGACACGCATCTCTAATTATACTCAATAACAAATGAAATGATACTTGGATATGGTGAAAGCTAGAGTCAAGAGCGTCGAACTCGCACTCGCACGCCATCGATGGAGAAGTTTACCAATTGGAGAGATAAGGGCACCGGCATAGCGCCTTTCCTGCCCACACCTCCTCCTTTGTCGCAAGAAAAGGGTCTGGGACTGGTTCTCAATAACGTAAAATTCGTTTTCAAAGCCGTATGTGTGTTTCCTCTGGCACTGCTGGCCTTGATGATGCCAGAGATGGTCTCAAAGAAGCTTTGGCTGATCGTAATGAAGGTATTGTTCAGTTGGAGCATCCAAGTGGCGGCTCAAGGCGTGAAAAAGCGGGATCAGCGGGGTGAATTGCCAGCCACGGGTCATGTCTACGTGGTAAACTGTAATTGTCCTTTAGACGCCCTAGTGTTATGGTTCTTGGCACAAGGGCCTGTAGCATTCTGCGTTCCTTTAATTCGTGGAAAGTCAACTCGTGTGTTCCAATTGAGTGTTTGGCAGTTTTTTGAATTTGCACTCAACAGTGGGCAAATACACGGCGACCTTTCTAGCTTTCGCGAAGTGGAAACTGTTTCGCAGCTGAAAAACCAGGTTGTGTACGTTTTTGCCGAAGGTACCACGTCAAACGGGAAAAGCGTCTTGCCTTTCGCGTTTAGCCAAGAATCATGGTTAGACCTCTTGGATCAGAGGAGCGCTACGGCCGGATCTTCATCCTCTTACAATAGCAGCACAAGACTATCCACCCCCAAGGTCGACATTAACGCCATACAGCTGAAAGTCAACAGCTCTCTTACCACGCCGTTGCGAATCGATAGATGGAAATATCTGGTCAGAGCTTCCTCCCAGGGTGTCAGTTACAAGTGTAAAATGATAAAATCGGTAGAGCCGCAACTAGAAAAGGTTCGCACAGCGCTTGTGGGAGGGGACAAGTTCCGTCTAGTAGGCAAGGAACTGAATTTTGAGTCCAAGCTTAGGTTCGTTAAAGAATTCGCAAGCCGAAGACGGTAGCAGCATGAAAACCATGCGGCCGGTCACTTCAATAGTAATCGTTTCCTGCACTTTCGCCTGCCTCGCGCAAATTGTCACCGTCGAAAACCCAAATTGTACCCGCTACCTCAGGCGCTTTGCCCTGCGGCCAGGAGTTCCGCAATGTTTGGCGATCTCGAACGATTGGCTGGAAAAACACTTTATCATTAGTCTTTGTGTATCGGTAATGCAATAGCATCATTAAAGGAATGATGAAATCGTTCAACGTGGATTGTAGAAATGGATGCAATCCGGGTTGTTCTGGGGAGCTTTGTTTTTTGAAAGGGTTGAGTTTCGATCTCATGCCCGTGCTTTCCGATTTGAGCTCGTTCCATTTTGCAGAAAACCTGTCCTTCAACTTCCGAGTTTCTTGAATCAGCTTGAGTTGCTTAGAGGTAATCAAGCCTCCCGAAAGACAATCTGTTGCTGCCTCTAACATTCCGATAGCGACCCCGCAATCGTCATTTTTGTAATAATCCAGCGACAACAGAATGAACGTGAGCGAGTCCAAATACTGTATCAAAGGCTCACAAGCCGTAGCAGCAGAAGTGTTCGCCAATTGTGAGCAGGAAGATCGACATCCAATGCACAAACGGGCGTACAAAAGGCTGGACTTGGCTAGGTCTTTCAGATCCGATTCCTGAAACTCCAGCAGCCGATCATAACGAGCGCTGCTGTTTTTTTTCAAATATTTAGAATCTTTGGTTGTGCTTCCAAATACCCGGGACTGAAGTTTTGACAGCGACAGCATAACTACGCCCAGCTGCTGTGACAGCGTCCAGGTTTTTGTATAAGTCTGAACCAGACTCAAAGAGTGCGTGCTATTGGCGATTTCCAAATTGTTCAAAAGCTGAAGCAGACCTATTGCTTTCTTGTTGTACAAGCCGCTGCTTGCCCATGCTTCTTTGGAGTCCTCGGTAAACGCTTTCTGGATGAGCTGTTCTCCTACCTGTTGCAGGAAAAATGCCATGTTTGTGATTGCCACGCAAGCCAGATCTTCTAAAACTGGACTTGGAGCCTCAGAGTTATATCTAAGAAGCACGTTGACGAAGTGCAAATGTACATCGAAGCTATTTAAGAGAGATGAGTTATGACCCTGTTCCACCGCGAGCACGGCATTTTTTCGCAGCAGGGAAAGATCTGGTGGTAATTCATCTTTTTGGGAGATTTCTAGCGGCAAGTCGTGGTTCACAAGCATTGAGAGAGATGCCTCAAAAGCGTCAATAACTGCCTGTCTTTTTAGAAGACGTTTTTAGATCTTCGGTGTTGTAATTAAGCATATCGTTAATTAAACATAGTCGTCTAAAACGATCAAACGTAAGATATATAAGAAATCGGTATAGCTCAAGATCAACTGAACAACCGCGTTACAACATCAGTATAACCCACAGCTCACCACATCAAGCTTTTGAGCTTACAGAGTGCCTTTGACTAGAATCGTTGTTCAGTGGCAATCTTCTTGAGATTTCAAGCTCCTGTTTGCCGCCATTTTGAGGCTAGTTTTGAGCCCAACTCGTCCCCGCGAAAGAACAAATGGCCACCTCTTAAATCCATCGTGCAAATATGTTCAGTTGAGTAGATTGCCGTGATTTAAGAAGGAAAAGTGCATCGTAGCGGGGCTCTTCGAAGACAAAATAGCAGATTTTGAGAGTTCAGTGCACCTGGGCGGCTATTGAAATATCAAGGAGTCAGAAAGAACAGACCACTACAGAGTACTCGCTTAAATAAGCAGAAAACCGCTCACGTGATACGAACGTGAACTGGGGTATTCCAGCTCATCGCATCTCACCAGGTTCTCGCTGGATAATTACGATGAGTCGAAATACGGCGCATTTTGCCGGTTGTGGGCGGTAACGATGCATGTTTCGAACACAGGACAATGCTGGATGGTAACTATCAACGCACGGCTCACGGCACTAGCATCTTTTCCATTCCATCTCTTTCAACAGCGAATAGCGCTTCCGCTCGTTTGCGATTTCCATATACCAACCAACAACATGCGGAAATTGAGCATCGTTCGCGGAGATTTTCCACTTAAACCGCCATGTGTTACCGCTGGAAGTCAGCTGAAAGACAAAACTAAGGCTCCAATGGCTCTCTCAAGCCTTTTGCGCGTGATTTACATGTGCCCCGCGCTCTTTTTTCCTTATCAGCAGTTTGCTTCCAGGGCGACGCCACTGTTCGGAAATCAGGGCCCTTTTAATTGTCATCGAAGAGCCGTGTAGGCCTTTCAAGATTCTCATTGGTGTCTCCCTAAGAAAAAAATCCTTATCTCTATTATAATCGCTTTCAAGCCAACCGCAACGCTATTTCGAAATCGCACAGGCAGGGTCCGTGATGAGCGTGAAAAACGAAATTGTGCTGCTTATGGGACAGACTCATACCGTAAGTAAAGGGCTACTCTTAGGTTGGCGAAGTTCTACGAATGAGCGTTGCGGAGAGGGCAGTTTTGACGAAGAGATGCTACGGGAAACTGCCCAGCTCTGAGAAAAAAAAGCCATCGAAGAGCTTGGGACTATAAAGGCTGAGAGGCTTTTGGTAAAGTGGTTGGGATGAGAAAGGTGATATCAAGCTCCGAAAAGCCGTGAAAAGGAGGAACATACTAGCAGGTAAAGACTTTGCAGCCAATACCTTTCCAGAATGGGCTATGTGTGGGACGAAACTTATGAGCCTGCTACTGTAGCGTTCATATTGATCGGCTCAGCGCTGGTTTTTTTAATGATTCCAGGACTGGGGTTTTTATACTCCGGTCTGACGAGAAGGAAGTCTGCGTTGGCACAAATATGGATTGTGCTTATGGCTGCTCTCGTTGGGATGCTACAGTGGTATTTTTGGGGATTTTCGCTGGCGTTTTCCAAGACCTCTGTCAATCATAAGTTCATCGGAAATTTGAACTCTTTCGGGTTCAGAGACGTTTACGGGAAAGCCAGCGAGGAAAGCCAATACCCAGAAATAGCGTTTGCCGCTTTCCAAGGCTTGTTTATGTGTGTGACTCTCAGCATTGTTGCCGGGTGCACAGCCGAAAGAGGCAGGCTCCTGCCACACACAATTTTTCTATTTTGTTTTGCCACGCTTGTGTACTGTCCGGTAACGTACTGGATCTGGGACGCAGACGGATGGGCCTACCGTTGGGGTGTATTAGACTGGGCCGGTGGTGGCCCTGTCGAAATCCTATCCAGTGTGGGCGGCTTTGTTTATTCCGCGTTTTTGGGTAAAAGAAAGGAAAGCTTGTTGATCAATTTCAGACCTCACAACGTCTCAATGGTTACACTGGGCACTTCGCTGCTATGGTTCGGGTGGTTAGGGTTCAACGCCTGCACCTCTTTAAGCCCCAATCTCAGATCGGCTTACGCGTTTATGAACACAAACCTGAGCGCTGCTGTTGGAGGTATGACGTGGTGCTTACTGGATTACAGACTCGAAAAAAAATGGTCAACAGTGGGGCTCTGTTCCGGAATCATATGTGGCCTAGTAGCGGCCACACCTAGTTCGGGTTGCATTACTCTATACGCATCTGTGATTCAAGGCATGGTAGCGGGCGCAGTCTGTAACTTTGCCACCAAAATCAAGTATTACCTAAAAGTGGACGATTCGATGGATATTCTAGCAGAGCACGGTATCGCAGGCGTCGTTGGCTTAATTTTCAACGCTCTATTTGCTGCAGACTGGGTAATTGGCATGGACGGGGCTACCGACCATGAGGGCGGCTGGATAACGCACAACTACAAGCAGATGTACAAGCAAATTGCATACGTCGCAGCTGTTTACGGTTACGGTGTAGTTGTAACTGCCATCATATGTTTCGTCATTGACAAGATTCCGGGCTTGCAGCTCAGAGCTAGCGAAGAGGCAGAAGAACTGGGGCTCGACGAGGATCAAATTGGCGAATTTGCATACGACTACGTCGAGGTAAGGAGAGACTACTGTTCTTGGGGGTTCAATAAGCCGGAGGGCTCGTCGGACGATAACGAATCACATCCTCAGGAAGAGAAACACTCGTGAATTTATAGATAAATCCCAGGCACTACTTCAATTGGGATGTGCTCATGTTTATAAAGACAACAAAATGCATTTGAGAACAACATCAGCGCCCGTCTCGTCCCTGTCGAAAGGAAATTACATTCAAAAATTTAAATCAGTTGCATGGCTGCTGGCCTCTTCGCTGTTGTCCAAAAATTAACATAAAAAATTAAAATCGACCTCGGTGAGGATTGAACTCACGATCTTGCGATTAACAGTCGCACGCCTTAACCAGCTTGGCCACGAAGTCCTATTAATAATAAAGGAAAGTCTCAAATGATATATATAGTAAAGCAAAATACACGAGATTTCAATCATACATGGACGAACTCTCAAAGACAACCGTAGTTGACATTCGGCTTGACACAGTTGAATTTTCTTCCAATGCTCGCAATAGGTATTGAATAAAGCTCCATAACGGTAAGTTGTAAGCTTAGCTTGGCCAGTTAGAATTTACAGTTGCTCATTGAAACAACGAGTCCTTCAGTATACGCTGATTAGTCTAAAATGACGACGCCGTGTATGAGATGTCACCGTCGTTTTCCTCTTCAATAAATGATATCAGATGACCAATACATAGTAAATATTCTCTATTAAACTAACTTCATTGCCATTTTAGTATAGTGGTTAGTACACATCGTTGTGGCCGATGAAACCCTGGTTCGATTCTAGGAAATGGCATTTTTTGGCTTATCAGCGCACCACGATGAGCTCGTGTTTATATTAGATCGGTTTAGGCAAAACGAAAACAATCACGAACTATGTTTTTGGAAATTTGATCTACGATCTTAAACTCTTCACTGCAGTTTCTAACCGTTGGCAAATTTCTAGGATGTAGCCTGTATTCTGGGTTGTTTTCAAGACCTACACAGCTGTTTCCCCGGCCAACACACGAACAGTCGAATCCGGTTTTGCCAATCGAAAAATCGCGACAACTAGTGCTCAGTACTCAGTAGAGTAGCCAAAGATCACGTAGTAGAGACTCAATGTTGCTACAATGAGAATCCATTGAATCGAAGAGCAACCGCTTTTTTTGCAAAGTAAAATTTATTCGTACTCCAAAGTCTCGCGATCCCGGAACTTCATGTATATTTATTTACAGGCCAAGAGCTGGAACGGTCCGTTTTGCAGTAAACATGTTTCAGAAATCGGCCAAAGTAAAATAAACTTCCGAAGCGTTAAGCGTACTGCAGTAATCTCGTGCTCTCTTTCTATCCCTCACCCTTAGTCTCTCATTTCGGTAGAATCAGCACACTTCAGTCTGTCTGCCATCAATAACCTGCCTCTCAAAACAATACCAGCAACATGCTTGTCCAGAACATGGCCACAGCTGCTTTAGCAGTTTCGTTGGCGTCGAATTTTGTCAGTGGACAAACGGTTTCAAACGACGACGTTACCACCACCTACACCTCTACCATTTTGGTGTACACGACGGATTTGAGCAGAGACCAAAAACAACCTGTCGCGTACGATCTCTCAGTGTCATCGATCGGCGACGCAAGTTCTGCCAGTGCTGCCAGTGCTGCCAGTGCTGCCAGTGTCGCCAGTGTGGCCTCTGAGGCATCTGCATCTGCCTCTGCAGTCTCTGTTAGCTCCGTCAGCTCAGTTTCGGCGGCTTCAGCAGCCTCAGCGGCCTCGGTGGCTTCGGCAAAACAACAGCTTCTAGCCTCTGTATCGTCAGCCAGTGCTGCCAGCATTTCTTCAGCTGCCTACTATCAATCGTTGGCATCTGTATCTCAGGCTTCGTTGTCCTTGGCGTCCGAGTCTCAGGCTTTTGCGTCTCGGGCTTCATCGTCTCTGGTCTCAGCATCCCAAGCCTCAGCATCCCAGGCTTCCGTTTCCCAGGCTTCTGAGTCACAAGCTTCTGCATCTCGCGCTTCAGCATTCCGCGCGTTTGCTTCCCAGGCTTCTGCATCTCTGGCCTTCGCATCGAATGCATCCACTTCCACAGCTTCTGCTTCTCAGAAGACGAGACAGTTGGTTGAAGCATCGGGCCAGGTTGCCATCGCTTCATCGAACATGACGAGCTCCTCTTTCTCTTCACTTTCCTCCTCTTCGGTGTCTCTCTCAACCACTACCGGTGTGTCATCAAAAGTCACAGGTTCCGTATCTAACGGCCAAACCGTTTCTTCCTCAATGTCTCGCAACACCTCAAGCACTGCTTCGAGTCACGGCGCTGGAGCCCTTCTAACCACCAACGGCCTATTGCTAGGAGTCGCGGGCGGTGCTTTGCTGGGGCTACTATGAGACAGAGTCACACCAAAAGCTTTTGGAAGTCGGATTATTGGATTGGATGTCTCCTTAACGACTACATTTGGAGTTTCCCACCACATGTATTACCACTGCTATTTTGACCTTTTAACTATATAATAAGAACTTTAATCAATTGTACTATGTCACCTTCTCTTGTTTATACTAATGAAACATAGTGCTATGTTACATGCTATCTAATTATGCTAATATGTGCCGGTTCTTTTCAGAATCCTGTTTGTTCAATTGTGGCTGAAAATATACCATTTCTGGCCCCGGGTATAGTACTCATCCATCTGCCCAGTCTATGCTCTTTGCTTACGCTTGCCAACACACGAAAGGTTTCCTTACCATGTTTCCCGCTCTCCACGGTCTGAATATTGGTCACCACACCGCTACAACCGGATAACTCGCCAATCAGTTCGAACTCTCTGAAATTTTCACCTAGTTTCCATACTCTGAGCGCACCGTCCCACGAACCAGACAAGAAGACGTTGGAGTATGGGATCGCATACAAAGCAGTGATCCAATAAGGATGAGATATTTTTTTGTTTTGTAGCTGTTGCTCGCGCTTTTCGCTTTCAGCCTCTGCCGATATCTTATTAGAGTCCGGCAAGGGGACCACCCCATGAGCGCAACGCTGCGTGAAAAGAGGCTTCTTTTTCGACAGAGACCATAGAGATATGTTTCCGTTGTCTGAACCAGTGACAAAATGCGAATCGTCCATCATAGTAACACAATCAATGCTCCCTTCTCCGTAGAACAACGGAATTTCCTCCTCCCGAGGACGTACTTCTTTGCCATCCTCCGTTGTGTGAGTATTTTGTTTGATCCATCTTTTCATCAGCCTTTCAGGGTCGTCACCGCCTCTGAAAGTCAATCTTGTTTCGTCTGCAATTTTCCAAAGCATGGCGGTCCTATCACGGGAGCCCACCGTGACGCATCTTTCCATCCCCAGTGCAGAAATGCCAACAACAAGATCTTGATGCCCGTACAGAATCTCCAGTTGCGAAAATTGATTTATCGAGTACGTTCTAATTTTGAAGTCAGCGCAAGCAGCATACAGCTGGTCCGAATTCTTTCGAAAAGTCAACGAGAGAATTTCGCCTCTTCTGTCCTTTGTGGGGATAACCTTGACGGGTGCCAGCGATTCTGTGCTCCAAACAATCAATTTTCTATCACGCCCACCGGTCACGATGTATCTGCCGTCTGGAGAGGCCGCCAACGTCAATATTTCGTCATAATGGCCCTCAGTAGTGTTCTCATATTCGAATTTGCTCTCAGGGATAAAACGACGTCCGCCTTTAGTGTATTTCAGTTTTTTAGGTCTCGCTGCAAAGTCTGTGATATCGTACTTCGTCAAAGTCATGTCTTTGCTGACAGTGTAGGCAAAAAGTTTACCGCTATTTTTACTTTGCGAGTCCTGGTGTGAGAATTTGTTGATGGCCGGTTGGTAGCATGAAATGCCGGTCAGATTTTTTTCCCCCACGCGACTGAAAGAAGTCTTGGCTTCCGAGATGAGGAGTTTGTCGCCGATGATTCTGTAGATACGACCCTGCTGTTCAGCCACGTCCTGCTTCAGTCTTGAGGCCACAATTTCGCGGTCCAGGTCCCGAGCATCAAAAGTGTTATAATTTTCCTCTGCTGTACCGGGTTCGTCGTCCAGTTTTTCATGCACGTCTTGTGCTATTTCGTTCGCTTCTGCTTTCAGATTATCCAGATATTGTTTGGCCAAACGACGCCTTTTGTCAGCAGCGTTTTCCTGCTGGAATTCTTCCTCCGAATCCAGCTCTTCATCTTCATCCATTCCAGCCAATTCTCCCTGTGCATTGTCGTCTTCATCGTTGGACGATGGTTCCGTGATTTCTTCGTCTACAGCATTGCTAAGAGGCTCGCGACTTTCGGATCTCTTACGTTTTCTATTGTCGGATTTGACACGCGCCATTCTGGTATAAAGAATGCTTTATAAGACTGATTCCTTTCGATCAACCTAGCTCATCTCATGTTAGTTGTTGTAGCCTGTTCAAATTTTTTTTTCACTGTGAGTGCAAGGCATAGTTTCTTGACATACACGTGAGCTCATCGCGTCACGAAAAAGATGTGAAATAAGTAACACCAACGAAAGAAGTCGACCGTGTGGACGATCGACCAGTTGATGATGAAGCTTCGTGGGCTATCCAATTGTACTCGATTGTGTTAGAATGACAAAATTTGGTTGGTTCACGAGCTAATCGTTTTGTCTTTTTTTTTAATTCGTTTCCTTGGTCTCAGAAATGAGACTCTCTCACTGGCATCAAACAGTATTTAATTGCTGTTCGTAGCGAGCTTCCCGAATATCGTTGACCTTTTTAACCAAACTCATCAACTCAGCTCTCTCTGCAATTTTGACGGCCGCATTCAGTGCTTTGTCTTGTTTGATTTCCTGCGCTAAAGTAAGGGCTTTGCCTATGTCCTGCTCTGAGCAGGCTGTTGCAAATAGTCGCAGCAGCGACTTGTCGTAGGCCGCGTTCAAAGATGCAAGAACTTGCGTTTCATTCCCGTAAACTTCGCCCTCGTGCTCTAGAGTATCGGTCAGTAGCTCGCTCATGAATTTGGAACGCACAAATTCCTCCTCTGCAGCCATCTGAGCTGGAATCTGCATCTCCTGCTCGTTCTCGTCATCGCGGCTGATTTGCACCTCATCCTTTATAATGAGCGGAACTCTTACTTCCATCTCAGACGGCAAGGGCATGGGAAATTCGGGCCATTCATGGTGGCCTTTGACCAAAATGTGATTAAGAACGTTAAACGTCAAACCCAAGGGCCACACGTGAAGATCTTTTGCTTCTCTGCCGTTGGAACTTTTCCAAAGCTCCAGCTTGGCGTCGATAAGCGGAACCCATCTACTTTGAGCTGCCGATCTCCATCTCGACAGCACTAACAGCACGTCGTCTACCCCGAATATGCAAGGATCACCGTATGCTGAAAAAAATAGAGATTTTATACCCAGGGGGCTAAACGCTGAGAATGTCTCACTAAACTCCTCATCCTCATCGTAATTTACCGGAAGCTTGATTGGCAACGAGCTCTCTCTCTGAAAATACCTACTCCCGGTCTGAGGATTCTGCTCGAATAGAGTGTAAGTGATTCCATGATGTGGTGAAAAATGAACCGCAAATATCTTATAATCTTGGGCGGCTAACGCTACAACGGGCGATACTTTCTCAATTTCAAGTGGAATGCCAAATTGGTTGAAAGTTCTAACATAACCAAAAGATGTTCCGACGACTACTTTCTTCGATGTGGCCGCCACTGAAGTGATCTTCTCTGATATTTGTAAGGGAACCATTCTATTCCAAGATTCAAAATTATTATGGGCACGATAGTGGAGCCGCCCCGCTTTGGATTCTGCGAATAGTGCTCCCTCTTCAGTCAAAGAACAAATATCGTATCCATACAGATCTTCGAAATGGTACTCTTTAAAACGACCCAGGTCGAAGAAGGAAGTTGTTATGGTACTTCGCGAAGACGCTGATCCCTCGCTAGTTTTCACAGTAAACGCATATCCGATATTGTTCATGGTCAAGTATCGTCTATCAGACGACCCGAATGGTGTACCTCCTGGTGAGAAAGGGCGATAGCGGAATTTAGAAGCTCGACTCTCCGTATTGAAAGGAGAAGATCTATGGGTCGCGGACCTCGAATATGTCGGCTTTTTGACTACATAGCCAGCTCCGTCATCATCGTCAATAAAATCATCTTCGTCGTTGAGGAGTGCTCTCTTTTTAGGCTCGTTGCTCTCATCATCTGTGAACAGACCTTGAGACTCATTCAAATTCTCGTGTCCGTTCCCCTCAACAAAGGCCTCATTATGGTGAGCAGTAGTTTCGCCCTCTTCATCGTCGGAGCTCACAAAAAGATTGTTCTTCTCCTGTTTCTTCTCGGCGTCCTCATGGAGAACAGGCCGCTGCACCACGTTTTCGGCCACATTTCTAATGCTCACCATGTTACCTGACCAAGTACCAAAATGGAGATCTAGAGTATTATTCGATTGAAGTGCCCAACTCAGATTTGTGATTTTATGCTTCAGATCTCTGGTTGTGTGAATCTCACCAGTCACAGCGTTCCAGATCGTGACCCTGTCGTCCAAATCTATGGCTGCAATGAAAGAACCATTCTGTGGACTATACTTGATATCGACAAACTCACGTTTGATTTGAGAGTAAGTAAAAGATTTGATTTGTGTGAAATCTTTGAGATTGTAAATCTTGATAGATCGGTCTTGGCATGGAACAGCGAACTGAAGACCGTGGGGATGCCATTCGACGCGCGAGCATACTCTGTTCTCATCGCAGTATTCAGGGTCCGTGGCGCTCTCATCCTCATCTCCAGCTTCGGCAGGGTCAATAGACTGCAGTAACGAGTCTTGAAAGTCGTCATTGTAAAAATGGGCCGCAATGCAATTGTCTAGCCTGTGGACGTGACGCGGAGTGGTCGAGGTCATTGAGTAGAAATGAATGCTGCCATTTACCTGAGAGATTGCCAGAACACTCATTTGAGGATTGTAAGCCAACTTACGGACTTGGTCCTCGAGTTTCAAAGTTGTTTTTACCCGCTCAGATTCTTCAGTGAGTGACAAAAGGGTTACTTCCAAGTCGTCTCCACCGATTGCCACCGTTTTACCATTGTGGACTAGTACCACATCCCGTACTGGCAAAGCACACCTCAGTAAAAGCTTGCTCTCTGATTCCTGCGAGCTGTAAAGATTGACATCACCTTTCAGTGAACCCACTATCAGTCTTGAGTTCGACACGGTTAGCATCGAGGTAGGGTTCTGACATGAATCGAGCACATCTGGTTCGTCTTCAGGTTTATTCAGCTGTAAGATTTTGGTTAAACCATTTTTGTTGACCGCGAAGAGACGTGATCCATCGGCAGAACAGCCTACCAGTGTCTTGCCACCAGAGCTAAAAATTGACTTGTCGATCATAGATGCCATTGCTGCTATCTATTCCTTGTATCCTGCTGTTTCCTTTGACGAGAGTGCGAAGGTATTGACGCGATGGATATGTTTCTTGACGCGTAAAACAAAAGTTCGCGATTTTTCAAGCATAGAATGACAGTATAAAAAATAATGACTTTCTGGTAGTGAATCCTGGCCAAATTATAAGCAGCAGACGACCGGGCGAGATGGACGCAGTGCCAAGGATCGCTGCAACGACGAACTAGTCTGTAACCTCTTCAAAAAGCGATTATTAGTAGTAAGAACCGGTTCGCTTCTAAAGGGAATATTAATAATAAAATTTGCGTCAGAACGTAAGCATTAGAACGATCTCTTGAATGGTTGGCAGATAAGTCTACACACAAGCAAAAAAAAAAACGGTTAAAAGTATCCTGATATCTGGGGTCCTGAGGTCAATCTCTTCCAAAGGTAATTGGTGCCAAATTTTAATTTCCGCTCCATCAAAAAAAGCATTCATTGCAGTACAGATCTGCTATCTTCTGGATTCTGCTGTTCTGCTTTGAAATAGTTGACATTTGATTCCAGAACATATACGAAACAAGCATTCGTAGTGCCTTCTCAAGGCAAGTGTCAGTTTTACTCAATGTTTTGACATATATAGGTCGTGAAAAATCACCTTGAACACTGCAATTTGACAATTTGACACTCCATATATGCCAAACACACCGACTACACATGGACTTGCTGGACGATACCTGGGACCTGCCGGTCTCTAAAAACATCAACAGAGAGCTCTTCACGGATTACGAAAAAGACGAGGCTTTTGACATCGACAGCTTCCTTTTAGACAACAATTTCCACTATGTTCCTCTAGATACGCTTTCCAAAGATCTAACGTCCTTGACACAGGAAATGGACCACGCTCTCTTGGATGCATCCAGTAAAAGTTACAAAGACTTCGTCACGCTATGCGACCGCTTCTCAAGCACTACAGAAACAAGACCTGAGATGCAAAACGTCAAGCTGGATTTGACTGAGTTTCTGCACCAACTACGAGAGCTCACAAAAACTGACATTGCCAACACCAGAGAAATCGTGGCAGACACAGTGGACTACCTCCAAACACTCGACAAGCTTTCTGTGATACTGGCGAACTCTACATTTTTGAAATCGAGCCTACACTTGGCTCGCAAGTTGTGCAATGTCCTAGAATCACTATGCGCAGATGACAAAAAAAATCATCTCGATATCATCCTCTGTGGCGATCTACTGACCCAGTTGCACCAGCTCACCGCGAAATCGCATTCGGCCCTACTAAAGTTGCAGCAAATTGACTCTCCACTGATGGTTCAGCTGAGATCCGAGTACCACAGCGTCATTTCTCAGTTTCGAGCCTGTCTTCACGTGCTTTGTGATAAATGTGTTGAAAGTCCCAGCGATACTAAAGAGTTAGCAGCTCAGCTTGCAACGTTGATCCCAACCGATAACTAAACGCCAAAATCAATTAACGTAAGGGCTCATGAACGTCGTCACTTTTGGCGGGTCCAATTCTACCCCGTTCAAACTCATTTGAACATCAAATCACTATCGACGGAGATCGTTCAAGCTTTAAACAACAATAGAAAACTTTTCCCACTGAATAGCACAGATCAAACCCTGGAAAGTCGACAATATCGTGGTATAGATGTTCAATTTCGGCGGCTCAGGTGCCAATGCTAATAACGCAGCCAACGGTGGATCACTGTTTGGCAATAAACCGGCGAGTACTACTCCAGGTCTTTCCGGTGGGATGAATAATGGCAGTATACAAGGTCAACCGTCTGGATCGCTTTTTGGGCAAAATAGCAACAATCAACAGCCAAATCAGGCCAGTGGTGGTCTTTTCGGACAGCCGTCTTCAGGAACTACGGGTTCCGGTGGTCTTTTTGGAAATAAACCCAGTGGGGGGTTGAGTTTTGGTCAAAATACGAATCAGCAACAGCAAGTCGGTGCACAGAAACCGGGCCAATTGGGCACTTCTCTCTTTGGTGGAGGTAATAACAACACTCAGGGATCAGGTGCGGGAGCTGGAGGATTATTTGGCGGCGGTAGCAACCAGCAACAGTCGAATCCTCCCGCTGGCGGAGGCCTTTTTGGAAATACTAATCAGCAACAGGCTAATCCTCCCACTGGTGGAGGTCTCTTCGGCAACACTAATCAGTCACAATCAGGTACTGGCTCCGGTGGCCTCTTTGGCGGCAACAATCAGCAGCAATCTGCCTCTAATACGGGTGGTTTGTTCGGCAGCAGGCCAAATGCCCCCTCGGGCGGACTCTTTGGCAGTTCTACCAACAATGCGGGCTCCAACACTGGCGGGCTTTTTGGCGGCAACAACCAACAACAGCAACAGCAACAGCAACAGGGCTTCGGATCCGGTTCATTGTTTGGATCTAAAGCTCCGCAACAACCACAAACGACCTCTTTGTTCGGGAATAGCGGAACCGTGAACTCCACCCAGCCTTCTTTTGGTTGGTCTCAGCCATCGAATGGCCAACAAACCACTCAGCAAACAAACCAGTCACAACTCCAGCAGCAGCAACTTCAACAGCAGATGCAATTTCAGCAGCAGCAAATACAACAATCACAACAGTCTAATTACCCACAGCAAATCCAAGAGCAGATTGTGAAGTGCAAAGACTCCTGGAACCCTCAATCTTCAAAAGGCAAACTAAGGACCTTCTTTTACAATAAGGTGAATGAAACGGAGGCAATGCTTTATAATAAACCTCCAGAAATATCTCAAGAAGACTGGGATGACGCCCTATTACAGAAGCCTTCGGCAAGCGTGATTCCGGTCCAAGCTTTCGGTTTCGATGATTTGAACGAAAGAAATAAATTGCAGAGGGATAACGTTGCACAAGCCCGTCTGATATTGAACCAGGTTCTCGAGAAACTGACTCAACTTTCACAAAAGCACGATTTGGAGACAGCTTCTCGGATCTTGAAGGCCCAGAGTAGAAACGTCAAAATACAGCAGAGGATTATAAGACTTGGCTCACAGTTGGCTATATTAAAGAGCAAAGGGTTGCCTTTATCTGTTGGTGAAGAAAATATGTGGTCTGAATACGAAAAGCTGCTCAAGCGAAGCAACGATCCTGCTGGTCTTGGTAAGAATAATGAACTTTGGGCAAGGCTATCGGTTTTGAAAGAACGGTCAAAGACTATTTCAGATCAGCTAGACAGCACTCTGGTCGTCATCAGTGAAAACAATGGTAGTACCGATGTCCAGTCGAAGGGTTCTGGAAAACAGGAAGACAGGAGGGTTGACGAAGAACTTGAAGGCAGAGTCAACAAGATTGCAGAAATTTTGAGCAATCAGCAACGTGGGCTGTGCTACTTGCAAGATGTGCTTGAAAAAGACGAAAAGCTTGTTAACAAATGTGTAAGTCAACGATCTATCTAAACTAACAATGCATAATGGACAACACATCATCGTTCAAACCCCTTAAATCCGCGTAGTAAGAAATCGAGACGTCTAGAATCATCCTCCGATTCTGCTTCAGAATTTGTAGAGGCCTCATCGGGGTCTTCCAGCCAGTCTTGGAGCTCTCGGGGGAGGGATTCGAAATCCGAGTATAAAATGGGTTCTAGATGGACATGTCGCCTGTCAGCAGCCAGCTGTGCCTTTGCGAAATCGAAAAAACCATCTACTTGGTGCTCGCTGCTCAAGTTGGCACCGTTCCCGCGCGGGGGCTGCCACCTGCTGAAATCGAAAAATCGACTTCCATGGAGCTGCTTATGCGATTGTTCGTCCACTGGCAAGATAGTTGGAGCCCTCAAAGTTGTCGCGGCTGATGTTTGAATGTGGCTGACTGGAGTGCTTTTGAAGGTCCAAGGTCCGAGAGATGCAAAGGGTGCCAGGTCTCGGGATTGCGACTTCCGACGATGGGCGTTTTGAGACCAGACCGATCGCAGCTTTTCGCACAGCTCTTGCAACGTTTGGGATTCCTTGAGCGACAGAGGCGGATCAGGCTGTAACACATTTGTATCGAAGTCGAGTGCCGGAACCGTAAAACCTCTCAGGTTGAAAAGAACTGTGGATAGCGCATCCAGGTTATTGCTTGATATGATCAAATCGATTTTGGGTTCCGTTCGCTTCAGGGTCTTTTGCCAAACAGATGCGTTGGATCTCGAATACAGGACGTTGCCCAGGCTCTGAAGCTCTGTTGTGAGTGCTTTATGGACTAAAGCCTCATTGGGAACCGAAGCACTTTTAAACGCAAGCTTGAGTTGAAGCACCAGACACTGGCTCTTTATAAATTCCTGCAACATCGCCAAGTTGCAAGCAGCAGACGCTAACAAGTGTTAATGCTTAAATTATATACAGGTTGATTGACTTGACGTCGTATCGTAATATGTGGTGACCGTGTTGACAGTCTTTATTTTTCGTATCTTATTTTTGTAGTCTCTACAACGGCAGATGAGTTCATTTCAACATTTTATTGTTGATCACTGACCATTTATTTCCATTGCCTCTTGATGAAATGCCAAACCATTGGAGAAACCCATAGAAGAGCAGCTGCGTAGCCTGCAGTGATCAATGTCTGATTAGATTGCTGTTGATGAATCTTTTTTTCCTCCTCAGAGGGTGGTTGTTGTGGAAGTCCGAACATTTTGGTATGGGAAGAAAGCCTGAATTTATGTGAGGGTGGTAGATTCTTGACCTGAGTAAAGAATCTGGAAGTTGAGCCAGAACTAAGGGTGTAAGAGTATTGAATACACTTGTCTTAGAGCTTTGGTTTAGTTAGCTACTATAGGTTAACTAAAATTTTTCAACATATCGAATTAAAGATCGTGTTAGACGAAAGGCTTTAGGTATATGAAATATAAAATCTTAAAAGACTCTACATCGATGGAAGTGAGGGTAGTTGACGTAAAGCGCTTTATAAGGAGTCTAACGCTCTTTATAAGAACAGTCGGGACAGTTTAGAAGCGAGGCGTAAGCTTTTTAGTGCTACTGGAAGAAAAAAGCGCGAAAAAGGGCAAAAGATAGCCTGAAAATGAGCAGTGAAGAACCAGTTTTGGGTGTTAGCTCCACCGAGGATGAATCTGTCAGAAATCTTGCAGAAAGAGCGGTAAAACAGGCAGAAGGACCAACCACTCATGTAGAGAGACAACGCAAACGTATAGACATGGGAAATTCGGACGACGAAGACGACATTGACACAAATCAGAGATTAGACTCGCAGCGCATCATCAGCAGTAAGGCCCTAGAGGATGTGGGGATCGACCAAAGCGCAAGAAGACGTCAAGAGCTAGAAGACCGTTTAGATCGGTTGTTAAAAAAACCCAAATCTCGCAGAACCAGAAGAGATGAGGACGACTTGGAACAATTTTTGGACGAGCGGATTTTGAGACTTAAGGACGAAATGAACGTTGCTGCTCAGAAGGACATCGAGACCCTAAACCGCAGATTAGAGGGGATTGATGAGACCGCCGTGGCGATGGAAAAAGTGAAACTACTGCCCAAAGTGGTGAGCACCTTGTCTAAGGCACATTTGGCAGACACCATATTGGACAACAACCTTCTCCAAAGCGTTCGCATTTGGCTGGAACCACTGCCAGACGGATCTCTGCCCTCGTTTGAAATACAGAAGTCTCTTTTCGCAGCTTTAGAAACACTTCCTATCAAGACAGATCATTTAAAGGAGAGTGGACTGGGTAAAGTGGTAATATTCTACACCAAGTCGAAGAGAGTAGAGGCCAAGCTAGCGCGTTTGGCAGATAGGTTGGTTGCAGAATGGACCAGACCGATCATCGGTGCCTCTGACAACTACCGTGACAAGCGGGTAATGAAACTAGAGTTCGATGTGGAACAACATAGAAAGAAGGCTATGCTGGACAGTGCCAAAAGCAAGAAATTAAAGAAGAGAAGATCTGAAGACGACACGAAGGGCAAGTCGCCATACGAACTGGCCGCGGCAAGAAGAAACAGGGCCGCAGCGCCATCACAGACCACGACGGACTACAAGTATGCGCCGGTCAGCAATTTGAGCTCGGTTTCGACCACTGCTCGGGCTTCTGGTGTTGGATCGTCTTTGAACAATAGTGAGATGTACAAGAGATTGAACTCGCGGCTCACCAAGAAAGGTAAGAGGAGTAAGTAAATTAATTTTAGTTTGAAGTGATCATCACCCCGAGTCGTGCCGAAGAGTCGTGCCCACCGTGCTTTGTTTGGTTTCGCGAAAACTTAAGTTGAGCTATGAGCGTTAACTAAAACGTGCAATATAAATTGATGTACATAGTACAGTGGGTTCTTTGTAGTGTTGTTGTTGGTAATTATGACAGAAAATAGAAAAGATCTGAGATTCGCGCAAGACGCAAATGGGCTTTGCCCGTGTGTTCTTGCCCGCACCCTCGCCTGATGGCAAGCGCGCTTAGGATCTTGGCTTTTCCTTCTTCTCCTTCCACAAAGCTAGCAAAGAGACACCGGAGACCTTAACGACCTTGAATCTGACACCTGGGATATCACCCTTGGCCTTACCCTTTCTACCGAAACCGGCCAACAAGACTTCGTCGTTTTCGTCGACGAAGTTCAAACAACCATCGTTGGGGACGAAAGCAGTAACTCTCTTACCGTTCTTGATCAACTGGACTCTGACACACTTTCTGATGGCAGAGTTTGGCTGTTTGGATTCGACACCAATCTTTTCCAACACGATACCTTTGGCGTGAGAAGAACCACCGAATGGAGAAGACTTGAAGGCAGTTCCCAGCAATCTCTTCTTGTAGGATTGTTCGGCCCAACGGCTGTGAAACACGGGTTAGTATCGTACGGGATTGTGCTAGAGTAGCGGCAGGAGACTGACTGGCACCGATCAGGACATAACAGGACATGTGCATATTGTATATGACCTTGCTGAGAGGGAAATTGGCCTCTCTCTTACCAGATGATCCCACGAACACCCGTTTCTCTGCGCTGTATTCGCATTATTCAACATACTTGTTTCTTCTGTGGACACGCAACTTTCTAGCGGCGTTCAAACCTCTTGGCTTACCCTTACCCATTGTTGATTGTTGATATGTGGTTTTCTGTAACAAGATGTATAGTAAACTGAGATTCGTGTAGTGAATAATTATCTCTAGTTTTTTTCAGGATACGTAAGGACGATCCTGGGCGATGGTGGTAGGTTAGGCAGGGAATAGGTAGAGGCCAGAGGGACGCGAGCCTAAGCGAGCCTGGCGTTAGAAGAAAGAAGTACTGGGACTAGGCAGGGGGTAGGCAGGCCGTGAGCCTGGGCTGGGCTAACCCTAGGCAGAGGTCGTAGGCAGGATTGGTGGGAACTAGCGACGAGCTAGGCAGGAGAGACCTGTTGCCAGTTGCGTGAGTACTCGTTCGTTTCGAGGTGACTCTTTTTTTGGCCCGGCGGTACCCGTTTTTTTCAAACATAGAAAAATGTAAAATGGTGTACGGGTGTAAGGTTTGAAAAAGACAGTCACGGAAAATGAAAAGACATCAAGCTATCAGGGCTGGGTGGCTGGCTGGCTAACAAGCAAGTGTTGTGGTGTAGTTGAGAGAAATGGAAAGGGGAAGATTGTGTGGGAAGAGAGGGGGAGGGAGATGACTAGACAGTTGTTGATTCAAGAGAGGACGGAATCGCGGCATTTCTAAGTAGATTAGTCGTTGTTTGTCGATTTGTCACGTGATGTGGACGACTATGGAGTACAAAGTGATTGCTTTCGAAATGACATAAATGCACGCGCAGTTGTACTAACAAGCAGTGCCAACGCGTGGTTGCGCATATATGCATTTCACAAGAACCGGCTTATTTGTTGCGGATAAATTCCGTATTTTATGTACAAGGTTTCCGCTGGTATGTAGTAAAAAATGAGTTTTCCACACATCGACTTATGAAAAAAACCTGGCAAAGCTCACCAATTGATGGAAGACAAGTAAGATACAAACCAAGCACCTCCTGCACACACACACACACACTTAAATAGTCAAGCGCTCTCTTTTACATTTTTACACTCTCGCGAAGGTGATTGGCACACCACGTGATATAAATTACCCAAATCTCTTCAATCACTTGACATGCCCAGCGCTAAAGAAATCAATCAACACCTGTTTATCCAACTGCACACGCCCGATCATCTTGCCTATATAGCCTCCCGCGCTCTGTGCCTAATAATGACTTCTGCCACTGTAGAAAACTTGAGCCAGGTTATCGTTGCGAAATATCTTGCTAAGTACGGGTACGACGCTGCGCTTTCTAATTTCTTGAAGGAATCTGGGCTTGCCAGATCCGCCGTGGATCTGAATAACGATGCCTTTGAGGAGCTAGAAACTATTGTTGGCGAGCGAATTGAGTTCAATGAATCCAAAATGGCTGCAAAACTTGCGGATTTGTCTCTCAACGATTCCATCCCCTCGCTCGATCCCAAATTCCGTTTATCACCATGGGACCACACCCTGAAGCTTGTGGCGGCCGATATGCCTGAAAAACCAGCTTCACTAGTTGTTGACTTGGCATTCTCCGCATCATCAGAATTATCAGTCAGCACAGTGGACAGAAGCGTTTATTTCTATGAATCCGATCTAAACCTTAAAAAAAAGCTTAAGCTAACCTCCGGCGTAGTGAAAAGGTGCGGCACCATATTGCGTGACAAAAAATCATGGTTCTTTGTTTGTGGGATGAATGGTGCTCTCACAATTTTCGATGAATCTTTCAAAACCCTGCTGGAACACCTGTTGCACTCACGCATCGTCAAATACATCGACTTCTTCCACCTGGAAAGCGAATCGAAATGTTACTCCTTCAGTTGCGGTCTCGACAACTACGTCAAAGTTCATCTCATTGACCTTAAAACGTCCGAGACTGTTCTTCTAGACTCCCAAAAATTGACCACACCATGCACGTCTTTCCAATTGGCGCAAACACCAGACCAACGACCCGTGTTGCTTTTGACACAGCAAGACCATTCCCAACTGATGATCTATACCCTATGGGATGACGTATTGGTAGAGACCCACAAATTGGCCATGAACAACGCCAAATTCACTTCGCATTCCTTCAACGTCCAGTCCTCGTGCCTTTTGGATTTTAAAGAGACAGCCTCAATTCCCTACAATTCTCTGAATCCACATCTGACAGTTGTAGAAGAGGGAGTTATGATGGCTATTGCTACTTCTCACACGCCTTACATGAGACTGATATTATTGGAAATACCAGGCGTACCTACTTCCAAACCTCCATCTGAATCCGCGACTCGAATTCATTACGATAAAATTCTCAGAAACATTGCCACAGTTGTTCCCCAGGACTCGTTCTCGCAGTCGATCTTGAAAACCTGTCATAGTTCTAAAGGTTTAATTGTTGGTAATGATTCCGGTGTTTTTGCCATTGATCTCGCCAACAGTGATTCGTGGTCATTATTTCAACAAGCACGAAGAGTTAAAGCATTGGACACATCCCAGAACCGGTTGACCATAGCTTACGCTGACACTGGACTTGACATTTTTCACTGGCGCCAATAGGCATAATTTTTAACGAAAGTGGTTTAAGTTGTCGAAATCACCAGTGAACTATCGTCATCGAGAGTTATTCAGATCAACAGTCTTAATGACAACCATTGAGCCTTTCGAAGCAACAGATTTGCTGCAGTTGAACAATGTTAATCTAGACTTTTTGACAGAAAACTTTCCTCTGGAATTTTACCTGGAGTATCTGATACTATGGCCTGAGCTCTTCTTTGAGAGTCAAGAGCTAACCAAGAAAAGAGACAATGGCCAGCACGAGATATCGGGCTACATGATGGGCAAGACCGAGGGTAAAGGTAATGATTGGCATTCGCATATCACCGCAGTCACCATTGCGCCCGATTTTCGTCGTATTTCCCTCGCATCGGGTCTCTGTAATACCCTGGAAACAATCACTGATAATCAACCGCACAATGTGAACTTCATTGATCTGTTTGTCAAGTGCAACAACAGTCTAGCCATTAAACTATACGAGAAGCTGGGGTACTCGGTGTTTAGGAGAGTGGTCGGGTACTACAACTCCTCGGACGATAAGTACCCAACAGCATTGGGAAAAGTTCATGACGATAAAGACGCTTTCGACATGCGCAAAGGGATGAAACGGGACAATGGACGCAGCACAAGGAGTGACGGCAGGAAGAACCGTTGCTATCCTCACGATGTTAGGTTTTGATTTAATGATTACGTATAGATATACAATTCGTCATGGAGACCTTGACTTGAAAAAGTGGACAATAGTCTGTCGCATTTTGGCTCAAAACTAAGTAGCTTAGCATGGCTAAAACTCGATTTTTTCATTGGCAAAGTCGGAGTTTTCGTTTCTTCTGAACCCACCACGATAACCTCCGCGATTGCCTCCACGTTGGCTTCCACGTCCACGGTGCGAGCCTCGTCCTCCGCGAAAGCCGCCGCGACCGCGCCTATTTCCAACACTTGCTTGCCCAAAGGTATCCATGTTTAGCTGGCGCTCTTCCTGCCACCTCATATTGGTGTTTGTCTCGGTTGAAGTGGAGATGGTGTCAAAGAAGGAGGATGTACGGTTGTAGAAGGCTTCGTCGTTCTTTGGATCCTGTTCAGTGGAGATTTGCTGAGATTTGGTGGGATCATTTTTCTTGTCAAGTTTAGAATTATTGGACTGAAAATCGAAATCTTCGCTTGGAATATCCACTCTACGTGTTGCGTCTTGTTTGACCTTCGCAGAAGGCTTGAGGCCTGTATTGGCCTCTCTGGATCTGTTTGAATGCGACTGCTGTTGAGACTGTTGTTTGACAGATCCCGTATTTTTGGCTGTAGTTGGCTCAACGGCCGCAGCCGTGGAAGACGGGGCGTAAACACCGTATCCTGCCATGGCAGCGGGCACCTCTGCGCGTGGTGAGTGGTGTGCATGACTTTGTTGAGTTTGTGGGGCGTGTGCGACATCTTGAGAAACCTGCTGTTGCTCTGATTGTAGCTGATGTTGTTGCTGAGGTTGTTTTTGTTGTTGCTGTTGTTGTTGTTGTTGTTGTTGTTGTTGCGGCTGCTGTTGCTGCTGCTGTTGGGCCAATACTTGAGGCGGTGGTAACACAGGCTGAACCTCTTCTAACGCAATGTCCAAAATACTCAAATCTTTTACATCGTTACCATTAAATGCAACTGTCTCATACACGTTGGGATTAGGATATATTTCTTGGGGACCCCATTGCTTCCGGCCTTCGGTGCCAAAGCAACGTACTTTGTTCAATGTAACCACACCCTTTTCGGAGTCAATACCTTCCAAAAGACCCACGTATCTGTTCTCAGTTACGGAGATCAGAGAAATCGTCTTCCCGATGTACTGAGCCATCGTCTTCGGTCTTCAATTGCACGGTTTATCGAGGATTTCTATGTTAGAGGATCTGGTAAAACTGTTATTTCAAAAACTACTAATCTTAAAAATCGCTACAAGGACTAGATAATCTAGTCGAGGGGAGAAAACCTAGTGGAGGACGCCAGAGTTTTCAGCTATCAAGGTGCAACGTTACCGGAACTCATGCCTGTAATTTTGCGTCGTGATACGCAGAAGTATTAAAGAATGGAAGTTTTATCAGGGTGTGAGATATATGCGATTGAAGATCTCAAACGATTTCGTGATAAAATCTCGGAAATTTTCAAAGAAAGTAGAGGATTCAGGGCGTCACGACCCAGAACTGGCACCGTAAATACCACTTGACTCACTGAGATAATTGTTATAAAGCTTTTACAAACGTTTCAACGACAGTTCCTTGTCTTGACAATGTTCTTGGATGTGTCGCTAAACAGTCAGGATAGTAAAGAAAGAAGGGCATAGAAACAAAAACACATTTTCCTGACGCCTGAACTAATTGGTACAACCGCTCTCGGAGCTAAACGATTGACCAAGCAGATTGTTCAGCGTTTTCGATGATAAAGCTAAATTTCGAGACCTCAATCTATGATGCTGATTAACGAAGGATGCTTTTATAACCTTAAACTTGTGATTATCAACTTCTGAAAAACGCAACGGCCTGAAATTGTTCTTCAATGGATAAACAACACAGGAGAAAGTACTAACCGCTAAAAGTCTCAGCAAAAGCCCATCAAAACGCCTTGGCTTAATACGTTTTAGATCTAGTTCACGTGATCATCAACTATGGCATGTACTCCACATTAAATCTCAAGATCCAAGTGTCAATGCTCATCTCGAGCACCCAAACTCATCGCACAGCAGAAAACACAGCTTTGCCATAAGTCTCTTCTGTTCTCCTCTGCGCTTTACTGAAATGGACCCGCTCGAGAATGCCATCACAGGAGCTGTGGCATCTTCCATTGCGGATACCGTTGTGTACCCGTTAGATATTGCCAAGACATTTGTTCAGACTCAGACCAAACGCGATATATCAGCCAATCCTGTCAATCGTACCAAGCTCAAAACGCGGAGCGACGAAGAGTACTATAAAAGCACCTATGATGCATTGCTCAAGATTTACAAGGCCAAGGGCGTTCGAGGGCTATACCAAGGTCTTCCTGCTTCACTTCTGGCTGGCTTCCTACAAAGCTTCTCGTACTTCTTTTGGTATAGCGTCGTCCGCAAAATTTTCTTCAGATACAAGCTTCTCCGGGGCAAAATCCCGAAATTCTCTACTCCTGAGGAGCTCGTGTTGGGAATTTTGGCCGCTGCTGTCTCTCAACTCTTCACAAATCCGATAGGTGTCATCTCCAAACGTCAACAGACTATCTCGAAATCGGAGCGTACCGGGTTCGAAGACATTGTGAAGCAAATATATGACGACGAAAATAACTATACAGGGTTTTGGAAGGGTTTGAAAGTTTCTTTGATCTTGACTGTCAATCCCTCTATCACTTACGCCTCTTACGAAAGACTCAAAGATCTGTACATCACAACGGCCACCAGCATCCACCAAAATGAGCTTCTCGACTCCTCGGCTCAGCTCACTCCACGGCAAAACTTCATCCTTGGGGTCATGTCAAAAATGATCTCGACTATCGTTACTCAGCCGCTAATAATTTCGAAAGCATGGCTACAGCGGGCAAATTCGAACTTCAAATCGTTCCAAGAGGTTCTTATCTACCTGTATCAGAATGAGGGCGTATTATCACTGTGGAAAGGTCTCGCTCCTCAGATCTCCAAGGGGGTTATAGTACAGGGCTTGATGCTCATGTTCAAAGGCGAGCTGACGAAACTCATGAGACGTTTTTTCTTGTACTTGAGACTGCTGCGAAGCTCAAATCAACAGCTGAAAGTTTAGAGCGTAATATCATCTTTAAGTTGCATAGATGATTCTCTCTGTGATGAAGATGTTAACAAGTGCCGTTTCGCCTTTAGAAGAACATCGCTCTCAATTTAGCGCAACATCCGGCTTGCGCTACTGGCTGAATTATATGAAGCTGAAGGATATTTGATTTTACATTATGTACATGACTTATTGCTGTTTGTTGGATTTTCCCCGTAACTGTTCTTGCTGATCTATTTCGTCCAGGCTCAACTCATCTTTGATTCTTACAAGAGAACCTTTCTCTTGCGACTCTTCTTCCCTCATGATTTCCTCTTGTTCTTTGATTTGAGCCATTCTGGCACTATTGGTGGCAGCTGCCTCTTCAACTACGTTAACCTTGACTTCGTGGTATAGCTCATCAGGAATTCCGCTGAGAACGTCACATAATGCATCATACAGCGATTTTTTGGAGTTGACATCCCCGTATGTGTATGCTGTTGCCATAATCAGTAAGGTCGAAGGTATTTTGTCTTTCAGCCTCATGTTCAACCAAATACCGAGATTGTTTCGCAGTACAGAGTCCTCCACGTTTAGGTTACGTATACCACGCGAAGCGCAAGCAGTACGCAACTCCGCAGAGTCCAAAGTGTTAACATCTTCGTAGAACAGAGAGATATCATCCTTCTTAAGTTCCAGCATTTTGTACCGAATACGATACCGCAACATGACATCTGTGCCGAAGGGCTGCAAGTTGATATACTTGGCCAAGGCAACCAAGTAGGGCCTAGTAACGTTGTCTAGAACTGTGTCATCGGTGAACAAACGGGCAACATGGATCAATTGCTGACGGGATTCGGGCTCTCCCGTAGCACGAACATGCGTGTAAAATCGATTGAAGACAGCTTTTTGCTCGTTTGTGATGTTCCCAGGCTTGAAATGAGTGTTTTGCTTCTTGATTATGCCAGATACTAGAGCTCTAGTCTCACGCAGACTGCTCAACTTTGAAAGTTTGTCCTTCTTTGACTCGTAAGTCGAAGGCAACATGTTGGGGAATAGCTTCAAAGCGACGGGCAGAAGCAGTTCGGCGAAGGGTACCAGTACGAATGCCGAAAAAGGGACCAGACGGACCACATCTTGGGTCGTTCTTTTCAACTGCAGTGTTTCACGTCGACTCAGCTGGTGGCCTGCGGCACTTTTCATCAACAGTCTCGAGGCAATTTTGATCTCCAAGCCCAGTAACTTAGTGCCGTCCCAGTAATGATGTACCTCATGTTTAACTCTACTCCAAAGACTCGGTTTGGGGACTTCCTTAGCCACTGTTGTCAAGTCCACAAGTGGCTTATTCTTATTGTTATCCGGAAGTTGAGTTGCGAAGGTCCTAGGTGTGTAGCTCAAAGTTTTTGGGCTCGCTACCAACCCTGACCTCAGCAGAACTCGAGGCCCATATTTAATTGTGGGCATCATCGAGATCTGAGATATTGACAGGTTTGTTGAAAAAGGTATCCGACAGGTCTAAGTCAACCTGTTCAAATCGAAAAATTTTATATATAGAGCTATTTCAAAGATTATTAGCGAACACGAACTGAATGAGTATATTATAAATGGGATCGCCACGTTCCTCTTAACCATGAGAATGGGATCAACAGGCACAACAAAGCTTGACTGAGTCGTATACTTCCATCAGCAGCCTTTTCTCTCACTTAATCGCCATCAAGTTTTTGGTCATTATCATTATCATCTTTATGGTCACATTAATAGGGATTATTATAATTATTCTTATTATTATCTTGTCGTCGCGGTCATTATCATTATAAGCAAGTGCAATGTGAAAATTAAGTCTTGTTTATTCCTTGCCTTGCTTCTGCTCTTGTACTTGGATATTGTGTATCATATTTTGTAGCTGCTCTTGCTCATATGTAACCTCGTCGGCGATCTTCTGGACATTTTCGAATTCAAAGACACGATTTGCCAGCAAAAGACCCGGAATCGAAAACAGTGAGGAAGAGGTAGAGGAGCAGGAAGAACGAACCGCAGACATCGAGTCTAACATGCGTGGCAAAGACCCTGGTAGGTCCTTGGCGGGGTTCCGGTAAACTCTGTCTAAGAGTTCTAGGAGCCCGCAGTCACGCGCCAAAGACGTCGAAGACGCAAATGACGCAGGCGTTATGCTCGCACCTCTGTCTACCACCTTGATTTGGTCGATGTGTGGATCGTGCTTAAACTCCGCGCTGACATCGCACGGCTCGTAAACGCGTTCGTAATTTCTCATTCTAGAGTGAAACTCGCGGTAGCACCATTCTTTGTCAGGGTTGTGCAGGAAGTCTGGCGACATGGTGACTTTGTGCAAGATATTATTGTGAATGGTTTTGGGGTCGTTGCAAATACTTTCGATGAATATTATTGGTGTGGAACTTGACGTGTGTGCTCGAACAGTGTCGTGAATCATTGACCTTCTGGCTACCGTCGTATTAGTGGCATCGAAAACTGCCACCTGATGCGAGTCCTGAGACTCAAGCCAAATGCACAGCTTCTGAATAGTAGCCAGAGCTATTTGGTCGCGGGCATAGACCGCGGCTGCATTTTCAGTATCGAATAACATGTTCATGGGGACAGCGCTCCCGCGGCGTGAGATAGAATCAGATGGCGGGTGACTACTCTGCCCCTGCTCCGCATTTTCATCGTCCGACTCATCAGAGTCGGTATTATCGTCAATCTTTTTTTCGTCCATGCGGTAAGTGTGATGAGGTTCGTCGAGATGGTAGCGCTGACGAGTCACCGTGCGGTATAAATTGGAGCGCGGAGACTCTTCTGTGGCCTCCACTGCCTGGGAACGGCGCTCTTTTCCTGCGTTAAACAGACGCGAACTAGACGTGTTGTGACAAGCGTCCTGAAAAAACCCCACTATCTGTTGTGCGATGTACGATTTTCCACGGGCTGGAAGCCCGACCATTACTATGACAAGTTTTTCCGGCATTTTTGCAGGGTTCCACCGGATGTCTTTGGCTGTCTCGTCTGACATTTGGGTGATATCGCATGAAAGTAAATAATTTGACCTGAACCGCTGTTATAAGTAATAGATGACCTGTGCAACTAGGAGAAACTTTATGGATTTCTATCGATTGAGTACCGTGAATCGTTTAGAGTTTGAGTAGGGTTCTCCGCATTGTCTGGATCCCGGTCAACGAAAAAAAAATAAAAATTCGAAGTTTCACCATTTAGAAGAAACGCTCTTGAATTATAAGGAACTCCAGACTCCAAAGTTCAAATTCCGTTTTAATTTATAACCTCTTTCAAAGCCTCCGCTTAGCAGTAATATTGTAAATTGACTCTTCATAAACTCAACCGGTCTTCCGCCCCAAGTAGTGACTAATAAGCTGTCATACGCCAGCAATTTCTCGATTTCGAAACTCATTGTGTTGGGAAAGCAACACTTCGCTGCTTGCTTGACGACCACATGCGAAGCGGGGTACGGAAAAAAGTGGACGCTCAAAATGATCCCGAAAAGCGGCGTAAAAAGCTGCACCGGTGGCTTTTCTCCGCTTGTAAAACGGCTTCAACACAGTAAAATCAGCAACCCGAAAAACTCAAAATTGGCTACGGGGGTTTCCAGCAGCCGCACCGTTGCGGGCTGCGAGAGGCAAGGCAAGCCCACCCGTCCCCCGCTTAAAATGATGGAAATTGGCCCCATGAAACAGTCTGAAAAAATCTGGGTCTGGTCACGTGGTCGCTCGTTCTCTAAAGACCGATTAGGTAATCACAGAAACAACAACGTGACTTATTGGAATTTGTTTAGATCATGTTAGACGAGTGTGTTTTTGCTTCTGGAGTGGTGATGGGGCCAGTTTAGCCGCCGAGCTGTGAAAACACACAGTTGTCTCTTGATTGGCGGACCTCCCCATAAACATCGCATCGCATACTTGGCTTAGAGCTGGAGCTCGAGATAGTGCATCTCAGGAATTCAGTGTGGTGCCACTCTGCAAGCTTCAACTCGTCAAGGTTCTTTTGAGGTGGCGCGTCTTGGAATAATTTGACACGCCAATGGCGGAGCCCAGTCTTTCAAAACTGCCTGAATGCGATGTTATTGAGCTGGGAAGCTCAGGTTTCGGCTATTCACGGCATGCCATTCTTGTTCATGGGTGATGTGCGTAGTTGAAGGTGTTCTGTTAATTTCCAGGCTTTTATAGGGCGATAATATCACTTTAGCTTTAAGTGACATGTAAACAATACGGATGAACATATATACATGTAGGACACTGTCATTGAATAAAGCGATCATTTCATCGACAACAACAGCCCGGTGCTTTCAAGATGCGGAGTGTTTGTGAACTGCTGACTCCATTATGAGTAGATCGCAATCTTTGAAGACTCTGCGATTTTGATATTTTGCATGTATAATGGAATGTAGGGAAATGACACCAAAACTAGAACAATAGAAAGAATGTCCTGCAAAAGGGACGTGGACCTTGATGGTTTGTTTTTTTTTTATGGGTTATTGTCTTCCCTGACCGAAAGCGCAGTAAGAGTCTTCCGCGAATTTGGTCAATTTTATGAACTGCTATAATCTCCATACAAGGCAAGATTGGTGCGTCCTGAAAATATTCGAGCGTTTGCGTCTGCTAACAAGATTTTTACGACGAGCCACTTTTCAGATATTTATACGTTTATCTTCAAGAAAGATCAGTAGTCTAACGTCTAAAAAGTATTAAAATTCATCATTATGGCTCGCTAGTTCCTCAAATTATGTCCGTTTGAAAAAGAGTTCCCAAAATTTTGAGTCTCCTCACTACAGGCGTCTCCTAACGCCCAGCATTTTCAAACGACAATTACTCCAGCTTGAATATATTCTACAAGAACTTAGAAAGAAAGTTACACTTCGCGCGAGTAGTCGTTGTATAAGTCATATAAGCAAGATGTTCAATCGTCTCTGTAAGTCAACATTTTTCACTTTTCAATCTTCAGCATTACCCGGACAGGTCAGACAATCTGAAGCGAGGGCTAAGTTAGGGTTGGTTTGAAGAGTTGAGAATGACAATACTCCGAATAACTCGTCGTTGAATCACCATCCTCTGGCTGTGTCGCATATTTACATAGAGTCCGTAGACTAGAAGGTGTGTCGATCGAAAAATTCGAGAAACTTTTCACGACCGATCTACATCAAGATCTCAAATGAAAACTGATGTCTTAACTTCAACCAACCTGGACCGAAAAATACGATATGCCAAAGAATTGTAGCTAAATGGGAAAGGCTACCACCGATAGCGCGCACCATAGCTTAAAGCTCTCCCTTTCCTGCGAAGAATTAGTAAGAAGTGACTTCACGGGAAACAGAACAAATGGATGCGTTTCCAACCTGAGCAGTGGCACATCTCTAATAGACTGAATTTTTGAACTATTATATATACAACGAATCTCCTTATACCTACATCAGGTTTTGTTCATTTTTCACCTTTCGATCATTAGTACCCGTAATAACCACCAGCAGCGCCCGCTGTCGCCGTTGGAGCGCTGCCAACAGCGGCTCCTGATCTTTGAGTTCTGTTACTAGTCTTCAACAAAGTCTTGAAGCCGTTGCAAAGCTGGATGACGGTGGGGTAATTGTAGTTGACCAAGAAAAAGCCCGTATGCGTGAGTCTCACGTTCCAGGTGTATAACTTACTCTGGGCGTTGATCTTGAACATCAGATAAAACCAGCCAGGGTTCTCATAGTTGAAGCTGAAATAGTACACCGATCTGTTTGGATTGACTTTAGAATAATCCTCGATGAACTTTGTCACCTCTCTCTTGGTGCCCCGCTTGAATTTCTCATTGGACGTAATCTCGTTCAACAGTCTTACTTTGTTTTGCAGGTATTCGACCACGATCTGGTCCAGGTCGTGGTATCTTTGCCCCTCAACCAGAAGGATTCGTCCCAATGCCAGAGGATTTTCCTTTTCTTGCTCTGTTATGTCTATGTGCTGGAACAAATCCTTGTCTAGTTTCCAGGTGATCGACAAGTGGTCATCACCACGCGACGATTGTCTTATAACGAAATCGCCCCTGTCCTTGCTTCTCAAGTAATCTTCAGCTTGTTTACCGTTGAATGGGAAATAGTAAGGATGGTTGATAACTCTATGAGTTCTCTTCGCACGCGCTTCGCGCATCGCAATTTGTTTTTCCTCTTCGGCGTCTTCGAGCTCTTGCTTGAGATCCCAAACAGATGGGTCTTTACTGTAATGAACAGGAACAAACTGGTGTTTTACGTCGTGCTCTAAGAGCGACACTTCTGCACTGATGTTTTCGTAGTCGATGAAAATCACTTTAGCAGGGTAGGTCATACCAACTTCGTATAACTCAGATGCAGGCCTTTTCAGCTGAGCACCCAAATGACGTTGAGCGTTGACGATGCATTCCACCAAAGAATTAGTGGCACAGATGATATCGCTGTGTCTAAACCTTTCAACCTTGACGGGTACGATACAGCCTTTGAAAAAGGTTTTGTCCGTTTCACCCGTCAACGAAGTGAATACCTCTTCTCCGTGTAGTGGACGGAAATCGTTCCTCAGTTCTTCGAAACCATTTAGCAACTCCAACACAATGGTGTTCAAACTGTTGAGCTTCTTTTGGCCAGTATTCTTTTCGAGCTCTTCCGCATATGCATCCAGGTTGAGAGATTCTAATTTGGCTTTGCAATCGGAGTCCTCTCTCAAGATCTCGATGAATTCGCTCATTGTACCTTGCTCTTCTTTCTCAGCGATCGCATCAGGGTCATACTCTAGTGCATCCGCAGCAACTTTCGTGGCTAGGTGGTAATCTTCTGGATGAATTCTCGTGCTGTCTAGTTGATCGTGCTCCAAATCTTCATATCTTTGATTTTTTTGATTCCACGATATGTACAGAAAACCAGCAGAGTTCATGAAGATAGTTTTATGCAGGATGTTGTGAGTGATCAATTGCTGACGGGCTAACAGCGGCTCGTTCAATCTTTGCAAAGACTCTAAGAAATCAGTCGCTTTACGCTTGCCGAGACCGGAAATGTACTGCAAGGAGCAAGCGTAGTAAGTGTTATCAGTGGCTTTGTTCACTTCAACACCAACTAAGTTGACGAGGTCAACAAAAGAAGTTTCCAGAGCTTTCATAAAGTTGTCTCTTGTCAATAAAGATTGACTAGGGTGGATTGACAAGGACATCAATTCATCTGGAGACAAATTAACGTATTCCAATAGGGGAGAATGCATGTATCTAGCCAGAGCAATGCAATACTTCACCAAAGATGGTTTGTTTGGAAACTCTTCGATTCCTCTCTCAGAAGTTTGGTAACGTGTGGCAAGTTCGTCTTCAACGTAGATTACCGGGATATTGTGGCCTCTATTGTCAACGATTTGCTTCTTCTGAATAACTTCTTGAATCTTCCGCAACAAACGTTGCGTCTTAGGGTTGGGTCCGTTTATACCAATTGCATTTGGTTGGCAGGCCTGTATTATATTGTCCAGTGTTTCTTCGAATTTCTCTGGATTGTTTCTGTCGAACGGGTTGTCAACGATTTTGTAATCGCGAACATAATCAGATTTCCTATTCACGTAAACCGCTATTATCGCGTCGGAACCGAAACGACCTTGACCACAAGTGATCGTCAAAACCTTAGGTATTTTAGGATCACGAGGATTAGGAATAAAAGGCGCTTGGTCGAGCTTGGTCATAAATTTGTGACGCACAGCTTTAGACACAAGTTTTTGACAGGACTTTCTCAGGTCATCCTTAATCTCTTGACTGATTTCTAGGAATATCTTGTCAAGGGCAGAGAGGAAAGCCGCCTTGCGGAAGTTATTCCACTCAGTGGCGATGTCAGAGGTGTTCGTAGTATCGAGAGCTGTTTGAAACAAATGATCACAGTACTGTTCCTGAGATGACATATGAATCTTGATTGTCATCAAGTGCAGCGACTCAGCTTCCAACATTCTCAAGAAGACCTCAGGTTCCCTCCTTAAATGAGCAGGTGTGCGGTTGGTTGCGTACTTGATGTCTTCATACGGCGAGCCTCGCTGAATCTCCTTTTTACCTTTGACTGATAGTACGACATCTGCGATGTAGTATTTGTAAAAGTCGGCTCTCACCTTTTCTCTTATTTTCGGATTGTTAGCGATTTCCAGTGAATAGTATTTTTGAACAGTCTCCAGGGCAAGCTTATGATTGGAAGCAAATACTTGAAGATCAGCACTCGATTCTGCCATCAAAGTCGCGATAATATCCTTAGGCTTAGAGTCTGGGTGGTCTTCCACGAGGTGAATTTGATGCTCCGAGTGAATATTCTCACCAACCTGGTCCGAAGTTATTCCTATCTCCTTCACGGCTCTGTATAGGGGACTCGATTTGAATCTTTCATAGCTCGAGTTTTTCATGTGCTTCTTGGTTGATCCATTGCTTTGACTTAGCAAAGCCTCGTTAATTTCATGAGCAAACTTGAACTCCAAGTAGTTGTAAATGTCCTGCAGAGAGGTCAGCTCAGTCATTGACGAGGCTTGACTTCTGAAATATTCATCGACAATTGCGTCTTGAATTCCTAATTGGTTGTAGAACTTCTTGACGTAGTCTCTTTTGTAAATGATACTGTGGAATTCGGAGTCCATGTATACAATTTCCCACAAATCGTCCTCGTTCAGGACAAAACCCTCTTTCTCCTTAGAGGTAATGTAATTACGACGGTAAGCGTAGATGAACGGAACCTCCATGTTGTCCTTGCTAACGAATCTGATGGCATTGTCGACTGCCTCTTTGAATTCCGAAAGATCGTAATCAGGGTCGAAGTTCTTGTCGATGCACAGTTTGTCGCTGATCCAGTTTTTCTCCAATTCTTGATCTTCAGCATTCAGTTCTCCGTAATTTTTTAGGCCTGCCCTGAGCTCTTGGTATCTTTCTGGTATATCGGCCCTTCTGATAACCATATCTTCTTCTGTGAGGAGGTTTTTCTTCAGATCTTGGAGATCATAGATATCTTGGAGGGTGATTTTTGGTTTCTTGAATTCATTCGAGCCCTCTGCATCAAATTCATCATTGTTGCCGGCTCCTTCGCCGCCTTCTGCTTGCTCGAAGTCTTCGTTTTCAACTTCTAGAGCCCAGTCGTAGTCATGGCCGTCGCCAAAAATATCGTACATTTCATCAATTTTCTCTGACGAAAGACCTGTTATTTGTACAGGTTGTTTCATTCTCTGTTCACGAATCATTTTACGTTCTTGCAGCCGTTGCTGACGGCTTTCTTCGTCTTCGTCGGAGAACTCGTCTTCCTCGATAAAATCGTCCAGTTCGTCAATGGTTCCTAAGTCTGCATCCCTTCTGCTCGATGCTGCTCCTTCACTGCCTGGCAAGGGCTGCTCCCTCTCCGGAAGTTCGTCTTCGTCCTCAGAAAAGAAGTCGTCAAACCTGGAAGCAGCAGTCGTCCCCTGAGCAGCGGAGCCACTGGCTTGTTCGCTGCCATCCTCACCAGCTCTCTTTAAACGCTTGTATTTTGCCTTATTGGAATCCGTGCTGGTTGGTCTCTTCACGCCTGCGTTTTCCATCAGTAGGTCCAGATCGTCTTCCGACAGCTTATCATCTTCGTCCTCTCTTGGCCTTCTCTTGTGCTTTTTGCTTCTTTTGCGACCCACAGAGGCGCGACCTTCTTCCTCGTCGTCTACAATGAATCCCTCACGCACTTTCTTGGCTTCTTCTTCGTCTTCATCAAGGTCCTCGTCTTCCTCAGACGAGTCGAATACATCCTCTCCTTCTTCTTCGTCACTAGGTGCCTTGTCACCATCGACATTATCGTCCACCACTGGGTCTTTGTTCGATTGAGCCACTTCACTCGACATGTTTGGCTTTGCTTCACGAAGATACAATGGCTCCTGCCTGAGTGCACTTAGGGTTTAGCTTGTTGAAGCTGTGTCGACAGCGCTCTTGGAAAATTTTTGGTTATAACATCTATACTGGTGTCAGGTAAATGTAAAACGATAAAAACGACAAAAGCAGAGGTAACGCTGTCATCAGCTCAGGCGCCGTAAGTGTCGTTGAGTACCTGTTTATCATACATTTCGGATCTTTCTAATAACATTGCATTAGCTATATAATGGAAAAGAGTTGGTGAGCTCGATTTTAATCTTCAACTGAATTTTTCGGCTGGAATTAGGTTGACGTCCATAGCTCCTGCTTGTTCAGTGTTGGTGGATAGTTCGCGAGCTTGACGCTCTTTTGAAGCCTCGTTCTCAGCCTCAGATCCATCGCATTTACAAGCGTCGGCAGATTGGGAAGCGTTTGTGGCGTCTGGACGGCCGCAGCACGATTTTCTGACTTGTTTTTCGGCTGCTTTTTCGTTAACCAAACCAGCGGCGCTGGGTTTTTCCATCGCAGTCGAGCCATGGCTTGAAGCGCTAGACAATGGCTCGCTCACGCCCTCCTCTTCACCGTCGCAAGGACAAATTTCGCCGCCTTTGCAGTTACGTTTTCTCTCCAGTTGCCTTTTCAACTCCCATCTGGCGATTAGACAGATCTTCCATCTGTTGAAGAAGACCTCGGCCAACGCAACGCCCAGAATGACGGCAAAAACGTACGTTAAAACGTACGTCATGGTGACCAACATGAGCATGTAAATGAGCATTGTGGAGCAGAAAATGATCAACAAACGAATGAGATCGTGGAACAGGTCCTTGACAGAGGGAGAGAAAATCTGCACGAACAAGTTGGGCACTTTGGGCAAGAACTGGCTCTGGAACTCCAGGTCCTGTGTGTAGTTCTGAGCAGTCAACATAGAGGAGTTGTCGTTGTCTTCTGTGGGGCCTGTGGCTTGCGCAGAACGTCCCTTTCTGGCGGACGATGGATTCCACTGTTTGAACCATTTAACTTCCAAGCACCAACTGGCGAAGAGCAGAAATTTGTAGGCGAATGCAGCAGCAATGATAAGCACAAAGATCCCGAACGCCTGGGCCTTGTTCTTGGCCTTCAAGTGCTCGAACAGCACCGGGTAGTTTTTGTAGCTAGGAGTCAAGTACGTGTTCATCGACATGCTCGAGTGCATGTGCATAGATGAGCTGCTCGAGCTTGTAGCCATGCTCATGCTCCCTGAGCTTGTCGTTGACATTGGCATCGACATCGACATTGACGATGTCGAGTCGTCCATACCAGCGTGTGCGTGAACGCCAGCGGTGAGTGCCGTCACGAGATAAGCTAGCGCCAACTTTCCAGTCATCTTGACTTTGGACTAAACTTTGGGTTTTCAAATTCTTTAAACTTTCAACCACGACGAAAAGTTCCCCATACTTGTTTATCGGATCTTTTATATGGACAATGCTTTGCAAACCTATTTGCTCGCCTCGAGCACTCGTATTTGCTCAATTTTCAAGATTTTGAACTGTCAGCTGGATATTTTTTTCGCTCTGTCGCTTGGACCAATAATGGCCAATTTCGAGGTGCGATAGATTGATGAGCAGGCGTCGATTCATGAAGGTGATGAACCCTGTCAAAATGGCGATGTTTCGAGGTTTTTGTTGTTAATAATGAGCATGATTCTGCTTGGTATGTTTTAGTCACGTTTGGTGCAATGTAAATTAGTCACCACGATTGGGACCTGCTTAAGGCCCAATAATAAAGGCCACGCGGTGTAAAATCTACACCTTCGTCACCTGAACGGTGGTCTTTTAGTATTTGTAGACAAGTCTTTAGAGGCCCTCGTCTTGGTGCTGTGACTCATCACGGCAGAATTTCTTGAAGGACCTGAACGCGACGGTGCATTGCGAGGAGGACCAATGATACGCGATGCGCTCACAGCAAGAGAGCGTCGTCTTTCAGGGTCCGATATTTCTTGTGTGCCTGCCACACTGCTGCGCATGGCGTGTAAAATCGATTTGCGACGCATTCGCCTCGATTTTTCAGCCGCTGAAGACACGGCAGGATTCGTAACTGCAGGGTTCGAAACAAATGACGCGTCCGTGCTGTCTTCTTCATTGTTGTAATCAGATGCTGCAGCCGGGCCCCAAACGGTATGTTGCGGAAGCTGGGGCGTGACTCTTGACGCGACTCCCCCGTTCCGTCGCAGGGTCGCGATCTCCCTATTATATGTGTTGGTTACCTCAGATGCCCGATCTTGCTCATCTCGTAAAGCTATTTGCGTCAAAAGGTGCTGTTTTTCGTCCTCCAGGTTGTGCAGCGCTTGCTTGAACTTGTTTTCGGCCCCCGTATCGTGCGGCATATTTGGGAAGTCCACACACCAGGAATTGCACATGAGCCCATAAAGAAGCGCACTGACCGACTCGTTCAGATCCACCAGGCTTTCGTGTATGAAATTCATTTGCGTAAAATTGCTGTCCAGCGTAATCACAGCATCGGTGAGTTCTCTCAGCTGTGGGAGAAGATAATTGCTCACTGTATTCTCGGATTCAGATCCTTCATTGTTAGCGACACCAAGGGACGATCGTCTGGAGCCCGGAGTGCTTGAGATTGAAAGTCTATATTCAGTGGCCGATCGATGGTCTTTTACCGGGGTATTTTGACGACCTGAATTTTTCGTGTTGAGCATAATTGAATATCTCTTGATAGTCGAGTAGTGAGGGCTGGATTCATCCACTGGAACTTGCTCATCAATTGTAAACAACTGATCTCAGAACTGCTCTTCTTCTGGCAGTAAGATGTTGAAATCGATCTTCTACAGTAAATAGACACGTGACGGGATGCCAGGCTCGGGGGACGACAGAATCGATCTAAAAACAGCTTTGCAGTGACATTGTTAATTTAGCATGACGTTTCCATCGAGAGACGTTGTTTACAGCACCCGATACAATCTTTCTCAGTTTATTGCCGAAAAAGTGCGTCGCTTCTCGACTCAACATTTTGTTATTTTGTTGAAAAGGATAGCGATAGCCCGAAAGGACCGCTGCTTTCTAAGAGCAGTGTAAGTGATTTGTTACCTAACTTACCGGGTTTTGTACCATAGAATTATTCCATGTTGTTAAGTGCTTCAGACGGTGATACTAAAATTACTTTCTCGAAGAACCTGCATTCAACACCGCCGAGCAAAGAATTCAGTGACGGAATTACTGAATTCAATTATCTCCCTTGAGCGAGAATACCATTTTTGAGATGCATATAATGCGATGGTTTGAATGCTCGAACTAAGAATGTCACCAACAATGATTTTACTTCAGAGACTTTAGAAGCGCACAGAGCAAGGAAAATTTGAAAGAAGATGCCTTGGAAGAAAAGCTGACTATAGGGGCAGAAATGCCTTCACTATGTGTTGTTTGAAGATTCGTTAGTGGCTCGCTGTTTAGATTTGTCGTCTCTGAGTTTTTCGACCTAAATTGAAGGTAACTCCGGTGCATGCTGGGATAGTAGAATTTGACTTGTCCAACTGAGGTCAGCTTTCTAGGTTTTCTTTAACACATAATTACAAGACTTGGATTTTTTTCGTTTCCAACTAAATTAGCATGCGCTTCTTTATTACTTTACCAATGCCTTCGTCTCGCAATAGTCTTCCTCATCGCTTCGCGAACAACAGATGAAGAATACTAATTGACTCTAGCTCTCACCCCTGGCTGTTGATGTGAAACCTCATTTAATTTTATCAGTCGAATTTCAGGCATTTGCAGAGCCTAAGTGTTATTGTTTCCCTTCCATGAATATGAACTCTACTGTGAACAATCTTGTCTATAAATAGCGACATTGGCCAAAAACGGCAGAATTGAAGCCGACCGGCAGTGCTTGAAAGCCAATTCCAAAATTCGCTTCTCCAGTCATTTGTCATTTAGAGTCCTGCAAAATATGAGTTGCGTCCAACTGGAGCATGATAACAATATTTTGGTACTGAGAAAGTCATCCACGAGAGCCATCGTTGATGGTACTATAGTTATTTACAAGCTATTGAATAAAGATGCCATGAAATGCGTCTGTGAAGAATACCGCGACGCGCCTCACATGTTTTTTCTGGCATGTCTCAATTTGTCGCGTTTCAATTGTTCTTGAGAGACCGCGCCACCACGATTGCGTCTCAAGGCCACAATCAAAAAGATGGAACTGAGGAATGACAAACCGTACCAGGTAACTAAGTACTGCAGATGGTTGTTTTTCAAATCAATCTTGGGGACTTTACCAATTGGAACTCCGGCCTTGGCAAGTTGCCACTCGTTAAACTCAACGTCGTCAGAAGACGCCAGTTTGGAGTTGCTGTCAGACTTTGCGGTAAAGCCGGTGTTAGATCTTTGCCAAAACTTCCACCACGATGCTCGAGAACTCTTGGTGGTCCCGTTATCTTCGAACCCGGCGTGTTCCCAGTCATGATCTTTCAGATCGTAAAGGGCCTGAAGATGTAGCGGGGTTGCACCGCACGCCGCACACATGTCTGGGTAGTCGACGATCTGCCATAGCCTACTATTCCGATCCTCCTTATCCCACTGAAACGTGCCCTTATCCTTCGCTACCCGTACAAGACATTCGATTTTGATGTTACCGGTGGGAAGAGACAAATGCAGCAATCTTCTTTTCGTTGGCACTACTTTGTCTTCGCTTATCCATCCTCTTTCAACAAGTAGTTTTTCTCCCGTGTCTTTCCGCACAAATGGTGTAAACAGCAGGTAGCCTTTGACCTCGTTTCTCACTCGAGGGCCAACGAAAATCTCTTGATCATGTTGATATTCGCCTTCGATAGTAACTTTACGGTACTCCCAATTTTCAGCGTCGTCGGGTCCGAAAGATTTGGGCAATGGACTTGCAGGATACGTCAGTCTATCTTCACAAGACGCAATTAGATTGGTCTTCCATTTCAGACGGCGCAGTTGCCAAGATCCCAAATAAAATGAGACGGCGGGCATCGCAATCATGAGCCCCAAGAATATCATTCTGGTGAAACTGCTGTTTTGAGTCTTGTCATTAGGTGTCTTCGTACTTTTGATAGGTTTCCAGTCAACACTCGACGTTACAGATCTTTTGCTGGCTTTGAAAAAAATTGGCGATCTAACTCTCGCCAAGGAATGCCTTACGGCATCTCGTCTGATTGTGGATAGAAACATCAACAGCAGTTAAGGCTAGCTGGTCAGTTTCTTAGAATATTCGTTCTTAACAGCAGCGTCTCTATCATCTCAAAATTATATTATTTTTTGATGATCAAAGGGTTTAAAGACCTGATTCTTGACGAGCTTTTTTGACCAGATTGAACCTAGCAAACACAACTTTGATCAATGCACAGGCTTTTGTAGGGCCTTCTCGGTTTGGTCGATCTTTCTGTGCTCGAAACCGAGTCTAAATTGCTGTATCTTGATCAATCTTAATGAGCCTTTTAGATTAGTACAGTACATATTACCGTATCACGAAGCTCCCTTCTCAGAGCTTCTAATTCTTGTACTTGGGGTATTTATCGAAAGCGTTGTTGTAGTTGAGGAACACAGGCAGAATTACAGCTGGAAACCCAAAGTGGAGCCCTTTAGAGCACCGAGTTCTATTATATACAAGAATGATTTAATGCTTGTTAAGGATACCCATATAACTGAATGAGCAATCAACTAGAGTAGTATACCTTTCTGACGTCGACCACTTTTTTACCTCTCCCCAATGCGATTTCGTCCAGCGTCTTTTGAGACTCGGTCAGAGCCTCGATGGTGCCCTTGGCGATGTTCATTTCATTTCTACTCTTGTAGACCTTACCGCTCAGATCCTTGATACCTGCACATTCGCAAATCTCGTAAATGATATGATTCACCCTCAAACCAAAACCTGGCTTGACAGACCTCAGGAAAAGCTTGACACCGTGGTAGCGGTGGTCGATGTCTCCAAAAATGGTTCTGTTCTCGTAGCGAGGAATTTCCTTCAGGTTACGCACGGCGTCCCAATGGGCTTTGGAAACAGCTTTCGACATCTCGTCTCTGGACTTGCCCTCTCCTAGACCAACCATACCGTTCTTGTCTCCTACGACGACCAGAGCGTAGAAACTTGGAATTTTACCCTTTCCTGTTTGATTCGAGACACGCTTCATCACCAGAGGGCGCATTGTCAGTTTGCGGGTCACAAAATCGGGATCGATGCCTGTTTGTCGCTGCAGCCCTCTGGCAATATCGGCGGCAGCGGAAGCCCTGGTTCCATCAGGACGAGGGAGTGAGGCACCAGGTGCTATGACCCGTCCATTAGGAAGTGGCTGGCTGACGTCGTCGAATGTGTATTGAGTGGAAGCGTCAAATGAGTGCAGATGCGGCGTTCCTGGCTTGTAATCCCAGTAGGAATCGATCCTAGAGAAGTCGTCTAGGTAAGAGGGTGCAAACTCGACATTGTCAGAGACACGAAACTTGGTGTCCGGTGGGATGACCGATTGTGCAAGCTGTATGGATTTGATGAGTTCTTTGGGATAGTATTTGGCGAGGAACTCGGAGTCAGGGTGCGAAAGCGATGCAGGAGGTTTCGATATTTGTTGCAGCACACGATGCCCAGTGCAAAAAGCACGCTTGAACATTAGGCTTGCGAGGCGGAAGTGTTCAGAGAGGCGCTTATGGATTGTAGATTTTCGCTGCGATATGATGGTTGATACGCTTACACTTTAAATTTTTCATTATTTGAGAAGTGAACCGAGACGTTAATAGTGATATTTAATTTGTCAAATATAAATTTCATAGGGGCAGGTGATCCAACGTCAGGAATTCTAATGACAGGTTCATGCTGGACAATGCATCTACCAGCCAAGCAAAGCGATGTTAGCGATGTTGGCGATGTTATCAAAGTTCATTTGGTGCGTTTATGCCTTTAACTGATCTGCTAGGAATCATTGGGGTGTTCGGAAAACATGTGGTAGTTCTCAGAGTTATTGAACAATCGAGAGAAATAGCGATCGAGTGTGAATGAGCAAGATGACTACAAGTAGCATTGGGCCATTGAGGAAGTCAGTGGTCACTTGGGAGCAGTCAGCGGTCAATTTAAAGATCAAAAGGGGCGATAATATGAAAAAAACCTGGGAACTGTGCTGGAAGCAAAGAGAAGGTAGATTCCAATATCGTGAAGAAAAATGCGAATGAGCTTGAAGCCAACATTGTGGTTCAAAATTGGTCGCTTACCTTCTCACTTGTGAGCTGTGCTCGAAGCAAAGACAAAAAAATTTCTATAATCGCGAAGAATTGTGCAAGTGTGCTCAAGGCTCACATTTTTGTCAGCTGTGATCGATATCAAGACAAAGTGGGTTTTAATATCGCAAGGAACTATGCAACTGCGCTCAAAACTTTACAGTTGGCTACCCACGCCCTTAAATGAGAGATGTGCTAGAGACAAAGACAAGGCGGGCTTCGCAAACGTGCTCAAAGCCAACATAGTAATTTACAATTGCTCGCTCGCGCTTTCTCGAAGCCAGAGTTTTCCATTTAAAATCGATGGCTCACGTTTTTGACTGTTTACTCTTCTCGAAGTCAAGTTTTCATTCCAAGTTGATCGCTGACGCTCGCAATCGTGAGTTGCGGTCGAGGCCGGGATGGGGTGGGCAAGTGTGCTGGGAGCCAACATACTTGTATCCAATCGATAGCTTATGCTCTGAATCGAAAGCTTCAAGGAGGCCTGTGGGCTCTAGTATCGCGAGGAATTATGCAACTGCGTTCGGAGCCGATAAATTTCAAAGTGGGTCGCTCATATTCTCGATTGTGAGCTGAGCTCAGAGTCAAGCTTTTGCATTGCCAATCGATTGCTCATGGTCTTAATCGCATACTTCAAGGAAGCCAGTAATTTTCATTCGCAACTGGTGGCCCACGCCCTCAAGTTTTTACCCTTCTCGACGCCGGGACTAAGTGGGTTTCAATATCACACACATTGTTTTCAAAGCCGACGTTAGTAATTTCCCCTTGATCACCAGCGCCCTTAGTTGTGAGCTATGCTTGAGGCAGGATTTTTCGTTTAAAAGTGATGGTTCCCGCTCTCAATTGGACTGTGCTCGAAGCAGATGAATAATGGGCTCTAAGACCACGAACGTTCATGCAAGTGTGCTTAGAGCCAGCACAGGCTCACAGTCAAACGCGCATGCTCGAGGCTAAGACAAAAAAGCTTCTGATACTGCGAGGAATGATACAACTGCGTTCGAAGCCGAGAAAATGGTTCGCAATTGGTGACTGTGTTCGACGCTTCTTTTATCACTAACGATTGATCGTTGACGCTTTCAAGTGTTCACTCTTCTCGATGTCAAGATCAAGCGAGTTTCAGATGACGAAGAACAATGCAAATGTGCTTAAAATCAGCATAGTAGTTCACAATCGATCGCCTACGCTCTCAATTGGGGACTGTGCTGGAAGCTTACATTTATCAGTCAAACCTGATGGCCCATGCTCTCAAGTGTTCACTCTTCTCGAAGCCAAGACTATGGGAGTTCTTGAATCAGGGAGAATCATGCAATGTGCTTGAAGCCAACAAAGTGGTCCACAATGCGTGACTCCTGCTCTCAATTATGGACTGTGCTGGAAGCTTACATCGGTAGCTCTGTCTCGGCACCTCCTCCGTGTCCACAAACGCCAGACGTTCCTCACACCTCGCTCCCTGCGCTCCCTATGGACAATCGACGGATCTCGTTAGCGCCGCAGCCAGTGTCGCTATCGCCGAGAACTCGGCCATTGCCGCCTAAACTGCGAGGAAACCCGAGATTACGTAACCCGTAAAAAGAAAAGAACAACCCAAGAACGACAAGAACAAGAATGACCGGGTGTGTGCGTGTGCGTATGTGCTTGTGCGGTCTGACACTTTATGCAGATCATAGCGTAAAGGGCTCTCTACACACAAAATGCCAAGGCTACAATCTCTGCCACTCTCGATGAACAATACACCTTCGCGGCTCCGTAATGCCATACAAACCACTGCCGCCAAGAAACATCAGCTACAGTACTGTCCTTGCACCACCACCAGCATTCTTTGGTGAACCCATACGCACACACACACACACACACACACACACACACACACACACACAAACGTCCTCAAACTCGTGGCCCGGACCTGTGTTCCTTATGGCCGGCCAAAAACGCGCGCCAATGGGCCTTCGCTTCTCTATTAGCTTCCTCTCCACCAGCTTTTACCTCCTTTTTTCGCGCCTTTCTTTTTTTGCCTGCGTCCCTCCCAACTTCCGATTTTCTTTTTAGCGCTTTCTCGTAAATGTCCGGCCCAGCACGACTAACCGAGGCCCATTGTTCCGCCGCACATCACGCCCGCAGCATGCATTGCATGAACGCAGCAACCCGCATATTTGTGCGTCGTTCCACGCCAGTTCTAAGGCATTGTCAGATGTCGCTCACCCGCAAGGTCTTTGTGTCCCAAGCCCGATCGGTGCAACCCAGGGTCGCGCTGCCACATCACACAATAATATGCTCGCGCCCAGACATGCCATTCCGACACACTTGGTAAATTGTCTATATATAAGGACGTGGGCCCGAACCAGCTAGCCCCCTGGGGGTGAATTACGCATAGGGCATATCGGACGGTGCTGAACACGCAAACAGGGCAGACCTGTCGTTTTGCAGTTGGTCAAGAAACAGTTGGTCAAGAAACAGTTTACAGAAACAATTACAGTTACAATTACAATTACAATTACAATTACAAGTACAAGTACAAGTACAATTACAATTACAATTGCAATTACAATTACAATTACAATTACAATTACAAGTACAATTACAATTACAAGTACAATTACAATTACAAGTACAATTACAATTACAAGTACAATTACAATTACACCACCTGCTATGAACCGTTCCAGTGTTCAATTACCCTCGTTCAGCTCCCTCCTGCTGGGAGCGGTCCACACAGACCCCGTCCAGCACTCGCCACACCAGAACCAAAACCACCAAGACCACCAAGACCACCCCAATCTCAGCCAGAAACCGCCTCTGCCAGTCGTGTGGGCTCCTACAACACCGTCACTCTATACGGAACCGTTCCAGTATCACCACCACCAGAGTCTCCAGAGTCTCCAGAGTCTCCAAAGTCTGTATCAACACCACCAGCACAAGCACCAACACTCGGCCGTGTCGCACGGACTGCCCACCCCCCGCTGCTCCGCGTCAGACCTTCGCAGTAACATCGCTCACGTGGCCCCCCCGCTGGACTCGCTCCAACACCATCCCTCACCGGCGCTGTCGCGGTCGTCTTCCACCTCGCTCATCGACGTGGCTCCCCTGTCGCCCGCTTCATTGCCCTCTGCCACCGCTGCTGCCGTAGCGGCTGCCGCCGCTACAACACCAACGGAGTCCCAGAGTCTTCTGAAATGTGTATGTCGCAACAACACCAAGACCGGCCATCACATCCCACGGCCACGCAACGCGTTTATACTGTTTCGCCAGCATCTGCACCAGCAGCTGTTTGCTAAGGAGTCCAACAAGTCTAGCAAATCCAGTAGCAGCAGCAATAGCAGCCACGACATCAATAACAACACTAATCATACACCGCCTGGGACGACCCCAGGAACCCCGGGAACCCCGGGAACCTCAGAACCCACTCCGCATTCCGTCCCGCTGCTGAGCTCAGAAGTGTCTTTCAAAACCAATTCGCAAATATCCAGAGAGATCGGCCAGCGGTGGCGCGAGCTGGGCAACCCTGAGCGCAAGTACTGGCAGGACCTCGCGCTTGAGGAGAAAGAGGCCCATCGCCAGCGGTATCCGGACTACAAGTACATACCACGCAAGAGTCGTGTAAACAAGAGACAGCGCAAGGACGGCTGTGAGTTCTGCAAGTTGCATGGCGACTCGCAGCACCTGAATTGAATTGAATTGAATTGAATTGAATTGAATTGAATTGAATTGAATTGAATTGAATTGAATTGAATTGAATTGAATTGAATTGAATTGAATTGAATTGAATTGAATTGAATTGAATTGAATTGAATTGAATTGAATTGAATTGAATTGAATTGAATTGAATCGAATTGAATCGAATTGAATCGAGCCTGGCTGGCTGCCAATTGTCCTAAACGCAACCCATCAGCGGCGCAGAGCGCCCGGACTTTTTCCAGCCACGCTTTGGCGCTCTCTCTCCAACGGGTACAGCCGGTTTTGTACTGGAGAGAGCAGCAGTGTCAAGAACAAATAAGAACACGCAAGAACACGCAAGAACACGCAAGAACACGCAAGAACAAGCACACACACAAACATACACACACAAAAGTGCGGATGCATTCTTAATTATGGCATAGATTGGCCACACCGATTGTAGTAGTTGTAGCAGTAGCAGTAGTTTTAGTAATTATTAGTAATAACTACTTCATTTTAGAGTTGAATATTATAATGTTGACATTTACAGGCAGGACGACTAATAGCCATATACACACAAACACCCAGCCACCCACACACCCACACTTCGGAAGTCCTATCCCGCATCGGCGTTAGAAAACGACCCTCCGGGTGATCCAGAGGTCAGCTGACTTGCTTTGTGGCCGGGACCCATGAGCCGAGGTTCACGTATGCAGCTGTTTATCCATGCAGCTGCAGTCTTGCATGATGCAGCACGGTTCCTCGGCTAGATTAAAATTCAAAATGCAAAATAACAAATTAAAAAAATCCTAACTGCCACTCAGCAGGACGCACCCCTCCGCCCTCGGAGATAAGCGGGCCAAATTCGCCAGCGATCCCAGCGCGTGAACGACCCTTTAATTTGGCGTTTTTCTGTAGGGCAACAAAACAAAACAATGCCTTGGCTTGTCGCGAGCAAATAAACTAAGAAGGACGAAACGAACGTACACACACATTTACGGGTTTTTCGTTCGGCGTTAAGGGCCTGGAGGGTCTCTGGCGTTTAGCGCCCAAAAAATGTGGACCAAGCATCGAACGAAAAGCCAGGAATCGGGTGCTTAAAGAATGTTTTTGGTAGCGATCTGACTGGATGTTTAATATTGAGAGAAGAGTATCAATGGCAAAAAGGAGTCATTGTGTGTATGCACTTTGGGGGTGAAGAGAGCGGAGCGGAGCGGGAGAGGAAGAGAGAAGTACGAAGGACTTAGGAAGAGAGTCACTATTGACGAGAATCCGAAAGAAGGAAAAGTACATGGCACGTGACACATGGCACATGCAGCGGTGAACACTCTTGACCTTCTGTGTGGGTGGGTGTGTGTGTGTGTGTGTGTGTGTGTGTGTGCATCGCTTTCTTTCTCTCTCTCTCTCTCTCTCTCTCTCTCTCTTTCTTTAGCTCTGTCACGCACTTATTTTCTGTCTTTTTCATATCATGTTGTACCAATCTGTCATCGCCAATAAACATTTCGATTCGTATAAATTACATCTATACAATGTATATATTAGAATGCTAAACCGGGATTGGAGCCGAAACCCAAGGCTCCAGCCAGAACGTCATTCGATCCTGCACATAGAGCTATCCTCCCTCAGATAAATGTCACTCGCAAGAATGATTTTTCGAGCTAGCCAATTTTTTAAAAAAAGGTCGGTCTTGATACGGCGAAAATAACAACGCTTAGCAGAAATTCAAACGCCTTTGGTGTTATCTAACCTTGTAGCAATCTCGATCGAATTTTAAGCAGCGTGTGTGTCGTCTTTCATTGGCGTGGGCCTGAGCATCTTGACTTCCTCGTCAACTTTCAATTCGTTAAAAGTGATGTCCAGTGGCGAAAATAAATGAAATTTCCGAGTAATCCCACATCTTAAGACCAAACCCTACTAACTTCCTTCCAACACCTAGCCTTTTGTGACCATATAAACGTCCTTCGGACACCATCAGATGCTTCGAACTACGATCTTCTCTGGCGCTGCCAGAGGCCAGTCTTTTATGGCTCTGAAAAGGGCTGCACAACGCCCCTTTTTCAAGTCTCAAATGTCATCAAAGGTCTCTCTATTCTCCAGCGTAAGGTTCCAGCACTCGGGGCCACAGGATAAAGAGCCCAAGAATGATGGCAACAAGAATCAAAGTAACAATAACAACGATAACAAGGACCGTAACAGAGATGACTTCAAAACTCTTACCGAATATCTCAAATCTAAGCAATTCGCAAAAACAATGTATCTAACGGTAGGATTCACATTCGTGTTCCATCTGCTAACGTCGCCTTCGTCAGATCCAGAGGATAGTCCAGTGCTGACGTTCCAGGAATTCAAAAGCAAATATCTCGAAAAGGGCCTCGTCAAGAAAATATACGTGGTCAACAAACAAATGGTCGAAGCAGAACTCGTCCCGCAGGCCATGGCCTCCCTAGGAAGTGGGAACGGTTTTTTTGCACTGCCTAATACATCACCCATCGTTGGATTCACCATAGGCTCTGTTGACGTCTTTGAACAACAGATCGATGAGATTCAAGATAAATTACAAATCCCTCCCAATGAGCGCATTCCTGTCACATACGTTGAAAAAGCCTCTTTTCTACAATATCTTCTCCCGTTCATACCCACCGTCATTCTGCTAGGTGGCTTATACTTTATTACTAGACGTGCCTCCGGTTCCATGGGCGGACCCGGAGGTGGTGGCCCAATGGGCGGAATGTTTGGAGTTGGGAAGTCCAAGGCCAAACTCTTCAATAAGGAAACCGACATCAAGGTAAAATTTAAGGACGTGGCGGGCTGCACGGAAGCAAAAGCAGAGATTATGGAGTTTGTACACTTCTTACAAAAGCCAGACAAGTATCGCGCGTTGGGAGCCAAAATCCCTCGTGGTGCTATCCTTTCAGGTCCACCAGGTACTGGTAAGACTTTACTAGCTAAAGCCACTGCTGGAGAAGCCGGTGTTCCATTCTTGTCTGTCTCAGGTTCCGAGTTTGTTGAAATGTTTGTGGGTGTAGGTGCGTCCCGTGTCCGTGATCTGTTTGAGAACGCCAGGAAAATGGCGCCTGCTATCATATTTGTGGATGAAATTGACGCCATTGGTAAAGAAAGAGGTAAAGGAGGTGCCATGGGGGGTTCTAATGACGAACGTGAAGCAACATTGAACCAGCTTCTGGTGGAAATGGATGGTTTCAGCACTAGCGACCAAGTTGTGGTTTTGGCTGGTACCAACAGACCGGATGTGTTGGACGGGGCTTTGTTAAGACCTGGAAGATTTGATCGTCACATCCAAATCGACGCCCCCGACGTTGAGGGTAGAAAAGCCATTTATCAAGTTCATTTGAAAAAAATAAACTTGAGTCCCAAATACAGTGAACCATCTGAAAAGGAATTGCTGGCAGGAAAACTCGCCGCGCTGACACCAGGATTCGCGGGTGCAGATATCGCTAATGCTTGCAACGAAGCTGCGTTAATCGCCGCGAGACAACAGAAACCTTTTGTTGAGCTCGCAAATTTCGAACAGGCAATCGAGCGAGTCATTGCCGGGCTAGAAAAGAAGTCTCGTGTTCTTTCCCCAGAAGAGAAAAAGACTGTGGCATACCATGAAGCTGGTCATGCCGTTTGTGGTTGGTATTTGCAACATGCCGACCCTCTTTTGAAAGTCAGTATCGTACCCAGAGGGCAAGGCGCATTGGGATACGCTCAATATTTGCCTCCCGATCAGTATCTCATAACACAGGAGCAATTTCAGCACCGAATGGTGATGGCGTTGGGCGGCAGAGTCTCAGAAGAACTGCATTTTCCTTTCGTCACCAGCGGGGCGCATGACGATTTCAAAAAGGTGACAAACATGGCTCAAGCTATGGTGACCAAATTGGGTATGTCTCGTTCCATTGGTTACGTTGCATACGACCAGGATGCCGGCGGAGTCCAAGTCAATAAGCCTTTCAGCGAAAAAACCGCTCGTAAGATTGATCAGGAGGTGAAAAATATCGTGGATCAAGCTCACCAAATGTGTAAGCAAATGTTGGTTGAGCATAGTCAAAGTGTAGAAAGCGTCGCTCAAGAACTTCTAAAGAAAGAAGTGATAACTAGAGAGGATATGATAAGGTTACTAGGACCTCGTCCATTCCCGGAAAGGAATGAAGCGTTCGAAAAGTACTTGGATCCAAAGAACAACAACGAAAACGTTGTCAATGCATGAAGATTTTATTATGAAAGAGTTATACTTCACCTGTAAATAACATTCAATTCACGTTAAAATTAATAGAATGACTTGACGAAACGATCTCAAAACGTTTCTTCATCTGTGATCAGGTTGTGTGCAGGCTGACTCCACGAGTCTGTCATTGCAGATGGAGCAACATTATTCGCGTTCAAGGACGGGCTACCAGAGCCTTTAGTATTAGTATTAATAACATCAGCTGCCACTTCGAAACCCTCCTCTGTTGCGTATAAGATCTGCTGAATTTTATCGAGGAATCGAACTAATTCGTTAGGGTCACTGGAGTAAACCCCTTCTTTGCACAGATCCTTAGTCGATTGCGAAAGAATTTCGATATCTCTCAGCTTGCCAAAATAAAAGTCGCGTTCTCGTTCCATTATGGCAATAGCTTCTCGGTATTGTTCGACCTCCTTTTGCGTGGTTTCGAGACTGCCTTGAGCCTGCGATAACTTAGCTTGGAGGCTCAACACTTGTTGCTCGCTGGAGGACTTACGAGACGCCAAGCCTGCAACAGAACGAGTGTTGCTTGTCGACAAAGAGCTTCGCAGGGTTCCATTTACACGCTTTTTGACAACGCTTGTGGGTGCTGAGGCTGATCCTCCATGGGTGACTCCAGTGTTGTCGGAACTCGGGCCTGATTGGGACCCATTTCCATAGCCTCCGGGGTGCACGGGAGCCCGATACTTGCGTCGAGACTCAGCATCGTACACGCTTTCGTCCTTGTTTTGGACCCAGAACTTTTTCAACCATTGCAAGAACTCTAAATTATCCTGAAACCTGCACTTCACCAATCTTTCCACTAGGATGGTTTTTTCCAGCCGATGCTTGGTAAAAGCACTCTGCAAAATCTTGAAATTCGTCAAAAACTCGTATTCTGCAGTTGCATTGAATTTCACTCGGTGCATAGGGACGTCCCTGTAAACAGAATCGACAATCTGGCAGTATGCAGCTCCAGTTCCACATTGCTCAATTTTAGCATAGTTTAGCCTCAACAATTCATTCAGCCATCCTAAAAGTTCTGATCGAGACTCCCCGATCCCGCTCATTTCAATTGAGAGTTCAGATTGAGATTATAGAGGGTCACAGGCCTGCTATATTCTGAGTTTTTGAATGTTGATGTTTCAGAGGATTGACATCTATCATAATTATAACAAATTAAAGGTGGATTCGAATCTATAAAAATATCGGACTGAAGAAAATCAGAGCACCAGAAGATGAAACAGTTGATACAAAAGCTAATCAACAGTTGAAATAACAATGGCAATGGAAAAATTTGAATGTAATGAAATGTTAGAATAGTGTGCTCTTTCCAGGAATTGAAATCGGGTTGGTGGATCTTTTTGTAGAAAGACGAAACTGCGTTTACCACCGGAAAGAGACTGTTCTTTAGGGTCAATTAAGTTGTGAACCAGCTTGTGCGAATGTTGGGAATCAAGGTTGAATTTTTATGTCCTGAGAACAAAACAAATCTGCGATTATCAAATCTCAAAGTTCATCTTCAACATGTTTTAGTGACGCCGAGACGCAGAGAATTACTCGTTTGATAAACATGCAGCCAATACTAATAACAACGATTGTGCGTGTAACCTTCTCTATACCCACATAAAAAAAGAATAAGGCTTGGACGTCATGTAAGACTGATTACTGGTATTCAGAATTTCTCGAAGCGTTGCGTTTGACATACATTCCATAAAGGGCTCACAATTTCGAATGCTAACATCGTTCATAATTTTGAAAAGCCACCAGGATCAATTATTACAAACAAAACGTTAGCTTACGAGTATCAGAATACGCACTGGAGCAAGAAGTATGGTTGTTTGAACCAAAAAAAAAAAGGAAAATTGCACCTTCCGTCCCCGACCTAGTACAAATCATTTTCAGCGTATCACAAACATCAGAAGCAGTCAAATTTCAAAGCTGGAATACCTATATGTTCTTTTCTGAGGTAGACGACGCAATTTGAAAAATCGAAAACTTCCAAACCACTAAAAATACTACAAATTGACCTTCCAAAACCGCTTTAAACGACCTCATTAACAACAACTCAGAGCTGATCAAATTACCAAAGAAAGCGCAACTCATAGAGATTAAATTTCGCGACGTCAGCGCTGAGTTTACACCAGATATCATATATTACGGTGCTGTCATACGGATTAATTCTTGAAAAACGACTGAATTCTGAACGCGCTACACTGACCATAAACGTTTGTTTAAACGTACAAGTGGTGATCTAAACATCGCAGACCGAAAGTGAGCCAAGCTTCAGAAAGTTGTCTGGTCTCGCGCTTCTGAATAGTGCTTTGACATCCCGCGGCTTGCGGCTGCTGCGACGCTCAAACAGCTGTTGTCTTTGGTGTCCACGTCGCGCCTTGTTTTGAGTGCACAAGCCTTAATTGGTGGTTTTTAGGGTCTTCAAAGATCTCTGACATCTATTAGGCGGTGTTACTGGGCTTTTGACACTTGGGTTTCGTTCGGGTCGCCAAAATAACTGCCCTGGACTGAGCATTGCATTTTTTGGGGCTACTTTCAATCATCTTTCGTGTTGGCAGGTGCTTCACGTAAATTCTTCCATTACGGCCACGCCTGTGTATGTTGACCGGCAAAAGATCAAGAAAGTCAAACCGGATTTGAGGTGGTGGCGCTTTTACGCACCTGAAATATCTCCGTCAATTCCAAAGGCATGACTAAGGGACAACGCAATGCATCAACTTCTTCTTCTTCTTCTTCTTTTTCACTAGCCAAGGACTGCACTCAAGCAATGGAGTCTATGAGGGCAAAATTGGAGGTTCTGCAACACGAGGTCCAGTCTCTTCAGGCCCAACTACTCCACGAAAGACTGGAGCGTGAATCGTTTCAAAATCAGGTCCGAAAACGATTACGGAACGTTCTGGCTGACTTTGTCACTACCGGGAATTCAGATCAGCCGATTTTACAGCAAGGGCAGGCTCGTAGCTTCGATGACGTGACGTCGTTGCTGGATGCTGCTGAATCGACTTCCAACTCGGTTTCGAGTACCTCTCAACACACTCCCACAGCAACTACTCCCAAAGACGGACATCCTTATATCTCAGATGCTATTTGCGATAATGCAGAAAAAGTCACTTTTCCTGGCTTTGCTGACCTGTCGTCTGCTAGTAATCAATTGACCAGCTCTAATGCAGACTTGAATACTCGGCTGACAACACCGTATCCGCAGGGTGTCCTTCCATCAGTAATTTCTAAAGACTTTGAACAAAACTCACTGGGAGAAGATATTACTTCTTTAATCAATGATGCAATGGCGCAAAATCTCAGGAAACGGACTTTATCGAATGACTTCATCTTAGCACACCCTCAAAAGGCCAGAAGGGGAAGTGGACAACAACAAAGCAATTCCTTTGACCTGACTCCTAATATTTCCCGGCAATTTCCACTACTGCCGTTGAGGCACAACACGCCAGCTACTCCCATGATCATCTCATCCAACGGTCTGCCCACACCGTCATCACAGCTAGATGAAAGAGATATTCTCGAGAAATGGGGAATACAATTCTCGGAAAAGTACGCCACCATCAGTGAAGTATGGAACGAGTACCACAAAGTGGGTTCCAAAGGAGTATCTATCAGATCCTTAGAATCATCGTTCTCAACGCGATGGAGAGCTAACCTTCGGAAGAATGTTAAAAAAAAGTATAGCAGGCGACTGATAATCATACGAGCTATTGAAACAGGAATGAAAAGAGGAAAGACTTTAAACGAATGTATCGCGGTGCTGGATGCCTATTTAACTGATGCTAAAAAGCCAGTTTCCTACTTGTATCGAAAAGCAAATCTACCAGCAGACTTTACATAATTCTCAACAACAAAAGACACTGATGCAATTAATATCACTATACCATAAATAAATGTTTTTTGTGGGAAACGTTAAAGCTTCTCAGCTTTAATTAGTGACCCTTCTTCGTAAAGCACTCCGAGTTCCTCTTGAAACCTTTTCGTGGCTTTAGCCCTTTTAACCTTGAATGTGGGAGTGATCGTATCTTCAGCAACTTTTAGAGGCTCGATGCCGACAAATATGTTGTTGACTTTTTCGAAACCTTGAAGACCTGTAGTTTGGCCATTCATCATCTTGACAATCTCTTTTCTATATTCACGGTTCTGATTCAATGCTTGAACAAGGTCGTTTCCATGAAGACCTTTTAGACTTGGTATCCACTGATGCAAAACAGAAGTGAAGGAATCAAAATCGAATCCAACGACTGCCACGAGAAATGTTTTCAAAGAATCACCATGAATCATGATCTGAGAGATGTAAGGGCAAGAAGACAAATACAAGTTTTCAATCTTTTCAGGCGCGATGTACTCACCTTGCGCAAGTTTGAAAAAGTTCTTGACCCTGTCGATAATTGTAAGGCGTCCCTTAGCGTCGATGTATCCAACGTCACCGGTAGAAAACCAACCGTCTTTACTGAGAACCTTCCGCGTCTCCTCTGGGTTCTTGTAATACCCTGAAAAGATTTGCGGGCCGCGCAATTGGACTTCTCCTTTAAGATCGCGTTCTGCGTCGTAGCCCATCTCGGGTATTGATCTGAGACGACACTCTGTGGTGATGGCCATGCTCCCGCACGTTCCAAAATCTCTTTCATGAGCCTCGCTGATACATATACCGGCAAAGGTTTCGGTGAGTCCATAACCTTGTCTTATACCACAATCCAAGGCGCTTTTCATAAACAGTAAAGTGTCGTTAGCAATCGGGGCAGAGCCCGTTATTAGAAAGGAAGCATTGACAAGCCCAAGGGATTCTCTAATTTTATCAATCAGAATCCTGTGAAACACCACAGAATTGATGATAGAATGGTCTGGTCCTCCACGATTCTGAAATCTTGCCTGCTTCTGGTCTAGAATGTTCCGTGCAACGTTTTTAGCCAGAAACGAAGTGCTGTCACCTCGTAAAGTGTTTTTTATACCGGCTTCGAACTTGGTCAAGACCCTGGGTACTAGAGAAAAAAAATCCGGTTTCAAAAGTTTGAGGTCTTCCACCAAGACCGCTGGGTCCGCTTTATGGAGGAATCCTAGGCCCACGCCAGCAGACAACGTATATCCGGCAATTTGACGCTCGAAAATATGGGCGAGCGGGAGAAAGCACATATCATGCAGCTGTTGGCCGCGCTTGTGGGGCGGTATGCGAAAAAGCGACATTGCAAAGGTGATACCTGCGGCAATGTGACTGTGATTTATGAGCACACCTTTTGGAGTTCCAGTAGTACCTGAAGTAAATGAAATGGTGTAGAGCGAGTCTGGCTTAGGAGGTATGATGGGCACATTATTACTTGCGCCAATCTCTTCCACTTGTCTGAACGTGAGCACTGAGATCCTTTCACCGTGTTCGTTAGTTCGCCGAGGCAGGAGGGGCCCATTGAGCTGGCTCAGTTCGTTGGAACTCAGCTCATCCATGCATATCAGGGTGCTCAAGTGGCCCAAATGGGGGAGCATCTCCAAGACCTTGTACAGGTTGACCTTTGACAAGATGAGAACCGGGCTTTCGGTGATGTTGAGGATGTACTGGGATGTGTCGATCCCCAGAGTCTCGTAAAGCGCAGTGTTGGCCAGCGAGTACGACTGGCAGGCCAAATCGGCGATGATCCACTCCTTGCGATTGGAGGACAAAAAACTGACGATGAAATCGTTAAAATGAAACTTGCGCTGACGTTTCAAGTTGACCAGCGTCATGACGCCGCTTCCGAGATTGCGGCTGCGCTTTTGGATTTCCTGGTACGATTCAAACACGTAGTGCTGGCTCAGCTTGCCAGACCCGTCGAGTCGTACACGCTGGCCCAGGCAGTCGTTTTGCGGGAAACGCTGCACTGCGAATTCGAAAAGTCCGAAAAACGTGGCCAGCTGTGGATGAATGCTAGAGACCAGATGATCTGGACTGAGCGAGCTGCGATACATGGGGCTGAACCCCGGTTTCAGCTCGGATCCCGGCACGGGCACCCCCTGTTGTTTCAAAAACTGGCGATAATTAGTGTGTTGTGTTAACGGCATTGCTTTCATGAGGCCTGCAAGATATTCCGTGGAATTTGGCTCGTACTGTGCCAGTTCTTCTTTCAAGGTCCGAAACCTCATATCTGTCTCCACTAGATCCACCAGACTGATGTATTCATCGCCGGTGTTTACACTCATTTTCTAACACTTGAAAGCTTGTTCGAGGGGTGTTCTTTCGGGTTAGACATAGACGTACTTTGACCTTGGAAGTGCCCCTTTATATACCCAATTCAAACGCCATCAAACCTGCGTGAAATAGTGTCCTGACATGTCACACACAACACTGCTCAGTGTTCTCCAATCGCGGAGCGCGGGGCATGGGGCGGGGCCGCAAGAAGCCGTAGGTTGGCCTTAATATCACTGTGTTATTTCGTGACGCCATGAGGCGCCAGATCGGGCGCGTTGAGGTCGCCATCGGCGGTCGTCGCGACCAGATTCGACTCAGTGCGAGCAAAGCCTATGTGGAGCGGTTTACCGAAGAAAGGCTCTTTTTGCAGGGATGTCATGGCCAAATTGGCCTCGTCTGCGCTTTTCAGCACCACGAAAGCTTGTCCACGAGTGGCTTTGGACACTTTTACTTGCAGCACCTCGCCAAACGCCGAAAACATCAGAAACAGGCTCTCACGCAGCGTGCCCAGCTTGATTGAGTCGTTGATGTTATTCACGTACAGCGATTTCTTGGGTTCTGGCTTGGGCGGTTGTTCGAGCGGCCTGCTCTTCTTGGAACTCAAATCGGGCTCCCCAGGCTCGAGCAACGCTCGTTTTCCGGACGCGACCATGGGTTCTTTTCTTGCAGAGCGGCCTGAGGCGGCTGGATTGGTGTTTAGAGGCGTTAAGAGGCGCTGAAAGTATGGATTGTAGCCGCTGAGAGTGGTGGTGGTGATGATGATGATGATCAGTAGATAGAGATATATATATAATATATACTTTTAAATATTGGAACTTTAGAAGGCCTTCGTCCAAAGCGACCTAATGGGCCAGCGAGTCCGCGTCTTCAAAGCCATCCATCACCACGTCAGGAACGCCAGGACCGTTGCTGAAGGCCATGCCACCAAGCGAGATGCGCAGACCTACCTCCTCGTTGAATTTGGCTTTTATACGCGCGACCCATAGGTTGTAATTGACAAAAAAGTGCGGCAAACAGTCTTTAGCAGTGGTCACCTGCCAGTGGCCGCGATCCAGGTCCTGTTGCGATAGATTTAGATGCCGAATAAGAGCGGTTTTGACCTTGTCAACGTAGTCTTGGGAAGTTTCTGGTAAGCTCGCTTGCGAATCGCGACGCAAATAGTGTCCGCCAACCATTGCTGTGAATTTGGTGTATCTCTGGGGCTTTCGCTGCGCAGACAAGCTTGCTGCAGGGTTCAGGGGCTTGAAACTCTTCTCTATGACCGAGTCAAAAATAACGCCCAGCAATTGCTCGTCGTTGCGGTTGGATTGTGGAACCAGATACCCAAATGAATGGTAGCGTTCCAGCAGGTCCACATCGGAAAGATAAAAGTTCAGTAAAACCACGGTGTTGGAGTGCGCCTCTCGTAGCTCTTGCGCCAATTGCTGGTTGCTCATCATGGCGGCTATCACGGCCGGCGTGTTCGTCAGCCGGACATGATCGAGACCCGTAATTTCGTTCCCATCTGCAAGGGAAACTCTGCAATTCCCGTCTTTGGCCACTGCGACCTGTGATACGGCGTTCCTGAGAATAAACCGCACTTTCGGGTTCTGCTGCAACGCAATAGTAAGCGCTTGTGGGAAACTTTCGAGTCCGTTACGCAGGCCCAGCATCGGGAGCGTGCGTAATCGACAATGCAGTTCTGAAAGCTCTTGTAAATTTCTGTCTAAGCTCTTCTGATATCTCAGTAGCGACTTGGGCAGCTCTAACTCGCCCTTTTTTGCGTTGGAGCCCCAGGCTCCCTTGATCAAAGACCCATGCTTGGCCTCCAGCGCCAAAAGTGGCGCCAAAGTTCTCTGCGCGCTAAGCTGCTTTATGTCACCTGCATAAATGCCGTGGAAAATAGCGCTAAACAGATTATTACTGACGTATTCGCCTCCAAACCTACGCTTAATGAGATCGTGCGCGCTCTCGTCCTCACCTGAATTAGAGCGAGGCTTCCTGAAAGGCTCTCCCAAGATACCAGAAATCAAACCTTTGCTTAGCGAGCTTGATAAAAACTTCATAAAACTGCCCATTGAGTTTGGAACCTGGACCAATTTGTCATTTCTGTCCAGCAGGAATTTCCTGTTCGCTTCGGACTTCCCTTCGATGTAGCATACAATGTCTTTTTTATTCAGTGCGTTCAGTGTATCGACTATCAACGTCGTCCCCTCTGATTTCCCACGCAGCGTCCTAGGGCCCTTCTCGAGTACAACAGGACTTTTTCCATGGTCTTCAATCGTGCTTGAGTTGATCCAACCGCCCGTCCTGTTAGCAGCGTCTATAATTGTGATATTCACATCGGGTCTTAATTTGGTCAAAAAATAACCAAACGATAATCCACCAACGCCTGCACCAACGACAGCTACATTGGCATTAGCTGCCAGTTTTGCGGGATTTATCAGCATCAATACTTGGTAGCTCTTTAGCTTTTGAAGCTTGCCTACTAGTTTTTTCAGAACTTGAATGAATAATGACGGTCTATTTTATATTTGGTATTCTAAACGACAGAAACAAAGGCTTAAGAAACTGACACCTAAACAGTTCGAACAGTTCAAACAGTTCAAACTACGTGAATTTTTCTTTTCCCTAGCAGGCTGCCCTTCATTTTCTATAAATTTGCTTCATTTTGAATTCTTGTGGGTTAAGTAAGATAACCGGAAACGCTGCGAAGTTAATCCCATCCCATTTTATATCATAATTACCTGAAATCCCCGGAAGTTCCGCATCATTTCCCAATCAACCAGACATTGACCGTTTTGTTGCTTATTTGCCCGCCTTCAAATCAAGTTGGTAAGATATATCGACTTTGCACCGCCGATTTTGATCTCGTCATAAAAGAATTCAGATCCACATCTCGTTCCTCGACGCCATCATTAGCACAGCACCTTTCAGGAACTGTTTAAACAGGAATTGATGTTTGTAGCATGTCACCTTTTAATTCCTAGAGCCTTCTCCTTCGTCTGCCGCAACGAGCTTAGTCTCCAAGAGTCCTGATTCTGAGAGAACTTGTTGTGAAGCGGGACAATCTTGGCTCTTTTGCGAGACTCGCTTTCAGCCCCTGCGACTTTGTAGAAATGTGGTGCACTCTCGACCAGCCAGCGCGCATCTATAGCCGTTACATGAGACATGTATTCGCGTGTTGTCAAAACCAAATTGTGGTAGATAACACAATCATAGTCCTTTCCAAAAAGAGCACTAGACGGATGCACACTCACAGAGGTACCATCTGTGATTGTCTTGTAACCTGTTTGCGAATCCCTTTTGGCAGCGTTCCTGAAAAATCCAGAAACTAGAGTGCTTCTGATCATATCGATATCCCCATTGCTGTTTGAAACCGGAAGTTGTAGTTTTTTAAAGACGTTCAAAAGCTGTAGCTTCACATCTCTGGCTCTTTTCAAATGCCTTTCATGCAAATAGTTGTTCAAACAAAATGTTTTCGAGTAATTGTCGTCTCGCCAGCGGTTATAGACGTTCAGCAGGGTCAAATGATCACCGTAAGGATGATGAAACCTAACTTTCTTGTTATCTGCCTCCTGCTGTTTATCTCGGGGCCGGTAGAAAACGTTCTGCACAGAAAGCATTGATATTATAGTTGACACTTCGTCTGAACAGCCCCGGCTGGTAGATTCTATAAGTGCCTTTGACAAGGCTGGTTCCATTGGAAACTGAGACATCAAGCCACCCAGCTTCGATAATTTACCATCATCATATAGAGCTTGTAGGTTGTAAAGGTCTTCTAATGCACCTATCATGGACACTCGTGGAGGCGGGTCCATAAATTCAAAATTTAGCAAATCATTGATTCCCATTGCCTTCAACATAAGGATTGTGTACGACAGATTTTGTCTCTGTATTTCTGGAATTGTATTTGGCATCATCTCGTTCAAAAAAGCCGACTCTGTGTAAAGTCTATAGCATTTACCAGCTCCTGTCCTACCAGCACGCCCTTTTCTTTGATTGGCTTGTGCCTGTGAAATGGGAGATACAACTAGTTGCTCCATGCCCATACGAGGGTTATAAGTGTTAATTTTAGCAAAACCGGGATCAACAACATAATAAATACCATCGATTGTGATAGACGTCTCTGCTATATTTGTGGCAAATATTACTTTCCTGCAATTGGGTGGAGTCGGCTCAAATATTTTGGATTGGACTTCACTCGGCAAAGCCGAATATACGGGCAGTATCAAAAGCTCTTGTATTGTATCACCTAAGGTCTTGACGCGCTCAAAAAGAACCTCGCAACAGGTATCAATCTCCTCCTGACCTGTTAAGAAGACCAGAATATCACCTCTTCCTTCGTTTATGTGAATCTCCATGACAGTATCCAGAGTACTCTCGATATAGTCTAACTGAGGCGTCTGTGAATATAGAACGTCCACTGGAAACGTTCTTCCAGGTATTTTGATCACTGGGCAGTCCAAAAAGTAAGCTGAGAACTTTTCGGCATCGAGAGTTGCGGAGGTGACAATAACTCTTAAATCTGGTCTTTTGACAGCTGCCTCTTTCAACAGAGCAAACAAGACGTCAGTGGCGATCGTTCTTTCGTGAGCTTCATCCAGAAGAATAACGGAGTATTTTCTCATCGCCGGATCCAATAGCGCCTCTCGCTGTAACATACCATCTGTCATGTATTTGATTCTAGTTTGAGGGGAGGTTTCATCTTCAAATCTGATTGTATAGCCCACGTCTTCTCCCAGTCTACATCCCATTTCCTCAGAAACGCGCTTTGCCACGGATACCGCAGCTACTCTTCTAGGTTGGGTGCATCCTATAATTCCATTGTCACTAAAACGTTCTTCATCCAAATACTGGGTAATTTGGGTGGTTTTTCCCGAACCGGTTTCTCCCACAATGACTACGAACTGGTTTTCTTTGACTGCATCCACTAATTGCTGTCGCATTCTGAATACAGGCAGAGACTCTCTCTGAGCTTTGATTGGCATGTTTGTCCTTTTTCCATATTCGATGTTTTCTCTGTTTCTACTGCGCTCCCACGCAGTGAGTGTAAGCTGTTTGTTTCTAAAGTCAGCTTCTGCGCGATAGCTAGGATCGTCCACCAATTTTTTCTTGCGACGTTCTTGCTCAACATCTTTGCTTCTTTGCATCTTTTCGGCTCTGTGCTCTGACATCAAAGTAGAACCATTTAGAGCGGTTCTGGTGAGAGAGCCTTGAGGAACCTTGGTGAGCTTGGGCATCTCAAGCTTCTGAAATGAGCTCGTTTCGCCTTTCAAGAAGTGTGGTTCATCATCCGTTTTCAACTCAACTTCTACTTCGGTTTCCTTCTCAATGTTGTTTTTTTCTGTAGGATCTCCGTCTTCTTCGTAGGTGTCTTGCAGCTCTGGATAGTCTTCTATTGATGCTGCGCCACTAGAAATCAATTGACGAATCTCCCATCGTTCAGGCGAGGTCAGTCTCCTTTTGATCGCAGATTTTTGCTGTTTTTCGGCACGTCTTCCCCTTTCTTGGATCCTTTCATCTTCAATTCCTGTCTTTTGATTGATGAATTTCATTTGAAGTGAGATCTTGCCGTTTTCCTGCACCCTGATGACTTTGACGTACACCCTTTCACCAACAGAGACTATCTCTGCGGGATTATGAACTCTTCTGTCTGCTAGTTCGGAAATATGGACCAACCCGTCGCATCGAGGGTCGCGAGTACCCAGTATGCGAACAAAACAACCAAACGCGGTTATTTTCTTCACTATTCCAGAATATATGTTTCCCAACATAGGGTATTCATCTGTTACTCCCACACTAATCTTGTCTTTAGGGTCAGCCTCTGTTAAGGTTCCTGAGGTGTCCCATTGAATTTTCTGGTTTGGCATGCTAAGAGCTCCCCCGCCCCGGCTTTCTACTTTGAATTTCTGATCTTCCATAGCAGCATATAGAAGTTTTGAGACATCTGCTTCGATGCCACAATCCATCGCCTGGATCTGGGCGTTAAAATCGTTGTAAGAAGTGCATTTGGAACATATTTCTACAATGAACTCAGCCACGACGGGATCATCCAAAGAGAGCGTATCCTTAAGGATCAGTGTTACTTTCTCTTTGGGCGTCTTTTCGGAAGGTTTGATGGCCTTGTATAACTTCGATGCCACCTCTGCCGTTATACCCACATCCAGCTCCTCGACACTTGATCGAAACTGTTCTAGACTTGAAGTCCTGGAACAAATATCATATATGAATTCTGAGATACTTTGATCCTCAACTCCTATCAGCGCACCAATTTGTGATATCACAGAACTCATAAACCGCTTCAAACACGGCAGACGTGTGTTCACATCTTACTCTGATTGAGCGATGATCTGATATATAACGGCATATTCCAATAACTACATCTAACGTCTACAATGATTATACCTATACTTAAATCTCACAGCGGCTGAAGCATCGAAGAGCTTGGTGTAATGCTATGAGCAGGTGCTGTGAAAGCATCACACAGGGGCTTCTCTTAATTTGGGATCTATCCAGAATGAATGATGTAACCTTCTTCGATGTAGCTTTGTTCAAGAAAATCCTACGAAAAATTGGCAGACTGGGCTAGATTTAAATGAAATATCTGTCGTTCTATTGATCAGCACTTCTCAAGACATCGCATCGCTGTTATTTGTTCTCACTACAAGATAATTGTTCTTCGTTTATATTCAACAGAAAGATCGTCAGTATTTTAATAGACTGCGCATTGGTGTAACTGGGAACCAGTGTGGATATGGAAATTCTAACTCAGACAAAAAAAGCGCAACGATCAACTGAAAATCCGGTATTTTGCATGTATAATTGATTGAGCATCTTTGCAGGCGCTGTCAAAGATCTATTTCATCAAAAAGTTATAAATATATGCGCACAGATATCAGCAAAACCAAGCAGCTTGTGACTAGGTCAACATGCGTCGTTCTTTGCAATGAAAATCAATGATAAGTATATGGCGTGCAGGATATCTTGGTGCAACTTTTGTAGCCATGTATTCTGCGTGTCCTGGTGGATTCCGTCGGAAGACAACTAACAAACATAATACAACATTTTCTCTTTTGATAGCTTTGATCAGTTCGTGCGTAATTCAACGGGCACTAGTGTTAAGGGTTGCGCCCTGAAATGCTATAATATTATTGTTTTGCGTTTTCTTTACATAGAAGGAACATGCCGTGGCTCACCAGTCCGTGAGTTCGCGACACCCGTCCTTGTCAACGACTTTAACAAGAACGCCCTTGAAATCTACAGGCATTCTGCGTTCCAGCTCTTCGATACACAGTTTCAACAGTTTGAGACCCTCTGCTTGTGTCATGTCGGGCCGGTAGTGACGGTCCAAAAGAGAGAAGGTGTAAAACCCGGAGTAGCCATGGGCGGCATAGGGAAGCTCGACTTTCGTGCCCAGATAGTCGATTTGGTATAGCTCGGTTTTATTACTGTGGGTGTCGTAGCCCGCAAGCAAAACATTCACCTGGAACGGTTTTCTGGAACGAAGAGATTTTGCCAGCTCTTGTCTCACAAAGCTAGAGACTGCCTGAGGCGACAGCTCGTAGTTTTCCCTAATGGTATATAGTTGAATGTTTGCCTGGATGTACTCTGCGAACTGAATTGTGTCACCAGCCTCTCCAGAGAAAGCCATCAACGTGTGCTCCGAAAGTTGTCTAGTTTTGTCGTCATCGGCTTTCAGGACAGAGATCCCTCGAGTGACCGCTTTGGAGGTCGCTAATATCACTGAGTCTTGAACCCTTATGCCTAGTGTAATGTCCATCTTTGTTTATAAAAGAAAACGGGAGGGTAGATTTTCCGATCGATATGTCAATTGCAGGTCCTTAAGCCTTGATTCTCGAGAGATGAGCTTTTATTGGCCTTACACACAAGTGAACTCAGGTCGATATGTTACTCTTTGCCACCCAAAGTTCAAGTGGTACTGTGCGTTTAGATACATTTAAAGAACTTATTTTTGGTCACAGTGGACGAAGGTGACGTCGAGCTAAGTTATAATATCTTCAACTAAAGGTGAAGCGATCATTTATGGGCGCTTGAAGTGCTATTCTCTTACCACAAGCTTGAAAACAAGGTCATTACGAAATTAGAGTGTGTCGTGTTCTATACACTGTGTCACACCCGCATTTAATCAAATGACACAAGTGATTGATGTAAGTATTTTAATTTTGACGATTTGACAACGACAGAGGACAGTGAGCATTGATGTGGGGACCTTACTTGTCATTGTACGCTATCATGGGTGCTTTGAATCTGCTGGACGATCGGGCGAAACTCGTCGGAAACAGTCTGTCAGAACTAAAGTGAATGTGATTACGTAAGTTGCGACTGATAAGTACAAAATGATACAAGCAATGACAGCGTTTTCTGAAGCACAGCGGTACCTAACTAGACCCGAGAAACCGAGCTCATATGTGCTCTCGGCTTCTTCGCCAACGCAACTTTAACTGGCAATAATGCTTTTTTTTTATTTTGCAGCTATTGTTTGGTCAAATCATCATTCAAAAGCATACAAAAAAAAGACATGGCAGCCTGACTTGCACTCGTTCGAAAAATTTGACATACGGGTGAGTTATTGGAATAGGCTCGCGGCTCTGTATGAATATGCAGAGACGATTTTTCAATATACTGTCAAACGAAAGAAGATGCACAATTCGAAATTTCTGAATCAGCTTAATTGTGCTCTGGGAAAGTCATAGCGCTCAATAACGTCGCCTATGGGGGCTGTCGAGATCTCAAAGTAATCGTCTGTGAAGGCAGAGAGAACGATTAATAAGTCACGTGGTAGTTATAAGTAGATATATTATTTGTCGTACAGGGCGACAACTCTTGTTAACGCGTATTTTCTCAACTTTACGTGTCCTGCACGATCTTCGGAAGCTACGTGAGCGCTGCCTCGACTATAGTCAGTGACAACAAGCATAAAGCAGGAGCTACTTGGTACTGTATCGCTCGTGGAATACGTTCACTCTTTCATATACACTACGCCAACACTTTTCATCGATGACGACGCAGACTGTTGTTTCCGGCAACGGGCCCAGTGCGACTGACATGCAATACTATTACCAGCACCTATACCCTTTCAAGTCAATCTTTCAATGGCTCAATCATTCGCCGAAACCTGGGCGCGACATGATGCATCGAGAACTTGCCATGGCTTTCCGTTCTGGCGCTTACAAAAGATATAATTCGTTCGATTCGGTGCAAGAGTTCAAAGCCCAAATTCAAAGATCAAACCCTGATAGATTCGAGATCGGAGCTGTGTACAACAAGCCACCCCGCCAAATGGACTCTCTTTTAAAGGCCGACATTAAAGCTCTGGAGAAAGAAGTGGTTTTTGATATCGATATGGACGATTACGATGCCTACAGAACTTGTTGTTCAGGAGCCAGTGTATGCTCCAAATGCTGGAAATTTATCTCCCTGGCGATGAAGATTATCAATGTCGCTTTGGAAGAAGACTTTGGCTATACGGATTACATCTGGATCTTTTCAGGCAGACGTGGTGCACATTGTTGGGTAGCAGATAGGAGAGCCAGGCAGCTAAGCGACCTGCAGAGAAGAAGCGTACTGGATTATATGAATGTGGTGAGAGACAGAAACGTCGATAAGCGACTAAACCTAAAACGCCCGTACCATCCTCACCTAATACGTTCCCTCGAATGCCTAAAGCCGTTCTTCGTTGAAGTTATATTACGAGAACAAAATCCTTGGGAAAATGACGACATGGCCATTCAAGGGCTACTTCCCGGTCTTCATGACAAGGTTCTTATAGAAATCTTGAAAAAACACTGGAAAGCGCATCCAAATCGAACTAGTGAACAAAAGTGGACAGATATTGATTCCTTGGCGACCTCGCAAATAAAACATTCATCGCCTTTGAAAAGATCAGACTACTTTAATAGACTACGAGAGTGCAAAGAAGACTTGGTGTTAGCCACACTCTATCCGAAGTTAGATGTGGAAGTCACCAAACAGACGATTCACTTGCTTAAAGCACCATTCTGCATACATCCAGCAACTGGTAATGTTTGCGTCCCCATTACGGAGAGCTTCACACCATCTCACGCACCAAAGTTGATACAACTACAACGAGAAATGGAGTCCAATGAAAATCAAATTGAAAAGACTTCCTTGCAGCCTTTTCTTGATCAGTTCCAGCAATTTGTTAATCAAGTGATGAAGAAGGAGCTGGTGGGGGCGAAGCGAGAAAGGGAAGAAGTAATTACCAACTTTTGAACAGAAATTATTACGTAAATGTATGAATTCAACTTCCCACGCGCATGATGGCCTAACGGTTTACCATTAATGCTACCATAACGCCTTACATTACCGAGCATCCTTCTGGATCTTCGGGCTTTTTCGAAGATTCTATTTCCCCCCGCAACGATATACTTTGCTGTCCAGAGTCATGAGACCATTTTAACAATTGCTGATTTGGGTCGTAGAGAAACGTACCTGAAGTTGTTTTAATAATAGTTTGACCCATGGGAAAATGGAACTTTGGCAAAAAAATCAATGTTGCACCAGAAGCGTTATCTGGCCGTGGTTCTGCGTTTATAGTCAGTCTGTATTCTTGCCTGCTCAATTCAAACTCGGCGTTAACAAAATTTCCGCAAATTTTAACAGGGTACGGACGCAGAATGGCATCAAGTGCCCTTATCCCATCGTAGTCGCAAAGATGCTTTTCTTCACTATCAGCCAAACCAGATACATGTCCGTGTGGTATGGTTGAAAAGGAAGAAATGACATCTGATTCAGAGTCGGAGCCTGACTGTTGAATCGCTCTCGCTGCTGGAACGCTACTCACATTGTCTTTACTCCATATTGAGAAATCCTCGTTATTCCAACAGTCACCCCATTCATGAGAATTCTGGCTGCAGTAGCACCACAAGCTGTAAGACAGGTTACCTCCCTCCAAAGCATAACCAAGCGCGTCAAGCGCTCCAACTTGTGAGCTGAAATCTCCACTTTGGTATGCTTTTTTACTGTCCATGTCAAAAGGCATACCGATCTCGGTGAAAAACACTGGTACGTGACCACCCAGAAGTTCTTTACCTTCCTCCTTCATTTGTGCAAGCTGCTTTCTAAAGGACTTCCTTATCATGTTCTCACCCAAGACAACGCTGAATATAGGATTAGAGTACTTTTCACGCATAATGCCTAAGGTATCGACATTGTAGATTTTATTCCAGGACTTGAACATTAGCGACATTCCATCGTAGAAGTGACAAGCATAAATGGTCTTCTCATCTATCAAACTCGTACCCTTCAGTCTTGGTGGCTCTTGTAAAGTAGGAGGCTGTAAGAACAAATACGAATCTTTGTCGTGGTCCCTATATTTTGTTCGAAACTTCTCGTAATGCTCCAGGAACAGAGTGTTGATAAAATATCTCAAATCAACCTTGGCCCCTGTCGCAGGATCGCAAGCGAAATAATCAGCAATTAGCAGCTCGGGTTTTCTCAATCCCTTCCGCTTCCAAACACCATGCAGCCTCCAGACACATGTCCCTGGTTCCCATTCAGACCCTCTTTGCCAATTGTAGCGTTTATCAACATTATCTCTTTCCGCTGCCAAAAGCCAGGCTGATTTTCCTTTAGGATCAATTAAAGTAGTGCCAGTTTTCCTGGGACCAAATACCGAGATATCATAAGTGTCAACAATAGCCGGCAAACCTTCTCCTAGCTGGAACGTCTGAAAAGCCGTTGGCGTTGTTCCTCTTTTGAGTTTACGATCTTTGGGGACCTCTGACATATCAAGGTCTGTGAAATACCCTATATTAGGTTCGTTCATTGTTTCTAAGCCCAGAATGCAACGGTCAATAAAGAGTTCTGGGGCTCTCTGTTGAATACGCTCATAAAAAGTCATGACTGCGTCTATGAATCTGTCCTGCAGATAGTCTTGTATGTTTTGACCGTTTATCACGCACTTGGGGGCAAACTTCTTGCCACCAAAGAAAAGGGTGAACATTGTTTGAGCGGCAAGACGGAAATAATTGGTCGGCCACAGCATTTTGGGGTAAGGTTCGCGCTCTTTCCCAGTGCTGGGATTGATGTACGAGTTTTGCAGAATCGTTGCCTCCGTGTCCGAGAAGTGTCGCGGTTGGAAGCCTGCGCAATAAAAGGTCCACAGAGGAGCACCAGATCCTCCGGTAAATCGCGACCATACATCCTGGTGTGGGTCGAGATAAATATAAATCCCCTTTAGCTTATTGATTTTCTTCAACACTTCAATTGTGTAGTCCATGAAATCATAGTCATAAATTCCAGGGCCCTCATGTTCAAGTGCTTCCCAAGTGAATGGATATCTAATGGTGTTGTACCCGAGGGATTTGAGCTTGCAGATGTGATGTTCAACTTCTTCCAATTTCAAAGGATGATTAATGAAGCAAACAGAACCTGCTTCATCATAGAAGGATGGTGTTAGAGGATCGTGGCTCCGGCAATTGGGGGTTGCTGGAAACTTCACACTCGGATCAAGATTGACTCCACGCAGTTGTATTTCATGTCCCTCTGAGTCTGTAAACTCGCCTTTTTCGGAAACCAAGACCCTTGGTGGCATTTTTTCGCTTCAAGTCAGAAGTGGTTGTGTCAGTCAGTGGTGAGTCTGCGTGTTCAAAGTTGAAGATGGATCAGTTTTGTAGGGATACTCAAGCGAAACTTTCTGGAGACGTACGCTTTTTCCCTTATCTTGGCAGAATATAAAGAATAAAGTTTCACTTCCGCCGCACGCAGCTCGGAAATCCTGATTAGCAACCAATTCGTAAACGAGGCCTCACTCCTTGGCTCAATTGAAGGCTTTCCTTTGTCAGTAGCTGAATGTCATCGTCACACATTATTGCAAGCCCCTCAAACCAAATACGCCTCACGTGCTGTGATGGAAAGCTCCGCCGGTGGGCGGTAGTGAAACGAAACATAGCAGCAGTTGTTAGCTCTGAGGTATTGACCTCGGTTTAACTTAATGACTTTGGTGAGTATCATGGGATTTTAAATCCGTTCTGCCTCTGAAGATGTGAGTGAGCATCGCACAAGGAATGGACAAACTGGTGAAAAGTTAGGAGAACGCTAAAGCCCACGATTTTGGCCAGCCTAGATGATCTTCTCGGACAGCTCGGTTAAACAAATACATGGCATTGTCTCAGTATTCTGTCGTACCTCTTTGCCACTTGATGGGGGGTACCATTTAGATTTTTCAGCTCAAAACGAAACAAAGACAAAGACGAGCATCTCAGATCGGCCAATACCCTCATGGTAGTCCAAGTTTCCGTTCACAATGCTCTTTCTGTCCTCAATAAAGCTCAGTCTTAACGTCTACTTGTAAAATCTGAGGTTTCACGTCGTCGACCTTTCACTTATAATTACCCGCCGAACCTACCAGTCCGACAAAGCTGAGTAAAAAAGAGCTTTACGACATCAAGTGGCGCCAATCATTGCATTAGAAGCTAAGTCAGTAGAGTTGGGAGCTCTTTAAGCTTTACGATCACTGTCCTGGAGTTTGAAGCTTTCTTGTGTTATTATGAACCAAGCTTTATTCGATAAACAATACAATGTTTGTATCACGTGCAAAATTAGAAAGAAGCGAATCATGAAGAACCTCGCCCTGCCGTTTGTTTGAGTGGCTATCAAAGTCTTGATAGCTGGTTTAATACTGGACACCATAATCACCTCTGGTTTGGAAACATATGGTTCACTTTATCTTCGGGAGAGATGACAGTAAAGTACATGATATTTCGACGATCTTCCTTATTGACTTGCGAGAAATCTAAAAAAACGGGAACTATGAAGCACATTAACAGAAATATAGAGAATTAAAATGTGTACACACGAGATGTCACTCATTGTTGTGAGACATACGTAAATATATCTCAGATGCAACAAAATTTAGTGGGGATGATGAGTTCTCGGTAATCAAATTCGATAGGCGCGGTAAGCACATCTTGAGAAAAGTCTAGTCACATGTTGTGAAGCGAGCCCTTGCATCGAAGATCCGAGCGGTTCTATAACTGCAGATGATGAGCCACTAAAGTTCTTGGCTTACGAATAGCCAAAAGTCTATAAGAGTGGCTAATATACGCTTCCAATTTTCAATCATCCAAGCATCTTGTTGAACTTTATCGAAACAAAGACATCAGCGCAATGACAAGAATTAATTCGTATGGCCAAACTATTGGTGATGAAGTGTCTGGATGGCATGCTAGAAAATTGCCAGAAAACTGGTGTTTTAAGGAAAACATTGTCGATTGGAACCATTGGACGTCGAAAAGCATGGAAAGGACCTCCATGATGCCTATTTCAACGCGGCAGATGATAGAATGTGGACTTACTTACCCTTGGGACCCTTGGCAACTTTGCCGAATTTGCAGAATCTGCCATCAGCCTTTCTACGAATGACGCCGTTGTTCACTATGCCGTGGTGAATAAAACATCTAGACGGGCCATTGGCAGTGTGGCATTGATGAGGTGTGACCCCCAAAATGGCTCCATCGAGATAGGCTATGTGATGTTCTCCTCGCAGCTACAACGCACAGTCATGTCCACAGAAGCCCAGTTCCTGTTGCTCAAGTACGTATTTGATACTCTCAAGTATAGAAGATGTGAGTGGAAATGCGACAGTCTCGATATTCCGTCGGGGAATGCTGCCCAGCGGCTGGGCTTCAAATTCGAAGGCCTCTTCAGACAGGCTGCCATTTACAAAGGCCGTACTAGAAATACCAATTGGTATTCCATTGTTGATTACGAGTGGCCAACCGTCTCACATGCTCTTACATTATGGATGAGAGACGAAAATCTACAAGACGGACAGCAGGTAGAGAGACTTGTCGACATCAGATCCAGACTGGAGAAAGGCTCATGTTAATAGCACACAGCTGCGGGTATCATTTCAAACTCAAAGTTTACATTTGATTCTTGATTCGTTTTCGATATCTCAAAAGGATCGCTCTGAGTGTCTTCTGATGCTCTGATTAACTCTTTTGATCAATCGGTGGTAGCAGAAAAGTAGGAGTGTGACGTCGCACATACTTTGAAGCGTTCAAATGATCATCGACTTGTCCTTTATAGATTTAAAAATTCCTCCGGCTTCTGGTTTATAAAGGCTTTAGAACTCTCCTCCTTATAAACCTCGCTGAACGCGCATATTTAACGCTTGCGAGAGGCATGTTGCAAACGGTCACAACATTCCATCATCAAGCACCTCTCCTTTCTTTTGCAAGCTTTTGAACTTATTCGACGCCAGAACGTTCCAAAATCGTCTCTTCTTCAAGTGTTGGCTATTCCTCATCACCTCTAATTCAATTTTATACGTTATCAGTGTACGCACCTATCATAATTAAATAGGCTATTCTTTTTTCGTTAAAGAGACTTCGGCGGCGTCTTTAATAGGAACCGGAGGATTAGAAGCGTCGTCATCCAACACGATATCGTCATCGATGGCTTGTCTAGATGTAGTTCTCTTTCTTGCTTCTTCCTCCTCTTTTTTGATCATTGCTTCTTGTTCTTTCAAAACGTTTAATTTAAACTCATTGTCATCAGAGCGAGACTCGGGCTCTTCTTCTTCCTCAGCTTCGGCCTCTTTCTTCGACTCTATTTCGGTTGTTGGTTTCTCCGATTCGAGATTCTCACCCTTGAGAACAGTTGCTGAAACGTCAGATACAGGCTTTGCGGCTTCGTTGTGGCCATGACTCGGGGCCGTCGCTTTCTCCTCTTCGGCAGGCGTCTTTTCCTCAGCAAGTTTCTGTTCTTTACTTTCGCTCACGTCAAGTTTTGCGACATTGTACACCGGATCTGGAATAGATGATAAAACCTGTAAAATACCGTCATAGTATAGATCCATGAGTTTATTAAACTGGTTGTCGTCAACTTTTTGAGCTGAAGTGGAGTGCAAATTGTTATCTTGCTGCTGGATACCTCCAAATGTGTAGGCGCTGCTGAGCATCAAAAGCACACTTGGCACTTTGTGTCTTAGTCTCAATTCCAACCACATGTTCATGTTGTTGATGAGTTCTTCACGTTTAACACCAAATGTCTTGATACCACGAGAGATACAGGTCTGATAAAGCTCCTCATTTGAGAGAGCTTCAACACCCTCATAGTCGATGACTTTGTCATCCTCCATGATGGTTTTGAGAGTGTAGCGAATTTGGTAACGCAACATATTGTCATTTCCAAAAGGTCGCAAAGACATGTACTTCGCAATGGCAACCAATTGAGGTCTGGACAAATTGTCAAGAACACTGTCATTTTTAAACATTTGTGCCACCGCTAAAATCTCATCATGTGTGAACACATTTTGATTGCCGTCCTTAGGGGAGTTCAATTTTTTGAAAAAATGCAGAAACTTCTTCTTCTTTTCGATGCTTTCGATGGACTTATAGCTTATCAAAGACGATTCTTCAATTGTTTCCTGAAGGAAGTTTGAGGTATTTTTTCTGATGTCGTTCAGCTTCTGCTTTTTGAGCTGTTTGTCACTTCCGGACTCATAAGTGGAAGGCAGAAGATTTGGGAATATCTTCAAAGCAATTGGTAGCAGGAGTTCTGCAAAGGGAATGATGAGGAAGGCGCTAAAGGGCACCAGACGAAACACGTCACCCATAGTTCTCTTCAGCTGGTTTTTCTCACGTCTTGAGAGCTCGTAGCCCTCCACTAGTTTTACCAGCAGCTTTGTAGAAATCTTGATTTCGTAGCCGAGCAGCTTTGTTCCGTTGACATAGTGGCGAATTTCGTGCTTGATCCGCTGCATGAGTGGCTCCTTCGGCTTTGCTTTTGAAGGTGCGATCGCACTGGCCATCTTTGAAACTTCTTCAGGCTTCTCCGTGTTTGTAATGTCCTTTGGCGCCTCTGGCGTTGATTTGGCGCTTACAGAGTACAGTCTGTGCTGAATCAAAGCTGACCCCACAGCAGGGTTAAGCAGCAATGGTTGCACTCGCAGGCACAGCCTGGATGCATGAAGTATAGGTTGTAGTCGACTAATGCTAGAGGCCATGGTGAGAGTGTTGTAATGGTTTTAAACACACTGCTTGGCCCTGGCTTTTTAAGCGTTGTAAAGGTAGAACAGAAAGTATTGGTGAACGTCATCCCAGGAAAAGCCGAAATTTTGAAATTGGAATCACAGCCTCGAGGTCACGGTACACGTCATCAGCACGCTCGGTGAGTTTGGGCAGCGACAGGGCGTCGGCCAGAGTGCTAGCCAGAGCGCGTGCGAGATCAAAGTAAAGCGCATTTAGTGAGCTCACATGTTATAGTGTGCTCCATAAAATTGTGTTGCTGATGAACCTTGCGAAAATTCGTTTTATAATCCGGCCCTTGATGTGGACGTCAAGACTCTCAGTGGGGATAGACGTAGTGGGCACGGGACACCACTCGGAAAATCACAATCGAGTCAATGTGGCCCAATCATAGTGCCTGATTCATCAAAGCTCATGTAACAGTTCGATAACCAAGAGACCTGGGTAGTGAATCTCGCTTATAATCGTCGAACTAAAAGAGTGGGGATAAGAGGAAAGATGGGAGCCGTAGAGAGGCAGACAACTACGGTGGGTTCTGATCGAAACTCGATTAACAATACAGATCTCTATAATTGTGACTCTTGTGGGATGTCGGAGCCTTGATTGATTTTGACATATTATATATTCTAATATCTTTCACATTGGAAAACCAAATAGTTAAGGTGAGGAAGCCCTGTATGTAAATATATATCAACCCAGAAAAAGACAGACAAAATCATGCTCACGTCACAGCTGTTCGGACTGATATGCTACGTGCTCACTTACGTGCGGTACGTGAGAGATAACTCATTGTCGAACGTGATACTCTCGGTTCTGGTCGTGGTCATATCCCAAGTCCTTCATCAGATGGTCACTATGTACTACAAGAAATCTCAAAGGGCAGATCAAGGGCAGGAGCAGCAAGACGAGCTGTCCACTATCTTCAAGATTCTTCTCAAATGTCTGAAGTACTTTCAAGCTATATTTGCCGTGCAATTCGTGGCAGCCTTGCTGTACCACTCAACTCTGGACATCGAGAAAGACGTGTGTTCTTGGAAGCAAGGTTACATTTTCACCGACATCATCGGGGAGTTTGATTGCGGACGGGGTGGAAAGTGGGCGCTATTCGCTCTAGACACAGCTCTCTTGCTGTGCCAGCTTCTCACGTTCAATGAGTGCTTCACAGTGAGCGGAAGGGATCCCAGCGAAACCGTACGAGAGGCGAGCATGGAGGGCTTCAACCCTCATGAATTTGGTGTCCTCAGCATCCTTCGATTCGACTCGTTCGGCGTCCACGACCAGGAACTGGTGTTCACCAGCGAGCAAAACCGCTTGGGCTCGCAGGCCAACAAAGTACGCTACGGGAGCGTTTTGACACGTGATTTATAAGCTCTGAATCTTTTTAAGCTGTCGGTTTCCCTCGCCGCGACTGATTGAAAAATCGAACGTTTGGTATGAACTTGGCGAGATGGTATTCAACGGCTTCACAAAGGACTTAGAGACCAGCTATGGCCAGGAAGGCCCATAAAGATGAAGGAAAACTAGCTCAAAAGTGGGGGAAAGGTCCTCAAATTAACGAGAACGGCGTCCTGCTAGTGCAGCCTCCAAAATCAGTTCCCAACAAAGACCACATGCAACGACTCAACTACCTTTTCCAGGCATCTACATACCACACAATTGTCGACCAAGACGATAAGAGCCACGCGCTGTCGCGCATGTACATGCGCAATCTGGACTTGATTCAAAAGAAAACAAAGAGCGCGTTGACTCCGGGCATGAAGAGGCAGATCTGCAAACGGTGTCATAGAGTTTTGGTGCCCATGAGGACACTGGAGCAGTCCGTTGTGAACGAAAGCAAGAACAACGTTCGGCAGAGCCAGGTCTTGGTTTTGACGTGCAAGTGTGGATCGAAGAAGCGGTTTCCCTATGGCCAGGACACCAAGTACAAGACTCACGTGGAGAGAGACAACCTCATCTTTCTACAGAGATAGCCGCGGGCCGGTGTGTGCTGTGAGTCTCATGTGCGTGAGTAGAACGGTTTCTATAGTGTTTGTTTAATCTTTCAGACTACTGACAATATGCATGGAACGACTATATAGGTGCTCTACAAAAAACGATGTATTCTTTTCTCTTGCTCCAGTTTACCAGTCGGCTGGCCCTGAGAGGCATATTTGCGCGATTCAGGGTATATCTTGTACCCGGTATTTGATCTTTTGAACCAGTTAAACTTCCAGCTGATTTCATGCGCTATCAGCTCTCCAAAGCCCAGCATGAGACCGTTGAGAAAGGGCAGGATGAGATTGATCGAACATGAGCCTGCGAAGTACAAAATTTTCACCCAGCCTTGGTCCTGAGACGCCAGAAGACCCGAAACGTTCGATGTGCCGGCCTCTTGCTCGGTTTTGTATAGCGGTTCGTCGTGCTCATCGCCCTTTTTGATGCCAGTCGGGGCAACTGGCCCCGGGTAGGCAGCAGCGGCTAGCTCTTCCGGTATATGCTCGGCTAGCAATTCTGTCATTACGGCTATATGAAAATGCGAGGTGGATTGGTCCTTCTTGACTGGCAAAGCGTGGACTTTAAACTTTGGGAAAGTCAGAAACTGAGGTATCTCAGCACGTATTTACTTTGATCGCGTAATTAATCGTAATCATAACATACGGATGCGTCATCAAATTATAACAATTTCTGGCATGTCTCAATCGCCGTTGTTCTGAGACTAGTTCTCGATGACATTTGCAGTTTGGCGGATTCATTCATATCGAGAATTGCATCAGAGACACTGTGCTCGTTTTTACACAATTATCAAAAAATCGACAACTACCGGGATTATTCTTGCAGATTCTTTTGCCCTTCAGAACGGATATAAAGGCAGTCGAATAAAAATCAAACTTTTATGAATGTCGAAGCTCAAGTAACAAGTCCCTCTCCCTGTCTCTGTAAATCCGTCAAACACACAACATCATCACTTCTGACGTACCAAGTGTATTATATATACTTGAAATTAGGAATTAAGAATATATTCGTTTCGCCACCGGGAGAGTTGAAGTCCAATCGATCCCTTTACGCTAGAAGAGAACTAAGCTACACATTTACTCGACACCAAAATGAGTGGTTACGATAGAGCATTGTCGATTTTCTCGTAAGTGAGGTTTGGAAGGTCTCAATTGATCGAACGCGTTTACTAACCTTGAAGTGCAACAGACCAGATGGTCATATTTTCCAGGTGGAATACGCTTTAGAAGCTGTAAAAAGAGGTACGTGCGCCGTTGGCATTAAGGGCACAGATTGTGTGGTAGTTGGGTGCGAAAGAAGATCAACACTGAAGCTGCAGGACCCACGTATCACGCCGTCGAAAATCTCGAAAATCGATTCGCATGTGGTGCTTTCGTTCGCAGGCCTGAACGCAGACAGCCGTATTCTGATCGAAAAGGCGCGTGTGGAAGCACAATCGCACAGACTGACGCTCGAAGACCCGATTTCCGTGGACTATTTGACGCGGTACGTGGCCGGAGTGCAGCAGAAATACACGCAATCCGGTGGTGTGCGGCCATTTGGTGTGTCGACCTTGATTGCCGGGTTCGACGCCCGCGATTCGACGCCGAAGCTATACCAGACAGAGCCCAGTGGGATCTACTCCGCGTGGAGTGCGCAGGCGATCGGCAGAAACAGCAAAACAGTGCGTGAGTTTCTTGAGAAAACCTACGTCAAAAACGAGCCTCCCGCCACAGAACAGGACTGTGTCAAGCTAACCGTCAAGGCCCTGCTGGAAGTAGTTCAGACAGGTGCAAAGAACATCGAAATTACAGTGGTACGTCCGGGATCGCAGATCTCCAACCTGTCAAGCGACGACATTGGCAAATACGTGGACGAGATCGAACAGGAAAAACAGCAGGAGCTGGAAAAGAAGAAGAAGCGTGGCGAAAACTAGCGTGTTTATACAGAAGTATCTGTCTGTGTGTATACTTAATCAATGCATGAACTAGAGGGAGCGAAACCATGGTATGTAATTGTGTCATGTTCAACGGCTCATCTCCCTTCGCTTTTTAATAAAATACGATACCCTACTACTCATCGCTTTTACCTAGCCAGCTCTGATGCTTTGGTTGACACACACTCCCACACACTACATCCCACGCCGGAGCTTGTCACATCGATTTGATATTATACCCAATGCCACGCAAGCCCAGCCGCCGTTACACTTTGCGAAGTTTGCCTTGTCTAAAGGCGACCTTCAAGTTCGTAAGCTCGACCGAGCCGTCGCCGTACCCTGTAGTTGCTGCTCGGATTGAGTCCTCAGGTGCACAAGCGCTGTACAACAACCTGCATGAGACGTTTTCTGATTTCAAGGCTAAAACTGGTCGTCCACAGCTGCTATTGCTGCAAAGCGCGACGGAGTCCGAGAAGTACTCCACCATCGACCTGAGGGTGACTAATGCCTTTCCAAGGTTGTTGCGACTAAATCTAGCTCTGTGCCAGCTCGCATCTTTACCTGTGCGAACCGATCTTTTCATCAACCGGGGAGATATCACGGATCTGGCAATGTCGTTCTTTACAAACCCATTCAATAACTACGAAAAAATCCGGCATGTGGCGTACGTAACGCGAGGCCGCCTGTTTGTATGGCACGACAAATTTCGTGAGGATACGTTTCCTTCTGTCAGGGCCCGCAACAACTGGTACAGCGGCTACAAGTTCGAGCAGGTGTGTGCACACGAATGGCCAGCAAATCATGCTGAATGGGGTCCGCTTCCGAAGTCAGAAACCCGCCCTACTCCCGTGTTAAGTTTACTGCAGCTTTCACTCGAAAAGGACGTACAGGCAATGTTTCTGGCCGAATACGACGTGGCGGACACCAACAAGACTGGATTAAGCCGGTACATTGAGCTGAAGAGTTTCCAGCCAAACCAAAAAAAGATTGAGCAGATCGACTGGCAGACGCTGCCGAACGATCAAGTTCTCAAATTGCTCATCGATGACCGTGCGTGCATGAAGTTCTTCAAAACCTGTCTGCAGTGCAAACTGGCAGGCTGCGAAAGTGTGGTGTACGGAATTCGCACTCTCGAAGTGGGTCTTGCTGGGGTTCGAAAGTTTCAAGTGACAGAGCTAGAGTCCCGACTACGACAATTGAAACCCGGGTTGTATCATGGGTGCTATCTGAAAGCGCTGCGAAATGTTTCGGAGCTCGTTCGCACACTGTACCAGAAATGCGAGGAAAATCGATTTTATCTGATGACGAAGAAGAGCGCTAAGGCGCCATTGCAAGTGCACGCGGCTTCTGACGATGAGGTGTTGTTCCCGAATCCCATTGCTCCAGAACTGGACACCATGCTTGAGACTACCGAAAAATCGCGTAGAATAATTTTGCAGGAGTATGGTCGCACTTTCGAAAGCGTTAACAAAACGGAGGGCAAGTTTTCGTTTATCCCAGGGAAGGCGGTGGTGCAAAGTAGCGAGGGCGCGGCTGAGGAGAGCGTCCGTAATTTATTGGAGAAGATGCAAATTGAGTAGAAAGCAGAGGTTGGCGTGGCGAGGCGAGCCCTTGGATTTTATGAAAGACATTGCGGCGTGAGTACGGACGTGATAAAAGTGAGCGTGGTGCATCAGTGCCAATTGCTTGGCGAAAAGAAAATACAGTTTTATTTTACAAGTGGAAAATATGAGCAAATCTTACGCGGTATATATGCTCAAGGATTACTACAGTGACTGGTATTACTGTGAGCTGTCATTGAGGGCGTATCTGTCATCTGTCATCTGTCACTTAGTCACGTGACTTCTCGAACCCGCGTACAGGCAAGAGTAAAGAACTTGGGCGAATTTATCTCACAGCACCCGCAATGGGACAAGAATAGTACGAAAGCAGCACTGGTGCCGGGAAGCTCTGAAAGATTTAGACTCTGAACTGTTTGTCCCACGTCTCTAGCTGATTTCCCTCTTTTTTTAATAATATATTGAGTGCGTGATGCAGAGGCCCAGGAGCAATGACAGGGCAATTTTCGTCTCTCTAATTGCTCTGGCGTGTCTTGAACTCAATGCAATCCAAGCGTCTAGCATGAGGAGCGCGTGGGAAGAAAGAATAAGCCACATATGGAGAGTCGCTTGGTATATGTCAAGCCTTTGTTTCAAAACACGGAAAGACCATCGCAGTTATGCATTCCGACCAGAAATTCAAGCATATCAGTTCAAAGCGCTCGATGCCCTCACCAAACCTACTGTTTTCCAGCCCAAGCCGTGGATCCACAGTCATGTGATTAAACGACTGATCAGTACCGTACATTTACATATGCCCTGTAAGCATGATAGAGCGAAGGCCGCGCTATATAAGCACTTATAAAAAAACTTGACCATAACAGTGGTTGTGCTATGGTATATAGTAAGTCCATATCTTGGTCTGAGTTTTGGTTCTTCTAATAGCGCCATCGCTAGACGTCACTTCATCAACTCACACACCACGCATCCATCTCATTTGATTTCAACTGAAAACAAAGGCCGCGCTTGGCTGTAATATATGGAACTAGATGCTCCGGACGTACCATTATCCCAATAATCAACGCTGATCGACAATTCCTCCCGGCGCTGACGTTTTACCATCTAAAAACAATTAGATAAGAACTGTAAGAGGGCATCGAAAACGTTTGCGTCTTCGAAATGAGTTACATTCTTTTCCTTGACTCTCTCCTCTACTCATTTCCTTGACTCACTCCTCGACTCGTTTCTCTATCAACTTCTCTACTACTTTCTCTGGTCGATCCTCTACCCATTCCTTCACTCGTACTTGGACTTTCAACGTTTTTTCTATATGTCGCTTCTCACGACTTCCTTTGTCTTCCGGCTCGATCTCATTGTCGCCCAAGAAGAAATTCACCACTCCATCTCTCTGTCTACTCCTATACATGAAATACGCCAAAACAAAAAAAACGCACGCTTTTCCAGCAACCAACACAGCACAGCACATCGAGAAACAAGTGCGTACGATTAAAAAAGCCTTACACGTCACAATCACTCACTTTTACGCGTCCTACAGCTTGTGAGTGGCCCATTTCAGCCATTACGAGAAACACACACTTTACTCGCGGCGAAACACGACCAGCTCTCGTGAACGCGTCCGCGCCAATACATGGTATTACTACAAGATATAAAGGAGGAAGACTCGGAGGTGGTGGCAGACGCGGAAAACACGGCGTGTGCGACGCCGCCCAGTGATGTCGCTCTGGACGAGGACGCAACGGTCGACGAAGAGAAGATCGCTATTGACGAGACTGAAATCGAGCATAACGACGTTGAAATCGACTACGACAGCGACATTTGTGGCGATGTCGACTTTGCAAGCGGTCACCAGGATCTCAAATCTGCCCAGGCAGACTTGCAACTGTACACGGGCTCGCAAGAGGTTCTTCTCCCGCCTCTCCCGGAAGATAACACGGATTTGACGTCGCCCGCGACACCGATGGCACCAGCACAGCAGCTACTGCAACCAGGGACAGACCATTCACAGATATCGCTGGAGTCTGCAGTAACAGGCGACCGTGGGTCGCAAACAACAGCGGCGGCGGCGGCGGCGGCGGCGTCGTCGTCGCTGCGTAGCTCCAGCGCTCATAGCGTGACAAGTCCAGTGTCACGTGCGCCATCGGTAGTGCGGCGTGCGCTGTCAGGGTCGCCCTTGGCATCCGCTGCCAGCTCGCCCAACGTGCTACCTGGGACGCTGACGAGCACCAGCGACGCACTGCACTCGGACCCGTCCGAGCCCTTCGACCTCGCGACCGCTTTCGAGATGCGCGACGACACACAGCTTAAATCGGCGTTCGACCTCTCAAAGGCCCTGCAGATTCCACAGAGCTCTGTTCCCGCAGCAAGCCCAATTTCGCCAGTAAACATATCGCTCATCAACTCTGGTAGCAACAGCAGTACTATCAACACCACCGCCGCCACCACGATTACCTCCACCAATAGCTCAGCGACCTCTGCCACAGCTCCGCATTCGCCGCACATCACGCCGCCCAAGCTGTCGTTCAAGAAGAAGTTTTCGTCTTCCGTGTTGCCCGTCACCAGCCCTACGGTGGCCCCAGCCTCTGCAGAAAACGGTTCTGGTTTGAATTCCATCTCGGATTTCCCGCTTCACCACTTGCAACGGTATGGATCCCTTCGATCTCGGGCACTCACCTCAGATTTGCCACGAATGAACTCAAAGGTCGATATCGACTCGCATCAAGGTCTGGGCATCGAGAACGTGAACTCAGAGTCTGCTCTTGCGCCTCACACAGATAAAATACTACTGCGTAAGTTTAGCGTTGGTAGCAGCGGTAGTTCTTCGCGTTCGTATCAAGAAATTGACGAAAGTGCCATGTTTAAGCCGCCTCCGAGCTTCAATTCCGATGCAAACTCGCTGGCAAGTTTGCACGATTTAAAGTCCCCGCGCTCTTCGCTCAACCTTTCGGAAGCCTCGAACATCAATAACAAGAAAATCCCGCTAATCAAACGGGCGTCTAGCGCCATTTGGAGGAAGGCATCTTTAACCAGGGCCCCATCTTCTCCCAAAGCCTCCGACCCATCAAGTGCGACTAGTTATCAGGAACTGCGGCATACTTCATCGTTCGCTACTATTCCTTACAACTCACAAGATGTGGACCGTGATATGAATCCAAACACTGATAAAGCGGTAACGACTGCTCGAGCCTTTCCCAAGAATTCGCTCACAAGGCTGAAAAAAAGCTATGGTAGTTCTCGTTCCGTCAGTAGCCCAGACCACTTGCATCAGGTCACTTCTCTGCCAACGCCCCCTGGAGGATCCAATTTTTGTAGAACTCCTGATACCCAGTCCTTTGGTGCCAAATTTAAGAACGGCCTGACAAGAATTATGAGTGGGAGCACAGCCGACAAGTCTCCTGGATACCCAGAGTCGCATTCCAATACCACGCAAGTGAACACAAGATTTTCTTTTGGTGAGAGTCGGACTCCAGATTCAGGAATCATGTCGTCGCCTTTAAATCGAATAACGACTCTGAATCGTTCGAGTTCTACCGGGAAGACCAACGGCGTCTTGCAACCATCGAAGCAAGCGTCCTTGGCCATGAAACCCTCAACCAATGATGGTACTCAAACCGCCTTTGGCATTGAACAATTCGGTAAGAAGGGTGAGGTTATCAAAAAGACTGTTTCTTCAAGCACGGGCAGTGCCAACACTGCGAGAAACGAAAGCGTTTTCAGCAGAAACAGTGATGAATCGCTAGAGCAATGCTCGGACAATGATGAATTGACCGTCGATATAAGCGAACTCACCAAGACACTGCCAACAATCACGATCACAGAAAAGTTGGGGGCACGAAGTGTTACGCCAATACAAACGCAGTCTAACTTACTGTTAGATTTAATCTACAAAGACGGTGCAGTCAACAAGCATTTGGCGTCCAATAACAACAACAAAAGTACCAAGGCGCCGCCTAAGATTACATTGAAAGATTACATCGATGTCTTGATTAAGCAGCAGCGAGTGGAAGACGAGCGCTTTGCAGTTTTGGAGTACAAATTCGCACAAAACGGGTGGTGCTCGCGAGATGATCTCAACAACCTTCAACAAAAGCGCATAATTATCAACAGGAAATGGGCAGAGCGTATTTCATACTACCAAGGACGGCTTGAAGCCTGAGAAAGCTCACAACAAAAGTATGTGAACCGTGCAGGGCAGTCGCGGCGGCGCATACACCCAAAATTTGCATAAATAGGAATATATAGAAAGTTTGAAAAACTTGGCATGTTACGGAACATCGTAGGTAGCTCGATGCAAAAGGACACTTTGAAATTAAAAACTTGCGGATGGATTGGCGTGCGCCAAAGCAAGCGTTACGAGCCCCGCCCATGAAACCCATTATTTTTGCCAACTGGCCTATGTAAAAATGTACGCACTAGCAGCCTGTTATAAAGTTGCTGCATCGTCCTCCTCTTTTAGCCTGCGCCCTTTGATTTTGTCAAGCATTTCGCGCGACTTGCGCTCGTTCACTTCCTCGAGCTTGCCTTTCCAGAAGCGGTTTTCGTCAAGCAGGTTTTCGATCGTCGAATACAGCTCCGATATCTGGCTGTTGAGTTGCTTGAGCCGTTCTGCCTTTTCCCGCTGCTGCTGCTTCTTGCGCACTCTGAATCTGGCGGAAGCTTCGGTGTTCTTGCGTCGTTTTTCGAGCTCCACCTTTCTGAACTCACTGAGTTCTTCCTCGGTGTATCTGCGTTGAGTGCGACCGTCGGACGGGCTGCTAGCGCCCGCCGTCGCTAAGGGACGGCCTGAGGCCTGTGACTTTTGCAGGTCCAGTTTTTTGAGGCCCTCGAGATCGCCCTTGTTAACGGCACAGATGATATCTTTGGCGTTCCCACTGCTCACCAGGAGCAGCGACAGCAACCTGGAGCCCAGCTCCGAGTTGCTTGAAATCAGGTCGTGCAACTGTCGGGACAGATCCGTAGTCTCGCCATTGCCACCGCTGCTGGCCCCATTCCACTGTTTCTGCTGCTGCTGTTGCTGTAACTGCTGCTGTGTCCTCTTTTCCCCCGTCGTCTCATCTTCACTACTAGCCTCGTCACTGCTACTATGGTTGAAAAACCGAGTGTACATGTCCTGGAATTTTTCCCTGTACTGCTGGCTACTCAAAGTTCCCTTATGCGATGACAACGGCCCTCTTTCCAGCAGCGAACCTATCTTGTCGGCGCTCATCGTCCCGTCATTCTTGTCTTCGTAGCCCATTTCTCTCTATACCCCACTTTCCTACCTATTCACACCAATGTCTCTGACGTCTCTAATGTCTCTGGCGTCTCTAATGGCTCTCTCTGACGTCTTCGACTTTTATCTAATCTATTGGCAACTAATGCTCGAGCTGCTAGTCCTGTATCTTTATAAATATCGATATCTTTTCAACTGCTTCTCCGTAATCTCTCATCCACAATCTTTCAAAGGCAGAAGTTTACGGCGATGGCTCGAAGCCCAACGCTCTTCAAGCGTTGTGGCTTTAAGAATTCTTGATGTCGAATTTCCACGACTACTGCTGATGCTAAGACTTGTCGTTTCTAAAACCTGAACCAAATCCATCAAGTTCAAGTCGTGGCTTAATGAGTAATGTTCTCAGTCAGCTTCGATCGGCTAAAACGGCTCTGTGTGTGGTGGCACATTTACAAAATTGTAGATACACTGCGGGCATTTTTATGAGAGCCACAACTTCTTGTTTGCGTGATTTGCAACGACTGGATGAATTAGCTAGTTGGGTGAGTAGCGGAATTGACTAGATGGTGTTCGCTGATAAGCACAAATCTAACCGGATGCGGACGATGAAAAAAAATCAAAGATCAAATTAAAATTGACATTAAAAAAGATCACCAAAATGGGCAGTGAGACTCTGCGTGTGTGTGTGTGTGTGTGTGGGAAGCGTGCGTCTTGGCAAAACTGTGATTTTTTGTAACGAGCAGAGTTGACGCCATTGAATGAATACGGGAGAAAGAGTCTTGTAGAAGTAAACCATGGCTAGCGTGATGGTATGTGTGGCGTGGATCAAAATCCTGTGGATAATTTAGTCTTTCTTTGGATATCTCTAATTTCAACGTGGTGTTAATTTGAGGTAGGTTTCTGTTTCTTTGTTTATTCTTCAACAGAGCTTCTATGGCCAAGTTGGTAAGGCGCCACACTAGTAATGTGGAGATCATCAGTTCAAATCTGGTTGGAAGCAGTTTACTTATTTTATTAATTTTTTTTTGGTTTTTTCTCTACTGTCGCTTAGATCAAGCATGTATAAGTATAGTTAAATATATTACCACATACTACGAACATTCTTAATTCAAGAGTCTACGTAACACCTTTTACAATTCGATGACACTTCCCACATGCGAAAGTTGCGTATAACACGTAGGACGCTATGTGTGGCCATTGTGCTGATCGCATCTGTTCTTTTCCTGCACAGGTCCCGTCGAAGTCATTACATGCAACTGGTTGACTTCCCTGTCGAGCTGGCGCAGCAGCGCAGAACGTTGGCCGATTCGCCGTTTGCACGTTTCCCGGTCCCAAACAGCAAGGGCGTGTCGGAAGCGGAATCGCTCCGCGCGTTTCGCTCCCAAAGTCTCCTAGAAAAGTGCCAATGGTTCTTCCACACCACTTACGCTGAGAGCTCTGACTGGACCAACGACCAGGTACGGGTTCGCTACGATGACCCCCACGACGATAACGCCCGGCTTTCTCATATCTTCGAGAGGCTGCGTATGTTCGACACGTGCTTCGTCGAGGGCAAGCTGGCAATGGAACAAGTGCTGGGACCCCGTTATAACGCGCACGACTTCCACCGCCGCATGTTTCCCTTTCTCGCTCCCTTTCAGCATCAACAAGACCTCTGGCCCAACATCACACATCTGAACTCCAAGCGTCAGCTTCCCCAGGGTGTCAATCCCGCCTGGAACGCGGATTCCCAAACGCGGTCCACATTTCAGGTCGACACGTCACGTTCGTTTTGGGAAAACTGGGCAGCCTTCTCGTCTGGGAAAGGTCTCGTTTTGTCGGTGGGAGAGCGACATCTAGAACTTTTATTCAGGCTTCTTACCGTCCTGGACCATCTGGACAACAAACTCCCCATACAATTGGTGCAACAGGAGGGCGAGCTATCGCCGCAATTTTTTAAGTCTCTGACGCAACATCTTCAGAAGAGCAAGCAACAGGTCTACTACGTGAACTGCGGGTCATTCTTGAACCCGGCTTACGCGGACAAGATGACATATTTTGTCAATAAATGGCTCGCCACTTTGTTCAACACCTTTTCAGAAATCATACTATTAGACGCCGACGTGGTCCCATTTGTGGAAGTGGACACTTTTTTCAGCGAGCCCCATTATCGAAAGACGGGCTCTTTGTTCTACAAGGACCGCGACTTGTCGGATGAATTCACTTTCGATCACTGCATAGAAATGTTCAAGTATTTGGAACCATCCGCGGAGGCCGTGCTACTCATGGACCATCAAATGAAAGTGAACACCTCGTCTGTGAGCCCCTCGACGTCCGATTTCGCGTCGGAAAAGGAATTGGTCTACAGCCGATTTTTCTACCACAAGGCACTTCACAACGTTGACAGTGGCCTAGTGGTTTTGAACAAGACGCAGAAATTAACCAGTCTGTTGATGTCATTTTTCATGAATCTTGATTCGAAGACCATTGGTTGTGTCTACGGTGATAAGGAGCTCTTTTGGATGGGACACCTTTTTAGTGGCAAGGACTACACAATTGATGCAAACTTCGGGGCAGTAATCGGACCCTTGGAGACTCGTGACGAGCTCAACGAGGTAGAATACAAAGTATGTGCCACTCAGATGGGACACGTCAATGAGAAAAAAGAGCTTTTATGGTTAAACGGAGGACTGCGGACTTGCAAGATTCCAGATGCCGCCCAAAGAGATTTTGATCAAAAGTCTGACTACTTTGAGTCTCGCTACAACTCCATGCAACGATTGACGGATCTGTACAATGCGCCTTTGACTCTCGAAGCCTTTATTATCCCGGAAATCTCGACACAGCCGTGGATTAAGGCCAATGAGTGCTGCGAATATTCCTATTGTGCCACAGCCAAAATTCCTGCTGCTCAATCAATCGCCAATCATGCGAAGGTGGCCGTTTTCGATACTGAGATGTCCCAACATTACAATGAAATCGCAGCGGTCTGGAACCGCGAAATTACAATATGAAGTATTGACATTTTCACGCCTGATGTGATAAAAACTTACTCTGGAAAATAGTGCTGACAGTCTCATGTCAAATAAAAAATAAGAACAGAATCATTGATTTCATGGACGATACTCACTGTCGTCCATGAATAATGATAGCACGCCTGTGTATAGCATTAATTCCCACTGATCTGTCGCTCACCTTGAACGAGATTTTGGTGATAATTTCATCTCGAAAAACAGACCCCTATTGAAAAAGTATTCAAACTTTAACAGATCAGATCTCCTCCAAACTGTTCCAAAAAAGGCTCAAGAGCTCACCAGAAGTGGCGTCAGAACATCATGTTCAATCCATATCAGGTGCAAGGTCCAGACCAGGCTCAAAACCAGGGCAATGTCTTCAATCAGCAGGCCAGCGGTTTTTATCCAGGAGGAGGACAGCAGCAGCAGCAGCAGCAGCAACCGCCTCCATTGAACCAGCGTCCAACAACAGAGTTTGGGAATCTTCAGCAGAATGTCCCAGCTTCGTTTGGTTTCCAGCAACAGCCACAGCAGCAACAATCATTGCCCAACTATTCCAATAATAGGCCAATGTATTCGAGCGCTACCGGCTTTGGTGGCATGCAAACTGGTTTTGAAGGCAATCAGCCTCAAAACCAATCGATGGGCAATAACAGCGTCCAACCTCAATCTACCGGTTTCTACTCGCAGCAGAACACCCTTCAGCTACAGCAGACCGGCCAATTCGCCCAGCAGGTTCCTCGGACCTCGTTTTTTAACAACCAGAACCCGAACCAGTCGCAAACAACTTTCTCTCAACAGCAGCAGAACACTGGGCTTTTTCAACAGCCGGTCGCAAGCCAGCAGTCAGCCCCACTGCAGTACCAGCGGGCTTCCTTCCCGGATCAACATGCGTCTCAGACTCAGTCCACAGGCTACTATCCTCAGCAACAGCCTCAGCAGCAAATTCAACCACAAGCTACCGGCTTTCTGTACCACCAACAAATGAGCTCTCCTTCCCAACCACTTCAGGCGCAGCAAACAAACTTATATCCTCAACAAGCGCAACCTGTACAGCCACAACAGACTGGTTTCTACTCTCAGCAAGCGTTAAAGCCACTGCAACCACAGCAGACAGGTTTTTACTCCCAAAACTTTCAGGAACCTGTGAAACCATTGAAGCCAAATGCTACGGGCTTTGTCAATTCGTTCGCCAATAACGGCGTTAACGATGACATTAAGATCCCAACCATGAGGCTGTCATTCATGACTGCCAACGACCAGGCAAAATTTGAGACTCTTTTCAGATCCTCCGTGCCACGAGGCTCCAATACGATTTCTGGCGATGCTTGCAGAAACATTTTGATGCGCTCGGGTGTCTCTCCTTCCCAATTAGCCAAAATTTGGACTCTATGCGATACAAGTAAGGCAGGCGAGCTTTTGTTCCCCGAGTTCGCTTTGGCTATGCATTTGGTCAACGAGGTCATTCAAGGCGATAGCGTTCCCTTCGAACTCAGTACAAAAACTAAGAATGAGGTCGCTAGCTTTGTGGATGCCATCAACTTCAGCATTGCCAGGAGTGGCGAAGAAAGTGTTGCTCAACCTCCAAAAACTCCATTTGACAATCTCACCTTAGGGGTTCAGAACTTGCAGCCACAACCAACGGGGGCCATGCCACAAACTAGTTTTGGATCGCAGCTGCAAGCGCAAAACACCCAGGGATATTTGGATCCTCAGTCAACTGGATATCTGCCTCAAACCTCGTTCGGTCAGATTCTGCAATCGCAGCCCACAGGCGGATATCTACAGAACCAGTTTACTGGCCAGTTTCAGCAGCCGGCAAGTACCGGGCAATTGCAAGGCCAGTCCACTGGTGGTTATCTACAGCCCCAAACAACGGGCTTCATGCCTCAAACGTCTTTCAATCAACCGCTTCAATCTCAGCTGACAGGCATTGCAACTCTTCAGCCGCAGAACACGGGCTCACTGAATCGACTCAATTCTGTCTTGACAGGGCAACCCCCGGCTCAGCAAAGCGGGCAAGCAAATTTCGCCGGTGCTTCTTTTCTACAGTCACAGGCAACAGGTTATTTACCCCCTTCTAATTTCAATCCAACTGCTCCTCTTAGCGCTCAGAAGACTGGGTATGGACGCAATGAGCTCTACAACCAGGCCAATATGTTCAACAAATTCACGCAAGATGATTCTGATTCCTTGACCAACGAGGAGAAGTCTTTGTTTTACAAGATGTTTGATACGTACGACAGTCAGAAGAAGGGGCTTATGGGTTCCGACATTGCGGTAGAGATCTTTAGGAAGTCTGGTTTAAATCGAAGTGACTTAGAGCATATTTGGAATCTTTGTGATACTAACAACAGCGGTCAATTAAACAAACAAGAATTCGCTTTGGGAATGCACTTGGTTTATAGAAGGTTGAACGGAAATGAACTGCCTAATCGACTCCCCACAAGCTTGGTTCCGTCCAGCACTCAAATTTTGAATTCAGTGAAAAGCCAATTGAAGAATGATACTGCTTCCAGCAGGAAGGAGCCTACGAAAATCGACGGATTTTCGTTTAAACACGACGATAATGAAATATTGCCTAGCTCAAGAAACCGGCGCAGAACGCAGACAGGCAAGGCCGGAGCTTCAGGAGACAGTGCCTCGGCTGTGTCGGCGGCTGCCAGTAAAGAACCGGAGCAAAGCTTCCACTCTTCACAGTCCGCAGGAAGAAACGACGGACGGGCGATCGAGGATCTCAAAAGAAAAATTTTGGCTCTGCCACCGCACAGATCGGCATCGAGGAATGATACCAACGAGGTATCTGCACAGCTCAGAGGCAAATTTCAAGTACTCACGAGCAAAGTTCCTCAACTTCTCAGAGAGATATCAGAAATCAACAATCAAATTACGATGGCCAAAATTGAGCTATATAGACAAAGAAATCCATCTTCTTTAGTTGGCACTGGTCGTAACGGAGAAATCACAGACGATGATAGGAGGAAAGCTAAGAGCAAAGCGTTGCTCGCTTCTAGAATGGCCGCCTTAACTGGGAAACCTTCAGTTGGTGCCGATGTTGATCAGCAAGAGCAAAGATACAATGAAGAGGTTGCAAGCATAAAATCTCAAAACACCACCAATCAATCCATAATTGAAGATATCCAGCTCTCTATCTTCGAGATTGCCGCGGCTGTCGATTCTGCTCTTGAGGGTAAAGCGCGCACGAGCGGCAAACAGTACGAAAAGTGGGAACTTGGAATTGGAGTTGATCCTCAAGTCAGCAATTTCCTCTCAAAGTTGAAACCCAAGGTGTCCTCTCCACCTGGTAGTCATGCGAAAAGCAGCAACGCAAAGGCTGCTTCGTCTTCGTCTTTTGCGGACTCGCCAAGTGCTCCAGTTCAAAGCCCACATTCCACCTCAGGCAATACAGCCGCCTATTTGAAAGAGCAGGCGCAAAGGAAAATGAAAGAACGCTTGGCTAAGCTTGGGATGGAAAAGAATGATCCCGAGCCAGCACAACGTAAGTATAACCCAGAGGAGCTGGATAGATCTGAAGAGGATGAAGAAGTAAGAAAGTTGACCGAGCAACTGAATGCCCTCAAGGCAAAGAGAAAGGGTGGTAACACAAACGCGCCTCCCTCTCAACTATCTGTTTCACCAGTTCCTGCACCTAATGTACAGACCGCTTATCCTTCAAAAGTTGACATTCAACCAGAAATTGAACCTAGCAGAGATTCGACGATGATGGCTGATGAGCGTAATAAACATCTCGAGAACGTTACTCCTGCTACCGAGCCAACATCTCGCGTTACGCACGAAAGTGTTCCAAGTAAGACAGCAGAGTCGATTCCTAAAGAAGCGGTGTCATCACAGCCCGCGAGTTCTAACGCTAAGCGCAATCCATTCGGAATTCCACACACTGCATCTGTTTCTTCAACGCCAACAGGGGGACGAAATCCCTTCTTCAAGCCTTCACAATCGAGCACCTCTTCGTTTGACGCGAAAGCTGCTGAGGCTCAGCGGAGAGTCCAACGTGGGTTAGACAATAATGACGACGATTGGTCTGATGATAACGACGACCACGAGAAGTCCAACGCTCACGCTCAAGCACCAAGTGTCCCTGCTCCTGCCCCAGTTGCTACTGCCCCAGTTACTTCTACTCCAGTTGCTCCTGCTCCAGCTGCTCCTACTCTAGTTGCTCCTGCTCCAGTTGCTCCTGCTCCAGTTGCTCCTGCTCCAGTTGCACCTGCCATCGCTGATGCTCCACCAGTTCCTATTGCTCCTCCTTTGCCCCAAGTTGTTTCCAATCCTGCTACTTATGCCCCACCAGTGCCGATCGCCCCACCTCTGCCATCAATAGGTTCCATTCCAACAAGTGGTGCAGCTGAAACCCCAGGACTTTCATCTAATGCCCTACACGAAGGGGCTGGCGATGACGGTGAGCGTTCAGACGACGATCTCTCGATTCCAGACTCTGTTGACTCTTTCAATGATGCCCTTCCTGTACAACAAGAGGGCTCCGTCCCTCCCTCAGGTATTCCTCCTCCACCAGCATTAACTTGAATTAAAAACCCGTTTTCAACAACGCCATGTATAGTTATATTGTAAGTACATGCCTCAGATATAGGAGGCCATAGGATCTTTCAGTTCATCGTCAGCGCTCGAATCAAGATTTGTTTCTGGTTCTGCTTTGAGTGCTGGCGTTGATTTTTGGTTAGACGACACTTTTTGGCCCTCGTCAACCATGTCCTTTCGCAGTTCGGCATTCACTGCATCAGTATAAACTTGATCCCAGTTCCGTGGTGTATAAAAAGTGTGATCTACGCGAAGCATCCGTCCGCCTATAGTTATTCCATTTAAATTGTCCACTGCGAGAACAGTTGATCGTTGATCTTCGTATTTCAAATAGCCAAACCCTTTGGATTCACCCGTTTCAGAGTCTCTAGCAAGTTTGATGTTCACGGGAACGCCATACTGCGAGAAGATGGTCAACACGTCTCCCTCTGTTAGCTCTTTGTTCAGCCCTCCCACGAATATATACGCCTGATCTCGGTACTCATGATGCCAAGAAGCTGAAAATGAGAGTATACCACATTCCAGCTCTTTTAGGCTCAGGCCTTGAATTGACTTTATTTGATTCATATTGATATCGCTATTGCACCATTAAGACACTAGTTTATTGTCGTTAGCTAGAGTGATGAGGTGTGTTTGAATTGACGAATTCTTATTTTAAGGTGTTGTTTCGAAAATAACGAACTGGATTCAAAAGGTCAACTCAACGATCGGTATCATGTCGTCTATAGAGTCGGATCTTGCGAAGTTTTCCACTTGTGATATATCTGATGGACTTCTGAACAAATATGGCGATCCTTCGGGTGGCTTTCTGCCAAATCTTTGTAAATGGTCAGATTCTGGGAAGGGTGTCCTCTTAGGGCGTGCTTACACTGTGTTGTTCGCACCAGTGGACGACCCAAGGCCCGAGATCAATTACGTCGACAATATAGCTGCAGGCAGTGTCGTGGTAATCGCTCTTACAATTCCTCTGCAGCTGGAAACCGCACCTTATACTAGAGTCTCACAGGCTTTATATGGTGGTTTGATGTCCCGCAGGGCTCAGTACCAAGGAGCAAAGGGCACTGTTGTTTTTGGTCGAATTAGAGACGTTGAAGAGCAAAAGGCGCTTAGCTATCCGGTTTACAGTTATGCCCTGGGCACCTGCGCAAGCAAATTGGCTGTCAAGCCAGTGGAGGTGCAGGTTCCTCTGCAAATCTTGGAATGTGAATCTAAAGTACAAAATATACATCCTGGCGACTACATCTTTGGTGACAACAATGGAGTCGTTCGTATTCCTTGCGCAAGCGTCGATATGCATGAGCTCATCTATTACATCAAGAAATCAATTGAGGCTGACAATTTGGTAGTTCAAGATGTCGAAGCCGGCAAGCCTTTGAAAGCTTCGCAGAAAGATCGTAGACAGGTGCTCAAGCCGCTGTTGTAAAAACAGAGTTGCAATAAAAAGGGCTTGCTTATTAAAAAGGGCTTGAACTGGGCCAGCAATTATTATCTAGCAATTCAATTTGTGTATGGCGTGTGCTTTCTATCTGAGTAAAAGGAGATAGCATTGCTTCACTTGTGTCTCGACTTCTTTTTCGTAGCATCAGCCACCAACTCTTCGAACACCTGTGCCTCCTCTTGCTCAACCTTTGACCGGAACGCTTTTTTGAAAACTTGGCCCAAAATTACGAGTGCTTCTGCTCTCCTTATCAAGGTCCTTTTGTCTGCTCGCGTATCCTCCAAAACATTGTCGCAGACAGACCTCAGCGTGGACATTATCTCGAACTTGGACCCGTGCCACGCTGCAGATAGAACTTTACCCATCAAAAGCTGTTCCAGCTGCGCAAGCTCCTCGGCAGTTGGTTTCGCTATTTCCTGGCCCTTGTCATCACGAAGCACCTCCTCCGTTTCTGCCACTGCCTTAAGCTTTTCTAGCTCCTGCATCGTATTTTGAGCATCCAAGGCAGCAGAAACAGTTTTCAATGTATTCATAACGACTCCGCTCTTCGCCTTGATGGATTGGAATACCCCCCCGAATCCCCATACGTATTGCGACTTAAGGTAGATTTGACCCTTCTCGCAGTACACGTAGCCTATAGTGTGTAGAATGTCCAGCCCGAAAGACTCCATTTTGAGCATATTCGCCTCTTCCTCGAATTTTTTAGCAAAGGAATCCTTGCAGGCTGCACTATATTCACTTTCTGTCAGAATCGAAAGCCGATCGCTCAGCAGTTTGCTCAGCTCTTTTATGCTTTTCTCCTTTTCCAGCTTTTGTTCCTCCTCAAAAATCTCTAGTTTGGTCTTCTTCTTGGGTTTCTCCGTGGCAGCTTTGTTGGTCTCATCCTGCGGCTTCTCTTTCTCATAGCTATCGGAGATTTGAAGCTTCTTCAAAGTTTCAGCAGCACTATTTGGCTCATGCAAACTGTCTTTCTCCTCTGTATTAGCTTTCTCATTTGCTTCATCCTGCTCATCTTCGGCGCTGAGCTCACCAGTTTTTTGTAAGTTCTTCAGAAGAGTCAACTCACCGATGTATGAGGAGAACGCATCGCCGCCGAAAATCATCGAAAACTGTTCAGCTGCGTCCTCAAACCCTTCCTTGGGAATTGCTTCTTCTTTTCCAAATTTGTCATACTTGGCACGTAGATCATCTTTACTAAGGACCTGGTAAGCCTGTGATATGGCTTGGAATCGTTCAGTAGCGCTGGGATCGTTAGGGTTTTTATCTGGATGTTCTTGAATGGACTTTTTTCTGTACGCCTTTTTGATGTCGATAGCTTTGGCATCAGGTGAAACGCCAAGCAGATCGTAGTAGGACGTATCTACCACCATATCGGCGCAAGTTCTACTGTTTCTTAAAGTTTTGGGATGAGATGTCTTGGTCTTCAAACCATAAGTAGCATCATGCATGCTTGATAATTTCGTCAGATATGATGCGATATGTACTTTACGACTATACCTCATGAACTTTGAAGATACTTTTCTCATGTTTAGCCATCTGCTGTGGCCAGTGGTAGTGGTGTGTTTGCTTTGGCTTGCTCGATCCACGGAGATTTCATGGTTTTTCTGGGACGGCTCTCAGACATCGATACGCCAAAAATGGGTCAAAATGGAAATTCAAATCACTATTGTTTAAGATAAGCTTGACGAACACCTACAATAGGGTCTCGCCAGCATATAGGTACTTCACATGGATACCATTTTAGAAGAGGTGCTTTAACCCGTAAATTCCCGTTTCAAAACGCAACTTTCGAAAAAGTGTGAAAAATCGTCATTCTTGAGCAGAGCTGTTGCGAACTAACTGCACCAAGTATTTCATGTAAAGCTGTGCCATCACAAACACTGTTGTTGCTCGTCAAAAGTAAAAAGACATCAATCTTAAATGCCATCAAGAGCTAGAATTGTTAAGGGTGTCTTTTAACAATTACAAGTACTCGGCCTTGTGACAGATTCTGATGACACAAATCTTATCTATCACGTACTACACTCAGCCGTTTCAGTCGAGGTCGTTTGAAGGTAAGTAAATTCTCAAAAATTTCCACCATTACAAAGTCTCAACCGTCTCTTTTAATCTCTCTTCGGGCTCCTTCTTCCGGTCAACATTTTGCTCAAGTGTCTCTTCGGAATTCTCCTCTACTAAAATAGAAGATGGTCTTGTCTCGTCATCAACTTTATCCTCGCATCTCAACTCACCGGCAATATCACCTCCTTTTACAGTAGTTGAATCAATTAGTCGAGCACGTTCGTCGTCACCAGATGAATCATCGTTGAGAAGCTCGAAGTCCCCATCACGTATGTTGGACTGGCTCTCTACCTCTACGGGTGAATGAGCCTCATGTTCCGAGATCGCTTTCTCTCCGAGATACTCTTTCTTGTCTTGCCCGATCACATCTGCATCTAAAGCTTCGCCGCTTCCTATCTCTTGCTTAGTTTGGAAGCATACAGACCACGTTTTAAAGACTTGGACCTCGTTAGAGCCTCTCTCTCTCTCTACTTTCTCAACGCCGGCCAATTTGGCCGGAAGTTTCCTTCCTTTCGGACCCCTTGCTCTCCGTTGCGTGGAGGGTTCTGCTGTCTTTTCCCGTAGATTCGAAGTGCTTTCGGTTGTTATGCTTCTGTCCTCAAGCTTTTCCTGTCCTGTCGCCTGTTTTTGAGTGATCGGCAAAACCCCTCCGACCATTCCCGGAAGCCCAAAGATGCCATTTAAGTTTGAAACAGCCTTAGCCCTCTGATCACTCATGAGCTGACCTCCTCCTTCAGAGGGAGCTTTGGACCTGGATTGGTCTTGTATTTGCTGTCTTTTGAGCATTTCCTGAAATGCGGCGATTTTGGAAGATGGCTTCTTGGGCGGGGCTCTCTTTGCAGGTCTATCTGGAACCTTCGGCGTCTCCTGCGACTCATTCTGTAATGGTGCGGAGCGGAATGTGTCATCCTTCGAGTCGACCTCTGAGGCCAATAATTTTTCTTTTGGATCCAAGCGCAGACCAGAATGAGAGGTACGGGATACGCTCTGGGACGACGCGACTTCACTTTCATAATTTTCATCTGGAGATGGGGTAGTGGTTTCAGTTTTTGCGAGACCCTGAACTTGATCAACATCATGTGCAGTCTCTATAATTTTATTGTCACTAGAATCGACAGGTGTCGCCAATTGCTCGGGCAGAAGCTCTTCGCCATAGTTAGACGCAGAAGCACCTTCTGGACTGCCTTTGTCGGAACCGAGCGGTTGTTCTAAAGCTCCGGCTTGCGGCTCTTCGTTGGCTTCAGCATCTTTCAATGAACCTTTCGAAGCAGTTCGAGACGTACTGGGCTGATTTCTTTCATCAGATATCGACACACTCATGCCAGGTTTTGCTTCTGATGTCGGGACGGCCTCATCCATAGGAGATTCATAAGGCTCCGAAAGTGGAGAGCAAGCGCCACCTTTAGCTGGGATAGTGTCAACCTCCGGAGGATGATTGGCTGGTTTTGGTGCTTCGTCGTCAACAGATGAGATCGTACCCTCTTCTTCGGCCGTCTCAAACTTCTTTTCGTCATTTACCTGACCAGATAAAGGCAGTCGCGTTGCAGAAGCCAGTTCTGAAGTTCTAATTGCTTCATTTTGACGATACTTATTTTTGAGAGGTTCCTGTGAGTTTCTTGGAGAGCTTTCTGTGTGGTGTGATGGCCCTTCAGTATCATTTGCTCGCCGGGCATCGCCTAGTGGGCTAAGGTTTTCGACGACCGTATTGAGTTCCTCAGTGTGTCTTCTAATTGGCCTTTTGGGTGGGACTTTAGGAACCTGGCCCAAAACCCCCGTGGTTCGGTTTTTTAGTGGCCGTGTTGTGGGAACCACTGGAATTGCATTATCCAGAGATTGTTCTTGGCGCTAGAAGATGGCAAACGTTAGTACTTGCACAAAAGCAGGAAATTTCAGTCGCGAGGCGGCTTGAGGGAGTGACCTCTTTCCTCAAAACAGATGATCTGTGGGTATACAGGGGAGCACGAGCAAACATCCGTTTGAATTGGACTAACGTACCTTTACAGGCCTAGAAGGAATCTTTGGAGTAGAAAGACTCTCGCAACTGTCTTCTGAGCTCATTGGGCTACTACTGCGGGTACGGGACCTAGCGAACTATTATTTTGGTTTCAGATTGTATCTCAGAATAGGTGTAAACCGCCTAGTTTATAGTGCATCTGCAATAAACTCACCCCGTCAATGACGACATTTATATATCCGTATATCTGATGGCAGTGTGCCCGCGCCAGGCTAGTCCATTTCCCAGTCATAATGCTCGGCGCATTTGCAAGCCAGATTGCAGCCAGATTTTGGAATTCTCCAGCCAGCAGGGCTCACGATGCAACCTCGAACAATTGATAATGGACAAAAATGTCGAGCTCTTGAGCAGTTTGGGCTCCTGGCCTCGCGGCCGCCTTTCTCACCAGTTTGAGACGTTGTATTCAATGCTACACATAGCGCGTTATTTAGCTGTACGGCCTAGCCTAGCCTGAGCGGGGGCAGTTTTGACAAGTCCCGTTTGCCAAATCCCGTTGCATTAAGGTGGCCGGCTTAGGCCGCGTAGTTTAGACGGAAAATGTCGTTGAACACGTAGTAAGAGTTGCCCTCAGGCATCAGGTGGAAGACTTGCGAGAATCTCTGTGCGTTCTGTTCCTCATCGATCAGAAGATCGCCTGTGATCATCACCAGCACGTCTCCATTTGGCGACGCAGGCTGTGCATCTAGAGTGCTAATTCTGTGGCCCACCTTTTGGAAAGGAAGCGACACAAGCTTCTCAACAATGTCCTTGGCACCCTGCAATTGTGTGGTCTCGAATGTCAACATTGACTGTTCGCGGTACAGGTTACCCAATTGCGTTCTGTCGGTATCGAACTGGTTGTAGTAGAACTCGGTGAACTGTTGTGCTAGGGTGTTAAAGTCGACAGACATGTTGTGGGGCTAAAATCTTACGGTTTCTGTTAGTATCAATCGATAAAGATGCGTGAACTAGAACTTCAACCTTTTAAAACAAGGATTTAGATTTCGAAAATTTTCGAGCTTCCGGGTAGCACCTTTATAATAAATAAGTTCTAAATCGTCTAAAATATCGAATATCGACTATGAATTGCATATAGGGCAACAAAGCTTTAGATCCCAATTCAGGATCGGTAAGATCCGAACTAGGCCAGTATAATTCTCAATTGACCTAGAAGTCGACATTGGTAATGGCAGGGAAAAGTTCACCCTTCAAAAAGTTCTCTCATCATCGTGGTAACTCAACTGAAGAGCCTCTACAATCACAAATTCATCACCGCAAGTCTCCTTCGATAGGAACGCGAAACCCACCGATCGCGGGTCATACCAGGGATGCTTCGCGATCTTCAAATACATCGGTGAGCTCGAACTTCCTAGCTGAACAGTATGAACGTGACAGAAGGGCGATTTTGAGCAGCTGTTTTGCAGAGGACACATTGGGCTCGAATGCCGCTTCTAAACCATCCAAAACGTATGTGACGCATGTACGAATTATAGAGGACACACGATACCCAAGCTCCAGACCGCCTGCCACATCGCCGCTTGCGAACAAGAAAAAAAGGGTGCTCATCGTGAGCGCTCGCACAAACGGCGCGGGCATGCAGATCCACAAGGCACGGGAAAACACCAATGGCTCCATTCAGATCGGCCGAACGTGGTCATTGAAAGAACTAGTGTGCGTCGAGTCTGACCTGGAGCATCCAGAGGGGTTCGCCTTCACCATGGGCAAACGTTATTACTGGGAAACCAACTCCGCCAAGGAACGTACAGTTTTCATAAAGACGCTGATCAAGATATACATGGAGGAGTCCGGCGGGCGCGTACCACGGCTTGTTAACTGGGATCTATCACTCTTCTACCTCGACGAACAAAGCTACAAAAGAGCCGCGATTCCATCGGCGACCCAGCATAGCGTTTCCAGCTCCGGACAAAGCACCTCAAGGCCCGCAACAACTGCATCAAACCAATCTTCTGCTACCAGCGGCTTTGAAGCGTCACCCCATGTGCCCCACGCACCAGTAAAACTTCCTGCTATAGCGTCGCGACCCAACCACTCCCAGGACTCGCGAAACACAGGCTCGTTGGCCCCGGAGACGAAGCAGCCTCGATTACACAATTCCAGTACTGGCATACCTCAACATCCTCAGCACGTCAAGCCCCCGTCAAGGTCGAAGGAGGACCCACAGCTGGCCGTTGCTGCCAGTCAAAGGGCCCCCACTCCTACCCACGTCTCGGAACGGCCGAGAGAAGAACCACAACTGAATGTCGCCACTACTCATAGGGCCCCCACTCCTACGCACTACTCTGATAGGTCGTCACCGTCTTCAAAAAGCCTCAATGATCCGGCTAACTACCATCAACATGCTTCGAAGAAAGGGGGCTATGATCAGCAAAAAGCGAAAGATGCCGAGCCCCTAACACTTTTACCTTCGCATTCCTCACACCAGTCGCTTCAAGCTCCCAGTGGTGAGGCAATTCCTTATCACCTACACGAAGCTAAAGACTCTCAAACTCCTGACTCCGCAGACTTTTTGTCTGAGCTGAACTCCGTTTTGACGGAGCCTTCGAAGCCCTCCCAGCTTAACGGTCTTATTATGAAAGATGTAAGAGATCCAGAGCTTGCGAGTTTTAGTATCACCAAGCAAGATGACGAGAGCGCCGAAATCGAGGACTTGAACAAATCTGTGTCATCAGATGAGGTTTTGTCTATGGATCTCAAAGATGACACTAATGAGCTCTCTTTTGAAAGAGGAGACGAGATGCGCTACAGCCAGGTTTTAGAAGAAAGAGATGAGGAGCTTATTGACGAAAATGACGTCAATAACGAAGACTATGACGACTTGGAAGAAGAACATGGGTACCATGCTTCTCATGCTTATCATGAGGTTTCTGTTATAAAGGAAGAGCCTGTAACTGTCCCGGCTGGGGACTTCAAGAAGGAAGAATTGAGTGTTGCGGCAAGTGCTTTCAGTGGAATTGGTGATCAAGTGCTCGTGGAAACTCTTGAAGATGTTAGTTGGTCAGTTGAGGACGGCTCAACCGAACTACTCCATAAGCTTTCCAAAAAGCTCGCGGACACGGAGTATCTTTTAAACAGAGAACTCGTAGCACTGCCGAAAAGTTGCCTAGCTTTTCCAGCCCTCCAGCTAAAAGTTCTAGCAGAATGCGAAAAACTGGACCCAACTTTGTCGTTCTTTGCAATGGAACTTTCAACAGTTTCTAGGGATATCGAGTTTGTGGAAAATCAAGAAAATGGTTTACAGGTTGAGAGTGCAAACAAAAAGATGCTGTGGAAGGAGCTTTCAGAGGTTTTGAGCTCAGTGTCCGTTGACGAAATTACCCTAAACAATATTATGGCTTTACCCTTGACTGAAAGGAACCTGCAACAGGTTGAAGGCCTATTGAAACCATTGTATACAGCACTGAAAGCCATACGTGGTGATGAGGAAGAGGAGGATAGTAACCTTGGCGTGCTGAGGGCTTTGAAAGAAAGGAGGCAGGCTTATGAAGTCGTGACTGGGAAGTTCATTAATCGCGTTGCAGACGAAATTCACAAAAAGTTTGTCAGTCTGCAACATGAAAAGGTACCTAATGACCAGCTTGCAAATGTCTTGGGAAGACTTTTGATGTTCTCATCAGTGATTCTCTTCGCCAAAGATTTCTCTTTCGAAGTTTACACCAACATCATTGATGAAGCAGTTAGCGAAACTCAAATTCTTATTGAGAAAAAATCAGCTCCTCTTCTCCAAGGATTGGAATCACTCATAAACTCTGACAAGAATTACAGCGCTACTTCAGGATTGTACGAGCAGAAGGAGCTGCTTTCTCGTTGGGAGGAGAATCGCATATCTAAAGAATTGAAGTCAGCGAAACCAAAAAATTCAGAGGTTTTACAGGAACTCGTATCCGCCCTTGAAGTCATGGAGTCGCTTGCGCTAACTTATCAAAATTTTGTCGGGATATTTTTCCACTTAAGTGATAGTCTCGACTTTGAGGAGTTTGTGACAGCGTACCCAAACTCCAGCTCTCGAATTTCGCCATTAAACGTGGTTGACCCAATAGAGTCCGATCGCGAGTCGGCCGGTTTAAAGATGCAGCTGATGACGAAAATATTTCAGTCCATCTTCAACGATTTCTTCAACATACTTTTGGACTTCACTAAAAAGCAAGCATCACTAATTCCCGTCATTCTTCTGTACCTCGAAGAAGGTGTTATACGCTATGAGGGATCGAATCAGGAGTTTTTGATGGCTACATTTGAAAAGTTCTTTGGCAAGTTCACCCAAGAATGGCAAGAATACGTTACCGACCAAGGGGCAGCCATTGAAAGAGCTACCATAAATCCAAGCCTCAAGGGAGTTACGCCATTTGCGACTGGGTTTACGTCATTTATTGTTCACGTCGAAGATGAAATAAGCTTCATAAGCAAAAGTTTGGAAATCGACGTGGCCAAGTATCCCAAAGTTCGAAAAACTCTCGATAGCTCATACAATTTGTTGGGTCAATCTCTGCTGGCCCTTCTGCAGAAGGATTTCCAAGGTCCAGTGTCGAATAGTATGATGCCGACCTCCCATGCTTCAAAAGGAGGTCCCCATTCAATAACTCTACTCATAAACTGTAATTGGGTGATCGAGGTACTTCCAGTTTTCGGCAGCGAGTCACTATTCGTTGATTGCCTCCAAAGCACCAGAAACATATTTAACGTGGAAAAAGAAAGGTACGCGGAGACTTTATTGCGCAGCTCAATGAATCATCTCTACAGCTTTGTGGATGGGGCCTACCCTCTAATGGAAGCTTCGAAGAGTCGTGTCGTGAGCCCTTCCCAGTGGAGCGTTTACAGTCAGCACAACCTAAACAAAATTTTAGAGAGGTATTCCTCTCACGAAATTGCTGCTGTGGTCGACAAGCTTTACCATATTATTCAGCAAGAGATTTTGAACAGTTCTCAGACCAAGGTGAGTGCAATGTTACTTGAAAAGTTGTGGTCGTGCATTCAAGGCCAGACCGTATCTCTCTACTTGAAGCTCTACACCTTGATTGAAAAACAATACAAAGGCACAAATGTGAAGTTTACCAAAAACGAGATAATATCCGCATTCAATTCACATAAGAGTGCATCCTAAAATACCGTGAGAATATCTCGTCGGTCAAGGCTTCGCGCTAGCGATATTCAAGGTGAGCGACTAGTGAGTGGAATTTGTGATCTCTTTTTACGAACATTACGCCAATACCATAAACAAACGCGTCTGACAAGCCAACTGTTAAATAGATCTCAATACAAAGATGAGCATCTATCGTCCATACATGCGCTTAAAACCAATGAGGTATGAGCCCTGGTGTCAGTGATAGTTCCAGTGACGATGAATTGGAGTCTTTCTTGGAAAATAATGTTAACAGAAACGTTGAACGTATCATAACGAGAAAAAGTCTTCCTCAGCAGAGAGATCTGTTTGGCAAAGCTCTTCCCAATCAGACTCCATACTATGAGGAGGTTCAAACCAATATAACATATGGCCCTACTCATCATGAACTGAACATGGACAGTCTTGGTACTTACATTTATCCAACAAATTACGAGGTTCGTGAGTACCAGTTCGACATCGCGAAAACGGCCCTCTATGAAAATGTGATTTGTGCCATTCCCACGGGTACAGGTAAAACCTTCATAGCCAGTACGGTTATGTACAACTATTATAGGTGGACCAAGAACGCGAAGATAATTTTCACGGCACCCACACGACCCCTGGTGGCACAGCAAATCAAAGCATGTTTGGGTGTCACTGGGATTCCTCACAACGACACTGCCATTCTGTTGGACAAGAGCCGAAAAAATAGAGTTGAAATCTGGGCATCCAAGAGGGTCTTCTTCGCAACACCACAAGTAGTAGAGAACGACTTGAAAAGAGGTGTTTTGAATCCCAAAGATGTGGTCTGTTTGGTCATCGATGAGGCTCACAGAGCACGAGGCTCTTACTCCTACGTTGAAATTACAAAATTCATGGACAGATTCAACACCTCTTATCGCCTCTTAGCATTGACAGCAACGCCAGCTGCCGACCTAGATGGAGTTCAAGAAGTAGTTGAGAATCTAAACATCTCACGGATTGAGCTGAGAACTGAAGACGATGCAGATGTTTCTCGATATATGAAACGCCGAGACAAAGAAGAAATCGAAGTCGGCTTACTGCCCGAAATAGAAGACCTCATAGAGCAGATTGGACTGGCGGTGACACCTGTTCTTAAGGAGGCTGTAGAACTGGGAATCTACGACGACTGTCACCCTTCGCAGATAAATGCATTTGTCGCCTTGCAAAAAAGCCAAAAACTCGTCGCTAATCCTTCCATTCCTGAGGGCATCAAGTGGAGGAACTTCTTCATCCTGCAATTACTCAGTCATGTCGGGCATATGCTGAAAAGACTCAAGATTTATGGAGTACAGTCATTTTACAAATACTTTGAGAATAAGCATAAGGAGTTTACCACCAAATACGGTTTAGGAAAATCAACTAATAAGACAGCAGCGTCCTTTTTCTACAATCCGATTTTAAAGAATGTGATGAAAACGTGCGAACATCTTCTAGCAGATCAGAACTTTCTAGGCCATGATAAGCTGCGACATGTACGAGAAGAACTCAAAGATTTCATTCAAGAATATCAACCTAGCTCAAGAGTCATCATTTTCACAGAGTTGAGAGAGTCTGCGCTGGAAATCGTGAAGAACATTGACTCCATGCAAATGAGCGACCTCCGACCGCACATTTTCATAGGCCAAGCTCGGGGTAAGGAAGGATTTGATGATGAAGAGTATAAGAGAAAGAACAAGCCAAAGGGAAGGAAGAAAGCTGACCGATTACAGCGATTGAAAGAAGAGAAAGCGCGGGAAGAAGAGAAGAAGAAGGAAAAGGACCAGAAACGCTTGCAAAGAATGTCAAGTCGTACTGGAACATCAGAAGAAGCACAGATAACAGGTATGAACCAGCGACAGCAGAAAGATGTCCTCCATAAATTCAAAACGGGATTGTACAACGTTTTGGTATGTACATCCATTGGCGAGGAAGGTCTTGATATTGGAGAAGTCGATTTGATCATTTGTTATGACGCAACCGGTAGTCCTATAAAGAACATTCAAAGAATGGGAAGAACGGGGAGAAAGAGGGATGGTAAGATAGTCTTACTTTTGAGCGGCTCGGAGAGCAAAAAGTTTGCTCAAGCCATGGAGGATTATGCGGAGCTTCAACGGATAGTAGGCCGTAATTGTCTCGAGTTCAGAGAATCCGACAGGATCATTCCCTCAAATATAAATCCAATCTGTGAAAAGAAGTTCATTTCTATAGGAGAGGAAGAAGACGAGCTTAACAACATTGAAGACTCGGACGATGTCATAAAGTTTGCGACCCAATCGATGATGGGGAAGTTGGACATTCAAAAAAACAAAAAGACGAGAAAAACCAAAGCGGCAAAAGCAGCGGAGAAGAGGTTTTTCATGCCAGATAACGTTCAAACAGGAATTGTCCCAGCCAGGAGTATGGTCAACAAGTTCGCATATGATCCTAGCGGCAAGAAACTTAAACTTGAAAAGCTGGATCCTCCAGTAGATCTCAAGCATCAAGTTTTGGACGACATAGTGCTCGAGTCTCCGATTTCATCGCCGATAAAGCCTGAATCCGAGGTGTCCAGTCAACTTGACTCAGTTGAAATGAGCTCAATACTCGCGCGTCATAAAGTGGCTGCTGGTAAAACGGCCACGGCTGACACAGAAGACACGCCGCTGTTTTCAGATCTTCCCCTTTCAGCCTTGAAGCGGCCCGCCAGCTCCACCACACCTGCAAATTCTTCTGACGAGGCGATTCCACCCTGTAAGCACGCTAAAATTCATGGACACCCATGGAATTCCCTTGAATATAATGAGGCATCCATACCTCTGACAGCGAAAAGTCAGGAGAGCGTGGGGTTCGGAGACGTTTACAAGAGCACATTTAGGGCACAAGACGGACTTCTGAGCACTCAAGAGCGTCAGTACTTCGAGGACCACTACTCTGCACTTTGTGGTGTATGCATAGAACCAGTTCCCGACTTCCGCCATAATGTTAAAACTGGCCTTTTACCTCATTCAGCAAAGTCAGAGCGACTGATAACTGCATTTAAAAACATGGATGATAATACTAGGGAAGGTATAATGACTATGAGTAAACATAAAGCCATAGCCAACAGACTGGAAAGTTCAGGACTCGATCATGATCCCGTACAACTTTCTTTGCCGTCTCCTGTAGTTAACAACGCTGATATCAGACACATAACCAGTGGCGCACACAACAAGTCGTCGTATGAGGGATTTGAAGCTCCTCTTTTTACCAGTAACAGAGCTGAGATCTCGGACTTCATAGACTCAGATTTTTCGGATATATAGAACTACGAAACGCAGACTTTTGAATAATCTTGATGACAGACACTAGACCCGATCTTTGACAGATGCGCACCAACGCTGACACTACTGACAGTGTCACTATAGCTTAGGCGTAAATCACAGACCGCAAGCGCGAAATTTCTGGTACGTGCGTAACAAAACGGGAAATTTACTTCTTCGATAGTTGGAAGAAAAAAAAAAAAATAAGCTCAAGGTATAAAAGCGAGAATCTAGGAAGAGTAGATGCATAGTGGTCGAAATCTTGTTCTTAAAAAACCATCCTTATGCACGGGAAATACGCATATCAGTGAGGATTCGTCCGAGATTGTGTTATTGCTGGTTGAAATTAATATTTAACCTGACCCGCTCCTCATAGTTTTAAGTGTCCTTTTTACACTATGGCTATGTAGGGAATTTTTGGAAAATGTTGTTATTGTAGTAACTTGTCTACAAAAGAGTGCCTTAATAGTCTCTTCGTTCAACCCCCAAGGTCTGGCTTCCTAGTATAATAGGCAGCTATGGTGTGAGCTCACGCCAAGAACTCTTGGGCTATAACGAACACTTGTTTGTAGTCATAAATTATTGCTCACGTAATCACATCGACTGTCAATAATGAAGTCTGTCACATGATCTTTGATTATGTAATCGTAAATTATTGAAATATTATCATAATAAATAAAATACATCACGTGTATTTGGTCTTTCTCTGTCTAGAGTTGAAATTTGTACATTTCGCTCGATGATGCATACATACTAGGCCTGCCGACAAAGCTTAGTTAGTTGACAACAGACTATAGCCACCTGGTTAGCATAAAGTACCGATCTTGATTCAAAGATGTTCAGAAAGTATGGTGGCAATGTGCACAGTCTTTTTTTTTTTTCATGGAACTGATAGGTGCCATTTTCTATACATATACTAACTTCTACATTTTTGCTTCACAGGTTTTCAAAAGAGGACGTGCATTCGAGATCCAATGTCAAATCGTCCGTCCAGCGTACGTTGAAAACGAAATTGGTTTCGCAGTTCCCCGTTCTGGAACCGGTGATCGACGAACTGGTACCCAAGAAAAGCCAGGTTGAACTCATCAAGTGTGAAGACAAAATTCAACTGTACTGCGTGGATGGGGAGGTTTTGTTCTTCCAGAAATTTAACGAGCTGATCCCAACGCTTAAATTCGTGCACAGAATTCCAGAGGCTTTCCCTACCGTCCAAGTCGACCGGGGCGCGATCAAATTCGTAATGTCTGGTGCCAATATAATGTGCCCGGGTCTCACGTCACCGGGAGCTAAGCTGCCAGATGCGCCTGGTTTGGAAAACGACACTCTTGTCGTTATTACAGCAGAAAACAAAGAAAACGCTTTGGCTGTAGGAAGATTGCTCATGAGCACAGAAGACATCAAATCCATCAATAAGGGTCACGGTGTTGAGCTCTACCACCATTTGGGTGATTGTCTATGGAATTTCAATGTCGATTGAGAGCATTATAAAAGCTTGATTATTGTTGAAAATACAAAGAGTAGAGGTATGGGGCCAGTTCCGAACTTCGAAAAGTCGCATATAAAGAATCGCTCAGGCTAACCATTTGTTTTGACTACATGAATAATATCGTGGTCCTTTAGGTTACAAATGCCGATAGGCGAAAATTCAAAATTGAATTCGTGTATAATACCATCATCCTTAGAAGTGTAGTTCAACTCAAAATCGAATATCGACATTGAGACAATTTTGGAAATGATGGACTTCAAGTATCGAGCAGAATAGCAAGGTAGAACGCTGACTTCTTGGACTTTATTTTTCTCCAGAATAACGTCGAGCACTACAACCTCTACGCCAGGAATCGAATTTGGAGCTTTCGAGCTCCGCCTAACCATGCCGTGCTTTTTGATCAAGTACTGCCATTGCTGTCCGTTCTCATCGATAAGAGCTTGACCCTTCGCAACGAGAGCCATGACATACAGTTCAGCATCAGATCTCTCCTTCTCGTCGATGGATGTACCATTTAGCCATTCCAGTCCTCTCATGCGACCAATAACCTGTAAGCTTGCATCAATTGCGTGGTCATCTTTATCCTGCCTCATGATAGGATTATGAGTTATTTTCAGATTCTTTAAGCTTGGCAGTTTCTCGCATAGATCGTCAACCATTTTCCAAGACTTAAATCCACAGTGCGATAGATTGAGCTCCTTTATGGTAGTACGTTCATCCAGCAAGAGCTCGGAAATCGGGTTAGAGGACAAGTTTAGTTTCTCAATGCTAGATGCGAGTATGTTAGCTGGTAGTGACTGTAATCCATTTTGCGCTATGCTCAGCTCTGTAAGCTTTGATGAAAGCCCTTCAACGCGTTCAATATCGAAGCCCCGAACCTCGTTCAAGCTTAATTTCTTCAGTTTGGGAAACAGAGAGCAAAGCTTCTCGACGGGCACGCCGGCCATTTCGCAATTGTTGGCTATCAATTCTTCGACTGAGCTAATTTTCTCGACCCCAGGATTAAAAGCTGAGAACCTGTTGCCGCTGATATTTAAAGTCCTTAAGCTTGGAATGCCGCGCACAATGTTGAGCACTTCGGTGAAATCTGTGAACAAATTGAACGACAGATCTAGATCCTTGAGGTTTTTGAGTTTCCCCGTAGTCCCATCCAATTCCCTTTCTTCCCCTGCTTGTGTAATGCCTCTATTAGAGAGATTAACAACTTTCAAATGCTCAATGTCTTGGTTTTTTGTGCTAAGTGTGTCCAGTCCCAGCATTTCTACCTTCTTACAACCAAAATAAACAGCAGGATTAGCTTGTAATTCAGACAAGTACACTAAACTCAAGGCTTCAGAAAATGATTTTCTGTCAACACTTGCTCTCATAACTTTGCTTTCCTTGACCAGGGAACCTCCATTTGGGCTTTCGGTTTCAAAATACTTCACGCCACCAACTGTGCCGCTGTGCTTTCCTCTCGCCTCGTCATCCCACTCCAGACCGCAGGCCGTCAAATCATTCCACTGAGGCACTTTTCCGATGTATCGAACAGTACAAAATTGGCGATCGATGCAAAGCCGATCACCCAGCTTCAATTCCATTCATTTACTGGCCAGGAGGCGACAAGAACGAATTGTAAATGACCGAAAGAGCCGGAGATATGAAAGTGTTGTTGTTGTAGTCGGTAGTAGAGTGTTAATTTTCTAATACGATATTATTGTTTAGTACCTCCAAAGTGACAATGAATTTAGTTTCAAATTAACTCACGAAGAAAACAACAATGTGCCAATGTTACCTATAATTTGTCAGTTTTACAGAATTTTAATGTACATAAGATATGATATAAGAGTGAATTTCTATGCTGTTTCCAGGCTATTCATTTCATGTCTTGGTCCCCATTTGCAATGGTGTTGTCCAAAGATGCGAAAAGCCCATCGAGATCAAATTCCTTTGACCATTCGCCGACGATATCGGTTTGTTCAACCTTTTGAGAGGAACGCTTTGAGCCAGGGCCACTTACCGATGTTGTGCTTTTAGTCACCTTGGATGAATCCTTCGAAGAATTGGGCAAGACCCACGCCAAAATCTTTCCATCCCTCCAATCATTCAGCACAGATAAACCAGCGCTATTCAGGTTTGGAATTCCACCTTTACCAATTCTTCCTCTTTTGCGAGCTACATGAATGAGAAATTGCTTTGTGAAGGCGTCTGCATCATGTGCAGGAATTGGTGGAAGCTCGTAAAGTTGCTTAAAAGCTTGGGTCATTTCCTCAGATTTCGATAGTCTCTTAATCATCATCAAAATTGCTGGATATGGGTCCACAATATATTTGGGAGGTAAGGCACTGAGCAGAGCCAATTCAGCTTCTTGCTCCTTTTTGCTTTTCTTGGCATTTTCACCGGGGAAACAGATACCTGGAGAGTCGAGGATTTTCAACTTGTTATCGACTTTAACTTCACGTAGCGAAGTTGTAACACCAGCCTGGTTCCCAACAGGACAGGCCTTGCTGAAACCTCCTCTGCGCGAAGTTAAAGCGTTGATAACGGAGGATTTTCCAACATTTGGGTAGCCGATAACACCCACAACAATGGATCTTTTAAAATTGGAGTTATTTGCGTAGGTCTTCAAACACTCCAAGAGAGCACTAGCTGTGCCGCTCTGGGTCAATTTCTTGTTGAAAGAAGAAGCGTTGGTAGCACCAGGTGCTGCTCTCAAGGGGATCGTTGGGAAACTTGATTTCAAAAATGTCATCCACTGCTCTAGGACAAAAGGAGGGATCAAATCTACTTTGTTTAGAATGAAAATCAATCTCTTGCCCTGACTCTGTAGTACAGCTTCCTCAACCTTTCTAGAACGAGTACCTTCTGGGTCACGAGCGTCTAAAACATAAAGTATAACGTCGGATGCATCCACCACGCTCTTGAAAATCTTGTCGTAAGCCTTCCGAGATTTGTCAAGTTCGGTGGCCGCTTCGCCGTCCTCACCGTTCTCACTGTCTGCGAAGAAATCGATGTCGTATTCCACCACTTCCTGTGCTTCCTCAGGTTCCATTGCCTTGTTCCCAGAGGCATGGTAATCAGCGGCGGCCTGCTGAGCAGACTCGACAAGTGCAGCCAAACCATTGCCGCCTTCGCTGTCACTGTCGCCTTCCATGTCATCGTCCATCATCTCATCGCCATTTTCAGCGGCAAGTCTTCTGGCTTCGAGTTTCATCTGCCTTTTGGTATCTTTCTCCTCCAGCTCTTGTTGCCTGCGAGCCTCTATCGCCTCTAAGATCTTATTTTTGTAAGGGAAATTGGCTGGAATACCAGGATCCTTCTTCTTGTTAGATTTCCACGTAACATCTTTCTTTGCATGTTTTCTCTCCTTGCGGTGTTGAGCAGCGGCCTTTTTCTTGATACCTTCTCTCATCCTCGTAGAGGTTCTCTTCGACTGCTTCTTTCTGACCTTCATTTTATACTGCTGATTATGTGATGATGGATGTACCGTTTATCTTTGAAGATAATAAGCTGGTACGGTGAGTTTGATCCTATGAGACAAGCCAGACAAGAAGGTTCGAGATGAGATGAGATGAGATGAGATGAGATGAGATGCGATGAGATGCGATGAGATGCTTATTTTCTTAAAATTTTTCCAGCCCCAAGGATATCGTCGAATGCGATAAAGATTAATGATTTTAATAAATTTGAAATTAAGTAAAGAGAACAAAGCTTCAGTGGTAATTGCTCACTTTTAAGAGACCGGAGAGAACAGCCTTGTACTGAGGCGACACTACAGGGGAAAGGAATTAGTGGAATTCAAGAACTTGTTCAACAAGAACGAGCTATCATTGATTTTGCCCGTCATCCGTCGTTAACACTGAGTACATATCTGGTCAAACATCAATTCAGACTTCGTGGACTTATTTTGTTTCCAACGGTTGAAGAATGTCTCTCCCAGCAGCAGCATCCGCAAATGCTGCGGCCTCAGCTAGAAGAAGGGGTCCCAACCTGAATATAGTGGTGTCGTGTCCAGAGTGCAAGGTTTACCCCCCCAAAGTCGCTGAGCGTTTTAGTGAAGGCGACGTTGTGTGTGCTCTATGTGGTTTGGTACTTTCTGACCGTATTGTGGACACCCGGTCTGAGTGGCGTACATTTTCGAACGACGATCAGAACGGTGACGACCCGAGTCGTGTTGGTGAGGCCTCTAACCCGCTTCTTGACGGTAATCATTTGTCTACGAGAATAGGTCAAGCCCAAGGAAGTGACATTAAACTCATGAGAGATTTGAACCGAGCTCAAAGCAAAAGTATAGTAGACAAAAAAGACAATGAACTACAAGCGGCTTACGCTAAGATTACAATGATGTGCGATGCCGCAGAATTACCCAAAATTGTAAAAGATTGCGCAAAGGAAGCATACAAGATCTGCTACGAAGAGAGAGCACTCAAGGGAAAATCACAAGAAAGTATTATGGCATCTGTCATTCTGGTTGGTTGTAGAAGAGCTGAAGTTGGCAGATCTTTCAAAGAAATCCTTTCCCTGACTAACGTTAAGAAGAAGGAAATTGGTAAAACTTTTACAATCATAAAAAACATTTTGAGAGAAAAGAACGCCAATGGGTTTGCAAACATTGATACTTCGACAATTTCCTCTGGCCAAACATCTGCGGAGACTTTCATTCCCAGATTTTGCTCTCATTTGGGACTTTCTGTCCAAATTGCGAACGCTGCAGAATATATCGCAAAACATTCGAAGGACATCAACGTCCTGGCAGGTAAGTCTCCAATCACAATAGCCGCGTCTGCAATTTACTTGGCTATTCAACTTTTCAAGGTGAACATTTCTGCGACACAGGTCTCCCACACTCTGCAAGTCACCGAGGGTACGATTAAAGGTGGTTACAAGATCTTATATGAATACAGACACAAGGTTGTTGACCCACAGCTAATTTCTTCAGGGAAAATTAATCTGGATAATTTGTCCAAAATTAGTGACAAAGGCGAAAAAGCTACCGAATAGCATGAGGTTCTGAAAACTATGATTTATGGCTTCAATATTGATTATATGTCTAGTCGTGCTTTTAAAGACAACTAAATACTTAATTAGAATCTTTTTTGCTTGGCGTTGCTGACTTGATGAAATTACTGAAATCTGCCAATGAAAAGGCAGCTCTCAATTCGACCCGTTCAGGCCCAGAGAGATCGGGAGAAGCAGCCATTGCTCTATTTCCCATCTGAAAATTTTCTCTGGGAATATGTCTTGCTTCTTCGAGGTTGAACATGCTTCTGCTTCTAACTTGAATCCCTTCCCTTTCTTCGCTGCCTCTTGTCGGCCTAAAAATAAGCCCTTCCTCTAAATCGCTATCAGGTTCAGTAGTCGAAAGTGCAGAGTTCTTCAATGTAGATAATTTGGATCTGAGTTTTTTGACCAGCGAAAGAGCTGACTTGGTCAGGGAGCTTTGTTGTTTATGAATATTTCTTCCCACGAGAAGAGAGACAACAGCTGCGACTATGAGTATCATCACTAATAGTGAAAAGAACCTCGAAAAATTGAGAATGGAATTGCTTCCGCTTTGATATTGAGTCGCCCATCCTGGAATGAACTTCTTGTTAAAGTTTTGTATGTCGTTGGCACTGGGTCTAATCCCAACAGGTAAATCCTCCGATGGATCCGCCACCAGGGCGGAAGCGTATAGTACAATTTTCCCTAAAGTCCACGAAAGCTCGTGCCCATTGACGGAGTCGGTACTTCGAAAAGCAGCAGCAGCAGCTACTATCTTTTCCGTGTCATCCTTTTTGTCGTCTTCACTCCCTGGTACTTCTATCCCGACTCTCGGCATTTCGAAGCCTTCGTGCAGGACAGACAGGATCCAGTTGGCTTTGAAGCAGGATTCCATGAGAAGCTTAGGAGACAAATCATTGAATTTTCCAGACTTGCTCAACTCTTCGATCTCACTCCAGTTTGTCTCACAATACTCGTTCACTTTGAGACTGAAATCATAGAAATTGTATTCTCCTCCGATCTGAAAGACATCATTTGCGGTGTACCAAAACTCGGAGGTACCAACGAATTTATCTTTGTAAAAATCGATGGAAGGTGCGTGAACTCCATTAAACAAGCAGGGTTCTTCTCTACACGGAATATCCTTCATCAACAATGGAAATATTGACTTTGCACAATGTTTGTAATTTCCCGAACCGATCACTTGAAACTCAACATCCTTGAACTTGAAATTGCTGCTGGATCCCTTGAGCATGCAAGGGTCTGTCAGTCTTCTTGTACTTAAATCATCGTCGTGACGGTCGTTTGAATTCTCGGGGAGCCTGTTGACCATTTGAGCAAGATATCTGCTCCTAGCCTGATTTGCCCCGAACCCGAGCCAAGTACTTACAAAAACCCTCCAACTTTGCGCTTCACCGTTGACGCTTCTCAAGGTGATGGTTGAGATGTCGTCATCATGTTTCTCAATCTCTGATTCGTTGCTCGGCACAAAAGCGATTTGAGCAGAGGCGCCTCCCATATCCATAAAGCCAAACGACTGATGGTTGGAATCCGTGGTCTGAAAATCATTCAAGTTACCGAGCAGATAATTAAGCCCGATCCACCCATAAAGACCTTCCGTTTCCCCATCGATCACTTGAATTCGAGATTCGCAATTATCGACTGAAAAGCTGCTGAGCTGTTTCATGCCATGGCAAACGTTTTCCAATATTGCGTTTCTCTTCGCCTCGGGAAGAAGTCTCATGCCGGCGGTAGCCTGGAGAAATACTGGTGTGGACTGCAATTTTTCCCTGGGCACGATGCTTTCCGCAAATTCCAGCAAGGGCTTTATATGCTCAGAAAAGGCCTTCTTAGGTTTGGAAGCGAAGGATGACAGACCTGGTGAGGTTTTAGATGTCCACTCTTTCTCCAAATGTATTTGAGGTACAGAGTGTTGAAGTTCGTTGTTTGCTTGGCCTGCAGTAAACTGCGGATCCTGCCACTTGTACACATAAAGTCTGGAGCCAGATGAGCCTGCATCAATTACGACACCATACTGATCATATAGCGAGTCCTCACCTGGTAGACTAGGCATGTCCCTCCACTTTGATATCTATTAAGTTGGCAATGCCTTTGGAAGCGTTGTAGAAATTAGAGATTATTCCAAAAATAAAGAAACTTCAGCGGCCCGAAAATTCTGAAACGACAAAAAAGTGTGTAGTCGCTCTTCACCTGCGCTTTCGAATGATAGCTTACAAAGAAAGATGACAAGTAGGAGGATGTAATAAATGCCTCTGCCAGCTGGGTGAACTGAAAAGCTAATTTGTTAAAATGCCTGAAAGCTCAATTGGGCGGGCATAATTTATAACTTCATGTCTCATAGGGAACCGACCTCAACTTTGGAGCTTTTGAAAGCAGCGTAATCGAAGGCAATGTAGCCCTATATCGAACTGCCGTGCTGCAAATCTGCTAGCAGCTCTTCTAAATCCAGTGGCAAACCTAAATATGCCTCCCTACACCAATTTTCGATACAATTGCGAAGGCTGCCACTCAAGGGCGTGAACTGAACAGCACCCCGGAACTTTTCGTGTTGCCGCACGCGTGTGTAAGAAGGAACTTTACACATTTCAGGGATTGTCACATTTGGCTCCACAACTACAACGTCACCCAATTCGCAGCCTCGAGATAATTGACAGTTGCTACCTACGATAACTCTTCGGCCTATTCGGTGGCAATGCACTTCACAATTCATGCCTATGAAAACGAACGATCCCATCGTTAAAGTCCTATAAAGGGCGTTACTTTCTGGCTTTTTACCGCACTTATCGTAATCGACAGCTATCTGAGAGGGCTTAAGCAAACAGCCCTTGTCGATTACACAAAATAAGCCCATTGAAATGGCTTCTCTTCTCTCATCCCTCATCTGCACGTTGCCAAACAGTTTGCAGCTCTCCGCCACAACGCACATTCCTGACATTACAATTTTTTGGCCGCCATATATCTGAGTGTGTCTCGAGAGGCGGTTACCTGAGGTTGTCTCACGCCAAGGATCTACAGATGTCATTCAGTGTTCTCATTGACGTTGATAAGCGGGGCAGGGCGCTTTAGATTTGACTTCTTGACGTGTCTTATGATTGATTTATAGACCGAAGATTAAAAATTAGAAAATTTCAGCTGCGAACAACAAACCCACAACAATACACGACACGTTCCTCGAGCGCGAATACAATTTAATACAGTTGAGCACAATGAGTAACAGATTGTTTAGAATAGACGCTGGTAAGTTAGCTTGAAAATGCAATTCAAGAACATAACCACTAACAATTGAGGGATTTGCAACAGGATTCCAACAGTACGATTGGGGCAAAATTGGTTCCACTTCTGCTGTGGCCAAGTTCGCGTCTCACTCCGACCCCAGCATTGTGATCGAAGAGTCCAAACCATATGCAGAGCTGTGGATGGGTACTCACCACAAAGTTCCTTCTTTGAACCATGATTCGAAAAAGAGCTTGCGCGATCTGATCGCGGCAGAACCCGCTGAGATGCTGGGTCAGGAAAACGTTGATAAGTTCGGCTCTAAGCAGGAGCTTCCATTCCTCTTCAAGGTTCTCTCTATCGAAAAGGTCTTGTCCATCCAGGCACACCCGGACAAAGCTCTGGCCGGTAGGCTCCACATGAACGACCCTCAAAACTACCCCGATGACAACCACAAGCCTGAGATGGCCATTGCAGTCACAGATTTTGAAGGTTTCTGTGGTTTCAAACCTTTGGCAGAAATTGCAGATGAACTACAACGTATCCCAGAGCTTAGAAATGTGGTAGGCGAAGAGCTCAGCGAGAACTTCATCAAGAACTATAAAGAACCCTCTCAGGAAGGTTCTTCAGAGGATCAAGAAAACAGAAAGCTTCTCCAAAGCGTGTTCAGTAGAGTAATGAATGCTTCTGAAGAAACTATCACGACTAACGCCAAGGCTTTGATACAAAGAGCAGAGAGCTCTCCAGAGGACTTCAACAAAGAAGCTTTGCCCGATTTGTTGATAAGGTTGAACAAGCAGTTCCCAGACGATGTCGGGCTATTCTGCGGTGGACTACTTTTGAATCACTGTTCTTTGAAGTCAGGCGAAGCTATTTTCTTGAGGGCGAAAGATCCCCACGCTTACATAAGCGGTGATATTATCGAGTGTATGGCTGCGTCCGACAATGTTGTGAGAGCTGGATTCACTCCAAAGTTCAAAGATGTTGTCAACCTTGTCGAAATGCTTACTTACACCTACGGCTCGGTTGAAGATCAGAAAATGAAACCAGAGGAATTTGCTAGATCTTCTGGAGATGGAAAATCAATTCTATACAACCCTCCAATTGAGGAATTCGCTGTTTTGGAAACAACTTTCTCAAAGGGTGCTGGTACCAGAAACTTTGAAGGTTTGAATGGTCCTAGCATTGTGATCACCACGAAGGGTAATGGCTACATTCAATACCAAGATGTTAAACTCAGAGCTGAGCCAGGTTTCGTTTTCTTTATTGCACCCCAAACAGAGGTAGAGTTCATTGCAACGGACGCCGAATTTACCACTTACAGGGCCTTCGTGGAACCTAATTAAATTATCTATGTATTCGGAGGCCATTCACATACAGATGTGCTGGCTGTGAGCGGGCCCAAATCCAAAATTAGATCTATTTTACAGTGTGTTAGCACCAAGCTATCAGGGTGCGCAGTGACATCAAAAGATGATGTTTCAATTCAAGCAATGCCGTTTCTGCTTTTCCACTTCATGATTCTACTCTTGATATCACCCTCTGTCTGTTGATTAACATTAAGCTTTCTATCAAGAAACATTTTCCTGAAGTTGTCTCCGTGCTTCTTATGCAGGGCTTCCAACCAGGCTTCTTCCCTTCCGCTAGGCTTTCTTTCCCTTTTAACGACAGGACGTGATGCAAATGCTTCAAGTTCCTTCACTGTTTCTGACTTTGTTGCTGGGCCGTCATCCTCAGCGGAGGAGCTGGTCTCGATGTGGCGTCTTTTCTTACCATAGACGACCTTCACAACTTGTCCCTCTGAATCACGGATGATTCTAGCTTCGCCTTCAGGAATATCGTCCTCGTTTAGCTCGGCAACGACTTCTTCATCGCTGGATGAGCTTTTTTCCGGCCCAAACTCGTCGTCATCGCGCTCTAGAAATGACGAATTTGGTAGTGGTTCTTTCATGATAGCTTTGTCAAGTTTAGCCTCTTGCCCCCCCGCGGGTGACTGTAATTTAGATCTTAGACCCAAGTTGTCGTAGTTTTGAGAGAGAGTAAGTGAATAATCCCAGTTTTTGGCAATGATTGGGTTACTTGAGATATTTACTTTTCTTTGGCGGTCCTTAGTTTTTCTTGTTGCCTTCTTGATAGAAGACCTCGCCATCTTTCTCTTTCGAACGGATGCCATACTGGTAAGGGTTTACGTGTTGACTAGCGCCTATTGAACGTCGATGCTGATTGTATGCTAGACTGATGATGCAGAAGCTCATCGCCTCCATAAATTTTTATATTCAAGAAAATCTCGAGTATCACGTGAGAATTAAAGCACAATGTCTTTAACAGTTGAAATAGCATTCCACCATAAGCCTAGTAATCTACTCAGCAGCACGGCAAGCCATCCCCCGCCTCAAAATACGATTATTGACCCCAATGAGCGGGTCTACTGTCGATGCAGATGGTGACTTTTTAAAAGGATTAGAGGTGTGGAGTAAAAATCCCGTACATGTAAGACCGTCAGCTTCATCAGCTTCACACGACCACACGAGGGACCATGTGCGAGAGTCAAGATGCGAAATATCTGAACGGAATGAGGTTGATTCTCGCTCGATATTTCTGCGAAATATTTCGAATGAAGTCACAGCACATGTTTTGGAGCGCAAGTTCAGATGCTTTGGCATAATAAATCGTATCACCATATTTAGCAGGAAATCAGAAGGAAAACTCAAAACTTATGCTTACATTGAATTCGACAATACCCAGTCCGCTGAGCAATCTCTTTCATTCAACAAAACTAAGATGGATGAACACGTAATAGGTGTTGTCAAGAAGAGGACAAATATTCGCGGGTGGCGAACGAAAAAGGGTTAAGAGAAAGAGAATAGCCTAGTGACCATAAAGTAATTAATTAAGTTTGTGTTTTAATAAAGTGGACATCGAATGCCATTGGCCAGCTCGTTCACGGAGTGGCGGTAGCAGGTTCCTATCACCCACTTCCCTTTAATCACCCATTGATTCCACGTCACTAATTTTTTTTGAAATCTGGTAATGAAAAGCGTCGAAACTAAAGATCGATCTATACAGCTTGATGGTGTCAAAATGTCTTTGAATAAACCCAAAAAATCATTTAGGTAAAAGTCTACATATCTTCAAACTCAAAAGTTTTTACTTTTTCGGAAAAATAAAATATCTTTAGAATTATAATTGTAGCTAAAACCAAGATTTTAAAAAATAAATTTGCATAACAATAAAACTTAATTTAAGAAAATAAGGTCTTATACATCACATGACTATATGATTCAGAGCATGTTGGTTCCATATCTCGACGAAGAGAGAATACATTTTTTTGATCATACGTTCAGTGCTATTCACATTAATCCGCTGGATACAGCTCCATTTTTTGTTTTTTGATGACTTGTAAACGTGTCCAAGAAAATGCACGCGTGGCCTCTTTTCGAACGACGGAGTTTGTTACTCAGTGTGTTCCTGATTTTGTCATTAAAAAAAACCCAGTTCGCGAATTGAGCATTCGAAATTTGACACTCAGAACAAAACAATTGGCCTTCTGTTCTACCTCCAGCCACCGCCAAACCTCAAATGAAGCTAAGCTATTTCCAACTCGGCTCATTAGCCATCATGAAGGCTATACATGTTCTCGGGGACGACAATGTCCCCAATTCCTCCCCGGAAGCTATTACTGAACGGGCCAACTTTAGTGTAGTCTACGAAACCCTCGAAAGAGGACCCGGAAGCATGGCATCCTTTCTGGAATTTGAAGACCACGATAATGTTACACTGCGTTATACTTTTTCTAACAACGAGAACGCGAGCGTGTCAGTTGTTGCAGTCGGTGGCGCCCTCCATGACATTTACACTAATGAGATTGCCGCTAACATTAGCGCGGCTGCCCTTGGTCCAATTCCTGTTGCAGTCAACGAAACAGTCGAGTTTCAGCAAATAATCAACCTTGTCTTGAAGGAGGGAAACTATATTTTGTCGCCCGATGTATACGTGGAAAGAAACGAAGAAGAGACTATAAGGGTCATTGCAAATCCCAATCTTATTAGAATTTTACCTCCTGCGATGTCGTTCTTCAACCCTCAGTTTATGTTCGTTCAGCTCATTTTAGCCGCCCTCATTGCTGGTTTCTCCTATCTGACCTTTTTCAAAACTGATAAGTCCAGTGGTGCCCGTGGGCAAAAAAGCAAGAAGTCAAAGGCCGGACCAGCATCCCAAAACCTCGACGCTTCGTGGCTTCCTGAAAATCATCAAAAGAAGTAAACGGTTGCTTTGAAAATGCATTTGTTTTACGTAGATACAGCGTTACCTAGATTTGGTCACAAGCCTTCGCTGCTAATTCGAACGGCGCTAGATATTGATGTTCATCTTTTCTAAGAGATTTTCCAGTCTTTGATAATCGCTTTTATACATTGACACTTCTGTTCTGAGCTCCAGACCTCCTTCATTAGTTTCGTTCCAATCAAAATCGTCCAGATCTTCAGCATCGACATTGTATTTCTTCAAGAGGTAGTATCTTATATCATCGATTAATTCAATCGTGTCTGTTTCCTGTCTTGTTTTCAGCATGGAGGAGCTTCTCAAAATGGCATCTTTGAGCTGCGGTAACGAAACATAGTGCTCAATATCACCTGCAATCGTATTTGCGACATGATGTTCAAGCCTCTCGACTCGAAATTCCCATGCGACGTCAAGAAGCTCGAATACTGAATACCTCTCTAGGAAGTGAGATGACTGCGTTATTGCGACCGCTGCCATGGTTTTAAGTCTCTCCATCAGAAGTGCATCTGCTGCTCGTAGAACATTGAGTGCGACATCCCAAGGAATTTCCGTTCGATCATAGTACAAATACGAAAGGATTAGTTCAGCTGCATGCAAATCATGTATTGGGAAGCAAACAATAGGAAAATCTACCGAACGGTCGACCAAGCCGTCAGCCGTTTTGTAGTAAAAGGTCGTTTCGTCGAAAGGTGATGTAAACATGACTCTAAAATAGTCCGATCTTATTATGATCGACCTGTGGCATGGGTATAGAAAACCGATATCAGAATCTTCATTACTTCTAACCAAAAGGTAAACGTCAGGTAGGGTAGGTCCATTTTTCAAACTGTTTAAGGTGTCAGGACTGATACCGTTGGCAACATTTACTGTCTTTTTGTTATCCATAATCTTCTCCACAAATAATTGCATTTGTAGCCGGGCTTCCTCTATGAAGTTATGCTGATACTCAGTGACTAGCTTGGAAATTTGGACCTGATCCTGAATGTCTTTTGCTTTATCCAAAAACTCTGTAAGGCCGGCAAAACCGAACAACTGACTAAAATGTCCAATCGACTCCGACTCCTCATCAGTTATCGTGTGCAAAAGTGGGACAAGATAAACGTAGCTTGAAATAATGTCTAAGCCTACAGATGGGACTTCCTTTGGCAAATCCAAGGTGACGTGCTCAGACCCCAATTCTTGCAGCTGCTTAGCAAAATATGGACTTCTTGCGGCCAAAAGAAAACCGTGCAACCTCGTGTGCTGTCCATTTGCAAGCTTCAGCATTATATCATGGCCTCGAATCGACTGATCATTGAGTTGCGAGGACAGATGTGACGCAAAGGGCTGCTTCAAATCTACCGCTTTGGAAATATCGTAGTTCAAAAGAATGTTTCGGATAGAGTCTGTTAATGCCCCATAGACGCAACGAGCGCCTTCATGTCTGTCTCTATCGCATATAGCACCCCGTTTCAGGAGCAAATTGACCAGGTCTTCGTGCCCACACAAGCTGGCTAGGAATAGGGGGGAGTTGTTAAACTCGTCTATATCATTCAAATTGACACCTTTCGATATCAGCCTATCCACATTCTCAACATCTCCTATCCTACACCAATAGCACAATTCCTCGAAGTTTTTATCCGCAGTGCGCATGATGTTTGCCGGTAGTAGGTCAAATTAATCGTTTTTTCAAGTATCAATAAAAAACGTAGAATAATAGATGTGCACAGATAACGAGGAAATAAAGGGCGAACGCCATGAAGCTTTTCATTCGAAAGGAGCCCAGGTCGGTCGCTTTGCTGTCCAATGGATATCTGCTAGTTTTTGAAAAATCTAGAGCTCCCAACTCGGCGCCAGATGGGAAGCACAGTCAGCCCACAGCAGTTGTGGTATCTATGCCTATAGCTGCGCTGAGCGAGCATAATTTCATGGAGGTAACAGGAAGAGTCTTCAATGGCCTTCTAGGTCTCGTCTGTGTCAATAATTATCTATTTGTTGGGCTCGTTACCAATATACAAAAAGTTGCCTACCCAAGATGGCGGTGTACAAGCGAGGGCGACAGAGAAGACATAGAATCAATTTTTCAGATTCTCAAGGTTGAGTTTTTCTGTCTCAACAGCGACTCGTTTGATTATGGCTTGAATGGCCTCTCCGAGCAGCTGGAAAAGCCCTCAAGTGAGCACCCATGTGCCGACTTAATGAACCTTTTCAGCGACGGCACATTTTACTATTCTCGAGACTTCGACCTATCAAATACTTTGCAAGAGCGTGGATTGATGAATGGTCTGGATTATGCCATCGACAACCAGGACCAAAATTTCATTTGGAATAGTAATATGATGAGTGAGGTGGTTCAGTTACGAAATCGAGTAACCGCTTCCGAGAGATCATTGTTTGACGGTGCTCTCTTTCTCACATTTGTCATGAGAGGTTTTTGCAAGACTACTCTTGTATCGGACATATCCACGTCACCTTCGACTCTCACCGTAATTTCAAGAATTTCAACGGAAAATAGAGACAACATTTTTGAGTTACAAGGCATAGACGAGCAAGGTCATGTCTCCAGCTTTATCGAGACTGAAATCATATTCTCTTCGCCACGATATATACTCGCATACGTTCAAACGCGAGGAGACGTTCCACTTAGTTGCGAGGTCACAGAGGGTCAACTTCTGCATGGGAAGAAAGTTAAACTTTTGAAGGATCCAGCGTATTTTCAAGCATCTTTTGACAAACATTTCGACATGCTTGCTTCGAAGTATGGTGTTGTCAGCGTGTTGAACCTCGTGAAACCAAAAAGTGAGTCTCAAGAGATTCTGAGTAACGCGTACAGAACATGTGCCGAAAAGAAGAACGTTAGAATCATAAATGTGGAGTATGGATCCGACATTTTAACAAAGCAAACACACAAATTGATCTATTTGCTGAAGCAAGACATTTATGAGTTTGGAGCGTTTGTCTATGACAACCAAAGGGGAATTTATGTGGGTAAACAAACTGGATGCCTGCGCATCAGCGCCTTCGACTCTATCGAACGTCCTAATGTCGTTGAAAGGAGTGTCAGCAAGGAAGTGATTCAATTGACGATTTCAGAACTTGCGGGAGTCGAGCTGTCCGCCGCTTTTGAGGGGGTGCATGACAAGCTGTGGGCCGACAATAATTTTTGGCTGAAGAGATTGTTCAGCTCAAACTTCAAGAATCCGAACAGATACAGAAAGGTCTACTGGAAGCTGTTTAGCTCAAGTTGTCGGGTTAGCTTGTACGATCCCCTCCATGCTCACATTACGAAATTTATGCGTAAGATAAAGAGAGAGTTCACGTATCAGAAGAGCATCAACATATTCACTGGAACTTTCAATGTAAACGGTAGAACTCAAGTGAATGATGTAAGCGAATGGCTGTTTCCACAGGGCTCAGATATCGACCAATTGGCCGATGTCTATGTCTTGGGCTTCGAGGAAGTGGTAGAGCTGAGTCCAGGTCAAATGCTTGCAACGGATCCGTATCCCAAACAGTTCTGGGAGCGAAAAATATTAGAGACTCTTAACGGTGCTAGTAAGAGGAGGTATGTTCATGCCTGGGGTGGCCAGCTGGGCGGTGTATTAATGCTCTTATTCATCAGTGAAACCGAGTATTCGAAGGTGAAGCACCTTGAGGGAGATGTAAAAAAAACCGGATTTGGCGGTATGTCATCAAACAAAGGCGGAGTCGCTGTGCGCTTTACTTACTCCACTACTAAATTTTGCATACTAGTTTCCCATCTCGCGGCGGGGCTGGAAAACGTGGAGCAAAGACACCACGACTTCAAAACCATTGTTAAAAACATCAGGTTCGCAGGAGACATCTCTATCAAGGATCATGATGCAATTATTTGGATGGGTGACTTCAACTACAGAATTTCTCTCCCGAATGATGAGGTTCGCAAGTGTGTGCGAAACGCTGAGTTCGGGAAACTGTTCGAAAAAGATCAGTTAAATCAACAAATGATCGCTGGTGAAGCATTTCCATATTACAATGAGATGGAGATCAAATTTCCACCAACGTATAAATTTGATCCTGGTACGAAGACTTACGACACGAGCGAAAAGCTCAGAATTCCGGCATGGACTGACCGCATCCTTAGTCGCGGCGAATCCCTAAAGCAACTCTCTTATGGCTCAGCTGAAAATATAGTGTTTTCGGATCATAGGCCTGTTTACGCGACATTTAGTTCCCTCGTCACGGTGGTGGATGAGAAATTAAAAGCTAAGCTGACTGCAGAAATCTATGAGAGGCTTACAGATCAACTTGCCGATTTGACTGACGAGGAGAGATATGCTGTATTGAATAGCAGCGATCTTATCATGGAAAGGTCAGAGGGCGAAGATCCTGTGGGTCCTGAATTGAGGAAAGGCCGTAAGCTGCCGCCTCCGAGTTCGGCAACGAGGAAGTGGTGGATTGGCAGCTCTAAGCAGGCCAAAGTGGTACTCGAAGTAGAGCCAGCTAAATATCAAATCAACCCTCAAAGAGCAGCCAATCCCTTTCTGGATAATACCGACGAGGCTCTGTTCATAGCGCGGGAAGCATAGTAGAGGACGTACCATATTTAAGGTAAGTATTCCCTGCGCTATTGATCTTGTCGGTGCTGCACAGAATCAGTCTTATCGTCCGGTTTCTCACTGTCAAGGTTTGCTTCTTGGGCCTCCGATAACAATTCATCCAATTTCCCCTCCAGTTGATCGAGCATCTTTTCAAGCCTTTCAGCCGTCTTCTCGCCTTCCTGTAGTTGTTGGAAGGTATCGAGAAATTCTGAGGAAGTTTCGAAGGCTTGAATCTGATTGTCGGTGGTCATTTAAGCTCAATTGATGAGATTTGTATCCGGTGTTAAGTTTCTATTTTTCAGAGGTGTGTTCGTATTCAAATAACAAAATTTTTATAATAAGTCAAGTAAACAGAACACCTAATATAATACACTAGTAGCCTACGTCGAATGAGCCAATCTCTAGCTATGCTGAAGGTGCTTATTTTCTTCGTTCAATTGATTTCTCTGACTCAGGCGAAGCCATCTTCTGGATCAAGATCATTGGTCATCTATGACAAAAGACTAACGGATTTGGACGATTACAGCATATTCTTCAGCAACCTGGAGGAGCGCTCGTACCACCTAGATTATGCACCTGTAAGCAATGGCTCTGCAGTTGTTGAGCTTTTCAGTGGAGAGGAGAAGCTCTATGACAATTTGATCGTATTCCCCGTAAAGTCAAGACACTTCAACAAGCAATTACCAGCGGAGAGACTTCTCGACTTTTTCAATGATGGGGGTGAAATTCTTGTTATGACGTCTCCCAATGGAGTTGCCGATAATATTCGCATCTTTTTGAACCAGCTTGGGATTTATCCTAGTCCAAGAAATTACGAGCTGAAAGATTACTTCCACGTCGATGACAACGGCTTAGTCCGTCTATCAGGAAACGATGTTCTTAATCAGCATGTCGTTCCAAAAAGTGATCAGGATGTTCTTTACGAGGGGTCTGCTGCCCTTCTTGGCAGCTCTGATTTGATCATTCCTGTACTGCATGCGCCCAGGACATCTTTCACTGAGGATGTTCAGAAGCAGGGGGATAAATGGACTGTCGGGTCTCAAGGATATGTTATGGCATCTTTCCAGAGTCTCAGGAATTCTCGCCTGACGTGGGTTGGAAGCGACAGCTTTTTTAGCAACAAGTATTCCGCCCCTAATCAACAATTTGCACAGGAGCTAATAAAATGGACTTTTGACGAAAAATCAGTGGTAAAAGCTGTACTATCTAGGCATTCGCATTCAAATGGTCTGGAATATGCAGACTCTCCTTATAAAATCAAAGATGAGGTCGTATATGATATCGGCTTGACCGAATGGAATGGTGCTTCTTGGGTCCCTTTTATCGCAGACGATATTCAGTTTGAGTTAAGAATGGTCGATCCATACTATCGTATCACTTTGAAGCCAAAGTATTCTCCGTCAGAGGTTCAAATGTACACAACTGGGAACTTCAACCTTCCTGATCACCATGGTATTTTTACTTTCATTGTCGGTTACAAACGAAGCGGACTGTCATTCTTTACTGAGAAAGACGTGAAAGCTATCCGCCATCTAGCTAACGATGAATATTCGAGAAGTTGGGATATCACCAATTCTTGGGTATATCTCACAGCTATTTACTCCGTCATTATCGTTTGGGTGGTTTTCGTAGCGCTCTTTATGGGAATCAAAAGGAAGAGCCTCGTTCCGATCGAGAAGAAAACGAATTGAATCACGCTAGCTCTATGTATTCAAATAATTATTTTACGCACCACGACTTATATTTTAAAATAACTCTTCATTGTCTAACAACTTGAATTTTGTTATCCTTCTTCCACTTCTCGAATTCTTCTGCTGTTTTTATCAAGTCAACTTTCATTGAGGATATTGTATTGGCTAGATTGTTTTCTTTAGTCTCGAGAACAGGAAGTGTGGATTTTACATCGGTTTCTACCAAAGCGCCGCCGATCATTCTGTAACACTTCCGACCAGAATCTGCTGATTTGAGCGTTGACAAGACAACCTTGTGTTCGTCTTTATCATTCCCAAGCTCAATGATCTTGGATTGTAGATCTTCCATAGTTTGCTTGTACTCGTTGTACTTTAGCTGCAAGACTTAGCCTGAGTTAGTAGCCATTATAAATGAATCTTGACGAAAGTTCGTTCTGTCACATACCGTTGGAGCGCTGTTCCATGATGTTGATCGTGTCTATCCGTCTCTTAACGTTCAGCCGATTTCGTTTGGGTGAACCAACTTTGGTGTAGCTTACTTAGTATAATATAATTTAATTATTTGATGCATCACTCGATAATTCCATAATAATCTGAAGAAGCCAGTATTGGCGCGGCATGCCTCACAAAAATGAGCACTGCCTCGACGAGCTGAGATACGGGCTTGTCGCACTATCCATTACATTGTGTTATTTTTAAGAATTTTGCCTGGCTTGACTTGTGCAACAGTTAATACCATGCTCTCCACAAGAGCTCCGTTAGATAACTTGGGAACAGTATTTTCTAAAGAGCCCTGAAATTAAATAGTGAAGATCTCGGCTTTTAAGCTGCAGATGCCGCCGCGCCACGAAAAGCGAGGCCTAATCGCAAGGGCAAGGCCAGAAGCGTGTAAACTTGCCGTAGGAATTGGCGGCTTTTGTAAGAACTGAACATGAGAGGCGATTGACGCGAGTAACCAATCTACTTCAGCTTGCCGTGAAATTCTCAATCGTGTCGCTCTATCCATAAGTATGGATAAGGCAACACTACAGCCTCCCTCTAGTGTAGCCGTTTGGCTCAGTCAACATTTCTGAAATTGAATTTCAGCATTTCGTACTTTTAGAGATAATTTGACTTACACCGCAACATACCTTTGAATGTGTGCAAGTGTTTCTCTTCAGAGAGCTCTTCATTTCGTGTCGTTTGCTAACGCCTGATCTGAAGCAAAATGGAGAAGGCAAACAAAAAGCGTTCCTCTTCAAGTTCTCGGGCTTCTGAGTTTTTTTAAATTCTGTGCTGTCTGCTGCTCCATCAGCATTTCGATCCGTTTAATTTGGCCGTTAAGCTAACTTGGACTTCACGAAGAGGAAATGTTGGGCACCTCAAGTTTTCGTTTAGTTGGGTGTAGTATTGGCTGCGTGATTCTCCCGATATAGCTTTCTTGTGCCAAGTCTCATACCGCTAACGTAGCGGGTTGTCACAAAGTATGGTGGAAAGTCTGAAACGCCATTGAAATCAAGCCAAGCAGCTTTCAATAGTAAGCTCTAGCTTTTGATCTTGTCGACGTAATACCTTAGAATAAAACAGGGCTTTCGCCGCTACGAGAAATAGAAGCAACCAAAAATCTGGAGGAAGGACATTGTAAAACTACGAAAATCACGTATTGCCGCTTGCTGTCATGATAAAGTTTGGAAAATGGGGGCATTGACAGTAGAACGAGCGAATAAGTACGGGGCAATTCGGTAAGAAAGCAAGATTCCGAGAACTTCACGCAAGTGGTGTCATTGATTATTTTGACTGGGCTTAACATCAAGCGATATTTCAATTTGGGTATTTTACCTGAAGTGCCGCTGTACAACAACTTCCATATTTCGTGGCCGTCACATAGTCGTCGCATTAGTCTGTAAAATTTGACCATATATGATATTAGAACTGGTATTTTGACTGCCACGAACAATGTTCGGCAAGAGCATTTTACGTCAAGAGCATTTTACGTCAAGAGCTTGAAGACAAATTGTTGTGCACGCAATTTCAAACGAAACCATTGAAATGTGGCACTAGAACGGGAGTCAAGGTGATGGGGGTTCTTCTGTTCTCACGTCATAGGGATAAATTGGTTCAGTTTCCTCTGCTCGAAAAAGAATCTCGGCAAATCTGAATAATAAGTTTTTTTGTTTCTGTAACAGTGCTGCTTGTGACTACATTGTCTTCAACTGACTTGATGTGCTTACATTCCAAGAATCTTTTCTTGTTGTGTCGTTGCAGCGGTTTTGGTTTCTGCAGACAACAATAATTTTGAATTTAAAATTAAAGAAGTCCAAGTATCTGCGTAATAAGCATGTGCAAACAGTACAGAAATAAGCCAGCGAATGGTACCGATCTTTTTCGACTTTATTCAATTGAATTTAGTTAAATTGAAAGGACGTCTTCAACCCTCTTAAAAGCCATATATTAATATCAAAGGCTTTTCTGAATCATGAACGGAGCAAGGATTCTTGATGAGACAAGCCCGATCAGAAAGCGTAAAACTTATAATTTTCGCACCATCAAGCACTCCAAATTTTACAAGTCCCTAAAGCATCTCCCAGAGTTGGCATCATCAAAGCAACTGACCCATGATGCTATATTTCGAGAAGTTCAAGCTGAATTTAGACAAGTGAAATCTGATGTGGCAAGCATAGAAAGTTGGGTTGCGAAGGACCTTTCGCTTGAAACAAGTCAAATGAGTAAAATTGAGCTCAAGCTCAAATCATCACTAAAGCGGTTCAACCATCAGTATAAAAAAATATCTCGAAGACGAGCGGCCCGGGAAAGTCAGGCCCAATCACAGTCCGATGAGTGTACCAAAACAATCGCAGTACTTGAAAATGATCTTCGCCTGCTTCATGAGCAAGCAGACAGTTTTATGCGAAAAGTGGCGAGCAAAGAGAGCGAACTTCCCGCAAAGTACAGGCTGCTTAACAAGCTGTCTTTCAATAAGCGGCATTACCCCTTGCTACATGAACTTCTTGAAAGTCTCTCTCCAATGCCTGTTTCTCCAGAGGACCAACTGACGCGAAGTTCTGATAACAGCATATCTGCACTAGAAGACAGCTTCCGAGATATATCATCTAACCTGGAAGCCCCTAGCCCTGACCCAATTGAGGTGCCAGTGGACACTAACAATCGCAGGCACGAGGCTACAAGAAAGTCGCTTTTCAATCCAGCAAGTACGTCAGGATCAGTGATATTCCCGCCAGATATCATATCCGCCCGTAAAATCTCAACCGCTTCCCCTGCGTTGGTAAGTACGTCGTACCATCAAGCAACTCGATCTGACTTTGGACCGGAGTTCACAGGGCGAAGCGATACGTCAAGTAGCCTACATAGTAATCTAAATGTCCGAAAATGATTTGAATGTCAACTGAGCCTTATTTACGTACTCTGGAAGGAATATTTTTACTTTGAATAGAGGCAATGATGTTTTGGAACACTGGAAACAGGGCTTGGCTTTGATAGAGATCCACTAAGTTGGACCCTTCTGTTTTCTGCTTTTCTATAAGCTCGACAAACGTTGGGTCAATAGGAACATTTCCTAAGAAATCGATGCCCAGCTCTTCGCTCAGCTTTTGACCTCCGCCTTTGGAGAAAATGTTGGTGCATTCAGCGCAAAATGGACATACAAAACCCGACATGTTTTCAACAATGCCTAGGATGTCGAGATTCACTTTTCGGCAAAAATTGATTTCTTTCTTCACGTCTGCAGTAGCAACGTTCTGTGGCGTCGTTACAATGATGCTCCCATCCGGATTTGCCCACCGAAGCTCTTCTGCTATCGAGATGTGCTCATCAGACGTGCCAGGTGGTGTGTCGATGAGGAGGTAGTCCAGTTCGCCCCACACTACGTCCTTTATGAATTGCTTTATCATTGCTGTTTTCTTCGGACCTCTCCATACGACGCTGCTGCCTCTGTCATTCAGGAGGAACCCCAGTGACATTACCTTGAGCGCACCAGAGCCCTCTTCATATTTGGAAACAGGAATCCAGCCCTCGCGCGACTGATAGACTGATTGTCGCTCCAGCCCGAACATTCTTGGTATTGACGGCCCTGTGAGGTCTATATCTAGCACACCCACCTTATAGCCCGAGCCCGCTAACGCTAATGCGACTTGCGTAGTCACTGAGCTCTTCCCCACACCGCCTTTGCCTGACAAAATCAAAAGGATATGCTTTACATCTCGAAGCGCAGTAGGAGGGTCTTTGTTATCGACGTTCATCGTACCTTTAGCCCTACTTTCAGACTTGTCTAGCTGATCATCAAGGAAGTTGTAATGATGAGTAAAGCATTATTCGTCGAGAGAGATTCACGTTCATTTCCAACATCATTATTGACATAACAATATCAACTGAACTTAAACATCTATGATCACTACACGTTAAAGACAACAAAACGGGCGACATAACCGGCAATCCTACTTGATGAGTTATTTGTAAGTACAATTGAAAGATTCCACGCTAGCTTTTAGCATTTGATATGAAGCGGCGGCCATCTTTCTGCTCTAACTAACCGCGCTTCAGGAATCAGGATAGTAGCTTGCATCAACGAGACAATGGCAGCAGAACGCAGCTTTTCGATTCAAAGTTTGACAACTACACGACAAGAGCCAGTTCCCCGTACGATAAGGGTGGCAACTTAGACATCTCGCAGTCAACCTTATCAAATTTGGAGAATCAGAGCGACCGGCACGTCAGCGCCATGAGCGAGAGATTAAGTGCTCTTAAGTCCTTGTCACTGAAAATGGGTGAAGAGATCAGGGGTAGCAACGACACAGTGGAAAAGCTGGGCGACGTATTTGAGGGCACCAGCCAGCGGCTGAAAACAACATATCGGGATATGATGAAGATGGCAGGAAACTCAAGGGTGCCGCTCAAAACATGGCTGATGATATTCTCTGTTGTATTTCTGTTCTTTATGTGGATCTGGATATTCTAAATGACTGTACTCTACAACCGTACCAAAACCATGCACAGCGTGCAGATAAAATGAGAGGGCAAAGATCAGTCTTTGGACTTTTGCTTCCCCAGAATGCCTGTGACATCTCTGCGGTTGCGATATTTGCGCCCGATCGAGAGCTTCCTGAATAACTTCGGCAGCCTGGTAAGGACGATCAGTATAGCGAGAAGCAAGATGTACCAAAGAAAACTGAAACTCTCGTGAAATTGACCGATGCTTTTAAAAAATGCGTTCCGCGAGTTGTTTATTCTTTCTTTGATGATCGAACTCTTTTCATCAATTGTTGCAAAACTTAGCAAAGAAAGAGTGGTTTTGAGATTTGAGGGCGTCTCCGTGGTCAGAATGTTGCCTTGTTGATTTTTCTCAACGAAAAATGAGCCTCCCTTTTTGTCGACTATTATCACATCACCGTTCTTGTATGTACGACCTTTGGACTGCAGGCCAGCGTGGCCCAACAAAGTTTGGTGAAGGGATAAATCTAAGAATGCCAATTGGATCCGATGGTTATCAGAATGGGCAATTTCGTCTCGCATCTTGGCGACAATATTGGTAGAGAGTGCGTCTTTCAGCTTTAATGACTGAACGGCTTTACTCTTTGCATTCCTTTCCTCCTTAACCATTTTGTACAAGTAATCAATGCGGTCAGATTCGTACCCAAAAGCGCTCAATTTGAGATTATCTAAGAACCCCGCACTTTTGGAAATTTCGGCCTTGTTGGAGGTGTCAATCATCTGAATCACCGTAAAGTCATAGAGCTCTGGATTATATGTGAAAATTTGGCCATAGTTAGCAGGTGTCAATTCGCTTATTAGCGGAGCGCAATTTTGAGAAAACCATTTCGTAATCAAATCCAAGTTACGCATTTCGGTGGTGGAGTAACCATTTAGCACATGTGAGATCAAGCTTCCCTGCTTGAATATGTAAAGAGTGGGTAGCTGCGTAATTGATTTCATGGTGAAATATTCCTCGTTTGGTGCCATTTCGCCCTCCCCGCCATCATGCTTTATTTGCTTGTACATTTCGATAAACAAGGAGTGTGATAATGATTTGATGTCGTCGGTGCTTTTATGAAGGAAAGCGCCTGGAATGTTGGACACTGGCTCGACGAGATGTTCCAAGATATCAAAGTCCTCTTGCACAACTGTATCGGGATCATAGGCGAATACGACGTGGATGCTACCGTCAGAGTCTTGGGAGCCTTTCTTCAGGTCGACTGGTTTTGAGATCAATTCCGTCAGAGAGTTCTTGGAGATTTCGTCTACTCGGGCATTAGAGCTTGTCCGCAGCGCAAAATCTTCGAGAGCGCTCGGACTGTAGTCTTCTTTGGTGTAGTGGAACAAAGCATTGGTTTTCTTTTGAGGAACAATTAAAACAACGCGAGGTCCTCGATCGGCTCTGTGATTTTGTATCGCAACCAGGTCCCCAAACTCTAGCTCCTCACATATGCTCCTCTCGGATTCACAGTTAACGTGACCTATTTTAAAGTTGGAGTTGGCGAGCTTGTTGGAAAGAAGTGTCCAGGTCTTCTGAAAACCGTGACAATTCTCGCAGTTCTCGAACTCAATCGAGTTATCATCGACAGCCCTCAATTCCTTAGAAGGCCAAAAGGATACAAGATGTGAAGCCTCTGCGCTGCCTGAAAAGAGATTAAGAAGGGCAGCTCCTTTCAATTCTTCACTGCTGCTTCTGAGTAAAGCCGTATCCAAATTGTCTGCGTTTAGCGCTTCTTGACGAGCGAAGTTAATAATGCTCTCTGAAGTTCGTTTTCCGTTCGCAGGGAAATCCTTTATAAAGCCCCCGGGGCCATACAATTTGATAGCAGGGTATGCAAGTATTTTCTCCCGAGCGCACAAGTCACCGTTTTCAACGCAGTTGACTTGAATAAGGGCGATGTTTAGTTGACGCCCTTCGTCAAGAAAACTTCTCCATGCCCTCTCCCAAATTGGAGCAAGAGTCTTGCAGAAGTGACAGTACGGGCTGTAAAACTCAACCACTTGTAATTGCTGCGATATTGCCTGTTGAAACTCGGCTGCATTGAGAGGTTCCGGAAACGGCACCTCATCGAGACCCCGTTCGGCTGATTTGGAGTCCTGACTCAGTATCAGCCGGCAGAAAAAGAGAAGGCTGATGGTCCATTCGACAAGTATCATTACTGCTGTTCTTTATTGCTCAGCTTAGTACAAGAAATATTTCCTTGGGTGAGTTGAGAGTGCAAGTTTACTGAATGGATTGATTATCTTTAATTAAACATCTCGTTAAAAGAGCTTTGTTGTTAATTTATGGACCAAACTGCCCAAGCATCTCCAGGAGTATAAGTGAGGTTGTTCAAATGCATGCTTAATATGTACTATATCGTTAGACTATCGCTGAGGTTAGTCAAGTATTTTCTGAAATATTCAAAGGACACCAATGTTATTGCAGACGCCGGAACAGTTCTGACAAGGTTAGTTGTGAAGCCCGAGTAGAATCCTTTTAACCCTTCGGCCTTGTAAGTGCACGAAACCAGTCGTATCAGACCGTGATTGGTGGTGGGTCTTAAAGCATTCTTATTCTCCGCTGGTGGTGCTTTCAGTTGCATCCGTGTGCGAAGAATCTCATGCGGATATGTAAGCGTGCTGGCCACCATTTTTGACACGCTGGATGCAGTTATTAAGCGCGCTATATCTAGCTTATGGTCTTCAAAGTCAGCAAAAGAACGTGAGCAATGCAGCCACACTTTGAGTTTCTCGTAGATGGGGAAATGGATGGCAACATGGAACAGCCCAAATAGCGACGGAAGTAATCCCGCATAAAACGTCTTGAAACCTTCGGTAGTGTATATTTTATAGAATGCGTCGAAAGTTCCCTTGTAGTGAGTAGTATTTTTGTCCACATGCGTTTGTAACATCAGTCTGGTTTTGACCACCCAGACAGGGTTCGTCAAAATGGTTGAAACGGAGCCAGCGGTCAAAGCCGATAAAGAGTGCGATAGAAAGTCAGAAGACGGAAAGAGCTGTGGATAACGCTTTTTGCTCTTCTCATAAACCGTGAAGTAGATCATCCATGTAGGAAAGTATCCCATGATGATGGGCACGAGACCTTTGTATAAACCTCGTACACCTTCGTCGCGAACAATGGTAGTGAGCGTTCCAACTATACCATTATAGTATTTGACGGACCCGGAACGTAAGCCCTGTGCCTGTAATCTAGTCTTAGCCACGTCCAAAGGGCAAACCGTAACGCCGGCCAGAAATCCCGCCATGGCTCCGGCAAGGGCAGTGATCTCAAAATCCCCGAAGCCGCCGCCTTCCACTGATTTGGATTCACCATCATCTCTCCCTCTGTTACGTCTAATTCTGCCAAAGTCTTCCAGGACATCTGCCGACGAGAGCGGGGTCGAACAATCCGGCGCAAATATCTCATCAAATCGAAAGTCTGGCTTCCCTGGAGCATTTTTGGCGAGCTCTAGAGATAAGCTTGTCACGGGTATATCATCCTCAGAGTACAAGGTATTGTTCGGGATCGGGCTCATATGAATTTTTTAGATCCATACGTCGAGGTTTTACGATAGTATACGGGTCTCTTTGTTTTTTGGGTATTTTTTATGAATTATCAGCTTCGATCGACAACTTAATGACGACAGCTATCTCGTAAAGTGACAATTCTGAATAAATTCAAGAACTTCGGCATGAGAAAGCGCTCGGGCTAAACACGATAGATCAATCTTTGGACGGCGCTTTCTTTGACTTTTCAATATAAGACTTCAAGCTTCCGGCCTAAGCATCTTTTCTGACATTGAAATTTAGCTGATGATTTTATATTCTGGAATAGTCAGGCATAAACTTAGAGATTCCTATTGATGAATGGGCAGCTTTTTGAATGAGCAGCTATTCGGCTCTAGTGAAACTGGGCTTTGCCTTTAGTGGGCTGCGCCCTTGATCTGTCGACAAAGAGAGTAGGAAAGTTAGTTCGAAGGGCTGAAGTTCTCTTGCGTCGCACGTAAAAAGGCTGCCTATAAAACCTGTGGATCAAGAGTCATGAACTTTGAGTATTTTGTAGAATGCAACCATCAAGTACGGAAGACTTGTGGCTACGGGCAGAGCCGTGAGCTGTGCAAGCTTTTAACAATAACAAATGCCGATTGAGATATGTTTTCGACCAGCGAATGACGAGAAAATTCAGAATGCATAATATTTAGAAGTGGATAGTTGCAGTAAACTATGGGGGGCCGCATCTTGTCTATAGATGACCCATGCAATTAGGAGATATGAAAATACTTCTGGGAAGGAGCATATTGTTGAGAGTCCAAATGTCTCGTAATATGAGCCAAAGGCGGTAAGTCTATGCCCGAGGAGGACTGGTTATTGATAGGAAGACCTGGTCGGTAGTCATTGTGGTGGAGAGACTGAGAATCATCAAACAGTGCGTAGCTTTGATGCATTGGAACCTGTGGCCAGGGCGGAAGTAATGGAGGCGGAATATGAACATGATGCCACGATGGATTTGCTGACATTGAGTACGCTGAGTTAATTGGAGGGGGTAGGTACACGGAAGAACCACGCTTGAATGGTTGGTGATGTGGCCTTTCTAGAGGCGTTGTACGCTCAGCTGTGTGAGGAAACCCCGGCAGCTGTGGCTGTTGCTCGCGAGGAATTACCAGAAGGGACGCCTGAGTCTGTGAGACCGGAGTTGTCTGCCGCTCGCATTCGTGGGATGGAGCGGGAAACTTGAAGTGCTCGGTAGCCGTCATGGCAGGTAGCGACGCAACGCGCTGAGGAAATCCGGCAACATACGATTGTTGGCAGTGAGGTGAGGTTTTGGGCTCGGATAACAAATATGGGTTATCCTGTGGTGATTTCAGAGGAAACGAGTGAGTGCTTGACGGAGTAGTTGGCTCAGGTGTTGTGCTAAGGCCCCGGTGGTTTCCACCTACATTACTCTTCTCCAGTGCCTGCACAAGTTCGGCACAGGGCGTTACAGATAGGAAAAAGGAATCAGTTGAAGGGGTTTTGAGAAGTCCCGATTCCGAGTCTTGCTTGGTGAAATAAGAGATCAAATGAACCGTCTGGCGTTGCTGGAGCACCTCGTCATACAAATGCAATGACATGGCTTTTTTGATGAGACCTCCAGCACGCAAAGATCCGCCTGTCGGATTCATGGGAGAGACCGGCCGAGCTTGAGCCGTTCCAGTAGAGGATTGTGTGCGTTTGGCTTTATCAAGCTCGCGGTAGACAAGAAACTTGCCTAAAATTCGCGATGGGGACCATGGCAGGCCGTCGGTCCAGCGACGAATGCCAGAGAGCTCTTCAACGAATACGAATACGTTTCCCGAAATGATGAGTTGAGAACGCTCAATTTCTGTTGGTCTGCGAGGAACGGCTGTGAGTTTTCCTTCCAGGACAGCTTGCAAGACGAGAAGCATGTCTGCGGGAGAGTCAACATAGCCTCTAAAAGTGGGGGTTATTGCGGCCAGCGAGGCACGCATTGGGTTCCGATCTGTGAGCTCCGAAAATATGAAGGGAAAGTAAGCGCACGCAAATATCCAATGCGCTTTTATGAGTCGTTTGTCGCTATGAGCCTTCTCTATTTTTTTTCGTGACGCTCTATCTCTTTTAGCGCGATGCTGATGTCAACCGTGGAAAAAGTGACTAAATGAAGAGAAAGAACGGGTACCACTTGGCAAGAAGCAACAGAGGCGCGAGTAAATGACGCAAATGTAGGGAAATGATGGCACCTGTTCGATACAAGTCTTCTGGAAATACCTGGGAATGCTTCAAGGCCGATTTTTCGGGAACAAAAATTTGGTTCGAATTAAGCAGATCAAAAACCCAAACCGCCAGTTAGGGACTAGCAGTTTTAAAACCATCGCTTTTTATCTTCGGAGTCGAAATCGAATCTAGAGTCACAGCACGCGCGCTCTCGAGGGCTACACATTGTATTTTTTTTTTTGGTATTGCTCAATGTAGCGAACCCAACTATGCGAGAATTGACAGGGAAGTGGAAAAAAAATCCAACGCTGTAATAGCGAGCAGAGCGGGCGACAGTTGAGTTGGACGTGGTCGGCGCACGGAAAACGGCCGCGTGGTGAAGCGAAGAGAAACAGAAATAAAAAGCTTAACGAGCCATTGTAGGGTTTATTGAGCAAAAACAATTCTCGGCTCGAGGGAGACCTGCGTGCAGGCGTGACTTGCGCAGTTGTAGCTGAAGACTGCAAAAATACCACAAAGGCCCGCGGGCTTAACTGTATTTTGGGTTTTAGGACCCTAACCCATTACAGAGTTAGAGAGAGCGTTAGCAGGCTATCCTGCAGTTTCGCTTGTCACGAATGCTCGAAGCGCGGTACATTAATTTTAGAGTGTTGCTAGACTTAAGCGGAAAAAATCACCTTATGACGGGCCCTGCAGAATACACGGTTTAAGAAGAGACGCCCACGCAACAATGACAAGCCCCGCTTAGCTCGAGTTTACTTTACCAGTGGTAGCCCCGTCAAAAGCCTGCATCACACACAGCCTTTGAGTAGCAAAGAACCTTCTTTCTTGGGCGCTTTTAGTACATGAACCGAGCTTATTTCTTGTAGGTTCAAGAAAAATGGGTATTTTCCGATCAATTAAATTACACTTTGGGTTTTTCCGTCGGAGAAAAGTACACAAAGAGCAGGTGCCTGGAAAAATACGAGCTGGACGTTTTTTCCGAACTTTGAAGCGGAAAAATATCCGGAAAAACATTTGTCCGAAGGAGATGTGTGTGGCCCACTCAAATGCTGGTGCGGAAAAATTCTAAGATTCACATGTATTGGGTTATGTTGTGTATGTAGTATTATTGATAGGGTTCAAAACGCAATGGAACGGTACTAGCTGTGACCATGGTTTTGGTCGGGCCTCCAATTCCGTACGCTATTTAATTGAATCCACCCTTTTCTTGGCTTTCAAAAGGAGAGAGAGAGAGAGAGAGAGAGAGAGAGGCGAGATGCGGTTAGAAATTCGTAGAACATCCCACAAGCTTGAAGAGCCTGAAATCCGGTCAGGTCAGTCTGTGGGGCTCTCTTGAAGCCTTTCTTTCATGTGATTCACTTACTGTTTCTCTTCTCGTTTTGTACGAACCCATATCATTTCGCGACTTAGACAAACAGCGTCAACCACTAGATACACTGGATGCACTGGATGCACTGTCTGGTAGTGGGACTCTTGCAAACATTGTGATCTTTTCTATCCTCCAGGTATTGATCGCCGTGCCAGATTGGCCCTGGAGATCACTTCCAACGACAGTGTCGTTGCATTATAATTTATAACAAGATTTCTGAGTCATAAATTTCATCTCTCACATCTATCGCAGTCTGCACGCGCATCTCATCGCAACAAAGGCGTTCGTTCATCACCGTCACCATCTACCAATAAAGAGGCTCTTTTGGCCTTACTCCGACTGATTGGCTGAGCGAAGAGATAGCGCAGCTTTAAACGCAGTGTGGAATCACGAAAAAAAATTTTTTCTCCATTCATTCTCAGCTTATCGTCGCAGGCCCATGAGTATATAACCAGCACTTAAAATGTCGATAGGACCGGATGTCAGTAGGCAATTCAACTTCGTATTCCATCTGTAACGAGAGACAAAGCTTTCCGAAGCACACAAACTAGAGCTTTTTTGAGAGAAAGACAGTGACTCATTTCGGAACGCAAATAGTCGCAAATCCAAACACATCCACCCCCAAAACAAAACCACCAAACGTCGCCTTTCCTTTCCTAGCGACACAACCTACAACTACTACACCCGCGATCATCATTAAAAAATTTAGCCAAAAAGCTCAATTTTTGACCCATTTTTATTAAGTTACTTAGTCCCGATTACACTCGAACAATAACTAGTGTCTTAGCAAAAATGGCCTGCTAAATTTTTTACTGTCCCAAGTACGTGAAAAGAATTAATTTAGAAGAAGAAGGTATTCCACATGTCGCAATAACAAGTATTCTCAGCATCCAACTGTGAATCCTGAATTTTATTACTACTGTATCCCCCCCCCCCCAACGCCTTCATTTTTTCTGTCTTTTTACCCAATCGCGCGTAAATGTGTTGTCTCTCAGCCCGCATCCCGCTTTAAAGCCCCCCGAAATGTTTCTCAATACATCCCAATAAAGTGTCTGCATTTATGCATTGAACCACGACATACCGTCCAACATGGCGAGTTTTTAAACTACATTCATCTGCCTCCCCCCCTCTCTCTTTCCCTCCCCCAGAACCCCGAATTTTATCTCAAAGTCAATTCCCAACTTGAATTTTTCAATATCAATTAATCCAAAAATGTCTGCTACTCACTTTCCCTCTTTATTCGATATGACTGTCCTGGAGTCGCAGCAGCAGCAACAGCAGCAGCCCCATGTGGCAGTCGCATCGGAACAAGAGATGCAGCAGCCCCACGAACCAATTATTGGCGAACTCATCTTTGACAAGTTCGCTCAATCGCAGCCTCGCGCAGAATCCTTCTCAGCGGCCCGTGCCGTTAAAGTCAAGACGGAGTTTGAATCGCCACTCCTCGGAGACACTCCCTTGACTGACAACGACGTCAACAGCGCCGCTGACGACTTGGACCATTTCTTTGCTTCAAGTGCCGACTCTACACCTTTGTTTGGCCTTGAAAGTGTTCAATCTGACCCTCAGACTTGGGAGTCTTTGTTTGACGATGATATCTCAGTGAGCGTCACTGATCCTGCTTCAGTGCAGCCATCTGACGCTGTTGATGCCGTGAGCTCCGAGCCCGCTGTGTCGCAAACATCCACTGCCATCGATCAAAGATCCTTCTTGCCAACGCCTGTTATTGAGGATGCCAAGATTCCAGCAACTATGAAATCGGCCTCCTCAAGTGGTATGGTGCAGAAGCCCTCAAGTCTAGACCGCATGGGATTCGTTCCATACACACGTAAGAACCGGGTTGCTCCACTTACTCCGATAATACCAGAGTCAGATGATCCTGTCGCATTGAAGCGTGCGAAGAACACTGAGGCCGCAAGACGTTCGCGTGCCAGAAAACTTCAAAGAATGAGCCAGCTTGAAATTAAGGTGGAAGAATTGTTGAAGAAGAACACCGAGCTGGAACAAGAAGTTGCTACCTTGAGGTCATTACTTGGTGGTCAATTATAATTGGCTACGTAATTATATATGTTTCAGTATGTCTTCAAGGAGACTCTTATGTTTTACAGGTCCATTTAGTTTTGGCATTTGTTCAGCATTGTATTACCAAGTCATGTGTTTTTGTTAAAGACGTCGTTATTTAGATGGTGAACTCAGTTACTCTTCCATCACGCAAATCCTTGTAACCAGGCAAGATGCGACAAGAGAACCGTTTTGATATTCTTTCAGGAGGTGTGGAAGATCCAAACGTTAGCGTCAAATTATCGAATCAGCTCGCACATCTTTCAGAGCTGTCGACTCCTGAGGTATTTGACCTAAAAACGGAAATAGAGAATGAACTAAGTACTCTGTTCGAGAAACTAGAGTCACAAGGAGCAGACCTTAATTCCAGTCTGGTAACACCAGATGGATTTCCGCGATCAGATGTTGATGTTTTGCAGGTGCGACTACTTAGACGCAGCATAAACATGCTTAGAAATGATCTTAGTGCGGTTATATCCAGAACGCAGGAAATCATGGCGTCACATTTTCAGAAAATGGAGATCAAGACCCAAAGAATCGACAGCGACAACGCTTTTGACTATCGAATTCCATTTGCATTGATTACCGAGGTAGTCCCGGGGAGTCCCTCACAACAAGCTGTATGTGCCAATTTCGGCGGTGGATCAACATATATGAACGCAATACTAACTTAACATCCAGGGCTTATTGGCTCAAGATAAGATCGTAAGATTTGCCAATATCCATGCTGGAAATCACCAGTCTTTGTCCGCCGTTGGGTCTGTGGTAAAAAATAGCGAAGACAGTCCACTTGCCATTCGTATTCTAAGAGGCGAGAAATATCATAATCTGACATTAACACCATCGAATAATTGGGCAGGCGCAGGCCTTTTAGGGTGCAGATTGGTACGGATTTGATATTGATTTCACTATCTATTTACAAATGGTTCAAAGCAGTACATGAACGCTAGCCACCGTGAAGTGTTGAAGTGAACGATACAATGTCGCCATCTTCTAGGATGTAATCTTTCTCGCCCTCCAGTTCCCAATCAGTATCATTTATGAGCGTCAAAATACCAGGTCTCACCGTATTGTTTTCAATGAAAACGTCTTTGTCGCTCGTATTCTTGATCATGTTTTCAACTATGTAATCGATGAGTGTCCCTACCGATACCTCATCTCCGTCTTTGCTTGGAACACTCAGTTTATGAGTTCTTTGTTTCTCAAAAATAACATCTAGACCACCCAAAAACTCTACCTTTACGTTGACCATATCTATGCTAACTGGGTCCCGCTGTATCTCAGTGGTGCGTATCATCGGCTGGCTAGGCAATACTTGTTCATGATGCAATGAAATTTAAAGAGCTTTCAAGTCATCTTACCTGGATAGTGCGGTATTTACAGCTCTTTCTTTAGTGATAGCATACCAAGCTTGCGTGGCGTAATGGCAACGCGTCTGACTTCTAATCAGAAGATTGTGGGTTCGACCCCCACCGTGAGTGCATTTATTTTTTATGTTTTTTTTGTCATTCTTCATGTTACTCGGCCTCATGTCTGGACCTCATTGAATTCAGTGTGATGGAATTTGACTGACTATTTGTGCGTTGCTGTGATCAACCTTTCGATAACCGTGATTTTGGATTATATTGAATTCCTCGAGCACATTGCATTAACCATGCTTTTATCATTTCTTCACTGTAGAATTTATCTTGCTCTCAGTACTCAATTGAAAGAGCTTTTAGTCGGAAATCGGTGACAGCTTTCAACATGCGCAATTATAATCAAACTTATTTCTGTCATTCTCTGCATGTGTATCTCGGTCAATGTTTCTTGCATTCCACATTTCAGCGTCAGTTTTGTTAAGTCAAATTATAATGATGCTCGGAGTGATGTACCGTGAAGTAAACATAAAATAAGTGGACAACACACAGAATGCCACACACATGTAGGGGTCTCACTTTTTGTTACTTCTTACAGAATGGTTGGGACATTTACATTCTAAAGCTTAGAGAACCTATTCTATTTATTGGAAGTAGTTCAATCTTCAATAAACTGCTTGTTCTTCACTAATCACCAATCACTGATGTCCGCTCAATCAGTCCAGATAGACCTGTTTCTGTAGTTTCTAGTGCTAGCGTCAAAAAAAACTATGAGAGCACCATTAAAGCGTGTCCAGCTAAACGTCTTTCGTGTGTTTCAGATGCTATCATACCATCAATTTGGTATAAGCAAGCATAGCTTCATTAATCTTCAGAAATGAAGCGGTGGCTCAATGGTAGAGCTTTCGACTCCAGTTTAATCCTGGATTATTAGGAAACAATTGCAATCGAAGGGTTGCAGGTTCAATTCCTGTCCGTTTCATTTTTTACATTTTTAAATCATAAAGCACGTGATATAAGAAGTTTGCTGATTCGGCTTCAAGTCCTTACTCACGGTCCTTGTTGGTCATACGAAATTTCTTATTTAGATTACGGCTTATATTGGTGAAGAAACCATGGTATTTCAAGTTGATCCGCGATAGTTTAGTGGCTAGAATTCGGGCTTGTCGCGCCCGGGACCGGGGTTCAATTCCCCGTCGCGGAGTTCTTTTTAAATTTTTTGATTATTTATTCAATATTGATACCATCTCAAAACCACCGCTTATAATAAAGTGAAGTATACATCTGAATAAAACGCCAAATTCATTACAACAAAGAAAAAAAATCAATGTCGAAGGTCATTGTCAGCTACAAGAAAAAACAGAATGAATCCTTTTACCTGCGCTCGTGGATAGTTCGTGACGTTCAGGAGCTGGTTGCTATCCATGCTACTTATCCTGCGTGGCCCGTTATTAAAAAATTCGTACCGCCGTTCAAAACGACAGGTTCATCAGTGTTCAATAGTCAAAATCTACAGAATGCCCGTCATTTCGTGAAAGTGACAGGGTTCCATAAAATTGATAACTACACCGTATCTGGTTCAGTACGTGACGACTGCTGCCATATTCTTAGTTGAGTTCTCGCCCACTTGCGTCGCGGATTTTGAGCGACATCACGGAATACGAATCACGTCCCAGACTGTTAACACTATCTTCCTCATCGGTGATGTGACACTCAAATTTGTGCCAGTGCGGGAGCTCCGTGCATCAGGTAAATGGTCTTTGAATTTCGATGTCGATTCTCGTGTTACAGCGGTCCCGGTGCTGGTGATCAATCGATGTCAGGCTTTCGATTTAGATCAAGTGGAAGCGCGCCTCAGATTTCCGTTTCTCTATCAACTTGAGTCGTTTATTGAAAAATTCCGTAGCAGGCCCGGAGTGATTCCCATGGATGAAGGATGTTGATTTGATTAATGATTATTCCCACAAATAAGAATTGATGTAAAACAATGCCACCAAAAAGCATCTAGCAGAACATGAAAGCTACCCTACAAAAGTATCAAATTTGTGCTAGAGTCATGGACAGCCACACATCCCACGGCAGGTCATGATCTCCCAGAGATTGCACTGTTGACCACGTCGAAATGTAAGATCTCACAATCAGCACGTGATCCCGGTCATAATCGAAAGTGGTTATTATTATTAGATGTATATATAATGGGCAGTGCGAACATCGACACCAGACGGTAATTCTAGTTTCGATCACCCACAGCAGGCCTTCAATACTCATTGAGAAAGTTGATATGACCTCTTGTATCTACTTTTGCGATAATAAGGGGAAAACAATTCTTTCGAGGCGATACCGCGACGATATCCCACCGTCAGCGATTGAAAAGTTCCCGTCTCTGTTACTCGAAGCCGAGCATGAGTCCAGCATAATTCCGCCGTGTTTGACGCACAATGGCATCCAGTACTTGTTTATCCAGCACAACGATATCTATATTTTGACCATGAGCAGCTCGCTTTCGGTCAACGTCGCACAAGTCTTTTCATTTCTGTATAAGCTCGTCGATGTGCTTGCAGAATATGTCAAGGCTGTGGAAGAAGAGTCTATTCGGGATAATTTCGTGATCATATATGAGCTATTGGATGAAATGATGGACTATGGTGTTCCCCAAATCACGGAGACAAAAATGCTCAAGCAATACATTACTCAAAAGTCCTTTAAACTCATAAAATCCGCCAAGAAGTCCAAGAATGTTGTACGGCCGCCATCCGAGTTAACTAAATCCGTCAGTTGGAGGCCAGAAGGAATTGTTTACAAGAAAAACGAAGCCTTTCTGGATGTGGTCGAATCAATCAACATGCTCATATCCGCTAACGGTCAGGTCTTAAGGTCCGAGATTCTGGGCAAAGTTAAAGTCAAGTCACATCTTTCGGGCATGCCAGACTTAAAACTCGGCCTCAACGATAAGGGGATTTTTACCAGCGGCGATTCTGGTAGCAAAGCAGAGGCGAACCCCAGCAAAAAGGCCAACATAGAGCTGGAAGATCTCAAGTTTCATCAGTGTGTCCGCTTAAGCAAATTCGAAAATGAGAAAATCATAACGTTTATCCCACCAGATGGTGACTTCGAGCTCATGAACTACAGGCTGTCTTTACCTATTAAACCTCTCATTTGGTGCGATACCAAGATTCAGGTCCACTCGCAGTCAAGAATCGAAATTCACTGTCGAGCAAAGGCCCAGATAAAGAAGAAGTCAACAGCCAACAACGTTGAGATTCTAATACCGGTGCCTGAAGATGCAGATTCACCTAAGTTCCGTTATTCGCACGGCTCATTAAAGTACGTCCCAGAGAAAAGCGCCATTTTATGGAGAATAAAAAGTTTTAATGGCGGGAAAGAATACTCGTTTGCAGCACAATTGGGATTGCCGTCAATGACAGATGCGGATGTGCCCAGAGTTAAGCGGCCTATTCAAGTTAAATTCCAAATTCCCTATTTCACGACATCTGGAATTCAGGTACGTTACCTCAAGGTTCATGAGCCTAAACTGCAATACCAGAGCTACCCTTGGGTCAGATATATAACAGAGAGCGGTGACGACTACACCATCAGAACAGCATAAAAAATAATGTCAATTTTCTACGAAAAAGTGCCTAACGTTTTCAACCACTGAAGGTGGAGTTCATAAAAAGACAACAGCGCACTGACATTTACATGTGGACATGGATTACACGTCATTCTCTGAAACAAGCAGACTTATAATTAGTCCTCTTCCTGTACATCGATTTTCTCCTCGTCTTTATCATCTAAGTACTCCTCGCCTTCGGTGCCCTGAGCCTCTAAATCCCTTTTTTCATCCTCAACGTCGCCGTCAGCTTCATTGTCAGCCCCAACGTCCTTTTCTGCAGGTTCGTCTTTCTTCAAGTTTTTCTCGTCGTATTCTTCATCGTCTTCTTGGCCAATTTCCTCCAGTTCTGGGTCCTCGGCGTCATCTGCGGCGAATTCACCATCTTCCTCTTCTTCTTCTTCTTCTTCTTCTTCTTCTTCTTCTTGTTCGTCCTCTTGCTCGCCTTCTGCTTTGGTCTTTCCCTCGTCACCTTGGTCGTCCTCCTCAGGCTCCTCTGCTTCCTTACTCTCAGAAGCCTCAGTTGCAGCCTGCATCGCGTCCCTCACCGAGGGTTCTGGCGATACACCAATTCTCTTGTCCACCAACTTACCATTCGAAAACACCCAGTGCGACCGCTGCGTGGAAGACGAGTTCTTCTTGGCCCCTAACAGCCCAATCAACTCGCGGCCAGGGTCTGAAAGCAGATCATAAGGCAGCGAATGCTTTGATTGGAAGCTCTTTTGGGCATTGGGCGAGTCCGCACTCAGACCAAAGACTGCAGCAATTTCCTTCAACTCTTCATAGTTGTCTCTGTAAGCACAGGCCTGTTTGGTGCATCCAGGTGTACTGGCCTTGGGATACGCAAAAATCACCACAACTTTGTTCTCTTTGGCAACTTTTTGCAGCGAAACTTCCTCTCCTTCCTGGTTTTTCAACACCATGTCCGGAATCTTATCGCCCAATTCCAACTCATTCTTACTGGACTTTGGCTTTTTCGTAGAAGGCTCCTCTACGCTTTCTTCTGGTTCTCTTTTTGACACCTTAGGCTCACTGGAGCTTTTTGCTCTAGATGAACGACGCAATTCGACCATTTCCGACTCTGAACAACGATTACTTTAACTTCTTCACTGCACGCAACTAAACTTGCTGCGTAAACTACTTCGTATTGGGCAAACCCCTATTCGACAAGTAATACATATTAATATTTACTGGCACTATTACGTCAAGTTTATATACATCGAAAAACAACGTCCCAACTTCTGAGCGCAAACTAGTTTAAATGGTCCAACCCATAAAACAACCAATAAAATAATCCGCTGCAATCCTTTGGGTTGACGACGTAATGATATTGCTTGCAGATCATAGAATGAAAATCCAGACGTGTTATGTTGTAATCAAGCACACACGCTGGGAAGAAAAAAAACCACCCGTTCAGTCTTCAGCGTGACTCGTAGTTGCGTAATCGTCCTCGTCGTCTTCGTAGCTATGCTCACTGTAGTTGGCAGAGTAACCTTCGTCTTCATCATCATGGTCGTCTGCGTCAAGGTCGTCATAGTGGAGACCTGGCTTGGCAGCGTCCAGGTATTTAGCTTGAGGCTTGCCCTTGGCAGCGGATGAGCTCGAAGTCCTAGTCGCTCTCAATGGACTGTCAGCCCGTCTGGAAGCTTTTCCTGAAGTAGATGAGTGTTCTGCGGTTTCTTCTGTAGCGACGTCGTCCACATCGCTTTCAGAACCGTTGCGCTCTTCGGCCTCGATCTTCAGTTCATGCAAAATGTCAAAACATTCGGCTAGTAGTGCATTGAGCGTTCCCTGACCCTCTGGGATGTTCCCTTCGGAGTCGTAAAATTTCCCGTCCTCGCGAACATTGTCCAGCGACGCCAGCTTCATCTGGTACGGATAAAGCTCTCTGTCATTCTCGACACCGCCCATTCTCTTCAACTCAAGTAGACACCGACGCACAGTAGACAGCTGGTTGTGAATTTTCTGCAGAGCCTCCGAAACGGGCTCTGAACACTCTAGAAGCTTGTATACAATCGCGTAGCACCTGCGAAGCAGGTAGAGCAGAATAGCCTGGCCCTTCGTTTCGGACGAGTCCGTTGGGAATTTTCCTCCGACTCTCAACTTGTCAATCTCCGAAAGTCTCTTCTGGTACCCGAACAAATCGGTTTCCCGCAGCGTCCAACGCCGCGTCACCAGCAGGTTTTCCAGAGTGGTCTTTATGTCGATTAAGTTGTCGTAAATTGGTTGAAGATTTGAGTCTAAGCTAACCAAATTGTTTGCATGATGGGAAAGATCATGTATCAGGTCATGACAGTCATCCAGAAGCCCGTTCAAAACATTCTGTCCCCTCTCTGCGACTTCCCCGGTCTCTGAAGAGATAAACTTTCCGGAAGCGTCTCTGCGCGACTCTATTTCTGTCAATTCGGCCTCCAGAGCATGCAGCTTTTGCTTGACACATTCCTGAGACACGGGTGCACCGGCACCCTTGGGATCCCCAGTCGTGGGCTGTCTTCCTCTCTTCGCTGACGCAGCTAGTGACAAAAGCCCCCGTCTGAGTTGGAAAAGTTTTTCCATCGTTCCTTGCAAGCCACTATCGATTTCCTCTAGTTTGGACTCGATGTGCTCGTATTCTTGTAAGCAGTGCTTTAGCTTTGCGCGCAACAAAAGATCTTGTTCGATTTTGTTACGATCTTCTTCGGCCGCTAACTTTGTTAGGTCAATGCTGCTGTCAGAACCGTTGGTTTCGGGGACACACGAGCTCCGGGTCACAATCTTCGAGATTTCATCCAGTCTTTCTTTGATGGGGCCCAGATCGTGGTGCGTGAAAACATTCGACTCGTCCAAATGTTCCAGAAGCCGTTGCACCGTGCTGAGAGAGGCATAAGTCGCGGGTGCCGAGTTTTTAAGCCCCACAGTCAGAAAACTGAGCGATAGCAGCTGAAAAACGTCGTCCAGCACCGAATCCACTCGGTTGTGAAGCTTCACGTTGTGTATCAGGGTCGTGGTGCTGTCGGCTGGGATATTGTGAGCGGCCTTTCGGATCGCATCCAGCTCGCATACTTTGGTGAGAACTTGTTGGTAAGAGGTCAGAACGTCTCTGGAGTTCAAATACTGCGTCCGATTCTGTTTGAGACGAGATAGAAAGCTTCTCACTTCTAGAAAATACGCCAAGCTCGCTTCTTCTTCCGGAGGAACCGCCTGTAACTGTTTCTGCATGATGATCGGGGAACTTGTTATTCGATATGTCAAGTAAACAGCCTAAGTCAGCACGTTCAAAGGGAAACTCGAGCTGATCTGTCCGAAATCTAAGGCGATAACGGGCAAACTCGACTGGTATTTATTCGAATTCAAAAGTGGCTTTTGGGTTTACCAATTGAATCGTCTAATCACTTCCTGTTATAAAGCCTGAAAAGTTGTTCGTTGAAGCTCTTCAGTAGCAGAGACAGTTTCCTTTTCCAACAGTAAGTTCTTGACGTACATGTTTGTAAAATCGCTCAACTCGAAAAGTGTTGATGGCACTTTGAACGAAGGGCTCTGGAGCTCTTAAGATTGGACAACTTTGACGGTCTGCTTAGGTCTTGGCATAGGATACACTTAAAAGGTTGATTTTTTGTAGAGATCCGAGTGCAATGTGCACAGGAATTGTAGTGGAAATATATACGAGAAGTTTCCCGGCTCAAAGCATGAAAAAACACGATATTCCAATATTTATACTCGAGACTATGTTACAGATGTACTTGGGTGATTCGAAAGACAACGGTATGAAGGATAGAGCGAGAGGAAGAGAGACAACAACAAGAAAATTGCCTAAAATTTGCCGGTTTTTTTCGTTGTTGTCGTTAAACAAGTGGCTTTTGTCCTGGAAGTCGTTCCTAAGCAACCCACACCGCTCTTCCTGCCTCTCGTTATTCTCCGTTGAGTTTCTCACGCGTCAGGGTTGGCCACCGTTAGGGTTTTTGGGGCGTTCTTATCTGGAGCGCCCGGATGGTCCATCAACAACGACCCGTTGCTGATCCGACGGGCGTCGTCGAAGGGATTGGGACCCTTAGCCGTGGACACTGAAGACCGGTACAGTGTCTCGTCGAAATCCACGGGTTTAATGGCCTCTTGGTACTCCTTCTCCATACGCTCCTGTTCACGCTTCTTACTGATACGCCGCAGCACTAGCAGAACCAGCACCGCTATCGCAGCGGCGCCGCACACGCCGCCTACCACCCCTCCTACGATGGCCCCAAGGTTTTTGGGCTTTTTCTTGGACTTCCCATCACTGTCTGCGTTGCTGTTGCCCGTAGAAGCCGGTGGGCTGGTCGTAACGGTCTGGATGACGATGCTGACGGATCCGCCTGACGTTTGTGTTGATGTCACGACGTTGTTGCCCGAGGTCGTAGCCGGCGACGACGACGACGAGGCCCCAGAGCTACCTGAGCTAGATGCAGTAGTAGAGGCGCTGGAGCTTGTCGAGTGTGAGCTGGCCGTCGCAGACGTGGCTCTGGAAGAAGCCGAGGCCGACGAAGCCGATGACGCCGACGAGGACTGTGAGCTGGAACTGGAGCTGGAGGCCCCGCTCCCACTGGATGACACGCCGGAACTGCTTCCAATATTCTCTGTGAGTCCGTAGACCGAGTACGAAGACTCTCCGCCGCACATAGCTTGACCGTACCCGTTGCATACAACGTTACATTGCGAGCTGGTGCTCTCGCTGCTTGCAGGGTTCGAGCTGCCGCAGTAACAATCTCCACCATTATGGAGCGCTAGGTATTTCGCGTTCACTGATTTGCACGACTGGTAGCACAGCGAACTGGTCTGGTACTGGTTGTTGTTGTTGAAATCGAAATCCGATGGTAAGCTCGCAAAGCAATTGACGTACGATATGTCTGCTCTGCAAACCGCCGCCATCACCAGACAGATATAGAATAGCCGCATTCTAAACTTGTCTTGCTTGTTGATGTTCCTGACTAGCTGTTGCCCCGTATCCCTGTCTGTTGTCGTCGATGTTTTCTTGTATAATTGTCAAGAATGAGTATGGGTTCGATATAAAGCTGATTTAATTTACTGATTTTTAGATACAATAATCATCACAACAATATTCAGACTGTAAATAAATAAAAGAGCGTAAATGTCGAGCTTGAAGCCAGTTTCGCGCGATTTGAATAGCACGATCACCTCCGGCGTGTTGCGCACGTCAAAGACATGGGTCTTGCCGCCACGAACGAAACCTGGGAGGCGTCCTAGAACGCATTGGCGACATGACCAGGAAACAGAGGAAACGGACCAGGATTTACGCGAATCCAGCAAGAAAGCCAAGAATAGGGACGCGCAGCGTGCTTTTAGAGAGCGGCAAACGAAACAGCTGGCGGAATTGCACGAGGAAGTGGCAAAATGGAGCCAAAAATGCGCTTTTTACAAGCAGGAACTCGACAAACACATTCAGCAGGTGAAACGACTCGAGGGAGAGAACCAGGAGCTGGCAGCCCGGGTCAATAAACTCGAGAATAATGCCCCGAAACATAATGAGTTGGAAAAATGCGACATGTGCACGCAGGACCTGTGCATATGCCAGGAAGTTGGTCTGAGGCCCCAGCGCGACGCAGCACTCGAGGCGATGATCGCGACGCTGACGCCCTCTTTGTGGCACAAAATTGACACCTTTAGACCCATGCAGGCGGTGGCTCTACCGCAATCGCTGCAGGCTCGCCGAAAGCGCAAGAAAGGGCCAGAAACTTCCGGCAACTTCCCAGTGCTGAAAAAGTCGGCACCATCAGTAGAGCTAGACGGTGTTTTTCCTTCTTTGAGAGTGTCTAAGACCTCTGGCGTCCCGGAAAGTGCAGGAAGTAATATATCCATGTTCAAAAAGATGGAAGGCTCTGTCAATAGTTTCGAGGCGTCGTCACCACATGATAGCGGTCCAGCGACCGCCGTGAGTGAATCTTTAGACTTCCCAGTTGAAAGCGAAGGGTGCGGCTTCTGCTCAGAAACCTCGGCGTGTCTGTGCAGGGATCAACTGGGACTAGATTCAACCCAGCACATATGTCAGGGATCCCAAAGCACGCCGGCCTCGACAGAGGTCGCCAACGATAAATTATTTTTTAAACCGAGAGCTATAAAACAGTGACATTCACACCTATTGAGAAGTCACTGATTTTGATAAATTAAAGAACGTAGTTCCAAACGTGCGCCATAGCCCGGAAAAGTGTTGGCACTTCTGCGGCGGCCACAGCATTGCCCTTTGACTTAGAAGAGCTTTGGGTAGAGCTGGTGGCGCTGGTTGCGCTGGAAGATGAGCTCGCACTGCTAGAAGAGGAACCTTCTGACGCTGACGAAGATGACAACGAAGCCGACTGGGTTGTAGAGGCGGCGTCTGCGGTGAAATAGTCGCTTAGATTTGTGTCTCCGCATCTAAACTGTGTTGGGTACCCCGTTCCCATTGGTTCGCCTGCGCCCTTGGAGAAAAAGGCAGACGCCGCGCTTGGCATGGCAGGCAGGGTGTTGTTGGCTTCCCATTTCCCTGCTTCGTAGGTGGGGCATGTAGACACATTGTTGTTTTTGGCGTAGTTGCCGTCTCCCGTGGGGTTTTGGGTGCTTTCAAACTCCGATTTCAGGTTTTGATAATCTTGGAGCGTTGTCACGGAAGTGTCGCTATCTATTTGCACCAGACCGTAGTTATTGGCCTCGTTCGAGTACTCGTAGACGAGCCCGCCCGAGAAGACTGAGGACATTTGAGTGGAATAGATGGAGCCGATTTCGGTGAAGGGTCTGGGAGTGACCTTGGTGCAGCCAAACTCACTTAGGAAGAGTGGCACCGAGTAGTTGCTGTAAGCTTTCACCTTGGTGGAGTAACCAGACACCTGGAAAGATGACTTCCCACACCAGGAGTAGTCGTTCACGCCAAACATGTCGACACGAGCATCTGCGTCATCGCCACAATTGAAGTAGTGAGCTGCCAATTGCACGTTTTCGGTGACGTCTGCTGCAGAGTAGCCCACAGGGATCTGACGGTAGTTTCTGGCACGCATATATTTTTTCATATCTCTAACAACCGCTTTCACGTAGGTAGCGGTGTTGGTGTTGGTTTCATCGTTGATGACCTCGTTTCCGGCGAAAAAGCCAAGCACGTTGCTGTAGTTGGCAAATACGTCGATTGTGGCGAAAACGGTTTGTAGATAGTCGGCGTTGTACGAGCAACCGGGGTTGGATCTCGAAATCGAGCTGTCTGGCGTGTTCACGTCCAAGATTACGTAGACACCGGCTTCTGCGAGCATTTGCATACACTCAGTGTGATCTTGCGTGTTGTCCACTGTGTACACTCTGACCGCATTCAGACCCAAATCTTGGAATTTTGGCACATCTCTTTTGCAGATTTCTATGTCCGCTAGCGGATCTGTTAAATTGGAGGACCCACCGGGCTGGTAATCTACTCCACGGATATAGAATCTCTCGCCAGTCTTGGAATCGAAAAACGCATTACCGTCAATTTCGACATGTGCTAAAGTTGCGTTTTCCGCTGCCACGAGCGAGCCAAAGATTCCTAACAAGGAAGAAAGACCCAAGGCTCCTATCCACATCTTTTCCATAGCTACAATATGATTTGTTTAGCAGCTGGAGCCGAATGTCAAGTTATGCTGTGTAAATATTGATTTATCTCGAGAGAGTATTGCTTGATGAAAAAACAAAGCATGGACGGTCAGGTCGATTTTGAAATATAAACAATATTAAAGTAAACACGGTACTCTCAAAATAAAATTTAGCAAAAATAAATGCTTCCAACCAGATTTGAACTGATGATCTCCACATTACTAGTGTGGCGCCTTACCAACTTGGCCATAGAAGCTGTTATTTGTTGAAATATGGGTGTGAGGAAGCCTACATAAGGTATGAATATACTGGTGAGTGTAATTTGAGAATAGGTTGCGACACAGTGGACCGGTGCAGAATCAATGGCATGTTGATCAATCTTGGTGGTCAAGGTTTGATATTTGGGCTTCGGCTTTCAGCTTGTAGTGATTGTTTCCTTTTGTAGTGTCGTTAAGAACCATTATTCTTATGTGTTGTGGAATTCTTGTAGCCTCAGGAAGATAAAGAAGCACCGGTTCACGGCTATTCTGGGTATCGGAAATGCCATAAGAAAATGCTTGTGTTTAGTTCGAGAAGTGTTGCAATTACCATAAGACGCAATAAATTGAAACGGTGCTTAAAAATGTTCTCGTTGTGCCCCAGTCTATTTGAAAATACTCGGAAGATGCATCCTAGCTATTTCTTTACCTGCTGCACTTCGAAGGTACCGAGTTTTCGTATCGGCGAGCCTAAAGAAGACTCGAGAAATACATCACAATATTCATGACAATATCCGATACGGTTTTTTATGCGTCCTCATTACAATTTCTAGCGGGCAATCCTGATCTCTGATTGCGAAAAGCGAGCGCGACAGAAGTTGTTGTTAAGTGATTTGCGTTTGGCTCGCGAGGCTAGCGGTCTGAACAGCCCCGACAAGTCCAACAAGCTACGAAAAATGTTTGCTTTTGGTTCGAAGTTCTTACCCTTGGAAAGCGACTAGTAACCATAGTTTTTCGGGTGGATACACGACTCACGGCTCTTTAAGAATAGCACTATCGATTCCATCTTTGCCCAGGTTCTGTACTAGCCAAGTGGACATGGACATCTGAAAAGATACGCCAAGACCAAAAAGAGATATTTCAATTTCTTCCAGCGAAGCGAAGCAGCGTTGGCATCGGGTACACGCAAATTATACTCATTCTGTCAATTTTGAATGATAGAGCTTTCATTGCTGCACATCGCGCGCTGAATTGTGTTTAACAGTGTATCATTTTAATGAAGTCTAGGGTCTCAGTATCAGTATAGGGCCGGAATTGACAGGTGGTTCCGATCACATCTGCTAGGATTATAGCCAATTCACGACAAAAGCTCTGAATTCCGATCCGCTTTTCTATACAGCGAGCCTTGCCTTCTCAGTAAAAGATGGAAATTTTATGAAACTTTACATCAGCATGCCGAAGTTACAGGTTCCAAATCGAAATTCCTCTCGTACTCAGCATGTGGAAGGACAACAACATCGGGAGGCAGCTACTCATCCTCTGGTGTCTTCGGACCCTGTCTTCAGTCGTTCCTGTCCTGTTCTCGTCAAGATCACACGCCGCATTAATTGTACTTATACTATTTCTTATTATTGTTTTCAACGTTGGCTAGCGCCGTGGCGCAGTGGAAGCGCGCAGGGCTCATAACCCTGATGTCCTCGGATCGAAACCGAGCGGCGCTATTATTTTTTTGATATTATTATTTTATTAATGATTGATCGATGATGTTCAAGACCAGAGGAGCCCAATCCGTGAATTGATCAGGACGTCACATTTCTCCCACCAACTACGAATTCTTACCACACACACAATCACACCCACAAATGGTTGAAGCGTATTATCACGACAACGACGATTCGGTGGATTTCCGAGAGCCACACAACTCGGGTGAGAAGGTTTCTTTGGAACAGCTCGAGCGCGTCGGCGCTTTTTACAAGCATTGTCCCACCCTCGCCGAAGTGGATCAGGTGTCTCTGGACCGGGCTTACAAGAACAGAGACTCGGTCAGCATCTCGTCAGAGAGCCTGGGCGACGCACTCATGCCCAAACTCAAAACGTTCTACGCCGAGCATCTACACGAAGACGAAGAAATCAGGTACATTGTCGAGGGCGAGGGATACTTCGATGTGCGCAATGAGCCCAACGACCGTTGGATCCGCTGCAAACTCGTCCCAGGAGACCTGCTCGTGCTTCCTGCGGGCATGTACCATCGTTTCACTCTAACGACGCAGAACTATGTCAAAGCCATCCGTTTGTTCAAGGACGAGCCCAAGTGGGTCGCTCACGGCAGGCCTGATGCCGACAATTTCGCCATACGTCGCGAGTACTTAGCCTCTGTCCAGCTCGCCTGATCGATGAATACTGGGCGCTTTCAAGCTCAGCAAAACGGTATATACGCTTTTTATGTATTCCAAGTTGTTGATTCATATTTATATTCCCAGCTAAACGTCATATTGTCTACTCAAGCAACGCCTCTTTGACGATATTGGCAAAATAAGTGTCAAAAGCTATAGATCAACATTTAGTTGCAGGCTTAAACGAATACAAAAAGCTTAAAAAAGAAAAATCAGCCTAAACAAGAAAAAGGCCTGCTTTGTAGACACTTTTACCTGGTTTATATCGGCCTGTTAGATTCATTATCCAGTGGAGCTTCCGCTTTTCCCAGCTTACAGCTTCTTTCAACCCAGTTAGGTGTCCACTGAACGCTATGGCTGTGATGAGTGTGGAAACCTTGGCAAATGGGCCCAGAGCGGACGCAGAAAGTGGTGGTGGTGGCTCTGGGTCCGGCTCGTATCTGCCCCGGATAGACCAGTTTTACATCCCCGAGTGGCTCACCATGCAGTTTGTGCTCAATAACATGATCTGTTTTACTCCTCTGATATCGTATGGAACCACGGTTCTGAGCATCAGAAAGTCAAAAACGGCTCTCGGATTCTCTATAGACATATGTGCGACCATGCTTTTGGCCAGCATTCTCCGCATTTCATACTACCTCATTACACCCTACGACATCATCTTGCTGCGACAATCCTTGGTGATGATCTTCATTCAGCTGATTTTGCTGCGCACCAGTCTCCATTATAGACCCGAGGAGTACAAATACGAGAACCTGAAGCCCGTGGATCCCTTCACTCAGCTGTTCCACGACGTGTGGCTCGAATACTTCCCTCTAAACCCATTTGGCTCCGACTGGAAACATCTCATAAAATCTCTATCTTTCAAGGGCTTTCTCCAGTTCGTGTACAAGCTCTGCCTCGTGGTGGTGTACAAATTTCTCAAGTTTTTCGATCCCAGCTATCGCCGGTATGGCTCTTTTTGGCAGTGGAATCGCGACGCCAATTTCTGGATGTTCTTGCTGTACTTCTCAACAGCTCAACTAACCCTAACGCTGTTCGTGGCTAAGTTGATGCACTGGACTTCGTTAGCACAGTCAATAGGGTCTGCTATTGGCTCTCTGGGACTTTTCATTGAGTCGCTGTTGCCGCTACCTCAAATTTCTATCTTAAACAAACTGAAATCTGTTCAAGGGTTCAAACTCATCCTGCTGGTAAGTTGGCTGTGTGGTGATATTGTGAAAATAGGCTACCTTGTGTTTGGAGCCAACAACATCTCGTCATTATTCCTGTTTTTTGCATTGTTCCAAATGTCACTGGATTTCTACATTGCCGGTCAATACGTCTATTACCGGTTCTATTCTCCTAGTATAGAGAATGGCAATGCTTCATGCGAGGAAATCGAGCTCACTACAATAAACTCACTTCAATCAAAACCCAAAATTTCAAGCAATCATTAAACTTGTATCATATTATACACTTTCAGATAAATATCTACCTGACCCAGCAATAAACGCTTTCGCGCGTTGTGAGTGAACATGCTTTTATCACCTTTGAAGTTTACTCTTCAATTCTCCCTTTTTGGAGTATGCCCTCAGGAGAATCTGCAGCTGCGAGATTTCGTTCTCTTCATCAGCTTCAATGCTGGATTTCGAATCAGTTTTTCCTTCAGACATATACCGATTAATGCGCTCAGAAATGATTTCCTGCGGTGTCTTAGTCGATTTCCTAGGAATGGTCTGGCCCTTTAGCGCCGTTAACCTATCGTCGAGATAGCACATGTATAGCCTATTCAACTTTTCCCGATTTGTTATTTGGCGAATGGTAAAATTAGAGGCCCACTTCTGCACATCTAATGGATTGAAAAACTGGATGTGCTTCCAATCGTCTGCATCTGCGTAGAAGTTTTGGTTTGCTGTTTTTCTTACAAACTGTTTAGCCTCTTCAGTCAGGACATTGGACTTTTTACTTGCCATCCGGGGCTGCTTTATGGTGGTCGGGTGGTGCTGTGCTTCGTGGCGGACAGTTATTTCGAATCCTATGAGGTCTTCGGTGGTCTCCTTATTTAGCTGCCTTGTCTTTGTCAAGTAATTGTCGATGTTCTCGGGGTCTTGAAGTTCTTTCTTCAAATTGGCCTTTTGAAACTGAATCGTTTGTTCCTCGGTCAAAGGTGCTACTAAAACGTTCAAAACCGGAACTCTTCGCGATTCACCACATCTTTCCACTACTTTTTTAGTCTCTGTTTTGAACACCAAGCGGCATGCATGAAATTTCGCAGGCAAAACGCTTTCGACTAACTTGAGTAGTCTATTAAGTAATGACATGGAGCTTTTGAATTCGGCGTCTGCAATTTTAGATGCAATCGAACGATCTAAGCTGGAGTAATCGTGTTTCAAGATAAACGCCTCCTCGCCAAAAATGGCCTTTAAAGATTCGTTACGCTTGTCCAGTACTTGGCGGAATTTTGGACAGCCATAACTATGCAAAATATAGTCCATTTCCTCCAAGGGCATATACTGGAAGCCAAACATTTTTGAAATATTGTGGTAGGCTATGAATATACCATCCATACGTCCAATGCGAGCTTGTAGAGAATATTTAAGCATGGTGCTTCGAATGAGCTCGAAAAGCTCCCTTTCGAAGGATTCGAATTTGCCGAGTGTTTGTTGTATCTGATAGCCGGTGTAGTTGTTATTCTCCTCAACGTATGCAATGTCATGTCTAACTGCGGCTACAGCGCGAGTCTTTAGATCGAAAACACCGGTTCCTGGAAGATTTGGATGATAGGCATCGAGCTGAGATCGAAGCACAAAATCTGCTATTCTCGAATAATGGTATGCTCCTTCCGGTTTGCCTACGCTGGCCTTGTATGTTTCTGTGGTTTTATCAAATGTCTGCTTGAAGTGCTCTTCTTCAGTTGTGAGAACAGCTTCCAGTGCGTGACCCAGCAGGGACAGGACCAATTCCCGATCCGATGATTTGTCAGAGTCTATGGAAAAGATGGGTTTTTCAGAGATCATTCTCTTCATTATTACCACAGCAGGCAGCTGAGCCCCCCAACTGAACGTCGCGGCTCGTTCGCTGAAGTTTTTCGACAACAGTGACATGTCAGTTTTGCGGAAGTTTGACAACAGGAAATGCAAATGAGAAAGAATTCCAGTCATTGAGCTGGTGGATGAATAGTATCGCTGTTGGTGGAGTTCTGTCAGCTTCAGCATGTTCTGATCCTTGGACGCCGTGACAAACGCGGAAACAGCTTCGAAATCGAAGTCATCGACGCGTATGATGTCCTCGAGCCACTTGCTGAAGTTATAGAAACCGGATCGGCCGTCCTGAAGCGTGTGGAAATTCATTGGCTGGAAAAGCACTCTCTCTAGCTCGTGACACAGACGAGGTGGCTTGAGAGCCGCGCCGTCGTTGGTCCCCAGAGGCCCCAGGGGCTCTAGACTGGCTTTTGACGGCTGTATGCAAAACTCAGACTTGACAGCTCGCTGCACGCCTCTATTGCGCGGTTTGAGTTTCTTTGGTGGGCTCATCTGGTCGCGCGTGAGCATCCTATCGAGCTCTTTGGTGTATTTTGCAGTCTGGGACGGTCTTTCCCGCGATTTTTGGAGTTTTATATCGTTTTCAAGGGCCGAACTTGCCGCAAACGGCGCTGGAGCCTCCAGATCGCCGCTGGAGCGACTAATCCGCTGCGCAAGGCTCAGGGCCTGTTGCAATTCTTGTTTGACGTCTGTTTCGCTGCCAGGCGGTTTTGAAGCAGATTTGGCCACATCAGATCTGTACCGACATCCCAGGCTTTTTGCACAAGATCTTTGGAGCCTGTATGGGCCCCTAAGCATCGTGTTTTTGGACTTTTTATGTGTTTTGACGAAATCGATCAATTTTCCAAGATGTCTGCCCCAGACATCAAATTTCAAAATCTAACACATATCAATACAAACTATACATATATGGCCAGTAAACAGACGCTTAAAGAACCACTTCAAATTAAAAAGATGGCCCAATCCATCCACGACTATAAAAGCTTCTTGATGGTGGACTTCTATCGTTCCCTCTCCTCTCCTCTCTGCTCTTGTATTTATATGTCTTAATCTTGCTGATTGTTTGTAGCTCCAGGAAAACTCCGAGCTTTCGCCACATGTCTGTTTTGACCCTTTTTATAATAAATATCACCATTTTACATGACCTGTTTCTGTGATCTTACCCCCCTCCCGTATAGAAACAAGGTCTATCGAATGATTATAGGGGTGGTGAGTTTGAGATTGGCTTGTATATAAGGGACAACTTTAGGACACCAAGGATACTCGAGGAACGAGAGAAACGGGAAACGTAAGATTCAAGCGACTTCAGCCAGAATAGGTAGCAAATTAGTAGCATAGACAAGAAGATTATTTAGAATGAAACATTGGAAGGTCGTTTTGGCGACTGGGAGGCGTTTGAACAGCAGTTTGACGTCAGCAAGACTGGGATCTGGCGAGTTAGGGGGTAATCAAGACAGGGGAGCGATCGTGAAGACGCTGTTCAGTAAGGATTCGACCACAATTACCTACAAAACATCACCTGGCCCGTCGTTCCCGCAGGAGCACGCAAATGGCTCAGTGACAGTGTCTTTCAGCAATCTGTTTCTGCGAGACGCGTCACAAAGCGCAAGGTCCGTCGACGCGTCGTCTGGTCAAAAACTGTTTCGCACCGGCCAGCTGGTCGCGAACCCGTCAGCGACGGTTCCCCAGAGGGTCGAAATTACCCCGGACAAGCAAGCGGTGCACATCGATTGGGGAGATGGCGACACTTACGACTATCCGCTTGCGTTTTTGAAGCAGTTCTCTGGCGGCCCCATTGAGTCTCAAGGGCCCTCTCCTCTGCTTTGGGACCGAGCCTCGCTCAAAGAGAACATTGGAAACCTGCTGTCGGTGAATTACGCGTCATTTGCGAGCAAAACCAGCTCAAAAGGGCTGTACCAAACGCTGGCCAATTGTCGCAAATTTGGCATCTCGTTCATCGCAGATCTACCCCAGCAACGACCCGAATTGCAGCTCAAAAAGGTCGTCGAGCCCATAGGTCCCATCAGACACACCTTTTACGGGGAAATATTCGACGTTAAAACAAAACCGGGCGCGGAAAACATCGCTTACACAAACCATGCGCTGGCACTGCACCAAGACCTACTCTACATGGACAACGCACCTGGCTGGCAGATCCTGCACGCCATCAAAAACTCATCCGACGGGAGTGAGGCTGGCATGAATTACTTTGCAGACGCTTTCAGTGCCGCCCGATTCGTGCGCGACACCGATGCAGATGCGTACGAGGCTCTCACTCAGGTTCCCATCAATTATCATTACAAACGCAATGACAATCGCTACTACAACTCGCGGCCCCTGATTGTGGAAAACGAAATCAGCACTGACAATCTGGTTTCGTCGAACTACGTCTCGCTGATAAAAGAAGTCAATTACTCCCCGATGTTCCAGGCGCCCTTTACGTTTGGAATCTGGGATAAGCCCAAGGGCCAAGAACTCTCTACGCCAAGTGGTAAGCTCACGCAGCGACTTTTATTCAAGGACTTTCTACGCGGACTGGCACTTTTCGAAAAGTTCATCAACATGCCAGAAAATCAGTTCAGATTGAAGCTACCTGAAAATGCATGTGTGATCTTCAACAACAGGCGTTTACTCCATGCTAGGACAGCATTTTCCGGTGAAAGATGGCTACGCGGTTGTTATCTGGATGACGACGCACTCAAGAGCAGATTGGCATATTTAGAAGAGAGAGATCAACATCATTGAATCACAACGGTTGTTGAACTATATAAGCGTTCTACAAGAGCGAATGATGGTATATTTATGGCTGATGTTTACCATTCAAACTAAAATCAACCAAGTGTCATTAAATCAATAAATTAGATTTGCCGCTTAACATTGAAACACGTAAACAAGGAAAGGAAGCGGTTGAGCGATGAAGACCGAACATAGCTTGACTGAGTCTCTCAGAGAATACATGAACCACAATCCAACAAGGAAAGACTTGACAGATGCTCTCACTCCTCGAACAAGAGACATAAAGCTAACGAAATTGCAACCATCTCAATCCCTAGAATCAGAAATTGAAACGCTTCTGTCATTGGCAAGAAACGGTATCGAACAGCACAATGAGCCCGTCGTTTTAATCATCGAATGGGAGAAAAGAACTCACAAACTCAAAATGAACTACCCGTACCACGGGTTTGAGACACTAAAAGATCCTCCGGCTATGAAAATCGCCGTTCTACTAAGTCTCTTGAGCCGCATCTCAGCGATCGCGAAGTCCCGCGATATTTGCACGATACGAGACGTTTTTTACTTGAATGTGGAACTGTACAAAAGCCAGCAGATCGTCTCGGAGTCGTTGCGTGACATAGCAGAATCGTTCCAATTGTCAGATCTTAATGCACTGGGTATCGTGGCAGCGCAAAAAGGCCTGTGTTGTACGCCCGTGGAGCTGAGTTTCGACATTGATAAGCTAATACTGAAAAATCAAAAGTCATTGGTTCCGCTTATGACCCCGACTACGGAGCTTTCCGGCAATTGGTCGCTTGTGAAGCGTGTCGTGGTTCTCGAAAAAGACGCCATTTTCAGCAAACTAGCCGAAAATCCACTGATCAATCAGCAATGCATACTCGTAACGGGGAAGGGCTTTCCAGATTGGCTTACGCGCCATTTCCTCTACAAAATGATGCTTAGCTGTCCGCCCACAGTGCTATTCGAAATTTACACCGACAGCGACCCTTACGGAATTGAAATTGCTTTAAAATACATTTACAACGACGTGAACACGGTTTACCAATGTCCACGACTCGTTTACCGGGGCGTCATGATTCAAGATCTGCTTCAAAGTGGGGATACGGTCCACCGAGGTCTACAGCTACTTGACTTGTCGGCGCGCGACCTGAGCTACGCAATGAATCTACTAAAACGCCTCGTGAACACAACATTAAAGGCTTCAAAGAAACGACTCTTGATGCGAGAAGTACAACGTCAGATGTTTTACCAGAAGAAGGCCGAGATGAACACAGTTCATGGCGCCGACTTTGCCAAGTACCTGGTCACAAAATCAGGTACTACTTGAAATTCAAAAAAATAATGGGGCGAGCTGGGAATTGAACCCAGGGCCTCTCGCATGCTTGTGGTTTTTTAATTCGAGTTGAAACTCGAACTTCGCCCAAAGCGAGAATCATACCACTAGACCACACGCCCAATTGATGAAAGGGTGAAAGTAAGCAACTAGTCATACTATTGCATTACAGCCACACGTCAATTTGAAAGCTACCAATGGCAGATAAAGAGGCTCACACAAGAAAAGCGGTTTTACCGAGTCTTGTCACGAGAAGCGACAGTGCATTTTTCCGAGCTAATAGTTGTCACAGTTTGGCGTTAGGTTCAAGTCCTCTTTCTTGATTCTTTCTCATTCAAAGCTTTCTAGCCTTTACCTTTTTCACAGATAGCATGATTAGTAAACCCTCGGGTTTTTGGGTTGTGGGTCATTTTGGTGTGCAGTTGTTCTCAATCAATACGTGGCATTGAGGAAGTGGACCTTACTAGGACCTGAACGCACGTCTTAAATAGCGTCGCTTGCCATGTTATAGCGCGGTTTCGTTAATCATGCTTTCTATATTTCCACGTAGGTCTAAAAAAAATGTCCACTATTTGTAGACTCTAAGACATGTTTTTAGTATAATATCATAAAAAAACGAAAAGCACGCGTTTAAAGATGTTTCTTCGGTCAATTGGCTACCTGCTGACTGCGTTTGTACTGTGCTCCATCGGGGTGTTGGCTTCAGGAAGCGCATACGCGCCAGTGGCCTTGATGCTGCCTTCTTTCACGAAAGAATGCCTGTACTTCGATTTGACCTCTCACGAAGATGCGGTGGTCATGAGTTATCAAGTGCTCACGGGTGGCAACTTCGAAATCGATTTTGAGATCACGTCGCCAGACGGGCATGTTATTGTGACCGAAAAGCAGAAGAAGTACTCGGACTTTTTGCTGAAATCGTTCGGTTTGGGCCAATACTCATTCTGCTTTTCCAACAGCTACGGCACCGCTTTGAAAAAAGTCGAAGTGACTTTGGAATTGGAGAAGGAATCTCTGGGCGCCAATTCTGCCCCCGAGGACGCTCTTTCCAGCCATTCGATTGAAGAAATTGAGAGAAACTTATCTAAGATCAGCAGAATGATGGATTACCTTAGAGCCAGAGAATGGAGAAACATGGACACCGTGAAGTCCACTGAGAGTAGGCTAGTGTGGATGTCCATGTTGATCATGGGGCTGATGGTCGGCATCAGCGTCATTCAAGCTACAATTGTGCAGTTCTTGTTTAAGGACCGCCAGAAGAACTACGTTTAAAGCAGCTGGTAAACAGGAAAGAAAACGCTCGCTTGTGTACATCGAAGCATGGCAATCCGGCTGTATTTTTGCATTATCACCAATATTCTATTAACTGTTTTTGCACAGTAATGTGGTTGCAACTGCTCCCAAAAGGCCTCTTAAAACATAAGACCATGCATAAATAGGTCAGTGAATCATAGCTATTAGACGCATCAGTGTTGGCTTCTCCGAAGGTGCTTGCTGACACGCTTAGTGTTGAAGATTTGGCACTTGACCAAGTGTTCTCGCCGTACATAAAGATTAGTTATTGATGGAATTCAATATAACCTAAATTACTTAAGGAAATTTCTACACTATTTGCCACCGCTCCACGACGAGCAAGAGATCCGGGAACCACTACTTAGTTCAATGACTGAAGACGATTCCAATTACATTGAAACGAGTCTTAACAGGGTGCCCAACTATGAAGTGGCGGATCATGCCTTCATTCTGGCAGAACCCAAACTCAAACATGAACACGAAGCTAGTCTGAAATTTGTGCTAGAGAAGATACAAGAAGAGTCGATGGCGCCATTCTACAAGTACCTTCACGACGAGTATTTGCCCAAGGGCTCCATTCAATGGGACGAGTCGCTATATAAGTCTCTAAGGGATCGCAATGAAAAGGAGATAGCAGAGTTGAAGAAGCGTCTACAAGAAGTTGAGGACAAAGACGAAGGAGAGCTGGAGAAGGCTCAAGCCTGGGTGAAACTTGGGGAATACTACGCACAAATCGGAGACAAGGTCAATGCGGAAGAAACGTTGTCAAAGGCGCTCGAAAAGGCAGTTTCAACCGGCTCGAAGATTGACATCATGCTCACTATAACAAGACTGGGGTTTTTCTACAACGACCAGCAATTCGTGAGAGAGAAACTGGAGCAAGCGAATAGCATGATCGAGAAAGGAGGTGACTGGGAAAGAAGAAACCGGTACAAGACTTACAAAGGTGTGCATTGTTTGGCCATTAGAGACTTTAAAGAGGCCGCTGATCTTTTGGTGGATTCTTTGGCCACTTTCACGTCTCTAGAATTGACGTCATATGAGAACATAGCAACTTACGCTTCGGTAGCTGGTCTATTTGCATTGGAAAGGACCGAACTCAAGGACAAGATTATCGACTCCCCTGAAGTTCTTTCTCTCATGGGCAGTACAAAGGCATTGCAATCAATATCGTCACTGACCATTTCGCTTTACACATCCGAGTACTCCAGCTATTTCCCTTATTTGTTGGAGACGTACGACAACGTATTGATCCAAAGCAAATACCTAACTAAGCATGCAGATTTTTACGTGCGTGAAATGAGGCGGAAAGTGTATGCTCAATTATTAGAATCTTACAAGACGCTATCGATAAAAACCATGGCAAGTGCGTTCGGTGTGTCTGTGGAGTTTTTGGATGCGGATCTGTGCAAGTTTATTCCCAACAAACAGTTGAACTGTGTCATCGATAGAGTCAATGGGATTGTAGAAACTAACAGGCCTGACAACAAGAATGTACAATATCATATGCTGATCAAGCAAGGTGACGGCCTTCTCACGAAATTACAGAAGTATGGGACTGCGGTCAGGCTCACGGGCGCGGACCGCGCAGTGTAGATGAGATATTGTATATGTAATCAACGAATCTGTAATTGACGGCACGTTGGGACGTGAGCATGGGGTTGTGTGTTGATACTACGAAGTTCACGAGGTCGGGTACGATTAAAGACTAAAAGAGCCGCAGCTGAGATAAAGATGGAAACCGCTGTATAGCATGTACAGGATATATTAATCTCGAACTTCAAGTAGTACACGTGACAGAGCGTCAGCGCACATTGAAAGTGACCATAATTATTTAACAGACAGAACACTCGTTCTAGACACCTCACCTCGGCTACAGAGAGCTAATGTGATGTCCACATGAGTGTTGTGCAATGACGTCCTAACAAAACTAGATTTTTCAAGAGGTCTTTGATGCGCGGAGTTCCATAGTGACTTTGAATTCATAATCAAGAAAATACATATCTTCTGAAAAAGGCGATTCCAAACTTGTACGATTCCATCTCTCGTCACAAGAGCACAGTCGCCGGTGTTGTCAATTGCACAATCTCTACTCCCGCGAACCAAATATTGCAATTCATTTTCCTGTCACCAGAACTTCAAACTACGGGAAAGGAATCAGAAGTGGGTCAATTGCACAAATAATCAAACTTTACCTAACAGATGTAAAAACCACCCCCGTGGTTGTAGAACGATTCCAAGTCTCGCCAAATTTTCTCATGTAAAGCACACAGAAAAGCCAGATATGCTGATGTAGTAGTGTATTATGTTATACGTAAGAAGGAGACCAGTCCAGACCAGTCCAGCTTAGCTAAGCACATGTTCTACGTACAAAAAGATCTTCACGTCATTTTTTTTTCTTCCCTCCTTTCCAATAAGCGCTGAAGCTATTGCGACGACGACATCAACAACACGTCTAATTGCGATTGCTACTAAAACAGAAACAACAACCACCGGTGATGTCTCAACAAAGAAAAACTAGCTATTCAAGCCAATATTTGACTTACAAGCATTCCATGTACCGTATACTGTTCGTATTTGCCTAGCGCTGCTCGTTTACCCGCGGGTTTGTCGTCTCAATCGCTATAGTTCTCTGATTCGTGGTAGTAGTAAAAATCGGGTGCTCCAGCGCCCACGTGACTATAACGTCCCCTCTCTTCTGGAAGAGATTACGTCAGCCTTTTTCTGGTGGAGTCGGGGAATATCGGGGAACAAATGCGTGATCAGGATTCTAGGCCTCCTCCTTTCTCGTACTCCGGTCATATCGGCGAAAGCAAAATTGGACGAGAACCAGACACAAAAACGCGTCGCGCGCGCATACAGGTGCGCTGTCGCAGAAACAGCCGCACGACTCATGCACGACTCGCAACAGCGTTTAGGGGCGTCTGACATATAGGTTTTTGCTCTAGACCGAGACCCGAATCTGGCAGATCTCAGGTATATAAAGGGCTGGGAGGGGAATGGAGCTCTCTACCATCCTAGGACAAGCGCTGAGTGATCTGTTACACAGCAACTGCTGCATTTTTTGCTCTGGCTTCGCAATTGTCTTTTATACACGTATTTATTTGTCAAACACTGTCTCCCCCATGATTGACACAAAAAATTCCACAGGTCAACATACCTATACCCAAGCTAACGGGTTCCCCTACACTCACCATCCATACGGCGCGCAGTACGCACGTCCTGATGGCCCATTGCTGCTGCAGGATGTGCATCTGGTCGAATCGCTGGCGCATTTCGACCGCGAGCGGATCCCAGAACGTGTCGTGCACGCCAAGGGCGGCGGGTGCCGTCTCGAGTTCGAACTGACCGACTCCCTTTCAGATATCACGTTTGCCGCACCCTACCAGAAACCGGGCTACAAGTGTCCCGGTGTGGTGCGCTACTCGACCGTGGGCGGCGAATCCGGCACCCCCGACACCCAGCGCGACCCTCGCGGCTTCTCGGTCAAATTCTACACCGAGTGGGGCAACCACGACTGGGTCTTCAACAACACACCTGTGTTTTTCATCCGCGACGCCAACAAGTTCCCGCATTTCATCCACACCCAGAAGCGTGACCCTCGCTCCCATCTCAACCACGGTGCCGACAGCACCATGTACTGGGATTATTTGACCCAAAACCCAGAGTCCATCCACCAAATCACCTACATGTTTGGTGACCGCGGTACGCCTGCCAACTGGGCCAACATGAGCGGTTACTCGGGCCATACTTTTAAGTTTAGAAACGAAAAGGGCGACCTCACGTACGTGCAGATCCACGTGCGGCCCGACGACGGGTTCAAATGTCTTAACAACGAAGAGGCCGCCGAGCTCGCCGGATCCAACCCGGACTTCAACCAGGCCACTTTGTTCAAGATGCTAGAAGAAGGCCAAAAGCCCTCTTACACCTGCTACGTGCAAACTATGACTCCACAACAAGCAGAAGAGTTCCGTTACTCAATCAATGACTTGACCAAAGTCTGGCCCCACAAGGAGTTCCCCTTGCGCAAATTTGGTAAGATCACTTTGACTCAAAATGTCGACAATTACTTTGAAGAAATTGAGCAAATTGCCTTCAGCCCAAGTAACACCTGTATTCCGGGAATCGAGCCTTCTAACGACTCGGTTCTACAATCACGTCTATTTTCATACCCTGACACCCAGCGTCACCGCTTGGGTGCCAATTACACCCAGTTGCCGGTCAACAGCCCCAGAAATATGTGCCCAGCATCTGCAGGCAGTTCCGGTTGTCCATTTTTGATGGGTAACTTTCAAAGAGACGGTCCAGGTGCCCTGTACAATCAAAGCTCGTACCCAAATTACATCTCTACTCAACACAAGGAGAGAATCCAATTCAAAGATTTGGTTGACGGTAAAACCTGTAAAGAGAAATTTGCCGGTGTTGTGCTCAAAGAAAAGTCAGATGCCGCTGTATCTCAGCAAGAGCAACTGAAAAAACACGAAGAAATCATCAATTCCAAGATTAACGAGTATTACTGGGTGACTGGGTGCTCGCCACTGGATCTGGAACAACCTAGAGCGCTTTACGAAAAAGTCTACGACGACGCCGCCAAGAAAAGATTTATTCACAACGTAGTGGGTCACGTCAGCACTGCGTCTGCTGCTATCCAAGCCAGAGTTCCACAATACTTTGGGCTATTAAATAAGGATCTGGGGGCTGCTATTGCAGAAGGACTTGGTGTCAAATACGAACCATTGTCGTTCGAGCAATACGCTGAAAATCTAACTCTAGCATCTGCTTTTTAGTATAGCGGGTAAGAGAGGCACGAGTTATACATATGAACTAATGATGTGAACATTAATAGTTTAATTATTTATTAAAAATGACATTCTAGTTACTAAAAAAGTACAAAACTAAACAATTAATCTTCATTGCATTTATTGAAACCTATTATGATAGAGTGTTTACGTTGAGTGGAAAGCCAGAATTTATTGTACTTCATTCGCGTTTAATTTGATGATGTATATTGTGCGTTTTATGAGCATGATGTTGAACTTTGCCGCGTCAGTAAAAAGAATATCTTCAAGCGCAGCTTTCCAAATAGTTGAATACCATACATATACGCAAAGCACATGCCAATATGACAGTTTTTTGTTGAACACTTATATTAACATAATTACCACAATGATGGTTTCTATAGCATAGTTTCCGCATTCTGACAGCCTTACGTATCTCACTCATCTGATACACCAAATATGTCAAGAAAGCAAATTATCAACAACTACAATCTCTATTAGTCTATGGCAAGAATTCGAATATCTCAACTGGATCAGTTCAGTGCTATTCTGGTTAGAGACTTCCCGATTTTCTATGCTCGACTCAACACACGACATTATTATGAAATGGGATATACTTAGAACGATACCGAAATTTAACAATACCAGTGACGACTTTTTCTTGTATGTTTCCAACTTTCTCATTGTCTATTAAATTTCAAAGCGTACATATATCACAATGCTCAGGAACAAAGCTTCCAAGTTAAACTTTCGCATCTGGTCGCTCCCTTTTCATATTCAAAAGCTCTCAAAAAACGGCCTCCATTTTCTCACTGTTGTTGGCAGTTCGAAAACAACATCCATATTTCGATAGATGGCTTCCAGGTTTAGCAGAGCGACAGGACCCATGTACTGAGTGCGAAGATCAGTAGTGCAGTGCAGCTCGTCTGAATTCTGAGAGTCTTATTCAGCAGCAGATTTGATAAAACCAATAAGTTGACAGGTTGGCCGAGTTGGTTAAGGCGACAGACTTAAGATCTGTTGGACGGTTGTCCGCGCGAGTTCGAACCTCGCATCTGTCAATATTTTTTGCTAAATTAATTGTTCAAATCTGCCAAAGACATGAACCGTAGACTTCACAGGCTTACCAAGCTCTTTCGAGATATCGTCACGGTTTCATAGGTCTTGATCAAAGTCTTCTTCGTCTACCAGAATTTGGGAAGTTAGTGCTTACACGATGCCATTGAATTGAGCTTGTCACTTCGTACCAAATTGACGTTCTCTCGTCTAATGACGGTGCCCTTTACTATAACGTAGGAATGCAGCTGGCGCTTTGTTCAGTTTGTGCTACGTGCTTGGGGTTTATTGAATCGTTAATGATTGTTTACATGTACTTAAAACTCTCTACTCATTCGTACTTGATCGCTGACACTCCATTGTTCAATTGCCTCGGTGTCCCCTTGGCTACAAACTCTCTGCCCCAATAACGTTCTCAACTATCGTCAAAATATCATCACCATTGTGTGAAGTACAGCCTGGATCGCCCAGTTTCTGTCGTATAACGTTGTCAAGCAAACCTCTAAGTTCCTTGATCAAAACCCCATTTTTGCACCACGTACGGATCGGTAACCAACTGTCGACCACTAGCCCCGGAGAATGAGCAGTTGCTTGCAGCTCGTACTTGATGGAGCCACCAAACAATAAAATCGCCAGAGTAGAGGTGGGGGTTATCTCGCGTAGATACAGCTTGTTGCTGAAGTGAGAACTGCCATAGATAACAAATGGAGATTTGAGATAGTTGTTGCCATTCCCAACAGATTTGGCGGATGTCGATTCCAAGGCCACAAGTTCAGCATTGGTATCGTTTTTGTTAGATACAAAAACGGAACTTGGATGTAAGAAAGCCCTAGTGGCGGGTAAAGTTGTATTCTCCACCTCAGAATCGTTATCGAGACCATACAAGTGATCAATATATTTTTCATTTCGAATCCAATACCGAATCATTTTGGCCTCGGGATCCTTTTCTATAGCGCCGGAGCCAGTGCTTACGAACTTCTGATCTGGAAGTTGCACTCGTGCGACTTGTGGATAAAATGCTCCCGTTAAGATGGCCTTGATGATTTCCAAATTATTGGCATTACGATTCAAGTACTCAATTTTGCCGAGATTACAATTGGAGGGCAAAAATCCGACATCGCTCAGTATACTCAGCAATTGAGCTCTGGAGGAAACTATTTCTCTCATCTTATTGTAAGAAAGGTAGTTTTGACTCATGAATTTCCTCCTGGAGGCCGCATCCTCAATTGCCAAATACTGACGGACAACCTCCAAATACGCTAACAGGTCACCTGCATTACTGTAACTTTGGCACAATGCTTTTACGGCGTCTCTGTTATCTTGAGAAATGGCAAAGGGTGATCCACTGCAGCTCAAAATCGCAGCAATGTTGACCCCCACGTCCGCACATCCGAATATGATGGAGTATATGAGCATTTTACCATGCTTATAATCCATGAGGGGCATCAAGCTTATAAATTGTCCCAATTCTGTGAGAACATTATCGTCTTCACTCAATAGGCCTGCGGCTGTTAGCAGCCGTTCGGATTTTTGCAAAGACTCCATCGAAGGAGGATCAAGACCTGTCCCCAAAAACTTGATCACATCTTTGATACCCATAGATTTGACGGAGAGGTATAGAGACTCCAAACTAACACGTTTGATCTCTGCAATCGGTTGGTCGGACATTTCCCCAAATTTGGTTTTAGAGAACAATTTGTAAGAAAAACCATCCCGGACTCTACCTGCACGACCTCTACGTTGTTTGGCCTCCGCTTTCGAAACGAAACCTTCCACAAGTCTTGTGGTATTTTCTTGCGCATTGTAGAACATTGATTTAACTCTTCCGGAATCTATGGTTGCCACACAGTCGTCGATTGTAATCGAAGTTTCCGCGATGTTGGTAGAAACTACAATTTTCCGCTTCCCAGGGAATCGCTTAAACACATTTTTTTGATCAGCTGGATTCAGAGCGGAATGCAATGGTAGTATTACTAGATGACTAGCGCCTTCTGATTTCTTCAAATAATTACAGCAAGTGTTGATCTCTCCAACTCCAGGTAAGAAGATTACAATCGATCCATTACTCTTTTCTTCTTTCAATTTGGCATCAATATGAAGCGCCAAAGCTGCAATCAGTGTATAATCGATCTGGCCCGATTGGAAAAACTTCGAGTCTGCAGTAGGCTTCAGATGCTCATCCGGTCTATCGCCACCAAAATCCTCGTAAGACAAGTTTTTGCGCTTTATCTTATAATCGAGTGTCTCAAGAATATCGTCCAGATAATAATCCTTTATCGGGAACGTCCGACCTTCGATGTGACAGCTTTTCAATTCCTTGAAATAGTTTTTGAAAACATCGACGTTTACTGTAGCACTCATCAGCACAATTTTGAGTCCTGGTACTTTCCCCCGCAGATTCTTCAACAGTATTACTATCAAATCAGTGTCCACGGACCTTTCATGAACCTCATCAATAAATACAACGGAATTTGATAGAAACTCTTTGTCTCCTTGAAGAATTCGGACCAAAACACCGGTGGTCATAAACCTGATACGTGTCGTGGGTTTTGTCTTGTTCACACCACGAATGAGATAGCCAACTTCATTACCACAGGGAGAACACCTCTCTTCCGAAACTCTTTCGGCTAACCCGATGGCTGAGATTCTTCTGGGTTGGGTACAGATGATCTTAGTTTTGCCATAGTCACCTTTCTTTGACATCAATTGATCAAGAACGAACTGAACAATTTGCGTTGACTTACCGGAACCTGTTTCACCTGTTATTAAAACCACATCGTTTCTGTCTATCAAATCAACAATACTTTCTCGAACTTTCCAAGCCGGTAGCTGAGAGCGCTGTTGAATCTTTGCAGCGTACTCACGACTGGAAATTCTTTTTTTATACTCAGCTTTGAGAACTTCCATTTCTTCAGCAGTCAGTCTCCCGGCTCTCGCGGCCCTTTTCCGTATTTTTGGACCCTCTAGATTTTGACCGTTTCCATTGTTTGCAGTGATTCTCTTAGTTTCTGGCAACAATAAACCTGGACTCTCTATGATGGCTGCAATGTTCTCTCTGAGCCACTCATAAATATGATAGATAAACATGTCACCCAGTAGACCCGACTCTGTCACATAGCTCAAGACTTTGATCAAGATTGTTTGTTTGATGTAGTTCGGTAGTTTATAGTCTTTACTGAAAGTAGACACAATCAAACCTGGGAGTACCGAGGGATATTTCTTAGTCTTGTAAACTTTTAGTTTAAGGTTGAATTTGTCAATCAAATTCATTGTATAACAGCTTCTATCATTGTTCAAGATTTCAATATGCTCGTCTCCGTAAATGCTTTGCAAGCTCTCAAGCTCCTGGATCCACAGTTCAACAGATTCTTCTTGAGAGATGTCGACGGTCGACTCTAAGGGTGTAGTCAACAGCTTCTCGGTCAACTTTCCCGCGGCGTCATTTTCATTATTGTCTGTGGACTGTAGAGCATAAAAAACCTCGTCGTACGAAGCACCACCTTCCATAAGACGACTAATCATATTTTGAAGCTTCAACGGTAGCGAGGAAATCTCAACTCTCATTTTTGTATCTTGTTGTCTCTTATGGAAAAAGGGTGGAAGATCATCTTCTGGCAAATTGAGCAGGAGGAATGACAGAGGGTCCTTGTAGTTAAGAGCCTCTGCCACATGTGGCTTCCTAAACCCTAGGGATGTCAGTTTTTCTTGCAGTTCAGTTCTTTCCTTTGTGTTTTCGCCAGTCCACTTTTTGGCATCCCAGTGGATGTGGTCTTTGAGTGATTGCTCCAATTCAGTTCGTGAAGACTCTTTGAAGTCAATAAAAGTAGCCGTGTCCCAAACTTTTTGGGGGAATCGAATGACTCTTTTATCAGAAGATTCTTTCACCCACTTTTTATTTATCACGCCTTTCCCGTTTGCTGTCGTTTGACTGTCCTTGGATGACACAGAAGTGATAAAGGTTGGTGCTTGCCTAACTTTCTGCGCCTGTTGCTGCTTTGCGTCGCGCTCTTTGTTTTTGATATCTTTCGCCTTTCTCTCCATGATCAAGGTTTTGAAAGGCTCGGCATCAAAGAGTCTTTGAGCTTGATTAGGGTCCTGTTTGAGAAGTGCCTTCCGGTAATCATCCAGTTCGTACCAGAGAGACTTGTGATTAGGCGGCAGCATCATTTGCATATTAGACATTGACGCCAGTCGGTACAGTGCCACTGTGGCTGCCATATGGCGAGCCTCCATGGGCGTCTCCTGGGGCTTTAACAATCCCTTTCCTGTAGATCTATCAAACGTGGGATCGTGCATTTTTATCAGCAAAACTTCGCTGGTCTTGGGATCCGTATACGACAAAACTGCGGTTGCCAACATCCCGTCGTTGCCCAACTTCTTCATGTCGTATTCAACCCTGTTCCACTTTCTTTTCTGACAGTGTTCGTGGAGTAAAGTTTGAGGTAGCTTTCCCGTCCAACTTGATGTAGACGTCACTTTAGCTCGATTTTGAAGTCGTATTTGCTTCATTTCTTCCGTCTCTTCCCTCCTGCCTTTTTTGCCCTTTTTGTTAGCAGTGGTTGGTTCAACCATCACTGGCTGAGCTTTGCTAGTCTTTTTGGCCATTGGGCTGGTAAAGGACCTCTAATTGTTGATGTTTACCGCTACAAATCGATGAGATGAGATGAGATATCTTTTTTATAAAATATTGAAAAATAAGCACCTGTAATTTCGAACTATTTATCGCTTCACCAACCGAACAAAACCTCAGTCAAATCACATAAAATGAGCAGCTTGTGCCTGCAGCGTTTGCAAGAGGAAAGGTATGTCGTAAAAAAGCTTTCAAATGAATCTCCTGGGGCTCAGAAAGGATGAAAATGAGTTCAATGCTGATAGCATAAGGTTTACTAACGAATGCTGTTTGCGTCTAGAAAAAAATGGCGGAAAGACCATCCCTTTGGGTTCTACGCCAAGCCATGCAAGAAAGCTGACGGATCAATGAATCTACAGAAATGGGAGGCTGGAATTCCAGGCAAGGACGGCACTCTTTGGAAGGACGGTGTATACCCTGTGACCATCGAGTACCCAGACGACTACCCTTCTAAACCACCCAAGGTGAAGTTTCCGGCAGGCTTTTACCACCCAAACATATACCCTAGCGGTACGGTGTGCCTAAGTATTTTAAATGAAGATCAGGATTGGAGACCGGCCATCACTCTCAAACAAATCGCCCTTGGGATTCAGGATTTGCTCAATAGTCCCAACCCGGACTCACCAGCTCAAGAGCCGGCTTGGAGAGCTTTTTCGAAGAACAAGAAGGAATACGAAAGGATTGTGATAGAGCAGGCTAAGGAGTACACGAAATAATGCGTTCATGCTACAAACATAAATTTGTATTAAGTTAATAATCACCCGGTTCTAATGTGTGTACGTGTGTGCATCGTCTACTTGAGCTAAACACCAAACCTACTTTTGTCGTTTTTGATTGCTCTACCTAATCTCCCGAATTACCCACGCTCTGTTTTCTTGTAGTCGATAAAACGGTCCAGGGTGTTGAGGGTCTGTTGACATTTCTCTTTCAGTTCGAAATCCTTGTTCTTGTCCACAAACTTGAAGACCTGCTTGAGGTTCGGCTGTACGTTGTTTTGCAGAACTTGGGCAAATCCACCTTTTACAAAAACTTCTTCATCATAATCGAAGTTGGCATCTGCATAAATTTCGATAACCACATCGCAAATATCGACTAGAGTAGAGGCGGTCGTTTTATCGCTGGCTAATTGTTCTATCAAGAATTGTCCAGTTTGGCGGTTGAGTTCGATGTGGTTTGGAAGCATGGCAAGGCACCCGAGAATTCCACAGCATCTTTGCCTTAACTCCTGTGTTTCGTTCATCTCAAGGCCATCGATTGCACTGTACTGCGTTATAATTGAGTTCACGAAATTGACATCGTCACATTTTAATTGTGTCAAATAAGATTCTTGTGATTCCTGTAGTTGAACGGTTTTCAAGAACGCCCACATCACTCCCAGCCTGCCTAGCCTTAGACTGAAGTCGTTATCTTGCTCGAGTCCTGCTACAGACAATGACTTCCACAGGTGTAGCCACAGGTCATTAGGAAGCTCTAGAAAGTTGATTTGTAGTGTCAAGTATAGCCACAGCATGTTGTTCCAAGCGATCAGGACGCGTGCCTTAAAATCGTTCGTTAACGATTGAAAAACCACTGGGAGTGAGACGGTCAAGGTTCGTATGAGCTCCTCGTTGATTAGCTCGTCCTGTGCCTCGGCCTTTGCAGCAATCAACTCTAAAGATGCTGTAATAATATCAAGCGTAACCTCGATACTCTGCAAGTGCATGGTGGCTAAGGTTCGCTGCTTGGTGAATTCTTTGATTTTCCCAGAAACTTGATCATTAGAGGAATCTTTCAGCTCATTATCGATATCTGCGTTGGACAAGAATTTTTTCATCTGATCCAAGTTGATATGCTCGATTGTGGAGCATGCTTTGACTATTATGGCATTGGCCTGCTCTGCAGTTACGTCGAGGTCCAAAAATTGTAAAAAGATACCCTGTATCAACACAACTGTCAGTTCATTGGCAGATGTCAACTGCATATTTGGAAGCGCTTTCACAAATTCTGATAGGAACGAATCGGCAGTAACTGCGTCTATGAAGTCCAGCGATTCGGAGCTCAGGTCGTACAAAAGATCCAGAGAAGAATTGAACAAAGATGTCGATATTCTTAAACTGACTTTGCCCTCTTTTTCGATTAGGCCATACTCCAAGATAATGCGCAAGACGGCAAAAATTTCCTGCAATTTGCCCGTTTCCAGCACGTCCTTTAGGATGAAATCACACCCATTGGCCAGAGCAACAAGCAGAGAGAGCAAGTTGTCTCCAAAATCGAAAAGTTGACGAGTGGGCTCCTTCTTGGATGGCGTATTCGATGCCAGCCACTCCATGGACTTCTGTACTTTAGCGAACCCAGAGGTCAGACTTTTCCAGATATCGGATCTCCACAAGAAAGCACACACATCGTAGCCCTCCTCTAGAGCCAGATTCCTCAAAAGTCCGTGTGCTTCCACCACAATATCCATATTATCGTCAGTAAGCAGCTTGGTCATTACCAAATGGACCAATTTTTCTCTCAGAAAGAGTTTGCGCATGTAAGGGTCTTCACAAAGAACCACAACGCTGCCCAGTGCCATGCTTCTATCATTTGGTACCGCACTTTGGAGCTGCTTGAGAAGTGGTTGGATTTTCTTGACGCTCATCGCCTCATCGTTAAGACTAGATTTGTCTCGTTTGCCTAGAGGAGCAGATTGAAAGCGAGATGCTTTAGATCTTCTTTTCGATTTACCCATTTGAAAAACGCACGGATCTGGTGGAGCTGGTGAATCAACAGACCAAGATGGCACCTGTTTGATGGTGCAAACAAGTTTTAATGATTTCAGTAGAAAGATAGTGCGATGAGGTCAAATTTTTTGATGTCAATTGTCATTTTGTACGTAATGAACTAAAGATGAAATTCAGCTATTTCGGCGGCTAACGCGAGTGAACTGAACGAAGCCCAAAGCTCTTAACTTTGGCGTCCAAGACGTTTCCTCTATCTCACCAGTAACATAGTCAGAGTATATAGTTGTCTAGTATGCTATGGGTATTGTTTGGGACATAGATCCTGGCGATTGAACTTCAAGTATCGTTCACAGGTTCAGACGAGAAGTTCATAGACATTAGACCGCGCAGTGAGATTTCGGGTTGTCGAAAATCGGATGGCGAGCACGAAATTCTCTTCGTAATCAGAATCGGCCATCCTGAGCCGGAAATCGTGATTTTTGACCGGCCGAGTCATCAACAATCAGCTATTTCTACGAGACTCTCGTTGTCATTGTTCGCTCTGCAATGAAAAGTCCACTCGATTTCAGTTTCTTGACATTTCATCGCCTTGTCCTTCAAAGCTCGGCGAAGACAAAATGTTGCGGGTTCTCTAGTATCAACAGACCCAACAAAACCGGATTCTAACCCCCAAGACTTCAGTTTTGGAGCATCTTTAGAGCGAAACTCACTCTTTCTAATGTCTTCCAATCTCCCGTTTGCTTCTACTTGAGCGAATTTGTTTGGGTCGCACTCTGCTGCTGTTGTTGCTGTTGTTGCTGTTGCAGCTGCTGTTGCAGCTGCTGGATTTTATCCATCTCTCCCTTCAAGTCCAACATTGATTTAGGCGACAAAGGGTTCCCTTCCTCGTCATACTGCGGGATCTCCACATCCGTTCTCAAGTGGCCATCTTTTCTCAACCTATCGATAACAATGGGCTCAAAAAACTGCGTTCCGGTGTAAATCCCCACGAATCCTACCAAAGCGAACGCAGCGACATCAAACAACTTGATTCTAGGCATCACTTCTGGATAAACGAAGACTTATGTTCAGTATTTATACCTCTTCGGTTGGAACTACAAACTTCATGAATAACTAATTTTCACCACTGAGGTCCTTTGACTTATAAATATGAAAGACTAAGAATAAGTGGCGTCGTGGAAAATTGCACTCTGCTAAAGCTCTGTTAAGGCCCAAGATATCGAAATACTCGAGCCTTGGAAAGCCTGTATTGTATGAATTTGCCAGTTGCGTATTATCGACCAATTGCAGGATTCAAAAACAAGCTTTCAAACTCGACGAAATCTCTTTGGCAAGTACAAGCTCGCAGACATCAAAGTTCAACCATGAGCGGGTACAAGAATCTGAACATTGAGTTCAAAAAACCGGTTTTAGATGATAGAAACTACCGCTTCATCGAACTGCCTAACAAACTTAAGGCGTTATTGATTCAGGACCCGGAGACCGACAAATCTGCTGCGTCTCTGGATGTTAACATTGGATCGTTTGAAGATCCGGAAGACGTGCCTGGATTAGCACACTTTTGCGAGCATCTTCTATTTATGGGTAGCTCGAAGTTCCCCAATGAAAACGAATATTCTAGTTTTTTGAGCAAACACGGCGGCGGGTCTAATGCGTACACAAGCTCACAAAACACAAACTACTTCTTCCAGGTTAATCACGAAAGCCTGCACGGGGCCCTGGACAGATTTTCAGGCTTCTTCAGCTGCCCACTATTTAATAAGAACTCTACCGACAAGGAGATAAACGCTGTGGACAGCGAGAACAAGAAGAATGTTCAAAGCGATCTGTGGAGGCTTTATCAGCTCGACAAGTCGCTCACCAGCGACAAACACCCATTCCACAAGTTTTCAACCGGAAACTTGAAAACGCTCGGCTCAATCCCAAGCTCAAGAGGAGTGGACATCAGAGATGATTTGTTGAAGTTTTACGACTCTTCGTACTCCGCCAACTTGATGAAGCTCTGCGTTTTAGGAAGGGAAGACCTGGATACCATGTCAGAATGGGTATATGACCTGTTCAAGGACGTACCCAATTCCGATCGCCCTGCCCCATCGTACGAGGCCACCATGTTACCATCCGAATGCTTAATGCAAGTCATTAGGGCCAAACCCGTAAAAGACTTGAAAAAAGTAGAGGTCACATTTGCATGTCCAGACGTTGACGAGCATTGGGAATCTAAACCAGGGCATTACCTGAGCCACTTGATTGGCCACGAAGGATCTGGCTCGCTCCTAGCTTATTTTAAGACCAAGGGCTGGGCCAATGAGCTTTCGGCTGGTGCTCATACTGTCTCAAAGGGAAATGCTATTTTCTCGATTGATATCGATTTGACTGATGAAGGCATTGAGCACTATGAGCAGATTGTAGTGTCAGTTTTTCAATACATTGAAATGCTAAAGCAAGACCTTCCACAGGACTGGATCTTTACAGAACTTCGCGATACCGCGGAAGCCAACTTTAAGTTTAAACAAAAGGGCAACCCTTCTTCTACTGTGTCTGCTCTTTCGAAAGCATTGGAAAAGGAGTATATTCCAGTTGGCGACATCTTGAGCACGGGTCTTTTGCGGAAATACGAACCCGACCTCGTTACTTCCTATTTGAAAGCTCTCGGCCCTGAAAACTCTCGTGTGACGTTGATTCACAAAAATGTTGACTCAAATCTTGCTGAAAAATGGTACGGCACCGAATACAGTGTCATCAAGTACTCAAATGAGCTTCTAAGCAAGTTGAAAGCTCCTGGTTTGAATCCCCACCTGCGGTTACCACGTCCAAATGAGTTCATCTGTACCAATTTCCAAGTTGACAGACTAGAAAGCGCGGAACCCTTACAGGAGCCTCTACTGCTAAAAAATGACGGCCGGAGCAAACTGTGGTATAAAAAAGATGATAGGTTCTGGGTTCCAAAGGGCCACGTCTACATTTCCATGAAGTTGCCACATACTTACTCCAGTGTTGTAAACAGCATGCTTACGACCCTCTATGTGGATCTTGTCAATGATTCGCTCAAGGACTTGGAATACGACTCTCAAGTGGCCAGCCTTCACATTTCTTTCAGGAAAACAAACCAGGGTTTAGACCTTTCCCTAAGCGGCTACAATCAAAAGATCGCTACACTGCTAACAAGATACTTACAAGGTGTTTCCGGCTTTATACCGTCTGAATCCCGCTTCAAGATTTTTAAAGACAGGTTGGTGCAAAAACTGAACAACCATTTGTATGAGGTTCCGTACTCTCAGATTTCCGATGTTTACAACTCAATCGTCAACGAAAGATCTTGGACGATCATGGAAAAGCTAGACGTCGTCAAGCAATTGTCGTTTGCGCACCTGAAAAACTTCATTCCTTCGATGTATGAGCAGTTCTTTTTCGAGACCCTAGTGCACGGTAACTTCAAACACGATGTTGCCATTGAAATTGACGAGCTGATCAAAATGTTGGCGCCTTCTGACATCCAATTAGGCCAATTGAAAAGCTCGAAACCTAGATCAGTGTTATTGCCCCAAGGAAAGACCTTCTACTTCGAGCAGCCGTTGGCCGATGAGAAAAACATAAATTCATGTATTCAACACGTTACACAGCTGGGTATTTTCTCCGAGGAGCTATCCGCCAAGGCCGCATTGGTGGCGCAACTGATCGATGAGCCAGCTTTCGACACTTTGAGAACCAAGGAACAATTAGGCTACGTGGTTTTCAGCTCGGCACTCAACACGCATGGAACAATAAATTTGAGACTGCTCATTCAGTCTGAGCGCGATACTGCGTATTTGGAGTCGAGAATCGAGGCATTTTTGGCGAAGACTGAGCAAAGCCTGGAAAACATGACCGAGGAAGAGTTCAGTGGACACAAGACCGCGCTTTGCAAGACTCTACTTCAGAAATACAAGAATTTGTCCGAAGAGCACTTACGGTTCACCACCACAATTTACATTGGCGACTACAATTTCGTGCACAAGGAAAGAAAGGCACGTTTGATCGAAACGTTGACCAAATCTGATATCTTGGAGTTCTACCGCCAACATGTGATGTCTGAAGGGGCTAGTAAGTTGATTGTCCACTTGAAATCGCGCGCCCAGGACGACGCAGCCAGAAAAAGAGATGCTGTGGAGAACTATCCTGCCGGGGACTGCATCACTAACATCGCTCGTTTCCAAAGCATGCTAAGTTTGGCACCAGCACGTCAGCCGGTCAAGAAGCTCGAAGTGACGCCAAAGCTTTAGCACCGAATCGTGACGCGTAAGTGACGAGCCGTGATCTTTTACGTACACTAGAAGCGTTATAAGATAAGTGCAAGTAACCTTACCATGTTCAAAAACCATGTTGTGATCCCAGATGGCGGGAGGGGTGTAAAATCATTTTGAGAGTGCTCTACCTGCTAGTTCACAATTGATCGCTGACGCTCTCAACTGTTCAACCATGCTAGTAGCTCAACTACGAGATGAATACCCATTTTATAAGAACAAGAAATTAAAAGTAAAATGTAGCCTTTCTTCGACATTCCCGGTCTATCATCCCATGAGGAACTCACCAACCGCGAACTTCCTAAAATCCAGTCAAATATTGGTTGATCTGGGAAACTCATATTCCAAATCATTTTTTGTTAAGAAATGGAATATTGGCAATTAGCAGCTGTTAGAAGACAGACTAAGCTAACTGTGGCATCGTTTCCGTGCATTTTTGATTCAAAGGAGGAAGAAAATAATCGAAAGAGATGGTTTGAACAGAGGGGAAGAGCGGACAGTCGATGAGCTTTTTATACTAAAGCTGAGTTCCTTGCCGGGTAACTAGTGGACCATTAATTTATCCAATTTCATTTATTTTCCATAGCCCATACGTCTGGCAAGACTAGCTCTTAGGGCTGCGATGAGATCGCTAATGGTCGCTAGCCTTAGCTTGCGCTAAACGACGTGTTAGCTTGTACAAAGCTGCTTACGCGTGCGACGTTTAATCAAATTGGGTTTTCACTATGTAGATACATGCCAAAATAAACAGTTATAGCGTGCTTGGGCAACGAGTCCGCGAGGACCTCCACACACGCACACGCGAGGGGCGAGCGTTCTTATCTGTACTTGTGGAAGCCGATGTCGTTGGCCTTCTCTCTGAAGCACTGACGGCAGATGTCCAAACCGTACTTTCTGATCAAACCCTGGTGGGAAGAGCAGACACGGCACTGGCGAGAGCCTTTACCAAAGTTTCTTGGGTGGGAGAACCAGACGTTTTCGTGAGCCATGTTGCTGGGACGGCGAGTTAGTAGACGGAAAAAGGGGGACGTGTTGGGCAGGATGTGGAAGCATAGCATATGGACGGGCAGTAATGGTTTTTTTTTTCTCGTTCGATCTGAAAACATCTGACACCACTGGAGTTGGCGAACGATCGACTACGACACTCATCTCCACTGATTCTGGGCCCCACCATAGTCGTCGACTGATCAACTAAGACACGGATTTCCAAGTCGCACCATTGTTTTTCATTTTTCTACCAACCAAACCAAAACCGGCGCTCTCAATCGAATAGACGCTATTCCTCCATCGCGCGCACACTTTCACGCGCTCGCACGCTCAATTATCCATTCGGAAACATACTTTAGCGATAATCTGTTATTTCCTGTGTTATGAGTCGAACTTCAATGTTGAAAGGGCAAACTTGTCAAATTCTACTTTTTTCACATAGTGATGGATGAGCCGAACCAAAACCTCTGCCCGGTCCGCCTAGAGAGGCTCCATATCGTCTCGGACGTCAATAGGTTTTGGCATTGCGTGGATAAGAAAAGTTGCGTGGGTCTAGACGAGCGAGAAAAAAAGAGTCAGTCACGAGCTACGAAGATGTCTGGGTGTGCAAAAACATTTCAGATTTTAAAAAATTGAGAGAAATGTACGGATGTTAAAGCAGTCATAAGATTTTGGAAGGTCACACGACATTCACATGACGTTGGGTTTTTTTCTCGATTTTGATGAGATAAATGCCTTGGAAAATTTGAGCTAGCTCATCGCATCAAGAATACAACGCACAACGCGCACAACACAGTGAGAAACAGTCATAAAAGCATCAAAGCGTGCTAGAATTGATTACAGATCTTTCAGGAAACTGTTTTTCTACTAAAAAGACCTTTTCTCTCGCTCGCAACGCCGATGGCAGGCCATTCCCACAGATCATCGGTCAAGAACGGCCACAAGCCGTTCAAATCCAAGCACGCGTCCAAAGGCGCGCTCAAAAACATGTACAAGGGCAAAGTCGAGAAAGCGGGGTCCACAGCAGCTGGCAAGTCTGGTGCCAAACCCGTGTCGCGGCTGCAGCGCAAGAACGCTGCCAAACAAGCGCGCGAGAACAAGATGCTCGACGCACTGCACACACGTAAGCTTTTCGAGGGCGCTGGCGGTGCAGAAAAGATCATCGCGGTGGTGCCCCTCACGTCCGATGTCGACGTCGCACAGCTCGTGGCCTTGCTCGTCAAGGACGCAGATCCAGAGGCGGACTTCCAAATGGGTCCCGCGCCGTGCATCTTCAGCGTTGCAGTGAAAAAGTTCAGGTGCAGCCTGAAGTTCATCATTCCCGACATGTGCAACTTTGTCAGTGTGCTGGATGCGGCCAAAGTCGCAGACTTCACATTGTTCGGACTCAGTGCAGCTGCAGAGGTCGACACCGAGTTCGGTGAGCAGATCGTTCGTGCAGTGGAGCTGCAAGGTATCTCGTCGTACATGGGGTGCGTGGCCAACCTCTCACAGGCGCACCCAAAGGAAAAATTCCAACTTGATCTCAAACAGTCCCTGGAAAGTTTCTTTAAGCATTTTTTCCCCAGCCAAGACCGCATCTACAATCTAGAAAAGGCCCCAGAGGCGGCCAATGCCCTCCGCACTTTGTGTCAGCGGTTCCCACGCCAGGTCAGCTGGAGAGACAATCGTGGTTACATGGTGGCCGAAGCTGTCGACTTCGTGGGCCCCGAAAGTGGCGACGACGGCACGCTGGTAATTGACGGTACAGTACGTGGTATCGGATTCCACGCTGACCGTCTGGTCCACATTCCAGGCTTGGGAGATTTCCAGGTCTCGCGGATCGAAAAAGTCAGCGACTCGAACCGTAGGTATGTCAACAACAAAAAGAATGAGGCTGCGTCTGACCCGCTAAATCTAGCCTTAAAGACCGAGTTTTTGCCCACCCCAGAACAGGAAACGTTAGATGACTATGCGCCAGAGAATGTAGATGATGAGATGCATTCTGATGACGAAGGTTTCCAATACGACGACTTGACCGCTGCTCGATACGATGACCATGGCTTTTTGCCCGGCAGAGAGTTGACCGTCAAAAAGATAAGACTACCCAAGGGAACTTCTGAATATCAAGCTAGATGGTATCTGGATGACGTGATCGATGCTGCCGACGAGGAAGAATTGACAAACGCAGACGAGGCCGATATGGCTATCGACCAAGATGACCACGACGGCGTAAGCGATGACCTGGAAGACGGCATGGCAGACGAGCTTTTGGAAAACCAAGAAGATTTCGAGGAAGACAATCAGGACGATATGTACGTGGATTTGTCCCCCGAAGAGGAGGAAAGGCAACTCAACGAATATCGTGCTTTAGAAAAGGAAGATCGTGAATTCCCTGACGAGATTGAGCTCAACCCCTCTCAACCGGCCACAGAAAGACTGAAGAGATACCGTGGTCTAAAGAATTTATACAACTGCAATTGGGACGTTGACGAATATGATCCTAAAGCTACACCTGAGTGGAAACGCATTTTGAGAATCGGAAACTACACTAATATTAGAAATAAGATGTGCAAAGACGCTACGAAGGGCGCCGAAGTCATTGCGGGTGATCGCATCAAACTCCACATAAAGATGAGCAAGACACTACTGCGTAGGATAAAAGATCCCCGCCAAGAAGCTCTCGCCGTCTATGGTCTGTTGAAGCATGAGCACAAAAATGCGTTGGTCAACTTCTCAATTCAAAGGTGGGAAGAGTTTGAAGACCCTGTTCCTTCAAAAGAACCTCTATTTGTACAATACGGTGTGAGGAGGTACATCATCCAACCTTTGTTCTCCTCGGCCTCGAACACACCCAACAACGTTCACAAGTACGAAAGATTCCTGCATCAAGACTCTGCTTCGATCGCCACCTGCATCGCGCCAGTCGATTTCACCCAGTCTCCAGCGCTGTTTTTCAAGGAATGTCCTGAAGACGTGAAAGGTATCAACTTTGTGGGCCACGGCTCCTTCCTTGGCGCAGACCATACTCGTATCATCAGTAAGAGAGTCGTGCTCACCGGTGATCCATTCAGATTTCACAAGAACGTTCTCACGACACGTTTCATGTTTTTCCGACCCGAGGATGTTGAATGGTTCAAGTCCATTCCGCTGTTTACCAAGAGTGGTAGGTCCGGTTTTATCAAGGAAAGCTTGGGTACACATGGTTATTTCAAAGCTACTTTCGATGGCAAGCTTTCTGCGCAAGACGTTGTGGCAATGTCGCTCTACAAGAGAGTGTGGCCTCGCACTTCTAAGCCGGTAGACTTTTAAACCAGCAGGTCCCAAAGATTCAGAAACACTCTCGGAAAGCATTTTGGGTGCTTGAGAAATATTGCATTGTTATCACAGCTCTCGTGCCAGTATCTGTTAATCATGAATGACATTGACATCCATCTAAACTTTAGTAACTACAAAGGACGAAAACAAAGGCCATTTCAGAAGCTACGTCGAATCTCAATCCACTGGTCGATCACTTCTATTGCTTTGAAGTGAGCCAGTTGTAGAAATCAATTTCCAAAACACGAACAAACATTTCGATTAATACTATTACAGAGAAAAGGTACAAATGAGGTTTAATTTCGAGGATAAGTAACCAAACTTTGAGTTGATGAAATCAGCAAGCCACGAGCGACTAGTGAGCTCTTGTGAGTGAGATAGAGCCGAGTTAAGAGTTATTGTCGTGTGAAGGTATAATGGCATAGTAGTGATTATTAGACACTGTTTAAGTACTTAAACCAACTATTCACCACATCAACATTACAGCTTTGAAGTTTTGTTTTATAAGCCTCGCAAGGACCAATTCAGTGTTCAAATCTATTTAACGATGAGCTTAGTCTTCACTTGCAATGCTTGTATGATCCAGTTCCGGTCCAGCGACCAGCAAAGGTACCATATGAAGACCGATTGGCATAGATATAATTTGAAGCGGAAAGTAGCACAATTAGGACCGATTTCTGCGGACTTGTTTGCTGAAAAAGTACAGATTTCTGAGCGGGAGAAGGAGCTTAACCAGGTGGATGAGTTTGGGTTCGCAGTGCTAAAGAAAAAGGAGCCTTCACGTCACAAAAGTGCTGCCAATGGTAAAACGAAGCTGAAGAAAAAGAGGGGACGGCAATTCGAAAATGTGGAGGATACAGCTGACCCAGCTCGGTCTACGTCACCGGCAGTATCTATAGCTTCTGAAATTTCCAAAATGTCAATCCACAGCACGGATTTCGATGATGAAAGATCTTACGAAAATGGCTTCACTACCAACTCGGAAGAGGAATACACCACTGATTACGAAACAGAAGCCTCTGAAATCGATACAAATCAGCAAAAAGATGTCCAGTTCTCACACACCGAGTGTCTCTTTTGTGGAAGGAAGAGCAGAGACCTCGAGGGCAACATCAGCCATATGTTCAGGTCTCACGGTCTTTACATACCAGAAAGAACGTTTTTGGTGGATTTAGAAGGCTTAATAAACTATCTAATAGAGCTGATAGTGCACTCCCACCAATGTCTGTGCTGCTTTTTCAAAGGCAGCAGTCTAGAAAGCATACGCGCACACATTGCATCTAAAGGCCATGCCAAATTACCCTACGAAACTAAAGAAGAGCGTTTGCGCTTTTCGAAGTTCTACGATTTCTCGCTGGCCGAGCAGCAATCCGATGATGACTCTGACGCCTCCGGCTGTGAAGTCACGGTCGTCGACACTGAAGCTAGTTCTTCTCCAGACGAAAGCAGCAGTGGTGACTCACCACAAGATATAAACTCCAACTATGCTCAGGCAGTAGTTGACGATACCGGTGTAGAGCTTACTTTGCCCACGGGAGTAAGAGCGGGACACCGTTCTATGAGGAGATATTACAGACAAAACCTTCCACTACCACCTGACGCCGCCGATGGCAATAGAACATTAGCAGTTGGCGATAGGAGGTATTTGGGCGGTGTCACGGATAGGACGATAAAGAAGAATGACAAGAAAGCTCAGCAGCTGGAAAGGCATGGCATAAATCGCAAGATTCGCACGGAGACTAGACGCAGCAACTTTCAAACCCATTTCAGAGATGAGCTTTTACAGTGAGAAGGTATACGCATTGTTGCACGACATTAGACTTTATCCAACCGTTATGCTAACACTATCGTACATTCGCTTCCGATTTACTGAGGGAAAGCAGATCAGTAGTCGAACACACTCTTTGGCATTGCAGGAAGAACAACCACTCCTTCGCGAGACTCAATGAGATTGGCAAAAATAGATCAAATTACGTGTATTAATCCTATCATATTGCCTTATGTACCACGTAGATCTCGGAGCGAATTATTTAATATCCTTCATCCCCGGTATACCACAGATGCATTATCGTTGTCGTCCTCAGTCCCGTCATCCGGTTGACGTCCACAACCGAGCATGGGATCAGGAGTCAAAACGTGATCCAGCAACGCAAAGCTTGAATCGTCAACGCCAGTTTTTCTTGGAGAGCTTAGCTCAGTTTCGCAGACACTTCTGAAGTGGTCTAAAAGTCCGAGAAATTTAGTTCTCTTGTGATGTAGAGAACCCGCCGAATTCAGAGATTCGGAAGATAGAGATCCATTAATACTGCTAGTTCCATCGTTCAATTTGTAAAAAGGACTAGGAGGTATTTTACGAGCGGCTAGCGCACTGACACTTCCTAATCTAGTGTTTAAAATTTGAAAAGCCTTTGATTGAGGCAACACCATCAAAATTCCATACAGGCATTTGTAAAGGTATGGATACCGCTCTTGTTCCAATAACTGTAGCCTCAAGCTGGTGAAAATTGGTGATTCCAGAAGTTGAACAAGAATGTCAATTTGCACAAGGTCATTGACCGATAGCTCATATTCAACAAAAGTTTGCAGAACATAATATGCAAGTTCATATTTACCTGCTAGGAGACAGAGAGCAAGCAGCGAGGTAGGATTGTGAGACCAGCACCTGAAAAGCGAGCAAAAAAACTCACTATCAGCACCAGTTTTTAGTTTTTTTCGCAATCCTTCCAGCTCGGGGGCCGTAATAAGGTTGGTATTCAGTATTTGAATCATCATCCGCACAAACAGAAGATCTCCCCCCTCTTCCAGTATGGATGATACCACGTTGTAAACCCTCTCCGCAGATAACTTTATACCTAGCTGTCTGAAGATATGATTCGCTCTTGTTTTCAAAAGCTTTGCGTCATTCTTGAAGAGAAGTAGTAGATCTTTGATGAGTTTCTTGAAGTACTCCTCGTTAGAGTTATTGCAGAGGCTGCTCAATAAGTGCAGAGCTTTTGAGACCAATTGATTATCTCTATCGGACAGTGATTTCAACAAGGTGAGGAAAGTGCTGTCGCTGTGTTCTAGGATTTGATTGGGAACAATCTGATATATCAAGATCAACCAGTCAAGACAAGCAACCTTGGCAACAACATCACTGTCCAAAAAGTGCAATGTCAAAGTGTTGACAATAGGACCATAATTTATCGTTTCCGGACCATCGTTGTAATCAAATTTGCCCGTCAAGTCAATTAGCTTTTCATTTACCGTTTGAGCCAGCTTTCTAACCCTAGAATCGACGTCATTGAGTATCTTCAGGAGTAAAGAAAGCAAACGCGACAGAAAAGGCAAAAAGGCGGATGGGCAAATGTCCAGAATGGTTTCAATCCATGTCAAGACTACCAGCTGGATCTCGGGCTCGGAAGATCCTAATGTGTTGATCAAAATTTCAATGACTTTTGGATAATCTAAATGAACGTCTTCACCAGGGGAATAAAGATCACCATTGCCTAGCTCCTGAGATTCTGAATCTGCCAATGAATTTGTGCCACCTTTTTCAACTTCTTCTGCAGCTGCCCCAACAGTGAAAGCTTCATTAGTTTTACAATCTTCGGTGGCTGATGAAACTCTGCTTTTACTCGGGCTGGAGTTGTTCACCATCGCAAGCTGTTCGAAAGCAGTCAACAATGATTTCTTCCTTTCACTGATCAGCATGCCGTCTTGCTTTTTGACGGAAGCAACCTCCTCGAGGTTGACTTGCCTTTGTTTCTTATCGGATACTTTTTTCTGAACGATGGCCTTAACTTCAGATATGCGTTGCGCTTCGTGAAGCAGCAAATCTATGAGCGAGTGTGTGACCGTTCTGACATCCTTGTGGGAATCGCCAAGAAAGGTGAAAAGACCACCCAAGAAGGATGGCAAATACGATATAAGCTCGAGATCCGGAATATTTTCCAGAACTTGCAGCCACGAAACGAGAAACATGCGGGTATCTGGGTTGATGGCGTATATGCGCTCAGTTAAAAGAGGGATGAACTTCGGTAACGAGAACGCAAACTCGGGCTGCTGTTTGTGCTCTTCACGCAAAACCTCGCCGGTTTGAACGTCGGTGCGAGTTGCGGGGGGAAGATCTTTGGGATCGTTGTTGACAATGCTCACATAGCTAGAGGCACGTTCGGCCACAACGTCTTTGATGAGACGGTCCAGCAGCTCTGCTGCACCCCTGACCGAAGTTTCGGTGTCGGCACTTATTTTGCAGAGCACATCGAATATTTCGTTGAAATACACTAGTATTTCGCCTTTCGCGATCTTCGCGATGTTGTACAGACTCTCACACGCATAAAATCGGACCTGGTCGTTTTGGTCCCCGAAACACGCCAAAACGGGCGGCAGGATGCGGTCCAAATACCGTGCTACCTCTGTTGAGCCCAGTGCGATTGCACACGCTGCCAGACCCATCAGACCTGCATTTCTGGCCATTGGCTGGTGCAAAGCGTACGCAAAATCCCGACAAAGCTCGTCGAGAATCTTATCTACTCTCTCATAGTCTTCTTCAGCCAGACACTCCTTGACTAGTTTTTCCAAGTTCAACGCCGTGGCCTTCCGTTTCTCATATAGCTTGTCATTGAGACCCTTTACAATAGCTCTGTCTATACAAAGGGAGGAAGCCCGCTGTTAGTATCGAAAATGAGCTTTAAACAATATCTTCTTGCCGGATTAAAGTGAACATACCCATTGAATCTCCCAGAAGCCTTAAAAGATGAAATCTCCTGCTTTTATTTCATGAATTCTATCTTTCCAAAATTCAATTAAATTACAATCCTATGTCTTTATATCTTATAGAAGTGTTGATATTTAAACACCGTGCAAACACGATCCAAGAATGGCTCTCAAGTCCAATGTGGCGCTATTGTTACTTCAGTTAGTGCTCTACAGACAGCAAGAGTTTTCTCACAATGACACAGGAGCGAAATTGAACGAGTTATTGGTCAATCCTGTGGTCGATGAGATCGTTCTGGATAGATTCACCAACCATCGTCTGGTCAAGTTATACGCCCCAGAGCTGGTAAAAGTACGACTGCGTGCACTAAAAAAGGAGGTAAACGATCTATTTAGCGCGGGACTGCCAGACAAGAACATGCCAGTGACAGTGATCACTTTAGCTAACCATTTCTACTACACACGGGTAAAAGAACTAGAACAGGACCAAATTCCGAAAATTAACGAACAATTGCGGGACATCGATGCCCAGCTACAGGGATCACAGCAACAGCACAAAATCGAAGGCTCGTGAAGGGCGTTGGAGCGAGGGAGAATTGACGCGCGTACAAAGTGATGCAAATTTTTCGATATTCTTCAAATTGGCTAACTGGCTCATCGCATCTCTTCAAATGTTTGAACTGAACAAACTGAAGCATTAAGAGAAGCCTTTGAGAGACTTTTGAGGTGGCCAATCCCTGCAGTTTTCCAAATAATAAGAGTAGTTGACAATGCGCAACTTGATTACGCTAAATCGGGGTAGGTTCGAGCCTACTTCGCTCGCATTGCCAGACCTCAAATTGCAAGCCAGTGTCTTTGACACCTCTTCCGACAGCATTACATGTGCCTTGGCAGACCTGGATATTGGTGCTGTCGAAGTGCACCAGTACATGAAAACGGGGAACTGTAATGTGCTGGCGTCGTTCAACATTCAAACATTTGGAGACAAACTTCTGTCGTTCATGCATTTCGGAGATATTTGTCAACTTGTTTTCGTGCTGGCTCAGGGTGACATTGTAACAGCCACGTATGATCCCGAGAGCTACGACCTGGCTTTGTCTGTGGTCGAGATTGTCGGGTCGATCGAGGGAGGTGTGGCAGCAGCCGAGTGGTCGCTCGACGAGGAGACCCTGGCTTTGGCTACCTGCGAGCACAATGTCGTTGTGCTGAGCAGGCAGTTCGAGCCCATAGCCGAGCACAAGCTGACGGTAGGTGATCTCAAGATGTCGAAACACGTTGACGTGGGATGGGGAAAGAAAGAAACACAATTTAGAGGTAAGGGAGCTCGTGCGATGGAAAGAGTGGCTCTTGAAAGCCTCAAGGCTTCGGGACTCAGAGGAACGGAGCTTCGAGATCCAACAATGCCCTACATGGTAGATACCGGTGTCGTGGGCGCCATGGACTCGGGAGAAACTACGATATCATGGAGAGGCGATTGCGAGTACTTTGTGGTGTCCACAGTCGAGGTTATCCAAAAAGAAAACGAGGAAGAGCTTTCTAGGAGAGCCTTCAGAGTGTTTTCCCGCGATGGACAACTAGATAGCGCCTCGGAGCCCGTTGACGGACAGGAAAACCCCTTAACCTGGAAGCCACAGGGTTCTTTGATCGCTTCCATCCAGAGAAAAGATCAGATCCCAGGAGAAGAATCTATCAACGTCTTATTTTTCGAGAGAAACGGTCTAAGACACGGCGAATTCGATACTCGACTAGCGATGGATGAAAAAGTCCTTGATTTGAGCTGGAACTCAAGCTCAGAAGCACTTGCCATCACCCTGACGGATAAAATAATGCTGTGGACTACTAAGAATTACCATTGGTATTTGAAGCAAGAAATATACGCTCAAAACATTCAGTACGTGAAATGGCATCCGGAAAAGGATTTCACCCTTCTGTTCGGCGACGAAACCGGTGTCAACATTGTTGACTTTGCCTACAAATTGGCATTAGGCCCTACCTTGGAGCCCTTTGACTATGGCACTGTTCTCGTAATCGATGGTTCTACGATAAATATCACTCCACTGGCCCTAGCCACCGTCCCCCCTCCCATGTATTACCGAGACTTCGACGCACCTTCCAATGTATTAGACGCGGCGACAAGCGTTTCCAATGAGATTTACGCTGCTATCACTAAAGATGAACTTTGTTTGGCTTCTGTGCCCAGTTTAGAAGATATGAGAAAAGGTTTGCATCCTCTCATCTCCTCAAATATTCCGAAATCAATGTTTGCCACCGCTTATGATACACTCAGACAGGTTGCCTTCATAGATGATACCGTCGTAGGGGTCTTGTTGGACTCTCAGAACTTATCCCGAATTGCACTGATTGACGTGTCGGACCTTCAACAACCTTCGGTCATTTCTGTTGTTGACGCTCTGAATAAAGTTGTACTCATTCGTGCTGGTTTTGAAAACAACTACCTGGCTTTCGAAACTAAAGACTACAAAGTTTTCCATCTCGACTTATATGGACATATCACCGAGATCGCCGCCTTCCCGCAGCTCGTGCGTGATCTGCGCGTTAAGAGAGTAGAAACCTCTGTGGATGCAGGTGGCAATAGTTATGCTGAAGATTCGAAGCTAGTAGCTTTCGGTCTTGCTGCTAACGGTAAACTTTACGCAAATGACATCCTTCTCACTAGTACCGCCACATCGATGGAAATCACTGACAATTTACTGATGTTCACTTCTGCTCAGCACAACTTACAATTTGCTCACTTGAACTCGACCGAATTCAAGCCATTGCCTCTTGTTGACCAAAGTGTGGATGACGAGAGAGTGAGAGCTATCGAACGAGGCTCTTTGTTGGTAACTGCCATACCGTCAAAGTCGTCGGTAACTTTGCAGGCGGCCCGTGGTAACTTGGAGGTTATTTTCCCACGAATTATGGTTCTTGCTGGTGTAAGAAAGAGCATTTTGGCTAAAAGATATTACGAGGCTTTCAATACATGCAGAACACATAGAATTCACCTAGACATTCTACATGACTATGCGCCTGAAATATTTGCCGATAATCTCGAGATTTTCATAGAAGAAATCGAAAGGGGGGATTATCTTGACCTTTTCATCTCCTGTTTGACCGAAGAAGACGTCACCGAACAGAAATATAAAGAGACGATTGGCATTGCCATGGATCAAAAATTCGAAGTGACTCCACCGCCACTAACCGAAATGGAGCAGTACATGAAGAAAAAAATGTTTGACCCTAGTAGCTCGAAGGTGAACAAAATCTGCAATGCAATTCTTGGAGTACTTTTGAACAATCCAGAACACAAGGCGAAGTATCTGCAATCAATCATCACTGCATATGCTTGCCAAAACCCTCCTAACCTGGAAGAAGCCTTATTGCTAATTGCATCGCTTGATGAACAAAGCGAGAATTGTCTGACTTACTTGTGCTTTTTGCACGACGTGAATGTTCTTTATAAGGTCGCCTTGTCCTTATACGACATCAAGCTCACATTGGCGATCGCTCAAAAATCGCAAATGGACCCTAAAGAGTATCTACCATTCCTGCAAAATCTTCACGAACAGGAGCCTCTAGTTTGCAAATTTATGATTGATGATTATCTCAAACGCCACGAAAAAGCCTTGGATCACCTCTCGGCTATTGAGACGAGCTCACAAGGCCTTTCGGACAAGATCGTGGACTACATTCAGACTCACCACTTGTACAAATATGCTCTGAATCTTTACCGGTATGACGTTGAGAAACAAAATGCTGTTTACCATGCCTTTGCGCCTTATTTGTCGTCCAGACAGGAGTATGGAGAAGCTGCAATTATCTACGAAATGCTGGGCGAATTCAAGGAGGCCATGGACGCCTACACTTTGGGCAAAAAGTCCAGTGAAGCACTTGCAATTGCCACTTCCAAGTTTAATGATGAAGTTGATACGGTAGCAGACACTCTGGTCTCCTCTTTGTCCTTCGAGCACAAATATGCTGAAGCCGCTGAAATTGAGCTGAACTACTTGAAGGACACTAAGGAAGCAATGAGATTATACTGTAAAGCCTATCATTACGAAAGGGCGGCTTTGATCGGAGCCACTCACGGTAGTGTTGAGTTGGTCGATGAAGTTCTAGAACCGGCTCTCGGCGAGGGTTTTGGTACGATTGCAGAGCTGCTAGCCGACTGCAAAGGGCAAGTTACTTCGCAACTGCGAAGACTACGTGAGCTAAGGCAAAAGAAGGATGAGGATCCATATGTGTTCTATGGACAAGAGACAGAACAGGCAGATGATATTTCAATTGCTGCATCGGAAACGTCAACAAAGGAATCTTTCTTCACCCGGTACACTGGAAAGACGGGCGGGACTGCCAAGACGGGGGCTTCGAGACGCACGGCTAAAAACAAACGTCGTGAAGAACGCAAGCGCGCTCGCGGTAAGAAGGGAACAATTTATGAAGAGGAATATCTCATTCAATCCATTGGCAGGCTGATAGAGAGGTTGTCGCATACCGAGCCAGATGCCATCCTGCTGATAGAGGCCTTGCTAAGACGTGGTAGAAGAGAAGAGGCACAGCTGATCCAAAAGAATTTTGTGGAGACCATGACTCTGCTGAAGGACAACGTTGTTGAAATATATAGCATCAACGAGAAGGACAGGGAGAGAGTGGATGAAGAAGGAAACATTTACCACATTCCCGAAATTCCGGTGCCAGATATCAAGCCATTCCCTACGCGGCAGATTATTGACTTTTAAATAGCTTATTTAACAATTCACGAGGAATCATTGAGCCTTTTTAGACTTTGAGCCGTAGAGTCCGTCGACGTAGTAATTACTTGCGACCCGCTGCTCGTGCTCCAATATTATGGTTTCCAGATGCAAAAAGCATTTCTTGAACGCGTCGTTAATGGCCATTTTTTTAGATTTGCTGAAACTGTCACCTCTCGTTGAGGCTACAGCAGATCCAAAACCCGAGGCCTCTGTATTTGTTCCGTCTTTAAGTTGAAGTCGGACTTTTGCCTCTGACAGCACTTCGTATCGTTGGTCTGAAGATGAATCTTGAGCCGGATCTTTCGAGGGAACTGACCTGCAGTCTGCCGCGTGGATTTGTATAATTTCCAAAGACCATCCATCGAATCCTAATGCTTCATTTGCGTACTGTATCATGACGTGCACAGGAATGAGTTTCGCCAGAGAATGTTTGCCGTAACGGTTTCGGTGGTATATTTTATATGTGTACGATTCTATCTTTGACAGCAGGACACCTATTTTTTGAACGGCCCAAGCGCTCGCAGGTCTGTCCACCCATTGTTCCACAGCCTGCAAATCGCTGATGCATAGATCTTCCAAACCAGGACCGGTCTCGTAAACGGCCCCATCGTAGGTCAAATTTGTCAAGGATGAGCTCATTTGAACTTGAATCTGAAGCTAGACAAATATTACAGTGTAACAATTAATAAGTACATCGGTTGGTTTATGACCAACGCCCGCTGAGAGAATTGATTTCAAGTTTATCCGTTTATATACTCCGAGTATGGCTTCGGTGAGATGTGAACCACTTCTAGTGCCGACCCACAGTTCATGTCATCTGCTTGATTTTATGTCCACATCTTCGATAAATGACACACTCGTTCAGAGTGCTTGGATAAGAATAAATTTGAAGAAAAGAGAACTTAATGCTGGCGAACCGATTTGTTGGTCGTCTCGGGTGTCTTATACTTAGGGCTCTATTTAGTATTTGTTTTGAATATTGGGCCACGTTTTACTGGCTTGAAATTAAGATTTTTTGTTTTCTGCATTTTATGTCTGATCCTTTTTTGATCAGCTTCTGTGAGCAGAAAACTCTGTATAATTTAGACTCACACATTGTGTGTAATTATGGGAGAATGGTGTATCTTAATTGAGAGAAGAAAGCTTGAATGTTGAGGAAATATTTGACGTATTTCGTAGCAATAAAGACGGACGCTGAAGAGTCGACAAATAATGTTAGAATGCCCAGGGATACTTTTATCTCAAACTATTATACGATGACAACAAAATCGTTTAATGCATCAAATTCGGTGACGTTTCAGAGCAGTGCTTTTTTTATTTTATTTCGAACATGTATGCCAGCCTAGAGAGCTCTTTTGAAAAGCCCGAGAGATCCGTCATTCGAACACATATAATAAGTATGAATTCAACGAAGACGAATTCTGATGCTGGTGTCCAAGATTCGGCCACTTTCGTGGACACAGAGCCTGGTGTCATCATGGTTCATTTATGGCCATATATATAAATGACTTGTTAGTCACTTTGTACTAGTGTGGCACTAGATGCATTCCGAGTTTGGCTTAGAATCAGCCCATCCGACAGCGCTTCAAAGAGTAGCTCGCATAGTTGTTATTGATACAGTTTATCGAACTTGCTCGAAAGTCAGGAACTCTTCTGGTTAGACGAGCCAAATAGCACTTGAATCACATGAATGTTGCACAAGCTGACACTGACAAAAATATGGGACATCTTTCTTCAAATGGGATTTTACTTAAACTGCCAATACTGCACCCATCTTACGAACTAGTGAAATACAGTCGTGGGAGTTTTTTTCGACTGAGATATAAATGCGTTGTACATATAAATTTCGGTTTTAGTGCCTGTCAATATTGAATGCCTTGAGGTCAAACGGCCGTTTGACCTCAAGGCATTCATATTAAATTCTCACCGCTGTCAAAATATACAACATTCATGTCTTGATCAGCATTCAATCATTGCAGTCAGAATGCTTGATTTTTGGTACTTATCATTTACTGAAAATATGGATAAGTGACAGAATATCGAGCTCCCTAGCACATTACTACGACTTTTCTATAAAATCAATCATTCGGGACAGCTCAGGCTGAATCGAAAATGCAAGAGCATCTTATAACTACCTAAACTCTTCGCCTTTTAAACCTTTCTGAGAAGCAACACTCTATAAATTTTAAATGAAATTCTACATAAAAACTAACTGAACAAAACTGATCACTTTGAGCTGTGTTTGGCCGTGAACTTTTGCTTGAGATGGAACTCATCCAGGGCTTCATTCAGCCGCCTAAGGTTCAATCTGTAGACGACACGATTCCTACGCTATGCGATCGTGTTGAAAACGCGACACTGCTCAGCGACCGGAGATCAGCAGTTTTGGGCCTGAAGTCGTTTAGCAGAAATTACAGGGAAGCAGTAATCGCTTCTGGTCTGAAACCATTGATTACTACCCTCAAGAAGGATGTAGCAGACGAGGATTCAGTGAAAGCCATTCTGGAAACGCTCCTGATCCTGTTTATACGCGGTGAAGGAAACGCGGACTTGACTCGCAACTGGATCTCCCAACAGTCGCGTCTCAAAAACGGAAAGTACCCATCCCCTCTGGTGATGAAGCAGGAACGACTAGATCATGAATCGGTCGATCAGTTCTCTCTGTGGATTGCAGATTTCATGACACAAACAGACGAAATGGTGCATTTATTCGTTGGACTTCTGGAAGTCGAGAACTTCCATATCAGGTTGTATACAATCCAGCTACTAGAAGCTTTCGTTGCTTCTCGTGCATCTAGAACGCGCGAAGCCATTGTCTCGCTCCCGATTGGTGTCTCCACCCTAGTAGCGCTTTTGGAAGATGTCCACGAACCCGTCCGCGATGAGGCTGTTTTACTTCTTATGGCTTTGGCCAACAAGAGCTCACATATTCAGAACCTGGTGGCTTTTGAAAACATATTCGAGAAGCTTTTCAACATAATTCAGGAAGAGGGTGGACTTCGTGGATCCCTGGTGGTAAGCGATTGTTTGTCACTGATCGTCAACATCCTCAAGTACAATGCTTCCAATCAAGTGCTGTTCATGGAGACTGGAAATTTGCCCCAAATGGCGAAGCTTCTAAACGGACCTATGGAAGATGGATTTCATTGGAATGATCAAAGACTACTAAACATGAAAACCGGTCTAGAAATTTTGATGCTGAGCGTCGAATCCCACAATACTTCTACACCAAAACACCAAAAGATGCTCTTGAACTCGCATTTGCTCATGATAGTATTGAGACTGGCACTTTTGCCGACAATACCGAACTCAGTGCGTCCTTTTGCGCTCCTTGCTGCGGCAGATATGGTTAGAGATAACAACGAGGTTCAGCTAGAGTTGAGAAAAATCGATGTTCCACCTTTTGACCCAAGCAGCAGCCATCCGCTCGTAAATTCGACAAGGCTCGTTGGTGTGACTGATCTTGTGATGAACTGGTGCTTTTTCGCGAACTCCGTTCACACCTTCGAGATCAGGCGCGCATCCTCTGAACTCCTAAAGGCGTATCTCAACAACAATAAGAATCTGAAGCTGACTTTCGTCAAGGAGCAGATAAACATTTATAGGGAAGGTGACCATCTTGACGAGGAATCTGATGAAGAAGGTTACAAAGCTGGCATTTTCAACGTTCTTCTGGACTATGACCCCGAATTGAAGCTAAACCCATACAAGCTTTATTTTGCTGTAGATTTGCTACTTTATCTGCTACGTGGGGAATCAAACCTTGAAATTAGGGACACAATTCGGGGAATAAAGTGCAAGGGCTATGATACTGTGGACGAGACTGAGGAAGCTATGAGCCCTGTGCAAACCGTTCTAGAGCTGCTGATGACATCTTTTTCTCTCGAAGACTCAAGAGTGTCAATCTCTTATTTGTGTCTTTTAATTTATTGGCTGTTCGACGATTCTGCTGCGGTTAGTACATTTCTCTCAGATAAAGCAGTATTGCAGTCGCTTCTCGCCTACACTTCTCAGATGAAAGAAGATGATGTCACAGTTAATTGCTTAGTCTGCGCTTTATTGGGAGTAGCTTATGAATTTTCATCGCCAAATAGCAACGTCACTCGAGCTGAGTATTTCGAGCTATTGATCAAAAGCGTTGGGGTTAATAACTATATGTCAAAAATAAGGCAGTTGCAAGAAAGTTCACTTTTCGCCGATTCTATCAATAGCGATGACTTTTTTGAAGTTCTCGACACTGATACCACCGGGTTGCCGAAAGTATACTTCAGTCCATATTTCAAGGAGCTTGTGAAGGACAACTTCTACAGAATTCAGACTGCTCTAAAAAGGGGACCTGAACATCAGACTGTCGGTAAAATTTCATTCGAATCCTTCGATGACCTGCGTCAAGAGAAAGCTGTTTTGGAGAATAAGGTTTCGGACCTAGAAAAAGTCTCAAATGAACAGTTTAAGGAATTGCAGACATCTTACAAAGAGGCTAAAGAGCGATTCATTAAGGTGGAAGAACAAAATAAGCAATATGAGTCCGAGTTGAAAGAAAAGTCTGAGACACTTGCTACTTCAAAGGGAAGGCAGGATGAGCTGGACCAGATTTTGACATCGTTGAAAGATGAGCAGAAAAATCTTGTACAGGAGCATGAAAAGAAAAAAGCTCAGCTATCTAAGTTAGAGACAGAACTGACCAACAAGGTCTCCACTATTGAAAAACTAGAGAGGGATCTGAAAAGTGCTACAGCAGGCAAAAAAGTAGCAGAGGATGGTATCAATAAAATGAATAGAGAACTCTTCACTCTGTCCAAAGATTACGAGCGCTTGAAAACCGATTCATCGAAAGCTCGGTCCGAACTCGAAATATCTCTTAAGAACTCGAAAAGCGAATTGAAAAGGCTAGAAGCGAAAAAAGATTCATTCGAAAACGAGGTAAGCCTGATTTCATTAAAGTTGGAAAAGGTGAACAACGACAAAAACAAAATAGATGCGGAAAATGTATCGCTACAGAAGGAGCGCTCGGACCTCAAATCCAGGCTAGAAAACCAAGACCTTCTTGTTTCGAAATTATCTACAAAGCTAAGAGAGCTTGCGGAAACCTGTAAGCAGCTTGACGAAGAGAAAACCTCGAAGAGTGCCGAGATTCAACAAATAGTTCAGACGAATGAGAGAGAGCTGTCAAACTTTGAGAAAGAAATCAGGTCACTTCAAGATCGTCTAAACTCAGTCGAAAACGAAAAAAAGAATTTGACTCAGGAGATTGACTCGCTATGTGCTTCAAAAAAGGACAGAGACACGCAATATCAAGCTCTCAAGGAGCAACATGTTGGATTGAGAGCAAAACTGAGAACGTTTGAGGGAACTCTGATGGAGATGAAAGCTTTGTGCTCACACTTTCGAAATTCACTTTCTGGCATACCGGAGAGAAGTAAAAGCCTGTCTCAACACATCAGAAAGTTGCATGAGCAGCACACGAAAAAGCTCGAAGAGGCAGCTAAAATGGTGGAACATCATAAAAATGAAGCAAAGTCAATGGAAAGTGGAAAGATCAAAGCCGCTGAACAAATCAAAGAGCTAAACAAAACCACCTCTCAACTTCAGGAAAAAATTGAGCACATAGCTTCTGAGAAAAATGAGGCAATAGCCACTCTAAAGAAGGTAAAGACGGACTTCGAGGAAAGGGAAGAAACAACCCTTAAGACTATAAGGGATCAAAAAGAGACGATGATGAGAGCTGTGCAAGAAAAAGAAGCAAATCTGAAAAACTCAAAAAACCTGGAATCTGAAATCTTGCGCCTGGAAAAGAAACTGAAGGAGCTTGAAGTAAGCCGTGAAGTACTTTCTAAGAAATCGGAGGCTAGCAAATCTAAAGCGGCCGAAGAGCTGTCAACTTTGAACTCAAATTTCGCGCAGCTGTCTGAGGAATACGATATGCGTAAGCGCGAGCACGAGCAATGCATTAACTCTCTAGAGGCTACGAAGGTGGACTATTACTCTGTCAAAGAGGAGCTCGAGAACACCCGGTTGGGACTACAAGAGCAGAAAAGTGTTGTAGTGAACGGCGAACTTAGATCTAAAGAATTAGAAGATGAGCTTAAAGCGGCAAGAAAAGGGTTAGACACGAAGAATACTGAAGTTAAAACGCTAAAAGCAGACGTTCAAGAATGGAAAGACAAGTGCGCGGCGTCAGAGAGTAGAATAGGAGAGCTGACAAGTTCGTTTGAAAAGGACAAAAATTCCTTAACTGATGATATCCTTCGACTCAAAAATACTATGCGGGAGAAAAAAGCAGAACTGGAGGAGGAAAGAGCGCTGCTAACTGAGGGGTCCGCGAACGTAGCCGAGAACTATTTGAAAAAAATTAGCACTTTAGAAAGCAAGCTGGAAAAGTTAGAAGAGGCCCATGCCATGGACATGGGAGATTGCGAAAAGGAAAAAAACTCATTAACATCTCTTCTTAGAGAAGCCGAATCGTTAGCATCTGACAGAGCTAATGAATTAGAGCATGCCAATAAAAGGTTGCTAAAAGCCATTGAATCGCAAAAGAGCTGCGCAGAAAATCTAAAGAAGTTAAAGGATTCACAGCAGGTAAAAAGTGAGGCGACGGCCTCTCAAATAAACGAGCTGAAGTCGGTGATCTCACAGAAGGACAGCGATATTGGTACCCTCGAGTCAAAATTATCGACGAAAGAATCAGCGGTGGAAATTCTGGAAGAGAAAATAGCGAATTATTTTAAAGAGCTTGATCAAGAAAAAGACTCTGTCAAAAGCCTAAAGAGCTCTGAAGACGACTTGAAAAAAGCTCTTCAGCAAGTTAAAGAGGCTGCTGATGCGACAAACGGAAAACTCAAAGCGCAGCTTGTCGATTGTGAGAAGAGCTCAGACTCACTCAAAAGTGGGACTGAAAAACTGAAAGTAGATTCGAGAGCTAAAAGTGAAAGAATAGAAACACTTGAAGCCGATCTGCGCAATCTGAAAAAAGAGCTAGAAGAAACGAAATCGCAGAACATCAAAAAACTGGAAAAGCTAGAGGTGGCCAACTCAGAGTTGGCTGAGCAAGTTGGCTTTGAACAGAGAGGGAAGCAAGCTGCCGTGAATGAATTGAAATTTGCCAACGATAATAATCAAGCCGTTTTAGACAAATTGAAGCTTTGTGAAAGTGATCTAAAAAGCAAGAGCAACGACGACGCAAGCGAAAAACTTGTCATCAGTTTAACTTCGGAGGTCGATAAATTGAAGCGCGAAGTGGACGATTGGAAAACTAAAGCATCGGACCGTTCTGAACTCGATGACTTGATGTTACTCGTATCTGAGCTAGACGAGAAAAACAGCAAATACCGGGCGAAGTTGGAGCTTATGGGAGGCCACGTCTCTTCCGATGAAGATGAGGAGGTGGAAGAGAGTGCCGCAGAAGATAATTGAGAGTTCTTTTTAGTTATCAAGAAAGCAAAGCTACACCAAGCTAAGGAGTTATTGTTAAAGTCAACATATTTGCCATGAATTATCATAGGAACTAACTGCATATCCGAGAAAAAGAGAGTCGCATCTTCGAAGTGGGACTTGCATTTCTGGAGCTTAGAGTTTCGATCGCTGTTGGATTTATGTGATGTTCATCATCTCTACGAAGTAGTCAATGACAAAAGTTCGCGTTTCTTCTGCCTTCTCCTGATCTTTCTAGCTCTATGAATTCAGCTGTCAATTTTGAAGCCGATGATCGGCGTTCCTAAGATTGGAACTAGATAAGAGCTCACACTATCACCACGAGAGATCGAGGCCGTCGTCTCGAAAACACCATAGGGTTTTGACAACATTAAATGACTATCGATGCCAATGGAATAGTCGACCACTTTACACAAGTCCTTCATCTGTCATTTAGTCATGTGCATTAAACGTCATCATGAATGTCAACGCTATATGTAGATATTTAACAGCTACTGTATTGACCTTACGCCGTGCGAAGGCTGAGAGAGCAGTTTTGAAAAATAGTATTAAGAGGTCTATGCATGCTAGCTTGAATTGTTGCGCCTCTCAGGATCGCTCATTTTGTGGATAAATATTTCGGGATTATCGAGATTAGCCATTTTGCCAATATCCTGCGGTGTGATGATAATTGTTTGAGTTCTTTCGTCTCGAGAATATTTCGAAACGATCAGTTTCGTTCCTTCTCGCCGATTGACTTGGTCCATGTAAACATCGAATTCATCCAGTGCAATTATTCTCGACCGCATGGGTCTCCAGGTAGCCAGCAGGAGTGATGTCTGTGCGAAAGACTTCTCCCCACCAGAAAATGTGTCTACATTACGAGGACAATCGTCGTTTGGAGTCTTCATCAGCATATTCAAGGTCTTTTCATCATAATCGAAGTCTAGACTACCTGAAAAATTTCTTTCTTGCAGTGAATTCCTGAAGTCTGTATCTGCATTCAGGTAAGTGTCGGCTCTCGCCAGATTCAGTGTCATTCCACGCTTCTCTAAAGACTTCTTGAGGTGCCGGATCAAATTATCTACTTCCGAGTATTTTCTCTCTGCGTCCTCTTTTTTCATTTTGGCCTTTTGAAATAACTCATAAACCTGATCCTGAGAAATCCCTGCTCTTCTTTCAGCATCCTGAATCCTGTGGGATACTTCCTCCAGTTCGGCATTCGTATCCTCTTTTGTTTCCGGCATTCCTTCACCGAAAGCGATCGCTCGGGAACAGAACACAACGGCATCGGGAATTTGGCGCTGGATACCTGCATTGAATTCGTCCTGCTTCCGTCGATTTTCCTCTAAATGTTCTTTATACCTTTGAAGTTCTTGTGTGTAGCGTCGATCGTCTTCGCGCAGTTTTGACAAATTCGAATCCCTTAAAGAGCACGAGTCCTTCAACGCTTGCAAAGAAGATTCGGACTCCTGAACCTGAGACCTCGCTTCACTCAAGCTCTGTCTCAAATGCTGTGCCTCTCGATTGATACTTCCTAGCCGGTCGTTAATTTCTTCGATTGTAAGGGAATAACTGGAAATTGCCTCTTCGTAGGATCGCTTCTCATCCTGCATCTGTTCAATAGCCCCCATGTCTATTTCTGTTTCAAGTTCAATGCGTAAGGATGCTTCACGTCTGCCCATTTCAGTTATTGAGGATTTTATAGAGGATATTTCATCCAAAATGCTGTTTATTTGGTCCTGTGTCTCCGCAAGTTGCCGCCTATTCAGCTCGATGAATTCAGCCAATCCTCTTTCATCATCATGAATGCTGCGCTTCAAGTAAGATATGTCATCATCTGATGAATTTTTCGTCATCATTCTGAGTGGTCCTCTGTATTTTAATGAGTTCTGGCTCTTGGTTGACAGAAAATAGAGAAACCTATTTTCTTTTATAATTGACAGCGCTCTATTCACGTTAGCGTTTTGGGAAGAACGTAGCACTTCCATTGCTTCATCCTTGTTCTTAATGAGCAGGATCTTTTCTATACTGCTGACATCGACCAGTACAAACTCAGTACCGGCAGAAAACTCCAGAGCATCAACAATAGTAGGGTATCCAATTTTAGGCTTCCCGCGGCTGTAATCAAATTCTTCGAATTTACGTGTTATGATGTTTGGTCGATGTTTCAGCCCATGGCTATTTAGGATTTTTTTTAGAAGATCGCTATCGCGTCCATTGGCCACGACGAACGCTCCTAGATTATTGCCAAGATATGCCTGAATGCACTTTGTCCACTCTCTGAAATCTGGCTTTACAGTCACGTACGCGCCCAAAGGTCCGATCGGTGGAACTGAGAACTGCTGCCTCTTTATAACTTGCACAACTTTGTCCATCTTAGGGTCAAAATTGAACAAGAAGTTCTGTTTACCGCTAATGACGTTTTGGAGTTCTCTTTGCTTAAAAGAAATTGTTCTCTCCTTGTCTTCCTTGGTCTTCTCCGCATTTGATTTAAGTTCTTTTGCCTCCCCCATCGCCGTTCGCAGTTGTTCACTATATTGCAACAAGCTCTCATCCTTTAGGGCCATTTCATTTTGTAGATCTGTTAGCTTTCGTTCAATTCCCTTTTTATCGCCACCTGCCTGTCGTCTGAGTTGTTCTTCGAGATGGTTTATGTTGTTGTTGCAGTTCCGAATTTTGCACTTTGCTTGCTCGACAAGTGTCTCTGTTTCAGTACGATTACGTATTTGAGCTTCGTAATCTAGCTTGATCTGATTTAATTTAGACCGCACATCTTCAGCAATCTGTTTTTTTTCTTGTAATTTGGTCTGTGCGTTCATCAGATCCTCCTCTGATGCAGATTGATCCACATTGTAACGCTCGATCTTGTTTTCGACTCGACTTTGATTTCTATCGAGCTCATCTATCTTTTCTTGGTAATCAGCGCCATTTTTCTGCAGTTTGTGAAGCTTCTTCTCATTTTCAGCAATGCTCAGCCATAGAAGCCTACCTTGCAAGTGTTTTTTACGCCTGCTCAATTCCTGATTTCCGCGTAATCCTTCCAGCAAACGTCTTGAGTCCTCATATTCTTTTCGTAGTACTTTTACACTTTTTGCATGGAATATCAAGTAGTCCTCGGCTTTTTGTGAAGTATCTTCGGCTTTTTGTAGGTTAGCCTCCGTGTCTTCCAGAAGGGTTGCTCGCATGAAGTGTTTGTACTTATCTGCTGGTGTGCTCGCGGTTAAGAAAGACCTGGCTGCATCCTGGGAGAGAAAACACATTGGGTTCATCACGGGGATGGAGAAGTGGTCTGTTATGGCCTGCAAATCGCGCCTTTTGGTAGACACGATCCTGCCACTCTCATCTTTAATGGCGAAAGCAGCGGGACCGTCTTTTTTTATTGTTCGCGCTATTGTTATTTCGGAACCGTAGGTATCCTTTCCGTAACTCCCAAAGCCTTCGTTACTCAGAACAATTTCTACTCTGGCCGAAGAACAGCCTTCCCTAATGAACTCCTTCAAATTTGACCCTCGGCTTGTGTCTGTAGCTTTTGCACCGAGTCCAACGGTGATTGCGGTCAAAATGGCACTTTTGCCGCTTCCGTTGCTTCCAATGATGAAGTTTAGCTTACTACCAAGTTTTAGATGGAAATTCTTGTGACACATGAAATCACGCAGCCTTACGCATTTGATGTAGCCTGGAAGAAGCCAGTTTGATGCATTTGCATCCTCGCCATTGAGGGCTTGCGAGGAGTCTTGTGTTTGAGTCATTAGACCGTAATTTCTCGCTCGCTTGTTTGGTCGTGCCATGTCCGCTGGAGGCTCCGAAGACGGTGCCAAAGAGTCTGCATCGATAGAACTACTAGTGCGAACCCGTTTCTCGATGCTTCGCCTTCCTCTAGAGTCAGTGGAAGCCATCTCACCACTCTAGGAGAACACAACTGGTGATGCTTTCAGGTGCAGAAAGTTGAAGATCTTCATCTTAGATATAAATGTATGTATATATACATATATATATACATCATTTCCCCATAATGAAAAAGGGACATTTTGGATGTCTGGCGCGCGACACGTAACTGACCGTAGTTCAATGAGGACGTCAGATAAATATTACTGATATTTTGAATTCATCCTGATAAATGGCGTCATGATAGTGATGTAAAATCAGAGAGACGCCAAGATCTGAAGTTTAACAACTTGTTATAGTGAGATATACATATGACACGATCAGAGGGTACAGTTCTAGTCATCTAAAATGCGATAATGACCGGGTCTTGACCTTGAATGGCCTGCTTAAATAAGTTACGCTCGCTTTTTCGCATTGTTTTCAGATCGAATCAAAATAATTATCATGCGACGTAGAGGACTCAGGCTGGAGGTAAGAGCAATCTGCAAGTCTCCTCAAACTCTCTGGTGCAAGCTGAAATGTCCAATTGAACTTATAGCTGTTTGCATTTATTTTCGTGACGCTTGCGATTGGGTTCTCGATGTGGATGTGAGCGTTGTTTTTTGATGTTTTTGATGACATTAACAGTTTTCAAAATCGGCACAACGAATTTGACGCTAAATTGCCAACTTACATTTTACCGCAATCGATCGTGTAGCTTCAATTATATGAACACGCGCACTGTACTGTTCACAACTCAATTTACATGAATTTTCTACTCTGACATCTCTACCTAATTAATTATCCAGACATCGATTGTCGATATGTATCATTCACTTGGCAAAATAACCCGTGCAGATGCATCATTCCATTAAATAAACGAATTCGCCTGCTTTGATCTTATGAAATTGATTTGAAGCGTGTTGGGAACACTTTCAATTACATATTGCAAACTACAAGCTACAAATTACAATCCAAGAATTTTGGTCGTAATTTCTCTCTGTGCCAGTCCAATTTCTTCTTCCAGCGGCGCCAAAACAAATAAAGAGGTGCAATCTGATTGATGCTCGACACCATCTAGTTGTTGCCGCTGGCTTTAAAATTGCAATTATTGAGTTCAGTTCTCTATTTATTCCTGTTGTAAGATTAATGAGATTTTGCCAAAATAGTTGAAAAACTAAAAACGATGAGCACTCTTCAAAATCTCAAGACTCAGTCGCAGAGATAAGGTATTCTCACCCTGGTTAGAACGCTCATGCTCAACCTACGTCACTATTCGAGATGTCTGCGACGGCTCTACGGAACATTACATTCTGAAGATGTGAACCTGGTGGAAATAGGTAATAAATGGAAATCCAAGGTCTTGAAAGGTGCCCCATCGATCAAGAAACAGGACGAGGCTAAGAACATATATATTTTGTCTATGTTCCCGTATCCCTCGGGATCTCTCCACATTGGTCATCTCAGAGTATACTCGATAACGGACGCGCTAAATCGATTTTATCAACTCAACGGATATCAAGTTCTTTACCCAATGGGCTGGGATGCCTTTGGTTTACCAGCTGAGAATGCCGCCATTGACCGCCAAATAGGTCCAGCAGCATGGACTGAACAAAATATAACTAAAATGAAGCAACAGATGGATACAATGCTGGCGAACTTCGACTGGGACCGTGAGGTCACCACTAGTCATCCCGACTATTATAAGTTTACACAACAGATTTTTCTAGAGCTGTACAAGAACGGCTTGGCTTACCAAAAAGATGCTGAGATAAACTGGGATCCTGTAGATCAGACTGTACTTGCCAACGAGCAGGTCGACTCACAAGGAAAGTCCTGGAGGTCTGGTGCGATAGTAGAAAAGCGAAAACTCAAGCAATGGTTCCTGGGAATTACAAAGTTTGCTCACAAACTACAAAAGGACTTGGAGCTTCTTAACGAGTGGCCTCAAAAAGTTAAAACAATGCAAAAGAATTGGATAGGAGAGTCCTATGGCACCGAAGTCGTCTTTCCAATTTTCCAGAACGATAAAGATCAAATAACTACCTTCACGACAAGAGTAGAAACTCTTTTCAGTGTCCAGTACATTGCCTTAGCCACGACACACCCTCTGGTTGAAGAACTTGCATCGTCCGACCCGGACCTGAAGAATTTCCTGGAACTCGCGAAGTCCCTGCCGGAAGACTCCAAGCAAGGGTTCCTTTTGAAGAACACCAATGCACTACATCCGATTACTTCCCAACTCAATATACCGATATTCGTTGCGCCCTACGTACTGAGCGGTTACGGTCATGGTGCTGTTATGGGCTGCCCGGCTCATGATGAACGCGATTTTGCGTTCTGGAAACAGAACATGCCCGAGAGTGAAGTCAATGCAACCATATTTCCTGAAAAAGCCAGCTCTGAAGCCCAATTGTCATTACCTTATTGCGAGAAATCTGGCATGTTGCACTGCCCGGGTACAGAGTTTGACGGCATGGATGCGAACATTGCCTCGAAAGCAGTGACGAAGGCGTTGGAAGAATTAGGAAGAGGAAAAGCGGCTGTAAACTACAAATTGAGGGATTGGTTAATTAGTCGTCAAAGATTCTGGGGCGCTCCGATTCCAATTGTACATTGTGATCATTGTGGTACTGTCCCAGTCCCATCAGAAGATTTACCCGTGAGACTACCGGCAGTTGATAACTTAGCTGCCAGAGGCAATCCTCTAAAAAACCTGGATAGCTTCGTAAACACAACCTGTCCTTCCTGTGGTTCCCCAGCTAAACGAGAGACCGATACCATGGATACTTTCATGGATAGTTCGTGGTATTTCTTCCGCTACACTGACCCAAAAAACACGGAAGAACCTTTTGGTAGCGAGATTGCATCCAAATACCTGCCCGTGGATCTCTACATAGGAGGCGTTGAGCATGCCATCCTGCATTTGCTTTACTCGCGTTTCATATCGAAGTTTCTTGCCGCCATTGGAAATTGGGATGACAAGCAAGGTAGCGGGGAGCCTTTCAAAAGACTCGTCACTCAGGGGATGGTACATGGAAGGACTTTGGTAGACCCTGCATCTGGGCGCTTTCTCAAACCTGACGAGGTAATTACAACTGATACCGACGGCCTCATCATCAAGGCTACGGGGCAGCAACCATCAATTGTTTACGAGAAAATGTCCAAGTCGAAGCACAATGGAGCTGACCCAGATGATTGCATAGCAGTGCACGGTGCTGACGCGACGAGGGCGCACATTCTCTTTCAAGCTCCGATCGGAGACGTTTTGAACTGGGACGAAGCAAAAATTGTTGGTGTTGAGCGCTGGTTGAGAAAAGTTATAAAGCTTGCGCGCAGCTTAAGTTCCGAGCGATCATTAGAAACATCTACCATTGAAACGCCAGCTCCAAGCGACAAAGATCTTGAATTTCACAATGAAGTACAAAAGCTGCTTCAGAGTATAACGTCCTCCTTCACGCATTCTTTGTCATTGAATACCGTAATATCTGATTATATGAAGCTCGCAAACTTGATTGAAAACGCTCACAGGGCCAAGGCTGTCAGCCACGACTTGTTGACAAAATCATTCAGAATTTTAGTGACTTCGATGTATCCAGTTACACCGACAGTCGCTGAAGAGGCTCATGAGATTATTTGTCGGAACAAAGAGCTGGCCTGGAATCTTTACTCCTGGCCTACGGCGGAGAACGTTCGGGAATCGGAGCTCGTTGATTACCGAGTTGTGATCAATGGAAAGATGCGTTTTACGCATAACGCGGACAAGTCGTTCATTGAAGACCAGGACTATGCAATAAGAACGCTACTTGCTTTGCCCAGCAGTCAAAAGTATTTTGCTGAGAAAACCATCAAGAAAGTCATAGTGAGAAATAAGGTTTTTAGTTTCGTTGTCACTTAGTCTGTGGGATACATGTAAATAGTCAAAAGCCGTTGGCCCACAGGTCCGATGTTTCATTGTTCTTTTCAGTGCGCTATAGTTGCTGAGTGGTGCCTCCTGTGAATGCTGCTACACATTTCTCAGATGATAGATTTGTCAAGTTCACGTTCTGGGCAAGTAAGAGCTAGCTTTCATCATGCTGACTTAAGGTTTGAGAGACATTCTTCGAGATGCTGCGCACATACGTGTATAAAAACTTAGCAACATTGCAATATGCTTCATGTTGCCGCAAAAGCCTTAATATCGCAAGAATCAATTCACGAAATGAAGTAACATCATCCAGCCAACTTGCCGAGTTGGCCTTTTTAAATTCGGTGAAAGTCTTCTTAGTAAGTCTCATATTAAATCGGACTCGACTTGTGAACGCTTCTTCCAAGGTTCTGAGAGCGACTCTACACGGGAAAGCAAGCGATGGTATATTTAGAACACTGAACATTTGTTGAACGTCTGCGTCTGAATACTGTGTGCTTAAAGCACTAATCATACAACGAATAAAACCTTTGGGAATCCTGAAAACATGATTATCGCCCTTGAAGTTATTGCTCCATAGGTAATTGGAGAGATCTTTGAGATTGGTGTTGAGCGGATCCGCCAAGCCATCATTATTACTAAAAGCTCCTAGAATTCTCCTTGATGTGACGAGGTAGGCTGACACTGCATCTAAGATAATTGGATCTGAGCATATCATCATGGCGTTAACCGTTTCTGTTGGCAGCAAACAGGATCCAAGAGAGCTGTCACTAAACCTGTCCAAAGGGAAACGGTCGAGAACTATCATTAGCAGCCTAAATGTGGTGGACAGATGTCGACTAGGAATCGACTTTCTCATATCTTCAGAGAGACAGGACACGATAAACGCAATACATGAAAGAGCCTCTTCACCTCCGGTGCCTTCTTCATTAAGCAACCAATTCTTAAACAAAGAATGCCTGCACATATGGTAAAAATGACTCTCTTTGTAATGTTGAGGGTTGTTTCTCACAGCTTCAAGATTACTACAAGTGTTGGTCGCCATCTCGGACGTCTTATAAGTCGAAAGTTCCTCGAACTTAAAATTCACATCGTCTAGTAGAGAAAGGTTTAGGGACATTTCATGATTTAAAAAAGTTGCTGTAATCAGCGCAGTCGAGATCGATTGACAGCAGCTGGCTGTGTCAGCCGAAATTGAATTCAATTTTAGCTTTAGCTGAATCCATTGCGACAGACGTCGCCAAAATTTGTCACTTGGCTCTAAGGTAGCAATGAAAGCCAAACAGCTCTGATCCTTGGTTTTGATAACATCCTCAACATCAATTGGAACCATCAAGTACTCGAGTTTCTCTGCCAGTCGTCCAAGTGTCACGACACTATTAAGCGGCACCATTTTTCCAGAGTCTGTCTCGCTCGAGTGACTTTTTCGCTCTACGCCACTTAATGAAAGCTGATTGCTGAGCTTCTCGAATAGACTGTAGAGAGGAGGGCCTGACAGCCCATAAGACCGCTTGACGATAGAATTCCATCTCGAAATGAAAACTTCGTCCCACAAAGGTCGTTTTAGGGTTTTCAATCTCCTATTATTGCACTTCAATTGTGAAATAGCATCGTAGATCCGCGTGTCAGGGACGAGGCTATAGAACTTTTCTAGCACAAGAGTCGCACATGCTTTTGCATTAGAATATCCAGAGTTAGCTCCCACCGAGCTTAGCAATCGAACACGCCATGGCCTTACCAGATGCCGTGTTGTTGACCAAAATAGCAAGTAGGTGATCCAATGTTGCAGGAAGTCCAGCTGCCACAGCTGGAACCACTCTGAGTATGTTTCTTCGAAAACGGTATAATCGTCCATATACGTGTAAACGTGAACAAGCCATTTACACAGCTCTGTTTGCAAGACCCTGGAGGTCTCCAATTTGTCTGGAGTGGACTGTGACCGTGTACCCAAACATCTGAGAATTGCATAAACAGTTGATCTTGGAACCTTTCCATTAGGTATTAAAGCCTCCTTAATTAAAAAACCCTTTGTAGAGGTTGATATCTGCGAGTTTTCGCATAAAAAGTCTATTATGCCGTTCAGGTTACTGGCCGAAATCCCCTCTTCGGTGACATGTCTGTTGATTTTACTCAAAAGTTCATGAATCTGATCAGTTCGAAGACTTTTGTTTTGAAGAAGCACGTTAAAGCAGTCGTCAGCTATACCCATTCATCAACAAATGTTTCAAGTCGGCTGCCATGCGCTTGCAGATCGATGTTTATGAATAGTAGGAAGGAATTTTATTCAATAGGAGTATATCATAACTTTCTACAAACACTGTGAAAACGTAATATATTGACTTTATGTATGGGACGAGACGTCACATAAAGCTCTATGGTGATTTAAGTCTATGACAGAATACATACGAGAAGCGCTGACCATTAGTACAAATCACAGAAGAATAATTGGTACAGCTGCCGGATGTTTTTCGTGAATCAGACCTTCAAAGATCCATTGACATCATAAGTGGACCTAGATCTAATGTATGGATCCAGTTTTCTATAGTTTTCAGTAAGTTCCTGACTGAGGGAGATCTTAGTCTTAAGCAATTTCGACGAGGTTTCGGTGTCTGAGCTCTCAATCCATCTTTTCGTGGCGTCGATGAAGGATTGGATGATGACTTTACGTTTTTTTAGAATAGCATCGCGAGTTTCCGCGTCCTTTAGCTTGGCGTCCACAGATTCGTCCGGTTTCACGTAGGAATCGTAGTCGTAGTCATCATCGCCGCCCAAATACTTCGGAATGTATTTTTTAGGTAGATATTTGGCCAAGTCGTCGGTGCTTTTGGTGAAAACGATCTTGGAGGCGACGACCGGGTCTAGCCAGTTCTTGATGATATTCCAAATGGGTGGGAAGATCCAAGGGGCCTTGTGGATGAACAGATGGCCCAAACACTCTGGGTAGTGCGCTTCGAAACAGCTGATGAGGTACTGAACGGGGGCGTAGTCCATGTTGGACATGGAAAAGCCGGTCAAATCAAACAGGATCGTGGCACAGTCTACGGGCTCTTTCAAGAACATTCTGGCTTGTTCGATGATCAGCAAACAGTATTTTTTCATCTCGTCCTCGGTTTGATCGCTGGAGTGGTGCAGTTTGGGTCGAACCAGCACCACGGGACGGCCCTTGAGGTCAAACCCGTGCAAGGTGGCCTTGCACAGCTCTATGTTTTTGATGTAGCCCTTCTCGTTGTTGTGGAATGCTTCAAGTTCGCCGCCACGGATGATTGTGTCAGGACGGCTTTCCTTAAGTCTCCAGTGCAAGGTGTGTGCGATCATGCCCAAGGCCTTGTCAGTGTCCCATTTGCGGGCTCGTAGAAATCGCAAGATGAGGTTATCTGGGTAGTCCGTTCTCAACATATCCCAAAAGTTCTCGCTGACCTCATCGGGTTTGAGGTCCTTGAGGGCATCGTGGATCATTCCCGGTGGATACATCTGTTCGATGCTTTCTGCCGATCTGCGCGACGTGAACGACCCGTTTCTGGCTCTATCTTGCGGATCCGCTTTCGAGCTGCTAGAAGAAGAGCTTGAATTGCTGGAGCTTTTGCGGAAACGGCCAAAGAGCTTATTGGATTTCTTGGCGGGTTTCGCATCCTCTTTGTTGTCTGAGCCTGCATTGAACGACGCGTTGGCAGACCCGCGGGCACCGGGGGCCAAAACTTTCCCGCTGTCGACCGGAATCCCCCAATGCTGGAAAAGATGCGCCCACACTTGTTTGAGATGAAGCTGCTCGCTTTCGGAGAGATTTTGAACGCGTCCTTTGGGAGCTTCCATGATAATGTACTGGAAACGGTTGAGCTATCGAACTACCAGGCTATTGAAGCAATTGAATGATCGAACTGTACCAGGTCGCGAGAGATAAAACACCACAAGTTGTTGGTGTTCACTACTTCTGTACCTTATACATGACAATTCGTACAATGTCTAAAATCCACCAAAAAACGAGGTTTCTCTCCCGGATGTACAAAAATTTAAGTTTCGCTTGCGCTGTTATTGAAGAGACCTCTGCGGATCGAACAGGGTAGTTGACAGCTGCCCCAGCCACTGGGCTAAAGACTTAATTGCGTTAAGAGTGATACAAATTATACCCGCTCCATTCGCATATACTTGCCAAAACAAGCTCGCTGGAAAATCGAACGCGTGTCAAAGTATAGGCAATCAGCCACCGCGCCAAAACCAACATACGTAAGTAATGAGCAAAATCATCCGTGCCCAAGATCTAGGGATTCCGTTTCCATCAATAAATGCCTCAATGCCTCAGTAGTGTATGTTTCTTTTTCAGAGACCCAGTCACTATACGCCCATTACACGGCGATGACTCTCACCCACAGACGCACAAACGTCTACACATATATAAAGCAGCTAGATAACTCAGATGTTCAACAACGTATCTCCCTCTCTCTCTCCCTATTCTAAATCCATCAACAACAACTAGCTAGCTATCTTCAAACGCTGAAAATCTGCCGATTATCTGTTTACACCAATCCATCATGGTTCAGCAAGACATTGTAGAAACTACAGTGATAAAAGAGCAAGAAACCGAGTCCTGGCAAGAACGGTTTCTGTATTTAAAACACAACGATTACCATGTGTCTACGGGAATTGCAGGCATCTTGACAGTGCCGACATCGCTTAAATTCGAATCCGTGGCAGAAAAAACGGTCCAGGACGCACAATATGGGTTCCCACTGCACAAACTAGTGCTTTTATGTCACGGCCACTCAGCGCACAAGAACACGGTGTACATGCCGCTTCTGGCACGCAAACTCGCAGATATGGGCTACTACGTGCTTCGCATCGATTTCCGCAGCATGGGCGACTCAGAGCCCAACAGAGACGCAACGGTGGGACGCACAATCGCCCAGGACTGCGAGGACATCGAAACAGTGTACCAGTGGGCTGCGTCGCAGCAATGCAGACAACTGGTGGGCCACACACTGGTGCTCGACACAATCGTGGCACACTCGCGAGGGGTGATGTCGATGTTCGAGTTTGCACGGTCCAGATTCGTGCCCAATCTGGTGAACGCATGCGGACGTTTCGTGGCCCACGGGCTCTTCGAGAAGTCATTACGCCGCAATCCGAACTGGGACCGCGACGGCGGCTTTTGGTGCACCATCTTGCGGTACGGGAAGATGCGGGAGGTGTGGATCCCCAAGGCCGAGACAATGAGCGCTGCAACGGTAGATACCAGCAAGTTTGCAGAAATCAATGCCAGATCGTCAGTGCTGTCGATTTACGGGTCCAACGACACAGTCATCCCGCTCACCGCCTTGGCACAGTATTCTAACTTGTTCGAGGGTAGACACACCGCAGAACTAGTCATGTACGCAGACCATAATTTTTACGGCTTACCTGGCGACAAAAACGCCAACAACCTGCCCCTACGCAAGGGACTGGTCAATTACAACGTTACCACCGTGGATCGTATAGCATCTTTCCTTGCACCCGAGCAACAACTGCAAAGGTTCTACAAAGCCACGCTGTCGATTACAGATTCGTGGAATTCATCGCGAACTTTTGCCCGTTGGTGCTTGCCATACGAATTCTCTCACGTCTCGAACTTTCGCGATGTTGGGGGCCATAAAACTTGTGACGGGCGTCGAGTCAAGCCCCGCGTTCTATTTAGATGCGCCAACCCTGTAGATATCACAGAAGAAGGCTTCTGCTATTTGACAGAAGAGCTGAAAGTGTCGCAAGTCTTTGACTTACGGTCTGCAAAGGAGGTTAAAGAACCCGGAGCCATCACTGGCGTTCCTGTGATAAACTTGCCTTTCAATAATCAACAAAGTGCAGCTCCACAGAACATGTCTTCGGTTTACAGAGGAATGTTTTTGTCTCCATACACCTTTCCTCAGGCATATATGGTAATGCTTCAAAACAGTACGGCAGCGATAGCACAATTTTTCCGTTACATCGTTGAGGGCCGGTGTAACCGCTCGCATGCTGCTGTGATACATTGTGCTGGAGGTAAAGATCGCACTGGGATTTTGACAATGCTTGTGCTGGGTCTACTTGGGGTCGATGACGACACAATCGCCCGCGACTACGAGTTGACAACAATTGGACTAAAAACAGCACACAAATTGTTAAAAGCATTGGAGGACCGCGGAGATGCATACTACGAGCTTTTGAACTCTGAGAAACTAGCAAAAGAATTCCAAGCGACCCCTGAGTCAATGTGTCGCACCGTTATTTCGTCGAAATACGAGGCTATGCGATTATTCTTGGATCAGTTCAGGGCCAATTACGGCTCGTTTGAGCAATACTTTTTGGCTACGATTAAACTGTCCGCACAGGACCTCAGCGATTTGAAAAATGCGTTATTGGAGTGAATGGTTTTTGGGGGCGCGCTTCTTTCATCAATAATTCCGAATGAAAGTTCAAGCGCCTGTAATAAATGGAGCATACATGGGATTTACATATTTACATAAGAAAATACAACGATATAGGCGTTGCGAGTGTGGTCTGCATTTTGAGTTGCGAAAGCTCAAGGGACGGACATTTTGCAAAACTGAGATTATAGAGCACTAAAATGCAGAAATACGGACTGGTTTTTTACAATTAGTTACAGGAAACTCTAGCAATGGAACTTTTCCTATGGTGCTTCGTCAAGGCGTCAGGCTGCAATCAATCATAATCACAAATAATACCATAAATAATTGAGGAAGATCGGTACATTGCGTCAAGAACCCTTAAATATATGTAATGCCACGAACGACACGCTAATTATTCGTAGCACCGTTTCTACCCTCAAAATAACGACTGTGTTTTTCGTTTGCTGATCTTTCGTGTGTGTCGCTGGCCACTTTAAATCTTCAAGCAGGCGTCACTGCTAAAAAGAGACCATGGATGGTGGCACCCACATAAGTGTCAGCAAAATACACCTGAATGTTATACACCATTGACAGATAGCATAACACTACACATAATCGAACATAATGCGAAGTCATTGATTTCCAAGTTTTTCTTGACGGTGTCACAGCATGTTTGGAATTGTAGTTTAATTAAAGAAAGTGGTCAAACTCTTTCGTTTCAAAACAAAAAAGCCAAAAGGTCAATTGCGATACGCCTAATTGTTTCGCAGTACTATGCATACAATTGTTTAGGAAAACGACGTTTGAAACCTTGTTTGGACTATCTAAGCTAAATAACATCTTAGTTGTTTTCCGACGACCATTTCAACGTCAAAATAGAGAAAAGGTGACGCTATTTGAACTCAGAAAAAGCGCCAAAAACTCTATAAATTCATGACATTGAGGCCCAAACTCGAAGGATTAAATTGAGACAGATTTTAGAGATAGTTCGCCCAACGATATAATCTTGAAACGTTCATATTCGTGAAACGCGATACTTTCACTTAAGAGGCATCGACATCAATTGGGTTTCTCGTACTCACCTTTCGCTCAACAGACATCAACCGTGAAAACGTCAAGAACTCAAGTCAATTGGCCAGTCGAGAGCTCGTTGAAAAGATCCAGGAGGCTTTAAAAAATACGGGCTGTCGCTAAAAGCAGTTCAAAAGCTCGTGCTTTTCTCTCTCAGGGCGAAATAAAAGCGAACCGAAGGTAGTTAGCCAAGAGGTTTCAAGCGCTGTCAAAGGTCGGTAAGCGTCAGAAATTATCACTCAATTGCCTTCAATGTCCACTGATCAGATTTACTCAGCCAAATATTCCGGAGTCGATGTCTACGAATTCATCCATCCCACTGGCTCGATTATGAAGCGGAAAGTCGACGACTGGGTAAACGCTACACATATCCTAAAAGCTGCGAAATTTGCCAAAGCCAAGAGAACACGCATACTAGAGAGAGAAGTGATTAAGGACACTCACGAAAAAGTCCAGGGCGGTTTTGGTAAATATCAGGGGACCTGGGTACCGCTTTCGATAGCCAGAAACCTGGCCGAGAAATTCGAAGTTCTTGAAGAACTTAAACCACTTTTTGACTACACACAAGTAGAAGGCACAGCATCACCACCAAGAGCTCCAAAACATCACCATGCTTCGCGTACCGAATCAGGTCGCAAAAGAGTTCTTAAAGCCACGCCAGGCACCACACAAACTACACGATCCAGCGCAACAGACTCCCCTACGGGCTCTGTAACGCCTACGGTACCGAAAAAACGAGGACGGCCTCCATCGAAAAAAAACAAGAATGGAAGCGCTGGCAATTTAGAAAGGTCTCAGAGTGACATGACGTTCCCGCGCCCGGCAATCCCCCTCTCATCTATCTCTTCCAAAAAACTGCCGTCTATACAAAGTCCACTCCAAAGGACGATAAGTTTGGACCCTACAATAATGCGAGAGCATGGAACAACTCCACAACAATTCAAAGAACTAGATATCGAAGACGGTCTATCTAGTGACATCGAGCCCCCTGCCGTCGCGAAATTGGAGGGTGCTCAGTCTTCATCATCTTCGCTCCCGACATCGCCAAGTGGTCTTTCTGATGACAACACTTTCGACCAGCGTGCCGTTGCTGGTTCTGCTGGTCATGACGAACTAGGCAGTGCTACATCTCCTCTTTCCACCATGATTCCGCGGTTCACAAACCAATCATTCAATCAAACCTCAGACATCAATGAAAAAGTGAACGGATACCTATCAAAGCTCGTTGACTACTTTGTTTCCAGCGACATGCAGACCGAAGAAATCGTGCCATCCGAATTACTATGCCCTCCTCAAAACAGTGCTCCTTACATCGATGCGTGGATAGACCACGAGCATCATACTGCATTCCATTGGGCTTGCGCAATGGGAAATTTCGCGATAGTTGAAGCGCTCTACAATGCAGGTGCCAACACTCGTTCCGTTAATCTTCAAGGTGAAAACCCGCTTATACGGTGCTCCATATTTCACAACTCCTTCACGAGGCGAACTTACCCGCGAATACTTCAGCTTTTAAATGATACGATTTTCGATGCGGATTCGAGACTTCAAACGGTAGTACATCATATCGTGCGACGTGAATCTACAACGCCCTCGGCTGTGTTTTACTTGGACGTTTTGCTCTCTAAACTCAAAGATTTTTCACCGCAGTATCGCATAGAAAACTTGATCAATGCTCAAGACCAAGATGGGGACACTGCAGTTCACATCGCTGCTCGAAATGGTGATAGTAAATTTTTTGAACGCTTGATCCAGCAAGGAGGGCTATCTACAGTCAAGAACTCGAAAGGAATTACTGCAACCGAGCTCATGAACTTGAGTATGCCTTCGACGCAACCGCCATCGGCTGCCAATGGCAGATTTAAGCAGAACCCAACTCCCTCGTCTCCCTCAGACTTTTTCATGTACCCCTCTCAAACTGCCACTAGGCTAAGTCGTGGGATACCAGAAGTAGTAAGTGTCATGAAGGAAATGATTGACTCTTATAACAGATTGCATCAAGGCAGAGATGCAGATATTTACAATCTCGAAAAGACACTCAAAAGCATGGCGAAAACAGTTGCAAACGTCGATTTCAAAACTTTAGAGGCTCTGGAAGCTCAGGACCACCAGCAACGGCACGATATAGAAGATCTGATACTGGCGCGATCGCTTGAGACTCAGGAACTGCAACTCCAATTGAAACACACTGAGAAAGAGATGTACAATAGGCTGGAAAGGCGGCAAGCCAAGCACTTGGCGAAGCTGGTCTATGATCAGGAAACCGACATATCTCAGTATGAGACCAAGAGTAAAAATAATAAATTCGAGCAGCTGAAGCTGGCCCTTCAATTGTCTCGAATACAAATGAAAAGAAGAAACAAGCTTTCAGAAGTTATGAAGGTCATCGGAGACAATTCCAAGATCTACAAGTACCGTAAGATGATCTCTCATGGAACTGAAATGGATATCGCAGAGGTGGACAAGTGCCTTGACGTGATATTAAGTAGTCTAGACAAAAATGGAGAAGGCGTGTAATTGGACATAATTGTAACAATGACGAGCATATAATAATACATCGATGGCGAATACAGTTACTATTACAAGGGTCAAAAAAAGAGATTCATGAACCTAAAACAACCATTAATTCTAAACAAAACTTATTCTCGGGTATGTGATTCTGCGATCGAGCACTTTCGATTCACATAATAATAGCTTCCTTAGGAACATTCGCAGAGATAGACTTGTGAGGAAGAACCTTACCACCGTTAACGTAAACTTCGTCTTTAACTTCGACGTCGTCACCTAGAACAGTGACACCTTCAAGTCTGGCCCACTTACCGACGGTGGAGTTCCAGCCGACAATGGTGGACTTGACCAAAGCGTGGTCCTTGATGTGAGAGTTGCACAAGACCACGGATCTGGTGATTCTGACACCGTCACCGATGGTGACGTTAGGGCCGATAACGACATCTGGACCGATTTTGGCGCTGGCAGAGATCTTGGCAGATGGGTCGACAATGACGTTGCCAACGATGTTGTTACCCTTGGCCATGGATTGAGGAGATCTCTTGGACAAAGAGTTCAAGTACAACACGGAACCCGACAAGAAGTCCTTTGGCTGACCGACGTCCATCCAGTAGCCCTCGAGGTCGAAGGAGTATAGAGACTTTTGCTCGACCAAGATTGGGAAGGTCTCCTTTTCAATGGAGGTTGGCTTCAAGTCGATGAGGTCGATGACTTCTGGGTTCAAAATGTACAGACCGGCGTTGATTCTGTTACCGACGAACTCGACGGGCTTCTCGACGAAACGGTCGATTAAGTTGGGGGTGGCGATGTCATGCACGATGACACCGTACTTGGAGGGCTCGTCGACCTTGGTGGCGACGATGGTACCCTGTCCACCGTGCGCCTTGTGGAAGTCTGCAAGCTCTTGGAATGGGTAGTCGCAGATCACGTCCGAGTTCAGCACGAAGAAGGGCGAGTTGTCCTTCTTCAACACTTCCTCGGCGAGTTTCAACGGACCAGCCGTGCCCAAGGGTTCAGTCTCGACGGAGAAAGTGATGTTTACGCCGTACTCCTTTTCGTACTTCTGCAGCGTTTCGACCATCACTTCAGGTCTGTAGTTCACAGCCAAGACGATGTCCGTGACGCCAGCGGCGGCCAAAGCCTCGATTTGGTGCAGAATCATGGGTCTGTTACCGAATTCCACCAATGGCTTTGGAACCGTCAAAGTCAACGGTCTCAATCTGGTACCGTAACCACCGACTAGAATTAGACCTTTCATCCTATGTAAATATAACGAGCGTGTGTGTGTGCTTGGGAGAGTGCTGGCTCAATGATACTGACACGATCAAAGAAACCTGGAAACTAAACAGAAACAGACAAAACCAATTAACTAACTTCGTTTTGGTCAAAACATTCAGGAACTTTTGAAACTTTTCAGATATATATATATATTTCAGATATTTTCAGATATTCACACTATATATTGCCCAGATAAAACAAGTTAGCTTATGAAATAAAATAAAACAAATTACGAACAATGTAGCTTCAGGTCTCGTGAAATAATTCGTGGATCGGCTCAGATTGTTCCCTATCGCATGCTTGTACTTGGTAAGTTGTAGTTAGCACACTGCCAAATCGCCAAAAAATTCTGGTCGAAACACGCCGGGAAAAAAAAGCGTCTTGTTGTCCATTTCAACAACGCGAGGCGCGGGCCGTGGCTGCTAGTGGGTTTCTGAGGCGAGTTTCGCCAGCTTTTTGAACTGTAAGTAAATCTCGCACGCAACTTAGAGGGGCAGAAGTGTGCGTTTGGACACACTCAACACGAACAGTTGGCCGTTCAGTGAAAAATTTTGTTAGAAGGCTGGGCAGGCGGGCAGGAGAGTGGTGTAGTTTAGAAAGGCCAGGTGTTGGGAACGCGAAAAAAAGTGCGAGAAGGAGGCTTTCTTACCGGGGTTAGGCAAGAGAGAGGTATGTGAATTGTACTAATTGATAGATATTCTACTGGTGTGTGTGTGTCGTGAGAGAACGACGGACATTAGAAGTCTAGACTTTGAAGAAAAACACACACACACACACACACACACATGGGGTTAATTCTGAATGGGGAAACAGAGTTGCCGTTTTGGCAGGGCGCGAGACGCGTTGGGAGATTGGAAGTGGTAAGTGTTCGTGGTATAGTGAACGAGACAGGAAACGAATAAATTGGATGAGTGGTGAGAGTGAATATCGTGAGGCACGGCGACGGCGGCCTACAAAATGGCGCAGAAACCGGGCCCGATAAAAGAGTGTGTCGACATCGTTCGCCAAACGTGATGTTCGCCAAGAAGTAGGTGCTTTTTCTGCCAACGCAAATCCTCGCGAATGTCTACACAAACAACACAACACGGCTTGTCCCGATGGCTGGGATCTACACTGTCGGTTTGTCTTGACTTTTCTCGTCGCGAGCGCCAGTTACCCGCATCGGAAAGAGACTAGAGGTGCGAGTAGAGAGTTGGGTAGATAAATGGGTCGCTGTCGTGGTGAGAGAGAGAAGGAGAGCTGTATATGTAGATAGTGTGAGACAGACACATTACCGGTTTGTTTGGCGCTCGTCCACAAGCGAGACGCAAGCAAGTGTCGTCGCTTCTACTTCAATTTTCACCAGACCCCGAATTCGATAGAACCTTCCTCATCAAACGAACCCTTGCCGACCTTTTAGCATTAATGACAGTGCCATGACAGTGCCACGACTTTATCCCACTCTAAATACAGACCCGCCGGCTTCTCAATCAATCAAAAGCAAAATTTCTATAATACACATTATACATGATTCACCCCGCTATACTTTCTCCGTATTTTTGATGTTTTCCATCACTGTAGATGACAGCTCATCCGTGGAGCCTAGGTCTCCCTCGCCGTCGTCATCGCCGTCGACTTCGAACTTTCTTCTCTCTTCCACAAAGTCCTCGACTTCGGTCCACTTCTCAAACCACCGCGAGAAATCAAAGTATCCCACGCCTTCGGGCATGCCGGGAACAGGGAAAAAGTAGCAGATACCACTGTACAGTGTGAAGGAAATCAAAAATCCGACGAAATAATTGAGGTAGTATATGTGCATTGCGTTCTTGGGGACTTTAACGTCCAAAGCTCCCAAAAAGCCTGGGAAATTTGGCACAATTCCCAGCACATACGAAATCACAGCTTTCCAGTTGGTACCAAATCTGGTTCCGTACATGTAGAGACTGTTTGGTCTGTTGGTGTAGCAGTGCTGTAGTTTGATCAACCCCTTTCTCACCACGTAGTAGTCCGCACACACCACACCAGAGATAGACGATAGGAACACGGCGTACGCAGACAAAGCAGTCGTAAACTTGGAAGATGACGCCATTAAATTCCATGGGCAGATAGCGAGCGAAATAGCGGCACAGATGTAACCACCTCTTCTAATGTTGATGAATTTAGGCAAAATAGCAGTCATGTCAGTACCCACAGAAATGGAGTTAGACGCGATGTTGGTACCCAGCTGGGCAATACCAAAACATAGGGCAATCATAAAGACACCCCCCCTGTTACCGGCAGTTTGGTGGTCCAAAAATCTGGCCAAAACGTCCAATGGCGACCAGTAGTTGACTCCGTACATTGTGAAGGCAGCAGATGTTACCAGAATACCAATGATCGAAATAATGGCATACATCAATGGCAAAATGATCATTTGGGAGTAGATCGAGGAACGCGGCGTTCTTGCAAAACGTGAAAAATCAGGAGCGTTCAAGATCAAAGTAGAGAAGTTGTCCAGAGCGCTCATGATACTGATGATAAAGTTCCAACCGAGGACTGAGCCTGTAGGATGCGAGGTGGTCAAGGAACCTAGCGCCAAGTGACCATCCGCTTTTTTCAGGGTCCAGATGAGGAATCCAAAGGCTGCAAATGGTGTAATGATACTCTTGAGAGTAAACAAGTAACGCAGAGTTTGTGGAGGGAACCAAAGGGCAGGCAGTTGGGCACCCCAGAAAATCATGAAGCACATGAATCCGAAAGTCGTGATGTTCTGCGTGTTCATGGTGTTGGGGATACGCTCCTTCAGATCAGTTCCGAAGATGGACATCAGCATTAGCTGCACGGTTTGAGACCCAATGTAAGTTTGCACACTGTACCAAACACAGCCCATGACCACTCTGTTCAACACAATCCAGAGGGAGAAATAGATACCGTACGCAATTCTGGACGAGATGGGGAAGGCAATGTGGTAAAAGTTACCAATACGCGAGTTGATGACAACGAAAAAAGCAACGAAGATGTACCCTATCCAGATACAGATCCAGGTCTGCCACCAGTTCAGACCCAGCTGCATACCGGTTGCCGAGATTTGCCAGGTGTTGACGTTGAAGGAACCTGAAATCCAGAAAAAAACGTATTGCTTCCAGTCCCACACTCTTCTTTCGGCTTCAACGGGCGCCAAATCGTCGTTAAATAGAAACGATTCTACGATGTTTTCGGAACGGTTGGCTGAGGCACGTTTGTGCTGGTGCACTTCCAGGAAACGCACTATTTTCTCGCCCAAATTCTTGGGAGGCTCGTCGTATTCGTTGTGACGTTCAAACCGGGCTGCTTTCTTGACTCTTTGCCACAAGTTTTTGGGAGGTTCTGTCTCTTGGCTGCGGTCGCTGTCGTCGAGCTGCGAGTCCAGGATTTGGACGTCGCCCGCGACGTGCCGCTTGCTGAGAGCTGCATTATTATTGTTGACAGGAGATTTTTGAGTTAGAATTTCGAAAGCCGAAGCAGCGTCGTTAGCGCTGTTCATGTTGTTTTGATGAGAGATACTGACCATTTCTAAAAATCAGAAGAGAATGAACAGGAGCTCTGGGGCAGGTATTAAAAATTATTATAAGCCGCTGGGCTTTTATGCAGGAAATTAAGGGGATGGTTTTTTTTGGGAAGATGCTATACCCTGGATGCCAAGCACGATTAAAGTTTAGTTGCGTCTCGGTATCTAGTGTCTGTACCTATGCCTATCTCGAGCTGATTTGGCAAATGTCACCGGTCACCGCAAAAGAAACTCCAGGTGGTGGGTCTGAATTTGGGCGATTGTGTCGAACGAGTAAATTCGACCGTCTCGGTGGCTCAAAAAGATAATATGTCCACGGCTTACGCTTTATCGCTATCTGCTCCGCAAGTTTTTCGTAAAATCGCCGGTGGATTTACAACGTCGTTGGTTAAAGCTGATTTACATTCAAGAAGAAAATGAGAGAAAGAGGAAGAGATAAGGAATAATACAGAACAAGACAAATCCAAAGGGGATTAAATGGCCACATCTAAAGATGACCGATGGGAGAAGCCGGGAGTTCTTATATAGTGCCGTTGGAGTTTTTTGAATATGTCGAATCCATGAGAAAAAGCGAGATGAAGCGACAGCTTCACTGTTAGGGCAACATTGAGGTAATGGTAGAGAACGGCGAAGAGAAGGAAAAAGAAAGGACGAAGCTCAGTGTAAGATGTGTAAAAGTTTCGCTGTTCATGACGGGCGCTTGGATACGGTTGCTGTAGCAGTTGGGAAAAGGCTCTGGAGCCGGTATTTTTTTTATCCAGGTTATCAAGAGCTACGCAGTGGGATGAAAAATCAGTGAAAAAAAGCTAAAGGCGAGCGATGAGCTGAAAGGACCGAAGAACCGTCGGGAAGGGCCCAGTAGGGCTTATATTCGATGGCAATAGCGGTGAGACAAAAATATGGGTTCTAATGGGGCATTTTGATGTAGTTTCAAACTCATTTTGACGAGAATATCTTTCACTCGCGCCACTATGGGAAAAAACGCTACGACTCGAGATCGTCAGATTCGTACACAATGACGAAACTTTAAATTCATTAGGGCTGCATTCTAGAAGAAAAAAGAAACGTGTAAGCCACAAAAGAAGCACAAGAAGAAAAAAAGAAAAGCGAGAGAGAGAAAAAGCGTGCATGACAGAAGGCAAATGGTAGTCATGCCAACTACCGCGCTAACAATGGCACTCGAATACCGAATATTTATTAGCCGCCCAAATCCGTATTGACCAAAGACGACACAAATCTTTGATGGAGGAGATTGGTGTAAATTCAGTAGAAAGATAGTCCTGGGAATACTTGGAGTGGCGGGGTATCAACCCGAACTCTGCGTGAGAGGTCTACGATTTTATAGCGGTGTTTAGGTCCGGCTCAGAGTACTTTTTGACGCGGGAATGGACTTTTCAGGACTCAAAACCGACCACTGGGCAATTCGAGATCAATAGGCTGAAATTGTGTTTCAATAGGACCAAGTACAGGTAGTAAGCCCAAATTCAGGAATAAATCAAGCTTTACTTGAACTGCTACTCCAGCTACCACCTGGCTTAGAGCTCACTGTGTAACAATAGTTTCCAAGAACTCGTCCTTGTTAGCTCAGTTGGTAGAGCGTTCGGCTTTTAAGCACCGCTTGCAAGGAACCGAAATGTCAGGGGTTCGAGCCCCCTATGAGGAGTTCTTAAATTTTTGTTGTTTTTCGCCAAGACATCAAAAAAAAAGCTGTGGGGGAAGGAACACACGTTAGAACCTCTCTGCTCGTCAAAACATTAATGCTTTTCGTTTTCTATTGATTTTTGTTATACAAGACGACGTTGCTTTAGAATATTCGCTTTATGCACTTATAAATCCTCCGGCAGCTTTGTTCTTTTGCTTCTTCTTCTGTTTACATCATTTCAGAAAAGCCAGCCACCAAGTTTTTGGCAAACCCACCCTCTTTGGCAGCGGTCTCGTAGTATCCGTAGATGGTGGTGGTGGCCATCAAAATCGAGGTACCAGAGCCCAAAGTACCTAGCAGGTCGGACCCAACAGACAGTGCACCAATAGTGGCACCACCGAACGCAGCGGCAGTTGGAATAACTTTTTTCAATTCTTTGTAAACAGAGGTTTCTCTCTTCCCGTTGATGACAAGACCTTGGTCCTTGAACTGTTTGGCCACGTCGCGGGGCGAGGTACCGGAAATCTCGGTCCAGGTCTTGGAAAACATCGCACAGGCACCCAAGACAAATGCAACGTAAATGACAGTCTTAATAGGGTCCAAAATGGCGTCAGTCACAGAGAAAGGAGGCTGAATATAGTATGACAATCCGCTCAAGGCCACTTGTTGACCCATGGGAGAGCCTTTTCTAGCACCCCACACACCAATGAGACGCACAACAGGGTTGGTAGGGAATTTCTGGTACATGATTTGCGAGATCAAGAAAACGTTCGAGGTCAACGCGCTCTGCAACATAATTGGCGTGTTGGAAGTGTAGAAAAGTTTGATTGGGTAGGCACCGACCTGGCCTCTGGTCCGGGTGGATCTGACGGGCAATTCGTAGCGGAAACCTTGCAAGTATAGCACAAACAAAAACACACCCACGGTGGACAACACCTGGAACATGTTGGGCAAATTCTCTCTGTAGAAGGCCTCGACCAGAGCTCTCTTCTTGTCCCTTCTGACGGCCAAAAGGTGGAACAGAGCGATCACGGCGCCTTCGAACTCGTTGCCACGGCCGGAGTTGACCGTGGTTGGTGCAAAAGCTTTCCAGAAGATTTGTTCCGCGATGTTGGTGGCAGTGAAGAGGGAGATGCCCGAGCCCAGGCCGTAACCCTTGGCGAGCAGCTCGTCAAGTAGCAGCACGATAAAGGACGCGAACATTAGTTGGAAAATTAGCAATAGGGAGATGGCAATGCCCATGTCTGAGGGTCTGCCGTAGTTGCCCGATAGCACGACCACGACGGCCTGGCCGAACGTGAGCAGAATGGCACACACCTTTTGCGCGATCTGAAAAAGCTCACGGTCCTGTTTGTTCTCCATATCCACATGCAGCAGCTGTGTGCCCTGTAGAAACTGGAAAATCATTGACGAAGTGATGATTGGCGTCACTCCGAGTTCCATGAGTGTGCCCCTGTTAGAGGCCAGCATTGCACGCAGCCAGTACAGAGGGTCCGAAGTCTCACTCGATACAATACCGTAAAGTGGAATCTGGCCCAAAACCAAGAAAATTAGCAGCGAAACACCGGTCCAGATCATCTTCTGGTTGTAAGGAACTTTTCTTTCTGGTGCGATCACCTCGGGCAAAAACGCCTCGAATGGCTTGAACAAATCCAACAAACGACCGCTCATGCTTCAATTGGGTATTGCGAACTGCTTGTGAACTGCTTTAAAGCTACTGTGAGGCTTGTCAATCCGCGATTGAGCTTTGTTGATATGTTTCGGACACGTAAAGTCAAGTTTGAACTCGGTCGGTCTTCCTTTAATATGAAAGATATATTTCATGGTAGCGAACACGCTGTTAAAACTTTTAGCGCATGGAGAAAGACAGCCTCACGTGAGGTGATAAATTGAGGAAACGCCAAAAAACCATATCACATTTGACGGAACTAGGACGATCACAGCGACAGCGACAGCGTCAGTGAAGGTGAGAGCCAAGGTGAGAGGAAGAGCCAAGGTGGGACTGTTATAAAGATGGTTCATTTGTGTTTGTGAGGGTTTTTTGGTGTCGATGAAATCCGATTTCATAGAGACCAAAATCCGGTTGAAATTTCGTGGATTTTGCTGAGCTGAGTTGTTTTGTGTGTGGCGTCGGTGTTGACCAGCGTGTGTTGTCGTAATAATCGAGTTTGCTGAGCTGTCGCCGATATTCGAGAGTCATTTTTTGATACTATTAGGCAACTTCTTTTGCGCTGGGCAATTTTGCCTTGTGAGAGACGAAATACGTTAAAGTGGAGTAAAGTATCTGCGTTGTGTTTGAGAGTGCGCCATTGCATCTCATGAAGCTCAATTTGAATGCATGTGAACGCGTGTGAGTATGCGCGCATATTCCAAAAAAGCCGTAATTACATTTCTAATTGGCAAGCAACAGCTAAGTCCCTGGCATGCCGCAAAATAGCCCTCAAAACACGCCGGTGTGTCGTAAATAACACTGTTCTTTCTTGAAATCCACTAAATGACAGCATTTTCGAATTTTGTTAGAAGTCCTCTAACATCGAAATCAGACATTCGTGCACATATCAAACATTATACTTGATGCCCACACGGGAGCTAAGACCTTTATGCCACGATAGTGATTGTGTCGATGCCTGTACATCTTAATCCCCCGCGATCGAAGATGGCTGCTGAATCTATAACAAAATGTATCATACAAAGTGAACACACAATAGACCTGCCTTCGAACCTCCCATGTTGTTATACTAAAGCTTGACGCCACTATTAAAGCCACTACCAAAGCTAGCCTATGCCCTTTGATTGGCGTCAGTGCCAGAACAATCTCCGTTTTCTGTTCTCCCAAACAGTAGCAGAAGAATGACATTATTATTTAATAAATGGCAAATGGGGTTGAATTCAGATAGAAGTGTCGATTGAGAGAAAAACAAGCTCACTCTTCAGCTATTTAGCTCTCTATCCATCACATTTTAATAATCTCTGTATTTGTAAAGTTTTCAGCCTTGTTGCTCACTATATGTGCCGCTGGCTGGGTTCTCTGTATTCACTAAGCTAAACTCGGCCAAACGTTTAAATACCTGACATGCTCTAGAGAGTCATCAACAATCTTGAAAAATGCTTATATGTACAAGGTAGCGTTTTGCTGACATAGAATATGATTTTAAGTGCATTTATAAATTGATACGTCCTGCTTCTATGTGCTTCTGCGGGTTTGAACAACATGGCTTCGCCTTTTTGTTAGGTCCATAGATTATTCTAGCAACAGCTCGAGGTTTGAGTCATGCATGGAAGACTGAGATGCTGGTCGAAATAACTACTCGATTCCTTCCTGTATGCCCAGTTCGTTTTTATTTTGGAAAGTGGTGGTGTTTGTCGCCCAATTTTCCATCCATGAGTGGTGTAGGAACGCATTTCAACGTCTCTTCCCTAATGCGGTCAGTGTATATGTTTCATCGCTTTATTACTTTAGTTGTGCATCATATATCGTAACTGGGTCGGATTTCGTTTCATTGACGGTGATCAGCACACAATAATGCCTTAGATTTCTACGCTTTTGCGTCTCCAAATCCCAAGGTAAGTGAAGATGGAGACTACTAACGCCACGACAAATGAAATGGCTGTGAGCGAAAACGCAGGTTTCACACACTGTACTCCTGCCGATTGACCCGTGCACTGCGAATCGTAAACTCGCGCGTAAAGTATCCCAAACACCGTGGAGCCTATTGCAGGTGCAACCAGGAAACACCCATACGCCGTTCCGAACACAATCGGACCCCATATACTGAGTGTCAACGTAGGGAAAATGGTAAAAAGACCGCCATATGCAGTCCCGCTTAAAGCCGAAGCCAGGCTGATCAGGCTTTTGCCCGATTCGAGATCTAGAACAAGAAGTTGTGCCACCAATCCAATCGTCAAACATCCAAAGAGAATCCAAATCCGAGAGATGTTACGGCTGGCAAGATAATCCGCGATCAAGCCAACTACCAGACGCGTGCATGTCGAGAAGACAGCGAAATACGACAGCACACTGCTCTGAATGTTAGGATCATATGGCGAAGTAAGTAGTGCGACAGATCCCATGTTGGTGAGGAACATCTCTAAGCAGCCAATCGTAAGGAAAAACGTGAAAAGCGTCAAATACATGCTGGGGTCCTTGGCAAAGCGCCATATGCGTTCTTTGTAGTCGTTTACGGAAGACGTCGATTCCGTGGGGAGCAAAGGTTCATGCTCTTCTTGCTCCACTGGAAGCTTCAACATCGCCACTATGCTGGTGGAGATCCAGGTCAAGCTTCCAACGACTGCATAGAAACACGCAAATGTTTTGAAGACTCGTCCGAGGTTCAAATAGTCGAATCCATGCGAGAACCACGAGTTTTTCAAGACTTCCGATCCGATCAATGAGGATAGCCCATAACAAGTGGTGGGGAAGCTGATCGAGAGCACTTTGTATTTTGGGTACAGCTTGGCACAGGTTAAGAGACCACTGAAAAAGAGAGCGCTTGTGGCTACTCCGATGACGAAAAATGCTATAAGCGTCAAAGTAAAGTGTGTTTCGCCATGTTCAAACACGTAGGAGGCGTATGCATAGCTCGGAACAAAGCCCACCACTGCCAACCAACTTAAGATGACGGGACCGTGTGAATCTGACAATATCCCCAACAGTGGAGGCGTCAAATACCCACCCAGGTTTGTAGCACTTGATATCAGATTGATCTGGAGGGCGCTATACTGCATCTGGTTACGCCAGGGCTTGGCGTAGAGCGATATGATGGTGATTAGGCCCGATGCTACACAAGATATCAATGCAATAACGAAAGCGGTTTTTCTCAACGTTGAGATGTGAAACCTATTCTTCAAACATGAACGGATGTGGAGCGTCAGCCAATGCTCGACCGCTGACAATGTCATCTTAGGGCGAGTAAGGTACTTCTGTCAATCTCAGGACTAGGATGTTTCTAGGTGACTCAAACTGTGTTGAAATTTATGTCAAATATATAGGACAATAAAGAACAAAGAGAAAAGTCAGAGAAGTCAAATACGAAAGCTACGATTCTGGAGATAAGGAGAAAGTCAATTGACCAAGAAACCTCTACGATTCAGCAATCGACAAACACATATATAGAAATTACATTTATTTTATGTATATTTATTTACATTTAAATATATATATGGCAGCTGTAGATGTTACGAGAAGCGGGTTTAAGAGTTTGTATTTTATTAGAAAGTTAGTGAATGCGGACGGTGTGGTTTAACCCATGCGATAAGTGAGATTATAAGATGCGGCGGATAGAGTGGCGGGGATTTTGAAATAGTGAGTAATGAAGACAGAGAGAGCTTTGCTCAGTTCTTCAGAGAGCGCGCCACGTCATTCAAACATGCGTATTTTTTGGATTTCCACCTGTTATTGGTCGTGATCCCCCAGTCGGGAGAGCTCTGCGATGTGGGTCTGGAATAGGTCACAGCGTTAGGACTTGTAGCGTGCTGTGTGTAGTTGGCCTGTAAAAAACCGATAACCAGTTCAGAATTAAATGGAGGTCTGGACACGGGTTTTTTCGTCCTTTTGGGACCAGAAGCGGTGTGAGATGCATGGGACTTGGCTGGCGTTGCACCAGCGACATTTTTGGTCTTGTTTTGCTTTGTAGGGTTTACGGGCGCAGTAGCTGAGGTGTTAAATGCGATGCTAGGTTTGGGAGCGGCTTTCGCGGCAGCAGCAGCCCAACCTGTCAGTTTTGGTTTGTGACTGGCTGTAGACATGACAGAGTGGGAGAAATGCAGGAAGAGGGAGTGCAGCCGGTGGGCGGCAACGTTGAAGTTGTATGCTGTGTGGATCTTCGATCTATCGGATGGCAAGGGAGACTACGCTGGCAGTGGCTAGAGAGCCACCAGGTATTTCATCGACAAACTATTGAGTTGAGCGGTGGCCGTGGATAGTGATATATAATTTAAGCATTACTGAGTGGGACAAACCGGCAAGGGTGAGGGGACGGTCGTGAGGGAAAACACGGTAGTAGACAAGGTAGTGGACACGGTAATGAATACGGAAACACCGGAAGGGGAAACGAGGTATTCGTGTGTGTGTGGGGACACAAGTCACGTGACCTCTTTCTTCACCCGGTCACTTCATACTAATGTGAAGCCCTTCCATAAATATCTACCAACCCCTACAATGAAGGGAAGCTGACTTGTGCCTCATATGCCACTCTTTTACCACACACCGAGTGCCACCCACTACGCTCACCCAAGCTCCTGGAAATTCCCAAAGAGCATCACTTTGCACGGTTGTGACACCACCACCTCATCCATCAAGATCCACTTATAATACATTTTACACACACTCATAGCACCCTCACACACCTCATAGCCCATTCGACCCACAAACAAACCCACTTATCACATCCAAAATCTCTCCTCAAACTTGCCTACTCATTTCACCCTTTTCAACTTATCCCCTTTCCCTTGACCCGTATAGTCACTATTTCCTGCTTTGTCGTTAATCTCACGGCATCCACGGTCTTAACGGAACCATAACACCCACCGTACGCAGACCACGTACTAAACTCGAAACAGGACTGGTCGCAAAACAGGCCCAAACTCGCCCAAAACAACGTAAACTAAGTAGACCACACAAGCCTCCTGGCAGGCCTCCTGGCGAGCTACTCTTGTCCTTCCTGTCGTGCCATAATTCTGGGTTTCTTTCAGTTTCAGACAACAATCATCTTGACGTTTTACCCCGGATTCTAATTCTATCTCTGTCCAATCCCCGTGGCCGTATCGCAAGCAGTGACGCTAGTGAATCATGTTTGCTTGTCGTAGTATTGTAGGGTAGTAGTTTATTCGATATGTTAGGCTCACGAAAGGCCTAGACTTGAGAAGGGCCGACTTCGGAGTTGGAATGGTCACAGATGTGCACAGAAGTGTGTCCTTGATACAACAACAGCGTTCAGAAGCAGACTAGAATATAAAAGGGCTGGAAATTGAAGACTTTGTAGAACGGAGAGAATAGTTGTGGTCAACACAGCAAAGTGCACCGTGTTATAGCTATCAGTGTGTGTATTTAGCGATTTAATTAGAGAGTATAAACAATTACAGCGATGCCAGCCGCAGTGCAAGCCAGAAGAGACTCAGCAGAGTCAATCAACACCGACATCATCACACTGTCGAGATTCATCCTGGAAAGCCAACGGTACGATGCCAAAAACGCCACGGGCGAGTTTTCACTGCTGCTGAACTCGCTGCAGTTTGCGTTCAAGTTCATTTCGCAGACGATTCGGCGTGCAGAGCTGGTCAATTTGATGGGCCTGGCAGGCGCATCGGTCAATTCCACGGGCGACCAGCAGAAGAAATTGGACGTTTTGGGCGACGAGATATTCATCAACGCGATGCGCGCTAGTGGCAACGTCAAAGTGCTCGTGTCTGAGGAACAGGAACAACTCATGGTGTTCCACGACAACCCAGCCACGTATGCAGTGTGCTGCGACCCGATCGATGGGTCTTCCAACCTGGACGCAGGTGTTTCCGTCGGAACCATCGTCTCGCTGTTCAAGCTCACACCGGGGTCGCAGGGCAGCACCAAAGACGTCCTGCGTCGCGGCGACGACATGGTCGCAGCCTGCTACGCCATGTACGGGGCTTCTACGCATCTCATGCTGACCACAGGAAAGGGTGTCAACGGGTTCACCCTCGACACGAACCTGGGCGAGTTCATTCTCACATACCCGGACCTCAAGCTGCCCCTGCAACACCCCATCTACTCGGTCAACGAGGGGAACTCGGTGTACTGGAATGAGTGCATCCAGCAGTTTTTCCACGACCTGAAGATCCCGCAAGAAGACCTCAAGGGCAAACCATACTCGTCCCGGTACATCGGCTCCATGGTAGCCGACGTTCACCGCACCCTACTCTACGGTGGGCTGTTTGCATACCCTTGTGACAAGAAGAATCCCAAGGGAAAGCTAAGGCTCTTGTACGAGGCCTTCCCCATGGCTTTCATTGTCGAGCAGGCCGGCGGGAAAGCCGTGAACGACCGGGGCGAGAGGATACTGGACTTGACGCCAGAACACATCCACGACAAGAGCAGTATCTGGCTGGGAAGCAGCCAAGATGTCGACAGGTTTTTGAAGCATATTCAGAAATAATACGGTTGTGAGTAAGTGTGGTTTTCGAGCAGGATTCCTTCGAAAACATGCGGTACAGCGTTCTGTGGCTACTACTTCTGTATGTCTTCAAAAGCCGGCTATGTCGCTCCTGTCCGCTCACGAAAAGTAGCAGAATAGCCAGTCACATATTTACATATATTCATTCTTTTTAGCATTTAGTTCCATTATGAGTCGAGATTAGGATGCAGCAGCAGCCTCACGTTCGGCCTCACCTTCAACCTCAACGTCAGTTTCCCCACCTTCTTGTTCCTCGATAATCTCCACGGCTTCTTCAACAGTGTCTTTTGAAGAATTATCCAGGGACTCGGAAGGGCTTGTCGTTTCAGAGGGCTCGTTGACCGAGGCCTCGACGACAGACTTGGCCTCGGGAGGCAAATCTGTGTCCACGATGGCCTTGGAGTAGCCCAAGTTTTCGATTTCACGTTCCATAAGTTCCTTCACTCTCTCGGTGAAGGCACCAACGTCTTCCTTCTTCAAATCCGTGGTGGGAATAGGATCTAATACTTTCACAGTGATGATACCACGGTTAAAAATCTTGTATTTGGAGTTCATGATGGTACTCGTGTTTGACACCACAATTGGCACGATAGGCACTTTTCCCTGCTGGGCCAGATGGAAGGCGCCCTTCTTGAAAGGCAGCAGACAGGGCTTGACAGAGTGAGATCTAGTTCCCTCGGGGAAAATCCAAATGGCACGTTTCTTACTCTTCATCTTATCGATAGCTCTCGACAAAGTCTCGACACTTTTTTGACGGTTTCCACGCTCCAAGAACAGCGTTCCGCTCAGACTCATGAACCATCCCAAAAAGGGAACCCACTTCAGCGAGCTCTTGGCAGTCACGGTGCATCCTGGAGGAAACGTCTTGCCCAGCATTAAGATGTCCAGAGCAGACTGATGGTTTGCAATGATAACGGCGGGCAGCTTGTCGAGATTTTCAGGGTTGATCACCTCGATGTCTATGCCCAAAAACGTACCCATAACATAGTAAAAGGACCTAGCGGTGGTGTACTGAGCAAGATGTCTCTTGCCTACGCAGCTGAGAACAACTGATGCTACCACTCCGTACAGAGCGCACGTACTCAGCAACGTTGCGCCAAGAACTGATCTGAAGTGGTATACGATAGTGCCCCAAACACCCATGGCGATTGTGGAATTGTAAAAAAAAGCGACTTTTGAAACCAGAGCTTCAATAATCTGTCAATAAACTAAGCTGTTGAAAAGAGGAGTGTTGTGTGGGCCACTTTCTTCTCTATTTTATAAGTTTCTCTCGAAGATGAAACTTCTGGTACAGCTACAGCAGCGTAACGGTGGGAATTGCAATAATGTCAGAAAAGGCCAAATCGAACCCTGTTGAAAACTTCCTGAGACTCTTGGAACGTTAAAGTGACTGGTATCCACGGAATGGTTCGAGCTTTTGGGTAGAAAGTGGTGTAGAAGTTGTTCACTTTGGTTGTTGATGAACGTTGTGGATTGTTGGGCCCTGAGATCATGTAATACGGAAACAAGTAGATGTTTAGACATATGTTCGAATAGAGGATTGAGTAGAAGACGCTCTCGAGGGCGATTTTGGCAGAATTGAAGCTTTCTTCGATACTATAGAGAAGAATAAGAAAGACGGATGAAGACAAGAACTGGAAAGACGACTAAGGCCGATTTGAACAGGTGGTGGCGGTTATGGGATGAGTTTTTCGGAAACGGAATTTCCACCAAAACTCTAAGCTTGCAAAAAGAGACACACTAGACAATGTATACATGACTTCTACTGCATATGCTTTCTAAACAATTCGGTTGATTCATTTCGAAGACCCTACTGAAACTCGAAAAAGAGAGTGTCCATATAAAATGATACTTTTGCTTACTTATATCAAATGGAGGGATGTACACACCGGATAGTTTCCCCTCGTTTTTAAGCAAATGACAGTTTCCCCGGCTCTATATGTTTTTTCGATTTGGCCAAAATATGGCAATTTTGCATGCTCGTTCTGGAATTGTGGCATTGAATACTAACTTCACACAGGCTACGTATCAATTTAAACAGGAATCACCCACCCTCTGTGAAGGTTTGAGCTCTATGTGAATATTCAGCCTGTTTTTGGAACCCGCAAAATGATGCAGTACTCGCCGTACTCGTCGTACTTGTACTCGTGTGATCCCGCTATATATATTGTCCGAAACACATCTTCTTAACACCACCAGGCTACTTCCAACCCAAACCCAACTGTTGTTTCAAATGCTTCGATGAATGTGCTAGCACATTGCAGGGTGTATCCGCTCTCTACAGTAAGTGGTGAACACACGCCACCGCGGCTTCCGCTTTTCTTGCCCATCTACTAACACGAACTACTGCAATTCAGTTCTACAAACCCTCTGCCGTTGAAATCGACTGGCTGGGTAAGAATTCATTTGGAAACGTGGTGCTGGACTGCGAGCAGAGTCCCTCAGCTCAAAAAATCGGCTCCATAGGCTTTTTGCACGTAATTGAGCACAGTTTCCGTGTTTCTGCGTTCAAACAGAGTCTGCTGTCGAGACTCGTGGAAAAGTCTCCGAATCAAAGCTTCGTTCTGGTGATGGATCTGATATCCTGCTGGAACGGAACTTTGCCAGAGCTGCAGCAGGATGAGAAGGCCGTAGCGTATCTCAATTCGCCCTCGCTCCTCAACTTCGATTCTCTGATCAATTTTCTCGTGCAACTGAACGAAAGCCCCCAGGATGCGTTATCGCGGTGTCAAACGCCAGTTTCGCTGCAGTATCAACTGGCTGGAATCTTCATCGATAATATTTCTTACTACACGCACGATCACGCGTCCTACGATCTCCTACTAAAGGTTTTGCGAATGCTACGGGCCACATACGGGTGCTTTATCGTGACCGTTGGGTACGGTCTGGAGTTCTACAACGGGGTCGAAAGAGCATTGGTGGAACCGTCTCATTTGACGTACGAAATTCCAACTCGTCTGCCAATATTATATGTGAAAAACATGGATTGCATTCTTTCAAGAGACACCGAAACTGACGCCAGAGTCGTTGATACGAAGTAATACCAGCTATTACCATACGATAATGGTGGTGGTGATGATGACTATGTCGTCTTCTATGCTTGTGCTGTATTCATCACTGAGAACGAAGGCATTTGGACTCACTGTAAATTGACAAGATGATGGGCATCGAAGATCAAAAACCTTTGAAAAGTTTTCCAATTCACAACGAAAGAACAGCTCAAAGGCCATTGAGATCTTGTGTGTCACAGGTTGTGCAAGGAGAAACTCGATTGCCAAAACCCAACTTGGTTAATCAAAGGTTCAACGCGAAAAAGCCCGCCAAATATTAAGCCAAAAGAAATCGAAAATGAGTGACGTTAAAGCAGCTGAAGAAGTGACCTCGAGACGTAACTCTTACGCTTCCGTGGAATTTACCGCCGAGGTGGCAAAACAGTGTCTGAAACAAGTGGAATTCTACTTTTCCGAGTTCAATTTGCCTTACGACAAGTTCCTGCGTACCACAGCAGAGAAAAACGAAGGATGGGTGCCCATTTCTACAATTGCGACTTTCAACAGAATGAAGAAGTTCCGTCCTGTTGACAAAGTTGTCGAGACGTTGCGCGACTCTAGCATCCTTGAAGTCAGCGAAGACGGCGAAAACGTAAAGAGACGTGTGCCATTGAACCCTCAGCACGATGCCAGACTAGAAAGAGGCAAGAGAACGGTTGCTGTGTTGAATTTCGACTTTTCTAAAGACGGCGAGCAGAAAATGAGTGAGCAGGAAAAAACTGAACTGCAAGAAAACGTGGAAAACTTCTTCAGCAAGCTAGGGTCCGTGAGCCAGGTGCGTTTGAAGAAAGACCACCGCAAAAATTTCAATGGAACCGTGATTGTCGAGTTTTCCGATGAAAAGGGTGCCCAAGAGTTCGTGGAGACCTACGGTGCCGACAAAGAAGTGCTTTCATATGACGGACGTAAACTGGACGTCTTCTCCAAGAAGCAGTACGACCAGCAACGTGAAGCCACGCGTAGCAAAAACTTCAGCGGGTCCGGCCAGCGCTCGCGCTCTTTCACGGGCCACAGGAAGAATATGCCCAAGCCAAAGAGATCCAGAGATGCCCCTAAAGCCAACGAAAAGAGCGAGGAAACTTCCAGTACTCAAAAGAAAGACGGTGAAGAATCAGTCGCTTCAGAGTCTGCAGTTGAATAGATGTCTTTCGAAAAGATTACTCCGTCAGCACACCCATTTTACAACAACAACAATAACAACCACAGCATTGTGACCATCGAGGGCTATGTATTTCAAATTTACATCACAACAATCCTATAATCTGCATTTTTTCGCGGTCAATGTACGTATCTGTTGACTTTTCTAGTTGTCAGAGTCATCTTATCTGCGCGGTTGTACCATCCACCATTTTCAGCGGGCATTGGTCGAGGACGTGCCTCGTTGATACAACTTTTGACTGTATAGTCCCAGCCTGCTGTTATCGTGGTAAGCCACTTACCTTGATTTGTGTTAGTGCGATAGAAACTACAACTGCTGGTCGGGTTTTGTCTGGTCCACGCTGTCGCCGTGACAGTTGGTCCTGGTTGCGTTTGCATGGGCGCAAATCGAGTATATCCGGTTTGTGAGCAATATGGAATAAGAAAAGACGCAGAATCTATTGGAGGTGGAGGTCCATCTGGCCCCAATTTCATTGTTTCTGCCATCGGAGCTTGTGGTTCGTTGACGCGAGGTGCGGCTTTGTTACCTTGCATACCGGTTATGGTGAATCTGTCCGAATAATGAATAGTGATCCATTTTGGAGAGACAGCAACGACCTGAACGAAATAAGTTCCACTGGAGCCTGCTTGTGCGTCGACGATTACAGTGTATTTGTTGTCCTTGACCTCGCTGGCAGAAACTGTTGCCAGCGTAGCGACTGCTTCTATCTTCTTGTTGGGACCCGAACACAATGTGAACACATATTGTGTTATTGAGCTCAAATCAGGTAACATGCCAGCGTCCCTCCATTCAATGTCTAAGGATGCCGAATCCGCAGAAACAAAATACTCTGAGCCAGCTTCGGGCTTAGAGACAGTTAAGTCGGCTGAAACCCAAGAACTATGCTGGATTAAAAAGAGGAGCACGGAAAACAAGTTACGCAGTATCATTACTTCGTATGTGAGGTACTGTTTTTGGAATGAGAAGTGAGAAAGGGTTTCTTTGGAAAGTGGTCCTTATGTACACTTTGGAAGTGAAACTTTTCATTGAAACTACGTCCCTGGATCAAGTGTTCATGGTATTTTGCTCAGCACAGTGAATTGATGGTAGTGATTAAGATACACAGAGATGGTTGCGAAGTGTTGTCGATTTTACTGACGCTGTCGCCGTGCTTGCGTCGTTAGCAGTGGAAGACGGAACCGTTGAATATGACTGGTGCTTAAGGTCTCTTGAGCAAGAGTGTCACGAATACAGCAGTTTTCGAGGGCAGTTTGGTCATATATTATTACAACAAGCCCATCATTGAGTGTAATTCTGGGGCTCAAGATGATCAAACTATCACCAATGCAAGTTGTATAGCCACATCTATTAGGGTCACCAGTCATTTGGTCACGTGATACATTGCGATGTCAGCATGCAATTAAAGTGGTAATGAAGAGACTCGGCTCTTAGCCAACCGCATCGTCGTTCCTAAGCGTATGAAACAGTTTTATGAGTCTTGTGAAATGCGAAAACATCGTATTGGGTTGATATAAGTGAATCCTGCCCTCTTCTAAGAGCTGTTCCGGTTCTTTCAGGTCACGTGACAAAACGACTGGCGTCAGTTGACGGAGGATGAAAGCAGGAAGAGAGCTTTCATCTTAGCTAGACGATTGCTTGGGTAGGAGACTAGTGTCATGGAAGATTGTAGTGTTTTTGGTGCATTGAGCTGTGGTAAATAGTGGGAAAGTGGAAATCATCAGAGAAGGCCACGAGTACTGTATTATCCTTTCAATTGAACAGCCTGGCCACTTTGTAAGCCCATTCTCTCCTTTCAATCGCGAAAAAGCAAGAGCTCCACAAAATTTTGGCATTACTCAAAATTCAGGCTCCAAGTATTTCAGGATTTGTACGGCTTTCTGTCATCACATTTGCAATTTATTGCTCATCTTCTTGATACACAACCAGACCCCATAAATTTTGAATTTGTTCACTGACGCCCTCAACTGTATCATAGTACAAACTGTCTACTTCTTAACAATTGAACGAGGTGGCAAGTGCTCTCGATTTCTCAGTACGACGGGCTTTCTACTTCAGTATTGTTTTGATTTAATCTTTGTTCTCGTCAGTTTAGCAATACGACGAGCTCTATGGGCCAATGCAGTTTTCCAGAATTGACTGCTTAAGCGCTCAATTGTTCAGTAATGTTACCAGCACTCTACTTCTTCTCGATCTTTCAATTATACTACAGGTTGTCATTTTTTTTCGAGGCTAATCATTAACGCTCGAATTGTTTAGTAGAGCATAAATCGTTCGATGATGCCCGCAATTGGTCAGTGGTGCGTGTAGTCTTCGCTGTCGGTTTCAGTTGTACTTGTACTCGTAATAGTTCTGGTACTCGGGCTTGTTCCAAGTACTACGAAGCCTTCACTTATTCGATCCCTAATGCTCTTAGTAGTACCAAGACTCCTCAACTTGACGCTAGCGATCGATTGTTCAACCATGCTTATGACCAACTAAACGTATTCACGATCGATTAATTGCTAAGAAGTTCGCCCACACCCTCAGTTTTACTCGAGCTTGTCGATTTTATTACCATGCCTTTACTTATTTATAATTTAGAGTGTTGGCGATCAATTGTTTAGTGGTAGTCAGGTGTCTCTGATAATTCACAGGTGATTGCTAGTGCTCTCGAATGTCTAATATTTCTTCGGGGCCTCCACTTCACAATTAAGAGCGCTAGTGTTGTAGCATTCTTCACCGAAGCTCTTAAATAGTACTCGTACTCGGACTTACTAGGTCCTCACTGGTTCACACTTGATCGCTCATGCTCTCAGTTGTTCGGAGGTACTGCGGGGCATTTGTTAATGCACGACTCATCGCTGAACTTTCCAGTTGCTCAGTGGCCCTACGAGATTCATAGCTCTCAGTTCTTAGCGTTACTACAAGGTGTCTATTTTATTCACAACTGATCGCTGGCGCCCTCACCAATTCATACTCGAACTTGCGGAAGTACTCGCGAAAGTACTCGTACTCGGGCGTGTCAATGCCATGCTCTCAAGCACAATTGTGCTTTGGTCTTCTGTGCTAACATACTCATACTCGAACTTTTTCAAAATACTGCTATGCTTTCACATTTTCACAATTGATCGCTGCCCTCATTTACTACAAGGTTTCAAATTGAGAGCATTGGCAACCAATTGTTCAACACTGCTTGTAGCTTTTTCGCCTAATCTCTCAGTATTGTAGCCCTCTCTTTACTCGTGCTCTGACTCATGAAAGATTATTTTACGCCATTAGTGATCGTCGAGGCTCTTGATTAGTTATTACTATTACGAAATGTCAATTGGTCATTACTACTATGATGTCTCTCTTGATTATTACTACTATGAGGTCTCAATTGGTTATTACTACTATGAGGTCTCATCTTATTCATGATTGATCGTTGATGCCCATAATGCGACTCCTCTGATGATTCGCAATCAATAGCCGACGCTCTCGATTGTTCAACGGTACTATACCTCAGCTGAGGTATTGACAGTCGATTGCTGACGTCTTCAACTGTTCAGTAGTGCTTTGGATTCGATCGCTGACGCTCTCCAGACTTCGAGATTGTTTACAGCAGCCATGGTTCTTCACAATCGATTGCTAACGCCTGAAACCCTGGTTGTACTGGTACTCGCAAAGGTACTCGGGCTCACCGAAACTTCCACTGGGCCGCGACTTACTCAGAATTGATCGTCAACGCGCCCAACTGTTCACTAGTTCTTGTAGCTCGAGTAATCGTACTCGCACTCGAACTCAGGCACATTCGAACTATCTCTGGGCCTCTACATACTCAAAATCGATCGCTAATGCGCCCAGTTCTTAACTACAAGGCCTGTAGTTATTTACAACGGATCGCTGAAGCTCTCATTTTTCAGTAGTGCTTGAAGTCACCAAAACGATTCACAATCGATTGATAAAGCTCTCAGTTGTTCAGTAGTGCGTCGAGTCCCTGGTATCTATCCATTCACAATTGATCGCTGCTCTCAATTAATCATAACAACTACAAGGTATCTATCCATTCACAGTTGATCGCTGAAGCTCTTAGTTGTTCAGAGGTGCTAAGGGATCTCTAATTACGAGATCTCTGTTCACAATTGATTGCTCAGGCTCTCGGAGTCAATCGCTAACGCTCTCAACTGTTCAATAGCCCAAGTACCTGTTTCAAATGTACTCGGACTCGCACGGAATAAAAGTACTACCAGGCCCCTCTTTCATTTCTCAAATTGGTGGCTAACGCTCTCAATTGATCAGTTGTGCTTGTAGCCACCAAAACTATTCACAACTGAGAGCGTAAGCGATCTTAAGCGATCAGTTGTTCAGTAGTGCGTGAAGCTCAAGTACTCGTTACCGTACTCGGACTCGGACTCGTACTCGGACTCAACAAAACTTTCATAGGGTCGCTAACGCTAACGCTCTCATTTGTTCAGTTGTGCTTGTAGCTACCAAAATTATTCACAACTGAGAGCGTAAGCGATCTTAAGCGATCAGTTGTTCAGTAGTGCGTGAAGCTCAAGTACTCGTTACCGTACTCGTACTCGTACTCGTACTCGGACTTGGGCTCGGACTCAACAAAACTTTCACAGGGTCTCTACTTACTCAAATTAGTCGCTAACGCTCTCAATTTTTCAGTTGTGCTAGAAGCCACCAAAATTATTCACAACTAATCGCTAACGCTCTCAGTTGTTCATAGTGCGCTAACGCTAACGCTCTCAATTGTTCAGTTGTGCTTGTAGCACCAAAACTAATTCACAACTGAGAGCGTAAGCGATCTTAAGCGATCAGTTGTGCGGTAGTGCTTGAAGCTCAAGTACTCATTACCGTACTCGGACTCGGACTCGGACTCGGACTCAACAAAACTTTCACAGGGTCTCTACTTAGGCACAGCAAGCAGCCCAAACCTCACTACAGCAGTTTTGCTGATGCACCAGGTATTACCCCGGACCTGGCTCTCAGGTTTCTCATCTCTCGCAAAATGAACAACTTCGATATACAGTCGTTGCCAGTGGACAAGTACCATCAAAGAGATTTGCAATGGAAAATCAACCCTTCAAAACGAAATAGTGGGCGACCTTGGCAAAGAGTTTCCAGAGCTGCAAAGCGCTCACCAAATTGAGGAGATGCCTATTAATTCGATATCAAAAGAAGCTGCGCTATCCTGCGAGCCACCAAACGAGTTTGGTCCGTTAACTGTTGATGCTGTCTCTAAATTTATGCCTCGCAAATTTGCAGGGGACCTCTGCAGCTTAAGTAACGTCAA